CTAGAACCCTGCCCACCCCCCTTCTGTGATGCTTGATTGCCTCGACCGGAACTGCCTTGGTTCTGGGAGGACTTACTGCCCAGTCCTTGGGCTACTCCGTAACGATAATTGGCGTCGATACGCAACACTCGTGCCTTCCACTCGGCGTAGGTTGTGGGGCGCTCATTGTCCCCATGCATAACCATGTTGCGCACCGTTGGGCGTATCGCCGCTTCGACAGCCTCGAACATCTGCTTCTCGTCTCCGAACTCCTCGCACTTGTGAGCCAGCCGCTCGAACTTCACAAAGAACTCGACAGCTGACTTAAAGTCCGACTGCCGGACCTTTTTCCACTCCGCCTTCCATATGGTCAATTCTGCTACTTCGTGGAATTGGACGGTGAGGTCATGGGAGAACTCTGCCCAAGTGGGGAATCTCCAGTGACCTCGTGGATCCCGATACCTATAGTATTGATCGACCCACCACTGTTGCGCCTCCCCTCGTAGGTATCCTTGCGCGAACGTGATACGATAGGGGTTCTGCCCCTCACCGTTCATCGTGTAGTACATGGGAAAGACCTGGAAGTAAACTTCACAATGATGGAGGAACCGTGTGATGTCCGAAGACACCCCTGTGAAGTACTTGGGCTGAGTGATCAGCTTAGGTTTTACGTCATTCCACGGGTTATTAGCCGCCCCCGGCGCTAGGACCCATGGGTCAATGGGGTCTGGCGGGGAGGGGGGCGTTGGCGGTATGGGCGGCTTCGGTGGCCTTGATAAGGACCTCAAGTTGCGGTTGTCGCCCGGAGGGGGGTAACCCCCATAGTTGGGGCGCGGCGGCGGTCCTGACGGTGGTGGTGCTGACGGTGGTAGCGGGGGTACCGTCGAGCCCTTTCCTTTGTCAGGGCGAGAGGGTCCTGCGCCCTGATCCGCGTAGTCTTCATCATCCTCCCCAGCTCCACCGAGGAACCCTTCGGGGAGGAACCCCCCCATGTCCGCGGGAGGGGGCATCGGTTGGGGTCTTCGATACGGTTCGCATCCAGGCTGAGGTACCTCGGGACGTACCGCGTTCCATACGAGCGCCGCCCAGTGCCACGTTTCCACTTCTAGAATGTTCTTCATGAGGTATACATCGCCCATGCTTTTAGCATGTCGATAATCCTCCCCCGCCTCCGTGAACAGCCACTGCAGGTCTTTCTCCATGTCCTCCATCATTATTTCATATAGACCGTGCCATGGTAGGAGGTCGAAGATGGCGGGCCTCGGGTGCGGCCCATTAAGAAGGACCTGCTTCACCGCCGCCATTACCGTCGGCTCGAGGGCCTGGTTTGGGGGGTGGCTTGGCATCCTTTGCCTCCGCCCTCTCTCTGGCAAGTCGGTCGATCTCTTTATTTCTTCTCCACCGCCCGATATCGGAGTCCTCGTTACTGATCTCTTCCTGGTAGACTCTCCAGGCTCTCCCTCTGGCCTCCAGATCGGCACCTGCTCTTCTGACGGCGCCGGTGTATCGTACTGCGGCGGCTCGTATCCTGTTTTCGATCTCGGCATTTGTGGCATCGGGCTCGACGGGTAGGTCCCACCAGCCTCCGGGTCCTTGGAGCGCGTCTTCTTCTGCTCGACGGATGCGTGCATCATGTGCTCTTCCTCGGTCCATGCGGGCCTCGATTTCTGGGGACTCCCGGGCAGCTCGAGGGACTCCGAGGGACTCGACGTACGTGTGATATAGGAGCGGCCACGGACGCTGAGAGAGAGGGACGGGGTCGGCGAAGGCTCTCGACGGGACTGACGGCTCCCAGTTAGAGACTCCGGCGAGACGCTCGGAAACAGTAACTGTTCCAAGGTCTTCGGTGTCGTACTCGCCATACTCGCTCCAAAGCTCCCCATCCGTCGGCTCGTGCGCGGGGACGGCGGGAGTTGCCGTGGGTGTCTCAGACCGGTCAGAGACTGTGTCGGACTCCGGTCGGGGCGAGACTCCGGCCATAGGAGTTTCTTCCCTGGGGTCGGCGTAGACCCAGCTGGTGCGAGGGTGCCAGGCGACTGGCTCTCCTCGATCGGATGGCCAGGAGCCTGAAACAAGGTGTGGGCTAGCTGTACTGGTGGTAGCCGCGGAGGCTCCGAGGCTAAGCTCCCCAGAGTCTTCGTCGAAATCGTCTCGGGGTCTCCGCTCTCGGGATGCGGCAAGTCGGGCTCGGTCTCGTGCGTCGTCCGCTGCGATCCTCCTGTCTCGAGCCCGCTCCCATGTGGTTCCCCACTCCGACTCGACCCACTTGTTCTGGGAGCGTCCACTCCAGTTGTCTCCGGTATAGGTAGCATCTTCCTCCTCGTTCGGGTAGAGGTCTTCGAGTCGGATTCTTTCGAGCTCGGTGAGCTCATCCCCTTCGTACTCGGTATCGACATCCTCTTCTTCGCCCGACTCCAAATTCCTTCCTTCTTCTCCTGACTGGCCTGCGACTGGAGACTGAGCGAAGAGGCCTGGTAGGGGCGAGTCTCCTCAGTCGAGGAATACCCCCCGGGTATCGGTGATGTCGACAGACTCGTCGGACTTGGCGGTGGCGCTTCTGTAGGAGTCGGTGCTCGATCCTGAGGATCCCGAGCTGGACTGCGACGACCCGTAGAGGGACTCTCCAGGTCCCCTGGGTGTGATGGGTCTGCCATTGTGAAGGGTTTGCTGCGACGCTGCGGGAATGAAGATTATGGGTGGCGGATACGCCGGGGTTGCTGGCACGTAATGAAACGGAAGCTGGGCTCGTACTCGTCTTTGTTCGCGGCAACACCGCTGAAGGTAATACAAGCAAATGAACAAGAAAAAGGCGGTAGAAACGGCGGAGATTACGGGAATGGCGTCGGATAAGGGCATCCGTCCGTTGGCTTATCTTCTGAGAGGGCCGGCGGTAAGGATGGACCATACGACGGTCAGAGCAAGGATGGTTAATGCAGCGAGGGTCGCGATGATCAGGTTGAGGTCGGCTTCGTAGTTGGAGCCGGTCATCAATGGGATTTCGTCGTCGAAAGAGGGGTCAGTCAAGGTCAGCAGGATGACTGCTAACAGTGAGGCTGACTTTAAAAATAGGTTTAAGATGTTCATGGTGTCTCAGACCAGGGGTACGTATGCACCGTACAAAGCAACTAGCAATCCTGCCAGAAGCGGTGCGGCGATACAGACTCGGACGAGAGCAAGGGTGAGGAGAACAGTTACTAGAACTGCAAAGATAGGGTCGTTGATGATGTGGGGTAAGATCCACGCGATTACGGCGGCTTGTAACAGCAGGTCGATGGGAGTAACCCAGAGGGCTACTGCGACAAGGAGATGTATCGGATGAATCTTGATGGAACGATGGCACCGACGAAGCGTCAAGTGCCACTAGCGACCGTTTTGGTCAACTAGGGAGTATAATGGTGAGTACTTGTCCATTGGTCCACTCGCGGTACGCTAGCAATCACAAGATTGCCCTCACGAACGCAAGGCGATGACCTCTCTGGTCAAGTAGTCTGGGATCATCTGTAAGAGAGTTGGGCAGCGTTCTTTCTCGGAAGTAGCGCTGAGCAACGTAGAGCGAGCTTCGGCTAAATGTTAGCCACTAACTCTTATCGACTTAGATCAACTCAAGATCGCCACTCGCACTTCGGTGGACGATACAAGAGGGGTCAAAGTAGATGGAAGAGAGCCAGTCGCGAACTTAGATAGTCACGAAACAGGGAGCTTTGAGATAGGTAGATTAAACCTTAGCCGAAGCTGGGGTTTAGGCCAGCTGAGGCTTTACTTAAATACATGTTGAGTAGACTAAAAATAGTACTGTGAGAACGTCCGATCAGAATTGCAGCATAGAGTAAGCGTGAATATGTAAGAAAAGAAAAAGAAAAGAATAAACCGTAACATACCCGCTAGGATTATTTCAACAGATCTATGTTTGACACTTACTGGCAACTATAGGCATGCTTGATCTGTTTGTTGGGGATTTAAGGGCAGCATCTATTTGAAGCCATTCTACTCTATTTGTTGCGCTCGGCACTCTCAGTGTTTCTGCTCGATGCTCCTAGTGTTTCTGCGCTTGTCCTTTTATATCTCGTGTACACTGCTTGGTTGGCAACATGTTTTTGTATAAACGTCCGTGTCATGTTACCCACGTTCTCGCAGAGGAAGACCATCCTCCTTGTGATGTTGAACATAGTGTTTCTGACGTTCCGGTTTACTATAATGCATTGTACTACCCAGAACTGCATGATAATGTGTTTTCTTCCTCGAAAGTGGTGTGTAAGTGGTTGAAGCGATCATTTGCGCTGTATGCAGGCTGGGTACACGCACACGCATTATATATCAATGGCTATTTTGTGATTGAGGACACTGTACTCAATGCTTGTCTTGTTTTAAGTGCAAGCACTGATACTAATTGAGATCTTACATCAAACGGCGACCGCCCTTAAGAACCCAGGGTGCCTCGTGATCTCAAATCCAAGTGTAACACATCTCTGAAGGTCTGGAAATAAATAAGAATGGTGGCGGAGCAAAACGGAAGCAAAGGAAAGAATCGGGGACCGGCGTGGAACCGCCGCTACAGGGATATATGGTTGTTTGGTTGTTTGGTATGGTTTGACATGTTTTGACGTGAAGAGGTGAGCTTGCGAACGTGATAGCGCAGCTGCGTGGGCGAAACGCCGGCTGGTAAATGAGCCTACCAATCATCAGTCTCGGTCTGGGTTCATCCCGTGGGATTTTTTTCTATTCGCGCATGGTCTTTGCCGGGCTATGCCTGTTTTTCCGAAAACTAAGCTTGTCGAGCATTCAGTCGTTCAGTCTGCGCTTCAAATCTTTGAGGCGTTGAAGCGAGATAAGGTAACGGAAGAAAATCGTTATGTCACTCAGTCACTGTCTCGTACGCAAACCCTGTTCTAAGACCTTACTCGTGCCTCATATATTCTTAGAACGTCCAACTGCCCCCATATCCTCCTGCACTTGCCATCATTGTGTTTCTTGATGCAATTCGTCGCCCCAAAATCAGTAGCTCAGCTATCAGATAATAGTACTTAACTAGTTGAAGAGGGCCAGCGCATCCGCGTGGCAGGTCCGAGTCCTATGTATTTTTTTAATTAAAAAACTAGATACAATCGATTCGTTTAGCTGCAAGATACCTGTAACTCGTTAGAATTGAAGTTACATTCAGTCAGACCATGATAGGCTGCAAAGCGGGCTGCTTTGCCATCTTCGCAGTCAGGCAAGGAATATATTATGGCTGGTCCCGTCGCCCTACATTGCTCATCGGATCAAAACACCAAAAAGAATTGGGTAAACCAAAGCTCACAATCATTGTTGTACCCAGAATCGAAAGGCATGATGCTTTCCAGGTATTTCATCTGATCCTTCAACAACGAAATGTCCAGCGCCGCTAAGTTCGCTTGAAGGTGTTCTACTTTCCGGCCTCCGATGATTGGGAAAACATACAGTGCCCTCTGCATCATGTATGCGATCGCAACTACCCACACACTCGTCAGAAATTCAAGTCATGAATGAAGATATTTCCAACTCACCCGTGGTGACATTGATCCCTACAGCAACCTCGGTCGCTACCTTCTCCAATGCCCCAGACACCCTCACGTCCACCTCTGTGTGTTCCCAATTCGGGCCCCTCGCCGTATGTCCCTTCTCTATGGAGAGAGCACCATGCCTAGAGATTTTGCCATGGAAATGATCGAGCGCTCCAAGATGCTCCATTTACTTTGATAGATGATGAACGGCGTCTTGCCCTGGTCCATGGCGTATTGGTTGGCATGAGAAATGACCCATGCGGGGGTATCAGAGATCTCGAGGTCGAGAACCCTCCGAGCTGCGACAAGATTAGATCTGAAGGCTGTCCATGACTTCTGGAATTGACGTCTCGTAGTCCCACTGGTGAACGTATAGGATGTCGATGTACGACCTTCGGAGTTTTTTAAGACTTTTGGCAGAGAATCCAAATTCTTCTTGATAAAAGGCTACGTTCATTGCGAGAGGATTCGCGAATGGGTAGCTGGTGAGGGTGGGTATGCTTGATTTGCAGCGGTTCTGCTACCAAAGGAATGTAGCTCTGGGGCGGTATTTTTACGGAGGAGATGCGGACCATTTCAGAAGAATTTAGCGAACGATGATAGAGATATTCGTCTAGTACGCCTTTGGATTCTGGGGGTGTATGAGTCAAAAATGAACCGAGAAGGCTGTTGAACGATATGGGTACTGACTAACTACCCTGACCATAGCGCCACCTTGTGTGATGCCTGAGTTGTGAAGAAGAGGAATTCGTGACGAGAAGATAATGTCAGGTGATCCTTGGTGAAGAAGGGCATGCTTGCAATATCTTCGTGTTTGTCTTCTGAATTTCCGAGTAGAGCAGTAGTGGTAAGAGAAGAAAGTTATCGGGCTGAGGGTCGCTGTTAGCCAACTGTTAGCTGTAACTTAGCAGGTGAAGGCGTACTGGCCGAAGCGATACTCACCGCCAATCCCATCAACGCCGTCTGATTAATTGCTCTTCAAGCAGCTACTCCAAAGTGCCATTTCGACTGGTAGCTCCCGACATCTGTGCTCGCCAAAGCTGACCTGGTTTTGCTATAGCATCATATAGTTCCTGCGCCTGTTCATAAAAGAAGTTTGGACGTAGAATGACGGAGACAGAGACACTGAGAATGTCCACAGAAAACAGAAACAGGGAGAAGAGGGAATGAAACCAGGGGAAAAGAAAGAGATAGTCAAACCGCAACAGAACACGACGGCGACAACGGGGAACGAAAAACACGCGACAGCGTCAGGTAGACAGACCGTTCGGCAAAGGCCGTCAACGAATAGAATTATTCCCACGGTACTCTGAGATAGCCAGGCCGGCAAATTCCGTGATGAATTGATACCCCAAATAGATTTTCCCACGCATCCTTCAGGACAGCATAATGACCGAGTATCCTATATACATAGGACTCGGAACTGAACGGAAGCCCAACGTTGTTACCTGGTGATCTCTAAAAATCGAACTTGCAATGCACACGAAGAACTTGTGACGGCAGGCTTTGCGGACGGTGCATCATTTCCCTTGTTCAATGTAGCGCTCTGAAGCTAGAGAAGAACCGAGTATGTTATATTTTCTGTTCTCTATCACTCACATTGATGCTCAGCGTCTTCACCTCAGCACTACCGTCTTCGACGGAAAAGAGTCTCCAAAGTGCTGATCCCTGTTTCTGCGGCTTCATTGACACCCCGCCCTCATCCCGTAGAGTATGAGGCGCATAGCCGAAACTCGAATCTACTTCTGGTCTTCGACTCGGATGTAGGTTCCGACGATCACTGCCATTTAACGTGTGTCGTAGCAAAACGGCTGGACAGTATGCGCAGGCCTTACTGAGTCAGCTACCTTATATATGCAATTTGGGTGGATTCACTGAAGAATTTGTTCATCTTCTATCCACCTGCGTATACTCTGGCTCCGATCCCGAACATGTGCGCTATGGAGCGAATCTCTCTCTCCCGTCTTCCTCGTATATGGGTCGATGTTGTAGAAGACTTGCTTCTTATTTAACCTTCATCTGATGCCCGTCGACTGCCAACACACCTTAAATTGTAATTCTATGCGCCCATCCTAGATGACGACGTGATTGTCCTGCTGGATGCACTACAGTCATATCCGATGGAAGCACCGGTCCTCGACGGGTTGCTCGAAGGATATCCCACCGTCATCGACACTGTCGCCCAGCGACTTCCAGACCTATTGGTACTAATCCTCTTCCTCCGTGGCGGCTCGAATCAAAGGATCAGTACACATTGCATTTGGCCTGATCCAATATGGGTTTACGCGCCTCCTTTCGCGCAGTTCACCAAGCTGCGGCATTTTGAATGGAACTATCCATATCACGAGGGGGTTGTAACACCGTGGTCGCTGCTACTGCTCGAAGGTCAGGACATTCAGGATCATAATGAGTCCGTGCTGCCATACCTGGCCCATGAGTCGGATGATGATGAAGATATCGATCACGTTCCATATGCAGCATCAGTGTTTAGGGTGTACTGCCAGGCGCCAGAATTAACAGTGGTCTACACTCGCCCTGATCAACCGTCCAAGCGTTGGTGGATGATATCCGATAGTGGGAAATGTGTCCCAGATACAAGAGAGTGTGATCCGGATTCTTTGGATCTCGAATGGAATCCTTGGCTGCATAGGTCATATTTGGATGTCTCTTGTCGGTGGTGGTAATTCGCAGGATACATCGTGAGAAGCAGCGTCAATTTTAGCAACCTCGGCGTTTTACCTGTACGTATGCTGCATAATTGTCGAATGAATCTGAGTAGTCTGATTAGTACTTGCATTTCTAGTTGTATCTGGAAGATCAAGTGTATTGAATATTTATCATGGGCCACCACATAAAGTCTAGTTGGCTATCCATCGAGCATCGATGCCTAGATATCTAACACCGTCGTGAAAATGTCTTGAAGAGAATAAAAAGGCCTTTGCCTCGCACAGCCACCACTGATCGATTTTGGTGTGAACGTCGATAACAATAACATCCTTCCCTTTCGTGGCACATCGACCACTTTTGCCTTGTTTCTGTCTGAATGAACGTCTTGTTCTCTGGGTTTCCAGGCACTTCCTGCAGCTGTTATTTAATAGGAAATGCCCCTCTCGAGAAGCTGCAACGACTACTACTACTAAATGGTCCCCCACATTGACGAATACGTGATCGTTCAACTCGACCCAGTAACTTCTCTCAAGAGGCTCAATGATCTAGAGGTTACGAGGGCATGTGAAACTCTGGTGGCGAAAAAGTATGTGGCGTGTATAACATGGGTGAGTTACACAGTCTTCATCAATGTCCTAGCATTAGGCTAATACCCAGGGAAAGATGCAACCATTGATCCTTGACACCGAATATATATCTGTGTCTTTGAAATTTGTGTCCAATGGTGTCAGTAGAGCTCATCTGGCGGAGCACCTACTACCAGAAATGACTGTCCCCATTTACCCGAACACGCAACACCCGCTCTCACGACCGCCGTTTAGACCATCGAAAGAGATACCTTGGCCACAGTGTTATCAGACGACGCAACTCGGGGGTCAGGTGAGGTGGCGAAATGTGAGAGAAGCTGGTAGGCCTGTACTACCCGCAAAGTACGAGCTTCCGGCGAAAGATGCTGCGAAGTTGCAGATGCTATCGTCTGAGGATGGTGCATGGAGGTTACGGCTCGTTCAGGAGGATTGTAAAGAAAGGAATATTACATCCCACGATGCTGGCCACGAATTTCAAGACCATGTCTCCGACGATGTTCAAGATCCGCCATCAAGGACTCGGTCATTTATGAGCAGCTTCCTTGACCTCTTTCCTTGCACTTCCGACTCTGTATCACTCCACAGTGATGATAACTGCTCAGAATGCTCAGACGATAACTTGAAGAACGGTATCTATGCATTTAACAAGCCTCCTTCGGATACCATGCCCGTCGCCATTCTGTCAAATGATCTCGCTTCCCTCCCAGCAGAAGAAATCGGTGACCCTTGGGATTTCAACCGTGAGGGGGAAACATTGAAGAGGTATGCCTTTCAAGTCGCGTCCCTATGCATTTCTCATCTATAACCGAACAGAATCGAGGAAGAGCATTACGCACGAACGAGAGCAGCTAGAGAGAAACCACAGGCGCTGGACACGGCTCTTGACAAACCATTTGTTGCGACAAGACCAGACTCCAAGCCAAGTTCGTCTGTCGGCCATCTAAAGATTCTAAACTGATTTTTATGCTGACCTTATTTCTGTAGCTCCCACAAAGTCAAATTTCTCGAAAGGGCACATCCAATGGCTGAAGTCCAGATTTCGGCATCCTTTCTACAACGACATTAACTGACAGTGAAGTCCATAGTCGTCGCTGGCCGGTGTCTTTCTTTTATATTTTTATTATTCTGTCCACCTAATGAAACACGTTTTTCTACTCATGAACTGCTTAGGCTGAAGGAATCAAGTGCGTCTATAAAGCCTACGTAGTCAGGGAAGGGTTAAAAGAAGGCCCGGGGAAATAACGCCACTGGTAGCCTCAGATGAGCGTCGGCAAATGCCGTAGGAGCGTTACTACTACTTCCCAACTTTACTTTGTTTACTTCCTTTGTGCGAGAACAATGGCACGAATTTCGACTGTTTTCTGTATATCAGGACTTGGCTCTCTGCGCCAGACAGATACCCACCTATCGCCATCATGATTCCTCACTTTGGAGAATACATCACCATCAAGCTCGACCCAGTCGCGTCTCTCCAGTCTCTGAACGACGAGGAGGTCACCAAGGCATGCTCAGTATTGGAAGCCAAGACCTATGTTGCTTGTGCTACCTATGTACGTCGACGGGAAATTGAGACGCGTATCCATTCTGACACTATGACCCTATTCCATACAGCTTTTCTCGTTCCCTTTGCCCGGGGTTGATTGGATATCCGTCGGATTGCACCTAGTCTCTCAAGGGCTTCCAGAACCGGGTCCCTACGGCTTTACTATGGCCGACATGTCTGTCCCCATCTTTCCCACAACAGCCCACCCGCTTTCGCGACGGTCAGTCAAACCCGGCACCCCCCTGCCATGGCCAGACTGTTTCCACCCCTCACTGGGTACCGCAAGATGCCGCGTCAAAAACGATTTCACCATCGGTGATCCGTGGCCGGACTCGCCGTATCAGCTGGATAGCCATGATCAGATTGTTCTTGAGAAATATTTTAGAGAGGATTCAGAACGCAGGGAAGTCTATGCACAGGCGCAGGGGCCAGCTGGAGCACCTTTGAAGGAGTCCCCGTCTCGAACAGACGATGCTGGAGTTGACGTGGACGAACAGCGTGAACCATCTATCGCGCCCTCGACTCAAGATGCTGAAAGCCGATATTGTCAATCAGAGAAAGATGCTCCAATATCTCGCCCTAAACGATTTTCCTCGCTGTCATCTCTTCTTGGCGGGCTACTAGCGAAGGCTCTGTCTTTTGTCCCTTGTTTACGTGCAGACTTTGTCGACGACGACGACAACGCTTCGGTCTGGTCTTCCGATCCCATTTTCTCTCTCAATATCTTTGGCAACTCCCCTCCGGATACTATGCCCGTGGTTAACGTCTCGGATGATCTGACATCGGTCGTGCTGCCTATAAACGATCCTTGGGGCTTTATTTATGAAGTGAAGGCCCTGCAAAAGTACGCAAAACAACCAGCGCTGCAATGGTGCCCCATGTACTGATTACGTATCTTGGGAACAGAATTGAGGAAGAATATCACGAACGGGTCAAGGCGAAAGTACAAGCTGATATCGGACGTGCACGACAAAAGGACGAAGACCTCCATGCCCGACTTCAATCGAAAATGCCAAATCGTGGTTCATCTCCCAACGAGGGAGACACGGTTCTCCCAGTCTCTGCTGCGAAAGGTAGGGAAGATTAAAACCGTTCTGTTACTCTTTAATACTGACTTTCTCCTCGCAGACTCAACAACCAGCATTGACGTTTGATACAACGTGGTGCTGCCTGCTGAAATAACTACCAAGATACTACAGTATTCATATATCATAATTCCCATGGTATCGTTGCGCAACACTGTCCTTACTGTACTAGTAAACGATCGTTCAGTATTCTTTGCTCTTTGCTTATTCGACCTTCCAGTAAGTCCGTCACGCGTAGTAGTAGCAAGTGCCAGTTTTGGTCAAGCCAAGTTGGGTTGCCCACCGGCAAATGCCGCCAGTGGCTTCGACTGTTGCCATTATGTTCCTAATCCGCTTGTCATTCCTTTGTTCGAAAACGCTGAAGCGAAAATCAGCGGTGTTTCTTTTCTTAGGCTTTACCTCTGGCGTTCGAACTGCACTGGATCGCCACTTCTCGATATCGTCGACATGCTACCCCACTTTGGAGAATACGTTGTTCTCAAACTCGACCCCGTTGCTTCCTTGGAGTCACTGAACGATCCTGAGGCAACCAAAGCCTGTCAAGCTCTAGAGACCAAGAATTATGTTGCCTGTGTCACCTATGTGCGTCGCTCAACTTGTGTGCACAATTACGCTCTGACTTTTTCCAGCTTCTCTCCTTCTCTTTGCCTGGCGTCGAATATGTATCCGTCAACATGACACTGCTTTCACAAGGCCTATCTAAAGAACACCAAGAGTACCTCGTCACGCCCGATATGTCTGTTCCCGTTCTACCCAACATCTCCAATCAACTTTCAAGGCCGCCACTGATGCCGACGACGCCTCTGCCATGGTCGGACTGCTACCACTCCACTCAAGCTGTGGCTACATGTCGTATTCGGAGTGACCTCACCATTGGGAAGCCATGGCCCAATCCTAAGTACCAACTTAAAGGCAGAGAACTGTTTCTCTTGAGCCAGGGCTATTGTAGAGAGGATGGGGATCGCAGGGCAGCTATGAAGGAAGAGCAGAAGGCCCCAGCCATGCCTGATGCTACTGGTTCCGACCACTCTGGGGATCAGCCAGGCGAAGATAATACCTCTGCAGTGACTCTACCTCGCTCTGAAGATGACACAGATAGCCAAGAAAGCCATTCAGCCTACGAAGTCGACCATGTCGACGAGATGCAGATGACTACCTCGAGAAAATCTTCCGCTGTAACAAATTTCTTACGCCGTCTCCTCGCAAAGACGCTTCCGTGTGTTTCCTGTGTACGATTCGACTGCGAAGACGACAAGGACTTTTCCGACGACCCACTGTGGGCTCTGAACATTTTTGGCAGAGCACCTCCAAATATCATGCCTGTGATGGTAGTGTCGGACGATCTAGAGTCTGTGACTGAAATCAACGACCCATGGGACTTCTATCATGAAGTCGACGCGCTGAAAAAGTATGGCATTCTTTCACTCTCAAATATATGCATTCTTAACCACTTCGGCATTTGTAGAATCGAAACAGACTATTACGAACGCATCAAGGCCAAAGTTCAAGCCGACATTGAACGGACGCGGCAAAGGGACGAGGAACTACACGCCCGACTCCAGTCAAAGATGCCCAAATTCAGGCTCAAGACGGAAGTGAAGGCACAAAGTGAAGATCCTGTCGAACGTGCACCTGAACAGCTTTGTACACGCGAGGAGAAAGTCGAAACGTCTGATATTCTTGCATCTCTAGGTACGGGTCTGGCGCGTCCTTTCCCCTTGCCGATGCCGATCGTTTCATAGGTGGAAATACAAGTTCTGAAGCGTAATCCCTTTGTATCTTGTCGTTGCATGGGGAAGCTATAGGGTCTTCGTTAACGACTATGTGATAGATATATGATAGTGTCCTGTTCTAATCCTAAGATATATGCTATGAGATCAAATAATTGTGATGTCAGTTTTTTGCTCTAGAAATTTACGCTCTTGTAGCATATCGGAGAATATGTTTCAGAATCAGATGTAGTAATAGTAGTAGTAGTAGGACACCGATTGCAGATGTATCCACCATAGGGACTCGTAGTAAAATCAGACCGAAGCTGAAGAGGGGACAGAATATATATAACAGAGCAGTAAACGACGTTCTGGTTACAGCGGACGGCAACCGTCACTGTACACTGTGTGTCAATGTAATAACTAAAATGCATATGAGTTTCCTACATTCTTGCTGCCATAGCGCTCAGTCTATGCGTCTTGTCCTCGGTACAAGTGCCCAGACGCCCACCAGCGTGCACATCATCGAAACGACTCTAAACACAAATTTCAGATCAAAGGGTTCTCACACCCGAGACTACTTGGAGCTTACAATGGCTGTAATGACCGAATTCCATAACGAGATGCTAATAAACCCGTGAAGAAAGGCAGGGCCGCCGATCCCGACATACCGACCCCGGTGATCCACCCGACACTTTCAGTCAGCAGCCACGCGGGTAAGATCCGTGCCGCGTGACAGACGAGTATCGGGAACATGGGCCCTAGTAGTAAACCGACAAAGGAGATCTAGAGGCACGTTTAAATGAGCGATATCATGGGTAGGGATGCAACGGTCTTACTGCAACTCCGTTCTCGATGATGGAAGGAACAAACCACACGGTCAATTCCAGTCTGGATGTAAAATTAATTAAACTGAGTAAAGCACGTATAGGTCGTGACTTGGCTTACGCTATGGCGAGTAGAGTATACACAAAGACGACGCGATGCTCTCCAACCTGGTCAAGAAACTTAAACATGCCTTGGCTCCTGGAGATTCCAGATACGAACCTTCTTGCTGAACCATATAAGGCACAATCGGCCCAGAGTCAGTCCTAAAAGAAGAATATATTTAGTCAAATACCAACCAAAACGGTACGAACGTTGCTCACCACCAAAGAAACCAGATGAGACGTATCCCGCGTTCTTGCCACCTTCTCTTTCATTGATAACAAACGTAACAATCCAGCCTGATAAAACCATGTGAGCACTAGCGGAGCATCGCATGCGCGAATCCACCAACCACCCAGAGTAACCTCAGTGCCGATATAGATGAGGGCAAAAATGGCAAGGAAATGTACGGCTTTGATGTTAAGGATCGATCTGTACAAGTTTGTGCCCCGTGATCCTGCAGCATCAGACTCACCAGGCTCCTGGCCCGCCTCCGCGAGGAGAACTGGAGATATAACTCCGAGTCAGTTCTGGATTCAAATCTCGGACGATGGCAGCTCACCCTCTTGCGTCTTGAAGCGGAATACCAATGCGAGGACAACCGAATTCGAGACCGCGATGCCGGTGGAGATGAGGAAGTGATACGACCAGTGACGTTCATATGAAAACTGGGTTGCAACTAATGGAGAAACGAACGCGCCCATGCCTGAGAGGTCTGTAAATGTATGGCCGTCACTATCAATTATAGGATTTTCACCGTATGCAGCATGAAGCATATTGAGTTTCGTCGTTTTATGTTCTTTAAGACTACCAACGAAGCCGTTACCTTGAGCATTCTAATCAAACGAGGGTAAGCGTACAAAAAGAGACATTTTTCGTAGATAGTTACTTGTAATGATATGCCGAAACCAGCCAAAATGTACGCCAGGACCATAACCGGGAAGGGTGGTTGTGGGCTCTCCAGCGCGTATGACACGACTTGAAACAGTGAACCAATGAACATGACCTGCCCATGGTATGTTTTCAAGCTCGACGAACGAGAATGGGGAATGGGAAAGATCGTACCTTCCCTAAGCCATATCTTTCATTAAGATATACGTTCGCTCCAGCACCAACGATAAAGCCCTGTTTTAGATTGAGGTCATATTGCCGACTTAGTAGGGCACGCTCACAATGCAGTTGAAAACGAAGAGTAAAGAAACGATGGCGAAGTTGATCTATACTCCTCAATTAAAGCATCGTCCAGTGATACTGAGGAGCAGACAAACATGGTAAGACTCTTGAATGACAGGGATCAGTGGACCCGTCGTTCCATCGTTCCATCCCTCTGAAAAGGCTCAGCTTGCAGATTAAAGAACCATCCATTGTAGCATCATACCCAAGAAAAAACACCAACAGACGGCGGCGAACTGAAGGTTTGCTTGTATTTTGTAGCTCTTTGACCTTTCAGATTCGATGGTCTGCGCTCGATGGCAAATAGTCGGGGTCACCGCTCCCGGGCTCGTCGTAGTCGCGGTACGTGACTTGAGGTGTGCATCTTCGAGGGCTGGCAGGGACTGCTCAGGGACGAGATCCTTGAGAGTGATGGTATCCACAATGGAGCCGCTACGGAGGACCGAAGGTCTCCTGGCGCGCTCAGTAAAGTATTCTGGAAGGGTACGCAGTTCGTAGGTTCCTCCATTGTCCGTGCTAGTAGGGATCCTGTGAGCCTGGCGACCAGGTGGAGCGGTAATTGTATAATCGACCGACTCGCTAAGATCAACAGCTTCCTCATCCGCCGTTACTAGCAAAAAAAATGCTCAGTCTTCGTTGGGTAAGTAATGAAGAATCAATAACTCACGATAGCTGGGTTGCTCGACCATAGACTTGGCGGCTACAGAGAAGGATGACATGAGGTGGGGAAGAAAAATGACCAGCAGCTGAGACGGCAAAATCTTTCTGCAAGCTTATAAAGCCGCTATCAGACCAGCTGGCCATGAAAAATCAGCTGGTCTTTATCCCTGTACGTGGATTGTTTGCAGTTTCCCTGTCGTCTGGTCTGGTCAATAAAAGTGGGTTCGATGATGCCTCGATGTAGACTATCAAGCGACGATGATTGGTGGCTTTTTTGGTACAGTGGGAAAGGGATAAGCTGATTGGTCGGCCCGGGCCTGCCAAGGTCATGGGTGAACATCGGAAAAACTACTGATCTCCTTCATGTATTTTTCAGACCAAGTTGGGTTAAGAAAAAGGCGTTGTATGAGCGATACGTAAACGGAAACGAAGTAAGGGTGCGCTGCTCAGCTCACTCGCCCTGTTCTCGGAACCGGGGCCCATCATGAAAACCGACCTGATACATAAGTAATAAGGATAGAGCACCACATCAGAATGGAATGACCTACAGACTGATCCATATCGCGAGGCAAGAATACTTGTGGCCAGCCGCCAGAGGACAGTTGCTCGCACTGAAAAACAACGGAGAAAAAAAAATGGGTGCCACAGTCCAACCGACAAGACTTTTGCAAAGAGACATCGTTAGGGTTAACGCTCACGTGCACTGGTCACCGTTTACGCGACGAGGGACATTACACAATAGAAACGACATGCGTAGAGGAATATTGACATGATTGTCCCAGCCCTAAGTGTCAACAGAGAACGGAGTTCTGTTAAGCAAACGATTTTCTATTCCGTTGGTCCAGATCTTCAGGGCCAGGTATGTCAAAGCAAAGATCGAGCTTAGATAAATGGATCTTCGGATTCCCGTAACTTTGTTGGTAACTTGAGGTATTAGGATTCATGTCCGGTGTTCAACATTAGACATCATTCGACTGCAGTGGTTCTTGTCCATCTTTCGATATAAGCACTACGGGAGGGACGTCAGAGAAACTTTCATTCAGACAATATGTACTTTGAGAAGCAAACCTATATTCAGTACCGTACTGGAAGCTGGAATATCTGTAAGGAGTGATTCAAGTACTCGAGCTAGCAAAACGGGTTTAAGCGTGAAAAGTCCAAAGCATAGGTGATGGTTACACACAGAGAAGATATCTGTGTGGCTGTGCTTTTCCTTTCCTTCTTCCCTATGTCGCAGACTGGCATCGATTTTGCGACTGCTGTCAAGCAAGAGGCTGCCTATCTTCGTCTCGTGCATCCAACATCAAATGATACTCCCTCATGCTTCAGGTTAATGGAGCTCGCAATGGGCTGCCATGGTATGGTCCTTCTTCGACGCCTGTTGACCAGCCAAGCTGAACCGTAGCAGGTATTCGTTCCCAGGTGAAATCTTGGTACCGGCACGGCGAATCCGCACGATGCGCGCACAAGCACGATGACTTCAAGTTCTGCCTGAGCATGAAATGGATGGAGAGCGACCAGCGGTACGATGCATGGATTAATAGACGGGCAGAATGGTGGGCGAAGAGAAGGTTGGATAAGAGCAGTGAGGATGTATGGGCCATGCGAACGTTCGTTTATTCCTCTACCTCTAAATCGCAAATTTACCGTGGCGTTATCCAGGGAGCCTCGAACGTCGTTCCCCCGGCCGGTGACGGATGAAGAGATACGACAAGTATTAGAAAATACGGAAGAAACACTGATGTAATTAGCTAGACTTCTACATTTATTCGCTCGACTTCCTCGCTCAAGCTTGGCTTCTGCTTCTATGATTCTGTCTTTATGACACATTTTTACGCTTCCCCGGCTATACATGAAGCAGGACTCGTCAAGGTCTGTGTGAAAGAACGTATCGACGCCTTTTCTACATACGCTCTGAGAATAGGATATTAGCGGTTGAGGATGGTCATGAATCAAATGATCACGTTGTTGGTCAAACCTGTCAATACCGACCCCAAAACAGCGGGATGGGTGTTCTAGAAAAATTCATAATAGCTTCAAATTATCCATATGGTTACGAAATGGTATACAACTGACGACGACTCATCACGAACGCTGAAGCGCTGAATTGAAGCAAGTGCTGCTGCTTAAGATTGCGTATGATTTAGTACAAACCCTAGCATCGTCCGTCCCACAATTCAAGGTCGCTCAGTGCATGAAAGACTTCCGTATATGTTCGTTGTCAGTGATGATGGGACCGTACGCTGTGAGCTACGTAGCTTTCGGTGAAACTCGTCAATACATATTACAATGAATTATGATATACAGAGCGATCAGTCGAGTCAGCTACGGCAACACGAATAGCCCAATGTGACCCTTTCCTATGCCTTTCGCCTTTCGTATGCCTTTCGAGTCTGTGATACCGTCATAGACAACACGTTGGTGCTGAACGTTCTCCTTAGGGCGCTTTTTAGAATGATTGGCATCGCTTTTCCGGATCAAAACATTTTGCGAAATTTCTTGGGTCGGTAGTTGCCCCGTTGCGGCTTGATCATGGACTAGCAGCTCGGTAGCAACCATGCAAATTAGCCATAACCCACTCATGAACCAGCCTAGCAGAACTAAAATTTCGCAGAAGGTTTTGATCGTGAAAGTTGTGCCAACCGTTTTACCAAGCGCATTCATGCTTGTCAACTGTTGCTCGATTTCGCACTATAGAAATTGGCGCGCGGGTCAATACTGTCTCAAAAGAAGAAACAATACACGAACATCACCCTCCGGGGCACCATGGACCACAAGCACCGACCGTTCTAGGGTCATTCGATTCTCGATGAAAGCCAGGCAGTGATGATCATCCTTGAAAATGAATGGAACACCTTTCGGGTCCTTCAACCAGTTCTCGATATCAGCCGGTTCTCGGGCTCTAAAGCCAAGTCGACGTGAAGCTCCCGACTTCCACGTAACAGGGACAGGGACATTGTTCTCTCTCGTAAATGAGATCAACCGATAAGGCTGCTTGGTCCACGGAGGAGCATCATCGGGAAAGTGAAAGATATCCTCCAATACACACCCGTCCTCTTTTCCCAGATTGTTCATGAGTGTCCATATCATGAATCTTTCGAAAATGTCCTTCTGAGTCAATGCATCCACAGTCATGGCCTCTTTCATACGATCCTTGAAGATATCGGCGCCAGGAGACCCAAGGAGCGCCATCAATGATGCTGCGCCATATGCCTCTGTCAAAGACATATCGTCGCCCACTTGGCACGTAAAGTAACTCGGTGGTAGAAGGTCGAGAGAAGGGAGAGGGATGACTCCTAGTTCAATGAGTTTGGCGGATTCGTGCCGCTCAAGCCTCAGAGTCTTAGAGTCGTTAAGCATCCACCGATAGAGGAGCCTGAAGACGGTCCTCATGAATGTAGGATCTATATGACCGTCAGCGAAAGTCAGAAATGAAACACGGTTGTGTGTGTATACCATTAAGACTACTACTGTCCAAGACGCCGCACCCAAAGGATTGATCAAGGATGAACTTGGGTATCTCCTCCTCCTGCGCTTCCAAATCCATAGCATCCAGAGGCCGATACCCGGTCGATAATTCGAATGCACTAGATAAAATCCTGTGGTATGGTACTTGTTTGATTCCGCCCTGGGTTGCAGCCAGGTACATCTCTAGCAGCCTCGCAATAAGTCGTGGTCTGGACACCAGTAAGTTGACAAAGTTCGATAGTAGCACATCAGTGACTCACCGAGGAAACAACCACACTTTGATTCTTTCAAGGAGCCTAGGAGGCACCACTCTCAGATGACGGAGAATATACTCTTCCAAATTATCACTCTGGAGACGCCGGGTATTCGACGCATAGCTCAACCTCCCCGACCCTATGCACAGCAGCATATTAACGGAAAGTTGCGATGCCGCACACACAATCGCCCTCGACTGCAACGAGAACTTCATTATCTCTAGCATCCGGGGAAGGATTGGGTATCTTTGGGAGAGCCAAGGATCATGAGTGGCAATGTGCGCTTCATCAAAGGTGACGTGTATAAGCGGTGAGTCGTTGGTGCCGTGCAGGATTTCCCTGATGGAGTGACAAAATTTTTCCAAGTATTGCACTGTGGCACTGCCAAGTATTTCGTCATTAAATGACTGCGCTATTTTTGCGATGTGGACGAAGATATCCTCTGAGTTCGCGAGGTTTGGTGGACAGGCCTGGAGCAGCAAGAGGCGGCGGCGGGCATCAAAAGGGGACAGGTTGTGTGATAAAACCAGATCCAGGAAGGTGGCAAGAACGTACATCCTCGTGTAGATGAGGATATGGAACACTCTGTGCTGCCTGACCTTCATGCGTACTTTTCGAGGTCATGTTAACGGTTTCCACTACCCACTGGACATCACCTGACCCCGTTGCCCAAGTCGCTTTCTCCTTAGAACACGTAAAATGGACCAAAAAATACTTTTCAACTGCTTCAAATAGCAGTCTGGTCTTGCCATATCCGGCTAAATCGATGACCGTCCTGAATATCATCAGAATGAGGGGAAAGGGGAGGATGAAAGAAAGATTACGTGGCAAAGGAATCCTGCACTTCTTCCTCGTTGGAATGAAATACCTCTTCCCAGCTGGTGAGGCTTTCGTTGGGGTCACCGAGGCCGGCAAGGACGAGGTGGACCCTGTCCGCGTCCGGATGATGGACATTGGCGTGGGGTCCTTTCCCGTCGTGCCGTGACGAAAAGTGGTAATCGAGACGACCCGTTGCATAGTCCTGCAGAGCATCGGAGAAAGCATCTATAACTTGCTTGGACATCCTCTCGAGTTCTCCTGGAAAACGAAATGAGTGATAGGTCAACATCGGCGATATTGGTGGGAGATACTTTTCGGTATTTCCAAAATGATATCCTGTATGTCTGTAGAGGCAGACAGTGAGCGAGAGAAAAAAGACCAGAGCTTAAGACGTACCGGACTTCAATCTTCGGCCGGTAGACCGTACTGCAAGAGAAAATATGAGCGCATATATGAGGACCAGAAATGAAAACGAAACTCAACAAGTTTTTATCAGTTCGCCAAAATTCCTCTCCATCCTTCCTTTCTCTACGAGGGTATACAGTTCTTCCGGTAAATCCTCATGATAATCGCTTGGCTTGAACAAGAGTTCCTCGATTCTTATGAGCAGCCGTATATCGTATGAGCTTGTGCGTGTCCCAGATTCCTTCGCCGACGGTAAACGGTCTAGAATTATGCTGTTTAGGCGCTCTATCTCTCCTTCATCAAAAGACACGCCCTCCTGGGCAGCTATTTCCATGTCACTTGAGGGGAAATGGATTGACCTGCTTTGTACGTCTTCCATATCGACGTTGTCCTCTTCGTTCGTTCTGTTCGCCGCCAATGCTGGGAGGCCTTTGGAGAAAGCATACGTTGCTAAGTATATGTGTGTCTGGAATGAAGCGGCGCACCTTCTGCGTCTTGCATTTCGATCTCTGCCATACTGACTTTCCGACGCGACAGTGGTGGAGAAACTCGGAAAGCTTGTCTGTGAACTGATAATATCATTCGGACGACGTAGGAGGAAGATGTGCATTTACGTTCAAACCATGATTCAGAATCCCACCATCTGCCATTGTCTTAGAATGTGTCTAGCACTATCCGCAGTTGCCAATACAGTTCCGAGTACTATCTGAGTGAGCATCGGTCGGAACGAAAATGGCTACGAGTCATTGTCGCTGAGTATCCACTCTCCTCCAACCGCTCTTGATTGGGGGAACAAGACTAGATGTTAATAATAGTCAACCGAGTTACGACAACACGAATAAGCCAATTTGACCCTCGCCTATGCCTTGCAAGTCATTGATACCGCTGTAGACGACGCGCTGGTGTTGCACGCCATTCTTCATATCTGCTATCTGTTTCTCCAACTCGCACTGTAGGAATCGGCATCCGAGTCAGTTTCGTCTCAAAGGAAGAAACAATCCACGCACATTACATTCCAGGCCACCGTGGGCTATCAGCACCAACTGTTCCAGAGTCCTTCGATTCTCGACGAAAGCAAGGCAGTGATGATCATCCTTGAAGATGAACGGAACCCCTTTTGGGTCCTTCAACCAGTTCTTGATATCACCAGGTCCTCGGGCTCTAAAGCCAAGTCGAGGTGAAGCTCCTGACTTCCACGTAACAGGGACAGGGGCATTGTTCTCTCTCGTAAATGAGATCAACCGATAAGGCTGCTTGGTCCACGGAGGAGCATCATCGGGAAAGTGAAAGATATACTCCAGTACACATCCATCCCCTTTTCCCAGATTGTTCATGAGTGTCCATATCATGGATCTTTCGAATATGTCCTTCTGAGTCAATGCGTCCATAGTCATGGCTTCTTTTATACGATCCTTGAAGATGTCAACGGCAGGAGATCCAAGAAGGGCCATTAATGATGCTGCGCCGTAAGCCTCTGTCAAAGACACGTTGTCGCCCACTTTGCACGTAAAGTAACTCGGCGATTGAAGGTCGAAGCAAGGGAGAGGGGTGACTCCTAGTTCAATGAGTTTGGGCGATTCGTACCGCTTGAGAGTCAGAGTCTTAGAGTCGTTAAGCATCCACCGATAGAGGAGCCTGAAGACGGTCCTCATGAATGTAGGATCTATATGACCGTCAGCAAAAATCAGTAATGAAACACGGTTGTGTGCGTATACCATTAAGGATGCTACGGTCCAAGACGCCACACCCAAAGGACTGACCAACGATGAACTTGGGTATCTCCTCCTGTGCTTCCAGATCCATAGCATCCAGAGGCCGATATCCAGTCGATACTTCGAATGCACTGGGTAAAATCCTGTGATATGGTATTTGTTTGATTCCGCTCCGAGTTGCAGCCAAGTACATTTCTAACAACCTCGCAATAAGTCGTGGTCTGGACACCAATAAGCTGACAAAATTCGATAGTAGCACATCAATGACTCACCGAGGAAATAGCCACATCTTGATTCTCTCAAGAAGTCTAGGAGGTACCACTTTCAGATGACGGAGAATATATTCTTCCAAATTATCACTCTGGAGACGCCGGGTATTCGATGCATAGCTCAAGCCCACTAATTCCGGGCCCAGTGAACCGATATTCAGCATATTAAGGTAAATCTTTGATGCTGCACACACGACCGTCCTCGGGCGCAAAGCGAAATCCATCATCTCGAGCATCCAGGGAAAGATTGAGCATCTTTCGGAGAGCCAAGGATCACGAGTGGCGATGTGCACTTCATCGAAAGTAATATGTATCCGCGGTGAGTCGTTGGTGCCGTGCACGATTTTCCTGATGGAGTCACGAAACTTATCCAAGAATTTCCCAGCGGTACAGCGGAGTGTGTCGTCATCAAACGACTGAGCTACTTTTGCGATGTGGACGAAGATATCCTCTGAGTTCGTGAGGTATGGTGGACAGGCTTGGAGAAGTAAGAGGCGGCGGCGTGCATCGAGAGGGGTCGGATTTTGTGATAAAACTAGGTCCAGGAAGTAGGCGAGAACGTACATCCTCGTGTAGACGAGAACGTAGAACGCTCTCTGTGCTACCTTCCAACCCTCATCCGTGCTTTCTGAAGTCGTGTTAACGGTTTCCACCACCCACTGGACATCACCTGATCCCGTTGTCCAAGTCGCTTCCTCCGTAGAGCAAGTGAAATATATCAGAAAATACTTCGCAACTGCTTCAAAGAGCAATCTGGTCTTTCCGTATCCAGGTAAATCGATGACGGTCCTAAGTATCATAAGGACAAGGGTAGAGAGAAGAGGAAAGAGCAGTACGTTGCAAAAGATTCCCGCATATCTTCCTCGTCACAGCGATGAAATACGTCATCCCAGCTGGTGAGAGTTTCGTTAGGGTCACCGAGGCCGGCAAGGAGGAGGTGAACCCTATCCGCGTCCGGATGATGGACATTGGCGTGGGGTCCTTTTCCGTAGTGCTGCGAGGAGAAATTATAATCAAGGCCTCCTTTAGCATAGTCCTGCAGGACATCAGAGAAAGTGTCCATGACTTTCTTGGACACGCTCTCGAGCTTTTCCACGTCAATTCTATTCTTAGTAGTTCCTTGAAAAACAATGAGTTATAGGTCAATAATAGTGAGATTAGTGGGAGGTACGTTCTAAACCATTATTAACTTCTGTGGTGACCGTAGACGCTGAGCCAATGGAAAAATATCAGAACTTAGGACGTACCCGGCTTCAGATTTCTACCGAAAAACCATGCTGCAAGAAACGATATGAGCGCATATACGGTGACCAGAAATGAAAGCGAAACTCAACGGTGGTTCAGTAGCTCCTTATAATTCCCAACTATCCTTCCCTGTTCTGTAAGCTCAAACAGTTTTTCTGGTTCGTTCGCAAGGGAAACCCTTGACTCGAAGAGAAGATTCTCTATCAGTGTGAGCAGAGTTTTAGTGGACACCATTGTGTCTATGCCAGTTTCCTTGGCTGTCGGTAGATTGTCGAGAATCATCCTATTTAGGAATTCGACCTGGTCTTCTTCGAGAGGTGCGCCCTCTTGTGCGGCCATTGTCAAACGGTTAACATACGGCATTAGGAAGAATGTAACGACGTACCAAGTACATATTCTCGATCCATTCTGTTCACTGTCAGTCAGTGCTTCGAGTGCCTAGAATCCAGAGGATCCTGCAATATTAATGTATACAGGCAACTTTGAGATCTGGTCAAGTTGAAAAATAGAGTAGATATACGTGCGAGGTATCTGCAATTGTCTTAGAATCTGTCTAGCACTACCCGCAGTTGCTAATACAGTTCCGAGCAGTATCTGAGATCGATCAGTGCTAGCATGTTACCACGACCGCCTGACGATGAAGAATCCGAGTCTTCGGTCTCGACGATCCAGGTCTAACTGCGAATGATGAGCATCAAATAACCGTTGCAATTTCCAGTCGGTATCAGCTGGTCAAAATGGCGACGTGTGGACTTAGAATGTTAATATGATAAGAAAACTTTGAAGTCCAAAATCGTGTAGGCACTGTACCAGGTAACAGAAGATATTCGAAATTTGATAAAATCGGGACAACCCGGCTTAAAGGTCCAAGCAGTCGAACGCGACAGGTCACACTTGTGACACTTCGCGTTCTTCTTCTCCGCCTCTTGTCATCTCGGGTCCTATCAAAAATGTCGACATTGCCGACGGAAAAGAATTCCGAGATCGACTCCTCCTCACCTCCAGCGCACAAAAAGGTCAAAATAACTTCTTCAAACGGCCATGAAGTGGTGTATAGGCAGACCTCGACGCGTCGCGTCGTCAACCTTAAACGACGAGCCAAACTATCGATGCTTCCTACTCTGCCTCTGGACATTTTATTTGAGGTATGTTATTCGTCTTTCTTTGTTAGGACATGTTCATATAGGATGTTCAGATATTCGGTCATCTTAATCCATTGGATTTGCTATATCTGACCCGGACGACGAAGGAGTTCCGGCGCGTCCGTGCGTGATTTTTCATATTTTCCACGACTTCCTCTGAATGAGCGTTTGCAGTTACCCACAGATCATCAACGACTGTCTGGAAGTCTTCGTTGGCCAATGTTCCCGGATTGCCACCATGTCCAGAGGATATGTCCCACCCTGCTTGGTCTAGCCTAGTCTTTGACCACTTTTGCCATGTACGTCTTCCTCAAAATCTATCCGCACGCTTCAGTGAACAGATAACGCAGGAATGTTTTGCGTCGAATATTCGCAACACTGCTGGGGTGTGCCGGTCTTTTGACCCGAAAACCAGCATGCAAAAACCGGTACTGTTTTGGACGTGTCTTTGGCCCAGAAGATTTGGTGCCGAAAGACCATGACAAATATAACACACTTTGTACTTAATTTTTTGTATCTGTATTATAACCAAAAAAGAGCAAATGGAAAACATGTGGTCTTTGGACAGATCTTCGATCCAGTGGTCTTTGGAAACCAAAGACCTCCGATCTGATTACTGGTCTTTGGTTTGGTCTTTGGAACCGGTCTTTTGGGCAAAAAGACCAGAGGAACAAAGGAAAGAACAAAGGAAGTGATCCAAAGACCAATACAAAAACCGATCAAAAGACCGAACCAAAAACCAGTAATCAGATCGGAGGTTTTTGGTTTCCAAAGACCACTGGATCGAAGATCTGTCCAAAGACCGCATGTTTTCCATTTGCTCTTTTTTGGTTATAATACAGATACAAAAAATTAAGTACAAAGTGTGTTATATTTGTCATGGTCTTTCGGCACCAAATCTTCTGGGCCAAAGACACGTCCAAAACAGTACCGGTTTTTGCATGCTGGTTTTCGGGTCAAAAGACCGGCACACCCCAGCAGTGCAACATCGACTGGTGCATACGTGTCCGGTTATGCTCAAAGTGCGCTAAAACCTGGTAACGTCACTGTTCTTGTTCCGTTTATGGTATCCTCATTGTTCCATTGTTTCCTTGTCCCTTAGTCTATTGTCCGAATCTGGATTTGATGAGAGTAACAAGAGCGACAAGATCATCCTTCGTTCTGTCCCATTCCATAGCTGGCCTGGCCGTCGTCGTAGGTGGTATTATTTCTGCGCAAAGACCTTGGTGCTGATAAACAATTGCTAGCTAAAGAAAAATTCTGCTTCGTCAAAGAAAAGGACGGTTTCGTTCAGGCCTTCAACGCCTGTCAAGGGAAAGACACAAGGAAGGAATTTTTGGCGAAGAGAAAAGCGGGCGTAAAGGCTCGTAAAGACGTAAGCATGCCCCCTCCTGAATTCCCTCCCGCTACTGACAAAAAGACACAACCAAGCATGCGAAAAAATGTGCACAGTGGGCTGATTCCGTGAGCGAAAATCGTAGCAAAGAGCTCGAGGACATTCGAAAACAGAGGAGCAAAGCGTGAGTGGGTCAAGATTTATGTTCGAGTAGTTTATTGACATCCTGTCAGCATCGAGAGTAGACTGACGTCTCTGGGGCATGGCAAAGAGATTGAATATCTCAAGGATCTCGAAAAAACCGGTTCATTGTCTGAACGAAGAGGACTGATTCTCTTCTCCGACCAGTGGGAGGTGAAGCAGTCCAAACCTCTCACTGACAAAAGTAAGTCTGCACATCCTTTTCCCCAAGAGTCACCACCAATACTTAACTTCTCCCAGACTGGAACTCCATCGAAGGCACTATGCTAGAATACATGCAGGACGTCAAGACGCACCGCCTCAAGAAAGAACGGAACGAACTCCTCAGCGCACGCCGGTCCCTCATTGCAGATGAATGGCGTTCATGTCGCTCTCCGTCAAACGAGTTCCAACCAAGCCTACTGGACATATGGCTATGGAAGGAGATGAAATACTTCATTGACCTCCCACCAAGCATCACCGTAACCACAGAAATGGTCAGGGATGCTATGACGTTGCGCCTTCCTGCCTTCATTACTTCGTGGCGTGACGAGCGGTTGCTAGAGATGTCATGTACGATGGGTTGAGAAGTCCGCGGGGGAAATATGAGTCATCTGCATCAGGCGACGTGCGTGCTTGTGTGTACGAAATCGTTCGCTGACAAGAATTCCGTTCTCTGATGACACTTTGCCATGAACAAGCAGCTGGGACAATCATGTCAATATTCCTCTACGCATGTCCTTTCCATTGTGTAATGCCCCTCGTCGCGTAAATGGTGACCAGTGCACGTGAACGTTACCCTGATAGTGACTCTCTGCAAAAGTCTTATCGGTTGGACTGTGACACGCGTTTTTTCTCCGTCGCTTTTCAGTGCAAGCAACTGTCCTCTGGCCATATATATTCTTGCCTCGCGATATGGATCAGTCTGTAGGTCATTAAATAATTCCATTGTTATGTGGTGTTCTATACTTATTGCTTATCAGGTCGTTTTTCATGATGGGCACCGGTTCCTAGAACAGGGCGCGTGAGCTGAGCAGTACCCCCTTCTCCGTTTTCGTTTACGTATCATCTATACCAACGCCTTTTCTTTAACCCACTTTGGTCTGAAAAATACGACATGAAAGAGGTCAGTAGATTTTCCTACGTTCACCCATGTCCTTGGCAGGGCCGGGCCGAACTCATGTTTTTCATTTCGAACAACTTAATTGCTCGCGCTGATCCTGAATTGCTTGAAAAGGCCAATCAGCTTATCCCTTTCCCACTGTACCAATAAAAACCACCAATTATTGTTGCTTGTCGGCACTTGATGGTCTACATCAAGGCATTATTGAACCATTTTTATTGACCAGAGCAACAGACGACAGGAAAAGCGTAAACAATCTACGTGCAGGACTAAAGACCAGCTGATTTTTCATGGCCAGCCGGTCCGATAGTGGCTCTATAAGTTTGCAGAAACATTTTGCCGTCTCAGCTGCTGGTCATTTTCCCCCCTACCTCATGTCACCCTTCTCCGTAGCCGTCAAGCCGTTCTTGGTCTTCTTGGTTCTTGCGATATGCCCTTTGTCTATCAAAAATGCCGAAATCGACTTCTCACATCCAATGCACACAAAAAGTTAAAACGGCCTCTTCGAATAGCCATGGAATAGTGTACAGACAGACTTCGGCGTGTCGCGTCGCCACAACCAGGCTCGGTAAAGCTACTGGACAAAAGTCAAACCGCATATGGTTCCGTTGATTCTAAATCCCAGAAACCTATCTTGTTCGGAGAATACAGAGTCGATAGTACTACAAAGTTCATACATTGTAATGACACGATTGTCCAAGACCAATAGGTCGTGCCGCAGCAACCCTGCTCACGCCACAAAAATATCCGTGATCAAACCATCTCTAAAACTCCCTTCCCGTAGGGTGACTCTCAGAAAACTCCGCATGATCCCTCCAGCAATCTGGTCTTTACGTGCACCCAAGATCAGTTCATCCTATCCAATGTAAGAAGAAAAAGAACGTACTCTACTCCGCTAGGTGCCCTATCCCATATCGCCCTCATGACATTATCAACTTGGCTGACAGTAGCGGGAACCGCAGCCCAGTTGTACGGATTAGCGTTGTACCAATCAGAGATATGATCTGACGGATCAACCTGCCCGTGGAGAGGCATTCGTCCAAGGTTCGTATTATTTATCGGTAGGGTGAATAGTGATTGTTGAGGATCGGCGTACGGCCTCTGGTCGGCATTCTCTGAAAGTTTGAAGGACTCGACTATATCTCTCTCTCTAGAATTGGGAAGCGGAAGATCACCAGTGGACGCTAGCTCGTATAGAATATCCCTGGAGAATGGAAATTTTTTGTTCGTAGTAACAACCAGAAGTTCAGAGAGAAAGACATACCATAATACACCAGCATACTGATAACTGTACATTTGTAATTAGCCAATGAAGTCGAACACAATATATGTATACGTACCATATCTCTAGATCTGCAAGTACTCGCATGCACTTATGCACGCCCTCCATCTCTTTATCAACGTCAACGCCCATCCCTGTCCGCCGTGCGCCCCAGATATTTATCAGGAGAACAGCTGCCGCATTGAAGGACAGCACCTGCACACCAAAATAAATATAATCCACAGGTTAAAGAATAACACCTTACACTGGATACAAATGGAAAGTAACTGTTCTTCCTCTGAATTTGTAGTTCTGTGATGTGAGAACACGAGCGTGCGGCATTTGCACATATAGATAGGGAGGGGGAATCAAAGCCGCTGCTTGGAGCCGTGATAAAGGGCAGGTGAATGAACATTTGAAGATGGTAATATAACAATAGAAGGGACGCGGATTGATGGAAATGCAACAAGTCAGCACGGTCAGGATCCCATCGTACTGGATAAATGAGATCAGTGAGTAAAAAAATGACAAGGTCATGTGCCTACGATGCTCTGGAATAGAGTCTACCCATTTGTCCAATGCAGAGTCAAGCTCGACGACTATTTGCTGTTCCCAGTCTTTCTTGAGGACAAAAAGGACTTTTGATTTATGGCATGAGTACTGCATCCGGTAAGCCAAGAATATCTGGGAAAGCAATTCCGGGGGACGCACGATGGTCCGCATGCATATCATAATCAACCGTGTCAGTCGTAGGAGACAATTCAAGTATGACACGTTTGTCGGTTTCCCGGGAGGCTGCCTAAATGCCTGTTGAGGGTCAGGATGTTCCCAATACTCATCGTCACATTCAGCGGGTAGGTCGACATCAATGCTATAGGTGTGATTAACTCAAGCTTCAGTAAAGAGGGAGATTACACGCACTCTTCATCATATATGGCGCACGCTCGACCCAATGCCGAGCTAAGGACACTATCTATACATACAAGACCCCTGACAGGAGGTAAACAAAGACCGAAAGCCGAGTCAATGGAAAAGTACCAAAATGCGCGTTTCCACAGTTCGGCCTCCACGGTATTTTTCACCGGGCTGTTACGTGTTGTCTTCTTTCAGTGAGCTCCTGCATCTTGCGCAATCCGCAGACCAACGCCCACTATGGTCCAGGATTGCTGCGGTGCTGAGGAGCTCAGGTAAAATTCAGAAAGAAGCTGTCACTTCATCAGCTCGTATAGTGAAGAAGGAATGTCGGGCTTACACAGCAAGATTGTGTGTCATACAAGTTTGGAGGATCCAAGGAAGGAAACGCCCGACGCCGACTTGTGACCTGAGCTACCCACTTCCACCCATTCGACCATTTTGACTGCTCACCTTCCATGAGGACTCGAGGATCATCTACGTATTTGGAACCGAGCGCACAGACGATCAGAACGACTCCCCCGAACTGGTAATTTTTGTAGTGTAGCCCCTCCTTCAAGGATTTATCAAACGTCGGCCGGTGGAGGATGGGAAGAAACGTATTAAAGTACATAAAGTACGAGTCGATGAGCGTCGGAATAAGATCTCCGGGTGGAAATTTGAAGTCCATCCCTTGCGGAACATAGCGGTGGGGATTGTGCCACGGGCGGAAATCCCAAAACTCGGCTCGCAGAGAAGTGAAATTCGTGACATGGTACAGGGTTCCCGATTGCCCCGCTTTGGTATCTAAGGCTTCTTGGATGAATTGGAAAGAGCTTGACTTCCCATGATACCGATAACCAAGGATGTAGTCTTTGAATTCCTCAAGGTTGCTTTCCAGTGCATGGTCACGGTCTTCTACTTCTGGTACTTCGACGCTCAGCGAGTGGACCAGGGCAGATAACATGCTCGGGGCGTGCCCTGGAAGTGCTTGAATGGCCTCAAGCTCCTCCTTTAAATCTGCTTTCGGAGGAAGGATCTGCGAGGGTCGGTTGATATCTCTTCCACCACATGGGAAAAACATCGGTACGAACCTTGCGAAGAAGGTCTTCCATCTGTTTTACCTTGTGCTCCAAGCTCCTGATGTAGCTGGACGGTAAAGTCGAACGCTGAGTGATATGTTGGAGAATGTGAGAGTAGCAGAACGAACCGCTGCGATGGCGCGATCTAGGTTGCAATGTTAGTGGTAATGTTGTATCAGAGTCGTCATACTTGCCTTGATGGACTCGACGTATGTACAGTCCAACTTGCATGCGATGCATGTTGAGCATCGCCTACCAGATATCCGATTCCCGTCACCTGATGATACAACCTCAGCTCTGTAGATACGGTGAAGACCAGTGCGCCCTACATCGAGCTGGAAGGAAATATGAGGACCTTCGAGGAGCAAAAATTAGAGAATGGAAGCGTACTCTTCCTGCGTCTGCAGAAATCGCAGGCTACAAGGCATTTTTTCTTCCCATTTGCTGCAGCGTATTTTTCCATTTCTATAAACTTGAGATGATGGCTCGAGACAGAGTCAAAGTCGGGACCACTGGGAAGTCATGGATGTTCGAAGCTAATAAATATTGAACGGCTACGGGATCTATTCGGCATGCAGTGGGTCAAAAAGTCTTTTCGATTCGTCGATGATGACAAGGATCCATTATGTACTTGAAACGAGCGTTGCCGCGTCCGAGTCGTGTAATGATGGTGATCAAATGAGCGAAGATGTACGGCCCGTGTTCAACATAATACAGTTCGAGAAAAAGATTTAGCCCTGGGGAAAGATTTGCAGGAACTTGATCGTTAGGCAAGCCCGATAACGTTCTGATTTCCCCCTACTGAAAAGCAATAAAAACATAATTGATACGCGTGAAAACACATTTCTGAGTTCCAGAGCGACGCAATAAGAAATGAAAGAGATACGACACGGCGAAACGGCGAGGATGAACCAAAACTGTTATCTGGGACTGTCACATTTGCATAGATGGAGTCCGAGGCACTGTACTAGTAATGGATATCATCATCACCATGCTACACCGCACAGGACTAGACAGGACTGGAATCTCACGTTAGTCCATTTATATTAGGATCATCCGCCGTATCAATCGGTTCCGAGTCAAGTGTATCACGAATCCACATAGCCGAAGGAGCACCGCCATACGCGTGTGAAAGGTGTAGGAGAACGTGATCACCAGAAATGAGCGCATTTTGGGATTCAGATATACCAGCGTCAATGATGATTATCTTTCCACCACAATGGGACTTGATATTCTACAAAAGACGGTATGTCAACGCTCTCAATAATGGTCGAAGGGAACACTTACTTCAAAGTTTGTTGTATGTCCCATACCATTCTACGAGTTCCGGTCTTCTCAAGGACAGCTTCGACATCTTTGCACACTTGTATTCGGTTCCGTTCGCCAAGCCTCGATACCACAGGGGACCATTAGAGCTATACAGCTCCGCTCCTTCAGGACCGGTACCTAATGTTAACAGTCAGCTACTTACAACCATCATGATTCTGTGTACTATAGATACTGACCAGGAAGAAGTCCGATATATGGACCCGACGGGTACGGCTTAGGCTGTACCTAGAATTGAAGCTTTCTCAGGATAGAATCAGAGAGAGAATTGATGTACTTATGAGAGGAATGACGATAGACCGTGGGATGTTGGAGATAATCCTCCATGAGACAAACGATATCGCAGAATGGGAGAACGATTCGGACTTGACAAAGTTGGAGGGTACATCGTGTTCGGTGAACCCAAGGCACTGTAGGATGAAGAAGAGCTCGGGAGGTTCTAGTGTAATTTACCGCCCAAGAACGTCCTAGCGAGCCCGCGGAAAGAAGTTCTCGATGGTGCCCAAAGGTCTTGATCTCACAGGGATATGATTATCTGGAAAATGTGTCATAAGAAAACGCAAGCAGCATTACCTCCAACCGCCTATTACATTCATCCATTCATGGTTTCCCAGATGTGACAACGCAGTACCGCCATTCGCGGAGGTTGTTATTGAGTCCGTCACTGATTCATAAAGCTTTGTCGTAACATCGCTTCTGTAACATGCTCATGAATTCGAATTTTAAGGTCAAGTAGGAACCATGGACTGACTGGTAAATGATGTCCCCATTCTGAACAAAGAGGTCAACGTTCCCAACCCAGTGATTATTTTGTCTGTAACGCCAGATAATGGCAAACTTTTTTCGCATATGTGAAGGTCGGAGTGGATGATGGAGAAAGACGAAGAGGGCCATAAGGTATCATTGCTTGGGGGCGTAAAGAAGGCATACTGAGAAATTTGGTGCTGTGAGAACGTGAGCCTAGGCAGTCCAGTAGTAAAGCGACAACTCGTCTTCTAGTACTAGGTGTTGGTGTTGGTCGGTCTGGATTGAGCCCGCTCTCCTCGCCATGGAGGAGTGGCGGAGCGTTTTGCCTGGAACGGTACACAGGGCTGCAAAGACGAGTGCTGCCCTCAAACTACCGGTCGATCCCACCAACTTGGTTTTCTCGCTGGATAATAAAGGGCTGAGACTACTCTGAGTCTGAGACTACATCGCCCTCCAACGACGCAGCACAGTATCATAGCGAATACAAAGGCACAAGTAGCCTTATGCAGCCGGCTTCGAAGTGGCAAAAGTCTGCACATTCTTCAGCCGCGAAAACTGCGGCGCAGGGCACGACCTGGCATTCGGAGAAAATGCCAAGGAAACGCCAGGCGACCCACCCTTAAGTCAGCACGTGGTCGTGCAGCCCTTCCTTCACTACCAATTTCACTGTTTGACCTTTTTACCATTGTTCAGCAAACCAGAGCTTCGAAAGATAGATTAGAAGAAATGGAGAGTCATTGGATTAGGCCTATGCCCTTCGAACGTTTTCTCAACGACTTTTTGGGGGTACCTGGTAGCGAATTTACGTTTCGGGCTCCTAATCATCTTCGGGACATCTTCCACTCAATTCAGTCACTCCCACAGTACGCCAGTCAGAGGAAGTATGCGGAAGCCTTTGTGAGTTTACTAGATTGTGGTTTCTCAGCGAGTCCTGATGATGCTCAACAGAATATCGCCATTCGAGCTGTAGCACCAGTGCTAAGCATACCAAGCTTCAAATTTATTCTTAGAAAGGAGTGCAAGGATGCTAACTGGACCACCAAGATAGTCGCCGATGCTTTCATGTATACCTCCGATGTCGATACGCAGTCTAGTCCTGGACAAAGCAGTTCTTTGGGTGTAATTCAAGAGACTTTCCTCTTTCTATGGTTTCAAGCATGACAGTGCCGAGGAATGGGTGTCGCAAACTAAATCGTGAAAAGACTGTCGTGTTCAGCTTGTTGTTTGTGCTGCCCATACCATGAACGCACAACATCGCAAGCACTTATCCTCGCTTAACCTTGGTCCAGAGGGGGTCCGGTTCTTCAAATGGGAAAGGACATAAACCATCGTATCGCATGGATTCGACCTGTCGACAGATGGCAAATACGTGGTCGAATTCCTCTACCATTTTTGTACTCTGACGGTCGGCAATCGATGCAGTGACGAGGCATTGACCCTGTCCACGGAAGTGGATATACCTCTGGTAAAGCCGCTCTTGAAGTCCTGGATCTATCCCAAGAAGAAGGATAAGCGACCGTTTGTGAAGATCCGTGTACCTGATGGTACCGGCGAAAGGGAAGTCATTGCTGGTCCCGCGATTACTACACCTCGAAGCATTCCGGGTCGAGCGATATCGGGTCTCCCTGCGTATGACGTAGAGACGAACAGTCTCAGGTTCCTCGAGGATATTTGGCGAGATGGTAATCTTCCTCGGGAACCAGAGATTTTCAATAAGGCTGGAGTGCACAATGTCCCTACTTTCGTATGTGGTGGTGTCGTCCCCGACCAGATGACTATCTCTGACACGTGTATCAACCACGTCTGGACTTTCGGAGCCCCCCCCCCCCCCATCGTGTGTATCCACAAGCACCATTGAACATTGACGGAAGAGGTTGGACAGCTTTTGTAGAGGTTCAAATCCTCGAAGCAGCTCACAAGAGCTGTCTACGAGGCTTTTTTGCGGTAAGTGATGAGAATTATCTTTCATTTCCTCGTCTATTGATCTCCTTTCAACCCTAGCTCATGAAGATGCCTTCACAAAATGTGAAATCCTTCATCACCATTGTCTACGCGGTCGTCGAAGATCCGAGCTATCATACTCTTGAGACCAAGGCCGACTCGGCAATGGTGCGAGTAAGAGAGGCCGTAGGAGAGCATAACATATATAAAGGATTCGAAGTTATCTTGGGGTTCATGCTTTTTCGTTCTGTCTGTGAGAAGCGCGATGGACATAAATTGCAATATGCCCTGTGTATTGATGAGAAAGGATGAAGTATCGAGTACATATTCTGCACTGACCATGCATCCGGCTTGCCGCGCCGCTTCGGCGAGGTCCCAATCGTTTAATAATAACCCTCGGCCTCCGCCGGCATTCGTATCTTAACATGGGACGGGAGGTATACGAAGTCTAAACGGGCGATATCATCATGTCTACATCAACAAATACGGCTATGAAGAGCACCCAGTTATTTACAAGCTATTATTCAATATTATAATTTACAACGTTCCGAATAAATACATATCATCGCAAGTGGAAATCGCCAGCAATTTCTCTTCTATCATCTGAGATGAGTTCCTTTCTATCAGCGTACAAGGCTTCCACTATTTCACGTTCTTCCCACTGTTGTTTCTCAGGATCATCTGCCGTTCCGATCGGTTCGAGTGTATAATGAATGGACAGAGCCGAAAGAGCACCACCATATGCGCGAGAAATGCCTTGTGAGAAGGTCATTAATAGAAGGAAGCGCCCATCGAGGTCAAGACATACCTGTGTCTATGACGATAATTTTTCCACCACAACGGGACTTGATATTCTACAAGAGAAAGTATGTCACCGCCAATACACAACGGTGGGATGGAACACTTACTTCGAAGTCTGGTGTATGTCCCATAATCATTCTACGAGTCCCCGTCTTCTCAAGGACGGCTTCGACATCTTTGCACACTTGTTCCTCGGTTCCTGTCGCCCAGCCTCGATACCACAGAGGTCCATTAGAGCTATAGAGCTCCGCTTCTTCCGGCGTGGCGTCTAATATTAACAGTTAACTACAACCATCATGATTCTGTGCACTATGAATACTGACCAGGAGGAAGTCCGACGTATGGACCGGGCGGATGCGGTTTAGGCTGTACCCGAAATTGAAGTTTTCTCAGGAGAGAATCGGAGAGGGTGTTAATGTATGAAGGGAATGGTGATAGACCGTGGTATGTCGGAGATAGACCGCCATGGACAAACGATAATGCGGAATGAGAGAGAGAACCGGAGGCTTCAGATGAGCTTGATGAGGGTGGAGGGTAGGGCGTGTTTGGTGGACCCAAGACAGGATGAAGGGGAAGTCGAGAGGCTGTAGTATAATTTGCCGCCCAAGAACGTCCTAGCCAGCCCGTAGAGAGAATTTCTTGCCGGTTCTTGACAGTTCCAAAGGTCTTGATCTCACTGGGATATACATATCTAGAAAGCGAGTTGAAAGAAAAGCTATTCAAATCTGGAGCAAGTAGTATACCTCCAGTCGCCTATCACATTCATCCATTCATGGTTCCCAAGATGCGAAAGAACAGTACCACCTTTCTGAGGGGCTTGTTCTCGAAGTTTGTCCATCAGTTTGAAAAGCTTCGTCGTATCGTCGCCTCTGGATGGAACATGTTCGGCAATTCGAATTTCAAGTTGAAAGCAGGAAGCACGAACCGGTCGATGATGTCCCCAGTCTGAACAAAGAAGTCTACGCCCCCAGCCCAGTCATCGTTTTCGTCTGTAACACCAGAGAATTGCAAGACTTTGCTCGCGCTAGGGTAGTCACCGTGAAGGTCTCCGACTGCTACTATATGACGAGAGAACGTTTTCGGTGTTACGTCATTCAAGTGATGAATTCCTTCCCCTTGAACAGAGAAGGGAATCATATCCCGAGTATCGTCATTTTGAGAGAACGCTTTGACGAGTTGTATGTGAAGGTCGAGGTGAATGATGAAGTAGACGAAGATGGCGATAGGTATCATAGCTAGAGGACGCAAGGAAGGCATCTTGAGAGTGTAATTTGGTGAGATGAAGGCCTAGGCGGTGCCAGCAGCAAAGTGACGACTCGTCCTCGTCGCGTTGGCGGTAGATCGTAGTCGTGGTCCAAAGAAAGGACAGTACGTAAGCACTCGGCATTTACCGCTCTTTCGACAGCTGCGCGTCAATCCAAGAGACCTCTTACTCAGTTCCAATGACTTCTCGCCGTTCGCGTTCGCGTTCACGCTCCCCTGGACGTTCAAGAAGAAGAGAGCGGTCTCGCTCGTACTCAGAAGACGAGGAACGTCGTCTACCACACAATGCTTCGCCAATATCAGAGTCGGATTACTTCCAAAAGAGCGACGAATTCAGGATTTGGCTAAAGGACGAGAAGGGAAAGGTACCCTAACCCTTCTCTCTGTGTGGATATATGCTAATAAGCATCTAGTACTTTGATGAGCTATCTGGAGAGAGGGCCCGAAGGTTAGTCATCTCCACGTTCGTTCGATGCAATCTTATATGTAACACAGCTATTTCCGCAAGTTTGTAAAGGTACAATACTTCCTTTCCTTACGTTCTGTAACACACTAAACCAAACATAACCTAGGCTTGGAATCGAGGGAAACTATCGAGTAAATACGTTCCTACCATTCCCGCTGACATCCAACTGACACCCGTCTCAGAAAAACTCTATGCTGGCGTAGACAGCTCTTCCATACCCGCTACCTCACAAACGTCATACAAGTGGTCTTTCGCTTCCAAATCTGACGGAGAGGCTCTCCGTGCGGCGCGAGAGTCCGTCGGGGTTGCCACGCAAAGCCGCGCGCTTCCAGAATCCTCCGGTGCAGGGCGTGTACAAGGGCCGACGCTTCCTTCTGCGGCTGATTTGGTCCTAGCGAGAGAAATGGATGCAGAGCACCGTGATGAGGAGCGGAAGTATAAGCGTAAGAGGGAGCGCGCAGAGGATAAGGACCGTATTGAGGAGATGGTCGGGCCAAGGGAGGTCGGAAGGGAAGGGATGTTGGAGAAGAAACGTGCTAGGAGGGAAGCGGATAAGTCTTTCCGCGAGAAAGGTGATGACGCAGTGGAGCTCGATGAATCAGCGCTGTTTGGTGGCGATAGCTTTCAAGCTCGGTATGTTTACTGCTACCTTAAAGGGTCAAACTGAAAATAATATTATACAGGATTGCCAGACGTGATGCTGGCAAGAAGAGGTATCAACAAGCACAAGAAGAGAAGGCCGCAGCTATGCGCGAACGAGCTACAGCTATAAAGGAGAAAGAAAGCGCTACGATGTCTATGTTCCAGCAGCTGGCTAAACAGCGGTTTGGATGATGTACGTTAATGGAATTTGTGCTTTCACCAGGCGCGGTCGTCGGGATCCAGAAGCTCCGGCTGTGGAAATATTCCTCGTCATCGTCCGTCTCCCGCTCAAGGGCAATAACGACTTACTTTTACGCCTCTACTACGAGGAGCAGCCCTGGGCCTCGAATGTGAGATATGTCTCTTCGAGGAAGAACAGAGCCTCCATCGCTGGAACATGCCACACCAGGGGCAGTCCGGAGCATCCCAAGCTTGGTCTTCTCTATCTAGGACCTGCGCCTGCACCGGTCTTGTGTCCTCCTAAGAAGTCCTTTGTCAATTCTCCACACGCAATGAAATAATCTTGTGCGCAACTCGAAGTGTCTCAACCTCGCTCTGGTTGTCTTCATAATAACCTTCTCGCTGTTACCATTCCATGATCAGCTATTGGACTTGACAGAGCGTCAAAAGCCGCTCTTACCACTGTGGCTGCGACCGAAGCGCGGTCTGTGTCTTGGGCCATTCGACGACGAGGTACTGTCTGAGAAGAGAGAAAGGATTCAGCAGTCATTGAGAGATATAGAATCCTGCAAGCGTACTGGGACGAGGACTTTGGAGATCAAGGTCAACAGTCTTCTTCCACGAAATGAAGAAGTGACTCTGATGGCGGTCGACATGATCTGAGTACTCTAGGTCGGCCTAGCCGCAAACTTAAGTAGCCTTGTTGCCGTCGCGCGTCATTGGTTATTCTTATTTTCTCAGCTACAAGCGGAAGCGATGATTGGAGCGCGCTCGCCGCCACAACTCGAAAGTCCACTCTAATTCCTCGCGAAAATATAAATATGCCAACGGCGAACTTGTTAACGTTAATTATCGGCCTTAGGGCTGGCACCAATGGATGTTTTTAAAGGGTTTCATATTTTCAGACGGCATGTAGGCATGGGCAAGCAGTAAAGACATGCAAAAACGACGCAATACAATCCAATCCATTAAATGAACGTCTCGTAGCGAACAGGCGTGATAGTCTGGGGCGCATTGCCAGAGACCGACACGGTGCGAGATTCCCGAGGAAGTGCGGGGATTCTCTTCAATTCAACACGTTCTGAGATTATCTGTAAGATAAAAGCAAAGCAAAAAGTAAAATAAAACACATACCGCCCTTCTCCTTGGCTTCCTTGTGAGCCTCACCGTTGCGCTTCACCCTGTCCAAGAACTCCTGGCGGCACCCTGAGTGCCGGATGTGCTCAACACGGAGGTTCACACGCTTTTCGATGTATCGGTTGCCGACGACCTTGTATACGATGACACCGACGGCGTTGGGGGTGACGTTGTACACGATGCCTGTTCGTCTGCATCGAGAGAATCTCTTTAGCACCACCGCCCAAATTGCAAAATACACTACGCACCCATGGTAGTATTTGTGGGGCATACCCTTTTGCTGGGCCGCGTTGGCCTTGATGTCGACAATGTCACCGACACGGTAGTTGATCAAATACGTCGACAATTTAATAGCACCATGTTCTGCGAGAATTAACGGTTGGATCTTTATTACAGACTAGCGATACGTGCAAGACGTACCCTTGAATCCCCTCTTGAACATGTGCCGCGTACGGGCTCGGTAACCGAAAGAGTGAGGCATCTTGAGGACTGTCGGTAGGTGAGTCGGGTGCCCTTAAGAGTTATTACAAGTTACGCACAGTGCTGTCGGTGGTCAGTAAGGACTTTTTCTCGGGTGTTGCCGTACCGTCACTGGGTGGCTGAGTAACAACTTTACAGTTGTGACATGTCACGCTTCGTACACTTCACCCTCGTCGGTATTAATCTTTCTCTCGTTCCTTTCCACCACTACCGCCTCAAGAAACAAAATGCCGAGGTAATGCTCTGCTTTTTGCTTGTGATTTGTTGTTGATTTTCTCTGTGTAGGGCCCCTCGGAACCACAGCAAGACGTGAGCATCTAGTTTTCCTCAAGATCCACCTTTGTGTGGAGGGTTGCAGTGTGCTGATCAAGCCGTGCCCCATGTTGCTTTTTACAGCTATAAGGTCCCTCGTCGACCATTCGAATCAGCTCGTCTCGATGCCGAGCTGAAGGTTGGATTATCTCTCTTGTATATGTCTAATATGTTCTGACATCTTTCATCCAGCTCGCCGGTGAATACGGTCTCCGTAACAAGCGCGAGATCTGGCGTATCGCCCTCACCCTCTCCAAGATTCGTCGTGCTGCCCGTGAGCTGCTCAAGCTCGATGACAAGGACCCCAAGCGTCTTTTCGAGGGTAACGCCCTTATCCGTCGTCTCGTTCGTATCGGTGTACTCGACGAGGCTCGCATGCGTCTCGATTACGTGTTGGCTCTGAAGATTGAGGATTTCTTGGAGAGGCGTCTCCAGACCCAAGTTTTCAAGCTTGGTTTGGCTAAAAGCATTCATCATGCACGGGTTTTGATTAGGCAACGGCACATTCGGTATGTTTTCGCAACATATTGTATATTTTATCATTCTTATGGTTCTCTAGTGTTGGCAAGCAGATTGTCAACGTTCCCTCCTTTGTTGTGCGTCTGGACTCCCAGAAGCACATCGACTTTGCCCTCACCTCGCCTTATGGTGGAGGTCGCCCTGGTCGCGTTAAGCGGAAGCGTGCCGCTGCCGCTGCCAAGAAGGAGGAGGGTGGTGACGATGAGGAGGACGAGTAGATGTATACATCCCTACTCCTATGCTCGTTATATATGTCGTCGCTATGTTATCATGCAATCGAAACCTTTCGAGCTATCCTCATTGCTGTATCTGATGTCTGCCTCAATTGAACATACATCATTAAAAATCAAAGTATTGATACAGTAGTGAGTGCAATCCGAACAGAATAAGATAAACTGTGCGCAGTAGCCTACTTCCGAGCAAAGGTAATCTGCCAAAAAGACTGTTAATTGTGTTTGAAGAAATGAGCACTGGACGGACCTTGATTTTGTTCTCTCCATCGAGCTTGTAGTTGTGCAAAGCATCCTTTGCAACGCCCGAACTTCCCTCGTCCAGGTATTCCACAAACGCAATGTCCTTCTTTGAAGGGATAAGACGAACTTCATGTAGATTGGGGTATCTGTAGCATAGGATTAGTAACATGTATGCATATATCCATCAAGACAGCAACGCACTGTGAGAACAAGCTGACGAGCTGCTCTTTCGTAACACTTTCGGGAAGATTTTGCAAGAAGAGGATTTTGTTGGGCGGCAGGTACTCGTCCGGCATTTGGACATTGGGACGTTTCGATATAGGTAGAGCAGCACCACCGTCGACTGGAAGCCATTAGCACATTATAAAGGTAAACTTTGGAAACACATACTTTCGGCCGCCATCCGTTTTGCTTTGAACTTCTGCTTGAGCGGGTTATTGTACCGCGTCGCTTCTGTCATCTACCAGTCAGCCAACGACATCAACATAGAAACAACAACGCAACGCACTCTTATGCTCCGCCCTCTGCGCCTTGTGTTCCTCAAAATGCTCCTCATCCAGCTTTTTCACCACTGCGTCGGCCCGTGTCCGTGCAAATGATATTTGCTGGCAGACATCAGTATGTGGAAACACTTTTGAAACGAGAATAACACACCATGGACTTGGAGTACAAAGGGAACCCACGAACGTCATTCATCGCCTTCTCAGCTTGTTCTGGTGTCTCAAACGACACGAATGCTTGCCCTCGCATCCGGAGATTGCTATGCGCCACCACGTCCAGTACGCCGTACGGCTTGAAGAGACCCCGTAGCGAAGATTTCATCACTGAATATCCTTCTATGTAAGCAAAGCACTCCTTTGCAAGAAGTGAATGGCATAGTACCGTCAATCTTTATCTTTTCGTTGAGGTTCTGAATGTAGAGGGTTTCGCATTTGGGTTTTGGTGGCTCGGTGGGAATAGGGACAGCGTCGATACCTTCCATAGTGTCGGTGGGCGGTGGTTGGGTCGCTACGTCGGCCATGTCGAATCGAAATAGAGGATGTAGAGTTAGGAAGGAGGAAGGAGGAAGGTTTGTATCTGTTTGTTTCGGGGCTCGGCAACTTCGACCCAAATCGTTGACGTTACGTTTTGAGTCACTTCCAACTTTTATTGTCAAGCGCCCGGTAAGTAAATACATTGTGAAGGAATATTTGATGCATAGCATAACATGTGTGGCATATACAGGTCCAATGATGGTATTAGTGTTCAAGACCGTTCATGAAGACAGGGAACCCTATTTACTCTGAACTTGAAGTTACGGCTTGAGCTTTGGGAACCATTCTCGCAATCAAAGGTTGCTCTGGAGGCAAGTCAAGCGCACGGAAGTAGTCGACACCTTCTACCGGAGTATCTGCATCGTGTCTAGACCAAATTTGAATCGACTTTCGAGCTCATGACATCAAGAGACTCACTCGTTGGCTAGATGTGCCTTGATATCCACCAAAGTCAGGCGTCCATTGTCCAGCGACGTTCCCATGCACGTTGAGCAGCGCCAAATTTTCTTAGCCTGTGGCTGTATACCTCGTCTCTGCGGTTCTTTTTGCTCTAGCTCCCTCGCTACCTCCGCCTCTTCGTCAGAAATCTTTTGCCATGTGACTCCCAAGTCTCCCCAATGTTTCCTCATGCAATGGTGGACCTATATCCAAAAAACAAAAAGATCAGATACGTCTTCCATGGTCCACGTTGGTGACCTACCGCGGTCCTCCAAGTAAGAACGGGGAATATCCTCCCCCCATCACACTTGGCACCAAAACTGCACTTGAGACAGACCACCCGTGGATCGACTTTGTCCAATTCTTCCACTGTAATCTTTGGGTTCAAGTTGCACGTATCAAGGATCTTCCGTACGACGCGCGAAGCCTTGAAGTCGAACACCAACGAGTCCGTCGACCATTCCCTCCTGCGCGTCATGCGTGTCTCCGAATCGTGCGTCAGCCCCAGCTCTTTATGGTCGCACATCCCTTTCCCAATCCTACTCTCGTCACTCTCTTCAAAGACCGTGCACCTCGAATTGCAAGGGTGATGCAGATACTCAGGGAACCACATACTGCACCCAGCTGTATCGGACCCCGCCGCACCCATATCACGGTGCAGCCCCCGTCGATCCGTACACACAAACACGCACGTCGCCAGCTGCAGATGACTCATATTTCCCCCGCGGACTTCCCAATCCATCATACACCACATCTCGAGCAACCTTTCATCGCGCCACGAAGTGATGAAAGCGGGAAGGCGCGACGTCATAGCGCTCCTGACCATCTCTGTAGTTACGGTGATGCACGACGGGAGGTCGATGAAGTATTTCATTTCCTTCCATAGCCATACGTCCACCAGGCCTGGTTGGAACTCATTCGGCGGAGAACGACATGAATGCCATTCAGCTGCAATGAGGGATCGTCGCGCGCTGAGCAATTCAGTTCGTTCTTTTTTGAGGCGGTGCGTCTTGACGTCTTGCATGTACTCCAGCATGGTGCCTTCGATAGAGTTCCAATCTGGAAGAAGTCAAGGATTGGTGGTGACTCTCGGGAAAAGGATGAAGCAGACTTACTTCTGTCGGTGAGAGGTTTGGGCTGCTTCACCTCCAACTGGTCGGAGAAGAGAGTCAACTCTCTCCTTTCAGACCATGAGCCGGTTTTTTCGAGATCCTTGAGATATGCAATCTCTTGGCCATGCCCCAGAGACGTCAGTCTAGTCTCGATGCTGACAGGATGTCAATAAATTACTCGGACATAAATCTTGACCCACTCACGCTTTGCTCCTCTGTTTTCGAATGTCCTCGAGCTCTTTGCTACGGTTTTCGCTCAAGGAATCAGCCCACTGTGCACATTTTTTCGCATGCTTGGTTGTGTCTTTTGTCAGTAGCGGGAGGGAATTCAGGAGGGGGCATGCTTACGTCTTTACGAGCCTTTATGCCCGCTTTTCTCTTCGCCAAAAATTCCTTCCTTGCGTCTTTCCCTTGACAGGCGTTGAAGGCCTTCACGAAACAGTCCTTTTCTTTGACGAAGCAGAATTTTTCTTTTGCTAGCGATTGCTTATCAGCACCAAGGTCATTGCGCAGATATAATACCACCTACGATGACGGCCAGGCCAGCTATGGAATGGGACAGAACGAAGGATGATCTTGTCGCTCTTGTTACTCTCATCAAATCCGGATTCGGATAATAGACTAAGGGACAAGGAAACAATGGAACAATGAGGATACCATAAACGGAACAAGAGCGGTAACGTTACCAGGTTTTAGCGCACTTTGAGCATAACCGGACACGTATGCACCAGTCGACGTTGCGAATATTCGACGCAAAACATTCCTGTGTTATCTGTTCAGTGAAGTGTGCGGATAGATTTTGAGGAAGACGTACATGGCAAAAGTGGTCAAAGACTAGGCTAGACCAAGCAGGGTGGGACATGTCCTCTGGGCATGGTGGCAATCCGGGAACATTAGCCAACGAAGATTTCCAGACAGTCGTCGATGATCTGTGGGTGACTGCAAACGCTCATTAAAAGGAAGTCGTGGAAAGTATGAAAAATCACGCACGGACGCGTCGAAACTCCTTCGTTGTCCGGGTCAGATTGAGCAAATCCAGAGGATTAAGGTGACCGAATATCTGAACATCCTATGTGAACATGTCACAATGAAGAAAGACGAATAACGTACCTCAAATAAAATGTCCAGAGGCAGAGTAGGAAGCATCGATAGTTTTGCTCGTCGTTTAAGATTGACGACGCGACGCGTCGAGGTCTGCCTGTACACCACTTCATGGCCATTTGAAGAAGTCATTTTGACCTTTTTGTGCGCTGGAGGTGAGGAGGAGTCGATCTCGGAATTTTTTTCCGTCGGCAATGTCGACATTTTTGATAGGACCCAAGAGGACAAGAGGCGGAGAAGAACGCGAGGTGTCACAAGTGTGACCTGTCGCGTTCGACTGCTTGGACTTTTAAGCCGGGTTGTCCCGATTCTATCAAGTCTGATTTTGAATATCTTCTGTTACCTGGTACAGTGTCTACATGATTTTGAACTTCCAAGTGTTCCTATTATTGACGTTCTAAGCCCAAACGTCGCCATTTTGACCAGCTGATACTGACTGGAAATCGCAACGGTCATCATTCGCAGTTAGGCCTGGGACATCGAGACCTAAAGCATTTCCCACTCTTCGCACAGGACTCTGATATGCCACGCCTCGCAATGGCCCACCACTTCATTACTACTGGACCACCTAGGCTCTCATTGCACCAAATTTCTCAGGATGTCTTCCTTACGCCCTCTAGCGATGATACCTTATGGCCATCTTCGTCTATGTCTTCATCATTCACTCCGACCTTCACATATGCCAACAAACTTTTGCAATTATATCTGGTCTTACAGACAAAATAACCACTGGGTTGGGGACGTTGACATCTTTGTTCAGACTGGGGATATCATTTACCAGTCAGTCCATGGTTTCCACTTGACCCTAAAATTAGAATTCATGAGCATGTTACAGAAGCGACGTTACGATAAAGCTTTATGAACCAGTGACAGACGGGCTCCATAACAACCTCCGCGAATGGCGGTACTGCGTTCAAGTTGTCAGATCTAGGAAACCGCGAATAGAATGATGTAGTAGGCGGCTGGAGGTAATGTTCCTTGCGTTTTCTTATGACACATTTTCCAGAAAGCATATCGCTGCGAGATCAAGACCCTTGGCGCCGTCGAGAAATTCTTCCGCGCGCTGGCTAAGACGTTCTTGGGCGGTAAATCACACTAGAGCCTCCTGGATTCCTCTTCATCCTACAGTGCCTTGGGTCCACTGAACACGATGTACCCTTTAACTTTGTCAAGTTCAGACCGTTCTCCCATTCTGCGACATCCTTTGTTCCATGGAGGATTATCTCCGACATCCCACGGTCTATCGCCATTCCCCTCATAAGTACATCAATTCCCTCTGAATTTTTCCTGAGAAAGCTTCAATTCCGGGTAGAACGCATCCATATGTCGGGCTTCCTCCTGGTCAATATCTATAGTGCACAGAATCATGAGGGTTGTAAGCAGCTGACTGTTAACGTTAGGTACCCGTCCTGAGGAAGCGGAGCTGTATAGTTCTAATGGTTACCCGTGGTATCGAGGCTTGGCGAATGGAACCGAATACAAGTGTGTAAAGATGTCGAAGCTGTCCTTAAGAAGACTGGAACTCGTAGAATGATATGGGACATACAACAGACTTTGAAGTAAGTGTTCCCTTCGACCATTGTTGAGAGCGTTCACATACCGTCCTTTGTAGAATATCAAGTCCCGTTGTGGTGGAAAGATAATCATCATCACGCTGGTATGTCTGAATCCCAAAACGCGTTTATTTCTGGTGTGAACATTCTCCTAGGCATTGCACGCGCGTATGGCGGTGTTCCTCCGGCTTTGTTGATTCATTATACACTCGACTAGGAACCAATTGATACGGCGGATGATCCTGATAAAAGTGGACTAACATTTTTATCAAACTCCATTGTATTGAACACGCGCCATACATCTTCGCTCATTTCATCACCATCATTGCACGATGCGGCGACTTGTTTCAAGTGCATAATGGATCCTTGTCATCATCGACGAATTGAAATCACTTTTTGACCATCTGCATGCTGAATAGGTCCCGTAGCTATTCAATACTTCTTAGCTTCGAACATCCATGACTTCCCAGTGGCCCCAACTTTGACTCTGTCTCGAGCTATCATCTGGAGTTCATAGAAATGCAAAAATTTGCTGCAGCAAGTGGCAAGAAAAAATGTGTTGTAGCCTGCGATGTCTGCAGACGCAGGAAGAGTACGTCTCCATTCTCTACTTTTTGCTCCTCGAAGGGCCTCATATTTCTTTCCAGCTCGATGTAGGGCGCACTGGTTTCACCGTATCTACAAAGCTGAGGTTGCATCATCAGGTAACGGGAATCGGATATCTGGTAGGCGATGCTCAATGTGTATCGCATGCAAGTTAGACTGTACATACATTGAGTCCATCAAGGCAAGTATGACAAATCGGTGAGATGACGTTTCCACTAACATTGCAACCTAGGTCGCGCCATCGCAGCGGTTCGTTCTGCTACTCTCACATTCTCCAACACATGACTCAACGTTTGACTTTACCGTCCAGCTACGTCAGGAGCTTGGAGCACAAGATAGAAAAGATGGAAGACCTTCTTCGCAAGGTTCGTACCGATGTTTTTCCCGTGTGGTGGAAGAGATACCAACCGACCCCTGCAGATCCTTCCTCCAAAAGCAGATTTAACGGATGAGCTTGAGGCCATTCAGGCACTTCCAGAGGACGCCCCGAGCTTATTATCTACCTGGGTACACTCGCTGAACCTTGAAGAACCCGAAATAGAAGATCGTGATCACGCAATGGAAAGAAACGTCGAAGAATTCAAAGACTACATCCTTGCTTATCGGTATCACGGAAAGTCAAGTTCTCTTCAATTCGTCCAAGAAGCTTTGGATACCAAAGCGGGGCAACCAGGAACGCTGTACAATACAGCCACGAATTTCACTTCTCTGCGAGCCGAGTTTTGGGAAATCCGCCCATGGAACAATCCCCATCGCTATGTTCCGCAAGGGACGCACTTCAGATTTCCACCCGAAGATCTTATTCCGACGCTCATCGACTCGTACTTTACGTACTTTAATACGTTTCTTCCCATTCTCCACCGGCCGACGTTTGATAAATCCTTGAGGGAGGAGCTACACTACAGAAATCACCGGTTCGGGGGAGTTGTTTTGACCGTCTGTGCGCTCGGTTCCAAATACGTAGATGATCCTCGAGTCCTCATGGAAAATGAACAGTCAAAGTGGTCGAATGGGTGGAAGTGGGTAGCTCAGGTCACAAGTCGGCGTCGTGCGTTTCCTTCCTTGGATCCTCCAAACTTGTATGACGCCCAACTCTGCTGTGTAAGCCCGATATTCCTTCTTTACTATACGAGCTGATGAAAGTGACAGCTTCTCTCTGAATTTTACCTGAGTTCCTCAGTACCGCAGCAATCCTGGACCATAGTCGGCGTTGGTCTGCGGATTGCGCAAGAAGCAGGAGCTCACCGAAAGAAGACAACACGTAACAGTCCTGTGAAAAATACAGTGGAGGCTGAACTGTGGAAACGCGTATTTTGGTAAATTTTCCAAAAACTCGGCTCTCGGTCTTTGTTGACCTCCTGTCAGGTGTCTTGTAGGTATAGATAGGGCCCTTAGCTCGGCATTGGGTCGAGCGTGTGCTATATATGATGAAGAGCGCGTCTTATCTCCTTTGCTGAAGCTTGAGCTAATTACTTCTATAGCATTGACATTGATCTACCCACCGAGTGTGACGATGAGTATTGGGAACATCCTGACCCCCAACAGGCCTTTAAGCAGCCTCCCGGGAAACCGTCAAAAGTGTCATACTTCAATTGTGCCCTGCGGCTGACACGGCTGATTATGATATGCATGCGGACCATCGTACGTCCCTCGGCAGCGCTTTCCCAGATGTCCTTTGCTTACCGGATGCAGTACTCAATCCATAAACCAAAAGGCCTTTTTGTCCTCAAGAAAGACTGGGAACAGCAAATAGTTGTCGAGCTTGATTCTGCATTGGACAAATGGGTAGACTCTATTCCAGAGCATTGTAGGCCTCGTCATCTCTCCTACTCCTCACGCTGATCACATTCATCCAGTACGATGGAATCCCGATCGTGCTGACTCGTTGCATTTCCATCAGTCCGCAACCCTTCTACTGTTATACCACCATCTTCGAATGCTCATCCATCGTCCCTTTATCAAGTCTCCAAGCAGCGACTTTGATTCCCCTTCCCTATCTATATGCACAAATGCCGCACATTCGTGTTCTCACATCGCAGAACTACAAATCCAGAGGAAGAACAATTACTTGCCTTCTGTAACCAGTGTAAGGTTATTCATTAGCCTGTGAATTATATTTATTTTAATGTGTAGGAGCTGTCCTTCAATGCGGCAATTGTTCTCCTGATAAATATCTGGGGCCGACGGCGGGCAGGGTTGGGCATTGACGTCGATAAAGAGATGGAGGGCGTGCATAAGTGCATGCGAGTACTTGCAGATCTAGAGATACGGCACGTATACATGTATCGCGTTCGACTTCATTGGCTAATTACGAATGTACAGGTATCAATATGCTGGTGTATTATGGTATGTCTTTCTCTCTGAACTTCTGGTTGGTTACGAACAAAAAATTTACATTCTCTAGGGACATTTTATACGAGCTAGCGTCCGCTGGTGATCTTCTGCTTCCTGGAGCCGAATCTTCCAAACTTGCAGAGTATGCCGACCAGAAGCCGTACGCCCATCCTCAACGGTCACTACACACCCTACCGATAAACAATACCAACCTTGAACGAATGCCTCTCCACGGACAGGTTGATTCATCAGATCATATCTCTGATTGGTACAACGCTAATCCGTACAACTTGGCTGCGGCTCCCGCTACTGCCAGCCAAGTTGATAATGTCATGAGGGCGATATGGGATAAGGCACCCAGCGGATTAGAGTATGTTCTTGTTCTTCTTACATTGGATAGGGTGAACTGATCTTGGGTGTACGTATAGTCCAGATTACTGGAGGGATTATGCGGAGTTTTCTGACAGTCATGTTACGGGAAGGGGGTTTTAGAGGTAGTTTAATCATGGATATTTTTGTGGCGTGAGCAGGGTTGCTGCGAAGCGCGACCTATTGGTCTTGGATAATTGTATCATTACAATGTACGAACTTTATAGTTGTATTCTTCGAACAAAATAGGGTTTTGGGATCTAGAATCAACGGAACTATAGGCAGTTTGACTTTTGTCCAGTGGCTCTACCGAGCCTGGCTTTGACGACACGACACGTCGAAGTCTGCCTGTACATTATTCCATTGGCTATTCGAAGAGGCCGTTTTAACTTTTCGTGTGCATTGGATGTGAGAAGTCGATTTCGGCATTTTTGATAGACAAAGGGCATATCGCAAGAACCAAGAAGATCAAGAACGCGAAGCATTACAAATGTGTGAACTGTCGAGGCCTACCTGTCGCGTTCGTTCGGGGTTGCGTTCAAGCCGGGTTGTCTCGAAATCAAGTCTGAATTTGGTTCGTAAAGAATCAAGTATGCGTCCTAATCCGATCATAAAATCCGATAGAACCAGAAGTTACGACGTCTTATGTTCCCTGACAAATCCCTGACTAGAGTAACACACGGGCTGACAGTTTGCTACATGCAGAAGGTGCGAGCTTCTTTTGCGACGAAGAATGTCCCCTTGCATGGTTATTTGAGATACGACCCTAGTACAGAGGAGTCAGGGATGAAGCTTGCTGATGGATGAGAATTTGACTTACTTTCACCGAGTTCGTGGAGTCATTCAATCTAATCAACTAGAATACCAATTCAACGGTAGGGGAAAACCATGAAGTTCAAAAACCCACCTTCATTCCTTCTTCAAGCTGTTGTATCTGGGACTTGGCCGTTCTCCGAACAGCTGCATAACCATTTTGCTTCTGGCGGGCGCTCGCTCATTCTGTTTGAATTTCGCTATACCTGGGTGGCGTGGTGACTATCTCCGCCATGTGCCGCCCGCATGGTCATTGGCAAGTCGGGGCTGTCCGCGAAGAGCTAAGGGTGCTGGATCTCGAAAGTGATGGCATAATACTCATAGAGTGCTTGAGGAGGGCCAATACATGGGTGCAGATTGAAGAAAGGTGGGACATTTGCCGAATGTATCTGCATCTAGGTGTGGCCTGGTTGTTCGCTGCTTGTCTGTTGCCAGTTTTGCAGGTTATGCCCGGTTTAGGGCGTATCGGAATTTGAACGAGGTATAATTGCATACAGAAGCTACAGGAGTTTTACTTCAGTCTAGGTGCCTATGCGCTTAGTGACGAAGACGCTGCTGCCAGCTCGAACCCGACCTGATTCCTCCAGTGGCGAGTTGTTGTTTTGTTGGCTCTCGATCCATTCCGCATATCCGTGGTCAAAGGGTTCATCGTTGATGACAGACTCCCCCCCGTCAGTCAAATCCAGATCGTTACTCGGGGAGAATTTGACGACAAGGTCTGCGTAAGGAAAACCGCACGGGAAAACTGGGCGAAAGTTGTAGCATCGAGAGTAGGGAGCGATACCCCAGTCGAAACGGGTTGCTTGCGACGCCCTCTGCCCAAAACGATTCTTCATCAGCGATAACTTCGTCTCATCCGGCACGCGTACAGCCTTCCCAAGCTTCAGAAGCGGCGTCGTCAGCTTTTGCGCATGAGATCGAGCACATCGGGTAAGGTCTTGCGTGGTGGTTTGTGCAAGACCTGGAGAGAGTTGCAGGGCAGACGATGTGGCCGGTGTTGGACTCGCACCGTCGGAAAACATACCATGAGCCTCCTCGGTGTTGATGACGCGTATATCTGATTCTGAGGTTGTCAGAATGCCAGAGGAAGGGAACATACATTGGGAAGCCCCATCTGTGCTCCCGGAGTCGAAATGGGCTATCTTCGACGCCCTCTACCTATAAGGGCCCTCCATCAGCGATATCAGTGTCGTATCTGGTACGCATCCACTCGTCCTAGACTCCAGAAGAGTTGTCTTCCGCTCTTGAGCGCGAGATCGGGTCCATCGCGTTGAATCTTGCTGCGAAATCCCGGGATTGCGGATGGTTGATGCATTTTGAGAGAGCGAGGCAGGAACTGTTGGAATGGTCGTGATAGCGGGGTGTCGATAATTGCTAGCGACGTCGCGAGAGGTGAGATAAAAGCGAGCAGAGAATGAGGGAGAGTCGCTGACGGGAGTATTTGACGTTGCCAGCATGCTTGGCAACAGCCGTTTCGTTACCGGCCGGTTATCTATCGGACCGGTAGGCATCGGACCGATAACCGGCGCTGGGTGTCGTCCTCTTTCCACCAAGCCCCCACTCTCTCGATTCCGAGGCTTGCCCGTGGCAAAGTCCGTTCCCTTTGTCCCTTCGGAATGCCTCGTTATCGGACACAGAGGACCAGCCTTGCCCTTCAACATGTGTGTTCGAACTCTGAAAGGGTCTCGTTTCAGATTTTGGAGTGGATAACTCGGATTTTTGAGGGTGGACAATTCAGAGGAATGGGTGGATGACTCGGCGAGACCTGCTAGGTAATGGGGATGTGAGGTGCGTAGAGTCACAGCTCTTTTCGGCTGTGTCGTACTGACGTCGTGGGCTGCGTTAGTGTTCCAATGTACCCGAGGATTATTCGGCTGGTTACAATGCATACGACAACTGCTACGAGGGTTTGGTGAACGATACTTACTAGTCCCAGGAGGACGCTGCTGATGAGGGTTACGATAGCCCAACACCGGGTCTCTACACGGATGAGTGAGTTAGCCTTGTGTATTTATTCTGCATGGCAAATATACATGTTTGCTGCCACATTTTTCTTCTGATTCTTGCCCGGCTCCAACAGCCTGTATCGTATGACTGGTATCCAACTACCGTTTATCTATCAAGATGAATACTTCCCTTGCAAGTCACCTGCGATTGCGGTTCTCCTCATTTATTCCGGGAGTCCCGATATCAGGGGAGAACGCACTCCAACTTTCCCTATGTTCATCGGGTTTAAAATGATTATGCAAGGCTAATTGGTGAGAGTTTCGTAATTGCTCTCTTTCTTCTCTCACGTCTGCCGCATATCCGCTGTCTAGCGCGTACTCAGACCTCCGCTGAGGGCTGACCTTTCTTTCATGTCATGTGAGTGTCGGATTTCTGTCCTTAGCACGCTTGCTAAAGTCTCAGGTCTTCGTCATAGTTTCACACTAGCGGTCGTCGGTCGACGACTATCATACCTTGCTTAAGCGGTGTTCATATTGGAATCGCGAGGCTCAGGACAGCGAAATGAGCGAGAGAAAAGGGAGTATATATCCGTTGCAAACGAGATGGTGGATACTACGTGAGTACAGCCCCTTTATACGACAGTTCTAACTAAAGGCCACGGGTATAAGCAACGAATACGTAGAACTAATGAGAGAATAATAACAAGCGGCAACTGGAATGACGAGCACCTCGACAGTTAATGATCAGCGCTGTCGCTTGGTGACAATGTGAGCTCGAATATCAAACAGTTCATCCCCATCCCAAATTTGCAGAATCCAATTTATGTCAGGCACACTTTGAAAATAATCATACACCGCCATAATAATACATACATGCCTTTAAGAGAATCGAACTGTTAGTTACCTGAACTCATTACATTTAAGCACGAACTTTCTTCGCCTCACCTCTTTCAATGTCCACAATTTTCATTGATTCGGTTAGATCCTTGCAGAGCTACCCGTTGGATGCTATCTTGAAGAGGAATATTGCATTGTTCAATGAAACAATACACTGCACTTCGATGACAGGATATCACCGTTGACACATTGATCTGAGTACACACCGAGTGAACATACAGTTTTATTTGACTTAATGTACCTACCCCGTAACGCTATACTATATCTACAATGACCGGTAGATCTAGAGGATTTAATATGTTGGCGATTTGATATCCGTTGTGAAAAGACATTCAATGCGTGATGGAAAGGGTGAAATCGTCAGCGGCAAGGATTTTGATTACGTGTGGAGAATGATGTCATATCACGGGAAGACCCTGGCTTGTGTAAGCGAAGATTTTAGACCTAGAGAGACCTTGACAAGCAAGGTAATTTCCCTCATAAACCTGGTACAGATGATGAGCCCCTTCAACGCTCTCCTCATCTTGCCAGGTCTTTGTTCCTGTATCGTGTCAGCCATCTCCCAAACTCCGAAATACCCTATTAGTGCTCATACACGAAGGCGCCTAGGGTTGTAATCGTAGGCCCTGTTGGGCGATTTTTCGCCAAAAAATCCTTGAGCCCCCGGCGAACCTCGAATACGAACTAGACATGTTATTTGTAATATTACCAGGTTTTGTTACTCAAGTATTTCCCGCTCTTCGCACAGGACTCGGATATGCCACGCCTCGCAATGGCCCACCACTTCATTACTACTGGACCACCTAGGCTCTCATTGCACCAAATTTCTCAGGATGCCTTCCTTACGCCCTCTAGCGATGATACCTTATGGCCATCTTCGTCTATTTCTTCATCATTCACTCCGACCTTCACATATGCCAACGAACTTTTGCAATTATATCTGGTGTTACAGACAAAATAACCACTGGGCACTGGGTTGGGGACGTTGACGTCTTTGTTCAGACTGGGGACATCGTTTACCAGTCAGTCCATGGTTTCCACTATGACACATTTTCCAGAAAAGCATATCCCTGCAAGATCAAGACCTTTGGCACCGTCGAGAAATTCTTTCCACGGGCTGGCTAAGACGTTCTTGGGCGGTAAATCACACTAGAGCCTCCTGGATTCCTCTTCATCCTACAGTGCGTCGGGTCCACCGAACACGATGTACCCTTCAACTTCGTCAAGTCCGGATCGTTCTCCCATTCTGCGACATCGTTTGTCCTATGGAGGATTATCTCCGACATCTCGCGGTCTATCGCCATTCCCCTCATAAGTACATCAATTCCCTCTCTGAATTTCTCCTGAGAAAGCTTCAATTCCGGGTACAACGCATCCATATGTCGGACTTCCTCCTGGTCAGTATCTATAGTGCACAGAATCATGATAGTTGTAAGCAGCTGACTGTTAACGTTAGGTACCCGTCCTGAGGAAGCGGAGCTGTATAGCTCTAATGGTTACCCGTGGTATCGAGGCTTGGCGAATGGAACCGAATACAAGCGTGCAAAGATGTCGAAGCTGTCCTTGAGAAGACCGGAACTCGTAGAATGACTATGGGACATACACCAGACTTTGAAGTAAGTGTTCCCTTCGGCCATTGTTGAGAGCGTTGACATACCGTCCTTTGTAGAATATCAAGTCCCGTTGTGGTGGAAAGATAATCATCATCACGCTGGTATGTCTGAATCCCAAAACGCGTTTATTTCTGGTGTGAACATTCTCCTAGGCATTTCACACACGTATGGCGGTGCTCCTCCGGCTTTGTGGATTGATTATACACTCGACTAGGAACCAATTGATACGGCGGATGATCCTGATAAAAGTGGACTAACATTTTTATCAAACTCCATTGTATTGAACATGCGCCATACATCTTCGCTCATTTCATCACCATCATTGCACGACGCGGCGACTTGTTTCAAGTGCATAATGGATCCTTGTCATCATCGACATATTGAAATCACTTTTTGACCATCTGCATGCCGAATAGGTCCCGTAGCTATTCAATACTTATTGGCTTCGAACATCCATGACTTCTTAGTAGCCCCTACTTTGACTCTGTCTCGAGCTTTCATCTGGAGTTCATAGAAATGCCAAATTCCGCTGCAGCAAGTGGCAAGAAAAAATGTGTTGTAGCCTGCGATGTCTGCAGACGCAGGAAGAGTACGTCTCCATTCTTTACTTTTTGCTCCTCGAAGGTCCTCATATTTCTTTCCAGCTCGATGTAGGGCGCACTGGTCTTCACCGTATCTACAAAGCTGAGGTTGCATCATCAGGTAACGGGAATCGGATATCTGGTAGGCGATGCTCAATGTGTATCGCATGCAAGTTGGACTGTACATACATTGAGTCCATCAAGGCAAGCATGACAAAGGCAAGCATGACAACTCGGTGATATGACGTTTTCACTAACATTGCAACCTAGGTCGCGCCGTCGCAGCGGTTGGTTCTGCTACTCTCACATTCTCCAACATATGACTCAACGTTTGACTTTACCGTCCAGCTACGTCAGGAGCTTGGAGCACAAGGTAGAAAAAATGGAAGACCTTCTTCGCAAGGTTCGTACCGATGTTTTTCCCATGTGGTGGAAGAGACACCAACCGACCCCCGCAGATCCTTCCTCCAAAAGCAGATTTAACGGAGGAGCTTGAGGCCATTCAGGCACTTCCAGAGGACGCCCCGAGCTTATTATCTGCCTGGGTACACTCGCTGAACCTTGAAGAACCCGAAATAGAAGATCGTGATCACGCAATGGAAAGAAACCTTGATGAATTCAAAGACTACATCCTTGCTCATAGGTATCACGGGAAGTCAAGTTCTGTTCAATTCGTCCAAGAAGCCTTGGATACCAAAGCGGGGCAACCAGGAACGCTGTACAATACAGTCACGAATTTCACTTCTCTGCGAGCCGAGTTTTGGGAAATCCGCCCATGGAACAATCCCCATCGCTATGTTCCGCAAGGGACGCACTTCAGATTTCCACCCGGAGATCTTATTCCGACGCTCATTGACTCATACTTTATGCATTTTAATACGTTTCTTCCCATCCTCCACCGGCCGACGTTTGATAAATCCTTGAGGGAGGGGCTGCACTACAAAAATTACCAGTTCGGGGGAGTCGTTCTGATCGTCTGTGCGCTCGGTTCCAAATACGTAGATGATCCTCGAGTCCTCATGGAAGGTGAGCAGTCAAAATGGTCGAATGGGTGGAAGTGGGCCGCTCAGGTCACAAGTCGGAGTCGTGCGTTTCCTTCCTTGGCTCCTCCAGACTTGTATTACACACAACTGTGCTGTGTAAGCCCGATATTCCTTCTTCACTATACGAGCTGATGAAAGTGACAGCTTCTCTCTGAATTTTACATATGTTCCTCATCACCGCAGCAATCCTGGACCATAGTAGGCATCGGTCTGCGGATTGCGCAAGATGCAGGAGCTCACCGAAAGAAGACAACACGTAACAGTCCTGTGAAAAATACCGTGGAGGCCGAACTGTGGAAACGCGCATTTTGGTACTTTTCCATAGACTCGGCTCTCGGTCTTTGTTGACCTCCTGTCAGGTGTCTTGTATGTATAGATAGTTTCTTTAGCTCAGCATTAGGTCGAGCGTGTGCTATACGTGATGAAGAGTGCGTGTAATCTCCCTCTTTGCTGAAGCTTGAGTTAATCACTCCTATAGTATTGATGTCGACCTACCTGCTGAATGTGACGATGAGTATTGGGAACATCTTGACCCCCAACAGGCCTTTAAGCAACCTCCCGGGAAACCGTCAAACGTGTCATACTTCAATTGTCTCCTACGACTGACACGGTTGATTATGATATGCATGCGGACCATCGTACGTCCTTCGGCAGCGCTTTCCCAGATGTCCTTTGCTTACCAGATGCAGTACTTAACCCATAAATCGAAAGTTCTTTATGTCCTCAAGAAAGACTGGGAACAGCAAATAGTTGTCGAGCTTGACTCGGCGCTGGACAAATGGGTAGACTCCATTCCAGAGCATCGTACGCGCACGGCCTTGTCATTTTTTCTACTCCTTACACTGATCTCATTTATCCAGTACGATGGGATCCCGATCGTGCTGACTCGTTGCATTTCCATCAGTCCGCATTCCTTCTATTGCTATGCTACCATCTTCAAATGTTCATTCATCTGCCCTTTATCACTGCCCCAAGCAGCGACTTTGATTCCCCCTCCCTATCCATATGTACGAGTGCCGCACGCTCGTGTTCTCACATCACAGAGCTACAAATTCAGAGGAAAGACGATTATTTTCCTTCTGTATCCAGTGTAAGGTTCTTCATTAACCTGTGGATTATATTTATTTTGGCGTGTAGGTGTTGTCCTTCCATGCAGCAGTTGTTCTCCTGATAAATATCTGGGGTGGACGGCGGACAGGGCAGGGCATCAATGTTGATACAGAGATGGAGGACGTGCATAGGTGCATGCGAGTACTTGCAAACGCAGAGATACGGTGCGTAAGCATGTATTGTGCTCGACTTCGTCCCAATGACAGACAGATAGGTATCAATTTGCTGGTGTACTATGGTACATCTTTCTCCGAACTTCTGGTAGGTTACTAACCAAGAAAATCAATTCTCCAGGGACATTCTATATGAACTAGCGTCCGCTGGTGATCTTCCGCTTCCCGATTCTAGAGAGAAAGATATAGTCGAATCCTTCAAACTTTCAGAGAATGCCGACCAGAGGCCGTTCGCCGATCCTCAACAATCACTATTCACCCTACCCATAAATAATACCGACTTTGGACAAATGCCTCTCCACGGACAGGTTGATCTGTCAGATCATATCTCTGATTGGTACAACGCTAATCCGTACAACTGGTCTGCGGCTCCCGCTACTGCCAGCCAAGTTGATAATGTCATGAGGGCGATATGGGATAGGGCACCCAGTGGATTAGAGTACGTTCTTGTTCTTACATTGGATAGGATGAACTGATCTTGGGTTCATGTAAAGACCAGATTACTGGAGGGATTATGCGGAGTTTTCTGAGAGTCACCCTACGGGAAGGGAGTTTTAGAGATGGTTTGATCACGGGTATTTTTGTGGCGTGAGCAGGGTTGCTGCGGCGCGACCTATTGGTCTTGGACAATCGTGTCATTACAATGTACGAACTTTGTAGTACTATCGACTCTGTATTCTCCGAACAAGATATGTTTCTGGGATTTAGAATCAACGGAACCAAAGGCGGTTTGACTTTTGTCAAGCGGCTCTAACGAGCCTGGTTGTGGCGACGCGACACGCCGAAGTCTGCCTGTACATAATTACCTCTGACCGAACTTACCGGGTCCTGAATTTCCCTAGAGCTGTTGTTCCCATGGTGCGAAGTAAAAAAAATGACTAGTCATATCATAGAAGAACACAAGAAAGATCAGAGTATACGCAGCTAGGAATAGTATCATGAACTGTCCATGTATTCGCTGGTCGTCGGTATCTCCTCGAATACAAGCGACCCTTGCTGCTCCTTCAACCACTGAACACTTCGTTTCTCGTCCATGAAATACGTATATGCTCTCCGCAGATCTTCCACGTAACCCATGAGGACTGCGGAAAGTTGTCCCTCGGATACGAGCCCTGCCTCGATTAGAAGCCATAATAACCAAGGGAGCTAGATCATTTTCCAAGGCGCGGTTCAAGAATGAGAAGCATTCAATGTCGAGCATGTGAACCTCGTCGATGAAAGGGACCTGCATATTACTCTTGTTAGCGCAGATATTTTGATGCAAGGCGCGCACGTACACCTGGTATGATCTCAGCCTTGCCCTCCTCGCGCCACTCCGCCACCTTGGTGTTGATCTGATTCCGTAGCTCTGGCTTGATTTCACCTGTGTCGCCTGCAAACAAAGCTAGGAAGCCCTGCGTCCTACTGTTGATGACGTCTATTTCGTGCAAAGACACCGTATGCACGACCTCTCTCCGTTTTTGTATTTCACCTTCGGGGCATTGAACGAATTTAGTCTGCACATCGTTGGTCAGTCCAATGATCTTGCCGGGAAAAAATAGAACATACATCAGCGCCCATAGCATCATAATCTCTCGACCGTGCGAACGAACGGCCGAGTTTAGTGATTTTACCAGACGTCTTGTCGATGGTGATAACGTCTCCTGCTAGGACTTTCTCCTTCGAGAGAGCGTCAATCATTTTTGTACCCAAGTCATAGATAGTCTCCATGTCCGTAGTTTTGATAGTGAGTTTTCCTGTTTTCGTAGCCTAAAAGGTGATACCTGTCAGCACCTAAACTTGGCTAACAGAAAGTTCGTGCGTACGCCAGTCAGACTCCGGTCGATTTGGATCTCGACGACCTCCCCTTCGACGAGTTCTGTCTCTTCCTTGGTGCGTATGCCAATGCTCCGTCGGAATGCCTGGGTCAACGCCTCGGTCTTTGACATCGATAGTGAGAATACCTCGCTGGCGGCAATCATGGTGAAAGGTACGTCCGGACCCAGCGTCTGTGCCATACCTATATCTCGCATTCAAGACGAAGTAAGTAGTATAATGTAGCAGAGACGCACCCAATGCAATAGCGGTCTTTCCCGTCGACGGAGGCCCAGCAAACAAGATTGCTCGCCCTACTATGCGACCTTCCTGCACTATCTTGAGAATCATACCAGCAGCCTTCCTAGCCTTGGCCTGCCCAACCATTCCCTGCGAATTAGCCCTTGGCTCTAACCGGTCGTCGAGTCCCAGCCCGTGGATATGCGAATGAACGCCTGCAAATCCTGGTGAGAGAATTTTCCCAAACAAACACGTCAAATATCCTAACCTATGCGCTCCATCGAAGAGGCCGTTTTAACTTTTTGTGTGCATTGGATGTGAGAAGTCGATTTCGGTATTTTTGATAGACAAAGGGCATATCGCAAGAACCAAGAAGACCAAGAACGGCTTGACGGCTACAGAGAAGGGTGACATGAGGTAAGGGGGAAAAATGACCAGCAGCTGAGACGGCAAAATATTTCTGCAAACTTATAGAGCCGCTGTCGGACCGGCTGGCCATGAAAAATCAGCTGGTCTTTACACCTGCATGTAGATTGTTTACGGTTTTCCTGTCGTCTGTTGGTCTGGTCAATAAAAATTGAGTTCGATAATACCTCGATGTAGACTATCAAGTGCCGACAAGCAACAATGATCGATGGTTTTTATTGGTACAGTGGGAAAGGGATAAGCTGATTGGCCTTTTCAAGCAATTCAGGATCAGCGCGAGCAATTAAGTTGTTCGAAATGAAAAACATGAGTTCGGCCTGGGCCTGCCAAGGACACGAGTGAACGTAGGAAAATCCACTGATCTCCTTCATGTCGTATTTTTCAGACCAAAGTGGGTTAAGGAAAAGGCGTTGGTATAGATGATACGTAAACGAAAACGGAGAAGGGTGGGCTGGTCAGCTCACGCGCCCTGTTCTCGGAACCGGTGTCCATCATGAAAACCGACCTGATAAGCAATGAGGATAGAACACCACATAACAATGGAATTATTTATTTGACCTACAGACTGATCCATATCGCGAGGCAAGAATATAGATGGCCAGAGGACAGTTGCTCACACTGAGAAGCGACGGAGAAAAAACGCGCGTCACAGTCCAACCGATAAGACTTTTGCAGTCACCATCAGGGTAACGTTCACGTGCACTGGTCACCATTTACGCGACGAAGGGCATTACACAATGGAAAGGACATGCGTAGAGGAATATTGACATGATTGTCCCAGCTGCTTGTTCATGGCAAAGTGTCATCAGAGAACGGAATTCTGGGCAGCGAACGATTTCGTACACACAAGAACGCACGTCGCCTGATGCAGGTGACTCATATTTCCCCCGCGGACTTCTCAACCCATCGTACATGACATCTCTAGCAACCGCTCGTCACGCCACGAAGTAATGAAGGCAGGAAGGCGCGACGTCATAGCATCCCTGACCATTTCTGTAGTTACGGTGACGCTCGGCGGGAGGTCGATGAAGTATTTCATTTCCTTCCATAGCCATACGTCCAGTAGGCTTGGTTGGAACTCGTTTGACGGAGAGCGACATGAACGCCATTCATCTGCAATGAGGGACCGGCGCGCGCTGAGGAGTTCGTTCCGTTCTTTCTTGAGGCGGTGCGTCTTGACGTCCTGCATGTATTCTAGCATAGTGCCTTCGATAAAGTTCCAGTCTGGGAGAAGTTAAGTATTGGTGGTGACTCTTGGGGAAAAGGATGAGCAGACTTACTTTTGTCAGTGAGAGGTTTGGACTGCTTCACCTCCCACTGGTCGGAGAAAAGAATCAGTCCTCTCCGTTCAGACAACGAACCGGTTTTTTCGAGATCCTTGAGATATGCAATCTCTTGGCCATGCCCCAGAGACGTCAGTCTACTCTCGATACTGGCAGGATGTCAATAAACTACTCGGACGTAAATCTTGACCCACTCACGCTTGGCTCCTCTGTTTTCGAATGTCCTCGAGCTCTTTGCTACGGCTTTCGCTCACGGAATCAGCCCACTGTGCACATTTTTTCGCATGCTTGGTTGTGTCTTTTTGTCAGTAGCGAGAGGGAATTCAGGAGGGGGCATGCTTACGTCTTTACGAGCCTTTATGCCCGCTTTTCTCTTCGCCAAAAATTCCTTCCTTGAGTCTTTCCCTTGACAGGCGTTGAAGGCCTTCACGAAACCGTCCTTTTCTTTGACGAAGCAGAATTTTTCTTTCGCTGGCGATTGTTTATCAGCCCCAAGGTCATTGCGCAGATATAATACCACCTACGATGACGGCCAGGCCAGCTATGGAATGGGACAGAACGAAGGATGATCTTGTCGCTCTTGTTACTCTCATCAAATCCAGATTCGGACAATAGACTAAGGGACAAGGAAACAATGGAGCAATGAGGATACCATAAACGGAACAAGACCGGTGACGTTACCAGGTTTTAGCGCACTTTGAGCATAACCGGACACGTATGCACCAGTCGATGTTGCGAATATTCGACGCAAAACATTCCTGTGTTATCTGTTCAGTGAAGTGTGCGGATAGATTTTGAGGGATACGTACATGGCAAAAGTGGTCAAAGACTAGGCTAGACCAGGCAGGGTGGGACATGTCCTCTGGGCATGGTGGTAATCCGGGAACATTGGCCAACGAAGATTTCCAGACAGTCGTCGATGATCTGTGGGTGACTGCAAACGCTCATTAAAAGGAGGTCGTGGAAAGTATGAAAAATCACGCACGGACGCGCCGAAACTCCTTCGTCGTCCGTGTCAGATGGAGCAAATCTAATGGATTAAGATGACCGAATATCTGAACATCCTATATGAACATGTCACAATGAAGAAAGACGAATAACGTACCTCAAATAAGATGTCCAGAGGCAGAGTAGGAAGCATCGATAGTTTTGCTCGTCGTTTAAGATTGACGACGCGACACGTCGAGGTCTGCCTGTACACCACTTCATGGCCATTTGAAGAAGTCATTTTGACCTTTTTGTGCGCTGGAGGTGAGGAGGAGTCGATCTCGGAATTTTTTTCCGTCGGCAATGTCGACATTTTTGATAGGACCCAAGAGGACAAGAGACGGAGAAGAACGCGAGGTGTCACAAGTGTGACCTGTCGCGTTCGACTGCTTGGACTTTTATGTAAGCCGGGTTGTCCCGATTCTATCAAGTCTGATTTTGAAAATCTTCTGTTACCTGGTACAGTGTCTACATGATTTTGGACTTCCAAGTGTTCCTATCACATTAACGTTCTAAGTCCACACGTCGCCGTTTTGACCAGCTGATACCGACTGGAAATCGCAACGGTTATTTGATGGTCATCATTCGCAGTTAGGCCTGAATCGTCGAGACCTACGATTCGGATCCTTCAACGCCAGGCGTCGTGTTACATACTAGCACTGATCGAACTCAGATACTGCTCGGAACTGTATTGGCAACTGCGAATAATGCTAGACAGATTCTAAGACAATGGCAGGTAGCTCGCACGTTCCACCCAACTTCATCAGATCTCAAAGTTGTCTGGATACATTAATATTGCAGAGGATCCTTCGGATTATCAACCCTCTAGTCGCAGTTGAAGTACTGACTGACAGTGAACAGAATGGATAGAGAATGTGTACTCGGTACGTCCTTACATTCTTCCTAATACAGTATGTTGACCGTTTGACAATGGCCGCACAAGAGGGCGCACCTCTCGAAGAAGACCAGAGAGAATTCTTAAATAGGATGTTCCTCGACAATCTACTTATAGCCAAGGAAACTGGCATACACACAAGGGTGTCCGCTATAAGGCTGTTCGCACTAATAGAGGATCTTCTCTTCGAGCCAAGGGTTCCCCTTGCGGACGAACCAGAAAAACTGTATGAGCTCACAGAACAAGGAAGGATAGATGGGAATTATAGGGAGCTACTGAATCACCGTTGAGTTTCGCTTTCATTTCTGGACCTCTTATATGCGCTCATATCGTTTCTTGCAGCATGGTTTTTCGGTAGAAATCTGAAGCCGGGTACGTCCTAAGTTCTGAAATTTTTCCATTGGCTCGTCGTCTACGGTCACCACAGAAATTAATAATGGTTTAGAACGTACATCCCACTAATCTCACTATTATTGACCTATAACTCATTGTTTTTCAAGGAACTACTAAGAATAGAATTGACGTGGAAGAGCTCGAGAGCGTGTCCAAGAAAGTCATCGACACTTTCTCTGATGTCCTGCAGGACTATGCTAAAGGAGGCCTTGATTATCATTTTTCCTCGAAACACGACGGAAAAGGACCCCACGCCAATGTCCATCATCCGGACGCGGACAGGGTCCACCTCCTCCTTGCCGGCCTCGGTGATCCCAACGAAAGCCTCACCAGCTGGGAAGACGTATTTCATCGCTGTAACGAGGAAGATATGCGAGAATCTTGTTCAACGTAGTTCTCTTTCCTCCTTCCTCTACCCTCTTCCTAATCATATCTAGGACCGTCATCGATTTACCTGGATACGGAAAGACCAGACTGCTCTTTGAAGCAGTTGCGAAGTATTTTCTGATATATTTCACTTGCTCTAGGGAGGAAGCGACTTGGACAACGGGATCAGGTGATGTACAGTGGGTGGTGGAAACCGTTAACACGACTTCAAAAAGCACGCATGAGGGTTCGAAGGCAGTGCGGAGAGCATTCTACGTCCTTGTCTACACAAGGATGTACGTTCTCGCCTCCTTCCTGGACCTAGTTTTATCACAAAACCCGGCCCCTTTCGATGCCCGCCGCCGCCTCTTGCTTCTCCAAGCCTGTCCACCATACCTCGCGAACTCAGAGGATATCTTCGTCCACATCGCAAAAGTAGCTCAGACGTTTGATGGCGACACACTCCGCCGTGCCGCTAGGAAATTCTTGGATAAGTTTCGTGACTCCATCAAGAAAATCGTGCACGGCACCAACGACTCACTGCGGATACATGTCACCTTTGATGAAGTGCACATTGCCACTCGTGATCCTTGGCTCTCCCAAAGATGTTCAATCCTTCCACGGATGCTCGAGATGATGGATTTCTCTTTGCACCCAAGGACGGTCGTGTGTGCGGCATGAAAGATTTCCCTTAATATGCTGAATATCGGTTCACTGTACCCGGGATTAGTGGGCTTGAGCTACGCAACGAATACCCGGCGTCTCCAGAGTGATAATTTGGAAGAGTATATTCTCCGTCATCTGAAAGTGGTGCCTCCTAGGCTTCTTGAAAGAATCAAGATGTGGCTATTTCCTCGGCGAGTCACTGATATGCTACTATCGAATTTTGTCAGCTTACTGGTGTCCAGACCACGACTTATTGCGAGGTTGCTAGAGATGTACTTGGCTGCAACTCAGAGCGGAGTCCTCACTGCTTACTGCTCATGAAAGTCCCGGTCAACTCGCTGTGCACTATGCCTGCACTCGTAGTTTCTGATATACGACCATTGACTCGGGTGTCAATAAAGAGGAGGCCGTGCAAGTTGCTCGGTGAGGTCTAGACTGACATGCCAAGGCTGTAACTGCTGTATTAGGATTTGGCTTGTTGTCACCGCTATGCCCACGGACAGTCTCGCTTGTGATGCGTCATTTGTGCTCGCTCATTCTGTTTGAATTTTGCTATACCTGGGTAGCGTGGTGACTATCTCCGCCATGTGCCGCCTGCATGGTCATTGGCAAGTTGGGGCTGTCCGCGAAGAGCTAAGGGTGCTGGATCTCGAAAGTGATGGTGTAATACTCATAGAGTGCTTGAGGAGGGCTAATACATGGGTGCAGATTGAAGAAAGGTGGGACATTTGCCGAATGTATCTGCATCTAGGTGTGGCCTGGTTGTTCGCTGCTTGTCTGTTGCCAGTTTTGCAGGTTATGCCCCGCTTTAGGGCGTATCGGAATTTGAACGAGGTATATTGCATACAGAAGCTACAGGAATTTTACTTCAGTCTAGGTGCCTATGCACCTAGTGACGAAGACGCTACTGCCAGCTCGAACCCGCCTGTTGTAGTACATCGGAACACTAACGCAGCCCACGACGTCAGTACGACACAGCCGAAAAGAGCTGTGACTCTACGCACCTCGCTTCCCCATCACCCAGCAGGTCTCACTGAGTCATCCACCTATTCCTCTGAATTGTCCACCCCCAAAAATCCGAGTTATCCACTCCAAAATCTGAAACGAGACCCTTTCAGAGTTCGAGCGCACATGTTGAAGGGCAAGGCTGGTCCTCTGTGTCCGATAACGAGGCATTCCGAAGGGACAAAGGGAACGGACTTTGCCACGGGCAAGCCTCGGAATCGAGAGAGTGGGGGCTTGGTGGAAAGAGGACGACACTCAGCGCCGGTTATCGGTCCGATGCCTACCGGTCCGATCCCCGATTCTTTCCGAGATAAGGAGGAAACGACAGAGGGCCCTACATAGATGGATAACGACCATCCTCCTGCCAACTCGTCAAATTAGGGGCTATCTTAGTCAGAATTTATACCATAAATGCTCGTCATGTGAGTCCTCGTGGACATAATGCTCCACTGATAAGATAAAATGTGGAGCGGTCTCACCACTGTTCTCACGGTGGTTCCGAGACGTGCACTTTCTGGGAAGACGTTGGTCAGCATGTTCAATTTCAGCTTCTGACTTGTCGTCGGCGTCCGTTCTCGCAGGCATAACTGAGCTACCTGACTTATAAAACACTTACACTGCTCATACTGGTCGTTTAACGACGGCTGCTGCTGCGAGGTCTATAGCTTGATTGATCGAACAAGGTATGCATATCAGTATTGTGCTTAGCGGCGTAAGTAACGGCTTTCTGGATGTAGGGATGCCTATTCGAAATGTTCGTAACTTTCTGACTTGTTCTTCATATGCGCCCTTTCTTATGGTCCCGGATTGCGTTCCTACCACAGATAAAGAACGAAATAACACTTAATTATTGTGGTGATAATCTTCGCCACACGGTCTCCTTGAAGCATTTGCTAAGGGGACGTCACTCGGTGACTACGCTCTGCGTGCGTTAACTGCTCCTTGGGAGTTTTTTGATTGGACTATAAACGCTTGGCTTGTTATCGTCGCGATGACTTTTCCAGTTTGGAAGCTGCCATGTAAGTGTACTCGAGTTCTGGATGAGTGTCTGTTGCCGCCTGATGGTGTGGAACATTCCGTTGAAGAATTTCCTCAGTATTATGATCCTTTGTACTTTCCGGGTTTCAACTTACCTGTTTTTCGTGATGCCGAGAGCATCGGTTCATGGCTTCAGCATGCGTTCTCGGCTGAGAGTGGTTGGGAAGGAGTTGAAGTGAGTTTTTCCAATGGCTGTTTCATTGTGGAAGATGTATCGTGCGACATTCAAATGTTCGTTACGCCGCAGGATATCGAGAATGAATACTTTCATCCCCGTAACTTTTATCGCGTCGGTGCCTCCATTTTAAGCTGTAATCCTTCGTGGTTGTACAGAACTGCGGACGAAATCCGGGATTGCTTCGATGGTATTACTGTGAAAGACATGGGCCGCGTCCTTGGAGACTGGCATAAAGTGAAGAATCGCGAGTGTGTGATCGAGGCTGTCACTAATGAGTTTTTATTGCTTGCACGTAATGTACTATTGTCTGATGATGACTGTCTTCTTCGCTTGTGCAAGGAGAAAGCTATCGATGGTTGTCCGGAAGTCAACAGCAGAAGGTGGATGTGCTTCGAGATCTTCCGAAGTAGGTTCAGCGATAAGATATTTCCAAAGATTATAAGGCCTCGTGTGCGTACCTACTTGAATGTACCTTGAAGCGGAAGTGGTTTACTTCGAGCATTGGATCCGGAACTTGATGGACCTCATTTTCGAGCAAGAGCCAGGAGCTTGTCGACAGAGCTTCTAAACAAAACACTCCTGCGTGTACATCACTCGCGGCGTTACTGTTCATTGACTGATAGACGAGCGGATAAGTTGGAAGCGCTGCGCCGCAGTATGTGCTCCAGATGGAACGAACTTGTTTACCTTCCGCCATCGGTTATCGGAGACTTGATGAACGCGTATACTAATTCTGTCATATTGCATAGTAAGTTCGGAGTCCTTGACTTGCTTGAATACGAGTATGGTTCAGGCGTATGCAACAAATTCGTCGCTCCCATGCGTGCACAGCATCGTAGAATCTCACGCCAGACGGTTCGGAGAAGCCATCGTATGGACAGCAGTGCTCGTTTAGCTGATGTATACAAAGATGTAACAGAATCGTGGCCTCAGGTAGTTCCCTTGGATACGAAATTGGAGTGCGCACGTCAATACATGGAACGAACGAAATGGCCGAAAACACATATCTGTTCTGTTTGTGGCAGAGAACTGGAAGGTGGAGAGCCGCTTTTGGTGAAGCGGTACGACGAAAAATCTTTCGAGGGAATGTTTAAGGCGCTTCATTTCAGTATCTTGTCTGCAACTGATGATGATCGGCGCCCGGAAGAGGATATCGTTCAGCATCCCCTTTTGAGTGAGTATCTGCTAGATCCTCGAGGGTTTGAAAATGGTTTACTAAATATATGTCATACATGTGATTCACGTCTCAGAGGTGGTCGTCTTCCTATGTATTCGCTGCGAAATGATTTATACAGAGGTTCGTTGCCGGAATGTTTCAGGGATCTGACCTGGGTCGAAGAAATGGCTTGTGGAATCTATCGATGTACCTGCCATGTTACGTGTTTATTTCACAGTGGTGCTGAAGACCAGCCACGCGTATCTCATGGTAATACATGCGCACACGATTTGAACTTTGTCTCCACCGCATCGGTTTTGCCACGGGTTCCCGCTGACTTGAAGGGAATGTTAAGTGTCGTGTTCCTCGGTCCAAAACAGAGCAATAAAGATTGTCTGAAACCAATGTATCGTATTCGAAAGGACAAAGTTTGGGATTTCTTACAATGGTTGTCCGAAAATAATCCGTTGTACAAGAAGATCAGGCTTTCGAGGGCTCACCTGGAGTTGTATGAGAACGACGAGATACCAGGGTTAGATGCACGTCTCATCGAAGTCGACCCGTCTTCCGTTCACGAGATTTTCGCAGAGGAAACAGCAGGATTAGAGCCACACTTTGTGATGGATTTATCGAACGACAGTCAAGAACGTGTAGACGGTGATCAGGACGATAATCGTATGCCGTTGTTGGAGAGAATGGGAGTCTCAGATGTTGAATCTGTAAAGATACAGGGACGAACGTTTGAAGCCGCTGCATTGAGAAATTTAATACGTCCACCCGATGAGAAGCCAGATCTGACAATCTTTTCTGGATCAGAAGCTATAGGTGAATACAACAATCCCGATTTGATGAAGGGTATGTTTCCTACTTTATTTCCTTTTGGCAAAGGAGGCTTTGAAGAACCACAACGGAAAGTTACTGTTGCCTTTGATACGCACGCGAATTACTTTCTTGATATTGGAGACCGATCGTTCTGGTGTCATAACTCCTTCATCTTCGTTGCTATGAACATTATTCAGCGGCGTCAGGCTCATCTGCATACACATTTCACCGTCAATTCAGCAAACTTTGATGCTGTATCAGATGTCATCGAAGGTATAAAGCCGGCGACGTTAAAGGCGGTGGTGGCAAAGCATCTCGAGGAAGAAGGGAAGGTTGCTGACTTGACAGCAGAAGAGAAGAAGGTGTTCACGCTTTTGTCTAAGGTGAAGACGATCGCTGCGAAAGTAACTGGATCAGAAGCTTCAAAGATTACTTATCGAAACGAGATAAGGTCGTACTGTGGACATTTTGGCATACCTCATATATTTTTCACTGCTAATCCGTCTCCACAGAACAGTCCTGTTTTTCAGTTGATGTGCAGAGACACTGCTATCAATCTCGATGAGCGTTTTCCAAAGATGGCAGATTATGTAAAACGTTGTACTAGGTTAGCGGACGATCCTGTGGCAGCTTTGGATTTCTTCAATTTTTCTTGTAAGGCTATGATGTGTTGCCTTTTTGGATGGGATTTTAAAAAGAGGAGATCTTCAAGAGAAGGCGGAATTTTAGGACATTTGAAAGCATTTTATGGAACGACTGAACTCACCGAACGCGGTTCGTACCACGTACACTTCCTCATCATTTTAATGGGGGGCTTGAATCCTGAAGAAATGCATCGTCGTCTAGAGCAATCAGAGGAATTTCAGGACAGATTTTTTGAGTTTTATGATGATATAATCAGACACGATTTGCCTGAAGATATCGCTTTTGATAAGCTCGGGAAACCGAAAACGGAGAGGCCTCCACAACCACCCGATGAAGACGCCCAGCCACAAGAAATTAGAGATTTTTTGATGCGCTTTGAGCAAGAGGTTAAGTACTGTGGGGAACTGTTACAACGTCATTCTCATCATGATGTTTGTTATAAGTACGGTCATAAAACTTGTCGCTTTCAGTTTCCGCACGAGTATGTAGCGCATTCGCACTACGAGAAGGAAACTCGTTCGGTTGTTGCAGCCTGTCGAGACATTCTTGTTAATTACTTCAATGACTTTGTGTTAGTTTACTGCAGACACAACCATGATATGAGATGCATTTTGTCTGGAAAATCCTGCAAGGCTGCAATGTTCTATATCACTGATTATATCACCAAAATGAGTGTGAAGACTTACGAAATGCTTTCCTTAATGGCAGATGCATTGATGAATGCGCATACCTCACTTCTTGAAGGCGAACAGCTGGAGGCACGCACCGTTCTGCATAAATGTCTTGCTCAATTTGTGAAAATGCAGCAGGTACATGCGCAGCAAGCAGCGAGAGTACTTCGTGGCCAGCGAGAAGTCTTTTGTTCACATGAAATGGTACTGATGACATCCGGATTTTTGATGAAGTACGTTCAGAAGCGGTGGCCTTTCAGTGAAGAGGATGAGACAGAGGAGAGTGAAGATGTGTATCTTGCTGTTCGTTTAAACAAGAGAGGATCACTTGTTTGGCGATGTCAAGTTGCCGAATACTTGAATCGATCGCTCGAGCTGCTTCCGATCTCGTTCTATGAGTTTGTTCATCATTTCAAAGTTGTTCGCAAGGGTACGAAGGACGAGGAAGTATTGTCCAACTATGTTACCGGCGATAGGATTGATAAGATGAATCGTTTTCCGTTTTCGCCTGGATTTGAACTGTTCGACACGCATGAAATTGCTGAGCATACTAGCCTAGAGGAAGCAGAGTACATGTCAAAGATGGTACCTCGAAGCGTTGGTTACCACTTACCTCGAGCTCACGATCGGTGCTATAAAGCATTTATGCTTGCTCATTTTAAGCCTTTTCATAGGACTGTACCTCTTGTTAATGAAGGGCAATCAATCACTGAATGCTTTGATTCTTACAGGTTCAGTAAACAAGCGAAGGAGTGCATGAAGAACTGGGAAGCTATGAATGAATGCGAGGATGAGCGAGACGCGGACAGGTTGAGGAAGCGACAGTCTTTGTTGAGAGATTCTGCTCTATTAGAAAGAGTTTTCGACAATAATCTGGATAACTTGCTGGAATTGCCTGTACCTGGGAAACGTGATGTCTCTGTCGAAGCCAAAGCTACTCATGACCTCATTCATCTGACTGAGTCTGGATGGTTTCATCCTACAGAGAAGATTGTAAATCCTCAGGACCCGCTGTTCAAGGAAATGTGCGTTACTTCTACAATGATGTCGAGATGGCAAGCTGAGATTCGAGAACACGAGAACATAATCTCGGCATCACGTTTGAATGCTGCTGATGCATCTCATCAGGTGCAAACCGATGCTCCGACGACGACGACTACAGCATCTGGACTTGATTGTCGTACATGGAACTTCGGAGCGAATGGTCTTCCGAAGGATACCAAGACAAATGTTGGAGAAACCAGTGATATTGGACTCCTGATTTCACGGACGTCAAAGGCTTTCAAGCTAAATCGTGAGCAAGATATGGCATTCAGGATAATGGCGAAAAATTACGTTTACCGGAAGACTTTCCCTCCTTCTGAAGACAGCCATGCTCCTGAACCGTATCCGATGCGGATGTTTCTCATGGGTCCGGGAGGTACGGGCAAAACTCACGTTATCAAAGCACTGATATCCATAATGGAACATTGCGGTGATGGTCATGCTTTGCGATTCTTGGCGCCTACTGGTTCAGCTGCAGCTATCAATGATGGTATGACGATCCACAAAGCGTTCGGTCTCAGAGTGTCTGATAAGGCGTCCAAACATACGACACGATCCGTCGAAGGCAAAGAGACCTTCATGTCTACTATGTCTGTTAAGGCCCATAAGGCTCTTCGCCAGAACTTTAAGGACGTACAGGTTTTAGTTATTGATGAAGTTTCACTGCTCGATCAAGCATTGCTACCAGACATCGACGCTTGTTGCAAATACGCTAAGGATAAGCCACATTGGTGGTTCGGCGGAATGATGGTTATATTTACAGGAGATCTATATCAGTATCCGCCTGTCCGTGGTACTCCTGTTTATTCAAGGATCAAGGAAAGAACCCCAGTCAATGATCATAACCTAAGCAAACAGTTGGGTCGAATGGTTTGGAACTCTTTGACAGACGCTGTATGCTTATATAGGCAGAAGAGAATGGAGAAAGATCCAGAATACGCCGCGGCAGTAAAACATCTTCGTTTGCGTCAATGTACTGATGGGGACGTCGAATTGTTCAATAGTAGAGTCGTCAAATCGTTGGAAGAACTGAATGGTATTGATATGGAAGGCATGGAAGCAGTGGCAGTCGTTCGCACAAATTTGTTACGCCACACGATAAATTCCTATAAAGCGAAGAGTAACACTTGCGGGAAGAGGCTGATTACTTGCTGCACTGTCGATAACATTCGAGGAGGCATTCTGTCTGACCACAATCGAAGAGATTTGTTAGACCGAGATGTGTCAAGTCTTATGAACAAAGGAGCTTTGCCCGGAAGATTGTCCTTCTACATAGGTATGCCTGTCATCCTCCGTTCAAAAAATTTATCTACTGATTTAAAGGTTACTAACAGAGCGCAAGGATTTCTTCGCCATGTCGAGGTTGATGTGGACAGGTATGGATATACGTATGCAAAGTACGCTGTGGTTGAGTTTCCTGGATCGAATGTTAAGCTTAACGGGCTGCCACAAGGATGCTTTCCGATTTCACCTGTTATCTGGACATTTAAACATCCCATTGTAGATGAGCAAGGAAAAACCGTCAATATTTCCATTGCACACGAGCAAATGCCGTTTCAGGGTGGCTTCGCTTGCACTGGTCAAGTCGCTCAGGGACAAACGATGACGAGCGTTCTAGCTTTCATTGATGAAGGCGGGTTTGCCACGTATGTTGCAGCATCTAGAGCAACATGTCATCAGGCTCTTTTCTTAGCTAACAGAGTACGGATTACTGATCTGAATAAGCCGTTGCCATTTGACTTAGTGGAAGAGATGCGTAAAATCGAGTCTATTGCTTGGAACACTTCGGTCACTCATGGATTCGAGCAAGGCGTGCTGTTAGATGTACCTGCTCCTGAAGTTCCCTACCCCGTAGAATTTGAGGTGTTCAAAGACCGGAAGCGTGAAAGAGATGACGAAGGATCGACACTGCATGAAGAACCCTCTCCGAAAAAGCTGCGATGTACGTCAGGCACCAATCCACGAAAACGGAAGATAGAACCGACACAGCGGGAAGAGACGTCTGAGGAACATCCAAAGAAAAGACGTCTGGCTGGGTCGGATCTCCGACAGAGAATATTTCGTTTCGGATGCAGCTGGGATAATCAAAATTGGTCCTGCACATATGATTCAATATTGACATCTCTCCATTTACTATATCATTCTAACGGGAGTGACTGGCAGGAACAGTTCGCCCAGAGCACTGATTTCGGCCGAATCTTGTGTCAGTTCTTCAGAACGGTTCCAGAAAATGATACGCATGTTAGCAGTCAGGCCCTTAATAGACTTCGAGACGATGTATGGGACATTCTTTCTCAGGTAGCTCCTGTTAACTTTCCATGCTATGGCGAAAAGATGATTGCAGCGACAGATCTGTTGGATCTGTTAACGGAGTCGGATGATAATATGCTTCTACCTGCATATACTTGCGCTCTTGGATGCCAGAAACAGTTCCCGGAATCAAAGGCAGTTTTTTCTGGAATCTGCAGCCCCAACATCTGGTCGACTTTCAGCGAGTCTATGGTAGGAGCACCTACTGCGATGACACAACAGTGGTTGAATGCATGCATGCAAGGCTACACTGTTGCGTCCCGTACGTTGCATCGTGAAAGTACTGAACACGCTCGCACATGTGGAGCTTACGCTCAGTGGACTATCGCTTTTGCTCGACCGCCTTCTCTGCTTTACCTGCAGTTGTATCCTGAGTACGCACTGACGACGGCAATTGCGTTGGAATTATTGACACGCACTTCAACCGAAAACTGCTTTTACTGGCTGGCATTCATCATATATTATATGGGTAGCCATTTCACGGCTAGGATATTCCTACTGAACCAGATATATGAATACGATAGCCAAGTGAACGGAGGATCGCTTACTACCATAGATCTCCTTGGAGTAGACCTGACTCACTTCAAATCAGGACGTGCACACATCGCAGCATATTATCATGTACCATAATCCTAGTTATGAAGTGCTTTGATATAAAGTGTACCGTCTTCTGCACTCTGTATTTACTCCGAGCACCATTTATGCAGCGTAGCATTAGCAGCAACGATGAGTTGCAGCGTCGGTGTCAGTCTTGTAGAATAGAGCGCATCCAGATGTCTGGTTGGCAGGTAATACAGTCCGTATGGAACGTAATCTGCACAAAATTGTTCAAATACCATTATCTACCATTGCACAGTGAATGGGGCTCATGTACCACGAGTATCCATAAGCTGACCAGCTAGCTACTCGTCTTCCTTCCCGTCGGGTCTTGTTACCGCTCCGCCAGTACTTTGAGTTGTGGTCATACACTCTGAACCGCTCAATTATCTTGAATCCCTCAATGTCAGGGCATGGGGTGTCGCATTCATGGAATGAGTCGTCTTGAACGATGCGTTTGCAGATTTTGAGATCGACAGATGGAGGTAAAGTCGAGGATCGCTATCCAGCGCATATCGGCCGCGCTGCGCTACACAGAAACATACGATGAGGCCTATCATCAGACGACTGAGTTGAACAAATTCTCTTCAATCCATGTAGTGACTTCGTACGGCATGGGACGCAAATGGGTGTATGGAGACATGCAGTCACTAAACGAAAAGGCAGACAAAATAACACGTCCTCATATTGGATTCGGGTTTTCTAAGGCAAGCAAAAGTATCTTTGGGTGACAGATTCATCGAGGCAGGCTCCTGTGGGGCTTACAAAAGCCCTGCAGCTGCAAATAAGTGGATGAGTTAGTGAAAAAAATAAAAAATAAAAAATAGTAGTACATTTTGGGCCCGTACTCTGCCGAATGTCATGAACAACTTTGATACTCGTTCCCCTTCGCAAGGCTTGAAACAGATCCATGAGTGAAGTAGTTCAAATGTGTTGTTGTAGTAAGTTGCAACTCATAGCCGAACTTTCCCCGAAAAATATGATGCCATCATGTGAATTACTCTAAACATAGCTCTCGCAGGAATACAAAATGAAAAAATACTTTGTATACAGTACTAAATACATTAATTCATTACATATTAGTCCTCAGTTATCATGCTTGAACTGGCTACCTTGCTTCCGTTTGACGACGATGAACACCAGAGGCGACACTTCGCCGGCAAAGCTTGAGTGGGATGCTTCTTTTGAAAACGGCGTTCATCCAGAATCTAAGATATGTTTTGTGAATGTCGTAGCATGTATGGTGGACAGGAAAGACTCACCTTTCTCACTCCCCATGATAATAACGACACCGAATTGAGATGAGCAGCAAAACGCATCGAAGGAGAAGCCTCCGATTTAGCTTTAATCAATCGGAAGGAGAAGCCTACATTGACGATTTGACCAGGTCAAAATATCCCAGGCTTAATGCCCACGATGCGTCATGCTCTACAGATGAGATAAATACCTGTGAACATTGGAGAAGAACATTCTTACTCGTTCTCATCGGTTACACTGAACTTCTCATAGGAAACTTGATTGTCCTTGGTGTACGCAAACTTCCCCTCACCAATAGCGCTTTGAAGAGTCTCGCTCGGATTGTAGGACGATGGAAGAACCACGATGTCCTCAGGAAATGCTGAGTGTGCGGGCATTAACAGACGATTAGTGAAGGTGAATTCACGGGCAGTACTGTGTTGAATACCGTACAGAGCTTGAACGGGAGTTCCTACGGATTGTTGTAGAAATTCGATCATGTGAGACATGGCGTAGCCTGCCATATGGAAATCTTGATCGTCCTCCGGGCCAACGAGCTTCACTGTTTGCATAAGCTCATTCATACTGACCCTGATCATCGTCAGCATAAGCATTTCGACTTGAATATCCAATTATACCGGTGGCTCTTCAAAACAGGAGGTAACCTTGCCTCCGAAATCACTCCAGATACATCGAAGACTTCCTCTTCTCCTGTTTCCCCATTAGCAACGAAGGCAAAGTCATCCGACGAGCGATAGTCCACAGTGAAATTGTCCATGATGATCTCCGTTGAGTTGTAACGCGACAGGCGTGACGGCGTATCCTTCAACTTGGAGACAACCTCTCTGTATCCTCTTTCTGTAATGTGTTGAGAAAATCTATTATGCGTCTTCATAAACCACTGACTGAAATCATCTCCTCGAAGGGCTGCGATAATGCTTTCGTTTGCTCGATATAAAGGAAGAGACATTGTTGAGTGACTTGTGAAGCACCACGGACTTCCAAGATGCGAATAATAGGTGTGACGTACATTGATGTGTGATGTTCGTCATCGTCGAACAGTGAGACGTCATTATTTCTCATCTGACGCGCGGCTTGAGGGCAAAAAAAAAATAATAATAATAAATTTCATTTACTGAGGACCTACAGTACATCCAGTAACAGAGTTCAATTATCATACAGTGTTTTCTTTACAAATCGAACGAATTTGTCTTCTGACCTGAATACGCAGCCGTCAGCTCACTACAGATGTGAAATATATCATGCTCACCAAGTAAGCATCACCGGCTTGAGGTTGCGCATAATCTTGTTGGAAATACACACGTAGTCGGAAAACTTGGGTAGTTGGAGCCACGCGTAAATGGCGTAAAAGCCCTTGTCTGATTCCGGAGAGTAGAGTAATCACCAGCTGTGTCCTGCAATAACATCCACTTTATTGACACTTCTCTCCACTATATCCGAGATCGTGAGTGGTCCTTCACAAGGAATACACCAAGAGTGGCAGTCGCCGACGAAGCGGTTCACTTTGTGAAGGTCCAGCCTCACGTCTGACGTGCTCTGCATCAGCATTTGCCAACCTCTCCCGATCCACTTCTCGTGGGCTCAAATAGAATTGATGTCATTTCCAACGTGAGCCACCGCCATGTTCTCTACCGCTGTCGCTCAAGGGTACAAACAGTAGGCATATTGATAGCTGATAACATTCATTACACATGCTGGACCACCGTTAGTTTCTTGAACCATGAAAGAATAGACGTCCTCGTACTGGAGTGAAAGCCAAGTATGATATCCATAGGAGGTCCATGAGACGCTATCACTTGCACGATTTTTCCTCAGTCATTACGATATTCTTTTACAGACGCGATCGCACTGTCGACGTATTTGCTCCGAAAGACCATTTCATTGGGGATCATTACCGTCAGCACTTTGTCTTCGTCGTTGTCGTCGCTGTCTACGAAAAACACTGGCTTGGTAAGGTCCACGAATAATCGGTACCCGGCCTTTCCGAGGACAGAAACAAAAGCACGTTCGTTCTTCGTATTGACATAGACGTCCAAATCGCTGCTGCCAAAGAGATGCTCCTTACGAGTAAACAGACCAGTGACCTGCGAAAAATGAACAGAGAAGATTACTTTCAGAACAGAGCAACTACTCACCTGTGATCCTGATACTAGGACACCAAGATCTCTTTGCACGCGACAGAATAATTTCAGGGTGGCATCTGTCGAGAAGAAACGCCGTAGAAGTGATAATACGGAAAACCGTCGAGAAATGTAGTCTGCGACGTATTCGAAGCAACGACGCGAAGTCGCGGAATACCGGACAACGTCTCCTACCCCAAGATGACTAAAAACTTCGTCCTTGAGCTCCGCAGGCCTTGAAATCTCGTAAGTTATGTAACATTAGTAGTTGTGTGGTCCACGCACAGTCTCTCCATTTCTCGTTTGAGTACTCGATGATTGTTCGCTGTAAACAGCTGATACAATCAATAACGGGCTGAAACAGCTGTTTTGGCTTAATGTTCCCATGATGTCATAGTGATATCAACTCGAGACATGGTCATACTAGATGTCGAGTGATGCATATAGCTGATGTCAGTTTTGCCAGCGTCCACGTACATTAACCTAAAATATGAATCCGCGTGCCGACCTTTGCCACAAATCAAACATTCTCCATGCCAGCAGCACATCGTTCTAAGTAGGTCACCGTGCTTTCGTTTGGACCTTAATCTGATGCTCCTGCAGTGCTTCAAAGAGGGATCTCTCTCCAGCCGAGGACAGTCCAGTAAAAGCTAAGCGTGTATGCAAGGAGACGAAAGAGTTCATGTATTCCAGCCTACGCACATGAGGTTATACTGAAGTACACCTATGAAGGGAATCTCCTTTGTCCACAACAAGTACGCTGAACTCTGGAGAATCACAGTGAGTACAGCATTTTTTATTTTATTTTTTACCATATGATTACAAGTGCTACTAGTAGGGAGCCTTCGAAAGATGCAAAAAGTGAACCCGTTGTTGCTGAACGTACGGTTGGGAACACTGGACAGTCTCAGTGAGTTCAACTCTTTCGATACCTATGCTTACTAAAGCTACTGGTAGGGAGGCTTCGCACGATGGAGACGGCGTTCCCCTTACGGATGGTACAAGCAAAGACGCAAGCGGTGAACCCTCTGTTGCTGAACATACGGCTGGAAACAAGTGAGTTCAACGCTTTTAATTCCTATACTTACTAATGCTACCGGACTATTTCGCATAACGCCTCCCATATTAACGTCCATCCACAGTCATACACATGAAGCTCTTGTGGGCCCTTACCAATGCATCGTTAACACTCTTGTTCCATTGCCACGCATTCAAGACTACATCAAATCGAGGGAGATGCCAGAGAGAGTTCCTACTGTCAACATCGGACATCTCTTTAGTAGTAACTTACCCGTTGTTCAGTACGTTTATCTTCTTCTTCCTGCTATGTGTACTGATGTAACGCAGGCACGTAATACACCTCGCCTTTGCACCTTCAAAGGAAAACTTAGTGAACCTCGCACTCATTGATCCGATGGAATTCGCCCTTCATAGCGAGCGAGTTGTGCACACCACTCTCGTAGCTCAAAGCTTCTTCATCATCGGTTCCGTTGTCTACAGCGACCTCTTTAATGTCGGTAACACTAAGCAGATTTGTATACAGCCACTTCATTTTCTTTGGCCCCGTGTGGCTGCAGTTATCGGGCGGATATTCGATGTTTCTCCGGGATCTGTATTACTCAACAACGGCTTTCAAGGTGGATTATCGTTCTCATCCTGGCTGAAGGGGGATCGTAGTAAGTCATCCTCGCTACTGGTTCATGGACGTTCCTTATTGTTATTGGTTAGACAAGTCATCTAGTGCTAAGTCCTTTCCTGTCAACAGACGATGGCACGGACCAAGTACGTCTCGTTCTGAATATCAATGCTCGCATTTCTGCTTATCGCTGCCATTCCTGATAGCCATCAGACCCTGGAATGAACCTGGTAAGCTTCAAGCCCTCGTATGTCTTTTCGACGCTGCTCAGACTCTCATCAGTTCCCATATTTGACTGCCGTTCGCGCTTCAAATTGTCGACCTACAACACAGCTCCGAAATATACCGAAGATCCAGAGAACGGCAGTATTGTTCTCATCATCTTCACCCTTGGACGCTATAAGGAGCTGAGCTATAAAGTCGCTTCTTACAACATTCAGGTCATCTTGAAGCTGACGAATTCGCCCACAGAAGGTGATGGGGAGCCAGCTCGTAATCCTCTATCAGCGAATTTATCGGCTCTGGAACCTATAGGAGTTTGTGGAAGCGATGAAGGTGCAGATGACTTTATTCCACCGGAGAACGAAGCAGTAGATCCTGCAGAAGCGTCGTATTGAATTCATGTAACTTGTATATTAGTGTATAATATGTACTGATTCCTGTAAGTTGTATAGTAGTGTACTTTTAGTGTATTATTATGTAGTAGTGGTGCTACCTTTTAACCTATCGCTCAATCGAAACTTAACATTCGTCTGCGAAATTGATCAAACGGAAATGGAGAATATCGATCACGAAAGATTGGGTGAACTTGCTCGTGAACGAAATATTGAAGACTTGCGGTATCGTGTATACTAAACAGAGAATGTATCTCTGCAGTCGCACTGCTCATGAAATTGACGAGTTCTTGTTGATCCTCACCGAACACGTGGAAAAGTAAATGGCAAGTTCTTAGCTTTGGTAGTGTGTCGACGTCTTGGAGGTATTTTACAAGCACCGACCAATTTGTTCGATGGAAACCCACGATGCCGATGTCAAGCTGAATGCTGGTAATTCGACTGCCTTTTGGGATAGTGAAAATAGAGTCGAGAACACCCTTGGAGAGCGAGTTAAGAAATGTAAAGCGCACTTCCTCCAGGCTTTCACAGTGCTCTAAAGATATCACCGGATACTGATCTTCTCCATGCCCTTTCAATCTTCATAAGAACACGCTCGTGATATCATTAATAGGAGAACTTACAATGATGAAACATTGCCTCGAAGTACTTCAGACTTTCCTGGCAAATAGAAAGCAAGCGTATTGCTTCATGCCAGCAGCAGCTCATTATCGATACCTCCAACCGGACGAGGCTGCTCATTCTGGTCACGCAAGTCTCCATGAAAGTGCTGTCGTCTAGTAGCGACTTTGCACTGTCTTCATGATGAAAAGTGAACTCCTTCAATGAAGTCCTCGAGTATGGAGACAAGGACGGAGATAACAGGCGTGTGAGGCAAATGCTTTCCTTCGAAGAAAACGATGACGATTGAGATCCAGGTGATAACAGAGTGCACAGTCTCTCCTTCGAAAACGACAATGTTGATAACCTCGGAACGAGGGTGAACCAAACAAGGATATCAGCTGCCATATACGAACAGCTGATAAATTCACAAGCTGAAAACACGTCCCAACTTGCTTCTTCGTTCACTAGCTCCTGTAAAGCTAGGCTTTCTCCTGTAAATTTGAGGAACCGCCCACAACTCGTACACATCTTCACAGTTCACTTCCAGTCAGTATCCCAATACTTCTTTGGACCCCACAAATGGATTTCTTCAACGTAGCGCAACAAGTGAGGAGCATCAACCAAAAACTCTGCTGAACGGTGGCCTCCGCTCCACGAATACAGTCGAACAACTTTGACCAACCACCCTTGTGCCTTCATTTGCAATGACCTGCAGACCAAACTCAAAGACTGTGCATCTGTCTTCGAATATCCACAGACAATGTCAATTATAATATCTCTCACTTCTGTAGGCAAACGTAACATATGACACTGACAGTCACCGGGTCTATTCGGCAATGACTTTATAGACATCTGATTCATATCTTCAGCAAAGAGCGAACAGAGCATTCCAGAAGATAAACGTACGGATGAGGTTGAGGACAAGAGGGCACGGAATCCTGACAAAGATGTCAGTCCATTATGCGGACTGGTGCCACGCGAATACCACGTTGCTACAGGTAAATAGCCTTAAAACCCCCCCTGTGGTCTTAGACATGCATCACCATTCCTTCTCGAACAATCATGGCCTCAGATTCAGACGAAACTGATTGCTCCATCTCCTCAACCGACTTTGACAACATAATGTCTTCAGAGTCCATTCTCGCAGCGGCTCTGACTGATATTGATACTACATTTGCTTCAGACCACGACCCTCTGCTGCTGTCTCCTCTTCGACCTTTATCTGGGACTGCAGCACCATTCCTAGGGACGCCGACTGCTCACTCCCCATGGAACACCATCCAACCACAGTCAATCGATGAACCGCACATGCACACAGACGGAACCCAGCCAACCATTACCCCTGGAACTGCTTGCACCAACACCCGAACTGCGAGCTCCAGACTCTCCTGGGTGAAACCACAGACAGCAGTTGTCGCAAGCGACTACCCGTTGGCTGGTGATGAACCTAGCCACTTCAATGTCAGCAACGAGGAAGACTATGACTTCGTTGCTGCAGCTGAAGCAGCTGGGTACGTCGATTTGGCATGTGCCAGAAATTCCTCTGAAACATGGTGCGTGAACCTTGCGGACCATCAGCTGACTGCCTTCGACCCTATACAAGGGATATACCACTGGAAATCCAAGGTAACGAATGTGAGTATCGTACAGCATACCGTCTACTCTGGCTAACAATGACGCAAGGTTCCACGAGTGAGCGTGAGAGCACGGCAGCGAGTGTATCGCTCCTTACTGCTAGCACAGGTACGTAAATGCTGTAGATGAATAACTCGTTCGCTAACGGTGCTTAGTTCCATGAACTGTCCTCGCAATATCAAGGCGGTACATCAACAGTAACGACGTCCGAGTGGCTATTGAACCTTTATCAGCTTTTGCTGGATATGGGTCCACAAGAACGTCATCTCACTGATGTGGTTTGTCCTCAGGTTGCACGATCGAGAATATTGCTGTGCAACTTAGGATTCGCAGACGGCCATAGGAGAATCCATGATTATGCCGATAGGTTAGGCGATATGACCGACTGGACAGTGTGGCCAGTTCCAATGGCACCCAGAGTACGAAGCATGTTCATCACACGTACTGTTGCTAACTGGTTTAAGTGTGATTATTGCCGTCGCCATGCAACCATATGTTACTTCACAAATCCTGATACACTTCCTCCGAAGTGCCGTCAATGCGTGCTGGCCAACGTCCCTTGCTCTAACGCTTCAGTTTCTTCCGGAGTCACATCTCAATTCCCTATCACTACCAATCGTGGTGTACTAGCTACGACTCTCCGCTACGTCGCTGGCCAGCTCGAGACTGCTACTCCGGATAAAGCTCTTCAAGACTTGACTGTTGATATGCTCTATTCTGTTTGGTCGCTTCCCATGTAGGTATAATCAGAACTGTCATATGTAACTACTGATATTCTCTTATTGTAACTGTACATTAGTATGAAATAGTGTCGCCTAGTGTAAATTAGTGTAACAATAGTGTAAATTAGCGTAACATGTTGAGATAAGCGGTAATTCTCCAGCCGCTCACCCGGATATAGCAGGGAACCCTCGCAAACAGGCGAGGGTCATCGTCGTTCGTCTACCTATTTATCTACATGCCGTGTACACTAATAGAAGCAATATGATGTAATAAGGAAAGCCGAGGAGGAGAACAGATGAACGGTGCTTCCTACTGAAGATCCCGACGTCGACTGCACCATGATGTGCGACACTTGACATTCCAACACACCCCCGCAAGTTCGTGCATCAATACCAAGAAAAGAAGAGAAAAATGAGAGGAGAAAACATACAATGTACACCCCCGGAAGGTGAACACCGTGGTGGGAAAGAGTAACCTAGAAAGTGACATCGGAGTCACTCTCATAAGCCAACCCGGCGAAGTCCGCCGCCACAGTCTTCCCTTTCTTCGACTTCCGCCACTTCGCCCTCTCCTCACAATCCGCCTTCAAATGCCCGGCCTTATCGCAGAAAAAGCAAGTGAGCTCGACTTGACTGTTTCCCTTCAGGCCCCTGGATGCCTTGCCACCGCGAAAGGCGACTGCCGCAACTTCATCATCATCACCTATCCCATCCTTATCCTTCTCCGAACGTTCAGGAGCAAGCGACGCTTGGCGCGTTTCTTCGTTCAGCAAGCGAATAATCACGTTCGAGAGTGTGAGCTGGTCGGGAGGGGTCGCATCAAAGTTGATAATGACATTTTCGTAGGAAGGGGGGAGTCCCATGGTGAGTGCGAGGATTAGATCTTGGTCGCTGACGTCGATACCGGCTAGTTCCATCGCCTTCGCCATTCGCCTGATCTTTCCAACCCAAGCCTCCATGCCCTGGCCCTCAAGCATCTTCGCCGTCAAGAACTTCCTTCGCAAAGACAAGCTCGTTGCAAAGCCCTGTGCACGATGCACAGTCTGCAAGTTCCCCCAAATCTCCCGTGGGTCCTTCGAGTCCATGTGCGCCAGCTGCCCGACATCCACCCTCAAAATCATCTCGGCCCTAGCCTCCGCCATCTTCTGCTTATCCCGTGCCTTCAACTTCGTCGTGATCTCCACCAAGATCTCTGACTCCGACTTCCCATCTCCATCAACCTCAATCTCGACAATGTCGGTCCAGAGCTTCCGACGCGTGAGCTCGGCCTCCATCATCACTCGCCATTCCGCAAAGTTTCCGACCGATAACTTGGGAAAACGCGCACCAAACAACTCGTCCGACATTTTGCTCTATAGGCGATCTCGACGCGGCAAACAACGAATGTGGAGAGCAAAAAACGAACAACTGGACCGTCTCGTGGACCAGAAAAGCGAACAGCCGGACCGTCTCGTGGACCAGCAAAGCGAACGACCAGACCGTCTCGTGGTCTAGCAAGTGACAAAGGTGATCTCGACACCAGTGTCGGGGTGGCGGTGTAGCGATAGTCTCGAGAGTCAGCACAGAGAACGAGAGCGACAAGGACTGTGGGTTATGCTGCCTGTTTGTGTTGAGATAAGCGGTAATTCTCCAGCCGCTCACCCGGATATAGCAGGGAACCCTCGCAAACAGGCGAGGGTCATCGTCGTTCGTCTACCTATTTATCTACATGCCGTGTACACTAATAGAAGCAATATGATGTAATAAGGAAAGCCGAGGAGGAGAACAGATGAACGGTGCTTCCTACTGAAGATCCCGACGTCGACTGCACCATGATGTGCGACACTTGACATTCCAACATAACAATAGTGTAACAATAGTGTCACCTAGTGTAAATTAGTGTAACAATAGTGTAAATTAGCATAACAATAGTGTACTTTAGTGTACTTTAGGGAATGTTTTGAAAAAAAAAATTTTCATCATCGAAACGTATGGTGATGTCATCATCGTCATTTTACAACGTATACGCTACGTCATGCTGACACCCATGACTCAGGCTGCATGCGAGAACTTTCTTTGTCGATGCGTCCCCCTCAACACCACCAAAGATGATAACAGTATCTCACGACCATGTATCTCTAAATATGCGGCATCATTGCCGTGATATTACCGTCCATCCTTGTCGTCCCCTCATTAACGCCGATTTCATGGCAGCAGCAGCTTTGATTACTTGGCCGGACTTGAATCCGATAGATATCGCCGACGACGACGATGAAGAAGACGAAGAAGACTCCCAAGTCACTCACTTGGTCGTTCACGGCGACTATCACAACCTAGATGACGATTGTCCCCTCCATCATTTGACTTCGCCGCTGCCATCCCTGCACACCCTTCAGCTTAACTCGGTTGCTATCAAACCCCCCAAAAACCTTGAGTACAATCTCGACGACTTGCAGCGGCTATGCGTATGGAACAGTCGCGCATCTCCTCAGGGTTTATATTTGCTTGTACGGAGCACCACTACGTTAACCCACTTTGCATTCGGCGGAGAACAATCACGAGTAGAAGAAGATTCAGACGCATCTCATGATTTCGCTGTTCCTCCTCCTTCCTTCCCTCCTACTTTGCAGTACTTGCACCTGAACGTATGCGCAATAGTGAGCTGGGAAGGTAACCCATTGAGGAACCCACTTAGGCCACGAATGCTGTCCTGGCTCGCTTGCCTCAAAGGCCCGATAGCGATCAAAGTTTTCGAGTGTAAGGTATTCACAAACGATGTTCGGATACCGAGAAAAATTATATCTCTGGGCGAAGCAACCCTGACTCACCAGTGGGGTGAGGGCCGACGCATCCGCGTGGCAGGTCCGAGTCCTATGTTTTTTTTGTAATCTGTTGTTCATGTCAGAAATAAGCATCCGATCATATAATAGCCTGCCTATGTATGAACATATCATGATCTTTTCCCATCTTGTCTCGCGTCACGTTGACGTTGTCGAGCAGTCCTTCTTGCAATGCCTATCTTCCCAGTATCCTTAAACCATTTGTATGGGTCCACACGCTGAAGCGTTGCGAGCCATAGTAGTGCATAATATCCACTAACCGAAACTCCGTCACATCATCGGCCAAAGATCAATAATGGTGTGCACAATGGATTATCAAAGAACCAGTGCATCGTGGACCACGGCAACCTTCCTGTTCTAGCAAAAGAAAAACAGAAAGCACCATTGACACACTCATCGAAGACAGGATGAAGGAAGAACCTCAGCATCTCGCGCAGATGGGTAGATGAACATGAACAGACAGCTTTATTGATTGGTACTAACGGAACCATAGGATACAACGATGTTGGAATAAGCAGAGCTCGTATCGATGATGATGCAGTGTTGTCATGGCGAGAGTGCAGATGCAATGGACAAAATGATTTTCACCACCACCGGCGTAATAGTGGCATTGGATCTGCCGCCAATCGTGAAAGAGTCTCCGTGAGCGCCCACATGTTGACATGAGGTGAATAAATAACTATACCTTTTCAAGGGGAATGAGAGACGAGATCATTTTCTCAGCGAGTCGGTGACACTGTCCAGTCTGAGCAGCCAGGGATTCGGTAGAATGATTGCGCTGAGAGAGAGAGAGAGAGAGATAGAGTTCTGGCAGGGTCAATTGCAGGATTGGATGCCTACAAAGCACAAGAGTACAGTGTGGTGGAGTTCCCGAACTCACACCCCCAGCCCAAGGAAGTGATAGCCACATGAGGGAGACAAGGTCAGTGTAAGTACCCACCCCAAAAGGACTCCGAAGATACTGGCAGGGACAAATACGGCACACTGAGGACTACGAAGTCAAGCATTTAGAGGAAAATCGAGGGAGGCAAGTAAAAGTGAGTGCTGTATTCGAAGCGCCGTGAACACCATCTGATGGATACCAACAGATATGCGAAAGGGAGACCACGCATGTTCAGGATAGGGAATATCGTCGAGACACAATGTTCAGTGGTATTCGTAAAATGCAGAAGTAGAAGTGTAAAGATGAACATGGTATTGAGGGCACTTGCACCTGTGAACTGTGACCACACACAATGGTAAGCAACGATCAAACAATTGACGAGAAAGGAATAACAAACGCGATGTATTTTAGAATGCGGCAAAGAATAAGAGTACTGTGGGTAAAAAGGGCACACTACACACCCTGAGGATGATCAATGAAGCTTGAAGCACCACGTAGGATTCGAATACGAAGAAAATGAAAGTGGGACAAAGCGCAAGCGCAAGAGAGGAGAGCTCCAGGAGTGGGGAGGAAGGCGAAGACGGGTAGGGAGACGATGAAGAGGAAGAAAGAGAAGACAAAAAATGGAGAAACATAAAGTAGGTACGAAGGAAACAAGCAGGAGAAGCGCACGGAAAGATAATGAGGAGAGAGAAAAGTGGACGAGAAGTGAAGCGGAAAACAACGGACAAGGACACGGACGAAAGCGGGGTTGAATAAAAAAATTCCCACGGAAAGCTCAGGTAGGGAAATCGGCAAAGTCCGTTAAGGTTTGATACCTCGAATAGATTTTCCCATGGCCAATTCCACCTGCATAATGACCAAGAATCCTATATACATAGGACTCGGAATTTAAAGCTTTTCTTCTTCGGTTTGTTGATATTTTTAGCGCCTCGCAACTAACTGACCTTTCGTCCTTCAGAAACTCATGTCGGCAGTGCCTACCTCAACCTCATGTACCTACAGAACTTACGACGCCTCGACGTCCTATGCATTGACTCCCGTGTAGCCGACGTCACCGAGTCGTTTCGCTCAATCTCAACCCCCACCTTCGAACAACTCCATATCTATATTCCTTTAACATCATTAAGTCTGTCTTTCTCAGCTCTTCACACTCTCAATGAAGCCGCAAAACAAGGCGTGCTTCACAACAGTCGCACAGTACACATTCATCTTATCTGCCCTTCCGGCTCTCAGCAACAAGAAATGCACGAAGTTTACGGAGGCATAATATATGGACGTCTTTATCACCTTGTCGCTCTGCGTCGTTTGACTGTTCACTGGTTCTCAGATGACGGATTTATGGACATTTACCGTAATGCTCCAGGTAAGCTCTTATTTTTTGCGTACGCGCTACCTTACATGGCGTACAGAATGGCAATGCGTTTGTAATTAATATCTAAATGTACCTGTATTTCCGGTTTGGATAAATGTAACTTCTTCGTGATGTCACGACATCGCTAATATGCGCGCGCGCGTTCAAGAATATACTGGCTTTTTTCGCCACTGCCAACTCCATCGTAGGAGAAAACCTGTACAGCGATTCGCAGCAGAAGTACAAGTCCCTGAGTTGTTTACTCCCCTCATTGAAATACTACAGTACAACCGAAGCAGAATTTTGAGTAACCGTTCCGGGCAGAGCTACATAAAATGAAGGAATCAGTGATTAGTACCAACGGAATCGGAAAGAATCGGGGACCCGGCGCTTGCGCCGCTACCGACATAGATAACCGGCCGGTAACGAAACGACTGTTGCCAAGCATGCTGGCAACGTCAAATACGTCTCATTCTCCCGCCAGCGACTCTCCCTCATTCTCTGCTCACTTTTATCTCACCTCTCGCGATATTGCTAGCAATTATCGAAAACCTGCTGTCGCGACCATTCCAGCAGTTCCTGCGCTCCCCCAGAATGCATCAACCATCCGCAATCCCGGGATTTCGCAGCAAGATTCAACGCGATGGACCCGATCTCGCGCTCAAGAGCGGAAGACAACTCTTCTGGAGTCTAGGACGAGTGGATGCGTACAAGATACGACACTGATATCGCTGATGGAGGGCCCTTATAGGTAGAGGGCGTTGAAGATAGCCCATTTCGACTCAGGGAGCACAGATGGGGCTTCCCAATGATGTTCCCTTCCTCTGTCGTTCTGACATCTTCAGAATCAGATATACGCGTCATCAACACCGAGGAGGCTCATGCTATGTTTTCCGACGGTGCGAGTCCAACACCGGCCACATCGTCTGCCCCGCAACTCTCTTCAGGCCTTACGCAAACCACCACGCAAGACCTTACCCGATGTGCTCGATCTCATGCACCAAAGCTGACGACGTCGCTTCTGAAGCTTGGGAAGGCTGGACGCGTGCCGGATGAGGCGGAGTTATCGCTGATGAAGAATCGTTTTGGGCAGAGGGCGTCGCAAGCAACCCGTTTCAACTGGGGGAACACAGATTGGGTTCCTCGACATATTGGTGCTCTATACTCTCTCCTCACGCCTCCTCCCTCACCGATGGTTGTCTCGCCATCAATGTCGATATCTTCTTCTAACTGTTCATCAGTGCAGGCGCGAGATTCCACTTCAGCCGGTGACATAGGGCCTTATTCTACTGCGTTGTTAACATCCTCTATGCGACCTCATCCAATGCTCAGGCCTCCGGCCCTTTTCCCTCACGTGCAGCATCCCGACACTCAGATCTCTGCTGTTCTGTGCATCAAAACCTCGCAAGGTCCTTCTGAGCGAAGAGAGGATCTCCCTTTACCGGATGAAGGGGTATCGCTCCCTACTCTCGATGCTACAACTTTCGCCCAGTTTTCCCGTGAAGTTTTCCTTACGCAGACCTTGTCGTCAAACTCTCCCCGAGTGACGATCTGGATTTGTCTGACGGGGAGGAGTTTGTCATCAACGATGAACCCTTTGACCACGGATATGCGGAATGGATCGAGAGAGCCAGCAAGACAACGACTCGCCGCTGGAGGAATCAGGTGATGACGCCGAGGGTTATTCGGCCGGTTACGATGCATACGACAACTGCTACGAGGGCTTGGTGAACGATACTTACCAGTCTGAGGAGGACGCTGCTAATGAGGGTTATGATAGCCCAACATCGAGTCTCTACACGGATGAGTTAGCCTTGTGTATTTATTCTGCATGGTAAATATACATGTTTGCTGCCACATTTTTCTTCTGTTTCTTGCCCGGCTCCAACAGCCTGTATCGTATGACTGGTATCCAACTACCGTTTATCTATCAAGATGAATATTTCCCTTGCAAGTCACCTGCGATTGCGGTTCTCTTCATTTATGCCGGGAGTCCCGATATCAGGGGAGAACGCACTCCAACTTTCCCTACAGACTGGGGATATCATTTACCAGTCAGTCCATGGTTCCTACTTGACCCTAAAATTCGAATTCATGAGCATGTTACAGAAGCAACGTTACGACAAGGCTTTATGAAGGCCAAAGGCCAGGCCCTTTATGAATCAGTGACGGTCTCAATAACAACCTCCGCGAATGGCGGTACTGCGTTGTCACATCTGGAAAACCATGAATGGATGAATATAATAGGCGGCTGGAGGTAATGCTACTTGTTCCGTGTTTGAGTCGCGTTTTCTTATGTCACATTTTCCAGATAAGCATATCCCTGCAAGATCAAGACCTTTGGCACCGTCGAGAAATTCTTTCCACGGACTGGCTAGGACGTTCCTGGGCGGTAAATCACACTAGAGCCTCCTGGATTCCTCTTCATCCTGCAGTGTCTTGGGTCCACCGAACACGATGTACCCTCCAACTTCGTCAAGTCCGGACCGTTCTCCCATTCTGCGATATTGTTTGTCCCATGGAGGCTTATCTCCGACATCCCACGGTCTGTCGCCATTCCCCTCATACATCAATTCCCTCTCTGATTCTTTCCTGAGAAAGCTTCAATTCCGGGCAAACCGCATCCGCCCGGTCCATACGTCGGACTTCCTCCTGGTCAGTATTTAGTGCACAGAATCATGATAGTGATAAGTAGCTGACTGTTAACATTAGGTACCCGTCCTGAGGAAGCGGAGTGGTATAGCTCTAATGGTCCTCTGTAGTATCGAGGCTGGGCGACATGAACCGAATACAAGTGTGCAAAGATGTCGAAGCTGTCCTTGAGAAGACTAGAACTCGTGGAATGACTATGGGACACACCAGACTTTGAAGTAAGCGTTCCCTCCGGCCATTATCGATCATCGACGCTGGTATGTCTGAATCTCAAAACGCGTTTATTGGTGATGACATTCTCCCAGGCATTTCGCGCGCGTATGGCGGTGCTCTTTCCGCTTTGTCCATTCATTATACACTCGACTCGAAGCCCATTGATACGGCAGATGATCCTGATACAAATGGACTAACGTGAGATTCCAGTCCCGTGCGGTGTAGCATGATGACGGTGATATCCATTATAGTGCCTCGGAGTCCATTTATACAATGTGACAGTCCCAGATAACAGTCTTGATGTCGTCCTCGCCGTTTCGTCGCGTCGTATCTCTTTCATTTCTTATTGCATTGCTCTGGAACTCGGAAATATGTTTTTACGCGTATCAACAGTGTTTTTGTCGCTTGTCAGAGGGAGAAATCAGTATGTTATCGGGCTTGCATAACGATCAAGTTCCTGCAAATCTTGTCCCAGGGCTAAACGTTTTTATCGAACTCCATTGTATTGACCACGCGCGGTACATCTTCGCTCATTTGATCACCGTCGTTACACGACGTGGCAACTCTCGTTTCAAGTACATAATTGATCTTTGCCATCATCGAGTCGAAAACTTTAACCCGCTGCACACCGAATAGCCCGTAACCGTTCAGTACTTATTGGCTTCGAATGTTCATGACTTCCCAGTTGCCCCGACTTCGATTCTGTCTCGAGCTATCATCTCAAGTTCACAAATGGAAAAATACGCTGCAGCAAATGGCAAGAAAAAATGTCTTGTAGCTTGCGATGTCTGCAGATACAAGAAGAGTACGTCTCCATTCTCTACTTTTTGCTCCTCGAAGGTCCTCATATTTCTCTCCAGCTCGATGTAGGGCGCGTTGTTCTTCACCGTATCTACACAGCTGAGGTTGTATCATCAGGTGACGGGAATCGGATATCTGGTGGGCGATGCTCAACATGCATCGCATGCAAGTTGGACTGTATATACATCGAGTCCATCAAGGCAAGTATGATGACTCGGTGATACCACGTTTCCACTAACATTGCAGCCTAGGTCGCGCCATCGCAGCGGTCCGTTCTGCTACTCTCACATTCTCTAACATATGACTCAACGTTCGACTTTACCGTCCAGCTACGTCAGGAGCTTGGAGCACAAGGTAGAAAAGATGGAAGACCTTCTTCGCAAGGTTCGTACCGATGTTTTTCCCATGTGGAGGAAGAGATATCAACCGACCCTCGCAGATCCTTCCTCCGAAAGCAGATCTAAAGGAGGTGCTTGAGACCATTCAGACACACCCAGAGGACGCCCCGAGCATGTTATCTACCTGGGTACACTCGCTGAGACTCGAAGAACCCGAAATAGAAGATCGTGACCACGCACTGGAAAGAAATCTCGGTGAATTCAAAGACTATATCTTTGGTTATCGGTACCACGGGAAGTCAAGTTGTGCTCAATTCGTCCAAGAAGCCTTGGATGCCAAAGCGGAGCAACCGGGAACGCTGTACCATGTCACGAAATTCACTTCTCTGCGAGCCGAGTTTTGGGAAATTCGCCCGTGGAACAATCCCCATCGCTATGTTCCGCAAGGGATGGACTTCAGATTTCCACCCGGAGATCTTATTCCGACGCTCATCGACTCGTACTTTACGTACTTTAATACGTTTCTTCCCATCCTCCACCGGCCGACGTTTGATAAATTTTTGAGGGAGGAGCTACACTACAGAAATCACCGGTTCGGGGGAGTTGTTTTGACCGTCTGTGCGCTCGGTTCCAAATACGTAGATGATCCTCGAGTCCTCATGGAAGATGAACAGTCAAAGTGGTCGAATGGGTGGAAGTGGGTAGCTCAGGTCACAAGTCGGAGTCGTGCGTTTCCTTCTTTGGATCCTCCAAACTTGTATGACACACAAGTCTGCTGTGTAAGCCCAATATTCCTTCTTCACTATACGAGCTGATGAAAGTGACAGCTTCTCGCTGAATTTTACCTGACTTCCTCTGCACCGCAGCAGTCCTGGATCATAGTAGGCGCTGGCTTGCGGATTGCGCAAGATGCAGGAGCCCACCGAAAGACGACAACACATAACAGTCCTGTGAAAAATACAGTGGAGGCTGAACTGTGGAAACGCGTATTTTGGTAAATTTTCCAAAAACTCGGCCCTTGGTCTTTGTTGACCTCCTGTCAGGTGTCTTGTAGGTATCGATAGTTTCCTTAGCTCGGCATTGGGTCGAGCGTGTGCCATATATGATGAAGAGTGCGTCTTATCTCCTTTACTGAAGCTTGAGCTGATTATTCCCACAGCATTGACATCGATCTACCCACAGAGTGTGACGATGAGTATTGGGAACATCCTGACCCCCAACAGGCCTTTAAGCAGCCTCCCGAGAAACCGTCAAACGTGTCGTGCTTCAATTGTGCCCTGCGGTTGACACGGTTGATTATGATATGCATGCGCACCATTGTACGTCCCTCGACAGTGCCTTCTCAGATGATATTTGCTTACGGATACAGTACTCAATCCATAAATCCAAAGTCCTTTTTGTCCTCAAGAAAGACTGGGAACAGCAAATAGTCGTCGAGCTTGACTCTGCATTGGACAAATGGGTAGACTCTATTCCAGAGCATTGTAGGCCTTGTCATTTCTCCTACTCCTCACGCTGATCACATTCATCCAGTACGATGGAATCCCGATCGTGCTGACTTGTTGCATTTCCATCAGTCCGCAACCCTTCTACTGTTATACTACCATCTTCAAATGCTCATTCATCGTCCCTTTATCAAGTCTCCAAGCAGCGACTTTGATTCCCCTTCCCTATCTATATGCACAAATGCCGCACATTCGTGTTCTCACATCGCAGAACTACAAATCCAGAGGAAGAACAATTACTTGCCTTCTGTAATCAGTGTAAGGTTCTTCATTAGCCTGTGAATTATGTTTATTTTAATGTCTAGGAGCTGTCCTTCAATGCGGCAATTGTTCTCCTGATAAATATCTGGGGCCGACGGCGGGCAGGGTTGGGCATTGACGTCGATAAAGAGATGGAGGGCGTGCATAAGTGCATGCGAGTACTTGCAGATCTAAAGATACGGCACGTATACATGTATTGTGTTTGACTTCATTGACTAATTACAAATGTATAGGTATCAATATGCTGGTGTATTATGGTATGTCATTCTCTCTGAACTTCTGGTTGGCTACGAACACAAAATTTTACCTTCTCCAGGGACACTTTAAACGAGCTAGCGTCCGCTGGTGATCTCCCCCTTTCTGGAGCCGAATCCTCCAAACTTGCAGAGTATGCCGGCCCGAAGCCGTACGACGATTCTCAACAGTCACTACACACCCTACCGATAAACAATACCCACCTTGAACGAATGCCTCTCCACGGACAGGTTGATATGTCAGACCATTTCTCTGATCGGCGCAACATTAATCCATACAACTAGGCTGCGGCTCCCGCTACTGTCAGCCAAGTTGATAATGTCGTGAGGGCGATATGGGATAGGGCACCCAGCGGATTAGAGTACGTTCTCGTTCTTCTTACGTTGGATCGGGTAAACTGATCTTGGGTGCACTTATAGTCCGGATTACCGGAGGGATTATGCGGAGTTTTCTGGGGTCCACGCTACGGGAAGGGAGTTTTAGAGGTGGTTTAATCATAGATATTTTTGGTGGCGCGAGCAGGATTGCTGCGAAGCGCGACCTATTGGTCTTGGATAATTGATCATTACAACGTGCGAACTTTGTAGTTGTATTCTTGGAACAAAATAGGGTTTTGGGATCTAGAATCAACGGAACCATAGCAGTTTGACTTTGTCTAGCGCACCACACTCCCAGGATTTTTGACGACACGATGCGTCAGCGTCTGTACATCACTCCACAGCCACTCGAGAGCTCGAGAACATGATGATATCGAGCACTGGTTGAAGGACCCAAAAGGCGTTCGCATTTTCCAGGATGATCCTCAGGAGGTCTATGCTTCGTTTTCGTCAAAAATTGAAGTATTCTAATGGTCATGGTACTTACTCTGGAAGGTATGTGTATTGTTCTTTCTCTAGATAGAACTGATTATGTCTCTACAGCTAGATTGAGAAGTAGATGGCACACATTACGAATGGCAGGCTGCTTCAGAGCGTTATCTACAGCAGTATCAAAGACATGAAAGACATAGGAAAGGGTCGCCTTGGATTTGTGACAGAGGCAGAGTCAAGTGCTGTCATGTATAGTTGATGAAACGGCATTGTTAAAGATTCAAAGATGGAAAAAACATCGCCATAGAGTGGTTTGACGGGATTTTTGGCGGAAGTGAACCATAAATAGGGGCCGACGGCTAGGAAATAAATCATAAGGTAGCGTTTAGTGAGACCAGATTTTATATACACAGAACAGTAGATACACAAATTTGAAATGATGGTCTTCGCGACGGGGATGAAAAGAATTCGACAAGAATTCTGGCCCCTGGGTAGCGTACAGTAAGGGCTGCGTGGCGATCTCGGTAAGTCCCGGTGGCGGTGTTGACTCCCAACCATCACGCGTGTGGCGGTCAAGTCTGGTTCCTTTGTTTTCTTGAACAATGAAACGAAAGATGGCAGCATGTAAGACTGAAAGGTATTATTTAAACCAAACCTCCCCGTTTGACCGTTCCAGCGATCAGCTTCAGGATATTCCTATGCTCCCTCACTTTGGAGAATATGTTGCTTTCAAGCTCGACCCAGTCGCGTCCCTCAAAGCGCTCGATGATCCTGAGGTCGCCAAAGCTTGCGAAGCTCTAGAAAGCAAGACATACGTTTCCTGTGTAACCTACGTGCGTAGAATATTACTGTGGGCCACGACCATTCTAACTGACTCCTACCGTATACCAGCTTCTCTCATTTCCTTTCCCTGGTGTCAAATACGTCTCAGTATCGATGACTCTTCTTTCAAAAGGCCTTCCCAATGCTGATCCTGATCGCTTCATCACGTCGGATATGTCTGTACCAGTCTTACCAAATACCTCGAGCTCTGACTCGCAGTCGCGACCACCTCTGGAGCTATCCACATCTCTTCCTTGGCCTGACTGCTACCACCCAACCCAGGCAAGGGTGAAATGTCGCGTACGGCACGATGTCACCATTGGCGGAGATTGGCCTAACCCAAGTATCAGTTAAACAGCCATGATCAGATTCTCCTTGACCGAAGGTATCATGGCACGGATTCCAATCGCAGGGAGGTCCTGAGGAGAGAGCAATAGCTTCCTCAGTCTGCTACGGATGTCGACGTTGCGCTAAATCAATCAGACGAAGGCAAGGCGTCTTCGGCTACCTTGCCTCTCTCTGAGCACGATGCAGAAAGCGAGGACTGCCGTCCCCTCAGTGAATGCTCTCGTTCAGCATCTGATGCCGGCAGTGAACATTCTCGCCCCGCCAACGAGGCTGAGAGTCAGTACGCTCAATATGCAGGCGGTGCTGAAACTGGGTATTCGCATTCAATCAGCGAAGCCAGCGAGGGTCATGCCCCCGCAGCAACGCCTGCTTCTTCCTCCTTCTTTCGATCGCTATTTGAGAAGCTGCTTCCTTGTTTACCGTGTCTTCGAGTAGACTTCCATGACGATGACGACGAAGTAGCATCGATTTCTCCTTCGGACCCAGTTTGGTCCCACCCCATATTCGGCGCATGTCCTCCGGATACCTTGCCTGTCATGGTCGTATTGGGCGATCTCGAGTCACTAAAAGCAGAGCAGATCAATGATCCGTGGGATTTCTTTGGGGAAATTGATGCTTTGAAAAAGTACGTCCCTCAGTTCTCGTCGTTTAAATGCACTATCTGACCATTAGCTTGCGCTTAGAATCGAGGAAGGTTTCAAGGAGCGAATGAAGGCAAAAACCTGAGCTGCGATAGAGCGCGTGCGGCAGAAGGACGAGGCCCTCCATGTTCAACTTCAATCAAAAATGCCAAAATGTGCCTCCCCGCCAGAAGAGACAGCGGCAGCAAAACCCATTATTACTGATGCAGAAGGTATGTCAACATTATTGTAGAACAATATTTCTGAAGTTGACCATACATTATAGTACCCAAATCCCCTTGATCAAGCCAGACCTTGCAGAGAAGCTCTACTTGCGATGACTATGCTGGTATTTATACTAATTGTGCTCCCTTTAATGACATCCCATCTCCTACGGTTGCGTCGTAATGCTTACCTCGTCACGTCCGGCACGGAAGCCGGTGCCTTCATACAAGAGGAAGGAACGCCAGCAAGTAGAGTGAAGCTAAGCAAGAAAGAGGCCTTGTTTACATCATTTCGACATCCTGACGTCGATAGTCAACTTAACGTAACGATCTTATCAGCTTACAGTTGCCGCTCCAGTAGTATGCGGCTGCCCAGGTATCTATATATTGACTAGTTTGGAGTTCAGCGCGATTCGATCTGGATCTGCGGCCCGGGAAAACCACTACATGGCAGACGCTGATATGTAGAGACACGGGCAAGTTGGTAACACATCAAGGGCAACAAATGGACCAAATAGACCCTGGTCGTCAATGATTTGAAATACTCGTGACCTATCACACCTATGTTTACGACATTGATGCATCCCGTTCAGTACTTGGCTTCGAACTCCCATGGATTTCTACCTGCTCCGACTTTGACTCTAACTATCATCTAGAGCTCATGGAAACAGGGAAAAGCGCCTCAGCAAACGGCAATAAGAAAAAGCGTGTTGGACAGAGGGCTTGCGATGTTTGTAGACGCAGAAAGAGTACGTCTCTGTTCTCTGTTCTTTGTTTTTAACAAGTTCTCATATTAGTTTTCAGTTCGATGTAAAGCGCTTTTATCTTCATCGTGTCTACACAACGCTGAGTCGTATCATCAGGTGACGGGGCTCGGACATCGGGTAAGCGATGTTCAACGTGTGCCACGGGCAAGTTGAACTGTACGTACATCGAGTCCATAAAAGTGAGTGACGGCGGCTCCGAGACACTATTTCCCACTAAAACGGCAACCTAGGGCGCACCGTCAAAGCGGTTCGTTTTTCTTCCTTGACATTCTAACATATTGCTCAGGGATTTCGCTGTTTAGCTATGTCAGGAGCTTGGAGGATAAGGTAGAAAAGATGGAGAACCTTCTTCGCAAGGTACGTTCCGAAGTTTTCCCATGTGGTGGCAAATACATCAACCGACCCTCGCAGATCCTTCCTCCGGAGGCAGATTTAGAGGAGGAGCTTGAGGCTGTTCAGACACTCCCAGAGGACGCCCCGAGTTTGTTATCTGCCTTGGTCCACTCGCTGAGCCTCGAAGAACCCGAAGTAGAAGACCGTGACCATGCACTGGAAAGCAACCTTGAGGAATTCAAAGACTACGTCCTCGGTTATCGATATCACGGGAAGTCAAGTTCCGTTCAGTTCCTCCAAGAAGCCTTGGATGCCAAAGCGGGGCAACCTGGAACGCTGTACAATGTCACGAGTTTCCAACATCTGCGTCCCGAGTTTTGGGAATTCCGTCCATGGAACAATCCCTACCGCTATGCTTCGCAACCAATGGGCTTCATATTCCCGACAGCGGATTTGATGCCGAAGCTAATCGACGCGTACTTCATGTACCTGAATACATTTCTTCCTGTCCTCCATCGGCCAACATTCGATAAATCTTTGAAGGAAGGATTGCATTACAGAAGTCCCTTGTTCGGGGCGGTCGTTCTGGTTGTCTGTGCTCTTGGGTCTAGGCACGTAGATGATCCGCGTGTCCTCATTGAAGGCGAGCAGTCAAAGTGGTCCAGTGGGTGGAAGTGGATATTTCAGGTTGTAAGTCGGCGTCGTGCGTTTCCTTCTTTGGATCCTCCAAACTTGTATGATGCGCAGCTCTGTTGTGTAAGCTTGCTATTCCTGTTTCTGTATGTCAACTGATAAAAGTAACAGCTTCTATCTGAATTTTACCTAGGCTCTTCAGTCCCGCAGCAATCCTGGACCATGGCGGGCGTTGGTTTGCGGATTGCACAAGATGCAGGAGCTCACCGAAAAAAGTCATCGGGTAATAGCCCAGTGCAAAATACCGTGGACGCCGAACTGTGGAGACGCGTATTTTGGTATATACCCGCGCATTCGTTCTCTCGATCTTTGTTTACCTTCGCCTAGGTCTCTTGTAGCTCTGGATAGGGTCCTTAGCTCAGCATTTGGTCGGTCTTGTGCCTTATACGATGAAGAGTTCGTGCATTCCCATCTTTAATGAGACTTGACCTAATTGCTCTGCTAGTATTGATAGCGACCTACCTACCGAGTGCGACGATGAGTATTGGGAACATCCCGATCCTCAACAAGCCTTTAAGCAGCCTCCCGGAAAACCGTCAGACGTGTCATACTTGAATTGTCACCTGCGGCTGACACGGCTGATTATGATATGCATGCGGACCATCGTATGTCCCTCGGCAGCACTTTACCGGATATCCTTGGCTTACCGGATACAGTATTCAATTCATAAATCGAAAGTTCTTTATGTCCTCAAGAAGGACTGGGAACAGCAAATAGTTGTCGAACTTGACTCAGCGTTGAACAAATGGGTTGACTCTATACCCGAGCACCGTAGGCACATGGTCTTTTTGCCTTCTCTCTACTCATGGCTGACTGGTCCAGTCCAGTGCGATGGGACCCCAACCGCGCTGATCTAGTACATTTTCATCAATCAGCATCCCTCCTGCTGGTGTATAATCACCTTCAAATCCTCATTCACCGACCTTTTATCTCGTCTCCACGCAGTGACTTATGTTCCCCCTCCCTCGCTATATGCACCAATGCTGCGCGCTCATGTTCACATATCGCAGAGCTCCAAATTCAAAGGAAAGGCGAATATTTTCCTCCTTTATCCGGTGTAAGGTTTTTCATTCATGTATGAGTTCTATTTATTTGGCGCGTAGGTGCTGTCCTTCAATGCAGCAATTGTTCTCCTCGTAAACATCTGGGGCGGACGACGGGCAGGGTTGAACCTTGATATCGACAAAGAGATGGAGGACGTGCACAAGTGCATGCGGGTCCTCGCACGTCTGGAGACGCGGTGCGTATACATGCACCATGCATTTGACTTCGTGGCTGATTATAATGGAAGGTATCAATATGCCGGCGTACTATGGTATGCGTTCTCCGATCTTTTACTTGTTCACCAACGAGTAATTTTCTATTCTCAAGGGATGTCTTATACGAGCTAGCATCTGCTGGTGATCTTCCGCTTCCTGGTTCTATAGAAAAGGAGGTGACCGAGTCCCTCGAAATTCTAGATAATACAGACCAGATGCCATACACGGATCCTCAACAACACCTATACGGCCTGCCAGTCAACAGCGCCGATCTCGGACGAACGCCTTACCGTGGACACGTTGATCTGGCAGATGATACTACTGATTGGTACAACGCTAATCCGTACAATTGGGCTACGGCTTCTGCGACAACTGGTAGCGAACACGATATTAGTAGCGCTCTGTTTACGATATGGGATGGGGCGCCAAGCGGATTGGAGTAATTTGTGTTTTTGTTATCTCCACTTGGGATTGGATAAACTGATCTTCGGTGTTTATATAGGCCGAGTGATTGGAAGAGTTATTTGGAGTTTGCGCAGAGTCAAGCTATGAGAACGGACATCTAGGTTTGGTTTTATTACGAACAACTTTTACTCTGTTGCCACGGGAGCGCGACATTGAATTGTTGGACGGTCTTGATTGATTGTATGAGTTGCAGTGTACTAATATTGTACTATTATTATAGACCTAGATTCATCACTGGGAGATACGTCCGGTCTGTAACAACGACGAGAGCTTTATTTGTCTATGACATATGAAGGCTCATCTTTACCGTCGCCAAAGCTATCTGATGCAGCAAAGTCTTACTCATTCAACCGACTCTTACCCGACCTGCTGGATCCTAAATTCCTTTGGAGCTGTCTTTGCGGGTTTCGGAGTACACAATGACTAGTCAGATCATAGAAGACGAAGAAGACCATAATATACGCAGCTAGGAGCGGTATGAACTATGATTGAGGATCCCGCTGATTGTTAGTATTCCTCGAATACGACTGATCTTTGCTGCTCATTCACTGCTCTGACCGGTGAACGCTTTCGCTTCTCATCCATAAAATCCACTACTGTTTGTTCTTTCGAGACCAGTATCAATCCCTCCAGTGCGGAATCAAGAATTGCACGGATGACACGGTCATGGTCATCTTTGGAGTTAATAGAGCAGAGCAAATGACCCATAGGATTTCCGAAAACTTGAAGTTCGTCATTCATTTACTGCCATTTCAATTTCTTTTGACTTGCGTAGAATTGGGGAGGACTATTACGTGAGAACATTAAGGTTAAGACTCAAACAGTCATTGAATGTGCGAGGGGAAAGGATGAAGAGCTTCATGTCAGACTGTAGGCGCGAATATCGGTGACACGGTTTGTTACCTGATGAATAAGACGACACCTCCTGCTGTCTATATGTGTAGCACTTGTAACTCACATGCTTTAAAGATGGATGTTTCCTCAAAGTCAAGGGGGTCAACGCATGGCAGAAGGGCAACAAAAGTTCTCAGTTTCTGGGGTACGTAAAGAGTGCCAAGATATTATCACTAGTAGCTCGATAAGAATAGGCTAGTTGTAATGTCCGGAAGCTATCCAGAATTCAGTGGGAAACTTCCCGCTTGGTGGGGTCGAATAGATTGTTACGAGAAACTGGGTCTTGTCTGGCGAAGAGGTCTGTTATTCCGGAACAGTGCGAATAGTAAAATTTCCCTCCTCAGTAGAGGGGCCCTGTGGCAAAAATGACTGAGAACTCTTTATAAACTTGGGGTAGTGAGTTCTCATCTTCTCCGTCAAAGGTCCCCATTAGATAGAGCCATGGTTAGCGATCGCTTTCGCCATCGGTGGAGGACATAGAATTCCTAGTCGTACTTTGCCACGCACAACGGTTTGTCTTGGAGCAGCGAGAAGAGCAGATACTCTCAACAATTTTTCGGCAGGCGGGAGTCATTTTGGCGGAGATAGATTGTAGCGCTGCCATGCACATTTGATGGAATAGATGGGTCAGAGATTCATGGACAGCAAAAATTTGGCCATGGCGTGGGGTGGTTTCTTGGGGGCTGGGTCATTCCTTGGAATGACGATCACAGAAAATGGCACGACGCTGCGAAGGAAATGGGACGTAGCCAAAAAGCTTTGGAGCCTCACCATAACTTATATGTCGCACAAAGCTGCCGCCCGAGAGAACAATAGACCAAGAAAAATGCCACAAATAAATGGACGTGAGCATCCCATTCACTTTGTAAAACGGAAAAAGTTGAATTGCAGTTCCATCTTTGTATGGTTCGTTGGGTTGTTCGGCACCAAGATCAAAGGTGCGCCGATCACGGTAAGTTCCGGAAGCGGTTTGTGATCTACACTCTTGTCCGTCGTGCCTTTGTTCAAAAACAATGCAAAGAGATGTGGCAGGACTTTCATTTCGGAATATAAGTCTGGATTTGGCGCCGGCATCTCACTTGCGCTCTGTCTCATGCTTCCTCGGTTCGGGAAATACGCTGCTTTCAAGCTCGACCTGTTGCTTCTCTCGAAGCACTTCATGATCCTGACGTAACTAAAGCATGCGAAGCTTTGGAGAGCGGTAAAGCTTATGTTTCCTGTGTAACTTATGTGTGTTCATTGCTTGTATGAAATCTTGCCTTTTGCTGAATACCGCTGTTCACTAGCTTCTGTCGTTTCCGCTGCCTGGCGTCGAATACATATACGGGAACATGATTTTGCTCGCAAGGGGTCTTCCCAATGATGTGGTAGATGCCTTTATAGCATCGGACATGTCGGTGCCCGTCCTGCCCAACACTTCTAACCCACTATCGCAACCTCCGCTACAGCCCACCACCCCTCTCCCTTGGCCCGACTGCTACCATCCCACTCAAGCAATGACGAGATGTCGAATGCGGAACGACGCCGTGATTGGTGGTGCCCGGCCGGATCCTAAATACCGATTGACTGGCTGGGATCAGATTCTCCTGGCAGACCTATTTCTCTGAGGACAGCGAACTTAGGGGGGGTCATAAACGAGAACAAGAACCCCCCGAAGCATCTACAGATGCTGCAGGTAATGATGTGTCTACCGATATGCCAGAAGAGTGTCCGAAAGCTTCTTCAATTACTCGCCCTCCTGAGCAGGATGCTGAGGGCCGGTACTGCCCTTCAGTCAATGGAGCTCAAAGTGGATACGCTCCATCCGTCAGCGTGGCCGGGAGTGGATGTTCAGATACCTCCAATCAAATTTTCGTTTCGGCCAGCGCAACAGCCGAAGCCCGGCCAACACCTGTTATCGCGTCCCCCTTCGCTCCTTCCTCGCTAAATGTTTTCCTTGTGTACCATGTTTGCGAGCAGACCTCTATGATGACGAAGAAGTGGCCTCGGTATCTCCTTCCGACCCAATCTGGTCGCACCCCATGTTCGGCAAACGACCGCTAGACACTATATCAGTAATCATTCTGTTAGATGATCTTGAGTCAATAAAGCTGGAAGATATCAATGATCCTTGGGCATCTTTCAAAGAACTGGAAGCTTTGAAAAGGTATGTACCTTCCTCCTCATCAAAAAGCCTCATTGATCGCTTGATTTCGTAGAAACGAGGAAGATTTCAAAGAAAGAATGAAGGCAAAAACCCAAGCCGCAATTGAACGTGCCCGCCAAAAAGACGAAGCGCTCCATGCTCGACTTCATTCGAAAATGCCGAAACGTGTCTCTACGCCAGAGGAGACAAGAGTACAACCCTTTGCTTCGGGTACAACAGGTATGTCAATATTGCGCAGTAAAAGATTTCTGAATCAAATATATAGTCTATATATTGTAGCCTCAAAATACAAGTTAGATACCACCTGATCGAAATGGACCTTGGAGGATTCTGAGCTACTGTACAGTAATCACGATAAGTACGTGTGAATATATCTGAAACCCTCATCTTGAGTACATAACCTCCTTTACTTGATCCTGCAATTGTGCGAGCAGCCACAGGCCGCTTTAATTTGCTTCCGGGCCGGGTCCCGGACAATACCGGAAGAATCGTAGCTCTCCTCGCTCCACCATGGCATTTTCTTCCCTTCACGCATTATCATAATTCTCGTGCTCTTCCGGACTGACTCGGGCTACTTTCATAGATTCGAAACAGGTATCGACGGGCCTGCGCTGCAATAGAGGCTTTCAGTGACTTTGCAGCGTCGCAAATGATTATTCTTCAACGACAAACATCCATTCTTGTCATATTGGAAAGCGAAGGACTCATATACTGAAGGTTGTTGTATCTCGGCTTTGAGCCAGTGCACGTTCCGGGGTCACTGCCCTGGTTCGGCAGATACCGCAGTCGGCTTACCTTTTATTCACTTTGTTCCTTTCTCCTTGCTCTGTCCACTTGGACACGGTGATCTGAGGAGTCGATAAACAAGCCCTGAGGGGACTACCCTACCCTTCTCTACCATGTTGCATCGGTTTGGAGAATATATTGACCTTGGTTCCCCCTGAAGATTCTAGACAATCCTGAGGTGACCGGAGCCTGTAGAGCTTTTGCCTCAAGGAGCAAGTATGCCGTCCGCTTCAGCTACGTAGGGCAAATGTCTTTAGGGGCATTCATATCGCTGACGACCGGTGTTTCCAGCTTCTCTCCGCCATCTGACCTCGCGTCGAGCGCATCTCCTGCTTTCACAAGGCCTGCCCTGTCAAAGTACTGAATACCTCGTCATGCCCGACATGTCGGCCGGGTGCCTACTATGCCTCTTCCATGGCCGAACTAATGCAGGCTGTCGCGATATGCCGCATTCGAAACGACGTCACTATCGGCGAGACCCTAAATACCAGTTGAATGGCCGAGAACATTTTCTCCTGAGCCAGGGCTCTGGCAGGGAGGACGATAGCCGCAGGGTAATCGAAAAGAGCCTTCATCTGTGCCTAACGCTGCTAGCGGCGATGTCCCCGACGATCAGATGGGCGAACCTCGAACCTTCGCTTCTGTTCAGTGCAACAACCCAGGACGGTTGATTGGAAAGTTAAGGTTAATGAAACCACCGAGAAAAGTCGATAGCATTAAAGTGGCCTTCGGTTCTGCTGTCGTTCCTTTGACGATTGCTTCCTCAAGCTCCTCGTGTCCTCTATTTATAAGTGGACTTGTATGATGACACCCAATGGTCACTCTGGACTCTCATCGATCAGAATGAACCCCCCCCTCCCTCCTCCTCAAACGCATGGAGTCAGGCACATAAATTAACGATCCATAGGACTTCACTCGCGGAAGTCAACGCGGTATAAGGTATGTCAGTCATTGGTCACCTATTTTGACCCGTTCGACTTCCGTAGAATCGAAGCAGGGCATCAGGAACGTGTCAAGGCAAAAGATCGAGCTGACATTGAACGGAGACGGAAAAGGACGAAGAACTCCACGCCCGACTCCGGCCACAAACGCCCAAGCATGACTCCCCGCCCGAGGTGGATGCGAGCTCGTCTGAGGCTTATCGCTTCTGTAAACTTCAAGGGTGCAGCGATTTAACGTGGATTCCGATCTTCGTAAGGTGAAGAAGTTGATAAATAGAGATAGGCCAAGTATCAGTATATTGGACCTCCCATTCTAATTAAACCATACGCTTCCTACCTATGAAGTTTCAACGGTTTTTTTTTTCATAGCTCTCGAGGTTCGCTGTAGGTGGCTCACCTGTGTATTCGATATAAGTGCTAAAAATTAAGTGTAGTAATTTGAACGCGAACGTCCGCTGCCGCTGTCAAATCGCTTGATGAGCTTCCGCAGTCTCAATTTCTCTTAATGTTCTGCACCAAACTAAGTTGGCGGGTTTTCGGCGTTCACTTACTTTGATGCTTATCTCCAGACTGGGCGTGCGCATCTTCCTGTTTGTATTGAACAGCAATCGTTCCTAATCTTTTCTAGAAAGGACGTCAAGGATACGCGGCCTCTGCACTAGCCGCTTTCCCCACTCCGGAAAATTAGACACGGTCTGGCTCAAAGTTCCCGTGGAGAGTCTGAAGCCTTTTCAGACCGTTATCATTCGACCTGGGCTCGGATAATGGTATGAGTCGAAGTTCGTGGTCTCGAAACTTTTAAGCGGGGGGATAAATGGGCGCAAGCTGACTCACACTCCCACTTGCTTCTTGTCGAACGGATATGCCAGTGGAACCGTCGAAAGGTTCAGGAAAAAGGCTCTACCTTAGGTTTGGGATCAATTGTCACGTCGGATTCACCCAAGTTTATGCCGTCAGCTTCCACAATGTGGCCTTGTGAGCGGTGTATTTCCACCGTCGTTTCTCCCTTTATGTTATTACCGTTGGTACTAGGAAGATTCTGTCCTTTGTCCAGATTGTACTCCGGAATATGATGCAGAGTCTTCTGACTGCGGTTCGTTAGATCTTACTTTGAGGGCGGGTCTACACATATGCCGCAAGGCTTGCTATCTGAACCTTCGTACCTTCCTATCAAGGGTCGCATATTGCAACGTACTTTTGCTCAGGTGGATAAGTCTACGATGGCGATGGCGACGGGAATGAGGCCGTTCCCTTACATTTATTCGCACAAACGGCATGCGTTAGTCCTTGCTTATGGTCAGGGTCGCTGTACATTCGGTAGGGGACAGCCTGAGGCGAAGAAAAAGGCAGGGCTTCATTTGTTCTCTGAAGTAATTCAATCTGACGATGTTTAGTGGAATAGAAGGGATGTCAACATGCACGAAGGCAGGTGGTGATTGAAAGACGCCTTGCCTCGACGGACCTGAACTGTAATCTCCCATCCTGAGGCTTCCGTTGTGATCGACCTTGAAAATTTTCTCTTCTTGACATTTGGTGATGATTCCTCAGACTTGGACTGAACACGCGACGTTTCAAACATTCTCAAGAGGAGAGATGATCTAATGTTTCTCTCTGATGAAATACGAGTTCCTACTGACACCGCTAGAGCCTTATCTCAAACAGTTTATAGGCAGTAACATAAATAAGAACTTCGCACCGCGTCAGACGGCGAGGTCGTGGCACTTACAGCCAGCTTCTTTCCTCCAAAGGAAACAAGCTAACAGCGTCCATCTTTGATACCGTCCTTCAAAAAATACAACACAAGACCTTCCTATATTTCGTGTTCCAAAATCCAGACTCCGCGAGCGAGGTTTCAATTCCCACAGGGCTCTGGAATCAGGTCGTGACATGCCCAGCCCAAGGGTGTGATCGCTCGTTGCAGAAGAAGGTTCTTACTATCATCCTCGAAAGGCAAGTTGCCAGAGGGCGGGTATAGACCTTTGATGCGCCGTCCGACGAGTTCCGAGGGCCGCTCCGGGGCGGTTATTTTTTTTCTGCATGTCGCCGTCTTTGTGTTTTATATTTTCACAAAATGATCACTGTTAGAGCGCGTGTGATCTGAGATGATCCCGATGAATTGCGCCACCATGGATGTATGCAAATGCTGGTCTAATTAAACATATATGTTCTCGCGGGCCACGCCTGTAGTTCTGGGATTCTCTTAGGCCTAGAATTGATTGGAGGGACCAATTAGAGCGAGGGAGACACCTAAATGCTATTAATATCGAACTAAAGCCTTCAAGGACTAGCTGCTATGTTGACGGGGGCGACTCCCCGCAATTGTATAGGGACGTTAAATAACTACGTAGAGCAACACTTTAGCGTTTCACACTCAACGTCGCTCGCAGGTCGCAGTGCTTTTAAATCATAGAAGACTGAATATGATCCTTGGATTGTATTCCTAGTGTGTTCCGGGATTCGAGTCCAGGCGAGTACAGATACCGGAATTGCTCCAGTTCCGAGGCGCGAACATCATCCTTCCCCTCATAGCGAAAGAATAGATATGGTGAAACAAGTAGCAGTAGGGGACAACGGCGCACCCATCAAGGACCCCAAGCCTAAGAATTCGGAAAGTGGAGTGGTACCCCAGAATGATCCCCGTCAAACCGACCTTCCCACAACCTCCACAATGTGGGAGTTGTACTTAGAGCAGCAAAGACGAAAAGACCACGACTATCGGAACACAAAGCCGCTGTAGATTTGTGTTACTGGCAGGAAGCAGGCTTCGCGGACTCACAAATAAATTCCAATGGCAATGATGATGGTGGGAGAGGACGTGCGAAATCGAAGACAGGCGGCTATCCGGAGGGGCGGGAGAGGAGGAAAGATTTCATTGTCCTTGTGACAAAGGAAACATCACATCCGTAGCGATAGAACACCTATGGGCTTGGTGTGTGATTGGATGGGTATCGGTGCACACGGGTCGCTGCTTCGAGAGGCTCCGCATGCAGAAGACAGAAGCGGTAGAAATACCAAACTTCTTCATCGCTATGAAGCTCGAGGATGACATCCATGATGATACAGTTGTTATTAGAGTTATATGAACGGGTTACTCCACGGAAATGACGAGCCGCTGTTCTTGAGAATACATGAGTGTGAGGAATGATAGTGGCTTGACGATGAGAAAAGTCATTACGAGAAATTTTCTGATAGCACATAAATCCGAGACCGTTCGAGGAGATAGCCGCCGTCGCCGGTATTACTCGTTGGACTACGGTGGGAGTGAGAAATGGAAGATGAGGGTGTCATCATCGCCGCCATGGCGGTCCATTTTCATTTCACTCGAGTCGCGACGTCCTCCTCCAACCTGTCTTGCAGGAGGATCGAGGTGAACTGACAATGCAGGTTCATTCATGTTGTTCCAGCTTTTTCGTATATTAATATTCATGTTACTCTTGTGTTCGCAGGACTCGTTGATCGGTATTTGCGACCCGATCGTCATAGTGGGCATCAATCAGAAATTCTGAGGTACCATAACTGGACCGTGCCAGGTTTGTGGAACAAAAATTATCCAAGGAGATACGGCCACGAAAAGAAGAGACGGAGACCACTTGAAGGCATACTCGCGGAGTCGAAATGTTAATGACCCCATGGGCCATGTCCCGGGTTAATGATCTAGGGATAAGTTACTAGTTCTGAAGTGACGTGGGGCTTTCCAAGTTTCGAATTTGTAGTCTACAATGTTTGGAAATACTTGTGCCGAAGATTTGTGGGCCGCGGGGGCGCTACCGGCGGGAAGTTCCAGGCCTAGGTTACCGCTGAGTATCCAGGGAGGATAAATTGGTGTGGGAACGGTTTCTTCCAGATGCGAGAAACGAAGAGGTTACGATTTTGTTGGGATTCGAATTAATGATGATGGTTTAGGGCGGTCAACGGCGTGCTACCAGGGAGTGAAAGCGAAAGGATTTATAATATAATAGTTGAGTAAAAGCTGTCTCTGATAGTATATCGGTTAGTACACGCGCCTGTCATCAGAACGCGCGAAAGCTGGGTTCGACTCCCAGTCAGAGAGTGTGTCGGCAGTCCACTCTTGTCATTTTGTCCTTTTTTTGAACCATTTCAATGATTCAAATATTCATCCGTCAAAGAACATTGAGTCTTGCGTCCGAACTTTTTGAAGTTTTTTGCCTTTCCTCCAGTTCAGTAGTCGGATCATACGTGTATTCTATGTTACAGGTATTAAAGGAATGGATGTCATCGTCTGCTCTCCGCTTCCTACTTACACCAATAGTAGGCGGCCAGTCTCATCCTTGTGCAGGGTCGATATGTCGAAGTCCTGAAAAGAGTCGGACATGACCGAAGGGCAGAAGAAGAGCGCCGCTGAGTATAGACTTGAGATCAGGTGGGAGAGATTTGGGACTTGTCACATCACAAAGGGGAAGGCCTGAGAGCTGATGGAAAGGTCGTGCGAGTTTGCAAGTCTGGGCAGCGCAAAGTCGCGGTGATACATACTTATGTAAATGGTGACAGATCAAGGCGGCGATCAAGAACAAAAGGAAAACTTCCGTTTTGGGGTGCTTCGGTGCATGGATATTTGCGAAAGTATGAAAAGCAGTGTGTATGAAGGTAAATTGCCGGGTAGCCGCGATTTTATCAGAAACTGGAAAAGAAAAGGGCTGGAAAAGGTATGGAAAAGAAGGAAAAATAGGACAAATATGGGGTGAACGATCGGGGATAAAACACGGCTATATCCGGGCATGATTCACTTTCTCTGAAGCATCGGAGATTAGTTTCCCACCTAGTTTATATAGACTACACTCGCGATGAATCCGACGTGCTGTTCGTCCTTGTCTGTCCTCTGCCATGCCCTCGCTCCTCTCCCTGCCCGTAGAGACAATCGACCTCATAGCGTTCTACGTCGCCTGTCCGACTCGAGACGGCCTTCCCAGCTCCCTGTTACCCTTCATTCTCACCTGCCGCGCCATTGGCAACTACCTCCATGAATCCCATGCCGTTTATCGCCAAATATTCATCTACAAGTACAGTTACGGTGCTGTCAGTCGCCGTGCATTCGAACTAACGTCGCGGGACTTGAAGCACCAGCTGTGCTGTTATCGCAAGACGCTTCGGTTCATTCTTGAGCGACGGGGACTGGATGGGGAGCACGAGCTGAGGAGCACGTATGACGTCGATGTTTCCGACGTTCTCTGGATCGTGTATTTTATGTGCCTCGACGACGACGGCTACAATCTGCGGCAGCTAACCGCGGTAGGCGCGTACGAGTGGATCCACGACTTCGTGACCCTGCGCCTATATGACGGAGCAAGCGATAACGGCGGCTGGCCGCTCGACAACTATGTGAATGCATTGGCATTATGGATCTTCTGGAGACTTTCCACAAAATGTACGTTGTCGTCCTGATGTGATGATCTCATGTTTGAACTTAACCGTAGTGTCGTTGCTTTCCGAAACAGACGAGATGTCCGAACATATCATTCAATTGATTCTACCTTTCGTTACGGTACCTTTTCGGTACGCCTCTGCCTTTGCACCGCCGAACCACTTTGTCCTACCCCTCCACTCCAAAGCCTATAACTTTTCCAGCACATCATCTCGAGTCCCTTCTCGCACACGGGCTCATTTCCTCTCTGTGACTACACCCCACGGCCCTTATCCAGTGTACCTTTCTCCTTCTCGTGTCTGGTCACAGGTTCATTTCTCACGGTGTATCAGTTTAACGTGTCCCCTTGTCACTACCGCTGCTAAACTCCTCTTCTTCTCACGCAGGGAGCTGTATCCATTTGGCATGAACTATAGCCTTCCTAGGAACAGGTCTGAGGCTATAGCCAGAGGCCTAGGCGGACAGATTACCCCGACGCAGGAGGACATCGAAGAGATGAATCTGCACCGTCTCGGCGGCCCTGACGGTAAGTATGGGGGCACGAAGCTTCCGACGGTCGCTCCAGATTCCTCGGATGAGGTGCCAGACATAAGCAAGGCCTACGATTCGGAGTGGTACAGACTTCGGCTCTGCACGGATGCGTGGGCTGATGATCTTGGTGACGATGATGAGACCTGGCGGCGAGCCAAGTTGGACAAACGGATGAGAGTCAAGACTGCGGCCCATGAGGTACGCGAGCTCAGATTTCGTCAAGCCGAGATGTACGTCTTGGGATCCCTCACCGGTTTGTGGGCCGGTCGTATGGCTGTAGGTTATTTCCCCAATTGCCTTAGATCATTCTCATTGAGTTCCCCGCTCCAGATACCTGGCGAACATCAACTATTGCAGCTCTTGATCGCGAACCAAAATATCGCCCAACAACCTCAAAACGACAACCCGGTACCGTTGCCCCAGGGGTTTAGCGAGGATTACCTCGGGCTCATAAGCGCGCCTGTATATATGCGCCTACGAGAGCACGTATCTTATGCGGGCGGAGACATCATTCCTATTAATGCAGAGGGACTTGTACCCTTGTGTTACGAGGACGCCGAGGAGGAAGAGGATAACATGGACGAGGACGACGCGGAGAGCCTTTATGATGTGGAAATGGCTAGTGAGAGCGAGCTGGAGGACGACGATATACCCGTGGACGAGGAGCAAGACCGACCCGAGATCGACGGGCAATATCTCCTTGACGAATTTGATCAAGGCATGCGTAACGCTTATTTCCCCGAAGGTGTCGCTTTCCAAGACACTGCTGACGGGAATGGTATACGGGTGACGGCTCGGGAGCAGGAATACGTGTACGAAAATTGGAATGGAAGCGAGTCGAAGACGAAGACAAAAGGGAGGTTTCATGACCGAGAGACATGCATGGGTTGTGCGATGCGGGAGAAGCAGGCGAGGAAACGGCGGGAAGCGGGTGCTGATGCGGCAGTAAACGATGAGGATGCGCCTCTGGATAATGTTCCTTTTCCGCCGTGCACCGGTGTACAGGATGTGATCATTACGGGAAAGACTGACGATAGGCATGGTCAAGCGTGGAATCATTACACGTATTATGGCCGGGTCAGGCGTTGGGATGGGATGATTGGCATTCTTAGGGTCGCGGTGGGTGCTTTGTTCTTCTCTTTTCCATTCTGTGGGTTCTCATACTGTGTGTTTCCTTCGCAGCGCGACCGTCGTTTGGGGAACTTGTTCTTCTATGGATACATTGTCGATGGGAAGAATTTTGTTGGGAATTGGAGGATAACGCATGAAGACCCCGGTATGCCAGCCTGGGAGGGTCCATTCACGCTCTCGAAGGTGACGGAGAACAACGCTTGATCATGATACTAACTGACTCTGCTTTTTTTGGTGATATCTTGGAAAATGTATGTACTCGCATGTATTTTGGACCGGACTGGAGGTTATATGGCATTACATCTAATTAATTTAATAGTCGCATTCTGTACAATACTTATCATTTCATACATATTTAATGAAGATCTAGGGACATAGATGAAGATATGAAGATATGAAGATCGCCAATCCCCCTCAGCGTTCGTATTCTTAGCGCCAGAGCGGCGACCTCATCGACGGCGAACACAACTCAATGTATTGTAAGATCTCTACCCTTTCTTCAACGGAGATATGATGCTGTGGCGGTGGCGCAGAATGGGAATCAAGCTCAGGCGAAAATGGAAGAGAGTTATGTATAGATTCATGAAAGTACGGGAGGAGAGCGGCGACGTCGTGTAAACGTATTCAAGACGTGAAACAGAGTGCAGGCAAGCTACCCACGTTTCCCGAAATCTCACTCAGTATGTATGGATGCCGAAATCGACCCGCCCGAATCCCGACCCTAGGCGTCGCTGAGCACGAAATCCTTTCGGCTAGGTTCGTATTCCTCAACTTCTAAAGGAGTTTTCGAGTATTGAATGGCCTAGTAAGAGTGGGTGATCCGGACATGGACGTAAACTGCATGCAGTGAGCGCCACATTGGACCTGCAGGGTTACGCGACAACATGAAAGCAAACGAACCCAGACAGAACTTTAAAGTAAAGTTTTAACCACTGTCAGTAATATTAACCCTGACGTCATCGTATCTCCACGTGATCTCCGGCCCTCAAGTCAGCCACCGTGACAGTGACAGTGACTCCACCAACGACAAACTGTACAGTTGGTCAGGTTTTTCCCAGGATAACCTTTAACCAGCACCGTGAGTGGGAGGCTCGCAAATTTCTATCTCGTCGTCCTGCCTGACTGGGGTCCTTTTCTATTCTTCTAGATGCAGATTTTCGTCAAGACCCTTACGGGTAAGACGATTACCCTCGAGGTTGAGTCTTCGGACACCATCGACAATGTCAAGGCCAAGATTCAGGACAAGGAAGGGTAAGAACTGCTGGATTGAGTGAGAAGGTTGTTAACTGATTTTTTGCTACTAGTATTCCTCCTGACCAGCAACGTCTCATCTTCGCCGGCAAGCAGCTCGAGGATGGCCGTACCTTGAGCGACTACAACATCCAGAAGGAATCGACTCTCCACTTGGTTCTCCGGTCCGTCTGTTCTTTCTGGCGTATATGTTTTGGTCTTACTGATAGCTATTTTGTGCAGTCTCCGTGGTGGAATCATCGAGCCCTCGCTCAAGGTATTGGCCTCAAAATACAACTGCGACAAGCAGATTTGCCGAAAGTGCTACGCACGGCTGCCCCCTCGTGCGACTAACTGCAGGAAGCGCTCCTGTGGCCACTCGTCGCAGCTCCGCCCGTGAGTTTCTCGATATTTTTCTTTGCTGTGAGGCTGATTGTATGCTGGGTGTTTAGCAAGAAGAAACTGAAGTAGTCCATTCACTTTGGGCGATTTTGTGTTGGAAAGATCAGAGCATGCAAGGGGTTGTTGGGAATATGCTTTCACAGAATTTATGCATATGCCGTTTGTATGCTAATGTCTTGTCGAACATGCGCGTTTATTTCCTGTCGTGAAAATGTGAAGATGAAGATGGACAGTTATCAGTAAGGAGCTGACTGCTAATCACGACATTGTCAGGGTTGGTTGAATATGGTACGTACTTTTGCTGTACAGTTCGACGTGTACTGATGTTTGCATGTTTCTTCAGTCCCTGCAAGTAAAGCTCAAGGCCATTCGTAACCAGTTAGATGAGAGAAGTAGAAGCGTCGCTTTTTGAAAGGACATGCTGTGCTCGAAGTCCTTCGAAGATAGCAATGTTCGAAGTATTTCAACATTGAAGGACCCTAGAGATAAGCACGCTGAGACGAAGTTAGATTAGAAGCAAAAGTACAGCTGAAATTGCTCTCTATTTCATGCGAGACGAACGAAAGGGAAAGGTCCCGTGCCAGTGGCGGTGGCCGAAACTTCTTTCTTCCGTACTCCCACCACGTTTTCTTGACGTCGCTACGTTCTTCGTACCCTTTGTTTTTGGTCATTTACGACAACAATGACATCTGTGGCTCTTTCTTTTCTCTATATATCGGTCGGGCGAGAACCTCGTCAACACCGTCTGTCACCATGAATCCTTGCATGGGCGAATACGTGGTCATTCAAATCGATCCTTTTACCTCGCTCGAGTCGTCGTCGCTGTACGATCCAGAGGTAATCCGAGCATGCCAGGCGATGAGGAACAAGAAATATGTAGCCTGTCTTACCTGGGTGCGTGTTCATTTAACTGATCTATTCACGACGTTTCCTGACAGACAGCCGTCGTAGGCGCTTCCATCAACGAGCAAATACCTATCTGGGACCGTCTGCTTCGTCTCTCAAGGCCTCACCTCGGGAAATCCCATCGAGGATGTTACCCCGGCAATGAGCTTGCCCATTCTACCGAACACGTTTCATCCCGAGTCTCGCGAGCCGCTCGATCCCAAGGAGCCGCTGCCATGGCCAGATCTGTACCAGCAGACGCAGGCGGTGGCGAAGATTCGCTTCCGAAATGTCCCTGCAGATGGAAAGCAATCGCCGCATGCTTTGAGCATTAGCGAACGGTACGAACTTTTGCTAGGCCAGGAGGTGGACGAGTGCAGGAGAGAGGATCTGGTACGAGCGCGTCAAAAAGCTGAAGCTGTTGATTGTGAGAGCGCGACGTCGTCTTCATGTACGGCTCTTGCGAGCAGCGACGCCGGATGGAGCGTGGATGAGACGGTGTGCACGGACTCTGTCGCGGGGCATGGTTCTCTAACCGAGATTGTTCCTGTGGTCGAGATGTCGATCGATCTGGAATCAGTGGACGTGGTCAATGATCCTTGGGAGTTTTTCGAGGAGGTGCAAGCTCTGGAGAGGTGAGCATAATCTGCTGAGAAAGTTTCCATATCTGATGATTTTTTACAGGCTTGTATATGACCACAAGAAACGACACAGACTAGCTATAGAGAAGGCTATAAAACTTGATAGCGAGCTCGCGGAACGGATAATACTGAAGCACCGCGCCTCGTCGCTTGAAAAAGGTCTGTGTCTTGTTCATTCTTCGATTCTCTTCTAATACCTCGATTCAGACAACTCTCTTCGCTTCAAGCAAGTCGTACGCTCTTGTCGGAAAAAATTACACGCCCTCGCTTCCTTCCACGCCTCAGAATCCAGAAAAGGGCTTAGTCTGCCTATAGAATCTCCAAAAGGACCATTGGACGGTGTACATTCTTGTTGGCTATGATCTATTCAATGTTGCATAGTCAAACTGAATACGATGAGGAATTTGGCAGTTCTTTTTCGGTTCGATGACTTTGGCCTGGCAACCTGCCCCTGAAATCCTTACGACTTGAGGACAGTTGATGCTTACCTTGGTTAGGCCCTGGGGCGCTCTGTACCCTCTTGCTGCGACGGAGATTTCTTCACGGAAGCTGTCTTATTGGATTGCAACCGAGAATGTCGTGAAGTTAATCGCACATGTTGATGTTTTCTACAACATTGTGATACTTTTCAAAAAATCTCACACTGTCTTCCTAATTTTCTTCTGTTTTCGGGAGCGGAGGATGACGAGAGAAGTGTGGACGTATGGACATATGGGTCTGACTTGATTCCTGAGCCCTGAGGGTTCCAGATTCGACACAGGCGTGTGACTACAGCTCGAATTGCAAACTCGACCGCACGTACTTGCTTGCGGTTCGTCAACTTGACTATCTGCCGGGGTTGTTACGGGGTCGCTTTTGGACCAGTACGGCACCTCAGCGCCTGTCCTGACCTGTCCGCTCCTCAGCGCTAAGTAGCATTTTTCTATTTCCGCGCTTGCTTACCTTTTCCTCGGCTGCCTGGGTGGAGGCCGTGGTTACCGTATCAACGATCCTGCATTGTGCCTCAAGATTTCAGTAGTGTCTATATGTCAATATAACCCACTTGGGGTCGCTCTGAGGCCGTCACAAAATCTCTATTGAGATTGCCGTGCATTCAAAAGCACGCCTTTTCAACCAGTGCCGGCCTTGTAAAGAGACGTTTCTTCCCATGTCGTGCCTTTTCCGGACCGAGTTGCCGCCTACATCTCTTTAAATCTATAGGAATCATCATCATCATATTACACGACGTGGTCCATTGCAGAGACGGCTGTGGAATGACACCGATTAGCACCCGATGAAAGGCTCAAACGTTCACCCAGAAAGAGACCATTTACTTAAGGAACGGGGGATAGGTAGTAACGGTGACGAGAAGAGTGGACGTATGGACCGTATGTGGAATTCTTGCTGTGGTATTGATCTAACTTGAAAGTTCTAGGTTCAACATGAGCGTATGACGGTAGTTCAAATTACGAACTCGACCGCTCACCAGCATGTTCCGTCAATTTGAATGTCTGCGGAGAGTCGCTTTCGGAACTTCGAGTCGTTAAAACCAATAAGTCGAATGTCTGTCATTTAGAAATGCGAAGGATTGTGGTACGAAGTTCTGCCTATCCTTAAACTTTCAAGCTGCCAGGCCAAGCTTGACGTGCTACTATTGTCATGGGACTCATCTCCTGGCGTTAGTCCTCAGTCATGTTAACGCTTTGCCAAGATTGAAGTGATCTTATCACATACTGGCAACACACCATTCTGCCTGTAGTGAAAGATTTCCACGTATTCAAACGTTCCTGCAGCGTGGGCCTTGTAAATTAAAAGAGACCGCCCTTCCGGATCGAAGTGCCGCTCACATCTCTATGAATCTATAGAGATGTGCTCTTTCCGTGCGGTCAATACCCGATGAATGCTTAAAACTTTCGCGGAGACGGGTCATCTCGGCATCTCGTGTTGAACTAAAAATACGAGAGGGCCTTGGCATGGGAGATATTGAAGATCCACTCACTTCATGAATTACAACACCCCCCACCGCTCATCCTTTCATGTGGTTTGTTAACTCGACTATTTATCGGGTTGTTATGGGGTCGCGTTTTGACCGGTGCGACAGCTCAACACGATCTCTTTGAATTTGTCTGTCTGTTCCTAAATTCGAAAATCGGTGGGCTGCTTGTGACTGGCGCCAGCATTTCCTACATACAATCCAGCCCCTCTATGTATCGATGGACGCACGGAAAAAATACTCTGCCTATGGAACTTCTATTAACCTATCGCGGAACCTATGTCTCGAAACACCACTCTGACGACGCCATGCATTCAAATCTTCCATGCAGGGCGGATTCAGGATCCCATGTGTCTTGATTTTCCGCCGGGCCGGTCTCTGAATCTATCAGTCGACACCAGTACCGCTCTTTTCGTGAGGTCAGTACCCGATAAATGGTCAAAACGTTCACGGAGACGGGGGTAGTCCCTTTGTACCTCGGCGTCCAAAAATACGAGAGGACATCCGTGTGAAAGACAGAGGTTCGTTTCTCTATTACTTACGAGCGGTGGCGGTGGATACTGACAGGTCTCCTGCTCCTTGGACGTGTGCCGTGCTTTTCTGGCTTTCTAAAATGCCGACATATACTCCAGCTCAGGGTAAACGGGTGGGCGGTAAATAAGCAGTGAATTTTGGGCCATTAACGGACTTCTAGAAGATCGTCTTCCGTTTCGGTGAGTGCTTGACTTTCGTTCGGACATCCGAAGAACAGTCGGCCACCTCAGTTGAGCCTACAGCTATGATATCAAAGTTCCTGCCCTCTGCTCCAGGAGTCCAGCATCTATGGCCTGCATGGGATCGTTGTGCCTCATCGCGGAATATCTTTCTGTCGGGTCCTAAATATTCTTATCCCATATCGGTCAAGCACCATTCTGCCTGTGGAAGAAGATTGCGGTGCATCCAAGCGCATACCTTTCCATGAACTGCGGGCCTCGCAAAGAGACATCTCTTCCCATGCCTCCGAGCGCTTTCCGAACCAATTTTTCTTTGAATCTATAGGTCACACAATGATGCCGCCCCTTACATGCGGGCAATGCCCGATGAAAAGTAAAAACTTTCGCGGAAATGAGTCCGTAGTCTTAGGGTTAGGGGCTTGGCGTCTTTTATTGGACCAAAAATCCGGGAAGCCTTTCATAGGTCATGTTGACGCTTCTTTCACTCGTCTGAATAGTGGAATGAGTCTTCAAACTAGGATCGGGGCTTTCAATTTCGTCCCTGTTTCGGGATGGAGGATAGAGCGGACGTGGGTATATGGATCTGATTTGAATCTTGAGGGTTCCGCGAAGCATGACTATAGGTGAAATTACAAACTCGACTGGCACCCGTACTCGCCTGTGGTCACTTGTCAACTTGACCATCTGCAAAGGTTGTTACGGGGTTGCTTTTTGACCGGTACGATCGTCAGTAATGTTTTTCAGTTTCAGGGCACGTCTAAATTTGAATGTGAATGATCTTTGTTGGGAAAACCAAAAATCATTCGACTGCCTTTCTACTACAGGCCCCTGGCCTGTGATCGAGTGGATGACTGGGCATCAGGTTTCCCACCCTCTCCTTCTAGCCCCCACCTCCATATGTTAATGAACGCCCACACGGAAGGCTATGGGACTTTCGAGTGTTGGTGCTAACCCATCGTGGACCCTTTGTCGAGGTTCAATGAATTCTATCCCATATTAGCAAATCACCACTGTGACGATCACATGCATTCAAATGACATTCGAAGGAGATACTCTTCTCCCTCCGGACCGTCTTACCGCCTATATTATAGGTTAACGCCATACTGATTCCGCACCCTCCGTGCGCGACAAAAGGTTAAAACTTTCGCGGGGACACTCGTCCTGGAACTTGGCGACATATACGATTAGCCTCTATGTTTCGATGATTGCAGGCACAGAAGCGATACCGTGGCCATTCTACTAGCCCACTGCGAAATCTTCGTCAAAGCTCAGGTAGTCTTATTCCATAAGTATACTGAAGATCGCCGTGCATTCAAATTCCCATACGCTGCGAACCAATTGAAAGAGACGTAAGTCCCATGTGTCGCTCTTTCCGGACGGATCTCTCTACCAAATCTATAGGTCTCCACCATAATGATGCCGCTCCTTCTGTGCGGTCAATATCCGACGGAAGTTTAAAACTTTGGCGGAGATGGGTTTGTAGTTCCATGGCCTGGAACGCGGTGTCTGTGTTACCAAAAATACGAGAGGGGCGTTGGCGTGAAAGAACATGGTTCGAAAACAATAAGGCAACAAGCTACATTCAGAAATTGCTCTATTTGGTAGCAGTGGATTCTGACAGATTTTCTGTTACTTGTATACGTGTCGTGCTTGCTAGCCTTCTGAAACGCCGACATATATTTCAGCTCAGTCTAAGTTTGTAGGCGACACGTACTGAGATTTGGGTCACTAACGGGCCGGGTGTCCAAAAAATTTTCTTATTCCGCGTGCTTCACCAGACTCTGTCAAAGGACCTATTCAGCGCAGTGATACTAAATTCTTTAACAGCTATAGGCTGTTGTTGTAATTACGATTTGAAAACTCGAGGAAATGTAACAAAAAACATTGGTACTTAAATACCTTGAACACACTATCTTTGCTATTAGAAATTCTTCCAGTAATATGCATACAAGTACCACTGGTTTGAAATATGATTTCCGCCCCCAAGTTGACGAGCATAAGTTGCAGTCACGACAGCAAGTAGTAAAGTACGGCGCAAGCGCTATGCAGGGACCGTGGGAACTTTTGAGTTGATTAATTTGCGTTCCTTTCGGTGGCTGCCTCTCTGACTCTTACCACCACCTTCACGATGCCTGTCCTTGCACGCTAGCAGCGTGGGCCCAACAACCTACGCTGCCAACCCCATAGAAATCTACTACTGCTTTAAGAATTTCTCGACCTAGACGATACCCATTAGAACGTCAATTATGTCCCACATAATTTTGCCCACCGCTTTCTTGCCGCCTCTCGCCCGACTGAGGACTTTTTCTGGAGCGCACGTATCGGCCTCTCTTCGCTTGCTAAGAGACTTTTATTGGCCTTCGGTTCCTTCGAGGTTGACGGTACCTGTACGCAAAGCCAGTACCCGGATACATGATCAGTCTGTACCGGATTCGGGATATGCTTCGGCTGAGGAAGATGACGATGAAGAGGAAGGAGGAGGAGGAGGAGGAGGAGAGGAGAGTGATTATCTGACAGATGAAGACGAGGATGTCCTACGTGCAGATCCTTTCGAACGTGAGTTCGCTATCAAGTGGATCACAGGCTTTATCTCGCGCTCCGATATCTGGATCGAGGATACGCTGGATGAGGCGGAGGCAGAGACAAGACGGGATTTGGTGGAAGAAGCCTGCACAGATTGTTTCTGCCTTTGCAGGCGACGACGAGGAGACCGAATGCGCTGTTACCAGGACTTTCGAGTTCAGCGGATCCGTCGAAGTAGAGCTGAATGACGCCCCATTGTCCAGCGAGGATCATACGTCCGTCGGCCTTCAGAGCTGGGCTAGCTCGATCTTGCTAGCAGAGAAGATGTGCGCATCGCCGGGAGCCTTCGGGTTGGACATGTCGCGGCCTTTGCGCGTCTTGGAGCTGGGCGCCGGCACGGGCTTGTTGAGCATCGTCGTTGCCAAGCTCTCGGAGGCTATCCATTCCACAGACCATTGTCGCCACAGACTATCACCCAGACGTCCTCGCCAATCTTAGCGCCAACGTACAGACCAATTTTCCTTGCTCATCATCTACAATCGATGTCCGACGCTTCGACTGGGAGTCTCCAGATTTTAACCATCCTATGGATAAGCCCTTCGATATCATTCTGGCCGCCGACGTGATTTACCATGCCAAGCATGCGGAATGGATAAAGGGATGTGTTGAGCAGCTTCTGGCGCTGAACGGGACGTTCTGGCTCATGATCCCCCTCCGCTCGACGGGAAGACATGAGGGTATGGACCATACAGTCGAGGCTGTTTTTCCAGAGTCTGAGATGACTTCTGGGCTGGTTGTTTTGGAGAAGGAAACCATCGGGAGGCAAGGAGGTGTCGGGAGAGCTGACGAAGGAGGCTATAAGCTCTTCAAGATTGGGTGGGCAATATAGAGTTAGACACGTAGACTACTAATGCTTACAGCCATAATGTCTGTCTTTTTACTAATCGCGAGTTAGATTTTTTTCTGTTTTTGAAGGTCCGTGACGACGGTGCACAGCAAACATAAATAACGCTTTCATGTCAACCTCCATCACCGTGAGTTATGATCTCAACCCGCCTGAAGAGGTGGATGCACCTACGCTGGTAGAATCCAAACATGCGACATTCAACCTCAAAAAGACACCTGCAGACGGGCAGAAGGCTTACTATGCCGCGCTGAAGGATGCCATACAATTGGCAAGGAACCAGCTTGGCGACGAACTTACGGCCTGGAGAGATGCAGTAGGAAAGGCAGAGCTAAACAAGGAGACGAAGAAAGCATTGAAAGAAGAAGAGGAAGGAGAAGAGGAAGAGGAAGAAGAAGAGTAACCAGGTAAATTCTGGACCTCAATGAACGTTCTAGGTCTGATTCTGATGGGATAGGATTAGCGTAATAAAATATCAGGATGCTATTATACAGCGCCCCGTTTCTCAACGCCTCTCGGGCGCTCGCGTATAACCATCTTGTTACTGTTCTTGGGACCCTTGGGACCTGGCTTCCTCGTCCTTGTACCCTTTGTACCCCAGCCCCATATCGAGACAGGATGCTTGTTCGATTTTGACTTTCCACGTCCACCACCGTGAGGATGGTCAGATCTAGAGAATAAGTCAGTACAATACAACTGTAAAATTGAAAAGACGTACTTGTTCATTGCAACACCACGGACCTCTGGCCTCCAGCCTAGCCAACGCCGCCTCCCAGCCTTTCCGAGGCTCCTGTGCTTCCAAAGGGGGTTCGACACTTTTCCAATCGTCGCGCAGCAATCCTGCAGAACCTTGCGCACTTCACCACTCTGCAACCGGACTTGGGTGTACCGGCCTGAGTCTTCATGGGCCATGACCTGCCCAGATGTACCCGCAGAGCGTACAAGGATAGCGGGGCCTTGAGGTGAGAGTGTGATATTATGGATGATGGTGCCGGGAGGAATAAGTCGCAAGGGAAGAACATTGCCCGACTTGAGGGTCATGGAACGGAAAACACCGAGTGCGAGTGACTGAGAAGACTCGTACGCAGCTACTTCCTCTTCCGAGGCTCCTTCAGGCTTTTTCTTGTTCAGTGCCTTGAGGTCGAACCCTGGGACGAGTCCGTCCGGAATTCCCGACCTGAAGCTCTGCACCGTGTCCCCAGCACGCATCCCATCCGTCGCCAGGATATAACTCCATTTTGCCTTTCCCTCTGCCCTGGGGTCACGATTTTTCAACAGCGCAATATGGGAGGAACGGCCGGGGTCATATTCGACACGGACTACATCGTGTACACCCGGTTGCTCGCGACGAAAATCGAGCAGGCGTATCCGCTGCTTGTGGCCTCCTCCACGGTGTCTGCAGGTGATCCGGCCTGTCCTATTACGACCGCCAGTTTTGCGCTTTGCGACTGTAAGGGCCCGTACGGGTCGTCCTTCGTACAGGTCGGGTGTTAAAGGTCGTCGAAGGTGACGAGTACCGGGCGTGATGGGTTTGTATGTCTTGAAAAGCGACGAAGATGTTTGAACAAAGGCTTCCCTCTCTTTCTTTTTCGCTGCGGCGGTGACTTTGTCGACAACAGTAGCGTACGAGCTACGTTGAATCCATAAAGGTAGACTGCTACGACAAAGGGTAGAAGAAGGCGGGATAGTGGCCGTCAACAGCGTTCGTAGGAGCCCATTGCTCGCCCTTGTCGAGGCAAACATGGATTGACGCCCAAGTACGCGAGATAAAGGAGGTAAAGTCAAAAGTAAGAAATTGAGCACTGTTTGGCAAGCATGTTTCCCGCAAACAAAGACGCGACGGCACTTGTACTTTTCCATCATGGTATGCACCCATTTCTCCCTTCTAACTCACAAAAATGAAGTGCTCACTCCTGTTCAGACCACCCAAATCACGACCGGGACGTCCGAACTTCGGGATATCACCAAGATGGAGCGCATAGGTCGGGTTATTTGACGCGTTTGTTTGGGAAATTTCTCTCACCAGGATTTGCAGGCGTTCATTCGCACATCCATGGACTGGGACTCGACGACCGGTTAGAGCCAAGGGCTAATTCGCAGGGAATGGTTGGGCAGGCCAAGGCTAGGAAGGCTGCTGGAATGATTCTCAAGATGGTGCAGGAAGGACGGATAGCAGGACGAGCGATGTTGTTTGCTGGGCCTCCGTCGACGGGAAAGACTGCTATTGCATTGGGTGCGTCTCTGCTACATTATACTACTTACTTCGTCTTGAATGCGAGATATAGGTATGGCACAGACGCTGGGTCCAGACGTGCCCTTCACCATGATTGCCGCCAGCGAGGTATTCTCGCTATCGATGTCAAAGACTGAGGCGTTGACCCAGGCATTCCGACGGAGCATTGGAATACGCATCAAGGAAGAGACAGAACTCGTCGAAGGGGAGGTCGTCGAGATCCAAATCGACCGGAGTCTGACTGGCGTACGCACGAACTTTCTGTTAGCCAAGTTTAGGCGCTGACAGGTATCACCTTCTAGGCTACGAAAACAGGAAAACTCACTATCAAAACTACCGACATGGAGACTATCTATGACTTGGGTACTAAAATGATCGACGCTCTCTCGAAGGAAAAAGTCCTTGCAGGAGACATCATTACCATCGACAAGACGTCTGGTAAAATCACTAAACTCGGCCGTTCGTTTGCACGGTCTAGAGATTATGATGCTATGGGCGCTGATGTATGTTCTATTTTTTCCCGGCAAGATCGTTGGACTGACCAACGATGTGCAGACTAAATTCGTTCAATGCCCCGAAGGTGAAATACAAAAACGGAGAGAGGTCGTGCATACGGTGTCTTTGCACGAAATAGACGTCATCAACAGTAGGACGCAGGGCTTCCTAGCTTTGTTTGCAGGCGACACAGGTGAAATCAAGCCAGAGCTACGGAATCAGATCAACACCAAGGTGGCGGAGTGGCGCGAGGAGGGCAAGGCTGAGATCATACCAGGTGTACGTACGCGCCTTGCATCAAAATATCTGCGCTAACAAGAGTACTATGCAGGTCCTTTTCATCGACGAGGTTCACATGCTCGACATTGAATGCTTCTCATTCTTGAACCGCGCCTTGGAAAATGATCTAGCTCCTTTGGTCATTATGGCTTCTAATCGAGGCATGGCTCGTATCCGAGGGACAACTTTCCGCAGTCCCCCATGGGCTACCTGTGGATCTTCTCGATCGTGTCCTCATTGTCAGCACCAAGCCGTACAGCGAAGAAGACATCGAGCAAATCATACAAATACGGTACGGAAATGCGAGTTGCCTTTTTTACGCGCAGGTCTGACGAGAACACAGATGCCAAGAGGAGGATGTCACGCTTACTTCGGAAGCTACTAGTGTCTTGACATCTATGGCCATGCAAACGACGCTGCGGTACTCGCTCAACCTCATTTCATGCGCTCAGATGCTAGCTCGGAAACGAAAGGCGGAGCAAGTGGGTGTGGAGGATCTGCGGAGAGCATATACGTATTTCATGGACGAGAAACGAAGTGTTCAGTGGTTGAAGGAGCAGCAAGGGTCGCTTGTATTCGAGGAGATACCAACGGCCAGCGAATACATGGACAGCTCATGATACTATTCCTAGCTGCGTATACTCTGATCTTTCTTGTGTTCTTCTATGATATGACTAGTCATTGTTTTACTTCGCACCATGGGAACAACAGCTCTAGGGAAAATTCAGGACTCGGTAAGTTCGGTCAGAGGTAATTGAATGAGTAAGACTTCGTTGGCAGTCGCAAAGATGGAACTTCATATTTTGTCATAAGTAGATAAAGCATGCGTACTTTCTAGTACAGGTCAGAAGCCTCGTTAGCAAGCTTCACAGCTCATACAATTGTCGCATCGGGATCATCAATCATCATTCAGTCTAACCTCGACTTGGATGTCCTCCCTTGGATTGTCAACTTTCTTATTATCGCAATGATCATCCTCCAGCTGGGTCATGGGGGTAGTCTCATAGATGCCAGTCTCGACACCAGTATCATCCTGGGTGCCTGTCAACATGCAATATTCATGCTAGCTTTTGAAGTCCTCACTCACCATAGAATCCTGCTGCGAATTCTGACCTCCAGAGCGTGTCCTGAAGTGAAGTGAGCCTGATATCATGCTTCCCTGCCAAGAGTCATCTGGGCGGGCATGACCTGCTGCAATGCGCCCAACAAGGAGTGTTGGTGCAACTCCCTATATGATGTCTGTTAAATCCAAAGACAGGGGAAGAATATGAGCATACCTTTGCAACTCCAGCAAGTACACTAAAGTACCAGAATGCAGGACTACTACAAGCATAGAGGACTGTAAATAAGATGGAGAATACAGCATGAAGAGCTGCTGATTCAACCAAAAGCTCAATAACATGGCGATAAGTTCTAAGTCCACCTCCCATATTGTTTCCTGCTTGTGTAACAGTGACAATATGGTAGATGACGAGTAAGGTGCACCATAAAGTTGTGGCAAGAATGAATGATGAATAAAGTATGTTTCCAAGAATGTATGGCTTGAAAGGAGTGGTCCAATTTTTGTACACAACAACTGTGTTGCATGCTGTACTAAGGCTTGAGTAAATCATCCAGCTGAGAGATGTAGGTGAGCTTACCAGTTGCAGAAATAAGAAAAAGGACAGGAAGCAAAATAGTCAGCCACTGCTGTCCACAGACCATCCAACAACGCCAAATCTACAGTTTAGTTAGCAGCTTGAATCTGTGGTAGAAATTTCTAATAAAATGTCACACACTATGGTAGAATCTGCAAGAATAGTGCAGATAGTGGCTGAGATACCAGACCCCAGTGTTACTAAAGCAGTAGGAATAGTATAAAACTGATACTTTGTCCAAATACTCTGGCCATGGTTGATATATAAAGAGCAGATGGATAGCCAAGCAAGGGCAAAGTTGATAGTGGTCACAATATAGAGGAGAGTTATGACAATGACCATAGCCCATCCAACTGGATGGAACTTGCTTGTAACTATGCCATTCACTTCAGCATTGACAAAAAGATAAGGATATTCCTCTCACAGGCATTCCATAGTGTGATAGCAATGATTCCTGTATATATGCCTTTGTGCATAGTTAAATGCTTATAAATATCTGAAAAAATAAACAAGCAGACCTTGCAATAGAGCATAGAGGATCCTTGAATTCAATTCACCATCAAGTTCTTGGAATATAAAAGTCCTGTCAGCATTGGTGAGATTTGCAGGAATATCAGTCTGAATAGCCATTGAGGAAGTCTGAGTAAAGGTAGAATGATGAGCAAGGGGGTCCTGAGGATGTAAGACTTGAGGGTGGAAACCACCCTTTGCTATATAGTGTGTAGGCTATGGCAACACAGCAAATAGCCTCAAGTATTGAAACTATCATGGTTTATTTTTGGAGAATCTTTGGTATCTTACAGCATCAATAAATAGGCATTGGTGTATACTGAGCCCGACTACCCAGCTGATTCTTTTGAGCATCATTGTTGTGACAAAGGAGTTGCAAAGGAGTTCAACATACCCAATGCCCGTCACCAAGCACAAGAAATCCTCTATGCAATACACTGAATGAGAGTGATATGTACTCCATGTTTGGCAAAGCCTCAAAGGGGCGCTGAAACGACCACCTTCATTGGAGCGAGACCTCATTGCGACATCAAATGCTCATTAATGCCGTAAATCATTCTCCTAGATGGCGGAATTGTAAAACTATCCTGGAATAGCCACGGGTCTCGCGGCGACTGTGGATGACTTAAAATTATCAGCAAGCACAGGCATAGTCATCGTCTCTATACCTATCCTAGCTAGCTTAGGACACAATGTATATTGGCCGTAGCACTGGATCACCTCCATTGATAGATACAACACGGAGCCAGAAAAGCGCACTGCCTACCTGATGAATTGGAGGAGGAATATATAGCTGCTTCACGCCGAAATGGGAAGAACTCCACTCGCAGTATCCTTCGAATCAGTCTCGGGTCCATGGAAACCGATGCCAGAGTTAAGGCTCTCGGATCTATAAACTCAAACGCTATCGGGAGTCGGCTTCTGACGAACGAAGAGAAATAGCATACCAAGCATGCTGATTTGAGCTCATCACGTCAACTTATCCACCTCAGAGATCATTCACACCTGCTCCCAGTATCCCGAAAGGTATTTCTCACCGCCTACATCCATACGTCCGCTGAGCCTTGCGGCATTGCCATCAACAAAAACAAATCCAGGAGTCGATTCTAAGAAGTCCTCGAAGGCCTCAATGTCGTCATCATCGGCCATTCGGAAGGTCCCAGAGAGCCCCTGTTTATGGAAAACACCTTGCCCCACCACCGTCTTCGAGCTTCCCTTTACTAGTACCACGACTTTCGGGTTAGTCGTGAATGCTGAGAAAGCCCGAGAGGCTACTAGTTAGCCGGAACCCAATTTCATTCCCTAGATGGCCCAGACCGGTATAGTGAAAAAAAAAGTCGCGCCGATACTGCATGCCAGTAGTGCTGACAGGGATGTTGCGTGATGCGCAAGCTTGGCAGATGCATTCAGCTGTGAATGCGGTCGCAGTTGAGCTTCATTGTTCAGGATGCTATCGGTGGTGACGGCAAAAGGCAACCCAGGAGTCGAATCTAAGAATCCCTCGAGTGCTTGGACGTCGTCGTCGGTCTGGAGGAACCTAGAAGGGAATCGCAGTCTACGAAAGAGACCTGTCCATACTTGTCCCTCCATCATATTCATCGTAAGCCGTCTTCATGCATCTCTTTGCTAAGACAACAACCTTCGAGTCAGCTTCAAGTGCTGAAAAAGTCCGAGAGTCCAGAGGCCGCTAATGAGCCGGAGACGAGTATCAGGGTCATTTTCTGCTCCAATCGAAAGGAGAAGACTAGGGAGGCGCCGCGTTTGGGGCATGGGTGCATTATAGGGAAGGAAAGAATACGAGAGTCATCACAGTTTAAGGTCAAGAAACAACGATGACCAATCTCAGTCGGCCCGCAGTGCTAAGCCGATGGCTCATGCACGGTTTGTGCGGGATCAGGGTAAACACCTACGCAGGACTTATATTATGTACAAGTGCTCGTGGAAACGTCCAGGTAAACATCAACCGCTCATTTGAACGTTCTCTACCCCGAGAAAGCCAAAATACGGCCACCAGTTGATCATTATTGAACAGGAATAACCACATAACTGAATAAGGTGAATATGTGTCATAAATATTATCGTACAATCGCATAGACGCATCATTTTTATCCAAGAATGGCTTGCGTAAAATGACCGTGTACCTGCTTATACGCTAACAAGACCTCCTCGGTACCCATCGCCGCGTCGGGCGGCCTGAATGCCTCGGAAAATTACGAAAAAGACGGCCAAGGTAACCAATATCCTAAATTTATGTCAGAACTAGACGCATATATGCGCAAATATACGCACCATTCTATCCAACAGAATGCTTCAAGTGCATTGAGTTGACCACAGTAAATGAACACATCCTGAGTTCTGCGAGAATCTGTGAGGCCTCGAAAGAGTATGTGCAACAACTAACTCACTTGCAGTTCAAGCCTCCTCCGAGGTTTTGGGTTATGGCGGCTGCGGCTGCGGTCCAGATAACCCATGTAAGGAAAAGGCTGGAGGTACCCTGATGAGCAGATATACGACGGTGACGCAAACGGCACGTACAAAATGAGGTGAGACGCGATGCTAGTGAGCACTGATCCTGTGGCTGAATGCAAGAATAGAACCATGTAGAATATGCAGAATACGACAGTCCACGTTGAGGCGAACAAGACGTATCGGACACGGTCCCTTTGGGATATTCCGTTCTGATGTCCATGCTTATTGAATTGCGAAGTTAACCACGCGGATATTGAGAGCTGTGAGAATGTGTATAAGAACTGTGTATGCGATGTCGAAGAGATATGCTCACTGTGATGATTCCGAAGAGAATGAGGAGACCGAAGACAACTGCAAAAACGGCGTTAGTGGGCGTGCAGAAGCGAGAAGCTGTCAACGTACCCGGATGACCCCGTCGTACATGAGTATCGAGCGGCATTTCGAAAACGTTACTGAGGATATTTCGTATGTCGTAGAAAGGAGGAACAGATGGCGTGGGGCGTAATAGAAAACGTCAGACTTTTATGAAGCCAAGTGGTGAGATCGCAATTTCAACATGACGTCACCGAGATATCCGGCACCGACACGTGACTATAGATCATGGAGAAACTCCTCCGGAGTGACGACGGTCCCTCTTTGTTTGTTCTCTTCTTCCATCTCGGAAACCACGGAGCACCTGTCTCTCGAAGAAACGATGGCCAGTCCGGTCTCTGACGGAGAGCCTGGCAAGGGAACCAGAGTAAAGCAATTCAAATATCCCCTCGGGCCGCGGTGGATCATAAACAGGAACGCTAAAAATACTTCCGATGGAGTACTTAGTTGAAATTCGGTCATTGTCCTTGGTGTTCATCCACCATGACCTCCTCCAAGACACAGTACAATGTCTCTCTTCGGGGAGACGCGATACTCACCAGCTCCCGATGGAACAAGGGCACTGCCTTTTCCCTTGCTGAGCGCAAGGCTTTTGGTCTCACAGGGCGATTGCCGTATCGCGTCAATACTCTTGACGAGCAATGCGAACGCGCCTACGACCAACTACAGTCTCGGGACTCACCTATACGCAAGAATTCCTTCTTGCAGAGCTTAAAGGACCAGAACTGGGTGCTTTACTTTGCGTTGCTATCGAGGCATCTCAGAGAACTCGTGCCTATCATCTATACCCCCACCGAGGTGAGTGTTCCAGACTTGTTCACTAGTGGGCTTGCCACGTCGTCTCGATACGCGGGAACAGCGATAAACCTGGTCTTGTTTGGTCATCAATATCACCCACGCAACCGGCAATCTTCTGTCAGTGGGCGTTCCGGCCTCAGAGACACGTTCAACTTTCTGCTTTCAGCGAACTCAGGGCAACAAGCGAGCATGTAATGATGCGGCCCTATTCAGTCTATGAGCGTCTCTTGCGGCAGGAAATTCTGCATACTATGCACTCCTGGTAAGCGACTGTTTCAAACTGGACAAAAGCCTGTGAAAATGGATGGACAACTGATCAAGTTCTGATCAAGGCTTTCGGTCATAGCAAAATGAATCGGGGTTCCCCTTAATGGTAACCGACACATTATCTGTGTTCCAATTGTTTCCCTTGCATTTTGGCCGGTTGCCTCCCAGGAGTGACGTCTTCTTTTAATCTTCTCGGGCTACACCGGTAACACCTATCGTCGCCATTTCGTAAACTAGTGCTATGCACCGTTCATTCTACATTCGCCTCGCGTTCACGTTGGTTATCCGCGGCGGTGGCAAGCCCATACACAGACAACTAACATTTCTCTAACAGGCTGATGCGATCGCCAACTATTCCCATCTCTTCCGGAGGAGCGAGGGATTGTATCTGACCTTTCCTGATCAAGACACGATGGAGCAAGACTTTCTCGAACAGATCAGAGGTCGAAGCATTGATCTCATTGTATGCTCCGATGCGGAGGCTATTCTGGGCATTGGTGATCAAGGTGTTGGGGTATGCTTCACCGCCTGTTTGCTCTATCATCGTGCTGATTTTGTTGCAGGGAATCGGGGTAGGTGTCTGAGACATAGTTCAAATAATATGATTTATCTGTTCTACAGATTTCTGCGGCCAAGTCGGTGATATACACGTGCGTCGACTACCATCATCGAAATAGTGAACAGTTCGATTGATTATGATATTAGACTCATAGGAGGCATCGATCCTTCTAGAGCTCTTGCCGTTACGCTTGACGTCGGGACAGACAACGAGAATCTTCTCAATGACGAGCTTTACGTGGTAAGTATACCGTTTTCAAACTTCAACGAAAACTCATTATGATGTTAGGGCTGGCCCAACAAACGTATCCGTGGAGAGCAATACGACCAGTTTATCGACAAGTTTGTGCAGCTTGTTCGAAAGTACTTCCCTCATTGCCTACTCCACTTCGAGGACTTTGGTGTGACGAATGCCCAACGTATCCTCGAACGCTATCGGGACACTCATTCAGTATTCAACGATGATATGTAAGAGGGCCGGGTCACTGATGTTATCAATTTTGACCATTCTTCTATTTAGTCAAGGAACTGGTGCAGTTACTCTCTCTTGTGTCATGTCTGCAATTGGCATAACGAAGACCAAACTTTGTGATCAACGATTCATCGTCTACGGTGCCGGCTCCGCCGGACTGGGCATCACGAAACAGCTACGTGATGCCATGGTCGCTACAGATGGCACTTCAGAAGAAGAGGCTAATGCCAAATTCTGGCTCGTTGACAAGCACGGGCTCATCAAACAGAGCACACCTGACGTTCGCAAGGACCTTCACGCATTCATTCGATCGGACGAAGAATGGGCATCGTTCACCGGTGAGGTCGGTCTCCTGGATGTAGTTAAGCAAGTAAAACCGACGGTGTTGATTGGGTGCTCGACTCACGCGGGTGCTTTCACGGAAGAGGTTGTGAAGACGATGGCGGCACACTGTGAGAGACCGATCATCCTGCCTCTGTCGAACCCGAGTCGATTGATTGAGGTCGATCCGAGCGATGCGAATGAGTGGACGGGTGGGAAGGCGTTGTTGGCTACGGGTAGTCCATTCCCTCCGGCTAAGATGCCGAATGGGAAGGATTATATCATTGCCGAGTGTAACAGTACGTCTGTTTTTCTCGTTTCCTCTACTTTGGCTCTGATGATCCTAGATGCGCTGATTTATCCTGGACTTGGGTTTGGCGCTATGCTTTGTCAGTCTCGCAAGATGACAGACACGATGATCATTGCAGGCGCACGTAGACTGGCGTCTCTGTCCCCGGCACTGAAAGATCCAGACGATGCACTTTTGCCTGACTTTGGAGACGCGCCTCAGGTGAATTTTGAGGTGGCTGTCGCTGTCGCTGAGCAGGGCATCGAAGAGGGGAGTGCGGGTGTTGATTGGTCGAAGGAGGAAGTGCGAGATAAGGCAAAGGCAAAGTTGTGGGAGCCATGTATATGCTGGAATATGTGTACGATAAGCATGGAGAAGCCTAGACCAGAGGAAGTTGTGTAATTAGACTAGTAGTAGCAGTATGAGTAGTTCGCACTGGCAAACGAAACAATTCACTTTGGCCGCAGCCGGCCCTAATTATTGTCGCGTCGCGTGGTCTTTGCAAATTCGAATTGGATTACTCCTTTGACTTCAACCATGGCGAGCATGGGCCAGATGCTGAGCATGATGGGGAATATGGATTTCTTTGGAGATCTCACAAAGGGAGCAAAGAAGCTCATGGCTGCTGAAAAGAAGGGCCATATCCCTGATGACCTTGATTTTGGTGTCATGCCTGTTTGCGCGTCGTGCAAGCAGAACATCATTCCGCCAAAGAAACCTTTGCGATGCACGGCGTGCAAGGCAGTTATATATTGTAGCAAAGAGATTTGTGCTATTTCGAATCTGTCTTGGGCTACGAATTATTCATTGTCTGCAGTGTAGCAAGCAAGACTGGAACAACGGAACAGGGCTAAAGTTCTTTACGCACAAGCAGCTATGTCCTGACAATAAGGTGAAAGAAAACCATCTTCAAAAACCTATTTATTCATGATTGTTCATACAATAGAGACACATGCTACGTCTCCCAGAAACTCAAGCGATCCTAACCTCCTTTCCTTGGGGCCGTCTCGAAACAGATGGCACATTTAACGACAGCATCGCCCGGGGCCGCTTCGACGTACTCGGAGGGTCCGGCTTTGGTTTCTGGAGTCACAGAGGCGGACCGATTCCCCACCAGAACATGGGAGAGCTCGGAAAATCTTTGGCCGAGGGATCGCCCTATGCTTCTATGCTTAAATCCATGCTCGGGAAATTCGACCATCTCGGATGGGAAAGACCTCTTGGGTACCAAGCACCTCACTGATGCTGAGGGATGGAAGTTACCTGATAGACTTGATTCCGTATCGGCATTTTGAATCTGTGGATAAGAGGCCTCAGGTTGGTGACGGACTGGGGGCGGGAGATGGATTGGTTGGGACGCGTGGCACGAATGGCGGAGGCTTCCCAAGGAATCCCCCGCTGCGCTGCTTATGAGCTTTCCTCTGAGCGCGTATTGGTTGATTGTGCATTGTTTGAAGGTGACACGTCCCTACTGCAGGGAGTGCAGGGAAAGAGAGTACAGCTTCGCATCCATGCGATTGGTGCCGAAGTGGAGTTGAACTATCTTCCATTGTGAGTCGAATATTTATTCATCAAGCGAGGACTGACGATATTTGAATAGGTTTTCTGAAATAGCACTCTTGTTGCCGTATCATGATATCAAGCTTGTGCTCTTTGGTCAGAGCGTCGAGAAACTCGTCAAAGAGGCGAAGAAATCCCATCCACAATCCCTTGTCGCCAAATCGAATACTTCTTCGCCAGTCTTTGCGTATAAAACTCCGAAGGAATGCGGGAGCGGTTCCATCGAGATATTCCTGCACGGAGATTCGCCTACCTGGTCTCCAGACCTGATGGGTTCCAGCTCTGGACGCCCTGACGCGATCATCGCATTTAACGCCGGGCTTGCGTCGTACCGAGAATGGATTCCCGTCATCCAGGCGGCGCATCTGGCGTCGATTCCTTTTGCTGTCACGGAATACGCGGAACAGTCCTGTGAACAACAGCGTTCTACGATTCCGCGGATGCTAGGACCTCGTGTGCCTGCGAGGAAGGAGTATGAGATTGCGCTGAACCCGTTCCAGACGCCGGGTCAGCGGGGTATACCGATGTACCGTTTGCCTAATGTGGTGAATGGGTTTACGCTAGTAGTTTGGAAGGAGGATGTTGATGTCGAATCTGGAAGTGAACTTGGAGCTGTGGAACAAGAGGGTCTGGAAGAGTTGGATTGATTTTTGTAATATAAAAATTGAGTAGAGAAGATATAGTAACAGATGTACAATGAATTGAATATATAGCTTGCCTGTAAACAGGATGTCCAAAACAAGTTCATTCTTTACTTTAACTTGGGCAATTCGGGGAAGTCATGTGATCGTGTATGACCATAAGTTACGTCATGTGGGATTAACCCCTTGAATTGGTACCACCACGACGATAACAAGAGACTGGTTTCTTGTCTGTTCCCTATGATTTCTTCAAGACGCTCGAAACCTAATTGAAAGAAAGCCAACTCCAGAAGTTAAGGACAATCCAGAGCCAATCCCCCTGGTTCTAGTCAAGCATAGGACCAGGACCAAGAAGCAGCGTGCTGAAAAGCCGAAGTCTCAGCTGAAAGATGACTCGGATTCGGGCCAGCAGAAATCAACCCGTCGACGAAAGGGACTCTTTGGAAATTTTGCTGAGACTCCGCTTGATGTACTCTTTGAGGTGAGCTACGACGAAAGACCAGAGTAGCAGCACGACCCATTAACTAAAAATTGGCTTAGATCTTTCGGCATCTCGAGCCCCTTGATCTTCTTCATCTGAGCCAAACGACGAAAGACCTCCGCGCCATTCTTCTCCAGCGTTCATCCAGTTTCATCTGGAAAGGCGCTCGCGAAAATGTCAACTTACCTCTGTTACCAGACGATATGACCGAGCCGCAGTATGCGAGCCTGGCCTTTGACAACTACTGTCAAGTATGTGGTCCTTTTTCTGATATGTTTCACTGCTTACACCAATGTCAGAACTGTTTTAAAGCAACAAAACTCGTCCAATGGCAGTTTAGGATGCGGATCTGCAGGACATGCTTGTATTGGAACAATGATATGTACGTCCAACAAATTTATGCCAGGAGTCGGCTATACTTGCCCATCTTCGCATTTATCTGTACACTCTCAGCATACACTCTCAGCACCACGGACCCCCGCGAACTTCCTTACGAGTTATTACAGTGTGTTCCTCGTTTCCAATTGAATAAGAAGATAGGCCGTGAGTATGGACATTCCATCACCTGGCAAAAGCTGACGATATGTAATAGACCGACAACGTTGCGAGACATTTTACCATACGCCATCCATCAATGAACTAGAGGAAGGCCTCTGTCATGGTCGTGGAAGATGGTTCGACCGCATAGAAACTTCTCATCGGAGACTTGCTAAAGTAGGATGATGAGATCTCTGTCCTACGACGAGACACTGAAAACATAAATTTCCAGCATTCGGATGCCTGCGAGAAGTGGATGTCTGACCGGGCTGCTGAACATGCAGACAAGCTCCAGTCACTTCGTGCTGCAAGAGCTGATAGGTAAGTCGTCTGTCGCTTGTGCAGATTATACCGCTCATCTAGTCAAACAGTGTGGTCGAACGCTTAACAGCCCTTGGTTGGGGTAAAGAGATTGAAGAAATGGACGACGAGAATGTGCTGCGCCGTCACAAGTTGGTCTGGCAAGTCAAGCCACTTACTGATCGAAGTAGGTCTTGCTTTCTGACGCGTTTTGAAACTAATTCTCTCGTGTCTATTCCTAGACTGGGCTACGATAGAACCAGCTATGATTGAATTGATGGAATCATTGAAAGCAAAATGATGTGGGACGCACACCGAAGACATTTTCGCAGATCGGCAGAAAGTCAAGATCTTTGAACTTCAAACTCTACTCGCGAATTTGAACGTTAGTTTCAATCTTGATACAGAAGCCTTAGCCTTTGACTGTTCGATCTGTAGTTCTCAATTGATATATACCCGTGTCCTTATGCGCAATTGTTATTCAACGGAGTTAATTGGCAAGAATACAAAGCATGACAGTGCCCGGTACGTTCTGTAGCAGGAGCCGTGTCAGAAATTTGCATGTCTTGTCGAAATTGCGCACAGGCAGTATCCAGATCTACCCCAAGTCTCAGAGTCGCACTCTCGTCTATTCAGCGCGAGGTGAAACTTGAAGACTGAATATTTTAATAGTCGAGACCCAGCTGCTTGAACAGTACATGCAAATAATCCGCTTTCGAAGTGCTTCTAATCTTCCTCTTAGGCACAATATTCAAACAGATAACTTTGCCCAAGCTCGCGACCATTGGATTTAGGATCTAGACAAGTATAACGAGCGTTCCTGTGTGTCTTTCCGGCTCGCACGCTAAACATCCTGTCTGGACGTCACTCCGGAATCAGCCCTTGCGAGATGTCAGCACATTGTTTGCCGAGCTGAAAAAGTTTCCTCCGACACATATCATTCTACCTGATGGCGCTTGCAGAAACCTACGCCATGATGGGCACGTGTACGCTGGTCTGAAGTTATGGAGTATAGAAGGCTACTTCAGAGCATACTTGGGAAAGGCGGCAAAATGTAACTGTATCGGATTGCTATCAATATATCCATTATGTGAACAACAATAGAATACATACAACGCGACATATACACAACAAAAATAAGGACTACGAAGCCTTCGCCTTCGCCTCCTCTCTCTCCTGGAGTTTCTGAATCGATGTCTGCTGCTTAATGGCAGCCTTCATCTTCCTCTGCCGTTTCCGTCGACCGTTCCCTCGCTTTTTACCCTCAACGACGATGGGCTCGGAAAGCTTCTTTTTCCGGCGAGCAGCCTCCTCCGCGCGCTGTTTCTCCCGCTTTTTGTCTCTTTTCCGTAGGGTCGTCATTGACGCCTTCAGCAAGGAACCATACGCGCTGTGAAATTTATGAAGATCTCCAGAGGACACCTGAATACGCTGTCAGTTTACGCTGTGAAGATACTGGAGACCACGCACCCTGGTCGAAAATTTGAATTTGCCGCCGTCGGACAGGCGAACGAGACATGGATATTCTCGCACATCTTTCCTCACCCTCCTCATATTTCATCGCGGAATCTTCACCATCGTGTGTAACTAAAAAACAAAGAACGCGTTCCTCAGGTTGACTTGGTAGCGGACGGACTGATCCAACACGTACGTCGTTTATGCGTAAGCCATATCGATCCTTTGTCCTTCGACGATTCGAACAATTCAGAAAGCTTTTGGAGAAACTGGAAAGAGTATCAGAAAGATCCGCAATGAAAGCAGAAAATACTTGCTTTGTCGTTGTCCACCAGCTGCATGCTGCATCGAACACAGTGGTAGCAGGACAAGAGGCGGAAAGTTCCACGTGGTCGGCGGCTCTGATATTCCCACGCGTCGCGACCAAGCTTTTCGTTCTTAATCGCTCTTGTCACTTCCAAGTTTCTACGTGAAGGAAATGTGCAGTAGCACTGGAAATTTTCCATGTACAGTTTTCGACTTGTCGGAAACAGAATTTTCCTTGCTAAAATCTGATTTCCAGATAGAAACAACCTGTACGCTACCCAGAATTCTTGTTGAATTCTTTTCATCCCCGTCGCGAAGACCATCATTTCAAATTTGTGTACCTACCCTTCTGTGTATACAAAATCTGGTCTCATTAAAAGCTACCTTATGATTTATTTTCTAGCCATCGTCGCCCATTCCTGCCGTTTTCCGTGTTCATCATTCCTCGGGACGACTCTTCCGCCAAAAATCCCGTCGAACCACTCTATGGCGATGTTTTTTCCATCTTTGAATCTTCAACGATGCCGTTTCATCAACTATATATGACAACATTTGACTCTGCCTCCGTCACAAATCCAAGGCGACCCTTTCTTATGTCTTTCATATCTTTGGTACCGCTGTAGACAACGATCAGGTGCAGTCTGCCATTCTTAATTTGTGTCAGCTACTTCTTAGTCTAGCTGTAGAGACATAGTCAGTTCTATCCTAGAGAAAGAACAGAGTACCATGACCATTAGAATCCTTCAATTTTCGACGAAAACGCAGCCGAAGCAGAGAGGATCATCCTGGAAAATGAACGGAACGCATTTTCGGTCTTTCAACCAGTGCTCGATATCATCATGTTCTCGGGCTCTCGAGTGACCGTGGAGTGATGTACAGACGCTGACGCGCCGCGTCATCTAAAATCCTGGGACTGTGGAGCGCTAAGCAACTAGTCAAACTGCCTATGGTTCCGTTGATTCTAGATCCCAAAACCCTATTTTATTCGAAAAATACAACTAAGTTCGTACGTTGTAATGATACAATTATCCAAGACCATTGATATGTCACGCTTTGCACCAATCCTGCTCATGCCACCAAAAATATCCGTGATAAAACCACCTCTAATACTCCCTTCCCGTAGCATGACTTTCAGAAAACTCGGCATAATCCCTCCAGTAATCTGGTCTATACGTACACCCAAGATCAGTTCACCCTATCCAACGTAAGAGGAACGAGAACGTACTCTAATCCGCTGGGTGCCCTATCCCATATCGCCCTCATGACATCATCAACTTGGCTGGCAGTAACGGGAGCCGCGGACCAGTTGTACGGATTAGCGTTGGACCAATCAGAGGGGTGATCTGACAGATCAACCTGTCCGTGGAGAGGCATTCGTTCAAGGTGGGTGTCATTTATCGGTAGGGTGTATAGTGACTGTTGAGGATCAGGGTACGGCTTCTGGTCGGCAAACTCTGCAAGTTCGGAGGATTCGGCTACATCTTTTTCTCTAGAGCCAGGAAGCGGAAGATCATCAGCGGACACTAGCTCGTATAAAATGTCCCTGGAGAATGAAAAATTTTTTGTTCGTAACCAACCAGAAGTTCAGAGAGAAAGACATACCATAATACACCAGCATATTGATACCTGTACATTTGTAATTAGCCAATGAAGTCGAACACAATACATATATACGTACCGTATCTCTAGATCTGCAAGTACTCGCATGCACTTATGCACGCCCTCCATCTCTTTATCGACGTCAATGCCCAACCCTGCCCGCCGTCGGCCCCAGATATTTATCAGGAGAACAATTGCCGCATTGAAGGACAACACCTGCACACCAAAATGAATATAATTCACAGGCTAATGAATAACCTTACACTAGGTACAGAGGGAAAGTGATTGTTTTTCCTCTGAATTGGTAGCTCTGCGATGCGAGTACACGAGCGTGCGGCATTTGTGCATATAGATAGGGAGGGGGAATCAAAGCCGCTGCTTGGAGCCGTGATAAAGGGCAGGTGAATGAACATTCGAAGATGGTAGTATAACAATAGAAGGTATGCGGATTGATGGAAATGCAACAAGTCAGCACGGTCGGGATCCCATCGTACTGGATAAATATGATCAGCGTGAGGAAGTAGGAAAAATGACAAGGTATACAATGCTCTGGAATAGAGTCTACCCATTTGTCCAACGCAGAGTCAAGCTCGACGACTATTTGCTGTTCCCAGTCTTTCTTGAGGACAAAAAGGACTTTTGATTTATGGATTGAGTACTACATCCAGTAAGCAAAGGACATCTAGGAAAGCGCTGCTGAGGGACGTACAATAGTGCGCAGCACATCATAATCAGCCGTGTCAACCGCAGGGTACAATTGAAGTACGACACGTTTGACGGTTTCCCGGGAGGCTGCTTAAAAGCCTGTTGGGGGTCAGGATGTTCCCAACACTCATCGTCACACTCTGTGGGCAGGTCAATGTCAATGCTATGGGAGTGATTAGCTCAAGCTTCAGTAAAGAGGGAGATTACACGCACTCTTCATCATATATGGTACACACTCGACCCAATGCCGAGCTAAGGAGACTATCTATACATACAAGACACCTGACAGGAGGTAAACAAAGACTGAAGGCCGAGTCTATGGAAAAGTACCAAAATGCGTGTTTCCACAGTTCGGCCTTCCACAGTATTTTTCACCCGACTGTTACGTGTTGTCTTCTTTCGGTGAGCTCCTGTATCTTGCGCAATCCGCAGGCCGACGTCTACCATGGTCCAGGATTGCTGCGGTGCTGAGGAACTCAGGTAAAATTCAGAGAGAAGCTGTCAGTTCATCAGCTCGTATAGTGAAGAGGGAATATCGGGTTTACACAGCAGGCCTGTATGTCATACAAGTTTGGAGGATCCAAGGAAGGAAACGCACGACGCCGACTTGTGGCCTGAGCTGCCCACTTCCACCCATTCGACCACTTTGACTGCTCACCTTCCATGAGGACTCGAGGATCATCTACGTGTTTGGACCCGAGGGCACAGACGACCAGAACGACTCCTCCGAACTGGTAATTTTTGTAGTGCAGCCCCTCCTTCAAAGATTTATCAAACGTCGGTCGATGGAGGATGGGAAGAAACGGATTAATGTACATAAAGTACACGTCGATGAGCGTCGGCATAAGTTCCCCAGGTGGAAATCTGAAGTGCATTCCTTGCGGAACATAGCGGTGGGGATTGTTCCACGGACGGAAATCCCAAAACTCGGCTCGCAGAGAAGTGAAATCTGTGACATGGTACAGCGTTCCCGGTTGCCCCGCTTTGGTATCCAAGGCTTCTTGAATGAATTGGAAAGAGCTTGACTTCCCGTGATACCGATAACCAAGGACGTAGTCTTTGAATTCTTCAAGGTTGCTTTCCAGTGCATTGTCACGATCCTCTACTTCGGGTGCTTCGAGGCTCAGCAAGCGTACGCAAGCGGATAACAAGCTCGGGGCGTCCTCTGTGAGTGGCTGAATGGCTTCAAGCTCCTCCGTTAAATCTGCTTTCGGAGGAAGGATCTGCGAGGGTCGGTTGATATCTCTTCCACCACATGGAAAAAACGTCGGTACGAACCTTGCGAAGAAGGTCTTCCATCTTTTCTACCTTGTCCTCCAAGCTCCTGACGTAGCTGGACTGGTAAAGTCGAACTGTTGAGTCATACGTTGGAGAATGTGAGAGTAGCAGGAACGAACCGCTGCGATGGCAGCGACCTAGGCTGCAATGTTAGTGGAAACGTCAGTGTCACCGAGTTCATCATACTTGCCTTGATGGACTCGATGTATGTACAGTCCAACTTGCATGCGATGCACTTTGAGCATCGCCTACCAGATATCCGATTCCCGTCACCTGATGATACAACCTCAGCTTTGTAGATACGGTGAAGACCAGTGCGCCCTACACCGAGCTGGAAATGAAATATGAGGCCCTTCGAGGAGCAAATAGTAGAGAATGGGACGTACTCTTCCTGCGTCTGCAGACATCGCAGGCTACAACGCATTTTTCTTGCCATTTTCCGCAGCGTGTTTTTCCATTTTTATGGACTCTAGATGATAGCTCGAGACAGAGTCAAAGTCAGGGCTACTAGGAAGTCATGGATGTTCGAAGCTAATAAGTATTGGACGGTTACGGGACCTATTCGATGTGCAGCGGGTCAAGAAGTCTTTTCAATTCGTCGATGGTGACAAGGGCCTATTATGTACTTGGAACAAGAGTTCCGTGTCGTGTAATGATAGTGATCAAATATGCGAAGATGTATGGCGCATGTTCAATACAATACAATTCGAGAAAAATGTTTAGTCCTAGGGCAAGATTTGCGGCAACTTGACCGTTACACAGGCCCGGTAACGTATTGACGTGAAATGCCTGGGAGAATGTCATTACCAGAGATAAACGTGTTTTGAGATTCAGACATACTAGTGTCGATAATGATGACGATCTTTTCACCGCAATAGGACTTGTTATTCTACAAAAGATGGTATGTCAACGCTTTCAATAATGGTCGAAGGGAACGCTTACTTCGAAGTCTGGTGTATGTCCCATAATCATTCTACGAGTCCCGGTCTTCTCAAGGGCGGCTTCGATATCTTTGCACGCTTGTATTCGGTTCCATTCGCCAAGCCTCGATACCACGGGTAACCATTAGAGCTATACAGCTCCGCTTCCTCAGGACGGGTACCTAATGTTAACAGTCAGCTACTTATAACCATTATGATTCTGTGCACTGTAAATACTGACCAGGAGGAAGTCCGACATATGGACCGGGCAGGTGCGGTTCAGGCTGTCCCCTGAATTGAAGCTTTCTCCGGAGAGAATCAGAGAGGAATTGATGTATGAAGGGAATGGCGATAGACCGTGGGATGTTGGAGATAAGCCTCCGTGGGACCAACGATACCGCAGAATGGGAGAACGATCTGGACTTGACGAAGTTGGAGGATACATTGTGTTCGGTGGACCCAAGGCACTGCAGGATGAAGAGGAACTCGGGAGACTCTAGTGTAATTTACTGCCCAAGAACGTCCTGGCCAGCCCGTGGAAAGAATTTCTCGACGGTGCCAAAGGTCTCGATCTCGCAGGGATATACTTATCTGGAAAATGTGACATAAGAAAACGCGACTCAAACATGGAACAAGTAGTATTACCTCCAGCCGCCTATTACATTCATCCATTTATGGTTTCCCAGACGTGACAACGCAGTACCGCCATTCGCGGAGGTTGTTATCGAGTCCATCTCTGATTCATAAAGCTTTGTCGTAACGTCGCTTCTATGACATGCTGAGGAATCCGAATTTTAGGGTGAAGTAGGAACCACGGACTGGTAAATGATGTTCCTAACCCAGTCAGTATTTTGTCTGTAACACCAGATGATTGTAAAAATTTGCTCGCATATGTGAAGGTCGGAGTGAAGTATCATCACTAGAGGGCGTAAGGAAGGCATCCTGAGAAATTTGGTGCAATGAGAGCCTATACAGTCCGGTAGTAAAGCGACGACTCGTCTTCTTCGCGACGGTCGTGTGGGCAGTAAGTGTTGGTGTTGGTATTAGTGTCAGTTCACTTAAGTCCTGTTCCAAGCGGCATCGGTTACCTAAGCATTCAGTATTTTACTTTAGGAATGCCTGCCCGTGGTGATAAATTTGCTCGTAACTCTCTTGTCCATCTTCACAACAATCTTCCAATCCAATCACCCGTGAGTTTACTAGATTGTGGTTTCTTTGCTAGCCCTGACGACGCCACTGGCTAGCGATTTCAAAAATTCAAGCAGATCGCTCGAGGGAAAATGCCAAGAAAACGCCACGTGTCCGGCCCTTAAGTGGGCACATGGCTGTGCAACCCCTGCATAATCACCACCGTTGCGAGTCGGCCAAGCTTTTCGTTCTTAATCACTCCTGTCACGTCCAAGTTTCTACGTGAAGGAAATGTGCAGTAGCACTGAGAAGTTTTCCATATACAGTTTCGGACTTGTCGAAAACAGAATTCTCCCTGCCAAAGTCTGATAACTTGTGGTCAAAGGACTGCCAAATTTTCATCTATATTTCAATCGTTCTTGTTGCATTTTGAACAGCGCGTGTGAGTCACATGCCAGGAATGATATACACACGCCCTCGGGGGCATTTCCCATCACCACTATTACGTCCTGCGCCGTCTACTCCTTCTTTTTACAACAAACGAAATATCTACAGTAACGCCTTTGAAATGTCACTCAGTTCGCTTGTACAATTCAGTCATCTGAGTACATCGACAGCTTCTCGCTTCTGCGTGCCCACTGACATCGATTTTGTAGTCGTCTTCCGTCTCCTCATTTGGTCCGGAATCATCACAGTAAGCATATCTATTCGACGCTGGGCACATCTTTTTTACCCCTCGCAGCTCTCAATATCTGCGTGGTTAACTTCCCAATTCAATAAGCATGGACATCAGAACGGAATAACCCAAAGGGACCGTGTCCGATACGTCTTGTTCGCCTCAATGTGGACTGTCGTATTCTGCACATTCTACTTGGTTCTATTCTTGTATTCCACTACAGGATCAGTGCTTACTAGCATCGCGTCTCACCTCATCTTGTACATGCCATTTGCGTCACCGCTGTATACATGCTCATCAGGATACATCCAGCCTTTTCCTTACATGGGTTATCTGGATCGCAGCTGCAGCCGCTGTAACCCAGATGCTTGGAGGAGGTTTGAACTGCAAGTGAGTTAGCTGCCTTATATGCTATTCGAGGTCTCACGTGTTCTCGCAGAACTCAGGATGTATTCGTTTATTGTGGTCAACTCAATGCGCTTGAGGCATTCTGTTGGATAGAATGGTAGGCATTTATACGCCCAGATGCACCCGATTCTAACATAAATACAGGATATTGGTTACTTTGGCTGTCTTTATCATGATATTCCAGGCATTCAGGCCAGCGGTGAAGGTGACCGCCGAGGAGGTCTTGTAAGCGTATAAGTAGGCACGCCGTCTGCTAACGCAACCCAGAAAGTTCTGCGGCAATTGCCGGTCGAACTTTACCGCTCCAGCGGAACGGGGCCGAAATGACTAGTCCGGGATACCGTCCGAACCCAACCTGTCCGGGTGGGATAATTGTATTTAGATGAATAACTGAGAAGTTTTACATCTTTTATGTACCTTGTATGTTATGCAGCTGGGGAGGGAATGCCGATTTCTTGAAAAAGGACACCTGTCCTGTTTCACTGCCGAACACCCGGCAAAGGAGCCTCACAGCCACAATCATTTCCGTTTAGCCCTTCTAACGTAAGCAATACTTGAGGATTGACTCCGAAATATTACAGATACTTATAGTTCTTATGAAATATCTCAAATGTGCAGCATAAAGTGGTCTGAGGGCATTTTTCATGCTTGAGAGTACTTCGAACATTGTTGAGATGCCGAGATGCCAACTGTCAAATTTGGTGCCGCCGGCACCAGTGCTTTTCGCACTGGTTACTGGGGTCAAAAACCCGCTTATACTTCCTCTGAAGATATACAAGTAGCAAATACTGTAAACGTAATAGCAAGATAAACCAACGCTGACAAGAACAAGGACTTTTGGTATAGCCGGACAATCGGACCCGGACAGCCGGTCGGACAGTGTACCGGACTTCTTATTTCAGCCTCGCCCTCCCGCTCCAGTCTTCCAGTCTTTTTCCGTTGGGAACGATATGCAACTTGAATTGTAAGATAATAGTTACAACACTTAGGGCCCGTTCGTCTGTTATGCGGTTATTTTTGTAAAATAATGATCAACAGGTTACCGTCTTTTGGCTTTCTCGAGGTAGAATATTAATAGGCAAGGGTTCTTTTTTTCTTTTTGGTTCCATGTTTGTACTATATGTACTTTATCCTACATGTATACGTATGGTGGGATCGTCCTCAGGCAAGCGTTTAAATGGGTGATCAATGCTTAACTGGATGTTGCTACGAGTGTTTGTATTATAATATGAATAATGGGGAACCCACAGGAGCGAGCGTTAGCATTCGGTATATGAGAGGTTCTTATGGGACCGACTGTTGTGTTCTTGTAACACAGTGGCAGAAACAGAAAAGAACAAGCCAGCAGTGATAAACTTGAAAACGCTCGTCGAGACCGCACAGCGATAGATACTCCATTTCACCACCTGGATCTCGCACTAATAAGGAATCCCTAAAGAATTGAAGAAGAGGCGAGCAAAAAAAGACGATTCCAGGGGAGGCGGAAACTTGAATCTGCCCCGCATGTGTTTGTTGAAGTTCGTGCTTGGCGAATGAATTTGGCCGGGCCTCGTGTATAGTCAATGTATGTTCGCTAACACCCGCAATAATTCAAGACTTGTGCCTATTAGATTTTTGGACACGGTGTTCCGAATAGCACAAGGCACTAGCTCGACGTTAGTTTGTATCCAGCACGTACACTTTACAGCTCTTCGCGAAAAGGCTGGCATCACCTTTCCGAATCAAAAACATTTCGTAAAATTTCGTTCGTTGATGTTGGCCTGCTGGGACTGGATCGGGGCCCGGCAACTCGGCAGAAGCCCGCCATAACGCGCTCATAAACCACACCAACCCCTGAACCAGAATTTCGCAAAATGTTTTGTTCGCGAAGTTTATGCCAAGCTTTTCACAAAGCGCTGTAAGATACGCTGCAGACTGAGAAATTAAACCAAGAATCATAGCGTAATGTGCGTACAAAACCTAGTATCGATGTATTGCCGACCGATTCTGAGGATTACCCACCCCAAAGCATACAACGCATCTTAAGCCGGGGCCTGCTTGTATGTGGGAATCCGGGTGCAGGAAGGAGTAACCCTAACCCTGCAAATCGGGCATTAACTATTGGCCCGGAATTCCGGGCCGACAAAAATTGCTCATGATTGCTCATCTTTGCAACTTTACTTCAAACTCGCCAAAAAATTCGATGACTCTCATACGCTTCCCTCCTTTATCATGCAGACATCGTACCCATGCCCCAAAGGCGGCGCCTCCCTAGTCCTCTCCTTTCGCTTAGAGCAGAAAACGACCCTGATACTCGGTTCCGGCTCATTAGCAGCCTCGAGAGCTTTCGCAGCACTCGAAGCTGACTCCAAGGTTGTCGTACTAGCAAATGGAGGCCTGAAGACGGCATGTGATGAAATCCAGTGGCGGGTCGAGCATGGTCAAGTCGCATTCGTAGACTGGGAATCCCTTCCAGGTTCCTCCAAAACGGACGATGACGATGACGACGTCCAAGCCCTCGAGGGCTTCTTAGACTCGACTCCTGGAATTGCTTTTGTCGTCATCACTGATACTATCCTGAACGATGAAGCCCTACGACGGCCCGGCTCCTCAGCTGAACGCATCTACCAAGCTTGCGCATCGCGAAACATTCCCGTCAACACTACCGACATGCCGCACTTATGCGACTTTTCCTTCACCTCGTCATATCGATTTGAGGATCCATCGGGGGAACGCACACCTCTCCAAATCGGGGTAACCACGAATGGGCAGGGGTGCCGGTTGGCAGGGAGGTTGAGGAGGGAGATCGTAGCGAAGCTGCCAAAGGAAGTAGGATTGGCGGTTGAAAATGTTGGAAAGCTCAGATCTCTGGCGAAATCGAGTGATAGTGCTGTATATGAGGATTGTTTTGATGATAGTGGCGTGTCGACACCAAATCGACCGGTTCCACAACGGAGTTCGTTAGAGACTGCTGTGGAGAGTGCGAGGAGGAGGATGAAGTGGGTGGCGCAGGTCAGCGAGTATTGGCCATTGTCTAAGCTTGCGAGCTTGACAGAAAAGGATATGGAGCAGGTACTGTCGGGAGAGAACCAGGAAGGGTCCGTAGCAGTGAACACTCCATCATTACATTCGTTGGACATCCGGCGACCAGGTCGAATTCTTCTGGTGGGGTCAGGGCCTGGGCATCCATCATTGCTCACACAAGCGACCCACAACGCACTTACGAAGCTCACCGATCTTGTCCTATCTGACAAGCTTGTTCCCGACGCAGTCCTGGCTCTTATTCCGTCGGGAGTGGAAGTGCGAATTGCCAAAAAATTCCCGGGGAACGCAGATGGTGCGCAAAATGAGATGATGGAGGCTGCGGTTGAGGCTGCTCGAAAGGGGTTGACTGTAGTACGGGTAAGTGGCTCTTCGCCGTAGGGTATAGCAGGGACTGACTGTGAGTAGCTCAAGCAAGGTGATCCTGTAGTATATGGACGCGCTGGGGAGGAGGTTCTCTACTTCCGCTCACACGGCTTCGAGCCTGTCGTCGTTCCAGGTGTTAGCTCGGCGCTGGCAGGACCCACATTTGCAGGAATTCCGATAACACAACGTGGTGCAGCTGAGTCTTTCATCGTGTGCACAGGAGTTGGGAGAAAAGGAAAACAAGTCCAGCTGCCTGGGTATGAGCGAGGGAGGACGTTGATCATACTCATGGGCGTAGCTCGGTTACCCCAAGTCGTCAGTATCCTTATTGATGCCGAGTGTGCACGACGCAACGGTCCCGCCTACCCCTCCTACACTCCGATTGCCCTCATTGAGCGAGCATCGATGCCAGACCAGCGTGTCGTCGACTCTACGCTCAAGGACATTGTCAGAGCACTTGATAGCGTTGGCGAACAGAGACCACCAGGTATGCTCGTCGTTGGATGGGCTGTACCAGCGCTCTGGGGGAAGGGGGACGTTGAAGTTTTGGAAGAAAGTGCTGACTTGGACGAGGGTCGGATTGCTAAATGGTTGGGTCAGGACAGCTGGAGAGTGCGAGAAGGGCTGCAGAATGAATGGGATGACGGATTGTAGCATAGCATACATTTACGAAGCAGTGATACAGATATATTTAATAAAATAAAAAATTGAGAAGCCTGCCACTCACGCGCACACCTCAACCTCTTACTAGTTTGACGTAAGCTTGTCTTATAGCATGTATAAACGCAAAGATGTCCTTGGTAAGGTTAAGCTCTTCCACAAGGAAAGGAAGTTGAGGCAAAGGTGGCGATGAAGTAAGAACTGAGCTTCCAAATCAGCATTCCTCCCGGGGCAAACCGATGGGTAAGTACCTTTATATCCAGGACCGGAGACGTCCAACACGAAACTGAATTCTTTCTCGAGATCATCGAGATCAATACGCCTAAATCGCACAAGAAGCTGCTGCTGCTCCTTGTCGATGCCCTCTATCGTCAGACCCAATATTCGTTCGAGTGTCTGGTAGTCAGGCTGTACGCTTGAGGCATGAGCTTGCAACGTAGACCTTTCCTTCTCCCGTTCTGCAAACAGTGGGTATCGGTAGAGCCCATGCAACCATAAACGAGCCTACCTCGCTCTAGATTGGCCGTGATAGCACGATACTCTTCAAGCTCGCCGTCAATGGCTGCACATTTCTCCTTAAGAGACGCGAGCTGGCGTCTGAAAGTGGCAACAGAATATTCTGCGTCTTTCCTCTCTTGAGCTTCCCTGTCAAGATCTAAGAGAAAGGTCATGCATGAACAGCCTTCAGCAGGTAAGGAACGCACCTGCAAGCAGCTCAATCTCGCGAACCTTGCACTGGTTCGTCTCTGCCTCTATCTCCTTGCTCTTCTCTGCTAGCCTCTTCATTTCGGCTGCAAACGCAGCCCGTCCCTCTGTCTCCTGCGTTATGACCAGTTCCTTGAATCCGGTGAGGTCTTTGAGAAAATTGCGCGTCTCATCTTCATAAGATTCTAGTCTGAGATCGATTATAGGGTGATCTGCTTGCAGAACGGTGGATAGATCGATTTGTGGGACGCGAAATCCGGTGGCCATGGTGGGCGAGTGAAAGAAACAGGTGTCATCCAACTAGAACGACGCAAACACGAACACGTGACATGGGAATCCTATTTTGCGCTTGAGTTGCAACAATAAACAGAGGCAATCCCCAGCAATCCCCCTACGTTCAACTTACTACTACATTTTCGCTTATGATGTATTGTAAGGTTCATCCATAGCTCATACTTTATACAAGACAGAACATTTATTTACCCAGTCGCGAATTATAAAGTGTTGGCTGATCGTACTGCTTCCTTCCTATCGAAAGCACCCTTCCAGATACAACAGACGTTACTCTTCCTAGATAGTCAACACATCTTCACTTCCAGGCTTCGTTACAACCGCTGATTCTGTGTTTCCATCGTCGACGGAAGCATAACTTTACAGTATTGGTGTCCGGAAGCTAGCGGCCACGTCCAATCCTCTGGGGATACTTCGCTGATATTATGTCTGAAGATTTTGTGAGATTAAGGAGGTTGCCGCCCCTCATGGCAATACGCACTCTGAAACTACTTAGGTGTGGTAGAAATTCCGATTTTTTCTTGATAAGTGAGCAATAGGTACACTTGATGTCGTATGACCAGTGGTCTTGGAACATGCAGATCTTTGCCTGCTTCTCTAGCTCGAGAGCCAACTGGATGTCGGATTCTTCTGAAAGAAGTACCCAGTTGTCAGGTATTGCATGACAATGCATTACCTACGGAGTCACATATTAACGCATATTCCAGCTGTGAGATCAAAGCAAAGTCACTGACCATCGCCGCCCGCCAACCGATGACACTGCGTCGGTCGATCGAACACCGTAAGCATATGAATCGAGGATCCGTATCGTCCCTATCTTGTGCTGTTGCGATCTCAGTATCGAGCCCAGAAAGCTTGACTGCGACGGCAGCCTCGTAGAAACCGACTCGGTCGAACCTCAATTTGTCCGCGTGTCATGTATGACATGGCAGATTATACAAAGCCTTGTCTCGATTCTTTTTCAGGTCGAGATTGTTGTTCCATGGCGGTTTGGTGCAGCAGTGGTGTCCCAGAACGTCAGGATAGGCGAGTCGATAATCGCACGACTCGCAGGTAAAAAAAAGTCGTCGCCAGATTAAGGTTGGGTTCAACGCTGCATTTCTTCATCACCTCCTGTAGCTCACGATTCTTCTCTCGCCATCAAACGGCGATTTCCTCAAGGCATGAAAAAGGTTCCTTTAAGTTTTCTTCCGTCACGGCTTCCAACAGAGGCGTGTTCAGTATGACAACAGAAAAAGGTTTGCTTAGAGGAACGTCTGCTGACTTCGGAATTACAGGAATATCGGGGAGCGCAGAAACGAGCTTTCGATACATCGATAAAAACAACTTGCACCGTCGATCAATCGCAGTACGTTTCCCGTTTTCGATTCACATCTCTTTGAGGCTTCTCATATGAAAGACAAGATCTGCCTATATATTGGACCAGACTCTCCGCAGACGGATTAGCCATTGTCAAAACCATTATAACACGCGACGTACTTCTTTCGGTGAGAGGCTTCGGCTGCCACACAAGCTTGTGATATTTTAACATGTCGACAAGTGGTCAGGCGATCCGTGACTCTAGATAGAAGTTAGGTATGATCATATACATGGTTATGCACAGAATATCATGTACACCCTTTGAATCTCTCGCATCGGGCGGATTCCAATTCAGATGAACGATCGGAAGTTCGCTCTCTGGCCTACTGTTCGAGAGCTCGGGCCTTCTAGGGGTGATAAAATTCTTCACGTTTAGATGAAGCTATGAGATCGAGGATCTTACAGTAACGCGTGACAAATGCTCTTCTTTCTTGCGCATCAGCCAGGAATTATCGAAACCCTCGCGAGACTCTTCTTTTAAGAGACGTATTAACGGAACGTGCAGCCAAGTGCGAATTCTGTCAGAGTCTGGTAAAAAAGACAACAATGTTAACACAAGCGTACGAGGGTCAGATAGACGGACAATCGCACAGCGTCCAACCGAGACACTTTGTTCAAAGTGAGGCACTAATTGGAGGAGACCGTCCCACAGGTCCGGATAATGCGTCGTAAAACTGTACACGCATGAGCAAAATGCGTGAATTTCATCAAAATCGACGTACGTTCCGGAATATTCTAGACATCCTCTACTATCTCACGCCGGCCTCCCACTGTACGATTGTTGTAGGTTGCGAGCAACACTATGAGTATATGCTCAGTTAACAGGCAGGCGATAAACAAAAGTAACATTTTACATGGCAATGAGTGTCGAAAACCAGGTTGGCATACTAAATGATTCGCTCATGTAACTCGGCAGTGGAGGTAAACCCGTGACGTTTTCGTGGATGTTCTTCCAAACGAACCCGGACGAACGCCGTAGAAGAAGGGAACGGATGTCCTTAGTCGTACGAGATTAATAGGATCCAAATAGCTGAAGATCTAACGGGTCGTTAGAGGCAAGTACATAAAGACCCGGAGGCTCAAGGAAGAACTGACTTCAGGCACCAGCTCCAGAGGCGCTTCTGCAACTTTCTGAAGCAATCCTTTTCTCCCACGAACTCGCTTTCGAAATACTTGGCATTCATCTGGTACTTTGGAATGAGATTCCTTGGCGAGTTACTTTTTCTTGGTCTTGGCTGCGCGAGGGGCCTTATAGTTGGGACTGGGATCACTTTCTGGATATCGAGGATGTCGTGGTACCTCCATGGAGGCGAGCGAAGTACTCGTGGTTGTGGTACAAGGAGTAAATGTCAAATGAATGATTCTGAATTTGATCTTCCCGCGCACGTGATCATCATTGCGGCGTTCTCAAAATCAAATTGTGTAGGGCAACTCAAGCACGATTGGGTGATGATACAAAATGTTTCGAGAATCGACAGGAAGAATGCACAGAAAATATAAGGTTACGCTGCATAGATATCACGGACTTCAAAAAACATCCCGGACCGAGGTTCCTTCACCGGGCCGGAACGCCACCGTCCTCCCATCAGGTGAAATAATGCACTCGGGACCTGTTTGAACTTGAACCTGCACCATGTCCTTGCAGAAGCACCTCTTGAACGCCCCCGCAACGCTGGTATCAGAGTCTTTACAGGGCCTCTGTGCGGTTAATCCCCAGCTCGCATACGACCCGGAGAATCAAGGCAAGTGATATCAGTTGAATGGTATTTGATTCACAATACAGAATTATTGCCTAGTCGTCTACAAAAGAACTATTGATCCATCCAAAGTAGCCGTTATATGTGGTGGAGGCTCAGGACATGAGCCGTCGCATGCTGGCTTCGTTGGAGAGGGTATACTGAGCGGTATGTAATGACAGGATGATAACCCGATTGTGAACCGAGACTGACAGCACGTGCAGCGGCTGTCTGTGGAAGTGTCTTTGCATCCCCGAACGCTAGCCAGGTCCGTCGTGGAATTGACCTCGTTGAGAACGATGCCAGGTGAGTCGCGGTGGACCGCATAATTGTGTGCTAACGTCGATCCAGGACCCTCATTGTCGTCAAGTACGTATCATACTTCCACTTAAGGATCTTCCGTATCTCAATGACGCAGGAATTACACCGGTGACGTGCTGAACTTCGGCTTAGCGAAGGAACAATATGCAGCTGAGCATGGCAAGAAACCGAATCAAGTCAAGTTCTTAGTTGTCGGTGACGACGTTGCAGTCGGGAAAACGCAAGGAGACATTGTCGGTCGAAGGTGAATTGCATCCGAGGCCCTTGTCATTCCATGTTGTCGTCGGCCTTCCAAAATCTCTCCATTTGGGATTATGGCCAGGTATCTGTTATTGCTTACGAACGTAGTGACGCCTATTCTCTCCGCCGTTCTCTGAGGATTTGTAACGAAACGTACTAATGTGACTTCCAGGGGTCTCGCTGGCGTTGTCCTCGTCTACAAGATTGCCGGTGCTCTGGCAGCTCAGGGCGGCAGCCTCGATGAAGTATACAGCATCGCCCAATATGTCTCTTCCCGCATCGGAACCATTGGGGTCGGCCTCGAGCACTGTCATGTCCCAGGTACGGCCACGGGTGAAACTCATTTGTCCGCGGATGAGATCGAGATCGGACTCGGGATCCACAATGAGTCGGGAAACAAGCGTATCAAGCCTGTCCCGCCTTTGAAGGTACCTTATCCCGCAATTACTTGATCTCATTATGTCCACAACCGACACAGAGCGTTCCTTCCTTCCATTCAAGAACGACGGCAAAGATGAAGTTGTACTTCTTGTCAATAATCTCGGAGGCCTTAAGTGAGCTCGAACTGGGTGGTATCGCACACGCTGCCAATGAAGAACTGAAGACCCGCAAAGTCGTTGTATCACGAATCATCTCAGGCACCTTCATGACCAGTCTGAACATGCCTGGGTTCTCGATTTCCCTTGTCCTCCTTCCACGGGATGAAGACTCGGGTGCGCCAAAGGCTTCGAAGATCCTTTCCCTTCTCGATGCGAAGGCTGAGACTCCGGGGTGGAAATGGACGTCGACTTCAAAGCCCAACGCATCCTTCACGTTGGATAAGGACCTCAAGACAAAAGCTGCCACCAAATCAACAGAAGCTGGCAGCCTTTCAGCGGCAGATCCCAAAGCGTTCATCGAGGCCATCAAACGCGCTTGCCAAGCTGTGGTAAAGGAGGAACCTGAAATTACTCGAATGGACACTATTGCTGGAGATGGAGACTGTGGTACGCCCTTTCTGACTGTAGCTGCAGTACATTGGATGGAACTTATGGTTTTCTGCAGGACTTACATTGAAAGCCGGCTCTGAAGGTGTCAGCGAAGAATCGCTGCAGGCAACATCAAAGGAATTGATCTTGTCAACGACATCGTTGACATTGCCAAAGTCGCCGAAAAGAAGATGGGTGGAACTAGTGGTGCCCTCTATTCGTATGTTGTCTTCCCTTGATTTCCTTTGCCGTGATAACGTGTTACCTTCGACGAAGGATATTCTTCTCTGGCTTGGCGCAAGGGCTCCAAGCCAATGCTGGTTCCTCTACCACTGTGACAGACGACATATGGAAGTTGGCATTGTCGGATGCTTTGGCGAAGCTCTACACCTACACCCGTGCTCGTCCTCCTTCGCGTACCCTCATCGATCCCCTTGCGGCGTTCATCACCAATGTGGGTCAAGGATTCCCATCTGCGGTGAAGGAAGCTTCGGACGCTGCAGAGTATACGAAAAACGTCAAGGCGAAGGCAGGAAGGAGCGCATATGTCGATAGCAATTTGTTGACGAAGGAACAAGTGCCTGATCCTGGAGCGTGGGGCGTTCGTGCTATTCTGCAGGCCTTGTTTTTGTAGATGTGTACCCCCGATATCAAAGACGGAAAGTAGTTGTATTTGTATCCAAGATGTATTCTTTGTGAAATCAGCAGAGCTCTCTGATAGGAATATTGAATGGTGTCAGCTCAAGAAACTAAGCCATGGCAGGTCACAGTCAACACATTTGACGAACCGACCCCCAAAAGAATAATATGCGTGTCTCGAAGATTCCTGGATACGTTTACGAACAGCATGAAATAAATATATGTACCCATACTTAATCCAAATTTCGGAAAAGACGATGATGGGGAAAGAAATCCGGAATTTTCTAAGAATTTTCCGGTGTACTAGGAATGCTCGTTCTGTTCAACTTTGAACTTCCACCATCTCGTTGGTAGACAGACGCTACAGTATCCTGAATTGGTTTCTCCTTTTGTGTCTTTGGACTTTCACCTTGATGTTACCTTTTTAGTACAACGATAGAGCAGGAGCGATCACGTGTCGCGTAAAGCCATGTTCATTTCCAATTCTCTGCATCTTACAGTAAACCAACAACATCCAACTTCTGTCCGCCACGGCTTCATCGCGTCGCTCTCAGCATTCAGCAACCAAGAAGACCTACAAGGTCATCAAATCCAACTTGAAGCCTGAAGACGACCACGGGAAAGATTCTACAGGCAAGGCCCCTGTCAAGAAGAAGCCTCGCGTCAAGAAAATCAGCCAAGACGCGGAAAATGACATTCAAGTGCCTCCAAAGCGTCGTCGACTACGTGGGTTCCTTGAAAGGGTCTCGAAAACACCTCTGGACGTACTTTTTGAGGCACGTCTGACGACCACGCAGTGTTGCACCACAGCTAAGGCTTAAGCCACAATTACTTTATCTCCAGATTTTCTCCAATCTCGATCTCCTCGACCTCCTCCAACTTTCTCGTACTACGAAAGACCTTCGCGCAGTTCTGCTTCGACGCTCTGCCACTTTTGTCTGGAAGAGAGCGCGACAAAATATTGAAGGGCTGCCGCCATTGCCAGACGACCTGAGTGAGCCTAAGTACGCCTATTTGGCGTTTGATAACCATTGCACGGTAAGCGAAGTCGTCTCCTGTTTTTCTCTCCTGTTTTTCTCTCTCAACGATCTCGCGTTCTTGGCAGAATTGTTTGCGCCACACGACACATGTTCAATGGGAATCAAGGACCAAATATTGTGTGAAATGTCTACAAAGTTATAGCGAGTATGTCCTTTCCGCCTTTCCGCCTCTATTTACCTGATGCAGGTGTTGTAGTTTTACCACCCGCAAACCCGACCCTTTTACGGATTATGTTCCTGTCGTTGAACTCCCGTATTCGAGAAGACATGAGCACGTTCCATAACACTGATATTATGTTTGGACATATCCATTGCAGTATACACTCGCTATTATTATGAACCGGCCATCAATGCTCTGCGCGAAGAATCCAAGTCATTGCGCGATCAAGCGCTGGATAGTTGGGTATCGAGCAAACGGGCCGCGTATAGAACCTTACAATCTGTATGTCCATCTGTGCAATTGCCGTTGCTTTTATGTGATGGGTTTTCAGAATGCGCGAATATGCAACAATTGGTTCGTAAGGCGCGTAGCAGATCGATCCGAAGACCTCCACAACCTCCGCTCCCAGAGGCTCGCAGCGTAACTACACCTTTGCTTCGATTGTCCTGCAAACTCACTTCGAGCATTTCAGAGTCATTGAACGCCTAACTGCCCTGGGATGGGGCGAGGAAGTGCAACGTTGTGAGCTTAAGTATGAGCTGCGCAATCACAAATTAGTGTGGCAGCCGCGACTTTTGACAGAGCGAGGTATGGCTCATATCTTCTTCAGTGATGCTTGCTGACTGAAGCTCGTTGTTTAAGCCTGGTCCGCCATGTCCGATACACTGATCTCCCTAGCTGAAGAGCATAAAGCCAACAGAGTCAAGCGGGATATGGTTTGGACCATCCACAAAAGGGCTCGCTTATTCGCTAGTACCTACTCAGATGCTACACGCGATATTCCCCTGCTTCCTATGTTTCCAAAAGCGGTGGATGCGGCATTGTTGAACCCTTTCTCAAAAATAATGTTTGCCACACCGTTGGACCAGGATATCACCGAATCTTTGAAAGCAGCACTGGTCGATCTTCCTGAAGTTGCAGCCGAGTGGCGGGAGACCCAAGCTTCCGGGCTTAAAGGACTGCTGGAGAAGGCAGGTTTCAAACCCGATCTCAATCTGGCTACGTCTTTTTTCGACTGTAACTGTTGCCATCACCTCTTCCAATATCCTTATGTCTTGGCCCATCGCTGTGCGTTGCAGTATACATCTGGGGACGCCTTCGACCCTAAAGACTGGACAACCTATGCACTGACACGTATTTCGCCTGACCCATGCGTGGCCTGGTCAGCGAGTCACTTCACGGTCAACGGAGAAGCGCTCACAAGGGTGCAGGATATCATTCGAACATGTTGCCTAAACCCTGACACTGCGACGCGCGAAGATATGGACTCGCTGGAATGCCGTGTAATATGTAACCATTGCAGTAACACGAGTAAGTTCGTCATGCAGTGGAACAATGCTGCGGTAGGTTCTCTTGCTATTAGTGGGGCCGTGCCATTTGTAATGATCGTGCTTCAACAGTGTCACCAAGACCACTCGAGTGTCGGTCCACATTCGTGGAGATTACTCGACGACGGAAAGGAACTAGAACGTGTCAAAAGTCTTGAGAGAGAGAAAAAAGGAATGCAGTACGCTTTCGGACATTATTTGGAACCATTTGTATGCAGCCATTGCAAAGTTCTGATCGGAAGAAGAGGTAGCGAGCTGGAAGAGCATTTGCGTGAAGTGTAAGTGCCGCAATACACTTCCGCGTTTTCCTGATACGATCTGTCCCTTCACAGGCACAACATAAAAACAGTGTCTTCATATGATTGGGACCGGCCTGTGAACACGAGATGCCCCGGTACCAATGCAGGAAGTCAAGGCATATATCTTTCCCCACGCGTTGAAGAGCAAAAGCCATCCACAGTATCCGAAGAAACGGATGGGGTTACAGCTGCGAATTCCAGTGTGGCCACCGATTCCTAGTCCGACGCTTCCACTGGTGCTAGCGCTAATTAGAGACTGTGTTCGGACTTATTGGATGATGGCTGTAGCCACATAAATAAACTTGCGGGAGAACTGTATTTGGTCGGAGAATGAAAATATGAAAAGCCGGCGCCAATGCCTTCCTCTATTTCCAATTTGCCGACAAGTTCGAATCTCTATATCGCATTTCTACGATAGATTCATGTGGAAATGGATCACGGTATGCCAACTCAGATTGTGTCCATCACTGACAGATTCAGTGACAGAGACCCGTCGTCCATCCCCTATACTCTCCCCCTTGCCAGAGTAACTAGCAAAGACTCAGGTTTCACAGTGCAACACGATTTATACAGCGTGAACAGTGATCATACGCATTCGCATCTGATGCAAGTCCTAGGGATTCAATATTCAATCCCAAAACCTGCTTCTCTGACGTCCGTCACGGAACTTTTTTCACTGCGCTCACCGGGCGCCTCTTCCGTAAGATCATGTATGGTGCAATACGCCGCTTTCTTCTTTTCTATGCGTGCGGCTACAACAGGCATTCATATACTGGTGAAAAAGCCCAATACTGAATATGTAATCGTGATTTATTTCTTAGATATTATCTGGAGGATCTCGGAGAACCGGTCCGGAGATTGCCACCTTACCTTTTTGGACCAACGATAACGCGGCTACGATCACGTGTACGTGGAGTCAACGGTTTCATTTCTAATTAGTAATTTGTGTTGAGTCGGTTTTGCAGTGTCCACCTTGTTCCCATTGTCTATCATGGCCCCCTTGCGCCGGTCTCAGCGTTCAGCAACCAAGAGGACCTACAAGAGCATCGACTCCGAACCGGAAGACGACCACAGCAAAGATTATACAGGCAACGCCCCTATCAAGAAGAAGGCTCGCGTCAAAGAAGTCAGCCAAGACGCGGAAAATGTCACCCAGGCTGTTCCGAAGCGTCGTCGACTACGTGGACTCCTCCAAAAAGTTGCAGAAACACCTTTGGATGTACTTTTCGAGGCAGGTCTAGCGTCGTGTTGCGCCACAGCTAAGTCACAATTACTTTTCTCTAGATCTTCTCCAACCTCGACCCCCTCGACCTCCTCCGACTGTCTCGCACCACCAAAGACCTCCGCGCACTTCTCCTTCAACGCACTTCCTCTTTTGTTTGGAAGAGAGCGCGACAAAATGTTGAAGGGTTGCCACCGTTGCCAGACGATCTGAGTGAACCAAAGTTTGCTCATTTGGCCTTTGATAAAACCTGTAGTGTAAGAAACTCGTCTCATGTATCTTTCTCATCAATCTCACATCATTGACAGAACTGTTTACACCCGACGAAATTTGTGCAGTGGGAGGCAAGGACCAAATATTGCCGAAAATGTCTGGAGACTTCAGATCTGTCCGTATACCTTTGTTTTGTCCTATTTCTCTTATCAACTTTCGTAGTTTCGTCACGACGTTCGACCCATACGGCGAATTTAGAGGTTTTCTTCCCCGTTTCGAGTTTAGGTGTGCCTCCGGACGTAAGCCTTCTGTATATTAGCGTCCCCACTCGGACTTATTCATTGCAGGACGTCGGTACTACTGTTATGCCTATGCGCCAGCTCTCAAATCTCTGCGCGAGCAATCCGATTCTTTCGGCGAGGACAGGATCAAGCGGATGGTCTGGAGAGCGGAAAGGGAGAAGGCCTACAAAAAACTGCTTTCTGTACGTCCTTTTGCGATATTTTCATTTTCTTCATGTTACCAACAATCGTAGCACGCGCGGCAATGTGAAATTTGGACTGAGAGACGTGCAGAAGATCGTAGCAATGAGCTTGAAAATGCTCGTGTCCAGAGGCTTGAAGGGTATCTCCAAATCTCTGTTGCTTTTGGTTACCTCCCTGTCTAACTTCCTGCTTTAAGAGTCGTTGAACGCTTGACCGCCTTAGGATGGGACGACGAGGTGAAAAATCCTGATTTCATCGACAAATTGCGTTCAAAGAAAAGTATGCGCCATCCAAGGGCATTGACTGAACGAGGTAGGCCTCTTGTTTACCCTCCCATGCACTTGAACGCTGACTCAGAGGCTTGGTGGGGAAGCTTGGTCCAATATGTCAGATGATATCATTGCTCTAGCAAAGTGGCACAAGTCCGATAGACTAAAGAAGGAGATGATTCGCGCAGTTGAAGGAAGGGCCGATTTGTTTGCAGATGCCTACTCTGACGTTACGCGAGACGAACCCCTACTTCCTATCTTCCCTAAAGCGGAGTCGGTAGTGATCCAGGAACCCTTTTCTACACTTTTCTTCGATACACCACTAAATTTGTCTATCGCCGATTCACTGCAGGCTATGTGGGTCCATCTTCCAGGTGTTGCGTCCAAATGGCGAGAGGTCCAAACTGCCGAACTCCTGAAACTGATGCAAGAAGCCGGTCTGAAACTTGACATCAACCTTGCCACAACCGTCTTCACCTGCACCAATTGCCGCCAGATCTTCCAATATCCTTATGTCTTGGCACATAACTGCTCGTTCTGGCAACCCTATAAAGATTTAAATCCTGAAGACTGGAAGCCCTACGCGTTGAGGTATATATCCTCTGGCGTGGCTTGGTCCGCAACCCTGTTCACGACCAATGAAGAATCAATCAAGAAGGTGGAGTATCTTATCAAGACTTGCGGCTTAGACCCAGAAACTGCGACGCAGGAGGATATGAACGCTCTAGATTGCCGTGTAATATGCAACCATTGCAGCATCAGTAGCATAGATGGCTCCAAGTATAAGTATGTCATGCGATGGCAAAACGCAGCGGTGAGTTCTTCTTCTCAGAAACCGCGTGCCACAGTCTGACTTCTCCTGAAAGTGCCATTTTGGATACACAAATGCTAATGAAAACGGTTGGACGCTCCTCGAGGATCCTGAAGAGATCAAGCGAGTCAAAATTCTCGAAAAGTCAGAGAAGGAGCGTGGGTACCACTGCTATTCGTCGGAGAATTTTGCTTGCAGTCACTGTAATGTTCTGAGGTCTAGAGGTCGTGATCTGGAGGATCATCTGCTTGAAGCGTGAGTGCTCGCGTAGTTACCTGACCTTTTCTGATCACGTTCAGTCACCTGATAAGCCAGATTTCCGCTGACGATTGGGAGTGGCCCGTAAACACGACGGACTACAGAGGTCGGAGGGGTGTAGTCTTGCATCTAACTACTGAAGAAAAATCCGATGGCCAAAACGGGAGCGATGGAGTTGTCGAGGAAGTCAAAGGGGACACTGTGGATGCTGATGAGACGTTGTCGGATGTGGCTATACAGTTATTTACCGGTCATTGCAACACCATGGTTCAATGAAACACTTAGCCTCTTGCTCTCCCTCCCTTCATCCTTCATCATTAATTTGTATTACATTGCTGATGTGTATTGTATCTTCATGTTCTACAGTAATTCTTCATATGTGACATGGATAATATTCTGAGAAATTGAGGCTTCTGTTCTAAAAATATCTATTTTCTCATGAACTCAAAATCTGACCCAGAAATGTGTGTCCTCCATCTGAATGTAATCACCTACAAAGGCTTCAATAATGTTAATGACCTTCTGAAGAACCTGTATGACAAGTTTGAGACCAGGTGCCCATTATCTGAGGAGTCTAGGGCATAGATAAAAGTGTGATTCTGCCAAGCTATTGCCTTTGATGGACAGTCTGACAGTCCAATGCACCTATTATTGCCCCATTGCCTCCGAATTTTATTTCTCCTCTTGCTCAATTTTTTACTATGCCTGGACATGCTAAATCAAACTTGAAAAAGTGCCAGATTACTCGCAAATGCCATGACCAGCTAATGGAAAAGGCAGTCATTGCACACAAGAATGAGCTTGCCAAACTACCCAGTGCTCCTTAGAAAGATGCAAGAAAAATCTGCAAAGATTTTGAGGCTGTATATCAGAGGGAGACTGGAAAGGAGATCTCGCTTTCTTATAGCACTCGAGTGATTCCAAGTTGCTGACTAATGAGGTTTGGGTACATGGGCCGGACTGTTTCAATGACTCAAAATAGCCCAGAATACCCACGCCACAATAATGCTGTGAAAGTGGACTTGTACCCGCACCTTTGAGCATCTTTTTTTTACTGTATCTTATTGTTGCATAGTATTACACATTCTTACATTCAAACCTAGTCAAAATTCCCAACCAATTGGAACCTACAGTAAATATCCAATTTTGCTGTTTCATTGACTGGTAAATAACTGTATAGGTCATTGGAGAAAATCGTTTGAGTCTAAGTGTTTTGTTTTCGCCTTGATAATGGACAATCAATCATCTTGTAATTTACGCCTAGCGACCATGGGACAACAACGAGAAACCTGTGTGAGGTTGCTTCAAGGCACAATTTGGACGGAGAACGAAAATTTGCCATCAAGCCGAAAGCTATCTCTTTTTTCTCTACCCCGGCGACTGATCTGGCAGACATAGACTGTCGCCCTCGTCTTCTGTATCTTGGCATCGTTGAATTTGAGATAGGATCCAATGGTACGGTAACTCAGATTTCATTGATCAGATTTCGCTTGCTGTCAGCTAGGATCCACTGTTTCGGTTTTGTCCCGGTTTCCCACTGTACTTTACAGTAAGCTGTCTCTCCTGTTATCTTTTCTCTCATGCACTTATGCTCATTGATTCAAAGATCTCAGAGTCCCCGACGCCTACAAGGAGCCTGTCGGCATCGAGTGTGAGCGCATCATATGTCGTAGCGCTAACCCGAACTTACGGGTCCGCCCACTGTCTAGGATCCCAATACGCTGGGCACCGATCAGAAGTCGAATTTGAGCAGCGAGGACGGATTTCAAGCCGACGTGGAGCGGGCATCGTCGACGGAGCTGGTGACTGACCCATATAACCTGCGAGAAGGCCTAAGGACCCATTCACAACTGGAGGAAATTCGACATAGGAAAAAGGGCAAGGCGATCGTGAAGTATCAGAATAAGCAGAATGATGTCAGTTCGAAGTCCACGCGCTTCCTTGTCGTCGTCTGACCGTCTGGTGTTTTTAGCTTATCTCTTATTTGCTGAAACCTATGGAAAAGCACACTATTGAAGCAAAGGACGAGGAGGACTCAGCACGACTTTTCGTCTGTCCCCGTGCATGTCATTGGAACTTGCAAGCTTACGCTTACTTTTTGCAGGTCAAGATAGCAGTATGGGCAAGTCTGCTCTCGAATCTCGCGCTGTGCGTCATTCAGAGTAGGTCCAAACACATTGCAATGCATTTCTATTGACCCAAAACTACCTTGGCAGTGTATGCTGCTGTCTCGTCGCTTTCTTTGTCGCTTCTGGCTACCGGAATAGACTCCGTGTTTGACATTGGCAGCAATATTCTTCTGTTCTGGCTACATCGGAAGGCCGAAAGGCTCGATAGCAGTAAATGGCCTGTAGGCGGTGCCCGGCTAGAAAACATAGGGAATATCGTATATGGTTGGTCCTCGTGAAATCTTCATCAACGGTCGTTGTTCTGATCATTCCGAGCAGGTTCTTTGTACGACGTCTGTCTCTTCAGCCGTGTCCGGGAATTTTCTAACGCGGTGCAGAATGGCTTGTGTAAATCTTATTGTTGTCGTGGAAGCCGTCCGGTCGCTTATATCACAGTCAAACGGTGATTTGAAAGCGTTCCATCTGCCTTCCATTATTGCAGTGGCCTCCGCCCTAGGTGCGCCGCATATTCGCTCTCTCATATAACCGCGAGCTGACTGGGAAGATTAGGCGTGAAGTTTCTGTTATTTCTGTTATGCTATCCGTTCCGCCAGAACTCAAGCCAAGTACGAGTGCTCTGGGAAGACCACCGTAACGACTTGTGGATTAATACATTTGGTGCGTTGGTCTTCTTCATCCGACTGCGATGCGAGACCATGTTCCTAAAGGTATTCTCATGTCTACCGGCGGTAGCAAATTAAGATGGTGTTCGTGTCCTTTTTCTCATGGTGCTGGGTACGTTTTGATTTATTTGAACAGACCTTGATCCCATGGGTGCCATCATCGTAAGCGGTGTTACACGATTGACGCTCGCGGCTATTGATTTCTGGATTAGATCGGACTTGGCATCATCATTTCATGGTCAAGAACAATATACGGGCAATTCGAACTGTTAGCTGGAAAATCAGCACCACGCGAGTTTCTGCAGCTGTTGATATACAATTCGATGACGTTCAACGAGGATATTCAGAAAATAGATACCGTCCGGGCGTATCATGTGAGCTCCTTGAAAACCGACTTCGGCTTTTGACTTACCGGACTCATAGAGTGGCCCGGATTATTTCGTCGAGATTGATATTGTCATGGACGCGACAACCCCGTTGTACAAAGCACACGACGTTAGTCAACAACTGCAAGACAAGATCGAGGAGCTGCCTGATGTCGAAAGGGCTTTTGTCCACGTTGACTATGAAACGACACATACACCGGTGAGTCTGCCCTGACTTGGTGTGCAAGAAGATAGGTCTCATGCCCATTTCAGGAACATCGAAAGCATTCATGATCCGCGATGAGATGAATGCCACTAATGCGTTGTCCTATCTCTAGTGCTGGTATCTAGGAAAGGACTCCATGATCTAAAGGTTGGGTAACCTATTTATTGAATAATGAGAACGTTACTGTACCAAGCTACCCGAGCTATTCCTGACATATCGTCATTGGGGAACAGAACTGGTTAGGGGGAAAATAACGTTTAATCATTTCGCAACGGAGGCCATCTTATCTAGGAAGCAATTGCTGACCTAAATATTTGTCGGTAGTGGATTGCGTGCAAGCAAGTCATGACATAAACCGCTAGGATGTCAAGAGGCCGCTGGCTGTTATCGCAGTATGGTATCAGCAAGTCCAAGGTGACGCGACGAGGAATCTACGGACGATCGGAGGTAGAGACTGGTGTTCGAATTTCCGAAATGCCACGGTATGAAGACGGTGGAAGCGCATAGCGAAGCTATCGCGACTCGGAAGCGGGGAGGCTCCCTACCATGAGGTGCTTGCTGGTAAACTACAGTGGCGCATCGCGAAGGATGATATCCTGATTGAGGTCCTGACGATCAACCACGAGACACAGTGGAATTGACAAGATTTACGTGAAAATCAGCAGTGGAAGTGAATTTGTTTACGAACGTTGTCCTTCTATCACGGAGGAGTAGTGGGTACAGCGTCGATTTCTTTCATTTCCTGGAGGAATTTAGATATGCGAGTAGTCCGAACACAGCAGTTTTTAAGATTCGGAGCATCGCTTGGCCCAGAGATTAGGCATTACGTTTTGAGAGGACAATTAAAATCGGGCTGGTACGGGCAGCTTCCCGAAAAGAGCGACCATGATGAAGCGAATCAATAACCGTATACTCCATTTTTAGGTATGGGCGCCACAGGCAAATGCACGGTGAAGGGGATCGGCGAGACTCATGCCCTTCTAATCAAATGTATCCCACGAGGCGTGGGGGCATATATAGCAGAGACGTCGGGTTGAAAGCCCCGCGTTGATTCCATGTCGTCGAGCTTTGCAGTCAGAAGGCTAACCGAGGCGCCAGGTCCCAGTTTTATCCGTTTGCATTCGAGTCGTCGCTGATTTTATATTTTATACAGAGTCTGTTAAGTTCAATGAAGTCGTAGAATGCTTCAAGGACGCATTCTCGGAAGGTACTCGCGTCACCCGTAATATTCTATCGTGTTAGAAGATGAATCTGCGATAGATGACTTTGCCCGTACTCTTACTGGAGGAAAGACGGATGTATATCATCATCTAAATCGTTCTGTCGTTGTTTCTGGGTTTCTCTCAGGCGAGGTCTACGTCGTTGAAGAGGCTACGAAAGGCAAGGTCATAGCCAGCGCGGTTTGGTTCCCTCCAAGTCGTGAGCTATATGAAGAGTAAGCGTCTCCTCTTTATATGCCAGTACCTCACTCACTATGTTAGCACTGAGAAAGGCAAGGCAGTAAACCCCTTCATGGCCAGTCTGTGCCCTATGCTTGGCGAATGGTGGCGCACTAGGGTAAGTCACAAAATATGTCGGATTTATTGCAATTGTGAAGTCCTTTGGTACAAGTTCCTCCCAGAATATAATGACTTTGCGGCGAATGAATTCGGAGAGGGGACAAAGAAAGCGACCTGGCATCTTCAGTGGATAGGAACCCGCAAATCGTATCGTCATCGAGGTCTGGCAACCATGCTAATAGACGTGATTCGGGACAAGGTATTATACGCGTTTGTGATTATCTGTCATGTTCTAAGCGGTCCATAGAAGGATAAAGCGAAGATGTGTCTTGAGGTGGGAAAACCCAGAGAATGTACGTTCGCCTTAAAGAAGATCACGATAGCTGCTCATGATGCATGAATGTCTGTCCAGCTTGGATTTTATCAGAAGTGTGGATTTGAGACGTTGAGTGAGGAAGCACATTACTTCGAAGGCTACAATGGAAAGTCTGGCTTTCCCATGTGGGCGATGATGTCTGACTGAAGAAACGGCCATTCCTTTGTAATTAATAGCCGTTATTTTATGAGGAAACGCCAGGTTAACCCGGTATACATCGATGAAGTTGAGCCGTTTTCGCCGCAGCAACAAAGAATGTCTCCTTCGCGTTCCCATGAGTATCCAATCGATATCCGCCTGCCGTATCGATAGAAAAGGCCATACCGATTCTGGAGCGTAAATTCAATCTGTCATCGGAGCCCGCCCCAAGTAATGATCGTCAACATTGTCCGTAAGCCCTCAAGTACGCCTACTAGGAAGGGCGTCGGTTACACCAAGCATTAGTCTTCTTGTGCCTTTCTTCTTAGCCACGGAGTTTAACTGCTTCATGTAGTAGAGAAGAGCTGCATTGATCAGCTCGAATTGACGCGTAGGTCGATACGCCAACGTCACGAAAGATAAGCACTATTCCCGCAAATTGCAAATGATTCGAACGCTTATGCGCAGACAAAACAGTGATATATAACTTGGACACATAAGAATCAGGTTCACACATCTACAAGATACATTCACCTTTCGAGCAATAAAACAACAATGTTCATGTAACCAAGTCATTGTTAAGAATCTTTACCGACATGGAAACCAAGTATTAAATCTCTGCAAGCCATAAAAGAATACACCAGTAAATCAATCAAATTGCAGACTACCTTTAGGACGTTAGAAAGTAATAAAATGAATCTTCCGAACTCCAAAATATTTGCTGCAACTCGAAAACCACCAAATGGAAGTCCTCGTTCGTAAACAGCAAAGAAAAAGGAGGCCCACCCAGCCAGAGTGGCCAAAGTGGGACAGGAAAATATTTAGACGGTGCATAAGCCTGAGCCTATACAAGCCGCAGACACCCTCTGGGGACAGGGTCGCCGTGCTATGAAGGATCTCCACGGCCCACAAACCCGGGTACATGAAGGGGCTTGTGCCATCAAGGTAAGTATGAGGTGTTCGGATGTCGGATCTGGCCTTTTATACCTGCGCCACTTACGCACGGACCATGTCCGAATATGGACATCGAGTTCGCCTGAATAGTAACGGTCATGTCGATTCAACGAATTTGTTATCTGCACGGTAAAGATGCCGCTGACCTTGCCAAGCCAACAATGGTCGACCGATAAGTAGAATCAGCTGTACGTCGGTTCCTATAAAATCTTAAATGGTTAGGCGCTAATGGGGATTGATCCTGACAGCTTGAAAAATACTAGAGCTTCGTCCATCACAGCATTAATGGCGAAATAATGCCCCGCTCGCTCTAGCAGCGGTCACTAATACATTCTCTTACAAGTGAGTGGTGCAGATATGCACCAATAGACGTCTATTCCTCTTCTTCTTGCTTCAAGAACGGACTCATCGGTAACGCTACTTACCGTGATTCTACCCCTCCATCAAGCAACGACATCTGCTGACCCCTATACTTCTATCCACGTGTGATAAATGCTGACTCTGTATCAGCGTCGGTATTCCCTTCTCAAGCATGTCGGTGACCTCTTTGGAATCACCGACGCGGTTAAACGGCCCCGCACCTAATACTCGGTCAGTTTCTCGAGATAGCGAAGTAAGCTGCGGGTTTATTCACGTCACCGCGTGGCCTTCTCATTACTATAAACAAAATAAGAACTGATAACAGTCACAGGCTTAAATACGACCCCTCGCTCCTGCCTCTTCATCGTCTTCCCGTTCTCGTCCCTATGGAATCCGACGAGTCCGTCCTTGCACACCTGGGATACAAGCAGGAATTCAAACGTGATTTCTCCCGTTATGAACTGTTCGGCTTGGCTTTCAGTGTTAACGGTGTCGTCTAGGGTATTGCGTGAGCTTCTACTGTCCTTCCTCGTATACTTCCAGATTAACCATTTCTTCAAGATCTATACTCGTTTATTCAATCCCCTACGGCGGCCCCGTATCGATGGTCTGGGGTGTAAGTCTATCATCCTCTCCCATTGGCGCCTGATTCGATAATCAAAGCAGTACCTAACCGGCTGCGTCTTTCTCATGTGTATCGCACTCACAATGGCAGAAATGGGCTCATCCGCACCCACCTCTGGCGCTTTGTATTACTGGACTTTTAAATTCTTCCCTCCTTCGTGCCGTAGATATCTTGCATGGCTTATCGGATGTGAGTTCCCTACCTTCTTCCCTTTGCTCCGCTGATGTGCAATTTCTAGATGTCAATACCATTGGATACATAGCAGCAGTCGCAGCAGTAGGACTATAGCTGCGCCCTCACGATACTAACAACCCTCACCCTGGGCACAGATGGGGCTTATATAGGCAACCTCGGGGCAGATATAGTATGTCCCGTTGCTCACAAATACTGCGCAACTCTAAAAATACTTGCATAGTGGCACCTTCTGCGCCGTTCTGGTCCTCTCACGCAGTATTAGCGAGCCTGGCGACGAAAATCATTGCCCGCCTTCAACTTCCTTAATATCGCGTATGTCTCTCGTCCATCCTGCTACTTTCATTCCCAATAAATCCTTAACAGTGTTTTCGTCGCGTTCATCGTCGCTCTCCCAATAGCTACACCTTCGGAGTACAAGAACACCGCCAAGTATGCCTTGGGCCACTTTGAGAATCGTGCGTGCTCAGACTGTCTTTATAGTAGTTACCGACTTGCGTAGTCTCGGATTATAGTGATGGATTCGCTTTTATCCTGAGCTTGCTCGCTCCATGCTGGACGATATGTGAGTTTGCATGTATCTCATTATTGCTCTCATGTCTTTAACTCTTTTCAAAGGCGGTTTCGATTCCAGCATACACACGTCCGAAGAGGCTCGGGACGCGCCTACTGCCGTCCCATTCGCCATCCTGAGCTCCATCGGTCTTGGATACGTTCTCGGATTAGGTGAGGTTTTTTGCATGTTCTTCACTTACGCATTCCTTACAGATGTAACAGCCGTCAACATATGTCTAGTCTTCAACATGGGCACTGACCTCACCGCCCTCCTTTCCAGTCCAATAGAACAGCCTATGGCTGTCGTGAGTACCAATTGAAGTTTTCCAAGAGCGCCATTACTCAACACCCGATAGATACTCGCAAACAGCTTGGGAACCGGTGGAACGATAACCTTCTGGGTATTTGTAGCGATCCTTCTGTAAGACCCATAACGCAACACACTCCATTGTATATTCACTCACCCTTCCTTCCTTCCAGGTTCATCGCCGGAATGGACGTCGTACGTACCCAACCCAACCGCCCTCACCTCTCCCATCCTGACTAGCATCATCCCAGCTCATAGCATCCTCAAGACGAGTCTTCGCTTTCTCCCGAGACGGCGCCCTACCCCTCTCCTCCCTCTTTTACAGCATCAATCCTTACTCCGGTACACCAGCCAACGCCGTATGCATGTGCGTCTTTGTTGCCGGACTTCTTGGACTTCTTTCCTTTGCAGGAAGCGCAGCTATTGGGGCGATATTCACCATGAGCGTGTTCTGTCCGTATCTCTGCTACTGTACACCCATCATTGCGCGCTTCTTCGGAGGGCAGCCACTCGCACCAGGGCCATTCAGCCTAGGAAAAGCTGTATGTCATTCGCTTACTTGCTTGCAAAACTCGAACCAACCGGTTTTTTAGAGCGGCCCTGTGGCCTCTGTCGCTACCACATTCATGATTCTCATGATGGTTGTATTTCTTTTCCCCGCCGCGCCCGCGCCTGTCGCCCAAAGCATGAACTATACTGTCGTTGTTATTGGAGGGATAATCACCCTTGCCACAGGGTACTACCTGATCAGTGGCCGTTTCTGGTTCACCGGCCCTGTTATCACTCTTGCGGACGGCTTTGTGGAAAAGAGCGATATGGGTGTATAACTTGCGTGTAAAAATTTAGGCCGGTCCAAGTTGTCTTTTCCCGGTTGCAAGTCACTGTGAGTACGTAAGTCCGCATCTCCCTGTAAGTTAGGTGACTCTCGTCAGCGCCAGTTACTAGCCATCGATGTCTGGATCTTGAAGATCTGGGGAGCGGGACGAGGTGGTTCAGCGGCGGGCTGACATTATTTCAGTGGTTAGTATTTCCAAAGTGTTTTCCTCCATTGCCGTGGTGGCCCGCATTCCTTCATCTTCTTATTCATCTGCTTTACCTATTTCCCATCACTGTTTCACGCAATGAATCCAGATTTATTGCCCTTCAGCATTTGATTTCCAGGATATGAAGTTATTCCGAGTAGCTGGCTATCCTCGATGCTTCGAAGTAAAGGTGGGCATGCTGTTTGTGCCGTTTGAGAACTGGCATATATATCGACATCATCCAGACAATCAGCGCTCAGCTCTGGATCCAAATGCTCTATGGTCTGCATACTGCGAGCCCATGAAGATTGAGCTTGGTGAGCCGCGGTGAGAACGAAATTCTAATTTCTGGAGAGGTCAAACTTCGTAATATGGCTAGCTGAACGGCATAAGCGCCATATAGTACCATATTCAAATATCGCGGCCTAGGTCAGACTGTCGCCAATAGCCAACTTTTGTCGAAAAACAAACTTAGCTTGTGAGAAGCTTCCAGCGAACTTGGACAGTGATAACAAACTTGCGACCGGAAAAAACACGACTTGCGCCTACGTGATTTTTTACACGCTATTACGTCCATAGAACGATGAGAAGCTGAACGCCAAGCTTGTGTGATGCGACGTTTTCTGGAAGGGACATGTACCTCATGTGCTACACAAAGAACAACATTAAATTTAGTTAGGGTATGTAAAATAACGAGCGTCTGTCCAGCTAAGACAATACAGATACAATGATAGCGTCGTACGAAAATTCCCAGCTAAACGTCTCACCACTCAGGCACACCACTGTCCCGCTTCGAAGGCGCAGGACCCGGCGTTCCAGCTGGTGAGTTCGGAATTTTGCCTTGTGCTGGTTCTGGTACCGGTACCTGGCCTGGCGGTGAAGGTTTAACAGGAGGGTTGGCTTCCGAAGGGCCAACCGGCGCTTTGGCTTTGGAAGAGTCGACCGGTGCGTTGGGTTTGACAGGGGCGCCAGCGGGTGTTTCTGGAGGATTGGGAGGGTTGACAGACGCTCCTGCAGTCTCGGCGGTGGGCGCGCCAGCGGACGGTTGGTTTGAATTGTCTTCAGTAGGACCATCTTCCGTATTGGATGGCTCTGTCGCAGGAGGGGCGGATGAAGCGGGATCCGATGGCTTCTGGTCGGCGTCTGCAGAAACAGCCCTTGGCGGCAACGAGCGACCATAAACATCTCGCCGCTGGGAGGGCGGACTGGGAGAAGAGGGCGAAGACGCGGGCACCGTAGCGTCTATAGGAGGCTTTGGCGTGTTAGGCGGCGCTGGCGGTGATGGCGTTGAAGGTGCGCTCGAAGCTGCCTTGTCCCAAGCGCCCAACGGAGACTGCCCGTTGACTGCTGAATCCTCCACCGTTTTTGCTGATGCGGCACCATTCAAGGAACAGGGATTTCCGATAATTGGATCGAGAAGTGAACCAACGAGAGGAAGAAGGCCTTCTACGGGACAAAGGATGGTGCCGATAATATTGTCGCGCTTCTGTACAACATTTCTTGCTGTTGAGACGAATCAAAAAACGCGCATATACTCAGATATGCGAAGACTACACACCACTTTCCGCGTCTGACCTAGCCATATTGAAAGAGCCGCGCCGCGACGCTATATGGTGGTTGCTCGAGGACGATGGGAGTGAAGTTTCAGCCTGGGAAGTATCACCAGTAGGCGCAGCGAGACTCGACGACGACGACGAAATGGCGAGAGTAGCAAAGAGAAGCGATGAACTGGATGAAATTTTCATGATTGTATACGCAGAGTAATAGCAAAGGCGAGGTGATAGCAATGAAGAAACAATAGGATGGATGTGGTGGTTCGTGTCAAAGACGCGTAAAGGCGGGCAAACCAACACGTACTCGTATTTATACCCCAGGGACCAAACAGAACCAATCGGAGAATGCACGCAGATCCTGGTCAAATAATATATCCCTCTTTGACGGGTTTTTGAACACGATAATGTCCAAAATCATCCACCCCGCCCCCTGTACTCCATCTCCCAGAGCTCTTCTTCACCAAAGGCGTGATTGCGTCGCCTCATGCTCTGTGGTCCACCCGCTGCAGTCCTTGAGCTCAAAACGCAGTACTCCCAGAGATTGGCGCCAAATTGACGGAGAGACAGGCCCATACAGGACGACAGGAAGCACCAGAAGATGGATGCGGTACTAGTAGATCCGGTCAGTCGACAGAATGCAAATTTCGCAAGAGAGAAGGCCATTACATTAAGAAGACAAGGACGTAGATCAGAGGCATCAAAGCTGCTAGACTTTCATCTGCTTCCATGGTTGAGCACTTGAGGGAATCAAATCAACGACCAAGAGGCGTGAAGATTGCGGTGCTGAGCTAGAGGTGGCCGGAGTCCCTCTGATGAGCAATCGCTGGACCGGTCCGAAATATCCGATCGGACTCTGCCACCGCTTCCCTGCCAGTGTGGGAGTTGGCTTGCATGTAAAGTGAAGGAACGCAGCTTACTAGTATTGGAACAGCGGACGTTTTGTGGCTGCCTGTATTATTGCGGTCGCAGCACAATTCGCGAATGTATGTTCTGAGGCTCTATCTTCCGTTTTTCAGATCTAGATTTACCAGCCGGCTTTTCCGCCATAGCGTCCAAGATGATTGGTTTCTTCGTGTTCTGACTATGCACCGCGCCCTTAAACTACAAAGATTTCTGGAATCCTCCCGACCTTATGCGAATGTAGGGGAGCAACGCTGCAAGAGCTGGTGTATTTTTCCTTTCACTCTGCTCACTCTGCTTTGCGTTGACGGTAGACTATTTTGTCTTAACATTGCTTCCGTATGCTATGCTGATTTTTCGTAGCAAAGTCTAGCTTCCAAAACTATTGTGGAAATGGTGTAGCCGGAGGCGTTATACGTCTCCGTCAACTGAATCATCTACAAGATATGGTATTTTTTTCAGTGACCAGAGGTGCGTATCCAGTCGTCTACTCGCCCCGAACCATCTCTCCGTGGTCTATATCATGGATTATCGTGAACCGCATAAATCCCCGCGTGGATAGCACAGTTCTGTGCATGGCCAAGGATCATATCCCTCTTGTCATAGAAAGTCAAGAAAGATATATCCTGCGATCCAACTCCAGCATATTAGCTGCTATTCTAGTCAGCTTCATCGGTCTCGTCGTCACGGCCGCATTCCGGAATGTTCACGACGAGGATCACTGGAAACCATCCGATCTCCTGATGCGAATGATGGACTCGAGCCGGCGGAACAGCGTCTCAAGGGCTGATGAACTTTGCCTTTCACCCGCCTATGCCTTAACGGTAGCGTCTTGTCTTGACCTTCCTCGTGTCCTTGCTTTGACGTCGATACCAGATTGCTGGCAGCGCGCACAACAGGTGAGCTCCAAGTCCCCGTCATGCGATGCTCATCTATCTTGATCGAGGTCTATATGTGTGCACACCGAATCATCGGGTCTATCACCGTAAACGATGTCTTGAAACGCGCATCCACTTGCGTTGATGCACTGTTCCGATTTTACCTATACATTCTTTGCTTTGTATATGTTTCCGATGGGCCCAATGGTTCGAGTCTCTTTCAACAGAATACCGGTATCTCGTTGAATACGCGCCCCACGGAATTACGCGTTTGCAGGTGCGTGAGGTCGCACATAACTACCTAGGCTAGACTCACCGACTGTCCCATTTTACTCAACTAATATAAAGACGATCACAAGTGAGCGATGTATCATTTTCTGATGCGTTTCGGTCTTTTTCTTACGTTTGCCTTACATCCAATTTTGGGACGCGATATACAGATATCACCACGAGGAAGAAAAGATGTACATAGTTGATTATTCGACAAGTCAGATGTAGTCTCCTTTCACGTTCAGATAGAGCAGCTCAATGTACAGATCTCGGACTACACATCCAGGTTCGTTTATCTTCGCTTAAATGCTCTACAGATGCTGATTGATGCTGACGCGCATCATCGACCGGCGATTTTTTCAAGTTCCCCGCTCTATCAGGATACTGATCCAAATTTTATCCTGATCATCGCATCAAACCTTCCCGGATCCTCATATAAGTATGCCATTGGCCGGAAAGGTCTCCACAACATCCCCATGGAACTCTCAGTCAGCATTCATATCGAGTATGTCAGTGTTGTTATCACCGCTGCGTTGTGGGGTTTTACCTGTGTCCAAACGTACGCATTCTCTTTCTTAGTGGATTTCCTACGCTTGTCCTTGAACTTTACGCCACCAGCTTTCAATATTTCGTCTAGTAAGCTGAAGTCTTGGGTGACGACATGATCTTCGCTAATAAGTTGTCTTGTTTAGTCACCATCAACGTGATAATGCTTTCCTCGAGCTGCTGGTCAGTCCATTCATGCTAATTTGATAGTCCTATCCAAGCTGACTGATTTTTTTCTTGACTTCCTAGGTCATCTTCCTCTGGTATATTTAGTATTTACTGCAACTTAAACATTCTCGCTGAGCAGCTTTGCAGGGTTGCTGACAGTTTACATATTGTGCTCCTTAGTCATGGGTGTAGGTGCTCTCTCGGGCTCCGCTCGGCTCGAAACTTGATACTCTACAACAGTCTGGAGAGTCCTTCAGTACAATTCTTCTCCGACTATGATCGAAGTGTAAGTATCGTCCGAATCCTACAACTGTTCCTAGTATTCATTATCCCTTCCTCATGAAGTTGGTATCTGGTAAGACACTCCACCCATGCCATTCCCTAACTGCGTCACTGACTTGACTGTAGTACGCGTCAATCCCTACTGTACGCAGAAATAACCGAGTCTTAGAAGAAAGTTACACAGTCGCTAATCTGTCATTAGGGAATCGTCGCGTCGACAACACAGCACTTTTTCACCTGGCGTATTTGGCGATGTGAGTTTCTCAAATCCAGCAAGCTGGCATTGAAAATAACTGAAATATGTATACGTAGTTTGCTCCGGATCTGGTTGGAGGTACACCATTCTGCTATTCGTGAGGCGAGATTTCGCATGCATGAATCTCTAGTGAGCTGACGACTATGCTAGGTCCCTGCTTCTCTGTATTCCTTTCGCGAGACTAGTATTATGGGACCTGACGTACAACTTCTCATTCGTGCTAATTTCCAGCCGCCATTCTTGGTATGATTTCTACCGTTTACAGTCTCAAATTTCTGATGCGTTCTTACACAGCGTTTGTAATTGTCTGGTAGGTAAATTACATGATCATCTCCGTCGAAATAATACCAGCGTATACAGCCAGAGGCCAGGCTCGACTATCTATCCAATGACAGTGCGTCCCAACCCTCTTCCCTACTTATTGGTCAAATTAGCATGCCTATAGGCACTTCTTGAATCAATGTGGGCCGTTAGCGCTGCAGTCGACATACTGATTTCGGCGTCTCTACTTGCGATGTTGTGGACAAGAAGACACAATGTGTTCAAAGAGTAGGCGTTTCGGTCCCTGTTCGAATATGTGAAACGGAAGATACTGAGTGTATCTCAGCACGACTCAGATACTCAATCGCCTTTCCATCCTTATCGTCAATACCGGGCTATGGACATCTCTCATAACCGTTCTTACCTTGATTGGTGTAAGGCTGCCTTCCTTCCATCCTTTTATGGTACTGATCGCACTCCTTAGCTTCAAGTTGTCATTCTGGAAGAGCAGGATATTTATGCTGCTCTTTCATTCATTACATGCCCCCTGTATTGCAATACTCTTCTCGCTAACCTGAACATCCGCGATTACATCCGACATGGGGGTCGGCCTCAAGACGCCACTACTATCAGGACGGAGAGGGTTTCTTTCGTCCAGTTTGACTCTTTTAGGAGTTGTCAAACTGTACGTTTCCTTCGCTCATTATCTGTCTTCAACCTAGTGATCTTGTTTGAACTTCAGTCGAATCCCCTAGAAACAAATGACCAGTGGGACCCCAGTAAAGTTGAGGTCAGTAACGTAATAGCGTGAAAGCATGGATGCTAGTGAACCATTGTGGTTATACCATTTATGATTCGTACCGTGGTGGAGCATGCTTATTTCATATCCAAAATTCAATTTCCTGCTGATACCAGGCACAGTGGCGAGTTGAACGGAGTTCTGACGTCTTCTATGCAAGTTTCACTGAAGGTCCCTTAACTACTTACTCTTAGCATGTGAGGTGACTTGTTGATCGCAAACATGCTTTCATAATCGACCTGTTAGCATGAACCGAAGAACCCTTCATGCATTGCACCACGAGCTGGATTTCCTATTCGTCTTTGTTTTAACTGTGGAATCTTTGTCTCGACATTGCTTCCGTTGGAAGTTATCGTAACGGGAGATGGTTTGGCGCGATGGGTTGTCAACCTGCCCTAAATGTTCACGTGATCGTTCCGATATTTTAGGAACACAACTCGAAGTTGTACAATGTGCCAGACCCCGGTACCAACCTGCATCGAACAGTCTGATCTCCAAACAGTTTGCGGAAATGTTGTAGCCGGAGGCGTAGATCTCGCGCGCGCGCTTTCTCGGCATCTGAATATCCATCGAGGGGCTGTAACCACCTTTTTCTGTGCATGATTTGCCAGCCGTGGGAACTGACGAGCAGTGCTTGTGCGTTCCTCAATGTCCTTTCTTCATTCTAGGTCTTCTTTACGTCCATCATGGGATCCGGTAAGTGCTCTAGTATATCTATCTCGCTCGTCCCGCTTACTTTGGTTTTCTCAAGTCTGCTGCAATTTATTTCTACTCAGAGAAATACGGAACGATGCATGGATCGTCGCATATCGGCCCTCTCTGCCAAGCAGTGCTCAGCGCCGGTGGTAGTCTTCATTTAAGCCCGTCCGCGTGTATTCATCAAGTTTCGGCGGTGCAAGTGTATTCAAAGCATGAAAGATATCAATCAATGAGACGGTTAGAGCGAGCATTAATCACCATCAATTCTTAAATCAGAACAGACATCAATGCACAAGGTACAGCCTGAGAATTAGCCTCGAAGACGAAGTTTTCGAGGTTTCACATTTGCCATCATAGTCCTCGGCATGAACGGTGACAGCAGACGATCGAAGACACAGATACTCAGGTCAGATGTAGTTTTCATCCACGATATAGGGTCATGCGTTGCGGTACTATCGTCCCAGGTGAGAGGTACATCACTACCTGATGGTTTTGGTCATTTGTATCTAGCTCTAGAACATGCTGTCAGAGTGATGGAGCTATCAATTCAAGTTGGAGTCGTCCGAATGTGCACTTGTTTTTTATCGACACTATCCTTCGTCTTCGTACAAAGCGCTTGCTTAATGCTAGACCACAAAGTTCAACATGGCCATGATCATCGTCAACAATCCTCGAGCTTTTCATGCCTTACTTTTTATTGCTTTACTGGCCATGTAATCAAGATCTGGACCGGCACTTTTATGCGTAGTGCCATTCTTGGATCAACCTGACACTGATCCATCATGTTCGGTGCGGGGTAGCTCCGCTTCGAAAGCACTAGCTTTAGGATCCCCATATAAGCATGGTGCCATCAGATACTTCTCCCAAGTACCCTCCATGAATCACCCTCTCGGTATATACATCGAGTATATCAGTGTCGTGATAACCGCTGCACTGTGGGGTTTGACCTGCGTCCAAACGTGTGTATTCCGTCACAAATAACAGCGAACCCTGCACTGACTCGAACCCGCATACGTTGGGTCATTTAGTTTCCAATATTTTGTTTAGTGAGCTTCGGTATTCTAGAATGGACCCTCAACACTGAGCACCTATGCAGTCACCACCGTCGTGATCACCCTTCACTCAAGCTACTGGTTAATCTTTTTTTCTATGATGTTCTATCTCTTCATGAGAATTTTCTCCATATGTTAGGTTATCTTCCTTTGGTCAGCTGTTTCCTTGTCGGCGGGAGAGTTCTCACTCAGTTCTATTTTCAGGATTGTTGACACGCTACACACGGCGTTCCTGAGCCACGGATGTGAGATACCCGGTTTTTCAATGAATTTCCATGCTCAACGCCTACGTACAGTTTGGAGAGTCATAGACAACAACGTTTCTCCAGTTACCATTGAAGTGTAAGTGCCATTTCTAGTCGTACTATCACGTGGAACCGTTCTCAAAGTCATCTTCCTACGAAGCTGGTACCTAGGTAAGTGCTCCCTTTTCCACTCAAATTCATCGCGTACCCAACTGATTTATGTAAAATCCAGTATACATCAATTCCTACGGTAGGCAAAGACGATTCGGTCTTAAACTGCAGCTAACTCGTTTGATTGATAGGCAGTTCGTTGCCTCCACTACGCAGCTCTTTTTCACGTGGAGAATTTGGCGATGTAGGTGTCCAAAAGCCTTCGCCGATAACTCTCTGAAGATGTTGGTCAGTCTGCTCTGAATCCCGTTGGAGACCCGCTATCCTGCTATTCGTGAGTCCGCCATCACATCTATGATGTTAATATCGAATTGACGCGGTGCATCAGGTTCCGGCTTCTTTCTATACCCTTCGTGAGATCATTCATCCATTATTTGATCGGGGATTCTCTTACGTTCGTCATTGACTGCTTTTCAGCTGCAACAATCGGTGAGGATTTCTGTTGCATATTCAACCCTGTACTAACCTACGCACACAAGCCTTTAGTGATCGTCTGGTATGCTATCATCTATCTATAGATATTCGGTCTGGTAGTCAATACACTCTATACAGCCAGGATCCAGGGTCGACGATGTCCTCAGTAACGGTGCGTATCCGAGCATTATGTCTTACTCATTTACTAATTCTCGGACGTATCATCATCCGCAGAAACTCCTTGAATCAGTATGGGCGATTAGCGCCGCAGTAGATATACTAATATCTGCTTCCCTTCTCTCGATACTATGGATAGGAAGAAAGGACGCATTAAGAAGGTAAGATTCCATCCTGTACAAGGGAAATTATGAAACTTGGACGAACACTAAAATACTGAACTGCGTACATCAGCACAACCCAGATACTCCACCGCCTCTCCATTCTTATTGTGAATACGGGTTTGTGGACCTCCTTGGTGACACTATTGACTCTCCTCGGCGTATGGCAATTGCTTTTTTTCGTCTCCCCCTGCTAATTCGATATCCTTAGCTTGTAATCTGGGAAGAGCAGGATATTTACGCTGCCCTTTCCTTCATCACGTGTCCCTTGTACTGTAACACTCTTCTCGCTAACCTGAATACGCGCGATTACATTCGACAAGGGATTTTCCCGAGCAACAAGGGAGCCGGGACAACGTCTGTCCTTCAGCTTGACACTCATACTACGAGTCGCTGCGAAGTATGTTTCTTTACTCCAATTCACATAGCGGCCCACTGATCTCAGCTTGTGCAGTCGATTCCTCTAAATGACCAGTTTGCCTCTCGCAAATTTGGCAACGCCTCAGACGGTCTAGTGTAGACTGTCAAATACTAATTGGTGATCTTATGTATGATATTTATCCACGGTTACGAATATGCTTTCTTTTGCTTCCTAAATCATTCACATAGCGCGGTGCTCAATCTTCGATTTCATCCTCAGTTTCTTCTGCATCGGGTTCGTTCTGAGGATGTCGGTGTTAGATGTGTAAGGACGTATAAACAAGGAAAGACTCGTACTCCTTTCCAGTAGGCTTTCCCGTAGTCTAAGAAAAGTTCCTGATCCTTTTTCACATTCTTGTCTGCGATCCCGGGGTCTGTATATCTTCATCATAAGAGGAAAAGAAAGGATACTGACGCGCGGTGAGTAGTAGTCGATACTCTCCGTTGACCAATCTGACTATTTTCCCAGGAAAGAGGTGAGTTTCAGCGTAAGGTTTGGGAAGTAGACGACACACGACTAGTACTACAGTTCGGCCTCTTTGAATGATTGAGGTATCGAGTTTCGTTTCCGAGTCGACCTGCATCAATGGTACGGACGTTGTCACCTGCGTTTGCATCAAATGCATAGTTGACACCCGTATGGTCGTGGATTAGCTCAGTCAGATCGAGAGCGCCGTCGAAACCAAGGTAGAGAATTTCTCCAACATACTCTTACAACAGTGACGTTAGTAGCATTGTGGAAATCGAAGACGGTCCACCCACCGCCGATGTTTGTCCCGCGCTTAATTTCCCTTTTCGTGAAGGCACCTAGGCCGTATGCACCTCGCTTTATTTCAAGTTGCTGGGAAGCGAAGTGAATATGATGATATAATTCGGATGAAGAGCTACGCAGTACGAACAGCATATCTCTGCCTCAGAAAGGGGACGTTTTCGCACTTATTTTGATATTTGACGCCTAGATAGTGAGGATTATTGTATGATTCTAATCATGGAGAACATACCTCTAAGCCAATGCTTAGCGGACTTTCCCCTCAACAACAGAAACACGTACCGTGCATCGCAACCCAGACAGAGCTCTGGGTCGCATTCTCTTCCACTGGCTACACAAATACATTTCTTTTCATCCTCGCAAAGTCCAGTCTTCTTTTTCTCGTGGGTACAATCACAGCCTTTCCTGCGACGCGGACCTATACTGAAGTTCACGAAAAGACTTTTGAGATATCGATGTACTCACATGTTAAGCCACATCTACAATTTCTTTGACAGTGGTAGGACTTAAAATAGCATTGACAATTATTACTCGCGTCACATGGTCCAGGATGGCCACAAGGTGGTATGCTATCAGCACTAATATCAGGTACTATCAGCTATGACTGGGATAAACGTTGACTGACGGGATAAATGTCAATGAATCATCAGTAGCATCGTCGTCATCTGTAGAAAGATATCAGGGTCTCGTTAGCATGGCCAACTTTGTTTTTCATACAAAACACCAGTTGAGATTGTCTCTGTAGTTGTTCTTCCGGGTCAGTTACGAAGACCTTTTCATCGGGAATGAGCCGAGTGCGGTAAATGTAGACCTCATATCCAGGATAAGCAGAGGAAGGTAACAGACAGAAAAGAACATACTTCAAAACATCTCTTTCGACAGATGACAGCCAAAGCACAGGGCGAAATGTCTGGGTCGAGCTTCAATACACCATGAAGAAACTCTTCGTCTTCTGGATTCGTCCACTGGACGCCTTCCTGGAGAGAGATCAGTGGATTACCAAGGATCTATTGGTGGGAAATTTACTATCATGCCATCATGGTTTTCATCGAGGTGAAAGTAACAGTCTGGCCCACAGGGAGCTCCCTGTCGTAGTTTGAGGTTTTGGTTTGTTTTTGTCGGAGTGACAGGGTTGATTGGTGGGTACTCAACTGGTTAGCGCCTGTTAGAATGATTCAAACATCGAAAAAAAAACCCACATTGATGAATCTTGCAGGCGAGGTGGATACAATTCATATTTGGACAGAGCTGTGGCCTGAATCTGTTGATATCGTTTAACAAATCATTTTCACTCGGTAACTTTCGGGGCGGTAGGGTCATGATGACAGGTTCGTCCAACCATGGGAGATCTGGTATGTCTCTGCAAGAAAGTTAACGAAGATCGCAAGGCACTATTCATCCGCCAACCTCTGAAAGGTATCCCAGATCAACCCTGAATCATGCGAGAGTCTCATGGGTCTTAAGACCTTCAGCTCGTCTATTGCATCTAATGACAAACCAAGGTCACAATGCAATCGCCGAGCGACTTCGATCTCTATGACCTCAGCTGCAAGGGGAACGTGTTAGATCTGAAAACAGTGCAAGAAAAGCTCACCATCTGGATCCACGAAATCGACCTGCCATTCGAAAGATTCGTAGTAAGCCAAGTACTCCGCCAACGGGAACTTGGGATTATCAGCGAAAGGAATGAAAGGAAGAGATTCAGCAGAAAGCGTCAAATCAAAAGTTTCTTTCTCTGCGCTTCTCGAGGCAGGTGTGCATGACACATATGGGGGATGTGGTTCAAAATCCACTGGCACCGGGATTTCTATGCAAGAGACAGTGCCACTGAGAGTTCGCACTCCCCCCTCATCGTAAGACCACACTAAGAACGCTTCCCCAGTCGCCTCCAAGTCAGCATTAGATGTCTGCGCGCTGTTTTCAAAGCTAACATCAAATTCGTCATCATCATCGCTGTCGGTATCGACAGCGAGAGACAAGATGCGAGCACGGGCATCTTCTTGCTCCCAAGCATAAAACTGTTCGAATACGTCGTTGCGCGTGGATATGGCAACGTCGCGGTCTATATGCATTTGACACGTCCTATGTAAGGTACCGAAGGTATAGAAAGATGGAAGTGGGAAACAAAAGGACAAAGTTCGAACTTGGCACTGCCTTCCTTTCTGGGATTTTGTGTATTTTATTTTTTATTTTATAGTTTTGCCTCGATATTGACCCATCTCGGGCATTTACTGTCTATACGCGTCTTGTGAGAACCATTCACCTTCTTCCTCATCTGCTACGCTTGCAAGGTGTATTCGCGGGTGCCAGAACTACGGATGTGGGAGCGCACGCTGCAGGATCTCATTCGAGGGCTTCGAGCCAACAAGAAGGATGAGGCCAAGTTCATTGCCAAGGCCGTCGAGGAGATAAGACGTGAAATCAAGAGCGAGGATATGGAGCTCAAGGCTGGTGCAGTACTGAAGCTCACCTACGTGAGTGTCTTTATCCTTGTCGATGGACCGAATCTGACGTCTCATAGCTTGATATGCTCGGTCATGACATGAGCTGGGCCTCATTCCACGTTGTAGAAGTCATGTCATCGCCCAGATTTCATCTCAAAAGTGTTGGATATCTCGCAGCCGTCCAGTCGTTTGACCAAGATACTGACGTCCTGATGCTGACGACGAATTTGCTGAAGAAGGTATGCTGTACGGCATGTTTCATTTGCCTCCCTGACACGCCCTAGGACTTGATTTCAACGCCAGCTGATATCGCAGTAACTTTGAATGGAATCTCTCATATTGCTACTCCGGATCTGGCCCGAGATCTTGCGCCAGAGCTCATCAAAATGCTGAGCCATTCACGCCCGAATATTCGAAAACGCGCAGTCGTCGCGTTGTTTAAGGCAATGCTTAAATATCCAGAGATATCAACCCAGGGAATATCGAAGCTAAAGGAACGATTAGAGGATGCAGATCCCAGTAAGCATCATCCGGTAACTGCTACGGGCTTAAATAGTTTTGTAATAACATTGTCAGGTGTCGTTGCTGCAACTGTGAACGTACTCTGTGAACTAGCGCGAAGGAATCCCCAGGATTATCTTACTTTGGCGCCTGTCCTGTTTCATCTAATGACTACTTCATCTAACAACTGGATGCTGATCAAAATCATTAAACTAGTAATTACCATGTCACGCATTTCTTTCTTACTCTGATTCCCGTCTTTAGTTTGGTTCCCTTTCTCCTCACGAACCTCGCCTAGTCCGCAAGCTGCAACCGCCCATAACGGAGCTCATATCGACAACGTCGGCCATCTCTTTACTTTACGAATGCGTGCATACGTGCATCATTGGAGGAATGCTCAGAGGGCCTTCTGGTGATTCTCTAGCTCGATTGTGTGTTTCCAAGCTCGCAACATTCATTCAAGACGCGGATCAGAACCGTACGTGTCCGCGATGCAGGCATATTATAGATACCTAATGGCGTAATAGTGAAGTACATTGCTCTCCTTGCAATGGTCAAGATCGTCCCTTCTCACCCCTACCTAGTGGCTGAATACCAAGACACTATTCTAGCAAGCGTGAGCGACCAGGATATCAGTATCCGCATGCGTGCTCTTGACTTGGTATCGGCCATGGTAATTAGTCCTTGTCATTAGAGGCGGTCAGAGGCTCATGCATAAACTGTAGGTCAATCGAGATAACCTTCAATCGATCGTGCAGCAAGTTCTCTCGCATCTAGTATCCGACACAACAACGCCAATACCAACTGCCTCGCAGTCTCTTGCTCAGCACCTAATACCTTTGTCTCCACAGAGCGCCAGACCTCACATTCTACCATCACAGTCCAAGGCGTATCGACTTGTCCTTTCACAACGAATCCTCACCATGTGCTCTCAGGACACATACGATAATGTCACAAACTTTGAATGGTACCTGTCAGTCCTCGTCGATTTGGCCCATGTCGCCAATGTCGATGTTGGATCCCAAATTCGAGACCAGCTGGTTGATGTGGTGGGACGTGTTCGAGCAGCACGGCGATATGCTGTGAAGCTCATGTACACACTGCTTATCGACGATACGATGCTTCGGAATGCTTACGATGAGGGTAGTTGCTCTGAGGTACTATGGGCAGCTGCTTGGATATGTGGTGAATACTGCAGGTTTGCGTTTTCTCTAATCAATGTCGCGTTCTCGTTGACAATAGAATTTAGTGAGCTGGCTGAACCCCAGAAGCTGCTTCCCTATCTGTTGCAGCCCGATATATCGCGTTTGTCGCCCGATATCATCGCTGTTTATATTCAAGCAGCAACAAAGATCTTTGGATTTTGGGCCACTGAAGTTGCGCAGCGTTGGACTGAGGACGATCTGCCCGAGGTGAAAGACCTTGTTGCGACTTTTATAAGTCGAGGAAGCGAGTTTGTCAGCAGTCCTCATATAGAGGTGCAAGAACGGGTGCGAATTCATCACACTCTCATTTCACTTCGTTCTGATGATATTCCAGGCAGCGAATACTATACAGCTCTTCCGCTTCATACAAGCGGACCTTGACTCACACCATCCGATACCGGAGACGTCATTTGGCGAGGCCAGCTCGTCATTCGATCCTATTGCCGAGCCTCGTTTTCCTAAGAGTCTTTACCTCATCCAGCCTCTCTTCAGCACGTATCAACTCAACCCAGTCGGTACCGCAGCGCAGGAAAGCGTCCCAGTACCGGAGGGTTTGGATCTGGATGCGTGGATCGTTCCGCCGCCGCCAAAGCCTAATGACGAGCTCAACGGTAAAGTAAGGAAGAGCAAGAAGGGAAAGGAAAAAGAGACGAACGGTGCAAGGAGTAAGAAGAAGCGGAGGGAGGGCGACGGCCTATTGTATGAGGACGTGTTGACTCCTGCTGTTATTGAGGAGACCGCGGAGGATCGTGCAGAACGAGAACGGGTATTTCCCTCTTTTTGTACTTATACCAACTTCGTTGACGTATTTCGTTTTATAGCGCAAGGCGGAGAGACTGAAGCAGCTCAAAGATGACCCGTACTACATCATTGAAGACCAACCTACTCCCCCTGATGATGTAGAGTTAATACCCGTCGTTCAACTTGAGGGGATGCCATCCCTGGCAGGTAAGTATATTCACACGGTTACCCACGACTCCTTGCCGACCTACTCTTCGCGACAGAACCAGACATTGTTGATCCGTTGATACCCACACTTCGCACCATATCTGAAGTATCCTTGGAACCGATCGTCATCGACAAAGATGGCGAAATGCCTCAGGGTGCTGTGGTGAAATCAACACCGCCAACTCCCAGAAACATATCAACACCTTCGCGGGGCACACCGCCGCCACCGACATCATCTTTCGCTCAATATGATGTGCCGGAGGATGATCCTCAGACAAGCGCCCCGGAACCTATAAAGGTTACGAGGTCAAAGAAGAAGAAGGCGGGAACGGGGAAGAAGAAACGGACGCAAGTAATATCTGAACAGTCTTGATACAATTGGACTGTAATCTTTACATATCACAGACCTAGTGTGGTACATAACCAAGACAAAACCAAGCCCCCCTGGCTCGTAAGATGATGTCTATCATGCCGTGCCAAGTGCTAAATGGGACCGCTTCACGAGTTTGATACAATTCGAGGATAAAAGAGGCACGCCATGATACAGGGTCCCGGCCACGGTCATTGATCCGGCAAACTCCGAAGCGGAACTCCATGCCGAGCAAAGGACAGAAATACAACATGGCATTGTACCATTCGCAGCGATATCTGTTCACAGCTCTTGGTCATATTTTTTCACTATTCTCTGCTTTACGGGGCCCTCTTCGCTTTGCTTTGCATAAATCAGCACCCACCACACCCTCACTTGATATTTTCAACCCACCCGACTCTGTCGTTGACGAAATTCTTCGCTCTCTGGAGGAAATCGTGCAGGGAAATCCCTCCTTACAATGGGCATCTATCATTTACCTCGATGACACGAGAGTGTTGAAGCGCTTCCGTTGTTCTATGCGCGAAGCCAGAGCCATGGAACACGTGCGCCAGCTCACCACCATTCCTATTCCTCGTGTCCACTGGGCTTTTGTGCGCGACAGCAGGTGTTACATCGTTATGGATAGAGTCAAGGGTCAAACTCTTCGCGTCTCCAAGATTTCTGACCCAGCGACCCTCCGTAATATTGCTCAGTCAATCAACTCCTACCAGCGCCAGCTGGAAACTCTTGGCACTTCACGCCAATCCCTGGGGTCTTGGCCAGAGGGCCCTTATCGAAATTCATATTTCAAGCCTGCGCTCCAGGAAACCATGCTGGGAATAGAGGAGCCAGGTGATTTTCAGTCAGTTGTGGACTTTCACAACTATTGGCACGTTCGTTTAGGTCATGGTGCGGTGCTGCTGCCTCCCGAAGATAGCCTGAACGGCCCCGCGGCGGATATAGTGCTGATGCACGCCGATCTCAATGACCAAAATATAATGGTTGATAACGGAATCATTACCGCCATTTTGGATTGGGAGACATTTGGGTGGTACCCGCGCTTCTGGGATAGTCTCTTATTGCGCTCGGGGGCCGTATGGTCACGGCCTTGGTCTGAGGTCATTTTTTTTGTGTGGGGCGAGATGGTGGAGCCAGAAAGAAGCTACTCCGCGGCATTGGGCCGGTTCTGGTCCATGGGATGAATTAAGTGATACGGTAGTTTTTATCTAAGACTGCTCGATGCAAGTGTCTGACAACCGGTGTATTAGTTCAGGATCTCCACTTGTACTTGTACCGCCCCAGCCGTGAGGTTTCCCGCCCATTCTATAGATGGTACGTGAATTACCTATCCACGGGACTGCCACGGGGTCAAAGCGATGACGTCCATGTTCATCCATGTGGGCCGCTGATAAGTGGGTGGGATAGTGTCGGCAGGTTCTAGCACCTTCTCTCTCCCACTCCACACAGGTACTTATAGTTTGTGCTATCACCACCCGATACTGAGATAACATATACAAGTATGACGCGAAGATCTATCCTACCTAACGAGATGGGGCGCCCTTTCGGTCGTCTGCCGCCGATCGACCTTAATTATTGGAACCCTGACCCCGACGCCGAAGTCCCGGTTCACATCATGGTTACGCGTATATCCGGCTTCACCGATCTTAGAGATTTGCACTGGAAGTTGGTGTGGGCGGTGAAAATAGTAGAGAAAGACGGGGATGTTCAGATCTTCCATCGACGGCTGGAGGTGGTGCAGGAGGCTGGGTGTAACCATCTTACAAACTGGGGCGCAGTCACACAGGTAGAGACCGCGACCAGCAAAAGGTTTAACCCGCGGAAGGTGATCAAGACGATGAGTCTCGCCCAACGAAAAGAGCTGGAGAGGCTGGCAGCGCAGGTTAGAGTTGAGGAGCCGAATGGAGTGTGGAATTGCCAAGACTGGGTTGTAGCCGTGCTTCAGAAAGCGGAGCAAGCGGGCCTCCTCACCAAGAATGAGTGGATGGCGGCCGTCACCTGGGCCAGGAACGGAGGAGAATGCTAACATGTGCTTGGCTTAGGAATGCATATTTTTGCATGATTCATTTCTGTATGTCTTTTCCCTTCGATGTCTCGACAGATCTCATTGAATACTCAACCTAGTAGCAAGTCGTACACTTTCAGCACCCGGATCCATTGCTGTTGCATTACATTAAAGTCGATATGATGTCTTTCTTTCTCACTCGGACGTTATATTCTTCGATACTCCTTCCAGTCCTCATTCAGGTGTGACTCTATGGTTTGTACAGCTTTGTGGGATCCCGTCTAGATATATTACATTCCCGAACATTTCATTTCCCTGATATAGCATTCCTTTCTGCGGACACACTCACTAATACGTAAATCCGTCATGGATGTCCTAAAGCTAGGGAAGACTGATCCAAGATCAGTGATGTGGATGATGACCAGGCCCTTCACTTCCCCTCGTCTCTCGTCCTCCCGACATAGTTATAAAATTGCTCGATATTTCTTTCTTCTCTAGATTTCTCGCATATCTAGTAGAAGACTCAGTACCGTAAATGTACTACATGCCGATGTGCTATGCAGTCAGCTAAGCTTCAGATTTCCGTTACTGCATGTGAATAACTACGCATCTCTGATTGGTTAGGGGCTGTCTATTTCCTTCTCGAAGTACTACGCACTGGTTAATCCCACTCACGGATCCCTCTTAGGAATCGGCTCAAACTTCCGGTATTCTCACTGAGCATCTATGAATCATGCTTGCCTTCAAGTATTCATCTACTCGTAATCTTACTGTGATCAGTACAAGCAGAAGTTGGAGTCTTGGTATTGATTCCGGAATGCGATCCGCTTTCTCGTAAGCGGGGTTTTAAATATCTGTTCGCCGGACGCTGCTTGCCAGACGCGTATTTAGTACTACTGGCAGCGACAAGTTTCTATCATTCTTCAAGGCTTCAAGTCTCCGGTTATTGCTGTCATCCTCGCCCCTTTATGCAATGCTAAAATATCTGAAGAACGCCTGCTCTTCATGGCACGTGCCCCCAAGGTACGGCGTCTTTTGATAATCTTTGCCACTATGATCGGGATTCTGACAAAATTCTCAGCTTTCCCAAAACAAAACTCTTACAAGAGACATTTATTTCGATCACGAGGACAGTATTTATCTCGATGACACGCGACTGTCTTTTTTTATTTATTTTTCGGTGTTCTACACGTCTGGAATACGCATTCGCGACAGCATTATACCACCGTTTTCATTCCCCGTGTTCACTGGGACTTTTATCACTAATATGCTGTCAGGAACAGAGTCAATGGCCGAAGCTCTTATGTGGAAGATTCTGACGCGTCGACCGTCCGGGGAATTGCTCGGATACCTATTTCGTACCCATGTCTCGTGCATTGAATCACTATGCTCTTGGTCATAAGGTCTTACTGTACGACATACTCCAAGCTGGCGTTTCCGGAAATTCTAATGGTCGTAAAGGAGCTAAGGGTCCATCCGGCACTTTCGTATCTGCTAGTATGTTCGTCTGGACACGATACGATGCTTCTGCCCTCTAACGATCAGGTCCAGGGCCTATCTGTCTAAATCGTTCTGATACGTACTGTTCTTCATGATGCAATGCAGTTGTCGGCAACTCACGACGGCTATTTTGGACTGTGATGTGTTGTTTTGAACTCAGTGTGGCCGCGATTCTGGGACAGTAACTTGTGTAGATCCGGCCTTGGTGGGATGCCAGCCAAGCCGTGGTTCTGCCATAATCTTGAACCAGAGAGAATCTATTACACGACAGTCAGCCGGTTCTTGATGACCTGAATATAAAAAGGTAAGATTTGATTCATCGTCGTCTATGTCCGCAGAATGAAGTGACAATTTCCCTCTGGGGTTTCTGGCTGACTTTGAATTCTTGTCTGTATCAGTCGCCCCGCTGGATATCGATGGAGTCCATGTGATAGAACAGCACTATCAGCCGGGTCCAACTACTCTTTCAAACGCCTACCAGGTATTTTTCTTGTCGATTCAGCGATGAGATGATGATACGATAATTTATAGGATAATATAATATGCCTATCCTTCCTAACGAGATGGGCCGTCCCTCTGGTCGCCTACCACCGATCGATCTTAAACGCTGGTACCCAGATCCTGACGCAGACCTCACAGTTCAAATAATGGTCACTCGCATTCCTATCGTGGCCGATCTACGAGATCTTCACTGGAAACTCTTTTGGGTGGTAAAGACGGAAGAGAAAGGTGGCGTAAAGCACGTCTACCGTCGACTCTTGGAGGTCGTCCAGGAGATTGGGTATAACTACCTTACCAACTGGGGCGCCATCACCCAGGTGGAGACGCATAATAGTCATAGGAACAAGCCTCGAAAGGCCGTCACTACGATGAGTCTCTCCCAGCGACAAGAGCTGGAGAGAATTGCAGCGGGGGTTAGGGTGGAGGAGCCCAATGGGGAGTGGAACTGCCAAGATTGGATAATCACTGTCCTGAAGAAGGCGGAGCAGGCGGGTCTTGTTACGAATAATGAATGGACCGCCGCCGTTGCCTGGGCAAGGAAGGGAGGTGAAGAGTAATGTTTTTAGTTTTTTTAGGTTTCGGTATGCTCTTCTCTCCCGCTTGGTTTGCTTGCTTATCCGTCGCACAGATACTTTGGACGATTTTTTTTTCAAATGTTTGTGAACACGATGCTTACGAAAATGCCATTTTATTTTTTCACACAAAGCACTGAACTCAACGAAAGGTTCGCCTTCCCAAGAAGGCCTATACATCGAGAATCAAAACGCCACGCAGACCTAGCCACCGCTGTACATACCTCTGGTTTGTCAGCGGCCGATGGTTCCGTGTACGACGTCGCATCAAATGAGTATGAAGCCGCTGAGACGATATTTTAAGTGACACCTGGCGGATCGGCGTTATTGACGTGCGTCAGCATATCTTCGCTAGCCTACTTATTATTATTTTCAGAGAATCAAAACGATGGCCATAATGCGAAGAAAAGGCGTAATATTATCAGGTGAGCTTGGTTCGGGAATGGCGTTTACGCCCGTCGATTTCTGTACGTCTTCCATGGTATATTCACTACCCAGAAGTTTGATTTATTTGCCTGTTCTAGCGTAGCAATCGACACATTGGTAACAATGCAGAGGACCTCGAGGATCCAACGCATCACTACCGGAGACACGACTTCTGGAAGGGATCGCCGTCGAAGTCGCGGCATGACCGTACCTCATTGTATTTTCCGACGGTGGCACAACGCCAGTACAGAGACCATAGTGATCAGCTTCTGACGTCCTGGTCAGAGTACACTCCTCGGATTTTTCCTTTGGCTTCTTACCATTATGGCAGGGACCCTCCCTCAGTCCGGCATACGCGCCTTCTGGAGAATCGAACCCATGATCTCTGGGTAGAAAAAACAAATTTGAACGGAATGGCGCTTGCCTTGATTGCTTACGGTACTTCACCTTTGTTCAGGCTTCATCAATTGTTCATAATGTGCAGGTATCCTCCTCAGTATGGTCCTACAATGTTATCAGGGTCTCTTTGCTCTTAGGAGACAGGAAAAACAATGGTGGATGTGGATCTACGTCAGTGCGGTTTTGGTCCTGGCGACTATCGGCATCGCAGGGAACCAAAGGTTCATTCAAATGACTTACATCGATTATCGTGATTATCCTGGTGGCCCCAACGCTTTTACGCTCTCCTTTTACGCGACGACTTCTAATCTGATGTCTTTTATCGCGTCCGTCATTTTTCCCTTTTATAGCACTTTTTCTTTCTTTCTTACGGTATTCTGCAGATATATCATCCTTGGATGGCTTGCCGACGGGCTCGTTGTAAGCTAGTCTACTATGTGTCCGATCGTCCATGTTTGTTCAACGCTTCCTGATACGCGCAGTTGTACCGATTCTTTATCATATACGACCGTAATCTCTGGGCAGTTATAGCTCTTGCTATCGTCTATCTTGGGGATATAGGTATTGGCTTTCCATCCCTTGATTCTCGTAACGTTGATAGACCTCCTTCCAGGCTCTGGCTTGGGTTTAGCGATCTCAATCGCTCGGTCCCAAGATAGCTTTTGGGCTACGACGTCTGTACGTCTTGGAATCGCATTTTGGTCAATATCTGCAGGTCTCAACATAATTTTTACCTGCCTGATTGCCTCCCGCCTTCTCCTCCTCCGTCGGAGGGCTGACGCAGTTCTAGGACCCAGCCACGGATCACATTACACTTCTGTAGTCACAATCATGGTTGAATCGGCTGCGTTGTACTCACTGTGGGCTCTGGTATTCCTCATTACATACGCCCGTAACGATCCTGTTCAGAACATACTACTTCCGCCGCTCGGTCAGATAGAGGTCTGTGTTCTTTCATTTTCTTAAGAGCGAGTTCCTGAAGGGTAAACTTGTAGGGAATCGCACCGTTGCTCATTATCCTGAGGGTTACCAGGGGAAGAGCCTGGAATTCGACCACTGTAGCCCCTTCGCGATATAAGGCCAAGTCTCTCTATGGGCGCACTGAAACGGAACACTATGAGAATCCCTTGAAGGACTTCCCTGCTTCTCGGGGCTCGACCCCAACAAGCCTTCCCACTGAGAATCCCCGAAGAGATACCGGTAAATTGACGCCACTCCATGAATAGTGCGCGCGCGAAGCTTTGGTATACAAACTCGAACTTTATACATGGTTCAATGCTAAGATTCCTCTTCAAACAGGTGGACACCGTATCAGGAACGAAGTTACGCATTGTGCAAAACCGACTCAAGAAAAGAAAATAGAGTTATACTGCTACCAAAATGCTAATTGTACGCGTAATAAAGCAAGCCGGGATAATATCTTCTGCCAATGGGACGATGTTGATTGGTGATTCTAAATAGACTGTGTAGAACACACGCCAATTTCTATTTTGGCAACGCTTCAACAAGCTAACGGAAGGGTATGCAACTTTCTCCTGCATCCAGAACCAGCATGACTCGGATGTAACTGTGGTTGTTTATCTGGATGTCGCCTCCAGAAATTCTCAACGAATCGAATGATTACTACCAGAGGACATGAGAGCCCTTAGCTGATGTCGGACCGACACACTCCTATTTTTAGATCGACCCAAATCAAAACTGTGAGAAAATACCTACCGCGGCACTGCGGCAACTTGGCGACAACCCTTCCGTCTCCCAAATCCATCGATGCCATCATCGGTATCGCATAAGTATACTACACCGTCATGCAGAGCGCTCTGAGTGTTAATTTGTGACTTGGCAGGAACACGTCACAGCGACCCACTCGAAAGCAGCTCGCTGTAGCTTGCTGTTGATTTTTAGATTGCTTCAAACCAAGTCCAAATCGTATTTCCACTACGTTGAGTGAGCAGGATTTAATTTGATGAAAAATTTATCACTGAGGGCATTTTCTTGGAAAACAGCTGTATTTTAAAATATAACGTAGGGATCTAGCGTAAACGGAACCAATCTATCACAATCAGTGCGCTTTTCTAACAATCGACTGTAGAGGCAAGCCAAAACAACAGTTGAGCTAATACGACATTTTTTGGTATCCAGAATTAAGCAGGTGTCATTGCAGACTTACCAGGTAGATGCTTCTTATCTTGGCTCTACTTGAAAGAGTATGCCACCGCTCCACTATCAGTCAGCTTTTCCATTGCAGCAGGTACATCAACTAGAATTTTTTGGTCAGCGAATTATTCTTTTAAACGGGACCAGGAGTTTACTATCAAATTCTCGTTTCAATGGCAAGGGCATCGCGACCGAGTTCCTTGACCCAATGAAACCTTCAACGTGTGGCTTAGCGATTGGCATTCGTCCGTTCAATTTACTGGGTACTTTAGACGCTGTCAAGTCAGTTCCAGACAACTACTTTGAATAATTGGGACTGACCAGGTCCAGCCAGAGCGAATGTAGCGGACAGAATTACGATGAAAGGCAGCTGCATCTTCATGAGATGGATAGGCCTAGTGGAAGCGGGTTGTCTTTTATCCTCTCCCATACGGCAGATTCGGTGACTGTTATCAAAGTTGAATTCTCCTGTCCGCTCACAAAAGGCATTCTAATGGCGTTTCATGCGGAAAGAGCAGCCCACCGCGGTCCATTGTTCCTGGTTCACCGGGTTTCGTATTGTCATCGCTTTCACGAATGTGCGCAATCTACCACCGAACAGTCTTGTGACCCTCTTCCCATTGGTCGCAAGGGCTAGTGACGGAGCTAGTTGGTCCGTCCAAATCTGAGATCGTGGTGCCATGAATGCTGGGACAGTGCACGATATCGCGGGATTGAAAGATACGGAGTTTTTAGCGGATACCATGTCTGATTCGACGCACGAATTCACTAGGCACCTCTGAAGCTTAATTGTCATATTATTCTGTAGTAAATGCCAGCTACATAGCACTTCGCGCTAAGTCATGACCTTGATTTCTTTCAAGCTCCTTGTACACCACTCTCCAATCCTGACATGTCTGTGTGCGTCGTCTACCAACTGCGTGGTGGCCATGTTCTATCGAGACAACACTCTCGAGGTTCAAATCGGAGCGACAGAATAACACCTGTCGAAGGTAATTCAGACAATGCCTAGCCACTGTTGCTTCCCTGACGTCTTGCTTGCCCATGTCCACCTCTTGAGCAGTGTACGCTGATCGAAGGATGTCTAGGCAACGAAGCTGATGGAAAAAGGACGGAAGGTAGGGAGTGTGGTCTGGGTCGAGGTAGACGATCCCTTCTCCTGGAGCAAGAGCTGACCATTGTGCATTATTGTGGTCCGTTGAGTTGAGCTGATAATTGACTGTATCCTCGACGTCCATCAAAACGAGAGGAAGTGGGCCAATGTCCCATACGGCGACGGAGCCCGCCACAAATTTCCCTGAGGAATTTTTAATAACTTGAACGGGTAACGAAGGAATGAACGACGCACAACGTCTTTCCGGACTACTACCATGTCGAGCTGTGGTGATTGTGTCCCTTACGAAAGGATACAAGCCAACAGTTGTTAGCAAGATAGCAAGAGTTGCTTGCCGGTCCCAGTTGTGCATGTACAAGTGCTGAGAGGAGAGCCGTAGGAAATTCAGCCCACCTTGGGTGAGTTCCGACTTTGCATGTCCGCGGTAAAGCGGCCATGAAATCTACAGATTCTTGAAGCTAGCGAAAACCCGCCAGAGCAAAAGCGGACCTAGAAATTTGATGCTAACACCACGTTCTCGATGCACGGACTTTCAAGACGAGCGTCGCTGAGGGGGCCTTGCGATGAAGCCAGACTGACCAGCAGGAACGAGAATATTAGCGGTGCAAGGAATCGTCCGTTCTATAATTAATTCTGTGGGCGGAAATCAGCATAAGATTCTCGAGGCTAAGGTTGTTCCACTGATACTTTCCTCTTTTTTTACCAGATGCTACAGAGGCACATTCGACAGGGAACCGTAGCCATGTTAGCGTCGGGTATCTTCATACTCGCATTGTCGGCTGCGACGTTCGTGAACACCATCTTGACTATCACACGCAAAGAACTGAACGTGCCGAGCGAGGCAATGTATTGTGAGTAACCACTTTTTTTGGCTTCGACTGATTTCCTTAATCCATCCGTCATGAAAGCCTTCATAGGCAATGACTTCCCGGAACACTTGCTGCTCGACCTTCCCGACAGTCCTCATGACGATGGAAGAAAGCTCACATTATGGGATTTCAGGACCTGAGGACGGTGAAGAGTGGGCGACAACTGCAACTTACGGATTTGGATACCTGCGTCTGGGCCAGGAGCAAAGACGCTTTGCGCTATCAATGTGGCATCAGCTCCACTGCCTGCGGCTGATGCGGATGGCCTTGGACGGAGATCATGATGAAGGCGTTCGAGGGCATATGCAGCACTGTCTCACATACCTCCGGCAGATGATCCTCTGTAATCCCGACCTGACGCTCGAGCCGGCGGATGTACTCACTCGGAACTATGAGATCAGACGAAAGGGTGCTACGTATGTCTGTAAAGATTGGTCAAAAGTGTACAATGCGATGGAAGAAAATTATAACGATACTATACATAGAAAGGTGCAGGGTATTCAAGGTGGTTGAGAGGCGGAGAGCTGGAAGGTAGCATGATGGCCATGATGGCCGATATTCGATGAATTGTCTGGGAAGGGATCCGGTTTGGAGGATTTATATGAACAACAATATATTTCTGTCTTCAATTGAAACGATATTCGCCCAAAGAGTTGATGCGAACGCAAGGAAGATCTGGTATACAAAGTAACGGCGGATTATCGTGATTTCAGGGAGGCTACACATACGCCTTTCAAATTCGAGTATGAACTTGAAGACTGAGTAAAACAAAGGTTACATGCGCGTCGTCGTGTTGCGACAGAAAGTATCACGTTGCAATGGGCTTTGCTCGCACGCTCAAGCGCTTGCCTCGGTATGTTGGCGTCAGGTGGCACCTGAACGCAAGGTCCTCTACTCTATCGAGAAAAATAGAATCAAAATGATATGGAAAAAGATGATGGAACCCACTTCATATCATCCAATTGCATGTCGATACGTCTAAAAATATTGCCTAGCATTATATACAATTCGCACCAGGCAAGGCTAGATGAGGGTCGCGATTACGATAGAGCACAACAAGAGTAAGAAGGGTAGACGTACTTGACACCAAGACAGCTTCTCGGACCTTTACCGAACGACAGCAAAAAATTGTCCAGCCCGCGAACATCAGGACCGATCCATCGCTGCGGCTGGAACTTGAAAGGCTCGGGGAAAATGTCCGGGTTGTAATGAACGAAGGTGACACCCATCGACACGACAGTCTTCAGTTATCACAGATTAGGGTGAGGGATAAATTTAGAAAGATTGAACGGACAAACCCCGGCGGGAACACGGATACCCCCGATCTTCGTGTCCACTGGTCCAACAATTCTTGGCAAGGGGAGCACAACTCCGTGAGACAGACGCAAGGATTCCTTAATCACGGCGGTCTAAAGGTGACAAAGTGAGTAAAGACTAAACCTATTCAAGACCGAGCTGGACGAACCAGGTAAGGTAGCTTCTCCAGCCGCGCTAGAGAGAGACGTTCGTCTTTATTAGGCCAAGCGTCCCTCAGTTCCTGAATTAATGTGTTGTATACCGCAGGATCATTGAGGACGTAGAATGTCCCAACCATGGCTGCATTCCCTACAGTAAAACTTCCAGCGGCAAGGAGATTGATAGCCTCTTCGACGAGAGACTTGCGCGAGGGCGTAGTGTACTGTCCCTTAACCGGGTGCGGCGTCATTAGATGGTTATAAATCGTTTCATGCTCGTCGTTCTCCATAAGAAGGGGATTTTCAAGAAGCTCGTCGATCTGGCGATTCATCGCAGCGAAGGCGTCCCCTGCTACAGGCGGATTAAACCAGGAGACTAATCGGTCGACGAAGGTAAGGATATCGAAAAGGTACGGAAAATGTTTTAAGGCGAGACAAAAAGGAAAGGACTGCTCAAAGGCAAGTAGGATGGGGTGCTTGAAGTCAGGAACGTCTAGAGTGTTGTAATGTCGAGCAAAGCAGTATGATACAATAATCTCTAAGGATGCCGATCGTATCGCTCTTTGCATATCGGCTGGCTGATTGCTGTAGGAAAGAATTCGTTTTATAAGAGTATCGACCTGAATGCAAGCGTAAGATAGAGTGCCTTTATGCCGGCGATCGCTTACCGTCTCCTGTACAACGTTCTCCAACTTGAGAATCGACTTGCGAGAAAACATTGGACTGAGGACGTCCTTTCGAATCTTCGCTTCTTTGAGATCACAAAATCCAAAGGAGGACTCGTCTTCGTGTAAGGCATTGTAAAACCTAGGATCCTTTGGAAATCTAATATTTTGGACGTAAATTTCATTGTAGTCAGAAATACGACTGAAGTGGAGCTAAGAATCATTAACACTTCGATTTCCGTCATCATAGTAGAGCATGACTTACTTCTTCTGGACCGATTCTGACGACTGGACCTACACCAAAGGTCGCGAAATCAGGACTGTTCAGTGACTATGGCTGAACCATTTACCGTAGATCCGATGAAGTATTTCCAGCTGCTCGAGAAGCCCGCCGTCTTTGCACACATCGAAGTATGTTGTATACCACCAAGTTAGCGCTGCTAGCTTCGGGCCGGGAACCTTGGATAAAGGATGTCGGTAGAGCCTCTGCCACGCAGTCCACAACGCTGACAAGATAGAGCAAATACCAAGCACTAGGATTGCCTGTGCAGTCATTGACTGAAACTGCATCATGAGGTTGCTGTAAGAGCATTCCTCAAGGTATCAGTTATATTTTGTCTCTGAAAATACCTAATCTCTGATCCCAGCAATGAACATTTCACGTCAAGATGTAGATATATCCGGGGCCGTCGAAACCCCACAACGTCTTGAGTACGAAGGATTGCCGCATTTTCATCTGCACGTCGAAGTAGCCAAAGTGTGGCCAAAGGGCCCACGAAGGGCTCCATAGTAACGAAATGTTGGGTTCTCGAGAAGCCGCACACATTACCGGTGATGTCGGGAACACTGAGAAGGATGATGGATATTATTTCGTTGAATAACAGAGAAATTCGCCCAAGTTGGATTTTGAAGCTTAAAACAGGAATCTACGAGTTGAAGCTGAAGGATTTCGTTTGAGGACGCTCGGCAATAGCCGCCGACCAAATTAAGTACTCTGAGGACCACGTGGATTGCCTGCCGCTCTCAGCTCTGATTCTGAATCTGATGCGTCACAGTCCAACACAATCAATCCAATCAAAGTATGGACCGACTATCGACGCCGCTAAGCTTCTTTGAAAATTCAACTGTTATGCTATTGCTTGGCTCAATTCTCCCCTGTCACTCGTCAATCGTCAATGGTACCGGTCATACGTCGAATCTATCGTTACGGAGTCCGCACCGCGTCGAACAACGTTATCTGTTCAACAACCGGAAATTCTTTCTCCTCTGTTCTATTAACTTCCAACTCTCACGCTACACCATTTTTATAGAATTTGATGGACATTACATTGTGACTGTCTGGCCTGGAATCTGTACATCACAATAGAAATGCGAACAAGGTCGTTGAATCGGTTGTAGCACTCTCGTATCATAAAAAAAGACTTTTCTTTCTCGTGTACATCGGCGATATCGGTCCCTGGGCGTCAATCGTACACCAAGACGGCATTCGCAGGCGAACAATTTGGAGCTAACTTGTTGTAGATGTGGCCCTGTGAAAGTCGATGGGAAAGCGCATGGTGACTGAATAAGAGTCTGCTTCGAGCGGCGCTTTCAGGGACCTCCTCGAGGTAGGGATTTGCCTGTACCTGCCCTGACCGTCTACTAATTAAATCCATGTGTGTTTAGAAAGGTAGCAGTGGCAAAACTGGGTTTTTTCCACCAATCCCCTAGGGAAGAACAAGGAAGACAGCTGAGAATCGGGTCCAATCTTGACATTTTTTGAGCTCGAGATGTCGCCGCCACCGCCGCCCTTGGAAAAGCACGGGCCGTGAGACAGCAAACACGAGGCGAATTCTCGAAAAATATGTACCAGCTTGGAGCCGATGCCGCGGTGTTTTTCTGTTAAACATTCCATTTTATGAACTGTCGCGTAACTTACTGATAGACATCACAGGCATTCAACATCATGCAACGCCATTATTCTGTCAGAACAACCTATCATTGGTTTTCTCTCCTTCCTCTGGGTATGATATCGATAACGGTGTTGTTTAAGATGCCGAATTAATCCCAACGCCTCAAGACGAGAGTATAAATCTACATATAGCTCAAATAACGATGCACAGTGCGATCATCTCATAAATCAGCCTGAGTATTTAACGTTCTTTGCCTTTCAAGGTTCATTTGAAATAGCTCCATTCACTAGGTATCATTCCACGCCACTTTGCGGTCCGCAAGTTCTTTGGAATATCCACCCTTCTGGCAAGTCCTCGAAGGGTTCGGATCCCCGTGGAGCCACGACATGGCGATGGAACGCTACCGATGGCGTTTGATCAAAAGGATCGGTTCAGTCGCGCTCGTGATCTCAATCAATCAGACTACGTCCGGCGCCAAGATGGGCGGAAGAACGTATCATGAACTAATCCATATTTCATAGCTTTCTGCTTTATCGTCGCCCCGAACGTTTCTCCGTCTATATCTTCCTTGTCACTATCGTGAGTATGCCAGAAGGCCACGACGGGTATACTGTTTTGTCTTCCCAGGATCCTTCCGTGGGCTCCGACGACCAGGAGAAATGTTCGGATCAGCTAGGTGAAAAAGATCCTCCCTTGTTGATATTGTGCTCACGCCTCACATCTATTAGGGCCCAAGAGCGTAGAAGTTCTCGCGTGTAAATTCGTCATTGTAGCTTCAGTCGTTGCAGTATTGTCGGGGATATGCAACATCACCATTTTGTGGATCTATAGCGCCCGAGGGTCTACACCAATACCACGACTACTGCATGATCTACCGAGACCCAACCCTTACATCGGCTTAGAACGGGCGACCCTCAACCCGTTGTCCCCAGAGCCACGGCCCATCATAAACTTTCCAATTCTTGCGGCCCAGGTCAATTCGGAGGAAGTAAACAAGGTCTACTTCGATGTTCCGAGTTTGAAAACGCCATACGGTACGGTTTATCCAAGAGAGACTAACTTTACGGTGTCTTCTGGGGTGATTTAGATCTATCGAGCTTGTATTGCACGCGATTGACCGTCACACATAGGTATCGATGATTCTCCAGTTTCGTGTCATGGACTTCGGCATGGAACGTTGTACTTTGATGGGCGCCATTCCAAGCGCCGCAGACCTAGAGCGCTCTGCAAAGTCGGTTCCGGTCGTTTCCAGTGAGGCTGCGAAATTGGAGGCCTGGTTCCTTGACGACAACGATGTCCAACTAAATGCCGAGACACTTTCTTATTCGAATCGGCCCCGTCGGAAGGCCCTGGCGGGCGTTTGGGGGGCGACAATGGACCAAAGGGTGCAGATATCCGATACCTTTGAATGCCCGTCGAGATCCCTGCTTACTGTCGAATTTGTTTGCACGGAACCTGAGTGTTATCTCCATTTCAAGCAAGACGAAGATGAACCAACCATGGGTCCGCTTTATATTTCTATTCTGTTTGCATGATATGCTGAAGTCTCTTCTCCATCCAGCCGCTTTTATATCTCAAGCATCGAGCATCAGGAATACAGATCGAGGTATATAGGATCTAGCGAGACTTTCGTTCGAGGAAGCATGAGAATACGTACTTGCAATAAGATGTTTATTGAATGTGCCCCTATCTTGGTACCGTGAGAACTTTTCTTTTGGCGAGCGACCACCATCATTGTCTACAATTATCTCGACGTCTCTTCCTTTCCTTATGCTCTCACCAGGCCGAAATGTCTCTATATGAATAACGTTATCGATATGCATTCATACACGTCAATATTTTTCATGTAGAGCGTCGCAGGCGTCTAGGCGGCCCCGACAGCCGTAGACCTACGACACGTTCTGGAGGCCATCAAAGTCTCTTCTATTCCTATGTTACAGATGGCGTTTGAGAAGACGCGCTTACTACATGCTTAACTGCCTTGTTTTTATGACCGCTCGTCTCCAATTTTCTCTTCACATCGACGTCCGGTTGGCGCAGAGTAATTGCGGTGACATCGCCAATGTTCTCGCAAATTATTGGTTCACTGATTTTATTCCAATGTTTAGCTTCGAACATTATACATGGCATATATTTAAGATTACATGACTATTATAGGTACCAGATGACGACGGCTTGTTCTTCAATCAGAGAACATTGCCCACATAACAAAACCAGGCTCCTGATGAACGTTGTAACACTCAAAGTGTTGTGCTTTCTGGTCTATCGCCTTGAAACCGCACTTGTGATAGAATTTAAGCTATACGCAAAGTTAGGATCAGGCGTACTAATGCTTTAGGGGGACGCACATTTTCTGGCTTTTCCACCTCGAGACACATTTTCCTGTCCTTCTTCTGTGAAAATGTGTCAGACTTTGCTACGGAATAGGTATATGGAAGGAACCTTGTCGCGAATCACATCAATCAACATCGTTCCCAAACCTCTGCGACGATACGATCTAAGGGTTCCTATCCACTGGAGATGCCAGGCCGCTTTCCTGACGCCCTCTCCAAATTTGGTCCTGGCGAAATCGTTATATTCTGGAAGGAACTAAACCGGATGGTGTCAGAGTTATACGAAACCGACATAGTTCGCATAACTTACTCTTGTCCCCCACCACTGTCCAAGTTCGGGGAATAGACTGGCCATGAACGGCCCGACTGCCCTGCCTTGTTCGCTCCTACAATGTCGGTAAGTAAAGCAGTGATGTCTAAAAAAAGGGACACTAACTCCTCGAACAGCTCGCGATTTGGAGGGAACCAGACAGCGGCGGCCACAACTTTGTTCCCGTTTGAAACCTCTTCAATGATATACACTTCGCCAGACAGGATACCAGAAAGAAGGACGGAGTAGTTGAGGCGATGATATATCTCGGCCTTCCCCCCAGTCACGCTACGAGCGAAATGATCTGTCGTAAATGGCTTCAGTACGACACCAAGTGGTTTCGCATGACGTTAGTACCATCCGAGTATGCTTGTTTAAAGCATTCTACGACCTCGTTGAACTTCGCTGAGCCTACGCATTATCGACTGTCAGTGACGCCCAAATCGGATAATTTAACTGGTACCTGGCGCCCCAGTAAATCTTCTGACTGCAAAGCTTGGCGACATGGGTGCAAAGCAGACATTAAAAATTGTCCTCACCGCTATATATGCGATTTCCCGCCCGGGCCTTTTTGTCTTGATTCGGGAGAAGTCCTAAATTTACGGTCTAATCACTCGGCTCCGTAGCACGCTTCAGGAGGAGGCGTGAAACAAGTCTTGACAAATACTCCAGTTCGGGCATCCGACGTCCAACCCTGCGAATGTATATTCTAGGAACATTCGTTCATCTCGGAATCTCGCATTTTACATGGGTCGACAAACATTTGGTCAATATGGCCGAAGTAGATTCATTCAGTCGGATCATTTACCCTGGGGTTGCTCCGAATAATGCGATGAAATAGGGTGGCCTTGAAAAACCCACAGGAAACTACTTATAGTCTCCGGGACAAAGTACCTCAAGCTGGGAATTTTCTGTCCCTGACCGCGTTTTTTTTGGAAGTCTGACGTTGAATTAGGCAGCCCTTGACAACATAACAGGGATAACATAACAGCTCTTCCCCGGTCATGACAGGTCCTCCTGTAGATCCGTCGCACGCGACTGCCTGCCTTTGCTTGCTGCCAATGACCTAAGAATAGAGGATAGTTCTCGAATTACCTCATTGTGGGCTGCCGCTATCTAGAACATTTCGCCGCTCTTCAAAGTTGTCAGTGACCTAGGTGATAGTCATGAATAACACTCGTGTTGCCCTACCAGCCACCATCCACCCCACACCGCAAGGCAAGTGCATGGTCGCAAAGATAAGCATTGACACGAACCCAGTTATTCTCACTCCGCTTCTACGTAACGCCGAGCAATCTGTGTCGCTTTCTCGGTCCTTGGTTGCCTATTGTCAGGAACTCGAATTCTGTACAGCTGGGTCACTGTGAAACGCGATATGCTGTGAGACCCCATTCGAGATACAGCGGAGAATCTTCAGTTGGGGATGCACTCATCTCGAAAGGATTCGCAGCTCATTGGTCCCTTTTACGCCACCGATGACAACATAAACGCTTTCTATCCGAAGAAACTAGTTCTCTAGACTTCTTGCACTCGGCGTGCCCTTCTATACTGCTGCTCTGGTGCCTCGAGAATACCACTTTATGCAGACGGCGGCCGCACAGATTCCACAAACTGGAGGATCTTTCGATAGACAAAGTAGCATTACCAAAGGAGAAGTATTGATACATCATCGATCGCCACGCCATCACCCTCTTTGATATGCAAGGTTCCTGTGCATGTATATATAGCAGGGCTGCGAAGACTTCTGCAGCAAGCACCTCGCGGCAGTTTGATGTTCGAAAAATCTTCGTACTAATCCAGACGTTCGCGATAACGAATTCCCCGACTGCTCATCGTTGCTTTACCATGTCATCTGACGAAACCGTCCTTGCTGATCTGGGCTACAGACAAGAGTTCAAGAGAGACTTCTCTCGCTTCGAGCTCTTCGGGCTGTCATTCAGTATCATGGGCATCGTCCAGTCGATCGCGTAGGTTTCATGGTCCGTCGGGTGTAGCGAGGTACTCAGTTCAGCTCTCGTCATATAGCTCCATACTTTCCTATTCGATTCCGTATGGAGGTCCTGTCTCCATGATCTGGGGGGTAACGCTCTCAATATTCTTCACAGTAAAGATCTGCCAGCTCATGCCTTCCCCAGTGGGTAGCCGGATCCACTTTTATAATCTGCATCGCTCTCGCCATTTCAGAGCTTGGATCGTCTGCGCCTACCTCCGGTGGCCTATACTATTGGACCTTTAAGTACTCGTCCCCGCGTTATCGTAAATTTTTTTCCTGGCTCATTGGCTGTAAGCAGCTAGGTTCTCTTTATAAGGCTGTCACTCACGAGCACTCGTATTAGACGTGAATACGATTGGATATATAGCCGGTGTAGCTGGTACAGATTACAGCTGCGCTGTAGCGATATTAACAGCGGCCACTCTAGGCTCGAATGGTACGTACGCACCGACGACCGCTCAAATCTAGTAAGTGTCATTCTTTTCATTTCAAGTCGCTTCTAAGTCCACTTTTCCAGCGGGGTATTTTGCGCTTTGCTAGCTTCTCATGCGCTTCTGGCCAGTCTCGCAACAAAGGTCATAGCTAGGCTACAGCTCGTTTATGTCTTGCTCAATATTGCGTCAGCTCCCTTCTCTTTTGGGCTGAAGAATTCCTTCTCATGAAGTCTTTCTAGGGTGTTCTTTGCCATCGTTATCGCTATTCCAGCGGCTACACCCGTAGAATTCAAGAACGACGCAAAATATGCATTTGGTCACTTTGAAAATCGTGGGTTTCTTCGTCCCTGTTGACGTCATGTCTTCGGTGGGCTGATGTCTTCCGTAGTTTCCGGATATCCCAACGGATTTGCGTTCTTCATGAGCTTCTTGGCGCCCCTTTGGACAATAGGTAACTGTCGTTTCTTCTTAATGAACACGTTAGACCTAAGAACACGTCCAGGTGGCTTTGATGCTCCCGTGCATATATCTGAAGAAGCAAAGAATGCACGTACTGCCGTACCGTTCGCAATCATGAGCGCCACTGGCCTTGGATGCATTCTTGGTTTTGGTTAGACCATCTTCTGCCCTGAATTCATCCTGTTTACCCGGACATTACAGCTGTTAACATCTGTTTGGTCTTAAACATGGGTACAGATTTGGTATCCATCATTGCTAGTCCCATAGGACAGCCGATGGCAGCCGTGAGTACAACCAGTTCATCATGATTCCTCAGATGTACTTAACATACGTCAGATTCTTTTCAATAGTCTAGGGACCAGGGGTACAATCGCGTTCTGGGTATTCATCATCATGACCTTGTAAGACTTCATAAAGAATTAATTAGGATCACTCTCATTCGTTCTTTAGGTATATGGCGTCAATGGACCTCGTACGTATCCATGATTGCTTCCAGTGATCCGGTTGCTGACAATGATCGTAGCTCATTTCTGCTTCCCGACAAACCTTCGCTTTCTCCCGCGATGGCGCTCTTCCCTTGTCGGCAGTCTTGTACCGGATAAATTCTCACACAGGCACGCCTACGAATTGCGTCTGTGTTTGCGCGTTTATTGCCGCCACGTTGGGCCTTTTATCGTTTGCAGGTTCGGCAGCAATCGGAGCCATCTTTACCATGGGCGTAGCATGTCAATACATCTGCTACTGCACTCCCGTCGTCGCCCGCTTCCTTGGCGGACAAACGTTCACCCCTGGCCCTTTCAACCTCGGCAAAGCGGTATGGACTTTCTACTTATTTCTACGGGTTCTTACGAGGTCATTGATACAGAGCGGTCCTGTCTCATTTATGGCATCGATTTTCATGATATTCATGATAATCGTGTTGTGTTTCCCATCTACACCGGCGCCTCTTGCTCAAGATATGAACTACTCTAGCGTAGTTGTCGGGGGAACCATCGTACTGGCGTCGATGTATTACTTTGTTAGTGGGCAGTTCTGGTTTACTGGGCCTGTAACAACTGTTCAAGATGAGTGCATGGAGAAGCGCGTCAGCGTAGGAACTTCAAGTCAAGCGTCTAGATGAAATTCAGAGTCTTTCCTCTACCTCCATATTGCTAAGCTTCTCCGAAACATTAGCAGAAGCCAGGTCATGTACCAGTTGTTGAACACTTATATATTATCGAGGTACTATAGTAATGATCATGTTTCTACTCTAGGCTCTCTACGTTTTGAAGGGACATCATGATATTTCAGTTGTAGACATCAGAAAGACCGCAACCTGTGACAACATAATTTGGTCAACGTTGAGCTATGCATCAAACTGTTCCTACTGACCTCCCTAGAAGGCAGTATCCGGATTCACAGCGGTAAGATCTTCCATTGAAGCGGGGACATCAATACCTACGACGTAGTTCAGTCTCTTGGAAAACACAATTGCCAAAATTAGGCGGCTGACCTCGTTTGAAAGCAGTCTCTGGAGAGGCCCCGGTAAGGCCTTCCATTGAGGCGGGCACGTCGATACCTGTGATAGATTGTCCGTCAGTCCTGAACTCCAATATTCATTTCCCCAATTTGGGGTACTCACCTCGCTTGAATGCCACTTCTGGGGTTTCTCCCGTGAGCCCTGCCATCGAGCTAGGAACGTCAACATCTATGTTCAAGAAGCAGTCAGTCAGTCAGTCGAAGCGCAGGTTTCCAAATTCGGGTCACTCTGACCTCGTCTAAACGCAGTGTCGGGCGAAGCCCCAGTAAGTCCTTCCATAGAGGCGGGAACGTCTACACCTACAAATGATAAGTCACTCTTTTTGAAGAACAGGTTCCAAATTTAGGACACTTACTTCGTCTAAAGGCAGTATCGGGAGATGCACCGGTGAGCCCTTCCATCGAAGCGGGAACATCGACGCCTGCGATAAATGATAAGTCAGTCTTTGAAATTATTTGAGCTACTCACTTCGTCTAAAGGCAGTATCGGGGGACGCCGCGGTCAGCCCTTCCATCGAAGTGGGGACATCGACGCCTATAGTGAGATAGAGGTTTGGTCAGTTCGGACGGGCACTTGATTTACGCGGTCTGCTTACTGGAACTGGGTGCTAAGAAAACTATGTCAGCATGGCGACTCATCATTAAACTGTAAACTTACCGGGCGCAGCATGTACGAAGGCAGCTAACAAGACGACGGCGTTGATCAAGGACAGCTTCATGTTGATACACAATGAGAAGAATAAAGAGCCAGTAATTGTGTTGTAGAGGAGTGGTGAATGAATATCGACCAGGTGATGCTACGCCTTTTATCCTTTCCTGAGGGATATTTCGGTAATATAAAAATGGTATGTCCGAGTAATGAATGAACTTTCCGGAATATTATTATTAGACCGTATTCGCTGGACAATCGTGTTAAGAAGCGCCTGCCAGTACGTATGTTGCCACCGAGGTTGTAGTATCCATATCGATGGAAAGTCGAATACTGGGCATCGGCGTTCCGGACCGTCAAATTGTTTAAGCAATCACAAAATTTACCTTGTCGATCGCGACGCAATGAAAGATTCTAAAAAAAGGAGGACCGCGTGTCAATGCCGCGAGAAGAATAAGCAGAAACTCACACATATATTTCACTTTTCATAACTTTAGGACAAGCTGACAATCATGAAGTCAAATGTTATTGCGGCGTGGGTTCAAGAAAAGAATGAGACGAATTGTGGGCGCTCTTCTCCCGTCGTTGCCTGTTTAGTACGTGCTATACGCTTCCTCCAATCACTTGATTCTTTTCCAACGCCTCATATACAACCCTCCAATCCCGACAGGTTTGAGTACGACGACCGGCAACGGCATGATGTTCAGGGTCGCCTGAAATGACGCTTTCGAGATTGAGATCGGAGCGGCAGAAGAGCATCTGACGAAGGTAATTCAGACAGTGTCTGGCCGCCGCGGCTTCCTTGGCGTCCTGGTTGTCCACGCCCTGCTCTTGTGCGACATAGAACAATCGAATAATATCAAGACAACGAAGTTGGTGGAAGAAGGATGGAAGGTAGGGAGTGTGATTGGGACCGAGATAGACGATTCCTCCGCCCGGTGCTAGAGCTGACCATTGCGCATTGTTATATGCTGTCGAGTTCAGCTGGTAATTGATTGTGTTCTCAAGATCCATAATGACGGATGGAAGAGGACCGATGTCCCAAACAGCAACGGAGTCGGTCAAAACTTTCCCTGTGACCCTGTTAAACATTCATCGTACTGGACGAAGGAAATGTAACTTACAGGAATCTGCTGAGAGATCAGGTTTCTGAGATGTCGCAAAGGCACCTCCCATCAAAAGATACGCGCAGATAGATGCTGGTATGATAGCGATTAACGCTTTGTACTGACTCCGCATGACTACCGGTCGAGAGTCGAAGAATGGAATAAGTACGAAGGTAAGTTTGAAAGGTTTGTCAAGACTCCTCACTCAGCGGCTTATACTTGATATGTCGTAAAAAATTCCCCTGCCACTTCGTTTGCTTCCTTTCGGTTCCTGACCGCTTTGTCGACATGCAGTAGACTGAGCGTCCCAATGTTCGCTACAGCGGAAGCATTGTGTCAATATTTTGTGGTCGAGACAACGAAAAGAATTAAACTGGTTTCCTGATATAGTGAATCCTGGCAAACAGGTTAACATCAGAATACGGGCCTTGGAATGAATGTCAAGGACCGTAATTAGACCTTATTGTTGGATCTGTTAAGAAGATTCAACACGAGCTTTGATCGATTCAATTAGTATTTACCATTGAGCTCCAAGGTCTTCGAATGAGGACCTATGCCCATGATGTTGCAGTCGCAAAGATGGAGATACATGGCTATGTTCGCAGCCAGCACCTTTACTCTTCTTTTCTCGATGGCTACAGTCTTTCACAGCGTCTCGACTCATGTTTTCTCGATAGAAGAGAGTTCTGATAACCCAACCTACAGTAAGTATCCATTTGTATGTGCCGCAGAGGACTACCCTAACCCGGGACGCGTCAAAGCCTTCATAGACAACGACTTCCCAGAACTGATGCCGATCGACCTTCCTGACGTCTTCCTCACGATGGAGGAGAGCCGACACTACGGGATTTCAGGACTTGATGACCGTGAAGAGTGGGCGTCTTCCGCTGCGTACGGTTTTGGGTATTTACGCCTCGGTGAGGAGAAAAGGCGATTTGCGCTGTCGATGTGGCATCAGCTACATTGTTTGCGAACGATACGGTTGGCCATGGAGGGGCATCATGATGCAGGAATGCGAGGGCACATGCAGCACTGTCTCACCTACATCCGACAAATGATTCTTTGCAATCCCGACCTTACGCTGGAGCCGGCAGATATGTTAACCCGAAACTACGAAATCAAGCGGGTGGGAGCTACACATGTCTGCAAAGACTGGTCAAGGGTGTACGAGGAGATGGAAAGAAACGTGAATGCGACGACGAGTCGAGATTCAGACTCGCAGCAGTGAGAAAAGTGATCAGTGGCTGTGAAGGGGGATCGGGATTTCCCGAACATTCGATCGATTAGTTTCTTTTTTTGACGCTCGGACCTTGTACTTGAACTTCCTACATAACCCTCAACTTTTTCTAAGCGCCTGAGTGCCTAACGAAAGGACGCAATGGAAGACGACTGGTGCACTGCTCTGATTTTGCATCTATGGTTTTTCATAAAAGCCGTTCCTTGCCGCAATGAAGCCCTGAGGGCTTCCGAATATCGCAGCAGGGTCTTGCCCCATCAACATCACTCTTCGACTGGAAGGTGGACTGTCATGGCGGACATCCCTAGACATCCCCACTGTCGTGCCACCCGTATAACGGCATCCTAATTTATCCACAAAATATCCCCGGGTATCACTAACCGAAGACGGCGGCATTGGAAGCCACTTATCTTGCACTCCCTGAGCGCCCTGAATTTAGTGGCAGAGCTCACCAGGGCTGGCGGGAGCCAAGGAAACCCATTTCTGCGGAACCCCTAGGCTACATGGAACGTTCAAATACCTATCATTCATCTGTGGCGCACTCTGGGTCCTACGCTCGCAACCACAGGCATGGATGGAAATTAATCATTCAACAATAATATCCGGCTCGGAACCATTATATTTCCTCCTCAAATGAGGATGCGGCGGGATAGATCAGGTCACGTTTTGATATCTCTTTGGGGACCAGTGATTGGGCCATCTTCCGGTAATCATACATCTATCGTTTGACAGATTACACTTGCCCATCATCTACTAGAACGCACGACGCCCCGAATAGGACAATAGACACAACGGTAACCTCGTATGCTTTTGGAACACGTTCAGCTGCTGTAGACCCACAGCCAGCGTAATGGCTATCGCAAAATCGAAGATAATCGTAGTGACTTTACCATGGCAGACATTGGAAGGGATTCTATATCAGTATGCTTGACGGTGATGACTTTTGGATATGATGTCAACGCCGCTCGGTCAGAAGTTGGCTGGACCGTTACGTTCCGTCTGGGGCTCTTCTTATATCGACAAGGCCAATTCCACATGTTGAAGACACGTCACACGGTTCGATGCCACTCCAGTGAATATCTCTCGTCCTGGTCTTCTCTTCGAAATACTCATCTGATAGCTGGACATCGACCTGGCCATCGTCCGTCCAGTCGCTATTCGCGCACCACTTATATCTCTTTCGGAGCTTGAAGCTTCGACAATTCGGTCCTTTCTTCCATTACCTAGATATTTTCAACGACTATGACGGGTCCCCGCCTTGAGCCGTCTTACGCGCCCGCCGGAGAATCGACGGCTGATTTATGGGTGGAGCGGTCCAATCTTAATGGCATGGCGCTTTCCTTAGTTGCTTACGGTAAAGCAGTTTCTCCGCCCTATTAGCCAATCATATGTGACCGATACCTAGGGATTCTCTTCACTATGGCTATCCAATGTTATTCCGGTCTTTTATCTATGCGTGCACGGCGGGGAACGACGCAATGGTGGTTATGGATATACGTCACCACTGTTTTGGTGCTAGCGACTGTGGGGGTTGGAGGGAACCAGAAATTCATTCAAATGACATTCATCGATTACCGGAACTACCCTGGCGGTCCCAACGCTTTTACTGTCGACTTTTACGCAACACCTGTAAATTTAATGGGTTTCATTTGGTCTGTCATTTTCATTATAATGCATGCATATGGCTCTGTAGTGATACTTGGAACAGTTATACCTCTTTGGGCTGGTTTGCCGATGGCCTTGTCGTACGTGCTTACACCTGGCGGATCCAATGCGCACTGACTGAACTTGTCTTGACCATAGCTATATCGATTTTTCGTCATATATAACCGCAGTATCTGGGTTGCCATCATTCCCGCTATCCTTTTCTTGGCCGGAATAGGTTCGTTATGCATTCTCGGGGCGTATACTTAAGTGCTGAACCTTCGATCTGCAGGTACCTCTGTCGGTCTCCTTGTTTCCCTCTCCAAAGCCGAGGAGAGCTTTTGGGCGCATACGACCGTCCGCTTTGGTATTGCATACTGGGCGATATCTGCGTCTCTCAACATCATTTTTACCTGCCTGATCATCATCCGACTTCTCATAATACGCAGACAAGTTAAAGCTATCATAGGTTCCAGCCATGGAACACACTACACTTCTATCGTCGCGATCCTGGTCGAGTCTGCTTCGCTGTATTCTGCGTGGGCGCTGGCGTTTCTGATCACTTACGCTCGTGACAGTTGGGTTCAGAACATATTACTTCCTCCTCTGGGTCAGATACAGGTTCGTTCCTCTGTGAGTCGCTTCCGAGTCTTCTTTATTAATGGCTGTACAGGGTATTGCGCCTTTGCTTATCATCATGAGGGTTGTCAGTGGAAGGGCTTGGAGTAAAAGCACAGACCTCAATACATCATCAATGCAGTTTAGACCAGCATCTTACCAAAGGAGTGGGCCCAGTAATGTCGTTCCATTGAACCATCTGTCGTCCTGCTCCCGGTGGACGGCTGAGACGAGTGCCATCCCTACGATTTCCAATGAATCTGACATATATAAAGCCGTTCCTGCCGCAAACCAGGACATAGAGGCCAATACCAGATAGCAGGTCGGGGACGTTTGGAGCGCACTGTATTTGTATGTTTAGTTGATGGAACAATCGCGATACCACACTTGATTTATTCGGTTGTATGACAGTTCACACAGACATGTAAAACATTAAAAGTCAGCATGATTTTCCATTGTCCATACGGATACTGAACCGCCCGCACACTGAATACCTTCGAACTCAATCAGAGACATGGATATCGAATCCTGCTCCCACCTTTTGCGTCCGATGATTGAGCCCGGTATTGGCGGGAGCCCCACAGTAATTCGCTCTCGGGTAGCTAGAAATCTGTTGCTAAGCGCCTTAACGCCGTAATCACGGTTCGCCAGTGTCCGCTGGAGAGATCAAGGCCTTGCGCGCGTGGGAACTCGAAACTTTAACCTTGTTCTCCACCGTCGAACTCGTCTTCACTTGATGGACGACCACCTCGACACTGCTCTGAGCGTCTTTAAACAAGTTTTTGACGAGTTTTACGCTTGGGAGCAAGACGATACTCGGACCTACATCCAGTACCTCGCCGCTGATGCGGAATCGGACGACGGTGAAGAATGGGATGATAATTTCTTCAAGGTCGACGACCAGTTATCTTCCGTAATGGATGAAGGCGACGATAATGACGATCGGAGTTTCCTGATACGATCGTTCGATCCCGACGGATCGATTCGAGATCGCTATAAAGTTCCGTGTGTTGAAATTCAAGCGCAGATCCCCCTCGAGTTTCAGCATCCGTTGAAGTACGAGATGTGCACCCCGGACTCGAGGAATGCTGGACAATCCACTTCTTTCAATTCTGATGAGGTTCTTCACTTCATTCCTTATGCAGACGATGAGGCCTTTCCGTTAGAGGAGTTTTTGAATCCAGGAAAACTTGAGGCCGTTTCGGAATTTTGCATGGCAGACAGAAGAGTTTAGAGACCCTGATGGTATGTATGGAAATCTGTCTTGAGAAAACCTTGTCTCTGATTGAATCCCATTCAGTTGATGTTATCGAGCTTGAAGTGGCGAGGCGACTTCATTATGGTGACCTGAGACTTTCTTTCTCTAGCATAGACACCCTTGGAATCCTCCATAATAAAGTCGAAGCTTCGGGTCCCGCAGGTTTTCTCTGGGAGACGTCTCAAAGGTCTGACTTGGGTCTCGTCCCGTAATCACTGAACCACCCCCTTGTTTAGAGATATCCCATTTTGGCCAGGTAGCGCCTTGACCAATCTTCCCACCCTCAGTCTAGAGAGGTTGTTCGAGAAGGATAATATTCATCATGAAATCAATCTCTCTAGTTCACGATTTTGCTCGCACATCAATTGCCTTGTCATGAACTGCAGGGTACACAGCTGTGAGTTATCCTAATGCGTTTTGCCTTCTCTGTTGATAACCTTGAGTACATAGACACAGTTCCTCTACTCGAAGTCTCCAAGCCTTCACTTACTAAAGCAGGCTTCAAGCTAAAAGATGGAGAACCCTGCGGCGAGCTTTGTTTTCGAAGTTTTGACGAAACGCTGGACGGAGTTATGGTATATCATGTCTTTCTGCATATCCGCACTTTGTGTATAGACTGAACCTGATACAGGAAGGCGTACATTGGAATGATCCTGCCGATGTGGAATTCTTGGAGAGCGTCCTCAAGGTTGACGCCGACATGTCACCTTGTGCCCTTGCTATCATCTGTCGCAAGCCGTGCCTAGAGGTTGGCTCCCGATTCGTTATTAAATGCTGCTAACTTGTTAAAGGTATTCATTTACCGGACAAGAATGTTTCCCGATGAGAAAATTCTGAAAGAACAAATCATCGAGGAAAAGCATCGACACGCGCCCCTAGTTTTCGGTAAGTTATTCTTCTCATAGATATTCATACACTCTTTAACTGAGATTCCTAGTGGATGACGGGGGTGCTTGCAATTTTACGCCGTGCGTGCCACTCTCCCTTAATAACTTCTTCACATCTCTAAATAGCGGTTCTCAGCCTCCCTCCATGTTCACATAACGGACCATGCGACCAAACGTCTGAATGCCAATGTCACCTGAAATCCCACCATTGCAAGCGGAGCTGTCGTTGCAGCTTGAAATGTAAGATAAATCTCAATTGGTGGAATGTCAAAGCAGGGCTGATCAACTGAAGGTCCCCGTCGAAGAAAGGGTTGTAAATGTTCCCATGAACGAGTCATGGATCACTGTTTAACAGCTGATTGCCCTTGCATCGAGGCAGGCAGGGAATGCGATCCAGAGCTGTGTGTTAAATGTGATGCCCGGTCAGTCCTGGTTTGCCTCCTGGCACTTCACGCGTACTAATTGATTGCCTCAGAGGTCAGCCGGTATGTCGGTGAGAAAGTACTTGAATAATTTCTCCTTTCCTGTAGGAGCAAAGCATAAGAACAAGTGTCAAAATACGAGGATACAAAGAAACCAAACTCAAGTAAGAATTCGGGGCATCGTATGTTCGTTTGTTCTACTGATTCCTCCTAGCATATCAAGATTCAACCTACCAAGCCTGCGAAGTACGGACTCGGCGCTTTTGCGACAAGGGAACTGAGAGCCTGGACCTACATCGGCGGTATGGTCAAATGACCCCGTTTTCGAGTAGATTCTTAACACGCACACTTCCACCCTCCAGAGTACGTTGGCGAGATCCGGAATCTCAGCTCGGAGGAAAGCTCTCAGAGGTCCAATATTCTCAACAAGTACACAGGGCTCAATTATAACTTTGAGCTAAATTCATCGCTAACATTGGACGCTGCTCGTCGGGGTAACGAAACGAGATATCTCAACCATTCAGACAAGCCTAACTGTGATGTCATTGGTCCGTCTTGCGCCTAGCATAGACTAATGAATGATGCTTATCGCATTCATACGCAGTGAAGAATGTCAACGACGAACATCGCATTGCTATCTTCACCTGTTCGTATTCTTCCTGCCTAGGCTATTCCATGTTTGTCCTGACTGAATGTAGGCGAAAACGTCGACAAGGGGGAAGAACTCTTTCTAGACTATGGGCCCAGATACTGGCAGCAGGTGAGCTCGGTAGCATCCACTGAGCCGCAAATACCGACTGAACGTATCTATTAGTATGGAAACAGTTCGTCAATCCCTGAAGATCCGGTGGAGGAAGACAGGCAAGACGGCAAAGGAGAACCGGAGGAGGACGACCTAGAATATATCTAGGGACCTTGTCCACAGAAGATTATCCGAGAATTAAAAAGCGAATATACATACAAGAATCACATTATAAACCATGTATAAACCCATAAAAAAAGAAATAATCTACCGATCTACCATGCAAAGCCCTCAGGAAAAATATCAGAGAAATCATATCCGGTGTCCGAAGCAGTCACCTCTTCAACCTGGTAGGAAGAAAGCAGAGACTCGAATGACCAATCTACATTGAGAGGTCAGTCCATTTAGAATGTGCATTGTAAAAGAGAGGCGTAACTGGTCGATTCGGGGGGTGCCAACAACTGGACTTGCGGAATACTATCGGTGGGAGTTATATCGTCTCGAGGACTATTGCCTGTTGTAGAGACAATCAAATCAATCTCCATCATCGAAGAAGAGAAAAGAACAACGTACTACTAGACGACAGCTCCTTCACACGAGTGAGTCTCCGCAGAAGACCAGCATCCGGGAGAGAAATAAAATTATCAGCCTTATCGGAAGTGATCGAAAAATCAACCTTTGACCATCCACGACCGCTGGCCCGTTGCTCCAAGACCTGCAGAACATGAGTCACATCTTACTTCAAACAAACATCGAAGACGTACACTAATGACATATCCGAGTCCATTCCAATACACCTCCATCCTCTTCAAAGCTTTCAACAGAGCCGATAGATTCTGCTTCACCAACCCATTAAGAAACGTTGAATGTGCACCAACCGTGAGATCCTCAGACTGTGCATCATGAATGAACGCGACACCAGCAATAAAAATACACTGATTAAGGAACGGGTTGGCACAATAGGACGCCGCATCGAATAGATCCGCAAAAACAAGACAGTCTGCGATCTGACGTGAAGAAGCCAGAGACAGCTTTATAGACCGTTTAACACCGGCTGAAATGGGGGTCTCTTGACCGCTAAGGCTATGTCCCAGATTAGGGTGATGTATTAACGCCAGAACGGCATTTGCCCAAAGGTGTAAAAAGAGAAAGCTGCCCTGCAAGCGCGGCCCGCCATCAGTGTCAAAGCAATCGGAGAAAATGTTGTGACTAACGCCCTGATGTCGAGCAGATTGTGCTCGGAAATTATCGACCGACCAGCTGAGACGTACGTGATTAGTTGAAGATCTAGCTTAGAAAACTTGGACAAACCTTAGCCCCGGCGGCAAGGTTCCGAGGAATTCGACTAGCTGGTTCTGCAATTCCTGCAAGCTTTCGGGGCTATGCACGACCGGGTTTGACACCAACGTACGAGGGCATCTACTCCCGTTCTGGACGGATGGGATAAAATGGCCGCTGAGAAAATGTGTTCGAAACAAGAAAAAAAAACTCGTACCATCACGTCAGCTATCCGTCCGGCTAGGGCGAACAGCCTAACGATGCCGACAAACGGGGACAAGACTGAAGGTGCCGAGGAACTGGAAGGAAGGAAATCGCTCTCTGTGGGTAGAGGGATCTCAATTATATCTTCGCTAATGGTTACAGATCGACCAGTTCCGAACGCCAACACTCGGTCCTGGAATGAGAAGATTAGGCATTCAGTAAGGGCATGAAATTATTGACTGGGAGCCTACCATTACGAAAAGACACCAGAACAATATCTTCCCGTTGCACACATCCTCGTCATCCGGTGATTCGATATCGGTCTACAAAACGTGTCAGCATACAAAGCAAGTAATCCATAGCGTAAACCCCAACCTTATGAAGTCCTAGATCAACGGCCATTCTCATGGCTAGTCCCGAAAAATTCTGCACACTCGAGGTGTTACAAAAAATCATCACACCTTATGCAGTCTTGACTTACCCAGAGACCACTCTCCGAATTCTGAATTCAAACGAGATCAGCTAAAGATGAAAATGCAGCATTCATGACAAATGCGCTCGCCTCGCCAAACTCAGCCCACGACAGCAGTATCAAGCCGCCCACGACATCAGTTGACGGCAATCGCAGAAGCGGCGGAACTAAGCTCCAGGCAGCCTCGATGTACTGGGACGCTTTACGCGAAGGATGAGGCGCAAATCGGACAGCTAGCGCGTTCATTGCGTGCAGCAAGAAAGCTGACATTGTCCCACTGCATGTTATAGTCAATATGAGGATGAAGCAAACATTGAGGATATGAACCTCACCTCTTAATGCGCTCCTCTACTTTCTCTCTCCGAAGGAAGGGCCAGTGCTGCCAGAAATGGTCGAAAAACGTATCAATCAGTGAGACATCCGGAGGTAAAGACGATATATCTTCAAGTATAGGCTCCGCGGGAGAAAGATGGTCTAGCCCTGTGGTTCTCCCGGATGGTGAGTTTGAGTGCGACCCTGCTGCCGAGCTCCGGAGCTTAATAACTATCTCGTTGAACCCAGGATGGATTGCCGTACACCCAGACTGCGGCATCGTCGTTAGAATCACGTAAAATAAAAATGTCAAAGACATACGAAGCGAAACTAGATCCGAAGATATGAGTGACGAGGCAATAGAAGAAAGGAGGGGACACACATAGCGAACTTTGAGCGTTTTGCTCTCTCCAGGATCGCCTTCCAGGTATGCCATTGGGCGGCTGAGAGCTTCTACCATTTTGTCAGCGTCCGGATGCGCTGCAGCGGTCGCGTAAGTGGCTGGCGGTGACGCAGAGCCCTGAGTATCCTGTTCATGCTTCGGGAGTAATGGTTGCGAGAAGTCCTGCCCATGCTGCAACGATGGTGGAGGGCGGGGCTGGGAGAACATCGCAGGCGCCGATGTGAAGGGGATAGGATACTGTATTTGTTGAATCACATTGCCGTGCTGCTGCTGCTGCTGCAGAAATCAGTGCCCGGAAGCAAATACTGAACGAGCTACTCACCGTGGATAATTGCTTGAAGCTCTGGCCATTATATGCGCTTCGCGACCGCTTCAAGGACGGATCCTCCCGCTCAGCCTCCTCCATCTCTTTCCGAGTGCGCTTTCGCCGCCGCCCGCTCGGTCTGAGGCATTCTGCGTTGACCTTGGCGCATGTTCCGCATACAGGCTGAATGTTGTCGCATTTCGCCTTCTTTGCTCTGCATCGAAGGCAGGCAAGAAACCGTGGTTGCGACTGGTGGGCCTCTGCTGGGCACGATGATCCATTGACCGACTGCGGAGAAGGGCCGTCGGTGGGCGCTGCTTGTGTCTCCATGTCTAAATACGACAATTTTGTTGCCTTAAAAGGGCTCCAAATGTCGAAGGAAGTGATGTTGAGATATCGAAATGACAGGATATTAGAGAGGAAGTAATAAGTAGAAGAGAAAAAGGTGGGGTAAGGTTGGGGTAAAGAAATAGTGGGGTAGGGTTGTCCCGGTCGCAGATGAGAACGGCTTGCATATAAATTTTTGCCACATGACGTGTATTACGATCGAGACCCCATCAAGGCAGCGAAACGCTTAAAAAAGTATCGGCTTTTTTGCGGCATTCTATATCAAGGAACAGTGGTAATGAATTACAGAGAATGTACGCTAGTCCCATGATCCCAGAAGACCCAAAGAAAATGAAAAGAAACGAGAATGCTACCACGCTAAGAATGATTGGATGAGATGCAGGAACGCGTGTTGAACGGGACTTGTACTCACCAGAGTGACCGCCGCTGAAACGTGTGAATAACCATGTGAGCGACGGATCATGAGAGCGGCGAAGATTACTCACTCAACCCGCAAGTCGGCCCCAGTACAAAAAGAACTCGCATCAGATGCAAGGAAGATTACGGAGCCTTTGTATTCCCAGGGAAGGGAGATACGATGAAGGGGGTTGTCATCTGCCCACTGCTTCCCTAGCTCTGGCTTTGCTGCCAAGCTCATCTCCGTCATTGCCGTCTTGATGTATCCGGGGCTTATCGTGTTGACACGAACTCCATGCCCAGCCCATTCCATGGATAATGAACGGCACATCTGCAAGACGGCCGCCTTAGACGAGTTGCTATGGTTCGAATATTAGTAACTACTCTGTGGCGCGTATGAATGGATACACGTACTATGGAGTACAGAACAGCCCCTTGTTGGCCACGGTGCCACTCATAGATGCGATCATCACGATGGATCCACCGAGGCCATGCTTGAACATGGTGATGGCAGCCGCTTGGGCGGTGTTGAACGTGCCGACAACATTGATGTCCATTATTCGTCGCATGTCCTCGGTCTTGAAGTCAATCGCGGGGCACTCCTGTTGAACTGTACAAAAAAGGATTGAGTAATGGTTTCATCACACGGAGAAGAACTTCTGAGGTCAACTGGAATTTGGACCCAAGCACGAACCCTCTTGGAGGCGCTTGGCAACAACGAGCACGGCAAGCGCATCCAAGGAGCTTGCATTCGGTCCAAGTTAAGTGAGGACGCCTTATCCCCGTGGGTGTAGAACGTGACCACGAGACTTACCTCCAGCAGCGGCGACCAACACACGGACGGGACAAGGAGCCTCTGCGGCTATAGATTCGAAAACTGACTTGACCATGTCAGATTTCGTGACGTCGACTTGGCGATAGTTGACGGTTAGGTTATGTTCTTTGGACTTTACGACGAGAGCGGCCCATTCCTTCGGAGACGGTTCCGGTAGAATGTCGAGACAGTAAACATGAGCACCTGCTTCTAACAGGGCTGCAGCAATAGTTATTCCGAGGCCGCGAGCGGCACCAGTAACTATCAAAAGCGCGGTCAGTCCAGAATTTCAAGGTCAAAGATTAACAGCTACGCGTACCAACAGCCGTTCGGCCGCCCAGCGTGAATAGCTGAGAAACCGTAGGGTCTTGTAATATAGGTGCGACTACCGGCGCTTGGAGAATGGTGTGGTGCGCAACGATACCAGAGGAAGCCATAGGAGCCATTATTGTAAAAATTAAGAAATGCAAAAACGAGGTAGAGGGTGAGAGAGGGAAAGAATGCTGAAGCAAGACTGTTACAATCCCGCCAATTTATCTCAACACCCGGCCATAAATACATTACTTAATTTTTGCGGGGTAGACGATATGGGGCCGGCGGGGTAATGGGAAAAACGAGAGCGCGGCGGCATTCAGCATCGGAGTTATGTCATTTTTGATGGCATTCAAGATCCGTGCACGTGCTCAGGGTCACAAGATCCGTCCATTGTGCCGGCCCGGGGACACATCTTGTCTTTCTCCGTCATCTTTCCTTCTCGTTAACGTCTACGGCGCCCGTAATTCCTCACGCCTCGGAGAAATGGAGTTCTGTTCTGCTACCCCGAGCTACTTAGCAGCTCTTGTCTTCAGCCATTTCGTTTGGAACTACGTATCATGACCCAATCTGCTGCTGTGAACAGAGTTATCAATGTATGCGCGGTATCGGTTGTTTTCTCACAGTTCTTATTATATCTCTTAGGACTCAATCGAGAAACTCGTTATCAATACCATACGATGCCTAGGTGCGGACTTGACACAGGAGGTACGCATCTCGATGTCGCGTTTCAGTATCGGCTCACTATATGCGCATTACTTAGCACACAGGCGGTCATCCTGGCACGGTCATGGGTGCTGCCGCCATCGGCGTTGCTTTATGGCGTTTTGCGATGAGGTACAATCCTAAGGATCCTGACTGGTATGTGATCCGGAGGCCTGCGTACCCCGCAGTTCTCTGTCAGACTGATACGGTTTCCCCAGGTTCAATCGTGATCGGTTCGTTCTTAGTGCCGGACACGCCTGTCTGTTTCAATACATTCATCTTCACTTGGCCGGTTACGATGCATGGACTGCTGATCAGCTCAAGACGTATCATAACCCGAACTTTGGCATGGCAGCGGGACATCCCGAAATCGAGTTCCCTGGAATTGAGGTGGGATTGCAGTCCATTGAATTGAAGCGATGAATGTAGACCGCTCCAGGTCACCACTGGACCTCTTGGCCAGGGAATCGCCAATGCTGTTGGCCTTGCTATCGCCGCAAAAAATTTAGCAGCCACGTATAATAAACCTGGGTTCGATATCGTGGATAACAAGATATGGTGTTTTACCGGTGACGGTTGTTTACAAGAAGGGGTAGGCCAAGAAGCGCTGTCTCTCGCAGGGCACCTTCGGTTAGACAATTTCATTCTTGTCTACGATGACAATCAGGTGCACCTTGGGCCCTTCAGTGTATACAGCAACTCTTGAATATTGACGTTTAGGTCACCGTCGATGGCAGCATTGCTAACTGTTTTACTGATAACTCTTCCGCCAAGATCGCTGCTAACGGATTCCACATCGTTGACGTGCAAGATGGCACGAACGACGTATGCCTTCCTATGGTCCGAATTTGACTTTTCCTTGGCTCAGTCATATTTAGCTCCCCGCAATCTTAGAGGCTTTCAATGAAGCCAAGACCATCGAAGGCAAGCCTGTCTTCGTCCACATCCGCACAGTAATTGGGTACGGAAGCCACCGTGCTAATACGGGTGCGGCTCACGGACAGCCTCTTGGCATCGAAGAAGTCGAATACGTGAAGGGCGTCTTCGGTTTTGATCCCAGAATCAAATGTCACATTCCAGATGAAGTCTATGGTCCGTCCTCACTTTTTTTTCAATGTGATCTAAATTAAGAACTAACCGGTGTCTAGAATATTTCCGCCCTGTCGTTGCTCGCGGTCATGAGGACGAGGAACAATGGAAGGCTCTGTACAGGAACTACGCTAAGGCCTATCCCGCAGAATATGCTGAATTACAGCAGCGTTTGACTGGAAACCTTCCTGACGGCTGGCGGGAACTCCTTCCTCCCAAGTCAAAGCTTCCCACGACGGAGCAGCCCACGCGAAAATCGTCAGGTATCGCAGTCACTACGCTGGTTCCCAAGTTTAAACATTTTGTTGCTGGGTCCGCTGATCTGCTGGAGTCCACGTTCGTCAGCTTCCCGAACCAAGTCGAATTCCAGCACGTCAGCTTCCCGCCTCTTTCATAATACTCTGAACTGAAAAACCATCTGTTAACAGCCTGATACAGCCTTAGGCGACTATTCCGGTCGCCAGATACGATATGGGATTCGGGAGTTCGCTATGATTGGCCTAGCCAACGGTATAAGCGCATATCAGAATGGCATGTTTATCCCGTACGTCGACGTGTGATTCCGAGTCAAATGTTCTCATAATATCCCCAGTATCTGCTCGACTTTCTTCCAATTCTGGCTCTATGCTGCTCCAGCGGCTCGTATGTCAGCGCTTCAAGGTCTCCGGATCATTGGAATTGGTACTCATGATTCCATTGGTATCGGTGAGGATGGTCCTACGCATCAGCCTATTGCGTATGTCCCATTATATTAGTATGCATCGCATCGCTTCCTCAACAATGTGTCAGACTGGCTTCATTCTACCGTGGTCTTCCCAACTTTAACTTTATTCGACCAGCAGATGCTGAGGAATGCAGTATGTGCTAAGGATATTCTACGTTCTGTTGTTCTCACCAATGAATCTTCTTCACAGTGGGTGCTTGGGAAATCGCCCTAGATTCTCTACATACCCCTTCTCTCTTCGCTCTTTCTCGTCAGCCCGTTCCCCTACACAAAAACTCTGACCGATCTAAGGTCAAGCTTGGCGCGTATTCCATCTTCTCCACGTCTTCCGACGATTCCCATCCGCAGCTCATCATCGTATCCTCTGGCTCCGAGGTCACACGCTCCATCGAAGCGGCTAAGCGTCTTAGCGATGAATTAAATCTCCGTATACGCGTTGTGTCGATGCCGAGTCAAGCGCACTTTGACAAGCAGTCGTATGAGTACCGTGATTCCGTACTTGGGAACGGCGAAGCACTCGTGGTGGCCATCGAGGCTTGGTCATCATATGGATGGGCGCGCTATGCGCATGCATCCCTTAGCATGCACACCTTTGGGCAGAGCGCACCCCAGGCCACGCTGTATGAAATCTTTGGATTTGGTATCGATAATATTGTGGCGAAGGTGAAGGCGTGGGTAGAAAGCAAGATGGTGAACGGGGAAATTGTGCTACCGAGGTTGGGCCAATTTGAGGAACTGCTTTTAGGTTATGTGGATCCTCACAAGCATTAAGGTTGAAGAACGGATTCGTATAGATCCATCTGGGAATTTCCCTACGGAATGTATCATCATGTTTGTACCTCTAATAAATTATATATCGTCGATAGAGTGAGTTTAGGTAAGTCTTCTTGAAATGTCTACCTTTTTGCGCTCGGTGCCCATCTTGTACTACTCTGTCGCTTTTCTCTAAGAGTGCGGACGGCAACGGTAATCTGACTGAAACTCCAGATTATCGTTGCCGTCTACACTCTAAGTTGAGAGTACAGTTGCAGTGAGCTCGAGCTTTGTTGCGAGACCAGAGATTGAAAATACAGCTGTTTGCATAGCTTACAGTGACATACTTTTCTGTGAGTGGAAAGAGAGGTCTTAACTTTGTCATAATTCCAGGTTCTGCAAACGTTAACAACGCAACACGAGTTTTCGGTGGCTTGAGACTATGTCAACAATATCGGGGTGCCTTTTACACCCAAAATCTCGGTTCATGACGAAGTTCGATGCTTCTTTTCTCGTCTGCAAAATCATCACTTTTGAATAACATGTATGCAAGCGGCTGTAATTCGTGCCTCGTCTGCTGTCTGACGTATCCTCATCAGTCCGCGACTTGCTCTGATTCTATTAGCAAGTTGCGACGACAACGGATTCAGTTCTCATACACAACTTCGTGTCGTCTGATGTGTTTACATATGATGGCCTGCATCATACCACGAGTTAGCGTGCGAATTAAAGAGGTTAACTGATTGACAGGTACCATTCTTCAAGGCGATTTTCCATCTCTTCGTTCAACCCCCTCTCCTCCCCTCCCAACTAGCTGCATCTCTTTGGTCTCTCGGATTTTCACGCACCCATTTCCTTCAAACCCGAAAGCCCCACCGGAACTGATTTCACCGTATACCTGCTGTAAAAATCCTACAGCCCATGTCCTTTCACTGAGCCTCAGAAAACCAAAACGGTGCATATGTCAGGCATCCGAGTCCATGCCAGTGCATCCCCCAGCAGCGCCTCCATTGATTCCCGCTCCTTTGCTCTTCGACCGCAATAAAAGATGACCTTTGGGTCCATACACTCCTACCCATCGTCACTACCCACCAATGCGGTTTCCTATCATCGTGCAGGCTTTCAGCAGCCCGTCTTGTCCACTGGCTCCCTCCCACAGTTCAAAACGGCCTGATTCACGGCCAAGTGTGGAGAAGCAGGACAACCTCCACGCAGTCTCTTCCGCTCGGAAGGCCGTCCTTATTGGTATCAAGTACGCGCATGGTCCCCGGTCGTTGCGCGTCGCTGGGGCGCATGAGGACGTCCGCGCAACGAAAGAGTTGCTGACCAGTGCGTACGACTGGCAGTTCAACGCCCTGGCTGACCGGCAACATCTCAGAGACATACGGATTCCCATCAGAGGGTATCACCGTTCTCATGGATCATGACAGCGTTGAAGACAGACTCAAGCCTACAAGAGAAAATATCGTATGTAGTTTCTCAAGTTCCTCGCGCTGTTTGGCCTGGTCACTAATTTCTTTTCGCAGATGCGAGAACTAGGTGCGCTGGTCCGGGATGCAGAACCTGGCGGGGCTTACTTTGTCTTCTGTGAGTTTTCTTGATCATTTTGCATTCCTATCAATCTCATGGCGGTACATACATAGTTTCGGGGCACTGTGAGCAACTCGAGGAACCTGAGAGTGAAACAGGTGATTACGAAGAAGAAGATCGGCTGAATGAGTGTAACGTATCGATCTGGCTGTTCTTTGTCGAGGCCTTACTGATCGGTTTCTTCCTCTCCTAGGTCTGGTTCCGATGGATGCAGTACGCCACCAAGAATCAGGAACTAATTGTTTCGATCGAGGAGAATTTCATCGTTGATGATGTAGGGCTGCTAAGTCCACTCGTCCATATCCCGGAATTCAAAATCTCTTGGCTTCTAGGTAGTGAAAGTCCCTCCTTGTCGACCCCATCGCCAAAGTTCTGAAAGCTAGATTAACCGTGAGTTATTTATTCTAATAATAGATCTAGGTCTCATTTAACTGATCTATTACAGGCGGTGTTTGATTGCTGTCATAGCGGAACAGTTTTGGGTATGATGTCTTCCCGTTCCTTCAAGAGCACGGTCTGATAGGACAATGCCACAGATCTTTGCCACCACCGATGTAACAGAACTTACAGCTTCAAGAGCAGATGTGCGTTGCAGATCTCTATTATACGCGTGGATCTATCAACGACTTATTATTAACTTATAGACCGTCGTGTGCGCAGAAGACGCAGGTTCACCCTCACAGGATCTTGGACGCGGCTTATTAAATACTATATTCGCCAGTCAGGGAGGCTTTCCCAGAATCCGGTAAGACAGTTCGGGCTCTCATCGAGCCGTGGACGGCGTTGGCTTTGGAATGGCTCCAAATTTCCATCCCGGACCCGATGAAGCATACGGAATTTTGTGACGGCTACTGTCCCAGGATCAATCGTCCTGAAGGAGGGAACGTGGTGGGTCTATTTCTGTCCTCTTGGATCATGCTTATCAGTCACCGGTAGCTTTGTATTTCCGCATGCAAAGATTCGCAACTCGCCTTTGGAAATATCGAGGGCGGATCGCTGACGCGGGTAAGTCTTGTTATTCCTGATAGAGATACAAATAGTCAACTTATCATGATTCTTTCAAGGCACTTGTTACAACACTCAGTAGGCCCCAATTTCGGATTTATTTCAGCGTTTTCAATTAATACCCTTGTCCTCTCCAGAGAAAGACCCCCATCCGGTCCTCAAGGTCTTGTACCGAAGTATCAGGTATGCTCCGTTCTGGTCTAAATTATGCTCCACCTTATTTCTTATTCTTGAAGCGCTAGTGTCTATTCGCTGGTACGTAGGTCGGTGAGACTTAAATTCAAGAATGCTTCGCAAAAACCCCAGGTCTGTATCTCACTCTCTCAGGGTGGCTTACATCTTAATGTGGCAGTAGTTCTCGAGTATATGTCCCTTAGTACATCTGACGTTTTCTCTGATCAGTGTCATCAACTTATGGTGTACGCTTAGAACATGAGCAAGGCTTTCGATCTTCAGGAGCAGATCCCTTGATGTCCGTTTTACCTTTCTGGTTTGATTTTTCCCTCGATTTTCCTGAAAAGCCTATTCCGGACAATCATACCCATTGAAACCGTTTTGCTCCGTGCCTATCCTTGTGATTTGTTGGGACCGGCAAGGGGAGGAGGAACGAGACAGCATTGACCTCATCGCAAGTGACCAGTGACCCGCGTTGTGTCCTCGCCTTAGCAGTTAGCTGCTCCTGGGTATTTGACAATAGAGTGTCTTAGCTCGGACGTTTAATATTTATGCTTATCCACCTTCACAACTTGAACAGCGTATCATTCTTGGTTTCTTCGACTCATTCGAACAGTCCGCGTACTGCTAAGAATATAAATATTTGGGCTAATATACGAGTTGTTAAATACTCGAAGAAAGCCTGAGTCGTAGCGAGGACTATGTCCGAAAGCCGAGTTCCGATCACCAAGGGGGATTCGTGGGGGCGCTAACAAGCGGTAGGCATCGTTAACGAGGGCGTCTGCAAGCGCTAGGCGTAACCGATCAGGGCTGCTTAGTTCACACAATTCAGTGGACGTTCGAAGATGAGCAAATTTATATACTACTAGCAAGGACTTGTGTCATTATTATTATACAAGGTTCCGTAGTTTTCTAGCATCGGCAAGAACTTGAATGGAGAAAGTACTTGAGTACTAATAGGCCGAGGTCAAGACAAAGAAGACCGAGGGCAGGTATGTGTTGACTCGTACACAGACTGGTAAATACCCGATATCCATAACACGTACTTTGATACTATAATAGCTGCTACCACCTGGCTCATGGTACTTTTACACACGGAGTTCAAAAATTGGCGCCCACAGACGGAGTAGCTAGGTTGTGTTACTTGTGGCGGTAAGATGAAATCGCTGCCCGACCCTTCACAGATATAAGGCGAAGGAGACCTCATACTGAAAGGCCTCTCAGGCTTTCTCCGCTACATTCATTGAACGACTTATCTTCATACGAATCGTTGAGTCTCGTTGAGTCTGGTTTACGAGACTACTTACTCCGGTCAGACCGTTCGCGCGCATCCCGCGGTTTCCTCCATTCAGTGCACTGGCCAACGTGCAAAGTTGCTCGTAATCAATTCGTGATATACCATAGGACCCCAGACAATACCCTACGAACCCTGAGCCCAGTTCAGATTTCGACTAAATTGTCCTTAATATCATATTCGGCCTCACCGGGCTTTCTGATTGGCTGGGGATTTCACATGACGTCACAGGGCCTTCTCGTTTCAAGATCGCCGGTTACTTTGCGCTTACTATGCGCTTATCGACGTACCAGTGTTACCTTCCGTTCGTCTATGTTGTTCCATACTTCCTCGCCACAACACCCTGAATATTTCTACTTAACATCTAATAAATGTTTTTCTCATCCCTTTAACCTATTTCTTCTCATTCATATTCATATTCAACCAAAATTGTTTGCTTACACACGAGACATTGCAAGTTATATCTACACACCCTTCTTCGATACATGTTTCTTAGGCACCTCAATTTTTCGGCACACATCAAAATGCGCCACAAAGTTCTGAACCCTCCCCACTTGAACATCGCAAAACGGGCACCTCTGATGAGCATTAAGATGACGTCCCAAGAAATGCGTCACAAAGTGCTTTCCCTGAACTTCATGATCAGCCGGGCATCTGCTACCCTTGTTCGACATCCTGGCACATACTACCTTCTCCCTACTAGAAATAACCTTCGGGTGGTAGCTCTTGATGTGGGACTTAATGGCGTATCCCTTGAACGTAGTCTGCCCTGACTGGCAGTCGGCGATAGGACAGATGCAGTCAATTTCACCAACGACTCGATGGTAGTAAAAGAGGTCTTCATAAGCGATGCCGAATTTCTGAGCGATTTGTTGGACTGCCTCACTGCCGAACTTGCTCTTTGTTTCGTCGTTGAACTTTCTCTCTACGTACCCGGCAGCGCTGTGGAGTATTCAGTGGACTGCAATTATAACGAACAAAGGATGCGTACTAGGGCTTCGCACCGTTACCGTATAGTACGGTTATACGGGTGCCGTCGTACGGGTACCGTACCCGTTCCGTCTGGCGAAATAATTTGCCCAGAGACGGACGGTATACGGACATCCCGTATCCCGTTAGCAACCGTATAAACACGGCCGTCATACGGTAATCAACGGCCGTGTATGTATCTAAAAATAACCGTCATCAGATCACGCTGCACGCGTGTTTGCCATACACTTAACATTGTACCACGATGTGCTGGCACCGCAAGCTCTTCAATGCTACCACCCGATCTTTTTTCACTCGCTCTACTCAAGCTCTAATCCTTACCAGCATAGAATACTTTCTATTTCCTGCTTCTGCTGCTTCTATTCTACTCCCGTTTCATCCTTTGACTACAAGCACATGTTGCGCAATAATTTGGCCTCCGCTGGTCTGTGCACCTTTCAAATATGGCTGAATTTAAGCCAGAGAAGTTCACGAAAGACTATCTACTATATAATGGTCCTGTCCTTTTTTGGGCAGACTTACGACCACATTCTGGGCATCATGACAGATCAGTGCGCCCTCGATGCCAACGGAAACTTGAAATCCTCCTCGAAAGTCAATGTTTATCACGATGCAGATGACGACGTGCCCATGGAAGGACCTGAAGCTGCTCCGAAGCCTGAAATATCAGGTATGTATTATTCAACGGCCGTATTGACGACCGGCACGGCCGTCTATATACCCGTACCGTACCGTCAACCTAGTTCTAAGAGCCTTGACGGTACGGTATACGGACCAGCCGTCGCCCGTCACTGTACCGTGGCTATACGGCCGTATACCGTATACGGGACGGTGCGAAGCCCTAATGCGTACCAGGAGTAATGGCCGCGGATAGCACTGCATCTCTATGAGTTACTTGAAGATGGACTAATTATAAGGCTGCGTACGTTTCTAATTTGCTATTGGCATGGTAAGACGAATCTGGAGCGTCATGGAATCTATTTCTGAGTTAATAGATCCGTGAGAAAGTAACCAGGAACAACACACGGCGGGGGCGACGTTGCTATCCTTGAAGGCGATTCTATCGGAGGAACGACGTGAACCAGATTGCTGGGGGCTACTGGCGCACGCGCGCGCGTTCCGTCCCCAGGTTGAACGGGAGGACTGCAATACCAAAATTTATTAAAGTGAACGTCTGAGTAAAAGCACTTACGCAAGAGTGGCCTCAAAGTCTTCCCCGACGAAGGCGGGAAAAAAACGACCCTCCGCCCCATAAAGGCTGCTGTATACATATATTCATTGAAATCGAAAAAATGACAAAGGCAACGACACATGTTACCTTAGCTCTGGCACCCAGGATCCTTGCGGATGGCTACTGTAGCCACCGTTTTCAACTGCCATCGGCGGAACGCCATGATTGTACAAGGGCGACAGCAGGTTCTCGTAGTATTCGGTTGGGTGGTTCCATCTGCGCACTGTGTCGGCATTGTCAGGACATCGTCAAAGAGAGACTTACGGGGTCGCCTGCAAAACTCCCTGGGGCCCCATTATCATCGAGTATCGGCTATAACGGTGTTGCGATTGGCGATGAGGGTTCGGCTAGATAATAGGGCGCACCTGTTATACTCTTCGACGCTAGTAGATCCATGGTAGCCGGGGTCAGCGTCATTTGCTAAAGGATAAGTGTAGGAGGAGTGACCACTTTCAGGGCGATACATTTCTGAAGTGACATTGAGAGCAAGGGGGTTTAAATCATCCAGCAGACACGCAACACGTCTCTACGCAACGTCCTTTGGAGTTCTGCCATTCAGCGACTTGCCAGAAAGAGATCCATCAACGCGGGTTTACGGACTTATGGGTCTTCACATAGCGGATAGGGCTGCGCGCCGTCACCGTATTATACGGTTTTCGGTAACCGTTATACGGAATACGAACCGAAGCCGAACGCACCCCAATGACCATTTGTACGGTACGGTGTACGGTTGTTCCGTCACCGTCAAGACCTCTCACAGACGGCCGTACAACGTCGTAATACGGCTTATTGCTTAATCTTACTTTTGACTCAGCCAAGAGTCCTTTTTAGGGTAAGTCTATGACACAAAATAGCCATCATTCAATTTCGTAGCTTTATTAACTTGCTCTTTTAGCTGTCTTGTCAATTTTTCATACACATTCAAGACAATATACATGACTTTATCTTAAGTCTTCGATATCTCTAGCCCTGCTCAATGCGGCATAGCTGATTATAAAACCAGGTGCATTTTACAGATTTTTGGCAATCTTAAAGGCATCTGACTAACTTCTTTATGAGCAAATCAATTTCATACTCAGGCGCACGGTCGTCAACGACCGTAGACGGCCGTAAGGTACCCGTACCGACGCCGACAAGGCATTCAAACTGATCATACGGCACGGTATACGGATAGTTCCGTGACCGTCTGGGACATTGGCTTTACGGCCGTATACCGTATACGGTACGGTGCGCAGCCCTAATAGCGGACGAAGCGGAACGCGTAGCCTTCATCAGGAAAAAACTACTTTGCTACATCGCAGTATGTAGTCTATGTAGCACTTGTAGCGCCGTAGCACAGTCCCCCATATGTAGCAGTTTGTAGCACACCACTAAGAGTACGTAGTAGTCTGTATCAAGTGATAGCACCCCACCCGAACTATTGTATCACTACAGTAGCGGGCATCGTATCGATACCTACGAAGACATATTCTGACGAACACAGAAGAGGGCAGACCATGAAATGAATGGAATCAATATATTACTACTGGCTACTACACCAATATAGCTGTACGACATCGTATGCACTAGACCACCTCCAACATCTGAACTGTGAGTAGCATCGTGGTCCATCATGTCATCACAAAGTACACCAAAACAGACTGAAATCCTAGCAGAACAGCAGCGAGATCAATAGTAGCCGATAGGAAGAAGGCTACAGCACTTACAACTGATCGCGTTGCTACGAAAATGAGAAATATAAGGACGGTGCAATAACCGCAGTTGTCGCACCTGGTCTTCGGCACCATCACAGTTCATGGGTTGTTCCGAGTCCTAAGTGCTATGGTATAAATATGACGAATGTCAAAACAATTCAAGTTACATACATTCCAGTACAAAATACCCTTAGAACACTATTCCTATAAAAAACACGAGGCAAGTAAGCAAAAAAACACGGGGTTGCAGTTTGGGTACTCACCGGCAGCCTTGAGTACAAGACATCTCATCCAAGTGCTGTGAAACGAGGCCATGTGAGATCAAGTGGAAGAGATAGAAAGAACACGCACAATGAACAGTAACTTTAGCATTCAAAGCATAAGGGACGCATATCCAAGGAGCGCACGAATGGCGAAGAGGATCATCTGAAGGGAATATAGGTTGTCCACACCGGTAAGCCAGAAGGAAAATAGAACCATAAACAGCAATGCGTGAAGAGGAACGAGAAAAGTGGGCCGAAACGTTGATGGAGGAAAGGAAGCAAGGGTGGTTGGATTTAGTCGGAATCCGATGGCGTGATCTTGGTTGATTATGCACGTGATGGACGGACTCTGTATCGGAGTTTCAAACGAACTTAGCAGAACTCCCCCCGGCTCGTCGCACTGCCATTGTAGCTCTCCATACTTCACAAGGCATATATCGTTCTAATTACCTTCCGATGTACTGAGTTCGTCTTCGCGTTACTTTCCTATCCTTATTCAAGTCCCTATTTCAGTCAGACTCAATATTCTCTTTTAGCTGACACTCGACTTATACCATCAGCCACTATCGAAGACCCAAAAAAAGAGACAATACTGACCAATATTGTAGCATTCAGTAGGTTTCACTCAAGTATACAGATGTGTACATAGCTACCGGTGGTATATACAGAATGCTACCTACCCTACCTAGTGCTGTGCACCCTCTACCATCACTACTGGCGATACATAAGCTACGTATATCTGAGTGGCAGATACGTAGCAAAAGGGTTTTTCCTGATGTTGCCTACGCCTAGAGACCGAGAGTAACTGATTGTACATGGTGCCACTGAACACGAACAACGAGGGAGAAGCAGGACTGAGGAGCCATTGTAATATGACGGCCAGTACTCGCAATAACGCACCTCTGATTGATATATATTTAAAGTAGCGGAATGCCCGACCTATCAGGATAGAAGGGTGATAGATAGGCGAGCAAGCCTGTGTTGCGGATCTCAACAATTCGTGTTACAGTCATCGGTTTCTAAACTGTGGCTAATAATCAGCAGACGCATAAAATCAGGTGTGAGTGTTGGCAACGCTAAGACTCACAAACGCAGGTCGAAATCGCTAAATGCCTCCAAGCGATTACCTATAAACATAGTTCATTAGAACAGGCGTAAGTAAGCGGAAATACTCATACTTCTGGCTACCCGGGGGAAATCGCCGATACGTCTCCCCACATAAGCAGAAAGAGACAGAGGAGAATGTGAATCAAGAGGCCTAGCACTGCAATGAGGCAGGAAAGTTTCGCTTGATTCAATAGTACTCTGCTGTCTTCTAGTAGTTCTATCCCTTGCCCTGTCAGGAAAATAAATAAGGCTGTCAACTATCATGGGCGCTACACAATGACGTGATGAGAAGTCACCGCCATGGTCAAAGCTCTGGGGCGTTAAAACAAGAATGGTCCTAACCCCGGTGCATAATTGAAGGGCGGAAAGAACCTGCACAGAATATTACGAACATGAGAAGTTTTTTGAGTTTCTGAGTTTTGCACCAGCGAGAATAGAAACCAAGGGGAGGGCCTTAGGGAGAAAAGAAAGGACATACGTCTATACAAAATGTACGTGTAGGCCACAACTGCAATTGAACCACTGGTCTCGCACAATGCGACTGACTGTTACCATCTGTGCAAGTGGCGGGATAATTTATATTGGGAGGCGCGGAGCTCACAGTGGATAAGAAGCCATAGTCAAGTCAATTCAATTACCGGAGCTTGCAGGTTGCGAAGATTAGCGCCAGATTCGTTACCTTGACCGGCGCGCCTATATATCTTTCTATTTTTCGATTCCCACAAGCCTTGGACCGGCAGCCTGGCAGTGGGTTGCCTTTCTCTATTGTGTTGATGCACGATCTACCCCATCGTCAACAGACCACGAGATAAGACCCATATCTTCAGGCGGCTGAATTTGCACCTGAATTTTAGTAAGGGCAAAGTAGTAACTTCTTGATGTCATACCAAGAGTCTTGGCTTTGTTCCCGCGCTCGAAGTTTTAAGGGCTGCTACAATATATAAGCGCGCGAAGCAAGTCATGCGGCTGGATGCTTTACTAGGGTCCTTTCTACCAATTCCCGTAAGTCAACCAAAGATCAGCACTCGCTAAGAGCATGCGTCAACATTGAGGACAAAAGAGTGCCGGACCCGTCAATGATAATACTTTGTCGAAACAAGCACCAAGTAACTTGACCAACCTTAGTCCTAGAGAATGAATTTAATAAGTTGACTGAGAAACGGCAAGGACACGGTAGAACGAGATCGAGAAGGAAATTTACCACCTGTTCGTATGTAGTATTATGCCAAGTTGCCAATGTCGGCAACTGTTGAGAAAGGCGGGCGAAGAAGAGCGTAGTCTGGCTGAAGATTTTAGGACACCTGAACACAACACGATGCTAGCACCGTAGAAAAGATCCTAGTATGAAAGGCATGTCAGTGCAAATATACAAAGTCAAAGAAGACGACCACCAACGAGCTTGAGTATCCTAGCGTGAGTTCCATCTATTTCATGCAGCAGGCTGACTTCAGAAAGTGAACGAAATAGCGATCTCCTGAGCTGAAACCTGCCATTCCTTAAGTAGCACTATGATGTTTCCGAGTCGCATGGAGTGTAAAAAGAACACAACACTGTTGGCAGGGCTGGTTGTGGTTAGTCTCTCGTAGACAGACGCTACATACACGACACGGTACCATTTGATGCTGTAATAAAATAGACACACGTGTTTGAAAGGAATTCACTACTGGGGCCGAATTTTAAACTTTCGTAAAGATCATTGAGTTCAGAAAAACAAGCTGAAAGATGGTTGTATAAGTGCAGCTCGCTAGTCCAGATTCACTAGCTTGGTGTGTTCGGTATTGAAGTGGGTAATTTGATTAATTTGATACAAGATTTTTGGTCTATTCCAAATTGGGAAGTTGTAACTTGCATGTCGGGCCTACCACGTCGCTCCCTTGTAGTCCTCCTATGTGCCAAGTGACGACAGCTTGCTTCATATACAGGATGGTAACGAGACTAACCCTTGTCCATGTCAACAGTCAGCTGGTCAACATTAATGAACGCCTGGTCTTTACCTTTTTTTTATGCGGTCTCGTTATCAAGTTCGCCTATCAATGCATTACCCGCGGCGCCTATAGCAAGGACCAGGATGAGATGCCCTCATTTCCCACCTCCTGTTACAGTTCTAAAGACAGCCCAGGCTTCCTCGTTGTCAACCTCGATCCCGTTCTGCAGATAGCCCTGATCCAGTCTACCGACTCGCCTACGACTGACTTGCACCCTTGTCGGAGGATAAGCAGAACCTGCCGCTACCTTGAGTCCAAATCGCCTTCGAGCTCAGTGTCGCTTTTTCATTTCCGTGACCGCACATCGTTGTCTATGTCAGTTTGTTGCGTTCGTTTTTCCTTGTATACTGAATATGCTACAAATAAACGTCCAATTTTGTGCTACAAAAGCGGCTCACGAAAACATCCCGACTAAACCGACAACCGTGAAATCTAAGGGCATGCTCCATTTTCGTACCCTGAATGGTCGACTGATGAAACTGATATAGGATGTTCCTCCGAGTCCTAAGCGCGTGGTGCCAATAGGACACGATCAACATCATTGCAAAATTGATTCGCTTTCAGAGCGCGTGGTGATAGGACACGATCGACAACATTGTAGATTCAATTCATTCCGCAAAGTTGTCGACTGCCGTAAGCAATGCCATCCATCTTTGCCCACAAGTTTGTCGACCTTCTTGTAAGCTTCATATCTCCATCCGAACTTGCGGCGTTGCGTGATGGAAACCCCTCAAAGTTGTCGACGAAGAATCATTGCGGCAACCCGTGGCATATTTCCTTTCATAACTTGGTCGATGAAACTAGACACCTATGTCAGCGGCTAGCACCATTCGTCGTCCTGATCCTTAAATACAGGCCATACGAACCATCTTGTTCAATTCCATCCTCTACACTTTCTAACATGCCTCATTGGCAGAGCTTCCCGAACCTTTATGCCTCCTCGCGCCACTATGCCGATTCTTCTGACAGTACTGGCATATATGGCTGCAGGTGTGTTCAGGTCTATCGCTGAGCTCGTCACTATCCTCATCTCACCTCGTGATTAGTATTGGAGATCTCGGAGATCCCCCAGATTTCTTCTACAAAGAAATCAACCGTCCGTCCGTGGACAGCTTTGACCTAGATTCAGTCTGGCCGAGCTGGACCGAGTGGATCACGGACCTAGAGGCCCCTCTACCCCATACAAATGGAATTGCTGGTAGAGGTTGCGCCAGGAGTTCAACGGTTGGACACAAATGCCTGAAAGAGAGGTGTGTGTAATCTGCTTAAGTGCATTATCTCAATATTTGAACAACAACAGAAACGATGCTTGTTATCATCCCTATGCCAGCGTCGTGCCTCAGTGTGAACGACCTCGCTGACGATGCAGATAAAATGGCCTTTTCCCCTTCGTTGTATGTGCTTTCTTATTCGAAGGCCTCCTTGGAATTTATTTTGTAGTGGGAGTCCTCCTTCGATTATGAGAAGCACACCCGTGTCAGAAGGGCCGCCCATTTCTTCTGAATGTCTAGCGATCGCGTCAAATGTCGCGTCGCAACCAGATATGACGACGGAAACCCCTTGGTACGTCAGTATGCTAAGTTTCACTCATTTTTCTGATGCGGTCATTCAGCACACACAATGCTCTACTTCCACAAAAGTCCCTTGGCCCAATCACGTATGATGAAAACATGACTCGCGATAATACTTCAAGCGAAAGCATTCGAGAAGAACTGTAAGTGACATTCTTCTCGATTAAATCTCAGATTTCTTACTGTGATGTAGTTCTACTTGTTGTATGGATACTATTCGCCCACAATGTTGGTATGTGTCGCTTTGTAAGTATCATAAGCCTCGCTAAAATTGATATACTTCCCAGCCCTCCCGGATACCGGAAAAGATCCTTTCCCTCAGAAATGGTCGAAAAACTTATTCGAGACTACGATATTCCCGCTCACCACGTCTTTTATTACTGGAGAGACGAAGACCGTGACGACCATACCTGTCCACTGAATTGTGGGCAACGGTTTATCGGACAGTCTATCAAGGCTCATCTTGGAAGGTTTCATCCTAATATCAACAGCCGTAGCCGAAAAGATATATGTTGCCGCACGCAGTCCCACTCAAAGAGCAAGTGCCCCCCTAAGAACGTTGTTCAAGAGAGATATTTCCTGAAGCATTTCATGGTGATGCATTCTCTTGCGCATTCATTGTGTCCATTTTGTCTGGGTCGGCAGACGAGGGTCGACCACTTGTACAGGCATTTCGCGGTTTGTAGGGTTCTACGGCCAAAAATTTGATTTTTTTTTTAGCTCGAATAGTTCATTAGTTGATGGTACCGCTAGTCATGTGTTTTATGCTTTGGCAGCTCCGGCCCGGGTTTGGGATCCATTAATGAAAAATTTGCGGATGCTCGATAGTATTGATAGTTGTTTTATACTAGGTGCACAATTCTTGTTGAACGTAGCAAACTAGTGAAATGAAATAAAAATAAGAATGAGAAAGCGAACCTTTGGATAAGTCGGATGCGAAGTAGCCAGTCATTCTCCTTTTTCTCTATTGCACCCCAGGAGCCCCCAGGATGAAGGCGTATATCTTCCATTTATTACGTGGACATCCCGCCATAATAGTCCGCTGATATCATATCTTCGCTGTGGTTCTTATTTTTGTTTTGTTAGTTGTCTGGTTTCATCTCCGGTAGATCCGAGCCGGTTCCGTGGATCATTCGTGCAGGACATAGAACAGCGTGAATTTTTGCGGCTTATCTACGTATTTTTTCTTTCCGCGCCTTGCACATAATACCCTCGCACAATTTACCCCGCCAGTTCCGAATTCTTAGGGCCGTTGTGGTGAGCGAAGAAGTTGACTGAGGCAACGCGTTCTGATGATTTCAGTAGGGATATCCAGTCGTTTCGCAACTGGCTCTAGTCCGTTTCCGTGGCATGCAGTTTGAGCCTAGCTGCCTCGCCCTTTTGGCTTCTCTTTCTGGGTTGTGTTGCGTCCGAGCTCTTCCTTCTCAAGGCGATTTGGCCCACCAATCCAACACCGATAACAACCTGCTCTTGGAAATTCGGGATCGACCAGCACGACACATTGATCTATCTTCAATCATCGCCGTCATTTCTCTTATCCTGCTCTCTGCAATGGTCTTTACCATTTACTACTTTGGACCGTCTCTTTGCCATAAAATTAGGTCGAACATAACTAGAATCCGAGCTCGACATCGTCGCCAGAAAGCCGCAGTGACTGCACCAGCTCCAACAGAAGATACCCATCCTGATCCTGGTCCTGGGTTTGGATTTGACGGTCTATCAAAGTCGCAACTGGAGGAGCTCAGGTTGAACGAAGAAGCAGAATCGACATTTGTGTTGGTCAAAATTCCTGACGATCCGCCGGAGCTTTCACTTTGTCACCTGCAGTCCTTGCCGTCGCTCACTCTGACGTTCGATAATATGAAAGAGGTGGAAAGAGTGTGATATTTTCCCATATGGTATATAAAATGTATCTCAAAAGTTCGGGTCAATATGGTATTGTTTCGATTTAATGCAGTGTCCCTGCGCTACATAGATATTGTTAACCGTCTCAAACGGCGTAACCATACTAGACAAGAGTCATCAGTGAGATTCACGATGAAACACAAAACTTACTCTGTGGTCTGAAGTATCGCCGTTACGGCTTATGACTGTCGGTGATTTACACAAAACCGGTTGGAAAGGAACATCCCCGTGGTGCGTCTTTCGAGGGTTTTCCGACTCAACACTGTGTCCTTCCTCGGAATAGTCGGCGGTATCAATAGAGTATGACCTCCAATACACAGTCTCCACGTCATCCACCGAGTTAATTGTCATCCTACGCGATGGAGGCTGAAAGCTGAGAGTGGAAGGATTGTTGGAGATTTTCGGGGTATCATAGCCGAGGATCCCTTGAGAGGGAAGAGATGAAAAGCTGTCAGAGGCACTAGCCTTGCCAGGTAGAGTCTGAGTCGTCGACCGCAGTACATCATGGCCATCGCCAGTTTCAACCATTTCGGCGTCAGACTCGATATAACGACTATCGTGTGGGGAGACAAGGACGAAGTCCATCCTTTTGCGTTTTCGCCGGATGAGGTAGATCAGGATGGCTATGAATAAAGCGAAGAAGCCTAGGGTTCCTGCAATTATGCCGCCAATCTGGCCTTTCGAAGGTCTTGGAGACAAAGGTAAGATACATGGGTTGCACACAGTGACATGGAAAGCATACCGAAAAGGAGCACCTGCAACGGACGTTGTAACCGTAGCCGTAATAATCTCCGTTCTGGTTGTGTATGGTGTGGATGTTGTCATGGTTGTAGGAGGCGGCGAAGTAGTTATGGTCGTTAACTCATAGAGGGTTTCCAAGGTTGTGTAAGTAGTCGTATAAGTACTAAGATCATCGTCCCCCATACCAGTCCACCGTACCTCCTAGCCGGACGCTGTTCGGAGGTATTTAGTCGCCTGACAAAAACCAACAAATGAAGAACATACAGAGGGGCAGATGTTGATATATCTGATTCAGCTGTAGCACTACGGTGAGCTGAGACTTGTATCTGAACCAGTGGGGGTGGGGCTGATAAGCCCATCATCTTTGCTCGCGGGTTGTTCTTGCGACTGGGTGCTGGAGGGATGTGGGACTTGAGTTGCCACCGAACCACGTCCATCAGTTGGACCTGTGCCACTGGGAGTTGTACTGGTCGCTCCTGCGGGTGTGGAAGTGGGACCTTGTTGATGTGTAAGGGGAGGAGTCCCATTTAAGGTCGAACTGTTACCGTCGGAATTATGGGCAGGGGGAAGGGACGAGTCGGTAGAGTTAGGGTCGTGTACCGACGGTGATCCGCCATCAGGCTGATGCTCTTTAGGAGGGACAGGAGTGGAGGAAGAGCCAGGAACAATGGGAGTGGATGGGGATCCTGTATTACCCGGATCGCTATTACCAACGGGTGGGGGCTGTTCACCAGAGGAGGATCCATCATTATTGTCTCCTTTACCGGAAGGATTAGAAGATGGGGAAGCAGCTGCAGTGGCGGATGTAGTTTTCACTTCTTCGGTTGATTGCTGAGGCAAAGAGGTGAAAGCAGAGGACTGAAGCGGCTCTTGTGTAGGTGACCCTTGAGGCGACTGAGAAGAGTTATCAGTTGGAGACTGCCCTCCCGAATCGGGGGAGTCATTGTTATTTGTTTCCTGATCGGAAGGAGTAGGAGATGGGGAAGCAGTAGTAGTTAGAACTTCCGTTTGTCCCTGAGGAGGTGTAGTAACGGTGGAGGTCTGAGGTTGCGACCCCAGGCGATGTCTCTTGTGTAGATGTTCCTTGAAGCAACTCAAAGTTGGTGTCAGTTGCTACGTCTTGCTTTGAAGTATGCCCTTCTCCATTGAAGGGACGATGTTTACCGGTTCCAGGATCAGAAGGGGTAAAAGATGGAGCTTGCAGTTGCAGTGGGGGTTGCAACCGGTACTCCTATTGATCCATGAGGTAAACCGAAAGTGCCGGAGAACAGAATCGGTAGCAACGGCTCTCGTGTAGGAGTTCCATGAACCGACTGAGAAGACCCAAAATTGGTGTCAGTCGCCACGCCTAATGTTTGAGACTGCGCTCCCTTGTTACCATTTCTATGGTTTTCTTTATTGGAAGTAGTGGAAGTTGAACTTGTGTGGGTCGAAGTGATGGTGGAAGTTGTATCTCCGCCTGTATCCTGACTAGTATGATGAAAAGAAGCTGGAGGGCCCGATGAACGAGTATGAGCAAGAGATGATGCTGTCTGCGACGTGATTCCATTGTTAGGACCCTGGGAGACGGGGGCGGGGGTAGTAGTCGACGTCGTCTCTGGAACAGCCGTGGTGGGCGACGATGTTGTAGCGGTCCTGATTGATGAAATACTCGCGTCTAAAGATGCACTATCCGACGGATTAGACGTAGCTGAACTGGATGATGCCTCCGCCTGTGATGAATCGATAGTTGATGCATCAGAAAACGAGGTTTGCGATACAGTTTCTGTGGGTGAAGAGGTGAATATATCTGAGGTAACTGTAGTCTGCGATGACGTGACGTCGGCAGGCGAAGTACTTGGACCCAAAGACGGCGAGGCGGTGACAGCGGAAGCTGTTGCCGAAGACTCACTTGAGGAGGCCGGGTGGTGATGTAGACGCGTCCTGGTTAGAAGATAAGTCCGAGGTTAAGGGAGCTGCCGAGCTGCCGGGGAATGGTGTCGGGACGGCATCAGAAGAAGAGAATGTCGCCCGCGACGAGCTTGAACTTGTAGGCTCAAAATTTGAGGATGAGTTGGTAGTGGAAGTAGCCGCGTCGGTAGCTGAAGCGATAGAAGGTGGTGTAATCGAGCTGTCTGTCGAAATGAGAGACGTCGTAGGAGTTGATACAACCGACATCTCTGAAGTGCTCGAACGGTCGGTGGATGGAAGTCTGACTGTCCATGATACTGCTGTGTCCAGTCGGCGAGTCCTCTGTGGATGGGAAATCTGGTGTGGCGGTGGTGGCAGTGGTTGGTGGAGTGCTCTCACCTGTATCTGTTTTACCATACGGTATCAAATTCCTGATAATGCGATGGAAATCATCACTTCTTCCGCTAGGTGATACAGACACAACGCTGGCCCCTTGCCGAACTTCATCAATTGTCTGGAATAGCATAAGGTTGATGTAACTTAAAGGTGATCATAAAGGTAACCTTACCTTCTCGGAAACGTACTCTTCAGCTATTGCGAAGGCCTTCTTGTGTTGAAAATTATTGGCTCCTTCTGATCCTATGAACCAGTTAAACATGTAGACGCAGTTTAGACATCAAGCGTCGTACTTCGGGCTGTAAAAGTGGTGTGAACACCAGATCAGCTGAAATTATACAAGCTTACAATTAGGAGGGCCGAGTTTATGGTAAAGAAACATTTAACGAACGGAAGGGGCACGACATGGCTCGCAATCTCCGTTCTTATAAACAGTCAACTTGGAAGTTGATCGCGTCGTAACAAGTCTGACTTTCAATTTGTTGTTGATCGTCAAAGAACTGGCATTATCCTGTGCCTTTCTTTAATGATAACTGAGATGAAAAGGCTGTGAAAAATCTATAGCTGTAACCAACGGGAATGCTTACAGCCGTGGGGATCATGGCTGATTGACGGCAAACAGGTGACCACTGTTCGAGATGATAGTTGTTATTCTTCCTCACGGTTCTGCCTCAGTTCGAACCAACGATCCCAAGGAAAAATTAGTTGAATAATTGCCCGATACCCTTCTCAGTAGTTTTCAAGGACGTCAGTCAGCGGCAAAATCCTCGAGGTCGACGTACCTGGTGTAGAGCCGAGCGGCATTTCCCGATTGGATTACCGTTACCAGGAGGTGGCAGTAAATGACAGCTTCGACCTACTCCTACCATCGTTCTTCATTTCTCGCCTTTTCGTTTTGTCAAATCTTGTAATACCTTCAGATTTTCCATCATCATTGCCTTCTTTTAGGATCAAAGCACAGCCGGGCTCTCAAGCTGAGAATCCAACCTTTAACGTTATACCTTACGACGCGACACGAACATTCACAACGATAGACCGTGTTTAACCAGCAACGCAGTGGCATGGTGAATTCTTCTTTTTTGCGCGATGGCTGTGGATCTCATGCAAGCACCTTCTGCGATGACAGGATGCACACCACCAAGACCCAGAGGAGTTCTATGTTAAGCAGGACAGGATAGGTGCGCAGCTAAACTTTCTTTCTCGCCACCTTAGTAACCTTTGTTTCTTTAGGAAAGGGATCCTTTGGCGAGGTTTACAAAGGGTACGGTCTTCAATGGACTCCTATTGACTGCGGTTCAACCTACAGTCGTCTCCAGCTACGACAAACGGACCCAGAAGACCGGTGGCAATCAAGATAATTGATCTCGAAAGCGCAGAGGATGAGATTGAAGACATACAGCAGGAGATCCAAATACTCTCCCAGCTCGACTCGCCGCATGTCACAAAGTGCGTTCCGCCCGCTCAAGTGGTTGATTCCATCGTGTCAATGTCTCCTAGATACCACGGATCTTATCTAAAAGGATCTAATCTCTGGATTGTCATGGAGTATGTACAATCCTTTCTCTCTCTATTCACGTCGTGGAACGGACCTTCAACTCTGGGCCCGTTGGCAACTTTGAAGAAAATCGAAGAACGGGGGAAGCGATTTTCTTGAAATTTATTAACGGTGCTCACGAGGCGCCTGGGGATGCATTCCCATGTTGATCATTTGCTTGTATTAATCAATGTTCTGTGTCAGGTATTGTTCTGGAGGATCGTGTTCTGACCTGGTACATGTTCATCAGCTTCCTCTGACGATAATCTAACTTCCTTGTTTCAGATGAAACCGGGCGTATTCCGAGAAGAATATATTGCCATCATTGTGCGCGAACTTCTTCGAGGGTTAGAGTATCTTCATAGTGAGGGTAAACTCCATCGTGACATTAAAGGTACGCGAACGTCCTAATAGTTTCTACGACTACTTCTGAATTGTGCGATTTTTTCCTTTTATGAACTGTTCTCAATTACTACTACACACTGACCGTGTAGCTGCCAATATCCTTCTGTCCGCGGGTGGCGAAGTCAAACTCGCCGATTTTGGGGTTTCCGGTCAGCTGTCAGGAACGCTCTCCGCGAAGAAAAATACCTTCGTAGGTACGCCATACTGGATGTCCCCGGAAGTCATCAAGCAGAGTGGATATGACCACAAAGCGGACATCTGGAGTCTTGGTATCACCGCAATTGAATTAGCTAAGGGAGAACCACCCTATGCAGAGTTGCATCCGATGAAGGTACAACCTCAGTGCCCATGATGACACCCGTTCTTTCTTATCTCTCAATACAGGTCCTTTTCTTAATTCCAAAAAATCCACCGCCAATGTTGGAAGGCAATTTCTCCAAGCCGTTTCGGGAATTCGTTTCATTTTGTCTCCAGCGGGACCCTCAGCACCGGCCCTCTGCTCGTGACCTCTTGAAGCACAAGTTCGTTCGAATGGCGAAGAAAACTAGCTATCTGACAGAACTCATTGAGCGCCACGAACGATGGAGGGCTGATGGAGGTGGCCGCATGGATGACGAAGAACAAGATATGGTTCCTGATCTGTAAGTGTGGACTGCTTGTAGTTTACCCTTCTTCTGATGTGCTGCATTAATCAGGCCAACAAGCGGCGACCCCGAGGATCTGTGGGACTTCGGCACCGTTCGGCATGCAAGTGGACGCCCTGCCACCATAGGACGGGCAATACCCAACTCAGGCCCGCCTCTGACCTGGGAGAATGATGGCTCAGTACGGTCTGATGCTGAATCCTCTTTCAGCCGTAGGTCTGGGATCGTCGGACTCATCCAATCATACGTCTTCCACGCTCACGGTAACCGCCGCCGCCACAAAGCCACTTCCTAATACTCCTCATACGCAGCGTAAGTATGACCGGCAAGCTACCGTGCGTCACGCACCTCCGCCTCCACCGGAGAATGGATCCAAGTTGGCTCATCACCCTGTGCAACGCGAGCCCTCGGATGAATACGACGATGATCAAGATAGTCAATATGCATCTTATGCCAATAGTGAACCCGATGTGATAGAGGAGAAGCTGGCCCAGGCTCAGTTGGAGGATGACGTGCCGGATACGACCATGTTGGATTCTGTAATCTTACCGGCTATCGCTTCGGTTAGTCCGATGGATTTTTCTTGCATTATTATTACTAACTATATTTTCTGTGTAGCTGTTCCCCCGAGTAACCTTCCCAAGAGGCTCGAGTCGCTCTGAGTGCCCTCCAGCGAGCATTTACCCATGCAGAGAGAGTCATACCTGGAATGACGATGGAGCTCGTGAACGAGATCGTCGATTCCGTTGAGCATGTTGATGATGACAGATAATCTAATCGTAGTGCAGGTCTTTCTTTTCTCTTGCTAGCACCATCTTTTTTTCCACACCTACATCAATCTTGCAAACCTATAGCTAGCCCGGGCATATATAATTCGATCTGTACCTTGATATCGTGAGGGACAATGTATGTACAAACAAAATATATACGATCAGACCTCGTTGCCGTCGGGTTCAGAGACGTCATGTTGAGCGATCTCTAATAAGGGAAGCAAACAAAGATATAGACAGTTGTGTTAATGGCATAGTGACGCAGTCAGGGCCTGACATTCAATCATGAAAAGTTGAGTCCACGAGATGGCCTAAGTGAACCTATTCCTTCCATCATGTTCACTGCATCACAACTTCAGATTCAAGAACTTCCTTCGGCAATGTAAAACCGCCTTTGCATCTTGAATAACTTTTCACCGAAGTCGCAGCCCCTCTGAGTATGCCGCATCTTTGCCTCGAAATTTTGAAACACAACTGCCCGCGTCTCATGGTCTCCTGGTGAGCCCAAGCAAAGCACAGAACCCGTAGTATCGCTTTGGTTGCTTTGATCTCCACAGTAAACAGCGAGAAATGGCGCTGGCTCCAGGTTCGGGTTTCCAAGTATACTGTGTGGCTACCGCCTGTACCAGGACCGGTTGTTCTACCGCCTGCGCATCTAAACAATACCTTGCTGTAAAAAGAGGACATCCAGGACGAAGTGCAGCATCGAATATAGGCTCAAAGCCGGTGATGATTGGCAGCCCTGGAGGAACCGTAACTGGCGGTAGTGCTACGTCTGTTATGAGCGATAAATCATGCCGATATCCAAAGGGATACAAAAACACTAAGGAAGGTGAGTCATAGCATTTGGTTATTTTGCCGACCTATTGTTTTGAAAGATTTAGCGCGCATGAGGACAGAGCGATGAAGCTTGCCTTCTGACTTCCTGCGTATACTTCCTTTCCTAGCGGAGAGGTATCTCCTACTAACCAAGTCAATGCCCAAGATACTGATGGCCAACCGCATAGTGTACGGGACGCCCTTGTCGACGCGACGTAAAATTTGATCGTTGTAAATATCTCGTGTGTTAAGTCGAATAGTATTTTTCGCATCGGCACATTTGTCAGTGGATAGTACGTGACCACGCCGCGTGGTGCGTAAACGAAGGAATGCGTGCTGGTCGTTATCGCATCCGATATGATATGAGTCTTGTCTGGTCCAAATCGCCCTCGGATCCGAAGTCAAGTCGACCCAATTTGTTTTGTGCTGGCAGTATTGGAATGTCGTCGAGTACCTTCGTGAAACCCAAAAGGTGTCTTATCCACGGAAGGTTCAATATCCTCAACGGACTCAATTTGAGCGCGCAATCCCCCTATTTTGCTTGACCATCCATATGTTGTAACCTCCAGACGGTCGGTCGACTGGTGTACGAGGAGACTAATGACACCGCACACATACATTCGGACTCCAATCATGTTCGGCCAATATCCTCTGATGTCGTCGTCTGAGAGTGGGACACGGGGGTTAACGTTCAGATTTCGCAGCAGTGGATCGTCTATGTAACGATAGTAACTCGAGCGCCCTATCGACAGCGTGCCATCCCCCAATGGCGGCGGGATGTATTCGAAAGGATGAACCTCTCGACCTGCGACAGAAAGACTGTTCAGCAAGAAAGCATTCCTTTGTGCAAATGCAGGGTGAACGATCCACACAGACTCGCTGAGACTCGACGGGTTGCAGTAGACGAAGACAAAGTCTGCATCTTTGAAAGCGGAGTGGTAACTCCTGATATACCGCTCATTTTCGTCGGTAACATGCTTGACATTTTCAGCAATATGTTGCTTGACTTCATCAACCTCCTCAGGAAGCCCTGTTGCGGAATATTTTCAGTCCAAACTTGTGAAATACAAAACTTACGAGGGACCAACAGCCAATCCTTATGAACGCTCCCTCTAGACATAACGAAGTAGAGTAGTAGTTGCAATCAATGTTCGTCATGTGTGACCGGCAGGCAAAACCCCGGGTAATTCCGGGCAGTTATAGGAGTTCGTGAATAGTCCTCCCCATAACCTACCATGGGCTCCAAGTTATTGCTAAGGGCTGTATTATGTACATGGTATAGCGACGATAGTATCGTGATGAGGCGTGTTGATTCCACGAGAACAATGGAATGGGCTCTTTTCGTTTATCATGTTCTCAGTCGTTGCATCACAACCTCAGATTCAAGAACTTCCTTTGGCAATGCAAAACCGCCCTTGTATTTTGAATAACTTTTCACCGAAGTCGTGGCCATTTGAGTATGCCGAATCTTTGCCTCGAAATTTTGAAACACAACTGCCCGCGTCTCATGGTCTCCTGGTGAACCCAAGCAGAGCACAGAACCCGTAGTATCGCTTTGATTGCTTGATCTCCACAGTAAGCAGCGAGAAATGGCACTGGATCCAGGTTCGGGCTCCCAAGTATACTGTGTGGCTACCGCCTGCACCGGAACCGGTTGTTCTGCCGTCTGCGTATCTAAGCAATATCTTGCTGTAAAAAGGGGACATCCAGGACGAAGCGCGGCGTCGAATGTAGGTTCAAAGCCGGTGATGATTGGCAGCCCTGGAGGCACCGTAACTTGTGGTAGTGCTGCATCTGTGATCAGCGACAAATCATGTCGATATCCGAAAGGATACATAAACACAAAGGAGGGAAAGTCGTAGCATTTGGTTATTTTGCCAACCTGTATTTCGTGCGATTTAGTGCATGCTGGGAGGAAAGTGCGATGACAAGACTTGCCTTCCGACTTCCCATGCGTACCTCTTTTTCAAGGGGAGAAGTGTCGCCTACTACTCGAGTCAAGGCCCGGAATACGGGAGGCGAATCACATAGTGTACGGTAAGTCTTTGTTGCCGCGATGCGATATTTGACCAGCATGATTATGTCGTGTACTATGTCAAACAGAATCTCTCGTATAGGAACATCCGTGAGTGAAGAGTGCATAGACATGCCGCATGGTGTGTAAACGAAGGAATGCGTGTTAGTCGTTATCGCATCCGATACAGTGCTCTTGTCTGGCCCAAATCGACCTCGAATCCGAAGCCCAGTCGACCCAATTTGTTTTGTGCCAGTCTGTGAATATCGCCGAGTACCATCCTGCAGTCCGTAAGGCGTCCTGTCAACCGAAGGCTCGATAGCTTGGACGGATTCAATTTGAGCACGCAATCCCCCTATTGTCCATGACCATCCATACGCTGCAACCTGTCGCCAGTCGGCCCACTGGTGCAGAAGGAGACTAATAACACCGCACACGTACATTCGGACTCCAATTATGTTGGGCCACCACTGTCTCAAAACCGATAAATCATCGTCTGATAGTGGGACACGGGGATTCAGACTTTTGCCTCGCAGTGGATCTTCTATGTGACGCGGGTAGATCACCATCCGTGGTGGCCACGGCGGGATGTATTCAAAAGGATGAACTTCTCGACCTGCGACGGAGAGATTGTCCAGCAGGAAAGCGTTCGTTTGTGCAATTGTAGGGTGAATCATCCACACAGACTCGTTGATACTCGATGGGTTGCAGTAGACAATGACGGAGTTCGCATCTTCGAAGGCAGGATGATAACTCCTGATATACTGCTCATTTTCTTCTGTGACGTGTTCAATATTTTCAGCGATATGTCGTTTAGTTTCATGCGGTTCCTCAGGAAGACCTATCCCATTATGATTTGAATATTTCAGTTCGAACTTGCGAAATATAGCACCTACGAGTGATCAGTAGGCAATCTTGGCTGATAAGAACCTTCTTGATAGGCATAGCCAATTATCGCGGAATACTCAGTAGTAGTGGTTGTGAAAGCTGTTTCAAAATGGGATCTCCCGTTTTGGAAAGTCTTGCTACAGAAATGGAGACTATTCCTGCGGGGCACGTAGAATTTTGCGAGCACACTTGCGAGCGTGCGTTGGCGTTCTCTCGCATGCGTTGTCACACTTGCGTTTGCGTTTGCGAGCGTGACAAGGAACTGTCTCGGAATTTCTTATCTAAAAATAGTGGCAGACGTTAGCCAGTGTTTCTAGATGAAGATGATATAATACCCTTTGCCGACGATTACAACGTTGAAGGTTCTTTTGAGGTAATCCTCCCTCAAAGTTCAAAGTCCAAAATCAAGAGCCAAAACATCGAGTTCCAGAGTAATTATTCAACTCGAGATTCTAGTAGATCAATAATACATTCCAGATGTGTCCAGATGTAGAGTATAATCCGAAGAAAATTGAGGTACAATGCGGACAGACTCACAGGAAGGAGTTCAAGACTGCCCAAAGAAGAGAACCCAAACAGTGGTCGTGGGCCAGAGAAGGTTAAGTTCAATACAGTAAGCATCATAAAAATATCAAAAGAACCAAGATATAATGACAGGAAGCACATGCCGCAGAAATATGAGAAGCGACCAACAGTTAAGACGGTTCAACTCGAGTCGAACGCAAATGTTACACGATGTCACACATCCATCACACTTGCGAGTCAACTGCGAGCCGCTACCGCTCGCATGCGTTTAATTTCCAATCGCATGCGTTATTTTGGAGAACACATGCGTGCATCTTCTTAAGGCTTGCGTTCGACTTTGGGATGCATGCGTGACATCTTTGTGAGATACGTAAGCAAGGTTTATTCATTTGAGAACCTGTTCATCCTGCCAAGTTCAAAAAAAGGTCAGATCTCATAGTCATTTCGAAGTGAAATATCGCTGTGATGGAGGGAGCTTTTTTTGTAGTGAACACAGATACCTTTCTAGCATTAAAATATTATTCAACGGCTTCCCTGAGTCATAGTAAGTGACATTAACCTGGTGGGACATATCCAGGAACTCGGAAAGAGTAAGTAAATGTTCAAGATAAGACACACTTTACTAATGACTTTAAAACAGAACTAAGTATTTGTATGAAACACAAACAAAGGTATCCATATGCGCGCAAATGCATGCAATTTAAACGCAAGCGAACGCAGTTCAAGTTGAGTTGAACGCAAATGAACGCAGTTGAACGCAAGCTCGCAAGTGTCGCTCGCAAAATTCTCCTGGCCCATTCCTGCGCCGAGTTACAATCTCGTCAGTCGTTTAGAATAGCTCTACATAATGCGCTCAATAGTCCCACCTCCCGCCTCTTATCGCCATCCCCTCCAATGTTATTATCACTATCGTTGTTAATACGATCACAAGATAACCCTTCCCAGGACTCGGAGAAGAAAGCTGGGCAGATGTTCCGACCTCTATGGTACGCCGAAGGACATATTGGCCCGTGACAAGGGCAGTAATGGCAGGAAAAGCTACCCCCTATATCCCAGACAGCAAGTTCACGATGTGACACCGGGCGTTGGTGTAAGCGGATCTCTACCAGATATCAGGGCTGGGAGGGCGGTGCGAATGAACTCAGTCATGAATGGAGCCTTCGATGTGGGGGGTTCGGGATTCTGCGTGCCTTGCGGTGTGACATCTCCATCTATCTCGGTCTCGTGTTCGACCCGTCTTGATGGACGCGCCTCGATAGCAGCTGCAATGTCCTGGAATACTTGTTCTCCAGTCCAGGACCCAACGATATTCTCGACCTCATCGAAGCTACGGCTTTTGACAATGGCTTCCCGTAAGGCATGTTCCTGCTTCTTGGTGTAGTTGACGTGGTGGCCTTTAAATTGAGAAACACAAAATTTTGTCAGGCTCCAATGGTTATTAAGGTATCGCGACTGGAAAATATATCAGAATACACCGGATACACTAAAAGGATTCAAAAAACCTACAAGACGAAGGTAATCCGGGACCAAGGTCTGTTCCACGTCAGTTAATGGAGTATTCGAGAAACATGTGGGGTTAGCTTCTGCGGCTCGTGCAATCATCACTGAGTGAGCACCTGAAACAAAAACGACACTCGATTTAGATCCTCTACGAGCATGAAAAGCTGACGAACCTGTAGTTTCTCTTACTCTCTTTGCATCTTCAGCGCTAAGGCAATCGCCGTTCTCTATGACTGCAATGCCTTTACCCAATCCCTCAACAAAATTAACAATTTCCTTCAGCCTTTCAATCAGAGCCGCGTCCCTATCCCTCATATTCCTCGTCCGGCAATGAACCGTCAGCGCGGAAACACCAGTGTTAACTATCCGTTCCACCAACTTCAGCGTCTCTTCTTGAGAAGGCAATAGGCGGATTTTGGCGGAGACTGTGATTTCCGGGGGCATAACGGTCCGCAGTGCCGTTAATATCGAGCATAGGAGATCAGGGTTGGTGAGGAGAGCGGCTCCCATTCCGGCGTGGGTGGAGAATGGCTTGGGGCATCCACAGTTGAGGTCTATACCGGAAACATCGTTCATGACAGTCTGGGCTGCCTTGACAGCATATTCAGGGTCCGATGATCCAATCTGGTAGATCAAGTAGGGCTTTTCGATTGGGTGGGTGGAGAAAATAGCCTTGGATTTCCCGTCGTACGTTATAACGCCAGTGACAGCTGAAAATAATTTCAAGAAGGAAGTAAGAAGCATAGAGAGGTGGTACATACGATCAACGTTTCTTGTCGCATGAAGAATAGCTTTGTCCACGGTTTCTGGTCCCCATACTAAAGTAGCACCATGCTTCAGCGCAAATAAACGGGTAGGAACTGTGATAAAAGGTAAGTATATCCTCGAAACCATTGTCAAGTGAACATACGAGCACCAGAGCGCACCATTGGTGCCAGAAAAATGCCATTCTTGAAGTCATCGGATGTCAAATGCTCTATTTTAGCGCGTTTTGCATTTCTAGGCGGAGAAGTGGAATGAGCTCGTCGTGACATGTTGAAGACGATGCGGCAAACGCTCGTCCTTTTTTTCATCAAGGAGGGAGAGAGCAAGAGTCAAATATTATTTGGCATTAGTCAACACTTGCACAGCCACTCGTCGGATTAGTGTTGCCGCGGCTCAGCTTATCTCGGCTTAACGCCGAAGTCGGTTTTGAGCCGCCGAGGATAGAAGGGTACTGGAGGAACAAGAACACAGTTTCGGTTAATACCAATAAGTCTCCTGAGTGAATGAAAACATCAAAACGCCTGTCATTTTGCACGTTGGTGCAGTCAGAGCAAACGGCTCAAAACCGACTTCGGCGTTAAGCCGAGATAAGCTGAGCCGCGGCAACACTACATCGGATCATGGACCGTATATCCGGCCAACTTCGGTAACTTGCGATTCGACCACCATCATGAAAAGTCGCACTTCGTGAATAGCAGCGCTACGCTCCTCTTTCCGCCAATTCTGGCTGAGATATGGTAAATCCTTAATTTGACTTGGGCTGTTGTCCAGCTGGTGAACTCAGCCAGGGCAGTGTTCTTTGTCAACACCAAGCTTCTTTTTCTTGGCAAGGACACTGGCGTCCAGTCCTCACTTCAGGGCATCTAAGAAGACGATGTTTTCTTCAAAATACGGTCCGGAGAAGCCCCAGAGGCTTTCAGTGATCTTCTGGGTGCTCAGCTGTTCGGGACTTGGGCGAACTATCACCAATATCTGCGGTCATGAGATTGATTTTATTTGATCATAGAAGTCCCATATTACTTCGAGCGGTCCGTGTCCAATGTCGCTGTGTTTATAATGAGAAGTCTTTCCATCACTTCAGAGGTCATCCAAACGCTCGCAACATGTATCTGGCCAGCCTAACGCTTGTCGTACTCTCTGCTCTCCCGGCTCTATCTACTTTGGTTGCTCCTAATGCTCTTGATCTGACGATTACGACGAACCTTGTCCACAAAATTCCATCAACACTATACGGATACATGTGGGAAGTAAGTCATATTCATTCATCACCTCTACTCATCTACATCTCGTGCAGGATATAAACCACAGGTCTGTTCCGCCATCAGTCTTTCAAGTTCCTGTCTGATATACGCCTATTAGTGGGGACGGTGGTCTGTACGGTGAACTGCTGCAGAATAGGGCATTCCAAGGCGTTATCCCGGGTACCCTAAATGCGTCAGCGCATCCGACCTCCGGACCATCGTATTTATAATTGAATGATCTCCAGGTTAAATGCATGGCAGCCATATAACGGTGCACGGTTGTCGGTCACTTCCAAAACCGACGGCGTATCATCTTCTCTACCGAATAGTCTGCAAGTCCAGATACCCAAAGTAGTTTTCGGAGATATTGGGTTCGAAAATACTGGCTATTGGGGTAGGTTCGCTTGTCACCGATCGTCTCGTATACTTAGCTTACAATCGTCTGCAAGGTATCAAGGTCCAAGCAGGATGGACTTATAAAGGATCCTTCTATGTGAAGTCAAGCACTTTCACCAGGTCATTAACAGTGGCCTTGAAGTCTGTTCAAGGCACAATATATGCGTCAAAAACATTGGGCGGAGTATCCTCGGAATGGCAGAAGCTTACTTTTGAATTACAGCCTGATGTCTCTGCCCCGAGTGATGACAACGTATTCAGTGTTGTCCTCAATGGAAGCGAAGCCGCAGGGCAAACGATATTCTTTGGCCTGTTCTCGCTGTTCCCGCCGACTTTTAGAGGGCGTGAAAACGGTATGCGAATTGACTTGGCGGAGGCCATGGCTGCCACCCATCCCTCTGTTTGGAGGTTTCCAGGAGGCAATAATCTTGAAGTACGCCATTAAGATGCGGCCAGCTCTGAGTGTTGTGCTGATGGATCATGTTCAGGGAGCAAGCTTTGATACACGTTGGAAATGGAACGAGACGCTAGGACCGTTAGTATCAGATCTGATACTTTCCCTTCTTCGGTGCTGATATCGCCTTTAGTCTTGAAGAACGTCCTGGTCGCATTGGCGATTGGGGTATGTGCAACTTCTCGTGTCTGATACGATAGTATTAATTAATCCTGCTAATGTGCATTCCACAGGTTATCCCAATACGGATGGACTGGTAGGCAGAGCCGTTCGTGGTACATCAAATCGAGTTAAGCATTGGCAATCAGGGTCTCCTGGAGTACTTGAACTGGGCCGAGGACCTCGGTGCAGTAAGAGTTTTACTGAGGGTTATACTGTCGGTTGCACTGACCTCTTATCTGCTACAGGAGCCCATCCTTGGTGCGTAGTATCGGTGTGATATAATGATTTCAGTTTAATGGCCTGTTTCGAAGGCATCTGGAGCGGCATCTCAATATCTAATTACTCTGATCTTTCAACCTGGCCGATCGTACCTGAAGAGGACCTTCAACCATACATAGATGATGTTTTGAACGAGCTTGAATTCATTGTTGGCGACGCAGAGACGACTGTGTGGGGAAAGTTCCGAGCTAGCCTAGGGAGGACGGAGCCTTACCAGCTCCGATTGATTGAAGTGTACGTGGTTTCTCCGCTCGGTTTCTATATCGTGCTGAATAACATTTCCAGAGGAAACGAGGACCAGGTAGGGAATTCCATGAACCTTGTATTGCTAACCACCTCATTTGATGTCACGTTCCGTAGTTCCAACCAGAATCGTGTGTTTTGTCGATTGATGCCCAAATACCTGCTCACGCAATTTTTACTCCCAGATACGCTGGATACCGCTGGAATTCGTTTGTCTCCGCTATAGAAGAACGATATCCCGGACAATTTGAATTCATTGCGACGACGTATCCTTCGACAGAACTCAATCCGGCGTATCTCAAGAGTGAGTTAACATTGCTATGCGATGTCCCAAACTTTGACAAACATAACCCCCAAGTTGATTTCCACGAATACGCCGACCCGAGTTGGTTCACAACCCATGCTTTCATGTTTGATGACTACCCGCGTAACGGCACCAAATATTTTATTGGAGAGTATGCTGGTGCGTTGAGTGCCTACGCCGTGTCTTCGTTTCCGGTAACAAGGAACCAGTTACTTCGACAAATAGTTCCGACTTCCTAGGCACTATTCCCAATGGCCGCTTACCCTACCCCAGTCTTCGAGGCGCTGTTGCAGAAGCAGCTTTTATGACTGGACTAGAACGCAACTGTGATGTTGTCTTTGCCAGTGCTTGTACGCAAGTTTTAGCCTTCTCGAGACTGCGGCCTCACTCGGATGTTCAGATGCACCATCATTACAGCACATTAGGAACTATCAATGGACGCCAGACATCTTGACATATGACTCAAGCCGCGTCGTCAAGTCTACGTCTTACTATGTGCAACAGGTAGGTTATTATTCGGCATTCTGTCATCGGTGTTGCTCTTAATTATCGGTACATATAGATGTTCAGCGTCAACCGAGGAACGCATGTTTTAGAGACATCTCCCGCGTCAACTAACGAAACAGAACCCTTGTTCTGGGTGGCAAGCTACAACAACGAAACCCAAGTTGTCTTCTTGAAGGTATGAAGTCCACATAGCTTCTTTTCTGATCTTAGCAATTTTCTTGAAGGTCGCGAATGCGGGTACCACTGACTTGGTGGCTCATGTCTACTTGGATTTCTCCTTTACGTTATTCGGTACCGCGATTTCCATCAGCACTCCCGCTTTAAGCCCCATTAGTGGACAGTTCGATACAGCGAATACCCTCGATGAGCCTGATCTTATTATACCCGTTGCTTCGAGTTTTGCCATACCCGAACTGGGGAGATTCAACTATACCTTCCCAGCTATGAGTGTAGCCGTTGTCTCTCTACAGGCATCCGATGGACTTTGATCGAGAGTCGTTCCTGATGATCGAACGATCGAAAGAAGGTCCAGTTCATTTTATAGAATATGAATGATGATGTATGTACTATATACTATAAGTATGTACATGAGTTGACCACGAAATATTCTGACCATGTACAAACGGTTTGGCTCGGAAAAATCTTGACCGATGGCCTCTTTGTAAGTACATAAGTAGATAAAAAAATACTGACAACTTAGGACAACATAAGGTTGCCAAGCGTCGAGAGTGAACCGTCGTTGTTGTAGAGGCACGATCCGGTGCCGACGTAAGAAGCAGCACTTGGGTCGGAGGAGGACAAGAGTGAGGGTGATGTTGCAACGAAGGGGAAGTACAAGATGACGTAGTCTTGAGAGTCAAGCCAAGAGAATGCCTGTCATACGTTTAGCTATACCTCTTGTACAATCGCGGTCTGCTTACTTGAGTGAAGAATGACACCCTTGAGAGAAGAGCAGAAAAGAAGTCAATCGCTTAGGAGAAATCCAGATGACTGTGCCTTACTGAGCAGACGCTCCACCGGACGGGTTCGTTAGAGCGAATTCGGTGATAACGATGCCGTAGCTCTGGGGATGTACCGTAAGTCGCTTATTTGCATGATAACCGATAAGGACTAACGGGGAACTTCGCGCGGGCCTTCTGGACGTAGCTCTGGAAATCAGAAAAGCTCGTGCTGTAGGGTTCGTGCTGCGTGAGAGCATGCCCGACGACACGATTAACGAAATCAACTCACCCATACCAATGCTAACGTAAGCTTCAATTTAGATCGAAGAATGCGGAAACGAGAGTTCCAAACATACCAGGTTAATGTAATCAGCATAACACCGACCAGCACAGGCGCTAATCATCTGCGCAAGCCAATCTAGACCTTGACCAGAAGAGGAACTAGAGGTAACCGCGGGAAAGGCCTTCTTAATGGACTAAATTGCGCAGTTAACCTCTGGTTTCCAAGAACGTGTGAAATTATACACTCACCAGCGGGTTGATATAGGTAATGTACCAAGCCGCAGCATCACTTGCACTGATCCCGGAAACGTCAGGTTCGTTCAGGGAGAATACGGCTAATGTCGAAGGGATCTTAGACGGCAGTGCGAGCAATTCCAGCAACTAAAAGGACGTACTAGCCCAGCCTTGAGCGGCATGTCGGGCAGACAGTTGCGCGATGGGGCTTGAATCACAATCCATGCAACGCTGCATGCCGATAAATCCCAACCCGCCGTTACCATTGGTGGAAGGGGGGGCGTAAGTTTCCCAATCATAGCTATGTACGATGTGAGATTATTGAAAGCAAGGAGTAAAATTTGACGGACATTGCGACAACCTGCATGAAATGATTAGATAGGGTTGAAGCAACGCCAAAAATTGTGGTCATAAACTCGCCTTCCCGTTCCCGGTGTTGAACTTTCCAGGATTTCTGTGAAAGATAATGAAGTTTAGGGACATGTAGAGGGCATTGTTAACCGTACAAGGGGCTGTTGTCTGTCGACGAAGGAGAAGGCTGTCAGGCATATTTCGATGGACTAGAAATTTAACGTACAGTAGGGCCATGCTAGGCCGCGTTTTCCAGCATGAACTGCGGAAACGAAGAGTGCGATGGACGACAGAGTAAAGAGCATGATGGGTATTTGTTAAAAAGAGTGGTAGAGAAAGCTTCGATGTGGTCGTTGAACGAATGGAGGGAAGCTGGAGAGGTAATGTGTTGGGTTGCGAGTATTTAAGCTATGAGAGAAGCTGCAACGGCATCATGCACCTTGCGGTCCAGATAAAGATATCATTATCGGGTAATCAATGGACGTCGCTACAGGGAATAAGGCGAATGCGAAGTGGCGTAGCTCGTTGACCAATGACGGGAGCAATCATGCGATCGGGATGTCCTAATGAGTCGAAGTGCAAGAACTCCTGGGTATAGCCAGTATTTCCCGAGAGCTCGACCAGTCAGTTGACCCGAGATCAGAGGGAATCCTGTCGGGTACGCAGCCGACAGAGGAAATCCTGTTTGAGGACCTTATGGTCATACACGCCCGTGATTGAATTGATGGGTGGAGTGGCACGCTCGTCGAGGCTGTTGCTACGCAAGAATACAGCACTTAAGTTGCCCGGAACGGTGAAACGATATAGACTCGAATGTCCGCATGGACAAAAAATGATTAGATCTTTTCCTTCCGTTTCATCCTCGGGCTGATAGATACTGCCATAGGGTAGCAAAAATGCTCTTTCTAGGTCTCTTCTGATTCTGGTCCGCGATGAAATAATGAAAAGGAAGGGTCTCAGGCACTGATCGAATCATTGACAACCGGGGCTTCGGTAAAAGAAAGGCTATATGGAGCGGTATGAAACTGAGGCCGTGGAAAGATCCGCTTACTGGAGATACTTGGGTGGGTCTATGCTGCAGCAAAGCCACACATAGGCGCTTTGATGTATCGATCTGCTCCTGTATTAGCCGAGCTAGGCGGGTGAATGTGATCATGAAAGTTGCTCCAAAGATGCTACGGCCATAAGCCAGCGACGCAATCGGGTGTCGTATAATTGGATCTTACATGGGCAGTGATTGATTTATCTGCAGCATCATTAGGCTAGCGACAACCCAACGACGTGTGATAGATCCTTCCGTTGAATTAGAGCTAATAACCTCGCCACTGTCGCAGGCATGGGTAAAAAAAAGACGAGGTATCTAGCTTCGTGAAGGCAGGACTTCGGAAGCGACGAACAGTAACATATGAATTTTCAACGTGTGAAAAAGATGTTTCAGAAAAGGATACCCTGGGCCGGAGAAACCGCACTGGCGGGTTATACAATCATCTGCATTCCCAAGGATTCATTCAGCCAGAAGATACAGGAGCTATGAGGTTGTTACTTACACGCCCACAACCTCGTTAAAGTCCCTCGTGATATTCCGTAGTTCCATGGTATCATAATCATCGACATCCCCAGTCACCGTCTCCCTTCTAAATCGTATCTCAGTGGTTACCTCCGAAAGCTGTGATTCCTGCTCAAACAAGGACATGTAATGAGCCCGGCGAACAGATATTACTAGTCTGTTGGCAAAGAGAGAGGAGATGACGAAGGCAAAGGCTGTCCCAAATTCATTGAGAGTAATCTGAGAAGAGCATAGTCAGTGACAGTATTCCTAAGGCCGAGTATACCGGAATGGCCAGCGCACGCGATTCCTAATCCAGAATATGAGATTCGTCAAGTATATCCCGAAAAGCCTATGATGCACGTAAGGAAAATATAATAATAAAACACAAGTAGCAGGCCCTACTTACACAAGGAAATAAATAACGGAATCGCGTGTTAATTTCCGCATCAAGTCACTGCCTGACGCAGATGGCCGATGTAGCCATGCTTGTCGGAGTGCAAGAGAGAGTAAGATGCTCTCGATTATTAAGACAGCGACCCAGTAATACACGATCCAGTGGTGGTCCGGAGGATCCGCGTCAGCGCACATGAACAAACCGGGGATTGGCTCATTTGTGCCTATACAATGCTCATAAGTACTCCTTCAGCGACACCAAGTCAATCCACACCTATTGTTCCGGATCCTGGCAGGCCGAATATGAGACCCATTGTTAAGCATTCTAGCACGGTCATTACGACCTAGAAGATGTCAAGAACACGTGTGAAACAGAAGATAAAAATGAATCATACAAATAATCCGAGTATCTTGCAAGAATTTCCGTACATTGCATACAGCCGTAGCTCTAAGATAACTAGAATGCTTCGTTGAGTCCATGGAGATAAATCCAGGTATTTCTGTTTACCATGGGAAGTAATGACTTGTAAGCTAGCACCGGTATTCTGCCAATAGAAGAATGTAGAACCTAGACGGGCCGGCTTCGGATCAAAAGAACTGATGGAATATTAAAATGATGGGACTCGCATCTGGGGAGACACCGGATCACGGTAAGGCCTTGTGCCATCGTAGTTAGCAAGGAGATACGTACAGCTGCAAAGAAATCAGTAGGCCGCAGAAATCCCTTTGGAATCGACTGACATTCAAAGAAGGATACAAATAGAGATAAACTGATAACAAAATTCAAATATTCGGCGGATTCAGGACCACAAATGCACGTACTAACAGCATTTGACCTGCACGTGGGTCTGTACTCAGCCATGGCCTCTTGACTGTCGGGAATACGCACACATTAAAGGCAACGCCGTAATATCGGCTCTGCATTCCCCAACGGTGAGAATGCGAAATATTCGGAGATGAACAATTACAGTACCCATAAAAATAATATCTTCACCAGAGACCATCGTCGTTGCTGTAGAATACGAACGAGTGAGTAAGGGCAGAACGCCGGACCAGTTTGAGACCGAAGATTTCTGTACCCAGAAGAAATCAACCTGATCAATAGAATCCGTTCAATAAGCGATCCCTTTGATGGTTAATGAATGACATGCCTCCGCTTCGAAGCTGGAGAACTGTGCGGAGAATTTTTCATTTACCAACATGGAATGGTGCAGGGTCCTTACAGTATTCGTATACGATCAGTGCAGGCACATGCAACTGATATGAAGCACCGTTAGCACAGGAATCCCTGATATAGAGAAGCATGTCCTACCATAAGCATTCTGCTCTGCTCTCGCCTCCACCCAATACTCTGCACCATCAAAAGATGGCATTCCAGAGAAAGGAGGCTGCAAGAAGGGAATTAAGAGTGTTTAGCAACGCATATTGAGCAATAAGTTGGTATCCAACAGCAAGGTGCGTCGACCCTTAGGTACCTGGGAAAGGTTATGAGTGTAATAACAGTAAGCATTGTTTACCCCCCCTCAATGATGCGCTTGCCGGCATCAGAATAATTGGCCTTTACCCGAGGCTAAAAGCGCGGCTGACTATCGGCATGTAGCTGCGAAAGAGCGGCGCTTGCTCTCATTCCCGACAGAAAGGAGGATCGGCGTTTACTTCACAGCCAATAATCATCAGCACACAATATGAATAGCATTACAATCGGCCAGCATGGCCGCGGGCAAAATGTGATATACTTATTCAATAGAATTCTACCATGCGCGTCAGCCTGTCTGATTCTTCCTTATCTTGTTCTAAACATCTGTCCAAGCAGCTAAAGGGAAAAAATACCGATCAATCGATTATGACCACCGGAGGCACCAGTTGGAACGTACCTTGTTCACAGAGAGGTACTTGACCTTGAGCTCTTTGCCAAAGACATTGTCTGCCAACTTCGAAGATGCAAATAATCCCCTAGCAGAGTCCCAATCTAAGGGCAAGCGATTCGTGATACCATGTGCCTCGCGCTCTTCCGCACTCATTTGTGCAGCAGTCAGCGGTCCAGGGCAATCTATTAGGGTCAACGCCTCCTGACTCAAGATCGCAGTCGTTCCAGACGCCAAAACAAGAGCCAGAGCGAGGTATGGATTGCAGGTGCCATCGAGGAAACGAAGCTCAAAGTTGCGCGAAGATGGCGATTTGGGGTTGGTCAACCTGATAGGCGCCTCGCGGTTTTCTGTACCCCAGCAAACGTAAGTTCCTCCAGACCAAACGCCATCAACGACGCGCTTGTATGATGCTGGAGTTGGAAGAGTGACAGCAGCCATGGAGGGCATTTCCTTCAGAATTCCGGCAATGAAGGAAGACTCGGCGGGGGAAAGCGCATTAGCGGTCTTTTTGGGCCCATTGATAGGGTGGACGGAGACATGAACGTGGGCAGAACTGCCCGTACTGTTCATATAGACACGAGGGGCAAATGTAGCTCGGAGTCCGTGCTTTGCAGCCACGTTGATGATAGTTTCGCGGGTATAGACGAGCGCATCAGCGGCCTCCAACGGCTGCAAGGGTCCAGTGACAACCTCGTACTGGCATAGTGATTATGGTCAGGTATTACTCGGATCAATAACCGCGGAGGTACAAACCTGACCAGGCGCCGCTTCAGGGTGGTACATCGTAACATCGACTCCAGCCTTGATCAGAGAATCTGAAATTTCACGAAGGACTTTGGTCTCGACACATCCAGAGGGAAGGCCACCAGAGGCACTCCAATGATGATAGTTGACAGCTTCAACAGGTTTCGTCGACTTCAAGAGGATAAATTCGGTTTCAAACCCGACAAGGAACTCGACGGCGGCGTCTTTCCTGGCTTGTCTGCGGGGAATGAGATTACGGCAGGTGTCAACAGATGATTACTTACTCAACGACACGGCGCAGGGTGCCCCGAGGACAGACACTGACTTCGACGGTAGGTTGACCATCTGCACCGGTAACGGGGGCCTTTTCCTGGAACCAGCCCATAACGCTAGCCGTTCCTTCCTCATACGGGCAGAGCCTCAAGGTAGAAAGGTCAATCACGTAAAGATATTCACCCATAGGTATAAACTCGTCCGCCATGTTCAGATATACCAGGCCGAAGGCAGCCTTAGCCGTGGCGACGCCGGGTCGCCGGGATTTGAGCATTTTGAGGAAGTAAGCGATGGGGATAACCCTGTATCTGATAACGCTGGTAAGGTCGATCCATGTTAGACGAACATAGGCTTGATGAGACCCGATTAGGCTGGAGTTCCCTAGGATTAAGCATGGCTCTTACCTATGCCTAAGTATTCTAGATCTTCAGCCTTGAGGGCCGTCGCAGCGGACACGGTGGATGGGGCATATTCGACGCCGTGACTGTAGTCGAGAGACATGATGGTGGTTCAGCTTGAAAAAAACGAAATCAGCTCACTGGTGATGGTATTGGACAGGACGCCACTTCTATTCGTACTTACGTAATCTCCCCATTGATCGCAGAGAAATAAACGGACTCAACCGACGACGATTGGCGCGGCGACCATGAATCGCGTCGAGGAATTGACTGTTATTTTGGTTACTCAAAATTATTTTATTTGAAAATTATCAGTCTGCATATGTATTTGCGACGGTCTGTTGCCTTCTCAGGGACATCGATCAGAATAAATATCAAAAATCCGTCCTCCTCAGGTCAATGAAGGACACTCGATTGGGAAGCGTCCGAGTGGACGTTCTCAAGTATTCCCTCGCAGCCGAACGGGCTTCGGTACCGATGCCAAGGGGCATACATCCAGCCAAGGCTAACGAGAATATTCCTCCTAGATCCATTAAGCGAGTATGCACGCAGCCTCAGCCTGCGGAGCGCGATTCGCTCCCAGAATTCTCAGGTCTTGGACAACTCGCTGTACCTGAAAGTCATAAGTTCAGACCGCAGCACCCAGCCTTGCTGTACGTATACGCACCATACGCAGCGCTCACGAACCAAGCAGCCCAGTTGTTTCTAGCCATCTGCATATGCGAGGCTACCGTCGGGGGATTCTACCCGCCGTCTAACGATGATCGGGGGCTCCGCTGTTATTATGGAGAGGTCCGTGAATATAGGCACAATGGGCTCGCTGAGGCGTTAGTTATTGCTGACGGAGAGTAGCGGCCTCGAACAAGGATGTAACTTCGCCAATTCGTTAGAGACATCATGATTAAACAATATGGAACTGACATTTGCCTGGACTTACAGACGTAAGCAACAACTTCTTGGAAGCTCGTCAAAGGATACACCTATTTGGATTTGCTGAAGAAGTCGCAGAGCCAACATGTTGTGATGTAAGAACCGGCCTTAGAACTGGGAAAACAACGGATTCCCAGAGAATTCTACTGTTCCCTTTGCTGTTATTTCGTGTCACTCGCAGTTGGCGTCCAGCTAGCTATTGTCTCGCCCTGTGCGACTTTGTCTGGAAGCATTGCAGATATGAACGCTGTTCTCGATTTAGGCTCTTAGACCACTGTCGTCGCCTTCTGAGTCAGTGTCATGCCGGAGTTTGAATGGTCCCATTCTACTTAACATTTGACAGGATGAATACACTGAAGCCGAAAGGAAGAACGGTAGCGCTTTAGCTCAACAGATCGGGACAGACCCCAAAGCTGGTGGACGGATATCCAATGGTCCCATTTGGGTTGAAGACCTGTCCTTCTACATGGGAGCCACGCTGAAGGATTATATTGTAAATTAATTTTCAGCATGCGCATCGGGGACTCACAAAGCATAAGATCAGTAGTGGACAAGACGCGGTATCCAATGTTAAAATTTCTTGACAAAAGGAATTTTCTATACCGATCTGGGACATCGTTTTTAACGCGACATAGTCTGTGCTGACTCGTAAAATTGGCCAACTTCGTCATGGATGAGGTGGGCAAATATATTCTGGGTACAACGCTGTATGTCATCTTTGTGGGTATGGGTTAAGTCCATATACGCGATGCACATAGGCGCTGTACTCACTTGTATCTCAAAGGGACTTCACCAAAGCCGATGGCGCATCGTGTTCGTCAGGGTAAACCGCCGTTGACACTAAACAACTTCGAAGTTCGGACGACCTGACATAGCAGCTACTGTCATCTTTGAACTAATGGAGTTAAAAACTTTACCGCTATACACCAAGAACATCCTCATCGTCGATAATTATTGGAGAGATAACGTGAGCGAAGAAGGCGAGGCGTAGAAGCGGGAACTATTCGAGGGTATAAACGATGCGACGACTTTCACGGATGTAAATCTTGATATCGTCGACTTTATCAAGCTATGGACGGCCGTCCTGTCCGATCAACTTGGTCACGAAGCATTTGAATACTCCAATACTGAGGCATGCACCGTCATCGATACTATTTCAGTCTGTCAATGTGATGTGATAACTCCGTGTTCCTACATTCCTGGGCAAGTTTTGTCATCGACTGCCTGAAAGGATAAAAAGTGCTTACAGTTGCTGTAATATATGTCCTTCCGAGGCTACTCATCATTTGATGACAGCCTACATTGTGTCGGTGTCGGAAAAGTCCACGGTTTAGTCGGGCCGCGCAGGACTGGTCTCGCGTATTCTTGCATAACTCCCTACAAACACGCTTATCCTTATTGAAAGGCTGTTATTAATTTATTGTTGGCCAATACTAGCTGTATTTAATTATGTCCTTGGAAGATTGATTTAGACCTATGTTTTTCGTCGATAACTCTCCACTCACCAGCAGACGAACGAATGAACACAGCAAGGCTGGGCCCTATAATATCTTCTCTTAAAGCCAGAGCCTCGTATGATGGTAGAAGGAATCGTATTACCAGATACGCTGTCGGAGGTGATGGTAGTTCGAACGTGAGAAAATGACCGTGGTAACTGGACGCGTGAGCGCGTCGATATTCACCGCCACTCCGACATTTACCCCATGTCAGAGCACCAACGCCGACCGATACCGCCTCACCCACCAAGATGGCAGCCGAATCCGGATCCCGCGTCCATCGAAGTTCCCGGGCTGGATACAACAGCCTCAGTGAACGACCAGATTGACCAGATAGAGCAACTCATCACTATCAAACTGCAGGTGCGTCGCCCGGTACTTCAAGATTACAGTAACCTAACGCCGGGCGGACTCAGACGATTGACGAAAACTTCTCCAAGATCCACAATGTGCTTGCGAATAAGATTTTGCCTGCTGTGAAGCGTTACGCGGTGGCGACGGAACCGGTGAGGGAGGCGGCGCAGGTACGCGGTTGTTTACTGTCAAGCGAATCGAGGTGCTCATCTATCTGGCCTCAGTTCTGGACGTCTTTCTATGAGCAAGCAGCGCAGATTCGCATACCCACTGCCGACGACTATTCAACCGTCAACGAACAGACCTCTGAGCACGAATCTGGTTCTCAAACAGACTCTCATGCGACAGCGGACTCTCAGGCAGAGGCCAGCAATGCTACAGCACGTCCTTTCGAGACTAGCATCGCATCAACTGAAAGCTCATTCCATCCCGGCCAAGCAGCGTTCTCATCGACGCCTGCCAGACCATCGACGACATTCAATACCCTTTCCAGCCAGGAATCAGAAGCATCTTGGTCTGCTTCAGTTGAATCTCCTCTGGTTCGTCTGGACAGAGAATTTCAAAAGTTCTCGAGAGACGAACCATCTGTCCTCCCACCAGAGCGGTCGCGCGACCGACCACCACCTTCGAACAAAGGAAAGTCCAGGGAAGAACCCCAGCCACTTCTCCGAAATGTTCTTCGACAGAATATGTATTCTATCAGTGAAGATTCTACCATTACCCGTTCACCAGCACTTTCACCGATAAAATCCAGAAGGAAGATAAAAACTCCCATTCCTAAAACCCTCAATCCATACCTTCCTTCCAACACTGAGCCCTCACAGTGGAATGGCGTTGTCGATCTGCGGGATCCTTCTACAACAACGCCCCAGCGTGGAAAGCGATTCGGATACACTCAGAGGCGCGCCGGGCCTAGTACTCCCGCTGACGATTCTGACGATGATTCCTTTGACGGCCTCCCACCAGGCATGTCACCACCGGTCCTTATGTCCCCTGCCCGTCTACCCAAATCAACCCGAAAGACGATACTTACTCGAGCACCAACCGGAGAAGCTGCCGCCAGGATTACAAAAGACTTAGTCCAGGACATCCAGTCACATCGTCGCGGAGACAGTCGGCATATGTTCCACGGGTACAGCACAGAGTCAAGCACCGTCCCCACTCCTCCGTCACTGTCACGGTACAAAGGAGGGACAGATACCAGCAGTAGCATCGTCGGAGAATCCAGTCTGGAGAGCATGATGCACAGGGCAGATCTAGGGATGGCCAACATCGCTACCACGCCAGGTTTGCGACTGCGACCGAAAACTCGTACGCCTGCGATCCCTAAACCCTCTCCACCGCCGCTGTCTCCCCAGCATGCTGACGACCGTGGTTTCACTACCGACACTTACGGCGACGCTGTTGTGGGACAATTCGTCACGTCTGGAAACGCTGACGAGGGAGACGATGATTCCTTCGCTGACTCGTTTGCTGACGACGAAGTGAACAACACCGCTCATCCATCTTCCGCGTTCAAACTTCTCATGCAAGGGAGTGGTGCGATGGATGATTCGTTTGCTTCAACGGAATCTTCAATTGATTCGTTAGACCGTGAGGATATCGAAGTTGAAGGCGGTCCCATCCATCCGTTTGCCGGTATCAATCTGAACCGGGCGTTTGAGGATTCGTTCGATGATTCATTCAACGATGACGATGGAGAGCCAGAAGAGGAGACACTATTTGGTGTGCCCCCTGCTCAACGGATGCGGCAGATAATAGATGCGGATAATAATGACTTGGTGTTGCATGGAAATCAGTTATTTGTAGATGGCGATACAGGTGGGTTAACGGAACAGCTGGGGCAAGTAGAAGCGAGTCCGACACCGTGGTCGAGGAGGTAGATGTGTAAGATTTAGCTTAAGATATCATAGTTTGCTGCTACTGTTTTGACTACGTGGTACATGCTGTGTAAACTACACTGTATTTCTCGTGTCCAGAAGATCATTTTTTTGCTTGCAAAGATCTTGCCATTCAATGCCTTGTCTCCAGCAACACATCCCCTTCTTCTTGGGTGGGGCTTTCCATGTGGCTCCTCCAACCTCGCACCCAGAGATAGCCGCGTTGGACAGACCCATTCATATATTCAACAATGGCCGACCTGGCTTTCCATAACGCCAGTTGTTCCGAATCAATGCGGTCCAACCGAATCCGGTGCTCTTCATCTACCACGACGCTGATAGCATATGCCGTAGTAAAGATAGACGCAAGCGCGGTGCTGGCACAGATCATGAACATTATAATCATCTGCATTTTTGCCCCCTGCTGCACAGATGAGCCACCGAGTATGGCGCCAGTCATCATCCCTGGTATTGAGATTATTCCAAGGACACTTAAATCAGGTCAAATTAGTCGAGAACATCGGCGAATTGTGTACTGAGACGAACCTCATCTGATTGATGGGAGGTGTGAGTGCCATAATGAGGGCAGTCTATGGCAATTGGTTTACACGCTTCCATTCTGGATGCACCAAAAGCTAGGTAGATCTCCACCTTGTCGGCGATTTTCCCTGAGGAAACGATAGTAATTGAAAGCGGTGATGACTATGAATAGATGATGACTCACTGTAACTCTTTTAGAGCGTAGTTCAGCGAGATTACAACTCCAGATATAGTGCTTCCACACATCATTCCAACAATTGGAACTAGTACAGTTTAAGACAAGCATGCAGTCATGAAAGGAGAGATCATACTGTATTGCGACGGTTCCCAGAATGGCTTCACTGACATGGCATATCGAGCGCCAATAATCGAGACAGGGATGGTAGAGCCTATAAAGCCGAATAATACCGACCGGAACTTGCGAAAGTCAGGACAGGATAAGCTGAAAGATACATCAATGGTACCATTCTTTCATGACGGCGCTTTGCCTTGTTAACCACTTCGAAAAGGTCAGCCAGGCAGCGCATCAAAGGAAATGTCCCGATGCTCACCTGTCTCAAAGGTCCCCATGACATTAAGCAAGACTGCAACGTGCTAAGAAAATCGCTACGAGTCATAAAACAAAGAGCAGCTCACATGCTATTGCCGCAACTGCCCATGGGTTATCCGTCTCGAATACACTTTGCAGAAGAGTAGCAACGAATGCTAGCTGTAAGATACAGCGCACCGCAGCAGTCACCAGAGAAACACCAATTTTCAGGTTGAATACTTTGGATATGGCCGCATTCAACAGGATGAAAGAAAATGCCAGGCCGACGTTGTACCAGGTTAGATTATCTCCTGAATTCATGATGGCGGTTGCGGTTATGAGCAAACCTGATCATCTCCGTCATCTCGAGTCTTCTCAGAAGATCTATTTTCAATTTCAATTTCAAACTGACATAGGATGTTTCCCACGATCGCACGTGCATGATGTTTCTCATTTCAAATCGTTCATACCTCCTTTTCTTTCTCGTGTCACTCCATCCTTTGACGCGTGATTCATCATTTGAAGACCTTGCACCGAGCTTGGGATGGTAAGATTTGCTTCCGTTTCAGCGTGGATATCAGTGGACGACGTGCCACTACCAGAGTTTGGCGAAGAGGTGTTCAACGCCGACAGGAAAGTGGCGTGTTGGATTCCTTCAGAAACTGGCAAGGTGCGACCTCTTCCTACACGAAATAGTGATTCTCTCTCAAAATTTATGCAAGAGATTCTGCATCAACTGGAAATACGAAGATTCGTTTCGGGTCGACTTTGCAACTGGATGGGTATACACCGACGGCAAATTTGTCGCAGGAAGGGTTTCCGGTCCCGGACGAAACGATGTCTGCGTGACAGGCGTCTGTACTTCAGCTGTAACTGTGCGGCCGATAATGTTTACGAGCCTAGAATTGACTGGTGCAGTACACTCCTTGAGTCCTTGTTGTAGTTTCTGAACGTCAGATGTAGACGACGAAGAGCTCCTACATAATTCAACGTTGTCAGAGTTGGGCGAGATAAAGATTGACATTTGGTATGTCCAAAAGCTAGCATCTATACCATTCCGAGCCCCAGACTTTGGTGAGGTGGGGAAGATCCACGAGCGTTCTAAGAAAGCTATAACGCATTGTGCTAAGTGAGGGTTTTCCATCCGTGCCATACGTGTCGTTCTCAGCATATATGCATAGGGCTGGCGATGAAATTCCCACCACCAAGCCTCAGACTTTCAGCGACGTGAAGAAGGTGAACCACCTAGTCACCTTTACATTCCGATACCGACCTCTCGGTGAGCTTCTTGTAACGGGATGAGTCACGTCGCTCAACTATGCATAGGAATACTGCAAGCCAACGACATCGCACCTCCACCCGAGCCCACTCCAGCGAGTCGTAAACGCGCTGCCTCTCCGCATGATGTAGTTGATATATCTGACGATGATTCCGATCAAGAAGACAACTCTTCTAGGATCGCGAAATTAGAGGTAACCTTCCTTGTTCCATATGATGAATGATTTCACTGTTGATGCGCGCATATAAGGAGGAGTTGATTCAGTTGAGGAAACGAGATGCCAAGAGAGTCAGGCCGGAGAAACGCATCAAAAGAGAGGTGAAATTGGAGCCCAACATCACGTCAGGAGAAGTAATCGACCTTACTTGTACGCCGGTTTTTCCAAGTGACCTCTTTGTTACTAATCTCCGTTCGCAGAAACGGACCACAAGCTACGGAATATCTTGAATTGTAATTATATATGTATGCTCGGGCTTCCATCGTACCCGACATCATCGACATCTTGTGGCTCTGTTTAGTGAATAATTTACTCTCTTTCGTCGATCCCTTGTTCTCCTGAGGGTCAATTCAGCGTCATATCCTTCAGTCATAAGTCGAGCTGCTCGCATTATTGAAGAAATTCACTCTGGATACCGAATCTATCTGGTTCACGACAGTACATCCAGGTATCCATCGAGTTATATGTACCGGTGCAATGTTCGTCTACTCTAAGATACATCGCCTGACATATGAAGAGTGTGGTGGCTAAAGCAATATCATACACGTATGTCTGGAATTATCTACTCTAGCGACAATAGGAACCCTAGTCTTATACTGGGTTCACGGAATGGGTAGACTTCTGCCTCTTCTGCGTAGGCTGAGTGTCGTCCTCGCGGGTCTGCTTCGTACCAGTGGGTTCGAGCTGATACTTGGCCTGATCATTGGAGGGCCATCCATCCATCCGAAGCACCGACTTCCAGAGCGAGTTCTGTCCTGTGTGGTCGTGGAACAGCGAGGTTTGGGGATCGATGGCCGGCAGGACGTCGCTGCCCGGTTTGTCTGAATCGGACTGTGGTTCCGAAGGTGAAAAGTTCCGCCACTCGCCAATGGCCATAAGCGCTTTCCTGATCCACGAGTTGAGAGGGCGACAGTCAAACCGAAAATTGGACCCTAGACGTCCTCTATCCCGCTGCGTCAAGGTAGTCTTCGTGTCACCACCGCTCCATGTCCCATTACCGTTGTCTACGTTGTCGGCGAAGATACGGGCAATCATGTTCTGAAGACCAGGGCCGACTTTGCTATGGCGCAAGTAGCAGAGGCCGTGATATAGCATAACGTATACGAAGGATTCGAAATCGTCTCGAGGTTCATGCTCCTTTGTTCTATCTCTGAGAAGCCCGATGGACATAAATTGCCATGTGCCCTGCGCGTGAATGAGACAGGATATAATATTAGAACGTGAGCACTGACCATGCGCTCGCAGCCCCGCGTCACTTTCTCCAAGTTGTCCGTATGCATAGCTATATCCCAATCGTTCAACAAGCCACGACCTCCACCATCATAATTATCTTTCGGCGCCTTGTCATCATATGCGATCAAGATGTTCCCGCAGCTAATGTCGCGATGAAGAATGTTGCATGTTGTGAAGGCGGCTTCGTGAGCTACGTTCAGAATTAGATCAATAATATCAAGCTCAGACATGAATTATCACCACTGACCCAAAAACGCCTCGTAGACAACTCTCGTAAGCTGCTCCGAGGACTTGAACTTGTTCAAAGGTTGTCCAACTTCTATCAACCGTACTTGCCGGTGCTCACGGATACAAGTGAGCGGCGGATGTGTTCCAAGGTTCCAGTCTTTGTCGATATATTTGCGGGAAGCGATCTTCTGGCCGGAAACGATACTACCACAGATAAAAGTAGGAACGCTGCAGACACCAGCTACGTTGAGAGCCTTAAGGATCACGGATTCCTGAGGCAGATCAGCATCCTGCCAGTTCTTCTTAAGAAATCTCAGGCTGTCAGTGTTCCCATTGTACACAGAAAGAACGAACGTCGCTCGACCCAGGACGCTTTGTGGTGTAGCAATCATCGGACCAGCAAGGACCTCCGTTTCGCCGTCACCATTAGGCACGCGAATCTTCACAAATGCATGTGGGTACTTTCCAGATATCCAGGGCTTCGAGAGCGGCCCGACCAAAGATATTTCTTCGTCTGTGGCAGGTGTCACTGCGTCGTCTTTCCCTCGGTCACGATCCGTGAGAGCGGAAAACCGATACAGAAACTCGACGAGGTATTTGCCTTCTGTCGAAAGATTAAAAGCACGCGATACGATCGTGTAAGTCCTCTCCCATTTGAAGAACGGAACACCATCTGATCCAAGACTAAGCGTGAACAAGTGTTGTCGATGTTGCGCATTCAGTTTCCTCGGCATATCCAGCAAGCTGACCACGGTAATTTTTTGCTGAGAGCCTCTGCGACACCCAATCATGAGGGTTGCCATCCTTAAAACTGTGGAAGGAGAAAGCTCTCTTGAACTCCAACCAGAGCTCCGCTTTGTTCCATCGAGTGGTACTTGTCGTAGTGTTGACGTCGGAGGCATACACGAATGTGTCAGGAACAGTATTGGCAGCCGAGTTAGCGTCTTTGAATTCGTCGTCCTGAACAAATTTTAATCCGGGAATGAGCTCTGACGCCACGTCTTGAATCATGCTCTGCTTCAAAGCACCATCAAAACGTTAAAGACAGCCACAAGAATAAACTCACGACGGCGATCGCGTACTCTTTTTCATTGACATATTTCGCTGGTAGTTCAATTGATTCGAAGATATGGTGAAAATTTCCGGGAGAGATAAGCGTGAATTGATTACCAGATGTGCCCATAAGTTCGTGAAGAAAGAGTTCGACCGGCATGGGCCCAATCCAGTGTGCAGTCATTTCTTTCGATCTGAGTATTCGCAGCTACTTGGCGGGGCCTGAAGCGAAGTGAACTGTAAATCTGGATTTTTATAGGAAAGCTTGAATGGATATTAGTAGCTGATCTAAGAAACGCGTACCAGTCGGTGACTGCTGTGGAGTGCCGGTGAGTATCCGAGGGAAACAAGGAAGAAAGAAGGGACTTACAGAGGGGAGAATACCGTAGTTTATAGCAGCAAATGAAAGGCGTCGCGTCGAAGCCGGGATGGCTGTTGGTTTGAACACAAGGAGTCAGTAAGTATAAATAACTGTCAGTGTGGCTGAAGAGACACGATCACGTGATAACTTAATGGCAAGTCAGGTGGCATTAGTTGGAGAATAGTGGAGAATTCTTTCTCCGCTTTACTAAAGAACGATCTTAACTAGCACTGTAAAAGTCGATTTAGAAATGTTTGAACTGCTCAGAACTGTCTAAACCTGTGCGCTGACTTCTGGACAAAAAAACATCGTGTCAAAATCTATCATCTTGTCAGTATGAAGTTTGAACCGCGACATCTAAACACTAAGCGTGCTCTTTTCCTCACAGATTTTCTCCTGGACGGCAAAATTTAATCTGGCTACTACGGACAAATCCCTGATCACTAGGACAAGGATTCAAATAGTGGCCTGATAAGAGACCAAGAGAGTCAGGCCGGAGAAACGCATCAAGAGAGAGGTGAAATTGGAGCCCAATATCACGTCAGGAGAAGTAATCGACCTTACTTGTATGCCCCTTTTTCCCAGTGACCTCTTTGTTACTGACCTCATTCACAGGAACTGACCAAAAGCTAAGGAATATCCTGAATTGTTATTATGTGTGTATGTTCGGACTTCCGTTGTACCCGACATCATCGACATCCTTTGGCTCTGTTTCGTAATTTACACTCTTCTATCGATCCATCGTTCTCCTCTGAGGATGAATTCAGCGTCCAACTTCCATATTCTTCAGTCATAAGTCGAGCTGTCATTTTCTTGCCCGCGTTAAGAGATCAACTCTGGATACTGAATTTATTTGGTTCACGACGGTACATCGAGGTATCCATCAAGTTATATGTACCGATGAAATGTTCGTCTACGACGTACGGTATGTATTGGATGCTTCTCATCGTTCCCATATCTGCATGCTCCCTAATCCTGACCATGGAGGCCAGCAGCTTATTTCAAAGCAGGAAAGACTTGATTGCAGCTGTCTCACGCATGACTTGAATAGTCGTCTGCATTTGTGTAATACTGCCAATACTACCTACTTTTGTCTTCAAAAGCCTTACCTTTTCTAAGGTTCTTATTAAATCTGCGACTACACTTTCCAACAAGATCGATAACTTATTATCATATGAAGGAGAATAACATGGAAGATAGACATTGCAAAGGTACCAGAGGGCGTTGCTCTAAGATACATCACCAGACATGTTAAGAGCACGGTGAACTACGATGATCGCCCATGTCCGGAAATGTTTACCCAAACAAGGTATCGAGGCCTATGCTCGAGCTGCGGAACGTCCTGACTTCTGCCTCTTCTGTGTCGGCTGGGGGTCGTCCTCGCGGTTCCGCTTCGTACCAGTGGGTTCGAGCTGATATCTGGCCTGGTCATTTGACGGCCAACTATCCATGTCAAGGGCCCACTTCCAGAGTCCTTTCAACTCTGTGTGATCACGGAACAGCAAGGCCGAGGGATTTGTAATGGGTGGGGCACCTCCAAGTGCTTTGAACAGCGCCTTCTGAGTTAAAGAGTGGCGCCATTCACCGATGCCTGCAAGTGCCCGGTGTATCCATGCAGTGAGAGGGATACTATCAAACCGAAAATCGACACCCAGAGGACCCATTTCATATGCCAAGGAGGTCTTCGCGTCACCGCCACTCCACGTCCCATCACCATTGTCAACGATGCTGTCAAAGATGCGGTCCATGGTGAACTGGAGACCGGAGCCGACTTTGCTGTGGCGCAAGTAGCGGAGGCCGTGGTAGAGCATGACATATACGAAAGATTCGAAATCGTCTTGAAGTTCATGAATCTTTGTTCTATCTCTGAGAAGCCCGATGGACATAAATTGCCATGTGCCCTGCGCTTTGATGAGAAACAATGGAAGCAATGGAAAAATGCAAGTACTCACTGTACGCTCAGCCTGTCGTGCTGCCTTTTCTAAGCGGTCCGTGTGTAACGCCATATCCCAGTCGTTCAACAAGCCACGACCTCCTCCATCACGGTTATCCTTTGACGCTTTGTCATCGTATACAATCAAGATATTCCCACCGCTGACATCACGATGAAGAATTTGGCATAACGTGTAGGCGTCTTCATGAGCTAGTGGAAAATGAGATTAGTTAAAGTTCAAAGGTCAATATTGTCACACACCTAAAAAAGCTTCGTAGACCACTCTCGTAAGCTGCCTCGACGACTTGAACCGCTTCAAAGGTTGTCCAACTTCTTCAGTCAGTGTTCGTTGGTGTACTCGGACACAAGTGATCGGCAGACGCGGCCCAAGGTTCCTGTCTTTGTCGAGATACTTATGGGAGGTAGTTTCCTGACCAGAAACCACACCACCGCAGACAAAAGTAGGAACGTTGCGGACGCCAGCCTCATTCAGAGTCTGCAGCATCGCGGATTCCTCAGGGAGTTCGACATCCCGCCAGCTATCTTTGAGGAACTGGAGACTCTGGGTCTTCATATCGTATACAGGAAGACCCAACGTCGCTCTACCCGAAATGCTATGTGGCGTAGCAATGGCAGGACCGGCAAGGACCTCCCTTTCGCTGTCTCCATCAGGTACCCTAATCTTCACAAATGAACGCCGATCCTTGTCGTCCGAGTGAATCCAGGGCTTCAAGAGCGGTTTTGCCAGAGATATTTCATCCTCTGTGGCTAGGGTCACTGTGTCGTCTTTCCCTCGATCGCTGTCCGTGAGAGCTGAAAACCGATACAGAAATTCGACGAGGTATTTGCCTTCTGTCGAAAGATTAAAAGCACGCGATACGATCGTATAAGTCCTCTCCCACTTGAAGAACCGAACACCGTCTGGCCCAAGACTAAGTGTGAACAAGTGTCGTCGATGCTGCGCATTCATGGTCTCCCCAGCGTATCACGCAAGCTGACCACGATAATTATTTGATGATTGTGTCATTACCACCCATTCACGAGGCTTGTCATCCTTGAAACCGTAATAGGAGGAATCTCTCTTGAACTCCAACTAGAGCTCCGCCTTGTTCCATTGGGTGGGAATTTTCGTAGTGTCGACGTCTGAGACATACACAAATGCATCAGTAACGGTGTTGGTGGCCGAATCAGCGTCCTTAACTTGTTTCCGTGGACTAGTTTCAATCCGGGAATGAGATCTGAGGCCACGGCTTAAATTGCGCTCGTCTGCAGAACACCATCAAGACGTTGTAGACAACCATAAGACATAAACTCACGACTGCGTTCGCGTACTCCTTCTCATTGCTATATTTCGCCGGTGATTGGATCGACTCGAATATGTCGTGAAGATGGCTGGGAGACAGATGCGTGAATTCATCCCCAGACGCGCCCATGAGTTCGTGAAGAAAGAGTTCGACCGGCATGGGCCCAGTCCAATGACCGTCCATTTCGTTCGATCTGTCTTTTCGAAGCTGCGTTGGGGAGGGCTTAACCGACGTGAACTGGCCGTTAGTCTGGCGTTTGATAGGAGAGCCTAATTAGATATCAGTAGCTGATCAAACGTCGACCAACAAACACGTACTAGTCGGTAGCTTCTCCTGGTTGCTTTGATTGGTTCCACTATGAGGATTGTGAGTATCCGAGGGCGACATGGCAGGGAATGAAGAACTCACAGAGGTCAGGGTGCTGCAAATTTATACAGCAGCAGAACAACAGACGCCACTGTACAATCTTGGGCTCTACTTTGTACAGACAATGTAGAACGAGATCGAAAGAAGAATTTGAATTCGTGATGGTGAATGCGGTCACGTGCTGACGTGAGGGCAGGCCATGTGGCGTTTGCCTTTATTCAGCTTTATTCGAGAATTTTAATGAACAACGTGCAAGGGAATTGTGACAATAGGACATGCCAAAGAGAGGGCGTGTTACGAAATATACTCGACCCATAATCACAGCATGATAATCAGTCGGTTCTATCGGGACCATCGAAGTCTCTACCATTATTTTTGCCACGTCTCCTCAGAGGCATTGTTTGGCATGGCATTGCTACCGCTTCTAGGGTCCTTTCCTTGTGAAGCTCGTCGACAAAGTCAGGGTGAACTGTACTTAAGATCACCCTGGAGAACGCCGCGCTAACTGGCGTCGTCACTAAAATCGCATCAGGAATGTCCGGACCATGCGCGGCGTCGTCTTAACCAACGGCAAAAGCCCCAGGCTTCCAAAACCGGGATGAACCTTAACATCTCACTCTCTCTTCGCGGATTTTTTTCCGAATAGCAACACTTAATTATCATGACTCAATAATACTACTGGACAGAATTCCGATAAATAGGACAAGAACTCAATTGGCTTGACAACCTCAAACAATATTCATCGCTCTTACTTATCATAATTTCCGAATCTCTTGGTCCTCCTCACTTAGAAAAGCATTTATCCTTTACGCATATCCGATAATGAATGTAATGCTTTTATCTGCTGAGCGGAGTAAACCCTTGAGAAAGTCAACGTTGTAGAGCCTTTCGAAATCTTATAAACGTTTCTCGCTATCCTGCCCCGAAATCCCCTTGACATTTGGCTCGACGATACGCTTCCTAAGTTAGGGATCCTTCCTAATGATGAAATTTTGGCAACACACTACTGCATCGACTAATAAGTAATACAATATTCATCTTGAGTGGAAGTACCTTCATCTCCTCAAAACATAAGGCTTAAACGTCAATCTTAACCACCACTTTCTCTCCACTGACTTTGTTATGTCTCAATAGCTCCAATCCCACAGCTACCCTATCCTTGAAACTGCCTTGATCAAGTAAATGAACCCGATTAGGCTGTATGATTCCTTTCTCCAGTAATTCAGGAAGAATCTTAGGCATCACATTCTCTTTCTGGAACACATTCTTCACAAACGGCTTTCAGTAAAGGTTTGACAATAAACGGAAAAGAACTCACTTCTTGGTATAGGAACGTGCGCACACCACGAACATTCACGCTTTTCGGAAACGGATTCCGGCCTTCAGGTATTTCCATATACATCTGGGAACCTCCCTCCCCTCGAACATTGTTTCCCTCCTTCACAGGTAAAAGCAAGGCCACCGTACCTGTCGAGCTTATCACCTTCGCAACTTCAGCTATCGTTCCCTCAGCAGTAATACAATCTACGGCAAGCATGACTTTTCCATCGCCCCCAGCTGCTTTCGCGATGTCCTCGGCAAGCGAAGGACTATGGTAGTCGACGGTTGCAGTAGCACCGAGCGAGGTCAGATATTCATGGTGCTTCGAGGAGGCAGTGACAATGACGTTTTTATACCCGGCGGAATGAAGAAGTTGGATGGCATACTGGCCAGCCGTAGATCCAGCACCATAGATCAGAATTGGAGCAGAAGAAAGAGGAGGAGATTCGAGGGCGGGAAATGTCTTTGGGACAGGAAGTCCAAGTTCGTTGAAGAGTGTATGGAACGCCGTGACAAAGTTATCTGGTATCGTAGCGGCGGCCGCCAACAACATAGAGTCAGGCACCTGAAATTGAATTTCAAGCTCTTTCGCACCGATCTGGGAGGATTGGAGTAGGCGATACCTTTGCGCAGACTGTTCGGGACTGAATAGAATACTGTTGCATGGCTTTGGATCGGGAGCCCTGGTAAGCAAATGCAGTGACCTGTATACATTTCAGATAACTTTAGTAGATACCAAAGCACCACGTCTTAATTAAAGCCTACCCTGTCCCCGATTTTGAGATCATCAACACCTGGTCCAAGCTCGACGACAGTCCCTGCGGCATTGAAACCAAGAACCGTGGGGAAAGTGTCAGTTGCATATCCCAGGTCTGTAACATACGTGTCGAAGGCGATCATCGACGCATATTCTACCTTCAAAAGAACCTCCCCATGCTGAGGTTTCTCAGTTGGAACACGTATTTCGTCGAATTGACCTTTCGCAACTGCAGCGATAGCGACTGTGGGTAGACATCATGGGATGAGGTAGGAACGGGTCCTAGACCTGTCCTTTCAAGTATGGGTGAATTTGCCCACTCTTTGTCATCGAATGTGTTACTAAGTTAAGTACTGATTAAGCAAGATGTGAAACGAAGCACCGCCACAAGTCCGCGTAAAATATGACGCATGACCGAAGTATTGAACTGCACTTGCAGTCAGAAGTCTGTTCAACTGAAAAGAGCATGGACCGTACCAAACAATGGTCTTGACCTGTAGCAACAGCAGTAAAAAGTCGGATTCAGGATGAGAGCAACTCAAATGAACTTCTCTAGGGAAAAGCAGTTAAACAATTCAATTACCGGTACAGACGACAACTCTGTAGACGATGACATCCACAAATCGGAAACGCAAAATACAAGGAAATAAGTTAACTATGAAGAATCCAACGTGAAGAAACGCGACGATATATGCGTTTCTAGATCATACCCTCTCGAGATGGAACAGCAACGGGCGGAGGCCTATGGCCTGCCGAGCTGCCAGGTCGGTTCGTTGACCGAGGGGGCGGGGCCGGACTGGCCTTAGCCGACCGAGGTGGTCTGTCCCTTATGCTATTCGATGTACCTGGTCGCAAAGGGGATGCACTGGGAGGCGGAGACCTTGTCCGCCTGGGAAGTGGGGACGCTAAAGGGACGGGGGGAACTGGAGCAGAGAGCGGCGGCGTGCTGGTACCATATGTAGGCATTGCCGATGACAAGGGAGTACGAGCACGGCGAAGAGCGGGTACAGGAGGCATTTGGGTCTGAGACGGAGGGAACATGCCAGTGGCGGGTGTTGGGGTGTAAAATGAAGCTGATGAGTAACCCGAAGGTGGCGCTGAGGACAACGCAGTCGGCGTGGCGCCGGCTGCTGTGGTAGTCGCACCAGAGGAAGTAGAAGATGATGACTGCGTCATGGCTGAACTTGCGCTTGGCGTAGGAGAACGCCGGCTGACAGAGGATGTGAGTGAATGGGATAGTTTAGAGGATGATTTTGATAATTTAGGTGCTGTTATGCGTATATCTTGCAGGTCCAGCTTAGCGGGTTTGGTGGTGGTCTCCGACTCTTGAACGTTTTCTGCTAACAACTCCTCTAGTAAGAAACGGAAGTCAAGTCCATAGTCTTCAAGTAACTGCGAGAAATATTAGATGGGAGCATTCATGTAATCGGCATCCTTGCCTTCTTGCTCTGGGAGTATGTGATTTTCAGAGCTTCTTCGACTACCTTCGGATCGACATCCGAGCTAAAGACCTGTCTTCGGAACACATCTGCGTAATTCTCGATCTGACTTTTCGCCCAATCAATGAAAGCTAAACTGTTGTGTCAATACAGTTCAACGGATGTAACCTTTTGAACATACCACTAGCGACTTCATTCTCCTTAAAGCTCGCCAAAAACCAATCGGCGGTATGCTTGATGGCAGTGAAAGTCACAATAGCCAAGTCAGCAATATATGTACCAATGTGTCCTTCGAATTTGATTTTTCTGACAAAATTCTTGATGACCTGAGTACGCATTTTGAGGAACGTTGCGCGAGCGGCAGGGCCGGCGTTGAGACGCAAAAGAAGCGAGATCAGTGAAATAACAGTAGACTTCTTGTTCGAGACCAAAGACAAAGAAGACAAGAGAGCCGCAATCAGCTGCGAGGTCAAACCAGGGAGCTTTGGTGCCAGAGGAGGAACTGCAGCCAACTTCGCTTTACCTAACGGGGTATCAGTATAGATCGAAGCAAAGAAGAGGTTGAGTTGACCTTCTTCGACAAGCCTCGTAGCTTTTTCCCATTCCCGTAAAGCAATTGCAACAGTTAGATCGTCCGCCCATTCGCTGGTCCAACGAGCATCGCGCTCGAGTTTCTCCTTAGCATCAACGCCAGGAGCTTCTCCCGCTTTTGCAGCGAGCTCCCTCATCCATTCAGTTTGAGGCATGCAGTTCCGCATTGTATCCAGATGACCTCTATAACAAATACCATTTAGCAACCAGTTCGCGCCCACAGAAGTGGAGCTTACATCACCGGCGCCTTGCCATAAACTCTTCCTCCTTTCATGCTCGCCTTCACGTTCTTTGCGCTTCTTAGCAGCTAGCTCTTCGGCAACATGACGTAGTTGCTGAAGAAGCGACTTCTTGTCTGCTGGAGACTCTGTCCGGTAGACGTGTGTTTCCTTGCCGTGCCTGATCTTGAAGACATTTGTCATACTGGGGGAGTCCTTGGTGTCCAACACCAGCATTTCACTCAATGGCCAACATCGCTCCGCAACTAGCTTGCCTTCGCTAACACTGCCACCACTACGGGAATCGGGACCACCGTTGCGGCGTCGTCTCCTGGCGACCAACACAGCGTCGTCCAAGACAACAAACTTCACCTTGCCGACGACCTTGTATGTTGCCGCATTCAATGATAACACACCCTCCACTTCGCCTACGACATGTCTTCCTGGTGTAGTAGGCGCGAATTTGGCGGATCCCTCGATCTGAGTATGCAATGCCTGCATCTGGTTGAAATACATGATGCGTAGGTCGGCAACGGAGGAGCGTCGATACGAAGTCATAGTTGAAGATGATGTTGAAGTGGGGTCAGGAATGTGAAGCAAGGACGGCATGGATTTGTATTCCGAGAGGGATTCCTTCAATTCAATCATCTCATTCTCCAGAGTCGAGATTTCCTTGGAGATCAGCACGAATTCTGCATAACTGCAAGCCCGTTAGCAAGAATGAGGAGTAGAAATATTTCTAGTTACTTTTGAAAAACGTTCTTCTGGAGATCAGTAGCCGTATCATCTTTGGCTCCGCGTAGAGACGATTGTAGGGACTTGACTTCTGCTTCCGTCGAGTTCGCCAGCTTAAGCTTCAAGTCTATACAAAGTAAGAAATGTTTCCATAGTCCAAAATCGTTGCGCTCACAGGCATCCGGGTCAAAATCATCCTTGTCCAACAGTTTCTTATCGTTCTCTGCCGCCACCGCCGCTCCATCATCCCGAGTGCCAATCTTCTCCCCAACGACTTCATTCTGAAATCCATCCGTGATTACTCCAACAGTAGGGATGCTGGGCATTGGGGGTACATTAAGCTCTGTAGGTCCTGAAATGTCGGCATAGCGCATCGACATGCGTTTCTTAATCTTGTCATCGACACGAGATTTTCGGGCATCGCGAGGGCGGGGTGTTACACCTTGGGCAATCTTGGAAAGTTTCGTTCCAGAGCGCTGCACTTTACGCGCCGGCGCTTGAGAGCGTCGCGTCCGTAGCGACTGCATTGCTTATTGAAGGTGGTGGTAGAGCGAAGGAACGGCTTGAGACGGCACACATGCCGGAGTTTCGGAGATTCAATATTGGTCCGTTAAATCCGAACCCTGATCCGCCTCTTGTTTCGATCTCAACGCCGCAATTTGAATTCCAACGAACTGCGAGCACCGGCTCTGTCAATCTTTTTTCTCTTCTTTGGCCGACATTTGCTGGGAATAAACAGGATATAAGGTCGGCTGTTTTACCCCGATCTTTCTTCTTTCTGTTACTTACTGAATCGTGTGTACGTAGCTGCCGTTTCAAAGGTTCTCGTACTGAGGCACAGGCTTGATACATGAATATATGAATGCCCTCCCCTTCTGGCGTACTCGGGATATGATAACTTCCTGATGACCTCAAGTCACAGTGAACCTTCCGAGGGAACGGGCCACAGCGTGTGATCTATGTTGCCCTCGATAACTCGATAATACTTCAAGCATCGCTGTACTGCCGATGTGATGAGCTGATTTCCCATCTCAAATTGTGTATGCATTGCATCTTACGTTTTTATTTATGCAGAAGTTAAGCGCCATTAAACTGAGGCCTCTTCGTTGATCTGCGCCCCGGTTACCAACACGTCACTCACCGTGGTACGGTGACATTTATGGTAGTTTAGGGCATGTTCCCACATATGGTCAACAAGGATCCGTCAAAACCAATCATGAGGATGTCATAGATGCCATTTATGTTTTACGCTTCTTCCAAAGTTCTTGGTCTTCTACCACCACGACACTCTTTCTCCCCCCACTCTCCTTTCTAATTTTTGTGTGGCCCTACGGGTCCCTTTTCAGATGCCCTGGAGGCGCCAGAAACCATCCACCTCTGGTGGTAATGCCTCAGGGAAAGGTCTTCCTTCAGGTATGTTCCATTACGGCTCCGTCAGTTCTATACTGACATATCTCCCCAGGCTTTTCCAACAAATCATCACGGTCGAAGCTGCAGCTTGATGGGTCAAGGTTTCAACCCACCTTCCCTTCTCATCAGCGCGGTTTGAGCGAATCCCATCAGCGTCTGCGCCGTGGACTTCAAGAACAGAGCGAGTATCCCCGTTCTGAACTTATGACGATCCTCTCACCTTTCATTTAGATGGCAAACACAAAGCCGACGGACAAGTGAACCATAAGAAAGGCGCTGCGGACGACGATGGCGGGCGACATCACTATCTAGGCTCTGGTCACCAGAGAAACGACGATGATGACGATGGCAGCCACCACGGCGACGACAGTGAAGATGATGACTCGGACAGCGATGACGACGACGGTGATGATAGTGATGGCAAGAAGTCTGGTCGCGGTGGCAGCTCAAAGTCTGCTTCCCATGGAAGCGGATATGGCATTGAAAGCGGGAATGGTGGAGCACCCAACAATGGCGGCAACGATGGTAACGGGAGCGACAACTCCAGCAACCCGGATCCTCAGACCAGTGATAATTCCTCCAACGATGGAGGAAGCGCGACTGGGGGAGGAAACGCGGCGTCATCTACTACCGGCAGTAGTTCCGTCGGCATTGCTGAAACAACCCCTGGTCCCGCCACTAGTGAAAGCACGTCACAATCATTGCAGTCTTCCTCCGTATTATCCCAGTCGTCCTCCGTAGCATCCGAGTCCCAGTCTTCCTCATCGCTATCATCCATTACATCCGATATTGTGCCGACCAGTACCTCCGCCGACCTAGTCTCCGTTACGGCAAACTCTACTGAACTTACTATCACTTCTTCGAGTTCATCTTCATCAACTCCTGTCCGGGTGGTTGTATCATCACCGACCTTTACAGTTCCCTCCACGATATCCGCCTCCTCAACCTTTATCACTCCACTGTCAACAGTGACGTCGGCGCCCATCGCCGTTACGAGTTTAGCGCCAACACTCACCGCAGTCCCCATATCACCTAGTAATCCCAGTTCCCCGTCTTCTGAGTAATGCCGTCTTTTTCATATGCATTGCTCCCGTTCTAACGAAAACTCTTTTTTCTAGCTTGTCACGCACGTCTTTTGTACCCATAATTGGTGGGATTGTAGGTGCCGTGGTCGCCGTTTCTGCGGTACTTCTTGTCATACTCTTTTGCCTTCGTCGACGGCGACAGAGGCACTGTGCCAAGGTGGACTCTGGCTTCGCTCCGTACAACTCGTTCAAAGACGAAAAAGCACCAAGTAGCCAGAATGGCGATGCCCCGTCACAGATTCTTCCGCCGCCCATGATGCGTATCTTCCATCGAGTATCGTCCCTTCTCATACGCCCTCGGCCCTTTGCACGTCCTGCGGAGAGCCGCGCTCAAACTCCTATTCACAATCCCTTTGCCGAGACTACTTCTTTTGCGAGTTCTCGAGTCTCTTGGTTGAGCTATGTCTCTGTCCATCCTACACTGCAGGGGGGGACTGGAGTAATAGAAGAAACCATGAGATCAAACCCATTTGACGATCCGGTGGATCCTTCTGCTAATACCCACACCCTTTCATCGCCTTTAGAGCGAGTGTCTTCACTACTACCAGGTACAACAATCTCAGAAAGGCGTCGTTCAACCCCACTTGTCTCGTCTCCGCCCGAAAATCGACTCTCTATGACCGCCTCTGCTGAACTATCACCACAGGAAGATCCGAATCGATTCTCCAGCTGGACCGATAGGAAGACGATGTCTCGTCATTCAGCGATGAAAGACAGTCCTCTTCAGAAACTCAGTCTGGAACTGCATCCAGTCGATGTGGGGAGCTCAAACAACGCAGGTACATATCTGACAGGGCAGCCGAGGTAAAGCGTGTCGGAGAAATGACATGGTTTGAATTCTGCGGGCCTAAGGCGCCAAGTGAGCTATTTTGATACTCCATTGCTAGCGGGTCGGGCATTCCACAACGCCCCGTCTGCCGCTGGCAGCATACCACTCTACTTTTTGAACTCGTGGGACCTTATGTATTTAACTTTTATTTTCTATCTTTCTATTATTTATCTAATGTATTATAGAGTTCGTACTATTTCCGTAATTACTGTTGTATCGTCTATCACGTACAGTTTCGAACTAGAGTATCCATAAAAGCGTCCCAAGTAAAACTCTCCAGTGATCCTCTTTGCCGCAGCTTCTCAATCTTCAGCTTGAACATCACGGCTCCTTGACGGAACAACCCGACATCTCGTACACGGAAATAATCGAAAGTGATGTCCGTCCGCGATATATAGATATCGACCGTGGATATTGGGTCAAAGATCTTGGGAAACAAAGAGATGGTGCGATAAGGCAAATACCTAGACAATGATTATTCAGGATGGTTAAAATTCGGGTGTTAGAAGGGGCTCAACTGCCAACGAGACTCGCTTTGCTGCAATGTAGGAAGCTTGATCCACCGACATTCCTTCGCGATGAATGCCAATGATCCATGATCATCGAGCCAATTACGCCGCAATTGGGCGTCCAGCCGTCCAAAAGCATACATCCGTTGATTATATACGTTATGGATATGCCATTGGTTAGAATAGCCTGATATTCTGGTTTCATCACTTTCGTCGTTGAGAACGACTTCGGTGAGAAGGTCGTCGAGACGGATGGTGTGGCAATTAAGAACAGTGAAAACGAGGTTTCGACGCAGCTTCTGCAGCCATATTGGTGTTTTTGAGGATGAGAAAACGCGGACCCGGAAATCATGTATCTCCACGGTTGCGAGAGAACCAGACGTAAAGCGTAACGACTGCGGAAGGATCCAGAGGGTGATGTCTAGCTCAGCGATAGAGACATGACAAGCATCATCCCGATATTCGTAGCCAAGGATCTTCAGTAATCCTATTCTAGGATTTGAAAGTCTTGGAAAATGTCCGGCAAAATATATCTTAGCAATGGTGATTTCCAACCAGTTGCTGCTGACATATTTATACCATAGGCTTATATGGATATCGTGTCAGTTAATTCTTTTCTGTCAACAGAATATTTGTACCTGTATAGAAAAATAAACGGATAGATGAGGAAAAATGGAAGAAGCATTGTAAGTGACGATGTGGAGAAAATCCAAAACCATGCGCCCTACAGACGTCATGCTGTGGCTGTGCATGCCATCACCTTCGCCTCACCCGAGTCCCTCGCCCTCAGGCCTCAGGGCTCGCAATGTTCGCATGCCTGCTTTGTCCAGGCAGCGCACTATACCGACGGAAAATGATGCTAATTTGCTCATCTGACTTGAAAGAAATCTTCTTTTAGCTCTGGATTGGCCATATGATACCATTTTCAATCAGGTTTGCTTCTTTCGTTACCCCCGCGTGGTGGAAGTGGTGTTACGGAGTTAAAAAAACATTTTAGATCACTACAAATGTACAGAGAACGGACCGTCAGGCGGACCGTGTGTATGCCACACCATCAGATGACTTTGGTTCTTCAGTACAACAACCGAACTTCTGCGAGACCGGTATCACTTATTGGCACCGGACCCAGTCTTCGCGAACATTATAAATCTAGGTTCTCATGATCCTTCTTTCCCCTAGCGTTCTGTCTAACGAAATTATTTCATGGCTAGAACGGTGCCAACCACCAAGCGTGCTATTCTGCTCGCCATTTTCGTTGCCTTTGGTATGTGCACTCCTTGTTTCGAGGCTCGTACCTACTGATGATCATATAGGAGGTAAGTCGATACTTATACCTCAAGTAGGAACCATGAATGACTTTCTTTGCTAGGATTTCTATTCGGATACGATATCGGAGTCATCTCGTGAGTGTTCCTCGGGTACAACAATAATCGAACTAACATGTTACGTCGTTACAGAGGATGTCTAATCATGCCTGATTTTATACGTCGTTTTGGTAATCCCGATACCACAAAGCCTGGAGAATATATCTTAGACAGCAATCGGCAGTCTATTATCACATCCCTTCTGTCAGCAGGAACATTCGTGTAGGGTTTATTGTATGCTACCGCTCAGTGTACTACTAATGCATTTGTAGCGGTGCCTTGGCGCAAGCTTTCACATCTGATAGATTCGGCCGCCGTGGTTCTATCCTTATCTGGGCTGCCATTGTAAAATTCCATCTAGCGATGCCCTGTACATAATACTAATGGTTTGCTCGCTCTTTCCCAGTTCACGGCCGGGACCGCCATACAAACTGGGACGACAACGTCTATCGCCCAAATTTCGATTGGCCGCTTTATTGCAGGTCTTGGTGTCGGGGCTATGTCAGCTATTGTCCCGTACGTTCCTCGCATTTTTAACAGTGCGATCTTATATACTAGTGGGATAAAGATTGTATAATGGAGAGACGGCTCCCAAGGCATTGCGAGGGATGCTCTTGGTGTTATATCAACTCCAAATCATTATGGGGTAGGTCACTGCACTATTTTATTCCTCCCATGTCTTGAATCACCTACTTCCAGTATATTCATCAGCTACATCATCGATCTCGGGACACATACGATTTCTGGTTCCGCATCTTGGCGAATCCCCGTCGGACTGCAGATGCTTTGGGGTCTGATTATCTTGTCTGGAATCTTCTTCCTACCAGAGTCACCGTGCGTCTGTGTCACTAGAATCAGATAAGCGGTACTGATCTCCTTTAGTCGGCATCTTTTGGGTACAGATCGAATGGAGGAAGCTCGGAAAGTTATTGCTGAGCTAAATGGCGTTCCCTTAGACGATCCTCTTACCGAAGAGACTGTCGAAGAACTAATGTTCAGCATTAGAGCCGAGAATGAGAACGGAAAGGCAACATGGCTCGAATGTTTCTCAACGAGGAACGCGTTATGGAAACGTACAATTAATGGCATGATGCTGCAATTTATTCAGCAGCTCAATGGACAGAACTTTTACTGTAAGGTTTCGTTTTCCGGTCTACGAGGGAGCTGACCTGATTTACTATCTATAGATTACTACGGAGATACATTTTTCCAGAGTGCCGGAACTGAGTACGAGAAGATTATTTTAGTATTGGGTTCAGCCTTACATTGCCTAGGCTCTCACCTTATGTTATTCAAACTATCCTGGGAGCGGTCTCCGTTGCAGGTACCGTTCCCGCTTTGGTGAGTTCTCGGCCTTGTCCATTCACATGCTCTGAAACGCTTGAACACGCAGTATCTAATTGAAGCGTGGGGTCGCCGTCGTGTGAGTTATATGTGATTTCATCTGTGAAACGAAATACTGATATTCGCCTGATAGTCTCTTCTTGTTGGTTCCGTGTTGGAAGCAATCTGTTCCCTCATAGTTCGCATATCTTTTTAGCCGCGAGCAATGAGAAACCAACTCACATCCGATCCCTCTTAGGCGGGACTCGTTGGCCACTTCACTCTCGCACCATCAGGGACCCCCGCAAACCAGTTAACTCAGCGTAATAAACAAGGAGGTAACGCCTCTTTTATTTGTCCTGTCGCCGTCCACTCTTGAAACTTAACTTTACAGGCGATGCACTAATCGCATTCGCAGTTCTACATGTCTTCTCCTACGCCATCTTCTGGGGACCAGTTCCGTACGTTTAGAATTCTATGACGATATTAGACAGAGACATGACCTGCCATTTACTAGGTGGGTATACCTCGGTGAATCTTTCCCCCTTCGAGTTCGGCCCAAAGCCATAGCACTCGGAAGTGCCACGAATTGGCTATGGAACTTCTTGCTCTCATTCTTCTCGCCACGAATTGCGAATGAGTAGGTGCTGATTCATCTATTTGCGAGCATATCTAAAATTGTTGTCCGCCAGCATTGGCCCTCTCATCCTGCTGATATTTTTCGGGATGTTGGTCTTCGGTACGTATATATTGTACTATGATATTCGTCAAAGAGTCATTATGTTTGTTCAGGATATGCATACGTATATTTATTCATTCCAGAGACCGAGGGCCTCAGTCTGGAAGAGGTAAATGGTTACACATCACCGTGAGGATTATTTTGATCATTGCCTTTAGGTTGATGAGATGTACCGCTCTGGTGTTAAGCCGTGGAACAGTCCATCCTGGAAACCCCATCTACTTGACCACATGCATGCTGCCCAGGCCGAAGTTAAGGTTGATGAGAAGGACTCAGCTTAAGAAATGGCTATCGCAGTATAATACATTTCAATGAATATAAACATCGTGACATTCATTGTGAGCCAGGGCCTTGTGTCTTCTCTTCTGCCCCTGCCCTGGCCCTTCTCTTTGAAGCGAATGTTGGAGTACGCTGTTCAGCTCAGATAAGCGGGACTCCGGGATTAGCAGGGAACCCTCGCAAACGCGCGAGGGGCTCGATTACAAGGTATCCTACTTTATATACTAATGCTAAATTTAGAAAATATACTACGGAAAGGAGGGGTGGCCGTCGGAAGCGCGGCGCATTTGGTATTTCAACAGCGAAAGAGTTTTTGGAAGTAGAGAAAAACAGAAACGAGTGGTTTAGTCAGACAATGTCGGGAGAAGTAGACTCGCAACTACTCCCCAGGTGCGAACGGTGCAACGGCGGGTGTCAATGCTACCGCGTCTTATGCAACTTTCTGGTTGCCGCGAGTCTCAATATAACCAAAGAAATCGCATTGTATTATTCAGTACATATGCCCACTGCTACTGCGTTCAAGGTTACTGAATCTCGTGTGTGACCGAGGCAGCAACTGCAAGTTGAATTGCCTGGATTGCCAACGCCACTTTCAATTTGCCTGCCCTTATGTTATCACGTGATCGCTTCACCGCTCGCAGGTCGGAGACTCGGAGTTGAAAACTAGCGGTCGTCGTTTGACGACTTTGATACCTTGCTTTAGCGGTTATCAAAGAGGCTCTTGCACTTCAAATTCATGTTGAATTGGTAGGACATTTATAATATTTGCAAGTCAATTGCAAGTACACATACTTACCTCCCTGGTGCTGGTTGAAAATCATTTCCACCGGTAAGGCCCCAGTACAGACATTTATACTATCACAAAAGATCGGTTCGTGATAGCCCAGGTATGCAATCAGTGTTCATGGATAAGTTGAAGGATGTGGATGTTCCTGGTTCCGAGGGCCAAAGATAATTTGTAGATATCCTTCTGTCTGCCCTGGATAGTTTCTACGAAGCTTTGAAGAAAAAGCATCGACGATGGAGTGATATGAATCATACCTTTTGTTTGTGTTTCAATGAGGAAATTTAGGATAATCCCTGGTAGTTGTTTGACAATGTCTTTGCTAACGATGCTATAGACATGGACACCTTTTGCCCTGAAGGCATCTTGTAGTGAGGTATCATAATTACTGAGGAAGTAGTACACCAATACCCGCTGGCTCACGAAGACAGGACTGACGACTACAGTCTACATGTGTTATCGGCTAGTATCGGGTGATTCCGTCGCACGTGATATCTCCCGATTAATAAGCACGGGTAATAGACCTGGAGAGACCTTCCGGGCAAGCAAGGTAATTCTAGTTGTTCAAGTCCTCGTGCAGACCGTCCCATTCACTCACATCCTCCGTCGGTCAGAGGTTCTCCTGTGCCAAGCGCAAGTTCAGCCATGACAGAGCTATCGGTCTTCTACTTACTTCCTCTGGATGATTGCTTACACTGAGCTGCTCTCGTTCCTAACCTGTTATTGCCCTCGTCTCAGGTCAGGATCATTATTTTGCACGGTCCACAGTCTTTTAGGTTGGGTGTGCGTCTCTGTACAGCTTGTATTGGATTGATGCTTCCGTGGCAATGCGTCATACTTTCCACAGACTTGTGGCGGTGCTTCGTTTCATATCTTGCTTAATCAGTACCACCCCACTTAGTAACCCATTTGATGACAAAGAACGGGGAAATTCACCTACACTTGAAAAAGGGCGGGTCTAAAACGTTTCTATCCCATCCCGGAATAAGATGTCTACCCACGTCGCTATCGCTGCAGTCGCGAAAGGTCAATTCGACGAAGTACATGTTCCAACTCAGAAACCTCAACAAGGGGAGGTTCTTTTGAAGGCAGAATATGCGTCGATGGTCGCTTTCGACACGTATGTTACGGATCTCGGATACGCAACCGACACGTTCCCCGTTGTTCTTGGATCCAGTGCCGCGGGAACCATCGTCGAGCTTGGCCCCAGTGTCGATGATCTTAAAGTCGGGGACAGGGTATGCTTTAACTAATATGCGAGGCATTTTCTTTACTCAAAATTTCTGGAATGTATACAGGTCACTGCATTCGCATACCAGGGTTCCAGGTCCAAGGCTATGCAGGAATACTCAATCCAATCGCGGACAGTCTGTGCAAAGGTATCGCTCAGCTCAGTTGCTGAATTCATGTCGGCTATGACAGAGCTTGTAACTGAATTTTAGGTACCCGATTCTATGCCGTTAGCTGCCGCGGCTACGATACCAGATCATTTTGTAGCGGCGTTCCATACACTCTTCAAGTGAACTTGGACTTCCTGTCCCAAAGACATTTCCCGCCTGTCGAATCTCCTCCCTCTTTCTTCTGCTCCAATTCTGGATCTATGGCGCTGGATCTACAACCGGTCAATATGTTATTCCAACTTCTTCATACCGCCGGGTATAAAAATGTCATTGTCACTGCCTCCTCGAAGCATCATGCATATCTGACCTCGCTCGGTGCTACTGCAACCATCGACTACCATAGTCCTTCGCTTGCCGAGGACATCGCGAAGGCAGCTGGGGGCGATGGAAAAGTCATGCTTGCTGTGGATTGTATCACTGCTGAAGGAACGATAGCTGAAGTTGCTGAAGGTGATAAGCCCGACAGGTACAGTGGCGTTGCTTTTACCTGTGAAGGAGGGAAACAACGTTCGAGGGGAGGGAGAGTCCCAGATGTATATGGAAATACCTGAAGGCCGGAATCCGTTTCCGAAAAGTGTGAATGTTTGTGGTGTGCGCACGTTCCTCTACCAAGAAGTGAGTTCTTTTCCGTTTATTGTCAAACCTTTATTGAAAGCTGTTTGTGAAGAATGGGTTTCAGAAAGAGAATGTGATGCCTAAGATTCTTCCTGAATTACTGGAGAAGGGAATTATACAGCCTAATCGGGTTCATTTACTTGATGAAGGCAGCTTCAAGGATAGGGTAGCTGTAGGCTTAGACTTATTGAGACATAACAAAGTCAGTGGGGAGAAATTGGTAGTCAAGATTGAGGTTTAATACCCCGTTCGTATGCGAAAATGCAACTTAGCAAGTAGACAATAGTATTTCATTTATTATCGGAAGTGCGTCAAGGATGCTTAAATGACCTCATGAGTGGGAGAAATTCAGAATCCTCGGAAATTATAATGAGATCGATGAATATTGCTTGAGGTTGTCAGCTCAGTCTGTTCGAATGACGGCAAACGCCACATGGCCTGCCCTTATGTCAGCACGTGACCGCATTAACAGTTGCGAATTGAAATTATTCTTTTGATCTTGTTCCAAATTGTGTACAAAGTAGAGCGAGTGGCGTCTGTTGTTTCGCCGCCGTATAAATCTGCACCCTGACCGCTGTGAGTTCCTAATTCTCTGCCCTGCCGCCGTCGGATTCTCACAATCTTCCTAGCAGAACCGCAGCCACCAACTGGTACGAGTTTCTTGGGCGACGGTGGATCAGTTATTGATATCCGTTTAGGTTCTCCTATAAAACGCCAGAATTAAAATCGGCTCACTTTGCTTCAAGCCCCCCCACTGACACGAAGTAGCTGCGAATATTCAGATCGAAAAAAATAGCTGCACACTGGATTGGGTCTATGCCGATCGAACTCTTTCTTCACGAGATTATGGGCGCATCTGGTGATCCATTCACGCTTATATCTCCTGGGTATCTTCACGACATCTTCGAGCCGATTGAACTACCGACGGAATATGGCAGTGCAAAGGAATACGCGAACACCATCGTGAGTTTATGTCTTATGGTTGTCTTGATGGTACTTTGAAGGAGAGCGTGATTCAAGAAGTAGCGTCAGAGCCCGTTCCCAGATTGAATTTTGTTCAAGGCGACGAATTCAAGGTCGCTAACTTGGCCGCCAACACTGTTACTGACACATTCGTGTACGCCTCCGACGTCAACACTACGACTGGAACAAAGTGGAACTGGTTGGAGTTCAAGAGAGCTTTCTTCTTCTACGGTTTTAAGGATGGCCCAGCCAACCCTCATGATTGGGTGTCGCAGACGCTCTCAGATCGTGGTCAGCTTGCTGAGGAGACTCTGAATGCGCAGTATCGACGACACCTGTTCACACTTAGTCTTAAGTCACGGTTCATCAAGTCGGAGAGGGCGTACACGATCGTATCGCTTCGATCTTCCGACCGGAGGCAAATGCCTCGTCGAGTTTCTGTATCGGTTTTCTGATAGCGATCGAGGGAAAGATGACACGGTAACACTGGCCACAGAGGAAGAAATGTCTTTGGTAGAGCCTCTCTTGAAGCCTTGGACGACAAATACCGGCGTTCATTTGTGAAGACTCGAGTGCTTGATGGTGACAGCGAAAGGGAAGACCTTGCTGGTCCGGCCATTGCTGTTCCATAAAGTATCCTGGGTAGAGCGATGTTGCGTCTTCCAGTATACGACGTGAAGACTAAAAGCCTCCAGTTCCTTAAGGATAACTTGCAGGAGGAATCCGTGATGCTGAAGATTCGTCAATGCAGTTGGCGACCGCAATGTTCTGACTTTTGTCTGCGGTAGTGTCGTTTCTAGCCAGAAAACTACGTCCTACCAATATATTGACAACGATTGGAACCTCGGAGCACCTCTGCCGCTCACCTGTATCCGTAAGCACCAGCATTTGTTGACGGTACGGGTTGGACAACCTGTAAAGGGCTTCAAATCCTAGAAGCAGTTTACGAGAGTGGTCTATGAGGCTTTTTTGGGTGAGCGATGATATTAATATTTGATTGTCACATTTGTTAATCTAACCCCGAATGTAGCTCATGAAGATGCCTTCACAAGATGCAACATTCTTCATCGTAATGCCAATGGCGGGAATATTTTGATCGTATACAACGAGAAGGCGTCGAAAAATAACCATGATGGCAGAGGTCGTGGCTTGTTGGACGATTGGGATACGGGTGTACACACTGCCGACTTGGATAAAGCGGCGCGACAAGCCGAATGCATGGTCAGTGGTTTAAGTAGGATGGTCCAGAGGACCCGTGAAGTGTTGTAAAATGGGGCTGCGTGCCCATAATACATATGCACATAATGTTCCAGGTCTATAAATGGGACTACTTAACGCCCATCGACCCCGAATCAAAACTCAGAATCGAGTATATGTTACGGAATCTTAGATCCTCACAGTCGCAACTTGATAGTACATATATGATACAGTACAATACAGATAGTAATTCATTAGTAGCCGCTGCGCTTCTTCTTTTTTGATGAAGGTCCAGGAAGTTTTACGGCCCTTTGGCAAACAGGACAACGACCAGAGACGCCAGTTAACCAGGGGTCCAGACAAGTCGGCTACTAAGAGTAAGTTTCTATCACAAAACGACGAGAACGTAGGCACGTACGTGAAATACATGTCCACATGCTAAGAGCCTTAATGGTTGCGCACCATCTCCGGCATCTTCTAACTTCAACTCGGCATTGCCATGTGTAGGTGAGCGTCCCGCCTTGAGTGACAACCCCTTGTCTTTCTCCGACGTGCTTACTACTTGTTTTGGCTCTTCAAAGTCCATTAAGCAAATGGCGCAGGTAGCACGATTGCCTTCCAAAACGACAAAAGGGTATCCCCCTTGCTCCCAGTGGTCTTCCCATGTCTCAGAAGCATCAGGCTTCTTACCTTTGCTTTTACTTGGAGTGGACGGTTTATTTGGAGGTTTACCGGCTGTTTTCTTTTTGATTTTGAGGAATCTAGATCGCTGTTTTGATGAAGCGGTAGTACTGGAACCTGGGGGAGGCGGAGGACAGATGTTACATATCGCTCTGGGAACCTTGGGTTTCGGAGGTGGTGGGATGTACGTAGCGAGAGGGATTCGGTCAACCACTGACTTGGACAGCTTTCCTATTTCGGGGTTGATACTCATGCCGGGGTGTCCTCCTCGGTGAGTCGGGTTTTGAAGGGGATGGCGCCCGAGATACCTGGGGGATATGTTCCAAAACAACTGTGAAACAGTAAACATGTTAAAAACGAGGTTTGGATGTACGCGACGAGCGTGCTTACAAAGAGTATTGGCAGGATCAAAAGTACTATCAGGCCTAGGATGAGGACGACCATTCCTAGTAGCCTGATAACCAAGCCCTCTAACCCGACGTGAAAGCAATGTACTTCAAATGATCGTAGCTACACCAAAACCCAAATCCAGAAACACCTCCCTAATTTGGACACCGGCAAAGTCCGTAAATGTCTGTGGCGGCCATGACAAAGTAGAGCCCAAGATTGGATGTTCTGCTGCCGTATAATATCTGCGGTACCTTGACCTCTGTGAGTTCCTCACTCTCTGCCATGCCGCCCTCGGATACTCACAATCTTCGTAGTGGAACCAATCAGAGCAAACATGAACAGCCGACGACTGGTACGCATTTCTTGGGCGACGGTGGGATCAGCGGCTGACGTATACTTAGGCTCTCCTATCAAACACCAGACTTACAATCAGTTTACTTCGGTCAGGATCCCCCCGACGCGACTTCGACAAGACAGATCGAAAGAAATGGACAGTCACTGGATTGGGCCCATGTCGGTCGAGCTCTTACTTCACGGGCTTATGGGCACGCCTGGTGCCAGTCAATTGACGCATCTCTCACCGAGCCATCTTCACGGCATCTTCGAGTCGATCCAATCACCGGCAAAGTGTGGCAATGAAAAGGAGTACGCGGACGCCGTCGTGAGTTTGTCTTGTGATCGGTCTACAACGTTTTTATGATGCTTTATAGGAGAGCGCGATTCAAGATGTAGCGTCAGAGCTCATTCCCGGATTGAAACTAGTTCAAGGACGGTAATTCAGCCACCAGCGTTGTCACCGACGCATTCGTGTATGCCTCCGATGTCGACACTACGAATAGTCCCACTCAATGGAACAAAGCGGAGCTCTGGTTGGAGTTCAAGAAAGCTTCCTTCTTCTACGGTTTCAAGGATGACAACCCTCATGATTAGGTGCCACAGACGCTATCAGCAAACAATTATCTTGCTGCAGTGAATCCTACCCTTGACGGTTGCACGGCAAGGAATTTTGTAACGGTAACCTGTTACCCCCTGAAGGACGCGCAATATCAAAAGCTAGTGTTTTCCAACCACTTCGCCTTGATGAGATCTGCCGCGCGCTCCGCTATGATATACGTTGGAACCTGAGTATGACCAGCCGGCACAAAGGGCTGCAGCATTACCCCAGCATCAGTCCAACACTTAGATAGAATAAATCCGGACAACCCACAAAGATAGACGCGTCAACCACGCGTAACCCAGATACGCCTTTCACGACCAAATCTGGATCTACGACACCATAATCTGCAAACCTCGGGGACATACTAGCAGTACCCACAGGGTGAGCAGCCGTCCCAACGTTTTCGCGCACATACTCCTCTAGAGCTTCGTCCGTTGTCGCGTTGACCAATCCACCATACGCCTCTAGGACATAACCCTCCCACGCTGGCGCGGACAGAAATCGTTTAGCGCTTTTCACTGCTTCTATCATAGCGAAAACGTCAAATTCACTTGCGAGATAGGCTGGGTCGATCAGTGGAGGATCTAATGGATTCGAAGAGTTTAATTTGACTGTTCCGCCTGGATAGTTCAATCAGATGTGACTTGCAAACAGGCATGACAGGGATTTCACGTACGTGAAGCCGGTGATACAACGCAAGTCGCTATGCTCATAAAGTTTCCAGTGTCTGGAATACCAGAGACTGGTATGCTCCATGCATTCTACCAGGCGGGAGATCAGCCACATTCAAGCATCGCCGGATGGGAACTCCATACTTGAATTTCAAGCTCGGTATGAGGAGTGTTTCGTCCGGCCGCCGGATCGTTGACCCTTTCAAAGATCGGCGAATTGTCGGGAAGACGTGACCATGCGATATGACTGAGAAGCGTGTCCACTAACGGCCCTGTCCTCGTCTCGTTCCATTGCGTCACCAGTTCGTTTCGGTACGTCAGATTTCGGAAGATGTCGTCCCAGGTGTTGGTATCATTAACGTACCATTTGTTCCAGAGTATCGGCTGGTCAGACAGGTTCTTGCCTACATCCGGCAAGTCGACAATGGCCTGTATGCCAACCTCCGAAAGTTCTACTGCACCGCCGATGCCGGAATTGAGAAGAATATGCGGCGTTCCTATGGCTCCTGCAGAAAGGATGATTTCCTTGGCTGCTGTAACAGTGAAAAGCTGCGTCGATCCTACACGGAATTTTGTCAATCTGGGACTGGGTAGGCACGCGGAAAGTAGGACACGTACCCTCTGAAGAGGCGGAAAATTCCACAATATCGAAATTGAGCTCGGCCTCGTCACTCTGAATGACCTTGGTCACTTGAGCACCGAGCAACACGTGAAGATTCGCTCTGTTGATAAAATCGGGACCTAAGTACGATACAGCAGAGCTACTTCTTTTGCCGTCATTGATTGTGGCTTGCATATATCCTGTGGAAGTGACGTGAGGTGCGTTACATGTATTGAGTGTGGAGGTAATGTTAGCGCACCTACGCCAGTAGGCATCCCTGAATTGACGTCGAGTAGAAGGGGAAACTCGTCGGGTAACTCGGATGTTGTTCGTAAGACTCGTTCATCAGTGGGTTGAGGGTAACCTGGAAGGCTGACTGCGTTTATGCCGTCTAAGCTATGTATAGCTGGGTCGTATTGTCCGGTAGTGTCGTGACTGTCGGCAGGCGGTACCCATTTTTCATTCTACGACGAGCGCCGATGAATATGAACCTCGCGACATTTACGGAAGGTTTGGAGATACCAACCTTGGAGACATAAGGCTTGAGACTCTCCCAAGACCAGCCTGGGTCCCCGGTGAAATTTGCGTACCGGTCGTAATCCTCTGGAGAGCAGCGGGTATAAATCATGGCATCTATAGATTGATGGAATATTAATTCCAAGCAAATCCAATGACAATAACAACGCACTGATAGAAGTACTTCCGCCGAGCACATGACCTCTTGGAAAGGTAGTAGTCCTGTTGTTGAGGCCAGGTTGCACGGTAGTCGAGTAATTCCAATAGTATGGGTCGTTCCCTAATAACCCCACTAGATATGGTATTTCAATCGACAGCAGGTCACGATCGCTAAGAAACAATGTCAGAATATGATGGATCCTCTGTTTCTTGACACTCACGATGGTCCAGCTTCAAGAATAAGGACGGAAAAGTCTTCCTCAGTCAACCGATTAGCTACAACAGCGCCGCCTGCACCACCTTGAAGTACGTGTTGTGTTAAGATCGATTTACGGAGAATTAAGGGCAAAGCAAACGTACCGCCAATGACCACAAAGTCAAATTCCGTACCAGGAAGATCAGCTACGCTCTCATAGATTGCGCCGTAGCAAATAGAAGCGCACAGGAAAAGGCTGAACAGTAGAGGTGCATGGAGGTGCATCGCTGCAGCTTTCAAAACGGCATTGACACTCCTTAAATAGCGCACAAATTTCAACATCGGCCTAAAGATCATCTGGACAAAGGTATTATAGCCAAGACTATCAGCCTGAGAGAATTAACGCAGCGCTGTGGAGTGTAATTTGATGGAAGATGTATCAGCCAAGTCTTAGAAGACTTTAGCGCTCATAAGTTCTTTACGTCGTAAACGAACGTACCTGACCTGCTGATACGTTCTCGGGACTCCCTCTATTTCTCCGAGTTCTACCCTTCTATCCACCGCTTTGGCATGTATATCAGCAATCTCTTTGGTCATTTATACCCGTGCCTTATAAAGCTGTTCACTTTCTCGCGTAGGCCATCTCATTCCGACGTATTGGACTTTGCTTGGCTTGCTGACATCCTAAATCGTATGGAAGAAAATAGAACTTGGCCGTCACAGTATGGAAACGCAGACGTCCATGATGGCGGTGACGGCAGAAAAGATTGTCATCAAGTTGTCAGAATCGGTGCCGAATGTCTACGGCAGCGCTGCAACGTAGCATGGCATTAGTAAGCGCGTCGGATTGCTTGAACGAAATACAATGAGCTGGGGGTGACTGTATAGGGAAAAAAAAACATGAAAGTTTTTTGCTATGGAATGCAATAGCCTTTCAACCACGTGGCGACAAGTCCCGACAGAGAGATGATGAGTAGACCTGTGACCGGTCCCCACAATGAGCAAGCGTCGATGTGAGTCATTGTGGGGACCGGTCACAGGTCTAGATGATGAGAGCATCATGTCGCAAAGCCTTATTATCTCTCTTTGCGCACTTGATCCCTGCCTCAATATGTTGAACCAGACCACAAAGTATCGCAAATCGTGAGCCACACCCAGCCACGGGACACTTGAGTACCCTCGCAGGGTTGGTTGAGAGCGCCTGAATTGAAGGAACGTTCACACGTGCCAGTGGTACAGCGAGTACCGGTTCTCCCAATGTGGCTCGTGTCTTAGGGCCTCAAAAAGTCAACATCGAGATGTTACATCTATTCCGGCAAAGGTGTCTACAGGTCAGATGTGAATTTCATCTGCTCTGTCACCCGTCCAGGGACATGTGTTGCTTTCCAACGCATCTGATATGGCCTTCCGATGTTGAACACGATCATCTCGTCGACAGAGGTCAGGATCGACCCGGACTTCCCGGTGGAACAAATCATAGACAGTCTGAGGAGCCGGCAAAGTAATCTGGGGCGGGTACCATTCAGTGACAAGCCCCACAGCATTCTGAATCCACGAGTTGAAAACCAAGTCAGCAAAGACCACATTCCAAATACTTCGGGCCTCCTTCGTATTCCGTACGTATGACATTTTCCAAACTTGTCCAGTGTTGAGACTGAAAAATCCTTGAAGCCAGTGTAAGGATGCCGTAGGCGAATAATTCCATGGGAGGCGCAAGAGTCCGCAGTACAATGCCACGTAGACCAGCGACTCGATATCGTGGACAAGGAGATGACTATAGTGTCGTAGTTCACCCGGATTGCCCATTACTGACGGAAGCGACGCAATGCACCTGAATGCAGCGCTTTCCTATAGCGATGGATTTCAGCAGATAAACAGTGAGAAAGGATATACCATACAGTTCGCCCCCGTTTTATAATATGACCATCATTGCGTCCCTCTGGGCCTGCAGATTCCCAGTTTATCAAAACTGCTTCACGTGCGCCAAAGGAGGTATTCTTGTCACTAGCAACAAGAAATATGTTGCTGGCAGAGATGTCGTAGTGGATGATTCCCGCTTTCTGTTCAGCGGCACACAAAACTAAATGAACCTGTTGGCGGGAGAAAAAAAGATGAATGGAATATAGGACATACCATCGAACACGGACTGACAGCTCTTGACGAGCTCCTTTGTCCCTGCGACCGACTCATCAAGTGTATATCCTACCTCACTACTGACAAGGCGATAATGAACTCTGGGCATGATGTGACAGCGATTGGGGGCATGAACCATATACTCTTGGCACCAGCGGCTGTCGACGTAGCTTGAAGTCACCATGGAAGACGCTGAAAATTTACGATGAGGTGTGCTATTAGTAAAGCATTCGGGATAGCGCACCATCAACAGGCTGAACATCGCCGTGGCAAATGACAGTTGGTATGCCGGTCGTCACACCTTTTTCCCGTAGAAATGCCAGAGTATTGCCCTCTTTCGTCATACCAGGGACTGAAAACCGCCAACAATCCTTTAGAAACACGACCTTGGACCTTTGGACGTCGACAGCCCAATATCCCTTCGTCGAACGCGAGGTCAGCAATCGTGGTAAAGTAACCGGTCTTGAAACCAGAAATTGGTGTTTTCTCGTTGCTTCCTGTGCAGCCGCGGATGGATAGCTTGGCATCGGTGCCGTGGAAAACACGTCGGACGCTTCCTGCTTTGACTCCGTCATCTTGCCAGGTTCCAAGAGCTCCTCTGTCCCAGTATCCGACCCTTCATCAAAGACATCCACCAGAAACACATTTCCTGCTTCGTAGTGCCTATCTAGGCGATCTTTCACTGCCTCTGAGTCTTCCGCCAAGCTCTCCTGGAGGATGACATGCTTTTTGATGAGGCTTTCAAAGAGTGCTTCCTGCTCTCCTGTGGCCTTGTGGACGGAGACATCGATTCCTCGCTGCGCATCCGTAGCGTACCCAAAGCGCCAAAGGAAGAGACAGAGTGGTCGAGGATTCCTGCGATAGTCGATCGCACGCGACACAATCACGCCGGACCGATCCCACCGAAGGAGGCGCGCGGTGTGTGGGGTCATAGAAACAGAGAACGCAAAGTCTCTGAACTGCATATTGAGCATTTGGAAGGCGTAGAAAGACATCTGACCAAAATCTACTATAGCTCGCTCTTTCTGCTCTTGGTCGGTAATGTGCTCGAAGAGAAAGTCGTTTCCTTCGTCGCTGGCGAAATCCACGATCTTTCCTTCCCAAAACATCTGCCACAGGCTGGGATCGGGGATGGTAATGCCAGCATTTTCATGCTTTGTAGCATAGCCGCTAACATCAACCTTGGTGCAGAAAGGTCCCGGCCCCGGCTGAGTGGAGGTATCAAAGAAGGTGATACTAGGACAACGTTTGCTTTCATTCGTCTCTCCCGCGTTGAAGGCTTCGGTCTAAGGGAATGAGTTATATCATAGAAATGAGATATAGACGAGACATACGATCTTTCTATACATGGAGGTCTCGCGGAATGTCCTGTTTTTCCTTGGCTTGGGAATCGCGTCGAACGCATTATTACAGCTGGGCATATTCTCGTCCGGATGCTCGAAGCATTCAGGCAGAGATGTATCGAGAAAATCATCGACAGGCATTCTTCCGAGAGTGTGATGAACCATCTCCTGTCCGAGGAGAAGATTCCGGGCCTCTAGGTCGTCAGTTACTGTTGACATAGAATCGTCTGACGACATTATCGTTGTGCTCGTTGTCTTCGAGGCCAATGAATGATGCTTTACTGTGTGAGAGTGGTCCTGGCGCTGCGGATATGAGGTGAAGAGGAGGTGAAGTGAGACCCAGAGACGAGAAAGGAAATTCACATTCAATGAAGTCATACACGCGTTCCTACATTATGATATGGTATTTCAATCGACGGCATCGCTGAGAGAAACGGTGTCAAAATGAGATGGATACTCTGTTTCTTGAACACTCACGGTGAGTCAGCTTCGAGAGGGAAAAGTCTTCCTCAGTCAGCCGACTGGCTACCACTGCGCCTCCTGCACCACTTTAAAGTGCATGTGGATTAAGAGGCAGCGAATGTACCACCAACGACCACAAAGTCAAATTCAGTGCCAGGAAGATCGCTATTCCATCATAAATCACGCCGTAGCAAGAAGAAGTGCGCAGGAAAGACTGCATAGTGTGAGATGCATCGTTCTCGATTTGATGGAAGATTTAATGGATTTTCTCGTCACGGTCCCACGACACGAATACACATTGATACAAGTGACAGATAAAATTCGATACCAACGCGTTTTTGGCTTTTCCGATTATACCATCTATGTTCAAGGCCACGAGGTTAGCGCCTAAAAGTTCCTTTACATCGCAAACGAATATACCAGCTCTATATCACCTGACACTGATGAAGTATGCTCACCAGTTCCTCCAAGCTCCATCCTTATGTGATTTCTTGGCATATATGCTCCTGGACCCTCTATTCAATGGTCACTTATACCGGCGTTATAAAGCTGTTCGGAGGTTTGGAAGAATTGCGTGGGGTTGATTCTGCTTGGCCCCTGCCATCAGACTATGTTCGAATGGCTGAGAGGTGAATCGCATAAGGAAAATGGGACTTGGCCGTCACAGCATGCAAACGCAGAACGTCCATGGTGGTGAGAGGAAACGCCTTTGCTTAGTCAGGTGGTTGCCGAAGTCTGCAGCAGCGCGCCGCGGTTATTACATGTAAACGTGTCATATTGCTTGGACGAAATACATACAATAGACTCGAACCAGTCCTGCCCGAGTTGATGGATTATCATCATCGTCAGAAACGGGGACTGACTCGAGCCTAGAAATACAAAGAGTTGGGAGTGACTGTATACTAGGTAAAAATGACTGTCTTAAGCTACGGAATGCACCAGTCTTTCCACCACATGGGTAGCTACTCTATGTGGCAACAAGTCCAATAGAAAGATGATGAGGGCATCATGAAAGGAATGGGGAAATGAAATGAGGTATAGATGTAGGAAGTGAAGGGTATGAAATGGAGATGAATTGTCATCAGTAGATATCAATGACAGTGTTTTGCATAAATCATCATCAAAGGCATGGAAATGTTATACATATGTGAGGAGAATACCTGCACGCCCGCGTCCAGGTAGTCAAAAAGACCACTACAGAGTCGACGGACGTGCAGGAGTGACCTTAGCAACAAGGCCAATCTTACCAACAAACTTCTTCCACTCTCTCAAAGCCTTATTATCTCTCTTTGCACACTTGGTCCCTGTCTCAATATGCTGAGCCAGAGCACTAAGTGTTGCAAATCGTGATCCACACCCAGCCACAGGGCACTTGAGTACCCTCGGCTGGTGTGCAGGGCTTGTGAGATGCTGCTTGAGAGCAAACGGGTTCTTGAAGGGCCGTCTACACGTGGTGCAGTAGGTACCCGTTCCCGAACACGATGCAGCCTCGAAGTCAACATCGGGATCGACATAGATATTACGTCGATCCCGGCGCTTGACTCGTTTAAGGACCCACTCCCAGTTAACGGATCTGCAGCCGCCCATGTCGAGGTGCAAGAGCACACAATGGGTCGAGGTGAATTGTCGATCGCACCTCTTGCATTGAGCGTGGTCGTATTCGCGGTGCACGGCAGCCTGCCGAAGATGCTCCCTCAAGCCTAGAGCTGAGCGGAAGGCCCTGCCCTTGCACCTACTATCCCCACACACGAAATGCCTCGAGGATTGGTTGTGTTCAAAAAGACTGTATTTGTCTGTGAAACACATGTCACAAGATCGGCAGAGCCAGCTGCCAGGGGTAGAATTGTGTTGAATCATTGTGGATGTTGGATGCTTGGTTAGATGTCGATAGGTTGTCGATTGAGTTGACGGATGGATTTTGAGGCTGCGCAACACTGCCATACCTCTTTATATACCCTGTAATTCGGACATTCCCGAAGATTCGAGTCATTGTTTGTCGCTTCGATTTCACGGCTGCGAAAGAGAAGACGAAAGTGGAAACGGAATAAGAGACAGTAGCATGGACAATAGACGTGAGAATAGGCTGATCGGATGATATTTGATCCATGTGCATGATGTGCGATGGCCAGGAACTCAAGCGTGAATTGATGAAATTAACAATTGAGAGTGCAATGATCCAGAACTTTGACTTGGGAAAAATAGTGTCGCCGATCAATGGAGACGAGAGTCTAGATATGGAACGCAGCACCGAAGAACAAAGTACCGCCGATTGCTGAAGACTTGCGGTGCCGCAAAGGAATAATGCGGAGGTATCGACGTCGAAATTAAAATCAATCACATGCAACGGGCCCGGAATGAAAAAGACGTGTTACTAGTATTATAAGTGTTATGGCATATATAGATACAGATAGGAACTTAGCCAAGGGAACAAATACAATGTTCTTGACAACGAATCTTCACCTCAAACCAAAGTATAGGCCGAGAATGAGAGCGAGGATAGCGATGATGCAAACGCAGATCCAGAAGCACATCCACTTCTTCTTGCGGATGCTGCGCGCTGTTCCCAGAATCATTCGTCAGAAGGAAAATGATAATAGTCAAGGAGCGAGAGCGTACCAATCCGTACAGCGTCTTCCGTAAGGTTCAGCCCCCTCTCAGTGTTAACGTTCACTTCCTGCGCCGTGTGCTCAATCTCTTTGATTTGATCATCATGTTGTTCGACGATTGCTTGCATCTAACAGGTCATCAGGATGGTAAAAGTGTCACCGCAGCCAGGGAATCCTACATCATTGAAAAGCTGCGCCAATTCAGCCATAGTCCTTTCCATTTGGACGAGATCCTGGTGACGGGACTGTACTTCGCGATAGGCCGAGCGTGCCTCACCATACGATGAGGAGAGAACGGCTTCCGAGAATATTTGCGTCCCGGCCGCGCTGGCATCGATGACTTGCTTGACTTCATCGTCTGTCGCATCGGGTTTTACTGGAAATAGAGTGAGAAACGAATACTGACACATCGTAACGAGCGCACCAATTCTGAACTGACGTCCGACACGCTGCTTCGACCTATTGGTAAAGTCTTGCTCGGCGCGTCGGTAGTCTTGGAGGACATCCATGAACCTTTTCCGTATGAGTTTCGTCTATGCAGGACATTCAGTTCTCTGAGACCCCGAAGGCGGCCAAACGCACCTGGTTAACCCTCATGTCATCCCCAGGCTGGTTAGCCAGATACGTTATCCTATCCCGTATATCATTCTGAAGTTTCCTCGTCTCTTCCTTGATAATGCCCAGCTCCCTGGTGATAGTCTCATCCTCTGACGCAGAGTTCAACGAGCGCGTGTGAAGCGTCGAAATGTAGCGTATATTGTTCGTCAAGCTGTTTATCGCATCTTGCAGTGAGGATATCTAACCGTCACGTCAGAAAAGAACGCAGCGAATCGACTACTCAGGGACCTCACCTCACTCAAGAAATCCGCTCTGCTTGAAGCCGCGGTGCCAGAACCGGAGCCGTTCGCAGGCAAATTGGTGAGCTCATGGGCTGGCTCGGGGTGCTGCGACTGTGGTAGAACAATATCAGATAGACGGGGGAGGCGACGGGCAAGATACACGGACACGATAGGCTGCCAGACGGTCAGTCATGGACGTTTGTAGAGGACCAGGGCCATTGGACCTGCCGCAACTGAACGCGGGTTGAAACACAGGTGGCTGTGAGATCTAGGTATGTATGGATGACGTTATTACCGGATGTCAGACCCGGCTGACTTGATACCACCATGTCTTGCTGGGCTCCCTCTCTTCGTGCATTGTCTGCGGCTTCCAAGGTGTCCATATGGCTGATTTTATCTTGCTCATCTTTTCCTTTATTGGCACTCTGGGAGGCTCAAAGGCTCGAATCTTGCTTGCGGTCTCGCGCTTCACCTCGGAAACGTTTATTTTGACTATCAGAAGAAGGGTGGACGTCACTAACAAGGTGGTCACCTCGCGTTTTCACTATTATCTCTGCCTGTGATTTTACGAACTCCTGTCGAAAAGTGACACCTATCCTTACGCAGCTACGTACCACTGTCTTGAGTCTACGGTGCTCCGCTGTTCTATGGCTCCTTAACAATTTCTTGTGGATCGATTTAAGACGATGAAGCCCACAATGTATCTCTGGACATGCTGTTTCCATCATCAACGCTTTAACCTAGTTCAGGTCTCCATTCATGTCTACGTTCTCAATATTTACCAGGACTATCCTCACGCCGAGACTGGAGTACTGACCACCTTTTCGGCATGTGATTCTGATGTCAAGGATACCTACTTTATTCGCTTGCTCGAAGATTGCCATAGTGAGACCGCGATTGGCTAGTGGTGGGTAACGTAATCAATCTTGACTCCTCCTGGCAGTCTGGTACCTCAAACAGCCCACCTTAGGGTATTTTTCTGCATACCGCTCTTACACAGTCAGTCCTGCCTACTTCTAATCCAAGATTTGTTCCAACTTTACAGAAACAAATGGTAATTCCTTTGCTCCCTACTTACATGTATAAATACGACTGGCCAAAACTCTGACCAAGGCCTTTCCCTCGCCGTAGATCTTTTCGCCATCTTCGTCCCACTGGTCTTCGCTCTCACATCCGCGTAAGGTCGAACCTTGAATTAGCCCACAACGGGCCGGTTCCGGACTGCCGAAATTCAATTTCGGGAGCGGCTCAATTGCCCCCCTGGATATTCGGCTATCTCATAAAGAGGAAGAACGATGCTTAAGGCGTAGAACCGCACTTTGTTGAAATGGTACAGTACTTACTTTCTCCTTCCTCTCGACTCTCGGCATGATGCCGAATTGCCTCTTCTAGAACTTTCTAGCAAAATCCCGACTCCACGTATGTCCACGTATGTCACGAATTCTGCTGCTATATAAGGACACGTAACCTTCACGTAGCTACAACTAACAAACTTACACCAAACCCACCACTACACCGCCACTATCATCACCACCCAACGTTAACATTCAACAACCATGAATCATTCTGATTCAACGACAATCATAAACTGTAGGCGATCGACCTGCGATTATCACTGGCGCTGCGCGCTCTGTCGTATGTGCTTCATAGACAAATTTAGCCTCAATAAACATAAAGTATCTTTCCATGATCATCTTTACGTCTGTAAAGATATCAGGTGTAGGGGAAGAGGTTTCCGCTCGCCGAACGGCTTGAGAGAGCATCTGAGGCAAGCCGCTGTCCACCGGGAGTATGACGCTGCCCTGTGCGTTCTGTGCGGCCAACAATTCAATTCAACTCATAATGTGCTATTGCACCTTGACATGGGCGGATGCAAACCCATAACCTGGAGGTCGATCCTCCGACAAGCCAAAATCATTGACAAAGGCAACGACTTCGTCGATCCTGATATTGAGGTGTCGAAATTCAAGCGCGTACCATCTTGGTACAAAGGTACTCGCTGCGCCACCTGTAGAAAAACATTCGACGATGTCGACGCACTGAATCGACACCGCGCGAGCCCGGTGCACCAGCCTAGGTTATTGATGTGCCCTGTGGCTGGGTGCGGCTCGCGCTTCTCGACGCTCAGTGGGCTGGCGCAGCATATGGAGACTGGGGACAAAGAAGGTGTGCCCCTGATGAGAGACCATGAGGCCTGGAGGAAATGGGAGAAATTTCTTGATAAGATGGGGCTTGTTAAGCGCAAGTCCTACCATTAGCTGACCTCGTATTATTCGGTTAAGTGCATTCAGTCATTGGGTCTATTTCACTGACTGATGCATTACTGGCACCATCGAAGGGAGGCATAAAGAATTGCTTTGTAGCATCAAGTTACGACATTGCAGGCACCCAGACGTCCAAGGAAGGGGAGGGAAGGATGAGGGGAGAAACTTTGGCCGAACTTTCCCAGGGGAAGTGAGAAGGACGGACACGAACTTCTGTTCGCGCAAGATATCGGACTTATTATTTATTGACTTGAACATCCACATCCCTATAGACAGGCAGCATTCTCCGTGCATGTAGGGATGACAACCTGTCACAGAATGATGAACTTTTAAAGGATAGTGACTTGAAAACAAGGACTCGCACGTAGCTAGTAACTATCTCAACGTGCTAGAACAATTTAAGCATGAACAATATAGCTACAATTATGGATATTGGATCCTCACGTTTTCGAAGCGAGATATTAATAAGACCTGACTCAAGGCGTATCTAAGTAAGGATATACTTCGGATGCGTGAACGTTGACATTGTGAATATCAGGTATGGTGAAGCCTAGGAGTATTGACTTCCGAAGTTGGCAGAACCCTATTCACACGAGCGTTAAGTCTTAAAGCGCGTTTTCCTGCTGTAATACTCGTGTCTTCCCAGAAGAACTACTGTTGGCACCCTTTTCGAAGTACAATTGATAACAATGCAAAGGAAGTATCGCCCTAGTCGCGAATAATAGGACTCGGGACTTTGTCTCCGTGCCGATATGACAATTGACAGCCTTAAATATTCGCAAGTCAGGGGTTCCCTTCTTTCACTTCGACCACCACCACCCACGTCGACAGCCTGCAGGTCGTCTTCAGTTCTCTTACCGTAAAAGCTATCTAATCCTTTTCTTTCAGATCTAACAATGGCCTACTGCGACCGCTGCGACCGTTACTTCAAGCACATGACGGCTCTTCGCCAACATGAAAGCAATTCCTCCAGTCATAACATCTGTGACGACTGCGATATCGACTTCTCCACTTGGGTGGGCCTCAAAGAGCACTACGTCCAGAGCCCGAACCACGCCTATTGCCAGTACTGCGACCTTCGTTTCAGTTACGACGAGGACCTCGAGGAGCACTACGATGATGAGCACTCCTACTGTGGGAAATGCAGCAAGTTGTTCAAGAACGAGTATGGGTTGCACGAGCATTGCAGGCAATCTCCGTCTCATCACTACTGCGCCTTGTGCAAGCGTGACTTCCTCAGTGAGAGTAATCTCGATTCGGTGAATGATTATCGTCCTTTCTTGATCATATATACGCTGACGCGTCGTCATGTAACAGCACCGCCGTTCTTCCATCCACATGCCCAAGGCTTTCAAATGCCCTGGCGCCAGGTGTAACGAGGCCTTTGTCTCTCGTTCGGCTGTCGTCCTCCATCTCGAATCTGGCGGTTGCGTTTCGGGGGCCGACCGTGCCGCTGTTAACCGCTACGTGCGCGAGTACGACAGACAGAACATCATCACTGACCCTTCGCGTATGCTCACTGGTCCTGGCGGTGCGCCGCGTGACGAGATCGTCTACTCCGCCAACGACAACGCGTGGAATGGATATGCGTACGAGTGCTATTTGTGCCACCAGATGGCCAGTACTCTGCGCGCGCTGAACCAACATCTCACCAGTCCCAAACACCAAGAGAAGGTGTATATCTGTCCTTTGCCATCTTGCAGGACTAGATTCACGACATTGAGTGCGTTGTTGCAGCACATCGAGAGCGAGAAGTGTGGTGTATCGAGGTTCAAAGTCGTACAGAACACGCTGAATGACTTATTGAAGATGAAGACGTTGACCTACTGAAGAGGTATGTCCATATATGCGGCACTTGAACGCGACGAAACTCACAAATATTTCTAGACGATATCCGACCACATTTTTCCAACAACGCAACATATCGCTGCGTTCAGAAGCCTGGCCCCCACCTACGCCTCCATTCCTCAATCATACCTATTATTCATACTCAGAATCCTTATGTGTTGTACAATTGAAAGAATAACAATATTGATTGCCGCAGATAATACTTACCAGAAGCTAGTACAAAGAACGCCTGGATGAAAGTCAGCATACAAATTCAGCGACGACTGGGAGAAGAATCAGACATCCAAAGGAAGGTCATTACAACTCGCATCGCGCCGACCCTCGATCCGCGCCAGCGCACCCAAAGGGCGGCCCACACTCGACGCATGTTAATGGGTTCAACATGGTATGGAGGAGGAATATAAACGTTTCACATTGGGGGAGTACTCAAATGGGCGCTAGAGTGGAAACTGCGAATGTACGGAAATTTTTCATCGTGCGACAGAGAGCGTGTCGGAAAGAAGATAAGTGGATGGAATGCTCACCATGATAAGAGATCCTGAAGTTAAGGGTAACAACGACAAACTAGGAGTGAAAGATGAGTACAATGTTCACAAAAGAAACGGTAGAAGAGAAGAGATCAGACGAAATGGCACTGGCAAGTACACTGGCGCCCCGTAGGACGCATGTCTGTTGCGAACAAACAAGCTCTATTCCTCGGCATGGTCGTGTAAGACGGGGAAGAGAATAAAGTCATCATAAAGATGCAGTATAGAAGGGTACACACCTTGCAATGAACGAGGGAGCAGGAAGATGGAGACGAGAAAAAAATTTGCTCGGTTTTTATATCGGGAGATTCACGTGACATGACTCGATTAGGCCAGACGCGGTGATGGTCCGTGCATAGACCTGTAACCGGTCGTCTTCTATATATGGGAGCAAGCTCACGATGCTTGCTCCCATATATTTATATATCGTGAGCTTGCTCCCATATATAGAAGACGACCGGTTACAGGTCTAGTCCGTGCACACTGTCGCCCTTCTGACCAACTACAGTCTTATTCAAAGGTCCAACCGTCGAAAGGCCGTGGTCAAAGTAGAGGCCGCTCTTGGACTGCATGAAACGGATACTGTGTTGGACTGAATTCCGGCCACACTCACTTTTCATGTTAGTTGGGTTGCGGTCATATCCATTGTCGAAGCCGTGCTTGTCTTTTTCTCAGAGCAGGCTTTACAAGTTCTCAGATTAGCATGCAGCTACAACGAATTTTATACACTTCTCGCTGAATTCTGGTACCCCGGACCTCTCGCTTAACTGCATGGACCGAGGACTTGGATGACCTCATCCTCCTCCATCTTCTAATATCTGTCTGTTATCTGCTGTTTGTCTCGGTCTACCCCACAATCCTCCAGCGGAACGTATACCTGCAAACATATATAATTTGCTGTAGCCGAGGATCCATTCGCAGCACACCCTCCGACGGCCCGTCGGACAAGACCACGAGTGAACACAGGCGTACTTCCTTGGGAAAGCGAGTCCTGGCTGCTTTTAAGAGCACATAAAACGATGCTCTGCAAGTATTTCCCCTCCCCAAATACCCAATGGCACTTCAGGAACACACCCTCACATTCGTCGCAAGCAAGTTTCTTGACACAGCCGTAGTGGATGAGAGGAACCAAACCGTGTATGCGCTATCGACTGAGCGAAAACATATGCGCAAGGTCCTTACCTCTGTTTATGAGGACGAGACTCGGAAGAAGGCGGGTTGGGCAGAGATACGTTGGCGGGACAAGTCCTTTGTGATCAATGGACAGAGTGTTCCGTGGGACTGGATGAAAGTAGAGAAGGAGGGTAACTCGGTGTTTCGTAAAAGGTCTTTTTATCCACTTTTTGACCTGCCTGAAACTGAATATGTTCGGTAGACCTCGTGTGTGGCAGTGGGCTGGAAGGCAGTATGTTGTGACATATAGGAAGAAGGTCGGATGGGTCGTAAGTGCAACGTTCCAGGTTTTAGAAATCCATATAACTCCCCTCTCTAGGTGACTGAAATGCAGTCAGACTTCCGACTCGTGGGAACCTTGGTCCCTCGGGACTCGCACCTGTTTAGCAAATCCGAGCCAGCTGTGTGTCGGGTATGGGTTCAGGACCTCTATTCAGACCAAGCTGCTTTCGTATTCCTCTTATTGTTATACTCGGAGGCGCGAAGGATTAAGAGTTCACGCGTGAGTTGCTTATTTCCGGCTTCGTCTGAAAGTAACTGACTTCATCTTTGCACTTGTTAGAAGTGGCGCTTGACTATTGGAGCGTTGATCAAGGTGGCTATATGCATCGTGATATTATAAACCTACTAAGGATACTTCCAGATATTCAGAATGAATGACATTGTGTACACTTCGGACCATAGCTCCCTGAACAATGGCTGAATTACTTCTGTTTCAAGACAGAATTATTCGATCGCGTTAGCTGTGCTCTACACAAGCTTCTGAATTCGCATTTAACTACAAGTTACATATGTCGGCAATTGACCCTTTGCATCCGGTGACCCTCAGTTACAATGACAATTTGACTGGCCCTCAGTATTTGAAGAATCTTGAGAGAAGGCAGCAACACTTCTCGGATCCCGAGTACCAGGGACGTCCATACTTGGATTCATAGTGAAGAACGACTGAGGTTTTAGCGTGACACTCAAGTGCTCCACGGGCATCCTACTCAAACGTTAGCGATGATGACCCAGGAAAATAATAAAGACGTACACAGGCCAATCTTCCGGACGGGGAATATGCGTCGTTCCTAAGAAAAACGCGCTCAATCATTCTGAAACCCAAATAAGCATGAGAAAAGACGCACCGACTGTGAGATACACCAAAATATCCTCATTTTCGATATTCTTCTCTCCCTTGACCCACGAGTCGATCGCATCTGCCGGACTGTCCCTGGTCTGAGGTACGAACTTACCCGCAGGCCACATCCTACTACCCTGCTCATCTTCAACGTCCTTGCACACCCAAATGGGATAATTACAAAACGCAGCCCTCTTCAGCGCCCACCCGTCCTTCCTCGCGAACATGGGCGTGATCCCGCCCTTCATGGCGACAACGTACCCGACGTCTTTCCCACTACTATAATGCTTCCTCGCGGTATTGACGATCCTCCACCTCCGCTCCTTCTCCCAATCATACGGCCTCCCAGCCTCTTTATTCAACACGGTTTCCTGTGTGAGGAACCCGTTCCCGGCAAAGTTCTCCGTGGAGCCGGTCCCTGCGTCGGGGATGGGGAGGACGTCGGATTCAATGACGGTGTTGTTGATACCGTCGATCATGGGGTCGACACGGATGGAGAAGAGGTGCTGGTGGTACTGGGCGTTGACGTTTGGCGCGACGAGGGTTCCGTATTTGCTCTTCTCGCCGTCTTGGGCGACGTAGACCTGGAGAATACCTGTTAGGCGAGCTTCGAGTTCGATGGTACCGTCTTGGTAGAACTGGTAATTCCAGATGTACTCTGGAGCAAGTGGTGAGAATGAGCTAAGACGTGGCGTTGGGTATTTGAGACGCACCGTAGTTAGCGAGCGTGCAGACCATGCTGACGACTAAACGGCGGCGGCGGACGGTTTGCCCGCGGCCTCCGGGGCGGTAGTCGGTGTGCTTCCATAGCACACCGCTATCCTCCTCGTGGATGCAAATGACGTTCTTTACTGTGACAGCACTCCCATCGTGTGCGACATACGAACCGGGCTATGAGCATTGTCAGACACCAGGATGATACTTGGCGCGCTTCTACATACCAGATAGTGAATCTGACCGACACAATCACATCCTAATGATAGTTCATTCGCCATCGTTCCCATCCCATACTCACCTCTGTTGGACTTATGAGATCATGTTGATTGGGATAGAGAACGGACGTACGAATCAAAAGCAAATTTTCTAGGATGAGGGTATTCCGGGGCACCGTAAGGTACAACCATCTCAGCCAACGATAAACGATACAAGATGGGCCTTATTTCGCCGTTATCATTGTATGTGATAGTCGAAAGAGCAATACCCTCACGGTGAGTAAATGCTAAGAGTGCCTGATCAGTATGACGTCTGTGAAATTCAAAAAGCTCCTCCTTACAAATATGCATCTTCCAATTTTGCCATTCCAACTCGTGTCCGTTCATCTTGAAACTGACGCCCTCGGGTTGCACGATATGCAGGGGCTTGATGTCATCTCTGGGCTTGTAACCCCCTTCGTTCTTCTTCATGAGGTCAGGGAGGAAATCAAAGGACTTCTTGGGAGGAGGGATACGAGGTCGGTTTGCTACCGTAAAGGAGTCTTCGGAGAGCTCCGGGAATTTGGTACTTGGAGCACTGAGAGCGCCACCTTCGTCGGCGGGCTTGTATTGATAAGGAAAATCTGGGGAAAACGTTAGGACACGTTGCGCTAAGACATTCATACGTACCAATATGGATTACTTTGTCAGTATTTGAATCAATGACGGGAATGAAGTCCTGGAAATACAAGAATAAGCCTCATTTTCGTACACCAATCGTTTGCATACCAATGGATGAGCATACAGGTTCTCATGCTCCGAATATCTTGCAAACACAAAAGCCTGCTGGACACGACGAGTGTGAGGGAAACGGTCATCATAACCAATGGCCCAGCCGTCACAGAAGATTTGCTCGGGGAGAACACCTAACAAGTACATTAAGTCAACTGCCTACGTGTAAACAGGATCATCTTACCAACTTCCTTGGCCAATTGCTGGACTCTAGGATCATTCTTCACGACTTTCTCGCAGTCGACGAGTTCTTCAACCGATATCTGGGGCTGTACGCCTTCCGGAAGACGTTCAAAGGCCTGAATACTCCATTTCCCGTCGCCGAGAGCGAGGAGCACATTGTACGAATGTCTGCACTCTCGGACAATAAGACCAATGGTTGGTACTAGCAGCGATGGAATACACACCCGTTAACAACGTCGAGGAACTGAAATACGCGTTATATTAGCCCATCTGACTTTAATGTGAACGGGCCGAAGTCTTAGTACGTACATCGACTTCTGCCTTCCTAACGATGGGGGTGGGGGCTTCTGGTTTTCCTCCCGGAGTCAGCGGAATGCCGAGATAAGCAAGGACCGCCTTCTTAGGCGCCGGAAGGAGGCTGCAGGTTATGAACTTGATTGCCTTGATTTCAGTCTTGGTGGCGACATGACTGCGAACAGTAAAGGTGACGGCTGTGATCTGGAGATGGTCAGCAGGAGCATAATGCATCATAACATCGTCACAGACTTCGTCAGGGGTCAACGGGTCCAAAGGATGCTTGAACTCTGGCGGAAGGACATGAGGAGAAGTCTGAATTTCGGTTGCAGTACTGGGGATTACAGTCGAAGCCATATTTGGGACACGGGTAGGTTAAATGGCTCCTCTTCTTGAGGCCTTTAAATACTTGGTCTTCCGGGCCATGACACATAAATCACGGCAAGGAGATAAGATCATTAGAAGGTCACCTGACGGGAACGCATGGATTGTAAGCTTGTGTGAACCTATCGTTCGGGTTCCAGGCGTATGTCGAAGCGGGTGTTGACGTGCATTTGCGACTTTAGAGGTAAATGAGCCCTGCTATCTATGCGTGAATGTCAGAAAAAGGCTCAAAGCTGAAGCAATACACGCCGCGGCGGGCTCTCGTTATACCCCGAGACACACAACCTGATGATCTGCAGTTGATCATGGGTGTGGTCGTAGATAAATGGGGTTTCGAGCCAAGACGTGAGTTTGACGGTTAACTCACCATGGCTTGTGGTTCCCTCAATATTGGGTGACTTGGTAGTGGCCTTGGCGTAGCCGGCGCCTACAAGTGTTCTAATGGTCTGCACGAGGATCGGTCATGATCGGTTGCGGTAACTATATTCGAGTTGTTTCTTTTGTGCCGCGGCGACCTCTTGGCACAATAGGAGCGATTCGGATTAGTAACGGCAAGGATACGGAGAGCCATTTTTGCACCTACCCAGTTGGTGCTACGCAGTTCAAATTTATCGAACGATATTCGCGGTGATGCACGCGTTTTCTTGACGTGGATCCCCGTGAACAGTCAGCTAGTATTAGCCTGCTATCTTGAAAGCAAATGAGGCCACATAATAGCACGCCACGCCAAGGAGGTATAGCTGCCACGACTTCGAAGTGAAATTTGCCGCGACGATTGTGCGTCGGAAATGACCTTCTACTTCTTACACTGAGTTCTGATACTCCACTCCAGGCCTAGAGACGAAGAGCTGCGAGAGAAGATGAAAACTATATCAAAGATTAAGGGCGACACTATTAGGGTGAGAAATTCGAACTTGGTACAATACTTAACCGACTCACTCAACGAAAAAGCGGTGTTCGCGGGGTAGTATGTTTTCATTCTTCAACATCAGGGCCTCGACCATGCAGGCAGTCACATAGCCGCCCGTAGCACTGCCTGAGTTTCTGACATTCAGGTGGGCGGCTATTGGTGAAAGGAGGCCAGCAATCGACCAGTAAGCCGTTTTTCTCACTCTAAGTTTTGTATCAATATAAAAAGAAAGATCAGGAGCATGTGGTGATTGAGCAAGTAGAAAGGAGGGAGCATAGAGGGGAGAGAGGCCAGTGATTGCCGGCTATCGGAAAATGAGCCGTAGGGAACTATTCGCCTCGAGGCTGAAAATGTATTTTTGGGCACCCATCAGTTTCCAAATTCGACCTTGTCGTCGTCGTAACCACAATCTTCACCGCTGCCGTCGACGACAGCGACAGCCATGCCTCGCGAAAACAGCTTCTCCGACTCTGAAGGTCGTTCCTTGACGCCAGACCTCTCAGAAGAAGAGGAGGCAAATGGAGGCGCCCCGCCCATCTCACCGACCTATTCAGTTCGACCGCCATTCCTCGCTGAGCCACCGTCGCAAGAGCACGCTTATTCCCATGGCTTGCTGGCCTCGCCTTCAACACATTCCCTTCATTCTCGAAAAACCACGCGTAGTCGAAGAAAAGTGGAGCCCAAGGACAGGTTTCGAACGGCCGTTCGCAAAATCATTGCCATGCATCGAGGCACGAGCATGATAACGACGCGAGGAAGGGTGGGCGCTGAGCCGGGTGTGGATCCTCGTCGCGCCTCTGCCGACATTCAGTACGGCAGTATCAGGCAGAACTGTGTCATCGAGCTCTTTGACTATTCGTCCGTTCGTCACAGTTTTGGGCGCATGACGAACAAGGAATTCATCAATTTTCTTGATGACCCCGGCGCGAGCAAGCCAGAGCCATGGGTGAAGGTTAGATGGATCAACATTGGAGGCATGAGCTGGGACGTCATCAAGGCCGTGTCGCTCAAGTACGGTACGTGTATTCGACTCTTAATTCTGTCATATCTTCAACAATCTGGTTAGATCTCCATCCTTTGGCTCTTGAAGACGTGTTCCATACACGGAGTCAAACACGTTCCAAGGTTGACTACTACCTCAAGCACCTCTTCCTCCGTATCCTTGTCCACGAGATAGGCGACCCTGACGACACTCCCACGCCCTTACATGCGACTGCAGCTTATGGCTCTACTCTCACGGGTCTGCCACGGTCTTCATCTCCATCACCCTTCGAAGACGGTGATAGCATCGAGATGAAGGACAGCGGCTTTGCTGAAGATGATCGAACGGTGTATGGAGAGATCACACCCATGTCTACCATGAGGAACAGAAAGGGCCGCAGTACCTTCAAGTCGGCAGATCCGGAAAAGGGAAGCTCCAAGTTCAGCAGATTGAGCAAACTCGGCATGCTTGACGCTGTAAGAACTGCATTTACATCGCGTTTTCTTTCCACCAGAGTCTAACTTGCACACTTTGACAGGAGGAAGAAGCCCTTAAGCGGCAGGCGGAAGAGGAAATCGCGCTTCAGGCCTTGAAGAAGGTTTGACATTCAATTGTCGGCGATCAATGATAGCTGATGTACCCCTTGCAGGACGGTGACCGGGTAAATGTCAAGGTCTACCCTCTGCACATCTTTCTGTTCCGAGATGGTACGTTCTTGTAGTGGATTCATCATAGCTGTGGTAACCTCGTTCCTCCAAGGCACGGTTATATCGATGCACGGAAACGCATCGCTTGAACTCACTCAGCCCATCGCCAATCGGCTTCATCAGCGTGATACCGGGCTTAGGGCATCGGCTGATCCTTCTCTGCTGGTTCAGAGTTTGTTGGACTTGAGTAGGCGGTTCCGCCTTCAAGCATATACGTGCTCACACGGTTTCTCCAATTAGCTGTTGACAAGGCACTAGAAGTCATTGATGTTTACCACGCCAAAATCCAGAAGTTCGAACGTGCTATTCTCTATAAACCTAAAATTAAGACAGTACGGAACTGTAGGTCTTCGGCTTCTTGCTTATCATGCTGTTCGCTCACTCCTGGATTAGTGCATCTTCTTAATGAGGATCTCATTCTCCACAAACGTACCATGGAACCAATTAAGACTGTGGTATACGGTCTACGACGGTACGACGTCGACCGATGCGCCGCTCTCATCGACGAATCGAAGCTTGAGACGGCAAACGGAAACGTCAAGGTTGTTGGTTTCATGTCCCACAAATCCAAAATCTATCTGGTGATTAGCACATTATTTCTTCTTATTGCGCCATCTTGTTTACGACCTTTATCGTACAGGCCGATGTGTACGACCATGTGGAGTATATCCTGTCAAGCCTGGACATGTTTGCAGGAATTACGCAAAATCTGATCGACTACACGTTCAATGTCAGTGCGTTTCTACTCGTGTTGATGATAACGGAGCTAACACCTCGATGAACAATAGATGACCTCCTATGAGATGAATGAAATCATGCATGTATCACTTTCGTAAAGCTTTGCCGCGTTTCTGATGTGACTTATCTCGCAGGCGTCGATTGACGATAGCGACCATCATCTGTCTCCCGCTGACACTGCTCACGGGTTACTTTGTACGTTGTTGTCTTGTTTCGCTTTTCTTGAATGCTTACAGTGTGTTTGTAGGGAATGAACTTCAACGTCATGTGGTCGGTCCAAAACAACTCGGACAGTCTGTACGTCACCCCCATATTTCTTCCATCTCACCAGCATACTGATGAGGGGTAATTAATAGATTCTGGGAGATTGCTATCCCCGTTATGTGCCTCGTTATACCTCTCGCCATCTGGCCGGACCTTATGAGAATGGTGCATTACGTGAAGAAGAAAATGCTAACTCGTCAAGCCGTAAAGGTTTGTTTTGGTCCGATGTCTGAATGTGTATTGTTCTAATATTGGTTTGTTCCTCAGAGATATCGTCGGCGATAGTTCAACCGTTATGCTTACCTAGCTCTCATCTCACTTGCATCTATATACCCCATACCATATATTTAGACACGTCCTCATGATCATAGTTGCATCCACATATCTCGTACACCTCTATTTCTTTAGGTTCTTTAAGGACATCTTTTATTCCATTGGGTTTTATTTTATAGGATCGCGTGCTGTTCGCTGTGCTCTCGTCGTTGATTTTACTTTGAAAATCAAAATGGGTTATTTAAGCACCAGGTGGGCGTTATCCTTCTCTTCAACGCTGCTAATGGGAACTTTGTCCCATTTCTCCACCCCAACCGAGCCTCTTCGGGAGAACGCCAAAATGCTTCCCGGCCTTGGGGACGGTATCCCCGACTTCTTCAGGGCCTTCATCCTGACTTTCTCCCTCCTGCCTGAGGCGATTCTCTGCCTTCTGAAGTGCAGGAGCTTCTCGGGTCCTGAGGAATCTATGAACACTTTCGCCCTTTTTGCATAGTCTGTAAGATAAGACTACCTGACTCTACAACTGTGTCACTGCGGCAGGTCGGTGAAGTCATAGCCTATCCTTTCATCCACTCTTCAACCTCAAATGCCGGATCTGCCATATATCTGATACATTTCTGCCAGCTCTCCGGATCCTTATCCTTCTGCGCGGCGTATCTCATCCCAAGATACTCAAACTACGGTGAATAAAACCCTGAAAAACCCCAGTCAACGACCCACAGCACACGGTGATTATCCAGCAGCAAGTTGCGCATGTTCAGGACGTTATGCGTAAAAACCAAGGAGGCAAACGCGGAAGCATCGAGTGGTTGCAATTTGGAGAAGGTGCCCAACCTCGAGAGGCACGGTCTTCAGCAGCGTTATGTTCTTTTCGGAAATAAGTCTCGAGTGCGGAGATGGTTGGGAATGGACCTTTGGCATCGTAGCCGAACTGAAGGCCGTTGCAAGGTAAGGGCGTCGGACCCAGCGGACCGGGTGTGTTGTTGGACGAAGAGTGCTGGACGCGTCGAAGCTGGCGGAGGTAAAGGCGCATTGTCAAAACGACTCTGAGCTTCCTCAAGACGGACAATGAGGGCCAGGCCACCCGGAGCTGCCGGCTGTTTGGCACAAAGTCCATGACAATCAGGCCGTTTCCTTCTGGGTGATGATAACGTATGGCGCGTCTCATACGTGGGACGGCAATCCGTGTTTGCTTGAGGACGAGTTCCATGGCGAGCGCTTCAGAGGTGGTAGAGTCCCAGTCGTGGCCCAATTTCACGACTGTGTCTTCTGAGATTTGGACAAGCTTGTCGTCTGAGCCCTCGAGATATGGCGCAGATTCAACAGCGCGGATTATCTCCTCGTCTGTCCAGGTATTGGATTCTGAGAACTGCCCCAATGCATTAGTATAGGGCTGAGCCTGAGTGGTAACGCACTCGGATAGGTGCTCGACGAAGCAAGTCATACACCCAAAACGGGCCATCCAAGACAGTCAGGGCGGCGGCCACGAGATAAAAAGCGAAACGCTCAAGCCTGTGCGGATGCTATTCAGAACGTTACTCTGACAAGATGAGGGCAAGCTTACATGCGTGGGCCCTTGAATATTGAATATTTGAATAACTAAAACTAAGGTCTACGTTGGCAGTTCGACGCAGAGCTTTGGCAAACACACCGTTTGGGAATGTCGTGCTCTCGTCGTTGGTTTGATTTGAAATTTCACAATAGGTTTTAATGGTTGCGTTCATAATGTTAAATCAAGTAGTGAGCGGGGAGGTTTGTAAGTTATGAATAATATACAAAGATGATATTGTTGAGTAGGGTTATCAGGATCATAAAGAAGAGCAGGAGTGAAGGGTGGAATGCAGGTAGGTGAGATAATTTACAGCATATCGATACAAATGCGAACAAGCATCCATAGATAAGGACGGATCAAAAATCCTCATCAGTAGAACTGAGATGATGTTAGCCTTGATGAATCACTGTCAACAGTCTAGAACATACAAGGTTTTCGTCGGAGCATTCTCCGCAGTTCCCGACATATTGATATTAGCCTTTGAGTAGTCCGACACCCGCTTCTCGAAGAAATTAGTCTTGCCCTGCAAGGATATCATGTCCATAAAGTCGAATGGGTTGGTTGAGTTGTACACTTTTTTGTTTCCGAGGGCGACAAGAAGACGGTCAGCAACGAACTCTATGTACTGGCACATAAGTTTTGCGTTCATTCCTATGAGACCGACAGGGAGAGCATCTGCGTTTTGGGAAACTGAGTGACAAAGAGCTTAGGAAAGACAGAGCGGACCTGTTAAGAACTCTTGTTCTATGTTCACAGCCTCTACGATGATACGCTCTACAACTTCTGGGTGCGGACGACGTTTCAGGTGACTGAACAGCAGACATGCAAAGTCAGTGTGCATGCCCTCATCACGACTAATGAGCTCATTGGAAAAAGTCAGACCAGGCATCAGTCCCCGCTTCTTTAACCAAAAGATGGACGCAAACGATCCAGAAAAGAAGATACCCTCTACGGCAGCAAAAGCGACTAACCGCTCCGCAAAGGTGGAGCGGTGGTCGGATATCCAACGTAAAGCCCAGTCAGCCTTGAGTTTTATGCATGGTATTGTTTCGATTGCATCGAACAGGTACTCTCGCCGTGCAGGGTCCTTGATGTAAGTATCAATCAGGAGGGAATATGTCTCAGAGTGGATATTCTCCATCATGATTTGGAAGCCGTAAAAGCAACGCGCCTCGGCTGCCTGCACTTCCTTTGAAAAGCGTTCCACTAGGTTTTCGTTAACGATGCCATCGGATGCTGCGAAAAATGCGAGGACGTGGGAGATGAAGTGTCGTTCGTTTTCGTTTAGTTTGTTGTTCCAGTCGTAGAGGTCCATTTGTAGGTCCATTTCCTCGGCGGTCCAGAATGAGGCCTCAGATTTCTTGTACATTTGCCATATCTTGAAAAGGGAAGGGGATTGGGAAAGAGAAATCGAGATTGGAGGGAGCTGCATAGTACGTACCTCGGGGTATTGAATAGGGAAAAGAACAAAACGGCGTTTGGACTTTTTTAATAAGGGCTCTTCGGCTAGATGATGATGAGTCTGTTGATGATATGATGGTACGGAAAAGCCATGCTGACATTCGGGAAGATCCACCTCGCCAACATATCTTCGCCGGAGGACATCCAGATACGAGTCGGTATCAGGCTTATCGCTATTGCTGAATTTGGAAGACCCGTTTACATTTTTCGCAGTACCAATGTCCTTTGAAGTACTTGCTGCGTTCGTCAAAGGAGTCAGTGTGAGTGCAGAGCCAAATGACTCAGCTACCTAAAAACCGGGAAAAGATGAAGTTGGAAAATCATGCGATGGGAGTAGTGATGCACCTCTACTGTAAGTGAATGCTCCCTTGACAACGCCGGCATGCTAGGTGGCCCAAGCTTCGTGGTAGAAGGCGGAATTATTGAGAAGTTTTTTCGCGACACCATCACGTGATGGGAGTCTGGCTGCGTAATTTTTTTTTTTCTTTTTGGTAGAGCGTGTACTTTTTGTACGTAGTAGACTGCAACTGACCAAGTCAACCCAGAATACTCGCTTGGGTAAGGAGCATGCCCATTACAGGGTAGGAATGCATTTACGCACGAACAACATCAGTTGAACAGTGTGGGACTCAACATTATGTAATACCCACTAAACCTCCCAAAGATAGGCTGTTTTTCACTGGGGTTCGAACTCGCACATGACACGCTCCCAGGACCTCCAGATTTACCCAGAGGCCAGAACCAGACAGACAACCATTGAACCATCCACACCGGAAATCTAGAAATTTAGGACATCCTGACTATAGTACCTATACCTAAGTTTTCGGAAAGTGAATGAGACTTGCTGAAATTTTGTCCGATATCAAAAGTTCCAAGACACCGTGAAATTTATCTCAAATCAAAAAAACCAGGAATGGATCATGAGATTCCGGTACTCGAGCCGAAGCTAATTGTTCCCAGTTACCCTGAATCAATGCCGAAAGCATCTGTTTCGGTACATATTTCGGCAAGACCAGTACCGAAAATGTGAGTGCTACCGAAATCCCGTCTGGAATACTTTATTTCGGTATCCGTGTTAGGCAAAGCCGAAACTAAGGTTTGGGGGGTCCTCGGCCGGAACGGGGTCCCAAAACCTAATTTTAGTATACTCGATGTCGGCACGGGAACTAAAGGTCTAGGCATGCGTTCCGGGACCCCGCAAACCTTAGGTTTACCATCTGCCGAAACTTTGTCCTGAACGGAGGCTTTCGTCACTAGTTCAGGGAATTCCTGAATCTTTGCTTTCAGAACTCGATTACGGCAGCCTGGATTCAAATCCGATATCTTACATTCCGGGGATGATTCAAAGCCTTCTTGAACCTTTAGTATGGCTACCAGTATCAGTAAGTCCTGTTTTTCACATGAAATCTTAGGTATAGGCAAGTAAATCAGACTCTCTCAAATTTCTGCATTCCCGGAGTGATCTGGCCCCTTGGCTGCGTAATTTCGACAATTACAAAGCACTTGCCTGACCAATCCATTTGACCCACAAAGGGATCCGTCCAGAAGGCTGGTTAGGATATATTTTTACCTTGATGTACCAAATGCTGGGTATTTTGGTGCTAATTGCGCCACGGAAACTGTTGGCAGAAGACTTCTAGCTGTACTTGGAAAACAAATAGGTCATCGGACAGTTGGTGGGTCGGCCGTTTATAGCATTTGACATCGACTGCCATCGTGAGTAATGCAAGCGCTATTCTGACGGATAAAAGGAGTCCACTGATCTAATGATGTTCCCTACCCTCCCTTCTGCTCTTATCAAGACCATCTCTGCTCTTCGTGCTACCCAAATCTACCGGCATTTCTCTGCGACATATTCGAGTAATATGGCCGGTCTACCCTCTACCGTTCAGGCTGTTAGCATTCAGAAGGTGCGGGTCTATTTGATTGGTGTAGAGCTGGTCTGACCGTCGCCTCTAGACTGGTGACTTTGATGTTATCGAAAAGGCAACGCTGCCATTTCCTAAGCATGTTCCCGGTAACCTCGTCGTAAAGGTATGAACATAGAGTACTATGATCGTGGTCATCAGTGAATAGTTTCAACCAAGGTGGACTATTTCGGCGTCAACTTTATTGATACATACTTCCGGTGAGCACCCTTGCACCTGAGAATTGTTTCCGATCTGATCACGGCGCCAACAGGAAGGGATTGTATCCCCTCAAAGAATTTCCCGCCGTCTTGGGAATGGAAGCGGCAGGAACTGTTGTCGCGCTTCCCACCGATGAGAAAGTATTGAACGATCCGGATTTCAAGAAGAGGAATTACACGATTGGAAGCAAGGTCATCGCCGTAAGTATCTATGTTTATCTGCCTAATGTATGAGCTCATCCCGCAAGCAGAACAACATGGGTGTCCATCAAACCTACATTTCTATTCCTTGGTTAAAAGCACCCCCCGTTCCCGCATCCGTTGACACCAAGATAGCGGCGGCAGCTGGCCTTCAGGCTCTTACCGCACTGTCCTTTTTCACTGAAGCATATAATGTCAAGCAAGGAGACGTTATTCTGATTCACACTGTAGCAGGTGGTCTCGGTCTTCTAATGGCCCAGCTTGGAAAGTACCGGGGCGCTACGGTCATCGGAACGACCTCGACCAAAGAGAAAGCAGAGATAGCAAAGGCGAACGGTGCCGACCATGTCATTCTATATACCTCCGAAAACACCGCGGAAAGAGTTTTGGAACTCACTAATGGAGAGGGTGTGCACGCTGTCTTTGACGGCGTCGGAAAGGATACGTATGTCTATTTTTGTGTCACTATATCAGATATCGTAACTGATCATGCCGTACCTGTCAGATTCGAAGATAACTTCAAGCTGTTGAGACGAAAGGGTACTTTTGTCAGCCTTGGAAATGCTTCAGGGCCTATTGCTCCGTTCTCTCCTCTCAAGTTAGTTGAGAAGAACCTCAAATTCCTCCGGCCTTCGTAAGTTGTTGTTATTGGTACCTTGAAAATCAATACTAAATGACATGACAGGATGCCCAATTACTTGGTCACCCCGGAAGAGTCGAACTACTATGTCACTGAAGTGTTCGACCTCATTTCGAAGGGCATTCTGAAGATCAACATCTACAAGGTGTACCCCTTCACGGCTGAGGCTGTTCAGCAAGCACAGAAGGATCTAACGGGAGGAAAGACCACTGGAAAGCTGGTGATCGATGCACGAGCGTAGTAAAATTAAGAACATGTGGACAGTAGCACTACCACTGCAATGTAAATCCTAGTTTTGATTGTACTGCCTTATGAGACGCGGTGATTTCCACGGTACCTTTAAGATAGCTATTCATTTTCCGGGATCCGTCCGTTTCTACCTCTGTTTCTTCGAGCAGTACTGGTTAAGAATTCTGAAAGTCCATTATTTCTGCTGATTAACGCGCACCTTTACGCGCTTTACGGTTACTACCGTCGGTACGCGCTGTAATGACGCACTGCCCACGATGCTTACCTAATACCTTCAGTACTGCGTCAACAAGCCACTGTCGCCGTTTCCATCTCCACCACCTCAAAGGACACAATCCTTTGAGGGCTTCATCTTCGTTCTGGTCGTCACCCTCGAGGCTTCTCTTTCTCCGTTGTGTGCTCAGTGGCGTTTGCTGACATCTGCCGACATCAGTTTGCATAAGATTGAGAACATCACCAGTTCGTGTAGCAAACGACATCTATCTGTATGTTTTTTCTGATATTTTCTAGGCGCAATAATGAATAATAAAGATGTACAGAAGCCACGAAGACCACTTCCAATGCCCGGTTCGCCTCCTGCTCAGCGGCCCAATACCCCAGTTCCAACAAGTTCGCCGATACCGCCTGCCAGGTTCTACGGCTCCAATCCGCCACCATTGCCCCATAGACTCCGCGGCGTAGGGTCGAATCGCACCTCATTTCAAACCATTGAAGAGCCTCCAACCTATTCGGCCACCTCTGGTCCTAGCGCACCGGAATATCGCGAGCCAGAGTCACGTCTAGTGACCGAAGACATCATGATTGACGATGGCCACCCTACCGTTACGCAAAGGGCCTCTCCGACCTGGTCTGGTTCGGCATGGGATCCAGCACTGACAGACCCTGAGGGCTTCAAGTCGTGGGAAGGCACCTGGGGCAATAGTGACGCTGCCTGGCAAAACAACATGTTGGCTACGGGCGATAGAACTAGCTCGTCGGTGCCAGTTGGGAACAGAGATGATGTAGAAGAGTTGTGTTGGTGGGACAGAGAGGCTAAGAAGCGGCCTGGTCGAGGATTTCTTCCGCCAGTATTGGAGACTTATCTGCACAACACTGAACATTCCCTACTTTCCGTTGCTGCATCCGCGCCGGATATCACTCCTAATATCCCTCCTCCCGCTGAACGGGATCCTGCGCAGGCATCTTCGTCATCTCAGCGGTCAGCCCCTCAGAGGTCCTCTCACATGCCGCCTACGGAAGAAGAAGTTCGAAGAGCCATCCCCCATCCTAATGCATACTTCTGTCCAAAGGACAACGGCTGGATGCTGCTCAGTTGGAAGTCATCGTCTGTACCTCCGCCTTTGTCGCGTAGTGGCCGAAAAGAGCACACGCTTCCTGACCAAAGTTTCAGACAAAAGAATTCCAACTGCCTTTCCCCAGACGATAACATCTTTGGTGCCGCCAATAAGACTCACCACTTCCATCGATATCAAAATGCGGTTGATTCTAGTCAGCTCACACCTGCCTACCGTGGGTTGGATGGAATAGACGGGCTGAAGCAAAAACGGCGTGCCGGGACGATCATACAAGGAGAGCTCCAACTAGCGAAGATGCAAGATGATGAGAAGATGGACCAGGATTTGGACGAGACCGGCATCCCCCTCGATCTCTATGTCTGTTGCCAATGCTCCTTTTACTGCGTTGCTTCCAAGATCATACCCGCGGTAATATCACGAACCTTGTGGTACCATTTCATCGACGACAGATGGTCGAATCCTCTTCTAGGGAAAACAAAAGAACACAGTGTCGCTACCGCAGTAGAGACAACTCTCATGTAGGCTCTCTTTTTGTCCGCTTGACAGTGCTAAACTGTTGATTGAAGAGCTCTAGAGAACAAGCTATGGAGATTGGATAATCGTAGTTTGCGCGCCAGTGGCTCAAGTTTCCGAACGAAAATCGGAAATAACGACAACGTGTTAGTCTTTGCACAGTATTTGAGAAAGAGTACTGATCGACAGTCCCCCCCCAGGAAACAAATCTTTGAGTCCCTTGGGTTCGCGTGGGATGAACAACCAAATGATGTGTTTCTTCAATCGCCTTCCCTGGATTCTTCTCCTAGAGGACGATTGGCTCGCGCTAAGCTACTGCGAGGTTGGGTCGAGATTGGGGCTTGGTTGGCTGATTTCAAACGCGTCCATCGTGGGTGCATTCATGTCTATAGCGTTGGGGTTCATCTCACTTTCTATCACAGCGAATGCTTTCAAGGAATACACTCCGATCAATCCCCTATCGGTGAAGGTTAATAGTGCCAGAGAGATGTATCAAAATGCCATCGGTTCTCATCCTGATCAAAGTAAGAGCAAATCTATTTCCCGTGTCGCTATATCTCAATGTCGGCAATAGTACCCCGTAACGAGTTGCCCGAAACTATCCAGATGACCCTGAATAGTTTGCCTAGCACGTTTTGGCCCGACTTGGGGCTAACACGAACGACGGCCTCCACCGGTGAGCTTTTCTTACATCAGGGGCCCGCGCAGAGTTGACGCCGCATCCTCTTAGAGCTAATCGAGTTTGCGTACTTGGCGCAATGCCGTTGTGACCCAATTCATACTCTGCAATATTTCACGCATTTGTCCGATGCTGTCAGCGAAATGCAGAACTTCCAACTTTGCCCGCAACCACTCGAGGAACTGCTTGCCGTTGAACGGTCTCGTGGAAGGATCACTCAAAGGGACATAGACGACAGTGTGGAAGTTCTCGGTTTCGGCTCCGAGAACATTTTGCGGGTGGAATACTCTGAAAATGATATTGATGATCAGTTCATCGAGAATGCCTGGAAGGCGCGCGTTAAGGAGTCATTCCGAATGCCGACTGGGGGCAGCGATTTTCAAAGAGAGGCCACCGATGCTCTGAAAGTTCTTGCCGAAGCGAGAGGGAGCGTGTATCTTCGGGGGTGTTGGGAGGCTTCGAAAGACAGTCTGATGACTCCTGATCGCGCCTATCTGACTCTGGAGATCCCTCAGGACGTGGATGATTCGATGTTGATCACTGTCTTCAATATGCGGGTAAGCGCCCTAACCCCCTCGGCTGTATATCGGGAATTGAACATTATCCGCAGCTCGAAGAGCAGCCTTCGCAGCTGGACAAGATGCGTGAAGCGCTGTTGGTTATCGCCGAGTCTCGAGATAGCGAGCGGCTGCGCAAGTTCATGGAGTTGGGATCTGATCGTAAGTTGTTTGTTTACTTGCGAGCATCATATATTTAGTGAGATCTAGCCGGCGAGATTACGGCGCCTACTCGTCCTGACTGGCCAAGGGGTCTCAATCAGCTAGGCAACACATGCTATCTGAACTCATTATTGCAGGTATATCACCTCTTCCATCAGTAGTTGTCTGTGTTCACGAACTTGCTCTCTAGTATTTCTATACTATTAAGGATCTTAGAGATGCAGTCTCAGCAGGGAAGAAGGGACTGGATGATGATGAAAAACTAAGCGACGACGACCTGAAACGACATAGGGTTGGTGGACGCTTGGTGACGCGTCGTGAAATCGTGAGGTCAAAGAAATGTGAGTTGCTTCCCACACACTTGTATCACTGTTTTCTTGTTGACGAAGCCTGCAGTTGTCAGTCAATTAGCCGACCTATTCTGGAATATGGAGTATGCCGACAACCCAGCTGTGACTCCTACCATCGAGTTAGCCAAACTTGCTCTGGTGACGTCCAGGGATGAGGAGGAGGATGAAGTAGATAAAGGTGGGACGGATTCTTCCAATGATACAGATGCCACCTTGGTCGATGATGGACCTGTTCGGTATCCTACTGAACCCCCATCGTCGCCCAAGTCTCCCTCACGCTCTCCCGGCTCCATTTTAGGAAAGCGCGCCCGCGATATTCCTCGACAGCCCAGCGAAATGGAAGTTGATACCCCATCATACTCCCCAAAAGAGGGCCACTCCTCAGAGCCTTCGCCTAGATCGTCCGATGATGATAGTCCTCCACCTTTGATACCCCTGAATTATCCAGAAGCTTCAACGTCAGGTTCCAAAGATGAGGATGTTGAGATGCAAGCTGTCTCTAGTTCAAACAATCCTCCTCCGCTTCCTCCTCGGAAACCGATCGACTCACCCAGTTCCGAGATGATGTTCGGTAAATATGTGTATCCCTTTTTTATTGTTATGTTTCTCATCAGCTCTGTAGGAAAACAGCATGACGTCGCGGAGTGTATGGACAACTGCATGTTCCAGATTGAAACTGCTTTGTTGAAGTTTGATTCCATGATCGGGTCCCAGAGCGACGAAGACAAGACTAGTGTCGTCAAACGGTAAGTAGATTGTTCTTTCCCTTTGTATCATTAACTGAATTCTGACCCTTCCTACAAGGTTGTTTTATGGCAAAATTCGTCAGAATGTTGTTACAGTTGATCAAACGCACGAGAAAGAGGATTTGTTCTCGCATCTCCCTGTCAACGTCGCAGACGAGGGCTTTGACATCTACGATGGTCTTGGCCGGTACTTTTACGATGTTGTTGATTACAAGAGTCAGAAAGTCCCGATGCAGCTGTCTCTTGTATCGCTACCACCACTGCTTCACATCCAGCTCCAGGTAGGTCTGGAGCCATCATGCGATTCTCGTTTTTGACCATTCAATTAGAGGGTTCAATTCGACCGAGAATTGTGTCAGTCCTGGAAGTCTCAAGCTTATGTGAAGTTTGGAGAAACCTTGTACATGGACCGATTCATGGACGACGTGAATCCGCAGAAAAAGGCTCAGTCACGTATTATAGAAGATGAGCTCAACATCTGTCGAGAGCGTCTACGAATATTACTTCAAGGCAAAGTCAGTTGAATGATTTGACATCTGCTCGCCATGCTGACTTGTGATTCCTATCAGAATGGTGCCTTTGCTACTGCTATGGACAACACCCGTGATTTCCTTTCCAAGCAGGATAGTGTCTCTCTTCCAGACGTCGATGATGAGATGATCACAATGCTTAATGAAGAGGAAGCCCACCTGAAAGCCGAAATCGATGGCCTTCAGGCGCGCATCCAGATCCTTAAAGCGGATCTCGAGGCGATTTGGCAGGATGAAACTGAGGTGGCATACGAGCTTACGTCGGTGTTCATCCACCGGGGGTCGACGCCGACCTTTGGGCATTATTTCTTCTATTCACGACATCTTCCTGATAGTCCGGATGAGTGGTTCAGATACAACGATTCGGACGTGTCGGTTATACCTAAGGAAGAAGTTTTGGCGGACACGACTGGCTCCACCGCTAATCCTTACCTGGTACGTCTATAATTCTCTTGGTAGGTCGATGTGAAGTTGATTCGTTTTCATGTTAGCTGGTTTATACCCGAAAGGGCAGCGAGGTGGTTGATACCGTCAAGCGATTTGACCCTTCGAGCTTGATTGAAGAGTAGTACTAACCCATTGGATATCTGATACGAATCTCACGGCATGCAATTGTATCATATGGCCATCACAACACATTTTTTTCTCTGGTCTCAACTTAAAATGCGTGGTTCGAACTCAATCGTCTTATCGATGTAATCAGCACTCTGCGACTGTATATTACAACGGTAAACTCAAGGTTCTTTTATGTAAAGTTCGCCGTCTTCGCCGTGTATATATAGGCGGTTTTGGTCAGTTTTCCTCTTTCATTTACGCCCTCCTTTAGAGGCTACTAAAACTATGGCTGCACAACATATGCATCCCAGGGACTTTCTCAGCTATGATACCCTCTGTATCCTGAATGCGGGTCATGTTTGCTGGTACTGTCTGCGCTCCTTCGTGGACATGGCCACTGGCAAAAAAAGATTCGAACAGAATCGCTGTTCGGGTTGCAAGCGTGCTTGGTATTGTGAGCTCAGGTTTCTCTTATCTTGTCTGTAATACTTACAGAGTTTCAGGTAGTACAGAGTGTCAGAACGAAGATTGGCAAATCGGGCACAAAATTCTTTGTATGGCTTTCAGAGAAGCGAACAAAAGAGACAGGATGATGGGACACGATGCGTCGGCCACGCGGGAAAAGCAAATCTTATATCGGGTGAGCGATGTTCATTATTCTGAAAGGGGATCTGTTGATCGTATGTATATCACAACAGGATATATGTGCAAACGCGTTCTCAAAACCCAGTGATAAATGTGAATACGGCACATTTCCTCTCGGATTCATATTGTGAGCACCTCGTTTTATCTTTGGAAAAACAACTAGACTCACTGGTTTCATGATTGTCGATGCAGCAACGAGATAAAATGCACTGTCTGCTTACGCACACCGTTTCAGAGTGCGACGTACCACAACATGACCCCATGTCCGACGTGCAAATTAGCTTGGTGGTGTTCACCGGAGTGTGCTGAAGGATTTTACCAGTTCCACACCCCGCGACGTTGTGCTCATATGCACGACGTTGGTGCCGTCGAGCATGTCACAACTGCCTATGCCCTTGCTCGTCAGAGTAGACGTCAATTTACGCTCCGAACCGAGCAACCCCGGAGTTCCCATCTCTCTTTGTCGAGCCTCCGTGGGTGGGCGGAATATGGACACCTATTCCCGGATTTCGACCGCCTCGTACATGAGAGTGCAAAGCAATTCCGGCATGCTCATCCTGATGCAGAGAAGGCCATCGCTATCATGGCTAAAGAAGAGGCTAGTGTGACTCTCACCATCCTGGCTGCGCTGGAAGATACTATTCCGGACTTGGCCCAGAAGAAGCGACTGTGTGTTCACGTAGTGGGTGCGGCGCACAGGGAGCTGTCCTGTACGAGGTTGATGGAGGAGTTCTTGCATTTCCTCCCCGACCTGCAAGATATCGTAGTGGTATACGCTGGTCCATCCGTCGAGCCACCTGCACCTGGACGAGGCCAATCAAACCTAGCTTGCGCCGAGTGCCAGTACCGTGGCCGATCGCGTACCTCTGTGTCCCGCGTCGGTCCATATGCTGACGCTGACGAATCGCACCCACCAGACCTGATCGCCGTCCTCAACTCTGGGTTCACGGAGATGCAAACGGCAGGCTGGCAGTCTTCGTTGGAGGTGATCCTGGACAGCGGTAGACCGGCGGTGTTCACTGCGGAGTCGCGGATAGAGGCTGAATGGGAGGAGAAGGCGCTGAGGGACATGGGTGCACGTGTGATCCAGGATGTGGAGTTGAATAAGTGGCGAGGGCTGAGTCCCACGTGTCCGAGGGAGAGGTCTATTGTCGAGGGTATCGTGTATACTTATTCTAGTCAGTACCGCCTGATTGTTCAAGGTCGTGTGGGGCAGGACGGTGTTTCGTTAACCTGAAAATTGACAACGGTTTCTTGTTGAAATCTACTTCTCTCGCGATATCCAACCTAGAGACGACAAAGGACGCTGAGGATCAAAGCCCCTAAGCCGAAATAGCTGTACATTTTGTCAGGGTCGATGATCTAAATATGGCACGACGCTTCCTTTGTCGCGTTAGTTATATAATTCTAAAAGGTTCTTTCTATCCCAAAAGGTGTATCCATGGACGCAGCCGTATCTCCCAGATCATTCCTCAGTCACATCTCTCCCTCTATACTAATTGCAGGGCATATTTGTTGGTATTGTCTGCGTCCTTTTACAGACTTGTCTACTGGTCAATCCAGGTTGAATCGAGCTACCTGCTCTGGTTGCAAGCGTGCTTGGTATTGTGAGTAAATACCTCTTGTTTTGTTGTCGTTACTTACGGCGCATCAGGTAGCAAAGAGTGTCAGAAGAATGATTGGAGAATAGAACATAAAGCTCTTTGCAAAGCTTTCCAAGGTGCGAACAAGAGGGATCGTACTATGGGACATGACGCGTCAGCGACCCGAAAGGAGCGCATGTTCTGCAGGGTGAGTGGTTGCGACACCTTTAACTCGATCCTATAGTCATGATTGGTTAGGACATTTGTTCAAACGCCTTTTCGATTCCCACTATTAATGATGAATATGGGACGTTTCCTCTTGCATACATATCGTGAGCGATTTTTTCATTTTTTTCTATGTATTGCATTCACCATCGATTACAGTCAGGAGATAAAATGCGCTGTCTGCTTACGGACCCCATTTCACAGCGAGGTTTACTTCAACATGAACTCCTGTCCGACGTGTAAACTGGCTTGGTGGTGTTCGCCAGAGTGCGGCGAGCAATTCTCCGTATACCACACCCCGAAACTTTGCGCTCACATGAGCGACGTCGAAGCCGTCGAGCACCTCACCATCGCCTACGCTCTCGCTCGTCGTACCAGCAGACAATTCATGCAACGAAGCCACGTCCCCAGGAGTTCGTACCTCCCTCTTTCGGAGCTTCGCGGCTGGGCAGAATATGGCCGTTTGTTCCCTGATTTTGAGTATTCCGTGCATATGAACGCTAGGGAGTTCCAGCACGTTCATCCTAGTGCTGAGAAGGCCATTGCTTTGATGGCTAAGGAAGCGGCTAGCGTGACGCTCACTATTCTCGCTGCACTTGAGGACACTGTACCGGACTTGTCTCGTCGTACGCGTCTTTGTATCCATATAGCCGGTGCGGCGCATAGGGAGCTGACCTGTTCGGGCCTGATGGAAGAACTGCTGCATTTCCTCCCCTGCTTGGAGCATGTTACAGTGGTCTATACCGGTCCAGAGATCACACTCCCCCCAAGTCCCCAAAATCTGGCTTGCGTCAAATGTCAGAACCGTGGCTGGTCGCGTACCTCTGTATTCCACGAAGGGTCTTATGCAGATTTTGACGATGAAGCGCATCCTCCGGATCTCATCGCGGTTCTTAATTCGGGGTTTACGGAGATGGAAACGGGGGGCTGGCAGGCTTCGTTGCGGGTGATCTTGGATAGTGGGAAACCAGCGCTGTTCACTGCGTACTCGCAGATGGAAGCGGAATGGGAGGAGAAGACGATGAAGGATACGGGAGCGCGCGTCGTTAGGAGTACGGAGCTGAATAAGTGGCAGGGGCTCAGTCCAACTGTTCCAAAGGAAAGGTCAACGCTTGACAGTATTGTGTTTACTTACTCTAACCAGTTTCGCTTCATTATTCAAGGACGGGTCTAAATGAATAATACCTTGCTGTGATTCTCGACGATACAGATTTAAGCACTACTGACGGTGAAGCGATAATTACTGGAATAAATATTGAAGACGGCATTGAAAATTGGCAATGGTTTCTTGTTGTAATCTACATCTGTCATGATATCCAACTGGAGACGATGAAGGACGCCGTGGATAAAAGTAAATCGAGAATTCCGGAACAGATCTTTAGGAATTCTGTAAATCTCTGTAAATTCGCAACAACATTTCGTGCCTTGATTTAATTTTTGGAGAACGATTATGTCATGATTGGCGTTTGTCAGAGCACCGTGACCTCCTTAGCAATGACGCTACCCCTTCCTTCTCTACCTCCACCACAGACAACCCCAACGCAGAAAATACCTTATGCTTGATAACTGACGCTAAACTCAAAGGGTACCCCGCTAGGTAATAGCAACCGTCACCATACGAGCCCCGTGACACAATCTTATTCATTTCAGCTCTGTATGCAGCTGAGGTCGCTATTACACACCATGACTTCAAAGATTCCACTTTCGTCATTCTCTATACCACCACCTACGCAACTACTGAACCACAACTTGACGGCAGATCTCAAGACACCCTCTCCAATTGCTTTTCGTAAAGTCCTCGCCGAATCACCCAGTATCCAGCGCCGGGCCAGGCTAGTTGACAGTCAAGCCCACTTTTCCTACGTCTCTCCGTTTCCTCTGTCATTTCCGTATGAGATTGAACCGGATCCATCGGATACCATCACCGACAAGGCTGCTGTCGTTGAAAAATGGCTCTCCCGTAGAGAAGCTATTCAGGAGGTTCCGTTACAGAGCAATACAGCTTTAAAGAAGTATATCCCCGGGAATAGGGAGCAGACTAGAACGCTTATTGGCCTCTCGGAGACGGGTATAAGAGACTGTGTTCCACAACTAGACGTCGGAGACGCGTTTAATCTTCTAGGGAGACCTGCCTTGGCGGTCAGCCAGGAGAATGATTTACAGTCCGAGACGTCTCCTGCGTCTGACTCGGACGTATCAGCAAGAAAGAATCTTGTAGATATTTTAGGTGGACATGCTGTTCTTATGTCGGATGATTTTGCTCCTTGGTCACTTCGCTATAGTGGACACCAATTTGGCACTTGGGCCGGTCAGCTGGGTGACGGACGTGCGGTGACTATTTGTACGTTTCTCCGCTGCCCTCCCACTTTGCACAAACTAACAATACTTGCTCAACAGTGGTAGCCCAGCACCCTGACGACCCATCGCTCATGTACGAGCTCCAATTAAAGGGTGCCGGACGCACTCCGTATTCCCGTAGCGCAGATGGTCTTGCTGTCGTGCGTTCATCCATTCGCGAGTTCCTCTGCTCCGAGGCAATGCAAGCACTTTCCATTCCTACGTCGCGATCCCTCGCGCTTATTTCTCTTCCCGATGTGCCGGTCTATCGGGAACGAAAGGAATCTGCATGTATCTTAACACGCATGGCTCCTTCATTCCTTCGCATTGGATCATTCGAGGCGCTGAACGGTCCACAGAATATCATGTTTTTTGGCGGAGGACAGCAACCGCCGAATTATGAAGCATTGAGGATTCTTGGAGAGTGGGTTAGTAAGAGTGTCTTGAGGCTTGAGTTGGAAGATGGAGAAGCTTGGGGGAAGAAGTTGGTTCTTGATGTGGCTGAACGCAATGCGAAGATGGTAGCCTCATGGCAAGCTTATGGGTTATGCATGGGGTTATCAATACGGACAAGTATGCTGTCGCTGTTTTCCAGTTCAGGTGTGACTAACTCTGTTCTAGTGTTTCGGTCTTGGGGTTGTCTATCGACTATGGTAATGTTCTTCTCAGAGATGAAGTTCTCTTTTTTCTGATTTCACGTCAGGTCCTTATGCTTTCATGGACATCTTTGACCCATTCCACATCTGCAACCATACGGATAGCGAAGGTCGTTATTCCTACAAAGTGAGTTCCCTTCTGTACATCTATTGAGCCGAGTCACTCATCTCGCATCGAAAAGAGCCAACCCGACATGATGTCAGTGTACCTATCTACCTCGTTTACACCTCTCTGATTACCCGTAGCATCTACGCTCTCCGTGCTCTCTTGAACGCGCTTGCACCACTAATTGGCGCTGAGCAGTCCTCAAGTCCTCCCAAGGCTGTCTCTCCAGGCTGGTCCGAAGTATCGAAAGATCAAATCGCTGCATGGAAAGAGCAGGGCATTAACGCCAGTGAAAGACGACCTAGGAGCGTATTACACAAGCTGTCATATCTGAAGAATATGTCCGGTTCATGCGTCGACGCCTAGGGCTCCGCAGGCAAGACTGAGTCCGACGAGAGTACGATTATTCGACCGCTGCTTCAGGATTATGGAGGACCAGGCTTCTTGACTTTCACGGGACGTTTAGGGCACTGAGTAGGGGCGCTGTGGTTGAGGAGCTGCTTGGTCCGAATAAGGATGATAGGTTCAGGAAGGACTGGGAAGGACTGGGTAGGGACGTATGAGGCTCGGGTTGAGAGTGAGAAGGATGAGTGGTCCAGTCGGGCAGAGAGGCTGGAAGAGATGAAAAAGGCAAACCCGAGGTTTGTTCTGAGGCAGTGGGTGTTGGAGGAGGTTATTGCAAAGGTGGAGAAGGACCCTGATATGGGAAAGAGAGTAATGGCGAAGGTTTTACAGGTGCGGTGGATATCAGATACTATTGGTTTCGTTTTATGTTAATTTGCTCCTAGATGGCATGCAGTCCGTTTGACCCCTGGGGCGCAGAAGACGACCCGCGACCAGATGAAGAGCTCAGTGCCGAAGAACGGGAAGAACGAAGATACTGTGGTCTAGGAGACAAGAGCATGCTCGGGTTCCAGTGCAGTTGTTCAAGTTAATTAGTAAAGGTACATGCTGTCTGTACAGCAGTTATTCATTTAACGTTACTCCACCATCCAACCATTCTGATCTAGCCTAAAACCAAAATTAAAAAAAAAAACAAAGTGAAGGGACGGATGAAGCAAACTAAATAGGACTAGTAAATATCCTCCATAAATAAATAAAAAGGCATCAGCTTCACGTAAATGTCAGTAAAACGCTACAGTAAACCTGCAGCCCTCAGATCCCTCGCTAGCCTGGCTTCTTCCAGCGCTTCTGCCGCAGGAATCACGATAACATGACCAGTTCTCATCCATATGGACCATCCGAGGATTGGGCTGGCGCATAGCATCACTGTCAGTCAAACGCCACCCCAAACACAGACTCCAGATTCCGACGAACAGCGATATCACGCTCGACTTCCTCACGAGTGGTGACTTGAGGGCGCTCAGGGGGGGTGGTAGTAGAACGGATAGAGGTTTCCCAGCGCTTAACGCGCCAGAAACCAACGGTGGATGATAGTACAAGGAACCAACCTGTTTTGCAGGTCTAAGTAGCTGGTTCATGAGGAATAAGACGAGGATCACTTACCAACGGTCATGAGTATAAAGGAAATCCAATCTCTCATCGACAGACCGGATATAACTTGGACATCATCAGGGTTTGTTACAGCCATCTTTGAGGCATCCGTATTATCGGGTGTCTCAACAGGAATAGGAGGCCACGTTATCGCATCATCCCCTCCCCCTCCTCCCGTCGCGTCGTCCGATTCCATCGAACGATAATAAAAGCCGTATTGAATGAGCGTAAGGCCCAAACCGACTCGCGACCCGAACTTTGCAGCATGGGACGTGTGCAGTAAATGCGTAAGAATGAACCCAATAATCTGGAAGAAGAACGAGATGAAAATGTTGACAAAGAACATCCAGACAGAGCCCGAAGGAAGGTCGTCGATGATCATATCAGAACCTGATTCGGGGCCCGCTGGTGCGTGAACGGTGGTTTCCCAGTAAGGTGGGACGGCATCAGCTTGGGCTTCATTGTACGACTTTTTGGGAAGAGAAGTCAACGAATGTGAGCGAGAAAAGAAACGAAAGGCAAACACACTGGTGGAGGTTCCTTTTGAATATCTTCAGGGACCATATGCACGTTTCCATCATGCGCCCGGACCACCCGCTGTCTCCCAGGCTTTGCCATCACATTTGCGAACACGCCATCATTCTCTGTGCCACCGCCTCTGACTGAAGGTGCTGCTGGTTGTGTAGGGACACGAACGTAGTGTGTAGGTAGCACGGCGCCCACCACCCTTCGAAAAAACGAAGGTTGTCGTGGCGCAGAACGGGTCTCTACTGGGGAAGCTGGTATCTGACCATTCGTATTGCCAAAATCGTTGGGTAGTGCAAAGGCCGACGGGCCCGGTGGTGAACCCGGGGGTGGGTAGTCGTAGTCTCTTTCAAAGTCGTAAGCACCGGGTACTACGACATTGCTCGAACTATTATTCAGGGGAGTCCGTTCCGAGTGACTGAACCCATCGTCCTCGTTTTCAGATTCGAAAGCATCTTCGAGCTCACGCTCAGCGTCAAGAGAGGGATTGGGGAGACGGGAATAGTGGGAAGGCATGGAACAATGGCCCAGGATGATGGTGGTAGATTGCCAAGGTGTCTTCCAGCGGACTTTGTATTTTCACCCCTCGATTACGTGGGAAACCATCTATCTTTCTACGATTGTCTTTATATTTGGGTTGAGGGGTACTACTAGTTGCCCATCTCTGGTTTTTTTGCATCGATGGCGTTACCGTTGCTACAGGTCCAGAGATATCAGCGCTCAGGGCACAGCCGTCAACTGCATCAAACGGCTGCTTCAAAGGGGAAACACGATGAGAAATTTGGGAATTTTGATACCGAGCATTAGTCCACGTGTTCAATCCGCTTGAATAGTAGGAATACCCTCCATTGGCCCTCAACCTACAAGATTTGGGCAGCCATATCATTATGCTCAGTTTGGATGTGCGATAGTGCAGGAACAGGGTCATCCGCGGCGGCGGCGTGAATTTGATTTATTCAAACGTTCCATCACCGAAAAACTTACACGATCAAGCAAGGCTAATTTTTTTCCATTCATCCTAGGGTAGCTGTTGAGAAACCAACTCAATTAATCGCGTTCACTGGTGTTGATGAGAACAGCATGTTCGTCACTGGTATGGATCCGGATCCATCTACTTCTAGTCCGGTCCTTGGATTAGCTGGAACGCTTTGGCCACATAACCAGAGCCGGCTCGAGATCATTCGGACGATATACTGGACTTCCACGCACTGATCTCGAACAGACCATCTTCGAGTCGAATGGCAGGCAGCCCGTAGCATCTTCTCTTGCTGATGGGCAGTTTTCATCTACCAGCGAAGCACATCATGATTCAATCGGGGGCCACGGTGAAGTCGCGTAGTGACTCCCATATCTTCGACGAGAATCAATAACCAGTCATGATCCGTATCTGATCTGCATTTCTTCCTACGCTGAGCACGGTTTCTTGTGATGAAACGATGATCACCTAAATGGGCAGTCAAGATGACTCTAGGTGCCGTGGCTGGAGTTCACCCTTCTTTCGCAGGCCTCATCGGTTCACTTTCCAGCCCGACAACCTGAACGGTGACAGCGTCCAATGTTACACTTCTACTCAGAGCATCCCATTTTCGTACAGCAACTGATACCCAACTGGCGGAACTAACGCTCGATCAATGAAACCGTGACGGAACTTGCTCGAGTAAGTAAACACGATACCATCATATCACGAGCTTTCTTTCGGATTACAACCTACACCATTTGTTCAACTCTACATCCTTGACAACGCTCCCCCCCGTCTCATTTAGCGCCTTCTCCCGCTCTGTTGATACCCCGTGAGTTAATTTCCGTGTAGGTGTTGTCTGTGGTAGAGGTAGAGATTGAAGGAAGGGGCAGCGCCATCGCTAAGGGGGTCACGGTGCTCTATTTAATGCCAATCATGTTCATGTTCTCCAAATTTAAACACATAAAATGTTGTTGCGAATTTACTGAGACTTACAAAAAAAGTCGTCGCATAAAAATCTGTTTTGGAAATTTCGAGGAAGAGCATTTGCGCTAGGCGAACTTGTCGGGGAAGATGCAATACCAGGTTCGTTGTTTGTTCTGACCTTTTAAGATACTATTGCGTCTTTGACAGAGTTTGAAATGATTCATTAGTAGCTCAACTATGAAAGGGAAAGTAGACAATGATATGATATCACGAAAGGTAGTATCAACTCGACGTGGGATACTGGCGGTTATTGTTGATGACTGATGAAGAGATCCACCAAGGATGGTCCTTCGACTCCCAGACGATAGTACCTGAATTTTTCTTGACGTAGCGCTGATCGGAATCGATCGAAAGATTCCAGTGGTACTAAGCACTGGCGGCGGTGATGTCCATATTCGGACATGGTTCGTGCGTCAAAGGCGCCAGTAAGTTCCGGCCGGCATGGACTTGGCCATGGACTCCCATGCAGCTTTAATTAGCGCTAATGTTCTGAGTTACCTCGATGGCAAACCTCTGAAGGAATACAAGGGAAGCTATGAGCTAATTTTGGTTACGAACGGAAAGGTGCGGTCATCCGAAATTCCCTTCGCGTCGGACACTTATCCCGGCTATAGAATGATGGTGCCACCTACTTTGTGTACTCTGGGGTATTGTCTTGGGAGATTGGGATGCGAGATTGATCAAGTCCAAGACCTTACTCGTACCCATGTTCCAGGCTGCTCAAGGATTGTAAAATGCAGATTATTTTTTCGGTGCCTGAACTATTGATCTACATAGATATCACATTACTGGAATCGTGGCGTAATGGTATTTCTTCGTTTTCTCGGATTACATGAGAAGTCTATTTGATAAACCTTCGTATCCATCCCATTTGCCCAAGTCATCAGCAATGTCAATCATCCTGGTCTCGTAGAAATTATGGGCAGTCGGTTTCAACAGCTCCCAGTTCTTTCTCTTCCCTGCATCATCTCTGTCCAGCTGAGCACCCCAAACGCTCCATTTATCTTTCTTTATGTTAAATGCGGCGACTGTGCAACCGCAGTTCGCACAACGATGACGCCTTTTCCAAGGTTTATCCAAGTTATCGGTAACTTCGAAGATGTGGACTTTGCTCTCTTCGAATCGCGTCCAGGAGAAGGCTGCGCTGGAGAAATGGATGGTGTGAATGAACGGTGCAGCTGTGTTGGAAGTTAATTAGCTATTGTTCGTGGCTCGTGGTCTCACAGCGTACCGTTACACCTCTGGCAAAGTGTGCAGTGACAAAAGGCGCTTAGAAGAGGTAGACCTCTGACTGTGTAGCGCAGCTGTCCGCAGTAACACCCGCCGCTGGTTTCAATATCTTCACTCATGGGAGTGCGATGATAAGCCTGAGGCTATCGCGTGAAAAGCACAATGCGCCAAATTCACGAAGTGATCACATTCCAGGTGCATGGGTATTGCATGCTCTAAAAAAAGGATTAGCACGAAAGGATAATTATAAGGGCGTAAATCCCCGCGATGCCCGGTCCTGACTTTGGTGGCTGATAAAATTAGACAACAGCAAACCCCGAGGAGCCCGCTGGTCCGTGCGCAGCCACCGCGGTATAAAAGGAAGGATCCGACATCCGAACACCTCATACTTACCTTGATGGCACAAGCCCTTTCACGTAACCGGGTTTGTGGGCTGTGGAGATCCTTCATAGCACGGCGACCCTGTCCCCAGAGGGTGTCTGCGGCTTGTATAGGCTCAGGCTTATGCACCGTCTAAATATTTTCCTGTCCCATTTTGGCCACTCTGGCTGGGTGGGCCTCCTTTTTCTTTGCTGTTTACGAACGAGGACTTCCATTTGGTGGTCTTTCGCGTTGCAGCAAACATTTTGGAGTGCAACTTTGTCTTGTAGATTGTAACTTTCAGCAGACTGTCGCTTGTTCAAATGTTCACAATTTGATGATGGTAACTAGTAATTTGGAGGATTGGAAAGATGTGAGACTCAAGTGGATGATAGGCAAGGTAACTGGCATAATCCAAGTATCACTGTTACACCTTTACTTGTAGGCATGTTCAGTATTGACTGGCATACCCTCAAATACAAATATGATTGGTAGTAATTTACAAGGTGCATGTCGGAGCCAAATTTCTCCCCTTGCACCGAACATCTTACGGTCTACACATTGACCAAGCCTGGGTTTTGATATTTCAGCACCGTATCACATCTACACCTAGTACTACTTGCTACAGAGATTCTACAGATAATAAGATGGTATAAGTATCAAACGTCATAACCAAATGAATGAGACGAGTTCGTGTGCGGATAAACATACAAGAGTAGAGTAGATAATTTACTGTCCCAGATGAAAGAGAAGCACAAGTATAAGGATAGTCTAATGCTGGATGTGTCGCTCATCTCCAGAAAGGATTTCGTGAACCCCCAGTATAATTCGGCTTCAGCCTATCATTCGGGGAATCTACACGAACGGCATGAGCATACGCCTGTGCGTCGGATCGCGCAGGCGGGGGTAGCAAATCACGATCACGAGAGTTCAGCGAGTTACTAAACGTGCTCGCTGAAAATCTCTCCATATGGTCCTTCTTCACAGGCTGCCGGACTTCTGGTGTTCGTCTCGGCATACCAGTGACTTGTGAGTATATTGAAGATCCAGAGAGCCGACTGGGGTTATCTGGCGTACGATGCCCGGCCCTCGACGGATTACGACTGCGCACGGTTGATGAAGGCGTCTTCCGAGAATGGTCGTACATAGGATCTGCGTAGGATCCGATTAGCTTGTTAATCTCGTCATGATGTCGTGCCTCTTCAGCGTCACGCAACTGAACAAGCTTGATCACGTCGCTATCTGGGTCAGAGCGCTGGGCTCGATGATTCGGCCAATGGCCAAACACCTTCTTGACTAGTCGCCACCGCCAGTTCGAGCTACGATCCAGTTTTTTCGCAGATGCGAATAAAGCAGTCTGTTTGGCTCGCCGCTTACGGGCCCGCTGGCGCCACCAACAGACTATGACTAGGAATATGAATGCACATCCCAATGCCATGAGCAGGATCTGCCACCATGTCAGCTTGTTCGTGGTGGTTCTCACGACTGTAGGATCTGAAACCCCCGTGATGGAAGGCACCGGACTGCCAGAACTACTAGTCGATGAAGCTACGAGCACAAGGTCTGACAGGCAGACCCCTAGTCCAGAAACGATACTTGTCGAGCTGGTACAGTTTGCATTCACGCAGGTACCGGATCTCAGGTATTGACCGGAGCTAGAACATGACAAGCATTCGTTTTCATTGGAGCCAGAGCATGTGGAGCAGGATGAATGACATGATATGCATGACGAAGAAGTGCTGTCGAAATACTGGGACTTGCTGCATGTAGGGAGACATCGCCCGTTATTGAGAACGGGACGGTTGGAAGGACAGGAGGAACATTGGTTGAACGATGATCCCGAACAAGTGGCGCAGTCGGGATGGCAGGTTAGGCAGGTGCCAGAGGATGAAAAGGTGCCAGACGGACACGAGCTAACGCAGCTGCCGTCGGAGGCGAGTTGGTTATTAGGGCAAGTCAGGCAAAAAGTCGACGATCCCGAACAGGTAGAACAGGATGAATCGCAACCTGTCAAAACGTTAACAAATTGAACTGTGGAGTAAAGAAATGATTGGCTCACTAGTACAGGTAACATTGTCCTTAGGAGACACAAAGGTGCCAGTAGGACAGCTGTCGATACACTGCCCGTTAGAAAGAAACGAGCCAGGAATGCAACCGGTGCATTTCAGCTCATCAACTGTAGAAGCAATGCTAAAGTTCTGGATTTCACATGAAGTACATTTGGCGCCACAGGCTATTGGTTTCATCAGCATTAGAGACCGAATTTGTAACAGATAAACTGACCATCACAAACATGCTTGTTGTTATCCGCAATAAGACCCGTGCCTTCGCAAACGCCGGTGGAGGAGGCAGAAACACAACTACCATTGAACGTGTAGGAACCAGAGGCACAAAGCGTACAATCGTTCGACGTAGCACCAGTACACGTCTGACAAGCAGACGAACATGCGGTACAATTCGTCCCGCTGCTGAAGCTGCCGTCGGGGCACACAGTGCCCGACGATGTCGTTGATTGAGGCGCGTCGCACTTGGTTTTATCATTCGCATCTTGGGTAAAGCCAGTTTTGCACGTAAGACAGACACCTGTTGAATCCGCACACGACGAACAACCCAACTCGCAGACTAGGCTCGGAGTCAGGACGTGAATGAACAACAAAAGACGATTAATACGCACGTTTGCAATCGCCTGTGGATGTAAGGAAGAATCCAGATGCACATTTTGCACACGCAGTCCCATTACTGGCCGTCGTGAAGCCTTCGGTACAGGTGCATACACCATTAGAACCGCATTCACCGTTGATACAGTTGCATGTCGACGGAGCATTAGCAACTTGCGTGACTAAACACCTCCCGGTCCCCGAAATCCCCTCATCACATTTCGTACAATTAGACGGACAAGCCTGGCAACTGGGACCAAAAAAGCCTGATGCGCAAGATTCACATGACTCCCCCGTAAACCCCGTTGGACAAGTACAGTTGCCCGCAGCAGAACACACTCCAGAACTCGAACAACTTGGAGAACATGCAGATGACTGAAGGTCGGCGAGGGCAAGGGAGCCAGAAAGCGGCAATTGCCCAAAGTCTGGCACGGAATCCCAGAATACTACACGGTGGTCCCCGACATTAATGGCTGCCCACACACTGGACGATAGTGAGAGTGACGCTGCGGACAAAGACGTCGTTGAGTTGGATGGAGGAGTTGACGGGAGAGCGGTGAACCCGGCGGAGCCGGAATAAAGGGATTCAGAGTAAATGGCCATTCCAGACGAGAGCGCCACGTTCAAAGGAAGATTAAGGGATTTAGAGGAGTTCTCAAAGCCCGGTGAAGGAGAAAGAGATGCGGATTTAGACGTGAGCAGATTGTGTAAAAGCTGTGGGTTCGTCGTCGCCGAATATTGGCCAGGAAGGAGTAGGAGACTTGTCGATTCTCCGTCAGCAGATAGTGTGACACCAACTAGGCGAGAGTTAGTGGCAGAAAAAATAGTAAAATGGTTGTGACGCACGGGTAGTGTTGGAAGTGCCCTGCAAACATTGCCCCGCAATACAAACTACAGAAGAGTTGGATGCCGCGACTGGAAAAAATTTTCAGATATCGAGCGGCCATGACGTACAACCTACTTACCCACAGACGCGACGGAAAAAATAAACAAAAAAATGGGAAGAGCCAACATGGCTTCAGCCAAAGGAAAGTGGTGGTGGATGCAGGAATAGAAGAAACGACGACGCGACGGATCCCAGAAAAGCGCAGGGCCCGGAGTCGGGCCTTGTTGTCTTGGTTCTGATGGTCATTGTTCTCCTTCTTGTCGCCGATGCGAACAATAACGTTGAAAGAGAATAAGGAATTTGAAAAGGACTTGTTGTGCCATGTTTGGCTACAAATGAACGGCATCACCGGCATCTCCATAGCATCATGCTCCGGTATGTGCATACAGTCTAGAAATGAATTTCGGTTTCAAATTCGTTGAATTTATGACTGCCATCGTTACTAACATTCCAGTAAGCCTCCTGTTGACATTGAAGCGTGCATCGGCTGGATCTTCGAGTCAGAAAAATCACATACACAGTAACGTACCATTAGCCTTCACGCACACCGAATTTGTCGTTAGCAGAGACCAGTCCTCCGTACTGAAGGTTTACGAATATAAATTGGGTATCTAATAAAGAGGCTTTCTCAACGGTCGCCTATGCATATTGTAATTTTTAGGATTCGACTAACCCTTCATCGATCATCTTCAGAGAAGTTAATACTAGATTTCTTGGATCCCGTCGCCATGGCAATTTGTGGGCGACGGGCAAGCGAGATTTTTTGAACTCGAATGGAGCATGGCAATATAGTACAGAGTTACGAGTCCGAGTATAGGCCTGGGTATATAACGCCAGATGGCCTGCCCTTATGATGACACGTGACCCGCCTAACCGACTCGCAGTTGTCAACTGTTTGTACTACTACTTCGTTCGTACAAAGAACCCACATTTTCTTGTGCTGTCGCCGTATAAACACTTACATCTATTGAGTCCATAGTAGAACACCCTTTATGTCGGACAGCAGTCAAGAACCGGTACATGTGTCTTGCCTGGTGGTGGATGTTGCGGCTGATATTTGTTCAGGTTTCCCTATCAAGCACCAGAGGAATAACTTCTTCATTTGCCACCAGATCCCAACGAAACACTTCAACAAAAAGAACAGAAAGAAATGGAAGACCATTGGATTGGACCTATGCCTGTCGAGCTATTTCTTCGCGACCTTCTGGGATCGCCGGAGGATCCATTCACGCTGCGTTCTCCTAATCACCTTCACGACAGCTTCGTGTCGATTAAATCACCCGAAGATTACTCCAGTGATAGAGAGTACGCGAAAGCGGCTGCGAGTTTACTGATTGTGGTTTGTCTGTGACTAAGTTTTGATGACGCTTTCCAGGTCAGCATAATCAAAGCCAAAACTTCGGAGCTCACGTCCAGCTTGAAACTGGCTCTGGGAAAGGAGTACAGGGACACCATCACTACCAACATTGATACTACCTTGGGCAATGTCACCGACGCTTTTGTCTACAACTCCGACGTCGACACACCAACTAGTCCCACTCAACGGGATAGAGCAGATCTCTGGCTGGAATTCAGAAATGCTCCCTCTCTTTCCGGATTCAAGGATGATGACAGCTCTGATGAATGGGTGGTGCCGACAGAACATTCGATTGCCTACCGGGATCGACTTGCAGATTCTGCTGCTCGTATACTGAATGCGCAATATCGCCAACACCTGTTCTCACTTAGTCTTGGACCGGACGGCGTCCGCTTCTTCAAATGGGAGAGAACTTATACTATCGACAGACGGCAAATACCTAATCGAGTTTCTCTATTGGTTTTCTACTCTGACGGATAGCGACCGAGGCATCGACAAGACAGTAACACTTGCTACGGAAGAGGAAGCGTCTCTGGCAAAGCCGTTCTTGAAGCCCTGGATGGATGGGAAGTATCAACGTGCGTTTGTGAAGATTCGTGTACCTGACGGTGACGGCGAAAGGGAGGTTATTGCTGGTCCCGCTATCGCTATGCCAACAACCATCTCAGGGCGAGCTACTTTGGGGCTTCCTGTATATGATGTGAATACTCAGTCTTGGGTTCCTTAAGGATACTTGGCGAGACGCCAATCTGCCTAAAGAATTTGAGACGCTGAGAACGCTCAATAATGCTGGTGTCTGGAACGTCCCAACTTTCATCTGTGGTGGCGTCGTTCCCGGCCAGATAACTACCTCCAACAAGTATATCAACGAAGACTGGAACCTCGGAGCATGCCCGTCGGTCTTCTGTATTCGTGAACATCAACGGATCCTGACAGAAGAAATCGGACAACCTCTGGATTATCTCAAGTCCTCAAAGCAACTTACCAGAATCGTATACGAGGCATTTTTAGGTGAGTGAAAATATTGATCTTTGATCTTTTCCTAATCTCATTTCCTACCTAGCTCACGAAGATGCCTTCACATTATGCAAAATTCTTCATCGTGATGTTAGCGGCGGGAACATCTTGATCGTGTACGATGACAAGGCGCCAAACGATAACCATGATGGTGGAGGTCGCGGTTTGCTGAACGACTGGGATCTAGCTATACACACAGACGACTTAGACAAAGCAGAGTCGCAAGGCAAACCCATGATTAGTGCTCATCTTACTGGAACTTTTGTCCTTCCTCATGAACGCAAAGGGTACATGGCAGTTTATGCCCATTGGACTTCTTGGAAACGGGACGAAGATACATCAACCTCAAGACGATTTCGAATCTTTCATATATGTGATGCTGTATTACAGCCTCCGCTACTTGCAGCACAGCAAGGTTGGCCCCGCTCTCCCGAACCTTATGACCTATATCTTCGACTACAGCATACACAGGTGTGATGGTACGTGGTACAGAGGTGCCCCAAAGCTTAGTCTCGCGTGTGGTTGGGGAGTTTTGGGCAAGGACTTTCGATTTGAGTGTGAGCCTATCAACCGTTGCATCGGGGGAGGAATCGCTTCCATCCGCCAATGGCGCGACTACTATGAGTCAGAAACATACACACTGGAGGAAGAGCTCAAAGAGTTCACATTCTTATTCCAACGAGCCCCATCAACGCTAGTTTTCTGCGATCATACAGTTATTTACCGGTCATTGCAACACCATGGTTCAATGAAACACTTAGCCTCTTGCTCTCCCTCCTTTCATCCTTCATCATTAATTTGTATTACATTGCTGATGTGTATTGTATCTTCATGTTCTACAGTAATTCTTCATATGTGACATGGATAATATTCCGAGAAATTGAGGCTTCTGTTCTAAAAATATCTATTTTCTCATGAACTCAAAATCTGACCCAGAAATGTGTGTCCTCCATCTGAATGTAATCACCCACAAAGGCCTCAATAATGTTAATGACCTTCTGAAGAACCTGTATGACAAGTTTGAGACCAGGCGCCCATTATCTGAGGAGTCTAGGGCATAGATAAAAGTGTGGTTCTGCCAAGCTATTGCCTTTGATGGACAGTCTGACAGTCCAATGTGCCTATTATTGCCCCATTGCCTCCGAATTTTATTTCTCCTCTTGCTCAATTTTTTACTATGCCTGGACATGCTAAATCAAACTTGAAAAAGTGCCAGATTACTTGCAAATGCCATGACCAGCTAATGGAAAAGGCAGTCATTGCACACAAGAATGAGCTTGCCAAACTACCCAGTGCTCCTCAGAAAGATGCAAGAAAAATCTGCAAAGATTTCGAGGCTGTATATCAGAGGGAGACTGGAAAGGAGATCTCGCTTTCTTATAGCACTCGAGTGATTCCAAGTTGCTGACTAATGAGGTTTGGGTACATGGGCCGGACTGTTTCAATGACTCAAAATAGCCCAGAATACCCACGCCACAATAATGCTGTGAAAGCGGACTTGTACCTGCACCTTTGAGCATCTTTTTTTTACTGTATCTTATTGTTGCATAGTATTACACATTCTTACATTCAAACCTAGTCAAAATTCCCAACCAATTGGAACCTACAGTAAATATCCAATTTTGCTGTTTCATTGACCGGTAAATAACTGTAATAGTTTCGAGGCCTACTTGCAGAAAGCGTTAAATATGGATGGATGGCCCTCAAATGATGGTCCGAAGGAACAGCTCATAACTGGAGGTGGAACCAAACGACCCTGCGAGGACGATGATCAGAACAGGCAGAAGTCCACACATGTAGCTGCCACTTAGGGCGCGTTTTTGTTCTTACAAACCCCTGTTCATACTGATAGGCGTTGAAAGTATTCTAGACTGTTAAAATATCCAGCCTTGTTCAGTTCATTAGTTCAAGTGAAGCCTCATGCTACTGACCGGTTAGTTGATCCATTGTTTCCGTCTAACCCCTCTGGATGTCTCTGCGGAGTGAAACATCTTCCATCTCCTTTTTATTGACGCAGTGGCGTCTCGCTCTATTTCTTCCACCATGAGCACGCTTCCTCCAGAGCTTGTAGAACTGATTATCTATGATATATGGCACTCCGAAATGCTTTCATGGTGCCGCCAGTCTTTCATGACGACTTGCCCACAGATTAACCGAACGTGGAAAGACATTTTTGCGTCTATTGCTTCTCGAGATATGTACATCACCAACCTTGGATATCTATACTACCTATGCGACGTAGCTCGCTGCAGAAACTCCATTATCTACGATGATCTCTCCCGACAAACCCGTACCATCACTTGTTTCGTGGATCTCCTACAAGAGGAATTTGGAGACGACAAGGTTTTCAGCATTCTGGCAAATCTACCTAACGACGTGGGCTTCAGGGCGCTTTTCCCGCTCGCTGAATTGATTTTCTTCGAGCTCAGATGGATCGGCGGTACACGACTGGCAAATGATGAACTAGAAGTGTACGATCTTCCCATTCACCTTCGTTGCTGTCGGTACCTATCTAAATCTACGCAAAAAAACGAGGAAGTTCGGCTAGACGTGTGTGTTTCTATCACAGACCCAGATCCTTTTTCCAGGTTGTACCGCAGCAATTGGTCTTCCACGTTCCTTGCATTGCGCACAATCTGTATCCCTCCGAAACTGGTTTCCTCAGTTTTACCGTACGATGGTCATGCCAAGAGCGGTGCATTACATTTCCGTCAGACCGTCTACGTACATCAATCGAAGGGAGATCTGGAAGGTATTAATCTACACTTGTGGATGGCTGCCAAACAAGTCCACGGTTCGTGGACAGATCACCGTTCAAGTAATTTGTCTAACATCGGTTTTTCTAGGATTCAGGTGTCTTGCTAGCCCCTTCTATTACTTGAAATATCATCTGTCGCAGTGGTCTTTACCTGTTCTGTACTCACCCTGCTACGACCACTTTTGGGGGACAGTAGGAGGTTGATCTGGTATACGTTCCAGCTTGCATGTAGTAGTATCATCATGGACAGGACAATCTACTCTTTTCAATTTTGCAGCGACGTGATGAACAATACAGATGAGAAACAAAGCGGTCGTTTGATCGCCTGCGTCTTCTGACTAGTATTTCAAATCTCAACTCTCGACCGTTTGCATTACCTTTTCTTCCACTGTCTTCCATGTTCAAAAAGCCACTCGGAGGACTCAAGAATTCTGCGCCAATTCGCAGCTCAGACAGACGAAAACTCAAGCAACGCGTTGTCGCAGCCTTTTCAGTCTCGCCAGAAGATGGCGACCTGCTCGTTCCTGAGGGCATCTTGACTGCAAAATTTAGTACTCATCTAGATTTGCCTGGGGTACGTTCATTATTGGTGGCATCTGCAGGTCTTTACATGTCCCTAGGTCGCTTACCTGTCGTCAGATGGCGATCCTCTATGGATAACACTGGGCAAGGGATCCGATGAACTCATCCCAACGATATACACGCTATGGAAGAAACCCGGACTGCTGCTATTCCTCTGCACACCAGCCGCAGTAATCCCAATATTGGTCGGAGGCGCAGATTTGATGATCCCGGGGGGTGTGTTATCATGTCGTCTCCCTGCTGTTTCTATATCATTTTGAATGGTAGTGATGTATCACAGTTCATCGCTTGTCGAAGGACAGCTGGTCGCCGTATGCCAATATCAGCGACGAGACGGTGTCCCCACGATGTCTGCCCCTCTAGCTGTTGGCCGAATGGCGGTGTCTAGTGATCAACTAAATGAGGGAGGCAAGGAGAAAGGCAAGGCTGCGCTTGTCATTCATACCTGGAAGGATCATCTATGGGACATGGGATCTAAAGGAGAACCTGCAGAACCTATTCCTATCGGAATGTCGAATGCAGATGTACCAGAGGAAGATGAAGAACAGTCCCCCGAGCCAGAGCCAGAGCCTGCACCACCACTTGTCGATGGGCCACCACCTTCAGAACCGCCGCTGCAAGAAGCAACATATACACGGGAAGAAGTCTCTCTGCTTCTACACATGTCGCTTTTGCAAGCTATCGAAACAACTCTGAAATCGTTACCAACTTCATCCTTTCCCATACCGATAAGCACCTTCCATACGGCCTACATTCTTCCATATCGTCCCGTTTTCCCAGCCCTGGTACTTCCTCCATCTACATGTCCGAACGGTAAGCCAAATCCCGAAGATGTCACCATCAAGGCCTCGACACACAAATCATTCACCGCGTTCCTCAAAGTGGCAGAGAAGGCCTCGCTTCTGGCTACTAAGGCTCCGCAGAAGCACGCTCAGCAGAATGAAGCCGTCGTGACGGGTGTCAATGGAAGTCATCCCTCCGTACAGCAACATAAACCTTTCGTAACTCTTAGAGACTTGGAGCTCAAGGCAGCGAAGAAGACCCAGCGAGAAGAGGAGGAACAAGAGAGGGAAGCCCTTGCCCACCACGAACTGGGTGTCTGCGAACTATGGAAGCCTCATCTAGTCACCGCTGATCTATTCAAAGTCATGGGCGCGAGGTGAACTTGATATATTCAAAGGTTGTCAAACTGAACTCAAGTGTATTGCAGTACATCAGATCTCTACTCAATCCCGGAGATTCGGACGTTGTTAAACAACTACATCACGTCGAAGGACATCATAAACCAACATGATCGGGCATACATCAACCTCGATGATCTCCTTCGCTCATGCGTTGTGGCTAAAGCGCCTTTGTCGAAGAAGGGCAAAGAACCGGAGCCTCCCCAGCAGTCTCACGAGTTTATGAGACGGGACGAGCTGTACAAGAAAGTATTGGAACGGATGCAAAGCTGGTACGAGGTTCGCGCCGAAGGGAAAGATCCCGTCGTCAAGTAAGAACTCCACCGTTTGTTAAGCGTTTGCAACCGCTCATTTCTCCATCCAGGAAAGGAAAACTGGTGCCGATTCATGTTGAAACCAAGGTCAGACAAGGACGAAAAGCGTCGACATTTATCACAGGATTCGAGCCTTTCTTGATCAATGCTGATGAGATGGCTGATGAGCTGAGAAAAACTTGTGCAGGGGCGACGTCTGGTACGTACAGGCCGCTTTTCTCAAGATGTAGGGCTGATGCTGGTATTCAGTCACGCCGATCCAGGGTAAAGGAGCCAATGCCGGCTTGGAAGTTCTTGTGCAGGGGAAACAGTCAAAGGCGGTTACGGACTACCTTGTTGGAAAGGGCGTCCCTAAAAGGTGGATAGAAGTGAAAGAGGCGGCGGGCAAGAAATAATGTATCAGACACGAGTATAACCGGTCGAAGCATTATCTCTTCTCGAAGCGCTGCTGTAAATAGGCTTCTGGACGAAGCTGAGACTCTTCCTGGCAAGTCTTTCGGTAGCGGTGGCCTTGGGGAGAAGAAAGGAAGTCAACGTTAACCACTCAACGGCTTCCAGCAAGGGCCCAGATTCCCTTTTCCCTTGAAGCAAAGATTCAACATCTCTTTTGAGATCCGCCGACAAAAAAAAATCTCGGAATAAGCCATGGATCATTGATCCTTTTTACAAATAAAATATATCAAGATTGTAATATTTGCAAAATTTTCCCCCCAACGACGTCATGATTCCATCATCGTGATCGAACCGCAAGTTCGACTGGTATCAACCAAGATGCAGCACCCGGCACACGAAATATCTTCTGTCGTGTCGTTAATCACGACTGCCGTGGCACCGGAAATACAGAAGGCCGGTATTCAACGGTACTTTACGCCTGATGCTGGCCTCCGACACCCGTTATGTGCAGTGAGCCCGGGGCCAGGCTCGCGGGAGCGTGTTCTTGGGATATATCAGTTCGTTGTCCAGGGTCTTCCTTCTTCGGCGCTCGTCTGACCCCAGACCAGGTGGTACCGGGTCATGTCTCCTAAAGTTGAACTAGATGTAAAAAGCGTCGGTAAGCGAGCCGTCCCACCCAGTGGGGTTCTTCTGATGGATCCTTCTCGGATAGTATATGACAAGGAACAAGGAATACTTATCTTGGAGGTAGTTCAGTCTTTCCACATTCGACTATCGCCATTTAAGCCCGCTCCTTCACGGTAAGTTTGCTCGTACGTGTACCATGCTGCGTGGCTAAAGGAATTGCTTTTAGCCTCGTTGTTCGTTTAACACTTAAAGAAGTTGATAGGCTCTACTATATCGCATTCCAAGAAGACTTTTATCATCCTGATGTAAGGAAAATTCTTCCTTTCACCCTTCGTGCCAAGATGACTGACGTCTCCTATCGAATCCCTATCAGGACCTCATGTCGCTCGTTGTTCCGCCTTTGGCTCCCCTGGTGCGATTAGCATTGGGCGCTGCAAGCACCATGTCGAACATGTGTGCTACAGTTGCTTACGTGCTTGGCATATCAGGCATGCAGCAGAAGCGGTCAGTTAGATCCGCGACTGACAATGCAGCGGAGAATTGGGAAAGCGACAGTGGTTTGTACGACACCGGTCCGCACCGGAAGAGCGATTGATTAATTCTGGACGCAGTCTAGCACCTCCCTAATAGACCTGGTATTTTTACTTTTTCATTTGTCCTGACTTGTGATTATAGTAAACAATGCAAGGTATCTCGAAGTAATTACAAATGGATATAAGTATGCTGTCATTGTAAGGTATTATATGTATGTATGGACATAAAGCATAATTTCGGAATTTCAGAACATGCAAATAAAAAGCGACAAATGCAACGGAGAAAGTAGATACTACAGACAGACATCGAGCCTTGGTGTATGGAAGACTTATGCAACGGAACTTAATGAGTTTGCGAAAGGTGAAAATAATTGCGACGATTCGACGAGTACTGAGGAAATATCTGCGGTTCGCGGAGAACAAGGATCCTCACACAAGTTTGAGGTTCCTGAGATTGCCCTTGATAATGATGTCCCTTACTGCAAAGCGTCTCGTGAGCACACTAGTGTACATTTTTCCGAGAAGTCCGAAGGACTCACCGGTCGATATTATAGTAACCGTACGACGTGTGTCCGTGACGGCAGTAAAATGTACTACGAAAGGAAAACAATCATGAGGAATCACTAATGAATACCTCAATGACCGGAACTTACTATACAACTCCCGTTCTTTATTAGGAGTGGCCGAATGATGGATAGCACCAAACTTGTTACGGAAATCTATGAAGATGTTGTTAGAGTCCAGGGGGATTTCCATGTAAAGAACGGAGACGTGCATTTCGACACGGAATCGTAGTCGTTAGGTCTGTCGCCGTAGGATGTCATATGATGGTTTAATCTTACGCCGGCGTCAAGTTTGGCCTAGGAATTGTTATCCGTCAGTCGTTGACCCAAAGTAAGGTCAAGGTTCCGCATACCTGAAGAAGATCACATTTGTTCAAAAAAAGTACTATGTTGACTTTGGCCAAAAGTTTATTCGAGGTCACGGCCTGCCATAATAATAGCGAATCTTCAAGTCTGTTAACGCGTGGGTCCTACGCCCAAATGGAAAGAGTTCGGCGAAGAAGCTTCCTGATAATAGCCCACGCACCTCTGTCAAAACTTGGTCGAAGGCCGAGATTGGCGCGAGAAATATTATAGCATTCACTGTAAACCGATGGATCGGATGTCAGTTGGTTACGGGACGTGATGAGAAGACAAACTGACCGTCCTCAAAATACGGTGCCCACGCCTGTCGTTGGTTTCTGGCCCCGCCAACGTCATATATCCGCCATTCAACACCGCGGTTACTCCCGGACTGGATGAGGAAAGTATGTTCTACGACACCCATCGTCTTGAGTCGGGCCTTGAGCACGTCCGCTGCGGACCAAGTTAAGTGAACATGCTCTTTCGGACAGTAAATACACGTACCATCAGTAGGTATGTATTTCTTCGCAGTTATTCTGGGGATCTCGTCGAGATAGCTGTCGAATGGTCAACCGAAGAGATACAAGAACAAGGACAGAGTACATACAATCCACTGCTCTCCTCCAATCGAAGTCGCTTCTCTTGTAGCCTCTGCCGTACCTTAGGATCTTTCCAAAGCTCTTGCATCGCGGGCGCGCAAGCGTTCAGGGCATGAACAGGGTCTTCGGGATCTTCCCACCACCCCTCAATCTCCCCGGAATGCGCACTTTTCGGGCTCTTGGACTTGCCACCTAGGGCAAAAGCCTTTTTCCAGTTGGTGGATGTATGTACAGAAACTTCCTTGCCCTTTGATGGTTGTGACCCGCTGGAGCCACCAGGGCTGATGTCCCCCACCGGAGACACCGGGGACGATACGGACGGTTTGATCTGCGGTATAGCAATGGTAGGCGCGGGCCGGCCATTGCCAATGGAAGGATAACTGGATGGAGGGGAGCTTTTGGGAAAGGGCTGCCAAGCAAGGTGCGTTGCTTCATCCTCATCTGGAGAAGAAAGAAGGCGGATCAGTCGTTCTTCCAACTCGGTCAAAGGTTCCAGCCGACTCCGATATATCTCGTAATTGGGCACTTTAGTGCCTGAGATTGCCGACGGCGGACGCCCGTTCGATGAGATGATAACAGAAGCCATCTCAAGGGAGTCGACATCATCGTGGTCCTCGACGATTTCACTTTCAGGCGATAACGCGTCTAGTATCCTGTGTCAACACATGGTGAAAAATGAGAGGTATCAGTCGCGAAGGCCTACGCATCGTACCTTTTAATTGAGCGCACAAGATTGAGGTATATGACCGCGCGCCAGGCAATTCGTTCGGCGTGAAATGCAGCTGGGGTGTGTAATAATTGGAATTCTAGTGGAAGGCGTTAGTGATGGCATATATCTTCGACGCTATGTCCCGCTCAGGGCTCATCGACATCGACTGTAAAGCGTGATTTTCATCCGGCGGAAGATAGATTCCGTTGGCCCGCGATCCGTCGGGGAGAGTGGAGCTGTCGTAACAATAGAGAGCATTTACCCACAGCATCACACGCCAAACGCTATGTCGAGAGCCACCAGAGCCAGGACACTGCGTAGCAGAATATAGAATAAGCGATACTTACGCTTAAGCGTCGTGCTTTTTCCCGACTCCGACTGTCCCAAGAGCAGCACGTTCACCTCCGCCCGTGTCTTCTTGCGATGTATTCGCTCCTGCCTGATCATCTCATCGATGTGGTCACTGACTTGCTTGGCCTCTGTCTCCCGCTTTAGCCTGAGTTCCTTCTCGGCGGGTGTCTCGTTTGCTGGAGGCAACAGGGCCGCTGCCAGGGGATCGGAAAGCGAGCGTCGACGGTTCGGGGCCTCTGTTCTGTTCTTCGCCATGGTGAGCAGCAGCGAGGCGAGGGGATGGTGGTGGTTTGTAGACAAGAATGGTGTGGCGGATTTCGAGGCTTTCTAAGGTAGAGAAGCGACCTAGAAGGAGCTAAACAGAATCTACCGATCTTACTTCTTTCGAAGGATCGTTAATTTGCCTAATCTAGGTTTTCTTATTATAACCAAGCGGTGAAAATAAATAAATAAACTCGTAAAAGTTCTTATTGGTGTGTTCGTCGCCTGGGTAACATTTTAACATGATCCTACCACCGGTACTATCTAGGGTCACCTGTTTTTTTCCTTCAGTACTCAGTTGGGTTCCGTAAGCATCCCAAATATCTTCCGACGCTAACTATATGAGGATGGTACAAAGAAGTGCTCAGTACACGATGCTCTGGTGCACATTTTCGTTAGTACTACGTGGTAGTATGAAGTCTAGCAGCTCCCGCACGAGTTGTGGCGCCAGTTCTCGGAGGCCGGGACAGACAACTTCAGATGGCCTTCACTTCAGAAATTAACATTTGGACTTGCCTCGACGTGCTAGACACGAGTTTCTTTTCTATTCGCATGGTGGAAATACATGCATGTGTATTTGACTCGGGTTCAAGGTCTTCCTGGCATTTACCCCGACAACTCTCTTCGGACCAATCGTGGATGATTGAAGAGCTTTCGGGATTCCTCCGGGTTTGTCCTCCTTGATTTCCCATTCCTACGTCTATCTATCTCCTACAGATCTACGCCAATCTGCATCACTGTTTATGACAGGCCCATATAATGAACGATCAGCAACTTTCCGAACAGAGATCTTTGTAACCCTCGCTTTGTCGGCTGCGTTGACTGTTCCTTCTACCGCCGGTCGATGCGCTTGTACCGCTATTGACGACTCAATCTGTTCATCCTATGATCTCGTTGCCTCGTCGTTACACGATGGCTAGTTGCAGTGCCGAGACGCTTAGTCTGGTACTACGACGTTAGGATCTATTCCTTAGCCACTCCTTTTTATTTTCTCTTCTATGTGCGATCCTAGTACCACAGAAGAAGGCAGGCCCAAAGGGATAGTTGACTTATCCTTCTCTGCGAGTCCGTTGTGAGTCATTTTCCCGCGAGTTTCAATCATGGTTAATCATTGGAGTCAGTGGTCAAGGACATCCCAAAACCAGGAGTCCAAAATGTCATTCATCTCTCCCTTCATCTTTATCACTCACTTCTGCACGTCCCTCTTTCGAACATCATGATACAGATACTTCTTCCGCAAGATCAATAAGAAGCCCGTCTCCTTCTTCGCCTATCTTTCCAACGCCTTTCGCCCTCCCTCCCCCCCACCGTACCAGTGCAACCTCCATATCATCGTCCTCGCGGAACACGCCACTTTCTGCACCCTCACCACTTTCTCCGACGAATGTTATTTTCCGAACTATCACCGTTACTGAGCCTCCTGTGACTCGTACCAAGACTCTGGTCATAACCGCAACACTGCCCCCCATAACAGCGACCATTACTGAAACAGCTCGCCTTACGACGACGCTCCCTCCCACAACACAGACCGAAATCATACTGATTCAATCTACGGAGACTAAAACAACGACCATCACCCAAACTGAGACAGCAACACCACCAACAAAATCTACCTCTCCACAGTAAGCCATCATGTCTTCGCGTGGAACGTCCATGCGTTCTGAAGCCCCGTTTCAGAAAAGACTCTGTCAGTAAGATACTTGTTGCTGGAGGTATCTCCGGTATCGTGCTAGTAATCCTGGACCTTATCATTCTGCTCGTTCTTCTGTGTCGATACCTATTTCGGCGACGCAAAAACCGGGGAGCTTCTGACGTGTCGAACATCCCACCTTCGCCAGTGTCCCGTCTATCTCGCTCACACGACAGCCCTTCTTCATCGACATTCATGGCTTCCGTGAGAAGCCGTGACGATCCGTATCCAAGAACCATCAGACATGATGGTACTAGGAGCCGTGTCTCGATGATTCCAAATGGTGATCTACCGTTAGGCCCATCAGAAGCAGAATACAGACCTTCTAATAACACTTTTGCTGGTCCGTTAGACATGGAATGGACTTATGGGTTAAGAAGACAGGGTATGGACTCGAGAGAGGCCAGTACGCCACGGAGTAGGTTTTCGGACCCTACAGTCTCGTCGGGACAGCTCAGCACCACCAGGAAAAAGAGCTTATGGTCTGTCTTTCGCATTAGGGGATTCGACCGTAGAAAGAGTACTGCTTCAAATTGTTAGCATATGTACCCACAGCCGAGGATCGAGATCGGCGTCCATGCCTATACTAGGATATTTCCGGGAATTAATTTTCGCGCTTCATAACGAATTTGAATTTATGATCTTATGTCTGTTTTCAGGCAATAAATTCCAGGGGTAACTTAACTTGTCTTCGTACAGCTTCGTACCTCATCATGTCATAACTTCACACTATTGAACTGCGTATCGATAGGTGGGACCCTGTGGAGCCCTAGCTTGCTCCGACGGACGTGTTATCACCTAAATTAGAATATACGAGCGTACAAGACGCCAGATTTGTCAGATTTGTGCCAGAGAAATTATAGAACTAACGTCACACAAATGCTCGGAAACTCCGAAATAGTGTCGAATTCCAGCAGGAGTTCTTTTCTTTCTGCTGCGAATATTTTGACGCATCTAGGTGTATATGCTGCCATGGGTCCTCATACCCGCGGCAACCTGATCTTACAAATTGACGAATATTATCATGTCGTCGGGAGCATGACGGAATCATGATCATGAGGCGAAGCTGCGCATGCACATAAGCACGTAAGTAAGTACACGATGCCCGCTCAACATGATGAGTATCTGCGATAACCATGTTATTATCTCCCACAAGAGTATCCGATCACGATACAACAGTCTTGTTACAGAAAAGACTGCCCCACGAGTCAGATTGATACTATCCATGGTCTACGTCAGCATAACTTGAAGGCGAGCCGGTAAGTGCCCACCAGGAAGTTGGTATAATTCTACCCAAGACACAATGCTCAGTCATGTGCAGAATGAAGCTACGATCCACCCAGAAATCCTCACTTGGTGCAGAGTATCTTAAGTGTGGTTATATAAGTACTGTTACCACCTGAGCACCTCCGGTTAATACGCGCATCGTATGGCATGGAACATACCTATAGACTATCTAAGATGAGATATATTACATCAGGCGCGGTAAGTGCGAGCGGCAAGAGAGATAAGTTTCGATAAGTATACTGGCGGCCGTGACTACAAGCGCAGGCATCTTTATTTTCCCAGATGGAAAGCGTGCAAGGGCCGTAACACAGATAGCATAATATCCACCAAGCGGTCTACCATAATCAGTATATAGAAGCACGTCAGAAACAGTTTTTGAGTTTTATGAAAGCCATAATGGGCACAGACGGTGCTAATAAACGAGCAGTGCATTGACTTGAGGCACGCGCTGTAACTTTATTGGACGTACTCGTAGATGGAAAGTATAGTGTTGCATGCGTAGATTTTTACCGACGAAGATCGATGCTTCGCTCGCAGGTCTTCGCGGAAGAATGTGCGGCTTCAGCGTAACGACACCTAAGCGAAGCGCATGGCTACGGGAAACTAAAATCCGGATGTAGTGGAGGGCACGAAACGTTCCAGATGTAAACCCAACAACCAATGGACAAGTACTCGAGACCAAGTCTAGACTATCCGAGCATTCCAAACCCTAAGTCGTGCCGATTGTCAGATTGTTGTCCCAGCAAAGCAAGTAGTTGTCAAATACGTGGCGCCACAGACCACCTGCGCATATAAGCCTCGTGTTGCTGAGTCCCACGCCATGACCTTTCGGATGCGTACGTATCTAGAAAGTAGGCCTTGACAACCTACGGTCCGCGAAGGATGTTTATGACAGGACTCCCGGAGATGAACAAAACCATTCCCCGATGCATAGTCAACGGCGCAGAGTATTATTCCGTCCGTACGTCTTTCCCCGTGGGCAAAGAAATCTTGCTGCAGGTGCTTTGATCAACATCAAGTAGATGGTATGCATATACGTACCGCCGATGAACCAATCTATCCGCTGCGGTACTACTTCGAAGATAGACCCGAATGTGCTTAGGATGGAAGCAAGGTGAGGACCCTTAAGATGCATCCATAGTTTTCAGTATATTACGAGTGCATTCGGAAGACCTCGGCATCCTCATAGTTCATCGAGCGCATAGCATTCATCCATGCAAATAAATCTACAAAGCCTGCTAGAGGATACGTCTTGTATGATTAGAGAAAACGGACCCCAAATCTAGCGAGAGGCACACACCATATGACGAAACGTCATTTGGACGCCAGATCTTCTATAATGTCCGAGAGATCTCCCCTCCAGTCGCGACTCAGAGATGAAGGATGAATCTTCGTTCATCAAGGGCTGGATAAACGGATAGGCACGATAGGCACACAACCGGTCTCCACATTCCCAGAGGTTGATAAATGAAGGATTCATGATGCGCGTATACTCCATTTCTGATGACAGTGGGATTAGATCAAGCATGAATAATTGTGTTATTCATTATATACAAGAATCTATATATGTCCTAGAGCGCACGAAATTAACCCATCTCAGAACATGATATCCTTGGATCACTGACCTTTCGGACCATGTATTTTAACGGGTTTAGCGGTCCATAAGCCAGGTCCCTTACTATGGCCACTGAGAAGATTGTACGACAGGGCTGTAGAGATAGCCGAGTTCTTCCATACAAGAACGACTATGGTGGATATGTCGTCTTAAAGGATCAGTCGTCCCCCCAGTTGAGGCCTAGTGCATCTTTCTGTTCCCCTCTAACCGCGTCCTCTACGGCTTCCGCGAGAGCTCTTAAAGCGAGAACATCTTCTTCTAATTGCACTGGGCGTGTTCTGTCAACAAACTGAGGATCCGTGACACCGAGAGCACGCTGGAGGGCAATGTCCCGGTTCTGGCCGCGGAGATTGTCGATCGATGTCAGGAGGGCAGGGAGGTTTGAGTGAGCTGATAGCACTTTGCGAATCTCCGGAGACGTTGCTATTCAATATTTCATTGTGGGGTTCTGATGAGGGAGGTGAATTCGCACCTATAGCTTCGTATTGATGCAATTGAAGAGGTTTAGGGTCATCTCTTTGCAACGGGTCGGGATATGCACTTTGTTTTGGGACGTAAGGCCAATTAAGCGAAGACAGGGAGCGCAACGGTTTTGGATCTTCAATATCTGCAGATATGTCTTTTGCGGCCGGTGCTGGAAGGCGTTAAACATTGTTGATTTCCGTCAGATAGACCTTACGCGTCAATGATTCAAGAGGGGTAACATTTTCGGTAGCGGTAGACGCGACAGAAGTACCACATGACGAAGCTTGAAAAATGTCAACTTTGAAAACGGAAGCAAAGCTAAGTATGGACACCTTTATGTTCCTTATAACAAGGGACCGAGCAGCTTCGAAGGAATAAGCGAGTGTCATTAAATATTTTAAAAATACTTACTACACAACACGGCACCCGGAGCATGTGTACTTGGACTCATTGGAAGAGCAGATCTGACATACCGGACGTCGAGTTGAGCGCGACATGAGAGAGATTTCAATTTGGCGTTGAATGCCTTTTACGGCAGAAATCCCACGCTGATGGCAAACAGAAACAATCCGTAAAATAATTTCGAATTCAACTCCTCTAAACTCTCATGAAAAGGGCCCAACTCTCGCCGAATAGGGCAGAACCCAAGCTAAAGAAGGCCAAAGTGTCGACAGCAGTTGCGGAGCAGGTGGTGAATGATGTTGCCGTGGAGGACGACGGCGAATGGACAAAGGTGGAGAGGAGAAAACACAAGAAGGCCAAGAAAACAGCGGTGAAGATGGATGTACGTGGAAGTTCTTCTACGATTAGTTCCAGGACTTATCCTTGCACGTGTACAGATGACAGTACCGCGATTCATGTACTCGAATGCGGATATCACTCAGCGACACCGTGCCGTAGGGATAGAGGTGAGTTTTACCGGTTCACGTTGTTGATACTTTTTCATATTTAGATAACAGGAAATTCGCGATCTTTCTTTGCACATTATTGCGGATGCGCCACCGCCGAACTGGTTACGAATAGACGTGAGTTTGTCGTCGTAAACGGTGGATCCATGTTCACATATTTGATGCAGAATGCACCCTTGATTCCAAAGATTATTGTCCTCCTCATTCCAGGACTTACCACGGAACTTCTCTCGTTACCTCCATTTCCAACGTCTCCCCTAGTCAATCCCAACGTTCCCATACCGATACCCTTACCACCCAAGGTCGTGTCTGGAGGTCCGACTACCAATGTCCCTTTCATTGCTTCTACATTTAGCCATGCCTGTCCAACTCGTGCACCTGGTGACCAGACCCGCATGCATAGCGTTTTGAACACATTCTTTACTGTACCGATCAGCGCGACGGAGAAGAAGAAGCGGGAGGAGCAAAAAGCAAAATGTAATTCTCACTTTCCTTGTTTTCATCCTTCTGACGCATAGCTGCAGCAGAATATCTACAAATCAATGACCCTGCGCAGTATCTATTAACCAAAGAGCAGATGATTGAGCATGACTACCCTCTGCCATCATATATGGCAGACGTATTCCAGAAGCCGGATGATACCTGGCTGGAAACACCGGAAGAGCCCCGGGAAAGCCTCTTGACAGCACCAGATCAGAAGAAGCAGCTTGCTCGAAAAATATATTCCCTAGATTGTGAAATGGTAGAGTCTGCATTCCCTTGATCCATCCATTATTGATCCATGTTGATATAGTGCATGACAGAAGACGGTAAAGAGCTAGCGAGAGTTTGCATCATCGATTTCCGCTCCGGAACCGTGATATATGACCAACTAGTCAAGCCTTCCAAACCTATCACGGACTACCTGACACGGTAGGATGGTTTTACGGCACTAAAAGAATTTAACTGACATCCCGGTAGATGGTCAGGTATCACAGCCGAAGCTTTGGCTCCCGTGACGACGACGCTGTCGCAAGTCCAAGCGCACCTTCTCCGCATCCTGAGCCCATCAGCCACCGACCCTTCATCAACTCCGTTCCTAACCCCCATCCTTCTTGGTCATTCTCTCGAGTCGGATCTACGAGCGCTTAAGCTCTGCCACCCTTTCTGCATTGACACAGCTGTTATATTCCACCACCCTCGTGGCCGCCCTCTAAAACCCGGCTTAGCTTGGCTCACTAAAAAGTGGTGCGGACGCGAAATCCAAACGCACGGTGAGGGTGGACATGATCCGGAAGAAGATGCGGGCGCGTGCGTAGATTTGCTGAAGAAAAAGTTAGACAACGGCCCCTCGTTTGGTGAATTCAAGACTGATTATGAATCGATCTTTGAACGATTGGCGAGGTCAAAACGGAGGGCAGGAGGACCAATAGGTAGCATCAAAGGTGCTGTGATTGACCATGGGAATCCGAGTGTGATGCACGGAAATAAGGCCACAACAAGTATAGGGTGCAAGGACGACGATGAGGTGCTCAAAGCCCTGCTAGAGGTTGTCCCATCGCATCATTTCGTATTTGCGAGGTTCATGGCATTGGCTAATATACTAGGGTGTGAGTAACACCCAGTTTGTTTTTCGAGCTTACTCTAATAATGATGTAGGGACTACGCCGAAACAATCTCCTGATTCCCCACCTTCAGAGCCAGCACCACCACCGTCAGCCGAGCAACTCGGCGCGGTCTTAGATGTCCTCAATGCGCACCTTAAGACGCTCCACGGTGCGCTTCCTTCGCGAACAGCGTTAATAATCTTCACTGGTCACTCCGATCCACGTCGTATGGCCGCGCTAAATGCACAAAAAGCAGCTTTTGAGACTGCCATACGGAGTGGCAAGCTCAGCGATGGGCTGCAACCCGAAGAGCGGTGGACGGCAGCGCATGTAAGAGAGCTAGAGTCAGCTGTTGAGGTGACGAAGCGTGGGCTGTTATTTTTGGGTGTAAAACCCTAGTTGTATGTTTTGACTGGTTTGACTTAATGCTTGAGCCCTGCTTTTGATATGCTGAAATTATTGCGAAAATTATTGCGAAGGAACGGCCCTGCGTGTTGTGCCACGCCTGAAATTCCTAAGACGCCGCATGGTTAGAGCTCCAAGTTCAGGCGCTTATATGATTCCGAAGTGGTATTTTGTTGGTGTAAATACAAACTGCTGTCGAAAGCAGAGTGGAAAGCACTGATAAAGTCGGCGCTGAGCCTGCAGCGATGACTCGGATGAAATTAGAATTATGGTATAAAAAGGAATAAATGCAATCATTTCAAACGGTGCGTATCCGTGAAACCCGAAAGCGAAAATCTGTTAGAAACAGTGAGGCCATGAATAGACTAATAGGAAATCACCCTCACTTTCAAACAGCAACGTCTGGCGATATCTGACTACTGATCCTCTTCGCAGCCAAAAAAGGCGGGAGAGGATCGCCCGTCATCCTTAGACAATCAATGGGGATTAACCCAGGCTCTAGGTCCACATCCTTCCCTTTACCATTTCCCTCGGGAACCTTTTCCACCATAGCCCAGCCATCGTCAAAGACTTCTAAGATCTTGACACGGTCCCCGATGGACACAGACATTTCGTCATAACGTGAGGGTACGAATGTCCGGTGGATCATTTCTACTGGGCAGAATCCAGAGGTTATGGGCGACTCAGGCCCAGAGGAGGGATTTGTGAGACTCGGAGGATACATCTCGGTGCTCGAGCTGAGGGCCGTGCCATGACTATCTCTGTTTGGAATTTTAATCCACTCCCCATTTGAAGGTGGCTTAGGAAACGAGAAGGATTCTGAAGGAGTGAAAGGACGGACAGACATGGGTGTTGCAATCTCTGGTTGCAATTGGGCAAGGCCGTCAGGCATCACAAGATAAGATGAGTCGAAGTTGCTTGGAATGGCATTTGAGTGAGCGCCGCGAGTGTCTGAATGGGAAGAAACCTTTACGTCGAGGAGAAGGGGTCGTGGAGGGTGCGTGGAGTATCGTGGTTTGCCAGAGTTGTGCGTCGACAGCCCATGATCATCACGGATTTCTGCCATGGGAGGGGGCACAGGGTCCGTAAAGGACAGAGGTGTCCTGTTTACATAGGAGGTGACGGCAGAAACGTCGTCAGTTCTACCTCCTGAACTAAAAGTAGTATTCCACCCCGCGCGACGAATATGGGCAAGCCGCCATTGCCGTCTGACCCGGTGATATCGTCGAATGAGAAGTAGAAGGAGTATTGCTAGGATGACTGCACCAATTACCGAGACCACGGCAACTGCACCCGAAGAAATCCTCCCTAGTTGATTAACATCAGATGAGCTCGGAAGGAAACCATCACCCGTCACTGCGGGAGTTTCTGGTGAGCCTGCTGGAGGAGAGGTAGGAGAACCTCCTGTATTCTGCCCGTTGGGTCGATTCAAGGTCGAACTCGACAGCACATTAGACATCAATGTTGTCACGGGAATGCCGTTAACAACACTGTAGGTGGTCGTAGTTAGGATACAGTTACTGCCAGGTGCTGAATAGTAGGAAGCTGGCTCGGAGGTAGTATCTGAGGTGGTTACGGGGGTAGGGCGGAACACAGTACTAGACGTTGCGCTCAAGGTATTCGCTGGCGAGCTGCCGCTCCCGGTGGACGACGAAGAACTACCATGCTCGCAGTTCTGAGTGGTGCTAGAAACACCTCCCCGAATGCTCGTCGATGCATAGGTGACTGATTTGTACGATGGACCAGTGCTCGAAGCTCCGGTATTTGATCCTGTGAAGCTACCACCTGCATCTGTCATGCTGTCTGGACTGACCTTGCTCCCACTGTCGGGTGTAACTGTGGGAACTGAGGTCGTAGTAGCCGATGTCGATGGCCCAGTAGACGGATAATTTCCGTGCTGATTGCTCCCCCAAATAAAGTTCGTCACAAGAGAAGTCTCTGTGGAGAAGCCAGAGGCATAAACAGAGACATAAAGAGGGTAGTCGCGTCGCTCAAGATACTTGCTCAGCATAGTGCGACAAAGGAATCTTGCGTGTCACGCACTGGAGCAAGGACGGATGAGTGAGTTCTCTCCCCTGCCACGAAATGGAGGTCGTAAGAGAGGTAATAAATTGGGCAGCAGAACTCCATATCATCGTCATCCTGGTGCTTCGAGGCTCGAATGAGGAAGGAATACACCACGAATGGATCCTTTTTTGAGTCTAACGCCTGCCAAAGAGCCCTGTTCTCGTGGAATAACGCAACTTGCTTAACTACCAATTGAATGTAGTATCACAACTCCCTTGACTATCATATAGTTTCTTTCGTACAGCGTTTGATGAGCGGGCAGGAAAAAAATTAAAGATAGAAATGTATTCACCTAATTCCTTTTCGTGTACGTAGAAAGTGCCGTACAGCCTGGGAACTCGGCCACGGGGCTTGTGCTGTTCCTGTTTTCATAATATGGCTCTAATGAACTGGAATTACTCGGACATGTAGGAATGGCGTATAGGTCCTCATGGAATTAGAAGTCAAAAGGCTGTCCCAATCCGGCCCGGTCAACCGAACCGGGATAAGGCGCTCAAAGGATGTCGATAGAGGAACTAGTGACTTGAACATCATCACTACCGATTTTAGACCTTCCCGACTAGCCCATTCAAGTCTTATAATTATTTGATAAAGGGAAGTCTGACATCTTATTCCTCTAGAATCTCTCTCGCTACAGGCGTATAAGCAGCTTCCCTCCTTCTCCCATGTTCACGATACAGACAATCTCGCGGAGCAGTGATTTATGAACCAATAAAAAACATAGCTTTCCTTTGGGCTTCAGGCTTCCAGCCCCGAGCCCCAGCACCGCAAATAAACATGCAGCGCTATTTTTGATGGTATCCTAAGCCTTGGATCCACGAAAGAGAGCTGGCGCACTCTGATGGGAAATTTTCGTGTCCAGTAACGAAAAGTCATCCGAAATGCATACGTATCATTCATAGTTGGCAAACGAATCCTTGTTCTCAAACGGTTATTAAACAGCGTGCTTGCTCCTGGTTCATTTACTTGATGATAACTCGGGCAGTATCCAAAAACAAAGATGATCATCACAGCCATCTTTTTCCATGGAACAAAGCAATCACTGAGATGTTCGAGCGGTCCAGGATCCAGGTAAATTGAAGCGCTGGCGATCTCAAACGCTCATGCACCGCCTTGCTTAGTGACCAGTGCAACTCGAAAGTCCCGCCTCATTTGTATATCGTTTTCGAAATCAATGTTTCACATGCACCACACCGAGATGATCACAGCCTTCAAGGCATCACGAAATAAAGGTCCTAAGGTACAAGGAGAAAGAAAGGAAAGTGGGCGGTCATCGCAAAAACGATGATAGGTAGATAAGGGAGGGTGAAAATGTCTATAGTGGAGGAGGACGGGAGTCTAGATGACTTTAACTATCTTTGGAAATCAATACGCGCGCGCGCTCTACGGAATCGAGATCGACTTACCAGCAGATACAACACGACACCTCTTACGGATGGTATGTTGGCGATGCGCGGGCTTGTACAACGCGCTCTAGAGAAGTAAACGTCGATATTAGACCTGGCGATCTGAAATCTAAACACACTCACTCATGAACGCAGGAGGGTTCGGCGGTAATCCACGCGCCATCCTAGCAGCATTTGTGCTTCCTTCAAGAGAAGCAGCTCCAACGATGGCAAAAGCGGCAGCAGCGAATGTGAGAACGAAGGTGAGCTTCATAATAACAAGGTCGTAGATGAACGAAAGAAAGAGTAATGCGCAGGGCTCCAGCCGTGTTATTATATATCCACCGGTATTTGTAAAGGTCCTAAAACATGTTCGGAACATCGAATCATACCCTGTGTTGACGTTCCTTGTGTCTGATGTTATCGGAGGCTGCGCTATTTGGAATGGAGCACCCTCCGAAGATGAGGGTTTGTGGCATTAGCTTTCTTAGTTGCTAGGGTTCTCTAGAGGGTCATCTTTACAATGCGTCGTAGTCTTGTACAGTATCGTAGAATTCGCCAATGATCCTTTTCTGCGCCTCACGTCCTGTCTCCTTCTAACAATAGAATGAGACCGATGTACGAAATAAGTAAAGGAACCAGCTCACCTCGGTGTCCCCGATCGCACGAACAACGATGTATTTTCGTCCCGTCAGGATAGCTTCACCAACATCGCCAAACGCCGGCGTATCTTTCGTCTCAGCATACACTTTATGCGATCCTGTTACTAGTCCGCCCGCTTCCTGGGCTATCAAAACCCCAGCGCTCACATCCCAGGGCCAGCATCCAATTTCCCTACACACATAAAGCTTGAGGATGCGAGCCTAGAATAGGTTAGAACTACGCACCAGTACATATCCAGTCCACCCTGGGCAACCATAGCAAAGTTCATTGCCGAGCTCCCTAGAGACCGCAGCGAGTGCGCCATTCGGCCTCCGACGACACCGTTCGAAGGGTCTCCTGCAATAAGATGGAAGCTTTCCGAGCGAGAGGTGAGTGGTTTCGAGGCGCGGTCATTACCCCATTCAACAGCTAGTCGTACACGTTCGGATTCAGCTATTTCGGGTAAAGGTAGAATAGTACCGACCTATTTGGGCCTGGCTTAACGAGGCGAGGGGTTTGGGTGAACTGGCAAATGGGAGCTTGCGTGGGATACCGTTAGGACCGCTGTGTGTAACGTAGGAACCGGATCCTTTGACGCCGGTATACTAGAACTATCGTAAGTACATCTTCTCGCAGCAAAGCAAATCGGGGCTGACAAGAAGGTCGAGGAAGGGGTTGTAAATGACGCCCAAGACGGAGTGGCGCTTGTAAATTAGCCCAATAGAGATGCAGACCCAAGGAAAACCATGAACAAAGTTTGTCGTTCCGTCTGTTCAAGCATGAGTTCCTGTAGACGAGGACATTCGGGACTATATACCGATGGGGTCAACGCAGAACGTGGGCTCATCTGTCCATTCTGGCCGCAATCCTGCAGCGTAGGTTTCTTCTCCGATACTGAAATATCGTCAGTTTCAGCACACCAGAAGATGTAGCACTCACAATTTGAACGAAGGATACGTCTCACTGATCTTCTTCTTTACAAGCTCCTCGACCTTGACATCGTACTCTGTAACGAGATCTACCGAATTTTTCTTCTCGTCTACGTTAGATCCAGCCAGCTGGATTGCTTCTGAGCCTTGGCGAATAACATGGCCTGCCTCGTAGGCAAGAGCAACGGTGAATTTGAGAATGGACTGGAGGTCAAGCTCTGACATGGCTGTAGGAGATTGGATACTAATGATCGATAATAGATGACATCGATGATAATCCACGTTCGTCCGATGCGATCCTTGCCGTAACTATGAACGTGCATGGCGTGCTCAAGGATGTGTGGGTACAGTGTAGGCAGTTGGGATGGTGGTGGTAGGTGATCAAGAGGTGTATGCACTGATTACTCTACCTACGTAAATCAGACAAGACGGGAGTCGGACATTTCTATGGAGAAGTGGCGACGTAGACCACATCCAAACTGTTCTTCTCACTGGCTAATATGATGGTCGTAGTATCACTTGTTATCTCCCTGTGCACGGCATTAGGTTGATATCCAATCATCAGGTTTTTTAAATTCTCTTCTTATCAGTACATTTATTTCAGGCTACAAAATGGCATCAAATATTGATCAGAGGTCGACAGGGAGGTCAGACGCACCTAGCGATGCACTCAACCTCAACCAATACGTCCTTTGGTAGCCTCGCCACCTCAACAGCAGACCGTGCAGGCTTGTGGGAGCCAAAAGTCGCCTCGTAAATGCCGTTGACGGCGACAAAGTCATTCATCGATTTCAAGAAGACCTGCATGTCCTCAATAAGAGCGCATATACTGAGCATCGAGCACTCACAGTCGTCTTGACGACCTTTCCTAGCTCTGATCCACCAGCTTCAACCACAGAGGTCAGATTCTTCAGCGCCTGTTTTGTCTGTGCTTCGATTCCTCCTTCGACTACTTGCATAGATGTCGGGTCCAGAGGGATGCATCCAGAGCAGAAGAGCAGGTCACCCGCCTCGATGGCCTGGGAGTAGGGGCCTATAGCAGCAGGTGCATCTAACATTGACAGGTAAGTAGGTCAGTAACTCATCCAGCGCGGCGCGACGCGACGCACTAGCAGTGGAGACCGTGGTCAAGGATGGGTGGGTCGAAGCAGACATTTGGTGACGGTAAACAGGTGATCTGAAGGTAACGGTGGGACGAATGAGTAACCTGCTTGTCCGTAGTAAAGTGGAAGACATTTATTGAGGCCGAGCCAGGCCGCGGCGAAAGTTCGGCAGACTATTTGGTTCCGAAGCCGATATCAACTTCAGACGGCCCGGATGCTCACTGAAACAGCACTGAAACCCCATCATCATGGCTCTCTTCACCTCCATCTCCAATGGCGACCGAAGAAAAAGAAGAGTACCGCAAACATTACGTTCCCCTCGAGTCGAACCCGGAGGTCTTCACTGAGCTCATCCAAAATCTCGGCGTCGACGTCTTCCAGTTTCAGGATGTCTATTCCGTCGAGGAGCCTGATCTAATGGCAATGGTGCCCCGACCTGTCTATGCGCTTGTGCTGGTATTCCCAACTAGCGACGCATACGAAAATCAAAAGAAGGCAGACGAAGCGACGCGATCAGCGTACGCTGGGAAGGGCGATGGGGAGGATGTCGTCTGGTTCAGGCAGACGATCAACAACGCCTGTGGGCTGTATGCGATCCTTCATTCTGTTTGCAATGGGGACGCGAAGAATATGATTCGTGCGTTTTCCTAAATGTCTATGCGTACACTCCCACTGATGTCTTTACAGCATCATCTTCAAAATTGGCTGCGTTGCTTGACAAAGTCGTCCCGTTGGATCCTGTCGAGCGTGCGCGCGCTCTTGAAGATTCTAAAGAGCTCGAAGAAGCCCATGCGCGCGCAGCGGCTCAGGGTTCGACCGCAGCACCCAATGCCAATGATGAAGTTGATTATCATTATGTGGCTTTCGTCAAGTCGCACAAGAACAATCGATTGTACGAGATGGATGGTCGAAAGAAGGGTCCCGTTGACAAGGGCATAAAGCTGAAGGGAGATGAGGACCTATTCAGCGAAGGTGGTCTGAGCTTGGTGAAGGAATTCATCAAACGGGAGCAGGACGGAAATCCCAACTTCAGTTTGATGGCACTCGTTCCTGCAGGAAGTCCCGTTTGAAATAATGCCACAGGACGTGTGTACGATATGACGAAGCGAATGTCAATGGTGATCAAAAGCAAGTTGTTCCTTTACATGCAAATGAACTAAATCCTGCAGCACCTCAAACACTCATGTTTGCCTCTCCATTTTCTTCGATCTGGCAATCCTAAGCAGTGACCTTCCTCTACGGCTGTACTAGTCCAGTCCCCACCCTGGGTACCTTTGTATCTTTGGTGATCCTGAGAGGATTTTACACTCTAAGGGTAGGATATGGCTCCGATCTTTCGAATGAGTACCTTCAGTATGACTACTACTGTCATAAAACTGCCTCGCGAATGTTCTCAATTCCAACGGGTACATCTACCAATCCTATCGTGCAGAGAGCAAGGGCCTGAAGATTTTGTCCCATATGAAGACAATGCGAGCGATGTCCATCTAGGCAACGGGAAATCAGGTACTGCAGACAATGAAGGAGGAGATTCGTCGAGTGTGACGGCTTTCGAAAGGTCCATTCCGTCAAGAGCTTGGGGATATCGACATCGTCAATGTGCACTGGAGACGCATGTATGAAGGCAAACTTCCCATCGTAAGGAATATGGCTGCATATCGGAGATTTAATGCAACCTCTAATAATTCTCCGAATCCTTGTTGAGCCCCTTCGGAACACAGCTGATGTGATAACTTTGTGATAGCAGAAGCGAAGGTTCTCTCTGGCGTTGTTTCTAGTCTAGTTACATAGTAATAATAATTCCACAAGCCCGCCTAGCTCAATCGGATAGAGCGTCAGACTTTTAAGGCGAGGGTTGAACCCTGCGATTACATAATATCTGAAGGCTGCGAGTTCGACCCTCGCGGTGGGCTAGTTTAGTTTTACTTTGTATGTTTTCTTTTTCTCAGCCTTTTTTGCAAGCTTGCAAACTTCCAACTTCCAAGGTCCGTAACTGGTACTAAGTCCGGTCATTCCTTTATAACTTGTTGTAACTTGCGTAGATCTTTGTGCATGGACGTGCAGTAACCTTTACACCTCCTCCCACCCTTTTGCCCTGACACATCACTTTCCCTCTTCCTTGGATGGTCTTGAAGAAATTCGTATGATAAATGACAGCCAACAATGTATCGCACGTTACAATCCCTGAGCTCGTGAACTCTTGCATCAATGTCCTTGGTTGCCTGCCGTTTGCGAACACTGGCTCGACGTCAGCACTGAGATCATCTGGTGAATACTGTATGACCTCACTCCTTGGCTGCACCTTATAGGCAAGGTTAACCTGGAAGATTATGCACTGCCTGAAATGACATCTTCGTGCGTCCGCTTTCTTTACTAGCTGTGTTTTCTCCGCCTAGACACTGAACATTAGAAATTTCATTCGCTGCATAAGGACTGGGTTAGATTTGACTTCTATAGCAGTCACATAGAATAATTTCTCCAACGCCGTCTGCCTCCCTCGGGCTAGTATTAGGCCGTATTCTTCTTTCTTTCGTCCCACCCACCTACTCCCTATAGTACTATATTCAGCTTCCTCTCACTCTTCTGGTCCCGGACGCTCAAGGCTTGGGTCATATTTGGGTTTCTATGTCGTCGGGCTGCATTCTCACCCACTGACTTACAGCTTGAATCGGCCTCCCCTTCTCTGACAACAACCCAGAGAAACTCGCGGCCTTTCCAGGCCCTCGTCGTTCGACAACCAACCAATACACGTCAGCATTCAGGTGGCCTTCCCATTGCCGTACTGAATACTTGGCCAGACAGTCTAGTATATCCTTGGCGAATCGGTCAAACTATAGGCCTGCCTTGATTACGTTCTGGCACCGTCATTCTGCCTTATCTTCACTGATTACGGCTATGACTCTTCAAATACACCTCTTCTTCCCTCAGAACCTCCATATATCCTGCCCTCCCGACTCGAGATACTCCACGTCCACATGGCCTTCAGATGTGCAACGAGAATTTTCCACGCGGCCTTGCCCTATCTCTCAGAGATCGAACTCATATCATAGCGGGCCGATGCTCGTTGACTATCAGCCACCTCACCAGGACTGCAGAACTGAGGTCTATGACCTGCATCTATCTTCTGCTGCAACACCATCTAGAGTTATAGACACCACTGATAATTGCGTTGCAATTGCCGATATCGTACCCTCGTTCTCGTTCTCTGCAATGATAGGTTTTGCCATCGAGCATGCTCACCCGTCGCTTCTTCAGTCCTGACATCCAAATGTTATTGGTGAGTTGGCCTGAGCTGGAGTCTCCACCTCAATAGCCCCTTCATCGCCACATGCGTAAGAAATCACCGTTTTCTTGCCTGGGTGGATAACTCTGGCAGGGGTTTCTCTTTTGAAGGAAAAATTTTCTTCGGCTTACAACACCTACCAAATAGATATTTCGCCAGAGGCGCAATGAAATAGTCTCTACATGGATGCACAGTGTTCCTGAAAGCAGAGAAGCCTGTCTATTAAACCAGTTGGAGAAATTAAAATGCCGATACTTCCCAAACCAGAGGCGCCCATTCAAATGCTCGCTTCATGAGCTACATCCTGCCTTTGGAATATACGGTTTCGACAGCACAGGTGCGAATCGATGCAGCATGGGATGACTCCGCTCTTTCAGAATTCCAACAGGTCCAGGCATAAGAGTGTGAGGCTTACAGCCACCTGGAGAGGGAAGCATAACGGAGCCGAGAAAGCGGTTCTTATGTAGAATTCTTGGAGACTATAAAATGACTGATCATCGATGGCCGTTTTAATGCTGCAAGTACTTGAACAGACGTGGCACTGACTTAACTCTCTTGTTGAATATAAATTGAGCCGTGAAGCTTTGAAGCGTCGAATTACAGGTTATTACGATTTTCTCACATCTATCCCGATTGTTTACGACGACGTACATAACTGGCAGAACGTTATGTAAATTCTGAGAGATAGCACCATCGGCCCGGGCCGCACAATTCAAATACACGCCTTATCCATCCTTCGTTCTCGTTTTGTGGGTTGTTTCCTTCATTTTCCCAGCCATTCGACGCCCACTACCAAAAAAAGTACCGGCATAGAAAATGCACCATGCACTCACAATTCCCGAGCTTATACATAAAATCCTCCTCCATGTCAGCCCCAGCGTCCTCGCTTTCGGTGTCAACACTGTCAGTAAACTATGGAGCGACGTCAGCGCTGAGATCATTTGGTATAAACTGGATGATCTCAGGCCTTTGTTGCGTCTTATTGGCGAAATCAAGTTGAACGACCATCCAGAACGAGAAAGTGATTTTTCCGAGATCTGTGTATGTTTGCTTCCTTATTATCAGTTCTTTCCCTGGTTTAACAATGTACATCAGGAATTTAGTTCTCTGTATGAAGACTGGAGCAGATTTGATTTCTACAGCCGTCACGTCCGAGTTCTTTCTCTTGGCGGATCAGTCATCGACTTTCAGCCTGCACTAAATGACGTTGCCATGTTGCGGTCTGGCAAGGTGTTTCTGCCTAGACTCAAAGAGCTCGAGTGGTCTAACTGTGAAAGAGATAGTTGGAAATCTTCTGTATTCATGATGCACGAGGGTATCACCACTTTCCTCCTTTATATCCCATGGGACCTCTACAAAGACGGACATACACACATGGTCCAGTATTTTAGTTTTATCGCTGCTCGATTGCCATGTCTTGAATACCTCCATATTGACACGATGCGGCACAGAGATCCTAACATCTCGCAACTTGGTTCAGCACTGGAGCTTCTCGTTTCGAAGCTAACCAGTCTCAAAACCATCCGTTTCCCTCCGTTCGTTAACACCTTTTCTATCCTCTCCGCAACGTCTACCCTTCCACACATTACGACTATCTTTGTCGAAGACAGCTCATCGTATCCTGTGCATACACCCCTCCTCCCGTCAGGACTTCCGTGTACTCTGCCTTCTCAATTGGGGACACTTCACGTCTCTATGGCTTTCAAAGATGCCACAAGATTGTTCCATACAGATTTACCAAACCTCTTGGATATCTTTCTGCAATCAGGACAGTGCGAGGCTCCTCCAACGGTGCATCGCCTGACCAAGGTCATATCACAGAGTTGTCACAATGTTCGTGAGCTTCAGCTGAATTCACAAGGGGCATCGCAGGGATTCACCGGAAACATACCCGATTGTATTGCCATTGCTGATATCGCACCCTTGTTTTCCTGCTCTGCGATGGAAGAATTTACCATTGAGCATGCATTTCCGTTGCTCTTATCCAATCCTGATATCCAGACTCTTTTGACAAAGTGGCCTGCGTTGAAGGTTCTTAATCTCAACAGTTGTCCTCTATCATTGCCTCCACGGGAAATTAACCTTCCCTTGCCCGAATGGAAGACTCTTGCCACGTTTGCTTGGTATGGAAGTAACCTTCGTACCCTTGGTCTTTACATGAACGGATTGGTGGACATTCCTAATAACAAGGATGCTTACCCGTTTGCTCGATTGGATCAACTTTATGTTGGCACATCTGAAATCAGAGGCACACATAACGAGGCACGATTTTTGAGTTACATCCTGCCCTCAGGTTGTACAATCATTCCAACCCCGGTGGGGGCGACCTATGTTACGTGGAACCGGATTGTCCCGTTTGTTTCAGCATTCCAGGAGGTCCGGGAAGAGGAGCGTGAGGCCAGGAAGGAGCTGGAGGGGCGAGTAATGGAGTTGGAAGCGCTGCTGGCGTCTTGATGCTGGCTTTTTTGTATTTCTTTCAAAACCTCTTTGCGCAAAAGGCATGTTAGTGTTCGAGATTCATTCGCAACAGGGAGAGCACGCAGCTCTTACATCGAAAAAATTGAGGCAACGTTCAGTAATGGCATTCAGAGCTAAGGCTGGTGTTAGTGTTGGTACCGGCACAAGGTCCCACTCAGGTAACGGCCTGGTAGCCTCGCTTTGTAAAGGGATACGGGCCGCAGAGCCGGGCATGGCCTCTGCGTGGGGACATCTCGTCCGTTCCTCCCTTTCAACTCCCTTTACTGCACAAAAGTCTCATGAGTTCCACGATTGATGTTTTTGACTCGTTTCCAGTGGTGTGACCATCATGCTGAAAGGAAGGTGTTTTTATACTGGTCGCTGTTCCTAAGATTACGGACAGCCAAATAAACCTTTATTGACACTCAGGGCTACTAATGTTTCCGAAATTCCATTTTGAAATCACCGTTACGGCTTGGGTGTCATGTTCTACTACTTCCTCCAAGATATCTGGCAAGAAAGGCCTTTACTGCTCTCAGGAATACCAGTCGTTCTCGTCTTTCTTGTTCTCTACCGAAGGTCGCAATGGTCTCGGTCCTCACAGGCTCCCACGGTCCCGTATATCATACCATGGTTGGGCTCTGCTATCAGTATGGGCAAGAACCCTGACGCTTTCTTTGCGGATTGTACTGCGCGCTTTGGGCCTGTGTTTCGTGTGGTGGCCGCTGGCAGGACGATGACTTATATCACTTCATCTAATGTGCGTATGTTCATTACTTGTCTACGACCCCCCAACTAAACGTCGTTTCGCTGGCGTTCATATAGCTTATCAGTGCGATCTATCGTGATTCAAAGGTACGCAGATTTGCATTCATACTGCTATATCCTGGCTTACGCAGTAAACAGACTTTCGAATTCGCACCCATCCGCAAGGAAATGTCCATAACGGTGTTCGAAATGTCCCACGAAGCGGTCTATAATGGATTCATGCAGCAGGAATATTTTCCTATGCACCATCGACTCCTTTCGCAAACCGCTATCCCTCCTCTTCTCTCCCGTTACGCTGAACTCGCAGAAAAGTCCATTATCGAGTCCCTCACGACGAGGACGGCCAAGGGAAAGGCGCTGCTGAGCGAATTCATTCTGTTGGCATCGTATGATGCGGCGGCGTATGCGTTCTTCGGAACCAAGTTCCCGGCGAAGGAGACTTACCCAGGTTTTCGCACGTTTGACAATAAATTCCATCTCATTGCGGGCGAGATGCCATACTTTTTAGTAAAGGATGCGAGAAAGGCTTGGGAAGGTGTTGTGGATATCATCGACAAGTACTTGGCGCAGGGGCCACATGAAGACGCCTATGAGTTGATTGATTGGCTATCGACGCGTGCTGAAGGAGCTGGCTGGGTAAGTGTTTCAGTATGCGCTCGGGTTCACAGTGCTGAGCGTAAAACATAGAGTAGGAAGGATGTTGCCAGTGCCTTGGGTACAGAGTTATGGGCACTGGAAGCTAACGCAATAGTGGTGGCGTTTTGGGTGATTGTGCTCTCGCTGCAGCAACATCCAGACGGACTCGGTCTGGAACCTCTCGTTGCTGAAATTGACAAGGCTCGTCCAGCACATCCAGAGAATAATGACTGGATAATAACCGCATCTATGCCCTTGCTTATCTCCACCATCAAGGAAACATTGCGGCTGACCACTTCGACGTTCTCCATCCGGAGAGTCACCAAGGATACGGTTTTTGCTGGGTATGAGCTCGAGGAGGATTCACGAGTGATCTGTGTGACAAGGGCGGTGCATATGGACGAAGAGATCCACGAGGACGCACACAGGTTCATCCCTGATCGGTATATGAAAATTGACGCAGGTCAGAGGCTGTTCAAAGGTGGTAAAGAGATTAGGGACCATTCGATGCCTTTCGGGGGTGGTGTTTCTATATGCGAGGGCAGGTCGGTGTTTCTACTCGACTTTAAGGTATGTACAGTTGCTGACGACCGGCTAGGCATTTCGCATTGACAGAACTAAAAATAATGTTAACGCTGCTACTGATGCATACAAAGATAGAGATAGACTCCGAGAGGGGACCGCAGCCTGCCGTCGAACTTTGCACAGATCGAATGGGAGTGGGTGCGATGCCCCCTAAAGGAGATTTGAACGTAATTATTCGACCACGGACAGTGTAGCAAAGAGAATGTTTTATTTATTTAAATCTTTCAACCATGGATACGTGGCAACTTGGAATTTTTATGTCGCGATCAGCAGAGCCACGCGCAGTTTCCCCGCTTTACAATGCCATCATTCAGTAATTACATACACTTCGGCCTTTTCTCTTCTTTACCATTTGTTCTCACTTCCCACCTTCATGGCCTTTCCGCCTAGGTACTATGGCCAGCAGAAAACCCGTCTTTCTATCGGGCTGCCTGCCTATACCTCTGCCGTCGAGGAAAAACTTCGTCTTGGAGGGCATCGACCACCGAGTCCGTGGTTCGTCCGAGTTTCGATACCCATTCCTGGGGTACCTCGACGTGCAATACCGGTATGGATACTGAATCCTCGTCTGGGACGTAGGCGCAGTGCATTTATTCTCTTTGTGGTGTTAGTGATGGTGATATACGCCATTTTTCATCCACGGCCCAAAGATGACTACAAGCCTTGGACACCGCCTTCGTGGCCGACAGAGTCGACCCAGCGGAATAGCGTTGTTTACAAGCCAGAGGACTTGCAGAGAATATGGGAGTGGGAGATACAGAGCGGTCATTATCCTAGTCGGCGGAAATGTGCGTGTCGAGATTTCTTTCTTTTTTTTTCGCAAGCTCTTATAGATTTTTATCTAGTGCCGGACACTTTGCGATTCGTGGAACCACCTGTCAATCCTGCTCTGCCTCCTTCACGAAAAAATCCGGGTTCGCTGGTTCCGTATTCCCCAACGACGAATGGTATCGGACCTCGACGTGTTTACCTTGACATACAAAGCCGTCCACCAGATATCTCGTACCCACCCAGGCCTGTACCAGGGAGTATAGCCGACTTGGACGTCATTATGGACCATTGTGATTTCGATAAGAAAAAAGTGAGTTACCCTGCTCTTCATTGGTATTTGTCTAACGGCTGGAACAGTATGTCCGCGACTGCCTGGAGGTTCTTCGCGTAGGAGCTGGCTTGGACAATGGCAAACGTGTACGTCGTGGCACCATGGATGACTGGAAATACATTTTTCTAGAAGAGGGCGAGATATCTCCTACCGTTCCCCCACGAGTTGCCACGACACCCACATTTGATGACGATACGACTACTTCCAGGGAATGGGAAACCTTGACGTTACCTCCGCCCGCTGAATACCGCCCATACTCCACCCTTGAGTCCCCTTGTGATCCCGAAAATCCTCGTATATTCCACATGTTCTGGGCTGGTCCGATTACGGACAAACCTTATATGGTCCTCCTCTCCTTCCTCTTCACTCAGAATACGGGTCTTTACGTCAAGAATTACCCCGAAACTTCAGCCTGTCGCGCTCAGTTTTGGCTTTGGGTTAATCCTGGTCCAGCTGCAGCCGTTCCCAACCCATCTGCCCTCCATGACATGTACGAGGAACTCAAGTCCAACCCATGGGCCTCTCCGTTCCTCCACCCGCGATTTAAAGATGTCATTCAGTTTAAACTATGGAATACCACGGAGCAACTGGATGGGGTTCCGGAGCTGAAGAACGAATGGCGTTCGATGGAAACGCTTTTTAAGTCGGGCGCCCACGTGGTGCATGTTCCACAGGACGAGCCTCAGGTATCGGCGAATGCAACTGCGTTGGCCACAAAGAAAGCGGCGGGCGACCCGATGATTAACCGACTTGGGTCGAAATCGTCGTCAGAGTACGACCGTTTGTCTGTTATCCTCTCTGACATGGCGCGGTTTATCCTCTGTCATCGTTTTGGTGGGGTGTATCTTGACGCGGACACGATCCTGCTTCGCGACTGGGAAGAGCTGTTTGGGTGGAAGGGTGCATTTGCTTACCGCTGGTCACGGCTACCGAACTACAACACTGCGGTGCTTCACATGAGCAAGGGGTCGGCTCTAGGGACTTTTCTCTTCCGCATGGCGCTCAATAACGGGCTGGACTTCCATCCGATGACAATTACGAAGTATATGAACGAGGCCGCGATGAATGGACTATTGCTGCGCTTACCGGACGCGTTGTTTGATTCGGCATGGCTGAATACAGAAGAATTCCAACGAGATAGGCCTCCACAACCTTACTTTACAGAGTACGTTGGATGCGTTCATCATACCACACATGAGCCGAGGCTGAGCTTATTACCAGGTTTTCCGACTTCTTTGAGACTCCTACAGTGAGTAGTGCTGCACCCCAAGCAGTGGGTTTCGAAGGTTTCTTTTCGGGCGCGTACTCGTACCATTATCATAATCAATGGTAAGCATCTCTACCTCCGTCGCCGTGCTGAGAAGAGATTGATTTCATTTCGTTGAAAAGGTGGCGACCCTTTGATCCCTCACGAAACTGGCCTGATCTCGGACCACGGTTCAAGGCGGTCGAAGAGCAGGCCCGACGAGCTCTAAATAGTGAATCGGCGATGCCAACATCAACGACGGATACAAATGAGGAACCGTGGCAGGACAAGGTGGCGGAGGATAAACGGGATTTGGACTGGGCGACAGTCATTAAAAGAACTTTCGAGTCGTACATTCGAGGCGAGCGGCCGAACATGTATGGAGAGTGGCTTCAGTGGTAGAGATGGTAATTTATGTATGTTGTTGGGACGTACCACATGTAAGTATTCGGAACATCTATAGGGCATGCACATACCATCACTAGATATACGCCAGGATTTGTTAATATTATTGCTTGCTATTGTAAAACGATCATGGGAACCACCATCGTCTACGCTGTCGAACATGATCCTCCTCCGACACGTTATTCTCTCGAATAACTTTTAGAAAAACGCTCTCCAGAGTTGCCCTCTCCACCGTATATTCGGAGAAGTCTCCGTGTCTGGATAAGACTTGGAATAGCTGGGCAAGTGAGAAGCCATCACTTATAGGAACCTCGAATCGGGTGGCGACATCATCGGCCATACGTGTCCCGGGTATATGCGCCATTAGAATTTGAGCTTTGGTAATCTCTTCACGCGTTCGACAGGTGAAGTGGACTTCGTATGTGGGATAGCGCGCTGATAGGGATTCCGTAGTGCCGACAGCTAAAGTGGCGTTAGTGTGTATGAAGGTGACACAAGAAGAGACTCGCCGAGAAGGCGCTTCGCCAGTATGCCAACCTTATTTGCCAAAGCAGATGCCTCTTCCATCGAATCTGACACAAAATCAATCAAAAGGCACATCATACCGTGAGACTATGATGTTACTTACGCGTAGTGATCATGACTGCTTTACCTACGACGACGTTCCTAAGAGTCTTCCACATGTCTCGTTTCATCTTTGCGTCAACACCAGATGAAAACTCATCAATGAGAATAACAGAGGGGATTGCCTAAAGAAATGTCATGACAAGTGGCCTTTTAATCGGTAGTAGACATACCAATCAAAGCAATTGCAAGAGACAGTTTCCTTTGGTTTCCGCCTGAAAGTTTACTGGCTAGCCGATCTGCATATGCGGCAAGAGCGGTCGCCTTAAGCAACGAGTCCACGTTACTAAGAAGTTCTGTTTCTTTTCCTAAACCTTTCAATCTTCCATATATCTCCAGGTGTTCCCTGACAGTGAGCTGAGAGTCTATAGCGGTAAATTGAGGACAAACACCCAGAGAAAATCGCGCTCTTCCTCGGATGATGAACGATTGATTCTCCAGCTATATAAACGTCACCTCTGTCGGGCGTCACGTCCCCACCTTCATGGAATAGTCAGTTCAAATGGATACATATATTCATGGACACACTAACGGATGACATTGAAAGCTGTTGTCTTACCAGCGCCATTCGGTCCGAGAAGCGCAAAAACCGTATCAGGGGAGGCGCTCAAAGTGACATCATCTACAACTTTGCTATCACCAAATGTTTTAGTAATCCCAAGAACGCGAAGGAGGTCGCTGGAAGATGCAGCGTGATCCGCTTCAGCGAGAACGTCTAGCTGTTGGCTCAGGGGGACCGAGGTTTTTCTTTGAAAGGCTTTTCGAGACCAGATTCGAGGTAGCGATGAGCCGGAATCCACCCATACCAGAATGCCGAGAAGAACAAAGATATACACAATCAAGTAGACGATAGGTCCTCCATATCGCATGATAGTCGCCATATGCGATGCAGACACGGTCCCGCTGCCTGTACAAAGCAGCGAGAAGAGATTGACGGATACCAGCGCAGCTCGAGTCTAAGTTGGGGCAAAGTTTGTATTGACAATACAAGGGAAAAAAAAATAGGAAAACTCACCACACTAGCGATTGGTGACAACACCGAGAGGGTGAAGTGGATGATCGTAATGATATTATTGGCCTCAGACGTTTTGGCATAGGTGAGGGTCAGTAGATAACCGGCCAGATACAGCTGATAGATGACAGGTCAACGAAGGACTTGCTATCTATGCTAGGTACGCACCACAAACACGATAATTTCGTAAGCGGCTACAGCAGCAAAAGCAGCTAGTGGTGTGGCCACCACCAAGGATACACAGTATGCGAACAAGGTCGCTGCGATGCCGTACAATACCATGACAAGCCACTAACAAGATATCAGCTTCACTCAACGGTTGACACCAATAGCACTTACTAATAATCCCAATCCATGGAACTGGTCCGAAGCAGCTGCAAAGATAATAATGATAATTGTAGAAGAGATGACAGCGAAAATGGTATCGAAAAGAAGGTGGCCTATCCAAAGACCCACAGGGTCTGATAGCCCATTGGAAAATTGCATCGCCTGAACAGCTGAACGGCGTTCTCTTGATACATACAAGGCGTAGAAAGCTGGATACACAGACTCGACCCAGAAAGTCAATATCATAAAAAGAAATGAGCGCATCGCGTACCATAGCAGCACCGAAGAACGCGACCCACTTGAGAGCAACGAGTGTTCCAGCTGCGATCGCTGGGAAACTCTCGTAGCTCGCTTGTATGATCGTCGGGAAGCTGGCGCTTTGGCCGGTGGAGTTCAACGCGTTGTTATACAGGATGTTGCTCACAAGGTTAAGCATAGCAGTACCTGTGAGGCCGGGCTGTGTTGCTTCCCAAGCAAGTAGCGATGATCCCGTACTCAAGTTCATAGATACCCCGCCCAAGGCTAAAGCACGATAATTTTGGCGAATTGTGTCAACGAACGTACTGTTGTCGAGAATGTCCGCCGCAGATAGACTAAACGTGCTATTCCCCAGGGTGGAAATAAGACCGGGAGGTGCGTTCAGAACCTGAGCACCGAGACTAATCACAGATGCCATAGGAGATATCGGAAGATACAGTGGGATGCTGGTCGAATTGGAGAACATTTTTACGCATGAAGGTTGCCGTCCACGGATGAACACCAAGGGAATGGTTGACGCTGCGATAGCCACGAGGACAGACAATGTCGGAACCAGCCAGCTTCTTCGAGCGATCAGTGTCCTCTTGACAAATATCGTCTTGGCCTGTTGAAGTGGAGACATGCGACGTCCATTTGAAAGCTGCAAGGAAGGTAGATCCTCTACATAAAAAGAGGAGGGCATGCTGTGGTGTGTACACTTTTCGTCGAATGCTTGAGGGTCGTTTTTTGCCATAAGGTCGAGGAATATGTCTTCAATGGTGGTTCCTGTGACATCGTACGATGCGATGTTCAACACATCCTTTTCATTTTCGAGGATCTGGAGTACCTTTTCGACGTCGCTTGAATGTTTGGACTTCAGGTGATATGATACCTGATTGGGGGCTGGCGTGGACAAATATGCGGACGGGACATCATTGCGGATTTGATGGAGCAAATGGGTCGATACTTGCGATTCTTCTCCTTTCGGAGACGAACGGAATGTTACTTGGATGACATACCCTTCGCCAAGGTCGCGTTTGAGAGATACCGGGGAACCATTCGCGACCAGTTTTCCTGGTGCTGCGAGGATGGCAATGTTGTCCGCCAATAGATCCGCTTCATCTAAAAACTATCTTGTATAGTAAGTTGGAGGAACTTAATAACAGGCTTCGGATGAATCGACATACGTGAGTGGTGAATATGATAGTCCGCTCTTGCCGAAAAGAAGTCAGAGTCCTCCAAAGTGCTCTGCGCGACAGAGGATCAACCCCGGAGGTACACTATTGAAGTATCAGTACATTTGTTAGCGAAACATGAATATGTGGGTAAATACCTCGTCGACAAGAACGACTTGTAGGAGAGAAATTAAGATTAGTTACACACAAACATAAACTGTGACTACCTTTAGAGCTTCCGATAAGACCAATGGCCAGTTGCAGTTTTCGTTTCTGTCCGCCGGACAGGGTGCTCGCATTTGCATGGATCTTCTGCTCCAGGTCACAATCTTTCAATAGCTGTTCAATATCTTCGTCACCGGAGTTGTCACCCGACCATTTTACTGCCCGCCAAACACGTAGGGTTTGGTAACACGTAAGCTCTGGGAAGAGGACATTCTTCTGGGAAACTATGCCAATTGTCCCAGGCCGCGGACGCTGAACTGCACCCTCAAAAAGCATGGAACCCCGGGTACGACCTGTAAGCCCTCCCAGTATGGAAAGCACTGTTGATTTCCCGGCCCTGAGTGATCATCATGTAGAGCGGGAACTGTAGAATAGCGGATACACGCACCCGTTAGATCCCAAAAGAACAAAAATGCCATGCTTTGGTATGTCAAGGGTCAGGTCGTCGACCGCGGTGACAATGTCCTTCTTGGGCCTAAGCAGAGATGCCGAAAATGTCTTGCCAAGATTCTTGATAGAGACTGCTACGTTGTCGGGAATAGAATGCTTTTCTTCGACATCTTTTGGCTTCGAAGGGTTTCGAGCATCGTATAGCCGTCTTTCGAGGAGAGCAGCGAGTATAGGCCACAAAACTATGTTAACCTGCCAAGGTTTTCGTTAGAAAGGTTTAGAGCATTGTGAATACGCTCACGATAGCCGCAATAAGAAGAGGCAGTAGGAGAAGACCATTATCTGGGTCGCCCTGCAGTACGTTTGTTGCGAGCATGTTATTCTCAAATCCACACATAGCTCGTATGGCAAAAATGTAGTATCCGGGTGGGAAAAGTATAGTGAAGATGAACCCCGCCACATTACCGGCGTGGCTAAGTACCAGAGCTATTATGGCAAAGAGGATGGCCAAAAATGTCGATGCCACTGCAGCTAGTTGAGGACTCTTCCCGAATGGTGCTGCAACGAAGAAGGACCAGCTAGCTAATGACAGGCCAAGGAGAAGGTGAACAACGACTACCAATCCGGCGTTGGTCTTTGAGAAAATCCGGTAGTGCCAGATCAAAGATACAATGACCCATGCTGGAAGATACGCTAGGGAGAGGCTTATATGCCAAGATCTAGGAATATGAGATGAGGTTAGAGGGTAAGAGTCGAATTGGAATAACCCTACAAGATTCTGGCCAAGTCTAGGAGACCCATAGCCTTCATATGCGCAGTGACAAGATTAGCGCGCTCTGCAGTAACAGCACCAGGCAGCTGATAGGATATCCCAACAAAACATATAAACCTATAGAATCATATTCACACCGGAAGCATTACTGAACTTTGATAGAAACTCACAGTAGTAATACAAGTAGCGTTCGGAGCCCACGAATGTAACCTAGAACGGATGGCATGTCAATAACGACGGACATAGACCGCCGTACACGGCAACGCACTCAGACGAGTACGTGTATCTCGTTCCTCGTTAGTTTCCTGGGTGAAAGGCCACTGAATGGGGGTAGGAGCTCGTTCACCGGTCTTGAGTTCAATGATAGCCTAGATTTGATGAGCATGTGGTGTGGCCTTGATAACAATCAGCTTACTTGGTCTATTGCCCACTGTAAGGGAAGGATGCGCTCCTCAAAATCACTCGAGTGCTTGACGACGTCTATATGAGCAAGCCCAGCGTCGGCACGGATAGTGTAGTTGATAGGATTCGTAGCGTTTCCGTTAGCAGGGATGTCATAGAATGCGATGGCGGCAAAACACTCCGAGAATAGATTGAAGTTTTGAGGACATGCAGAGGGAATGTCGTCCGGAGAATCTAGCTGTCGAACGGCTGCTAACTGTGATGTCGTAAAATTCTGTGTGATTCGAGCGATGATACTTGCTGGCGAAGGGTCACTAGTTCCGTCCGTGCCATCAGCCCATAGCAATGCGTAGTCAGGTTTAAGCGCCTGTGTCAGAGAATATATGGATATGGGATTTCCTATGCCAAACTACTGGTGGTCAGTAAGAAGAAAAGACCAAACGGAAGGCACGTACGTTGCTGGGTTTTGTTAGGAATAACTGCGCAACTGCAAGAAATATCCCAAATCCGATAGGCAAGGCGAAGCACCGAAGGAAATTCAGCTACACGATTAAGAACATAAACGTCAGCTCCCAGGTCGGCAACGTTTTGAACACGCACGAATGGGTGCTTGAACAAAACGATCCAGTTCTTCCAGAAGAGAATGGTAAACTGCCGCCAGAGAACGCTTTTCATTGTTCAATGCTGAGAGTCGGATTGAAGAAAGATACAGGGCCAAGGGGCTTTCGAGGCCGGCATCAGGAATTTAAATAAAATAACGGTTAGATGGTTAATAATACGGCGCAGTGACCGTGGTGATCGCAATTCGCCGAGAATGGCGTGTGCATGACGTCACTTACCAAACAACGCGTAAATAACGCGTGATAGTGACCAGTGGCATTGCTCAGTGCTCACACTGTCTTCCCAATACCACCATGCACGTAGCTTTTTCAGCAAAGGTCAAGCCTACTGCCTCTTTTTTTTTATTCCATCTGTTTTAAATATTTGGCAGAAACAGGAAGCCCGCATAACCGCTCTAGAGGCCGAAGTGGAGAACTTGAAACGGGAGTTGGGGTAAACTCCGATATTTCATTTCTATGGAGGATTCTCCGCTGAAATTTCTACAGGGAAAATGAGGATGCCGACAGCATTGTTAAAAGGCATATAAAGCTACTGCATCAATACAACGAATCGAAGGACGCTGCACAGGTATTTAATCCACCTCTCCATGTTAAATAGGTACTGAAGGGATGCCCAGATACTTATCGGAAAGGTACGCTATACAAATCTTTCTTGGTAACTTGACCTCACCATATTTTAGCTTGCCCTTCTGAAAGAGGTGACCATCACTCAAATCCATGTGGATTTGGATTTGCCTACCGGAGATTAATATCAATACCGCGACATGCATGTATGCTGTTGTAACTATTGCTGCTACGGTATTATCTTGGTCCCTCGTCCGCCGATCTTCATAGAACCTATTCTTCTGTGAATAGTCAACGCATGACTTCGACTACGTACTTGAACTTAGTCAACAGTCACTCGGTGAACTCGCCCCCGTGTCATTTGGTAGATCCAGTTGCTAGCCAGGCCCAACGTCGTCAAGACCAAGCGCATCGAACAGCCTTGAACAATGATAGGCTCGATATTGGGAGTATTGGTCGGTAAGCGAGGTTCTGCCGACCAACGATTTCCGAGATATGTAAACTGACTCAAGGCTGTCCTACACCTAATGGAAAAGAAAAGAAAGCAATTGACCATCTCATCGGACATATATCCAAGATGTGCCGGAGCCTGCCCAGATGTCCACAGCTTTCCCTGAACTAGGCACCGAGTCTCGAGGCCAGAGTTTCACAGGACGCGGTATATCCTCTGTTGTACCAAGACCGAGATTCCCGTGCTCGTTCCACCCCCAACCCCATACCTCAGGTTCCCCTTCGACGACGTCAAATAGAACAAGGACATGCTCCGTACCACATGCCAGCTTCTTCAGATGATGGTTATGTGGGAACTCGACATACGGACCAGTCAGACTCCTACCAAGCTGTCCTTTGGAATGGCTCCCCGTGGAACATATCCGGTCATCTACGACCGCATACGTGCCATTCCACGTACAACCCACCATCCGAACGTTACTGATTATCTCCAGCCCGTGCAACTGCTCTTTCCGATTGGATCCTAGCCCTATGACATGACCAGAGGTGAGAAGGAGGGCAGTGTGCTGAGCGCCAAGGGCAATTGACACGATCTGGCCTTCAATGGGTATTATTCGTGGTATTGCGACCTTAGACTTGGGTTCTCCCAGCTGCCCATGCCGAGATAGACCCCAACCCACTAAATGAGTTCCATCTACTTGGATGACAACATGATGCTGGCCCGCATACAGCGCAGTGATGATCTCTCCTTCGCAGGGCAGCTCAACGGTATGGGTACCCGCAGCTGAATGAGACGTCCCTACTCCCAGATCGCCAAAGTCATCGGCGCCCATCGAGATCAGCACATCCCGCTGCCCAAGACGCGTCAGAACAATGTACGACGTTTCCCAGGATGCCGATATCATTTTGGGGATGTATCCATCGCGGTTGAGCATGATAGGATGAAATGAGATGCCCGGCTCGACCCAGTCTGGTCCTAACTGGCCTGCACGCCCGTCTCCACACCCCCAGAGCTCGTGTATCCCCTCCCTATTCTCGAGGAGGAGCAAGGTATGGTTGGCACCACAGCAGAGGTCGACAATCTGGCAGTCGGGAGGTAGATCATTGAATATACACGTCGCAAATGCATGAGAATCATCTATTGTTCCATTGGCAAGCTGTCCATGAGCATTCGAGCCAGCAGACACGAGACAGGGCATAACGTAGTGGACGTACTGGATGACATCCGTAATTGTATGGCCTGATCTGATCATCGATTATCCTTCTTCCTTTCTTCCACCATGGCCTCGACGACTCCCGCCCTCTTCTGTATGGGTAACCCCCTGCTTGACATGCAGGTCACGAATGGCGAAGAGCTATTGACCAAGTATGGGCTGAAGGCGAACGATGCCATCCTCGCTGAGGAGAAGCAGGCTCCCATGTACGACCAAAAATTTACCTCGCCTTCTGTCTGACATTTGCACAGATACGAAGACATCGTAAAGAACTACAAGGTGACCTACGTTGCCGGAGGTGCAGCACAGAATGCTGCTCGTGGAGCTGCGGTGAGCATTCCAACCGCCAAAATCGGGGAACCGCAAACTGAATATCATCTACCTTTGCCCAGTATATTCTCCCTCCAAACTCGGTTGTCTACACCGGATGCGTCGGCGACGACGATCTTGCTGAGCAGCTTAAAGCTGCCAATAAGAGGGAAGGACTACTCGAGGCCTACCAGGTGAAGAAAGGCGAAAAAACTGGTGCTTGTGCCGTCGTCATTACCGGACACCATCGGTATGGTGCCGTCCCTGCCTCCAAATATCTTTTTTTTTTTAAATAGCGAGATAGATCGTTGGTGACAACCCTACGCGTCGCCGAGAAATACGACCAGTTTCATCTCTCCTCCCCTGAAGTCGCCCCCCTAGTCGCCGGCGCCAAAGTCTTCTACTTTGAGGGCTACTTCCTCACACACGGCGCGTCCATCATCAGCGACCTCAGCAAAGAAGTCAGTGCTTCCGGCAAAGTCTCCGTCCTCAACTTTTCGGCGCCTTTTATCCCCCAATTCTTCAACGCCGCCCTGCAAACCGTCCTCCCACACACCGACATCGTCATCTGTAACGAGGCAGAGGCGGAGGCCTGGGCGAGCGCCAATGGGCACCCCGCACCTACTGATCTCGCCGCTGTAGGCAAGGCTATTGCTATGTTGCCCAAGTCTAACGCGTCGCGACCCCGTATCGTTGTCATTACTCACGGTGCCGAGTCGACAGTCCTTGTAAGCTTTGCGGAACCTGATAGCCCCAAGACCTTTGCTGTCCATGTTCTTAAAGATGAGGAAATCGTGGACACCAATGGAGCTGGGGATGCCTTTGCTGGCGGTTTCTTGGGTGCCTACGTCGCTGGCAAGTCCTTGGAAGAATCTGTTGAGGCTGGACACAAACTCGCGTCTTTGAGCATCCAAGAGGTATGTCTATCTTGCTTTGTACCGAATAATACTGATCCATGTTCATAGGTCGGACCACAGTTCAAATGGCCCAAAGTACAAATCTTGTAATGTAAAACTTCACATAGTGCATTGCTTGTCGTCTCTCTTTCAACAGATGGTAACGATGAGCCTATACCTTTGCGCAATTTTGGCTCTCCACAGCTTTAATCTGTAGCATATAGTACATCAACAAATGAATCTGTATTTTTGCGTGCCTTAGGTGTTTCGTCTGGGAGCATATTTGGAAGACGTCTTAGTTATTAATCAGTCCGTTACACATTATAACCCTGAACATATCATATCGGGTTAGATCTAGTGTGGGTCACGAGAATACAAACACTCACAATAATGTAGAGCGATACGCTTCATACTGTTGTACATGAGTCTGACCAAAATCACCAAAGGCTACCATAACACGGAACCTAACAAAAAATCGACTACGCCGATACTAAAGTAACAAAAAAAGCTTACATGCTCGACGCAGGGAAGGAAATAGTGTTATACAGATATCGTAAAGCGTTAAATTCACTACATGTCCAACCAATCGTGCAGTCATGAAGGAGGGGGAGAAGCAAGGGATTCCTTTTAAAACATCAGACGCTGGTTTCAACATGGATGCCTCTAACTGATTCTTACCTGTGTCAGGAGTTCCGCTGTATACAGCCGTCAGTCGGACAGGACCATGGATATTGTCAAAAACATACCAGGGTTAAGCATCGGCTCGCCATCCTCTGTTAGCATATGCTCCATGGGTTCAGGACGATCGAGAGGCGTCCCATACGAGAGCAAACCCGACCCCGTACGCTCATCGGGAGACATCCTTGCATCCTCGCCGTGGTCCAGATCACTCTCCGGCTGATTTGGACTTGACCACCGTGAATTAATATCCTCCAAATTGACACCATGCAAACTTTCCCGCCGCGGGTACTTTGCGTTGTTGAGTACGACCTCCATTGCTGCATGGGTGAGCTGCATTGACAGAACCTTCATCTCCTCCTCTGTAAGAGTGTCGACATCTGAAGGGTTCACCGCAGCTGGCTCGCGCGAGGTTGACATTTGTTGATCGCCATCGGGAGTTTCTGGCCCAGACGGAGAGGAATTTGAATCGTTTTGGGGAGTCCCCAAGCGGGATTGGGTGGTATGATGGGGTGATTGGGTTCTCGATGAGGATCCTGCGCGGTACTCTGTTTCGGTCGAAGGTTGATGCTGATGCTGAGGAGCTGGGGAAACTCCGTTCTGACGGTAATATGGAGAGGGTGTGTAGTATATAGGGTATCCAATAGCGGCAGGCGGTGGTAAACCCTCAGGCCATGGCTGTGACTGAGCCCAATTCGTCGCGCCGTTAAGCCGGGTTGCAGACGTCGGCAAGCCTACCTGTGTATATTCAGGTACATACGCTGGTACAACTGATTAGACAACGCTCATCGGAAGAGGAAAAAGAAGGATACTGCTTGAATGGGCTGTGTGTTGACGATAATAGCTGGAATGGCCAGTAGCTGGTCCAGACACCACAGATTTCCCTTGAGCGGAATGTGACGTCGCTAACATGGGTTCCTTGCCTTTGAGGGACGGTGCAATACTGCTACTCCTTGAAGGACCCTCGTTCAATAGCTCCTGTTCCATTGCCTCGATCACGATGCCATTATGTCTACGATGCCCTCAGCAACTGCACGTAGAAAGACTGAAACGGAACGACCTTGACTTCTGATGGCGCCGTAGAGCATCAGTCTAGCGCCGGAGTAAGTAACCTCGGTACTGGAAAATACGACGTGAATGTACTCACTCGGGTGAAGGTAGCGTCGCATTGGGGACATGAGCTGCAGAATGTTAGTATAGACGCGATTTATAGAGCACATACACGCACAATCCGGGCATCGAATGCAGTTTCGTTGTCCTCTGATGTCTCTTCAAGTCTGCCTCCCGCGCGAACTGCTTGTTGCATCCGTTGATCTTGCAAGGCCATACTCCTGTAGCTACATTCTTCTTCTTTGCTGTAACCTTCTTCTTCGTCGTGTCCTTCCGTTCGGACGGCGGCTGGAGGTGCAAGGGGTAGATACCGGTCAGTTGTGGGGTTTCGAGAAGAACCGAGGTCTCACCTGCTCGTCTGTGATTGCTTTTACCATATTTCACTGCCAGAATGTGTCTGTACTCTATGAGCACATGCCAAAGGGTCTTGTTAGATGGAATACACCGTAGGGAAAAGGCAGAAGGGGAGCAGATCCTAGGTGCCGATGTCGGTGCTAGTAGTGGTAATAACGCAAGAGCCCCCTTAAGTAAACAAGCCTCCGATCTGTCTAGCCCTAGGCTTGGACAAGACATGTACATTACATTTTCTACTGGTACAATATCACAGCTAAGCGAATACATTATTGCGACAGATTCTACTATACAGTATTATGCGTGAAAGCAAAGCAAGAATAATTTTACGAGACGATAAACGTAGATATATTCCACCAAATGCGGTTCCCGATCAGTTGGAGGACGGGTCCGACGTTAAATTGCACCCCAGGATTCGGACTGCCGATACAGTCTCAGCCTTGTACGACACAGGTAAATAACGAAAAGCTTACCGGTACCATCGGGTTCTCCAACACCGTACAACATTTCCGTAGGGTGGAACACCAAAGACGTCAGTCGGTGCGAAAAGGGCGACGCCGGGACGCGAGGCGGTTGAAGAACGTGCCCAGTAGGAACCGAAACGCTGGAAGGCGGCATCTGTCCTTTGATAGATTGCACCGTTATCTTCTGCTCCTTCCATTGGTGAGGCGTTATAGCGGAAGATCTTATACAGTGGTCAATGGCGGAATGAGCTCTGAGGCTATCACCACTTACCCAGCGAAAACTTCAGTAGTGCGATGGACATCGAAGGTGGATAGTCCCCTTGAGTTCAGATCCCATGTTTCGGCGGCCTGCCTTTCATTTCGGAGATCCCAAAGCTTGACAACACCGTCCACGCTACACATTCATGCATAAGGTACAAAAATGAAGACACCGAAAGGTTAGACATACCCAGCGGACAGGAATTGAAAGCCCGATGCCGGATGCGGACAAATATTCTGAACCCATGTCGTGTGGCCGGGGAATGTCATGATCACAGGCTCCTCGTCATCGATTCGGGCATCGAAAAGCTTTACAGCACCATTGGCAAAACTGACAGCAAAGACTTCAGAGTAACCATGGCGATCCGAGGCAATAGCTGTAACCGGACTTTCGGAATCGGTCAAGATGTCCTATTTGAATATTCAAGTTGCTGGAGATGACGCATCGCGGTATATCCACTTACCATTCCCTGAGACTCTGTCTGAGCATCCCAGCTTTTGATGATGCGGGAATCTCCGCCAATAAGCAGAGTTCCGTTAGCGGCTTTCCAATCCATGACAAGGCCAGACCCGCGTTTGATGGATATTACCTCTTGCAGGCCGCGGAACGCACTGACCAGCTGTATGGGTCCTTGTTCTAGGGTAGGATCATAATTGCGAAAGAGTCGCACAATACCGTCATCTGGTTGGAGCAATTCAGTACGATGTTAGCATCTAAATCAAGGACACGCACCGGACCCGGTCATTATGATACCGCCAACATCCTGGTTAATGATATGCATAGAAGTAATCGAAGTTCCTCTGGGATTACCGTTGCAGAACTGATTCAATTTCTTTTTCTGCGACCAGTCCCAAACTCTGCAACACGATTAGCCGAAAAATCAAACAACTTGGCAGGAAAGCCTACGCGACAATATCGTGGTCGTTGGCGACTACAAGATGTTGGTCATAAGAATGGAATGCCATGGTCATCGGGTGTCCAATGGATTGTAACGTTGCTACTGGTCTGTCCCATCGGTGACATGCTAGTGGATAAGTTGGTTATCAATCGGGTCATACAATAGCGATAGACCTACGCGCTACTTCTGCTTGAGAACGGGTCTCAACCTCAACCTTCTCGTTTCGCCGTTGTCTCCAGACTTGATGATTGTATTGTATACTGCCTGGTTCATCCGCTTCCGTTTGCTACAAGAACAACATCAGTTTAATAAAGTCAAATACGTGTAAAATGTAGCACACACCCTCATTTGTGGTTCCGTAAAGTACTCCGTGCACCAATCAAAGTACGTGCTCTTCAGCGGAAGCACGTCCCGTAGTCCCATACCTGTTCCCAGCCCCAACATCAAACTGCTGGCCGAAGATTCAGTAGAAAAGGTACTATTACTTGGGCTGGGCATGGAACCACCGCCACGTCGGTGTTTTCTATGTCGCGTTCTCAATCGCTCCATATCCTCTAGCATCAGCGCCTCCATGACATCTTTTGGAGTGTAGTCCAGTACAGACGGTTGTTGAGATGATGGTGAAGATGGATGTCCGTTTTGATGATAGATGGGTAGCGACGTGCGATAGTAAGGCGGTGTGTACCGCGCTAGGTTCAGGTTAGGGGAGGGTGGTCGGGATATGTCAAAGTCTGAACGCGATGATCCAAACAGTGCAGAATGCCCATCTTCCAGAGAAGGAAAAGTGACACCGTTCGCGAAGGTCTTCAGAGCGTTAGCAAAGGAGGACGTACGCCGGAGGGTGTTCGATACAGACGTAGTCATCGAGGACATCGTATCAGTACGAGGGAACGCTGGACGAGGTGGTTTTGGAGATGGCGGGGTGGACGCGAGAGGAGAATGACTGGAAGGTACTCTTGATCGAGGTACAGTCTCAATGACTGGTGGTCGGTAGTCGGGAGATACAGCGGGTTGCCGTCTGAGACTAGTCGCATCATGCTGACTGAACGGTGAATCCAAAAGAAGAGCCATGATATAGTCCACGACCGTCTGGGCATTAGCAGCAACCTCAGAATAAGGGTCCTCCGAAAGGTCGAGGAGAACAACAAAGATTGTGAAGAAAGATGACAAGATGACTCGATTATCTTCTTGGCTGGCAAAATCGAAACTTTCTATCCATTCTTCGATTGCCTGCCCGCTGATGTCGTCAATCGGTGAATAGGGACCAGGGCCCTTCGTGCGCCAGCGTTGGTCCTGTTCCCAGTACAACCACGCACAGACAACAAAGTGACCTCTCCATTCCCTTACCAGACAGCTAATCAAGACCAAAAGCTCCTTCCGTGCCATGGGACTTGCATCATCCTTGATGATGAAAGTGGCGCCCATGACCAAAGAGACCTCTAGACGCATGTGGAAGTTTTCCTCCATTTCAAACAATCCCATCAAATTTCCGGTGCCTCCGCCTCCTCTCTTATTTGGATCTAACGAGCCACTGGCTCCCATGAATGTCTGCATGGCGTAGAGCACAGCACAACGTACTTCCACAGACTCGTCATTAAGCATATTATTGAGCTTATCGGTGGTCGTACGTTGTATAGCGTCCCTTCTACCCTTGTCATTTGAATCCCAAAGTTGGGCAATACATAGGGCAGCCCATTGGCGGAGCAAAAAATCAGGATCATCCAGCTTGTTAAGACAAGCATCAAAGACTCGTTCATCCCAGCATGCAGATTGTCCATTGGGAAAGTCGCGGGAAAGGGATGCGAGAATGAAGCAAACCATCGCCTGGTGCTCGGATGAGTTTGGCAGAACGCCGTCATCAGGCATCGCAAGAATTTTGGAGAAATAACGGTATCCTTGGGCGTTGTTATATAAGTCGACTTGTACGGATGGATCAACAGCCAGAATGCGGGTCCATATGAAGATGAGCACCGGACGGAGGTCCTGCCCGGCAGCCTGCAGAAGCTTCGCCATGTAGGGGAATATGCCGATAGAAAGGACCATGTTAACAGCCCATGGTCCCAAATCTACGAATTGAGAGAGAAGAATAAGTGCGCGTAGGCGATGTGGCTGGGAAAGCAGGACTTGGAGAACAATGGGCAGCTGATCTGGCGGTTTCCGAGGAACAAGTTTGTCCTCGGTTACACCGTCAACAGTGGTTCCGTTCTCCTCTAGTCCCTTCTCTTTTGAGATTGGCATGGACATAGGACCACGTCTCGTCAGGGCAGAACCACCTCGAGATATCCATACTTCAAATGCAGTGAGCTGGTCTGCAAAGAACCGACTAGGGATATAGGTATATGGTGGGATCTGCGAAGCGTCTTCGTCTTTAGTCACATGGCGGAGACTCCCAATGCGACCAGGTAAGACTTCGTTCTCATCTGTGATCACTGTCGTAGGCGCTGGTGGCTGTCCTGTCGCGGAATTCTTAGCTTTCGCGGGCGCTTTATTACGAAGAAGATCAGGGAGCTGTCGCAGACATGCGTCCACAGCTAGGTCCCACGTTGCCCACAGAGGATGTGTATTAGTGGCGGGAAGGGGAGGGTATGTATGTGGAGTGCAGCCGTAATTCTTCAGGATACGCTCTGCGAGCAGGAAGTTGCGGAAAAGTGATGCAACCAGGAGGTCACACCGATATAATCGTGAGAATGTCTCTCGGGAAAACGAAGTCCATGCAATGGTATCGGTGATGGCGATGAAGATCCAGTTCAATTCTCCCAAAGGGGTACGACGATCTTTAAGATCACCTGGAAGCTGCATGATCATATCTTGCTCGACGCCATCTGGTAACTTTTGGTTAAGGACAAAATATCGAAGCGCCATGTCAATGGGAGAGGTAAGGCATGACGTAAAAACATCGGCAGGTAGCTCTGGGCACGAGGGTAATTGCTCATTCGCGGCACACGCAGCTAGCTGTATCGACTGCAAGTATGGTGTACGTTCCGGCGCGTAGCCACCATGTGACATAGTTGCATCGCTGTCGCGGCGCTCCGCGAACGTGTTGAAATTCTGCAGAAGATGGCCCGCAGCAGAGCAGTCCCATATATACACGCCAGGAGATCCCAGCCAATTTTGTATGTCCTGAAGAGACACCGGAATGTACTGAGTGTAGTTCCGGTTGAAACACCACAACTCTCCGCTGGATGTAGGCTTGGGAACTCCGTGTCCATTATAATGAAATAACACGGCGTCATCCTTGGCCTGTCGGCGGAGCTGTTGACAACATTTCCGGATGTCTTCCTGCGAAGGGTCGAGTATTGGTTTATACTGGATCTTGAGACTGAGACCTTCATACTGGGACTTCAGATTTGCGCCAATAGCCTCGACTGCACGGTTCGAGGGAAGGAGCCTAGGGTCGACCCAACATTCCAAAGCAGCACAGGGCTGAGTCTTGACAACGTCGGGTGGGTCGACATCGATGTTGAGGCAGAGAATCAATGCTGCATTGGCCGTTTTGAGCTTTCCTAGGGCAGAATTGCGCCAGGGAGTGAGCTGAGCGGACCACGGAGGCTGAGGGGTAGGATTGCCACATGTTAGATGCCGTTTTGCTGACCAGTACGGAATCGGAGGGGCGGCTGCATCCACGGACGTTTCGAGCGACGCCCCGCGATGAGAAAGATGATTTTCTGTCCTCGTCCTTGAATGAGACTGCTTCCTACTCGAATCTGTTTCGCTCTCCGAGTCCGAATTGAGGCCTGACATTACGCGTTAGCACAAAACGTCTGGATAGGCAAAAGTCGTACCGGTGTGGAATTTTGGTGGCGGCCTCGAAGGTACGTGGTCGTGCATCGTTCTGCAAATCTTAGCAGAACGCTTCCAAGTCAGCAAAGGAGCGCCGGCGCTTGGAGTCGGACCGATTAATACAATGGAGGCCCCACTGGGCGGATGGAAGGAGCTAAGGTCACACCTGTGACACCCTTTCCTCTCGCGTCAACCACTGCCAATGTCTTTGGACGTTGTCCGACACGATGAGTGCAGTTAATCTTCCTATTGGGACCATCGTCGACGTCCCCGTCGGACGCGGGGTAATTCGATGGAATGGATCGTTAAGTGGGAAGCCAGGGAAGTTCTTCGGTATCGAATTGTACGAGCCCAATGGGAAGAATGATGGGACCTTCGAGGGCCAGGCGTACTTCAAATGTAGGATGAATTACGGCTTATTCGTGAGGCCTGTACAGATAAAAGGAACGCATGGTATGGAACAGCAGCCAGTAGCGGGACCAAGTGTGCGTAGCTGCCTCCTTGTATGCATTCTGGCTTGACGAACGTCGCAGCGACCGGCACCGATTGCAACTAGGCCGTCATTTGGCCACCAGCGAACTCCCAGTGTTGGAGTGCCTCGGTCAAATTCGGTACGGACGGCTTCACCAGCCTCGTCAGTGCGGTCAAATAGTCCAGTGAAACCTGTGGCAACGCCCGTTTCACGAACAAGTCGATTAGGACAGCCGTCACCGACGAAGAGGCAGCCTCCAACCACCCTGCAAGTCCGTAAGTCACTCAGTGTACGATCCAGCCCGCCGGAGACAGCAACTCCTTCAAGACCTTCAACAAAGACATTGCTACGGAATGGCCCATCACCTATACAGAAACAGACATCCCCGCCGAATGGCACAACAATTCCACGCGTCTCTTCTCCCCTTTCTCACTCTCCATCTCAACCAGCTACGCCTCCGTCACCTCAACTTTTGCATCATTCCGCGAGGGCGCCTTCTCCTTTGGTTCCACTTGTACGTTTAGTTCTCTACCGAAAGGTCTCCGATAACCTTCTTTGCAGCCACCACCTCCAGACGAGCAAGAACTGCATGAGCTGCGCGCCAAGGTACGCGTCTTGGAGGCCAAACGTGCTGATGACGCAAGGCATGTCCGTGAACTAGAAACGCGACTTTCTGAAGCAGAGTCATTTGTCGCTCTACGTCCCAAGCTCCAAGCAAAACTCAGTTCTCTTCAAACTGATCTCATAGCCACTAAACGCGAACTCGCCGATGCTCAACAGTTGGCGCAGTTGTCCGAGACGCGCCTTCTCGATGGTCAAGAGCTATTAGAGATGGCGATGTTGGATAAAGAAGTTGCTGAGGAAAGAGCGGAGATGGCAGAGGCAGAGCTGGAGGAACTCAAGGATCGGTTGTCTCTCGCTGAGGTAGAACTGGAAGTCTACAAGGAAGAGCACGCAGGTCTGTTTTTACGCCTTCGCGCTCCTTCCACTCTCTCATAAAGTGCAGATATCTCCATCGATGAAGAAAGCAGTAATGCCGGCAAAGATTCCGTGGCATATCTCCACCTTGAGAAGCAGAATGAACGACTTAAAGAAGCTTTAGTCAGGTACCCTTTATCGTACCCCTCAATCACTCGGTCTCATTTGCTTTAGGCTACGCGATATGACACAGGAAACAGAAATGGAACAAAGGAGGAAGATATCGGAGATGGAAAAGGACGTCGGGGGGATTGAAGATCTTCAGTGTGCGTACTTCGTTAAACCCACTTAGCTCCCTGATTCATGGTCCTCTAGCCCAGTACGACTCCGTCGTTATCAAATTATCTAATGCAGAAGTCCAGATCGAAGACCTCAAGCTACAACTTGACGATGCTTTGGGCGTAGAAGAGATGCTCGTTCAGCTGACAGAGCGCAATCTCATGCTTGGCGAGGTAGGTTGTTATTATTTTCAAGTCTAACTCCGACCGTTTACCAATTCTTTTGTTATTACAAGAAAATTGAAGAAATGCGGATTACGATCGAAGATCTCGAGGCATTAAAGGAACTTAGCGACGAGCTTGAAGAAAACCACGTTGAGACTGAGAAGGCCCTCCATGAAGACCTACGTATGTTTTTCGACCTCGTGAAGTTTCAAGTGTGCCTTACATTCTCGCAGAATCGAAGGACATGCAAATTCAAGAACACGTTCGAAAGGTCGAGGCCCTAGAGGAAGCTACTCTTGACTTAGAAGGTACCATTCTTCAATTCAGAGAACTCGTTCTCCAGCTTCAGACGTGAGTATCATACTTGAAATTTGCAACTGTATGCTGAGAATGCTTTGTATAGGGAGCTTGACGCTCTCCGGTTACAAACGCAGACTGCCCAAAGCGAGTCCGCCACAGCGGCATCCCAAACGGCTGCTATGATATCCTTGAACCTGAAGCTCCAATCCTCAGCTTCTAAGAACCAGGCTAGGAATATTGATCTGGAGCTGAAACAACTGGAAGCAAGAGAAAGCAGAGAATTACTGAGTATCGTCCAGGCAAGTATCTTGTTGGATATGTGTTACCTATCGCTGAGTTCATGACAGCCCTACTTGCCTCAATTGTATCTCGAGACAGATAGTGATGCAACTAGTTGTTATCTGTTCTTCCAGCGCCTAGCATACAAAGCAGACTTAATAAATACCGTCGTCGCTCAGGCGCATGGGTTACCTGAATCACTCAATGGACCAGGTTCCGATGTCCTCGTCGGTATCTGCGATGTGAGCAAGCGTCCGATAATTCCTCTGTGCAATACTGAAATTATGCGTTAACAGCTCCGTGGTCGAATTTCCGCTGTATCCATTCTCTGCAAGCGTTTTGCCGCTATATTGCGCAAATGCGACGTGGAAACCTTCTTGAACAAAGGCCGGATATATCCCGAGATTGCACCGATGGAAAAGCGGATTGACATGCATATCGATCTTTTGCGACGAGATGCGTTCCGGGAAATGGAATGTGCTAGTGATATTGAAAAGTCAGTTTTATTTCACTTTGTACATGAAGAAGAGATAGCTTATCTGTACATCTCTGACTTCAGGATCCAAGCACAATTTGATCATCTCGCCGACAAATATTTCGATGGCTTTGATTATGACTTGGGAGAGCGGGAGCAAGGATATGTTACGGCTTTTGATCTTGACCTTGATATCTTTGCTGCTGCCATTGGTCTTACGAAAACATCTGTAGAAGCCATTCTCAAGGATGAAGGTCAACTAGGCATTTCTGATTCAACTGTTGCCACTTACATGCCTTTTGGACAGATGCTATTCTGGATATGGGTGGTTTGAATATCGATACCGATCTATTTGAGCCATTGCAGAAGCTCTTAGATCAGTGCAAGAGCGCTAAGAGCCTGTCTAGGTATCTGAAACTTTCTGTTGCCTATGAAGTTTTCAACTTATCTTTTCCAGGAAATTGACCAAGCGGACGGAGGAGTTAGTTAAAGAATCTGCACATCTTAAGTCGCACGTCGTGCCCCATATGCAATCTCTAAGCAATGCTGTACAAGAGCCTGTCAATTTCGCAATCACTGTAAGTTTCAATTCCTTTTATCACCAACCGCATCATCTAATCTGTCCTCTTCAGTTGGCGAAACAGATAATGCCCCATCTGAGTGATGTGAGAAGTGCGAAGACACCCTTCCAGCTTAACACGATTCTCGGTTATGTTAAGCAGGCGACTACCACGACTGTGGGTATGGATGCGAAGATAGATGCTTCTTTCTGGGAGCCTATCGGAGCTTCTCTCAACCAGCTCGTACAAGAGGGTGGGAAGCTCCTACCACTAATTATGGAAACCGAAAATGTTGCAAAGTGTGAGTAATGCGCTTTTCTCTATGTTAATGCATCTTGAATCCTTCCATTTTCCAGCATCGAGCATAGCACCATGGGTGACTCGGGTTGACGAGATAAAGGCCACTTTAGCAGTCAATATCGAAGCGGAGAGGAAAGTCGCGCAACTGAACGACGAGATTCAAGGGCTTGTCCGGAGCTTGAAGACCAAGGACCAAAATATCCAAGAGTCAGGTGTCAAGATCGAGCTCATGCAACGACGAATAGAGGCGGTCAAGAAACAGGCAGATACGATCGCTGATCTTGAAGGCGAGCTGGCCAAGGCTCATAAGCAAGAGCGCGCCTATGAAGAAGCTATGGAGCAACTCCAAGCCGACTTGGATGCCCTAGAGCAAGACAACGCCAAGCTGAAGACCATGACAGCTGGTCATGACCGTCAAGGTACTCTCTATTCCTTCTTTTATCAAAGAAATATGATTCACTTCCCATAGTCCTGGGAGTCCAACCGGTGGAAGCTGAACCTATGGCCGTCGAAGGAAGCCTGGAGACGTCCTATTTGTTGGAGCAGGTAAGGCGGCCGTCTCTCCTTAAAAATAAAACAGACCAATACAAATTTTCGCCTAGATCGAGGCTCTTCGAGGAACGGTCCGATTCCTCAGGACGGAGAACTCTTATCTCAAGGGACAGGACCTGCTACGCGAGATCGAGACGCTCCCGCCGCTCCCGGAACCATTTGTGCGCTCGCCAACGCCACCCCTCGACCCATCCGGATTCTCTGATACGGACGATTCAGACTCGGACCGGTCTCCTTCACCTCCAACGCTACGCTCTCTCACGACGGAGACGAAATTGTTGTATCGAGATGTGATCAAGTTCTCGACCTCGCCTCGCGTGGTAGACCTGTCCGCCATCAATGCGCTGCGCGCGGAAACCAAGAGCGGTAAAGTATGGCTCCCCAAGAAGAAAACACCTGCTCACCAGGTGCTGGAGCGTAAGTTAGAGGCGGAGCGCTTGAGTAGACGTATGATGGGTCTTCTGGATAGGGCCAGTGCCGTATCAGGATTATGACAGCCTCCAAGTTATGCTCATGATACCCTCGCATATGATACATACCACACTCGTTACTGGATCTATTGTCATGATATGCATATTGGATAACTTAGACTCACTCTAAACAAGTCAGGGACGACGTTAGACACGTACCTCCAAAGAATGCCGACCCTTCTGTCAAAAGCGTACATGGGCATTTAGCTTGTCGTATTTTCATGATACATGATGCGTGAGAGATGAGCAATGTCTATTTGTTACAACTATCTTCTTCTTTTGAGTACTTCCTCTTTATTTCTTGAGCAGAGCGGGGGCGGTGTGACCAGCAGACAGACCCTTGTCACCCGCATAGGTGGCACCAGAAGACAAGATCTCCTCCCTTGAGAGTTGCATTAGTAAAAGTATGGGAAAAGAGCCTCAGGCCAAACATACTCAATGCGAAGAAGCGCGTTGTACTTGGCAACGCGTTCGCTACGAGCAGGAGCACCAGTCTTGATCTGGCCGACACCCAGGGCAACGGCGAGATCCGCGATAACAGTGTTCTCGGTCTCACCACTGCGGTGAGAGATCATAACACCCCAACCATCAGATTGCGAAAGCTGAGCACTAAAACACGTTTCAACCAACGTGCGCATTGAATTGAGAGAAGGGTACAAACGCTTGAATTGACTCCGAGATGGTACCAATTTGGTTGACCTGTCAACACAATGAACAAAGTATATCAACAGAAATGGCTACTGAAATACCTTCAAGAGGAGACCGTTGCAAGCCTTTTTCTCGATGGCGGTCTTGATTCGCAGGGGGTTGGTCACCGTCAAATCATCACCGACGATCTGGATACCGCTGTTGGCAGTGAAGTGTGTCCAAGCTTCCCAGTCATCCTGGTCGAAGGGGTCTTCGATCGAGACAATGGGGTACTTCTTGACGTATCCCAAGTACAAGTCAGCAAGCTCAACACCGGAAATCCACTTGCTGGGATCCGAGTTGGGGTTCTTGAAGTCAAGATCGTACTTGCCCTCCTTGTAAAACTCGGACGACGCAACATCTAGGGCGATTTTGATCTTACCCTCGTATCCGGCCTTCTTGATGGCCTCTGAAAGGAGCTCAAGAGACTCCTCGGCACCAGAAACGTTGGGAGCAAAACCACCCTCGTCACCAACGTTGACGGCTTGATGAAGGCGCGCACGTAAGTGCTGAGTGATAACTCCAATTTGATGGTGACATACCGTCAATACCGTACTTGGCGCTGATGACTTTCTTCAATGTGTGGTAAGTCTCCGTGCCGATCTTCATGGCCTCGGTAAACGAGGTGGCGCCAGTTGGCATCAACATGAACTCCTGGAAAGCGAGCTTGTTTCCGGCGTGGGAACCACCATTGATAACATTGAATGCGGGGCACGGGAGGACGAATGGAGGCTTAACGCCGGCGAGATCAGCAAGATGCTGGTAGAGAGGAACGCCCTTCTCCGCGGCAGCAGCCTCAGCGACAGCAATGGAAACACCAAGGATGGCATTTGCACCGAGCTTGCCCTTGTTGGGGGTACCGTCGAGCTTGATGAGGAAATCGTCGATGTCCTTCTGAGAGGTGACCGGAAGGCCGGACTTGATGAGCTCGGGGGCGATGGTGTCGTTAACATTGGCAACAGCCTTGGAGACACCTGAACACATGTGTAAGAGATATGGAAGAGGTAAGGAAGAAAAGAGAGCACATACCCTTTCCGACATAGTTGCTCTTGTCGCCATCACGAAGCTCTACGGCCTCATGAATACCAGTGGACGCACCAGAGGGCACTGCAGCACGGAAGCGGCCTACAAAGAAGTTAGATGAGCCAGAAAACCGCACATATATGCAATGAATACGGCACCCTTGGCGGTATAGAGGTCGACCTCAACGGTAGGGTTGCCTCGGGAGTCAAAGATCTACGCGACGGACGATGTTACCTGATAGAGTAGAATGATATATATATGTAGCCTTACCTGGCGAGCGTGGATTTTAGTGATGGACATGATGAGAGATGGTGGTGGTTCAGGAGCAAGAGCAGGTCATCGATTTGACCGCCTTAATGAAGTCATCCGGTATTTCCCACGCATTACTGATGGCTCGACTCCAGCATTCGACAGGCGTTCTGGATTGCTTCGCGACTAGGCCTGCGTGTGCTCATTCCCAAGGGCCATTGAGGCACAGAGTAGACTACATATTATGTTGCTCAGAGTTCGGTAATTGTCCAGCGCTCAGTGCAGCGCGACACGGAGCACCGTCAGTCCCCAGCGTTCCGAGGAAGTGTAATGATCAGATACGGGCATCTACGGAATGTTGACGTCTTGGAGAAATGCAAGGATTATCTCTAAGGTCCTTCTCCTGATTTCTTTTCTCCGATGATAACCGGGACCCCTCTGGACCAATGATTGAGCTTATGGAAACATAGAGAAATTTTTACCTAGTCTCAGGCCTCAGGCCTCAGTGCCTGCCCTGTCGTGAGTTGTATCGAGGCTAGAAGGGTACGGGGTCGGGGATTGCTTACCAGAAAGTGCGTTGTAATCGTATAGCGAGACTCCTTTACCCTTCCCATGGCGATTGCTCCATCTGGAGCTAGAAACCGAGCCATTGAAATGAAAGATTGTAGGCCGAGGCTGACTGGTCCAAAAGTATCTATGCCTTCCAGATCCCGTCGTGTTTCGCGTGGTACTCGATATCAAGAACGCGCAGATATATCCTGAACATCCTCCACAGTCTGCCTTGACGATTTCTGTAGTGAGCTGGAAAAATGAGACCCGTAAATGGCTTGGATGCAACACCCGTTCAAAAGTTGTATATGGAATGAAAATTGAATTAGAAATGCGGTCGAATTAAACCATCAGTTCACCTTCTACACTCTCTGGCTCCAACCCCAGCCGTTCCAGTACAATATCATAGCGCACACGATCCGTCCGTTTAAGGTACTTCAACGTTCTTGCCCTCTGGTAAACCAACATCTTCAGGGCACGTTTCCCAGCTACATCTTTCTTGTGCCGCGGACTTGCCAGGTGTTTCCACATATTTCGGATTCGGTATGTCAAAATGGCAGCTACACAAGAATGGTCAGAGAATGAAAAACTTTGCATAAAGCACGTACCTTGAACTTCGGTGCGACCAGGATCCCAAGGATTTTCAGGTGTCGAGAATTCGATGATAATCCTCCGCTTGTTCTCATAGGCAATACCAGCAGCATTGGCATTACGCAGGTCCACAACTTTCGCGAACATATTCGTCTTCCTCAACTCCTTCTCAACTCCCACGTTCAGACTTGACAGAATCCCTGGGGCGTGGGTGATGCCCATAGCATCACGTTCCGAAGATTTTGACGGAAGCTCGTCGAACAGAAGGCGCGCTTCCTTGTCTGTCACACCATACGCCAACTTCTGTGGCATATCTACTGTCCCGACAGGATGGGTTGTTTTATCGTAGACCGGGGGCGATGCAAGCTCATCTTCGTCTAACAAGACTTTTGCCAAGGCGCAGTTGATCCACTTCTCTTCCTGGCCTGGCCGGTAGCCTAAGATGGGACTCGGTCGGTTGGCAATTTCCCGCTCTCGTTTCTCGACCTTCTTTACGTTTCTGGCTTTTTTCGTGAGTTTCTGCTTGGCGAAGAGGACTGAGGATGTATGGATGAAGGAGCTACTTGAGGAACTGGTCGACGCGCCAGCCCGGGAGACTAAAGCACAGTAATTGTCAGACAATAAGAATGAAAGTAGATAAACCGAAGTGACCTTGTGCCAGACACGCCCTGAACATGACTTCCCTCGTCGACGAGATATTTTTTGAGCAAGGCTGAAGTCGGAAACGGAAGTCCTGCAGTCACGCGACTGTGGGAATGCTCCGGTGAGCATATATAAGGCCCAATTTTACTCTTTTGCTTTTCTTCCAAGGGATCATGCCACGCTGCTCGATGTAGTGCGCTCGACCGTCAATGCAGTGCCAGAGACTTGTTTTTCAGCTCGTCCTGTAGTCCCAAGATCAACCCAGTCTAGGAAGTGTCGTTTTGACGCATGAAGGAAACGGCATGTCGATTTTTTCCTGGTACACGCATTTTTTTCTCGTTCTGTCGTAGCTTTGTACAGTTGTATTCTTGCCAATAAAATATAATTTTATACCAACTTGATCAGTGCCTTTGTCCGATACAACAATCCTTGTCAATATCGCGAGCGGTGAGCAAGGTATTTCAAACCGTGGGAATATATCTACTTTTTTTTTACTCCCGTATAACCCATACCTCGACGGTCACCGCCATGGCACCCACAAAAAAGGCAGGGCCAGTGCCCAAGACAAGATCTTCTTCTTCGTCCTCAAAGGTCACCCTAGCCAAAGTCAAAGGCGAAAACTTCTATCGAAATGCGAAACAAGTTGCCCGACTAAAGATGCTCAACGGCGGCAAGCCTGTACGAGACAAGGACGGAAAGATCATCCAAGCCGCTGCGTTTCAGAAGGGTGAAGACGAGACAAAACCAGGAAGGGTGCAGCCCGACAGGCGGTGGTTTGGTGTGTGAAGAACCATTTCCTTGTATATTCCACTCATCATTCTAACAGGAAATACACGGGTTATATCGCAAACTGCCCTTGACCACTTCCGTACAAGTCTCTCATCCAAGAAAGATGATCCCTACTCTGTCTTGTTGCGGCGGAATAAGCTTCCTATGGCGCTGTTGGACGATGCCGCCAATCCCAATTTGCGGAAAGTATGTGTACCAAAGTTTACCCACATACTGCCGCTTATACACACTCCAAGAGGCCGCATATAGTGGAAACCGAACCATTCAAGGAGACCTTTGGACCAAAAGCACAGAGGAAGCGACCGAGGATCGATGCTGGAAACTTTGAAGAGCTCAGTAAGATTGGTGCCGCGGCCGTGGACGAAGCTGCAGCGGGAAGCGAAACTGTTATAGGTGTGGAACGTCCTCCATGCATTTTTATCTTTCTTATTTCCTTGTTTCAGAACCGCTGGCATCCTCTATTACTGAGGTGCAAACACATGCCGACTACAATGAACCTATCTACGCAAAAGGAACCTCACGACGAATATATGGAGAACTCTACAAGGTTATCGATTCTTCAGATGTCATTCTACATATCCTCGACGCTCGGGACCCGCTGGGTACATTATGCGAATCTGTGCTAGAATTTATCAAGAAGGAGAAAGCCCATAAACAAGTCGTTTTGATCATAAACAAGTGCGATTTGGTACCCAATTGGGTCACAGTACGTGCATTTGCATTTTTTCTCTCTATCCGTCTCATCCGGTTTTAGGCTCGGTATATCCAGCACCTCACTCCCCGATATCCTACCATCGCCTTTCATGCCTCCCCTAACCACTCCTTTGGCAAAGGCTCCCTCATTCAACTTCTGCGTCAATTCTCCCAACTGCATTCTGACAAGAAACAAATTTCTGTCGGCTTCGTCGGCTACCCGAACGTAGGCAAAAGCAGTGTCATCAACACCCTCAAAAGCGGCAAAGTATGCAAGGTTGCACCTGTTCCGGGCGAAACCAAGGTCTGGCAATACATTACGCTTACACGGAGGATTTACTTGATCGATTGTCCTGGGATCGTGCCAACGTCTGCGCATGACAGCCAGACGTCTACCGTTTTGAAGGGTGTTGTGCGTGTGGAGGCTTTGGCCACCCCGTCGGAGCATATCCCGGCTTTGATGGAGCGAGTGAAGCCTTTGTATCTCTCCAGGACGTACGGTGTCCCCCTCCCTAACGAGGACGACCCGACGCAAGCCTGGGAGCCAGAAGTTTTCCTAGATAAACTAGCGCGTATGAAGGGACGACTCCTGAAGCAGGGAGAGCCTGATGTGGATTCTGTTGCCAAAATCGTTCTGAGTGACTGGGTGCGGGGAAGGATACCGTTCTTTGTTCCTCCTCCTGAACGCTCGGAGGAGCTGAACAAGGCCGAAGCGAAGAAGAGGAAGGGCAAGGGCAAGGCCGTGGAGGCTGAGGCTGAGGATACTGTTGTTCCAGGGGTGAAGCAGAATCTGGGATCGATTATGCAAAAGAATTCATTCTTGGCGGAGGACGTCAGGGCTCTTGAGCCAGAAGATGCAGCCCAGGATGATGTGGAAGTTCAAGTAGACAGCAGTGAAGATGCAGAGGAAGAACAGAAGGACGAAGCTGAAGAAGAGGAAGAAGAAGATCTTACCTGGGATGACGTGTTTGAAGGTATCAAGGAGTCTCCAGAGGAACAAGTGGAACCTGAAGGTGAAGTTTTCTGTTCGACTTCTTTGCTGCATGCTAATGCTATATCAATTTCAGCTTCTGTAGAAAATAAAGAGCCTCCTGCACCCAAGAAAGAGGCCCGCATGAAAACAAACAAAGTATGTGTACCGTTCCATGTTGCTTTCAATACTTATGTTTTGTCTTTCAAATAGCACAAGGCCACGAATTTCTACTCAAACGCGAATGTCAAAAATAAAAACCGTGAAAAGGCCGCACTGCTTAGGTCATTGCCTGTTGGCAAAAAGGCATCTGGCCATCGTCGTAGATGAGATGAATCAGACCACGTTTCTAGTGTATATCCGCTATAGATCTATATCTAGACTAGCCGTTTACAAGGTATCATAATTCTACCTGTCTGCCCCGCAACACGTGAGGTCTAATAATGATCGAACCCCGCAATCCGGAGCTTGGCAGTGAACCACGACAACGACGCGCTATGCTTCAATCCAACCGTTCCCTAGCGTCGCGATGTGTAAAGACACGAACTATCAACAGAATTGCCGTTTCCAGATTCCACAAAGCTACCTCCAGACCTGTGTCGTCAACAGGCCATGGTCGACAAGCACCGTCGGCCCCTCTACCCAACAGGATAGCATCTTCCAGACATAGTTTTGCAACAGGTCTGCTCCAATCTATGCTGTAACCATAGTCGTGTTGCTCACCGGACCTCCCAGCAGTCATCTCTGCTTCACGGAAACCTCATTTTGATAAGATTCTGGTTGCGAACAGGTGTGACGATCGATTTCTGATGGAGGGAGGGCTCGACTCATCTCTTGATATCAGAGGTGAAATAGTATGTCGTGTAATTCGTACGGCAAAGAAGCTCGGAATCAAGACCGTTGCGGTCTACAGCGATGCGGACAAGGACTCTTTGCATGTACAGATGGTGTGTTTCCGTCATGTCTCTGCTTCCTGACGCGTGTTTCAAGCCACCTTGCAGGCCGATGAAGCTTATTGTATAGGTCCAGCTCCCTCCGCGGAAAGCTATGTGCGCTGTGAAATTGATCACAACTTCTTGTTCTCATGTCTGCCCGCAGCTGCGAATGGACAAGATTATTGATATATGTCATCGCAGCGGTGCTCAGGTATCAATCTTAACGTCGTATCCGGTTACCGTTTTCTCAACTTTGCCCTTCTTTGAGTAGGCCGTTCATCCCGGGTGAATAAGATGACCTGGGTATGGATCATGAGCTAACAGGCCATTGTAGATATGGCTTTCTAAGCGAAAATGCAACCTTTGCTGAACGCTTGGATCAAGAAGGGATTGTTTTCATCGGACCTCCCTCTAGTGCTATTGTTAGTATGGGCTCGAAAAGGTTCGTCTTTCACAATGGACGTCTATGGCTGGGCCTTTCGGGGACGAAAAAGCAATCAGAAAGTTGCATGTCTTTGCTGCTTCCCAGGGGACTACCCACTTGGCACAGTTTACTTGCCGTTGAAATCTTCTTCATTAAGGGCGTAATCTAAGCGAAGAAATGCCATCTTCATGATTGTCTTTTTCGTCCACCTTCCGGTTCGGGTGTAGACTTCACAAGGTCATATTCACTCATCGTTATTCATTTAGTGAATCAAAGCATATCATGACCGGTATGCGGACCACTCTTTACGGTACCAAACCTAGTCTTAAGCTTTGGTTCAGCTGCGGGGGTGCCTTGTGTGCCTGGATATCATGGAAAGAACCAAGATCCCGAGTTTCTGTATGAACAGGCGAAACATATTGGATTCCCAGTACTTATCAAGGCAATTCACGGCGGCGGTGGCAAGGGCATGCGCACCGTAGCCACCCCCTCTGCTGAGGCGTTCTACGAAGCCCTTTCTTCTGCGAAGAGAGAATCCTTGAAGGCTTTTGGAAATGACGTGGTACTCATAGAAAAGTATATCGAGAGACCACGGCATGTAGAAGTTCAAGTTTTTGCTGATACACATGGAGGTGCCGTCAGTCTTTGGGAACGAGATTGCTCTGTACAACGGAGAAATCAGAAGATCATCGAGGAGGTGATTATGTTTGATTCATTACACATATCTTGTACTTAACCACATTTACAGGCACCAGCGCCTGGCTTGTCTCCAGAGTTACGTGCGGATCTTGGTGAGAAGGCAGTGGCAGCTGCACGCGCTGTTCACTATGTCGGGGCCGGAACTGTCGAGTTTATCTTTGACAATGACACACTGGATTTTTATTTTATGGAAATGTGGGGTACATGTCTATCGATTTTGAAAGTCTTCTTACGTCCCCTACAGGAATACTCGTCTTCAGGTCGAACACCCTGTAACAGAAATGGTAACTGGACTCGATTTGGTTGAATGGCAACTTGAGGTAGGCCACGTTTTCTTCTTTCCGTGATCGTTGACGCACCCGGGACAGATTGCTGCAGGGAATCCCCTTCCTCTAGACCAATCTTCAATTCCACTCGTTGGTCATGCATTTGAAGCCCGAATATATGCAGAGAATCCACGCAATCAATTTCTTCCGGATTCTGGGCCTCTGCTCTACCTTTCTACTCCAACGCCTACGCATGTTTTCGCCGATTCTTATGCGCCACATTCGGAATTCAGTCCCGTTAACATAACTCCGTCGCTTCGACTGGAGCAAGGCTTTGCTCAGGGATCACAGATTGGCGTGTTTTATGATCCTATGATTGCTAAGCTTATCAGTCACGGTAGGGACCGTACCGAAGCTCTACGGATTCTACGGAAGGCTTTGGACGAATATCATGTTGTTGGAGTGTCAACAAACGTAGAGTTTCTGAGAACCCTTGCCGGAAATCAAGCCTTCATAGACCAAGAATTAGAAACAGGGTTCATTCCGGTATAGTTTTTCACCATAAATATGGAGTTGGATTTAACTCCATTTTATCCAGAGACATTTCAATGAACTCTTCCCGCCAATCGCAGAACCTTCCGCAGAAACACTAGCGTTGGCAGCCCTTTATGTCGTTCTTCGTGACCATCCCATTGCAAATGGTCCTTCGGATCCGACACCATGGACTACTTTGTCCTCTCGTCGTTTCGGCGGAGATACATACGAGCGGCTCATCACTCTACAAGATGATTCTGGAAAGAGCCAACCTGTAGGCGTTTCGGTGAAATCAACGACGCCAGGGCGTTTCGACGTACTCCTCCGCACTGGCTCCGCTTCTGGCACCGAATTTTTGTCTGTGCCTGCTCAGCTACTTTCTCCAACAAAGCTCTCTGCGACTTTAAATTCGACTAATTGTAAAACCACCGTTGTTTCCCAACCGCCGCCGGGGGGCAGTACCGGCTTCGTCTTCTCATAACACTATGGAGCGCTTGCATGTCTTCAGTGGCGGCTCGAAGACGACCCTTGTATTGCCGTCGCCTAAATGGCTTCTTGACCTTGGGGGTGACGTGCTCGCTGCAACCAAGGGAGCATTGAAGGCCCCCATGCCTAGTTTGGTTGTTGAAATTAAAGTCAAAGTCGGCGATCGCGTTGAGAAGGGACAGGCCGTTATGATTTTGGAAAGCATGAAGACGGAAACGGTGATGAGGACTGATGTTGCTGGTATCGTCAAGATGGTGAGTTGTAAGAATGGAGAAATGGTTGAAGAGGGCAGGGAATTGGTAGATGTTGAAGCAGAGACGGTAACAGTTGCATAGCTACTTTAGCAGAATTATCTGTATCTTTCTGTTAAGGATGAAATTATTTCCGTTGAGATTCCTAACGACTAAAGAAGAAGACGACGCGTGTCAAGGGATTTCGGCAAGGTCTAACGGAAACTGGACGCGGAATGGATGCCGGTCGGGCCGCGGTTGATGTCGGCACCCTTCCGACGACACGCGACTCGTTCGCATCCTTTCAAATCCCGACTTCCTTCGCCTAGTACTTACCGACTAAGCAGCCTGTAGCGTACGACATTTTCAAGGTGCTCTCGTCTTCCCTTAAATGTTGTGTAAATTGGGATTCACCGATGTTTCACTACCTTCAGCCCTGCCAGCGTGGCATTTCAAGTTCGCCGTTCTCCTGGCTGCGGAATCCAGATGCTGGGGGCCCCATTGATTTTTCGGCCCATCGTGCACTCTCACATCGCGGGTCTATGCCCTGATGCACATACGCTGCCTTAGTAAAAATGTTGGCGGAACTCTGCGACGCTAGTTGTACTGTTAAGTGATCCAATCACTTCGGGACGATGCCGATAACCGTTGCTTACTTTTCTCCATAGCCTTCGGACTACTCACTGTGTGATCTGCCTTCTGGTGTCTTCGGGAAGACTCATTTCATAGTGAATGTGTCGTTTTTTTAAAAGGCTCTAAACTAGGTCTAAAGAACTGCTAGCCTGATCCGATGAACTCGACAGGAAAGGACTTGGTCTTCAGCCTGGACGTCTGTCCACACCTAACGCTGGATTATCGAGAGCGCTACAACCTACCGACAACCTAACACATCCTAACATTGTTACGAATGTATACGGATGATGATCTACGACCGACCAAGTTTGCAGTGATAGGGTGGCATAGAAATATCATCGAACAATTCTTCTTTGCGCTGTTGTCGTAGTCCTAGTAATCGGCAGTACTCGAAGCCTTTCTTGAGATGACCTTCGGGATGCTACGTTTCTACGGACCTTTGTTTCTGCCGCCTCCTATAAGCTTATGTTCACCAAAGTGAGGATAAGTTCTTCGTCGAAGCATTATGATTCCCGGATTTCGCATCAAGAATAAGCGGACCTAACGGACTAAGTCAAAGACCCCGATGCTAACGGTTCACTTATCCTCCAATCCCAACGTCTAATCACACTCAAATGCCTACCTCCAAGACACGCAATTGGTCTTGTCGCTCGTAAGCTTCGTTTAGCCGTTTTATATCTCTGATGCTTACTTCGAAATGTAGTAACAATCTTTGTGATTGGATCAAATCTGATGTCACTCAGCAATCGGGGCGCTTATGTCTCCTACTCCCGCGGCAGACTTAGCATCCCGGTGCTACGCAACTTAATTGATCGCATAATGGTTCGTTCAGCAGTGCTCATAACTACAGGACTATACAAATGTGCGGTCGCTGCAACGCCGTCAGTGTGAACACCACCCATCCACAGACTACAAGTTTAGACACCAGCGACATGTCTGACGAATGCAGCACGGCACCCACTCTTGTTGACTCAAGTGACCTTTCCACTCCCGAATTGTCTCCACCCGCCTCCGACTCTGAATCATCGAACGATGGCGCCTTCTTTTCCGCCCTCTCCTCCTCTGATGAGACACCTGATGTCATGACTGATATCTCCGTTCATATCAGCTCAAAGACAAAGTCTCCTATAGCCCTAGAGTTTCCAACCATGAACATCCAGTATACCTCTCCAGAGAAAGTATTTCGCGTTGGGAAAAATACCCGACCCAGAGTTCCTCCTCGCAGACCGGCTCCTCTGCCTCTTGTGGACTCTCTCCCTTCCTCTCCCACGTACAGTCGCCCGCGAAAGCTGCAAAAGCCCAGGCGTACCTTTTCGGATTCTGACGATTCAGCGCCATCTTCACCCTCCTTCTTTTCACGACCAGTCGGCCTTCTCCGTAGGGCAACAGGCTATGCGCCCATAAAACCATCTTACAGGACTCGTCGCAGTTCACTGCCCAGCATTCCCTCTGCTTCTACATTCCCTATCCATAATCACAATGTCCGAACTCGTGCGAACGAGAGGGCTGTCAAGTTTCAATCTCCCCTTCACGAGAATGTGAGACATCATTCATCCGTTCATCTGTCGTTTGCTAATTGATAATCAGTCCCGTTGCTCTCACCGTCGGCGTGCCCGTTCTCCCTATCCAAACAGGAATGCCAGCACTGATGCACTCGTGTCCCTTGCTTGGACCGGCGAATTCCCATCCTCTGCGTCTGTGAACGCAAAGTCAAGCATGGGCGACACGTTCTTCTATTCTTCAATGGGTATTGCCACCACATCCCTCAAAAATGGATGGAAATCGACATGGAGTTTCTCCGGGGAGCGGGCGGATGATTGGGATGATACCACAGAAGACAACGACATGGTGGTTATGTCGCCGCCAGTTGCCGTCCCTCTTCTGTCCCCGCAATATCGAGGAGAGCCTACCAAGGGTCATCGTAGGCGCTGGACCCTGGCAATGGCAATCACAGACGATGGAATTTCCGACGAAATGTTGATGGACGAATTGGAAAGAATGAGGACTGTAGAGAAGATGTGGCAGTGGGAGTGGCGAAGGAACGTCATGACTCCTTCCACGACATCCACTGTCTCTACTGCTGATCCAAGGATGCCTCTGATCGATGCCTCGCACGATGAACATGCTACGCTCAAACCTTCTTTGCCTTGTTTGTCCGATCCAGCTCTTAGCGCGGTTTGGCAAAGTGCCCGACGAGCATTGCTCATTTGTAGGGAATTTGTTCGCACCGAGCGACACTATCTATTGGCCATTCGTAGGCTCTCATCCGGTGATACCTTGACCTCACCTCCGGCTCTAATGCTCACCTACCTACCGGCTCTCCTAGAAGCTAGCGAGGAGCTCCTGAAGGGGCTGGAAGCGAATCCGAGCGCACAAGGTGTTGCTAATGCTTTTCTTTCCTGCGAAGATAAACTAGATGCGGCGTTGGTTGGATGGTGCGGCGTCGTTGGGGGATTTTTCGTTGGTGCTGACGAAGGAGTGGCAAAGCGAGAGCGTGCAAGCAGTGCTACAACGCGAAAAGTGGATGCAGATGCAGCCAACAGTACTATCAAACGTCGAGTGAACTCTTGGGGCAAAAGGATCAACTCTTTTAAAGCTCTTGGAGGCAGCGCTCCTCCCACCCCCTCCCTGGAGTCAACCAAGTTGCCCTCAAAACGGGAACGAGGTCGGCCATCCGTTCGAGATTTGGCCATTCTACCTACCCAGCGTGTCATGCGATACACTTTGCTATTCAAAGGTGTGTTGTAACGGACACTCGCTAAGCAATTGCCGAAAGACTGACGCTCGCTACAAGATTTATATTCACATACCCCCGTCGGCAACTCTTCTCGCGACGGTGTAGAAAAGGCAATGAGCGCCGCTATTTCTCTTGCCCAGAAATGTGATAGAGCTCAGGGAAATGCCGCGTTCCTGCACAAACCCACAAAAAACAAATGAGCGCTGGGCTGGATACCCGGCTATTTAATTATTTTTTATGTACCAATGCTTTTTTTTCCATTTGGGGCCTCGGAGGAGTTGGATTTCATTTGTATTCTTCGCTAAACGTTGTTAATAGCCATCGATGTAGTACTTGTACTAGTAATCAGTAGACATATATGATCAACTTACTATAGACACTTCCATGCTATCATGTCGGTGGCCGGATGGGAAGGATTATCTGTATTTGGAGCACCATTGACAAGTCAGCAGGTTTCTGGTCGTCATCAGACTGCTGCGAGATGCAGTAATTCCCTTATACCGTTCCAGTAAAGGTGGGAAACTAATGGATCTAGTGATCGCATAGAGGAAATTGTGGCCATGTATAGGCCGAGTTCTTCTTCTTTTATCGCCTAGCATGCCATGGCCTTCTCACAGAACATCATTGCTTTCTCAGCTCGTCTCGAAATTTGAAACTGTAGTCGCGTAATAAGTAAGCCTTCCACCATCTACTCTCGTAATAAATAGTCAGTCGCACCGCTAGTCGTCTGACTGATCCCCAGAACAAAGTCATGTCTTCACACTCTCAAGAGCATAAAGCAACAGAGGTCGAACACCGTCTTAACGGCCTAACAAATGGAGATGGGAGCAACACATTCAAGCTCGGAAACTTTTCTATCGACGAGGCACGGCCAATTAAAGTCATTGTCATTGGCGCCGGTTACAGTGGTACGTCGTGGAATAGCATTAGACCGTTTCAAAGCCGATAACAGTGTTTTCAGGTATCGTAGCTGGAATCAGGTGAGTGCCATACTCATACTTTACTAGGAATACTGATTTACAAAAATCAATCCAGATACCTTCAACGAGTTCCTAATCTGACCTTGACAATATACGAAGCTGAACGAGGCATCGGTGGAACCTGGCTCGTAAATAAATACCCTGTAAGACGGCATTATCTTGTGCAAATTCATGTGAACTCTAACAGCCGTCCTAGGGTTTGAAATGCGATATACCCTCGCATTCTGTGAGTGTGGTTTCGGGTAGCCTCCTCTGATACGTCCATCTGATCTACCTCGTTCAGTACCAACTCACTTTCGAGGAGAATGTACGCATCATCCTACCTCTCCTGCTTGACGAATCTGCAGTTAAATCCGCGCTAGCCCAACTGGTCGTCCTTCTATGCCTCCGGTCCTGAAATTCGTGCTTATCTCGACTCCATCGTCGACAAATACAAGCTCATGCCATACATCAAACTTCAACACCGAATGACCAAAGCGCGATACTCTGAATCTGATGGCAAATGGATCGTTACCATCCAGCGGCCCGCCGAACTAAGCCCGGGAGAAACGGCCATACGATTTGAAAAATTTGAGGACACATGCGACGTCTTATTCACCGGAATAGGAGTTCTTAGCAGATGGAACTGGCCAGAAATACCAGGGTTGGAAGAATTCCAAGGCAAAGTAATCCATAGTGCGCAGTGGGAGACAGGGGAAGGCGGTCCTGATGCTCCTTGGGAAGACACGGTTAAAAGTTGGGGAAACAAAAGAGTCGGCGTTATTGGTGTGGTGAGTGTTACGTTTTAACGGGAGGTTGCAGATGGCACCAACGCTGTTCTTCAAGGGATCTTCGGCAATACAGATCGTTCCCGCTATCCAGCCAAAAGTAGCTCAGGTCGTTAACTATGTTCGTGGAAAAACGTGGATAGCATCCATCTTTGTACGTGAACCCCTCGTACAATTGTCCGGGAGAGAAGATGCTGAGAACTGTGAGCACGCTTCCTGATACATACCCACCACGATTTCGCTAAGCGCGTGTTAACAGATGATTTCACTGAAGATGATAAGAAGAGGTTCCAAGATCCTGTGTACTACAAGAAATTCAGGCGAGACCTTGAATCAGGACTGAACGTACGTATATTTCAATCGTAACCTTTGGTATACAAACCAAGACGAGATGGACGTAGGATGCTCACGCCGCCACGATTCGCGGCCATCCCCTCCAAGATATGGCAAAAACGGCGTTCAAAGAAATCATGGTCCAACGACTGGCGAAAAAGTCGTGGATTGCAGATCACCGTGAGTCTTACAATGCATTCTGCATGATTGATTCGCATAATACTCCTCAGTAATTCCGAACTTTGGAGTCGCATGTCGACGGTTGACCCCAGGACCTGGATACTTGGAAGCGCTCTGTGAAGAGAATGTACGTAATTCTTCTCTGTGAAAGGCGTAAAGGTGGAAACCAATATACTTGCACCAGGTTGACTTTGTTCCCTCACCTATCAAGAAAATTACACCAACAGGCATCGAAACCGAGGATGGGGATCACAAGGAATTGGATGTGATCGTCTGTGCCACAGGATTCGATACTTCTTGGCACCTCCCTTTCCCTTTCATTGGGCGAAATGGGATCGACCTTTCTGACAAGTTCGCTTCTCATCCGAGAACATACCTCTCCGTGGCCGTCGATGGGTTCCCAAACTGGTTTCAATCTTTGGGCCCAAACAGTGGCGTTGGGGCTGGCTCGCTTTTACTGCTGATGGAACGACAAGTTGATTATGCCGTTGCAGCGACCTTGAAAGTGCAGAGAGAAAGATTGAAGAGCATCGAGGTCAAATCCAAGGCCGTGGATGACTTTGATGAGTATTTAATGGTCAGTAGCTTTTCCAAAACGTGATTGACGAGACTCACTACGTTTTTAATTCCCAGAGCTATTTCCCCACGGTGAGTCTGCCAATCAGTCATCGTGGGATGCTAGTAGATTTCGCAGACCGTATTTGGCGAAAAATGTAGATCGTGGTATAAAGCTGGACGAGAGGAGGGACGCGTTTCCGCGCTGTGGCCAGGTAAGAAGATTAGAACAAACTGCTGAAATTCTGCTGATCCGCGTAAGGCTCTACTTTACATGCGACAAAGGCCCTGAAGCATCCTCGGTGGGAAGACTTCAACTACGAGCGATTAGACCCAAACCGGCTTCATTGGCTTGGAGATGGCAACACGGTTGCAGATAAGACACCAGGAAGTGACAGTGAGTTTTTAATATGGTCTTTGAGAATGACGGTGTGATAGGATCATTTGTAGAAACGTGGTACCTCAGTGATGAAGAAATAGACTATCCGCTTAGTGAGTGCATACGCAGTCTAGTCATTAGAGCAATTCGCCGATGGACTCCCGCTGTTTAGTACCCATCTAGAATTTGGGCTGCTATTTTTTGCACATTAGTCACAAACTTCGTTACAAAGGGACTTCCCAGACCTTAACGTCAAGTAACAACCAACAATACAGAACTAAACTAGTACTGCAATTGGTAGTGATCCACCCTTCAAGCCTGTGTGACATAAGCCTACAGAAAGTTACCGTGAAAGACGCTCTACTGACCTCTTCCTGCCCTGCAAGCTCGTATCCAACCCATATGACCTCGGAGCAGTTGCTGCAAGCGATAGAATGATGTCCGAGTTCCATTTCTCCGTCTGTTATTGTGTAGACACCGCTGCAGCGACATTTGTACGTCCAGACCGAATGGTCCGAATCATTTATCGACGGTTGCTCATCGAAATCATCCAATGAGATGACCTGTGCCGGACGTGGTCCCCTGATTCGTTTCTGAAGGATCTCCACATCATACCTGTGCCGTGAAACAGGATCTGACAGGATAAAGTACGCCTCCTTGATTACCGTGACATCTATTTGGGTCTGGCCTTCCTTGCGAAGGGTGCTCTTGTCTGGGTGGTGCTGTAGAAGCATTTTGTGGTATGCAGCCTTTATTTCTGAGAGCGGCGCCGACCGAGATATGGAGAGAACTTGATAAAAATCCACATCTCGCGAGGACTCCAGCTTGACGATACTGAGAAGGAATAAGTTGTGCCTCCATGCCGAACAACCCAATTGAATCTCCGAATTGAATCTCCGGCCTTGGTTGTCATCAGATGATCTCGATCGTCGTTTCAATCAAGTTTCAATCTTGGGATTCCCTTCAAGTTTACTTACATGTACTGCGAGACGCGCAAATATCCTTGGGTACTCGCGAACTTCTGTCATGAATTATGTTGAAGGACTATGTGGTTTCTTGCTTGTAATACCTGGCTTGTACATACCAGGCTGTTTCAAACCTTGAACACCGGACATTACAAGTCCATCATTTACTTGCCCCTGGTTACAATCATGTCAACGATATTCAGGCCGCTTAGCATTCACCCTGTTCAATCCAAAGATGCTGTGTTGCCATTTCCAAAAGTTCTTGCTCTCCATCGTCGGTCGCTGGCCTTGCTCTTTGCCTCACTCTCGCAGCCTCGCAATGCAACTTCGTCATGGCCGGCTATAGGAACATAACCTATGATGACACTCGATTCGATGTTCTCAAATATGCGGGATCGTGGACTAACAATGGGTCATATAATGCTACTAGTGTTGGTGAAACCGGGACGCTATCTTCTACGAAGGACCCAACAGCCAACGTAACCTTCATCTTCCCTGGTGAGATTGCTACATATTCCTTGCGAAAATGGCACTTACCCTTTTTTTAGAGTCAGCTAATGCATTCTACTACTATGGCATTCCTCGGTGCTGTGGGGGGTTGTATGCAATATGTATCGATTGCGATTTCGACAGCCTTAACACTGAGCCCGTCGATGCTGTCAATAGAACTGACGATGGTAAAAATCCTCCAGTGAGTACAAGCATCCATCCGTCTGCATTATCGTTCTCACCACTTGGCAGGTCGTCTTGTACTCTAAAACCTTCGATACACCAGGAGTACATAAGATTACCTTAACCAACCAGAACGACACACGATTTCCCGGCGGAAATTCGCAATTAACACTGGACCGTTTTGTGATTCAGGTTGAAGATAACAGCAGTTCCGCTTCAATATCCTCGACGTCGACATCTGGAGCATCCTCCTTCATCCCTGCAACCTCATTGATTGCCCCGGAGGCATCCCAGTCGACCACAACTTCATCTCCCGCCTCCAAACCGCCTATAGGTGCTATCGTCGGAGGAGTTTTGGGGGGCATCGCGGCTATCTCACTCTGCTTGATTATATGGTTTTTTATGCGACGTCGTCATCACACCCAGCACAGCACCCAACCAGAACACAACAACACGAATACAAGTTTCTATACCAGTCCCAATCAATATTCCCCTTTCATTGTACCTCGCGCGAATACGCAGACCCCCACCGCCTACACCGTGACGGACGCCACCTCTGAGTACACGTCACGGAGAACGAACAGGGCTTCCCTAGTTGGAGGTCCATCAGTTTCGGATCCATCGTCGGGACGTATACACCCTTCTTCATCACGTATGGCCTCCAGTGAACGCCTGCCACGGCGAGAAACTGATGCAGGTCGAATAGACGTTGATGACGACGACGATTTCGGAACGCTCCCGCCTGGGTACGAGGACATTTTCAGCGGTGGACGCCTTAATGGCGAACAATCCGAGTCTGTCACCAGAGGACCGAGCCGCAGGTTGCCTAGACCTGAGCCTCAAAGGCCTCTTCCCTCACCTTCTGGGCAACCTCCATCACAACCATCCAAGTTCTGATGTATGTTGTCGAGTTAGACTCCATCGCGAACTTGTCCAGTTTGATGGGGACAACCTTTTGTTAGTTATTTTGGAATTTCCACTTCTATAGTATCTATCTTAAGCTTCCAGAAAGTTGTTGTTTTCCATCAGTTCTCCGACACTCCGACTTGCATTTTGATGTAGAGCATGTACAGAATATGATATTTACTCGGGAATTAAGCTTCAATTACCACTACGCTGTTCAGTGGCTTGGTTGCTAGCTTTGCCCGTGCATGCCGAGGCATCTGATCAGAGGGTTTCGGAAAGCTATTTGTATCACGGATACTGCGACCGACAATTGAACATATTGATGACACTGAGTACAAGTCACCATGGGAGAGAGCTGCTTATATACGCTTCTCGCAACTGAGATTCAGAGACGACAGACCCCGATGACCTACCCTTCGTAACTGAGACTAGAAAGGGATGCGAGCACCGAGGAAGGGTCGAAAAAACTTGGGGCAACGAGATTACAAGTAAACAAGTTCTCTGAATCCCTCTTTTCCTCGATGACTTAAAGCTTCTTCCAACCTGCGCTTCATGACCGGTCCGCAACTCCGGTCCGAGAACCCGTCCATTTGAGTTACAGGCGACGCTCAACTAAGATGATCCTCAGACATTGCTCTATTTGCCCATGAAAAACAGCGACGCCCTGTTGCCATGTCTTCAAGCTGTTTGTGCTGCGTATCGTCACTGGCGTTAATCCATTCTTTACAATGGCAGGCTTCCAAAACATTTCTTACGATGACAGGCGCACCGATGTACTCAAATACAACAATCAGTGGTTCACCAGAGGATTCTATAATGCCAGTAGTACTGGAGAAGCTGGTACGCTGACTTCTGCAAACAGCTTGAGTGCTCGCATGACATTCACTTTCCCTGGTGAGTCTCTACCAGCGTCCCTTCCAGTTTACGATCCCGACCATCTTCAGACCCAGCCAATGCATTTTATTACTACGGTATTCGCCGTTGCTGTGGGGGAAACTACACTATATGTATCGACTGCAACCCCGATGATCCTAACTTCGAGGTCATAGATGCGGTGAACTCCACGGACGATGGCAAAAACCCGCCGGTGAGTAGAAATTTATGCGCATCTGAGTTGTTATCCCTACACCGTTGCTAGGTCATTCTATACTCCAAGAATTTTGATAAACTAGGGATACATAATGTCACCCTGGCTAACCACAATGACATTCGCTATGGGAAGTCACAGATAACTCTGGATCGTTTCGAGCTCCAGGTTGAGGATTCTCATGCTACTCAATCAGGGTCAGCGACATCTACGTCGAGCGCTTCGACCTTGACCTCTACTAGTACTTTGGCATCCAACTTGAGCAGCGCAGTTCCGACCTCAACTTCCGCATCAGCATCCGAGCGAGCCTCAGCTTCGCCCACAACCTCATTATCCACGTTAGCCTTGAGACCATCATCGGAACCATCCGCGGCTACCTCTTCGGCCTCCCCACCCCCCGTAGGCGCCATTGTAGGTGGAGTTATGGGAGGCCTGGTGGCCATTTCATTATGCTTGGTTATATACTTGTTGAAGCATCTTCGTTGGCGTGGCGGAACTGAACCAGAGCACGAGGATACGGATACTACGAGTGCAAACAATCATGGTGACATGTCGCAGAGGGCAAACCATAGTCCAGCTTTCCCCCTCGAAGCTACATCTACGTCACACCTGGTTTCCCGCGAACATCCACCGCGACGGGAGACTGATGCAGGTCGGATAGACACGGATGGTGATGGTGGCAATAGCCTTGCAACGCTCCCGCCTGAGTATGAGGAGATCTTCAGCGGTGACTGGCGAGGAATCCGTGAGAGCTGACTCAGACAACGCCTAGACTTGATGCTTGAAGTTCTTCATCGGATGAAGGCAAACCTGTGAGTACCGGTGGTAAACCTTCGATATCACACCCTCCATCCAAGGTCCGAGGATTCTGATGTTTCGCAACAGTGTGGGATTCCTTTGTTCACGGGCTTGATTTAATGGGTCTATTGCTTTGTTCTTTATTCTTAATAGCAGTTCACACATCTTGGTTATCTATACCCATCGATCTCAGGCTGCAGGTTGGCGGGTGATAACATTCTCAAGTGACAGGCCCGCCGTCAGCTGCTAATCATGAGTGCCGCGGCTCTTTTAGGCTGCAGGAACATGAAGAGAAACACCTGAAATGCAGATGTCACAGAATACAATCCGCTTCCATGGCCCTAGTGCGGTACCGTGCTAAGCCTTGCTGTACCCGTGCGTGGATTGCTCGCGAAGTTGTTGCATTTCACAGGCCGCCGACCCGGGCCGCCTTGAAGCTACCCTACAGTTTCAGGACGAACAAGGTGTGCATATTGTCACAGAGCATGCTCTGTTTAAAAGAACGTAGGTATATATCGTATTTATCAATACAACAAGAAGTTGAACGTTGGTAGGTAGCGGATATTGAACAAAGGATTCTAGAAAATCTGGTGACGCGGAAGGGTAGAAAGTACAAGATCGAGATCCTCATGGAAAGCGAGGAGCTTTGATCGAAAGGGTCTAGAGATCGAGCCGATTAGGGCTCAAGGACTGTGGGTGCAGGAAGCATGGATTTTAACGAGCGTGGAATCGAGGGATGGGTATCGGTGGGGGAACCGTTGATAATGTTATAACGAGCGTGAATGGGGCAACGCGGGCGATAGCTAGGTGACAGAGGTCTGATGACCACCACCTCATCTGGCAGTCGCATATATTAGACGGTTACAATGCATGCATGCACATGCCAAAAACTCACGCTTAATGGAATGGATGGAATGAAGGACGGGGTCGGAAGTGGAAGTGATCCTCCCGCTCTAGAGAATGATCAGCACTAGAATAGCATGAAGAGAAATGCAGGAGAAAAGTACCGTATAGAGCACGAGGTTTCATGGGAGGGAGTCCCTCAGCCATGCGGCGCGCATTGGTCTCGGCGGGGGCCGCAGACACAGCGGTAAAAGCAACGGCGCAGAATGTGAGTACGGATAAAAGATTCATTGCAACTGCCTGGGGGTAAGGAAAGGAAGGGAACGAAGCAAACCTTGAATTTTGTCTGGAGCAGGGCAGTACCACTTTTGTATCTTCGACAAAATTTGACATAGGAGGCTGCTCTACGGAAAGGAGCCATTGACAAACGATCGGGCACTCACTTCCGCACGACGACGACGATCGGTAGTCATGGAGCAGCTGCGACGAGGAGGAAGAGTCAAACCCAAGAAAATTAGACGAGGCAAGGATAAGCGAGGACAGTTTTTTTTTCCAGCTTGTTCAAGCGTAATGTGTGTAGCTCTGGTGAGGTGCTACTAATTTGGGCAATTCTAGAATGTGCTGAAAAACTCGTCGAGATCAAATAACAGCGTACTAATCAGCACGATCGGCGCCCAAACTTCCGTCGTCCATATGATTTCGGACGGATGTGTAGTTTGCGAATCGCCAAGATGGAGCAGAAGGCGGATCTGGGCGGGCAGGTTCAATCACGACGACCTAAGACATCCCTTCGAGCGCGAATCAGAGCGCGTAACCCTTTCCTACCAAAAGAGACTGATCCTACGCAAGCGGTACCCTAGGGTGAGGGCGTTTCTTGGCAGGGATCCGATGGCGCTGAGTACTTGATAGTCGAGCTAGGGTCGTGGCGGTAATCGCCGACGGACACATTGTCCGTTAAAATGATGCGCTGACTCTCACGACCCCCCTTCCATCGACGCCAGCAGCAAAGTCAGAACTCGAAGCGAGCTATCTATTTGTTCCAGTCAGTCTTCTCACGTTGATTATCTATCGTCATTCTAACGTTTTCCTTTATTAAAATAGGCTCGGTGTCTTTTGACGTCGAAGTGCCACTCAATTATCATGACATCCGTGCCTCCGGAACTTGTGGACTGTGTCTTCGGCAAATTAGACAAAGCACTTGACCGTCCAACTCTATCATCTTGCACCCGTGTCTGCCAGGCATGGCACCGACTCGCTCTGCCCCACTTGTTCTCCGCCATCACAATTCAGTATAGTGCTTCATCAGAACGGCGCGATAATCCCTTCGTTCCAAAGTCCGTACACGGGCTGCACCTATTATTGGAAAAATATGCCTTCCTGGGTCCCTGCGTGGAGAAGGTTGAAGTGCGTGTAAAAAGCACCGCGCTGGGTGATGAAGGAATGATCCAGTGGGATGAGCCTGCCTCTGTCAGCGTGTTCCATGCCATGACGAACCTGAGGCACATCGCTATCAATGGTAGCCATTTCTTCGCCTGGCAAACTATGCCAATTTCTATTCGCCAAGCAATGTATAATTCATTCCGACTTCCTAGCGTGACCTGCTTGACAATGGAAGCCATGCACATTGCTGTCGCCAATTTCGCAGAGTTTTTCTCCGTTATCGGTGATTGTATCGCGTTGGAGACTCTGGATATCTCATTCGTTGACTTCCCTTCACGGCCCGAATTTCCCCCGCGTGTCGCTCCAATACCTTCTCATTGTCGGCCCCAGCTTCGCTCGCTTTCAATGGTCGTGTTCCCTATGGTCATGGAGGTTCTACTAGAATTTCTTCTTGACTATGTAGATCTGAGAAAGCTAGAGTCCTTGCGCCTTAAATCCAGCAAGTTAGATTCCTGGACTCTCCATACATTATTCAAAACGACCATAGATAAGTTGGATTATCTAGATATCGGCTTTATTGATTTTTCAAGTGGGTAATCAGTTATCAATCTCCAAATATATTTAACTAATCACAGAAACAGAGGGTCTAGAAGATGTGGTTCTATCCCGCAATTTACGGTCTCTCGCATTTGCGCTGTCGCTTCCAGCCGAGCAACAATGCATTAGCCAATTGGAGGCTTTAGAGGAATTATTCGCTCAGACTTTGAATTCTGGCGACAGGTGCATTGAGGAGATTACCCTCAAGTTTTATTCGTCTCGTCTTGACCTCATGGACTTCTCCAACACATTATGGTGCTCGTTAGCGGAAGCGCTGAGGACCGCGGCGATAGGTCTGGCAGCTACTCTGAAGAAAGTCAATTTGATCTTCGTGATATGGAGCTCTCAGATACCGGAGGGGTTTATTCAAGCAGCGAATACATGCTTTCAATATCTACATGAACGACAGCTGCTTCATGTAAACTGCCTTGCTTAATACACTCACCTTTATAAATGAAGTTAACTTTCAGTATTCAGAAGTGTTTCCATCCAAGAATAAATTAGAACGAGCTACTATTCTACGTTGGTCTTTCTGCTCTCCAACCAACCTTCCCAATCCCTGATCACCTTATCCAGAGATCCACCTTCCGTTTTTTCCACATCCCTTCTTAAAGCTTCGCAATTATCTACGGCTAAGCCATATACACCTTCACCCAGAGCACGCCTCATGAACCGCACAAAGGTGTTGAAGTAGACGTCACCGACTGCCTCAGTTATTTTCACCTCTTGACCCTGGAGCCCAGCGGCATTCTTGGCGTATCGCAGAAACACTTCGCCACCCTCGGACAGGAAGTCCTCCAGCTTGGCTAGGAGGGGCAGCATTATAGACGTCGGCGCCAGTAGGCGAAGACTATTGAGAGTGGACAATAGTGCATTCGTATACTGCGCCAGCGGTGGGTACGACACTAATATATGTGGAGGCACGTGTGCTGGGGCCTTCAAATAGGACGGGGAAGATGTTGGTTGGGAGGCAACAGCTGCTGGTAACACGAGCCATTCAGAAGGTGGAACCATATTTTTCGTATGTGTTGATGTGGTGGATACCGGCCGGCCCATTTTCTGTTTAAACAGAGTCACCCACTTAGAGGTAGCCGCTTGGAGTTCTTCGGTGACAGAGCTCAAGACAGCGTCCGAGAACAAATCGCCAAGAACACCTCGGAAGTCGAAGCCGACACGAGCGAACGCCGTTGCACAATACGTCAGTTGTGTCAGTAGAGAGGATAGGGAGGGCAGGGGTATACGAGGTAATGTAATTCGAAGGAGGGGAAGAAGATGTCTATGGAGAGAATGGGACGCGTAGCTGACCAATAAGGAACGTAGTGGTGGAGCTGGAGCTGGAGAAGTCGCGGTGGATGTTGGTCGTTCAAGAAAAATTGTCGAAAATTGCGTGATAATATCATGGACGCCTTCTCTCCATATATCGATATATTTTTTGAGGTACCGCGTCAAGTCCTCTTTATCCTTCTCCCTTACTTCGGCAGAGCTCAAACCGGCGAGACGTTGAATGTCACGATTGCAACCCTCCAACGAGGCCTTCAAGCACACCTCTCTACCACCGAGGAACGCCAATGCGATTTGTTCCTCTGACTCGACTCCATCTTCCGGATCAAAAACGTTCATTTTCCGAAGAAAATTAACTGCTTTCCATAATGCGGGTAGTTTCCGGTTCGGCTCGTGCAACGTAGAGAGCAACGAGAAAAGCATCTGCGTTATGGAATTGCGGACTTCAGATATTATAGAGGTGAGGATCAACGGAGGTGAGCTGGACGAGGAGTATAAGGAGTTTGTGTGGGATGCAAGAGACAGCGCTTCGGCAAAGTAACCATTGCGCACGCAGGTGTCGATAAGGACGGGGATATCGAGTAAATCACGTATTTTATCATGCTGCTCTAGCACGACGCGCGCTTTGTTCCGTTCGGTGAGAACTGTGTCTGTTCTGTCGTGCCAATTGGACGCGCTCTCCTCCAAAGCTGGCAAGCTTTCATTGACCAGGGCATCGAGAGACGCAGAGAGGGTATCTAGAGACTCGGAAAGCGAGGATGTGGTACTGTGTAAGGTGAGAAAGGTCGGGTAAGAAGTATGCGTTAACGAAGTGAGGCTTGAGGTAAGGTGATGTGACTGCGTCTGCAACAACGTCGGCTCTGCGAGTAGATTTGGCAAGGAAAGGGTCGTCAAGTACGACAAGTATGCCTGTGACGACGCAGAAGTGAGCTCTGGGCCACCCAGCAACTCGGGCAACGTGGTCTGCGTTCCGTCGAGATCTTGGCTTGTCTGCTGCTCTGGTTCCTCCATTCTTATTGTCGTCGCTATCTGGCAACAATTCTGAGCATATTCAACAGTGAACACGAGGGATTACTCACCTTGCCCTATGCCATGATCGTCGTGGAAGCAAATATAGCGTTGTTGACGGCTGTTGAGCGACGACAACAGTGCTTGTTCCTCAACATCCATCATCTAACCTACCCCGCCCGACATGGCCTTGATTGAGGTACGCCTTCGGTAATATCCCTGCTGTAACGGGTGCTGACGACGCCTGCAGGTTATCGCCAACGACCGTCTTGGACGCAAAGGTCAGCCGTCACCGCAGAACGTATCCTAAATCATTCCATCTGACTGCATTCTGCAGTTCGCGTCAAGTGTAGCCCCGATGACACCGTTGGGGACCTCAAGAAACTAATTGCTGCTCAAACCGGAACTGATTACACCAAGATCCAGTTGAAGAAATGGTGCGCTCGTTCTCTTCCTGCACCCCGGATCGGAACTCATCTCTCGAGCAGGTACACCATCTACAAGGACCACATTACCCTCTCTGACTACGAGATTAACGACGGAATGAGCTTGGAGATGTACTGAATGTCGATAAGACTACTAGACTCTTCATTTGCTAAGGATGAACGTGTATTATGGCGTGTACATGTATTGTAAACATTTCTTCGATAACTGATTGGAACGCAAGTAAGTTTTAGAAATGCGATCTCCAGGCGATCCGCTCTTATCCCTATGCATACAGTCATGCTGTCATCGCTGAATGCCGTTCAATACTTCACTCTCACTTCGCTCGGGCATTCTAAATTTTGAGTCACCGAGCGCTATTCCTATCTCATCGCGATGTCTGCATTGGGTTCTCGAGGGAAGAGAATGCATGCAGGCATCTACATGCGTTTGCGGCGTTGCGAGCAATGGAACTCGCCTTTTCAGGCAGCCGTACCTTTAGTTGTGGGTATATGCTTAGAGTATCTTCAATGAAAGGCTCTAATCGATCGTTATCACTGCAGGACATCATCATCGCGTCAAGCTTTACTCTCCTTCAAGACACAGATTCATTGTTAACTCTGGTTCTGTTCTTGGTTTGATCCTCCTTACCCCAGATAATGTCTAGAAGTCTCTTTCTCAGCAACGCTTGCTATGCATCTTGTTGCGATCTCTACTGTGCACACGTCTATGTATTTATGAACTCGTTCTTATCCGTACTGTGGCCGGCCAGGTGGTGGGGTAATGATATCGTCTGTCAACGTTCGTCCAACTGATTGAGCTATCATCGGTCCAGCATACACCTTGCCTTTGTTGTCTTGCGGTGTCCAACCAGCCGTATGGGAATCTTTTGGCGACTCCTACCCGAAATGTGATAGTCCCTTCACGTTTGGAAGTAACTCTTCCATAAGACATTGATCCCTCGGTCCTTGCCTACCTACGAAGGTTGTATTGTCTGTCAGTCAGCCAAAGATCATTCGGTAGCGCGCACTTCCTTTTCTGCATCTAGGCCTAGTCCCGTGGGACGCTCCACATTGAGAACGGATTGCCAGCCGCGAAACATATTCAGCGCTCTTCCCTTGAACCGTCGGCATACATAGGATCGCCAGCAGTTGATTTTCCTCGGCGGCCCTCTTTCTCTCATCGCTCCAACGCCGCCCCATTGTCACGGAAAATAATGTCAGGTTGTTGAAACGGCGTCTGCGTGTTGCCTTCTAGTCCGGGTTCTAGTCTCTGAGCACTGCGGGGGGCACCGAGTCTGTCGGGCGCACAATCTGCACAGAGCCCACAGGGACGCCGAGACGAGCGGCTATCGAACCGCGCAGAGCTGTATCTCTCTTCTTCGATTTCCGGCCATCCATCGGTGACTCGGGTGCAGTCAGATCCTCTCCATTAACGGGAGAGGTTGCTACTGGTATTCATGAGCTTAACTTCTCGGATACGACCAACAACATACTTAGGCACGCTACTAAGACCTCTCTTGTCAACGATATGGTCGTGTCTTTTTTTTCCATGTCGCCCTGCATGAAGGCATGGAATGTGGAATTTGATGCAGGCACTGAGGCACTTGGACTTTCTTGCGCCACATTTATTCGGTTCACGGAGGAAGGCATGATCTCAGTGGAATTCTGCACCATGCTCTCAGGTCTGGGTTTGAGTTTGGAGCCGCATCGCTGGTACTCAGTTTCTCCCAAAGCGCAGTCTCCTCCGAGTTCTTCGCCCACACCCCAAAAAGTGATAAAGGTCCCTGGGTTTATTGGGAACAATGGTACGCTATTCGTCCTCGGTAAGTTACTGAGAACCAACAGACGGATATGATCCCCCGCGAAGAGGTTCTAGAGGCTGTGGCGTACTATTCCTGCGCATTCGCAGTGAGAAAGAGCTTACTTATACGCTCTGGACGTTAGTGAATGATGGAAGTTATGGTTTCTGTCGAGATATGGTCCTTGAATAGTGTCTTAGCGAATGTGGCGGACCGCGATGCGCTTGTCACAGGATGATACACATCGGGTCAGTGTATTCAAATGTCAAAAGGTTTAGATGGGTGCACACGTCTATCTAAGGAAGAGAAAGGGTAATGAAAGGTACGAGCGACATGATGGTAGACAACTACCGGGACCGACCTGGAATTTCAGATCCAGGGTGGGCTGACTTTCCAAAAAGTTTCCATCCGTCAGAACCCGTCTGTGAGAAACAAGTTGACAACGAAGACAGACTGGTTGCGAGGCCCGGGTGCATTGTGCCTCTTCGAGGACAGGTGCGTTGACGGGAAGGACAAATGTTGGTTGGATAAAGGTCGACCCCAAGATTCCAAGTGGAATGTATAGAATGCGCCACATCCGTACGCACGGTGCTGTCGTTTCTTGGAAAAGAGCATAAAGGTGGGTATTACTACCCTTGGGGCCAGGAATCTTGATAACCTCGAGTTAATGTCCGACACAATCGTTGAGTGGAGGCCTCAATTACGTCGGGATTCGGGATGAAAGGTAGGCAGCACAAGGACCGTGGGCGACCCCCAAGACAATCGAAGGGAGTTTTAGACTATCCGGTAAAGTATCGCGGGATCCCTGTTATTCCTCGTAGTCGTTCCTTGGATTACTACTTATCGATCCATCTAGAGTTCGGTGGCAGAACTCGGTGGCAGACGGGGCTAGTCCGGGAAATGAGTGTACAAATCCATTCGTGTGTGTCCGACGGGGTGGGACAAGAAATACAGGGACAATGCTGTGCATGACGGGAAAATCATGATGGCTCTGGACAGATGGAGATATCATCTGAGTTCGACGGAGAATGTAGAAACCTCGGGGCGCCGTCGTTATGACATTCCAATCCGGGATGATTTAAGACGGGGTGATATGTTTTAGGACCCTGCAGCCAATCAGGAAATGGCGGTAATTAGAGAAGCCACTTTTTTTCCAGGCGCGTGTTTTCTGAGTAGAATATACGGTTCATTATGGTTCATCCCAAGTGGGAGACGAGCGAGTCAGAGGCTCGGCACTGAGATGCTGCGTGTCTACAGCTGTGTCGAGGATGTCGTAAAGGACGGCAAGACAGAGAAACGTAAGATCCGTGCTCAAAGAGGCTCTTCATTCGGGGGGAAGTGCTTGGATGCTGGGGATAGACAGTGGCAAATGGATTACTCGCTTGAATGGCCTCGTCGACCACTTGGAGCGAGCGCGTGGCCGGAGATTGGGTTCATAGGATAGATCGCCGTGGCGCGTCAAAAGGGGAAAGTGCGACCCAAGGATCCGGATAGTTCACACGATCGAAAAACGATCCATATCTATTCATAGGCTTGATTTCGGCGGCGTCTTCTTCCTTTTGTTGTTTCACGGTCATAATCTAAATTCGGTACTTGTCTTGCGCTGACAAGGAGTCGTTCACTTTCTATATAAGCGGCCCCTTCCTTCTGTCGCGCTTTCTGCCTCTGCCTACAGCTCTCTAGGCCGACGTTGGCTCGCCGACGAATCTGAACGAACTACCTTCTTGTTTCACGCCTGACTTACCGACATGGGTATGGGATTTGCCTTTCTCCCCACCTTGAACATCTTCACGGGTGCTCAGCAACGAGTGAGTTGCGTTCGAATATTTTTATTTTCACGATCTAACCACTTTCCTACTAGGTCCTTGAACACGACATCTCCTTCGACATCGCCCTTGCCCAGTCTTCCCGTTCTTCACGTACCACTCCCGCTCCCTACATGTCGCGCCCCCCCAAGTCGCGAATGCCACTAGAAATCGTCATGACTATTATGGAGATGGCGTTCTATGATGAGACCTTCGATATCGATTATTCGTTGCTCAAGGCCTGCTCTCTCGTTTGCAGGGAATGGTCTGCAGCTGCCCAGAGGCTCTTATTCCATAACGTTACACTGCGCACCCAGTCGGCTTGTCTCTCCTTCCAGAGCGCAGTTGACCCCATCACGGAACAAGGTCGCATGTTAGGTGAAGCTGTTGTCCGAATGCGAGTCATACTGGATCACAACCAACCTTTTGGAATTGCCGAGCAGTCATTTGCCCAGGCGGTCGTCCTCTGCCCGAACCTGTTCGAGCTAAACTTGGCTCTGTATGGTTCTGTGTCACCCGGCAAGGATATCATTGGCTCTCCGGACTCCCTTCGCATGCGACGCCCAGCTCCTTCCTTTGACGAGAGCACCTTATCCCTTCTCCGATGCGGTCCTTCCATCTCCGCCCTCCAGTTCTCCAACTGGTCTGAAAATAGCCACTCCATTTCCCAGTTGCTCAGCGTATGGCCGTCGCTGAAATCTTTGGCTCTTAGTGGCAATGCCCCAGAGTTACCATCTGACACGCTCTCCCCTTTCCCCTGTGCCCTCCATGAGCTTCACATGAACTTCCAAGCATTTCCCTTCACTAGATTTCATGGATTGGCTACTACATCATTCCGTCGGCAGTCTCCGCGTGCTCGGCATCGCTCAAGAACCGTCCATGCAGCTGCTCGAGTATTTTGTCGACACGTACGGAAACACTCTGGAATCCGTCTCGCTTCCTGTCTGTTGGCAAGATACGGCCCGTTCCCTGCATCGTTGCCCGCATTTACGGCAGATCAGCGTGGAAAGACCACTCGTATCACCCCTTCTCTTCAAAAAAGTCTCAGAGCGTCTGGAGCACATAGCGTTTGGGCTTAATAAGATGACTGCGCTGCAATCAGTCATCGAGACTGTCAAAACTCAGAAGTCCCTCAAGGCTGTCACGGTTCATCTTTGGGGTGGTGAACAGCACCCGCTTTTTCCATCCCTGCAGATGGCCTGCGCCTACCGGGGCCTTGAGCTTCGAATAACGCCGGATATTAGGGTGTTCCGTACATGGATGGTACGTCGCTTAATCCTATGGAAAACGCCACATTTTCTAAAGTTTTTTTCTTTTTTAGCGAGGTGACCCAATCGAACAGCAGACTTATCCCCGCGGGAAAACACTTTCCAATCTATATGCTATGCGCGCACAATCTTCTCTCCATGCATCCGGACCACATGTATCATTCCACTAAGGATGGCACACCGTCTTAACTGTGCCACGACGCCCTATCATGACCGTTACGATACATCATCACTTGTACATCACCCGCATCATTATCTTATAATGCAAGTCTCGAGTCACGCAGCATTGTCATCCTTCGATATGTTCACTGTTATGGGCCCGCCACCACTGCTTCATTCATTACTAGCCAATAATTCTCAAAAGGCTCGTTTGGATACTACATACATCGGAGGATTCTACTACATTTTCGTTCAAACTATACAATCAGTTTAGCATATCATGGATTTAGTTATATTCGCTTTGTTACTCTTATAGCCAGTGTTAGGTACTAAGTAGTTACCATTCAATACATTAAAGTCATCACCGTTAACTCAGGCTGAAGGGGAATGATTTTTGGCGTAAGGCAGATTCGACTGGTGATTGGGCATGGCGGAAGTTACGCGAGAGTGGATTATAACCATAGAGCTTAGTTCCCGTTCATTTTGAGCGGAACAGCACTAGTACCGTCGGTGCCTCGATAGATTTAATATATGAGCGTGGGGACTTGTAATTGACGGTTCTAAGTCATAAAAGTTAGTCGCCACATTTCGCAAACAAAGCCAAACACCGACTAATTGGACTGTTGCCACTTTCGTACTTGGAGTCAACGTTCACGATGGCGTCGTCGTCGTCGCTATCCTCGGTTGTGTCAAATCTTGTGAGGGCCTCTATGGGCACCTCTGTGTCGCCCACGGTGACTGACGAAGACTTGGACCGCCATGTTGCCGAATTATTGATTAAAGATGCCAAGAAGAGGGCTGAACGGTACGGCCAACAAGGTATCCGCGCCTACCTTTCCAGCCAACTGTAAGTCGTAAGAACCTTGTTCGGGGACTTCAATATTGACATAAAATTACAGTTCAGATAGTAATGCCCCAAAGACTAACAAGCGATTCCTGTCCTCTATCATTCGAAGCACGGATGAACACAACAAGACCATTCTAAAAGCGCAGGCTCTTTCCGCTCAGGAGATACAGAGGGAGAAAGAGGAGTTACAGAGGAAGCAACGTCGCGCGCGTGCGGAGGAGGCGGTTGCTGCCCGGCGAACTAAGATGGACAGTCGAAAGTCTGCTGAGAAAGAGAGTTGGGACAGGTGGGATGGGCGGACAGGAGATAGAAAGAGGAAGCATAGGGAGTGGGAAACGTGGAATGGGGACGATTCGGATGAGGACAGGCAGCGACGACGGCGACGGCGGTCATCATCGCGCGATGAGCATCGTGGCAGACGGCGTCGTTCCGCCAGTCGGGACGAGCCGAGACGCAAGTCGCGGCGTAGTCGCAGTCGAAGCTCCAGCGATCAGGACGACCACGACTCCAAGCATACGACCCGTTCTCATCGATCCCGCCGTTCAACAAGACACACGTCACGCCGTTCCCGAAGCAGGTCGTGGTCTTCTGATGGACACAGACACAGACATACCCGCAGACACCATCATTCCAAGTCAAGACGTCGACGCAGCTCGCGTTCACGTACCCGCAGTCCTTCGTCAATAAGGGAAAGTTCCAGGTGGAAACGATCCCGGTCTTCGTCGCGGTCAGAGCGCGCACGCGACCAATCACCCTCTGATGCCCGTAACCTATCTGATTCGCGTAACCTGTCGAAGGAAGCTGAACTACGGCAGAAGCTCAGGGCGTCAAAGGATAAAGCACCTTCGATTGCTGCCAAGTTACCTGAGAGCGAAAGTCGCCGTAGATCCCTAACACCACCTTCCAAGCGACAGAAGACTCGCGCTCCATCTGTGGAGTCGACATTGTCTTCGCCTATGTCGATATCTCCTTCTGCTTCCCCTGGGCCGGAGCCTCCGGTTCAGCTACCTTCAAAGATGGACAAGTATTTTGAAGAATCGTATGATCCCCGCCTGGACGTTGCGCCTCTTAGTGCCCCCAAGGTCCCGGCTACAGGTCTCATCGATAATGCTGAATTTGAGGGTTGGGATGCTATGCTGGAGCTCATCCGGGTAAGAAGGGAGGACAAGGAGGAGAAAAAGAGACTGGAGAGGATGGGTTTGAGCAAGGAGCAGATCAAGAAAGAGATCTCTTCCTCGAAAGCCGTGGGCGACAGGTGGAATTCTGGTGGTGCAAGCGCCATGGACATCGAATACAAGAAACGGGGAACGGTAAGGGAGTGGGATCTGGGAAAAGATACCATGTAGAGTCACGCATCTTTCACTTTGATTATCTTTTTTTCTGGATATCTCAAGTTTGTAGCATTATTGAGCACACGCATATCGTTCATCATCATGGTCATGAATACATAGAGGCATTATTTTAAACAAACTCGGTAGATCTACGTTAGCTGCTATTGGGGATCCATTGCTGGGAGACAACAGCCTGAACTACTGCCATTTCCTCCGCGCTTAATTGTTCTACTAGCGTAGAAAAATTGGACGTGTTCCTGGAAGCGCATTCTCGCAGGAATGAGGTGAGATGTTCCTTAATTATATCAGTACAGCGCTACCGAGGGGGACAATAATAAAGAGACCCACCTGCATATCCATCTGCGATATTGGATCAGTTTTCAGATCTTCATCGTCATTATCCTCGAAAATATCATCATTGTCGAAAGCCAATCCCTTGGGTCCGATGAGATCTGACAGATATTGCAGCTCGGCGTCCCTTTTGCTGCCATCCCCTTGATCACTCCAGTCCTCGTCCTATATTTGGGTTAGATCGTTTTCGGAGACTAGGCAAACCAAAGTGCGTACACCATCGTCATCGTCGGCATCTGGTAGGTTGCCGCCAGAGGCAGCAAACGTAGCTGATTCGCCGCTGGATTGAAGGTCGTGAATCAAAATTTTGAGTGCTTTGACCGGGAAAGCGATGGATGTGAACTCGGTGGGCGCTGCGGAAGGAGACGAGTCAGCAGAATGTTTACTAGCATTCGTCCTGATGGAGGAAGGGAGAATGCGCGCACTCGTCCTTGTACGTGATCGTGTCATGATGACTTTGTGATTAAAACAAATGAACCTCAGCGCACCGGACCGACGACAAGTCGATGAAAGACACTAACCATTTCTTGTTTCCGGTTTAACGATAAGGTCGCCCTTCACCATGAGATTCTGAAGCGACGGCCTTTCACAGACGAAAAGTTGCGAAAGGGCCATGGTGCTGATCCGTGACGGCCAGAAACCCTGAAATGTTTCCGCATTTTCACACCATGTATGAATTAAGACCTCCAAACCCGAACGGCCTTGTGCGTTTGTCGATTCAAGCAAAGACAACACTGTATCCCGCTGATGTGTTATCAAAAATGCAAACGGGATGACAAGACTCTGATCCTGCTATTTAGTATGGTTCAAAACGGTCCTGAAACTGAGATCGTACCTGGACAAAGGACGCTGTTTTGGCTGTGACCATACGGTTCACCATAGCTTGGAGGAGGTCAGGTAGCACCGGAAGAACAGCATCGCCTGCTCTCCGGAGTAAATGGATGATCAGATCACCAATTGTTAGGCCGGCAGATTCATCCTCGCCCTGTAGCACTTTCGCAACAAGGGTTAATACATAATCTAAGCCCGAACGCCCATTATTGTCGGACCATGACAATAACTGTTTACAGTCTTTCCGGACAATAAGTGTTAGGCAAATGATTCCATTCTACCGTAAAGATATCATTAGAAAATGAGACATGCGCCATGTGGACAAGGCGCACCTGTAACACATCCCGGTCTTCTGCCTCGCCAAGGCATTTGAATAGGTGAGGAGCAAGAAGAGCAAAGAATCCGTCACCGAGTCCATTTTTCGAACCATTGATGAGACTGTTGACAAGGTCAATGGCCGAACTGGTGATCCAGGACTCGTCAATTGACGCAGACGATATAGAGTTACATAACGAAGGAAGCGCCTGCTTTACGACCACCTCGTAGATGGCTGGCGCAGAAGCCGATGCCAATGACTCCAGAATATCAGGGAAGATCGACAGAAGGATAGGATCTATGACATTCTCTAATTGAGATCAATTTTAATCAATCAACTTTTTGCCGAACCTTTGTTATTCTTAGCCCACACTTCCAGAATGGCCAGAACCAGGGAGTCTGCCAACTCTGGAGTCATCCATTTACCTTCATCTACGCCGACGATGACAGATAAAGTTTCGAGAACAAGGGAGAGAGTGTCCTCGGATGTGTGCAGCAGGAACGGACCCATATCTTTGGCAATACGGGACATGAAAGGCGTCAATGCCGCGTCATCCGTGCCATTACAGAAGCTGAGCAGCAAAATATTAATTTAATATCAACAGGGTCGCTTCGGGAAAAGACTTACTTGTGGACCGCTCTGACCGCTGATATTTTTACAGGGATACTGCCTTCATTTGACTCGATTACCTGAACAGCCGCATTGATATATTGGCCCGCTAACTGTATAGGCAACAGCTTGGCATATTGGCTTGCAAAGACGAAACCACGACCTTGCAAGAAAGGGAATTCTATGGGACGAGATAAGTAATTAAAACATAAGGAGACTAATGCCACGAACCGGAAAGACCTAGAACTGAGGGAATCACATCCCGGAGTAGGTTCTCAATGTCAATAGGTTTGGGTCGTCCCGAGTCATCTTCATCTTCAAGACAGTCTTGGATAGACTCGGCTTGTGAACCAATAGCAGCTAGGCCAGCCTCTAGTGGCCGCCACCAGTCTTCTTTGCCGCCATTGCGTGCCTGTCCCGACGATTGTATTACTTGTTGTATAACAGTATGGAAAGTTGCGATGATTTGAACCGTGGCTCGGTCAATGATTGCCTGAAAATACCGCCGTATTAGCATTGACACTTACGTTGTAGAAGATGGGTACCTACTCCCAGCAGATCAAATCCAGCAACTCGGACGCTGTAATCCTGAGTTTCGTCATCCTCTTGTGCTACGAATGTATTAGCATTGGATCCCCAAGTGTCTTCCTATGATAAATATTGTGATAACATAATAAACAGGGTCTCCGACACTTACGTCTTCATCGGTCATTTGCGCATAATTGAAAACTGCGGCGATTAAAGCAGTCGAGTGTTCAGGTGTGAACCACTGCTTGGCTTTTCCTCCTCGTATAACAGTAGCAACGAAATCTAGGATAGAGCTGATAAGGTGAGACAGATGCACCGGATCATCTTCAGAGGACGAAGGAATAGGCTCGCTGGACGTGAGATAATATCGATCAAACGTTGGATATAGTAAGTTTAAATGATTGATAGAAGTGTTAAGAAGATCGCCAAAGTAGGGCACCAGAGCTCTAGGGAAACTCGTGTGGATGGTTTCGAGGGTCTAGGAAAGAATAAATGTTTGAACCAAACAACGCCTGGTAGCAAAGATCACCTTGAAGATTTGGATACGAATAGCAAGACCATCCCAGTTGGAGCTGTTCGCGTCGTGTTGAGGATCCATGTTCAAGAGAACTTTAAATGCTTCAAGCCACACAGGAAGAACCGAGGCAATGGCTTCTTTCACTGCCTGAGGGTATTGGTCCTTCACCATGAACAATGATATTGTGCATTGGCGAAACACTGAAATCGTCCTAGCGCGCGTCAAAGGCAAATGTTGCTTGAACGACGTTAGTAGTCACGCCACCTGCTGTCACCACGAAATACCTACTTCAGTGGCACCCAAGATTGAGAGCAGAGAGGGCAGTAAGTCTCGTAAAACTGGTAATATTTGATCTTCTGTCAAATCTGCCTTGATGAACTCAGTAAAGACTTGCATGGCTCCGTGAACAGAGCCTGGAGACCCTGAAGATAGCAGGTTGATCAAGTCATTCAAGAGCTCGGGATATTCATCAGGCCAATCGGAGTTGGCAATGGATGTCAGAGTGTGGGCCTGATTGGATTGTCTTCAATCGCACCGTCATCAGAACAAGCATAGACGCACACAAAGAGACCGAATTTTTCGATTGGGGTCTGAAAGGCCTTGGAATACAGCTTGTCGCACTCGGCTTTTGATCTGGTGGGTTCCTGGTCTCAGCCACTACAACCGCGCAGACAAGTAGGCAACACACCTCTGGGGGAGGCGCCGCTCCCTTAAATCCCTGGAAGAACGGCGACCACCTCTCTCTCACATACTTCCTCAAGACGATGCTTGCAGAGTGCTTGGACCAACAAGAAAGCCATCAAGACGCGTCAAAAACCGAGAAAAACGCGGCCAACTTATCTGGCGTAGTGGCATGTCGACATTTGGAGATGCGATGAGCTCTGATAAAGCCAGAGATGTCCCTGTCGAACGAACAAGTGTCAACAGGTCAGACGTCAATTTTCATATCAAATCGATAAAAACGCGCCTGGCTGTGAGAAATACTCGATGAGCTTGAGCTCTGCGGACATCCGCTCGTTGGCATTCGGGCTCAGTGTCGCAGCAAGGCATTCGGAAATCTGGGTCGTGGAAGCCATAGTACAAAGAGCGTCCGAAGGGCGCGACCGGGAATCCGGACAAACATATGTAAAGAGCGCGTTCACGTGTGGGACCAATATAAGGCCTGTGCGTCAATTTGCACAAATCCTATACTACAGGAATAAGTTAAATCCATCCGAACGTGAAAAAATGAAGGATTTAGAATAGGGATGCGTATACTATACTAATCTAGAAATGGGGTCCCGAAAGCATAATATTATAACTACATCGTTCGCCAAAATTAAAAGTGTCCCAAGGGGATGAGCGCATACACACTGCTCCCTTACATTATCACGCACTCCTTGTCTTTCCCCTTGCCCGAGCTACCATTATCGCTCGAGTCGAAGGCTCCACGATTTAAGACGGAACCGGGACCTCCAGGCTGAGGCATCGGTGAATTCGTAGAGGCCTTTAACCGTTGCGCCGCTCGCTTATCACCAAGTTCTGCCGCCTTCTTGTACCACGATACAGCCCTATAATGACGTTAAAAGGTAACAGTAGTCAAGGAAGGGGAATACGTACTGTGACATATCGGCTTGTGTCCCTATTCCCACCTCAGTGAAGTATCCAACGGCATACATCGCTTTAGCGAGGCCGGCTTCTGCAGCCTTTTGAGCCCACAGAAATGCCTCTGTGTCTGATTGGGGCAACACGCCAGGCGATCCGACAAGATACCATGCGGTCAGCGCAAAACAAGCATCCCGATGATTTTGTTGTGCAGCAATGTTCTAAGAGATACCTCAGCACATGACGAAAAATGAAGGGAAAAGGGAAAAGGACGCACATAATAATGAATAGATAATGCTGGATCACTCGGGCAACCGTTTTTCCCATACTCGTAGCATTCACCGAGTCGATAAGCGCTCGGCGCATACCCGAGCTCAGCAGCTTGTGCTAGCAGCTCGATGGAGTATTCATAATCCACGAAAACCACATTGTCGATTCCCCGCTCGTGTAGCAACGCTAACTCATGCAAAGCATGAGGAAACTCGGCCGTAGCTTGCTCCGCGCTCCTCTTTAGCCACTTGACTCCTTCCTTGGGACTCCGTGACAAGCCGAGCTCCCCATTGAGCTCAGCGATGCCCAACCGATACATCGCGCCAGGATGCAATGCTGCTGCTGCTTTCCGGAAGAAAGTGACCGCCTTTGCCGATTCCCGTCTGCATCCCCAGCCGTTTTCACAGCACGTCCCGGCACGGTAAGCCGCGTCTGCATGGCCATGCTTCGCAGCGAGAACAAATAGAGGATATGCTCGATCGAAATCTTGCTTTCCCTTCACTGTCCCAATGCCATTCGCGAAGCAGTCTGCCAAGAAATATTGTGAAGGAGAATGACCACGATCCGCGAGGCGTTTTAGCAAGCCAGTCGCTTCCTTTACGAGATCTTCACGTTTTTCCATCGCCTTCTCCACCTGCAGAAGATTTCCTGGTATATTTTCTGGTATCGGCAAAGATTTGGAGGCGTCTATCATGAAAACAGCGAATTCGAATTGGAGATCTGGGTCTTGCGTTTTCTTGGCGTTTGCGCGGTAGAGTTCAAGAGTACGTTCATGGGAAAGCAAGGCGGCTTGGTTGCCGGGACGAAGATGTGAATGGTCGAGAAGAGGTCCCGGAGGGGGAGAGGGAGCACGAATAGACTGCGTCGCCACGGACCGTGGAGCGTATTGGTCAGGCATATATGTCGAAGGAGGATGGCTGTTATTATTATCACCATTGTAGAAATCGTCTGGATCCGTGTCCTGGTCCTGGGGTGGAGTATACTCGCGCTCATCATCAATATCGTCAAACTCTTGCTCCTCCCCGTTGGTCTGTGGTGTAGGCTGTTGAGAAGTGGCCCTTGACCGTACTGAGCTGTACGGGGAATCTGTTTGGCTGTCATTCTGTAGGTACGCTTGGTCCGGTTGCGTGTACTGTGACGATGGCCGCTGCTGCTGTTGGGTCGAGTACATCGTCACCGACCGAGATGAGGGGTGGTGGATCCCGGTCAAGGGCGTGATCTCGGTCGTTGGCATCACTGCGTTGACCATATTAGGTCATGACATCTCCGCACGATCGCTCTCCAACAAAATTGAACAATCACCCGCTTTTTGGTGCAAAGCGCTGCAATTCTGGTCCATAGCCCCCAATTCTGTACTGAAAATGCTCTACGGCGAATGTAACAATAAATGACGATGTGCGAACCATGTTTCAATTGTAATGAAAGTCTTGGCAACCATTTTCTGAAGAACTTTCTTCCTCCGAGTAACCCATACTTACCTGTTTTTCAGCTTCGAGAAACGAGAACATTCCATCTGTACCTCACGTATGAAATGTCGGTTCTCTAGGCCAAACCTGTGTCGTACTGTCTCGTCCAGCGAAATTTTCTGGAGTGATTTTGCCAAGACTTTGGTTACTGCCGTACATCCGTGTCCTAACGAAGCAAACTCTAAATATGTATTGAACCCCGTAGTGGATACCAAGTCTCAAGGATGTGTGGAGATGAACCTAACATTACAAACAACCTAACACCTTCCTTCGTTACAATCTATCATACGGTCGTCTTTCAATAATTAAATCATGATGTATTTAGAACTTGTAACTGTCGTATTTGAAGCTCCAACCGTTGGTAACAGGAGGTGGTACCGTTGCTACGTCCAGCTAATGACAAGATAACATTGCTCTATCTAGACCCTGAAATGCTACGAAGTACGCGCATCTTCGAATTTAATTAAACAATCATGCCGGGAAAAATTCTGCGAATATCTCTAGGTATCACCAACACCGGAATGTATCGTAACCATATCATATATTCGGCAAAACCCTAGCATCGAAATTAGCCATCGATTTAACATGGACCTCCACAAACTGCATTACCTTCAAAGCCTTCGAGGTGACACAATTGGTACCCGAGAGGCTTTCTGCACTGTACTTTCCTCAAAAGACACGAGAGAGCCAGTCTCGGAATCGCGGAGAGTAAGCTTGGACCTCCGAGCAGGGTCGCGAAAGGGATCTTCAACGACAGGAACGGGGTCAGCAAAAGGGTTGGAAATGATCGACATTCGAGCATGCGCAACAGGGCTTGCGTCTCTGAATGGATTCTCAGTATTGTCTCGAGATGTCTGCCTTGGCTCGGACACTTCGTGGTCATGGAATTTATCGTCCTCCCATCCAAAAGTAGACTTCCTCCTGTCCACGGTGGGAGAACCCATATGAGTCGCTGGCGTAGAAACAGAAGCTTCGAGAGTAGACTCCGCAGAGCGTTTGACCCCGACGAAGTTCTCCGTATCAAAGTTGAATAAACTACTGGCTATTCTCAAGCGCCGTCGTTTGCGGATGAATAAGAATAACAGTAGGGCGGAAAGGGCCAGGAAGGCGATTATACCCCCGATAATCCCGCCAATCAAAGGGCGCGAGCTTGTTGGCATGCTATAACCACAAAACCTCAGGATTCGGAAGAATATCAGGGATGGGTACATACTTAATACTATTTCTGGTCTCAGATGGACTGATCATGGTGGCTATACCTGTAGTTGTGAAGACGCTGACCGTAGTAGGGCTTCCGCTGATCGACCCGGCATAAGTTTTTGTAACCGTCGAAGTGAAGACTGAAGCCGAGGATCTACCGCATTATGTTAGCGTAAGTTTTATAGTCCATAAAAATTATAAACGATACGCACACGCCAACGACACTGGCAGAACTTCCAGTATCCATACTATCAGCGGCTTCCGTTGCGGAATTCGAAGACTGGGGACTCGTCAAGATTGAAGTTTCAGATTGAGAAGAATCTCCGGTATTCACCGGAGATCCGACGTCGGCAGTAGACGTTGATGCAGAAGGTTGAGTACGAGAGATGGGTGGAATTGTTTGAGAAGGCGAACCAGAACTACGCGGAGAGCCACCTCCGCCGCCCTCATTGTTATTCCCACCGTCATCCCCTGGTCCATTTTGAGAACCTTTGCCAGTTTGACCTGCGGCGCCTCCGGAGCTTCCTGCATTGTGAGGTCCCGAGTCACCATCGCCGCCATTTCCTGGACTCGATCCAGGTTCTGGATTATTGGATTTACCTCCCCCTTGTTGGGGCGATGGAGGACTTGTATTGCTCGGCCTAGTACCACCTGAGCTCGTCTTGTCGCCAGAACCTTGGTCATGATGATGTCCGGTTGTAGAAGAACCGCCGGAGTTCCCTCCTGAGTTGCGGTCATCGCCGTTATCCAAGCCAAGTATACTCTTGATTGGTTGGGGGATATGATCGATAAGTCCTCTGGCTTTGGCTGAATTATCAGAACCGAGGCCTGGGGCATTGCTGCTAGAATCATCGAGAGATGTATTCTGGTCGACATCAAATTGATCACCGCCTCTATTTCTCTGTGAACCCTGATTGCTCAATGGATCCCCGAGTTTTGTATCCCGAGGTGAGTTCTTGTTATGATTCTGGTTCTGGGTGTGGATCGGAGGGCCTGTGTGAACACCGACATTCATCCCGTCAAACAAATTACCAGCACCGGTGCTCCCAATGTAATCGGAATTAAGACCATTACCAGAAGCATCGTCGTTGGTATGACTGGGCAACAGGTTCTGACTGTTGTGGGATGTCGCAAGGCTGTCGACGTTGTGGGGATTCTTCTCAGTGCAATTCCCGTCTCCGCTACATGGGATAGCGGTCCCACTGTCCCCGGAGAACTTCGAGATATTTCCGTCTCCATACGAGCATTTTGCCTCGCCTTCAATGTTGACGCCACCTTGAATCCCATCATCGTCGGTGCCACCTTGCTCCTGCGATCCTACGTCCTTGGCGGAACTGATTCCAATACTGATGCCAATGTCATCTCCGTCTGCCTTGACTCCACCATCAAGCAAAATGCAGTGATCAACCCAAGAGCTGAGAGAGCCTCTATCAGCGGCACTTGGATTACCACTGTCACCATTCGAGGAGGAAAATGCCATATTCGATTCTCCCTTGGATATCGAGTCGCTCACTGGACCTGTTTGCGAATCTGAACCTTAAACCCTGGTAACTTTTTCTACGCTTTTAAAACGAACGCACCTGGTTCACCGCGTCCACTGATACTAAGAGAAGTATTTCCAGAATATTCTGACTGCAAGTTGAACGGGCGTGCCACTGGCATAAAAGTTTGCGCTGAGAACACGAGTCGACGCTGATCGAGAAAAAAGCTCACCTCTAAGAGCTTCGAGACATTTGTTTTGTCTTCGAAGCATTTCCAGATAGAACGTAGACCTTTGAAATGAGCGTGATGAAAAAAGGAAGTAAAGAACGAGAGAAAAGTGGGTATTGAAGTACGAGTCCAGCTCAGATCAGTAAGGTGTCACACCCTCAAGGATACAAGGATACACTGCCATATGATCAACTTTTCCCATAGAGCTGTGAGTATCCTGATGTCCTGCGGCATATTGTATTACCATTGTTGACAACAAAGGGGAGATCAACCCAACTTGAACCCGGACCACCTGAGAGGTGTTTAGCGCATCTTCAGCAGCGATAGAGATCTGGAATCATCGCAAGTAACGGTGAACAAGAAAGTCAAAGAACAAGGCGAGCTGAGGGAGTCCTCGAGAGAATCGTTCCAGCAAGATTTGTTGGTCCCGAGCGGTCAAATGCATGGCAACGTGCAGGAATAGTGCGAGAAGGGCAACAACAATCATCACTGTCACTGAATGTTCATTAAACAGAGCCAATTGCATCAGAGGGCTCCATGGGTCATGAGGTACTAGCTTGAGTAGACGACAGCGATGATGGTTCGAACAAGAACATAAGATATTCCCACACGCATCGTTAACACCGAAATCAGGTATCTTGTAGAGTGTGATTGCTCTTTCGAAGTCTATGCCGGTCACTTCTACTAGAAAGTTAAGAACAGATATACCTTCGCAATGTAGCGACTAATTTAATTCATGTGTTTTTCATCTCTGCTCAACGCTGGCGGTACACCATGATAGCAGATCGAAGTATATCACTATTCTTCCTTATGTACGTGCCCGATGAATGGGATTCCATAACGATATTCAACTGCATAATTTTTGTGATGGTCCTTGACACAAAGTGAACTCGAGGGGAGAGGATTAGGGAGCAGTTTGGTAATACACAGACTAAGTACTCACGCAACTAAAGATCGTAGCGTGAGAAACGGTAGAATGCTGAGCGCAGAAAAGATGTGCTCACAATGTGTTCCGACAAACATGAAATATACACCAAATCCCTTTACGATGGCTCATTAATAATGAAAAATTTCGCGCGAGAAACTCATTAATCACCGAGAACAGATGCCACCATGCGTGCCCTGACAGTCATATCAGAACAAACAGCAACAAGAACAAGTTAGATAAAATCAACTTGCCTTCCAGTAAAAAAGCTAACGGGCCAACCCACCGGTGACTTCCAGTCAGTCAAATAATCACAGCACAGACCATCAATGTTCCAGATAACGAAGCCAATAACAAAAAGGACGGCTCCGATGCTGAAGATGCTCGCAATGCTGTATTTTGCATCTTCCGAGATAGCTAAATGTTCTTTAGACCACATTAGAAGGTGTGTAATGAGGGCGACTTTGGCGATACACAGGATTGCAAAAACCCATTGAAAATAAATGGGATTACGATTGGCGATACTTGCAAGGATGTCAGTGATACTGTCAACCGCCGGATGGAATATGAGAATACATACTAGCTTGATGTGAAATAGACATTGAAGGCTACCACGATTAAGAGGGAGGAGAGGGTTTGCAGCCGAGGATATCCTATAACCAGGAATGCGGTCATAAAGGAACCAGCAACTGATGGAGACGAGATATATCATAGGTAGCTCATCTGCGAGCTGGAAATGAAACAGCAGGGTTGCGTGAAACTGCCATACTCCCGATTCCAACTAGAGCATAGCACTACCAAGTGGGGGTTCATCAGAGTGGCATGCTTCACTTTCCGCTTTTGACGTACGGCATAACTGAGCACGTATCTCGTCGGGAGAGATTCACGGCGAGCTCTAAAGGTCCCGTAAGCAGCAAGAATCAAGAAAATCGTGGTGGAGAGCGTATTGGCAAACTCGGCGATGTAATGGGAGAATCGGTAGTTAGCCTGCATGAAACTCGTTCAATGCTTACCAGGATGATAGGGAGGGACTAAGTAGCCTACCTCACACCAGTCGAGAGTCGCGGTGACTGGCCCATGATAACCTTCGAAATTCCGGACAGTTGCTGGAATGGGGGATCATACTTGTGGGGTGTCGATGCCAGAGCACAGGGAGTTTATATGAGGGGCCCAGTGCTCAAGACATAAGTCTGAAACCAAACGATTGCTTGTACCATGAAGTGAAACAAACTATTCGTGAAGGGTAATTGACAGTATATTATGTGATCATCAGAGAGGGTTGAAGGTCCGCTAGATTCCACGAATGCAGGGGGAAATGGTCTGACTAGACAGCGGATATATCTAAACCGACAGCTGCGTAGACTACAGGAGCCATCAGCGTCTGTTCGAACTATTCTGATACACAACCAATTTGCCCAAACCATCGAGACGCTAAGCGTCGCCAAGTGTCATGGAAAGTGGGCTTCAGAAGCTGCTACTAGAAGCTCCCGAATCGATGATCCTTCCGGCTCTTGATTCGGCCGCCATAGACTTTACATTCTCCGCATACAGTTGCATGTTACACACCCATGGCTGCGCTGTGGGACCAGTAAACGAAGGGCCAGGAAACTGGACGGTATGACTCAAAGTAACAGCTGCAGCGCGACAGGTGGGTCTCGTTTCGATGCTCCAGAAAACTAGGCAAAAATTAAATCCCCTTGGCATTACAGTGGATATGGCATATAAGATCCTATCACAGTAGCAGTCCGCTTCTTCTACTATGAACCTCGCTGGTACTTAGTCGCAGAATCCAAGTTAAGCAAAGTCGAAGCGAAGTCGAAGTGAGATCGATCAATCGAGGAGCGAACCTCTTCCAGTATTGGTTCGTGCGCAGCCTCCGCAGTATAAAAGGCAAGATCCGACATCCGAATACCTCATACTTACCTTGATGGCACGAGCCCCTTCACGTACACGGGTTTGTGGGCCGTGGGGATCCTTCATAGCACGGCGACCCTGTCCCCAGAGGGTGTCTGCGGCTTGTATAGGCTCAGGCTTATGCACCGTCTAAATATTTTCCTGTCCCCACTTTGGCCACTCTGGCTGGGTGGGCCTCCTTTTTCTTTGCTGTTCACGAACGAGGACTTCCCTTTGGCGGTCTTTGAGTTGCAGCAAACATTTTGGAGTTTGGAAGATTCATTACTTACATAGTGTAAAGCTTTGGTAGCTTGGTAAATCGATATATCGAAGGTTGGGTAACCTTTGAAACTAACTCGGATGTTCGAGGTAGTTCTTCTGTACATGAATAACATGTCGACTTTGTCCTGAACTCTGAATGATGGAGTTTGCGGTCCTTATGTCGAGGCATTGTAAGTGCGTTGAAGGGGGGAAACTTGGGGACATTTGTTGAAAGATTATAGAATACTATCAGCCGGGGATTCGCCAAGAACAAGGAATGTAGACTCAAATGGGTTCCTTTGAAACTCCATAGTCGATGGTACAATTATCAAGTTGCGAAAGGGACTCTTTCGACCCGCTGGTGTGTACAATGAGTGCCCTTACCTTCAGACGAACCAAACTTGGAGCAACGAAATTTCAGTACAGAACCAACATAACATAAGAAAAGACCAAAGAGACATAACTATAATACGCAAAACTAAGCCTACAAGCCAATAGAAAAATCACAACATGACAAGAGAGGAAAGGAGCATAACGAAGGGGAATACTGTTTAAAAGGACCTATTTACTGGACTATGGGATCGGTAATACATCGGTTTTCTGTTAGAACGAGGCATATATGTAGTTGTGCAGGTTGATATGCGATGATGGATGCGAGCGTAGAGAGTGAAATATGCAGTGTAATACGTAGATGGAAGCAAAGTTTGCAGTAGGGGATATAATGAAATGCGAGCAGCACGAGGAGAACCGAAATCGAATCATAGGGTTATCGAATGAGCTTGCCATAGTCTAGGACACTGTCCACGTCGGGCCTGCTGGACTCTTTCTTGGGGAAAGCATTCCAGAATCTCAGCGTCTCGTCACCAGCACCCGTGACAATTGTTTCACCGTCCGGACTCATGGCCAGGTACAAGACACGATTGGTATGCCCTGTCAACGACGCAACCATGCTAAGGGCTGGATATTTCCATATACAGATCTGGTTCTGGGCGGTGGTCGACGAAAAGCCGTGGGTGGACACAAGTTCATGCGACGTCAAAGACCATATGAGGTTGCACACCTGAAACAGAACAAATTAGTGATGAACGATGAATACAAGAGAAACTGGAAAGGGATGTTACCTGACTACCAGTATCAAGCTCATTCAACATGGTACCATTGATCGTATTCCAGAATCGGATATGCTTGTCCTGAGTTCCGCCACCTGTTGCAAGAACCCCGGGAATATGAGGATCCCACGCCAGAGCCTTGACCGCAGCAGTATGTTCATGGAATTTCCACAGCGGCGCATCTCCGGACATCGAGTCATCCGCATTAGTCGGATTTCTCGAAGTAGCGGCTCGCCTGGACCCTCGCAAATCCCAGATGCACACCTTGTTGTCGTTACCACCGCTAGCAAGGTTGGCTTCCATGGGTCCAGCGTTCGCGCTCCATTTCAAAGCCGCAAACTTCCTGTCGGTGACCTGTGCATCGCTTGAAGGGATTCAAGGTGGGATCGCGTACATCTCGATGGTGAACCGAACGGTCTCGAGAACCGGACGAGAGGACATGAGCATTCCAAGCAAGGGCACCTATCCGTTGGGTGTGCGCCTCCTGGTAGGTGCGTAAGAGCTTGAGTGCTACCGCGTCGTAGATATGGAGGCGGCCAGATAGTGTACCAATGGCTAGTGTCGATCCCTGTCAAAAGACAATAAGATATGGAAGCTCGCTGTTATAGCTTGATAACCTTACTTTTTGTACCCAAGAGACCGAGCTAATGACATCAGTCGTGTTGGTAAGATCGCAAAGTTTCGATACGACGGCATTGTGGGCGGTCCATAGATACACACAAGAGCCCAAGCCAACACCTAGGACATTGGTGCTTGACCAGTCGACGAGGTTGAGATAGAAGTCCTCGGCCAGCTCTGGAGCATCCAGAACACGGTAAGGGGTTTTGCATACGCTCCGGAGCTTTCTGCGTGGGCTTTCTAGAAGATGTCGGCTCTCAGCGCGCACTGGGCTCATAGAATAGGCTTCATCGTTGGGTGAGTCGAGACGACGGGTAGGGGTGGATGGGTTAGAAATAGATGGAGAATGGTACGTGAACAAGCGCTTCCGAGATGGTGTTGCAGGAAGAGTGGATGTGGAGGCCGTTGGCTGGCGCGTTGGAGAAAGCAGGTCGTTGAGGCGATGGCTGGTGATACTTCGTTATGGAGAATGTCGGTAAAAAGATGGTTGGCTTGTTCTGCCAGTTAGAAAGGGGGTCAATACTCGAAAAATGTTGAGGAAGACACCAACGCACCTTTCAACGCGTCCAATTCCGAAGGTATTATCCTGTTTTTCTTTGAAGGAGTGGCCGGGCCATGGTCCATCAAATGGTACGACGTCCGCATATCACCACCGTCTCGCGTTGGCACAAATCTATCACCATAATCCCTTGAATGCCTTGGATAGTCAACAGGCGTTTCTGGTGCACCACTGCTTTCACTTGTCGTCGGCCTCGAATCCAAAGAAGGGGTTGAAGATAAATCGGAAGTGCCAAATATCGGATTGAACCGAGGACGGTTTCGTCTAGGGAGCTTCGTCGTCACCGTCGGGTTGTTGCGCTCGTAAACGCTTGCCGAACGGCGAGTTTTTGAGCCCTGACATAGTGGGAGTAAGTGCGAACGGAGAGCGCCTTTCGAGTCCGACGCGCAACCGCCAGACAAACAAGTGGCACGTGCTTGCGGCACCTGTCGGGGTTGAACGAGCTTTTGTTGAATTAAACTCCGCTTTGATATGCCGACTCGGCGCGCCCCCCGCCGCCCCGGCGCATCGGAAAACCCCTGGCTTTGCCCTGACTGCGCCCTCAATCTCCCTGCTCCGGTCCCGACGACATGACAGGACCCCGTTCATGACATAAGACTTGGCGCTATCAACAGACTACACGACTGGCTGTCATAGGGGTATGGTTGCTTGACTTGTTAGACCTTGGCAGGTCTGGGATAAAATATACAAGGCAGGGCTGACTGGGCCCGCAGCGTGCCGTCGCTGCCGACTTCGATGAAAATAGAAGTTTCTCAGACCCTGTCGCTTTTCCAGCATCTCAAGACGACCACGAACGCGTTGAAACACGATGGACTCACGCGACGACAAGCCAGAGGATGGACAGACCAAAATTACTGTCAAGCCAGTGGTCGGTAAAGATGGTAATACCCGTGCCTTCTGGTCGTTCGAAGACTCCAAGATCAAGGACATGTACGACGACTCGGTCCCCACAAAGAAGGAACGTCGAGAGAACTTGGACAATGTCACTGTGTCCTGTGATAATTGCGAAAAAACCTTACGTCGCGCTGACATCAAGGTGTGCTCGCGTTGCAAAAATGTGAGTTTTAATACATTTCTATAGCGAGATGGTATATTAAGTCATGGTACGATAACCAGGCGCGTTATTGCTCTCCTGAATGCCAGAAGTCCGACTGGCGCAAGCATAAAGCTAATTGTGGACCTGGACACTGTACAACCCTCAAACTGGCCGAACGCTCCCTTGCAGTTCCCAACCCTCATGGAATACCTCATATTTGCCTGCAATTCTCCACCTTGACCTCGTAACAGCACCAGAGAACGCAGGGACACACTTCATCCACGTTCATTGCACCCTTGCAACCCGCCGATATTAGCTCATACTTGCAGCGGACTCCTCTCCTGGCGGATCAGAGGATGAAAATCCCGAGCAAATGGTCGCGTACAGTAAAATCGAGAAAATTCCTAGAGAAGACACGCCGGAGAGAACCCAGAAAGGCGATACTTCCTTTCGGCAATCCTACAAAGGATCTATGCCCGTTATTACTGTTTGGTTTACGACCGAGGACGGCGGAGGAGCACAGGGTGAAGTTTCCAAGACCATGGAGATTCCTTGGGGCATGTTGAACTATGTCAAGGAGAAGGGAACAATCAAATTCAGGTCATCAATGCTAGGTGATAGCGAGCACCCCATGCAAGCGGAGACACTTAGAGAGTAAGTGATTTTGGTCTGGACTTAGTTTTTCCAAACATTATTCAACTTTTGCCTTATGCAGATCTATTCAACAATCATATCAGAATGGACAAGTCGAATCAAATGCGTCTCCGCGTGGTGAGCCCTAGCCTAAAGTATACAGATTACATCCATTAATCGTGATGACTTTAGAAAAAGAAGTCAATAAACTAGAACGATACTAAAGTTTTCACACGACTGGTTACTCGGTATCTATCTCGTGCCAGTCTTTAAGATTGAACTTCTGCTTTATGTGCTAAATTATAATATCAAGCCTACTCTTTGATTCGAGATGACTGAGAGTATCATCCTTAACCAGGGCTCGGGGACTCGGCCCGCCGTCTGCTCATTTGATCATCTTCCTTCCTTGTATGGGACGTTCTGACTGTGACGTTCTATTCTCAACCACCCATGACAATTCTGCTTCTAAATGTAACGTATCGACTTGAACAGCTTTTGTTTTGCGCTGTGAAATGAAGTACGTACCCTTCTGTCTATCAAGGTGACAAAGTTTCCCGGTTGTTTTGTCAATCGTGAGCTCAGATCATAAGGGACGTTGCGACATCCATAGCGATATACGCGGTGAACTGTTTCCGTGGTAGCTGTAAGGACTTCGATTCCCAAGCTCGGGCTATATTCTGACTGCTTCGCTGTTCAGGTGATATCGTTTATGAAGTCTCAGCCGATATGCGAAACCCTCCTTGAATGTTATGAAAATGCGCCTCAGCTTAATCGTACTGTACAGCCTTTTGCTCAGCGCACTTTCTTGCTACGGCGCAATATACCAGGATGCAGCTGAACTCCCCGGTACTGAGTTCGACTTTCTGGTCGTTGGCGGTACGTCCTTTCCTATCTGATTCCGTCACCGACTTATTTGGATCTTGAACGTACTTAAAGGCGGAGCGGCAGGCGCGGTTGTGGCCAATCGGTTGACTGAGGAAGACTTTTCGGTTCTTGTTCTTGAGGCTGGTCCATCGTAAGTATTAAAAAAGAACAGTCATGCAGATTATTCTAATGCCCGCCTCTTTGCTTCCCAGCGACCACAGTGTGCTGTCGATTGAAATACCGTGGCTGGTGGGATTATTAGGAAATACCCCATACGATTGGAATTACACGACCGTAGTGCAGCCTGGATTCAACAACAAGGCCATTGCTTTTCCAAGAGGCCATGTGCTTGGAGGGAGCACGTCCATTAGTATGTTTTACTGATTTTTGTAGATTCAATTCTCATTGGCTTGCAGATTCGATGATATATACTCGCGCTTCTCCAGAGGATTACGACCGTTACGCAAACTTTACAGGAGATCAAGGCTGGTCTTGGGAGAACCTTAAGCCGTATGTCTTCAAGGTCAGCCACCTGTAATTTTGGTATTTGTAACCTCATTGGTTAATATTCTTCTTTTCCCAGAATGAAAGATGGACTCCACCTGCCGATAGTCACAATACTACCGGACAATATGACCCAGCTATACATAGCTTGGACGGCATGAATGCTGTCAGCCTAGCGGGCTATCCCCACCCTACTGATAAACGGGTTTTGAGAACAACATCCGAATTCCCTGACGAATTTCCGCTTCTGCTTGATGTTAACTCTGGGGTACCCCACGGTATAGGTGCACCACTACACTCGCATTTACATTGCAACTCTGTTCCTTACTGTCATACCACAGGATACATGCAAGCCACCATCGACGGCGGCAGGAGAAGTAGTTCCGCCGTATCGTATCTGGGTCCGGAATTTATCAATAGGACAAATCTGCACGTGTTGCTCAATGCACAAGTGACCAGAATTCTCAGGAGCAACAGGGCCGAGCTTAACTTCGATGTCGTAGAATTTTCTGCGTTCTCCGAGGGTATACATCCTTCTCCCTGTACAAGCATCCATTGATGAAAACCCTTCGTAGGATCAACACGCCTCTTCAACGTTACAGCGGTCAAAGAAATAATCCTTTCAGCTGGTACAATAGGAACGCCCCACATACTGCTCAATTCTGGGATCGGTGACGCCGCGGAACTTTCTGAAGCTGGGGTACAAGTTGTTGTCGATCTTCCTGATGTCGGAAAAAATTTGTCTGACCAGCCTAAATTTTGGAACAAATGGTATGTCGACACTACGAATACCTGGGACGACATTCTCCGGAACCTGACGTACCGGAATGAATTCGTGGCTCAGTGGAATGAAACGCAGATGGGACCCTTGGTGGACACATTGCAGAGTCATATCATGTGGTCTCGTCTCCCAAACGATTCGCCAATTTTTGAGCGGTTTGCTGATCCAGCAGCTGGGTTGAACACGCCCCATATTGAACTAGGCATCCAAGTAAGTTCGCTTTTATGTGTGAAGAACTAGTCGGGCTCATGCAAAGCGGTGTAGAATGGATGGGGTTTGCCAGCTACTACTATCCCAGAATCCGGATACTTCATGAGCATAGCAACCTGTGTTGTATCCCCAACCTCGCGTGCGTAAGACGGCTCGAACCCACCCATATATCTGACTGCCTAAACCATCTAGGTGGATCGGTCAAACTCAATTCTTCCGATCCTCTGGGCCCTCCACTCATCGATCCAGGATATCTATCGAGTGAATTCGACGTTTTCACGTTGGTAGAAGCAGTAAAAAGCGCTCTGCGGTTTGTGTCGGCGTCGGCGTGGAATGACTATGTTCTGGAGCCATACGGTGAATTAGCACAGGCAACGACAGACGAAGCACTGGAACAGTATGTCAGAAACAATGCAGGCTCGGCTGCTCACCCCGTTGGGACCGCCAGTATGTCCCCAAAGTCTGCAGATTACGGCGTTGTAGATCCAGACCTGCTTGTAAAGGGCGTCTCTGGGTTGCGTGTCGTCGACGCATCTATCTTTGTAGGTTATTGGGACCCACTGTCACCCATCTTTTTGCTGATATTGAGCGTCTTCAAACCATCACAGCCATTCGTTCCCGCTGGTCATACCCAGGTTCCAACGTATATAATAGCGGAACGTGCAGCAGATTTCATCAAGTCAAAGTGGACACAGCAACGCAATCTGTGAAGACAACCTACATCAGGATGAGGTTCGTTACGATCTCTCTCTCGGAGACTCTGTTTTGTATCAAGTACTTACTTCCATGCCAACTGCGATCCATTTTTTTTTCAAGTGGAGCCAAATGTCATTTTCTAGCTTTCTTAATTTCCGAAGCTACTTTGTTGCTTGAGGGCGGCTATTATACCTATACCCGTGAGAAGAGCCCAAATTGTGAGTACAAGGAACTTGTAGTACAAAAGTACAAGGCGAGATAGAACGGTGTTGATCGGAGTTTTGATCAAGAAAGTAAACACCCAAAAAGGTAAACGTTGAAGTTGAAGTTTCCTTGTAAGTATTGGGACAAGGTTGCTAGGCGTCGGTCCCTCAAGTAGGATGCCAATAGATTTCTGCAGGGGATCTCTCACACTCAACTTCTGCTCCTTCCTACTCTTACTCTCATGCCACGAACCGGAAGAGGACTGACTATGCGGATGCGCCCACTTGAGTTGGCCCCGACTCCCAGCACCTCAAAGCCTTCCAAGGCCGAAATAGTGCCCGGAGTTTGGTCGACTTCATCACCATGCTTAAACTTGGGTTTTCGAAAGAATCCCCCAATGCTTTATAAGTCGACTACCTTTCGACCTTCTGGTGGACCACATTTTTATATACTTGTCCGTGGCAGACATCATCCGTCTACGCAGGGTGTGCTTATTTCTCGCCATATATCACTCCTCATTTACTCACCGCCTCGCAGCTTAATAGAGCCTTCTTCGTCCTGACTCACGAATCCATGATCTGGAAACGCTTTTTGAACTGTCTCCAAAGGCCCGTTCCATACTTTAATGACAAGCGGTTCAGTTTCGGTCCTCGAGACTTTGAGCCAGAACGCCTACTAGCCCAGACATCGTCGGCCGATGATAACTGGAGATGTGACTTTACGAGAGCTTTCCACGCAAACACGATGTTCCTCGACGCAATAGTGTACGACATGAAGCTACTACCAGGAGGAAAATACCTCGTCGTCGCAGCGAAGGGTGCGAGTGCGACACATGTTATCGCAGTGTTCGAACTTTACGGAGATCGTCCCGACCACATGGTCTTCAAGCTCATCTCTTCCACCAATCTCCATCATCGCGCTTTCCAGCTTCAAACTAGATTCATGCCCTTCAAAAATGATTCATGTATATTCATTGGATATGTCTATCGAGCTTATAGCCTGGGGCATACCAATAACAGGTAAGAACTAAAGTTGGTAATGGCATGCTGAAGACCGCCTTAACCTTGGATGACAGCGTTGATTTGTCTGAGATCGATTATAATTGTACACCTGGCAACTCATCTGTCCGATATATTTGGCGATGGTCGTATATCAAAATGGACCAGCTGAAGGACACTACAAGCCAGCCACCGCTGACGCTGACGTGGACCGACTGGTACGCGTGCGAGTCTCCCATTTTTGACGTAGGCTTTTTTGCGATCAACGACGTACCTCTCGTTGCATTTGTTCAAGCGCCGCACACAGTCGTTTTTACCAACCTACTAGCGGAAGGCGAAGCGCTGCCACACATAGCGGTCTGCAAGGCTTCCAACACTATGCAAGTGAGTGTTTCTCTCCTTACCTGATGACTTCTGAACTAATTTATATCTATATCTAGCACCTTCGCATCCGAGCTCTCCGTGTCATCCCTAGACAGAACCAGTTCTTGGTGATTCAAACCTCTCTTGAAAACGAACATTTGGCCCAGCTCTATCGCATGCCAAAATTCGGCAAACACAATCAAGAGCCTGACGAGACACGGATCCTGGACATTCACGGTTTTATTCCCTCTTTTCAGATATCGGATAATTACCAATCCATGGATTACATCCCCGGCCATCCGAACTATTTCCAGAGCTTGAATTACGATCCTCCGCCCATCTCCATCTTTGTGCAGACGAACGATCCGCCCGGCTTGCTTCATTATACGATGATGCCTATGAGCGACCGAGCCGACGATGTCTACTACACTGTAGAAGGAAAATCGTTCAATCAGCAGTCTCGTAACAATAAGGAACAGTACGACGTCCTGCCTGGCATACATCGTGCTCTAGTCTACAAGACTATTTACGATGACTCCACTCAAACACAGGGTATCGTGGAGCTGCGACGCTATTTGAACAAGAAAAGGCCTCACCCGGCGTATATTTCCGGCTTTCGAGAAGTGAGGGAGCCTTTACTGCGCAGATATGCAATGGAGACCTGGAGGCCGATCCCCGTTTACTTATCCATTACCTTACCGAACGAGATTCTGCAACGGATAAGAACGGTAGGCATGGGTACAATTACTTGGGACGAGGGCACGGGACGTGTGTGCATTAGTTCGCGGGACGGGAAAGTTGTAATTTTGGACATGGGGAGAGCCCTTCCGGCGAATGAAACGGTTGAATTTCTAGATCAAGTGGCCACAGGCATGTCAGTAGATAGTCTGAGTAGCAGATCAGGCCGATGTATGTAATAACTATGAGATACAACCTAAATTGATATGACAGTCACGATTCAATCGTCCACAACGTCTTCACCTGGTCCCATATCTTACTGGTGCTCTTTCCAACGCTGATGGAGAGTCAGAGGGATCATGGCTGCGTGGTACTTGTACTTACTTTGAAGTAGATATCTCATTCAAAGACTTCCACATTCTATCCTTAAAACGACCGTTATGGGGCCCCTGTGGCGCTGCAGTTTCTGGTGGTTCATCTCCCCCTTCGATGATGACCCATTGTACCCTGTATGTTTTTCTGATGTGGGAGAAGACATGGGAGACATCGCCTGCGGACTTAATTTTGACCACTGTGCACGATGCATCAGATCGCTTCTTGTCAGTGGACTCTGGGACCCGAATAGGCGACTGCAACAAAGAAGAGAGCTGCGCCCGAAGAATTTCCACAAGGCGAGTATCTGACGCTGTTTCAGAAATATTGGCTTCTGTGGGGAACTCATACAGTCCGGCTAGCAATCCTATCATAGTAATCGGTTAGATATGAGACAACGGCCTTCTTCAAGCACTGCGAACCTTCACTCGGCCGGCGAACGAGAAGGAATTGCCTGTTCTCAGGATCCGATTTGGAGCGCCATTCAATGACGTTCACAAGGTCAAGTTCCACTCGTGGCTTGCTTCGCTCTGCCTTCATAGGATAACCGATGACGCCACGTTCGGAGCGTGGCTCACACAAAGTACAGAGGTCCTCGATATCTTGCTGAAGTGGAGCTGACTGCGCGCTGTGTCAGAATCCAGCATACAGGAAAGAAAGCGCCAACATGCCTTCACTTCACTCTGATACGCTGCACAATGTGACTTTAAAGGGCACTGCTCGCAGTCGGGAGTATGAACTCTGCAAACCGTGCTTCCCAACTCGATTAAAGCCTGATTGATATCTCCTGGGTAACGATTGCGTACCATAGAATCATCAGATTCTTGGCCCTTGCCTATGCAGTCTTAATCAATGGTTCACATTTAGCTAAGAACTGAAGAATCTTGCCTCGGTTTTCACTCTGAACCAGTGCAGTCGCCGCTGCCCATAGAATATTAAGGGTAGCCGCCGCTTTAGGAGGGGCATGGAGCGCCAGGAGCCGACTAAGTAGTCTGTGCACATTGCCGTCCAGCTATAAGCTCAATGTACGGTTAATTATTTCCACGCGTAGATACCCTGAAACTCACGACAGGAACGCGCTCTCCGTAGGCGATAGAACAGACAGCGCCTGCTGTATATCGCCCAACCCCTGGTATTTTTGCTTCCAGGTCGCGCGCGTTGTCTGGTAGCATCCCTTTTAACTTCGTAACGGCGATCTGAGATGCTGTGAGTAGGCGACTGGCACGTCTATAGTATCCGAGGCCCTTCCACAAGGCATTAACATCATCAATGGTCGCAGCAGCCTGAATAAATAGCATAAATGGATCGAAATTTGCAAGAAAGAGGAATATACAAGGTCATGTATAGTCGGGAAACTATAAAAATGAGTTACGGTTTGAGTCTGAGTACCGTAACATTGGACTCACCTAGACATCCAAGACTCGTAGTACGGGATGACAGTGATAACTTGAGTTTGTTGCAACATGATTTCTGATACAAGGACCTACGATATAAGCATTGAAACGCGACGAATACACGTTAGAAAAACCTTACTTCGTAGGCCCTCTGTGCGCGTTCCTCTCGCCCTAAATTGGGATTGTACTCCTTCCGCCACGGCATACCACGCGTCGCATGAACACCAGAATACCACAGCAAGAGTGCATCGCAGGTATCGTCCGCATTACTGATGACATGCTGAGATTTGGAGTGGTCGTTGCAATATTCAGCACTAGATGGCTCCGATACTCTGGCAGGCAGCTTTCTTTTGGCTTGGGTATCACCGCCTTGCGTTTCTTCACTTTCGAGCCATAGTCATCGTCGCTTTCGTCCTGCAGAAATTCGGAGTCGTCGTCCTCGTCGGATTCGACGCGTCTACGTTTGGCCATGATGGCGCAAAGCAAAAGGAGATGAATGGCATTGACAACCAATTCTGTGATTCTCGGACCGGTCCACCCAGTGGCGTGGGATGATAATCACATCGCGTACAAGCTGACGGTTCAGCTCAGTGTAGCATACAGTAAAGAGTTTGATAATAGGCATCGTTTAATCAACAGACGCAGATGTTGCACATAAAAATTCCGGCGAATTGAATATTTCCCAGATTTATGGAAGAATACAAAAATTGGGTGATTCCTAAGAAGAGTCTATGGTCCCAGACTACCTGCAGTGAGATGTATCTTTATAACGTTGCGGTTAGAAGACAGTTGGCAGCTGCTATCAGCGACAGTCGCAAAGTAGTCTCGAATTAGCCCTAAAGAGCTGAGGAGTAATGGTATTGATATTATACAACTGCATTTGTGGTATGTAGTAATAGTAGGAATACTGGATTAGTGTATCAGTCACCCTGACGGGGACTAACGAAACAAAGCAATACACGGTCGACATCAAAGGACGATAGATGGCCATACGCCGGCACCCACCTACTCACGGATGAAATGTTACAAAGAAAAATAAAGAACCGTCCATCCTGCCTTGAAATTGTACACACGATCAGTGTTTCGAGGGCATAGAAAAATGAGGGAACGAGCTTGGAGCGCCCTTGCCTTCCTTATCCCTGTCTCGGTCCTTATCTTTATCCTTCTCTTTCTTCCTGCCGAAATGAAGGAGGGGCACAGCGAGACTCAGCTTCCTACTTGTTCGCTTCCAATGCGAGCTGGCGTTACTGCTACTGGATGTGCTGACAGAACTATGGTTCGCATCAGGGAACGTACCCCATCCATTAGGGTGTTCATCGGTATCAGGATGTTCCGACTTCATCTTGCCTTTGTCATTGGTCATTACAACATGATCGACTGAGGCATGACCATTGCTTGCGTACATAGTCCGCACAGGGGAATTTGGAGCAGCAAACGAAGGACGGTAGAGGAGGAACAGGGGGTAGTTGCCGCAGTGAAGTCGCATGGCCGTTGCCGATAGCAGTGGAAGGTCGCGGAGGGGGCGAAGCGCGCAGTGAGGAGTGATCTCGTGCTTTGTCCTTATGATGGATCAAACTTGACAACGACTTCTTGTGCTCAGGGGCCTTGGTCGGCGAAGAATGTTTTTCCAGAGACTTCCGCGAAGGAGATGAAGGCGAAGAGGAGGATGGCGCATGGGATGATGGAGTCGCAGGGAGAGGAGGTAGAAGATGTGAGTTTGAGCCTAGAGAAGATGATGGAGACACAGGCGAGGAACTCTCATAATCATGAATATGCCTATGATGGTGGTTAGCGTTGACACTAAGGCTACCACCCGAAGTCTTCGGACGTGACGTTGAACTTAGATTATGAAATGCGGACGCATCGAACATGCCAGGTTCCGATGGACGCCGCCTCCTCTCTTGAGGCGACGGGGGGCCTGAGGTCTTGAACCACTGTGAAGAACCTTCTTCCTTTGAGCTCGAGGGAACTGTCGGAGATTGAGGAATTTGAGGCAGTCCAGCCTGGCTGGCTGGTCGCGACTTATCTCCCAATCTAAACGACTTCCGTTTAAACCATGTACTTGGTTTACGCTCGGGGTGAGGATGCGGATGGTCATGATGTCCGTTTTCAGGAACGTTCACACCAGGATCCGGACTTGTTGGTAAAGGTGGTGGTGTTGGCGCTTTGTGATTCGGCTCGTCCGAGCTTGCCGTAGAAAGTAACGACGAAGGCGCAGTGAACCTCTCGGAAGACTGGCGGAAATCCGGCCCGTGCAAGGCCCCCGCTGACGTTGAGGGTCTGCGTCTAGTAAAGAACCCCTTGCTCCGGGTATTACTGGAGGTAGTGGGCGTAATCGCAGGAGAGGATGCAATGGACGGGTTGGGTGGGGACGAAGCTTCGTCCAATACCGGAATCTTGACATCAAGCGTTTGTCGAGATGATTTCTTATCGGTTGGATGGAGTGAAGGTGATGAGGATTGCGACGGCGTAATTGGAAAAGGCGGATCGCTGATGTCTGAAGAGTCACCTTCTTCCGCAAGTCCTGGGGGTAGAGGGGGGGTTTATTGGTAGAACAGGTGACGCCTCAATGGAACCAGTCGGAGAGAGCGCTTGTTCGGATATCTCAGGCGGCGCTGGTGAGGGGTTACGTAGTCCAAGGGCCGGCAAATCGATGTCGGCAGCCTGATAATAGAGTACGTAGGCGGAGCCAGCGGGGGAATCCCCAAAGTACTTGGAGATATCGCCTTCGGGTAATGGGTAGACATTATCGTCATCAAAAACAAGCCATGACCCGCCAGTCTTGATGATGGAGATGTAGTGTCCATGATGTGGGCCGCTGCAAAAAAAGCTCATCAACACGAGCACTACATTGAAGCGACGATACTCACGTTCCAATGTGTACAACAATTCCAAATAGGTTGTACAGTCGGTCCGCGTCCTCCGTGTCGTCAACAGTATTGAACAGCCGAAGTTCGATGGGAAAAGCTACCCGATAGGCTAGCTTGATGTACTTTTGCAGGTCCTCTTGATACTTGAACCGCTTCAAGTGCAAAGCCAAGACATTGGGTAGTTTCTTGATCTTCATTCTATAGTAACGTATGAGTAATGCCGGCCGAGGGTACCTGATACACATTACCGTTTCTCCGCCTCCTGCAGGTCACAACAAGCGTCGCAGAAAAACTTGTTCTTCTGACAGAGCATTTCGCTGGCGCTAAATTGGCGTAAACATGCAGTGACACTGGAGTTCTGCTCAATATCAATTGAAAGATCCAGAAAGGACTCGTCGCGGGCCGAAACCTAATGTACCGGGTAAATAAGGCTAGGGAATTACGCAGACGGAGGTAACCAACCGTTTCGCAGGTGAGGCAACGGGTTTCGCTAGTCAAAACACCTTCGAAAAGCTTATGAACTAAAGTTGCATCTTGCGGTGATGTACCAGAATTAGAGCTCGTAGTGGCGGTTATAATTGTAGGGGGTGATTTTGATGATAAGGTGGCGACCGAGTTGGACACTGACGAGGCAAAAATGACCATATGGATGAGCGGACACGGGGAATGACAGCGAGACGACTCACAGTCTTCACCCATAGCGTCGTTCTGCAATTTCTTCTCCTCTTCTATTTCCTCTACGATCTTATTAAGGAGATAATTAAGAAATTCGTGTGCATCCTGATGCATAGTAGAACGAAATATATCAGTTGCCTTGCTTGACCTTGTCGATGAAGGCGCGCGGAGCGACGGTACCGCTGTCGGATGGATTGGTGGAGATGTAAAAATAAAGCGAACGGAGTGCGGAGAAAAGGGTAGGGGGAGAAGAAGGAATGGTATGAGATTCGTGCGGATGAATTCCGTTCGCGATCGGGTGGTCTGCGCTGCCAGACACGGAGGGTCGACGAACTGGTACAAGAGCCGGGGATCCGGAGAGAGCGTCCTGGGATCCTTGGGCGACGGAATGCTCCTCTGACTGCAAGAGAAGGTCTCTGAAGGGAGTGCAGAAGTACAGAGCCTGCACTACCGAGTTGGCATAACTGCAATGATGTCGTAAGTGGTATCCCACAGAATGCTGGACATTACTTACCAAGTATTGCCAAACTGCAGTCATTAGAGAGCTGGAATGAGCGCTAATTAAAGAGCGAAAGGTATGCCACGTACGTTCTCCAGGCCAAATTTCTTGCCATCGGCAGAGCATGTCGTCGGAATAGGTATGGGCTTCGAGCTGTCTCTTTGGGACGGGGTTTGCTGAGTACCAAAAATCCATTTCGCTCTTGCTCTTGCCATGCTAAGTAGCAAAGTTATGTACCCAACGGGGGGAGGCGCGAGCGCGACGCTGCTCGTCGTTGGACAGTCGTCGTCTGGACGTTGATGTTAGAAATGATCCAGAGGCACTTAGAATTACGGCTTTGGCCTGGTCAGGCACAGCTTTTCTAAATTCGGAGCACGAAGCACGTGATGCACTGATCCCGATCACATCGTCCCCATTTCCCCTTCCACATGCCACATGGTCCAGTCTAGTTCTTGTCGCTCGCACCTCAAAGTCAGGTGCAGGTTAATTGTCGGCAGGCCCGAAAGCAGGACCTGGAGAGGTTCGACATCCCTGGACGCCTTTCTTCCTGATACTCTTCCTGATAATTTCCGGTCCGCACTCTCGGATCCTCTTCCGGATCGGGTTGCTGCCATTTCATTTTATCCCAGATACCTTTCCCGCAGCCCTCCAGAACGCGGAGCTGAGTGAACGAGGATGATTAATCTCTATAACTGTATCTCAAGATCCATCGTAGGCACGCTTGAGACCCTATAAATCTTGTGCAAATTGATTACGCCTTTAGGCACAACTGTAAGGAATGATTAGTGTTATAATCGGCATATCCTTATCTAGGAGCTATTAGTATCAACACCGTTTCCAACGTTCCCCACCATCCGTTTGATAACCACTTTATCACCCAGCCTTATCACACCCTCTCCCAAGGGAACCCCATTGCATCCAACACAAGGTTTCATCTTGTTCGCAGGATCAATACCGGTTCTGACCTTCATGAGAACCTTATACGGAACAGCTTTATCCCTGACACCCGTGTCTGGAGAAACATTGGGCAACTAGGTAAAATAGTCAGCGATCGGAAGGACAGGCACCCAGGTGACGTAGTGATATTTCCAGGAGTGGTGGCACCTACCAGGCATCGAACACATTTCGATACAACGAGAATCCCAGGTGCATCTGAAACCGGCCCGGACTCGATAGCAATCTCCTCCCACATGTCCTCCGCAAACGGACCTGCGCCTTTGAAAACGATATTGGGTCTAAACCTGAAAAGCACGCTTTATCAGCTGACGGAACAAAGCACCACCATCAATGAAACACCGCGCAGCAATTTGAACGCATTCAATACAAGCCAGTGCCCACATGTTGCAAGGAAGAATTGTTTTAAAGACACCGACCTCTCTATCATCAATTTATCTGTTCTCCAGTGTTCATCAATCCCTTGTTTACCCACCTGATTGCGTAGCTCTTCCTCCAATACATTCATGCTTTCTTGAGACAACACAAGAAGAGGGTATCCATCCTGGTACACCGCTGTGGCTTTAAGTTCTGGGAATGCCGCAGTTGGGGCACAGTTCCGCGGTCGCTTTCCCTTGAACACCAGGTGTACAGGCTTTTCGAAGTATGATGAAAGGATGGCTGATGGCGATTTCGAGGGCTCGGGCGGTAGCGAGACGGCTTCACAGACATGGCTATCTATGTCGGACCCCCACATCGCGACATCAAACCTGTGAAGGTTCGAGAGGACAAACCATATCATTATTACATGTCAAGAGGAGAAGCTTCGGTTCATACGATTGCCAAGTCTTCAACATCTCCTTGGATGGACGTAACGGCACGTCAAATGAGTCGCACCTCGAGTCCTCAGGAAAGGAAACATGCAATACCCCACCGTATGGTGAATTATCGTCTGTTTCAATCTGCGGTGTGATTAGCACCATCTGGAGATTCGTAAGATCTTGATATCCGCCCGCAAGCCTACTAAACCTACTTTTGACACTTCACGCGCCGTTATAACGCTTTTAGTTACCGCGTCCACGATGGACCATTGCCGATCGTTCTATGAAAGGTAATTCGTCTTTTTCCTCTGCAGGACGGCGCACCACGGCCGAAGAAGATGACTCACCTCTAGACCCTCAGGGGTATACCGAGCATTTGTAACAGACAGTCCTCGGCAGCTCTGGTCGCGGCCGTGAGCACGCTACGCTACCAGAAAGAGGGAACAATGCAGAAAAACGAGGATATTCACCTTGATCGGGTGGATCAACAGTTTCGAAACAGTCACATTGTAGCCAAAGTTTGGCTTGTGCAGGCGAGATGAGTCTATGGTTATTTCTCGACCTTGTACCGGAACCGTTAACACTGGGGGCCGTTGCATTGTGGCCTTTGGTATCAGAAGCGAGAGGGGAATAGAGCGATAGAGGACGAGAAAAAGTACTGCAGCTCCCACGAGGAAGGTCAGGCGAGTCTCGGTTCCTATAGTTCCGTCTAAAGACAGTCTATCGAAGAAAGGGTCCAGCATAGTGGTGGTCACAAGAAGTTTGGTCTGTGAAGTTTGAACAAGTGCAAGTCCTGACTGAGAAGCGTGCCTGGCGTAGCGGGACTTTACATAATCGCCTGTTATTTGACGGTCAAGTTATTTCCCCTCCAAAAAATATTGTACAAGTGGTTTCTTCCTTCACTTCCATCCCCAGCGTCGCCCTATACAGTTCTCAACACCAGATGGATGCCGCTGGTGATATCACTGATCTCCAACCTTGAGGCTAAAAGTAGTACTTATCCTCGTACGGCCTCTGCATCTGACCGCGTCCAAAGAATCCAAGGGCGCTGCCTTTTTCATGAGAGGAACAGTCGGAATGTTTCGCCGTAAGTTATATAAATTTGTCTGCTGATTCGCCAAAGTTATTGTTGATGTCGATAAGGTCCTGATACATCTTCAGAGTTTCTTTCGATTGCCTCTTCTGAGCGCGTTATGTTTGCCTGTCGCGAAACAAATTCATATCGGGCCTGCTACCGCTATGCTTCACCAGCAAATGACTGGCTCCGACTTTGTCACTGACATTGTGGGGAAGTAACCCAGAAGCTGCATCTGCTCCTGCGCAAGGCCAGCAGGCGGATCCCACGGTGATTGTTGGGTGTTCGCGTCGTAAAAATAGGGCTTGCCCTGTGAGTTGGTCATTCTAACCTACCAAGCCTGAAGCAAGATCAAAGCCGGTCAATAATAACAACGTCGAAGATACGGCACCGGGCACGTACTATAGTGTTATTCTAGTACGTTTACATTGAAGCTGATGTTACTGATGCAGTGAATAATTAAACCGCTTCCAGTATTTGCCGGCGGCAAACCTTTCGTGACGACCCCCAGTACGGGCACAGTACTTACGTCGGGTTGCTATTCTTCGATTGCACCTACTATTTATTTAGTTAGGTGGCGTCGGCGGTAAGATACCTTGCATGGTTATACTATCCTTTAGTGCACGATTCAGATAACCCTCGAACTGTAAGTTCAGTGTCAATTACTATGTGAGCGTTCTGATCTCCCCCTGAGTGGCCGGAATGAGGCCAAAAAATCTGGGGCATGAGAACGGTGAAGCACAGATTTCACTCAGATAAAGGTATACGCAGCGCTTGGGAGTGGAATCTTATGATGAATGATGTCGATAGGCACCCAGACATAGAAATTCGATACCACGAGGTAGCTTACAGGGAATAATCTGGCATAACCCAGGTTTTACTATTATCCATGGCCAACTATTTGCTAAAAGTAACGATTGAAAGAATGACGATAGCGGAGACTAAAATACTTGAAGCCGACGCGTGTCCGGAGTTTGAATTTGAAGCCGAAGGCGTTGGAACTTGAACTTGGAACATACCAACCATGCTTGGAACGTACGCGTAAACCATGACCTGGCCAGACCCGGTGCTCCGCCAATTTCAATCCGTTCCACCTACTCCTGCCGAAAACGATTTTCATGGGTCCTACAACAAGCTCCTCTATTGCCTTTTCCCATTTGATAGTCCCTACACCGTTGTCCCGCAGTATTTGAAACCTGGCTCTCGGGACTCATCTGGCTGGATAATGACGTTCGAAATAGTCTTCGACAACCGGCCCGTGTTCATCTTGGAACTGAAAAATCCGGAGGCTTTAAAATTTGTTTCATCGCGTGGAGAGGCTGACGACCAAATCAGGCGGAGAATTAGTGATTTACGTCGTCAGTATCATGTCACTCCTTGAATTTTATTGAATACACACCAAAGCATGCAGCCTATTGCCCCATATCAACGTTGCACGCAGTTAGCGCTATTGGGACACGACTTTGCTTTTATCAACTGGACACCGCAGACGAGGAGGCGGAGATCAAGCCACTTGCCATTCCTCGGCATCCTACGAGGGTAAACGACACTGCACCAGAGAAGAGGTGGAACTGTGATGTCCTAGATGCCGAAGGAGAGAAAAGGTTTCGTAGCATTGTTGAAGAGATAAAGGAGGAATGTGCAAAGCTGTTGTGATTTGCTCAACGGTCGTGTTTATTGTATATTAGCTTGAGACATCGCGACACTTTTCCAATGCAGTATAATTGCTAACTCGCATGCATGGTCCCAAGCATCCATTAATTGAAATGGATAATTGCCAGAGGAATCGAGGGAGAGAAGTTACCACGGGATTGGAAAGACTTTGTCTGTTCCGATATAATGTTCCTATTGATCAGCAAGCCACAACCATGATGAATACATCAGCTCACACTTCCCGTAAGGAAGGAAGGAAGTAGGTTTTATTAGTCGTCGGGTAAGACATACACAAAGACATCCTTAAACCAGACACTCTTTGTACGGTAGTTGACCGGAGTAAGTCTTACTATTGTGGCCTTTGATATCAGAAGCGAGAAGGAAATAGAACGATAGAGAATGAGAAAAAGTACTGCAGCTCCCGTAAGGAAAGCTTAGGCAGTCTATAGAAGAACGGACCATATGTTAAGTTATTCTTTGCTCTCCGTAAAATATTGTACAATTTGTTCTTCCTTGACTTCCGTCCCTAGCGTCGCCCTATGCAGTTCTCAGCACCAAATGGACGCCACTGTCCGTGCTGATAATATCACTGATCTCTCCAACCTTGAGACTAAAGGCAGTATCCTCGAACGGCTTCTGCATCTGACCGCGCCCAAAGTATCCAAGGTCACCGCCCTTCTCATGAGAGGAACAGTCGGAATGTTTTGTCGCAAGCTGTGCAAACTTGTCTGCAGAATCGCCAATGACGTCCTGATACGTCTTCAGGATTTCAATCGCCTCTTCTTTTGAGCGCGTTATGTTCGCCTGTCACCAAATTCATATCAATATTTGGACTGGATGGCTTAAACATCAACTTACTTCCTTCCAGCTGGATGGACGCCTGCTACCGCTGTGCTTCACCAGCAAGTGGCTAGCTCTGACTCTGTCACTGACATTATCTTGGGTGAGATAGCTTAGCGCCCGGGAGCTGCTGAATTTGCTCCTGTGTAAGGCCAGCAGGCGGATCCCACGACGATTGTTGGGTTTCCGCATCGAAGAAGTAGGGCTTGCCCCGTGAGTTGGACATTCTGACCTGCCAAGCCTAAGCAAGATCGTAGTCAGTTGACCATGATAGTGTCGAAGATATGGTACGTACCATAGTGTTATTCTAGTATGTTCACACTGAAGCTGACGTTGCTGATGCAGTGAACGATTAAACCGTCTCCGGTAATTGCCGGCGGCAATCAACCTTTCGTGACGACCCCCAGTACGACTGAGGCACAGTATGTCGGATTCTCGTGGTTATCGCCATCCTTTCAACGACTGCACCCACTATCTAGGTGGCGTCGGCGGTGAGATACTTTGAATGTTTATACTTTATAATCTTATCTTTTCAATGACTCAGATAACCCTCGAACTGTGGGTTCAGTGCCAACTACTTAGATGAACATCGGAAGAACGATAATCTTATTAGCTTGCAGACCTGGCCATGAGTCGCCTTTCTGCTACCATTCGTCGTCAAAAGGATTGGTGGTTATCTTACCGTCAAAAGACATTCAAAAGCGACTGGATACAAAAAGCATGTGATCGCGTGTGGGAAATCCCTCTGCCTTGTGGAGAACACAGCAAGGTAAAATTATCAGAAAGACAGGCGCGTGCAAATTTTCTTCAGTTATTTTCAGTTTGTTTCATCTGCCAACAAGGCCGAATATGTTCTTGAAGAGCTAGAAGGGTACGCCTTACTTCGCGATCAAGCGAACAAGTGGTAATCACTACCCCAGTCTGTCAATCTTAATCCTACTCTGAAAAGGTTCTAGCCAGGTTTCTTGTTTCGAGCGCATATGGGAATCAGAATCTCTTCTAGAGCACTCCATTGTCTCTTCGCTTGACCATGAGCTTTATTCTCTGGCACCGAATTCCACCAAAGGGACTGCGAAGCTAATCAATCCCTACACATGTCCCCTCGTTTACGACAGATCGATATCCGCTGACCTTCAAGGTAATCCTACTCCCATCTCGCCTCCTGCCGATACCACATACTCTGTGTCTCGCAAATTCGCGTTATTGCCCACAGACGTCCAGCTGACTGCTTCCAACCACCTGGAACTCTTGTATTACATCAACGACCTTCATCCCAGGCACACATCCCTTTATGGCCTCCTCAGCACAACCCTATCAGCCTTTATTCCATTATTTGAACATACTCTTAGCGATCTCCACCGAAATAATCCTTTACCTCAGCGCATACCCGGTCGCTCGTGGTACAGCCAATGGACCGAACCGGAGCCACCGGAGTTCTCTGATGATGAAGAGGGCTGGGCTCTATACGAGCTTGACATGTGGCACTGGATGTCTCACAGACCCATCAATTTACCTGACGTTCCAAAAGATGGTTATCAGGGTGGCCTGGAAGAGAGAAAGCACGTCGTAAAGCTCGGAGGTAGAAGACTACAAGTTGTCATAGGTGCTTCGGAAACGCGGCTTGTGCGTAGTCACTCTTGTTTGCTTGGCGGGCACGTTACTGAAGTTGGTCAACACCCAGACTCCTGGGCAAGGTCATCACGGCACCATCGAGCCGTGGAGAGTCGAGGGTATGAAAAATGAGCGAATCGTCGCTTGTGGATTCTTCTATACATCCGTGGTACGTGATACTCATTTGTCAGAGGGTCCCGTATTCAAGTCACGCACCTAATCCAGGAGAACGTAGTAAACAGCTCTATTGAATTTCGTATGGCCGTTACCTACCCCAGAGGCTTCAACGCCGGTGACAACGGCGCCACTTTTCGAACCTGGGGTATGCGAGATGCTGCTCCGTGCCACCAATTCATAGGCGACGTGTCCATCCGTCAAGGAACAGCTATAGTCTTCCCAAACATCTACCAGTACCGACATACACCAATTCAACTAGCTGACCCAAGGAAACCAGGGTCACAGACGTATGGTTTCATTCCTTTTAGTTGATCCCTGACATCCCGCCGATCCCGTCCACCTCGAGCGTCCCGCCACAACAGAAGGCGTGGATCCGAGAAGCGTTAGGATGATTTTCTTGACGTGCGCTTCCCAGAGGAAGTCGTGGCGAGGATAATGGAGCACGTGGATTGGCTCGTAGATGAAGATGAGATGGCGCGTCTCCGAGAGGAGATGTTGCAGGAGCGGCGGGAGTTCGTTTCGAACAACGACGACCATTATTTTTCAATACCTTTTGATGTTTTTAATGGTCCAGAGGTTCTCCTATATCCATAGGATCGTTGCTTCATCAACTTCAACGACACGAAAGATGACCCTTGTCGTCAGAATGGATGCACCTCGCACTGAAATTCATCGGAGCGTTTCGGAGCTCCTTGTGGTATTCGCAATTGCCTCAGAAGCTCAGCAACTGTATTTCAAAAGTTTAGAATGGACGCTCCAAATTCATCTGTAACCATCTTCAAGTCCTAGGCTTCCTGGGGCTGGTCTTTCCAAATGATCTGGTTTTACACAAGCTCGCATTCACACCAACGTTTAACGCAGTCTATCCCCGGGAGTTGACATGAGCCCAAAAGCACAAATTAGGGTCACGTGCAATGGTAAGTCGCGTCTGGACTAGATTGGAGTCTCCTCAGTCTATACTGTAGTGGTTGTTACCCCACATAAAGTCAAAGATAAGATGAAACGAACAGCTTCTCGTTGGCTGAAACAGTTCTAATATCAAGAAAACTAAACTTCAAAAGGTTAGCACTTGGTTTGCCTAGCAGGGTATTCATCATTAAATCTATGCGGTTACAGCAAATAAGCAGAGCTAGGAAGAAACTTTAAAAAAGAAGGTAAACGTTCGAAGGGAGATAATTTCTATGTTATGCAGGGTAGTAATGGGGTCAAATAACCGAAATCAAGACGAACAGGGCCCTGGTCCCAAACGACGTGGTAGTAAGATCTATCCAGCAATACACAAGGGCGAACGGAAAACTCTACAAGGTCGTACCACGTAGGATATACAAACAGTGCAGATAGATAATTACATTTAACGCGTCCAGAATGAATTTAAATCAGCGAGGTCTACTGTTCTCCGTACCCTTGCGGGTTCTTGCTCTGCCAATTCCACAGGTCCCGGCACATAGTCTCAAGGTCCTGAGGAGCTTTGAAGCCTAGTTCCTTTTCGGCAAGGCTTGGATCAGCAGTAAGGTCCGGAACGTCACCGCGTCTTATTCAGATTTAAAGTTAGAATACATAAAAGCGGAACAGATATATCAGAAACTCACCGTCTTCCTATGATCTCGGTTTGGTAGTTGAACCCGGTGGCAGCTCTCATAGCTTCAACGATCTCCAGTACACTCATCCCTCTGCCTTTGCCAAGGTTGTATGCTTTAAAACGGCCGTTGGGTCGGTCATGGAAAACCTGACTATTGCCGTTGAGGGTGTCAAGGGCTAAGAGGTGACCGGAAGCGAGATCTAAGACGTGGAGATAATCCCGAACGCATGTTCCATCGCTTTAACATGTATTAGCGGGACACGGATGCAGAGAAGACACCACACACCGAGTGGGATAATCATTTCCAAAGACCTTTAGGACAGATTCCTTGACGCGCCCTACGGCCATATGGGCAAGAAGTGGTAGTAGGTTTCCAGGTCGGCCTTTGGGATCTTCGCCGATCCGACCTGAGGGGTGTGCGCCAGCGGGGCTAAAGAGTATCGATGAGAAGCCTCAAAGTTGATATATTGGGGATGCTTACTTGAAGTAGCGAAGAGAAAGGGCCTGCCATTTCTCGGGTTCAGCTAGGGTTCATTGGGGATCAGATGGAGCGGTTGAGGAGGGGAGAAACGCGACGCACCGTGACATAGGTCGTCAATTATTGTCTCGGCCATTACTTTTGTCTTTCCATAAGGACTATGTGCTTGTAACCGAGTGGTTTCTGGGATAGGTACGATGGGAGGAGTGCCATACACCGTAGCAGATGATGAGTAGACCAGCCGGTAGCATTCGAATTCTGACATGATTTGAAGAAGTGAGATGGTCGCGGAAACATTATTTTGATAATAGGTGAGAGGAATTTCAGTGGATTCTCCGACGGCTTTATATGCCTACAAAGGATAGTTAGAGCCCTGCAGCAGAATGATACTGCCTCTAACTCACCGCTATATGTATCACTCCCCAGATTCCACCTTTGCCATATTTCTCAAACACTGCTCGAACCTCCTCCGCCTTCGTCAGATCGACGTTGTGTATATCGATTTCAGTGGACTGGATATCCTGTTCGGAGGCATCTGGAGGTAACTCTTCTCTAGATAGCTGTCCAACTCGAACGAGAGCCTCGGGCAGTGAATTGTGGCCATTATCTATAGAAATAACTTTGTATCGCCGAGTCTTCTGTAGGCAGTAGACAACATGTGATCCTAAAGAAAAAGAAAAATAGATGGTCGGAATAGAAAAAAAAAAATAGGAAAAAGGAGGAGGACTAACCGATGTAACCTGCTCCTCCCGTAACGAGCACGTTCTGAAACACGAATTATTAAACGCAACACGACGATAACAGCATCTGCATACTTTGAGAGGTGTAGACATGGTCGTAAGGGAGTCGTATCGAAGAAAAGTAAAAATCAAGTTAAAGGGAGTGGAAGGAAAAAAGTCGAGTCCTTTTATCGATCGTACTATTGAGAGGATCACGCGAGTTACCGTTGGGCCGTGTCTATATTTAGGGGCACCTCCACCATGATCCGTATTCCGTGTGATACTTTCACACTCGGTACTCCAAAAAATTACGATTCCAGGTTGCTCGACGACGCCTAGATACCTCTCCTACATTACATTTGCTTCCACCGGTATGCTACCGTTCACCGTCCATTTTGACATCCCCCTCTCCGTCAACCTTTTCGACCGGTTTCGAGTCTTCTGCTGCAGTTGGTACAGCGACCAGTGGACTTGCCGACCCGGTATCTTCCGGCGGGACATCCCTGAGGAGCTGAACTGTCTCTTTTTGTTTAGCGGCTTCAATCTCTTCAACCAAAAGCTCGATGTCTCCGGTTCCAATCTTTCCGAACAGATTCAAATGCTGTTCGCGGGCCGCCCGGAGCGCGAGCCATGCGATTCTCTGCTTGTTCTGGGGATAATTTACATGGGTTAGTGAGGTCGAGACAAGCGATAACGGAAAAATATCGCACTTCTTCATATTTGATGATCTTGGGATCAGTTGGTGGACTGGGTCTAGTGTATACAGTAGGGGGTGGAACGGGCGAGGGCTCAGGAATTGATACCGGTGCTGGTTGCGGATCTTGAGCAGGTTTCGGTGTTGGAGTAGCCACGGGTTTTGCGGGGAGAGACGGATGAAGTGACGAGTTTGTGGGAGTAGCAACTGGTGCTGGACGCAGGGTCGATTCGGTACCAGAGACAGGTGCTGTCTCGGGCGTTTTGGGTGGCACTGGAGCCGGTGTTGGCTGACTTGCAGCAAGTGCAGCGGCCCGTTCAGCCTGTTGGGCAAGTTGTCTCTTACGTCTCTCAATCTGCACATCTTCGAATTTCAGTCGTTTAACAAAATCTTTAACCTCTCCCGGTCTAAAAAGGTATAAGCATATGAAAGATGATGAATCGGACACTCAACTTGAAAGGGAAAGCCAAGTCGTCCAGGTCTCTGTACCCCATCTCCCAGACATCCGTCAAGTACTCGCTACCATATTTCCACTTCCAATCTTCAGGCGGTTCTCTCATCTTTTGCCATAATAGCTTCGTGGCCTCTTCAAACCCAGCCGTCGCTCCATTGACCTCTGTGGACCACGGCGCCTTGTCGAATGGAGCACACAGCTCATTTTTCCATTTGATCCAGTTCTTCTCGCGATCAAGTATGACACTAACGGTGTCTGCAAACGCACGACCATTGGGGGTAGTCTGCCGAAGTTCCTCCATTGTCTTGTTAAAGGTTTCCTGGACCCATTGGATGTCGGCAGCTTCAAGTGTAAAATCCATGTGTAGCGACCGATTGCGCACCGTCGCCCACTTTTCTTTGGTAGATTTGACGAATGTAAGCAGATGGCTGAGGAGTATGAGAAGCTGGAAGAGGAATTGACGTCGGAAGTGTGTATCTTTTAGCTAGAAATGGTCAGTAACTTATGAACAGCCAATGTGGTCGATGCTCACCTCAAGATCAAGGAGATCGGGACTCGTCAAGAATTTGGCGAAAAAGTAGTCTGTAACTGTTTCTTCTCCAATATCCTGTGGCTCCCGCTTTCGTTTAAGCGAGCCTGCACCACCGGAAGCCGTTCTGCTGCCCATCATTACGCGTTCCTTCGCAGTAGCCTCCTTGAGGACAGGCAGGACCTTGTCCACAGAATCCTTGAATGCGGGAAAAGTCGAGGGGTCGGAGAATAGCGGTGGTTTGGAGAAAGGAAGTTGCAAAGACCAGAATGTTTGATAGAAGTCTAGGCATATAAAATTTGGTTTAGTCTTCGTGTAAAGGTGATTGAATATACTTACCGTCTGCCTGCGTCGTCGATGCAGGCTTGTCATCATCAACTTGCATTTTGTCGTCTTCATCCGTTTTCTCATCCTTCGTCTCCCCGTTACCCTCCTTCTCCTTCTCCTCACGCTTCGACATATCCTTCACACCCTCCCACGTCGGCCCATACTCTCCCCTCAGGTTAACGCCACTCCGCTCACTCAACGGAAACGCGCCACTCAAGAACGTCAATATCCGCCCACAAAACATCGTTGTGGACCCCATCTTCGACAGGCGCCGAAGCAGGTCGTTCAGAGTCCTCAGCAGGTAGAGCGACTTGCCCTTCTGGGGCACCATGCCTGCAGTGAGCCGAGGCGCGCGGGACTCTATCCAAGAGAATATATGCGAGCACGAGGTAATGGTCTGCGTCTCTAAGAGGTCTTGAAGGATGATAAATGTGAATGTCGGGTCGCATATTTCTGTCAGAGACGAATAAGAGAGCCTTCATTAGTCGTTTGTGAAGCTAACGAACCAAGGTCACTAAATGTCAAGACCAAGTCAAGCCAGTGCTGCAACTGGGTATAGTACGCCGTAGCATCCTCCTTCGAAGCCTTGCCCTCCGTTTCCTACTACGTCGTCAAAAATACCGCCAGGCAAGCACAGAAAAAGTTAGACATACAGCCAGCTTGAATATCTCATTCTTCAACAAGTACTCCCACTGCACCCGTTTATTCTCCGCCGATATCTTCACCTGCTTCTCGCTCTTGATAGCCTTTAGTATATTGTCTTTAATGACATCCGGTTTGACGGGAGGAGGCGGTAGGGATTTGAGCAGGGCAGTGAGGGTGGGCTGGAGAGAAACCATTACGGCAGATGCCGAAGCGCGTTTCGTTCTGCCCCTCCATGACGCGGTCTCTCGACGACGATATCTCTCTGTTGAATTCCCTGTTGTCTCAGGATAACCTCGATGAGTCGGATGAGGCTAGTATTGCAGAGCTCATGCAACGTCTGGAAAGTGCCGATGGGGTAGCCAAGGGCATGGAGAGTAAGCTGGATGATTTATTGGGGAATTTGGATACCCTTCTTGCTGTCCTCGAGAAGAATGAGCCTGTGGAGAAGCAGGAAGAAGTAAGCGGTGACAAAAACGGAGAATCGGTCTGATACAGGTGTCGTATCTTATATCCTTATGTTGAGAAAATTAACCAGTGTCACTGAAGGCGTCACTAATATCTCAGTGAAGAATACCCTACATATCTTAGCTTTGCCGGCAATGCAGACGGAGCACTTGGGTACGCTACGGATCTTTGATAATGAATCCAGCCTCAACCTCAGAACAGTATTCTGAACGATTACCAACCTCCGCCAATAGATATCAATTAAGAGAAAAGCATGATACGGTCATTTCGCATTTCGAATGTCCTCGGTTCCTTTATTACGTTTCTCAACATGTACTTAAAAGCTCGTATTCAATACTAAATGTACGTGTAGCATACTGTATTCTTCTTCATGGCAAGTACGAGATACATTTCTCTGCTTCTTCAACCTCTTTCCTACTCAAAAAAGCTCGTACATAAAACTAGAGTAAACTTTCCATCAAGGCAATAAGGTATGGCCAAGTGAAGGAACTGCACGTAAATCCCGGTCCGTGTACAGGGAAAGTAAGGATATAAAGGCATCTTCTAGAGAGAACAAGGACGGCACACAATGACGGAAGAGGAACTAACTTAATCCGTTGCGGTAGAAGCCTCCCCTGTTGGTATCGGAACGTCTGGTCCTGCTAACGCGCCTTCCGGTACACCTGAAGGGCCGGAGTCCGGGACTTGATGGAAATCTATCACAGAACGATTAGCGCATAGAATACGTTAAATATCCAGTAAAATATACCTAAAATTTCAGCGTACATCATGACTTTCCATGTATCAACTGGTAGGTCGGCGTCATTGAAACTCCAGTCGAACTTGTCTGCTGCTACGGGCTCATCACTAGGGTCATGGTAAGGCGCGACGTATTCGTGAGCCAACGACTCAGTCGCGTCTATCCGTTTTCGCGGGTCGAAGACAAGCATTTTTTCGAGAAGGTCAATAGCTAAAACAATTCGCGTTACACGCGATATTCTCGTATTGACATGTCCGGACTCACCATCTGGATCTGTCGTTCTGAGCTTCGAGCTGAAGGGTACTCGTTCTCGCTTGGGTAGGCTCTGTACAAATCGCAGTGTCTGCAAAACCAAACGGGGAAATCTATCCATCAGCATGTAAGCATTACGACAGGACAAGGTACCACACGTTTTCACTGGCGATAGTTTCAATGACATCATCGGGAGGGGTCCCAAGAAGCTCTGTGATAATCGAGAATTGGTTCACGTCTAAGAATACTTATAAGCATGTGCATGGAGCCCAGATACGTTAGGACTTACGATCCTTCCCCGGGAACAGCGGCTTTCCTTCCAGCATCTCTGCAAAAATACACCCTGTACTCCAGATGTCGACCGCAACGTCGTACTTTTGCCAAGTCAACATTATCTCAGGAGCCCGATAGTACCGAGTAGACACGTAGCCCGTCATTTGAGGGTCTTGAATTCTGGCGAGACCAAAGTCGCAGATCTATATTACCATTGGCGTTAGCGAATAGCGCGACGGTAGAAGCCGTGAGATAAATGCCTTGAGGTCACAGTTCTCGTTCACGAGGATATTACTTGGTTTCTATCCATCACGACGTCATCAGATAGAGCACAGATCATTCCGGTGGGAAACACGCACGAGGTCTCGATGGACCACACCGGCAGAATGCACGTACTTAAGGCCACGCTGTGGAAATCGGGTTAGGCGAGGAAAATCGCGACAAGGATAAAGACGCACGAGAATCTGGTACAGGAAATATTGGATAAACTGCTTCTCCAAGGGCCGTGAGGTTAGTAGTCGATGAAGATCGGTGCCTAAAAGCTCCGTCACGAAATATCTGCGCAAGAGATAGGGTCTATCATGTAGAACAAGAACTTGAAAGACACAAGCGTGACGCACAAATCTTCAAGGGGAGAAATGAAAACATCGCTCAGGCTGATGATCTGTAAGATGCAGTGGAGCTTGGAATCAGTGCGGTGTGAGACGGAGCGGCTGACGTACGTTCTCGTGCTGGATGTGCTTTAAGAGTTTCAATTCTCGATAGGTCCTCTTGCTCAACACGGGCGTACTGAACGGCTTCATTATCTTTTTTATCGCCACGGATGACCCTGTAAGCTGATCCTTGGCAGAACTGTGGAACCAGCGTTAATGATATCCTTTCACTTTATGGTAGCTCGACTTGGCCCCTCGAGTACGGATAAACGTACCAGACCAGCCCAAATGCACCTGAAGAGGAAGAGTCAGACGGTGAGAAGGGCGATAGCACAAGTAAAGAAGACTCACCCATTCCAACGGGCTGCAAGTCGACATAACGGGTAGTAACCTATGGCATCGATGAAGGTCAAGAGGGTCTACACTGTCGTGAACGACGAGCACTGACCTCAAAGGAAGTCCCGAAGATTGAAAGCTTAACAAAGGACATGGACATGACTGGGCGGGAAAAAGGGCAGGATGATGGACGCCTGTTGTAAAGAGGTGTAGTGGGTCCGTGACCGTAAAAGGTATGATTACCGCATTCGATCGACGAAGACTCACCCAGTTTGCCTTCGCTTCCGCCTGTACCTCATCTCTGGTTCTTTACACGCATTGCAGGCCTAGGTCGACGCTTTCAACGCGAAGTTCTATGTTTTCTTTCATTTCTCTCCTTTTTTTCATTGTCACAGAAGCCATGGTATGACGCAACTGATGCTCGCTTAGATACTGACATCGCAGGGGAACTCCACAAAGTTGAGCGCGTGTCGGATGGTGACTTCATGCATCAGTTCGAGCCTGAATCCACCGGCTGGCATTTCGTGGAATCTCTCTTGACTTGAATGGGAGCACATTGAGCTGTCCATCAAGGCGAATTCAACAATTCTTGGTGCATGCGGAGCCGCTCGGTAGCGGCTACTTTTGTTGAGCTTAGCCTTTGGGGTGCTGCCGAGTCCGTTGCACGTGCCGAGGGCTCCTTCTCGACATGATTTGCAGCTGTCTTGCCTCGTTCAAACGTTTCTAAAATAACCGAGGCAAGCGGATTCCCTTGATAGTAAGATACGATGCTCCAGAGCCATGGTATTGCTATCGGTGCCGAATGAAAACCATTTTTGCTGCCAGAGAAGACGAGATAAAGAGCTTCTATCTCGCCCAGACAACGTTCATTTACTGCACAACGGTCTGTGCAATCCAGAATGAGTCCTGAGCGCACCAAACTGCGCAGCCAGCTAGATGGGGGCAGCGATGTGCTCGACTGGTGGTCGTTAGCAGGCTGCGGCTAATCGGGATAGCATCCGTTCCGGGCCGCGGCTGGACACGGCATCGCTGCGCCAATTTCTGTCTTCACACCCATCACCATCGTTTGCTCAACGCTGTTCACCACGACGAGCAGCCTAGATATCTGGAAAATATACAGGGAATCAATACCCAGGGTATGCAGCTCTTTCTTGCAACACTTCACTTTGGATGACGCCATCATTTGCTTAGAAATAATTTGAAAAAGCTACTTAAGCCTCAAATAAAATGTCGTTCCTCAGATCCGCTTCTGCCTCTGCCCGTTTCCTTGTGAGGCTTTTTCTGTGTACTATTACTCTGATACTAACTAGTATTAAGACGCGTCGAGCGTATTCTACCGGTGCCTCAGCCGAGAAATCCTCCAGTTCGCCCTACTACTTTCTTGGTGCGGGTGTAGTCGGACTGGGTACATATTTCTACCTGAACCAATCGCAAGCAACAATGTCGACTCAGGAAAAGAGTCCCCTAGACCCCAACAACTTTGTGGACTTCAAGCTCAAGAAGATTATTCCTTACAACCACAATACTTCTACGTACGTACTGCTGCCTCGCCATTGAGAGTTTACTCATCTAAAACCAACGTAGCTTCATCTTTGAGCTCCCCAACGACGAAGCTTCTCTTCTTCCCGTCACTTCATGCCTCGTCGTCAAGTCCTCCGACCCCGCTGCGCTTGTAGACGCCAAGGGCAATCCCATTATCCGCCCCTACACTCCTATCTCCCAGCCTGACGAAAAGGGCATTCTTTCTCTCCTTGTCAAGAAATACGAGAATGGTAACGCGTCGAAACACATCCATTCCCTCAAGGTACGTGCTAGCGTCAATCAAGGCGCTCATTAGCCTTATACTATATACAGGAGGGAGATACCCTTGCCGTCAAAGGCCCCATTCCCAAGTGGCCTTACAAGCGTACGTCCCATCTTTTCCCTCCACCTCTCCCTCTAACTCCTCCTCAGACAATGAGTTTGACGAAGTCGCCCTCATTGGCGGAGGCAGTGGAATGTAAGCAAAAAATACCCTCCCTTACTAATTCTCATGTCATCCCACTTACTAACCAACAATTCCTCTCTGTCAGCACCCCCCTGTACCAAGTCATCAGTCACGCCCTTCCTGACCCGGCAAACCGCACCAAGTTCACCCTTGTGTACTCAAACGTCACGGAAGCCGATATCCTCTTGCGGCCCGAGCTAGATACCCTGCAGAAGAAGTACCCTAACAAGCTCGAGATTGTTTACGCGCTTGATAAGCCCCCTGCTGGGTGGACCGGACCGACTGGATTCATCAGCAAGGATTTGCTGAAGAAGTATGTCGCACCCGCGAGTTTGAATGAGAAAGTGAAGGTGTTCGTGTGCGGGCCTCCTGGTCAGGTTGCTGCGGTGGCGGGGAAGAAGGATGGGTATAAACAGGGTGAGCTGGGCGGTGCTCTCAAGGAGTTAGGATACACCGAGGATCAGGTATTCAAATTCTAGATGGATGAACCTGTGGACTATCTTGAGTAGATACAGAAATCTTTATACTTGCTGAAGTTATAAAACAATTTGTTTACACATTCAAAATCTTGGGATTGAATTCCAACATTATATCATATCGGTACGGCACCGGAACATTGATAAAGCTATTAGTGTATGGTAGGTATGTGTTCATGATTCTATGTATTTCTAGGCATGCACTCATTCAACACTCGTTAGCGTTTTGCGTATCGTAAGAAACGTGATGCAACTACAAAAACCGTTAGAACTCGTGCTTTATGGAAGGCACAAATTTTCTCACCTATCGTAGCCAAAACATTGAACACTAGGGGCATCCTTCTTCAGTATGCAAACGCAGGAGGCAATAGAACCACACTCACCGAAGAAGGCAAACAGAATGAACACGTTCCTCCATCTGTCCGAATAGCTCATATTGAGGGGCGTATAGAACTCGTCACCAACAGAGTATTGACAATAGCGGCATGTATCCGTAGAGTTGGGGTTATCGAGGTACCCACCGAATGCATTCACAAAGTCATTGGCCCAAGAATAACAAGTCTCACCCGAAGGTGGATTGAACACCGAGAATTCATCACTCTTGCACCGGATTTCAAGACCACTACACACCGATTGTCAATAACATATCAACCGAGGCGACGCAAAACCTACTGAAGCTCGGTAGCAACCATAGCGGAGATGCTCCACGTGTAAGGGCTGATATAATACATCCAGCTCCTCCAGAACTTGATCATCGTGGGGTACGGGATAGTGACACCACAGAACGTGATCAGGACCAACGAAATGAAAGGATTGAACAGCACCGCAACCTGTATACTGGGGGAGATCGCCGCGACCAGCTGCCCCAACGATACACCAAAGGCCAGGAAGAACAGGATCACCAATAGTTGGAAACCAGTACCGTTGAGTCCCGCACTGCCGTTTCCGAAACCCGTGGGGTAGACCATGAGCACCCAGTAGACGATACCACACAAGATGTTGTATGGGAGTTCGCCGATCAATTGTCCGATCGCGAAGACGTAGGGAGAGTATATGCGACTAGAGGACTCCCTGATGAATATTCCTAACAAACAAGTGAGCAAACAATACAGGTGATAATATGGATGTCCTTACTTCGGTTGGCGATGAACAAGGGTTCTATTTGGGCCATGACGATAGCGGGAAGGATAGGAACCCAGAAACTTTGACCATCAAGTCAGATAGGGAATCCCAGGTGAAGAGAAGGACCTACATGCAGAAAACGCGGAACTGCAAGTCACGAGTACTGTTGCCTAGTTGCAAGAAGGACAAAGAAACAAAGAGCGAAATGAAAGTGACCACGAAAAGACGAGTGAAGATGTAATCCGGAGACCTCCAAAGTGCAAGGTTGTTCCTCTTGACGACCATGCGCAACTGGTAAAAGAAAGATGTCGCATCTGAAAACGTTGAGCGTAAACCTTAGTTTGAAAACTCAAAGACAGTCAACTCACAAGTAGTAAGCGTCTTTTTGTCAGTCTCCGGTAAAGCGAGGGCCTTGGCTTTGATCGTGTCAATCTCGCTGCGGACATTTTGATACTCCGGTGAATCCAACCAGATATCTTTCCAATCGCGGTCGCCAATCCTGGGGCTGACACCCGCACCTATGGCATCCAGCATGAACTCGGCCGGGTTGACATTAGCAGGGCAAAGTGCACCGTGACGACCAAAGTAGTTTCGAATGATGTGCGAATCTGCTCCGATATCGCCAAAGTAGACGGTCTCGCCGCCTGTCTCGAGAAGCAGCAAGCGATCGAAGCTCTCAAAGAGAAGCGAAGACGGTTGATGGATGGTACAGAGAATAGCTTGGCCTTGGTCAGCGAGCTTACGGAGGAACCGAACCAAATTCCATGCGCTTTGGCCGTCCAAACCAGACGTGGGCTCGTCCAGGAAAAGGAGGAGCTCAGGTTTACTGGCGAGCTCGACACCGATAGTAAGCCGCTTACGTGCTTCGACGCCAAGACTGAACACCAGAGCTTCGGACAAGTCTTGGAGCTCCAGAAGCTCGATGATCTCCTCGACGTATGCGTCTTTTTCGGATTCGGGAATCTCAGCGGGCTGACGCAGGTATGCGGAGAAGCGCATAGCCTCACGGACAGTCGCGGTACCCTCGTGGACGTCCATTTGTTCGGCTGGGCACGACCGTGTCAAACTAAGGAATAAACAAGGAGAAACTGACGGACCGTAAGCAGTACCCCGGGCAAAGTCCGAAGTAAGAGGACGTCCATCAACCAAAACGTCTCCGGTAATGACACCAATATTTTTTCGTTGAGCAAGGACATCCAGACACGTAGTTTTTCCAGCGCCCGACGCACCCATAAGCGCCGTCAGAGTTCCCGGCTTAACGTACCCATAGACATCGTGCAAAAGACGGCGCGTCCCGCCGGGAACAGGAACCACATAATTGAGTTTTTCCCAAGTGAACGTCTTCTTGTGACGCATAGTTCTATTCACAGGTGAGCGACCGGAAGCGTCGAGCTTTGAAACACATACCCATTCTCCGGTTTCTGGTTGGTTTGTTCTACGTCGTGTTCCTTGCTGTCGATCTCCTTCGCTTTGGCCTGGGCGGCTTTCTTCTCACGAAGAACAGCGTTAAGCTTTTTGGTCTCTTGATCCTCCTTGGCGAAGATGTTGACCGACAAGCTAACATTGTATTGCTATAACACAACTAATCAGTACCCCCATTTCATGGTCAACTGAAAATTACCCACGGGGAAGTACTCCAATGCAATAACCTGGGTTATCTGAAACGCGATCATAAACCCGATGAGGACGAGAAGGCAGCGCCGCCATATATCCTTGGAATCCAGTCCATACCCAGCGCTAATATAATCGTCGCCTCGAACGATATCGTTCCCGCTGACAGCTCCGAAGATAGTGCAAGCTTGGTTAGGACCTAGTTCAGTGCTAGTGGTCGGCTTAGTGTTAGTGCTCGCAGGAACCTCGATGAGTGTTCATTACTTACGGATACTTCGTCATTCCGGGCGCATTTCTAGGAACCACATAATTTCCGTCGCAAAGCAGCTGTCAAGATCGCATGAGATACGTAAAATGGAGGTGAAGAGAGGCCTCACGTTGATACGCATGAATTCATTCTCAATAGAGCCCTGCCACGCTGTTGATGGAAGCTGAGAAGGCGGGATAGAGAGGTTATTACAAGGTACGTACCGTATGAAATCGGGTTAATGTAGTACTATGGAGCGAAAGTAAATAAACCCCTTCTAACGCAGGACGGAGTATCACACTTACGATCCAGAACAACCATCGCTTCATACTTGGTACAGGGATCAGGTACCCGCTATATTCGATGCTACATCACTTGTCAGAAAAAACTGAATACTCAGAGGGTGCAAGTAAAGGCTCACAAATTGGGAATGAAGAATGTGCCCAACCGGAACGCAACATCGAAATTCTTGCATAACAATCCGAAGGTTCTAAAGAACCCCTGCATGCTCAAATAGGCCACATAATTGAATAGGTGAAAAGTGAAAAATCCACCAGCAGAGCGGTTCAGGTTTGTCATGAAATACACGATTATGTTGAAGATCAGCACCCGAACAGCGGAGAAAGGGAGGTCGGCAATAGTGTTTGCCAATGCAGTAGCCGAAGGTCGGTACATGCTGTAGCTGGTCTAAATCCAAGTTAGTGAGATAAATTAATGGCTTCTAGCGCGCTTTTAACGGACCTGTTTCCGGAGGATGGGTCTTCCTAACATTTGCATCGGCAGTTCTCCAAAAGCATCAAGGCATGTGGTCAGCAAAGCCGCGAAGATCAGACCGCCGCGGGTAAACGCGCCAGCCGCAGTCAGTTGTTGACTCCAGTAGGCTCCACCGATGACAAGGGCCAAGATCTGAGTACACAAGTCAGGTTAATGGGCACCGAGGGCACATGCATGAGAACTCACCGTCGACAGCGACATGCTAGTAATCAGTTGGAACCTGTCTTGCAACCTCATCTGGAATGCTCTGACTGCTAGCGCGCGAACCTGCCCAATCAGACCAAGAGTGTAAGGGCTCTTCTTCGACACGCCCCTCTTCTTATCCGCCAATACAGCCGCACGGAAAGCATCCTGGTCTGCTTTCTCGGTAGCTTGGTGCAACTTGTATTTCCACAAAGAATCATCGAGAGCTTGACCGTAAACGGAAGAACGAAAAGCGGCCTCTAAAGCTTCAGGAGTAGACGGAACGTCACGCGCAGAGCGTCCAGCTGCGAACTGGCGTTCGTTAGGGTCTGTACAGCCCGTGAGGTAATCCGGAGTGCTTTGTCGGGGAAGAGACTTGTACCCAAGGCTCTCGAAATAAGCACGAGCTTCAGCCGGAGGCCCGAAGAATACCTGCCGTCCTTTATCTAGTACCATAACTTTGTCGAAGAGGTCGTAGATGCCTAAAATAGAGCAATCAATAATGGAAAGCGGAAAATAATGATTCCAAGAATTACCAACCTTCGCCAGCTTGATAGAGGGACACAAATGTGGTTTGGCCCAAAACATCAGTCATTATCCGTAAGCTTTTAGAGAAGTCAAGGGCAGTTGAAGCATCCAAGCCACGAGTGGAATTGTCCCAGGACTGGACTCGGGCACGAGTCGCCATCATTTCAGCGATACTGACTCGCTTGCGTTCACCTCCAGACACACCGCGTACGAACTCGTCTCCAACCAATGTCTGTTTGGTATGGGAAATGTTCAGCATTCGGAGAAGCGTATCTTGAACTTCTTGATCAAACTCTTTACGCGTTACGCCAGGAAGGCGGCCATTGGGACCAGGCGTCTTGCTAAAATAACATTCAGCAAACACTGAATGAGCCGTAAACCGAATACTCACGTAGACAGCGCGAAAGAAAGGGTCTGGGCAACAGTCAGGGTTGCAATGTGACGATCATCTTGGACAAATGTAAGAACCAGTATGAAAATACGTGTAATCACTGATAGCGTACCTTCTTCGTTGTATACAACCTCGCCTTTGTAGTATTTACCCATTTCTTGGGCGGACATGCCTGCGTAAAGAACTTCCCCGGAAACGCTTGCATACTCATCTCGACAATTAGCAATAGTTTTAAGGAATGTGCTGCAACCGGAACCAGGACAACCAAGCACCAGACACATTTCTCCGGGTTTTATGACACCCGAGGACCTACCAAAGCAAGCTGTCAGACTAGCGAGTTGGTATGATGAAAGTAGACCCACTTGTGAAGAATGGTGCGCGTTGGAACTTTCTTGGAAGGAAAAAGCGGCGCAAACAGAGACCATATCCATAGAAAAGGCGTGAGAAAGAAAGAGACGATTGCACCTTGCTTAACATGAGTACTTATCGCCAAAAGAGTAAGGGAATAAGCAAACCTCCGAAAGTTCCCACGTATATCTACGAAAGACAGTTAGAAAGCGTTAGAAAATTATCGAACTTCTGCTAACAGACCTTGCTATCAACACCGCCGATAACGTCGACCTGGAGGTCTTCCCACGTAACACCGACGTGCTATTATGCCTGATTTAGTCAATCTAGGAAAGTGAGGAAACCAGAGACAAACTTTGTGTTTTATTCCGGCATTCTGGTTGGCATCATTGGAAGAGGTTAAGTATTCGCGTAGGTCAAACCCGGATTCTTCGTCGATGGCTTCGTTGACGCCTTTTTCAAGGTCCTTCACAGATGCGGTCTTCCATTTGTTATTTTCGGCGCCGCCCTCAGAACGAATAGTCAGTTGTCGTGAAAGGGCATTAAACTCCTGCTCGGCTCTGTCAACATCGACATGTGTTTCGATTTCGTCGCGACTAGGAGGCTGAGTTTCTGCCTCGTTCAAGGTGACCCCGTCTGCTGGCGATCCGCCGGGGTGAAGAAATGAAGAGGACATGGAGGAAGGAGGAGAGCAGGGAGCTGTTGGCTGATAAACCTACATATTTATAATATTTTCTCAGGTAAGGGACAATCGCGGGATTCGCAAGAGAAGCCTGAGGTCCGGTCCGGCAGTTGCGGCCATGTTGCGGCACCCTTGTCAGGTCTGACTCGGTGGTTGATCCTTGGCGTCAATTGGAGAGTAAGCAAGTCCGACTCAAAAGGGCGTGTACCAGGAATTGTATTAGCGTGCCACCATAACAGCTGGGGGAATCCTTTTGGAAGGTGGCGCAACGATAGTGACTGAGTCAGAACGGACTCGGACGCGGTGCCAGAGTCAAAAAATTTCGCTGCCGGCCGCCGATATATCCATGTCACGGCATGACTGCGACGTTCGTACGATTTTTTTCCACCGAGAACGCGGGAAAACGCGGCCTATGCACGTAAAACCAACGTCGTAAACGGGGCGACTTCCAAGTCCCGAAATCATAGGGAAATGCTTACGAAGCAAACATGTTTTCAGCGCCACGGGCCCACGGTTTGTTAGATTTTCCAGCAAGATATCTATATCTGGAAATGCCAAGTCAAAGAACGCTGTTGGAGGGCTTTCACGGTGGTCGAGTGAACTTCTAGTCGGCCACGAAATGACTGGTCCATATTAGGGTCGTGAGAGTACTGACTAAGCATTGCCGCATCAAGAAGCACATGCTGCTGCAGAGTTTCACTGTCGCGATGAAGACCTCGCTTTTTCTTTCCCTAATATTCTCCTCCCTCAGTGTCCTTGGACATGGACACAGTCACGACGGTCCTTCTGATGGCGAGACTCTGCAGGAGTATGCGCAGAGACACGTATGTTCTCACTGGATTGTCAATGTAGGGTAGTTGCACTGATTTTATTCCAGATGGCCAAGGAGCACCATATGTGAATCAGTCTTATTCATTCTATACTAAGTTGAAGTCTAGAACGTTCCCTTGCAGAGAGTCTTTTGATTCGAACAGTTTCTTCCAGATCCACGACCTCGACCGGTATGCCCATCCACTTGCCTTCACGATACGGTATTGAATTGTATTTCTCAGGGATGGGTACTGGAACAAGGATGAGATTCAAGCTATTTACGGTGTTCATCATGTCTATTCTCAAAAGAAGTCCAAGGTACGTGTATACCGAGCATAGGCGGGCCGTATGACCTACATCTGCATCATAGGATGACATAGAGCATCAGCAAAAGGCCGACCACATAGTAAAGGTCGTACTCGAAAAGCTTGATAAGGATGGGGACGGAAGGGTCACCGCGAGGGAGCTTGCAGACGCCGGGCTTAGCGGTTTGCCAAGTTTCGACGACCTGGGCGCTGAAGGTCACCATTACGACGTTGAAAGCGGTAAGCCCCAATGCTATCCCGTCACCATTTCATTTCTAAGAGTATACGTCCAAAGAGTTTTTCCTGCACCACGAGGAAGAGTTTCATAATACTCCCGAAACTCAAGGTGATGAAGCATATATTCATCCGGAAGACATTGAACACTTTGCCCACCATGAGGACATCGAACTTAAAGAAGCGGAGAAGGAGGCGGCTTACCAAGGAATCACGGTTGAGGAAGTTTTGCGGTCCCACGAGCCCCCTCCCGAAGGTGCACATCCTGAAGATCAACACGTCCAATTGCAAGGCACGGATCAAGAACCGTTGGCTGCAGCCCATCCTCATGACGAGCAACGCGAAAAAGCCACTCCCTTAGCCGAACCTCCCAACCCTAAAATTACAAGAGTGACGCCGCCGGAAAAGCAAGACCCCGATGTCAGATTCCGTGGAGCCAAGTCGGAGGGTGATAAGAAGGGGGCGTGGGGATCTGGGGAGGAAGGATACTTGCCTCCATCAAATGCTGGTGACAAAATGCGGTGAGTCAGCTTGTTGCGGTCATTCCACGTTTACTTATCTTGGCGACAGTAAAAATATGCCCTACAAGGTAAAGCAGTTTATCCTTCGTCCTACAAACACGCTGAGGTTGACCAGAATCGGATGCAGTACAAGTTCAAACGCAATTGGAATGATTTCTAGCTACCACGATGTAACTTTTCATTCCCATATACCACTGTTATATTATTCTTGTTTTCGGATTTCATTGTCAATCCACTGCGTAAGTTGATAGTCGTAAGATATCCGAAGAGACGTAGAATTAAGGTATCACAAGCAAAGTGGGAGGTATCAGTACATGTAGTAGCCTGTTAAATAATTACCGTCCGTCAAACATATCGTTCATCAACCCTTTCTCTATTGCCTCCCAATCCACAATACCACCACTTGCGTAGACACTCTCGTAAGATGATATGCTCACGCTAGAAAAGAAGGGGACCAAATCACGGATACTATCTATCTGATGGATCCCGTTCAACAAAGGACGCCGCATCACCCTCTGGGAACTAAATGACGACGCCCCACCAGTGTCTAGGACGTTTGATCCGTTTTGCGAAGTAGGATTCTACGATGCCGTCGAAAAAATTAAGCCGCATCACGGAGCAAAAGAAAGGAAGAACATACGCTGGGTAGATTACCAACAATCTCAGCCAACTGGTCAAACATCGCTTCCGGGTACCAATCATTTGGTCGGTATATCGCATCCACAGTATCGGTTATGAAGATCCATTGATGACTAGAACGAGGCACGAAGTAAGTTGGAATTCGGGCCGGACAGATAAATACATACATTTGAAATTCTTCAGTTTGTAGGACAAGCAGAAGATCTAGGAACTTGCACACAGACAATATCAGTTGTAGATCATCCGATCCATCCGACGGTAACGTGGACATGACTTGTTCAAAGAGACGATACTAGGCACAGTCAGCGGACTACTGTTTCAGGATGGAAAGAACCATACTAATTCTGTGAGAATCACCGGCCAGAAGCTGGTGAGGTTGTGGGGCGATAGACGGCACAATAGGACGCGTATGCAGAGGTAAACGTCACTCTGGACATTTGGGGCTGACACATTACGAAGAATATCCACCAGTTTCTCCTGTATCGATGGTAGTTGCGTTAGGAAATGATTCTTATCCCCAGTGAACAACACGAAAGATAGTCTACGAAGGTTGAGCGACCGTAACAACATTTCGTATTCCCTATTTGTAAAAATATTCGTGGATGGTGCGGTGGCCACCTTGCCTGTGAATTGGTGACGTCTGTGAGCTGTATTAAACGCAAACGTGGATCTGAAACGTACCAAGTAACTCGGGAAATGCAGTTTTGTCAACATCGAAGAGAGCTTTGACTATAGGTTTCCATAGCTCAGCGGCCTCCGCAGTACTATTGAATACCCTGTTATCGTTCAACAACTCTGCTATCGGTGCTCGCCACGCTTTCAGGGCTGCTGGAAGCCTGGACATTTGATGTAGGATGGAAACAGTGGTAGCATCCACTTCCATTGGCCTGCAGAAGAGTTAACAACGTAACCTATCTGAAACATTCTACTTACTTAGCTTTGCCCTTCATGGCTGGGTTGACGATGTAATACACGATATTGCTGCATGCTGCCGCAACCTTGTCGTTGTCCACAAGGAAACGCCGCAGGTTTGGAAGTATGGTTTTCGCGATGAAGTCATTAATCTACATACGCGTTAAGTTCAAGCACTTCATATAACTACATGCTTCGTCTTACCTGAATCATGACTTCGTTAGAAGCAGGTTTGGGTGTTTCCGGCGTTAATGAGGTGCTACTTGAATTGAACTTTTCATCAATCTTTGCTTCTGTAGTTGACACTTAAGACCTCAAGGTCGGAAATCTGTGATTTCGAGTCTCACCATTACGTGGAGCTGGGGATTCTCTGCCATTGGTGGTCAGAGCCTCTTTGGTAGTCCGCCGAATCCAGGAACCTTGATCGAATGATCGGCCAACATAAACCACACACGAGTCGAGAAGTTTTCCAAAAGTTTCCTATTTTGAATTTTAACAGAGCCTCTCGGGAAGGGGAAACCTCTTACCTGAAGGTCCTTGCGTATGCGCCTGTCTTCTATGGCCGTCGTTTGAGTTAACTTATCCGCTAAGACGGTCAAGCATCTAGAATATGGCTTCTATCATACGGGCCACTTGGGCAATCATGATGACACACCTCAGGGTCGGGAAGCTCTGCAATCTATAGTCCTTTCCACCGCCGATGACTTCCTTCGTCAATTGAAGAAAACGGCCCCAGACTTGCACGGCCAGAGGACCCTCAAGACGCTGTAGGTATTGCTCAAGGAACTTGAACAGCACGCCATCGGTTCTATGTCGACATCAGTATGTTTTCCCAAAGAGCAGGGAAAAGGGAGCCTACAGTTCAGGATTCATTGTCTGCTTCCTCGTTTTCTCCAACAGACCTGAGATGCGACCTGAGATACTGTCACATATCATCTGGACTGCGCTCTGCGCGTTCGCTATTAATACATCTGTCAACTCAAATGCCGAGTTCGACGTGGCCACAGTAATCTAGATGAGTTTTAGAGCTTAAGCAATAAGTGATAGTGATGAGGCGTACCCCAGTATCTCTATTCCAGCAATCTACAATAGCTTCAAAAACCTCAGAAGACTGCACTCGGAACAGGTGCTCCAGCACCCTGCGACTCCGGAGGCGTACGCGATTGTAGATGAGAGATGTTGATTCATCTTTCGGAGCACGTATTTCAGGATCTGTCCAACATAGCAAACCCCATATCGAATACAGAACCTGCACTGAATCTCGTAGCGAGCGGTACCCTTGTGATCGAACCTGAGAGAAGGTCAGCCATTGCGGAAATTTTCAGCCAGAGACGAACCGTCAACTGTTCATCCACGTTTTGCAGCGTGTTTTCAGAGCTAAAGACGGTGGAAACGTAACCAAAAAGGCCTCCAGACTCAGCAGATTTCTCTACCCCGCTTTGATCCTCCTCCGGGCTTTGCGGTTCTGATGTATACGCAAGACTAAGTAGTACGAGACGTTCAAGACCATTCAGCAGCATGATGAACTCTGCGTCGGTGATCGTGGAACCTGTATCATCGCTAAATGTGTCATCATGACTTGACGCCTTTAAGACATTATCAAGAGACGTTTGAAGCTGGCGACATATGCATTCATTTAGCGGGGCAACAACTGCGTGTAAAGCCGGCTGGAACTGAGGGACGGCCATGAGGACAAAGTCCAGCCAGTGCTGTAGAACAGGCCGATTGGCTGGGACAGATATACCATCCATTAGGGTCTGAATGAGTAGAGGATTGACGGCATATGCTCTGGGTTGTATTTCCTGGGTGCTGTCAAAAGTTGTTAAGGTCTCCGGAGGCCGTTCACCTTGCCTATGCTTGCCAGCGAATGGCCTGACAAGATCATCGGCGGTGGATGCAGAGATCACTGAATGGAGGAGGTGAAGCAGCTTGTTCTGCAGATCCAGTCTGTTCGTGTGAATGCAATAATAGAGCTTTCCGACGACTATTGCTTCAATAGATTCAACCACGGCAAGCTCTATTTCGCCGCGAGCAACGATAGTCTGAAGAAGCTCGACAGTGGTTGAATGTATCACTGCATTCTGAGGTCGCATCGCGGGAGCCCAAGGCACACTAGGCTCAGATTGCAGGAAACTGAAGGCCTGTTAGACCCAAGCACCAGTAAGATAACTATTTCGCGTACCGAAGCAACAGTTCCACAAGAACTTCCATATATGTGACGTCTTGCTCAGGAAAACCCCCTTATTAAGATGTCAGCCCGCGATGCGGGAGAATAGTATTGAAATTACCATACCAGATTGAACCCTTTGAACAAGCCCCGAATGCTGTGCACGCTTGATGGATGTGTTCCGTGCAGTCTTAGCAAATCCTTGTCCGCCAAATCGTATTACAGACAGTAACATCTCAAGCAAATGTTGGACGTAACGTTGATCGAAGGGGCGCCCATAAACGAATCCTTGCAGTTCCTTTCCCTCGAACTTTTGTGGTGCTGGGTATTCTGCGAATGGATGGATCTAACAGTTCGAAGATGATCGGGTCCAGTACTCTGAAGATGACGTTAGTAATACAGAAATTCTAACTGTCTAGATGCTTACCTCAAATAAGACTTGAGACTACAACGCATCCACGTTTCGCCAATCCGTCGAAGACTGGGGTCATCGTTTTTCAGTGTATCCAGAACTATCATCATAGGAACCTTGAACCGGAAACCAGGAAGGAGATTGTCCTCTGGATGAAAGAATCAGCATTTACCGTGCCTGAAGTCTTTGCGATCGAACCTGTTAATCTCCACAGAACACCAAATGCTTCATACGATTCTTGCACGTTCCGAGACTCGGGTGAGTTCATAGTTTGAGCCAGGATCGACTCGACGTGGGGTCTCTTAGTGGCAGCTTCTAATGCCCAAATGAGATTAACCGCCCGTACATGATATGCTGCGCAATCCGAGCGAAGATAACGAAGAAGTTTGGTCATCATTTTGTACATCGTAGGGCGTTCATCAATGTGCACTTTGGGTTCCATCCCTGAGGCATGATGCAGCGCAACGACAAGGCTCACGGCGCGATCTACGGTTGTGAAATTGGCAGACTAGCAAATCAACGCCGGTCAGTTTAGTTTTGCCATACCCACAAGTAAATCTCACCCCGTGACTGATGCAATCGAGAACCACTGATAGCCAGTGCGAAGGATGCCACGTAACCTTTATCGTAGAGGTACCAAGTCTGCCGACCAGCGTATCAAGGAGAAGAAGGGTCTGACAGAGCGCTTCACGGAGTGCGACGACCTTGTCTGCGGCTGAAACCAATGCATGAGAAAAGATGGAGCTCAGGGACACCAAGCTCTCGAAAGATGATGCGAAAGGGATCCTGAAAGACCTAGAAGAGGGGGCAGGCTCGATTGCAAGAGGTCCAATTCCGTAAACTGTGCAAGCAAAGATGTATGGCCGTTGTGAATCCCTCGCAGAGGTGTCCCCTTCGCTTGCTTCCGGCCGCTGCATAAGAGCAACATGAGGAACCTGGTGCAGTATGGTCTCCAAGAGCGAAAGAGTTTCCTTAGTGGTGATGGACAAAGGCGGAGACTCTGTCGTACTCAATCGAAACTGGACAAACCTCAGTCAGCATAGATAATATTGAGAGAAAGTGACTGGCTTGCATGCAAAAGATCAACGATAGCTGCAAATATTACAGGTAGATGAATGGTCTGAATCTCCTCGTCCTGAGAGAATGTCTTGAGGATGAATTGGACCATGGAAATTGCCTAGAAATGGTTAAAATTCTATCAGAAGACTTGGTACGGAGAGCCTACTTCGCATTTCTCTTCATCCTTGATGATTTCATCAAATACTGCTTGGAGTAGCTGCTTCCATATGATGCCTGGCTCCACCGCTTCGTACAGAGTGCTAGCTGTCATAGTCACCTAGAATGCAACGATAAGTGTCCAGTTGAGAACAAGAGAGGGGTTCTAACATCTTCGCTGCTATCAGTGCTCGCCAAGACCAGAGCTTTAAGAGCTTTGAAAGAATCGAATACAAGCACATCCGTTAGTGGTGCACCTATCTCCCACTTATCAAGAAGAGAGATGAAAATCTTGAATGGCCTTGACTCGGAATATTCACTGGAAGGCGATGTCATCTCCTCCTGCCGTACCGTCAGTTCTGTCAGTATGAAGCTCGTGACAGTACTTACTTTCAAGGTGGAGCTAAGCAGATTCAACGCATTTGTCCGTAGGTAAGTAATTTGATGATCCGGTTTTTCATCAGGACCAAGTAACCAAGTGTATAGCCGCCGGTTCAGGGAGAGATCGCGTCGTAGGACAACAGACACTGCTGCCCTCATCAAGATTGTGCGATCTTCTCCTTGGGCTTTGTGTAGAGCCGCGCTATCCAAACGCATAGACTGCAGTAGAAGGTCCAAGGCTCCTCTTCGTACAAGAAGATTCTCATCCTCCAAGGCAGCAGCAAAGGCGCGAATCATCAAACCGATGTCTCGGCCAATGATGGACAATATATCTGATACAAGTTAGACATCTAGTAGTCACAGAGCTGCGGAGGACATATCGCACCTTCATCGTCCATTAATCGCGGGAGTCGACGTGAAAGAAGATTGAGGGATGTTCCACGGGCAGCTGGCGTTGTTAGCATGACCAGCCAGATATTTTGGAAGAAGAACGACATTGATACGGCCCCAGACAGACGATCCAGTAAACTCAGTACCTATTCATGAATGAGATCCTATCGAATTGCCAGTGGAAATAAACGTACCTTTTCAAAGAATTCCCCAGTCTCCTCCTCCAACCCGGGCAACAGCGCTATTATGAATGATTTCATTACGGGACGCAGGCCCCCTTGCAAGGGCAGATAATGTGTGTCGTATAGGTTCAGAAGAGTAGGCTTAATAAACGTTACTGATGGATGCGCAGCGAAAGATTGTAGAGCATACCTTGACGGATGTCGCGGCGTATTCGAAGAAGGGAAAAAGACCAGATGACCAGAGTGCGAGGTCGCGCCTGAGTCCTTCCGACTGGATACGCCATTAGAGGAACGCTATACCAGGCCAAGGTGCACTCACCCCCAATACTGCGAGAATATGAGCATAGACATCCAGTGCCCGCTGGTGCACCCCCGTAGGTAGAGCGGGATTCAAGCACTGAGACAGCCGTTTTGCAACAATCAGCTTGCGTGGGATCTCCTTGAACTGCATGTACGATTGGAAGGTCTGTTCGCAGTGAATACACGGTAGATAGAGGCGACACATAAGCGCACCTTGAGCAACTGCTTCAAAAACGCGATACAATCCGCCCATTCGTGTACATTATCGAACGAATTGAGGCACTTCTCGACCTGCTGGGTGTATTTCTTGTATTTGGGATCCGATTCATATGCTTGTTGGGCAGCAGCTGATGGTGTCATTTAGCACCTCCGGATTAGCAAAGTCGGCGAAGGCCTGACGCACCACGTTCACTCGTTCTCTCAGAGATCCACGTGGAGCCTTTCTTCGGTGCCGTGCCTGCTTCTGTGGAATCCGTCGATGCCATGGCAGCGAGAGAGAACAGAGCGTCGCGCCCTCGTCGTTGGATATGGGGTGGTCGACGTTGTTGAGAGCGTTGGACTTGACGGAGAAACTAGCAAAAGCAAAAGTCGATTACCGTCACACCGTGACCTCAAACTAACTGCGCCGCGACGTCATGCAGAGATAGTAATAGTAGTAGTCTGTAATAAATTATATAGTGCATAGATAACAAGGTAACGACAGTCCCCGGAACGAATGAATAGCTAGCTGTACGAAAATATATACGTGATACTATAAACATGGTAACAGGCCATCAGCTTGGCCCCATCATATCAGAATCTCCCGCTTCGGAAGATGGCGGTGGCGGGAACTGCATGCTATTCCGCATCTTTGTGAGATTACGGACTCCGGGAAGAGTTGGCCCCTCAGGAACAAGTGATCCTGACCGCGAAGTTCCTGTCAAAGAAAGTGCTTTATTGACTTTTCCTTTACCCTTTCCTGATGCCGAAAGCATGGCCGGTAGCTTCGGAATAGTCAACGCGCCTTCGCCGGCTTTGGAACCAGAGTATTCCGAATCTTTTTCCCCGACCCATGCGTGGGCAAACCAGCGACCTCCAGCAATTCCTCGAATTTCTCTGTTGGCTACACGCCAACACCGCACTTTTTTGCCGCTTCTGTCCAGCGGCATGACAGGAGCAAACCCGGAACTAATTTTGGGAGGAGGTTGGACAGGGAATGGTTTTGTCGGAAGCGGGTATACTGGGAGAAGGAGGGCCTCGATGTTGATTTCTTCGGCAGGCGCATCGCCAAGTTCTGGCTCAGGACTATTGGCGAAATGAGTTGTTACGGGTGATGAAGCAGCAGTGCCGGTAAACCCCCCTATATCCAATCAGCATATATTTCAGTACAAGTAGTCTTGTTACGCACCTTCGCTCAGCACACTGGCATCGTCAGCAAGTTGAGGCAGGACATTCTTCGCCCTAAACATGCCATTAGCGAAGAACGTAGAATGGAAATATGAAATAAGGACTTTGGTGGTTTAGTAACTTTTGGTTTCGCAGGGGCCTTCTTCGCTGCAGGTTTCTTCTTCACTACCTTGGCAGGAGCAGGTGCTGGCTCTACTGGAGGGGCGACAGTCAAAGATATGTGATTTGGGTCAAATCCTTCCTCTACATACCAGTTGTTAGATTGGCTGTTTGCAGTGATACATGGAAGGACATACCTGGCAACGAAGACGCTGGAGGCGGGGGTATCGGTTTTTCCTGCTTCTCCTCTGAGCTCTTTTTCTCTGTCTTCTTCGCCTTTCTCTTCACCGGAGCCTTGCGCTTAGGCGTCGCTTCTACGGGGCGCGCGGGCACTTTTGATGGTTTAGCGCTGACGTCGTCATCATCATCGATGAGCTGGTCTTCTTGGTCTTCATCTTCGTCAGCTTCGTCTTCTGTGTGCGACCGTTTCGATGGTACCGTAACAGTCGGACCCGCGCTTTTCTTGCCTACGACGAGCTTGACACGAATACCCGTACGCTGAGGAGGTGGGGGCGTAACCTCTTCCCTGAGTGTTGAAATCTGAGGCGCATCCATGTCCACGTCCTCATCCATGGCGAAGTGCGACGTTTGATAATGATGTAGAAAAATATAGGAAACAGCAAAGCTGACACGGCCACAACGGCACGCGTCAATGTTTGAACTTCTCACGCTTGTAAATTGTCTCATGACGTAATGTGCGAAGCCGGGCATAAAATGGGGTAACGCCTTCATTATTGCAACCATCAACATCGATCTCCATCTAAATAACGCCTGCAAGACTTCAACTAGAATATCGAGGTCTGAAGCTAAGGCTCAAATTTTCTAACAAACGACTTATTAAACCGGATACAATCTGTCTGAAAGCAGAGAAGACGTACGTCTGGAGGGATTCGGTATGGGTAAGGCAGTCTCTTACTGATATAACCCTCCGTTACTGACGTACCCAGCTCCTTCACTAGGTAAATAATCTACTTACCATCGTTTGATTGCTCACGGAGTAGATGAAAATGCGGGTATGTTGCAACCGGAAGCAAATACTTCTCCAAACTTAATAGCCCCCAGACGACTACGAGACAACCGCCTTTCTCGATGGCGGGTCAACTACGGACTTGTTAGATCGTCGCTACGATCGCACCTGGAAGTCGAACACGGCCACCGCTATATGGGGCATATTCATACTCACCGTCTCAATCGCTGTTGCGCTCGTTTTGTACGCCACAAGGACAGCGCCTGTAAAGGATGCTGAAGAACTGAGAGTTGGAAAACTACCATGTGCGTTTGCTTCGTCTTTAACAATTTGCGCGTGCTGAAATATGTGGCTAGTTATGGGATACAACAGTGCGTCGTACCAAGTAATGGAGTTCGCATATAGCATTGACGTGCCAACTAGCCTGGAATGCATACTGGTGCAACATCAACGAGACACTAATCCTTGAAACTGCCGACCTCATGGTCTCTCTTGGTTTGAGGGTAAGTCTGATCTCTTCGCTATGATTCTGCGCTTACCCATGTGCAGGATGTAGGTTACGAGTACGTAAACCTTGATGACTGTTATTCGGAGAAGAAACGAAATGAAAACGGGGACATCATTGCCCGTCCGTGATTCTCTTATGCTCATTACGCCTTCATCAAAGTGACCTCTGCTTCCAGACAAAGAGCGCTTTCCTTCTGGAATGAGGTCCTTGACTGATCATATCCATGGCCTTGGAATGTCAGTATTTTCGATGTTCTCACCTCATTCTTATCCACTAACAACCATCTAGGAAAGCCGGAATTGTACGAGAAATTTCGTGAAATTTCGAAATATATTAACTTCTTTACAGTATGGGGATTCCGGTTGGTATACTTGTCAATATTACCCAGGCTCGTTCCAGAATGAAGCAAGGTTCGATGCTTTGAGTCATTCACACCTTTAAACATTCAGCCTACATCAATAGGGATGCAAAGTTGTTCCATGAAGATTGGGGATTTGACTTATTGAAGTAAGTCTCTTTGCAATCTACTTCATGTCCAATGCTGATATATTACTGTCAGGTATGACAATTGTGCAGGTATTGCATCATCTGATGCCCTACTCCAATGACTGAACATTTGTGCCAGTACCTTACGATGAGATTATTCGAGAGGGCATGATTGGCAGTAAGTTTCTTTTTCTACTATTCTGAAGGTTCGCGATACCATCGTCTTTTTTTGTAAGAGTTCACTGTTATGGCCAACGCGATCAAGGACCTGGCCAAGTCAACTGGAAAGCCGCCAATGCTCTTTTCTTTGTGTCAGTGGGGTCGTGTAGGTCCTTTTGTGCTGTAAAGTCAAACCTATTTTAATATTTATCGTCGCAGCTTGAACCCTGGCTGTGGGCACGTAACCTAGCTCCAACCTGGAGAGTGGGTCGTTTCACGCATCCCTGGTCCGGGGTTTGAATTCACTCGCTTTTATAGACAACGGATGATATAGGTGCCAACTGGCCGTCCATCGCCAGTATCATCAACCAGTGGGTCCAATAATTTCAGTCAGATCATGGGCTAACGATACCTAGAAACTCCTTCTATGCATGGGCTTCAGATTTTTATGGCCATAACGATATGGATGTCGTGAGTTGTGAAAGGCGCACCGTTGCTATACGCATTGACAAAGATGTACAGCTTGAAGTTGGAAACGGTGACCTCACATATGAAGAATCCAAGACCCATTTCACGGCCTGGAGCCTCATGAAGTCACCTCTACTTATCGTGAGTATCACTTCGTGATTGACGTCAGTTCACTAAGTTTCTTTTTATATAGGGGACCCATGTGGGTTTTATATGCCCTTTTTTCGCCTTGTCTAACGTTTAGAGCAGCTTGCTTCGATCTCCCAAGAAACGCTGAGTATCTTCAAGAATATCGAAGTCATCGCAATTAATCAAGACCCAGTCGTCGGTCCTGGTGTGACGCCTTTCAGATGGGGTCTCAATGCAAGCAATCTTTTTCATTACACTTTTCGTAGCTTGTCTCACTTTTCAAAAAATAGCCTAATTGGTCTTTCAACAAAACCCATCCGGCCCAGTACTGGAGTGGGGACAGTCAAAACGGAACAATTTTTATGTTGGTGAAGTAGTATATGGAAGTACGCTTGTATGCGACTTACATTCTGGCTAGATCAACACCCTCGACGAACCAGCTGACATGTTCTTCAACTTGACCGAATCCCCGTGGATACGCTCAGGGAGACAATACGCTGTGCGAGTAAGTTACGATTTACAGTACACGTTGCCGTTCTTGCGCTGATTTTCACAGGATCTCTGGACCCACACTGATAATGGAACCGCTGTCCGCAACTTTACTGCCCGTGCGGTTCCACCTCACAGTGTCGTAGCACTGTTGCTGAAGGATGCCGGTAACGAGCCTGAAGGGTTGATCCCAAAATGTGCTGCGATGGAACCTTGGTCAGATAATTGGTGTACCGATCAGAACGGTACTCATGTACCTTGAGTAGCAAAGGACTCTATAGACTCTGCCAGTAGTATGCACGAATATTATATAGCTCGCTAGTACGAGATTTGCTGGTTAGTTTGTCCTCGATGTCGACGACATGCAACTCTAACAAACCACATCATCGATCCAAACTGCCACGTTTGTACATTTCCGATACTTAAACCCGACCGCGACAATCATACCTACGTGTAACCCAAGCCACTCATTAACACCTATACTTCAAAATGGTGCGTTTCTCAGCTATCGTTATCTCATCCACGGAATGCTCTATTACGGCTGCAGCCTACCGCTTTTGAAATGCGTCAACGGAACGAAAAGTTCGCCAAAGACGCGCGATCGGGCAAAAAGCCAACACATTTGTCGCGGCAAGAGAAGCTCGCAAAACGAAGCCCGGTAAACATTTGGGTTTTGGCTGTCGTCGTATTTGTTGTCATGGGCGGAGGTACGTTATATTCCATCTATCTCTTCCAACGTACTTAATTCTTCCCGACAGTACTCTTCGAGCTGGCGAGGCTTCTATTCCTGTAACTGAACATGCACCGGAGCACATCCTTATCATTAGTTTTTTTTTGGCCTGGAGCGCATTGTACATCATCACGGTTTCGTCTTATATTGACTCGAGCGCATTTATCAATAATCAAAAGCAAAAATACAAGCATGTTCATCAACGCGTCAGTCGCTGGTGGGGCTGACACTCATGCTCTTGCTGCTCATACTTCCGCTAGCCTTCGCCTTGGACCCACTCGCAGCACTTTCCTCGATACCCTCCATAGCGTCGCTTTCCAGTTCCTTCTCTTCAATCCTTGACCTCATCACCAGCCCACACTCGCATGGTCGGCTGCCAGACCATGACCACGTTGTCCTCTGACGTGCTAGCAGCAGGTCCAGTTCTCCATTTTGCCAGGGGCCCAACAGAAGTCGGATGGTCGGGATGTGTGTCCTGTACGCGCATTAAGACAGGATACAAATATGCAAGGCGAAGGAATGTTTACCTCCGTGGATGAACAACAGCTCGGGCGGTCCATCCTCTTGGTCATCGGGTGTCTGTTCAGAACCTATCAAGGATAAGTCCCAGATGTTTATACGGCGGTCGCTGGAAGCGGAAGCAAAAATTGTAGGGCTGTGTGGCGACCAGGCGAGATGTAGAACGTCATCTGTATGAGATTCAAATGTATGCAGTTTTTTCGTCGGGTTTCGCGTGTCGTGGAGTACTACGGTCTACCACCAAATGAGCAAACCAGGAAACTCTGAAAGTGCAAGAAACAAACTTTATCAGCGCTCCCTGTAACCAGTAGGTGCTCGCTTGCCGGACTGAATGATACTGCCAGAATTTCACGGTCATGGGCTTGTATTTTGGTTGTTGGTTCTGCGGGTGTCCTCGTATCCCACCTTGATGTAATATCAAATGTCAACAGGCCAGGAATTGAATGCGCTTCTCACTCACAGCATAAGCATCTTATCGTCGCCAACGCTGGCAAATACAGTTTCCTTTGTCGCATGCCAGTCTACGTCCTGCACAGTTGTCAATAGCAGAAAGTAGCCAGAAGCAATATACACTAACTCCGACAACGGAAGTATGGCCCTTGTAGACTGCGGTCGGTTGGATTGTTGACTGTCCCTTTTGATATGAGTTTACATCCCTAAATTGCGTTAATCCTCGTCTTCTGAAAAGGACAATGATCCTACCAGTGGCAAACGGTCATGTCCTCAGAGGCGCCAAGCACGTTACCAGCCTTGACTGGGTTCCAGGCCAAACCAAAACTAGGAGAGATTTCAGCAAACGACTGTAAGGTCTAAGATTGCGTACACTCACCCTTCCTTTGTCTGTCCCACCAGTCGTATATCGGGTTTACACACCCCACCTCTTTCAGGCTCGCTCGAATGTTTCGTACGATCAAATACCAACACCTCTCCCGTCACGGCCTTGGTCGCGATCAAATCAGGATTCTGAGGCATGTATCGCGCTCGGTTGACCTCCCCGGCATGGTTGATCCTCTGAATAACCTGGATGCGGGGCGCAGATGGGATTGTGTGACCTCCGAGCTCACCACGCTCGTCATCGTAGTCACTGCGGTCCAACTTGTCGGAGCCTGGGGAGTTGTCACGCTTGGGGATTGAGACGGTAGCAATTTGGAGGTAGTCTTGTGCTTGGCCGGAGGTATGGGTCCCAAGGAGGAGGCGGTGGATGGAATAGGGCTTGTTGGGTGGACTATGTGGCTACGTAAGGTCGAGCGAAGTGAAATGCTGGATAGTGACGCACGATTCTTTGTCGGGGAACCATTGACAAGTCAAGCTGGGCCAGTCGAGCGCGTGCGTGATAACGAGGTCATAGAGATATGGCGCATTCTTCTTCCTGATAATATGTCAGTGAAAGGTAGCATAAAATGGAAAAACAAGCTTGCCATGTTTTGTATTCCTGTTCATGGGCTTGCAGTGTCAGAAAGAATGGCCAGCACTATAGTAAAGGATGCACCTCATTGATCAACTTGTTCTCCTCCTCTGCCGCAAAATCATCCTCTATCTCCTCGACTTGCGGCTTCATTTTCGACTCGGAAGCTGGTATAGATACAAAGTAAAAGGAATTACCGTCGTTGAAGGTGGTGGCAAGAAGAAAAGACGCGACGCGTTTGAAATCTTTCCCACGCTCACAAACAGCCACAAAGGAGACGTCGTACGGAGGCATAAACTTTCTTGATTTTTTGTATACGAGTATACGCCAAGACGAATCGAACAAAATACTTGTATTTACGAACATATTCAACGTTTGCAAGTCAGACAAGGTATACTGCCAGGGTCAATATTATGCGTCTTTTGTTGGCGGCTTAACATGTCTATAAGCAATCCATGGACGAACAAGGGTAACACTGTTATGCTGCCTTCTCCCACTTTGCAATCAGCTTCTCCAGGTCGAACCGTGGGTCTTCTGGATCTGTGATGACTGAAGGAACCACAATTGTCAGCACTGCGGGCAGCAACAACGCGCCCAGTGATGGCGACGAGCAGAAGCACTCACGGGAATCCGTAGTAGCAGCCTTTGCTGTCTCTTGTTTCTTCTTCCATGCCTCCTTTGCCTCTGCAATCAACCGCTCTCGCTCGTGCTCCGCATGCTGAGTTTTGTGCACATTGTGTGCTGCTTGTAGGGATCGACGGTGGTACCAGCCATAGACAACACCAGAAAAGAGAGCCGTGTATCGGGCAACCTGTTCATTTTGGCGAAGAATTAGCGACAGACGAAAGAAAAATAGGAGAAACGACAGCGCACATTCACAGTAGGTGAAACCATGGTATTGCCTTATTTTCTCGACCGGCCGCGCAACAGGTGAAGGCTAAAAACCTATAGCTTCAAGTGAGCGCTGCTGGCGTCTGTCAATGAGAGGAAAGAGAAAGACACAACCGGACTGACTGGAATTATAGAGAGCGAGTTGGAAGTGCTCGTTGGCGGATGATCTCGGCAATGGCAATCCGCTGTATTAGTCAGCATTGCTCCCTGTCTTCACCGACCACCTTCCTTTTTCCAACTTATTTTTTTCTCGCAATTGTACAGTGCCTTTGAGTTTCTCTTGTCTGTAGGTGATCACCATTCCTTCCGTGACATTTATTAACAGAGGAATGGTCTTGAAGGACTTATATCCACCCGACACGCAAACACTTGAGAATCTTATCTGATCCAAGTGATATTATTACTGTCGCCCCGATTTTCCTCTGATTTATCTTGACCAGATGGATCAACGTGTTCCTCAGGAAATTTTGGATGCTGTTGTAGACTTGTTGAAAGATGACAAGCCTGCCTTGAAAGCGCTTTCACTGATATCGCGCTGCTTTACACCTCGCACGAGGGTCCATCTCTTCTACTCCATCACTCCAGGGGAAGCTCAGTGGAATGAGGGAATGCTGGATCTTCTTCGATCCTCCCCTTCCCTCATCGTTCATATCAGAAGACTTCGTTTCTTATACCTTTGCTCATATGACTCGGCACTCATAGCTATCATCGAACTATTGGTTAACCCGATTCATCTAGTGATATCGTGGAGGAAATGGGGCGATCTGCCGGAACAATTTCTCCAGGCTCTTCACTCCAGAGCATACGCGTCAATCGTTCTGTCTGATTCTAAATTCACCTCTTTTTCCGAACTGGCATCTTTGCTTGCCAACTCCACGCATCTGGAAAGGTTGGCAGTATACAAATATGAGCCTTGTTTCCGTGATACCGACCCTTCCTCCTGTACTCACCAGCATCCATCTCCGGGACCGCCAGTCGATCACCTGATATTGTTTGACCTCGATGGCTGTCTGTATCATCTTTTGAGTGGCTATTCATTCACGTCAATGCCCGGTATCCATTGAAGAACTCAGAACTTTGGAGATCCATCCCCTGTGGCAGAGATTATTTCTCCCTATTCCAAAGTTTATACAAAAGAGCAACCAAACTAGAAGAGCTAACATTCAGGCACTCTGGTAGTGGTATGTCGTAATAATGTTTTTGAAATGGACACTCTCACCAACTGATGCATAGCCCCAGTGCCCTTGGCGACGGTCTCCCCCCTCCCTATTTCGCACCTAAGAAAGCTTACGGTCAAAACTGCCCCCATACCATTCTAGAGGTACTCAGCCCCTCGATTGGTGGATTTCCAACCTCGAAAGCGCAGACGGGAATTGTTTTCTTACAGGTATCCACTTTCTTGTGCACGCAGAACAAGATGACTATCTGCAATATGTGCAGCATAATCCCGAGCATGAAGCAGTGTGGGATAGAGTAGCTCATGCCTTGTCGAAACCTCGGATGCCCGTTCTTCGTTCACTCAAGGCTGAAATTCGTATTGAACACAGTGCAGGCGTTGGTCTGCGGCCCGTTCCATCTTCATCCGTGTGTTGCTCCATGTACGACTGTATTGAGGGCAAACTCGCGACATTAGAGAGCCAAGGTGTAACAGTGCAAGTGATCTTTAAAACACCGGGATGGTCTCGTGCCCGCCTCATGCTCGTGAGTATTTTACTTTCGTCTATTTCTATCGATCTGAGAATCCAGGATGCCTTGTCGGACGACTATGACTGAGAACTGGAAGAAGAATATTTTCAGGCGTGTTTCTCGTATGGCTTCCTTTCGAGCCATGCATCATCTTTTTTGCCTTCGCTTGCAAAATTGTAGAGTTAAAAATGAAATCAGCTATTTAAAAAAAAGAAGCGACGCGTTGTAAGTGAGGTGAAAGTGAACAGTGTCCCAAGCCTAGTTTTTGCCTCCTTTCCTGATCGCCGGTGAGGTACGACTGCATTATGGCTGTCCATTTGCAGGCGTATGGTAAAGCATGGAACTATCACGGCTAATGACGGGGCACAGCCGGCGCGCAGTACCACCTAGTACCACCACCAGAAATATGAAAGCAGAAATATATATTGCCGGTGTCCCCTGTAATCTGTATCCGACATCAGAAATATTAATTCTGGTGGGAATTTCACGCAATGCGATAGAAGGAACCGGCAAACGTACGCCGGGTTGGATCGGTTACTGATGACGAACGTACGTCAGTAAGCTCGCGCCCTTACCACCGCTTCCTCTCCTCCGTCAACAAGAATTTTTGAATTTTCACTCAATCTTTGGCCCCAGACCAAAGATACGAGTAGAGCATGCGACGATGGCCAGTCCGTAGAAAGTTTTTGCACTCATTCCCCAATTTTACAACTTTTTGCCGGAGACACAGCGCCTTGGCCCAAAAAATCGAGCATACCCCAGTAGAACGATCCCAGATACATCCTCCACCGATAATACTCTCCAGAAGACCAGATCCATATGTTATTCTCGCTTCTGAGCTTTCCCAGCTACGTGGAAACCTCTTAACTCTCCTTGGCTCAGCTCATCCAGGTCTTAAAGACCTGGCACAATGCTACTTTCTCGACCCGACAAAACTTGTACGTTCACTCGTTATTCTACTCTTTGCACGCGCGACAAATGGACTGGGAGAGGACTGGGAGGCGATGGAGTGGAATGCAGCAAGGGAGGCTGCGTCGGGAAGGACTGAAGAGTTCGAGCAGCCGTTGACGCGTAGCGACGTCCTGCACTACTGGAATCCCAGCATGCCTGATCATGCTGAATCGTTCGACTCTATATTTCCTTTACAAACACCAACGCCGTTTCCACCTTCTCCTCAATCCCTTTCGTCGAACCTTCCTTCCACTCGCCCGTATCTCCTACCAACACAAATACGCGTCGCCCAAATAGTCGAGATGATTCAGGTTGCCTCGATGCTTCACGACGAAGTATCCGTGACGGCCACCTCGTCGCCCTCACCACAGAGTTCACAGCCCGTATTCGGCAACAAACTTGCCATTCTTGGTGGCGATTTCCTGCTCGGACGTGCCAGTGCCGCTCTCTCCCGACTAGGCGACAGTGAGGTGGTTGAACTTGTCGCGAGTGTTATCTCAAACTTAGTAGAGGGCCGGGTGATAGAACTCAAGACCGAGTATGCATCTTCCCCTCTCACCCCCCAAGATGCTTGGCATACCTACTTCAAAACTACATACCTGAAGACTGGGAGTTTATTGGCGAATGGTGCACGCTCTGCCGTGATACTAGGTGGATGTAGGAACGAGATTTGGAAAGAGGTCGCGTACGCGTTCGGGCGGAATATTGGTATTGCACTTCAGGTAGGATATCTATCTACCAATCATTCATTGCTAACTATATCTGTCTTGTACAGTTGGTTGATGATACCAGAGAACATGAGTCTTGCATGTCAACCAGTACGCGACCCAGAACTGCAACAAGTCCCATCTTATTTGCATGGGAGGAGCATCCTGCTTTGGGACCTCTAATAGAACGCGGGTTTAGTGAACCAGAAGACGCTGCAGTGGTAAGCTAAAACGTGGTCCGAATTGTGATACCTCCAACTTATGATATTATCAGGCAAATGACCTGGTGCGCAGGTCTTGTGGCATCGAGAGGACATGGGAACTCGTCCGTGACTACGTTAACAGGGCCAGCAATCTTCTTCGATATCTACCGGATAGCGATACGAGGCTGGCACTAGACTTATTTACACAACGCATAGCGGAACAGACGCCGTGATTAGCTTTTTCATGCACGAACTCTTAAACGTGTTAGGATGATGTATAGTTACCGCAGTCGAGAGACAAATCCTACGAATATCGTCTGGGGTGCTCGCTGAGGGTACAATAGAACAAGAAGCAACGTATCAAACATGATGTACACGCGCCGGTCTGAACTGCGAGGAGGCACTTGGAGAGAATTCTTATACGGAATTAGGAATAGCGGGAGGCGGCGAAAGCGCTGCATTGGTAGAGGACCGAAGCCCCGAGATTGGATCGAGGGTACCAGTTCTGGGGCACCACCACGCCGCCATGAAGACGCATGGCCGAGGAATCAATGAACGCCGAGTGTGCCTCAAGGAATGAGTTGCAGCTCACTAAAAACAGATACCAAGATGAAAGTAGCTGCGAGAGGTTTGCAATGAAGGGTAGTATATGGAGAGAAAGTCACGTCGTGGTGGAACGAGATTGTGATGTGAACACAGCGGGCAATCATTATCTTCTTCCCGTCGAAAATGAGTATAGAGAGATCGTAGGATCAGTGTGTGTAGTTAAGGGTCAATTGTTGGTGAATGAAGGTGAGCGGAGGGGCAGGAATATTATCGGCACCGCTAATGTAGTAGAGAAAGCCACAAATCGAGCTTCTCCGGTATTCCTACTGTGCATCTGGCCAATGCTTTACTCTGAGAAGCGGTAGGCTGTACATTTCATGTCAACCCAAGTCATAGTTAGCAACTCGTGATGACATCTTACCGTGTTATTGATGGTCCTTGCAGGACAACATCCAAACCTGCGGCATCCCTACTCTCACCCAGTATTCTGGTCAAAGTGACCGGTTTGTCCAGCTTGGTGTTTGTATACATGTGTGACCCAAATAGATCCAACGGGGGAGATGGCAGATGTGGACTCGGAAGGTCTCCTTGGAGATGTATCAACGCCTTTGACGCGGCATCATTCGATGGGAAACGGTTTCTGTAAAGGTGGAGAGTCCTCATAGCCTTCAGTTTACAGGACGCTTCGGTGACGGCTGGAACCATTCCTTGCAGAATGTTAATTATACTTTCTGGTAATCGTGATCCTGTGAGCAATGGGTGAGGCTCGAGAGCCTCATCAAGCTGTTCAACAAAGAGACTCTGAGACTCCAGCGAAAGAGGGATATCATAATCGATGGCCAGGAAGAGCCGGCGGAGGGTGTTCGATGCCTCGTAAGGAAGGGACGGACTCTTTAGTAGATATGCGATGAATTCAGTCGTCAGGGAAAATCCTGCTTGATTGAGAGCTGGTCGAAATCGGTTAATATACTTGAAACTCAGTTCTACAAGGCTCTCTGTGATCCTGATGTCGGACGTGGAGGCCGCCGGTATTGATGAGCTCCTCCAAGTGCCAATGAACAGCCTCCATCGTCGTGCAGGGCAGAACGAATTTTTGATGGGAGCAGAAAAGATGCTCTTCCAGCTCATCAAGCTGCTGATGCAATCTCTTGAGCACGAGGTCGGAATGACGGTGGGTCAAGTCAACTTGAAGTTGACGATGGCACCACTTTCCAGTCATGACAAACCCCCCAATCTCTGTTTCTAGCTTGAGAATTTGATCGACATACATATCGAGTAGATTCCTGGATACGACGGTGAGAGCGGACACTGGGAGTAAATCATGAGTATTCCGGGGTATGTCCTGTTGTTCGCTTCTACTGACCGGAATAATCTGATACACTTGGTATGCTGCTTTGTACAAGGTTTATGTATTTCAGCGTTTGTTCGTCAAAGTGGAGTGTTTCCCGTGAACGATATGTCGCAGAAGTTGTTGTAACAGGTGACGCTGGGAGGGACATCATTGTTAAGGACCATATTGCACTAAGGCATGTTATAGCCCGCTTCTGCACTGTTGCTGGTGCGAGCTCGCTCTGGGTGCATGTCACGAGAAGGCGTTGAATACGATATCCCAGGCGTATCGTCACCGCGTCGTGATTAAGCAACCTGTACAGCAGCAGCTTGGCGCTCAAATCGCTACAGGCGACGACGTTGGGTATAACCTCGATGAAAGGTTCCAACTCGTTGTCGACGCGTAGTAGCTCAATAGCCCAGCACATTGCATCGAAATCTCGTGCATCGCGCTGTGGTGATATTTCTACAGCGGCGGTCTCCTGGGCTTCCGACATTCCACAGACAATAGGTTGTAAAACGCCGAGGGAGTCTCGACGTCGAAGCAGTCGGAGACTGCAAAGAATTCTCCAGGATAAGAGGGAGAGAGGTGTGCGGTAAGGACAGTCATAATGGAATACGGGAAGAAAAGTGATGAGAGCATATAGTGTCCCACAGAGGATGGTGGTCGGCAAGAATGAGATACGCCAAAGCATTAGTTCACGGATAGCAGATACGCGAATAATCCGGCCAAGAAGAGTAAGAGAGAAATATGGAGTAACAATGGTATTATTTCGACTAGAGCAGCTATCTTGAACCTGTTGAGTCCTTGGTATAGAAATGCGGATATTCTCGCACGCCTTTGCGGTGTAGATCGGTTCTCCGTCGCCTGGATGTAATTCCTGGTCCATTGCTGAACTAGCGTGGCCGACAAGGCACAGATGAGACTGAAGCCAAGGCTGAGAAACTATAGAGTATTACAGACTAGTGCGGATGCCGTTGGTGTGAATTTCGCATCGAGAAGGTCTGGTACGTTAGCTGGGTGCGACCCGTTGGACACGGACACCTAGCTGATCGGAAATGTGGGCAAGCAGGAATATGACCTTGTCATCTGTATTGGGTAACAGTGACTTGTAGCTTTCTATAATGAATGCAGTCACGCTAGCAGAAAACAGACCAGCCTGCAATTTGATTATTAAAGGTGATTCGATAAAGCGATGGCGTCGGCCTACAAATATCAGAATTGAGTCCATGTCGCCCTTCCAGTTGTGCGCTAGTGCGCGATCGTGCTTTTCTGCTTCTGTGAGATAGGAATACCAGAGCTTTGCTGATGGATCTTCGTAGCGGGGCGATTTCATGTGATCATCTGTGCTTTAGAGTCAGAAACTGGAACGGGCAGAGTATCACGCCGACTGCGTACCTCCTGAAGCACTCATCATAGCTGCAATTCCCTTCGAGTAGCGAAGAAGAGAGAAAAGGAAAGACGAGAAGGATTGCTATGCTCATCATCGTCTTCAATTGCCAGGGATGCATCAATGCTGTACTTGGCAGGAAACGTAAAGCTTTCTGATGGACCTGAATTCCAATGGTCATGATGAGCCAACGCTACCTTTTTCTGGTTTTTCTTCTTAAGAAGTGACCTGGACTAGAGCTGTTACTTCCAAGTAAAGAACAATCCCGTTCTATCTCCCTTGGTGAAATGTCGGTGTGCACATGATTCTGGGGGATTGCGGGGTAAGCTGAAATAGCCTTCGGCTCGGCCCGGATACGATCTATAGCCGGGAAATGATCACGGGTGCCCGTGTTTCTGTACTTTTACAGTCCCTTACCGAAGAAGCACGGCTTTCTTCCCAAACCTCCCACTCAGACTATTCTCCCTTCGTTTCGAGGGCCCAAAATGCTAGCACAGCTCTCTGTTGGCGCAAAACAAGTATTAGAACTTTCTTCTCGGTTAACAGGGGGCGATGATGATGAAGATCAACGACTGGTGGGTTGTTGCTTGCACGCCTTGAAGGAATTCAAATAATAACGTTCTTCTAGGTCATAAACCTCGAAGTTCTACTGCAGGACCTGTCTTTGCAAGTACCAGACGTGTGGCGACGCGTGGCAGCGCTCTACGGGGAGTCCATACATCCTGCATGCAGCAACCTTCGGACCATGCTCAGCGACGATGTTGAGCGAATGGAAAAGCTCTTCCTTAATTTGGAGACACACGATGACGATGATGACGACGTTGATCCTTCAGTGCGAGCGACTCGCATATTCTTGGCTCCTTCACTGACGGCAGTTTTTCAAGGCTTCTGATTTGGATCCCCCGTGTCCCATGAACCTAACGCCAGACATCTATCGTGACTCTTCTAATGATGCCTCCACGTCCCGGAGTCAGCGGCGACGGTCCTGTTCGGTGAGTCAAACCGCTAGTATCTCTTTTGGTTCCGCGTTTGACATGTACCAGCCTTCGCCACCCAACTTTCAAGTTCCGAAAATTGTCCTAACTCTATGTCCTTCACAACCTCACGAAGTTTCGTGCCGCGTTCCGATACAAGACAGTGCCTACAATCAACGCCTTACGGTCCCTACGCACACCACAGTCAACAGTGTCTTCCCTCCAATGCGCGCACGGTCGCCTCCTGTAAAGTCAGTAAAAGATTGGGTATGGCGAGATGGGCATTGGCAAGCGATCCTCCCTGACTTGGATGAACAGGCCAGACGAGGGATGTTTTCGCGTCCGTCGTCGAATGTCAGACGGAGGGCGTCGCGATGCCGGACGTGCTGCAATATTCCTCAGCGAGCTTTGCACCATTCATGCGGACATCACCGCTCATGACTCCAGAATGCATCCGTGTTATCTGAGGGATCCTGTGTATTAGTAGATACCTTTCGAAGATGTATTGAGTACTTTCAAACTAGGATTTCTAGTCAGAACTTTTTGCCGGTACCGGCTATGTGTGGCAACCAATCAGAAGCCCCTTTAGGAGACACGTCTGACACGTGGGTGAACGGCACTTACATCACAATCCAAGTGGGCACGTCCTCGCTTCGTCTGCTTCCTGTACTATCACCATCATCTATCTGCTGCTGTTTCGCAAAAGGCAAATCTCCCGGATCGCAGTGACGCGCGTCCCTCTGGCTGCAGTCACCCTTTCATATCCATCACCCACTGGAAATGACCTTCAAGGCTATCCTATATGCTTATGTTCTTGGAGGATTAACATTCATTCCATTGCTCCTTGCATCTCTTATTCTCTTCACCATCTACACCTCGGTTCCTGTAGGTGACCTGGATGTTTCCAAGAAGCGCAAGAGCGTCTTGGAGGGGAGATTACAGGAGGAAGACGCAGACACCGCTCCTGAATTGGCAGCTCTGACAATAGGCGACATCAATGACCTGCCCAAGACTCGGAAGGGATGGTTGACGATGCGGAGGACGTTTGAAGAGTCTGCCTTCGACGGTGGATATGTCACGCTTGTCCGGTCATTCTTGGATGCTAGATCCAAGGACCCGAAACGCTCGCGACCCAAAGACATGTGGTATGTTGTCTTGAAGGGGAAGATCCTCTATCTCTACGAGGATGAGGGCATGACGGAATGCGAGGCGGTGATTCAATTGGGAGCACACGACGTCATCATCTATCCAGAAGGCCTTTTGGATGGCGAATTGTTTACGAAACGGAATGCTATTTGCCTCCAGCCCAAGGGCTCCAACGCAGACAATGGCATGCCGAGCGTGACAAAAGCCATGAAGCTGGACGAAGATGATGTAGGAAAGGGATCGGAGGATGCAGAGACCAGCACAAAAGCGGTGGAGACAGCGACAGAGGCTGAAAAGCTGAAAACTCTCGCTGCAAAGGAGGAAGCAATTGATTCAAATACCCCTTGGTTCATCTTCGTTCGATCCAATGTTGAGATGGAGGACTGGTATCTGTCACTAATTCACGCGTCGGATCATCCTGCACAGACACACCATCTTTCTCCACTCCAAGCAATATTTCTTCCCTCCGACATGAATCTTCTTGTCACAACTCTCGATGAACAGCCCGATGTGATTCCCATGCGTTGGCTCAACGCCCTTGTTGGTCGCATCTTCTACAGCTTTTACAAGACACACCTTCTCGAGGCGTTTATCATTGGGCGTCTCATGAAGAAGCTGTCAAAGATCAAAAGGCCCACCTTTCTTGCTGATATCGTCGTCACACAGGTGTCCGTAGGAAACGCGGCGCCTACCTTCAGTAAACCCATGCTCAAAGAACTGACCAAAGAAGGAGACGCGTCTTTGGAGATTCATCTGCTATACAAGGGCGAAGTACGCCTTACTGTTGAAGCCACCGCGAACATCAATTTGGGCACATTCAAGTCCTATAATGTCAAGCTCGTTCTGGCGGTCGTCTTGAAGGAGATAGAGGGAAATCTACTATTTAAAGTGAAACGTCCACCAAGCAATCGCATATGGTATGCCTTCACGCAGATGCCTCGGATGGTTTTGGAGGTCGAGCCTATCGTCAGCGACCGTCAGATAACATGGACTATGGTTCTCAGCACAATTGAATCGAGACTTAAGGAAGTCGTGAGTTTCATATCCATCTATCGACCGTGGACAGTGATTCATGATTGCACAGATACAAGAAAGTGTAGTACTTCCCAACATGGATGACATAGCGTTCTTTGAAAGTCTATCACATCAGCATCGAGGGGGTATTTGGCCAGATGCCGCTAGGCGTGTCGGCCCTCAGCGTGTCCCCGATCAATCCTCGAAAGACACAGGCACAGGAAATTGACAGCAGTTGAGGCACCCACAGAAACGGAACAAGTGCCGTTGCTTCAGAAGGCAACTGTCTTTACAGGAACGGACAACGTCGTCGACCGAGCCCCCACTTATGACACTTTCATCAACAGAGCCAAGTTTTTCTGAAGAATCTTCTCCTCTAAACCGACGGCGAACATGGTTCTCGACTTCCCGAAATGATGAGAAGCTGCTGTCCGATGATCGTGAAAACTCAACTGCAAAAGATGATGAGGCTCGTGGTCGTTCGGTGGATGTTGGAAAGATTACATTGGCCAGATCGCATTCGGCACCTGGTGAACCGGAGGTCAATCGCATTGGAGATGGTTCCGATGATGACTTCCGGCAGTAACCCACAGAGTCATCTCTTAGTAAATGATGGCCGTCGCTCGCCCTCGCGAGCATTCGTCTACCTCGGATAATCAAGGAAATGGACCTCCCTTCTGTCTCTCGATCCTCTTCACGGTCGCATAAGGACGTACCACCATCTCCGTCTCCAGAACCTGCTCGAGTACCTCCTGCATCCCCCAGCTGCCACTTCTTCATTCCTGTCTACACTTAAAGTCCAAAGCGGGAGATAAACAGGCCCTCAGCAACTCAGCAAAGGAGACTATGAGGAAGTGGGGTGTCAATTGGAGTAATCTGCGTAAGGGTACCACGGGGAGCGGTGACGAAATGCCAGATCATGGACCAATCGACTCTCAGGAAAGACCCGCGAGTACTAGCAGCCTGTCGCATAAAGCTCGAACGAGCTATGCGGAGGTCCGAGCGGCTGTAGCGGAGCGACTGAGGGGCGGGGAAGAGCCCAGGCCGTCCTCTGCACCAGATACCTTGTCTCGTACGCGGACGGTTTCATCTTCAATGCTAAGCCCCGCCCAGTCTTCCTCCCGAAGAGACCATGAACCCGATATATCCGACAATGTCCTACCTCCTGACGACGCTCCCGAAAACCCAATACACGTCCAGCCCCAAGCTAAAACGATGTCCATCCCGGGGATACACGCTAGCCACAGGGGAAATGTGATGTCGATGGGATATGTAGCTCCACCAGTATCCCCGCCGCCTGAGAGCAAGAAGAACCCGGTCCTCCGTCTGTGGAAGAGCCCGGTTCTGTCTGGTTCTACGGACAGCTCGGTTGCGATGTCTCTGCCGGAGGGAAATAAGAGTGTCGAGTCTCTTGAGCCTGCGCCTCCTCTGAATAATGTGCCTATTCCTCGGCCTCCTCCTCCTGCTCTGCCTCCTCGACCTTCGGTTACACGGCCACCGGTACAGCATACTAGAGTTGCATCGGATCCTTCAGCCCAGTCCGCGTCAGATAGCCTCAAGTCTATTGTAGACAAGGAGGAGAAACGGACTGGACGGCCTTCGATATCTGACCCGACTCCTCCTCCTCCTCCTCCTCCTCCTCCCAACCCGGATCCAAACGTCACTGAAACAATATCATTATCGCAAATCGAGATCGCTTCTTCATGAGAGAGGCTTTTTGACACTATACACGTCTATATCGCTACTGTTCAATAATTATTCCAGCACACATTTGTATATTACGCATAGTTGGTCGGTCGGTCGTTATTTTTGCTGTAACATGGTATTTCATGCGCACGATTGAGTTTCTACGGTGTGATGCATATGGAATTTTATTTTCGCAAGGGTGCTTCTATGCACTGTTTTCCATTCCAACTTTTTCGGCTCTTCCAAGTATAAGCTAGAGCGTCCAATCCGGTGCATTTTTCTATCATTCCCTGTTTCGCTTGTGCTTCTTTCCGTGATGTAGTTGGGAAGTTTCCGCCTACTAAGTAGTTATTATCGGCTGTACATATATCACGGCAGTCGATCACCAGCGCTAGCGGGGATCCTCGTACTCGTACGAACGGCATTCTCCTTCGTATTCTATACGCCGGGGTGCCGGTTGAGAAATTAGTGATGGTGTTTTATTTTAACCTTGATCATGACAGCCAGAGAGTGCAATCGGTCGTCCTGTCGAAATGAAACATAGCCTCGACCAGGTAGTGGGAATCGTCGTCTTGACGACTTTATTAGCCTTTGTGATATTATTTGTTTATCTCACACTAAATAGCCTGCTGTAAAGCACGAGGAGGAAAAGAAAAACTTGATTGCTGTTGCATTATACAGCTTGAACGGACTCGGAAAGGATAAGTAAGCCAGGATCTCTGTTTGGGGTCGTTCGTTGACCTTCCCTCCCCCTTCAGGACGTTATATGCCATCGATACCGAGGGCTTTAAATACCCAAACCCCGATATCCGAGCTCGAAGCGATATCATGGCGAAGACCTGCACCTATTATGGAGTTTACCGTTCCACCTGCTCCCAGCGAAGAGGGGAGAATAATCCCCTTGTCGCCGCCGCCTCCGCGGGTCCGCAAGACTTTGACGAGCAGACCTCCCCAAGATCAAGGACAGGAGATCTCGATTCGCGGTGGCGCCTGGCCATCTAAGGCGAGTTTGCACGGCCTCCTGGAGGAAAACACTTCTCGCGCCGGGGTTGATTTGTTGCCAAAGATACGAGAAGAGTTCGAATACGGGCCTCTTCTTCTCAATACCGATACTAGCATGGAGGGAAAGCGGGACCACGCAGTTGGAAGGGGGCCGAGCAGAGGGAAGGGTGCCGGTAATGCATCAAGAGGTGATAGCAGGGTATTGATGGTGGATGAAAATTCCCAGCAACGGGTAGAGCATCATCATCAGTCGAGATCATCGCCTGAGGTCTCATCGGAGGTGTTCAGTCCAAGTAAATTTCTGGAATCTGTTTTCCGGTTTCAGGTTGATGGCGAGAGACTTAAAGACGACGAGGGACATGCAGGTTCGCAGAGAAGGTCTTTCAGTGTGCCTACGGTTACCTTGCGAGACGGGGACGAGGACGGAGTAGTAAGAAGGGCAGAGCAGGTGGGTTCTAAAATTTGATGATTTTGAGGTAAATAACTGAGAAGAGACAAAGATTCCGACGCGATGACAACAGCAGAGCTTCCAGTGTTAGATATTCGACGGCAAGACAAAGCACCGCGACTGGAATTGGACCCTGATGTTGTCAAGCCGCGACCCTTTCTTTCTCACGCCCGAACGGGGTCGTCGCTGTCGTCGTCGTCATCATCATCGTCGAGCTCGACAGAGACTGAACCATCCCTCTATCCAGCCTCCACCACTGAGGACACACGAATCAGCATATCGAGCACAGGCGTACGAGGGATCCTCCGAGATGTCGCATTCGAACCTTTACAGGTGCACTGATAGAAGGAGGCGGCCGCACAGGGAATGATCGAAGCTCCTTTATCGACCTTTTACCGACACCCAAGTTGAAAGTGATGACCTCGACGACCTGACGAATGCTCGCTGCCTATTAGTATTAGCGCCGAGGACGGATCACGCGCTCGCTCGCCCAAACCCCCTATCCCCACTACTCCCAAACCAGATTTCACTCGACACAACGCCAGTGATAATAATAGTAATGACCTCCCACCGACAACCAACTATCTCAAAGCGGAAGAACGGGCGGACCTCATTCGCAAGTCACGGAAACTGGCCCAGGTGTTTGGACAGACGCCTGGAGCCGGTGTTATGCCGCAGCAGGATTCATGGGTCAGTTTCCTCGACTTGCCTTTGGGTCGTCACCTTCGTGGGTCCGCCTCTGTTTCAAACCCGCCTGTACCTGTACCTGTACCTCTTCCCGTCTGGCCGCCTCCTGAAGGTAACCCAGTACCTCACGGCCTTCAGGTCGGCGCCATTCAACGCCTATGACACCGGACGAGTTTTCCTTCCTCCATGATGCCGGAAGCGACTACAGATCCAGCTGCTATTCGAGGCAAGAGTATATCATCCAAGTTGGATCTCAGGAAGGAGAACCATCAACTGATGCTCGTAGCGACCGGCCTAATGGAGACGACACCAAATCTTTCATCGACCTATCTGAGGAAGAGTTGCCTGATGATGATATTTCGGCCATCATCTCACATACCACTCCGAGCAAGGACCGGTCTCCATCACCTTCAACTCGCTCCCTGTTTCAATTCGAGCACTTATCACCGGAGGAGCAGGCTGAAGACCTCAGAAGACGTAACAGGGAGAAGCTTGCGAAGCTCCATCGCTTTTTAGGCTCTCGCATTCCTACAGACCTCGTTCTTGGTTTAGAGGACCCTTTCCTTTCCTTACCACCTCCTCTCGACGTTCAAATGGATTCTACAGACGAAGTCACTCGCAAGGCTTGGCTCAGAAGACGTAGGAGCAGCTCCGTTGCAGCCTTCCCCCCCAACTGGTCCGACGATCATGACCGGGTCAAAGAGGACCTCAACGACAAGGAGAAGGCGATCAACGTACGTCGAGCACAGAAAATGGAAAAGGTCCGCCCATGCTTCCTCACGTTGTTGACCGTCCAAACTTACATCTCCTTAGATGTTCGGCGTTGCACCGCCCCAAACGCTGTATCATACCCGACACGGTGCTTCCCCCTCTGGATCCCTTGTAGGCCTAGGTGCCCCACCAAAGCCACGTCCAGCCATCCCAGGCTCTAGTCCAATGGCCTCTCCACCCTCATCCCCGAAGAATATGAACCAATCCCCCTACAAGAATAAGACTAGGAAGGAGGATCGGCCCGGCTCCTCCGAATCTCTTACGCATCTTCTCTCCAAAGGCAGCGACCAGTTCGATGTCAACGAAGGTCCCTCAAGTCGCATCAGACTTCGTGGCAGAAGCGGTTCACTCGTCTATACCCATTACCAACACTCTCTCAACTCGTTGGTCGATATCATTGACAGGGTACGTCCTTTGTTACCCATCTGCCTCGTGATCTTCTCCTCATTCTATGTTTAGGATGATAGAGAATCTCTTGCAGAGTTACATGAATACCTTAACGGCAGCGAGTCGCCTTCTCCCCCCTTGAAGGAGTTTACTCTCACCAGGGACCGTCGCACGTCGATCGCCTCCATCAAATCGGAGCGACGACGCTCCCTCCCTACTCGTACTTCGATGACCTCACTCGCATCAGAGTACAGCATATCCGCTACCATCGCTTCCCCCAAACCAGAAGTAACAGATTTCCAGCTCCGTCGTCGCAGAGCCGCGAAACTGACAAACTTTTTCGGGGTGGACTACCGTGATCTCATCAGGGATGTTTTGGATAGTATCGAGAACGGTTTAGAACACGAAAGGAAGAGGGGTACTATCAACCCTGAAGAAGCAGAGGTACAGCGATCATCTTTTTTCATCGTTGTTTGCTCGAACTGCGCTGAAACACTTTGTTCTCTTCATAGGACTTGCTACAAAAACTCCGCGAAATCAAGACGAAGCGTGATGGTATCTTTTGACTGCTAATGATCTCTTCTATGCACCTTCCTCCAGTACACGGACGGTATCTCATGACACATCATCTTTCATTCCATCTTATCGTTTTTATCTCTCGTTTCCATCTCCCTCAATTGTACTATAAACCCTAGGGCTGTTGCAACACTTCGCTAAATCACTCCGTATTCGTACAAGTGGCTTTGCTGCATAATTCAGACTCAGAGTATTACCAGATCCCCACGGCACGAGTGACACCAGAAAACGTGCGAATCATCAAGGAACTGAGGTCTGGGTGTGGGATGGTGATGTGGATGATTGGGTGGAGGTGATGAGGGCTGAGAGTCTCGTCCATGGCTAGATTCCGATGGGACTGGTGACAGATTACGAGAAGCGGGGTGAAATAGCCCGGCTGCGCTCTCACTCTCGATTCGTGCTTTGAGCATGCTCAAACTGACTTTGCGTTTATGTCTAGTCTCGGGGGATAAGCCCTGGTCCAGAACGGCTGTACGAGTCACCGCGGCCCGAGAGAGGGATGGCGGAAGTGTAGTACCCTCGGTGCGAGCTGAAAGACGCTCGGTGCAGGGTCGATAGCCGACCCGCGACTCGATGGTCTCGACGGAATCGGAGAGAACGACCGCGGACGGAGGCCCAGCTGATCCTCTAAAGCACTGATCTGTTTCTGTAATGCGTGAGCGCGGGCATCAGCCTCGAAAAGCGACGTCTCTAGTGACCGGATCTTTGATTGCGACGCGGAGAGCTCGAGAGAATGCTGCTGCTTAATCGCACCCAACTATCTCGTCGTCAAGCGAGCGAGGGCCCTCGGGTCCTGATGAGGAATTCGCGGCAGCGAGGAGACGCTCAATCTCCTCGTCTTTAGTCTCAATTGCCTGTCGGAGGTCCTCGATTTCACTCTGGGCCTGCGATATAAACTCCTCTTCGTCTTCCTATAAAGCAATCAATTGAGATGAAGCCACCACAAAACTGAATTGGTTTACGAACCCGGACATTATTGCGCTCCGCAATCTCTTGCCGTAATGCCGCCAGTTCTTGCGCTTGCGCGACAGTTGACTGGTTCAAATGTTCGATCTCCTGCAGCTGGCGCGTGGTATCGTGGTGATAACCGGAACGTTCCGCTTCGAGCGCCCGTATACTGGCAAATGCGCTCTCTAGCTCATCCTGCAACTCCGTAAAGGTTTTTTGTATCTTGTTAGCCGCTTCTTGCTCTGAGAGACGCTCCTTTTCATGACGGGCTAGAACTTCGCTCCATTTCAGCTCGGCTTGCTCTTTTTGGTCTTGACCCTCGTCCAGAGTAGCTTCGAGTTGCGCGATAGTAGCGTCACGACTTCGTAAAGTGGCCTCTAGGCTATCCACTTTATCACTCAACTCGAGCTTTGCCCCCGTAAGCTCCACTATCTTAGGCCGCATTTCAGCGAGTGACTGCATAAGATTCGTGCCTTCTGATTGAAGATCAGTCTGTATTCGTTCGGCTTCCTCTGCACGACGTTTGGCATTTTTCAGCTCATTCTGGGCAGCCTGTAATTGACGGTTGCTAGATGCGAGCTCCACGGCCGCCTGAGTAAGTTTCTCCTGAAGAAGCGCAATGTCCCTTTGGGTAGAATCTATTTCGGAGCGTAGCGCGACAGTCTCGTGGTTCAGGGCAGTCTTTTCCGTTTCGTTAGATGCCAGGAGCTTTTGAATGGCTTCGTGTTCGGCTTCTAGGGTGGAGTACTTTGACTTCCACACCTCTGCGTCATCACGATGTTGTTTCAATTCAGCATCAGTCCGGTCGCGATCGTCCTTTAGTGTGGCATGTGCCTAACGCATTTCGTTAGTTCCCAAGGCTAAATATAATGAAGTAAGGCACCAGGTACCTGTTTGAGCTTCGAGAGCTGGAATTCGAGTTCATCACTGCGGTCTTGCGTGTTCTTCAGAGTAATCTCCAACTTTTCGGCACGGTCATCGCTTTGTATTTGCTCTTCCAGTTCACGCAATCGGCGCTTGTAGTCATCAACCTCCTTCTGGAGATTACTAGAAGCAGCATGGGATAGCTGCAGCTCTCGTTCCTGCATGACGAGCCGGCTTCAATTAACGAAGGAACTGTAATATCATTAGCAACGTACCTGTTCCCGATTTTTCTCAGGTTAGGTCCTTGTCCTTGGCCCGCAGCTGCTCGTTGTGATGAGATGATTCATGGAGATCCAATTCGAGTTTCTCAAGACGACCTCGGAGAATTGAGGATTGATTCCGTTCTTCCTCAAGCTGACTTTTTGTTGACTGCGCCTCTAAGCGATGTCAGTAAGCAATCACGATCCACTGAGGGAATCCATACCAGACTCGAGACCCTCTAATCGTTGCAGCTCCGAAGCCAGAGATGCCTTCTCGGAGACCAGTAAGGATATGGTCTGTTGCTCATTCCGCATGAATGCCTCCCGTTCAGCCTGTAGTTGCTGCAGGTCTTGGGACAGCTGCTGCGAACGCTCTCGCTCTTCACCCAATATGGCTTCAGTTTCCCGAAGTTCTGTAAGACCATGAGTAAAGACACGTTTCTGACACCAGGCTACCACGCACTATCCTCGGACGCCTGCAGTTCTTGCATCCTACCACTCAACGACGCATTCTCTGATTCAAGCACATCTATGCGCGCCTTAAGAGCACTCCCATCTGTATTCGAGCTTGCAGAAGCTTGTAGGCTGACCACTAGGCTTGAGCGGCGGAGAGGAAATGAGATTGGATGGGCTTGAAGCTGGTGGAGGCGCAGCAGGAGGCAAGGAAGATATCCATGACGTGTCATTTGATTCCTTTGTCGTGAAACTGGCAGTCGATAAATCCAAATTGACAGACATTCATTGCAATGAAGGTGAAATCACCTACAGGTCAGCCACGTCTCGTTTCTCATCCTCAACTGGTGCAGGTTCTGGAATAGCAGGAGAAAATGGTCGTGAAGATGGTGGAGAAGGAGAGGCAACTTCTGGTGTAATGGATGCACCATGCACTTTCTTTTGCTGTCGTTTCTTGAGCTATGAGAGTTAAGTTGCGGCGGGTTCAATGTAGTCAAGGTGCCAGATACATACCATGGCTTTAGCTCTCGCTGCCTTAGCAGCTCTATCGTCTTCCGACATGGTGTCCGCAGTGAATTCCAAAAACAATACCTAGCAGCGAGCCAGTGGCGAGATAATTGGGAGTAAAGTGAAGACCACTCAGTGGACGTGAACCAAATTAGTATGAACCGGCATTTGGACGGAAGCAATTGTCAAACGTGATCCTCACTGTCAGTGGTTTGAACACAAGCATGTGTATTTATTCCAAATTCCATGTACGAGAAGAGAAATTTATGAATTCACAATATATAAGACCTAAAAGTAGGAGAGGCAGAGAGAGAGGGAAAATGAAACAGAGGCAAACTGGATAGCAGGGAGATATATGTAAACCACAAGTGAGAAAGGCCAGACCGTGGCTGTGAAAATTGCGGGCAGCAAAGCATCTAACGAATGACTCGAGGCGTCCATTCCGACAGTTACGATGGAGCGCGGTTAAGGGTATAGGATGAACATATAAAGGATCAGATACCGTGCCATGAAAAACACATCAGAGGCGCAATGAAACTTTTCGTGTAGAGACACAAGGCCACAAGCGGCAGGGGGTATCCGGGAGAGGGAAACTATGTACAGTACGTTATGCCCAGACCTGGAACCAGTATCAAACAAAGCAGAAATCAATATCACAAACTACTCACCCTGAGCGTACTGTCCCAACTACCAGTGCAAAGTGCCATGCCATCAGTGCTGACACCTAAACAGCTGACCCGGTTCTCGTGCCCTGTTAGCACGCCAACACGTTCACCCTTCAGGGTGTCCCAGACGTTGCATGTCCAATCATCATAACCTCCAAATAGAATACGTCCAGAGATTGAGAAAGCGACAGAGGTGATACCGCATAGAATGTTATCATGTGTAAAAGTGTTCAGTTCCCGGTCAGCACGAATGTCAAACAAACGGCAAGAGGCGTCATCGGAGCCGGTGGCAAACGCATCACCGTTAGGGAAGAATCTATAAGCAAGGGATTGGTAAGAACAAAAGCGCCTGTGTTAAAACGATACGGACTGGACTGCATTGATATCTGATTCGTGACCGGTAAACGTCTGGGTCGCACGGCCACTCCGAATATCCCACAGCTTGGCTGTGGCGTCACAGGCGCCGGAAACGAATACGTTCTGATTCGGGCCCAATGACAAGCTTATGATAAAGCAACCTCTTAGCAATTCTTAAAACTCGCAGAAACGACAACACAGACCTCATGACATCGCCCGTGTGATCACTAAACTCAACCACCCTGACACCCGCCTCGATGTCCCACAACATGCAAGTCATGTCACCAGAGCTGGTAACAATCTGTCGGTCGTTGATAAATCTGCAGCAGCTGAGATATCCTGAGTGAGCGCTGAGCTCGCGAGCGCCCTTGACGCTGGCGCCGCCTTCTTTACTGTTGAGATTGTAAATGGAGCAAATGTTGTCAAGACCGCCACAAGCGACGTAGTTTCCAGATGGGGCATATGCGCAGGTCATCACCCAGCTTGATCGTAACGGAATGGCATGCACTTTGTTCGTCGTGTAAGCGTCCCAGACAATCAGTTTTCCATCTTGCGAGGCAGATACGAGATGTCTCCGGTCCGTTGCCCAATGCATGGCGTATATCTTAGCAAGGTGACCTCTCAGTGCGCGACGCGGACGCATCACGATTCGGGGAAGTGCATCAACTTCTGCGGCCATAGCACGCACTGAAATTGAATTAGGGTCACTGATAGCGGCCGAAGAAAAGGGGTAGCAACTCACAGCTGGTATCTGCTGACGACTCCTTCTTTGCACGAATCTTTTCCTTCAAGCTCTCCGCCTCCCTACGAGCAGCAGCAATCCTCTCCTGGATGTCACCCTGATTTTGAGACATGGTTCGATATTTGGAAACGTCAGAAGTAAAGTCAGACTTGGCACGAATGAGTTAAGTCGGCGCTGGATAAAAAAGCAGGGTCTTCAATGCTTGCAGACTAAGATGGTAGATAAGAGAGACCGCTGGACCGTCACTCACGCTTGATACGAGAAAATCGCCTAAAAAGATGGGCGAGGGGCCGAGAATATGTGAGAAAGAGGGGTGTAGTCGGTCAAGGGGTTGTACGTCGACGCAGACAGCGAGAGGCGGTACCCGCAACGACAGCACTGCCGAGTACAGCGACCAGAAAGATAAAGATGAAGTAAGGGTTGAGGGCAGCGTCCTTACGGGAGACACAGTTGATGGAATGATCTGAGTGAGCACCAGGAAATTACAGGCTCCGTCAGGCGGAGTTTCAATTTATTCCGTTCCTGTCCTCCCCTTCTAATCGAACGTCAATCGTCAGCGCCGCACATATTCCCCTAAATTGTTGGATATCAATATATTTTAACCGCCTGACAGCTACAATTTATTCAACCGACTGGTTCGAGAGGACGCAGTTTTCCCTTCACATATTTATCCTTGACTGCGTCGTGGTGATCTGGACCCTCAAGGAACATGTGGCCTGCGGCTTATCCCAAAAAAAACGTCGGCATTCTTCGATGGGCAGCAACATTCGATGCAGCGCTAGAAATATGGTGGCTTCCGACAGCAAAGTTTGCTTCGCAAGTTACTATTGGTGTTCTAAAGTTAACTGAAGTCTCAATACTACTTGTAGCTTGGTCCAAATGCACAGCGTTGGGCGTGGTGAATCATGAGGATTGATTGATTTCGCTTCACCATCATGACGGATCATGCATGCTATCCTTATCAACAGAACTTGGTCCCCTTCCTGTAAATTTCGTACTTTTTACAGGCTTTTTGATCTGCATACGATCTGTGACCCGATATCTGCAACCCCTGGCAAGGTACCGATGCACCTCGAGCGTACTTCTTTGTGTCAGAACCGTATACTTTTGTATTCTTGATCTCCAAACTATATATGTCGGAAGCTCACATTATACGAAGCTCCACTGCACAGCTACTTTGGTTCTTTGCGGAGTATGCCGGTTAGTGACCAAGGCACGTATAGAAGCAACTGACGGGGATCAAGCCAGGATCCATATCGTACACTGGCTATGGAAATCACTGCTTTCGTCCCGGAATTGTCGTGTGGATCTATTATCATTGCCCTGGTGGATCCATCAAGCCGGAGGAGCCCGATTTCAACTCTCCCGAGAGCGTAGAACTTTCCTGCAGTCTGAGTATGGATTACACAGATCATGATAAGTATTTTCTCTGTTTCTTTGTTATTAACAGATCAACTCGACCGCAAACTGACCTACATGTTCAGTGCTGGCTTACAGAGTAAGCTTACTAGTACTGAACTGCGGTCGTGATATTCACGTGATGTGCGACGATCCAGGTTCGCAGTTGTTGCTCGAGTCTGGCGAGGCAACCGGCTTACTTGGATTACCTCGCTTACGCCTGTGCTTCACATTGTTATCTGACCCCAAGTGAAACCTATTTTGGATGCTTATTCTCTTCTAACAGGCTTCACTTTGTACCGTCTTCCTTCTTCTTGGCCTGTGACACTGCAGATGCTTCGCGCGTTCCGTCCAAGTCGCCTCATGGCGTGACTGACCAAAGACAGAGACCAAGTTTCGTCTTCTCTCAAGTTGCTGCAAGACTCGACTCCCGCGTAGTTCCCACTGAACAGCCGCGACGAGCTTCGACCGCTGCTGCACCTCGTGTGTTCAATGCTGATGAAATCGATATATTTGGCTTGTTCTTTCACCTCTTCGTTCCCATTCAAATTTCTCTTATACTTCAGAAGTGCTCGGATCTACATTCTTCCTTGGCTCGGTGGTTCTATGGTATGTTTTTGGTCCAACCACGCAGGAGAATGATCACAAGCAGCAGAGAACGGACAATGCCTGACCAATCGGTTTCCTTACACTTGATCTCGCTATGGTAGAGTCACAGGATTCTTCCATGTCTAAGAGACTTTCCCTACCTCAGTAACGCATCGTTGCGCACGTTATTACATATGCCGAGTAACCGCGGTATGTCCTCATTTCTTTACCTTGACGCCTTCGTCTCTGATTTATTTACCTAAGGTACCGTTGGGCTCAACAACTGTATGCGCTTTCCCGTGGTTCCGGCTGGCACCTCCGCGGGCTAACAAACGCCGTCCATGTAGATCTACAGAGCAAGGGAATGTTAGCATCATTGAGCTGGATCGAGTCAACATCAGGCCCTCTCTATGGACCAACTTGGACATGTATATGCAAAAGTACGTCTAGGCATCTCCATTTTTCAGATCGGATTCTTTTCACTTTCGTTTCAGTAGATGGACAAGTCCGTGGGATTGGTACAGGAGCTCAGAAGCATGTCGCCAGGGACATTGCCGCGAGCCAGGCGTTAGACGCATTGATTGAAGGCCATCAATAGAGATGGTTAACTTTCATCAGACTGTGGTTAGTGCAGATATCCCGAAATTTATTTGTTTACCTGAGCCTCTTCCATCGACTCAATGAAGCACCAGATCAGAGGTGCATCTACTCCGTGGTTTCGTTCCCGATAGCGAGCCTGACCGATCCTCGTTGACATTAGCTATGATGGCGAAGAAGACTCAATCCCAAAAGCAAGGATTTGCACGTTTTGTATGTAAGGCATGTGTGAAAATTTTGATGACTCTAAGTGCTACCAGGGCGCTGTTCGGAGCACAGCTCAACACTGGCTTGAAAGCAAGAGAGCCCGAAAGCTCACAAAGGATCATTTATTGGTAACATCACAGCCAGGCCGTATCCCGGCCGACAAACCGTTCGTTCGTTCGTTCCAGGTAGGTTATAAGAACTGGTTTGGTGCGTCCTATTGTGCTCTCGTGCTATTGCTGATTGGCTGCTTAATGACTAGGCACCTCCGAGTTCGCATTTGATGCCCTAGTGTTGCTATCAAGGATCATGTCCAGCTCGAACCGCTAAAAACCAGGCTAACGGTTTGAAATACGGTATAGCGGTCCATAAACAAAATAAAAAATATAAACTGAACTGTGTCTACATCTAGCCGACGGTCAAAGTCCGATCCCTTGGTTAAATCTGGCCCAGAGAAGAGAAGCAGGCAGTTTCTTCGCTTACAACGTGGGGCGCTCCATTTGTCTTCGTATAACGCAGGCCCGCTGTATCTATGTCCTCCGCGCCATCTTTGCGGATTTTTCAGCGGTACTGTTGGCATAGGGTCTACCTGTCAATCCAATTCAACTGGCGTGTCTGTGACCGATGATCCGTAATAAATGTTACAACCAGCTCCAATGGACCAGTTACGAACCACGGCTGTGAACCTGGCCGTCAGTTTGATTTCTCATTTCTCAGTCAAGGGTCTCTGGTAACGCACTCCTTTGTCCCCGGCACCAATCTAGAGGAGTTGATACATATCCGTGTTTGAGATAAATCGGCGGTTCCTTACTACTGGGATGTGGGAGAAGGAGATAAGCACATTTCTGTCCTTCGGCGGCTGATGCTATCTGTTTACGATAGAGGTCACTTTTTCGCCACTTTGGGAGACAGCCTGAGTCTTATCGTATAAAGGGTCAGGTATAGGGCTCGAAACACAGAGCTACTATTCTTTCATTTCTCTATCAGAGTGATATTATGCCTAGTAAGTGGTCAGAGTATGCTATTTTGTTCAACGGCTCACCTGCTGGGGTGTGGGTAGAATTCGTCACCCAGCTTAACAATTGCAAGCCGTCTTGACTGAAATGCCCGCCTCGATGCTCACCATGATTCCTTAGACTTCCAGGCTCGGGGCGATACCAGTGTTCTAAGTTATCAAGAGTCGGTCGTCGGGCCCTCCGACAGGGCCGAGTGGACTGTTGTTTGCAAAGGCAGGGGCTCTCTCTTTCTTTAAGCCACACCGAGCTCATGACGGTGCAATTAGTATCTGGTGAAATCAAAGGGATAGGCGTGGCTCCTTCCAAATCTGCTGCTAAGGAAATGGCAGCTAAGCAAGCGCTTCATGTGAGGTTATCACCCCTCTTCCCACGATTTAACTTTGACCGATGAATATTGCTATCCTTCTTTCTAGGGCCTCGGTGTAGCTTAATCAGCCTGCGTCTAATAGGAACTTTTTGACTGTATAAATAATCTATGTACGGGCTTCGTTACAATAATACCTGTGTTTATCCTCGGCGATTCAATGATTTTCCGTGGTGACTGCACTTTACGTAATCGAGCACTTTTAAGTTTCTACTTTCAACATGGCGCCTCGATCTTTGAACTTTGTTTTGACTCTTGGAGCGGCAGCCGTAGGTATTGTGGATTCCATACAAGGACATCTTTCATCTGCTGACAGGCTTTGTTTCCAGGGGTCGTTTCTGGGATGTACATATTCGAACCATTGATCAAAGACGCGTAAGTCAGGAAAGCTACGAGCTATTACCATTAACTCATTGATGCTCTTAAGAGCAAGCCAATCGCACACGAAAGCCAAGAGCTTCCCTGATCCTGTGACCGTTCAAGTAGACGCTATATCAGATCATAAGTCCGCAACCCCGAGCAGCAATAGCGAGAAACAGGGAGATAGCAAATCTAAATGATGTGCAGTGGAAGGGCCTGTGCACATGCTTAAATGTCTCGAACTTCGCTACTATCCAAGACCCTGTTCTATCAATAGGCCAGGCTCCAAGGACAATCCCTAGTCCATTCAAATGTTGCAACAAGATGCGGATGACACGACATGTATTATGTAGGACACTGGTCAATTATTCCGTTGGCATGATGTTCATTAGGTATAAACCGTCGACGGCGTGTTTTGGCTAGCAAGAAAGCTATTCTTTCTTGATATTGCCAACCCCATTCAAATAATTACCAATGCTTTTCGCAATAACAGTTCTGGCCTTTCTCAGGTAACCTCAGATGTTACTCTTCGGCGCCCGTTTCATTAATCTGATGGAATTGATCTATTTGGCCTCACGAACATCACTCAAAGAGATACAAGAGATCCTCTAATTCGTTATGAACACCTCAGGGACTCGGACCTGGTGATTACATGATTATATTGCTTCTGGAACCACAGACTGGAGACATTATTTCCTAGTGAAGTATGATCATTTTCTGGGGTCTGCGTGTTTCAATTTGGATGAAAGCACGTTCCTTGATGAAGAAATTATAAACAAAATAGAATACTGAGCAATCATAGTTGCTTGATCGAGCCTAAGACGATGTGAATGCATTATTACTTTATGCAAGTCAATGTTTGGATTAGGGCTAAGTCGCGTCGCGGTAAGCATCCTAGCGATAAGGACGGATCTCGGAGTTGACCCAAGGAGGACGAGAATTATGCAACATTTGGTCATGGTTCGCTTTCGCACTTACACACCTCTCAAACAAAGTGTTGATCAATGCTGCTTGGCCTAGAGCAATAATTATAAGAATGAGGGCTGTCCTACGATCCATTACACACCTGAGAATAGGCACAGGCCGGGTGGGAGATAAAACACGAGTGACGAGTGTTGTAGTTGTCTTATTGGAAACAAAGAATGGAGTATCGGGACGTGACTCGTCCTTGGAAGGCTGTTATCTTTGAGTAATTTCAACCGTGAGCATGAAAGCTTTTAATACAAAACTGTTTTCAAAAGGGCTACGCACGGGTGGCCCGAAAGACATGGATCTGTCCAGTTTCATTTAGTCGAGATTTTCTGCGTCAAGACTTCATGCATAGAGCACCGCTCTACCCAGGTAGAGCTCAGAAAGCGAGAAAACATAGAAGTTGCCCGAGTGTATTATGTTCATTAGGTACGCTATACCTGCCAGAAAAATATCTTGCGCGATGCTTTCCGGGCCAAATCAAAAGCCGGCAATAAAAACCGTTGCTATGATCGTTGGACCGTGGCCTGTATTCCACCGTATTTTTTTGATCGCGCTAGCAACAGGTACCGAAGTAAGGATACGAGGTATGTCCTTCAAATCACTTGAGAACTGAAACTCGACATGTCACAGTGCATAAGCAGGCTGGGATTTTGTAACACAATGGCGCCTATTGTACCGTGATCAGTGCATGATAAACAAAAATGACATGCCAAATTGTATCACCCCATTTTGCCGCGAACATGTATAGACCTATTCGTGTCCTTGACAGAGCCCGGCCCAGTGCTGGTTCATCGAACAATGACGAAACCACCGAACGACCGGGACGTACACACCTAGAGTTTCCTCCATACAGCTTCTAAGCAGCTGTCGTTTTATAAGGTATGCCTCAAGCGGATTCCTTGACACCACGTAGAAGTCGGCTTGCTATCAGCAGTAGCGGGAGGGCATTTTGGGGGGAAATAGCTCCGAGGCATCCTCCCAATTGTTATTTGGAACAATGCCTCAGACGCCATTTTGGAGATTTTGCCTCTACACGCCCATAAATACGATGCCGGACGCCACGCGGTGTCCCTGGTTCCGCTTGAGGCATACCTTATGTTTGGGGCATTACAGCTTTAAACGACCATCCTAAGCCCAATCGCTAGCCCGTTCGACGCTGTCGGTGTTGAGGAAAGAAGTAAGAACAAGACGAACTGGAAGGTTCGGACTCGGATAGCAAGTGTCGGTTTGTCCGATTTCGGGTACGGTAAAGAGGCCGTCACCAAATGGAGGTCATCTCCAGCTCCAAACCAAGCTAGGACAAGAGCATATCGGGGAACAGGTTATGACTGGCTATCAGGCAATGCAGCGGCAGCTAGTACTGAATGTTAACCCCAGAAGGGTGTATCAGATACTTCGTGCTACGTTGATATTATTTGCGGGACGCCACATATGGGAAATGAGAATTTCCTCAGTAATGCACAGATGGAAGTAAGAGTGAACGGCTGTTCTCCGCAGGGGAGATTGGGACAAGTCTTCAGGGGCCCAGGAGATATCCATGTTAACATCTGCTTCTTGAAAAGGACGACAGGTGATGGAGACGGGAATCCAAGATATTGATAACCAGACAAGACGTGTAAAGCAAATACGGTTCCTATCTGTTACAATAGAAGCGGCCGCGAAAGCCTCGGATCCTTAAAATTCGACAGTGAGAACGGAACTCACGTACATGAAAACAAGAGAAAGATCTGGTTTTCGAAATCAGGGAGTTAAGATACCAATATCGGCGCGCCGTCAGTCTGTAACTCCTTTAGAGACCTTCCGAGATGCTGATGGTCGCAAAGGTACAGCCAGAACAAGCGAGCTAGATAGGTCCAACTATTTCGGCTCGCAGTCCAGTTCCGAACTCGCAAGGAAGCAGCCCGTGTTGGTCCAAGAAAGTGCGAATCGGACCAGTCGCAGACCATGTTTATCGCCAAGAATAGCTTGAAAGCGGAGATATATACAATTCTCAGTGACAGCACAGGTCACAGAAAGCCGCCAAAACCAAGGGACAGGTTCTCGCATCATTCGAAGGATAGGTATCAAGCACCGTGCCCGCTTAGGGCCCGGGTTTACACGGGTTGATCAAAAAGAGCTTCGAGTCCTGGCGATATTTTAAGCTCTAACTTGGAATGTCAGCCTTCCAAGAATTGGAGAACGGTGATATGCCTTAACTCGAAGTTGAAGTTGAACTTGCATCATGGCAAGCATGAGCAACTAAACGTCACAGCCACAGCTAACTTTTTCCGTTCCTGCTCAAATTTCACTTTTCCAAAATGGTTCGCGTTCGAAAGGACAAGGCGGGCCCATCTAAGGGTCATAGCAAGACGTCTACCAAGCAAGACTCTACCGCCAAAAAGGACAAACACAACGTCCTACAACAGCAAATTTCTGCCCTGGGTGGAACAGCGGACGATTATGATTTGGTGAAGAATGTGGGACCTGTATCCGTGACGGGGTCGGTCCCAGTAGACGTGAGTAGCTGTTTTCTACTCTTTCTCCTTGATCAAACCATTGCCTGTAGCCAAAGCTAGCAAAGGATGTTTCTTCCTTCCTCCAGGACTTGAAAACTGGAGTGAAGACTAGCGGCAAAGTCAAATCTACGGAACGTCAAAAGAAAGAAGAAAAACCCACTCAAAAGTCGAAGAAAAAGAAGAGTGTCGGTACCGAAAAGAAGGTTCCTCCAGTGGAGAATCATGCACCTCCTCAGGCTGAAGTTTCTGAAATATCCCAACTGCCGAAAAAGATCACCTTCAGTTCGAAAAGCGCGTTTATTATCCAGCCTGCTCCTCAGTGGTATTCTCTGGACCTCCCGGCAATACCAGCAACGTCTTCACTTCCTTCTTCTGCTGATATTGGGTCTCAAACGTCCCACGCCGCATCATTGCATTCTCGCGACATCGAAACTTTCAAATCCTCATCATCCTCTCAGACTTCGGAAGCGAGCTTCCTGTCCAAGATCATACAATCCGGTACACTATCTGATCGTTTAAGTGCCTTGACGCTACTTGTTCAGAGTGGACCGATACATAATGTCAAGGCATTGGAGACGCTGAAGAGCATGGCGGAACGCGGTAAAGGCAAAGGCGGAAGAGAAGAGAGCTTGAAGGCATTGCGATGCATCGTTGACTGGTGGGTTGGTGGTGGTGCACCAAACCGGAAGTTGAAGTTCGTTTTTCGTGAGACTGTACCCTCTTCGAAACTTACTGTAATTCAGGTATTTTCGGGACCGACCAGTTCGACATCCATCTGTAACAGACCAGCATCTGTTACTGTGGTACTTTGAGGATTGGCTGAAGAAGTACTTCTTCTCCGTTCTCCAGATTTTAGAGGTATGTTCGTACGATGGACTACAGAAAAAGAAGTGACTAATATACTGCGATTTAGACGCTGTCATTGGACCCCTTGCCTTATGTCCGAACACAGTCCCTGAATCTCATCTCTACCTTGTTACGTGATAAACCTGAGCAGGAGCAGAATCTACTTCGACTGCTTGTCAACAAGCTCGTGCGCACTTTCCTTTTATCTTGTTGCCACCGCACTCATACTTTAACTAGGGTGATACAGACAAGGCTATCTGCTCACGAGCATCCCATCATATTCTTCAACTGCTCCAAACTCACCCGTCAATGAAATCGGTGATTGTAAACGAGATCACGTCCTTCGTTCTGCGCCCCATTGCTCCACCCCCTACATCATCATCAACCACACCAGCTGAAGTGGCGAACCGCCGCATACGATTCAACGAGGCAGAGAAACCAAAACCAAAACCCAGCACCGAGAAGAAAGTAGGAAACCCGCATGCCCGGTATTATGCGACGATCACGTTCAACCAGATCGTGCTTACTCCTGATGACCGGGAAGTGGCACTTAAACTGATCGATCTATATTTCGAGATCTTCAAAGAGCTGCTTGGGGAAGGCGATCATGATGGCGGGGCAGACCATGATGATCCTGAGGAGAAAGAGGTAGTAAAAGACAAATCAGGTCGGCTCATTGATGGCAAGCGCGGAAAAGGTAAGCTCAAGGGAAAGGGCAAGGGGAAAGGGAAGATGGCAGAGATACGAGGTGCTGCTGGCTTTACAGAAGTCGAAGATGCAAACTCAAAACTCATCTCTGCTATTCTGACTGGGGTAAATCGCGCATTACCTTTCGCGAAAATGGATGTTGGGGATGCTAGGTAAAGCCTCACTATCACTCAACATGGTCATAACGCTAATCATCACAATAGACTTTCAAAACATATCGACACCTTGTTCTTGATCACGCATACTTCAACGTTTAATATCTCGTTGCAGGCCTTGGTGCTCATTCAGCAGATTGCAGCTTCCTTATCCACAGTCAAAGCTTCCTCTTCCTCATCATCCGCTCTGTCGAAGTCAATCATTGATCGATTCTACCGCACCCTGTACGACTCTCTTCACGATGCACGCTTGGCATCATCTTCAAAACAAGCCATGTACTTGAATCTTTTGTTCAAGTCCATCAAAGCGGATGTGGGAAAGGTCGAGGGAGAGCGCGTCAAGGCTTTAGTACGACGTTTTGTCCAAGTCTTGGTCTCAGGTGGTAACGGTGCTACGGAGTTTGTTGCTGGAGGGCTCTTCTTGTTGGGAGAGGTAAATTTCTCTTTTTCTTCCCCATTCCAGACACTGAAACCCATCGGTTGTTCAGTTGTTCAGCACTACACCCGGCTTGAAGGAGATGATATATGATCCTCCCAAAACAGATGCTGAAGCTTATGACCCTCGCAAAAGGGACCCACAATATGCTCACGCGTCCTCTTCGCCGCTTTGGGAACTGGTAGGTTGCCATTATATGGTCCTTGACTCTGAAATGCTGAATTCAGCGTCCCTCAGACTCCCTTGTTGCACCACTATCATCCAACGATATCTCTGCATGCACGTCAAATTCTTTCTTCGCAGCCATTGACGGCCAGTGCCGATCTGTCGCTGAATACCCTCTCGCATTTCTTGGACCGATTTGTGTACAAGAATCCCAAGAAATCCGCGACCACGAAGGGTGCCAGTGCAATGCAGCCTGCTGCAAGCGGGCTTGATGGAACCGGCGTCAAGTTGATGAAAGGTGACACAAGCGGGAACGTTCTGGTAAACGATGCGGCATTTATGAAAATGAGAATACAGGATGTTCCTGTGGACGAGGTTTGTCATCACTTCCTTTTTCTGGATACATACCAACAATTTTATGATTCAGATGTTCTTTCACAAATTCTTCGCCCGAAAGAATGAAAGGAATCAATCAAAAGTCGAAAAAGATGCCAGTGAAGATGAAGACGAAGATGAAGGAGATGATGGAAGCGGGGAGGAGATGGATCTTACCGGTGATGAGGCTGCGGCTGCCGGAGAACAAATTGCTGAGGACAGTGAGAGCGAGGATGAGGAAGAAGTCTGGAAGGTAAGACTTCTGCTACCTTCGAATAGCAGCAGCAGTATACTTAATTCATTAAATCAGGCTATGAAAGCTAGCATGCCAAAGGCGGAAGGCGATGACGATCTCATGGAAGATAGCGACATCGACGAAGATGACTTACCATCGGACTTTGACGCCGATGAAGACGACGACGACGAACCTGACGATGATGGTCTTTCGTTAGCTGAAGGCTCCGACAATGACGATCTAATTTCACTGGATGGTGATATGCCTGAGGGCCTGATTGAATACGATGGGTCCGGCGAGGAAGAAGAGTGGGGAGGTATCGATTCTGGAAATGGGAAACGAAAACGAACGGAAGAGACCAAGGAGAAGCGGAAGAAGTTCAAGTCGTTGCCCACCTTTGCCAGTTATGAGGATTATGCGAAGATGATCGAGGATGGTCCAGAAGATGATATATAAGATCTGTAGAGTCGACCAATACAACTGCTCTGGTATATCTGTTTCCAGCGGAATCTCAGTGAGGACGTAAAATGTCGTATTGTAATGGTACATTGCTAGAAAGAGACCGGAAAGATAGAGACATCCTATTGCTTCGGTGAATGGTGGAACTGGTTTAACGGTCAATAGAAAGGGTGGTTAGCAGGTCGACGGACGTACGATGTCGCGCAACTGAGCCTGCGCATCGTTGAATTGTTTCTCGAGATATTTTGACTGTCAACGGTATTAGCGAATAAGTAACGAATGAGACGCAATGAACCTTTTTATTAAGACTGCTGATATCATCACTCAGCTCTTTCTCTTGAGCCTTCAAATCGTTCTCCATTTCCTTGCGAGGGACCATCATGAACCTAGACAAGAAGAGTGTCGAAATATGCACCCCTCGTAATGTGGAAAGCGTACGCACATCTTCCCGACACCCTTATACGTATTCACGTCGCCTTCGATGGTCTCAAGCTCCTTTATCGTCAATTGGATCTTCCGCCTGTCTCGTTCCTTTGCTTGGGTTTGTTGCTGGGATAGACTCAATGCTCTTTGTGATTGAACAGCCGTTTGCTGGATTTGAACCAGGATCTGAAGAATTGGGAGTATTAATCCAGTATTGTCGATAGCAACGGAATAGACAAGCCTTTCTCAAGGTATCGTCTGACAATGACATTGTCGTTTGTCGCGGTAGTGGCGGCTCGCAAGACGGAGGTGCGTGACGGAGTTCAAAAAATATTGGAGCGCGTCTTATATTGGACACCACGGAGGCGGCCTTGCAAGGTCTTTATGTTCCGTCACATCCTTCGGAGATCCTTTGCTAGCACTTGTGTTTCTCATCGTGGTCCTAATCCTCGTCTCAGCCTTGATCCCAGTCTTCAGGCCCTTCTCAACGACGTCGACATCACTTTGCTCAACCACAAGGTACAGGACCAGCTGGTGCACAAAGAACTAGAAGTCGTTCAAGAAGCCGACCCTTCGCTGGACTACGAAGAAGATGAGCTGCCCAGTGAAAAGTCCACTCGAAAATCACCCGCCGCTACGTTTGGCAGCAAGCAAATTGGCGCAGTGATACTTCCCTTGGAACTGCAGAATGCTATAACGGCCTTGATTGAAGGTACGGACCCCCACATCAACTCTAAGTTTATTAAACGCTAAAATTTCCTAGATGCTGACAAGCACAGACTACACGAAGATGCAAAACGTCTCTTCCTTAATCCCGACACCCACAAGTGGGACACAGAATACGACGAAAAATACAAATCGTGGGAGCACCGTATGCGTCACTCGGAGCGGGATGGAACAGCCTTTGCGAGCGTTGCGCTTCCTGCCCACTACAGTGCCATTACAGCCGTCCTGTCTCACGCGAAACATAGGATGGGTCCAGAATGGCTTGTTGAACGAGTTGTTGATTGGGGTGCGGGAACTGGAAGCGCCCTATGGGCCGCCCTTCATGTCTTTCAAAAGTCAGATATCGAAAAGCCCGTCGAGGAGCTCAAGGCGGCTGACTCGACACTTGATTCTTACCTTGGAATCGACAAACGCGACGGGCTAGTCGAAATGGGCAAGCGAATCTTGCATGGGATACCTGTACCACCAATGTCCGATATCTCATTTCGACGAGGTCTACCCTACCCCTCGCTCGACAAAGTTCCAAATACACTAGCCATCAGTGCTTTCACGCTCTCTGCACAATCTACTCCCCTCCTCCGGAAGAAAATGGTCAAGGAGATGTGGGATTCTGGTGCAGAGACGATTATACTTATTGACCATGGGACGAGGGACGGCTTTACTGCCGTCGCAGAAGGGCGTGAAGCCTTGCTTCGTATGTCCAGGGTTGGAAGTGACTCCGTATTCGACTGGGAGCACGAAGTGCTGAGAGGTGAAGGTTCTGGAAAGGTTGGGGAAGGCGCACATGTCGTTGCACCGTGTGCCCACGATAAAGAGTGTCCTCTACTCGGCACGAAGCTCCACTGTATGTTTGAGCAGCGACTTCAGAGACCGGCATTCGTGAGGAAGACAAAGCATTCAGGCCGTGGGCACGAGGATGTGGGATATGCTTATGTTATTATCCGCCGTGGACCAAGGCCTCAGAGAGTTCCGTTGAACGAGGGTGTGGGTCGGATGGGCAGCGTTGGACGGCAGGAGGCTGAGGAAGAAGCTAACGAGGTCCGAGAAGTTGTTCTCAGTGAAGGGTTTGGAGAGCTCGAGCCGCAAGCAGAGCTACCTGACGAAGAACCACACGAGGATCTCGTAGCTGCTCTTCGAGAGGAATCTTATTCCTGGCCACGACTTGTCTTTCCTCCGTTAAAAAAAGGTGGTCATATCATTCTCGACGGGTGCACTCAGGAAGGGAAAATCGTGCGAATGACCGTCCCGAGGTCGCAGGGGAAGCAGGAGTATTACGATGCACGCAAGTCAGCTTGGGGTGATGTTTTTCCGCATGAGCCCAAGAAACCGGGCCAGGAGCGGTTCCAACCCAAGCGGGCTAGGAAGGAGGGTCCGGTGGTAGAAGGAGCAGACATAGGAAAGGGTCGTAGCAAGGAGCGGAAGGGGAAGAGCTCGAAGGGGTCGGTTGGATATGAGAAATTGCAAGAGCGTTTGAAGGAAGACCGAAAGAAGGAGCGGGGTTTCCGACGAGCGAGAGGCGCAGCCAAAGACGTTGATGGTGAGCCTGTGGTAAGCACGTATTAATGGATATAACTATTAAAAGTAGTGTACATGTTTCGTCGCGCCACTCAGTACCCCTGTTAATTCAACTCCCTTCACTTTTATTGAAAGAAGCACGTATCAGTGATTGAGAAAGGCAACGTCTTCGTCTTGAGGGGTGTAACGGGACTTTGGATCAAGTGAAGATGCATCCCATACTTAGTCCGAAAGTAAAAGCTAAAGGTAAATTACAGGCGAAACATAACATGCGAGACAAGGAATATAAGGGTGATGGTGTCGTAACGAAATTAGCAATTGCAATTATCATTCTGACCTGCCGAACCGGACTGTTGATTCAAATTGACTCCTGCTCGTCCACCGGGGGCTGTACGGCTTGCTCCCGCTCTTGGAGGCGCCGTCAGCGGAAGTTTCTTAGCTGTGAAAGAGTTGAGCAGCAGGATAAAATATAGAAACGACGACCAACCGATGGCCATAAAGATATCCGAAACACCCTCGCCCGTCTTAGCACTTGTCTCGCCCCACATCAAACCCTCCTCGTCGGCATACTTCTTCGCTTCCTCTTCTGTGACCTGCCTGCGCGCCGAAAGATCTGTCTTGTTGCCACAAAGCGCGATAACTATCGAAGGGTCTGCTTGACGTTGTAGTTCCCGGATCCATGTGCGTGCCTTTTCGAGTGATGCTGATTGCGTTATGTCATAAACGACGACGGCACAGTTGGCATTACGGTAGTACATTGGCGCCTAGCACGGTGTCAACGAGTGATAGATATCTGGAGAACCGAAAGACGCACGAGAGACTGGATGTTGATAGAAATGAGTTATCAGGCTACTGCTCGATAGCTGTTGTGCTCACCTTGTACCGTTCTTGGCCAGCGGTATCCCTGCCGAGACGACGACGACGAAGTTAGTCTCTTTTGATGAAAGATTCCAACCGACTTGCCATATCTCAAATTTGACGATCGTTTGGTCCTCTAGAGTCACCGTTTGCGTCAGAAACGCAGCTGTAACGACATCAGCCCAGTGTAGCAGACACTATACAGCGAAGGGGCACACCTCCAATCGTACTCTCCCGGTAATCGTCGAACTGATCCTTCACGAAACGTAGCACGAGACTAGACCCGTCACAAGGTTGACATGAGGCCATGTATGCGGTGGAAGTGCTTACCTTGACTTGCCGACAGCAGACTCCCCTGGCAACGCGAAGCATGTCAGTTGTGAATAAAGCTAGCAGGATATAGCCGACCCAGTAGAACAAGCTTGAACTGGAATTGCTTGGACATAGTTGTGGCCGTTTGATAGTAGGATACGTACGTACGATACCAAAGTGGTGTTCAGGGACCGCAGTGACGCGGCAACGGCCGAGGGTGAATTTTCACCACGCCGGAGATTGAATCAGCTTTGTCTTTTTACTATCAGCCAGCTTCAGCCAGCAGCGTCTGACTTGCTCGTCGCCTATCTTTGAGTTGAGTTGCATTGGCATTGCGCTCTATATCCTCGTCATAGCGATCCATTATCACTGTATCTTTGCACCACTCGTCTCTCAGCATCATCCACGTCACTGAGCCAAATCTTGCATCGCAACGTTCTGAAGAAGCCATGAATCGTCATCATCCGTACGGAGACAGTCCTATAGGGCGCCGTGGAGGATCTCCACCTGGCCCAGGGCCTGAGCGGTCGCACCGATTTTCGGATTACAGAGGTGGGCCCCCTGGGCGTGGGAGAGGATATGGTCGTGGTCGTGGCAGCGGCGGTGGGCCTGGAGGAGGCGGGGGATACTATGACAACATGAACTATGGTGCCTATGATCAAGGACCACCTCAAGGCGACCTGGGATATGGCAGCTATGGAAACGCTCCCCAAGACCCGTACTACCAAAGCAACTATGACGCCGGTTCGTCAGCTTCGTACCCTGCTACTCCTTCAGCAGGCTATAGTCAGGGCTATCCTAAATATGAAGGTGCGCTAGAAAATCTGAGACTGAATGTTATCGCTGTGGCAGCTCGCACCTTTTCATGTCCGGCTTGTAAAGTTAAGGCACACGGAAATCCGGCGAATCGCTTGAGCCCGTTATCTCTTAAGGCGAATCTGTTCTTTGCCACGCTAAGCATGACCACGCCGATGAGCACATGCTATCTAGCTTGCAAACCAGGAAGGCGCTGAATATGCCCAATAATTTATCCATGGGAATCCTGAGGTCCTAAGCGCCGTCGTGTGCGTCCGCGTGCCCAAGCCTTTTGGATACTGCCTTTGTCTGTCTTCCGTGAATTTTGGATGTAAATCTCACTTTGTCTATCATTCCGTTGTCAGACGCTCCAGGTGCTTTCGATGATGATGCTTATGGTCGCGGGCGACGTCCCCCACCCCCTCGCAAGGAAAGAGATGACAAAGTTCACGATTCCATCATTGAAGAGCGAATTCAGCGCGAACGTCCCTGTAGGACCTTGTTCATTCGTAACATTAAGGCAAGTCTACACGCGGCCCACTCTCGTAAGAGTCGGGCGTTATCAGACCGTGACTAATATCGTTCTAGTATGAAACCAATAGCAATGATGTACGACGCTCGTTTGAGGAACATGGTGATATTAAGACCTTCTTTGACTTGATATCAACACGAGGGATGGTTTTTGTGTCATACGTGAGTTTCTTGACGTAATCATGAACCTCAACTGAGTCCTGGGGTTATAGTATGATCTACGTGCCGCAGAGCGTGCCCGAGAACGTCTACAAGGATCTGAAATCAGCGGACGCCCGGTTAGTTCCTATAATGATGACTTATATCTCTCCTCTCGGTCTGATGAGTCCACATTCTAGATTGATGTTCATTATTCTCTTCCCCGCGACGACAATGCGAAGGATGCCAAAAATAACGTATGCTGGCTGACATCTGCGTTTGCACTATCTGACTGTATCCCAGGAAATGCAAGGATGTTTACAAGTGACTCTCAGAAGTTCGCCGTCAGGTCAGCCAATTGATGACAACGAAGTGCGGCGGAAATTTCAGCAGTTCGGTGATGTGAAATCTGTGAGACCTGTAGGCGAAAGAATCGAGTAAGTACCCGTGTGTTCGCGATTCGTCTCGGCAAGGTCGCTAATCAACACCCAGTTCTCGGTATGTTGAATTCTATGACACTCGAGTAAGCCCATTTCTTCAGTACCGTTTCGCGTCCCCGCTCACACAGTAATGTGTGAAGGCATGCTTCGAAGCCCATGATCGATTACGCCATCAAGGCCTTCAAGACGGAGTGATGGATATTGTTTTTGCGTGGGATATTAACAGCGATGGTCCTCACAGCGGCGGTGGCAGGTAAATGTTATCATCCTAGCGTGTCAACGCTTGTAGTAACAAACCTGTTAGGGATGGCGGGCGTGATCAGTGGGATGAAGGAGCCGGGGCCCGTTCGCGTGGACGTGGGCGTGGGCGTGGTCGCGGCCGCGGCCGAGGCGGTCATGATGATGACTTTGACCGCCGCAACGACTATGGGCGAGATCGTGATAGGGGCGGCCGTGGCGGAGGTGCCCGATACGACGATGATCACTCCGGAGGACGTGGTGGTGGCAGAGGTGGGTACAATGATCGCTATGAAGATCACCGTGGAGGAGGCGGAGGAGGATATGGTCCGCCTCAATCCTACCCTAATGGTTCGGTGTCTTCCTACAGTGAAGCACCACCACCTCCACCGCCGGTTAGTCGCCTTCCTTGACGAGTCAATTACTGTAACTCACTTTCGATTATACTAGGTCTCTGACGATCGTCTCGAGCAAGCACGAAAAGTCCAGCAGGTAAGAATCTATCTTGTATCTTGTTTTTCTTTCTAAACTTTAATCCTTATTAGCTGCTTGCCGCACTCAAACAACCTGCCGGCAATACACCTCCCCCAGCGGCGAACAGGCCTGCGGCTCCTCCGTCGAATATGCCGCCGTTGCCCCCACCGCCGATGCAGCAACAGCATAGCTCTGGTCCCAGTCCTGGCTTCTACCCTCCTCCTCCGTCTAGTGTCCCGGCTGCACCTCCGGCAGCTTCCTATCTCCCGCCTCCTTCGCAGCCCACTGGTTCCGTACCGCCCCCCGCTGCTAATCCTCTAAGCAGCCTCCCTCCGAATGTCCTGGCCCTTCTGCAGTCGGCTCAGCAACAAGCACAAACACAAACACCACCACCCGCTGGTGGTGCTCCTCTGTATGGTATGCCGCCACCAGGGGCAATGATGCCTACTGCCCAATCTGCTGCAGCAAATGCTAATGCAAGTTATCAACAACTTATGTCTTATCTTGTGAGTGTTACATGTCTTTTTTCTGTTAAATCCTAAATAGGCGTCCACTTAGCAAACGGCGAAACGTTCCTAAACGTTCTCATGTGACTGTACATATCAGCGTGGTGACCATACATACTGTAGTTGTATCACTCTTGCTTTATTGTACGAAAAAAATAGCGGATTACGCTACTTGGAGGTTTGCTATCAGTAATACCAAACTGTCGTCGTAATTGACTTTAGTAGTAGTATTATAGAGTAGTAAGCCGAGGACTCTTACCTTTGTGAAATATGATTGTTTTCGCGTCGCAGATTACCTGTGGACTGAAGAACAGGTAAGCGTAGTGGCATTTCATAGCTCAGATTCTCATCGATTCATACAGGCATACCACCGTATTGCGGAAGAAGAGAGTGGATACAGGCGCATCCGTTCCACATAAGCGCCAGACATGGTGCCGTAAAAACTCCCACCAACTCCACTTTCAGGCCAAATGATTACGAAGCTTAGCCAATGACGGCCTACAGATAACAGAAGAGGGATCGAGGATCAACATTCGGATATAGAGGACTTATGACCGACTCAACCACAGGGAATAGAAGAATGAAAATATATTTCCAGTACTTTTTACAACCTGACGGGCTCCCCATATGTCGGTAGTTATCGAGATACCTTGTAATACCAATAGCAGACATTGAAAACAATGTGAGATGAACAAAGCGGAGCGAGCATGTAGCGTACGTAGTCAGCAGCCTGACCATGCAATCGTTTACTTCCGCTTCTTGGCACCACCCTCCTCCTTCTTTTCACCGCCAGCAGGGGCAACGGGAGCCGTTTCGGTCTTCTTGTCGTCGGGAGTAGGAGCATCAGTCTTTTTCGAGGACTAGTGAAACATGAGCATGACGCAGAACCAAACCGATCATGATAACATACCTTAACGACGCGCTTTTGTTGACCGCCAATGAGACCCAAGAGAGTGCCAACCATGCCGAAGAACGTGAGCAGAGCGGCGGCAAGTGCAGCACCGGTCTCAGGGTGGGTCTTGAAAGCGAGAAGGACATCCAATTTGGCAAGGTCGATGAAGTCGAAAACCTTTTCACGCAAGTAGCCAACGGGATCCTCACGGAACGTGAGCTCATCCTCATCGGCATCATCCTTGGGTTTGCTAACGGCAACCTCGAGAGGCTTCTTAATGTCGAAAGTCTCAGCGGCCAAAGCCTTTGCATCCTCGAGCGAGTGTCCGACGTAGAGGTTATCGAATAGAATATCTTCGGTCATGGTCCACAATTCAATTCCAACACCGCCCTGACGCACATCATTGAATAAGCCAGGACCAAATTTGAGGATGTAATGACTTACAATCTTTGCAAGAGACTTAACCGGAGTCGCGTCTTCAAAGAAGTCGGGGTTAGGAATCTTGCGAGGAGCCCATTCACCAATGTATGCAGGGTTGTCGATCATTGGTGCATACCACTTGCCCTTGTATGCAGGGTTGGCCTTAGATGGACTGCGGGCGTTTATTAGATATCTCCATTGAACAGGACGAAAGCGACTCACCGTTTCCATTCGCCGCAACCAGGAGCCTCAGCGCAGACCGGGTTGGCAACGGTGGGTGCAATCCAGTCACCATCTTCCTCGTCATCCCACTCCTCGGGCTTCTCAGCATCTACAATAGAGAAGGGTGTTAGCTTACTTCACAACGAAACGAAACGATACATACCAGGGTCAGGGATGGTCAAAGGTTCATTATCAAGCCAGCCTTCAGGTTTCTCTGCCTCTTCGTCAGGAATTTCGTAGGGGGCCTCTTCATCCCAGTCATCAGGCTAGGATGTTGTGAGTGACGTGGCAGAAAGAAAGTAGCGAAGACTCTACCTTCGTGGCATCAGGGTCAGCAATCCTTTTGGTGTCAACCCAGTCCTCTGGTTTGGTGTCCTCGGGATCGTCGATTTCCTTGGGCGGGTTAACAGGAGGCTCGAAGTCTTCAAGTAGGGAACCTGATTTCTGACTCTCTCCGTTGAAGAAAACTTCGTAGGTATTGTCGGGGCTAATTTTCGAGCATGAATAAGCCAAAGTATAAGAACATGAGAAGACACATACTTGATAACGAGGGTATACAAGTTGGTCTTCTTCTCAATTGAGGGCTTGGGGGGAAGCTTAAGATGCTTCTCTTCGGTCTCACCAGTCTTGGGGTTCGTATGACGGAAGATAAAGTGAACCTACGCCGAAGGTTAAGCAGCTGGTGACACATTCAAGTACATATTCCTCTCACCTTGGTTCCAGGACACGTAAGATCAGGTCCAAACATAACAACCCAAGGCGTGGTGTCAGAGAACTCCTTGCCGCTGGTTTGGAAACCATCTTCGAGAAGCTTGAGGTAACCGCCGCCACAGTTGCCTCCCTTCTGGTACTTCACTTCGTACTGAACAACAAGAGGCTCAGTCTTGAAGTCAACAGGTTCGGCAAAGGGTGCTGAGATAGCGTGGTGCGCAGCCTTAGTCTTAGCAACAAGACCTAGGTCTCCATCGATGACAGAGATGGAAGGTTCTTCAACTTCCCACTGGCCGACATAGCTAAAGGTCTCTCCGCCAACGGGCGTCTTCTTCGTCGCCTCCGAGGGTGTCCACCGTCCAGACCAATCTTCCGTGAATTGTTCGATGAAGGGGGCTTTGATTTCAGTAGGCTATGATACAAGATTAGTTGAGCATGCGAGAAAGGTACAGAAGGAAGGAAACTCACAGTAAAGGAAGGCTTCGGTTCGTCTGAGTCTGTTTGGGCCAGGGCAGTGGTTGCTGCAAGAGCAAGCACAGAATACGCTACGCTTCGCATAGTGATACGAAGGTCAAGGAAGATAACCGTATACAAGGGGAAGGAAAGGAGGGAGGGATCAGCTGGAAAGTTGCAAGTGTACCTGCGTGGTCCTAAATACGAATTCCGGAGGGGCAGGAACCTTTTATGGTTGTGGCCACGTACTCTCTTTCCACGTGATCAAATTCCACGTTGACATTAATGAATTTCCCTACTTCCGGAACGTGGGTCATACTCCTCAAGTACCGTACGACAGCTCTACATTACTACAACATTTACTCCGTCAACCTAAAAGATCAGCATGTCCTGAGGCCGAAAGAGCCAACTACGACGCGAACAGTTATATTCAACACGCCAGATCAAAGGTACGAACCGAATAGTACTCACCACAAACTCGTCATCCAGATACTTGGACACGGCAATCTGATCACCGAGACCTTTTCGCCGGCGTGTTTTCAGTACGAGATCACGGGCCAGCGCTTGGCCTGATGCAGGTTCGAGTGGCCGCAGTTTGATGCTTGTATCCGTGGGATCACCTGCAGAATACTTCGTTGGAACCATGTCGATATCCACGGGGACAATTAACCAATCTTACCTGGAACTATTGACCAATGATCAAAGACTTGTAGGCAGAATGCCTGCCCTTGGGTAGAAGTTCTCAAATCCGTTTCGAACCCGTTGGCATCAATGACCGGAATGAGAGCTTTCACTGTATACAGCGGTGATCCAGCTTTCGGTGTGTCTTGCGTTACATGACCACGACGCCGAGCCAGGACTGTGTACACGGCTGATATACAGTCAGCGGGGGTCTGAACTTCCACGTAATATATGGGCTCCATCAGACGAGGTGTCGCCTTATGAGTAGTGATAAGCATGAGGATCTCTACTTGAAAGAAAAATAATCACCATCAAAAACGACGAATAACAGACTCGCCGCGCCGTGGGTACAATTTGACCTCCTCCACGATAGATTGGCTCTTGAGCTAGGCTGGCATCCAGCACCCGGAATTTCACATTTCGCATGGCTGTCAAGTAATTGTGAGTCTGAAGATTGAAGGAATCGTTTTGGGCACCTACGTTCATCGCAAAGCGGACCTTCTCGGGCGCCCCATTGGAATCCTTGCTTGATGTGCTCCTTAACCGTACCCAGGAGTTTCTTATCGACCTGAAAAATTTCCCAGATGAACAAGATAGCCGGTGAAAAGATAGGTGTACTTGCCTGGGACGGTAACGTGTCATCCAGCAAAATGTTCGGTCCGTTTTCATCCGGACCGAAAGCCCATATTGACCGTGACGCCAAAAGATCCCACTGGTACTTCTCCTGGAAGAACGTCCCCCGTTCTTTTGCAGTCATGCGCATATGAACACGTCCTCGTTCAATATCCTCTGCAATGCCCCGTTCAAGAGGTTCCGCAATCATAGTGATCTTGTTCCTAAAAAGTCAAAACCTGATTATTATGCTGCGATATTTATGAGACGGGCATTTCTTACTTCTTGTTCGGTGTATCTGCATAACACTTGAGAGCGCTTGTTTCTAGGACCGTTTCACAGAACTTGGTCACCGGATCTGAAACCTTGATCTCGATTTCTGAGAACAGTTTTCTCAGGTCATGCATCACGCAATCCAAGTACAGCTCTCCCGTCCCGATGACAACATGTTCGCCGCTCTCCTCGACTTTGGTGGATACCAATGGATATGATTTATTGATTGAGCGTAGACCTGACAGCATCTTCGGCAATTCCGATGGGGCTATTGGCTCAATGGCAATTTTCAAGACGGACTGCGTCATATGCTTGATTGGCCGGAAGATGTGCAAGTCTTCTTCAATATCGGCGGCAGCCAACGTTGCCGTCTTTGATATTGAAGTATCCACGCCGCCTATTAGAACCAAATTCCCGGCAGAAACTTCTTCAGCGGAAATAAAGTATCTGAATCGATGGATAAGTACCACATTGAATATGTGGCAGGGGAACATACCGGGCCTCGCTGATCCAAATATCATCGATGGTGGCTGTTACCATGTCTTCTTCATCTTCAGGAGAATACCCTTCTCCTAACACTTTGATGCTCATACCCTTGCGCAGCGTACCGCTCATCACTCGGCCAAAGGCGCGGAAAGATTGGGCGTCTGTTGTGTGATACAGTTTGGAAACTTGAACCATCACAGGGCCATCAGCATCACAAGCCTTCATTGAACTGGCTAGGCTTGAAGTTTGAGAGCCACTATACGTGCCTTCAACCTGATCCATCGTTAGCTATGCATTATCAACAAACTGTAATGATGATATACCTTGTTCGCTGCGCCTTCGATAGGAGAAGGAATGTGATCCACAATTACATCAACCAGACCAGTCGCAGGACCAAAAAATTGATCAAGAACAGCTTTCAATAATGGTCGGACATCCATCTTGTACATGACCGGCTTCAGCTGAATTCCCAAGCCTTGAAGCGTCTCTTTCAGAGTTTCAGTGTCCTCACTGAGCACTTGGGAGTACAACTTGTACAAGGGTTCCAAAATGAAATGCACAAAGCTCCGGCTGTGCTCAGGATCTTTGGGCTTCCGAGTGAACTTCCGGGTTTCTGAGTCAAAGTAGATGTCGCCCCACAATCGGTCAGCAAATGCATTAACGTCAAGTTTGCCTTTTTGAAGATTCATCAGAATACACGAGGATTCGCGGAAAGAGTAACGGACCAAACGCATCTGCGTACATCTGCGCGAATGAACGCAGGGTAAAGCACCAACTCATGTCAGTGCTGGCAAAGGCTACATTGCCGTGTTCTGGACTAAGGCGGAGTTCAGGATCGGGATCAATGTTACTAGAAGACAAGGTCAGAAAAGAAAAGGTTTGCTACAAATGACGGCACCTGATAAATGTATTTATCTCCTCTATCGTGTGCTTGATCTTGTAGTAAGCATCTTGAGGTTTTATTCTCAGTTCAAGAATCAATCGGTCAACTTTGTTCACGACAAGCGTGATTTTAATATTTTCCTGAATAGCATGTCGGATAATCGATTCAGCGCCTACCATAAGCTGCCTCAAAAAGTCAGAATCTGCTTAGATAAAAGTTTACAAGGGATTGCTCACGCCTTCAACAACATCGACTACCAACAATATGCCGTCAACAAGACGGATAGCCGAGGCAACTTCGTCGACAAAATTGACATGACCAGGTGTGTCAATCATATGAATAAGATGGGACTTCCCACTTGTCGTAGAAAGAACGAGAGACATTGGAGATGATTTTATGGAAACCTCCCTGGCACGAGAAAGGACATGGGTATCTGTATACCGGGTCTGAAATCTGATGAGAAATCACCTAGGTATCGATACAAGAAACGCACCGGGTGGTCAGAATCCCAAATGAGTTTGTGCGTCTCAAACACAAGCATATCCATCAATGCCGTTTTTCCATGGTGTAGATGTCCAACGACTGCCACGTTACGAATCATATCCGGAAAAGCGGTCATATTCAACAAAAACCTGCAAACTCGATTGGACTCTCACCATTAACATTATTACACGAAGACTCACCCTTTGTCAAACCTTGTTTCAGGCATGTCTTTCTCTTCTACTGTCCATTTTCGCACTTTTACGGGGGCAATGATGGGTTCTGAGAGAGGCTGGGCGTCTTCTTCTTGAACCATAGTTTCGACGTCGGGGCCATAGACATCTGACGCGGAAGGATAGTACTGCTTGTCTTCATGTAGAACAACGGCATTGTGCACAGGTTCTATTCAAAGAAAGGTTGGTCAACGAGGCAAGCATAATGTTGGAAAGATGAAAACACGAACCGTCAATCTCCATCAGCGCATTTTCATCTGGTCCTGGCATCTGCACGTCCTCATCATATCCTTCTAATGGTGCGGCGCTTCCAGAAGGCTGAGCATACGAAGGAATTTGGGGTACATCGTCCTCATCGTCGGAGTCGAGGTCGGCTCCAATGTAGTTCCCAAATTCATCATAATCGTCGAGAGAAGCCATGGAAAGACGCGTGTGATTTTGTGAGCAGGAGCTAAAAAAGCTCTACGTTTTGTTCTGTTGAAGAAAAGGTAGAACGTATAGGTTTCCCTGCGTTGTCGAGCGTTGAGAAGTGAGAGACGGACCAGACAAGGAGGGCACAGCCACATATCCTCTGTTCGTCTTTCTTCGCACGTCAAGTGGCTTTTGCCTCTTCTGGTTCGCGTCTCATAAGGCCATCGGCTTTTATCATAAGCAACTCCTTGAATAGCTCCAGAATTATACTTTACTTCCTGTCTTCGAACTAGCATGGCCGAGACATCTACAGACGAACGACCTGCGAAGAGAGCCAAGATAGAAGAGAACAACCGAGAGGAAGAGGAAGAAGAGGAAGAGGATTCGGTGATGGACGAGCCAGTACGCGCCTCGGATTTGTATCTGGACACAGTATGTTTCCCTGTGTATGAAATGGCCCTCGTCTGACCACTCTGGTAGATTAACCGTGCTGCCTTGGATTTTGACTTCGAAAAAGTGTGCTCAGTATCTACCTCCAACATCAACATCTATGGCTGTCTTGTATGCGGAAAATACTTCCAAGGACGCGGACGGAAATCATACGCTTATTCGCATTCCATCCATGATGATCACCATGTATTCATCAACCTAGAGACGACAAAAGTACGATGCTTGTCGTATTCTTTCCTTTTATCTGCTGATTTTGTGTAGGTATATGTGCTTCCAGATGGTTATCCAGTCTCCGACCCATCTCTAGACGATATTGCCTACGTCCTGCACCCAACGTTCACAAAATCCAATCTGCCACCCACTCCTTCACAACCGCCTCCTGCCAAACCAGCTTATGACTTGGCCTCTAATGCATACGTTCCCGGATACGTTGGTCTTAACAACATTAAGCACAATGACCACATGAACGTCATCATACATGCTCTTCTGCACATACCACCCCTCCGCGACACGTTACTTCTGTCTTCTATCAACTCGAAGAGTGGAACAGAGCTGACCAGGCGGTTTTCAGCTCTAGCGAAAAAGCTTTGGAACCCTCGTCTATTCAAATCCCAGGTCTCTCCTCATGAATTTCTCCAAGAGGTGAATCGTGCGAGTGGTGGCAAGTTCCGACTGGAACAGCGGGGTGATCCAGTCGATTTTCTGGGTTGGCTCTTGAACCGTTTACATAAAGACTTGGGGGGTACGAAGAAGAAGAATTCTAGTATCATATTCTCCACATTCCAGGGTCAGCTACGTGTCGATACGCAGCAAGTCGTGGTTTCTGGAGACGGAGAGGCAAAGCCGCGCTTCGACATCGACCGAGAAATAAAGTCCACTATTTCGCCATTCCTCTTCCTTTCCATAGACCTCCCCCCACCTCCCCTATTCCAGGATGCCATAGAGAAAAACATCATTCCACAGGTCTCACTCCAGTCGGTCTTGGCAAAGTATGACGGAAAGACAGCGCAAGAGTCTCTGGGAAATTTGCGAAGATACCAGTGTCAATCCTTGCCACCATATGTTATTCTTCACTTCAAAAGGTTCACCAAGAACGCCTTTGTGGAAGAGAAAAACCCAACCATCGTCAATTTCCCGCTAAACGGATTGGACATGAAGGAGTACCTTTCCACCCCTTCACCAACACCTCTGTTGTACGATCTCGTTGCCAATGTGACTCATGAATCCGTCGCGGGCACGACGCGGGACAAAATCAATACGGTATGGAAGGTTCACGTTCGTGCTGGAGAGAGATGGTACCAGATCCAGGATCTGATCGTGGAGGAAACGAGAAAAGAGATGATCTTTTTGGGTGAGACGGTGTTACAGGTGAGAAAAATCATGTCTACAAGTTTGTATGATAAAGTGCCTGATCTTTTCTCGTAGATTTGGGAAAGACGGAAAGAGTAGCTGACATGTTGTATCCTTTCTTCTTCAATAATATTAGCTTCGCTTGCAAGTCTAATGCGCGATTATAGTAAGTGTTGTCACTCCACTCCGTTCATCTTACCTCATATCGGCTCATTGCTCGATCGGAAAAGCTTCCAATAAATGGCTGGTAGAGTCTACTCAGCAGCATTGGAAGGGCATGGACCACAAATCCCAAGTCGCTGCCTCGACGACTGTCATACGGCCAAGGAATGTCATCACTTGATGTTGTTCCCAACGTTCCACAATTATTGCGGTCGGTCGAGAACCGGACAGACATAAGGAAGGTCAGGTCAAAAAGTGCTGCCTTTCGCTGACTTATGACTTGCATCAGACTTTGTGACTAGTCGGTGAACGGCACAACACTGGAGCCTCTTGCTAATGAGTAGTGCATATGACAGGCCCGATCTTATACAGCATTCAGGTACTGTCTATCGGCTATCCGTAACTCAGTCTGACGTTGGAATGCGATGGGAGGATTCTGCCGCAGAAGAGATGGGAGCGTGAGACGACTATTACTACTACTTCCTTGTGTTACAGGTGATCGCGGCTCGCTCGATCACATTGTCCGGACATCATCAAGCCGCCACAGAAGGCTGAAGACCTGCTGAGACTGCCGGAGACTACAACATGTCCGAACAAGGCGATTAAGGTGAGTACGCTTTCCATGTAGACATCCAAAAGTGTCCCCCAGAACCTGGAAGACAAGGAGCCTTGTGCCGTAGAATTCCTTTAGACAAAATGATTTAATAAGTAGTAACTTCCCAGTACTGATATCAATCAACTGCAGGATGAAGATATAGGCGCGCTTAAATTTAACTCGGGGGTTGGGAATACAGCTACTGCCACTGATCATCTTGTTTGAAGGGCTACGATCAGATAGGTGACGGACCTAAAGCGCAAATTCGGGCAGTAACTTGGATTCAACTGCACGGTACGACTCTCAAGCGGTGCTCTCATCTCTTTGTACTATCTCCTCAAGGCTACAGTGTATGTAAGTACAGCAGAATCGCTAGCCACAACCATGGCCATCGAATTCAAATTGATGGTTTTGATGCCCAGAAAACTCAAGGATTCTTGTCCTTTCGATACTTTCGTAACCTTCTCGTTATTCTCACAGGGGGTTATAACCTAGACCACAACTATCATCTCGCGGACCAAGGCCTCACTCAGATCGACCAAGTCCAGCACCAAGTATCTCGTTTTTCTTCCAGGGAGTATTGGTTATGCTACTATTTGCGCTCTTCTTGATTGTTTGCTTCGCCTATCCGACTCTTGTCCGCTCTGCCTTTTTCCCAGCTGCCCTTCCATTGGCTGTTCGCTCCCCATACTTCCAATGCTACGCCGACACTCGCGCTGGTAACAATGTTAATAACCAATGGCCCCAGTTCTGGACTGAGAGTAGGGTACGCTCTTGTATGTCATATTCCCTTCTCTACATACCGTCTGATTATTTCAAGATTTTGGGCTGGAGTGGATGGATTCGCATCGACGGCTCGACCTTCCAATTGTGGGGAGATTCCCCTGGGACTGCCACGAACTTGACTAGCTTCGAGGTTACTCCCACTCGCACCATTTTATCCATACATGCCAACACAACGAATGTGAATGTGACATTTTTGGGTCCGATAGAGGTGAGCTCCTTACGGTTCATACATCCTTTGTTTTTACTAAGTTACAGGTATAGCCGACAAATTTAGTTCTTCAGTCACTGCCCTTTTCATACGTTTATATTGATGTAGAGTCGAACAATGGACAAGAGCATTCATTACAGCTCTATTCGGATATTAGCGCTGGTACATGTGCTATATGCACGACTGCCTGTGTTTGCCGACCCTTCGCTGTGTAGAATGGATCTCTGGTGATTCGAATTCTTTGGCCGAGTGGACCACCATTACAACAGATTCTTCGGCAATCCATAAAGCTTATAGACAGTTGCCTTATTCGATGACAGAGATGAATAATTTGGCTGAGGACGCAAAGGTTTATTACGCCTTTCCTAAAGTAGGCCTATTTGGAGAATCTTCCTGACACTTCTGACAAGGATTTATTGCAGAGAAACACATGGGACAATACAACTTATGAGACTGGTAATGACACCGTTGTTCGGGCTGAGTTTATAACAAGGGGTACTTTGGACAATAGAGGAGACATAGATATGCGTGCAATTGACAAGTAAGCTACTGTGGTTTCTATGTGTATGGGTCTATTAAGCAACATCTTTTGTTAGCCACTTTGTTGTCCTCGGTCATGCCGTCAATCTCAGTAACATTGCCAGTACAACATCGTCAGTTGTCTGGGCAATAGGGCTTGTCCGTGATCCAGTAATTAGTCTTTACTCGACGACCACAAATAGCACTCGTAGTTCATATTTTTGGACCGCATTCAATACGGACAGCGATGCGGTATGTAAAACTCTACTCGCATAGATTTCCCGGACTCGTATACCCCCTAGATCGATTCGTTTCTCAACGATTTCTCCAATGCCAAGCAAAGAGCTATCGACCTCGATAATAAGATCATGTCCGATACCCGTCGGGTCTCTGATAATTATGCGGATCTTGTCGCCCTCGCAGCCCGTCAGGCCTTGGCCGTAGATATCACAGTATCCAGAGACAGTAATGGACAGTGGAATACGTCGGATGTTATGTCTTTCATGAGGGACATGGGTGATTCCCGGTGAGTAATTCGAAATTAGGACATATCTTGTCAGTAAGCAGGTTTGCTTATGCCTTTTAGTCGCGTCAATCCCGTCGAAATATTATATGCATCTTTCCCCGCCTATCTCTATTTTAATACAACATGGGCTGGATATCTTCTCGAGCCACTACTACGATATCAACAGTCTTCGCAGTATACGAAAACCTACGCCGCTCCAGATCTCGGTTTGTTCTTTTCTAAGGTTACTTGAGATATGTTCTGATACTCGTCTCAAGGCTCGTCATATCCAAATGCCGAAGGAAACAATAGTCCATCAATATCCGGGGCAATAGAGGGTAAGCCACGCCACGTTTCCAAATCGCTGAACTCACCTGATGGAGATTGCAGATTCAGGAGACATGCTCATCATGGGCTGGGCTCATGCTAGATTTTCTGGCGATGGTTCAATGATATCAAGATATGTACGTTACACTCCTCCACTCTCATCGGACTGTCAAGACTAACGCAGTGCAAAGTATGATCTGTATAAGCAATGGGCTGACTACCTAGTTTCAGTCACATTGAACCAGACTGGCTAGTGCGTCCTAGCGACTCCAACCGCTCTCCACTCTTATCGGCATCATTCTTCTAGTACGGATGCAGATGGGTTAGACAACACGAACATGACCAACTTAGCCATCAAGGGCATCATTGGCATCAAGGCTATGTCAGAAATCAGTCAAGCGTTAGGGAGAAGCCAGGATGCTGAAACATACTCGGTGCGCCACTTCGATGGCTATGATTTCGTTACTCCTGTGCTGATTCATTAATAGTCCAAAGCCCAATCGTATGTTGAGCAATGGCAGATCTCGGCTGGCTCGACGGGCCACCTGCTCTCTACGTACGGACCAACAGCGGACTCGACATCTTGGTCTCTTGTATATAATCTTTTTGCGGACAAGTTATTAGGAACGTCACTTGTCGACTCGAGCGTCAGTACTAACGAGAATGCTACCCCATCTATATCACTAATCTCCCTTGTAGATCTATACTCACCAAGATACCTTCTACTCCCATGAGGCCGGTATATGTAAGTTTAGCGTTTCTAAACTGTTTCATCGTGTCTCAATCGAGGTTAAGCCAGCGGATATGGGATACCGTATGACAGCAATATTCCCGACGAAGCCAAATCTCGTATGTTCTGGCTCATTTTCTTCCTGTTTTGGAGTCTCAAAATGTCTTCTTAGACTGGACAATGTTTGCTGCTGGGGCTTCGAATGATACCACCGTACGAGATACCCTTATATCATTAGTTCACACGAAAGCAGGCTCGAATGTATCTGCTGGTGTCTTTCCTTTGACGTACAATCCTAATAATGGGAGTACGATTAATGGCCAGGCAAGGTACGCAACATTAATCCTTGCAAAGCGCAGACATTAACGGATGATTGATCAGCCCTGGTCAAGGGGCTATGTTTTCATTAATGGCTTTGAGGTGTGTTAGGTTATCATATGTCCCTAATTTGTCACTTACGCAGTCCCGTCTTTAGTCTTCAGAATCGAACCGTCTCCAGTGGAGATGGTTCATCTAGTAGTAATAATCAAACGTCTTCATCTTCAAGTTCGTCCAATGCCGGTGCAATTGCGGGTGGCGTAGTCGGCGGATTTGCCACTCTTGCACTTCTCTTTTGCGGATTCTTCCTGTATGGAAGACGGCAACGGCGAAAGCCGGGCATGTATAACCAACGATCTGACTGGTCTTCCTCTACCAGCTATACTCCCTTTTTTGTCTCCCAACCATACAACGGTTCTTATGGTGGGCAGCCATCCGGCAAGGGAGGGCGACCAATGATATTGTCAAACCCGACTTTTGTGCCAACAGCTGAAGCATCTACGACAGCCAATGGATCACCAAATGCGAACGGGAGTGGGGGATCGAACTCGGATAATAACACTTCGGTCCAGCTCCGGAGCGAGATGGAGAACCTACGGAGAGAAGTAGACGAAATACGGGCGAGAATGTACGAGCCTCCACCGGAATACACGTGAAGTGTAAGATCCTTTGTATCCGTTATCCCTCTTTTCTTTGCGGCTGTACCGGTGCAATTTTCCTTGTAAATCTAGTGTGCGTTGTCGGATATCACTCCAATCATCTCACCTCATATTGGCGAGTCATCGCTTAATTAGAACAATTTCCAATGTTAAACGATCTGCAGAGCCTAGTTAGCCGCCTTGAGCTGCAGATTAAAGAGACTACAAAACAGGTGCCCCATTCGCAATTTGGTGAAGGAGGACAATGTATAGCCCTACAGGTGCATGTAACGGGTCTACAATCAATCTGTACTGACCATCATCCATCCTCATAAATTTCTAGGCCCCCAGAACTCTTACGAAGGTAAACTATAAGGAATTCTCAACGTTTAAGTGATGAAATATGCTCGTTCCCACTTTGAAGTTCTCGTGGTTTTTACCGCAACTTTCATTGGGAAGTTCTTCAGAGAGTCGTTCTAGGCTCGCCATCCACAGCCACCACCCATAGTATGCTACGAAATTATCGAAGCTGGATATATCCTAAAATCCGGACAAAGTTCGGTAGCCTCCTATGGCTACCATGACAACGCTTGATCGCGGCCCGCTCCATTCGATTCACCGTCATTAAAGCGGGAGACTGCCCTTCGCCCTACTGTCTGAACAAGGCGATTAAGTATCCCCTTCATATAGACATTCACCGGTGTCAGCCAGAACCTGGAAGAGAGCGAGCCCTGCGCCATAACTTTTTAAATGGCTCCGTGAGTTATTAAGTAAGTACTAACATCCATACTGATATCAATCAACTGCTGGATGAATAATAAATATAGGCGCCGTTGAATTAGTTCGGGTTTGAGGGCACCCGAATCTAGTTACAAGTACTCTGTTACTAATTGTCACTGATCATCTTTTGTGACGGGTAGGGCAGGGATCAGCTGATAGGCGGTGACCACAAAATTCACGGTAACAATGGATTCAACAATCTCTACAACACTCCTCACGCAGTGTGTTCATCTCTTTGCACTATCTCTCCAAGGCCAGAGCATATGTAAGTACAGTGGATCGCTAGCCACGGTCACAGTCATCAAATTCATTTTGAATAAAACTGATGGTTTTGATGCCCAGAAAACTCAGGGTCCTTTCCTGTCCTTTCGATCTTTCCGTAACCCTTGCGACATTCTCACTGGGCGAAAGCCTAGGCCACCCCCGCTTACGTCGGGACCAACTGCAGCACGAAGTCTCTCGTTTTTCTTACTAGGGCCTACTGGTTATGCTGCTCTCCGCCCTTTTTTTGGTTGTATGCTTCGCCCTATCCGACTCTTGTCCGCTCAGCCTTTTTCCCGGCTGCCCTTCCATTGGCTGTTCGCTCCCCATATTTCCAATGCTACGCCGACACTCGCGCTGGTAACAATGTTAATAACCAATGGCCCCAGTTCTGGACTGAGAGTAGGGTACGCTCTTGTATGTCGTATTTCCTCCTGTGCATACCGTCTGATTATTTCAAGATTTTGGGTTGGAGTGGATGGATTCGCATCGACGGCTCAACCTTCCAATTGTGGGGACAATCCGGGACTGCCACGAACTTAACTAGCTTCGAGGTTACTCCCACTCGCACCATTTTATCCATACATGCCAACACAACGAATGTGAATGTGACATTTTTGGGTCCGATAGAGGTGAGCTCCTTACGGTTCATACATCCTTTGTTTTTACTAAGTTACAGGTATAGCCGACAAATTTAGTTCTTCAGTCACTGCCCTTTTCGTACGTTTATATTGATGTAGAGTCGAACGATGGACAAGAGCATTCAATACAGCTCTATTCGGATATTAGTGCCGGTACATATACTATATGCACGACTGCTATGTTCGCTGACCCTTTGCTATACAGAATGGATCTCTGGTGATTCGAATTCTTTGGCCAAGTGGAATACCTCTAGAACAGGCTCTTCAACAATCCACGAAGCTGATAGACAGTCGCCTTTATCGATGGCAGAAATAAATAATTTGGCTGAGGACGCGACGGTGTATTACGCTTTTCCTATCGTACGTGTGTTCTTATAATCTTCTACCTAGAGACTAATGACAGGGATATTTTGCAGAGCAACGATGCGACGTATGAGTCCGGTATTGACGCCGATGTTCGGGGTAATTTTACAAGAAACGGTACTTTGTTCGGCAGTTTAGACACAAATTTCCGTGCAATTCAAGAGTAAGCTGCTTCATTTTACACACATATACGTTCATTGATGTCTTTGTTCAGCCACTTTGTTGTGTTCGGTCATGCCGTCAATCTCAGTAACATTGCTAGTACAACATCGTCGGTTGTCTGGGCAATAGGGCTTGTCCGTGATCCAGTAATTAGTCTTTACTCGACGACCACAAATAGCAGTCGTAGTTCATACTTTTGGACCACATTCAATACTGTCAACGATGCGGTATGTAAATTTTTGCTAAGATATAGTTTCCAGACTGACGTACCACCTAGATCGACTTCTTTCTCGATGATTTTTCCAATGCTAAGCAGAGAGCTATTGACCTCGATAATAAGATCATGTCCGATGCCCGTCGGGTCTCTGATAATTATGCGGATCTTGTCGCCCTCGCAGCCCGTCAGGCCTTGGCCGTAGATATCACAGTATCCAGAGACAGTAATGGACAGTGGAATACGTCGGATGTTATGTCTTTCATGAGGGACATGGGTGATTCCCGGTGAGTAATTCGAAATTAGGACATATCTTGTCAGTAAGCAGGTTTGCTTATGCCTTTTAGTCGCGTCAATCCCGTCGAAATATTATATGCATCCTTCCCGGCCTATCTCTATTTTAATACAACATGGGCTGGATATCTTCTCGAGCCACTGCTACGATATCAACAGTCTTCGCAGTATACGAAAACCTACGCCGCTCCAGATCTCGGTTTGTTCTTTTCTAAGGTTACTTGAGATATGTTCTGATACTCGTCTCAAGGCTCGTCATATCCAAATGCCAAAGGAAACAATAGTCCATCAATATCCGGAGCAATAGAGGGTAAGCCACGCCACGTCTCCAAATCGCTGAATTCACCTGATGGAGATTGCAGATTCAGGAGACATGCTCATCATGGGCTGGGCTCATGCTAGATTTTCTGGCGATGGTTCAATGATATCACGATATGTGCGTTACACTCCACTCTCATCTGATTGTCAAGACTAACGCAGTGCAAAGTATGATCTGTATAAGCAATGGGCTGACTACCTAGTTTCAGTCACATTGAACCAGACTGGCTAGTGCGTCGTACACAACTCCAACCGCTCTCCACTCTTATCGGCATCATTCTTCTAGCACGGATGCAGATGGGTTAGACAACACGAACATGACCAACTTAGCCATCAAGGGCATCATTGGCATCAAGGCTATGTCAGAAATCAGTCAAGCGTTAGGGAGAAGCCAGGATGCTGAAACATACTCGGTGCGCCACTTCGATGACTATGATTTCGTTAGTCCTGTGCTGATTCATTAATAGTCCAAAGCCCAATCGTATGTTGAGCAATGGCAGATCTCGGCAGGCTCGACGGGCCACCTGCTCTCTACGTACGGACCAACAGCGGACTCGACATCTTGGTCTCTTGTATATAATCTTTTTGCGGACAAGTTATTAGGAACGTCACTTGTCGACTCGAGTGTCAGTGCGAACAAGAATAGTACCATATCTATATCACTAATCTCCCTTATAGATCTATACTAACCAAGATACCTTCTACTCCCGTGAGGCCGGTATATGTAAGTTTGGCGTTCTAACCTGTTTCGTCGCGTCTCAATCGTAGTTAAGCCGATGTATATGGGATACAGTATGACAGCAGCGTTACCGACGAAGCCAAATCTCGTATGTTCCAGTTTATTTTCTTCCTCTTTTGGAATCTCAAAATGGCTTCTTAGACTGGACTATGTTTGCTGCTGGAGCTTCGAATGATACCGCCGTGCGGGATACCCTTATATCATTAGTTCACACGAAAGCAGGCTCGAATGTATCTGCTGGTGTTTTTCCTTTGACATACAATCCTAATAATGGCAGTACGACTAGCGGCCAAGCAAGGTATGCAGCATCAATCCTTGCAAAGCACAGACGTTAACGAATTCCTGATCAGTCCTGGTCCAAGGGGCCATGTTTTCATTAATGGCTTTGAGGTGTGTTAGGTTATCATATGTCCCTAATTCGTCACTTAGGCAGTCTCGTCTTTAGTCTTCAGAATCAAATCGTCTCCGGCGGGGACGGTTCATCTAGTAATAATGATCAAACTTCCTCATCCTCAAGCTCGTCGAATGCCGGTGCAATTGCGGGTGGCGTAGTCGGCGGACTCGCCGTTCTTACACTTCTCGTTTGCGGATTCTTTCCTGTATCGAAGACGGCAACGGCGAAAGCAGGGCATGTATAACCAGCGATATGGCTGGTCCTCTTCCACCAGTGATGCTTCCTTTTTCATGGGCATCTTTCGCAGACGGGGATCTCCAAAACACGATGATTGACAACAGCAATCCTATTTTGTCAGAGCCGGTTACTCCCCAGCCATTTGACCCATACAAGTTCTTATCCGTCACAGCACCCTTTACAGCCATTGCGTCCCGGACAGCAGAATGCATTGGTAGATTCCTATCCCCAACCTGAGCAACGTTCGGGCAAACGAGGGCCACCAATCATAATGTCAACACCGACTTCTGGACCAACAGATGTGGCACCTACGACAACCTCTGGCCCGGGATCATCTGGTGGGAGTCGGAGCGGGGGATCCGATTCGGATAATACTGCTACGGTCCAGCTTCGGAATGAGGTGGAGAATCTACGCAGAGAAATGGAAGAGATGCGGGCGAGGGGACTCTATGAGCCTCCACCACAGTACACATGAAGCCTTGTAATATCCTTTGTATCCATCATTCTTTTCTTTGCGGGACCATTGCTATTGTACCAGTGTAGCTTCTTTGTTATTTATTTATACACACGTTCAATATCGAGTAATAACACATCCATCAAGCTTGCCACGGCGATGAAAGTCAAACTTTAAGGAGCTGCAGTGACTGCTACTTGATGCTCAAACATAAAGCGACTTCAAACTTTTCAAAAAGCATGTCTGATTACTTTGTAGAACTAGAAGTATTTATACGAACGTAGATAACAAAATAGCAAAAAAAATGATAACGCGACAGCAATAAATGTACATAACAACAATCCAAATTGAACCCTCAGTCCCAGTCCATATCTTTCCGGTGTCGATGATGATTGCCTAATGGACTATCACCTACGAACGCCGTCGTGTAAACAAGGATCTTCTCCTTTGCACAACCCAACCTGCCAGCCCTCACCCTCGGAGTGTCCCACACCCCACCCCGCTCCCACACAGCACCCTGTACCGCCTGCATCCTCAGATACACCGGATTCATGATAAATCTCTTCCTCGGTCCTAGGTCCGGTGACATAGATCTACTCCGCGATATCACTCGGCGAAACTCGCTGTCGTCCCGCGGGTCCAGCATTGGTTCATTCCTCCGGATCCGGGATTTAGCCACATGCTCCTGCTGATGTGCTCGTAAGAAGGGTGATATAAAAGGCTCCAGGCCGCGCTTGAACGGCGTCTGATAGGGAAGTGGATGTTTGAGGACAGTGTGCTGTGGCGCATCTGCTCCGTTCCCGAGTGCGATAAACGTCGGAGGTGTCGAAGAAGATTCTTCCAAAGCGTCAACATTAACGTTGCATAAGAACATCGCAACCTGCTCTTTACTAGCGCGATAGCCATCCGGCATTAGCCGCATCTTCTTCATCTTCGCGGATGTTTGGATCGGGTCATCACGGTAGGAATCATCGCAATTCGGAATAACCGAATATACCATCGCGTGCATATACGCGTTCTGAAAACCCTTCGCAAGCTGAATAAATCTGCTCACGTGTTGGCCCAACTTTGAATTGGATCGTGTGGAGATGATAGATGATATCGATGATATCGATGCTTTGCGAGTCTTTGGAAGTCGTTGGGGAGATACAGACTTCGGAGATGATAAGATCTCAGACTTGGCAGGAAGTAGGGGGTACGAAGAGCGGGTCCTGGGATGGATGTATCGCGATTAGACGCGAAACGGGCCGAATACATCGACATGATGAGGGGCCAGGGTCTGGTATCAGAGTAAATGGCTGCATGGCGTCAGCAAGTGACTTTACGAGAAGTATATCAGAAGAGGGAGGTGGTGATGCCGGTGGAGTCGTGAAGTCAGTCATCGTCGACGTAAACGATGAGAAGCTCGATAGGTCGCTGTTATCGGAGGTAGTCGATGTTGGAGATGATATTGAGCTAGACGACGAATTCGTCCGGCATATGGTACATAGACCTTTCTTGCTCCACCCGGAAGGCTGATTATCATCTCTTTGAGGCGCTTTATCGAGCCTTCTCCGTAGTCTCTCCTCGGGTGCCCAGCTAGTTACCTCAGAATCCAAAAGCACGTCCAGTGGGTCCAATTTATGACACTTCAAAGTAGAGACGGACTTGGACGACCTCGACAGTGAATGCGTGCGCTCAGACGCGGTAAGAGGAAAGAGAGAACCGTTCATGGCCGTAATCACTTCCTTGAACGACACTGAAGGTCCTGACGCGTCGAATCCGGTGTCGTCACTTGCGGTATCAGTACTGTAGTCTGAGGTAGAAGAGAGGTGTTCTCGGCGCGCCTTTGACTCGGATAAACAAGACGAACCGGCCCTCATCTTCCTGTGACGCGACGGAGGCATCTGCAAGGCTGGAGTGACCACAAAGCTGTAAGCGTAGCCAGAGGATGATGCTTCTGATGTTGACGAGGCCGACGAAGCGCGAGTTTGCGATAATGAACTGTATGATAGCTTTGGCTTGCGCGACCTGCTGAGCGTGACTGGTCGACGCGACTCGAATTGTTGCTGCTGAGCTTTGCGCTGTTCCTCCTGCCTCAGCCTTGCCAACTTTATCCGTGCTTTCTCCTCCCGCAAACGTAGCTTCTCGTTCTCCCAAATCTTCTCGCACCGTTTCTCCCAGAGCTCGCGTTTGCGCTCTCTTTCTCTCAGTGCTCTCCTCTCCAATTCCATCTGTATCCTCTCAGCCTCTAATCGTTGTGCCTCCTTTACTCTCTTCTCCTCCTCTTCCGTCAACAGCAACATACCATTTGGAATGAAGCACTCGTCAAAATCTTCGTCCTGTACCGCGGCTATGCGAGGGTCATCATCGGACGTGACTTCGATGCCTCTTAATTTGAGAAGCAGAATCTTGGCGAGATGAATGTCATCGTGTGCGTAAGCAACGTGTAGTTGGTCCTCGATCGTGTGAGGGGGTGAAGGGGGCGAGTCGCAGTAGAAATAGTCGTAATAGTCAGGGTCGTTGGACGACGGCTGAGGAGACATGGGTTCCGATGCTGACGTGGATGGTGACGGTACACGAGACGGTGGAAACGATGCGACGGGCATAGGTTCTGCCACTTATGATATTGAGCATATGCTGCATAACATGTGGCTGTGCTTACCTATGAGCGTCGGAACGACCTCGGCCGGGGCGAGAGGCTGTTTAACCTCGGAATTTCGGATTATTACTGAGCCCAAAGGTTGCGGTGCGTGTGCTGCCGGTGCGACGAAAAGCTGGTGAGGTATGTCCAACTTGGGTGGTGACCTTCTCGTGGTCGCATGCCCCGGGATCCCCCCGGAATGCTGACGGAAGTTTACCTCATGGGCACGAGAAAGCCTCTCTTCAGAGGACTTCCTGGCCAGCGCTGCTCGCGAAACCTCGCGAGAACGACCGCGCGCTATCATGGGAAGAGGGACGCGGGAGTGACGGCGGGATGGGAATGGGTGGAAAAAGATGACGAAAGATACAAAGGCACAGATATAGCCTTGGGAACCCGGCAGGAAATTCAGGGAACCAACAGGGATGCCACGTTCAATCACACTGATTATCAGCCTCGAGGCCGACAACACGGCGCCTGATGAGACCTATGAATACTCATTATTTAGGAACCTTTAATTTGTATTTTTACTCCGGCATCAGTCCCCGCTATCTTGTCCCCTACTCGGAAGCAAACTTTATTCGACATTATCTCTTCTTTTACGCCCATATCTATCGACGCCTACTATGTCCGCCCTTGCCGATATTCTTGGCCAGACCCGAGTCGGTCATTCCTCCTGGTCGTATCCAACGACGACCAATTTCTAGCGCAATTGCCCAGGGTTACTATTGTCTGACGACACAAATAGAAGTCTCCTTATCTGCCAATCGGACCGTGTCCGCTCAGAATACATGGACCCACAGCTGGTTTCTTCCTCTTTCCTTTTTCTCTCTTGTTTCTCTCTTCCGGTCTATATTAATGTTCCATCGTTTACCGACCGTTTCGCTCCTTACGCGGTCTCGTTTTGTCTCTGTCTATTCTTCATAGCGCCACGGACATTGAGTCATGATACGGATTCAGGGCTATTCAAATCTCATCACATTGTCTCACCGAAAGATTGGTCCCTGTATTGCTAGTCCCTCCCAGTTTTTTTTTTCAGTTGGTGTCCGCCCTTTTCTCTTCTCTTTGAGTTAACTTTCGGGCCTGATGCTGTCAGTGTGACTCTGTCTCATAATAGAGCTTCTGAGTCCCAAGATGTGCCCACGAGTGCTTCTGGACCTCCATATGGCCCCGTCAGTGTTCCTTACGGTCGGCCATTCCCTAATGGATGCCACTCTCGTATCCGACAGATGGCCTGTATCCACCTCCTTATCTCTTAATACGCCGTATGCCTCTCTTACGATCCGCATCAATGCTATCAACACTCGAGGCCCGCCACATCAGGGATATTATATTGGCTGTTATCATCTCATTCGACCGACTTGAAGGCTAGCCAAGTCCGTACTTCGAAAAATAGAACGCATTTTCTCAGCGCCAGAGCTTAAATTGACCCTGCTGTTACGTCGAACGAGGAACTGTCGTTTATTCTCACCACCCTACTTCCACTACTCCTTCTCGTGTTACCTAGCGCCGCCTACATTTGGACTCCCTTCTTAACGGCACATAGTAAACAGCCCTGGCTGTTCATCTCTTACAGCCTCAGTCAGCGACGGGACAGCATCATGATACAGCGCACCTTCACGGCATGGTACGGCGCACAAGAATCTCCGACATCTCCTACGCGGAACAACAGAATAACGCCACCTATCTCGCCTATCTACTAATGTATTCTCTCGCTGATCTCCGAGCCCACCTCAGGTAAATATTTCCGGATCGTCATTTTGTCGTCACTGAAAGATGAGCACATCGTCCTTGTGCTCGTCACAAACATTCAACCTCCAGTCAGCATGCGTCCTTGTGTCAAAAAATCGATAATGATCGTAACCCCATGCTATGGCTCGTCAAGTCCACCCTGGCCAGATATCCAAACCTATGCGAAACCCGCATCCAAAAAGAGGTGTCTTCAGGTAAACTAGCAGGCCTCGAGGCAGAACATGTTGCAATATCTTACGAGCAATTCTCAAACACGACGCAAAAGAGAAAGGTATCCTCTCCTTGACTGCCAGTGCCTTGCGGCTTCCTCATCACCCCCACGTTCACTGCCCTGCCAACGAGAGGGATCTAGTACGAGTGTCCGGGTCGCTATAGAATACTTACTATGATCACCATCCCCCCATCTCTGTCAACGGATGGACCTTGATATCACGAATGTACTCGGAAATGAAGCCGTAGGCTATCCCCCGTGCACGAAGAGTTGAGGGTACCTAGATAACCATATTTACAACACTACTGAACAACCAATTATCATCGACGTCATTATCACAACAAAGATGTACAACCTAAAGATAGCCCAATGTACAGTCCTCCAATACGACATGTGAAAAACCCATATGAAAGATAGAAAACAACAGAACGTTCCCAAGATGCGACGACAGTGCGGCTATTGGCTTAGTGATATTAAATCCGAGTCTTAGACTAGTCATATCCTCCCGGAAGAGCGGATTGCGGTGGGAACGTTTCGCTAGATGGTTATGTGGCTTATGGTCCGTGAAGCCAGGAAGCTGATAGTGATATTGTTACAACAATAGCGTCAAAGGCAGGACGAGATGGCCGACCAAAGCTGGTAAGAACTAGAAGAACGATATTCGGGCTTTTAACGCCCGTGCCAAGTGTGTATAGTGAGTATAGGTGTCGAACAGTGGTTAAGCTCCTGTATTGAGTTGAGAGTGGGCGCTAGGACTCGTACTAACCATAATTGTATTCCCTAGATAACCTGCAAACGTAACTGCCGCAGTCTTGTTGGACATCGAACTGAGAACTGATGAAGCAGGGTGCGGCTTCGACTGGTCTTGGGGGCAGTGAAGCTGAAGTCGTACATAATTTCCTCGGCGTCGGACCCAAGCCCAAGCCAAGACACCATCTACCGCTTTCGTGTTAAGAACCACAGGAGAACCATGAACATCTTTGAGAACGCCTGATGTCATCCAAGAAGGATAGAATATTGTTGGCCTGCGGACGTCGACGGACGCCACACGCAGAGGCATTATGTAGTGACTTGCAGTGCACCCTCAAACTCAGACAGTTTATGATTGTCACCATGAACCGGGAAACAATACTGTACAACGTCGCCATGTCGAACTTTCAAATTCGCCTCCCCGAGCCGGCCGGTCCGGCGCTTCCACCTCGGAAAATCAGTAAGTACCGTTCCCTCGTAGAAGTAATCCTCATAATCAACAGATGATCATCTAAACTGAATTTTCTCTCCCGGAAGAATTGAGGGAAGCACATCCTTGAAAATGAAGTTCCAGGTCGTCGGTCCAAGAAGCAGATAACTGACATTTGAATGTTCGGCATTTCTGTTGTACACCGCGTCGTGTTGTTCCGCCACGTCGTCGCCGCGACGGAAGGAGCCGTGGCTCGGCTGCCCGTAGCCGGGATAATACTAGATAATGAATACGATAAACGGTTAGCACTCAAAGTGAGGTCCGAAATTCCGAATATTTGAAGTTTCGCGTCAGAAATAATTGGCCTTGGCCGGTGGCTCACTACTTCTGGAAACTTCTAGCGGAGAGCGGCTGTAAACGTCCGCGTCAAGCTTGAACCTTGACGCGCGGTAATAGAGTCAAATGGTACAGTTATTTACCGGTCATTGCAACACCATGGTTCAATGAAACATTTAGCCTCTTGCTCTCCCTCTGTTCATCCTTCATCGTCAACTTGTATTACATTGCTAATGTGTATTGTATCTTCATGTTCTGCAGTGATTCTTTATATGTGATGCGAATAATATTCCGAGAAATTGAGGCTTCTGTTCTAAAAATATCTATTTTCTCACGAACTCAAAATCTGTCCCAGCAACGTGTGTCCTCCATCTCATTGTAATCACCCACAAAGGCCTCAACAATGTTGATGACCTTCTGAAGAACCTGTATGACAAGTTTGAGACCAGACAGCCATTATCTGAGGAGTCTAGGGCATAAATAAAAGTGCAGTTCTGTCAAGCCATTGCCTTTGATGGACAGTCTGACAGTCCAATGTGCCTATTATTTCCCCGTTGCCTCCGAATTTTATTTTTCCTCTTGCTCAATTTTTTACTATGCCTGGACGTGCTAAATCAAACTCAAAAAAGTGCCAGATTGCTCGCAAATGCCATGACCAGCTAATGGAAAAGGCAGTCATTGCTTACAAGAACGAGCTTGCCAAATTACCCGGTGCTCCTCGGAAAGGTGCAAGAAAAATCTGCAAAGATTTCGAGGCTGTATATCAGAGGGAGACTGGAAAGGAGATCTCACTTTCTTATAGCACTCTTATCCGCCTAGCCAATGGTGGCAAAACGAAGGCACAATCAAACGCAATGAAGAGCCATCTTTTCCCTGCCGAGGCCAACAATATTGTTGATTTTGTTCTGGCTGTAGCCTCCGAAGGCTTCCCTCTCAGCCACCGACGTCTAAAGGAACACATCAATGAAGTATTACAAGCACGACTTGGTCCTGAATTTCCCGGTGTTGGAAAACAGTTCACACAACGCTTTGTAGAGAAGCATTCCGACCTGCTTGAAGACGGCATGGTCAACGCCACTCGAAAATAAACGGGGCCGTGCCGTGAACCATACAAACAATGATGCATGGTTTGAATTGCTGGGAGAGGTGTTGAAAGGTGTTGACGAGGACTGCATATATGCAGTTGACGAGATTGGCATTCAGCCATCAGGCGGACAGAGAGAGAGGGTGATTGGTGGACAGAAAGGCGGACGTCAATATCAGCAGCGTGATGGTAGTCGCGAGAACACCACCGTTCTTGTAACTATTTGTGCTGATGGCACTTCGACCGCACCGGCTGTAATCTTCAAGGGACAGGCATACCAAGTCAAATGGCAGCAGGACAATCCCGCCAACGCATCGTGAGTACAAATGAATACATGTTCCTCCTACATATATTAATAGCATTGATAGTCTGGGCTACTCTAAAAAAGGCTGGACCGACAGAGAAATTGGCGTCGAATGGATCAAGGATTTTGATCGCCAAACGTCGAGGAAAGCAAATGGCCGTCGCCGCCTCTTACTAGTTGATGGACACAATAGTCATTACACCAGGGGGTTTCTGCAATATGCACGCACTCACAATATCCGTGTCCTTTGCTACCCATCTCACACGACGCACGTATACCAAGGGCTCGATGTGGTCATATTCAGTCCACTGAAGCTATACTGGAGTGACGAAAGGGATACCTGGGAAAGGGAGAGAGGGGAGAAGGTTGATAAGAGGAACTTTCTGACAGTTTACGGAAAAGCTCACCTCCGTGCTCTCACACCCGTGAATATCAAGGCGGCATTCAGAAAGACAGGCGTATGTCCATTCAACCCGAACATTCTTCCTGAAGAGTCCTTTGCTCCGAGCCGAACCACGTCTTGCGAAAGTCACCTCCCAGTTCCACCTGCCACACCGGTACGCACTGTTGCGAAGCTGCTGCAAAAATTAAGCATCAAGGAAAGCGTTGAAGAGGCTGAAGAACCCACTGGTGCCATCGATCATGATACAACTCAAGAATCTCTGCCGGCTTCCTTCGATGAGACATTGAAAGAGCTAAACGAAACGTCACTTGCATACCTCATCTCCAATGACATTCCACCCCCAAACTCGCCACTCGATCTCCGAGCTCGTTCTCTTATCGCAACGTCACACTGTCTTGATGGTGTTCATCCACAAACCGCGACAGAGCTAGAGCTCCTGGCTTCACTACGAGAGGTCCAGGCTGAAGCAGAGGCATTGCGACAGCGCCTGGTGTCCATGCAGGCAGCTAACGTGCTAAATGAGATGTACTGCAAAGTGCTGAGGACCCATCTGGCAAATTACGATAAGAAGAAGCAACAGGCGAAGAAATCTGGAATGCTAGTGGGGGATGGACTGCCACGGTTGTTGTCAAGTGACGTGTTCTATGAGCTTGTTTGCGACCATGAAGAGAGGCAGAGGGTGGCGGAGCAAGAGAAGCGAGCTCGTAAAGCTGCTAGGGAAGCTAGATCTGAAGCTCTAGAGGTCTGGAAAAAGCAGGATGAAAAGAGAAAGCAAGCAAACAAGACGAAAACAGCACTTTACCAGACAGCATTGAAGAGATGGCAGGAGCAGAAGGCAGAGGCAAGGTCCAGGGGGGAAAAGTTCACATTAAAGAGACCTGTGAGGGGCCCACTAGCTGGTCCTATACCCAAGCCAGCAGCTACGGCAGTGGAGGATGACAACGACGACGGAGAAGGGGGATCTGATAGCGATCAGAGCGACTCCGAGTAGCTGACCAATGATGCCTGGGTACGCGGGCCGGACCGTTTCAATGACTCAAAATGGTCCAGAATACCCACGCCACAATAATGCTGCGAAAACGGACTTGTACCTGCACCTTCGAGCATCCTTTCTTTACTGTATCTTGTTGTTGCATAGCATTACATATTTCTACATTCAAATATAGCCATAATTCCAAACCAATTGGAACTTACAGCGAATATTCAATTTTGCTGTTTCATTGACCGGTAAATAACTGTAGAGGACGGGCCGCTGAGAACGGCGTTTCTGTGCAAGAATAAGGCTATCTTTGATGAAGCACTTGAAACTTATAATAGGCCGGAAAGACCAACCGTTTACAGTTGCTTCCAGAACTGAAAGCTGCGGGCACTATGTAGGACAAGGCACTTAGAGCGAGCCTATATATGTAAGGAGTGAACCTAAGTCATGCTAGCAAGCTCTGCCAAAGTCGACATTCGATGTCCGCATCCCGTTTGATGACTATCTTCCGAGTCAGGGCCAAGCAAGCACAGCACCGGAACCCCGCATTCCTCCACAAATCGATCCTCAACCTCTAAATCCCCCAACTCCACGTCTTCTAGCCCGTTTAATCCATCCCATTCATCCTCGTCGTCATCAAACTTGGCAACTTTGGTATCGATCTTGTCCTCCTTGTCCTCCTCGGTTTCTCTGTTCCTTCGCACCCACACATGCAGCATTCTCCGTCTTGTAGTTGCAAGCTGAGCAAGACCATCTTTCCAGCCAAGCTCAAACGCGGAGAGAATATCTTCATGGAGGTTTACCGGAGCATTAGGGAGGGCAATTGAGAGCGATCTGAGTGTCGGCGCAGACGGAATTATGCGGACTTTCTGGGGAAGATCAACTGTCGATGATAATCTCGAAGGCCCTGGAACTTGGGACGGAGATGGTGGCGCGGACCGGAGAGATATGGTAGCCGTGGCTAACCCTTTCCTACCCTTTCCTGATTTCTTTGCGGTTGACGCGGCTAATGCTCTCTGTTCTTCTCCCCAGTTGGCTTCCAGCCACTGCTTAACCACTTTTTCTCGCTCTTTGGCACGTCGTGCACCCCCAAGAGCGCATCGCTTACCAAGGTCATACCACTCCTCACGCACACTAGGTCCTTCCAAGGTCGGGCCGCCTAGGGACACTATGAAGTGTAGAGCATCCATCCAATACAAGATGTTCTAGTTTGGAGAATCTGCTAACTATCGTATCGATATCCGCGTCATAGGTGCTGGTCGTAGACAAGTCCAGAACGCGAGTATGAGAAAAGGTGCGTGGCAAGTTGTTTGTGACCGCGCGAATCAATGCCCGTGAAGGAAGACGAAACCGCAAGGCGCTGATGTGAGGGCAAAGGAGAAGCGAAGAGAAAGTATGGTCGAGACGAAAGAAGACGATCGGTTGAGCAAACGACTGTCCAGGCGCAACCTGTAGTTGAATCACATCTAAGGGATCTTGGACTATGGAAAGGGAGTGTAGAGATGCGTGAGGCCAGAGCGCAAGAGCCAAGAGCGTACTGTCGAAATATGAACCCTGAATGAAACGAATATTGGATGCTGAGTGCTGAGTCCAGACAGTAATATCCAGCCCACCTTCAAGAACTGAAGGTATGAAGCCTTTTGTACGCTGCAAGTTGGGATTTAGTGATCTGAAAAGACAGCGTGCCCCTAGCAACTTACTAAGGTCTGAATCGGAACTCAAGCACCCTGAGCTGTCTCATATCCCTTTTCAGTTTGGTTACCAGCTCTTCTAGATCTTCTGGGGCAAAATTCATGGGGCCGACCCATAAAGTCAGTTTCGTGATCTCTGTCAAGAGGCCAACGACATTTATTACAATGTTTGCATCAGCAACCCAAGTTTCCAGTGAGAAGCTACGGACCCATGACGCCGCAGGATCAATAATTACACTTGTAGAGTTGTCATCATTTGTGGTGGTTGTGCGTAAACGGCGGTATAATTGGAGGACTCGGTCAGGATGATGGAGCCTGATGTTTCTGAAAATATCGTGAAGAGGTACGGGTGAATGAGGGAGGGCGCGAGACAGTGACAAGATAGTCTTCTGGAGCAACAGCTCCGGTACGTGGGAGAGAATGTCCGCGTAAAGTTCTGCGGGAAGGGTAGGGAAAAGAGACATGTGTGGTAAGGATCTAGAGCAAACGAACGTGGTAGCAAATTAATACAGATAGAAAGAAAGGGTACCAGCATCCCTTGAAAAAAATTGCTTACCTGGTTCCTTCTGCGTTCCAGAATCGAAGTATGATTGGCTGTTCAAGCTGTCGAACTCGATAAATAGTTCCGCCGAGTTCGCAGCAAAGAATAAGCGTCTACAGCATTTAAACAGACGACTTGTTCCAATACCTAGAGGTTAGCACTAGGACCGAATCCCTAGGGGCACTAAGATGCCACCAATACGTGATGTTGTCTCGAGTTTGACACCGGGGGTCTTGCCTTCCTCTTTCGTCACCTTTCGTACCCTCCGGCCTCACTCTTTCGACGACAAGATGGATGGCGAGCTCTTGCGCGTATGGCAGCTCGTCCACGAACTCAGCGAGCAGCTCGCGCACAACCAAAAGCTTACTGCGACTCTCCAGTCTCAGGCTAGAGCTCTTCAGGTGCGTTGATCTGTAAAAAGCGTCACCGCCATGCCCGTAACGCTTTTTTTTCCAGACCCAGGCCTCTCACAATAGCAGTGGTTTCGTTCTGAGACGCTTTAATACGGATATTACAAAAGGTGTGTTAGGTTTATCATGATTCTGCGGGGGTGGTGTTCAGACGGCACCACAGAGGTATTCGAGTCTGAGTTGGAGAGAATGAACGCGCAAATCATCATCGAAAATCAGACACTGTTACACGAGAACAAGCAACTGAGCATGCTGCTCAAGGAGTATGAAGGCACGATGGACACTGTCATGACCAAGTTCAGAAACCATGCTGCAAGTCCTGTTTCATGTCTTTCTATATCATTCGTTTAACCACAATTTTGCAGTTGGCAGCTCAACAACATGAGCTGACGCTTACGAGACACTATGAAGGCCTGCTTATGGCTCGTGAAAATCAGACGTTATCTGCAGACCTGTCCTCATCGACTAACATGGCACGATCACTTCAGCGATTATCACACAACCTCCGGAATCTACTTCGCTCCATGGCCGGGGAGAACCCTGATGCAGAACCCCATCATCTGCGGTCCCAGTCCGAGGCTGAATATGAAGATGGCTCCTCGGACCAGCTCATTGATCCCGTCGAACTCCAGTCACTTCTGGATGCGTTGGACGAGCATGCAACTTACACAAATGCTGCTGGGAGGGAAGATTGGGCCATAGAACGCGAATGCGAGATTGCACGGTTGGAGCGGGAGAACGGCGAGTTGAGGAGAATGCTAGGTATCGACCCTTCAAGTATGGCGGAGACTGGCATCGATATGGACGCAGAGGTGGAGAGAATGGAACGGCGGAGGCATCCGGAGCTTTCGCAGCGCCAGAGGGCGGGTGGGCATGGTAGAGAGGACAGCGGTGATGTCTACTGGCCAACTAATAGCGCCAGCCAGCAGCCGCAGCCGTACCAGGCCTCTACCACACCCCAGCCGGGACAAACAAATGATGTGGGTACAAGGCTCCAGAGAGCCTTGGATTTCCCCGGCATGCGAACTGGTACTCAAGGCAGACGTCCAGGAATGTTTGGTACTACTGGACAGCGAGGGGGATTGGGTCGAGGTGCTATAGGCGGTGCCCCGCCGCCCCCGCCTCAAAGCCTCTGGTCCAATCAACCTCCATCGCCTGCACCACCCGTCATATCTGATCGCCTTTGGCCATCACAAGGTGGATCGACGCTTGACCTGAGCAGATGAAAGTCGTTCGTTTTATGGTTATATTTTTTTGTTTCATTTTGGATTGTACGACGGGATCATGCAGTTTAATTTATGTAGACAGGGACACGTGTACTTGGATAGAGATTGTTATTTTTGCTATGATTGCAGATATTATCATTTGCGTAGCCTTTCTATGTCCCCTCTGTCGTGGACACGTCGCCGAGAATAATTTACAAGTATTCTTGGTGTGAGGAAAATGCCACCCCTGGAATAGGCTCGTGGGAAAGTTTGTATTACATACTTTTGATGTGGAGGGGCTTGAGACAAATCGCCTCCTTGTAAAACATTCGCAACTTTCAAAACCTCCCACTCGCTTTCACCAGGTCATTTTTCTACCAGCTTACCCTTATCTGCCCTTTTATTTCGGCCTCGCGCTTGTGCGCAAGCTCTATCGGAACCTACATAACGTCCAGCGCTTCATTGAACCGCTTATTCACTTGAAAGCTCACTAGAACCAGCCGCTGTCGGGGAGCCCATTATTCCTCGCCTTTCGCCCCTTCGCTTTCGACGTTTTTAATAGTTATCAAGTCCTATCATTTCCCATGGCTGCCGCACTAGCAGGACTCTCCGCCTCAGTCACGCGTATTCTCTATCTCAGTGGCTTCCCCAAAGAGCTGAAGACGAAGGACATCCAGAGTGCCTTCTCGGATTGGGAGGGCGTCAGTGGTGGCTTCAAGATCAAGTGGCTTGACGATACCAGTTTGTTGATTGTCTTCCAGGATGCACCAACCGGTGAGTCACCGGTCCCTACCCGTTGCTCCCGTTTTACATCTTTTTTCTTCCGCTGTACACTGATATTCTCTTTCCTTCAGCTAAGCGGGCGTATCTCCAGACCCTTGCATTCCCACCTCGCATTCTCACATCACCGAACGGGGTCAGCGCCAGCGTAAGGCCATACGATGGCGCAGACGCCCAGACCGTTATCCAAAACGTCAACTCGCGCGGCCAGCACAATCCCAACAACCCATCTCGTCATAATAACCGTTCAGCCTCCATCTCCGTCTTTCCCAACCGAGGTTCCATCTCCGCCAATACCGGTTATCGTCCCGGCAACGTGCAGAACGTCAGTATTCCGGAGTTTCAGTCGCAACAGAATGGGCGCGATCAGCCGTCGCCTACCTTGCCCAGTCTTCCCAGCCATCCAACGCTCAACTCCCTGATTAGCTCATCTTTGGGTGAGGCTGTGAAGAATGTCAATCCCCCATCGGATCCGGCTATTCTTGCGACGAGCTTGAACCCAGATATGAATGGTCTTGCGGGAGGTCCAAGGATTGGGAACCCTGGAAAGAGGATGCTGGGTGCTGCGCTGGGCGTTAGGCATCCAGCTTTGGGACCGAGGGTTGTGAATGGAGGTAGCGCCGCCAATGGTGGTGCGAAAGGCGGCGTCGACAACGTCATGGGTGATGTTAACAGAGCTATGGGAGGATTGGTAGTGGCTGAGTGAGCAGCAAGTGTGCAACGTTCACTTTTTCTCCCAAATCCCTTTCGCGCTTCTGCTTTTTTTTTGTAAGATAAGATGTCGTTTGCGGAGGTTTTATTCCGAATGTTTCCCACTTTTTTAACTGGAAATGGCGTGGGGCTGTCTTTTTGTGGAGTTCCGGCGGTATTATTTGGGAGTTGACGGTGCTGACAAGCGATAATAATGTTGACTCGCAACCACTCATTCCTTTTCTCGTTCAAATAATTGCTTTTTATCGAATTACAGTTATTTACCGGTCATTGCAACACCATGGTTCAATGAAACACTTAGCCTCTTGCTCTCCCTCCCTTCATCCTTCATCATTAATTTGTATTACATTGCTGATGTGTATTGTATCTTCATGTTCTACAGTAGTTCTTCATATGTGACATGGATAATATTCCAAGAAATTGAGGCTTCTGTTCTAAAAATATCTATTTTCTCATGAACTCAAAATCTGACCCAGAAATGTGTGTCCTCCATCTGAATGTAATCACCCACAAAGGCCTCAATAATGTTAATGACCTTCTGAAGAACCTGTATGACAAGTTTGAGACCAGGTGCCTATTATCCGAGGAGTCTAGGGCATAGATAAAAGTGTGGTTCTGCCAAGCTATTGCCTTTGATGGACAGTCTGACAGTCCAATGCGCCTATTATTGCCCCATTGCCTCCAAATTTTATTTCTCCTCTTGCTCAATTTTTTACTATGCCTGGACATGCTAAATCAAACTTGAAAAAGTGCCAGATTACTCGCAAATGCCATGACCAGCTAATGGAAAAGGCAGTCATTGCACACAAGAATGAGCTTGCCAAACTACCCGGTGCTCCTCAGAAAGATGCAAGAAAAATCTGCAAAGATTTCGAGGCTGTATATCAGAGGGAGACTGGAAAGGAGATCTCGCTTTCTTATAGCACTCGAGTGATTCCAAGTTGCTGACTAATGAGGTTGTACATGGGCGTGTTCATGACCCAAAAGTCCCAGCCACAATAATGAAAGTGGACTTGTATACCCGCCCTTTGAGCATCTTTTTTACTGTTCTATTGTTGCAAATACACGTTTTCGTCAAACCTAGTCAATCCAACCAATTGGAACTACAGTAATATCCAGTTCTGACCGTAAATAAGTATAGTAACTCCGTTCCTGTTCGACGTTCGAGATGGAAGTCTGCGAGTGAATTGGATCGAAATAATGCCACGATAGTTGTTACATAAGCGGACTAAGAGTCGTAGCAACACACTATCTCCATATACTTATTCTGTCCTTTTCCGTGGAAGTACTAAATTTTGGTATCTCTCAGGGTAAAGATGGGGGAGCTACGGTCCCGGGGCTACCGGGGACATGACATGCAATATTCTGTCACTGGCTGACGCTGCTCGCGGGCTAGGTAATTGATGGTTAACACCGTTTTCCGCAGTGCTGACCTATCTCAGGGCATGACAGCGACAGGAGACAGGATCAGCACGCATCGCAGAGGTCGATGGATTCGATTGTACTCAGCGGCATGTTGAAGACAAGGGCCATTGTCTGACGTAGGGTTCGTCGTCAAGGATGCTATAGGAGAAGCTACACTTGTGATCAAATGTTTTGAGGTGGGACAGAACAAGAGCTGCGACTTGTGAACGGCATCGGATTCTGGTGGAATGGTTCTTCAACTATAATTATACATTACGTCAATCAGTTGGTATCGTTTCTTCCGCGAATCCGCCCTTTGGTGAGCCTTTGTTCCTTCTGTGTGACCCTAATAGTATGGCACTCATAGCCTTTCGGTACTAGTACCCCGCTCCATCATACTACGTCTCCAGTGATTTCCCCGATATGGCTCCCTCTGTTGTCGCCTGTAATCTGAACATGTCATTCAAACACACTTGCCCAGGCGTCTCAGAATCGGTAACCTCCCCGGAACTCATCAGCGGACTCCCATTTAAACTTTCACTCTGCCGCGCACACAACGTGGTTGCCTGATTTCCCATTGTTCAATGTTCATCCCTGATCAGCGCCACAATATGTGTCCCAACGAAGACGCGGAAGGTTTTCGAATGTATAATTAAGGCGTTGAAACGCCGCGTCACTATAAAGTCCTATCCGTCAAGGTTTCACGGTTGTTTCTTTTCAACCCAGGACCCGTTCTCACTCATCCGCAGATGCTCCACTATTATCCCTATCCTCCCGAGAACTCACGGCATGCGTCCCGCCTCTCTCCTTCAGGTATGTTCATGCCCTTTGTCCTTCTCCAGACCCGGTCCTCACATTTTCATTCCAGGGCATCATATGCCAGACTATTGGCAACCACAGACTGACCCCCTAGCCGGTAGCAGTGCAGTTTATGCGGTTCCTGACTCTCTAAACATAAGCTCGCGGCCACAGGACCAGGGTTCCTCGTCTTCAATGAACCATCACCCATCATACTACACAGATTTCTATTCACCCACCTCATCATGCATGACGTCGGGCACGGTATTCTCGTCAGGACCCATGGGGCTGGACGGTGTGGACGAGGAGATGGAGGATGACTACGCCTGTATGGCATCGACGTCACATAACAGCACCCAGGCGCACGATAGACAGACAGAATGGGCTTACTCCCCAATGACGGACTCGCCATGCTCATCATTCGAATCACTTGGTCATGATTCCCAGGAGCCCTTCTTCAGAGACAAGCTCGCTCCATTCGAGCCACTCTACGTTCACGATTACGAGCATGGCATTCATTCGGTCCTTTCCGAGGAGCAGGGCCTTTACCAGGACCTCATCATCGATACTCGGTGTGCACCGCCCATCATTTTCGAGCGTGATGACCACGCTGAGATTTCTCCTTCGGATGTCACTCCTTCGCCGTTGACATCGATGGATTATAATCTGCCGGATCCATCTGACTGGCGGACTGTCTACCAGCCTCCATTCCTACAACAACAACAAGCACAACAGGCGCCACCTTTATCCTTCACCGTTCCGTTATCTATTCCCATTCATCAACCGCGTCCTATCCGTAAACCTAATTTTCGCATGATGGAGTTTGCTGCGTCGCTAGAGGCGGCTGTCGGCTCTTCTTCCCATTGTGATCCTGTTCCTTGGCAGGGTTCATCGAGTCATCATCCACAGTCTGATTTACCCATGACTCACTCTGTCGACCGTGACGGCATGGGGCGCTGTTAGTCTTTCATTCTCATGTCTTTCTTCTTTCCATCAACTTTTCGCATAGCATCTTTCAAGAACACGCCTGGTTTTCAGTTCGGACCATGTCATGTAGCATATAATCATCACCCTTTGCTGTATTGATTGATTCCCGTCACATGAATGATGATATAGTATGTACAGTAATATAGTTCTACCTGTCGTAAACGTAGCGAGGTGTCTACAATATTCCGGAGAACCATGTGTCCTTGACAAGTTCCGAGCGAGAGACATTGTGTATATAGAGGTAAAACGGGGATCGCATGCGGATATCGTGAGCAACGGAGTTACACCAAGAAGCCATATCGGCGCCTATCGACAGAAAAGGTTATGTGCATTGTAAGGAGAACATTACTACCTCGTTCAAATACCACCGCCGGTAGACATAGATCTGGCTCTCATCGGTCTGCTTCGATAGCCAGAGCCGACGGAGAAAATATCTGGCCATGCGAATCGTCGATGCAGTGCAGATTGATGCCGTTTTTCGGTCTCAATGGTGTCTGACGAAGAGATGTACCCAGGTAAACCTTGCTTGGTAAATGAGTGAAAAGGGATGCAAGCGGGCGAGGCCATAGCGTCTGGAATGGTTAAACGGGAAGCGAAGCCCGGGGTGGTGCGACCATAGGCAGTCGAGGGATGATGAGGGCTGGCAGTTACACGAAGTGGGTCGTCAATGAATGCCGCATGGATCCAATTCCCGAGGTCAACTTCTGTAAAATTGAAAAAGTCAACGCTATTTCCGACGCTTTCACTTTGATCTTCACAATACTGTTCGTCTCCTGGAACCAACGCGTCGTAGTAAACACGCCTCCGTAGCTCCATGTATGCTTTATACGAGCCAAGTGATTCCTGCGCCTTCAGGGAGAGTTTTGCAGCCTGGTTAATCAACTCGTAGATGTTCGCTTGCTGTTCTGGCTCGAGAAGCTGGCTTTCAGGCGGCATCAAATAGTCCTTCTCATCACAAGGGGAGAACGTATCGTAATCATATGGTGCCAGGTAGTCAGTCGTATCTATCTCAATGACGGAATCGAAAGGAGAGAAATAATCGTCTGACGGAGGGATGAAGGTGCCGGAGTCGCCTAGTGTGTCACAGGATACGGAAGATGTTTCGAATGAGGAGTCGAGGGAGGGTACTGCGGTGCTTAGCTCCGATAATTTAGGGTATGACAGTGCAGCAGGTGGGAAAGATCTTTCGCGACGAGACAGAGAAGAATCAAATGTTTCGCTAGGATTGGATAGCGCCGAGGAAGAGGCAGGTTTTTCGCATTGAAGGGAAGATGGTTCAGGTGCATCGCTAGGGTTATAGGACGTGTCCGGCTGAGGCGTGTAAACATCGGCGATATTAAGGGAACGCAGCGGAGATGCATTAATATGATGAGTCGATATAGGAGAATTAGGAAGGCGAGACTTTTTCAAAGGACGACCAGGAGAAGCAGAGCAATGTTGCGCGCCAGCAGAGTCGGTATTTGCTGTCGCGTTCGGAGCCGATGCAGGAGCGTTCGTAGTCATGGGAGCTAAGGCTGTACGTTTCGCCTTGACGGGTCGCTTCCGGTTTGTCTTCGCTGGTCGGGTGGAAGCCGAGTTCTTGCAAAACGATCAGCGAACAATCAAAGATGGGAGCAAGGCTACAAACCTCTACCTGTGCCCCAGAAGCAGCAAGCTGAGCCTTCTGCATCCTACTTCTAGTGAGATTGTTGAATCTCTCCTCTTTAGCGACCCGAAGACCTAAATATAAATGAGACAATGTTCCGCAACTACCAACGCCTAAAACGTACCTCTTGAATGGAAGTAATCATATAAATGACGACGGTCAACGTTGTAACGCTCTTGAAGGTCCTTCCTGATTGAAAAAGATGGCATATATGCGCCCGGTTTGATGTGTACTTCCATTTCGCGAACAAGGTCAGGTCCAAGCCGAGCAGCCAGATCTACAAGACGATTGTAGCGTTAGCATATAGCTATAAAATAGAAGAAATAGCGCATATACGGAGAGGATTGACCCTTCTTGGCTTAGTATTGTCATCAGCGCCATCCGGAAGTAGCACTTCGACAGTTCCTGGAGATTCGTTCTGTCCTGATGTTCGTTTTCGTTTTTTGCAGGCTGTGGGTTGTACAGTGCAGAAATCACCCATCTGGGATGAGTTGTTGGTGATTCGTGAGGTAGATCGTGGGCCGTCGGGTTTCGCTTGCATCGTAGTCCAATGTGAAAAGAGGACAGGTGACGTCATAGACTAAGACGCGTCGCGTAGAGGTATGCAGACCACGTGAAAGAAGAGTTGCCTATTTCGGAATCTGAGGTCGGAAGAGGTGATGCCAGGTTCACCACCTTCTACCTGACAGCGAATTGACAGAAGCGACGTCTTCTCTATGAACAGCAAGAACAGAAGAAACAGGTTGTTTGATTGACAGAGACGTTGAATGCACATTAAGATGGAAATGGAAATCCAGTAGTACAGTAATGCTAAAAATACAAACTTGCGGCAAATACAACTTTGAAAAAATAGTGAGCATATGGGACTGAGTTTAACCAGGGACACGTACTATCTCGTTTTATCTTGATCTGTGATTCTTCCATCTTCTTGAACAGTTCTGCATCCCCGATTACTCTAGCTGCATCCCGTACTTCACGACATGTTTCATCCAAACGCGTGATGACTCGAACAATGCTTCCTTCAGCAACATCTGTCAGGGCCGTAATTTGTTCAAATGGCTGCGGCGGTAGTGTAAGGGTTTTTAGCATATGAGATGTCAGTCAAAGCGCACCATCCCTTTCGCCCACTCGTAAACCACCTCTACTAGCCCAAATTTGAGCTTACGGAAGTCTTCGACCGGGACTTTATGTTTATCCTGCAGCCGTTCAATGCGTTCGCTGATTGCCAAAATGGCATCCCTGCCTTCCTCCAGCTTTTTCGGAATGACAGGTTCGATGTCCGTCTTCTCCTGGAAGACAAAACATGATAACAATGCCACAACCTCCTCGGGTTCGTAACCGGCCAACGTGTTATCAAGAATTAACTCTGTGAGCACTAGTTCACTGGCGGAATTGATCTATCACCAGATTTATCTAACGAGTCAACGATAGGCAGCGAGGATCACGCACCTCGCAAGCTACACGGCCTTTGAGCAAAACAGTGGAATTGGCGTCGATAAACTTAAGGTCTTTGAGTACTTCTATCCGCTGCTCGTAATCAGGAATGAGCTCCAAATTTTGGTCTGAGATAGCAAGCTTCAAATCCTCGATGTTTGCTCGTAAAACTTTCTCCGTGTGTATTTTGGAATACTAGAATCATTAAGGATGCTCGCTCTTGGCAAATGGAGGGAAAATAACTACCCACATGATCCTCAAATTTTTCGCAAAGGAGACACGCTCGATTCTGGATCCTCTGGACGTAGGCACTACGACTTCTCAAGACTTCCTGGAAGTCAAGAGAACGCATTTTACTCCACTCTACTTCAGGAATGTTCCCGGAACTAGACCATTCGCTAACCATGGAGGCCAGGGCTGCCACTCCTTCACGCATGGCGGAGATAATATGCCGATCGACAATAGTGCTTACATCGACCTTGCCGAATTGGAATTGAGCTTCACAGAAAACGATGACATAGTATGACTTACTTTTGCAGTGCGTGTAGTTACCAAGCAGATACTTGTCAGCGGGACGGAAGTTAGTTCATATGTCCAGTTATTCACAGCTAATGTGCCAGGTAATGGCGGCCATTGAGGGGTGATACCTTGAAGAGAAAGGTCTTGGAAATGTTCAGCAAAAGTGGGTGTGAAGCATTAAGGCCCTACCGTTTTTCTTATCTTTGGTGGCCTCATCCACAAGGGCAAGGACGAAATACCTCTTAACTTCGTCTGCTTTTCCGGGGTCAGATGCTTGTATCGGTGTTTGCTTGAGCAGAATTGCAACGTTGTTCGTCTTAAAATGCTAGTATAGGAATCAGCATCATTCCAGTGGTTCAAGGGTACACATGTGCTTACGTGGTCGCGTAGGATCACTACTCGTCCAGGTGACATTACCTTTTGTCCGTGCGGACTATTTGTTGCCATAGACAGCAGTTGTTCGTTAAATTCTACAATAGAACGAGACGTGTCATAGAATAACTCGATGTCTGCGTCGCATATATCACATTGGAGCTTGTCCATAGCCGAGAGCATTTTTTCATTCTAGAACACGGAAGATATCAGCAATTCCACCCTGAACATAATCGGCTGACAGCGCCACACCTCTGTCACTTTTCTCTGTTGATCTGGTAACAGTCTCTGGGATGCGTTTTCCGAGAAGCTCCTCTTAATCATTTCCTCGACCTTCAAGGCTTCCACTCGAAGTAGGTTCAGAATCATGTTGTAAGTGAGCCTAAATTGAGACGAAAGTTTCCCAGGCTTTCCTAACATCATGGTGTGGAGCGCCCCTTGCTGCAAAAGGGTCAAGTTTCTGACATATTCTGGAAGAAGTCCAAAGACTCACCTCAGGTAATGAATCACCGGCTACGACGATTACTGTTCCGATGGGATCAAGACCACGACGGCCAGCACGACCGGCCATCTGTGTATATTCTCCGGGAAGGATATCACGGAAACTCCGGCCATCATGCTTGCGAATGCTGGAGAATACGACACATTTTGCGGGCATGTTAACGCCCTATAATAAGGAGTGGGTCGGAGTCGCATGAAGCCAAAAAAAAACCTGCGCACCATGGCGAAAGTTTCGGTCGCAAACAAGATCTTGACCAATCCTCTTGCGAACAATATTTCTACAAGCTTGCATCGCGAGTGAGATAGAAGAAAAAACCACGAAATGGTCAATCTACCTCCTTAACAATTGGTAGAAGACCGCCGTGATGGATCCCAATCCCACGGCTGAGAAGGTCACGCATGCGACGAATTTGTGGGAGTTTCTTATCAGAACCTAGCATGTGAGCATCAGAGAAAGCTCCAGGGACAAGTCGAGCCTTCATTCACACCTTTCAATCGGGATAACGCCTTCTCGATAGCGACATGTACCCTCACTCTTCTCTACAGAGGTACATAGATCGGCATTGGTAAGAGTGGAAGCATTTCTTCGCAGCGTTTCTTCGACAGAGTAAACACAACCACCGGGAGCAAAGACTTCTTCCGGAGATGTCCTAGTAGATGCACATAGAGATTCTTGTCCGCGGTGTGTATGGTCCTATGGGAGGAGCCTCCCCCCCGTGAGACTCGCGGTGGAGTTGATACACCACGACCGCCACGCTGCTGTCCTCTCTGCGCAGCTCCGCCGCGAGCACCCACACGTTGCACAGGCGGCAGACCGGCCGCCTCTCGCTCTTTGTCTTGCTTCCGTCTTACGGCCTCGCCAGCATCTTTGTATCTGTGGCAACCGACTCTATGAGAAGCAAGAACGAAAGTTCAAAGAATGCCCACCCCTGGCCTAAGAAATTCCTTTGTGCATCCACGATCTTGAACATATCACGCCCGGCCCAAAGATAATGCTCGAGAGGTACGGGCCGCTGGGCTGTGGAAATGACATAGATATCCTTCTTCTTCGTGCGCCTATAGATAGTGGTATGAGTAAAGATATGTGACACCAGGTAAAAGGTGCGTTCACCCAACCCAGTCCGCGAATTCTTTAGTATTCGGAACCGTCGCTGACAATAAGATTATGGTAACATGATCTGGAAGCATTATAATTACTTCCTCCCACACGACCCCTCTCTAAAAAACTTTAATGAATCATTTGATCTGAAAGACGCAATACGCGTACCTCCGCATCATTAACATAGTGCACTTCATCGAAAATAACAAACTCTACATCTCGAATAAGATCAGCACCTTTATAGAGCATACTCCGGAGGATTTCCGTGGTCATAATGAGACAGCTCGCTTCAGGATTGATTTGGACATCGCCAGTTAGGATCCCCACGGCGTTTGACGCGAATGTTTGCTTGAAATCGCGAAATTTCTGGTTAGAAAGCGCCTTGATAGGCGATGTATAGATAGCCCTACAGCAGGATAAGCGATAGCCGGTGCTATTAAAATTAACTTACCGTGTCATATGTTTCTCCGCCAGAGCTATTGCATACTCTGCGACTACGGTTTTCCCAGCGGATGTGTGCGCAGCTACAAAGACCGAATCGCCCATTTCAAGATGATAGACAGCTTGTTTTTGGAACGTATCTAATTCGAACGGATACTGCGCACGCTTCTCAGAGCTGGACACTCTATGACTGAGATTAGAATACAAACCTTATGCAGCCATATCTGGTACCAGCTCGTGGAAGTTCCTGAGAGGCGTATTGACATCAATGACATGAGCCCAATCGCGTTTCTGCAAATGTGGGGCTCGACTCCTCTTAGGAGCCTTCGCTGGTCGCAAATGTGATCTCTGGTATTCATGTCAAGGTCAAGAAACATCGGAAATGCCTGAGCTTACAGTGGAAGGCAGTAATTCATCAATTTCCGCAATGTTATTGGGAGAGGATGGAAGATTAGAATCTTGGTCATCTTCATCGGAGAGCTGAAACGCGTTCAATGTGAATAACGTTGATGAAATGACTATATAGAGTACCGTAGAATCTTCGTCTGTCGACGACTTCGTCGGCGTCAATTCATCGAAGGCAAGGAGCGCAATCGTCGTCTAGTTCCTCGCCCGCGAGACGTAAACCTCTATTGAATCCAGGCGGCACGGTCCGCAATCCCTTTTTGCTTGTAGTCAAGTCAAGCGACGCGTCAGGGTCAAGCAAGATATCTAATCCCCCGGGCCAAAATGGAACATGGCCCGACTTTCCTCGGACAAAGCTAGTGCTGGGGCCAGGTGCACGTTCCAGCGATGTGGATGTTACTCCTGTGGTGACTCGGGGGTTGGGAGTCTAACAAAAAAATCATTTATTATCGCCCCAACAATTTTGCTGACCTGACTGACTTCAATATATCCCGTAACCCGACCTTCTAACCCGGTCCTCACAAATGTCAGACCCGTCGGCGGTGGTGAAGGGGAGGACTTGAGTAGCGATGGGATTGAAAGCGGAATCTTTCCAATGCCTGGTAAATCATAAAAACCCACGTCGATCGTACAGAGTCATTCAATTACACTTGGTAAGTCGGAAGCCAATGCGATGGTAGTCGATCCTCTGGCTCAAGGATTTTTACTTCTAAGGCTTTATGGACGTGCTCCCTGCGTAGGCGGTTGGGAAAGGCCAAGCTCTTCCAAGATTCGAGCAGCATTTTCGCGTTGTGGATGAAGGATCTGGTCGACAATGTCGACATAAGCATCTGGATCCATGGAACGACGATGGAGTTCAAAAACTAAACAGGCAATGAAAGCCTTCAGAAGCAAACACACCGCAACAGCCCTGATTCGAATGTCCGACCTCGGACTTTCCAGAAATACAAGGGGGTACCTTAAAGTTAGTGTGTAATCGGGACCGGGGTGAACTCCAGGACAGTCTGCAAGCCTCTTTGCTCTCGTGCCAAGCATTCGAGTTTGCAAAGCCGCATTCCCTCTCCCGGAGCCGTAACATCGTTTCCTCTCTAAAGATGCCGCTAGGTGCGGGTGGACCCACAACAACATAAAGGGTTAAGACAGGATCCAGTATTTCAAATGTACCCAGGAGAAAAACTCTCAAACTCCGAATCTCCGCGGCTTCTTGGGGTACTAAATCCATTAAGTAGGTCAGAAGGTCAGTATTGTATATGCTAAGGTATCAGTACAGAAAACTAAATGCAGGATGATGATGTGATGCTAAGAACATTGCGAGATAAAACGAGAGAAGAGCAGTCCAGGGAAAGTTGTGGGATCAGTTCGCGGGGTTTGGATTTTGGCGATTTCGCGGTTGTCGTTTGTGAGGCGTAAACACACTGCACTCGAATATAGTGACGCATATTCCCTTCCATTAGCTCCTTGTAAGCATTCGTTTCGAGTTCGTTCACGAGTTGCTCAGGAACTCCGCTTCCTAATAGCAACGGTCGTCCTGATTTCAGAAATGACTAAAAGGACTTTAAGCATGAAACGATATAAAAAAGCAAGGCTACGCACGAATATATCATCTCTCATCGCCGTTCCTATCCGCATGTCGAATGCGCTATCAGTCCGCCAAGGTGTTACAGGAATCCAGTATTGGTTGTAAGCAACATTTTCAAAGGACTGATGATTTGAAACCCAATCATGAAGATGTGTTGCTGCATCGACATCGCCGCCTCGGTTTCGTGCTGCCATTTCCAGGAACGATAACCACCTTGGCCACCATGGAGAGGCTAAGGTCGATGTATCCAAGTTTATTCGATGATAGTTCTCATCGTAGCAATGGAAATCGAATTCCATTAGGTCAATGAGGCCTCCCGTCCGTAGAACACGACTTATTTGATCGATGAGATGTGCGTAATCTCGAATCTGTTGTAGTAATGAGAGGCAACACTTTCGGGAAATGCATCTTATCTTACACCGGAGGAGATAAGGCGACAGTGGACAACGTTGAAGTCACCATAAAAATGTTCCAAGCCAAGATTGATATCATCAACTTCACTCCTGGCCTGAGTTTCAGCGACCGGGATATTAAGATCATATAGAGACGAACCTGCAGTTTGGCGGCATGTACCTATGGACGAGGTTATATTATGGTAGATTGAATATAGATAGCAAGGCTTACGGAGATTGCATAGGAACAAGATCAACGGCAACGGCACTACAATGTGGAAAGTCAAGCGCCGCTTCCATGATCCTGTACTTATGCGTTAGCGAACCGGCTAGCGAAATATGGAAGGGACTAACCAACGCCCGCTGCCACAGCCTAAATCCAGGACGGCCTTTTGTTCCCCAGGTACATCGTCTGCCATGACCTCCGGAAGTGGTGGGATGTATTTGCCCATAATTTCAATGAACATGTTATGCTGAAGGTCTAAAAAGCAGGTCAGTAGTGTCCGCGACCGAGACTGTGACGACGCACCAAGACGATCCAACTCTTCAGCATCGGCGGGCAACCGATATATTTCCGAGTAGTTGTTGAGGCCACGCCCAAATTCCTGCTTGTATGCCTCGGCGCGTAGGGAGCTCGTCATGGACCATACTGAAGGCGTAGGTGATAGCGAGCGCATTGAAGCATCGTACGAAGTAAATGAACTCCCTCCCACACTCGGAGCGGGACTGAAAGGCGGTATTGAGGAAATTGAGCAGACGTCGCTATCATCGTCACTGTCGCCGTCGAGAGGCTTGGGGAACGTATGAGAAACCATGGCGGGGTGGACGGTTGACGACGGAATGGAGAGAGTCGAAAAATAATCGCGATGAAATAAACATCAGTTAGTAAATATAATACCCCTTTATAACCCTCAGGCTGATAGACCCGGTGCGATCGTGAGATCGTAGCCTTTCAGGCGTACGGCGGACATCAACCAGCCATTCCGATGGCATCCAAACTTCTTCCGAGCCCCTTCCGCTTTGAATAAATAGGTAAAATACTTATTTATTTTTCGGGGAAAATACCTGCAAAATAGGAATCGATATACTCAGAGCAATAAAATAATACAGAAGATACGAAAAATATACAGCACAAGCATTTCAAAAGTTGCGAGGAGGGAGAGCATAGCACAAATTAGAGATGGGGAGCTACCTAAGGCGTACCCTGTCGGAGACAGATATTCATATATGTCCATATTTAGCCCTCAGATTCAACTCAGCTTTCTCATCACCAACTCCGCCTGAACGGCATGCCTTCCTTTCTCAGGTTCACAGGCTTCACGTCGTCGTCGGTTGACCTCTCCGATGACAACAAGAAACCCCGTAGAGCGGCAATCATGACATCGACAATTAGTTACCGACCTCAGATTTCCTGCATGATTCCTTGGGACTCGAAAGAATTTCTCGAAAAAATCTGGTGTAACTGCCAAGACCATCTGGAATCGATGTCATCATCTCCGACTCGGAGTAGCAATTGGTTTCAATTTCCCAAAACGCGCTTGCCCTGTGCTACGCGTCGTTCACTCAATGGTCACCGGACATCTTCCCGTTCTTTTTGACTTCTGAGACCCGTTCGCTGGGTTACAAGAAGTTAAGCCCCTCATATTGCTGCCCCATTACCTCGGTACGCCACGACCGCCGACTGCGACTACGTTTATAACTAGGGGTCCGAGCGCTTCTGACCTCTTCCGCATGCATGCGCGGTCACGAATCCATGTACGGTTATTTTGCGCCTTTAGGTCTCATGATAGGCCAGCCGAAGCCGCCTTTAATCTTATCAGTGTTCCAGCCCACGGAGAGCTTAGAATCTTCGGAACTCTCAGTAGTGCCTTCAAATTCTATAGTACTTCTTCGAGCGGCTTCGCCTCCGTGCATACAATTCAGATGCCGCAATGACAGTTCTCTGATGATGCTACACATAGGGAGTAACAGAGCGCATCCAATTCGCTGAGACCCTACCGGCCTTCATGTACCCATATGCTGAAAAGCCAGCATGAGACCGGCGACATCAGAGATTCCTCTACATAAGTATGTATACTGCCCTGATCTTTTCCATCTATAGATACTAATCCCTTTGGATACGCATGTTCATCAGGTGAGGGAGGTAAATCCCGACGATGGGCGTTATATCCTCGGAGTCGTCCTCGAATCCCGCCTCTAGGGATAGTATTACTGTTCAAGACCAGCCTGACGCCAAAACTTGAGTCCCAACTACTATGTGTCGCTCATCCCCTATCAAGCATCGGAGAGCACTCCAGTACCGCCGTACGTAGACCAGAATAGCCGAGAGGGTCTATTATTGACATTATGCACAAAGGGAAGCAAATCACGACAGGGTAGGTGAGGTAAGGGTAGACTTTCCCCGGTGATATTGGCGTCGGTGGGCCTTGGGTGTTGCAGGTGTGAGCAGCCCTCGTTCTCGGAAGTCCCCTTACAGTATGGAAGCAAACTTGCAAGATCACGGCGGAGAAGGGTCAATAATCCTACAATATTAACGCTCGTTCGAACACCGGGCGAGGCACGGTAGGAACATGCTGAGGACAATCACACAGTGTCGGTATCATGCTTATGTCCGTGAAGGACAGGGTTGCGAATCCGGCAAAGCGATAGGTTGAGGGATTCAACCGAAGAACAGAATTAGTGACGATGATATTCGCCACATAGGAACTTCGCAGCATGCGGCACCAAATATTCAAATACAGCATGCCTGGCCTGCACGTTACATACATGTTCACAGCACAACTTACCTACTACCGCTATTTCTTCTTCAGCGCCGCAAACCGTCTATTCAATGCCTCAAACTCGTCCTCTACCGTGTCCGTTACCGCCGGTGGGGCTTTTGAAACGGGTGTTGTCGAATCTTCCGGTTTTGATTTCTTGTTGCCTGGACCATCAATGTTGCTCGGTGGAATCGCAGGGAGTGTAGGACCGGGCTCTGCCGCGGATTCTGGTCTATACGCAGGTGGAGAATTTGCCTCACCTGCGGCCGTTTGCTATAACATAAAGCAATGGAGTCTCCCACACGACATTTAAAGCTAGCGTAGAATACCGACCTTTTCATCTCCGTTAGAGCCGTCGTCTATGTTATCGTCCGAACTTGGGGTATTCGGAGACGTCCAGGAAACCCCATATGCCTTCGCTATTTCCGCCAAATAAGCATTGACGAGCTCTGGGGAAGGCATATTAATGTCCAACTTTCGAACGACCTGCGCACGAATACGTCTGTAGGCATACTCAAACGTAAATGAGAAATCTTACGCGGTCACTGACACGTCCATCACGGTTCTCCATGACGGCGATAGAGAACTCTCTACCGTACTTGTGCATGAGAATGTCGCGTAGTACATGAAGTTCTGGAAGTGTATGTTTGAGAAAGCAGTTGACATGGTGAAGAGGGTTTTGGTATATACCTTTGACTTCGGTTCGGGGTGCAGAAAATATTATCCTGGATCAGCAAGCCTAGATTAGAAGAAAGAGTGGTGGGGCAAGACCCTTACTTACGAACAAACGCCTTCACTGATCGCCGGATCGGGTTCTCGGGAACTTGAATGACTGGTGTCAATCAACCGCGGCGGACGCCACAGATTTTCGCTCGCTTACTTTATGTCTAGAAGCCCAAAGCGAGCTATGAGAAGTTCGCAGTAAAGCTCAAGCAGTTCCAGAAGCTCGATATGGATGTCTTCATTGATTACTACGAATATCCGGTTCAATAATAACAAGGAGGTTGAAATGCGGGACATACTGGTCTCCACTTTAACCCTGGCGGTCTCAAGCTTTCCCCGCTCAATTAGAGTGGCAATGTCTCGACGCGAAGCCTTGGCCTGGGCCCCCTTCTTCTCTTGTAAAGTCCTGAGTCGTTGTACGGATATGCTGTTGACAGAGGGCGTGTAAATGGAGGATCATTAACTCCAGTAATTACAGTCGATCATTACCGGAGCTGCACCTTACAAGAAGTGAGTCGACGACGGATAAACGATGGTTTGAACTGGATCTACCTTGGCTTTGGTAGAATTCCAAGGAATCATGTCGGATGATGGTGAAGGTACAAGGCACGTGGATTCTGTTTGTTTATGGGGTGCTAAGTCTACTCCGCATAATAAAGCCAAGGGTAACCGTATATCGGAACTTGCTTCCGTACTTCTTTCCTTGACTACTCGACTATTGACCGTGTCAATGGGGATGGAGACAGGGTAAGATTTTCTGCCCTGCCCAAGATTTTAGGCGAGAGGGTAAATAATCATCTTAAAGGGTAAAAGCGAATAATTGATATGTGCCTCTACGCACCTGCATCGGCAGGCCGGACGGTGATGAATATTGATTGTACCGGCACTGATGATGTTCGAATTCTATGACGCATGCGGCCACTGTACGACCACCCTCGCCTGGATAAACGGCTCCTGCTTCCAGATCTTCGTTCCCCTTTCTTTCCCCACTTTCTTTCTGCGGTTTGCAACCGGAAAGTACTCACGGCTGCCCCGCTTGTCACGTCTGGCTGTTCGTCGCGCTGAATCCTTGAAATAACTTGGTACAACAACTTCCGGCTCCTGTAAATCTTAGCTGGGTGCCTATGGCTGTTACATCCCATATGGTTATTGCCTGGTCCACTAGTTTTTAGGGATGCCGCGGACGAAGTCACGCTAATAAGAGGTCGCAACTGGTTCACATGTATACTGAAGTTGCTTATACGTACTCGAGGTTGTCTCTACAATGTCTTTCATGCTCTTCGGTGTAGCTAAGGTTTCTTACAAAGGCACTTGACGGTGACAGGTTCCCAATCAGACAGACCTAAAATTGCTTCGCTAGTAGACATCTGGCGATTTAATATCGGACTCATAACTTCGACTGCCACCACAAGTGAGCATATGCGGATTGCCGGTATATGAGGTGGGCGGCCACCACAAAAGTGTCCGACCAGAGGAATGTACGGTCATCGATCTTTACAACTCAGAATTCTGGTTAACTGGATTTGCACAGCCAAGCTGGCTCGCATCGCAAACTTCCAGACAATACGGCCCGGGATGGCTGTCAGAATGCCTTGAGCTGTTAAGCTCATCGAGAATACTCGCTTGAAAGGCGAACACGCACCGGAGACATGTTTACTCCGATGGATGGTGTATCGAAAATCACCTGGACGCATATTTGGGCCCGCTCGCGCGCAACTTTACGATCGGGTCGCAAGCCGGAAGATAGGGGCTGATACGATAGTATGGACAAGCAAAACCAAGCGACCCGGAAAGACGAAGATGTGGTAGTAATTCAAGTCCACGAATACAATTCGTGTAATTGACGAAAACAGAGGTCCCTCAAAAACACGGTCCCTCATTTTCCTCACCGCTATCAAGCCATTCTTCTAATCAGACAATCATCAGAAACTGCGGGTTGAAAGGGGTAAAGCCATGAAAACGGACCAAGTGCTTCCGCGTTGTCAACCCACCATTTCTTATATTCCTCAAGGACATCCTTCCTCACAGCATCCTTCTTGGCTGCATACGCTTGCTGACGAGCTTGCCGCGTGGCTTCGTCTACCTAGAGAATCGTCAACGTCAAAAGGTGAGATGTTAAGTATGAATCTTACTGATTCATCGAATAGATCTCTAGGAGAAGGGGGAAAGAGACGCTCCTGGAAAGATGGCATCAGAATGACAGAATCTGGCGTTGCTGAAGCCGGTGTTACATACCCTCCACTTTTCTAATTCTATAAGAATTGGATGCTTCTCCAACATCGCCGCTGCAAATAAAGCACTCGAATTGGAATTTGAGCGGGTAGTGGGATTCAATATAGAGCCCATAGAGGAGGCGCATGGATCTGGTTCTGAATGCGGCATGATGGTTGAGAAATGGAAACCTGGAACTGACCCGAGGATTTTGAACATGGCTTTTGATTGTCTCGATCGGCAGCCCCACTGTCTCACCGTTTTTATATCCGCCCAAATCTGCCTTACGAATTTACCTCAAAACTCTCAAAATCGCTGAAGAACTCTACTCAGGAAGAAATGGAAGTAGAGCCCTTCTCTTTGCCTTGAACCACGGACCAACTGCTAGTACCCTTCAAACGCACATGTCAGCCATAGTGACCCATCCATGGCTTCTAGCCGCCTGCCGTATGTGCCGAATACTCGTCGCTCCTGACTTTCCCAGCTAATTCTTGCATTGATTAGGCCATTATCCCATTTCAACGATCTCTCTAAAATTGTGAACGCCGTCTAGTCTGCGAAGACGTTCACCTCCCTGAGCGATTTCTTAAAGAACATATTTAACATCGAACCACGCCCGTACCCGTTTCTGACTTGGAACCTTAGCTTCTGAAGATTTCGACGAGGCTTCTTGTGAGGGCTTATTCTCAGAGTCTTGGGGTCCTCGGATTCTTCGTACCGCCTCCGGTTGTGTAAAACCTTTCCCAACAATGGCATAGCAGTACACAGTTTTGCGTTGGGAATGACCGATGCCGATAACCGAACCACCTTTGTCGATTCCACAGTGTCGCATCCAACTGGTCTCCTCTGGTTCCGAACATCTATCTTTATAAATTGACCCAGCATTACCTATTCTCATCCATTTCACTACTTTGCCTATGCTACCCATAAATCCACCCATGATGAAATCGACGGCAGCATTACTATTACCTGCCCAGTGCCACCGTCCCAAACATAGTACTCGTCCTGTGTATATGGTATCGCTCTGACCGGTTCAACCGATACGCCAACCACGTCATCCTTAACATCCGTCGGCGCTAACCCACCGTTGAGGACAAGAAGATCAATCTACTGTTGATCTATGGCCTTTCCAGTCATTCATTTTCAACCGTTAAAGTCCAGAGTGACACTTGGAACCAGCTGCATTTAACAAAGGTCTCAGACAGATCTGAAAAATGGGCGTCCGGGAAGTAATGTGAAGCACCACCACACTAATACAACCTGCCAGCCCTCGGTTAGGTTAACTATAAAAGCTCGATCAAAACACCCAAAAAACACCATGTTTAAAGCAGCGTTTAAATAATCCTGGTATGTCTTGAACTCTGACCATCTGATATCCTAACCGTAATTCGGTGTTCCGGGTTCTGATTTATGCTGCTCGCCGTCCTGTTAGTCAACAAGAAGCAGAAGCAAATACTCAATGCTGTACTCTAACATCAGTTGGACAGCATGTGCAGTGTGACGGCAAGGATATGATAACAATAACGGTGAATTGAGCTGAAAGCTCCTACGAGGATATTCCAGGATATTCAATTGTACTAGGAAAAGGATCCGTGTCGCAATATATTTACTGTTAGTGGTCCTTACGGAGGCAGAAAGCGGGGTGATCTGATCGTGCCCCTGTGATGGTTGTTTGGATGACGGTTGCCGCTTATGGATCCAATACATCCATGATGAAGTGACCGTTCTGTTAGTACTGCTTTCGGTTCTCTGCATCTTCTGACTCGACGCCATCTCTATTCTGCTCTTTTGCCGCCACGATGAGCACGACCCTCTCTCACACCACCAGAGTTCGCCAGTCTCTTCATCTGTCCATAGACCCATCGCCTTACCACCACTTTCGTGCCTCATCATCGGATTCAAATACATCATCCTCGGATTCTGCAATGACCAGCTCAGAGACCATGGAGAGCTCTCCACCTTCTTCTGTCTCCGAACCAAGCAGCATCATATGCACAGTGTTGTGCATGTATGATTTCCAGTCGGACAATCCAATTCACCTATCCTTTCGCAGGAACGAAATGCTCGATATCATCACACAGGAAGCCACCGGATGGTGGGCAGCAATGCGACGTGGAGGCAATGTCGTTGGCTGGATACCACAAGCCTTTGTGCGCCCGCTTTCGTGGGAAATGGCGGAGAGACTGCGCAGTATTCTGGAAGAACTTCGCGTCTTTGAATATGACGCTGAGCAGCTCTACAACTCTGCACCTACTTCACAGATATCTAGTGTCCTCGAGTCTCCTTTACTTATTGAGGCAGAAAAACATGTATCTGCTCGGTCGCCATGGTCTTCGCCGGAGACCCACCAGAGACCACACCACCCTCCCTCTCCCAAGACGCCAGTACCCCATCCTCCTTTGATAACCGTGCCTGTCAGACGCAAGCTAAGGAACCCTTGCAGCATGTCCGAGATCTCATGCAGGGATAAGCTCGCCACCCTCGAGCCACTCTCACCTCTCCGAAATCCCCCACGGCGCCATTATTCTCCTTTGGCTTCGGAACATGACTCAGACGCTGAATCTCCATCTGCCTCTGACAGACGCCGTTTGGAAAAGATTAAGCAGCTTACGGGAAGCGAGGAAGCGGTCTCGTTCATCAGCACTGTCCAAGCTCAGGCCAATTCCCCATGGTATATGAAGTCACGGCACTCAGATCAGCTAAGGATTGACAGCGAAGGCCAGGTCCGCTCCGGGACCACAGAGGCTTTGGTGGAGAAACTCACGTCGGAAACCTCCAAAGATGTTATCAGTAAGATTTAACTATCCTGCATATCCGCCATCTACTAATTCATAACTACCTCTACAGAGGCCGCACAGGAAAACACGTTTCGGAACGCATTTCTGATGACATTCCGGACGTTCATGACCGCCGATCAGCTGTTCACCGCACTTGTGGGTATTTATGCTATGGAATACCCTAGCAAGATAACGGATCCAGAATATGAAGAATGGAGGGAGAAATGCTCTCTCCCTACACAACGCATAGTGCTGACTGTCTTTACTATGTGGCTTGAAGATCACCGGTTACTTGAGGAAGAGCCACACATAGCCCAGCACCTCACTGATTTCCTCAACGACGTAACCCCTCCCCTTGCCGTGACGGCTAAATTAATTGTCAAATCTATCGAGCGGCTGGTGAGTATATCAAAATCGGACTCTTTCACGGCACTCAGATCCTTCAGACATTTGCTAGTCCCTACGTGGAATCGCCCGTAGTATCCCCTCGTCGGAGAAAAAAATCTCGCGATCATAAGGGCGACCTTCTCCGCCTTGATCCCACAGATTTGGCCGAACAGCTGTCCCTATTTGAGTATACTCTCTACAACAAGATAACTCCTCAAGATTGTTTGTTGTATGCAAAGTCGCCTCAATTGGCCCCGAATCTCAACACTTTCTGCGCCACCCATGATAAACTGGCGTCCTGGGTAACCTTCAGTATCCTGAACAACGAAGCACTAGGAAAACGGGCGGATACTATTGACCTCTGGATCAAGGTCGCCGAGGTATGACTTCATTGCTATCTTCACCACAGAAATCACTCTGATCGCCGCCCTAGAAATGCCGAAATATGAATAACTTCGCATCTATGAGCGCGCTTATTACAGCGCTCAGCAGTGTTGTCATCACGCGGTTGCATCTCACATGGGCCCATGTGGGGCGAAAGACGAATCTTGACGCGCTGTTGAAATATAACGAACCTTCCGGAGGCTTCGCCGCATTTCGAAATCTTCAAAGTAACGCCGAGGGTCCCTGCGTACCTTTTGTAGGGATGTACCTTACCGATATTGCCCACACCAAGGATCAGTTTGAGGACGTCGAGGATGATGGCCGAATTGTGTTTATCAAGCGGCAGCGGTGGTATGAGACTATAACACAGATGCTACGGCACCAGTCGAAACCGTATAATATTGGAGAGAGTATGTCTATTCGGGGCTTTATTTCTTTAAATCTACGGACAACTGGTACGAAGGACTGGAGTTTGGCTTGGGCAAAAAGTCAAGACGTACAGCGTTCGGAGCTGGAACACGCAGATATCCGTAGGGGGTTGGAGGCTGCTGGCTTTTAGTTTTCATCTTTGCTTTCTCAACTTTGCTTTCTTGTGTTTTTTTAATGCTTTTGGATTTATGCATGCGTATATAGCGGACAGGTATTCAATATTCAACATAGGGCTGTATAGCCCCTAACTATGGACCCTGAAAGTCACGATCATTCTTGCTTTCTGCCACGACTGCTTAAGACATGGCAGGCCTTCTGGCTACAACGACTGTGATCTTTGTTCTCGTTCTCGCTATATTTTATCAAGTTTATCTAAGTCCCACGCTGACAACATTTGGCATCGGTCGAACTGTCGGGCCATACGAACATAATGGGCGATGTAAAACCATTCTTGAGGTAGAAGGGTGTGAAAGTGAACCATTGTCTTTTTTCTTTTGTATAGTCATTAACTGGGCTCTCGTTTACAGAGATAGTGCTTCACCATGCAACTGGAAATGTGTATATGGCCTGCTCGACACTGAAACAACGATTCCATGCGTTGCATCCATCAAAAGAAGCTACTATACCGAGCTCTGAAACCAACTACTTTGCGATGTATAGTCCAGACGGACGTATTACCCGTCTCTCCCTACAAAATTTTGACATGTCTCGCACTGTCGTATTCCACGGCATGGACGTCGTTCCATCATCCACTAATACTCAAGAACTCTTTGTATATCTCGTGCACCACCGTCTGCCTCTGGGCTTTCAAGACCCTGCACGAGTGGGCTACGACTCCTCAATTGAAATATTCAAAACTTCCGTTGGAAACACAATTTTGACACATCTACGAACCGTTGAACACCACATTATTTATTCCCCCAACGACGTTATTGGCTCCGCCGATGGCAAGAGCTTCTTCTTCACCAATGATCGAGGGGGACCAAAAACCGGCCTTGTGAGTTTAGACATTGCTTCACCCATTTACCGCAATTCAACGAGGGGTTAGACACGAGATTTGTACGAGTTCTTGAGGCCATCTTCGTCTGTTGGCTACTGTCACGTCGAAGAAGGCTGCAAGACATCGATATCTGGAATGCTCAATAACAACGGTATCGTCCAAGCTGACAACGGAACCATTTATGTCTCCAGCACCCTCTCGAGTGGAATACGCGTGTTAGAGAAGCAGGAAGACAATACACTCGTTCTAACAGACGTGATCCCCTCCGGTGAAGATTTCTTGCTCTTTTCAATTCTACCCACGGTTGCTAACAAGACGAACCAGAAACTATCATCGATAATTTGTCCATGGATGAAACTGGGGCTGTGTGGGCGGCTGGTTAGTTTCCGAACGTACCCGTTTGGCTTTGATCTGACGCGTCGGATCCAGGTATTCCGAGAGCGCAGGATGCACTCAAAGCAATGATGAACCTGTTCACAACCCCATGTCCTGTCTCAGTTTACAGGTTTTCTATAAACACCGGTCCGTCTTCGTTCTTCGGCGAGAAACTACAAAGGAGAGAAGGTACGGACAAAACCTTGAACGTGGTCCTAAAGTTTAATCCTTGTGCTTCATATCTGATTTTAGGTGCTGGAAGACGATGGAAGCTTGGCTTCTTTCATTAGTACGGCAGCCTATGACTCTCGACGCGGTCGACTGTACCTCCATGGTAAAGTCCATTGTATTGAAAATTTCATTGGTTCTATCTAACACGCGATCGTCGCAGGTCTGGGTTCTCCTGGGCTTACCGTATGTACGATCTGAGAAAGCCTTTGGGGGAACAAGAGCATCACTATCCGGTCTGCCGTATTGTAAAGAGGAACCGCAGGGGCAGGGCTCTCAAACACAAAATAAATCATTTCCTCATGACAAACATCGCCACCCATGGGAACTCGAGGGAGGAAGAAGAAGAAGGTAGCTCTTTAACACTCCGAACCGTTCCCAGGACGGTTCACTTTTCACATTGGTCGTTTTCCAGAAACAAAGATCTCCGAGTCAATAACGTCGGAAAAAGAGTGTCATAAGTGTGATAATTATAGATATCTATTATTGGAAACCCAACCCAGGAATAAGGACGAAGGCACTTACTCTGAAGGACTTTGAACGGATTGCATCAGTCGCATTACTATAGGCTCATATGGTAGAGCGGCAGCGAGTCATCTCCATAAGAGGGCTATCTCCATGGATATTGTCAACGTCCAGAGACTCGGAAAGTATCGAGTTTGATATAGTGCAGTGGGGCCAGCGATGGGGATGGGGGCGGCTGAAACGCAGGGCGGTCTGCATCAATCTTCATTCATCTGTCTCGAGAATACTGATTCAAAGATATTACCGGTATTGGCTGCATTCTGAACGTCCTTCGCAAATTGGCACGGTGAAAAACAAGCGAACTTGAGAATTGATTTATAATAACTGAACAATGTTTGTTTAACTACAAATAAATAATGTTTATGTTTAGATTGAAGCTGCCCAGCTTCCAAGCCAGGAGCTCATGGATAACAGAGCTTGAGTCTGGACTTCGGCAATGGAGCTGTCTGCTTCCGCATTTGCAACTTTCAGGTCCGAGCAATGAAAGCCATCACCCACGAAGATGGGCTGCAGCAGCGTTCCTAGGATGTCTAAACCGTCAGCGGACATGGTGGCACCTCTCCATGGGTCGCCTGGAATGCATAAGAAACAACAACATGGCTAAGGGGGGTTAACTTACGGTTCGCATTGGCAAAGAACAATCGATCGGCCTGTACGGCCCAACCGGTGTACCGTGAGTTGACATTAGCGACCGAGGGTTCAGGACGGTTCCGAGAACGCGTCTGGAAACATGAGAACACATTGACGCTGGAAAGGAACACAGGCATGAAAACCAGCGACATCAGAGAGATCAAGTGACCGACCTGAGCATACAAAGTATCGGCATTAACTAGTCTTGAGACAATTGCGGGGTGGCCTTCTGGGGGCCCGCCCTAAACACGGTGTCAGTCGAACGAAAAGTTGAACAAAGCGCCCTTACCTGGTACCAGCCGACTTCATTGCATCTGAATAGAAGAATCATTAGATAAAGATGCAATCATTTTCACAAGTGGCGCCAGGAAAACCTACACGGTCCACATCCAGGAACGGTAAGAGTTGCCCACCGCAAGTATTGGTATAATAATCCAGGGTCCCATCGTAAGTGCCCAAACATTCTCTGTCTTGGATGTCAGTGCCAGAAGTACAAGATCATCAGTCACTTACACTACGCTAACATCACCGCACACTAATGAACGGAACACCGATAAATCAATAGAACAACACGGACCAGAAGTAAGCACTTACGATGTTCAAGGTACTCGCCCTTAAAGTAAGCGCCCCAGGAGGCCAGGGCGTGTTCAAGGCCCCAGCCCTCTGCAGGGGCGCTGATACCATCTTTTACTTCTAGTGCATCACAGAACTGGTAAAATAGTGCATCTGGCCCTGACGTAGGCTGAAGAGACTGCCAATCCCAGAGATTGTTTCGTACTAACTCCGAAATAAGTTTGTGAGCACGCGTATACCGGATACAGACGTACGGGCACCCGCAGCATCATCAAGATGAGTAAGATTGCTCATGCCAAAAGTCTCCTTGACGGAGTCAATGGCCGTGGTATTATCGCCAGTGAAAACTTCATCCACATAGGCAATCACGGCAGCCACATCGGCGGAACAATTGGCAGGCATGTACTGGCGGATAGGCTCGTAATATTGCCAGAAATCCCTGTAAAAGCCGTCCATTTCAATGAGCACGAGGCTGTACGGAATTTTGTGGATCCTACGTTATTGCTTCCACTACTGCAGATGACGCATAACCGGCATAAAACAATCCGGGGTTGCTAGTGGTGAACCATTAACAAAATTTGTTTCAAAACCAAGCCGATTTACTCACTTTACCATAGTCCAGCTCACCAAGGCACCTATTCTAGATCAGATCTATAGTCTTCAATCAGAACAGAAAAGACACCGACCAGGAGTAGCTTCCACCAGCCAAGATCCAAGGTGCTTTATCAGGACCCAGTTGATCTCCATTTGTCATTGGCAATTTAACATTCTTAGCAAAGTAGACGAAATCGTTAATGGCTTGGGGAATGGTGAGCACTTTAAGGCTCTGCGATGAAAGGTCTGGGTATGGGTTACTTGCACCGTAGAAACGGTGCTCCAGGATCACAACCGCTCCATGCTGCTGTTGTGCGATCTGGCCAAAGATTGAGATATTGGTAAGAAAAGGGTAGTACGCTGACAGATGTGATAACCGTTAATTACAGAAGCATGCAAGAAATGAAAACGGCGCACTCTCAGCATTGTTTTCCCCGGGAGTAAGCAGGATGATCGGACCGCCTAAATGGTGCGGGTCAGCAGATCGGCGCGGAGAAAAACACGCCACACGAACCGGATTCATAATACTCGGAAGTATGCCAATAACGTTGCTGAAACGTCCCCAGAGACGCGTTATTATGGTCGATCAACTGGTCAAAGTAGTACACGGTGTCGTAGGCAACAGTGGCCTTCGCCTGAGCGGTCGAAGCGAGGTACGGGGCTTCAACTGAGGGAAATATGGGCATAGGCATCATATTTGCATGAGGACGGCCGTCCTTGAGTATAGCAGATGCAAGTCCAAGCAAGCATGATAGAGGAGCGAGAGCGAGTGGGATCGAACGCATAGCGGAGAATTGAGAACTAACTCTGGGGCGAAGATACTAGTCGTATTACTCGACCTTTAAATACTCATTAAGCCTTGGCGGCGTCGTATGGTCAAGGGGCTGTAGAACCAAGCAAACCGGTCTGAGGAAGCTCAGGGTTCCTTTGGTCGAGTCAGAAACATCGTGATGGAACCTATAACTGATGTAGACGTAGTTTCTGGGCGGTGTGCTTCCATCATCTCCGAGTCAGAGAATCGGTCATAATCGCGCGCTGCGCCGCCGCATATGTCCAGCAACTGAATGAGCTTCGAGCCGCGATTTTCGAAATCAGCGGAACAGACCAGACGGGACCAATTGAGCCAGGCGTTCTTGATGTAGTAACCGTTCAACAGCGTCCTTGGATACAATAATGCATCGAAGATAGCGGCTTCGCGAACTGTGAGCAATTATGGCCCTCACATGGTTTGTATGGCTGCGTATGCAACTAAACCAGTACGGAACGCCAGATCACTTGAGCTGGCAGAGCAAGTACCAAGTCCCAGCTGGTCCAGAACGAAAATTTTAAGGATCAGATTCCTGAGAAAATTCGAAGTCGATACCGGACTCGGACCGAAGAAACAGCATGGCGAATCAAAAGTCATTTTCTCCAACAACATGCAGATTGAGGCGGGACAGTTAGGAGGCTGGCAGGCGGTGTATGAATGATCCAGCAGAGGATGAGATATTGCCTTGATTGACCATCAATTCGAATTTGGAAAACGTTTTAAGCATGACAATTTGTCCCTGGGGGTAAAGGCAAATAAATAACGTCATCACAAGTCCGACTCTATCGTATATTCATGATATATTGCAGTTGATTGCCCTATGTAGTCCCTCGCCCAGCGCCTGCACGATGTCCACCCCGCCGCTTACCTCCGCGGCCCGGGCGCTTTACCGGCTTCTTGTTTGAGCAATTATCGCAATACCATTTTCCTTCGGGGGGTACCTCTAGACCGATGCAGGTCAAATGGAACTTGGGGAAAAAATTATTAGCCTTTCGTTCATCAGGGATAACAAATGATTTACCCATTCTCTTTCACAATTCGAGTCATCGCATGCTATCATGTCACCGTAGCTGTACCCGTCACAGACACAGTATCTGCGATTGTCGCCATCTGCTTCGCCGTCTTGCTCTACAGTACCCTCGTCCTCTGCACCTGAGCCAACATTCATTGGCATACCAGCCTCAGAGTAGGCTTGCTGGATTCCTTGGAACAGGCACTCCGGGGCCCTCTAGCTGTCTGGGCATGGGCCACTCGCCCGGGCCTGCAACTACACCTCCCAGGGGGCCACCGTTCGGTATATGAAGCTCAAAGGGATGGGGATTGCCATTGGTATGATACGGAAGGGGAAGAGATGGATGCGATGCTGAGGGCGGGACATTGAAAGCTTCTCGACGCGATCCGTGGTTGGGCAGACCGTGATCGTACGTGCCGTTAGGGTAATGTTCGTTCTGAGGCGATCCACCACGGTGGCTATTAGCAGCAGTACGCGACCTCCTGTTGCCACCGTGAGTATGACCGGTGCCGTTCGTTCGTCCATGTGTCGAACCTCCACGCGAAGATGCCTGGGGTGGTTGGGGCGGCATATACGAAGTGACAGAAAGGACCGAGTCAGCTGGAGAACCGGCACGTTCGTTTCTGTAGAAAGTAATGAAAACCATATGTTTAAGACAGAATTTTCCGGCGTACCTGCGTCCTCGACCGCCATTACGCGGCCTGCTTGGTCCGTCTACTGCTCGCTCTTTTCTCGGAGTCCCATCATCGTCTCGCGGGGCTCTTTTTCGTTTGACAGGACTAGGGTCCGTCGCGCTCGTCAACAGAGAGCCATAGTTGCCTCGTCGTCTTCTTCCACCTTCTGTCATCGTGACCGGCATAAAGGTCTTGCTCGCCACATGTGGGTAGGTGGTTTGTCGATTGAGAATGGAAGCATCGAAGCCGGGGATGTGCTCTGCCAAAGTACGGAGGTGACTCATATGGGACTTGAGATTATCCGCAGCCTGGCAGGCGACACGAATCTTATCCTCACCCCCCGGTTTGAGGGTTCTCGCCTCCTCTGCAATCTCGGACAACAACCAAAGGCGCTCTTCTTTGCCTTTGCCGTCTTCTATCATCTGCGTAAGATTGTGGATTTTGGTTGTTATAGATGCCATGGCAGTGGAGAGGACGGCATCGAGTTCCCGAAGGTCCGCAAAATTGCGTGAGAGGTCGAGTGGTAAAGAGTCGAGTGTGTGGTTATACTCGGAGAGCAGAGAAAGAGAGTATGCCGTATCGATGTGTGAATTCGAGGACATCACTGCAGAGCGAGATTGCTGAGGCATCGTTAGGGATGTCGTGCACGACGTTGTGGCCAGCGCTAAAAAGGCCATTACATTTGTTGACCACAACAAAGACCGGTCGGCAGACCCGGTCCGGCGCCCCGAAGATTTCGCGAAAGCAAGGCAAGTATTATTTAAAAATACAATCAAAAAATATGCTACGATGAAGGTCGAATGAAAATGCTAGCAGCTACAAATATGTGATGATCGTGGCGTCTCGTTCGTTTTCCTGTCCTGCAGCCGGCAACCTCCGTGAACCTCCCTCAAGTGCTACTTGACAATGAAATCTCCAAATGCGCCCAAGCAAGGGCTTCTACAATCCATATGTTCCAATGGTATCGCGGCTTCTTCATTTCTCCGCCAATCATTTCCTGCAGCACACCAACTTCTTCAACCCACTTGGGACCCCATGAGTCCGGTTTTGTGACGCTCCTCTCGCCTGGCCTTTAGACCCCTTGCTAGACAGGGAGGCGTACATGGCATGTGCGTCTCGTGGAGACTGGTAGAAGGATGAGAATGCGTTTGGAGACGTTGAGCCGGTAGGGAAGAAGGAAGGCGATGAAGGCGACGAAGAGAAGGACATCATTGAATGTGGTGTCGTTAAAGCGTCAGAGAAAGAGCACTGCGTGGGCAGAGGCAAGAATAGTACGGTGCGTGTGGGAGACTGAGACCGTAAAGGATGGGAAGGATAGAATGGTCGTTTCAATATGAGATACCGATGTGCTTGCGAACTTTAACGTCAAACGAAGGACTTGGCAAGAGATGTCCTGCACAAGTGATGGTGTGGATGGTCGGTTCCCTTCCAATCGACCAGTCGGTGCTGTTGAAGAAACTCAAGCGTTGGCGCTCTGTTATATAGCAATGGAGAGATACTCCATGAAATTCTGGACCTATAGAGGAAAGACAAGGCAAAGCCCAAATTAGGAAGTGTCCTTGTCTACGAATGGTAAGTACAGCAAGTTTAATGTCATACAGCTCAGGGTGACTCCAAGCTTGGTTAGAGTGTTGCGTAACCAAGTCGTTGTATTCCGAGTTGGGAACAAGACATGCAGCTGTTCTTGTCGTCGAAAAGAGAAGCGCTGACCGAGAAATCAGGGCTGTGCTCGAAAGCGTACGAATCCTTCTACATCCGGTTCCATCACCGCTTGAGATAGAATAAGGGCCAGGATAATCCCGTCTCTGACGAGGTATTTCATACTTGGGGAGTACAGACGACCAGGAAAGAGAAGCGCTTTACAGCCGATAGTATTGCCTCGAAGTGACAGCCGCGACCAGAACGGAGGACAATGGCCAGTCTCAATGGCCAAACCTTGCTGAAAACGTAGAACAAAGCAGAGCCTCTTCCGTTTCACGGGCTATACGGTCTACTTGCTTCGACAAGAGAGTCATAGCCTGTCATAAGCGAATTCCATATTGGGATGTCATCAAATATTTTCGCAAGATTCACATCACGTGCTGCGCGGTTCAATATTCGCGGCCGCGATACACGCGTCTGACTTCCTGCACTGACTCGCAGCCACCTCCGACTTGTTCTCGTGCTCTCCCACGCAGGCCTCCGTTCCCCATCTCAATTACCCCTGCATCAATGGCCAAAGGTCCAGCATTCTACGCCGTAAGAGTTGGACGTAGTCCTGGCATATACTCCACCTGGTACATTCTCATGACCCAGCTCGGTCCAGCTTCGAACTGAGACATTCTAGGGACGAGTGCGAAGAACAAATTAAAGGCTTTCCCGGAGCCAAATACAAGAAACTTCCGACGGCGCAATTGGCACAAGAGTTCATCACTGGCACGTCAGGAGGATCAACCAACATCGTTCCTTCATCAGCGCAGACCACCTCAACTGCCACAAATGGATCAAAATCAGTACCATCAACTTCGGATACATCTCAGGTTGCCAACATTCCTGGTGAAATTACCGTCTTCTCGGACGGTGCGTGTAAAGGCAACGGCAAGACCGGAGCCGTGGCAGGAGTCGGGGTGTGGTGGGGTCATAACGATCCCAGGTAAGTGATACGTATCTAATGTGCTTTATGGTGCTTGATAGCGGTTGTCCGACATAGGAACTTGGCAGAACGCTGTCCAGGCAAACAGACCAACAATCGCGCAGAGCTTATCGTTAGTATCTTTTTCTCAGCTATCAGCGATTGTCGCTCAAACTGAAATATGCAGGCTATTGTGCGGGTACTCGAACAATCTCAGACTGAAACCAATCCTCTTCGCATCAAAACTGATTCCAGATACTCAATAAACTGTATAGGCCTTTTCGAAACTTGTTTGACACCCTTACTTATCTGGGTTCTCTAGGCGTGACACAATGGTTACAGAAATGGGTGGTCAACGACTTCATGACTGCCAAAGGCACGCCAGTAGAGAATGCGCCTCTCATCAGATACCTTGCAAGACTTCTTGAACGATCGGATCGGCTAGGACGAAAGATTAACCTTGAGTATGTTCAGGGACATATGGGTATCGAGGGGAATGAAGCAGCAGACCGTCAAGCAAACATTGGTGCTACACTTCCGGAGGTTCCAGAACGCAACTGGGAGAATCTGGAGAAAGTCTTGACAAATAAAATGAACACCGAGTTGAAGAACATGAAGCGTCGATCAGAACAACCCGCCACTCCATCTCGTAAGGAGAATCCTATTCCGAAGCCCGTGCAACAGTCCTCACCGATGAAGACAACAACAACAACGCCCGCCCCACGTTTGACTGAAGAAGTGAGTACTTCTTAGGTCAAAGAAGAGTTAGACTTTGACATTTTTCAATTCAGGAGGCAGCCTTCTACGCTGATGGGCTCTTAGACGACGATGACATTGAGCTGGATCTCCTCTGATGCACTTCGTGCTGACTTTGAACTTTGTGAATGTATTATATCTTGTGTATGTTTTCTCACACCCGTGTACTTTTAGTAGTACATTGTGTATATACCGGCGACTGAAGCCCTAATAATGCGATGATGATCTCATTGCGCAGTTGTACAGATGCATGCTACCAAGATTAAGTAGAACAGCAAAGCAATCAAACAGATAGTAAATCAGAAAACATGCGACTGCAGAAAGAACGAACCCAGGACCTGAAAAAACGAAACGAGAGTAGTAAGGTTAAGGTATACGTATGTGTTTGCGGAGTGTATGTATGTACATGAATGCATGAGGATGAAACGATGCAGTTGTGAATGCAGACGAGATACGAAAGAAGTGCGATAAGGATACTTAATAATGGATAAGAAGAAACGGACTCCTCAAAGCAGCGCGCTGGCATCCTTGCCCTCTGCAACCAGCCTTCGCCAATCCAATCTCCACTTGGCCATGTTCGATCGCAGCTTCTTGTCCCCAAGGGTCTTTTCTATCCAGAATAGAACAGCGTTTTCGTCTTCGGGAACAAAGAAGGACGATAGAAGCGATAGCACAGTTTCGAAGTTGGCGTTGGACGATGTGATATGATCTGCCAAAGGTAGCATTAAGAGATGAACCTGAGAATGGCACGGAAAGACCCGTACCCCGATATACCCAGACGATACACACGGCCACAGCAATGAAAAGGTCTTGTCCTTCTAATAAAAAAACATCCCATAGTCGCAGCTGTGTCTGAAAAGGAACCGAGTTGGCGAAGAGCGTGATATACCATTTCGTACCGTAGGACGTGGTTGAGATCATATGCTTTTTGAAAGCGGCATAAACATCAGGCATCATGTGTTCTGTTATTCTCTCTTGAACATATATTGCTTCCAGTAGACCAGGGAACCCGGGGCTGAAGATGTTATGCAGCGTATACGAATCGTGCAAACGGACCAACGAGGCGTAGACGCGTTCAGGATCGAAATAACATAGCAATGTAGCAGCAATGGGACCCATGCCCTGGACGTAGCCGCATTGCGAACAACGTAATGAGAAGCAGTGAAGGACATGGAAGAGTGATCGTTGCCTGGTCAAAGATTAGAAAAACGAGGACAGTAAGCGAGAGAGATGACTCACCCTGCGCCGTATCTTGTTCGAAACATTATGTGCCCTCCAATTGTCCGTGGAACATCCAAATCGATCTGGATATCGTAACTCGATGGCTTGTCCAGAGCGTTGCGATAGTCCTGGCATAACTTGGTCGTTTCTGCGTTCCCGGTCCTCGAAAATCTCCTCAAGAGTAACTCCCATGCAGCAGAACGCCACCGGTCAGGAATGCCTTTGTACGTGCGTTCTGACAATTTCAGTCCCTTAGAAGGCTTCACCCGCCATATTTGGACGTTGGCGCCTTCGTCGCGTTGTTCGGGTTCTAACATTCGGTTCCACTTAGCGATACGAGAAGCCTCTTTAACAGGGGTGGGAGTAGGTGGTAATGAATCTAGGGAAGTTGCAGACGTGGAAGCGGAGGGTGGGCCCGCAGTTGTCCGGCTAAGCCGTTTCAGTAAAGGTGCGGCAGGCAGCAAAATTAACCGGTCATGCGATGGGACATTAAAAAACCCATAGCTAGAACACGGTGAGAAGGGTAGCAGATAGAGGAGGAATGTACGCACCGGTCAACGTTGGCTAACGTCTGTATTTCTTGTTCATCCAACTCCTTCGACTTTTCCGTCCCATCACCCAAGGCTGCCTCTGCACAAAGCTGGCTCGCACGGCTCGCGCCTATCCGAGCTCGTGTCCGCTCAACTCCTTCCTCATAGCCATCGCCTTTTACTCCCGACATGTCCAACTGCGCGTAGGTGTTACGTACATGGAACGCATCCATGTCTTCGCCTTCTGACGGAACAAGTGAGGTTTTGCTTTGCAGAGTCGTTTCCAGTGGATGTTTGAGAGGTAACATAGGAGAAATCATGTTAGCCGTAAGTCGATCTGCTGGTACTGGTACCGGAGTTATTGCCCTTTCTGACGACTGGGATGGTGAAGAAGAGGCTGAGGTAGGTTTAGGAGAGAGGGTCTCGCGAGCGGAAAGTCGTGGATTTTCGATTTGGCGAATTATACGAAACGCCAGATAGGCACCTGGAGTTGGGAGATGAAGGATAGTGTTCGTCCGACTGGGACACTGGTCGAAGGCAAGGAGAAGTCGGTGACATCGCTACTACGAAAATGCCCGGACGAGCCACGTCGGCTGCTATACTCTGACATGAAGGAGGAAGGCGTCGCAGAGCTGGATACAGGGCGCGAATAAGAGGAATGCGTGATGGGCGAACCATTGGCCTTGGGTGCGACGTCTGTGAGATCTATTAATGGTGGTCTGTCTGTATTATAGTAGGCGAGTTCAGTGTCAAAATCATCGTCCAGAGTGTCTTCAGGGAGAGCCAGGGTGACCTGAGGAATCATGGTCTTGGCCATATCGGTAGAAAGCGCGTGAGAGGCGGCCCAACTGTTTCTGCCGTGGTCATCGCCGTACATGGAATAGATGGAGACGATGGCAGTCTCCGAGGACTGGCGGGATGCCTTTACGGTGGAATACCGAGAATCAGCGAAGGAAGAAGTCCTGGAGGAGGTGGTGGCAGAAGAGAAAGGTGAAGGTGCGAGGGTCGCTGAATGATGCTTGGACGATGATGCCAGCACCACCGCGGGGGCCTCCATGAAAAGAAAAGATAAAAGAGGAGAGTGAAGGATAGCGAAGATGGTGGTAAGAAGACAAGCTTCGTCGGTGGCGGGAATATTATTAAGAATTGTTTCTGATTTCTTTGATCTCTTTGGGAGTTACCGTCGGGAGCTTGTGGGCGCCGGTTTATTCGCCGATTGCTGCATGCTCTCACGGGCGTTTTATCGGCCACGTACTGAACCCACATTATCTTCCACCGTCTAAATGTGGATTGTCAGATGCTACCGCTGGCAAACCAAATTGCATTTATTGCTCGTTTCATCTATAAATCTCAAGTCCGTAGTAATTGTATCATCTCAACGCTAGAATAATTACTCCACTCCCGGATCCTTACCCATACAGTTTCTGTCTTCTCTTTCTCAACACTACTATCTCGTCGCAGTGTTTCAACGGTGACCGCAAATATGTACGTACCATTAATCGTTTGCGGGTTTCCGACACGGATGCGACTGGACAGCATGGCAGGTGACTCAACATATCCCGCTCTTCGCCCGTACCAGCGCAGGAGCAGTACACCCAACACATGCATAGGGTTCGGTGGAAACAACAATTGCCGGTGTTAACACGTCGAGGTTCCTTGAGAATGATAGGGAAGCCGAATCGTGTGGCAATTAAGCACGTCAGCTTAGTGACATACATGATGTACCGCGGCCGGATGCAAAGAGGACAACGAATTTGGAAGGAGAATCCATAAAACTCGGATTTTTGTCGTGAATTACCGTGACATCTCGGGGTTGCCAAGTCAAATGGTACCAACGTCGACTAGAACACATGGCGTAGAAAGTTAAGTAGCATGCTAGCGTTCAGAAGCGAGTCGCACTTTGCCTGCCACCGTCGACGTCGAGCAGTCGCACCTTGCTGTATTGAATGGAGCAAGATCCATGTAAAACTCTAGGCGGGTTCGGACTCTTATCGATTTATCGATGCTAAATCTGGTTCTAGGGAGCTTGGGGGATGGAGCAAGTCAGCCTGCATACTGAGTGCTCTCCGAGAAATTAGCCCATCAGTCCTTACGACTTGGCAGAGAGACAAAATAATCTCCATCATAGGCCAATCGCGAAATCTGTCACTATTTTCAATCTGTTCTCTCCTGGACTCGAACCAACCTTACGGGCGGTTGATGCAACTTGGATATTCCACTGTCGTCGAGCTGGGAACCGGTGGGTCGAGTGCTCGAGTCTATGATTAACGAGACTGATCCACAGACGTGCTGCATCATTCAAAGCAATCACCATGGTCCAGTTATTGCTTTGCAACAGCAGGACCTGCAGTGCATGTACATCAGAAATTCCCTACTTGAGACAATTACTACCCACAAGGGAAAATCAGACGTCGTTGAAAGTGCAATGATGGATGGTTACAAGGCAATCCTGTCACCGAGTTCCCCGACTTGAATGAAGCCAAGGTATTATCAAGCAAACCTCCCCCGATCCATTCCCGAAGGTCTTGCTACAAGTCGAGATATGCGTAGGTTAATAAGAAAAGTCAAACAAGGGCGTCCCAATGTTCATATCCTACATGAAACTACTCAGTCTGATCATGCCGACGCCGCTTCCCTTCCCGCCCCTCCTTTCGTCGATGTTTCTTTTCCTTGGTCTCCACCTGAATTTTCAACACAACCACCACTTTTGCCGCCTTCTTTGATCGTTTCTTCTTCTCTGGTTTCGGAGGCCGGGCAGGATTACTCTCGATTTCCAGCTCTGTTTCCTCTGCGTCGTATTTCCTTTTCGTTCTTTTCTTTGGTCTTTCCTCCTCGACTCGTATAACCACTTCCTGCTGCTGGCCAACGTCCATATCTTTGGCCTTCCTCTTGAGCTTCTTATCTTTCTTAGGCCGTCCGCCCTGACCCTCGTCCGCTTTATCTGGTGCTATCACTGACACTTCCTGAGCGACCTTCTTTTTCTTTGTCTCCTTCTTGCGTTTCTTCGAGGATTCTGGAGCTTCTTCTTCTTTGTTAAACGCTTCACGTCCCATCTGCGCCTTTTTATGCTTAATTTCTTCACGAGCTAGTGCCTATTTTCCCTCATCAGTCGAGAAACAAGAGCGCGAAGATGAACAATTCGAACCAGCTTTTTCTCAACTTCCTTCCTGCAATCCGACCATACAACCTCCTGCACTTTCTCCAAATTCACTGCTTGCTCCGCCAAGAGGCGCGCCTGACGATTTTCACTCGAAGATACCAATGCGAGCTTTACATCATGTCTCAACGACACGTACTCGAGAAGAGCAGCAATATAGCGAATGAGTTCGACATTTTGAATGGATCCCTTCCCACTGGGTTTGCTGAAATTGTTTACTCTCCAATTTGGGAGGTATTTGGTGAAGCCTGGATGACAAAATACGCGTCTTTAGCAGCTGAAAGTGACCTGGTCAGGCATGGCTTACAATCGAACGTATACTTTCGATCCGTATTTATGAGAAACGCGTCTGAATTGTTCGCGTTTTCTAGATCGTCTCGCCGTATTTGTTCCAGTACGCTCAGCAGGCCCTGATGAATATGTCAAGAGTGTTCAGGCACTTTGAAAGATACCAACGAATAGCTCGGAGCAGTTGTTGGTCTGTTTTCCTGGTGTGCGAATAGCTAGGTTCCTGCAAAAAAAAAAAGTTGGATGTCGTCGGCAATAAATCGGGAAAAGACTGACTTGGGCTGTTCGGTACCCCACCAAACACCTGAACCGGCAGCACCGTCGACGAGGCCATTGTTCCTGCAGGAACCGCTAAAGAATACGATGGTTGGGTCTGCGGACCCCTCAGACATAATGGAAACAGATGTTGACGCGCGGTTTTCAAGCTTGACAGAATGCAAACGCGTTCGGTTCAAGACGTGTCAGGGTTGTTTGATACGGTGTGCGACAGCCGGCATGAGTGATTCTAGGAGGAATTCCATAGAGGCCGTCTGGAAACGAGAAATAATGCTGACTATGCATTGCAATAAAAACACTTTATGTTATATTAATAACTTTGTACTTTGGATCTTCAAGGACGGCGGCTTGTAGCTCCCGTCCTAGGGCCGTAGCCACAGGCCAGGGCACCGCATTCCCTATCTGCCTGTGGATCTAAGGAGCATCGCATTAGTACGTACTTCGTAAATGGTGCCTTTAAACATACCGTAACAACATTGTTGTACAGCGATTCAAACACAAAGTCGTCGCGGAATCCTTGCGAACGAGCCAACTCCCTGACTGTCACCATTCGATGACACTGTACAACCACAGTCAGTACACCGAAGCTTTACAGGATAAAGAATAGAATACCCAGGGATTGAGTACTCGACTTTGCTTCGCAGTGACGTAGACATTCGTAACAGTTGTTGGGAAAACATCGTTAGCATCTAGACGGCCGTACATGCCTGAAAATGGAAGAAATGAGTTCGGAATTTACAACATTCCGCCGGACAAAGCTCAGGAACATACCAGGACGGAACCCTGCTCTCGCGTTCGCAGACCTTGGATTCACTGTTTGATACTCATGGAGATCACCCGGTAAAGCTGATGGCTAATGTCAGACTGCAAACAGAGGTTGTGTGCCTATAGCAAGATACGTACAACGATAATCAGCATTAGCGCTCAAAGGAATATTGACTATCCTGTTGAAGGTTCATTAGCCCATGAAAAAGGCGTAAACAATTGAATATACCGTTCCACTATCTTCTCCTTCAAAGGCCTTGTAAAATGTTGGAGATTTGATGTTGCGTTCTTTCTTGCTTCCTTCTGGTACCGGGTAGATGGCGCGTGATGATAAGGAATTTTGCCTTCATAACCACACCGAGCATCTGTGGACTTGCAGTGGAGACTCTTGATTCCCCGGTCAACGTGCTTTCCTGGAATTGGATGCTTGCTATTTTCAATGCATTAGCCTGTAAAACAGTATCAGTTTAATAGGAGAGACTCACTAGTCATATCTTGGCAGATCACTAATAGCATCACCAATAGTGACGCATCGATGCGACGCAGTTCCATTGGTCGTTCGAATCGGGGTGATAGAATCGCCATTGGACAGCTTAATAATTAATTTCTCCGTGTTGGGGAAGTCATGCGTCGGCTGTGGAAGGGACGGTAGCTTTTGGTTTTGCTGCGCCACGCACATGACGAACCGCTTTCGCCGCTGCGGAGTCCCATAATGAGCTGCATCTAAGATGCCAAAACGGGCTTGATATCTTGTAAAAGCACGTTCACTCATAAGAAATTATTATTGAGTTGACGAATAGGGAGCTCACTTCATGTCTATCAAAGCACGGAGGATGAACTTGAGCCCACCCTGCTCCATGCCACCTTGAAGCTTGTGCGGTCCAAACTGGGATGCATCGGGCCTGTAATCGATAAATCCGGGTACGTTTTCAAAGAAGCCATACTCTGGCCGAAGAAAATCCATCATCGACAGTGTTGTAAGAATAAGATTACTCTTCTTATCGTGCTCGTGTTTGTACATGTTCAGAGCTGAGTGTGATTGACTAGGGAAGGAAGAGGTTGAGAATGAACAGTCAGGAGGAACTCAACGAAGTCTCACCAGGGAAAGCCAGCGACAATAACTTTGATCTGGCCCGGGGAAGGAGGTAAAGGCACAGGCTTCTTGTTGTAAATTTGGAGGGGAGGGTTCATCTGACCTGGCCGATGGTGATGCTTGACCATGTATTTGAGCATGGTATTTGCACATTGGTTATAGACCGTTGTACTAGGGAAATTGCGCCTACGTGTTGTGTCAGTGGAATCAACCAGACAAGAACCTCACACGCACTTATATGTCTCCGCAGGTGATGGTGCAATCTCGATTGCATGGGTAACCTTCATACTTTGACATCCCTCAGCCATTCCCGAGGCAAATGCTCCAACACCACCGAAGATATCCAGAGTAGGAAGTTTCACCCGTTCATGGATGTCCTTGATATCCTGGAACCGCTTGAGTTCTAGTGCTGTACAGGATTTGCATACGGGCACGTCAAACGGGTCGATGACCGTCTTGGCATTCCAAGAAGTTACTTTGAGAGAGGGAAATGTATATTTCGCGTAGAAATGATCGGCGGACATAGCTAGCCAATCATCTTCCTCTGTCATATGTGTATACGGAAAAACGAAGCAAACGCGTAGCAGATCCGCTGCATCAACGGACACCAAGTTCTTCGAACTGGTGAGGAAGACATGCCGCTACACGGGACTGGGTCAGGAACAACTTGCTAGAGTACAAGACAATCACACCTCATCTCTTATTTCCGATTCAGGTAGAACGTCAAGGTCGCTGATCCGACCTACTGGCCTCACACTGACGCTCGATTGAGCTGAGGCCGTATGACGATCAGAGGTCTTGATATCAATGACTTGACCAATGGCAGCAGGTCCACCGGAGGATGCATAAAGTACGAAGTCGTCGATGTGATAATGAATTCCACCAGATGCGATACCGTCCGCTATCTTGACAGCAGATTTTTCTTGCTCACGTTGATCCCGTAATAGACAGTTGGGACAATTGTTCGGCGGTTGGAGTGTCGAGGCCGTTTCTGAGGCTTCAAGATCGGGGTTCACGAAAGCCGCGGTTGCCTTGTCGTATTTGAACCTAGGATGTGTACTGTAAGTGAACGGTTATCGGTTAAGAACAGGTTTGGATGCTACCGGCAGTAAAAGTCATTTGAAGGCACAGATCCTTCTGGTGAATGATGCACTTTTACGGTTCCACATATCGAGGCAAGTGGGATGCTCGTGCAATGATCGAGCACAAACAATTCCTGGGGATGCGCAAGCTCCCCCAAGATGGTACTGGATCCATGATCATACCAAAGGACATGCGCCTGATTTGATTCGAAGTCAATGAATAATACCTTTGCGAACCTTCCAACAATGAGTTACGAGACACTCAGACTAAACTGCAGACCCACCGAAAGTACTCTGCAATGCCATTACCAAACACAACGTCCGCAATCTTCTCTGGGAAACATTCGCGATTCTCTTCGGACAAGATTACAACATCATCATCGATCTACACGTCCTATGAGACTAGCAGAACAAATACGAACAAGGGGACCCACGCGAATTGTCACATCGTCTATTGAAACGCTTTTCAGATACCTTGAGCTAGTAGAAAGTCGTTGATCGCGACGCCAATCAGTCTTCTTGTGGCGGCGGTTGGCGCGTCTAATGAGAACCTCCAGAATGTCGCGGTTTTCTTGCTGTTCCCGACATTTCTTTTCCTCGTCGACTGGAGGAGGAGGAGCGCCGAGGACTTGTAGATCTTCGCGAAATAGATCTTTTGCCAGGGTGGCAATAGCAGGCGTAGCATGGGTAGGTGTCTGATTCTTAGGCTGGAGTACGGCGGTATCAAGATCTAAGCCTGCGATTTCTGGTATCTCGGGGGGACGATGGTTGAGAAGATGCCGTTTAGTCTTGCGCTTCCTCTTGGCCGCAGATACGTCCGTATTCGGAAAGATCGCCCTAATAAAGGGGAGACGGCGAAGCTCCTCTCCACGCTCATGCTCATCCAAAGCCTCTTCAATTTGGGATATCTAAGGAAGGGGTAGGGAGTCAAGAACGCACGTAATCCAGGTATGAGAACGTACCGTCGCCGGTTCTGTCAAATCATCTCTGGTTAACTTACCACCAAAAGCATCATTCTGGTCCTCCAAGAGTCTAAGGAATTCCTGGCGAGTGGCTGGAGGTCGGCGAGCTACAGCTGAAGAGATAACAAACTGCGCTATTCGACGCGGGACTATAAATCTCTCGAAAAATGGCTGATACTTGGGAGAAGGGCGTTCAAGGCGATACCAACCATATTCTGTTTCAAGGTATACGGGACTTGGTAGGTAAGTCAGCCAAGGTGAAACTCCACAGACGAGAAGTGTCATACTCATCCATTTTAGTGTAATTATAACTGAACGTTATGATAGAGTTAAGGTGAAGATACGCGTCCTCATCCATTCCGTCTTCTTGTCCCTCGTCTTCATCGTTGACGAAGGTTGGTCTGACGAAACCCGATGCACGAAAGATCCGGGCCACCCCATCGTTTTCCTCCATTAGAGACAGTGGAACGAGGGCCTTGCCGTTGCTATCGTCATAGAACGCAAAGTTGGTGAGGTATCTTATGATTTTGAGCTCGTTGTCGACTTGTTCGGGGTCTTCTCCAGGAAGCACCAAGCGTCTTGTCTCCTCGAATGTCTGGATGCCGGCAGGTGGTTCGTAGTACACTGGATGTTCAACTGCATGCCTGAGTCAAGAGATGTAAAGTTCCGGATATACTGATAGAATTTACTGGGAGCAAGATTGCGCTTTCGCCTCTTGGGAGGCTGAATACAAGAGTTGATTAAGGGATCATATGCCATTATATCCAACATACCGGTGCTTCAACAGATCTGGAAGCTCCTTGAACCTGCACCAGAGGACGTCGCTCTTCGTCCTTCCTTTTTCGCTGATTAGCATTTGCCGGTCTCTTTAATGTCTGGAGCGTCGGTGCGAATTTGGCTGTGAGACGCGCCTGTTCTTCTCGTCGAATGGCAGCAAGCCTCATCAGGAAAAGACACTTCGAAAGCATTAGGCCTGTTGGATTTGGGCGGCATGTTGAACAGTTCGGTTAATGTAATGCCATGCGGTACTGTGTACGAGGTCAAGCTTCAAGGCTGACCGCCGTGAATAATCGATCGAGGTGGGTCCTGCGTGGCTGTGCATCCAGTTCACCCTTTGCGATCATGGGCAAAGGAAAATCGCTGAAATCCGCTCTCCAGTCCCAGCAATCACGCCAAAAGCACAAGGAGCAGATAACAAAAGCTGCTCGGCTATCGGAACAAAAAGCGAACAGTACAAAACAGCCTAGAAAACGAAAAGTTCTTGCTCCTTCGACGTCCAAGCCAACAATACCGTTCTCTGCAACAGATACGATTCTGCTCATCGGGGAAGGAAACTTTTCATTCGCGCGCGCTTTAATCCAAGATGCTCCTCTACCATTGACTCACATTCCACCCGGTAACATCACCGCAACGGCGTATGACTCTGAGGAGGAGTGCTATTCAAAGTACCTAGATGCTCAAGAGATTGTTGCTCTCTTGCGAGAGCGGGGTGTCGAGGTTCATTTCGGTGTGGATGCGTCGAAGTTGGATAAAATAGCATTGTTGAAAGGACGACGATGGGACAGGATATGTTGGAATTTCCCTCATGCTGGTGAGTATACTACTCTCAAACATATTCTTTCAACGCTGACTGCTTCTTGAGATGACAGGTAAAGGCATCACTGACCAGGACAGGAATATTCTATCCAACCAGGTCCTTGTTTTGAACTTTTTGAGGGCAGCTGCCAGCTTGCTGAAAATCGGACCGATGCCTTCTGTTACTGGTTCCAAGAAGAAAAAACGCGCGAACGACGACGACGACGACGACGAAGAAGTGGAGGACGCAGATGAGGATAAATCTGTGGAAACTGGCACCAGGGGCACAATCCTTATAACACTACGGAACGTTCCACCCTATACTCTTTGGTAAGTTTATATATAATCTGTATGCGTGTTCTGTGCTGATTGTAACGGTCCAGGGAGATTCCCAAGCTGGCGAAGCATCCGCCTCCACCAACGTCGGGGAGTACACCACCAAATCCTGCGTACATAATTCTAAGGTCTTTCGTCTTTCATCGTGACATTTGGAAAGGTTACGAACACCGAATGACGAAGGGCGAACGAGCTCATGGCACGGGTAAAACTGGAGAAGGAGGCGAGGATCGTACTTGGGAATTCTGCCTTAAGGATTGAATAGAGATAGTATTAGATGTAGTAGATATCATGATGAAGCATCATCCAATGATTCTGCTTTTTCTAGCGCCTGCCTGTATCCCTCCAATGTCCTTGCCAGTCTACCACCACTCGCTTCACCCAACACTGCCGCCAGTTGAGTCGCTGGTGTACTCAACAAGCCCACTATCTGCGATCTGAGCGTGTCCAATGTTGGCAAATTGGCGACATCCTTCACTGTCGGCGGAAGGAGAATCTTCCCCTCAATGAGAGCTCCCAGGACATTCATCTCCGGCACCAGTACTGCCCGCTGTCGCTTCATCCTCCTTCCTGGTGTCGCAGGATCAGCATTCTTCGCTGCCAACTGCTTCGCAATCTCCTCTTCTGTCTTTTTGGGCCGCGGCGGAACGCTCCGGTCAAGAGCGCGTAGAATAGCGCTAAGATATGGCGGATGGAACATGGGAATCGAAAGAATGGCATATCCCCCAGTAACACCCTCTATCATTTTCTCGGCTTCCGCGATGTTAATACCAGGGAAATCGCGTAGAGCGGCACCAAAAACACCACTGTGAATAACAGTCAAAGTGGGACTAGGGATGGGCTGGGAGTCTTTCGGTGGTGGTACTCGACTGGAGGCAACCAGGAGGTCAATGCGTAGCTTTTTCAGCCGTTCTGCGGAAAAATCTTCGCGACTGAGGAAGATGAGAGGAGAGGTATGAGTCGTTTTGAGGATTTGCATGTAATTGTTGTACTGGAAGCCTTTTCTTCCCGAAAAGACGCGGGGAGCTGTCTGACCTGGCAGTGGCCGTCCTGGCTGCAAAGACATAGCATACCCTCGAGACAGATGGGGTATTCGATGCCGTATATGGCCCAGCGAAAACATTTTGAGGATGATTGTAAAGGGAGCAAATTAGGAAATTACGCATAATTGGAACGACGTGACCTCTATGTGACCTATTGTCACGCGCAGCTCTTGGCTTTCACCTTAACTTTCCAACCACGAAGACATGTTTGTCTCTACGATTACTGTCCTTGACTTTTACTCACCGGCTGTTTTTACTGCAGGGATGATGATGATGAGTTTCTTTACGGGAGTTCCGCTGCGGAAGGCATTCCTGGTAAGAGCCTATCCTTGTTTTCAGCATGCGTCAGCACCTGTATTCCTCTCTTGTCTCTCTATACTCTCGTGTTAATAACATGGTCTTAACTTTGCATTGCGCGTGATTTGTTAGTGTCCCAGCCGTGAGTCTTGTTCAATGCTGTCCTGTTGACTGTCGTTGAATCTTCTATGGTAGGGCCCCATTAGACACCGGTCGAGTGTCCAACAGCGTCGTATCTCATTTGGAAGCTGAAGCCGAAAATACAACCAATGTGCCATTGCAAATCACACCGCCCGTGGAAGAGGATAATACAGAGGTGCCACAGGCAGACGAGGCAACTGAGGAAGTTGAAGAGGAAGAGGAAAGTGACGACGACGATGTGTGTTCATTCGCGTTTTTCATGCCTTTCTCTACTCATATCGTCGCTGCAGGATATCGAGTTCATCATGGATCAACCGTCACGGACACTTGATCTCAGGTAAGTAGTTCCTTTGTTTTGTTTCCGGGCACGGATGCACATTCTATTAGGCAAGGTCGACCATCATTGACTCGAAGTGGAGGGAGTTCTTCGCAACCTCCAGCCCCAAAACGTTTGTAGTATGCTACTTTCTGGTTCTTTTTTGTTTATATTCTCACCAGCGCCAACCTCTGGTCCGTCATTAACGACCGAATATACTCCCATATCTCGAGGCGCTTCCAATGCTTCAATAGGCGGACCACCTCCATCACAAAGCCAGCCAGTAGTACCCGCGCCCCAGTTAATAAAACCCTTGGAGGCTTCTGTAGCTGCGCCGAAGACAGAGGAGACGCCCGCCCTCGACGATGGCATAGACACTTCGACGTTACCTCCAGCGACAGCCCCGCCTTCCCATCCCACCATCGACCCATCAGCTGTGGGTACACTGGACGGTCGCTCTATCCTGGACGTCGACATCGCGGCTATGTCGGACAAGCCATGGCGTAAACCTGGCTCCGACATTAGCGACTGGTTCAACTACGGTTTCGATGAAATCTCCTGGGAGGCGTATTGTTACCGTAGAAGAGACCTTGGCGAGCTCGCCAATGTGCTCAAGACGAGCGTACTGAACTTTTCGGGCATGCCCGAAGACCAACTAACCGCCCTTCCACCCGAAGTTAGGCAGATGGTTATGACTGGAACAAACGCGATGTTGACCAGTGGGGGTCCCAATCCTGGTATGATGGGTCCGGGAGTGATGATGGATATGTCTGGGATGATGAACCCTATGGCAATGGGCATGAATGGGGATATGGGCATGATGCCAGTAGACGGGAGAGCCATGGGTATGATGCCAGATGGTACGCCAACGCAGGGTGTACCTGTGGTTGGTGCAAATGGCACTCCGGAACCAGGAGTCGCGATGATGCAGGAAGGATATGGCGGTCCGGGGATGATGATGACTGGGGAATATGGCATGCAGGTCAGCACGAGTTACCTACCTACGTTCAGTCGGTCGTGTGTTAAAGGGTGCTTGTAGGAGCAAGCCCAAATGGCTCAACAGCAGCAGCAGCAGCAACAGCAACAGATGTATCCTGTCATGGAGCCACCTGCACCCGCTCAACCTCCTGGCGGGCCAAAGGCTGCAACACCTATACAGTATCCCCGCCGTGGTTTGGCTACTGGCCCTCGTGGAAGAGGGTTTCCTGTCAGAGGAAGAGGACGCGGAGGATATGAGGGAGTTGGTGCGTACAATAGCCTATATTCGCGTTAGCTTGTCGAATGATTGTTCAGGAACAGTCCGTCCTGCATCTCCTTTGCCCCCTGGGGTCCCTACCGGGCCCAGGAATCAAAATAAGTACAAAGATCGCGACGGAAATGCCCCGGCCGTTGACGGATTGGATTATGGAGGGACCAGTGGCCGGACCGGGAGCGGGGAGCCTGAAGATAAAGGTTCGAGTCGGTATGTACGCTAATAGCTATAGTGTAAACAAGTTCTCATATATTGTTACAGAAAACGCAGGAGCTCTCCAGGATTGGATGACGGTCGAAGCTCGAAGCGACGCTGATCTGTGTTTCATCTCATGTATTTTTTTTATCATAATATGAATGCACCTGCGTTCGATGATTAACTGAACGGGCCACTGATGGTACAGATGAGACCCTGGGTGCCCTCTTTCCCCTTTGTCTTCAACCCCTCCTCTCGTATCGTCACAAAATTTAGCATATAGGCAATGGACTTCATTGGGTACGATATTGTCATTGCTCCTCACCAATTACCGAAGCTTCAAAAAACAAGATTACGGTCAAAAATAGTCAGCGCTTTGCTTACTTGGGTATGTAGTAGAGATTAGCATGAATGCATTCTTAGCTATTACTACCCGAAGTCAATTGCAAGACAAATCACCATGTTGTTCGGTCATATTACCGGGTTTCTACAAAATAATGAGAATCGATCGAACTTTTTTTCGGCTGCCCAATATAGTAATTCCCCATCTTGGATTCCACCAAATGCATAAGCACTGCGAATTATACCTTCCTGACGTACAACTGGGCTATATTCCTCCGAATTATCCATCAAAGGCTCTGATATCACCACCCGGGCCTTTGGTTTGTGATCCTCATGAATCCGCTAATCTGGTCTGTCAAATCCCAAATCAGCGGTATTTTCTTCATCACTGCAGGCTCCATTGCATGACTTGATGGCACCAAAACATTGTGTACTGCTTCGGGAATCAATTCTAAACCATTTATTCTATCATTACTGTTGCTCTTGGTGTTGAGTCGCTGTTGAAAGAAAACCGGTACCTATGAATTACTATATTGGGCAGCCGAAAAAAAGTTCGATCGATTTTCATTATTTTGTAGAAACCCGGTAAACTTCTGCCCCGAGCTTTGAATATTTAGTCCCAGCATGTGTGTCCCAATAGGAAGACTAAGTACATGACATGCGGTGAAGAATCCTACAATGCAGTGCTGAGCGGTAAACGTTTAAACAATGACAATCTATAAAGTACAACTTCAATCCAATTCCCACTAAGCAAAGCGAACTTTCTCTCCGGGACGACCTTCTGACAGAAGTACAACAGCCTAGGTGCAGTTATGAGATTGCGAAAAATACACACACAAAAAAAACAAGAGACTCACGTATTTTCCACTGATTTTCCAGCCTGGTTCGTCGTTATCCAGCTTCTCCGCAATCTCGTCACCATCAACGCCGAGACCCACAACGACATCAGATTTGATTGTTCGAAGACTGGCCACGCGAGGGGCCCCGGCTGCGCTAGCCATCGAACCAATAGCAACGTCAAAGGGTGTACTAGCAGGCGCCGCACAGTCGTAGGTCAACTTTCTGTGGTTCAGGTCTCCCTTGAAGACGACGAGATCTGATCGCGACAGATGGAGGAAGAGATCGGGAGCCTCGGAGTGAAGATCCCAGAAAGTGTATCCGGTGCACCAGAAGGGATGCTGTTCGTATACCCACTTTCCTTCTTTCTCGTAGCGCTGCATGATTGTTCAGTCTATGCTAGACAATAGGAATGAAAGGACGTACCTTCCAACGCTGACCCAGCCTTCGAAGAGACTCTATCTCTACATCAGATGCCTTCGGGAAAAGTTGGCCATAAACCATAGAGTTGAGCAGCCAGTCCCAATCTTTCCGTGTTACATCTGACACGAACCAAGGGTATCGTTTCCCATGGAAGTGTACCTGCTTGGCTAACCCACTTTGCAACAAAAAGTCGGCTAAGGAACTGTGAGTATGACACCAGTCAGGAAAATAGAACCGAACCATAAACACAATCGCAGTACAACTCGAAACCTGCATTATCAAGGACGAAGTCAAATCTACCTCCCGTATTGTCACGAGACTGCTTAACAACATCCCAGAGCTCGTTGAGGTGATTTCCGAGGATGTTCTTCTCGGTTGCTGCAAGATGATCGCCTCCCGTAGATTGTAACGCCTTAATTTGTTCTTCCGTCATATTGATGAGCAAGGAAAGGTCCGTGGAATTGCCCCATAAGCAGACCTGAGTCAATTCGAGGAACATATGACGCTCCGCTTCGAGCTTTTCAGCGGCCGTAAGGTTCTCGGAGAGTGTAAAAGGTTCAGCGAAGCGCATGGATAATTCAAACACGGCTTCTGCGGAACGGGAGAATGTATCACACTATGTGATTCATTAAAAGCTGTTCAATAGAGCCAGAAATAACGTGCCTTCTGCCTATAAAAGACATCATAATCGGACCAGAATTTACTGATGCTGAAGCATTCGCGTAACCTTCGGTATTTATATGCCTCAGCGAATAGCCAAGGCGCATTCATGAAGTCCTTGCCTGCGGTGATGTATGTGAATAGTTGAAAACTTAGGAGCGACAATGACAAACCCTGAAAGTATTTGGCAATCTCCTTGTTCCAAAGAGCGACATCGGCCTCGTTATCGTCTATAATAGGACGAAGCTTCTTGTTGCCACTGAGGTCAACCATGAGGGCTTCCATGCGTTCTATGCATTGAACAAGGTCGATAATCTTTTCTTCGGACGACTGCTCGTTAAGAGTGCGAGTAGCATCCTCGATTGCCTTTCCGAGGATAGTCGGCAAACGGGACTGCATAGTAGCATGGGCAAAAGAGTATTCGTGATATCCACGGTAGGCGGGCCAAGGAGGGTTGTTCGGGTCGACCTAAGACACGATAAGAATACAAGTGTTACCATACGATAGTAAGTGCTTACGCGGGTCGGGGTTCTGGGCCAAGGCGCTTTGATATCTTTCTTGCTAGGCAGATGGCCGAGCGAGAGAGTTACTCGTGAAGGCGCTGCAGAGGACGAGGGGTTCGCGGTGGCCATGATGAATGATGAGCACTATGAAAGCAAACAGACTGTGAAAGGCGACAAAGTCAATGACTGATGGTAGAGGGGATCCAGCAGAACGATGCTTACTATATACTGAAAGACTGTCGATGCAGCTGGATGATGGTGATGTATTGCTGTGGAGACGACAAGCGGCGTCGTGCAGACGATGAAACGGGATGGTGGTGGTATGGAAGAGAAAGGCGAGATGGTGTGTTGTTTTGCTTTATAGCCGTTGTCCGCCTTCCGAGTTGGACGAAACTGTCAACTTTCTGGGCGCGTTTGAATCTTTCCGGGTTCACCCCTGACGTCATCGACTCCCACGCGGCGGCGCTCCAAAGAAACCTTGAGCCCATTTAAATTTGAACCTTCCATCCGTATAAGAGTTCTACGTAGTGATAGTTGAGTGGTTCTTTTCCTTTTGGTGCCAATATAGTACAGATATTAAACAGATATTAAGGAGAAGATATCATCGGAAGCCCTTCTCCTCCTACTTATGGTAGTAGCGGTGTCATCTTTGTTGACGTATCCTCAACAATCCATCAAACGTTCCTCATTTTCTCCCGATTCTGGCGTCGTATAATGGATAAATTCCAATTCGCATACTTAGTTCCTGTTCCGTCCCGCTGGCCTTATCGATGCTTCTTCATTCGAACACCATTTTGACGTGGCAGGGCCAGCCAGGCTTTATTCGTTTCCTACCTGAAGCTTCGTTGTGAATCAGCATCGCCACTCCTCACAGGTCTATATATTGTCGCTGATCAAACGTTTGCAAGGCAAGGTACTGGCCGAGGTTTGATTGTCTTGTAACGAACCTGGCTACGGCGCGATTCGGCTTTCTTTCTGTACGTACTTGACAGAAGAACTATCGATTAGTCATATCTATCTTCGACTCTTCGACTCTGATTATCTTGGCAGTTCTCCATCTCAAGGCCTCTCGTTGTAACATCGACTACGACCATCCTTAATAGCATGCGCTTCGACCACGTATATAAATCTCAGTTATCTGATACGGAATACCCAGGGAGTGCACTAATTCGTGTCCTCCAGTCCATGAAACAAAGGTTCGTCCTTCGCTTCAGTTGTAAGAGAAATAATAGGATTTATGCCTGAAGGTTGGCTTAGTCTTTGACTCTGCTGCAAAGCCATATACGAAGGCTCCTCATTTAGTGCGCGCCTGCCTTTCTGATTTGAGAAACAGGAACAAAGACTCTCGAACTCTCCCAGAACATGGAAAAATAAAACCCGTGCACCATCACAAATCATGAACAGAACGTAGAGGGTAGGACTGCGCATTGTCACTATCAGTGCACTACTGTCGGTTTTCTATAACCTTGGATATTTGTCGGAAGTACTCCTCGTCACGGATTCGCTAGACTAGGAATCATGGGAAGAAATCGTGCTGTGGTTGAGGGGAACATGCGAGGTATCGGCTAGGGTATGATAGGGTATGATATCTGGAGTGTATTTACCGTAAGACCTGGGGTATATAGAATATCCATGTCGGCAAGTACTGACCTCTAACCATATGGCTCTACATGTGCTCTAACGTTACATGATTGCAACATAATGTCAATTTTGTGCAAAACCGTCGTGCGGCTGCCACTAATGGTACCGGGGAGTAGCGTGCCTTAAAGAAGGGCGAACCCGTGCAGATTAGATGGAATTAGGGCCGGTAGTACCTTTCACGCGAAGCTCACGTGCCCTTCTAATGGACCAACACCTACTAGCTCAGAGCTATTCCTTCGTCCTCAACTTGACGGGGTTAATCGGGAACCATTGGTAAAGTACCTGCCGTTTCATATCCTAACGTCCAGTTGCTTGGTTCTTCGTTTTACTACCGTTTCGTCATTGTAAGTGTGCGGTCTAATACCATTGGATTCAAAGTATTTAGCGCTCGTCGCGTCCAGTGGCTCGAATCAATGACGTCTGCGATGCCGTAGAATGGAAGCTGTGAGCGAACTTTCAATGAGAGTTTCTGACATAACAGTGAAATCTCTACGCATTATTCGTGGTACAGCGGTAAATAATGAGTTATTCAGTACGGACCCCTACCTACTGATTTGTTTGATTTAGCAGCTAGCGAATAGACTCAGTTGTCGACATCATTGCTCTGTATAACGCGTGCAACAGAAGTATGTCTGGCCCCCAAGCAGACCAATGCTTCACCTGAATCATCAAGGGTATGAAACCGACTGCCATGCTGGTACGCGTGCATACATGGATCCTAGACCTCTCGGTTTTGCAGACATTTCATGGTCTTGTTCTATTCTTGCTATCGCTATCTCTCTCTGGCTGCCGTCCTCATATCACGGTACTCAAGAAGCTGATGCTACTCGTGAACTTCTGCTTGCAGTGACGCGCATCATTATGGCGTTGAAATAGATTGCGTGCTAAAAATACTGTGACCTCTCATATCTGATGATTCTCATGCATAGAAAAGTACCGGTGCATAGAAATGGCACTTACTCATAAAAGAAACAAAACAGATGGTGCAACCGTACCTTGTGTTCAGATCGTATGGTGCATCTCTTCTTCCGACAGTCGCTTATCGGTCTTCTGAGTATAAAGTTAATGGTATTACAGCTAGAATCCCACCCTTGAAGTCACCTATCCTCTTGGGTTCTCTCCTCACTTGAAGATGCTCTCTGCCTTCTTCGTGCTCTCCTCGCTCATCGTCGCCGGGCTTTCAAGCCCTGTCGTCATTCCCCGAAGCCCGGTAACCCTTCCCATTGTGAGGAAATTCAACTTCAATGGGACGAGCACCATCGTAGAACGAGATCGGGCACGAGTGGCTGCACTCCGATCCCGCGCAGATGGGGCAAGGAATGTGACGAGACGTGCTGTCGTTAATGAGGACGTAGATAACGTTGCCGTTGTCTACTCAGCTTCTGTTGGTGTTGGTAGCCCTGCCACATCCTGTGCGCATTTCCCCCTCCGCCGCTAACTCCTTCGCATACTAACCGTACATATACTAGACGACTTGCTCATTGACACCGGCAGCTCAAATACTTGGGTTGGTGCAGGGACTAGCTACGTACAGACATCCACCAGTACCCAGACCTCCAATCGAGTCGTAAGTGGTCTCATATTCATCTTCTTCAACCTTCTGATGGTATCTACGCAGTCTGTTACCTATGGTTCCGGATCATTCTCTGGTGATTGATAACTACTAAGTACACACTTGTTATCTCTGCTAATCATATGTTTTCTCCAGGGAGGGAATACATCGACCGAGTTACTATCACCTCAGACTTGATCATCGAATCGCAGTCAATCGGTGTGGCTTCCACTTCTTCCGGGTAAGAGTCTTGAATCTTGGCGCCCACAAGCACCTACTGATCTTATTATAGCTTTTCTGGCTTTGACGGTATTCTTGGGTAAGTCACGGATCGGTCATTGCAATGCCGATCTTCCTGAATGATTTGCAAATGATAGAATCGGACCCGTGGCGCTCACTGAGGGTAAGTTATTGTTCTACCACGTTGTTCATGTGCTCTGGTCTAAGTTTGTTCTAGGCACGTTGTCTCCGGCTACCACTACACTCATATCCACTGTCACCGATAATCTCTACAGTCAGGGCTCAATCACAAATGATGAAATTGGCGTGTACTTTGCGCCTACGACACAAGAGGAGGTCGTCAACGGAGAACTTTCCTGGGGTCTGTATCTAAAATTTTGCTGTAGCACATAGTTTCTGTCGCATACTGATTTCGATTCTATTCTAGGTGGCTCGGATAGTTCCAAAATTACCGGCAGTATTGGCTATGCGTACGTATTTTTATCTCGGTGGGATATTTGGCTTCATGTTGAGGGCCGTTCATACAACAGACCAGTTACATCTACCTACCCCGCAAGCGTATACTGGGGTATTGACGAGTCCATTACGTATGGAACCTCGACATCAATCTTGACTTCCACTGCTGGTATTGTCGATACCGGTAAGAATCTTCAAATCGGCCTTCCTGTTACGTTCTAACTGAGTTGAACGTAGGAACTACCCTCGTCTACATCGCTTCTGATGCATTCGCACGGTACAGGACGGCCACTGGGGCAACCCTGGACAGTACCACAGGTCTTCTTCGTATCACCACCGCTCAGTACGCCAGCCTTTCCAGTCTCTTCTTCCATATCAACGGTGTAAGTTTTGTACCGATTTTTGGTCAGCCGTGGCTAATTTTGCCCTCAGGTATCGTACGAGCTCACACCCAATGCTCAAATCTGGCCTCGTTCGCTGAACACGGCTATCGGTGGCAGTTCCAGTGCCGTCTATCTGATCGTCAACGACATTGGCACGAATACCGGAGAAGGTCTCGATTTCATCAACGGATACACTTTCTTGGAGCGTTACTACACGATTTTTGACACAGCAAACTCGAGGGTCGGGTTTGCAGCGACGTCACAGACCGATGCTACTACGAATTAGGGAGACACGAGTGCATATTCTAAGGCAGCCTCTATCTAAATCCAATGAATATTTAAATATTGTCGTGATTATGCGGTCTTACAAATAGGGAATGTCACATCTGATTTCGCGAGCTGACTGCGATGCTTTGCTTGACCAGAGTTAATATCCAAGAGTCGCTGTCTTGTGCAGTGTACACCGCTCATATGGTGATATACTGATGGAGGTTTCAGTAACACCATGGCGATCGTCAATGCGATGTTACCAACCAAGTCCCGATTTGCACTTAGTTATCCACTACTCAACCATCGTGTGCCTTCGGTTTTTTGATTTACTCTGAAATACTATACAGCTATCATCCATGTACCTGGATGGAATTATGCGTAATAAAGAGATCATAAAGAAAGTAGATTATACAGACCAGTTCTTGGCACCAAGAAAACCATACCCGCAGCTAATAGATACAGGAGCAATGACAGAAGGAAATTAGCGATGCACCCGACAAGTATGAAAGCCATATCAAAAGAAGGGAATGTCTGTTATCCCCAGTCCTCTTCCAGTTCTTTGGCTAGGAAATCGTCATCGACCTCGACCTCTTCTTCCTCTTCATCGTCATCCTCTTCGTCTTCTTCCGCTTCTGTCAAGTTCGTAGCGCTTACCGTCTCCTTTAATGAGGATCCCTCGAGCTTCCTTTTTTTCGACTCCGGACTGCCTCCGTCACCAGATGTCGATGGTGTCGCACTTCTCGACCTTGTTCGTTTCCTTGGTGTATTTGGTGCGCTACGATCCCTTGTCATCCCCCTGCGAAAGCCAAGCAACAATAAGGCACACATACCTCTCGTCATCTGGGTCCCAGACCCTATATCCCTCTCTCTGTGTATCTTCATCCTCGTCATCATCGCTCTCATTCATGGCAGCGTCAACCTCGTCATTGATATCATTCCAATCAATCTCACCAATCTCCAGCTCAGTTCCCACCTCATGGTGGTGTTTATCCTTATCCCGCACGACGACGCCATGCGTGAGGACACTTTCTCTATCCACCCCAGGATCCATCAGGTACGGAGTTTCGTCCACCCGCTGCCAAAGCGTTATACAATCAGTGAGCCATTGGGCCCAGACGACTTTGACTCCCGGTCGTTTTGAGCCGTGATTCACTTTGTCCGTGCCAGGCTATGGGATTGTTCAGTGTCATGGGGACAAGGAAGAGAAAAGGATGACCTTGGCCGCGACGACATGGGTGACACCTTCGACAAGCTCCGCAGAGCACTTTGCGCCAAACGTGCGCGCCATTTTCCACACTTCAGACGATTCGGGTTTCGTATCCATCGGGAAGAGACTAGAGAATACAATATGCACTCCTTGAAGAACTTTACACCGTATGCTGGGTATAATTTTCTGTCGAAGGGAAGGGTTTAGTGCAAGCCGATGTATGTCTCACTCTCCCTACCGTTACATCCCGTTCATCCTCCTCGCGTTTTTGTTTGCTCAACAAAGCGTCATGGGCATCAAAGAAACGTTGGTGGACTTCGTCAAGTAGCTTATACCTCGTCAGACGTTTGAATTATCTCTTCGTGCGGAAACCTTACTTTTAGAACACGCTCCAATTCGTTGTCTTGACTTTTCAACAAAGCTTTTTTGTGGTGACTGGTCTGTTTGTGATCGTGTGTTGGACTGACCTCCTTTTCTTTGGCTGTGTCGTCACTGTCTGCGAGTTGCTCTTGCATCTTTGCTAGTGGCCTTCCTTCTACCTGAGCTTCAAGTGCGATCGAATTCTGTGTTATCAGCGCTTGGGTGGACGAGGACGCGAGGGCAGAACTTGGTACTTTGGGAAGGAATGCAGAGTTGATGTCTCCAATACCCACGAAAAAGTCGTCTGGGGAAAAACCATGAGATAAGTGGTACAGGGTGGGAAGACGGGTACAACATACAGGGAACAACTTTGATAAGGTTGGGACTCCATTCCCATACATCCCCTCGATCATCAATGATCACTACCATGGATGTGTCACAAGGGAACAGTCGTTGTAGACTTTTCTGTGTTAGGCCTACTCCCATGTAAATAAGAAATATGATAGTAATTGGCTTGGGACGCACTCCCGCTCTCATCTCGACTGAGCAGCCTTCCACCGAAAAGGTTGCCGTCCGGGTCAATAGCTGCACACACTTGTTCAGCGTAAGCACGCGTGCCCATAGTGTATACGTGCATCTCGTATTTGGCCGCGACTTGTTGCAGGAAGTTTTCCCACCCAGGTCTACATGCGAAAGTGAGCGAAAGAAAAAGAGGCAAATGAGAAACGAACCGAGGCTTAATGTAGTACATGCATCCGTCCTGTTCAATGGACTTGCCCTTGCCCTTGACTTCATACGGTGCCCCGAATGATTCAGGCCCCAGTTTGAACTTCTTGACGTCCTTGAGGGCCTCCCAGTTGGGATTACACTCCTCATCGTCGGTATCAGAAGATTCCTCGTCCGGCTGTACACCGTTCCCATTCTTCTGTTGATGTTTCTCCTCCCAAGCCTCACCTTCTGCTATCCACTCCCCAACAGTGGGGTCCACAGTCGCATGTACGATTGTCTGGTCGAGATCCACGATAAGCGACAGCTTGCGCGCTTTGATCAAGCGGTCTGCTGTCTCGCGTTCGATGCGCTGAGCCTCCTCGAAGGACACAGTAGGGCCATTAGCAGAATGTGTCATTTGAATAGAAGCGCGTGAAGTGTCCGAGAATCCGATATAATCAGAACTAGCATGGGATCTCAGGACCGCCTGTGCCTACTATTGATGGAACATGGGACTCACTTGGTCATGTCCTTGCCGCACAAAACACACAGTCCACCAAGCTGCATCCCGTGTTTGCATGGTTCCTGTATTACCACAACAGGCTTATCTCTCGCCCTTGCTGCAGTAATGACATCTCCAGCCTTGATATTCCATGATTGAATGTCCCCATCGATAGCACAGTCCCAGGTCCCAAACCGAGTCTCTGGGTGGCCACCTTGAGGGGTGGACAGGAAGGAATAGCTCAGCAGACGGACTCCACGCTGAACGGTGCTCGCTGTGGGCGCGTCAATAGAGGATATCTTGATTGGGTATGGAAATGAAGGCGGGAGAAAGATTTCAGTGGGTGTTTCTTCCGTCATGGTGGTGGCGGATTCGGAGTGCAAAGGCCCGCTTTGCCGGATCATGAAGTTTCTTGCCAGCTTCCTGGCTTTCTTCTCAACATACTGCGTTCGTCTACTACGATTCATAAGTTATCACCTATTGGTTGTAAGAGCAATAATCGGGGTTTCTGAGAACCATTTATCCAGCTTTTCATCATCAGAATCGACCCCAACTATATATCCCACGCCTTCTTTTACAACAATTTTTGTCTTTTCATTACTACCCCAGGGAATCCTGGGAGTCCAAGCCACAAGATGCGCTCCCATATGCGTAATGACATACCGAGCCAATGGTATGTCCTTAGACGGAGAGTACGCTTTCAGAAACGAGTGGGTCATGTCGTAAGTCGCAAGCGCACACGTCGGGTAGAAATGCCCTAACAAACGTAACTCTGCGCAGAACTGGCCCAAGTCGTGTCCAGGCAGGCCTGTCTTTGCGAGCTCCCGGTCGATGACTGATATACTTTTTATGTTGGAGTCTTCATCCAGGCTCACCAGGACGTTTCCAGGCCAAAAGTCCCCCATGACGAACTGCGCAGTGATAAGTACAAGGCCTTGCATAGCAAATTTGGACTCACTGAACTCTCGGCAGACATAATTTCGCTCTGCATTTTTGATGCTACATCCTTTACCACCTCCAAGTCCTTTGCTTCGATATCAAGGGGAGGATCTGACAAAGCAGGTAACCGATCCTGCCCACTGAGCGTCGACACTAGCCGCCCATACGTGACGTACGCCGATATCTGTTTGGCCTGAACGTTCGTTTTGAACAGGTCCAGGATACGCTTGTCCGCATTCCCGTTTGTATGAACCAGCTTGATGAAATGACCTAATGCCTCCCCGATCATCTTTGCCGCGGCGGGAGAATAGTTCCCATCGGTGAACAATTTCTTTAGCGTAACGGTCCCCAGGCCACAATCATCCATGACAATCACGTTCGCCTCGTCGTCAAAGAAGTGGACACGCGGGACAGTCACGGGCGAATCTTCGGGAAGCCAGCTGGTGATCCATCCCATTGCTCTCACTTCGAACGTCTGCGTGCGCATTTAGGGTTTGACTCTCACATTGAAATTTGCACTCGCCTGGCGATCCAAACCAAAGGGTAACCTTCCTTCACCCGAGCCAACATAAGGCTTGCCATGCTTAAGAATTACGGTTGACTGTCCTTTATACACCTGTGCCAAGTGTAATCGGAAGGTAGAGTTGCCATATCCGCCCGGTAATGATTCGATATGCACCGCATCGAAAGGAGTACCAGACAGGTAGGTTTGTATATCAGGGATTTTTGAGAGATCCGAGCCCTGGGGGGGCATGGCTAAGCGCTCGAGTAGTGGGTAGTTGGCTAGAACAAAACAACTAAAGTATATAACATTGACACTTTCGGTACCGGTGACCATGAAGGAGTCATATTTGCTGGCCATACACTTGGCAACACTCGACCTGCATGTATATTCAAGTGTCGATGATTCAAATGACAATTGTGATTGTTCGAAATCAGATGGAACAGTCTACTCAATGTAAACGCACTCTAGCTTATCATTCAATGAATGCCCTGCTCACGTTAATTTGTTGACGGAACAGATATCAGTGCGATTGATTGTTTCATGTCACAGTACAAAGAAATTCAACTACTGGCAGCTCGATACTCCACGGTGTACAAATGGGAAAAAGATGAAAAGTACAAGTTGGACATTTACAGCTTGTCGTAGTAAGTATCGAGGGGAGGAATCTCCATCTGTAAACGGTAATCAGTGAAGGAAAGAATAGCCACAGACTCAGACAACCAACCTTGAGACCCTTGCGTGTTCGGATTTGGTGAACGATTTTCTCGATGTTGGAGCCCTTGTCAAGGGGAGCTAAAAAGATGTTTAACAGCTGCAAAAAAAGCGACCAATCCGAAATACTCACATCCGCTCATGATTTCCCAGTGATCGAACACACACTGGGGGAAGGCCTGTCCAGCCGTATGCGAGCGAAGCTCACCATTGAAGCCGAAGGACTCGGAGACAGGGAGATAAGCCTTGACGGTGAACATGGGTGTTCCTGGCCTCTGCTCTTCACTGAAGACCTGGCCACGCCTCTTGTTCAAGCAACTGTAGATACCACCGATGGCGTTCTCGGGACACTGGATCTCCACTAAAGTGACAAACGTTAGAATTGAATTATGTAAGATTAAAACAACGTACCAAGGTAGACAGGCTCTTGGAGACCAGGAGTTGCGAGCAAGCAAGCAGCATAACAGGCACGACGACACGTAGGGATGATCTGTCCTCCACCACGGTGAATAGCATCGGCATGGAGCTGTAAAAGAGGATTATGAGCACTATTCCCAACGTTTGTAGTGACTATCAGCTTACCGTCACATCAAGAATGTTGAAACGAACACCACGCATGTTCTCTTCGGCGCAAACACCTTCCTTGGTCGCCCACTGGAAGGCAGCAACACAAGAATCCTTGATTTCGTTGAGGTACTGCACACCCTTGGTGACATCGACCATCAAGTTGGGTCCAGTGGTATCAGGACCGAAACACCAAATCTTCCTGGCATCGGTGACATCCCAGCCGTACTCGTCAGCGAGGACACGGGCGCGAGCCTTGAAATCATCACGAGAGCTGACTTTACCCTCCTCGATAGCTTTCGTAAGCTCCTCGTCGATGGGCATAGCCTTGACATATAAACGGTTGTGCTTATTCTGGGACTTGGACAAAGCAACGATGGTGGACTCGGCCTTCACGGTCTCACGATAAGGCACAACAGGGTCGGAGATCTTGAGAGGAACACCGGCGTGGTCTTCTTGGAGATCCTACACTCTAAATGAGCACCACATCATTTTTTAGGACAACAGTACATACCTTGAGACAGATTTCCAAGTGCAACTCACCAGCACCAGCAACGATGTGCTCGCCAGTCTCAGAAATCCAAGCCTGGACACAAGGGTCGGATTTAGAGAGACGCTTAAGACCTTCGACAAGCTTGGGAAGGTCAGCAGCGTTCTTGACCTCAACAGCAACCTGGACGACAGGGGAGACGGAGAACCTCATGACCTTCATGTTGTGCGCAGTTTCTGACGTCGTCAGGGTACCGCTCTTCAACAAAAACTGATCGATACCAACGAGACCGACAATGTTTCCAGCTGGGCAATCCTCAATAGGCTCAATGTAACGACCCATCATCAAAATTGTACGCTGGATGGACTTGATGAACAAGTCGTCCTTCTTTCCGGGGAGATAGTTGGGTCCCTGGATACGGATTTTGGGTCCTGAGCGGACAGTTCCAGAGAAGACACGACCAAAGGCGTAGAATCGGCCCTTATCGGAGGTGGGCACCATCTTGGAGACGTAGAGGACGAGAGGACCCTTGGGGTCACAGTCGCGGATACCGATGGCGGACTCGTCATCCATAGGACCTTCGTAGAGGGTCTCCACACGGTAGCGCTGCGCGGTAGCGGGCGAAGGAAGGTTGATGACTATCATCTCCAAGAGAGAATCACCAGCGGGAAGGAATTTTCGCATGACGACCTTAAGGAGAGCTTTACCCTCAAGATCACGCTCATCCTGAGCAAGCTTGATATCGAGCTTCTCCAACATGGGACCAATAGCGTCCTTCTTGAAGTTCATCACGGAATCGAAGATCTTGAAGATGGGATCGAGAACGAACATGTTGAAAGCACGTTCGAGGGGCTTTCCATCAGCACCAGTAGGTTTGGTGGTCCATTTGCGCGTAGCAGGGTTGAAGAAGTTATCACCCCACAGCTTGGCCATCATCTTTTCCTTGTCCACACCGAACTTCTTGGCGTATCGGGCAGCGAATTGTCGGAGGGTGAAACCCCATCCGTGGAGTCCAGAACCGAAGGCGACGGTACCCTTGTCGGGGTAGACCTGGACGTCACCGAGGGCTTCGTCATGGTACGTGGAGATGATAACGTTCACACTCTCAACGGTACGCGAGAAGGACTGGAAGAGGGATTCCTTGTCAACTTGCAGTTCGAGCAGGGCACGATCAACTTTGTTGATAACAACGACGGGTTTGATACGCTCCGTTAGGGCCTGTCGCAGAACTGTCTCAGTCTGGACACAGACACCTTCAATGCAATCGACGACGACGAGAGCACCGTCGGTGACACGGAGGGCTGCCGTGACCTCGGATGAGAAATCGACGTGCCCGGGGGAGTCAATCAAGTTGATCAAGAACTCGTTGCCTGTACACACATTCGCATCAAAACTTCACGAAAATTAGCCACATCAACGCACCCTCAGTCTTTTGCTTGATGGAAGGCAATTCCTCCTTGTCCACCTCGAAATACATGGAGATGGCCGTGGATTTGATAGTGATACCACGTTCTTTTTCATCGTCTCTCGTATCCGTAAACCGCATGTCGCCGGCCTTGGACGACGCAATGATACCCGCTTTCGATACCAGAGAGTCCGTGAGGGTGGACTTTCCGTGATCGACTACCGAAACACTGAGTGTCAGCCTAGCTCTGAGGGAGTCGCTACTGATAGGACTCACCATGAGCGATGACACTCATGTTACGGATATTTGTCGGCCGGTCCATGAGGCCACGGATTTGATCTGGGTGAGAGGAAAATGAAGGTCATGAAGGAGCAAAGGAGAACAGAACGAGAGCACTAGCCTACTGTGAAGTTACTGCCATGAAGAAAATTTAATGAGCGCCAATAATGCGAGCGAAATGGACCACATACACCATGGCGTCTAAATTTTACAATTGTCAGATGAGAATATGAGTACAGAACAACCTCTGAAGGAAGGATGTCGTCAAAAGTCGTACAAGCCTGTGATGCGACTGTGAGAGCTGTTGGGAGGGTTGTTCTTCACTTCCGTTACCAAGCCTGTCTTATCGATCAGCTTTAGGGCAGGCCGATAACGTATCACGTGATGAACGGTGCCGTTCCAGAGTCAAAACAAATCCGCATGCGGAAGCGCGATGTATTCATTGGTTTCTACTCAATACTAGTACAAGACGCGACAAATCATTCGTAGTCATATCCAAGTCAGTTTCGGGAGCAAGAAAGGTACTACTCAATTAGAAAGAGTGCTCAGTTGAGTCTTTCCCTGTCGACGAGGTACTGGAAGATCCGGATGAGACGGTCTGGAGAATGCGATCTATGTAATTGGCGCCACTCCTAACACAGGGTGAGGATTTGACCAAGACAGCAGTCATAAAACATTCTTACCACTTCTGGTGTGTGAGGACGTCGCAACCAATTTCCTTTTCTTTGCGCTGGATGAGTTCCACGTACGCCAACATACCATCATCCTTGTAACGGGCCGCGAGCTCAGCTATAGCATATTTAGATTAATCCGTGCAACCAACGGAAGGCCACATACCTGTTGTTACAGCACCACTGTGAAGACCAGCCAAGGAGATCAACTGAAGGACAAATCTACAGAGCAAGCATAAGCATTCGTTGAGCATAACAAAAATAGACCTCATACCCTTCCTTTGCGAGCTCCCAAACAAAGTTTTTGAGATCAGCATCTAAGTTAAAATTTGTCAGGGTGATACCCCTCATCAGAGGAAGGCATTACGAACCAGTGAAACCATGGGCAGACCAGTTAAAGCTTGGGCTCAAGTTGTAGACGAACCACCTGGAGCAAATTAACTTACGTGTAACATCACACTCCAGAGCCCAGACTCACTTTCCAGGATATTTTTCACGAATCTTCCGAGAGAAATACCGTGCCTGTTCGAGATCGGGCGTCTTTGTCTCCAGCCAGATCAGGTCCGCATACGGAGCAAAGGTCATCGATCGCTTTATAGCCGCCTGTCGTATAAATCGGTTAGCACAAAGAGCCCACCAACAACATGTTATGATATCGCACCTCGACACCGCCCGTGAAGTGGTAGTACCCTTCTCTTGTTCGTGGCACTATAGGGAAAAAAACTCAGAGATACTGAAGTAGGGATCATAAAATGCACGCACGATCAGCATCCCAGAAGACGGCCTTGCCTAGAATATCCTTGGCAATATCGCGTGCCTCATTGGTCGACTTGCCTTCCACCGCAATGAGGTACGACTGGTACGCAGATGCCTTGTCCTCGATAGCTGATTCGTTGATGGCCTTCTCGACCGCTAAAGCACGAAATCAAGTCAGCCGTGCTACCTCATCTCCAAAGCAAAAACCCACCTTCGTTGAAAGTACACATCACATGGTCCTTCGTCCACTGCTGCTCAAGACCGTCGATCTCAGCCCCAGATGCACCGGAAGCCTCAGCCTCAGCGAGAACCTGTGCCATAGACTTGCTATCCTCAGTAGTAGTACCCAAAAGATACTCATGGTCGGCAACATCAATGTTTGAGGATAACAGTTTCCCAGATTCAGAGTCAGTACGAGCAATAAGCAACATCGTAGACTTCATAAGGTCCAACTGGAACCGGGCTGAAATAAGGCGCGAGACGTGAGTTGACGTCGGTACGAGCACTTTTCCTCCCAGATGTCCACATTTTTACCACCGTGCAGTTGGTCTTCTAGATGAATACCCGATGCACCGGATTCAGTAAAGAGTTTAGTGAGCTTCATGACTGCAGATAGACCACCATGTCTGATTGACGAATTAATAAATGGAACCAATTGAGAGTTAAGAGAAGGGTACGCACCCGGTATCAGCGTCTGCGACAATGGGACGGAGGTAATCGATGTATTCCATCTTTGCCCTCGCTTCGGGCGTAGCTGTCATACGCTCGTCATAATGCTTTTTATCATGTAACTGTTGAGCACGGAAAATACGATGAACTTGATTCGGAACCGTAGTATACGGATAGTCGCTACGTACAATCAGCACCACGCCCCATTAAACAAAGAGACCAAACGCACCCAAGGTCCGGTCCCACTTCATTATTCCCCTGTCGTCAAGACACTCGACGCCGCCCAACCAGACACATACACAATCTCCTGATACCTCGCCATCTGGGTCATCTGCACAGGGTCGATAGCCCCCATAGTATGCACCGGTTTCTTGGCATCCGCAGCCCGCTTCAAAACAGCAAAGAGCTTGTCAGCCAACAACGACGACGGGAGGGGCACCACAGGCAACGACCCCTGCTTCGACGCAACAGACGCAGCCGTATACGGCCGCTTGATATCAGCAAACCGGGGCTGGGCGAAGAACTCCTCCATCTCGGATACCCGCTGGTCGAACAGGGCGGATTCCTGGTCGAGAGACTGGAGGGTCGAGGGATAACGGGGTGATAGTAAGACATAGGCGCGCGCGACGCGACCTACGGGTAGGTAGCGGGGTAAGGTGCGAGAACAGAGCATTCGTGTTCACTGTTCAAAGGTGAAATACATGGCCTCCCTATGAGCACGAGACGAACATGCCTTTATAATCGGTTTAGGGCCAAGGTGGATCCGATATAGGTGTCCCGGTTCATAGACAATCCGGGGAGGAGGTCCAAAACAGACAACCATGACAGAAGCGGGGTAATTTGGGGACAATTTCATTTCCGGCTAGCAACTCCCAGAATGTATGCCGGATACCGGATGGCTTGCGGTCGCGTTCAAGTTTGATCTTTCATCTCAACACGTCGCGAAAAGCGTGTTCATGCTTGCATTCTTGTGTCAGTGGGCTCGCTACGATTGAAGGTGAAGGTTAGGACAATGTATGGCTCGGTTCAACTGGTCCGAAAGATGCAGTTTCAGACGAAACGCGACGACAACTTGGCAGCAGGAATCAAACGATCCTGAGCTTACCTCTCATCTTTCGCGCACAGCGTCCTACAACCATCTTATGAGCATGTCCAAATCTCTGAGCTTCGACTGGGCCTCACACTCTTCTCCGTTTCACGAACTCAGGCTTTCTTAGCGATCCCCCAACCGAACAAGATCTCTGAGAAATCCCAGATATTTCTGTCAAGTGGATATACTACATCTTCAAATTACGCGGTACAATTTTTGTACTTAATCAAACCCTACATACTTACAAGGCAAAAAAGTTTCCCCCTCGGCAGCTTAGCTTTCGCTACCGTTCTGAAGTGAACGTGCCTGCCAGCTGGATCCTACATGTTATCGTTCCACGTATCCACAAGAAAGCATCGTGTAGATGTGTCTCCGCGGTGGTTGCTTCTCACTAGTAAATGTTACACTTCTCCGTAGCGAGTCGGTGAAGCCCTAGGACGTTTCATCGACAAGTGGATGCGACTACCTTAGACCTTGTCATCCAGGCAAAGCGAATGCTTGCGTTCTCTATCTATGGTCGGCTCATCAAGAACAATTATTCACTCTTTGTGGCCCCTGGCTGAATATAAAGGTGAATGGTAACGTAACTTCAAAGGCTCATGATGCATTCCGTTTCGTAAGTTTCACCCTGCCTTTTATCAAACTTCCTGTGAAAGTCATACCAGCGACTTCTCATCTAAGGAGACGTTTTATGGCCTGGAGAATGACTTGGACGGGATCTGGGTTGCTGGCCCACACGGGATGAAGGTTCCGATTGTCAACAAGGAAAAGACTCGCGAAGAGGCAATGGAAATGTTGGTCGGTGCTCTGAACAGAGGCTGGCGCAAAGGCTCCCCCCCGTAGAGCGTGAACAGTAGTTCATCATGATACAACCTACTTTCCGAAGTCGATTGTACCTATGTACTTGATTTCAAAGCACCTCAACGATTGCCCTGCTGTATGTACGTTTCCTTGCCTTTCTCGTGACCTCGGAATGAGGAATAAATAACCACATGCATCATATACATACGCGAAATCACCACCCTCGACGCGTCTCAACTGCTGAGGCAGATACAGCAGCAGTGACACACCCCAGGCTAGGACTAAACCCCAAGTCATTCCCTTCCCGTACGCGAGATTTAGGCTTATCTGTCCTAGCACATAGGGTACGTCTTCCTACAAAGCCCGAGCCACCAAACCAGAGAGTATCAAGCAGATAAGACGCGTGCCGTCATGACAATTCACTTCGCGATAGGGCAAGTTCTCTCGCGTTCACAGATGGAGAATCGCAACACCCAGGCAAAGCAAGCGTTCACGCTCAACCCACGCAGGTGACCACCACAAGCAAGGTCGTAACGAACCTAGACTCGCCATCCCACCCCCTGCACAGATGGACTTCCGCGCCTGAACAATTGTCCTACTCTCCTCACTCAAATACAGGCACACAACATTCTCGTCGAGTTCAGCACGCGAAGCTAAACAGTTATCTCCTCCGGTGTACGACAACGTCGATCCGGTCCCTTCATTACAGCACAACGGTCCCATGAGCGCGTGTTCATTAAGCTTAATCGGATGGAGGAGACGCAAGGAGGCTGCATAAGGAAAGCGTAAACTTGCGTTTTGCGATCATTCCGGAGCAGGTGGTGGTGGTTACGACCTCTTTGTTTCTTAGGACTCGTAATTTCGGGAATGCAGATCTTGAATATTGAATCTGGGCGCCTGGGTGAAATGTCGAGTATTGAATCGCCGGTCTCCCGGGGGAAGCAAGAGACCGGTGGAAATTAGGAAGACGGTGGAGGTTATTAAGTATTTCGGCTTCGGTCCATTGGTATCAATCTCGTATAATTGGGCATTACGGAATGGATGGACTCGAGTATCCCGCGAAAGGGACTGGAGTAGGAGTTTAGAGTTGAATATGGAGCGGCCGGTCCGGCACACCTAGCTCGCGGATAGAAATGTAGCTCTCGCGCGAGAAGATGGACGGACTCAATCCCAGGTGGAAAATAGATCCAGGCACGTCCTTGGGTATATATTTGAAAGTCAAGTGGCCAAAGGACATCTGGCAAGCTCGGAGTGGATCCGGTGGAAGGAAGTAAGGGCAAAGAGAAAGATGCCAGGCTGTGGAAAGATGGAAGCTCCGGCAGTAGTGAAGAGCGAATGGAAGGCCGGCAATTATGCAGAGCGAGACCATCAACAGTGGACATTCTCGTCGAGCTCAGTCGTATGAGACTACGCCACCCAGTGCTATCGTGAAGTGGCGGACCGGCAAGCCGCGATGGATCCGAGCTTGTTGAACAAGCACCACATGAATTCGAGGCTAGTGAATGGTCGCATGAACAATAAGTGTGCGGACAATGTCTGGAGATCTACCCCTAACTGTCTTAAACGAAGAGGACAGAATTCACATGCTAGTTTGTGGGTCCTTGTATGATTGTGGGGAATTCACATGATAAAGTACACTCCTCGAGTAAAAGACAGAACAGGGTATCACAAAAAAAACAATTAACCGATAAAAAATGTAATATTCACGCCTGCACTCCAGCTGCAGCTTCCACTCTAGCGACCTCCTCCTTTAGTGCATCCCGACCCTCTTCAAGCCATTGCACATACTCGACAGCACGGAAGAGGACACCGCTCTTGCCTTTGCCCTTTGCACCTCCACGTGCGCCGCTCCCCTTGGGTCTACCCCGGGACGGCATGGGTATCGTAGGCTCTGAGCCCTCTGGTGCGAGGAGGGTGATGAGCTGGGCGTACCCATCCCGTATGGCATTACGGCGCTTCTGCTCTGACATGATATGGTTTAGGCGTTTCTGGGGTGTGCTGAGGAGTGGTTTGGCACGGGGTACTGGTTGTGGAGGTACTGAAGGGGGCGCTGATTTAGGCGTTGGGGGTACAGGTGAGGAAGGGTGCATAGGATGTGTAGGGACTATAGGCGTGTATGGCGGCATCATATTATCGAGAAAGGAAGTGTCGAATTGGGTAGATGTGTCCCAAGCAGTAAAATTGTCGAGGAAGCCGAGGAGGTCTGTAGTCTCGGCGGGACTGAATAGATCTGCAGAGGGCGGGAGAGGCGGGGGAGTCGGGAGGAGATGTGCATGGTCAAACGTAAACTCAAACTCGTCCATGACATTGACTGGGGAGAGTAGTGGTGGTGGTCGAGGTTTATATATGACCGGCTCCGGGTTATTCTGTGCCGTGATGCTGACATAAGCCGAGCCCGTGGTTTGATGGGGACCCTGTTCTCTTTTCCTTCCGCCCGTCCGCGACCCCCCCGTCGACCGTCCGCACGACCCGATATGTCAGCCATCCCGACCGACGAAATCGACGCTTCCCTGGATATCCAGCAGCAGCAGAACATACAGCAAGTCCAGCCCCAGCAACAATCCGGTTCAGCTTCTGACACCCCCAGAAAACGTGTGTTATCTTACCGACGCAGCATCTCATCTAACTCTTTTCCCCCGTAGCCAAGGCCCCGTCTGTTCGACGGGCTTGTGTTGCCTGCCATACTGGAAAGACCAGATGTAGCGAAGTATTGCCTTGCCAGGTAGCTGCTTATCATATATCTTAAACTGTCTACTGACGACTTGCAGTCTTGCTTGAAGCGCGGTCTTGGGGCAACATGCGCGTACCCTGATCCCGACGCCCAAGACCACAGCCACCCTCCCCGTATGTTCACCCCTATCCCATCCCCGCTGCTCGCCGCTCACACCTCTCCAGCGGCGGCCACCCCCGCCTTCAACGCCCCGCCCCCCATCTACGCCCCCACCCCAAACCTCAACCACACCCAGTACTACGACTACAACGGCGCCTTTACCGGCGCTTCTTCCTCCACTTTCCGTCCATCAAAGCGCCCTCGCAACCTCACAGAGGAAGAAGCTGCCGCCATCACCCGCAATTTTAGCAGAGGCGATTTTTACGTTGGAAGCAGTGCTCCGGTTAGGATTGATCCTCGTTTGCCTGTTAGGCTCACTTTGGGTGAGGGGGACCATGTGCATTTTACTGTTGGCGAGGCTTTGGTGTAATTGTATGAATATTCTGTATATTTTTGAGTACCGTTTATGTTACGCTTTTCCTGTCTCCGAAACATTGTTCGTAGTACTCTCACCGGCTGCTTATCCGCTCGGCGTATAAACTGAGACGGTCACTCAACTTCAAGTTTATATTCACACACCAGGGACGCCATTCCAGGTCTGATGGTTTCCATCCCAGCTCTGATTTCCAACTCTAACACACGAACTTTCAGTACTACAATTCAATTGTGAGCTCGCGCCTCGGTTTCACCTCCATACGCCTCGTATCGTTTACCCACGCGCCATTTCTCGGCGTATAGATTCCACCCAATGCAGTCACTGCGTTGTTAGGTTTGAGAACAGCACAATCTCGACTTTTCGTCTTCCTGTTCATTCATTACGCACCAGGAACAGTTCTCAATTGAGAGGCCTCGACTCCCACACGTTAGTTTCAAGTCCATGCGATTCTCAATTCATCGCTCTTCCGACACCTTTCGAGTTTCGTCCCCCGGCACTCGGGACCCAGGCCGTTGACCGATTGTGGCGCAGCAGGCATCCCTCCGGTCGGCAATAAAATGCAAAGATTTTAATGTTTATATTTCAAATGGCCGAGTCCCGGTAGCGGAGGCGTTTTCTCCTTCAACTTTGCCGGGATCGTTTAGGGGAGGTAATCTTTGGTATTTTCGGTTACCCGGGGTAGGTTAGTTGACGTTTGATGGAGGCGGGCCGGTGTTCCATGAAAGATTGGGGAGGGGGACGAGATAGTGGGGGACAAAGTCCTAACGGGGAGGCTGTCTAAAGTGTGGAAACTTGCGCGTACTTTTGGTGCACGGAGCTTGTCGAAGGGGCCGTTCGTGTTTAGTTTAGAGGGATCACCATTCTCTCTTCATTGACTGATTCGTAGCAAAAAGTTTTTTTAATATTTTATTTCAAATGGCCGAGTCCCCGTAGCACCTCAACGTCAACTTTTGCCGAGCACCGTTTAGGGGAGGTATTCGGTTTACTTCTGGGAACGAGCCTGAGCGACGGACACGGACACTTGTACGGTTCTTGCTGGTTACTTGACTTTTTGATGGGGGAAAGGGCCGGTGCTCCCGCAGTCAACAATTTCAATGTCATTGGTGTGTACTTTTTGGCGTATTGAGAGGTGGTCGAATGGGGTCACCGTTCTCTCTTCCTCGACGATTGGTTCGTAGTAGCACGTGTCAGCGTAAACTCAATCCTCTGTGTAGTGGCGCTCCAAGAAAGTATACTTAGTGATAAGATCTAGTCCTCCCTCGGAACTCGACGCGGTGGAGAGCCGGAGACAAGGTGCCTATGTGACTTGAATGAATAAGAACTTACCCTCAGTGAGCTCAACGGGTCCGATTCTATCATCTAGAAAGATAGGCAGGTAATGATCGCCCAGAATACCGTCAAAGGATTAGGTGATCGTGGGTAGGCGTCAAGATTAAAAGACTTGTATCAGGAAGCTACACCGACTGTAGTGCCTTCCACCAACCTAGGTATGCGTATCCTTTGGTATTTTCGGTTACCCGGGGTACTTGAGTAGTTTACTTGACGTTTGATGGGAGCGAGCCGGTGCTCCGCGAGGCTGGGAATTGGAACGGTGTGTAGGGGGACGGGATGCTGAGGAATGTGAACCTAATAGGGAGAGAGGCTGTCAAGAAGTTCATCGTCTAAAGTGTGGAGACCAGCGTGTGCTTTTGGCGTAAAGTGCTCTGCGGAGCTTGTCGAAGGGGTCGTTCTTGTCCCGAGGGGTCATCATTCTCTCTTTATCGATGATTGACTCGAAGTAGCATGGTGTCAGCGTCGTAGCAGATAACTCAATCCCCGATCGAATGTCTATATCGAAAATCGTGTAAGGGCGCTCCAAGAAGGTACAGCCGCCGATAAGATCTAGTCCCTCCCCCGGAACTTGTCCCAATGAGACGTGAGACGATGAGATATAGTGAGCTCCACGGGACTGATTCTATCATTTTCATTATCATCTAGAAAGATGGGCAGGTAAAGATCGACCTGGGACTTACCCGAGAATAAACAGATTAGGTGACTGGACGGGCGTCAAGATTGAAGCTTATAGCTTAAAGACTCGTATCAGGAAGCAGAGGAAGATACACCCGTTTGTAGTGCGTATTTGGTCCTTGCACCAACCCAGGTATTCGAACTGCCGATGTCAATCATCAGCTCGTCTAGTTAGCTTAGCATATTGTCATCTAGTATCTCAGGTCCGGACTCCCAACTCCAATGGAACGGCAACGTTATCTACGTCCTTAGCGCGTCTGGTCATATTCTTCGCACGAGATCGAAATGCAGCCACCGTACCACTGGAGGTTGAACGTAACTTTCGAGCAATGGGGCTTTGGGGAATGACAACGTGCCTTGATGCAAAAGGAATCCGGGACTGGAGTGAGGGAGACGATGATCAAAGGGAGCACAAAGAAGGCGGAGAACCCAAGAGGATAAGTGACTTGGAAGGTGAGATTCTCGCTGTGAGACTGTTGACTTTATACTCAGTAGACAGGTACGGTTGTACTAATTCTTCTACGAGCAAGGAATATTTCAAAGCACCAGCACTGTTCTATACAGCCTGAGAAGCCTCCGAGACGCGCGCAGACGAACATTGAACAAGACGCAAAGAGATGTTTCGACTTGAATATTTGAATACCTGAGAAAGGTTCCACATTCTCCAGAACAAGGTATTTCAGTTCTCGATAGAGTTTGGCGAGCGAAGGTAGGCAAGAACAAACCCGGTAAACCGGACCGATACTCCGAATCTCATCGACATTCATCCACCATGGCGCCAACACCCCCCTCCACCTGGCCGTACCCCACCCTCTCCCTCCGGATCCCCGACCTCTCCCACCCCGGCGTACACACCTTCTTCCGCCTTCTAGACCCGCACACCGCCCTCACCCTCGCCGTCGAATCGACCCTCACGCACCTATACCACACTCCTGCGAACCCCGACGTCCCACAGACGGTGGGGAGCGTCCTCTTAGTGCTGCGGAGCATGGATGGGGTGGCGCATACGACGGGGAGCGAGACGCACAAGGAGATTCATCTGAGTGTGGATTATATCACGAAGAAGGGGGAGCAGGACGGGGAGGAGGTGGGGAGGGAGATTATGGGAGTGTTGACGCATGAGATGGTGCATTGTTATCAGTATAATGGGAGGGGGACGTGTCCGGGGGGGTTGGTGGAGGGTATTGCGGGTGAGTCTTGGTTGGGTTGGGTTGTGTGGTTGCTTTTCTGAAAGGAAGGATGTAGATTTTGTGCGGTTGAATGCTGATCTTGCGCCGCCGCATTGGTCGCCGGGTTCTGTGCCGGATAAGTGGGATGCTGGGTATCAGCATACGGCGTATTTCCTTGATTGGCTGGAGAATAGGTGCGTGTGTGTTTTGCTTTGGATGGGATGGGGCTGACGGTGAGATAGGTATGGAAAGGGGACGGTCAGGGAGCTTAATGCTGTGATGAAGGATCGGGAGTGGAACGAGAAGATGTTCAAAGAGTTGACTGGACGCCAGCTGCACAAGTTGTGGAGGTTTTACGTTGAACATCTGGTGACATCTTCTCTGTAAAAGAGGTCGCATTTTCTATAATACAATAACATAGAGAAATCCATGGCTGCAGACTCACGAGTCTATTCATCCTCCTCATCAGACAAGTCTCCAGACTGCTGCACCTTCTCCTGCGCTCGCATCGCACCGAACGATATCCTTCCTGACCACCCTTCTCAGCCGCTAACCGTTGTCCCTACAGTAACCCATCAGTATCACTACCAATACCCAAGCCAAACAACTCACGTATCAGCGTATGTATCGCCTCCTGCGTCTTCCTCTCCAACTTGGCCAGCTTCTTGTCCGTCTCACGTTTAAGATCCCAATTCGGTCTTTTCGGCGCAATGTTGAACACGTCCTACACCCGCTATGAACAGTGATTTCATAACCAAAACACAAACTCACGAGTTCTTGAGCCCTCCTCTGCTCATCCTCTGCAATGATCTTCTCAGCTACACCCTCCACGTTCTTCTCCACCGTGTCCTCCATCTCTACGTCTTCTTGCCTTGCTCGTTTTTTGAGCGTACGAGATTCGGGATCAAAGTTGCGGATTTTTTATTACATCACTGCAAGTCCAAGAGCGTTAGTATAGACAGTAATCAACACAGAGAACAACCATACCCATTAGGTTCCCCATCCTTGCGTCTCTTCAACGCCAAAAGACGCGCCTTGCGCGCTTCCGAGGCCTCTGCCAATGCCATCTTAAGTTGAAGGAGAGTGTTGCTGACTAAGCACTGCTTTTGCTTCTTACCATGCTACGGGTGTGGGCGCAATCATGCCTACGCCAAACCCTCCCCGCCACTCGCTCCTTCCACTCAACACCCAATGCCGCCGTCTCCTACCGCGCCCGAAAAGGCCTCGTCTCCCAGATCCGGACGCCCTCTAAACGCGCCATGGCTGCTAAACTCAAGCGGAAAGCCGCCGCTGCCGCCGCCAAGGATACGAGCACTAGGCTTACCCTGCAGGATGCTGTGGGCGTGTTGAAGGTATGCTTGTTTTTTTGGGCGGTGATGGGGAATTGATTGATTTTTTGGGTAGGCAGTGAGTGTACCCTCCCCCCGCGCATCGACGGTGTCCCTCCTAGTCAAGACGAAGCTCGGGACGGGTATAGCTGTCCCGAGGGGGAGGTATAAGCTCCCGAGGGAGGCTACGAACGCAGCGGAGGATATCGTGTGCGTGTTTGCGGAGGGCCGGCAGGCGGATGAGGCTAAGCGCGCTGGGGCGCATATCGTTGGGGGGATTGAGCTCATCGAGGGGGTGCGTTCCATGTCCCTTCCATTTCCATCTGACCCTAATGCTGTGTAGATCGTGTCGAATAGGATACGAGCGACGACCTTCCTGTGCACGACCTCGCTCATCAAGGCTATCACCCCGAGGCTGGGCAGGGTCCTGGGTCCGAAGGGCCTGATGCCTAGTGAGAGGAGGGGGACTGTTACGGATGATGTCGGGGGGTATATACGCAAACTGGTGGGTACGACAGAGTGGAAGGCGGATAAGCAGGGGGTTATTAGGCTTCCTATAGCAAAGGTGTGTTCATTGAGCATTTCTAGTTCTCATATTTACCACAGTGCAGACGGATTGGACGGCAGAAGACGTTGTGAAAAACTTCGAGCATGTGATGACTTCGGTAAAGAGAGCTACGGGGAATTTGAGTGTCAAGGAGGGCGGGAAGGCGAGTGTGGGGAGTCATTGTAGGTTCAACTTTCTTCCGTTGTGCGCGTCTGTAGACTCAGTGCTTTCTTTTTACAGCGGCGCCGATTACAAAAGTCATGCTCAGCGCGACACAGGGTCCGGGGATTAGAATATCGAACTTTTAGTCTCGAATGAAAGTCCAGTTTTGAAACGGATCGTTGAATAAGATCTATCGTACTCATTCAGAACGGCAGGCCTTCTTAAACTTGGATGCACTATCATTGAGATACGGCTTTCAAGACGGAAAGTGCAGAAAACTGGCGCTCCCTTATGAACTCTGTGGTATGCGGAGCGTCGTTCAAATCGAATTTCCCGATAACGCTGCAAGTTCACCGTATCAAAAAGCCGAAAGCAATCGCACCAGAAAAGTTACTCAAAACCACCACCCAAAAATACAGAAAACTCCGCGGTTGAGCGCGATAGATTCTCTGGTTTACTAACTATTATCTACGTTTTTTTTAGCACAACTGCGTCCCTAAAGGAAACTTTCTACAATCCAGAGCAGTGATAGTAATATAACAATGCGATGCGATGATAAACAATGAGGGGAAGGATGAACTTCCCATGCGAGATAGCGTAAACGTAATGGGGGTATTAAAAAAACGAAAAGAGAGGATAGGGAGCTTAGAGTACGAGCTTTTTGGGCTTCTCCCAGCTGTAGTCGGGGTTACCTAAGAAGGTGCGTGAGTAGGGGAAAATGTGGGAATGGGTTTGAAGTCCTACCAAAGTGGCCGTAGCAAGCTGTCTTGCGGTACTGAGGCTTCTGGAGGCTCAGTTCACGAACTACGATAGTGGTCAGTCTCATTGGGTGTTTGATAAAACACATAACACGTACCCATGATACCAGGCCGGAGGTCCCAGTTCTTACGGATGAGCTCAACAATCTCCTCTTCCGAGATCTTTCCTGTGCCGTAGGTGTCGACGTAGATCGACAGAGGCTCAGCTACACCGATAGCGTAGGAGAGCTGGACAAGAGCACGACGAGCGATTCCAGCCGCAACCAACGACTTGGCTACAACCATCTAATAAGCAAGAGGGGTGATAAAGATGACGGCTACACGCACCAATCCAGCGAGCGGTATACGCAGCCGAGCGATCGACCTTGGAAAAGTCCTTTCCAGAGAAAGCCCCTCCTCCATGAGCTCCCCATCCTCCATAGCTGTCAACGATAATCTTACGACCCGTCAAACCCGCATCGCCCTGGGGTCCACCAATGACGAACCGACCCGTGGGGTTGATCTGTAATCTTGATAAGTTAAAAATAACAAATGCGCAGGTGATATGCAACGAACGTGGTAGATAGTCCGTTCGTCAAGAAGGTTCGCAGGGATGACTTGCTTGATAACCTTTTCGAGGATATCCTTTTGCAAATCAGCGAGTGCGATCTCTTCGGCGTGCTGCGCCGAAACGACGATGGTGTCCACACGGAGGGGGATAGTGGCTCCACCGTCCTTCTTGTACTCGATGGTCACCTGGGTCTTGGTATCGGGGCGGAGCCAGGGGAGCAGGCCCGAACGACGAGCGGCAGGCCATTAGCCTGGTTCAGCTTGTGCGCGAGGACAATAGTAAGAGGCATAAGCTCCTCCGTCTCATCTGTCGCATACCCAAACATGATACCCTGATCACCCGCCTCCATGGCTCTCCAAATCCCCATGGTCAAGCCCCTGTGCGATATCAGGCGACTGCTGCTCGATAGCGACGAGGATGTTGCAAGTCTTGTAATCGAAAACCCTTCTCGGACGAGTCGTACCCGATTTCCTTGATGGTGTTGCGGATGATTTTTTGGTAGTCCAGCTGGGCGGTGGTGGAGATTTCACCAAAGACCATGATCATTCCTGTCTTGGAGGCGGTTTCGCAGCCGACTTTGGACCATGGGTCTTGGGCGAGGCAGGCGTCGAGCTGGGGAGAAAATTTTAGCGCTTGCTATTGGGAGAGGCGATGGGCTCACGATAGCATCAGAGACTTGATCACAGATTTTATCTGTACGCGCAGTCAGTTTATGATAGGATTATCGATATTTTTCTTCTCTTAGCGACGCACCAGGATGACCTTCACCAACAGACTCAGAGGTGAACTAAGAAGTGACCAGGAGCCAAGGCAGGACGAATAGCGTGTCCGTTAGCAGACATGACGGGAAATCTAGAGATAAAAGGGAAAGGGGAAAGAGTCCTACGGAGGAAGGTGGGGAAGAAAGGGATAGGGAGGGAAGGAAATTTGGATTCTTTCAAATTTATTGACAGTCGCGTGATTACATAATACGTGTTATCACGCCATCCTGTCATCAAGTTGCAAGTCGCACGTAACGAAGACGCCCCGAGTTACTCACCCAGGATGTTGAATGTACAGCTACTGGTATATATAAATATATAGCATCGAACGATAAAATCTAGTTCAGACTCCCGCGTCGAGTTTCAAATCGTGTGAAAGCTGCTTTCTGGGTAGACCGTTTTGGACAGCCAATTAAAATGAAGTTACCCTGTTAGTTGTTTTACGGCCGAAAGTCGATTTGAATAACGTGGACAGGTATATAGCTTAACGTTCATGAACTACGAAATGGTGTGTCAACTGTCAGAGAGACCCTACACTGAAGGATGCAAAACCACACTACGCTAGAGAAAACTAAACTCATCAAGGGTACCTCCACGGTACCACGCTAGTGTAATTGTAGCAGTTAATAAAATGCAGTATCCCAAAAAAACATGGCCAGATTCAATGAAAAATCACCGAGATGGGCGTTATTGAACGTACCTTGCAGTCGAAGCGTTTACGTTGTACGAATAAATTATTCCAAACATATATGGATATCCCCCACTCCGAGTCCGTGTCCCCATGTAGTATAGGCAATGAGCAATTATGATCCGTACCGCTGAACCAAAGCAATCAGGAACTGACAACACCAAGATATATTAGCAGCAGCCAGAGTTCCAAGTCAACATCGGTGAAATATGGACCTCAGCTTAAATAGCCGTCCCGTCGGCTCTGTCGGTCCTCGGAATTCCCATCCGGATCGATATCCCGTTCCGCCCAAAAATCTCATCCACACCCATCCATCCATGCTCGTCCTCTCCAACCTAACGAACCTCCTCTCCCAGATCCTCTCCCTCCCCGCCCTCCACACAGCCTGTACTCTTCACCCCCGCTGGCCAACTAGTCACCTTTGTCTCCGAGCCCATACGCCCCAAGGACGAAGTCCGGATTATCGTAGGATTGAGCGGCGAAGTATGGCAGGAAACGCGCGAGCAAGGGTACGGGATGGTTGATAGCGAGGTATATATGTCCCCTGGGATCTTGTTTGTAGGGCGCACGCTGAAGTGGTCCCCATCAAGCTAGGTCGTATCGTCGTTGTGCCTGTGGAGGACGTGGAGAGGAAGCCGGGGTCAGACAGCGGAGGATCCGTTGCCGTTGATGCTGATTGCTCTCAATTCGAATGAGTCCATGGAATGGACGGAGTTGCAAGCCAAGGTGCGTGGTGGATGTGGCGTTTTTGCGTTATACCGCTGTTCTGATGGATCTCTTTGTAGGGAAAACTTGTTGCTAGTCATCTTGCGAGGTCGCTGAGCAAGTATCGCGAATTTCTTGTCGTACGGAAACCTTCGACGCCGCCGACTACATCAGCTATAGCTTCACCTGCGCCTGTCCGAACTTAGGGTGCGATGTTGTATGATTTTTGTAGGAGACTTCATCTCACGAACGCTCGTATATATTGATGATACTTATCTTTATTCCAGTGCATTATACTTCTTGAAAATACTGATATGTACATCATCACCAATACTGCATGGATACCCACATCTATCACCTCTGCGCGTAGAAAGATTAACTATAGTTCATGTAGCCAACTCCATGGAAATATGCACATTTCCATTAGAGCAATCTCATAAGTAGAATGAACAAAATACTACCTAAATTAGCTCCCAATTGTTTGCTGCAACTCGAAAACCGCCAAATGGAAGTCTTCATTCGTCAACAGCAAAGAAAAAGGAGGCCCACCCAGCCAGAGTGGCCAAAGTGGGACAGGGAAATATTTAGACGGTGCATAAGCCTGAGCCTATACAAGCCGCAGACACCCTCTGGGGACAAGGGTCGCCGTGCTATGAAGGATCTCCACGGCCCACAAACCCGGGTACATGAAGGGGCTTGTGCCATCAAGGTAAGTATGAGGGGTTTCGGATGTCGGATCCTTCCTTTTATACGGTGGTAGCTGCGCACGGACCAGCGGGCTCCTCGGGGTTTGCTGTTGTCTAATTTTATCAGTCCCAAAGTCAGGACCGGGCATCGCGGGGATTTACGCCCTTATAGTTATCCTTTCGTGCCAATTCTTTTTTTAGAGTATGCAATACTCATGCATACCTGGAATGTGATCACTTCGTATAAATTTGGCGCATTGTGCCTCTCACGTGATAGCCTTCAGGCTTATCATCACACTCCCATGGGTGAAGATATTGAAACCAGTGGCGGGTGCTACTGCGGACAGCTGCGCTACACAGTCAGAGGTCTACCTCTTCTAAGCGCCTTTTGTCACTGTACACTTTGCCAGAGGTTCAACTGTACGCTGTGAGATCACGAGCCACGAGCACTAGCTAATTAAATTTCACCACAGCTGCAGTGTTCATTCACACCATCCATTTCTCGAGTGCGGCATTCTCCTGGACACGATTCGAAGAGGACAAAGTCCATATCTACGAAGTCGCGGATAAACCATGGAAAAGGCGTCATCGTTGTGCAAACTGCGGTTGCACAGTCGCCTCATTTAACACGAAGAAAGATGAATGGAGCGTTTGGGGTGCTCAGCTGGACAGAGACGATGCAGGGAAGAGAAAGAACTGGGAGCTGTTGAAACCGACTGCCCATATTTTCTACGAAACCAGGATGGTCGACATTGCTGATGACTTGGGCAAATGGGACGGATACGAAGGTTTATCAAACAGACTTCCCATGTAATCCGAGATAACAAAGAAATACCATTACGCCATCATTCTAGTATGTGATATCTAAACCAATAATTTAAGTATGGAAAAAATAATCTACGTCTTACAATCCTTGAGCAGCCTGGAACATGGGTATGAGCAGGGTCTTGGACTTGGTCAATCTCGCAGCCCAATCTCCCAAAACAATGCCCCAAAGTACACCGAAGTAGGCGGCACCACCATTCTATAGCCGGGGTAAGTGTCCGATGTGCAGGGAAATTCAGATGATCGCACCTTTCCGTTCGTAACCAAAATTAGCTCGTAGCTTCCCTTGTATTCCTTCAAAGGTTTTCCATCGAGGTAGTTCAGAACATTAGTGCTAATCAAAGCTGCATGGGCATTCGCCTTGGCAGCTTGCTTCTGTTCCTTCCAATCCAGAATATCACCCAGAGCGAATATTTCCGGGTAAGAAGCGAATTGCAGGGTGGGCTTGATCTTCACGAACCCTTTGTCTGTGACGGCGCCCGGGAGAGACGAGGCAATGAAACCCGTGTTGGGTTTGGGACCCCAAGCTGGAACCTGAAAGGCGAAATTAGAAAGATAATTTGACTGGCGGAAATAAGCGAGCGTACGAAGAGATCACCCTTGATGGTCTTTCCTTTCCGAGTGGTGACACTTTCAGCACCCGAGGTCGGTATGTCGTCGAGATAGTCGTTGTACACAATTTCCACACCGCGGGATTTCATTCCATTCTCCATCTTGTTCCGGAATCGATCTGGGTATGTGTCGTTCAACAGCTTGCTTCCGCCATGTATTATGGTGACTTTCTTGTTCTGGAAGCAGGGTCAAGACAGCCGAATGGTGTCAATCAAAGTTAAGTACTCACGGGCCAGATGTCCTTAATTTCGCCCGCATACTCTGGGTAACGAGGTCAGTATGATATTCGAGCGGAGGAGATACGAATACGCACCAATACCGACAGAGCCACCTCCAACGAGAACGATGTCGTTGGCATCCTGGAATCTGGAGCGTTCACTCGTCAAGAAGGCGGAGATGTCGCCTTTGGAATTTGGGAAATCCAAGGGTCCGCTCCACGTCGATCCAGTCGCTAGAATCAAAACATGGAAGGGCACTTTTTCGCCGTTGTCAAGGATAACGCTGCCGCCGACAGTCTCTGACTTCTGGATACCAGTTACCGAAGCCTGGATAAAAGTACCTGGAAAACGCAGTCAGAAAGGGCTGTACTGACAGCGCATTTAAGAAGGCATACCGTTGTTGTTGTGGAACAGCTTCTCGTAACCTGCCATGGCGGTCTTTTCGAGGTTGTCGACATCGGAGACGACCAGCCGAATGAAGGCAGGTAGATGGAAGCGGTATGGACGAGAGTTGATGAGAATGAGGTTGTATTTCGAGGCATCTAGCTTTGCGGAGAGTTGACGGGCGGCAGTAGCGCCGTAACCACCACCGACGACGACGACGTTGAGTTTGTCTTCAGTTTTCTTCGACATTTTTGGGAGAGAGAGGAGGTTGAGAGGGAAAGCAGGGACATAGTGGTGTGATGAAGCAGCATTTTATAGCTTCGCGTTCAAGAAAGCGAAGCCCCTGGATTGCGTCAGCACATATTACGCCGTCTTGCATAAGCCAAACTGATCTTGGTAAGAGATCGTAATTCCTGCTGACCCGCGGGACCATATCTAGCTGATATATCAGCTCAGGCTTCAGGGATCGAAAATAGTTGATTTCGTGCGATAAAGCTCATCAGATGGAACTCTTAGACCGGCGTTGCTATCAAGGTCGCAAAAGTCTGCTTGCGATGACTAAGCTCGCTTAGCGGCCCGAGTTCCGGTCTACAATACGGTCACGTGCATACGCGTTCGTGTAACAAACTTTGTTTACTCTCTAGCCTGCCACCTCCACCTTGACGTCGACGAACGTCCTCCGCTCCAAGCATGTCGCATTGGAACATCGGCGCCGACGATGTATCAGAAGGAAACACAAATGTATCGCAACAAGCTGGCAAGCAAAGGTACGTCATCTTTTTATCGGGGAACTTAGTGACGCATTTTGCTCTCTAGATAGTCAAATTGCCGCTCAACAGACACAACTATTAAAGCAAACGAAGGAGTTGGATGACTTAAGGGCTTCCCTGCATGATGCTTTGTACAAAGTGCGTGCCTACGCCGTCCGACATGAAACAGACTAACCACTTCAGCAGCTAAGCACAGAAACCGATCGGGCTTTACTACTTGAATCTGACCTTTCACGGTGCAACGATGACTTACGCAACGAAAAGCTGACGTCGCAAAATGCAGCTAACTCGCTTCTTGCAGCAAAGCGAACAGGTCAAGGAGAAGGAACTGGAGAACAAAGAACTGCTATCCAACCTCGATCATCTTTCACGTCAGTCTGACGGACACGCTGTACGCGCTACGAAGATGGAGAAGGAGAAAAACACCCTGGAAGCACGGATGAGGGAGCTGGAAACCCGACTGCAGGAGCTGAGTTCGACACCGGTGTCGCCGCCCACTCGACAACGTTCTCTACACCGTGGTCGGTCATCTTCGCTTTCGAACCTGAAGATATCCAGTTTGGAAATAGAACTTGCAGATGCAAAGGCGGCTCTCGCTGAGAAGGAAGGCGAGGTTCGGGTGTTGAGTCAGAAAGTTGGCAATGAGGCGATGAAGGTTGAGAATGAGAAGATTGCTATGGAGAGAGCCGTGCAGAAACAATTGGACGAGATGCAGGCCCTTCTAGAGGAGAGGGAGGAGGAGTTGGACTTCTTGCGCGGTGGCTCGAGTGGCGGCAGTGAGAGGGAAGAAGACTTACTACGACGGATTGAAGAGGATGGCGCTAAGATTGAGGCTTTGGAACTCCTGTTAGGAGATGTCGAGGACGTGAAGGTGCTTGCCGAGAAGCTGAAGGTCGCCGAGCATCGACTTCAGACGGAGATGCAGAAGGCCTTTGAATGCACAAGCAGACAAGTGCAACTCGTACAGGAGAAAGAGGAAGCTCTAGATGAACTAGAAGAGGTGAGAGAGAGGGTGGCATTCCTTGAACAGACTGTTCATGTGAGGGAGGCGCATGTTGATGCCCTGAAAAGGTTCGTCTGTCGAGAAGTATCATCGTTGTATTCAGAGCTGATAGTATTCTACAGGGAAGTATCCGACCTTCGAGCCCAAGTTGCAGCGTCGGAAGGATCTGACCGGCGCTTTTCGATGTCTACGCAACAAACAGTAGAAGATATTGAACGACTGCTTTCGGCTGTTAACCGCCTGCGAAATGAGCGGGATGACCTCCGCCGCAAACTTCGTTTCTTGGAAACGGAGAGCAGATTCACTGCGGAAGCTCTTGAAGCGAAGAGGCACTCCGAAGCTTGGACTGTGGTCGATTCCTCCAAGCACCGCGAACAAATAGCACGGGCGAACCTTAGTGTTAGCGCCCTCAGCATCGTCGTAGGATATTTGGCAGAGCAGGATGATGTCTGGGCGGTAACTTTCGCCTCCAAGGACGCAGATATGCAAGCAGTCCGGGAGAAATTGAGGAGCAGCGAGATTGAGCTCGCCATTGCAACACAGACTCTAGAGGATATTTCTCTTCATCGCGACGAACTGGAGAAGCAATTCGAATCTAGCGAAGCAGCATGGATGAAGGAGTTGGAGGAAGTGAAGGCTGCGCACGAGGAAACGAAAGATTCTCTGGATCGACTCGACGCTCATCTCACCGAGGTGTCGGCTACTTTCGAAGAGGTGGAATGCGAACGGGATTCCCTCGCTGTGCAAGTGGCCAACCTGACGAACGATCTTGCTACAGCACAAGCCGATCTCAGCGAGGCAGAAAGACGTTATAGCTCGCTGCAGTTCCATCAACTCTCCAATATGTCTTCGAATGAGGCTACTCGCACGCTAAGTGGTCAAATTGAAGAGCTGGAGAGGCGTGTGATGCGTCGCACAGAGCAGATTGGCATCCATCAACACGACATCAAAAGGTTGGAGACAAACATGCGGCTTCAAGAGGAGCGGATTGGCGAACTAACGGCAGAGCTGGAGCTGCTCGCGAGTCAGAAGGATGCCATGGTTGAAGACTGCGCCGACGCAAGGGAAGCCCGGGATGATGCTGTTGCCAAGTTTGAGGCAATCGAGATAGAGGTGGAAGCGCTCCGCGAAGAAGCCGTAGCAACGGAAGCTCTGATAAAGGTGATCTTTGGGGTGGCAGGGAACGCAAGATCTACCGTGAAGGCGTCCATGGAAAGGACGCAACTCGCCGAGAAGGAAGTCGAGCGTCTGGCAGCGGATCGTCTTCATGCCATACAGCAAGCTGAACAGGCTAACGCTTCCTTGCTTGAAGCCCAAGCGACCCTTGCGTCGTCCCAGGAGGCCATACACCAAACGACCCTTGCACTGGCAAATTCCCAGACCGAAGTGCAGCGCCTCGCCTCGTCTGGTCATTCCTTAGATGAGGCCAAAGCCAACTTCGAAGCTCGTCTACGTGAGCTACAGGATGGGCTTGCCAAACATCTTGCCGAGAAGGACGCCCTTGCTAATGAACTACGCGATGTTCAAGCCTCTGCTTCCCACGCCGAGATAACCAGCAGATCTCAAATGGCAGAACTGCAGACTCAGGTGCAGTCCGTCGAAGACGCCATGACTGTTATGGAGTCTAGTCATCAAATCGCGTTGAAAGACCTGCAAAACCAGCTGGTGTTGAAGGACAAGCTTCTCATGGACACCAATGTCGAGCACGAGCAACTCGTGAACCTCAAGGTTAAACATGTGGAGGAGATGGGACGTCTTCAATCGCGTCTTGTCCAGCTTACTAGCGAGCTTGAGGAGACCAAGACTCGTCAAGAAGCTGCTGAGGCCGCTCGCGTTGCGTGTGTGGAAGAGCTAACGGAGTCTCGGGCCGAGGTTGAGAAGCAACTCCTCGCAGTAGAGAGTGGGCTCCGAAGGTATCGAGAGATCTCTCATGAATTGGAGAAGGTCAAAAAGGATGGGGATAACGAGAGGAGTCAGCTGAACAAAGATCTAGAGGCGGCCAAGGAAGAGCTCCGCACCGCCAAGGTGGCCCGAGACGCGCTGGATGCTCGTTATCAGACGGAAATTTCTCAAAGCCAGACAGAAAACGAAGCCCGTCTCCACCAACTTGACCAACAGTTGACTGAGCTCCGTTCGAACCTTGAAGAGCAAAAGCAGAAACACGACTCAACGACTCGCGAAGCTGAGGAACTACGCTCCAAGTTGATCGTCGATGCAAGGAATCATACTTCCGAGCAAGAAGCTCGTTCTAAGGAGCTGAAGTCCATCAACGAACGATATAGTCAGGCGGAGGAGTTGGTCGAAGAGCTCAAAGAAGAGGTCGCTTCCGTGCGAAAGGAACTTGCGGATGTTCGAACCCAGGTTGAGAGTCTGCAGACTGAAAACACGAACTATCAGCAGGATAACACCGGTTTGGAAGCTGAGAATCAACGAAGCTTATCTCTCATTCGTTATCTGGAAAGCCAAGTCAAAGAATTGTACGTGTTCGAAATCATTCTTAGTGTAGCCTTGATATTCATGCTGCGACTAGGGAGCAAACCGTCAAGACGCTCGAGACGGACAATGAAAGATGTCGGGCCTTGCTCACACGCGCTGAGAAGGCCGCGAGTACCGCGGAAGTCAGTCTTAGCATGCAAAATTCGCATCACAAACGTGAGATTGCGGAAATGCAGCGTGAACTAGCAGCTCTCAAGGCAAAACCTAACCTTGACACGGTCATTGCTGGCCTTGAAGAACGTAACAATGAGATGGAAGAGTTGCTCAGAGCCAAGTGTGCAGAGATTGAAGAGAACGACGATCGTACGCTCGAGTGAGTGGCTTTACCTACTAAGGCAGTGCACAACTTAACGTTCCTCTGCAGTCTGTTGAAAGAAAACAAGAAGCTTACTTCGAAGGTTGAGTCTTTGAGTCGCAAGGTACAAAATTTGCAGGCCAAATTGGCTGCAGCAAAGGCATCGGCGACCAAAGTTGACACCACGGAACCTGCAGTGTCTCAGGCTCCGGCCCATTCTCGCGTATCACCTCCCCCCACTCAATCCTCGTCCAGACCACTTTCAGTTTCACATAGCGTCGGACCTTCGGCTCTCCCTAGTTCATCAAGAGTCTCGCCTCCACAATCCTCCTTCCCTCGCGCTCGTTCCAATACCGTGTCTACGCCCACCGGCCGTACCTTCTCCGCGTCCTCATCCTCTTCACAAGTCGTTCCTCCCCCTGTTTCCCGGTCATTAACCTCTCGAACCCGAGCCGCTGCCCTCTTCGATTCAGCGATTCCCTCCCCAGTCAACATACCTTCCACACCACGCTCTTTGAGCCGTACGGCATCGGGTCAGTCTTCCCTGCCCCGTCCGAAAACGCCTGAAAGACACGCAGCATCACGAATGGAATCCCAGCCTCTAACGCCTAACAGACGCTTTGATGTTCCCGACACAGTGACGAACTCGGCAATCGGCAAGAAGAGAGCAGCTCCCGATGACTTTGCCGACTGTGATGCTGTTCCACCTCAAGGTTTCACCGTTGACAGTCTTCCAGGAGATCGCATCGAAACGGGAACGCCTCGCCTGCGTAAAGTAATGAACAGCATCAATTCAGGGTTCACACCTGTGCGTCACCAGCTCAGCCGTCCAATCATTTCTCTATCACCGAAACGGTCCCCAAAGCGTAGAGCAATAGCAAAGCCTTCACCCTTCATGTCTGACGTGACCAATAATCCACACCTTATTTCGCGGCCAGATTCTGAGGATAAGCCTCTTAAATCGAGCTGGCTAGGGAGGATTAGAGGTGCATCTTCTGCACAGACAACTGAGAGAACGGGGCCTTCACACGAACGTTATTAATTGGTTTTGTTATCTCTCATACGTGTATTGTTAGCCATTTGATTTGTTCATCTATTATCTGCGTGTATACCATTATTCGTATAATATGTATCCATTAATCATTTCGCTTGTGAATAGCCAGCACTGCCACCGTCGAAATTCAGTCGCGTCATTGACAAATTAGGGAACCCTCCTCACCAACAGTCATGAGCAGATTCCTCAAGCGATATGACGTTAATTTCCCCGACCTTTCCTCTGATGTACGCGAAAGAGAAGACTGGAAACCGGCAGAGTTGAGATCTTTTGATTTTGCCATCGAGGTGTCCGCTCTTGCCGTGGACCCGTTGTCAGGTCTTCTAGCAGCTGGTATGGAGTCTATTTGCCGTTGGATGGCTAGATAATGACCATAAACACCCCAAGGTACTGCCGATGGTCTCCTATTTATATGGGGAAAACCTGGTGTCGAGATTAAACTGTCGATTCCGGAGCGAATAGGTGCCAAGTTTGTTCAATTTTCAGTCTCAACGTTCCAAATCGTTTGTCTGGGTATGCTCTATTCATCCTTAATACGCATTATCGCTCCATCATTGAATAATATTCCGCCTCAAGATAACACGAATCGCCTACACGTCTGGGATCTCTCAAACTATGGATACCCCAAATACGTCTGTTCAGCATTGTTTGATCAGACAAAGTGAGCTTTCGGTGATGAACACGAGGATTGTATTTAACTATCATGGTTCAGCGCCATGACATTGTCGCCTTCCCACTCCCATGTGTGTAATCATCTTCTCTATCTTCGTGCCCTTTCCTTAGACGATCGCACTAGGCTTTCCTCGTTTTGCAATCAGGAGAAGTTCGAACGTACGACCTAATCTGTCATCGGAAGTCACCTTACACGATACCGAACATGTGGAAGCTCTATGAGGACAAGTTGGCTTCTAGCAAGATGCCTGAAGTAACAAATGCGGGCTCGTACAAGTCTTTCTACTTAATAATTTGAACTGCTCTCATTGATTTAACAGCTCTTTGGCGATTGATGCTGTTATACACCCTCGGAATTTAAATCTTCTGCTCGTAGCATATGCAGGTCTGTTTCATTTGGATTGCAAAACTCCAGAGCCTGCTAACTGGGATTCCAGGAGGGATAGTCCTATCTGATCTCGTTTGTCGGTCTCTCTGGTCTTCAACGTGTCGTTAATCTTTTGTGGCAGACGCAACGAAATACGCTACGAGTCTATGACCTTGTACTACCTCCTGGAGCTCCCGGTGGAACTGGATATGGTGCTGAAGTATGATCATGTCTTCGTCGATGGTTTCATAATTATTTACCATAAAAAATATTTCCTACAGGACATCCTAACGCACAGAAGGCCAGAAGTTACATGTCTAGCTATCCATCCGGCAGGACACTTCTTTGCCGTTGGCTATACAGACGGCATTATTGCCTACTGGGCTGTGGAAGATGAAGATCAACCTCTCATGGTGCGAACACTTGACTTAATAGACGTCAATGTAGTCGATGGCCATCAGCTTGAGGAGCACCTGGCTAAACCCAACAATCAAGCACCGCCGTCTTTGCAGAGAGAACCGATATTCAAGCTTTCGTGGAGCTCGTTTTCGGATTCTTCGGAACCTAGGGGAGGATGCACAACTCTGACAGTCCTTGGAGGTTTGTTTTTTGGGGAACCCCCCGGAATTAGCGTGCTTTGGCTTCCTGCCTTTAATCCACCCGAACCGCCAACGCCGGTTACCGAAGGAGCACTGCATCCATTCTACAGATCTTCTATGCGGGATTCTCTTGTCCCCACGCGATCTTACTTCTATTCTAGTAATAACACAGTACAAGACTACTTACTCATTCCTCGGAACAGTCCCCATTTATCAGGTGCCTTTGATCCCGTATCTATATTGATACTATCCGAATCGACGGATGATACGCGAGCACTCGAGGCGTACGAGTTTCCCCCTCCATCTTTTTCAACCCAAGAAGAGGCCAGTTCCGATGCTTCAGAGGATGATAAAAACGAGGATACTCTGGACGAGTTAACGGCTACACTCAAATCCTTGCAGATGAGTAGTGACCCTCTACGGTTGCAGCTTCCCTGGTCCTTGTGCAGTGAGCTATTGCATGGCCGACTCGGCGTAGTTGATCGTGATACATACCAGAAACTGGTTACTGCTACTGAGCCACTAGCTGAAAAGGCACTACCGCTGAAAGGTGGTTATGCGTGGAATGATGAATCGAATGACATGAAATCATCTAAAGTATTCATTTCTTTGCCTTCGTATGCCAAGTCACTTACCTTTCATTAAGTTCCAAACAAATCGTATATTGATTACTTGCCATCAAGATCTCTCCATACGATTTTATGACATGAGCGTCCAATTGCTTATTGCTGTCAGGCCGGATCCTATCCAATACGATTTCCCGACTCCGCTGCCTCATCTGACAATGAACTTGTCTTTGCTCTTACTGGATCCACTGGTATCCAAGCAAATATCGACGACAACAGCAGCACCATTGTCTATACAATCAATCCTGTTTTCGTCGGAGTCTCTGGAGCCTGCAATTGTCCTCTCAACTGGCAACGTACTGGTGTTTCGATTACAGGATGGGCAACGTAACGCTCCGCCGTACCGGGAATGCGAAGACCGAGAACTCACATGTTTGGAGCATCTTAGCATCTCCGCTGGCTACAAGTATGCACCCTATGCCATTCTATCGCCAAATAAAGGACCAGTGACTGCTTGCGCAATATCAGATATCGGTACGCAAAGTATCATGGTTCTTGCTGTTGCAATAATAACCTATGATAGGGTTTCTATCTGTGGCATATGGGGACGGATCATTGTATATTATCGACCTGCGCGAACCAAGAAATCCTGTTCCATCTTAAACCTGAAAGCAAAGCGAGGAATAAGCATTCTATCGGTCTACATCTAAGTGGCCACGCTTTGGAACCCTTTGTTTCTTTGACCTGGACAATAAGCGCACTGAAATCAGGTTTGCATCCATCAACGTTCGCGTTGCATCCTTGATTGATTGAATGCACAGATAATCATAATGGTGTTCGGCTCATTGCTATCAGAAAATCAGGGGTTTGCGAAGTGTATACGATATCCCGAGTGAGCTCGTCGTGGAGATGCAGTGAAGAATTTGTCAAAGTGGATGGTGTAAGCGATCCGTTTCCCGAGGGCACATATATAGTGGATGCTAAAACAGGCACTCACCGCAATGCTACTCGGCGGGGTTTGAGCGATGCTTTCAATTCATCTTCAGTACAAGGGCACGTATACTTCGTCACTACGGGCATCAAAGGAGCAAGATGCTATATAGACATTGATGGCGATCGTATAGGCAAGGTTGATTGGAACAGCAAGTCTGGTACGGTACAAGAGGTCAAAGTCGTAGAAAAGCTCGGTGATAATCCGAAATATCTCTACTGTTGAGGATTTAGCTGACTCGAAAGTTACAGGCTCCTGCGCCCTTGTTGCATTCACGGACAAGCAAGAAGCGCTAGTATACTCCATTCCTCATTTGGAATTCATCAACGCTTTCCCGCTACCTCTGACATTTTCGTACGTCAGTCACGTTGTCCGGAACCCTGCGTGAATGACTTTTGCCTCAGAACCATTACGGTTGATGAAACCGGGGATTTTATTGGATGGCAGTGCCATTCTCGCTCTAGTTTAATGCGACGCGCTGTATACGGCACTTTGTTCGACATGCGACGCTCCATTCCCCTGCCGGATATTGATCTGACAAGTACTAAAGTCCCGGTTCCTGCTCAGCCGCAGCCAGTGTCTATGGGGCCGACGTCTTTTCTAGGATCTTGGTTGACTTATGGGAATCAGTCCATAACCGGGGACCAGGCTGATGAACTATGTGAGCACCGATGAACGCGCTAGAAGGCTATATTCCACTCTTACTTACACTGATTACCAGTGGGTGGTCCAAATAGGCCTATTCCGCAGCCAAAAACCGAACCATCTGCAGGGGTTTCCTATGAGGGAATATCACAAGGCGCCTCTGCAATAGCTGCTTCTGCAACCGCAACTCAGAGTAGCTTATACGAGCGCTTATCATCTGCTCTCAATGACCGAGGGTGATATCGTTTCCAACTATTGCTGGCAGGCTATTGACATATGCGTTATAGGCAGATGCTGGGTAACTTGGAGGACAGCTTCAATTCCCTCGAACAAGGTAGTAGAAACATGGCAGCGCAGGTGACAAGATATTCTTTGCTCATTGTGGATGTTTGACTGATGATCTCTGGTAGGCGAAGCGGTTGGCTGCTGAGCAGACCGCAAAGCAATGGTTTCGGTTTTGATACCTTCGTCAACTCCAGTGAGATATAGACTGTTGGCGCTTGCTTACGATACCCAGCATTGTGAGGTCCGGTTTGTAGTAGTCTTTTTGATGATCCCTATTTTACTATCTAATGTCGTAAATACCTGAGTGGAAATCCAGTAGAATGATTTAAGTTGATTCCAGATCTACACGTCAGTACGTGCAGAAAGCGGTGCCTCAGGTAGCTCGGCAACTGCCGATTCGGAACCCTGCCGCTAACCAACGCTTTCATCGTCATATGGCGAACTACGAACAGTTGCACAGACAATGCCGTACTTTGGAGAGCCTCTTCGATTCCAAGCTCACTTCGTACTCTCAGCTCGTTTCTGCACTTTCAAGGCCTAATGAGGACGTCGAGGCGAACGGCTCATCGGAGCGGTGGAAAGACCTGGAGCTTGAGGTGGACGATCTGCTAGAGAAGGTACGTATTCGTCAGGTTCTACGCAGGCCTTGCCCATTGACAGCATGCTAGCTTGAAGAAACGAATGAGAAACTCGGAGCCCTAGCCAATGAGCCTGATATCGTGTCTCAGTCAATGCTACGTGCGATTCAGAGACATCGGGAATTATTCCAGGACAATGTACGGGAAGTGAAGAGAACGAAAGTGAATATCCACCTTTCTTTCTGCTGTGCATTAACGATTAACGTCCTTAAAAAGGCCAGTGTCAAGCAAGCCATGGAGCAAGCTAACCTACTGAGCGGCGTTCGCAACGATATAGAGTGAGAACTCTCCGCAGCACCTCCAGGAAATATTATTCCTCATTGTTTTACTAGTGCCTACAAGTCATCGGCGGCGGATTCTCTTCTAGCGGAAAGGGGAAGGATTGATGGTTCGCACCGCATGACGGACGATATGATAGAGTTAGTCCCCTCGTGAACTGGAATGCTTGTTGCTCACATATAATTGCAGCCAAGCATACGAGACACGTTCAGAGTTTGCCCGTCAGCGTTCGTCTCTGGCGGGCATCAATACGCGAATGGTTAACGTCATCAGTGAGCTGTTGGAGACTTGTCACACTATTTGTTGCTGACGCGTTCCTCTAGACACGATGCCCGGCATAAACAATATCGTTTCCATGATCAAGTCACGACGAAGACGAGATTCCGTCATATTAGGTGTTATTATCGGTATATGCATTATTCTTATCCTGTCATATCTTTGGTAGTCGCGGGACGTTGCCCATTTTTCTCATGTCATATCTTGGATCCATTTTGCAAGGATGTTTGGATTTCAATATTTCGGTTCTTGCACCAAGGACGTGTTACGTTCCATTCAGAAATCTGTCTCTGAATCGCTTATCCACTCTTCGACTTTCTTTTTCTTTTTCTTCGACGACTCAGGCGCTTGGTGATTGCCTGCGCTAAAGCACCGCCAGTTCTCCTCCAGCCTTCGAACTACACCCCATTTTTCCGGATCTACTTCGTCGACCCAAACTTCTTCCACTGGCCAGCCCTTTGTACGAGCTACGGTTAGAACTATATCCCAAGTCCGTTGGGTGCACATGTCTACATCATGAAAATCAGACTCGACGAGAATTCTATTCGGCGAGCAGGCCTGGATTAAGGAAATGTGATTCGACGAGCGACCGTTAATGACCGTAGACAGAGAGAGGAAAACGTTGTTGTGCTTTTTCTGTGTAGAAAGGTCAGCTTTTCGCACAGTTCAGTCGCAAATTTTAAAACTCGTACCTCTATGTCGCGCCATAGCTGGGGGCTCAACCCACAACTATGCAAATCTATACTAATCTTACTCCAGTTTTCGCTATGTCTTTGCTTCATTTTGTTGAGAAGGTCCATGGTGTTCATTTGTGCTTTGACGCTATGAAGACTGATATTACGCCGTAGTCTAATGGCCAAGTCGACCTGGGCTTCAAGGATGGCAAGTTGATGGTCAATAGGAACCGTAAAAGAGGTCAATTCTCGAGGGAACGCGGCGAAATCATAGGGAATACGGAAAGCTCTGTCAAGTCCGACTTCTCCAAGCATCGCGTTCGGAAAGGCTTCTAGATTGGCCTGCACATCCGCAATGACGTCGGCGAGAGGCACTGGCTCTGGAAGAAGGTCATATATGGCTTGATACTCATCGAGGTTTTTGATGGTGAACAGGTCTCTGTAGTGTTCATCCTTAGACACGCCAGAGTGTAGAGCGATACAGTGAGTAAACCATGGATGATATCCTATAATACAGTGATCGAATCAGAATAACTGTCGAACACATCGTGAGGACCGCTCACCAAAGCAAGGAATAACTTTCTGCGGATACGAAGAGGCCAAATTTTTTACAAGGACTTGGTCTGATGTTCTCGACCCCATTGCACATACAGTAATCTGGAGTTTATCCATGGATTCGGCGGATATTGATGGGGCATCTGTAGGATGGCAGTGCGCATCCACAATATGCTGTAGTACAGATTCATCAGGGAGGGAGGCCTAAAAAGTGGTAAGCAGAATTGGTTTTTTGAATATTAAACTGCTAACCCCAGACATGATATCAAGCGATAAGACTCGAGTTACAGAAGATGACGCACATATTGATGCATATTTGATCTGGAGGGCGTTGGCGGCTCCGGTCCGAATCAATGTCGAAAAAGTTCCTTGATGCTTGCAGCGACGAGCTGTTTCAAGAGAAACTCACTATTCATTCAATTTTCTGTTTTTCGTTCCATGCATTCCATCCCCCCGATTGACACCACACCGCCAAGATACCACGGCTCTCTACATCCACTTGACAAGGATGCATTCCGAAAACGCATTTCAGTTCTTGCCCTTCGTGTACCTCCAAATAAGACGAACAGCATCATAAAATCGACAGCGCTGAGGAGGTACGCTCTTGATCAGTAGACGGAGCGCAGTGCTTACACACACACCATCTAGGTTCCTCGTCGGAGCGCCGAAACTTAGTCCCGTGGTCAAGGACCCATCCAATCCCGACGGTGATCGATTAGTGTTACTCAGAATCACAGAAAAAGGTATAATCTCATCCAGAGCTGCGTATAGTTTGATTCAACAACCACAAGCCAGCTCAGCTTTCCCCTGAGGCACAAGAAATTGTCGACCGTGATTGCATTGGATTTGCCGATTACACGGTGGACCTTGATTACGACTATTGGACCGCAAGTACGTGCCCCGTTTCCTGCTTTGGGCGTACCCCTCTAAACTCTTCAAGGCGAAATTCTTGCCGCGGTCCTCCCCGAGGAGCTAGTAGAAGGGTCACCTGTTGGTTTTGCGGCAACAGGTCATGTCGGTACGCCGTGTTCAATATATTCAGGGGAGATTTCATTTATTCTTTCTCGCAGCGCACTTCAATTTAAATGATGAGTACTTGCCATACAAGTACGCAATTGGTCAAGTGTTCCTTGATGTACGTTGTGTGCCCTTTTTCATTCTTGTTCCCCCTCTAAGCGGATCACACGTAGAAAAACAAGCAAATCGAGACCGTCGTCAATAAGCTTCATGAAATTGACACCCAATTTCGATTCTTTCGGATGGAACTCCTAGCAGGGAAACCCGATTATGTTGTCACACATGTTGGTCCAAATGTTATCACTTCTTGTTCTCAGCTCATTTCGTACCCCAGCACGAGTCGAATTGTCGCTTTACGTTTGATTTCTCTCAAGTATATTGGAATTCCCGATTGCATCCGGAGCACGACCGAATTGTAAAACTGTTGGACCCTTCAGACATATTGGCAGACGTCTTCGCGGGTGTCGGTCCCTTTGCTATACCAGCTGCTAAACTTGGATGTGGTATCTTTGCCAACGATCTCAATCCGAACAGTGCAAAATATTTGACTCAGAACGTCGTTAATAATAACGTGAGCATTGATGCAACCCAAACAAACGATGGCTTATACACGCCATAGGTGGAAGACCTTGTACGAGTGTCCTGCGAGGATGGTCGAACCTTTATTCGAGATGTTTTCATGCGACCCATAGAAAATCCATTTCAGCCGTATACCGGTCCCCGGAAGAGCAAGACACTGGAACGCAAGCTGCAGAAGCAAGCCGCCAAGAACTCGTCGACCCCCCAAAATCAAAGCGATCGTCTTGTGTTGCCACTACGTCGAACAATCACTCATTTGGTGATGAATTTGCCAGATTCAGCCATAAGCTTTTTGGATGCCTTCCGGGGGGTGCTCTCCACGCCAGTCCTTACCGAGCATTACACGAGAATGCCCATGGTGCATTGCCATTGTTTTACTCGGGAGCTCGAGGAAGACAATGCCCGAGTCGACATTCTCAAGGTGGGAATTTCCTTAATACTCGGCCTCCGCGTACCTGACTCTTGCCTACAGCGAGTTGAGCAGGTCCTTGGCCATTCTGTATCAGAAGATGTTTGCATCGTGCACATACGATCCGTAGCACCAGGTAAGGAGATGTACTGCATCAGCTTCAGGCTGCCTCGGGAAGTGGCCCTGGGCGAGGTAGCGGAGTCCTAAGAAGCGTGTCGCTACTCGTGTAGATAAGAATTTCGAATACGTTGAATGCTTTGGATAACGGGAGATGGACGGAGGTATCCGGAAGATACCGGTATGCTTTCGCTGATTCACGGAGAGGTTTTCTGAACTCTGGCCATGGTGAAAAGGTCCAAAATTGAGCGGAAATACAAGAAAAGGGTCTCATATTTTGTTGTATGCAAAAAAATACCGACGAAAGGGAATTGCTCTGAAAATATTTGGAGGAAGAGGCAGCCGCTTTGTTCCGTCCATTGTTCCGTTCGCATTTTGACACAAGTCACATGGCTTGAGTTAGGAGTTAACCCCGCATCTCTATTTTCGGTCCGACTCTGGAGCCCACAGAAAACACGATCACAGCGTAAATTTCTCTCCTCTCTACCTCCACCGTCGTTCCCTTCCACGATACCCTCTCCTTCCCTACCTTAGACAACGGCCAGCATGGTGTTCCCTTCAATTTTTCCAATTGCTCACTGCGACAATGCCCACCCGTCTTCGCTTGCTGCTAGCGCTCTCAACTCTGTTCGAACCGCGGTAGCCGTGCCAGAGTCCGAGCTTAGACGATGGCGGCGAACATTCGATGTCAACTCGAAGGAGGTCGGCGGTGACAAGTAAGTTCTTCGTCTCGCCAGAGACATGCCTTGTGTGACGTTGCACCCGTCAGGTACTTGGATCCCGAAAGCTTCGTCAACGCTATTGCGCCAAGAGATGACTCGTCAAAAATTGGTCGAGCCCAGTTTTCTATTCTTTTTCCGTGTGGCGGACACTGCAAAACGGGGATTGGTTTCTTGGGAGGACTTTGTGGTCTTCCAAACCGGTTTGAAGCGCCCGGACGCTGACTACTGGATGGCATTCCAGTACTTTGACGTGTCAGTATTCTGGTAGTCCGTATCCGAACTACTGCTCATATGTTCGTAGCGACGGCTCCGGTTTCATCGACTTTGACGAATTCAAGACCGTCTACAGTGCCAATATCCCCCCAGGCTCGATTCCATTCGACTTCAATTGGTGCGATATTTTCTATGTCCACCATGTCAAATTTATTTACTCATAACCAGTGACTGGGTTAAACTCTATCTCGGGAAAAAGAACGGGACACGTGTATTGGGATGTAAGCACCCAGGACCTCCTCGAATTCCACCATCATTAATGTCACGTTTCGTACAGATAACGAGTTTACACAACTTATGAAGGGTTTGCAAGGCGAACGTCTTCGACAAGCCTTTAGATTTTTAGACACCGACCAGGACGGATTTATTCGGCCCGAACAGTTTAAGCAGATCATTCTAGTACGTTTTATGGTTCGTGTTCGTATAATGGGACTTCTGAACAACTCTATTGCAGGAAATTGCTGGACATAAATTGTCGGATGCAGTTATAGACAGGCTCCCGACCCTTTGCACACTTACTCCAGGACAACGTATATCTTATTCGGAAGTAATCGCCTTCCATAATGTTATTAGAGGTTTGTCATTCCATACTGCCTCAAAGCATGTACTAAGACCGTGTCACTAGAAATGGATATGGTGGAACGGTATGATGTGTCTTCACTAGTGTCAATCGTATTTATTCTCACGCTGTATACAGCATTATTCGTGAGGCTACTGCGAAGAGCAAAGATGGGAGGATCGACCAATCAGATTTCCTCAACTATTCCGCGTCAAGTTCTCGTTACTCTCTGTTTACTCCAATGGAGGCCTCCATCATCTTCCACTTCGCAGGTCGTGGAAGTAGTACTCAACGTCTGGCATTGATTGATTTCGCTCAATTACTTGACCCAAGGTGGAAGGCCCCTCGCGAAGAAGTGGAAGCTAAAGCTCCTCATACCGAATCTTTCCTCAATTCAGTGCTCCATTCCTCGTACAATTTTGTATTGGGCGGTCTGTGAAATGGTCCTTCTACGGTAGTTCATTCACTCATACTGCATAGGCGTGGCTGGTGCATTTGGTGCAACGATTGTATACCCTATCGATATGGGTAAGTCCCTTAACTTTTTGAGTCCTTCACACCACTCACGCTTTGTTTAGTTAAGGTACACGTACTCCAGTTTTGCTCCAGTTAACTTTATTGATCTTTTCTTTAGACGCGGTAAGCAAAATATGGGTTTCATACAATGATGGCAGGATTTAAATGACATCATCAGCATGCAAAATCAACGAAGCACTGTTGTCGGACAACTTCTTTATAAAAACAGCATTGATTGTGCGCAAAAGATATTCCGTAACGAAGGGTTCCTCGGATTTTACCGTGGTCTTGGACCTCAACTTATCGTATGTAGCGTGGTATTTCTATTTGCATGGAATGCGATTTTAATTTTTGTTATAGGGTGTAGCACCAGAGAAGGCCATCAAGTTAACTGTCAATGACCTTGTCCGTTCCAAGACTATGGATCCCGAGACGGGACGTATCAAGTTAATTTGGGAGCTAGTGGCTGGTGGTACTGCCGGAGGATGCCAAGTGGTACGTGCAATGTCTTGATTCAATGGATGGAATGATTGATTTCGGCCATCAATCAGGTTTTCACCAACCCTTTGGAGATTGTGTTCGTACAAATAAGCCCTTTTAGGAGTGTTCAATCCAACTGAGATGACGTGCACACAGAAAGATCCGACTCCAAGTTCAAGGTGAGACTGCTAAGCTTGAAGGAGCAGTCCCGAAGGGTGCGGTTCACATCATTCGGCAACTTGGTGTCCTCGGTTTATACAAGGGAGCCAGCGCATGCTTAATGCGCGACATTCCTTTTTCCGCGATTTACTTTCCTGCGTATGGTCACTTGAAGTCGGACGTGTTCAATGAAGGATATAATGGCAAACAGCTGTCGTTTTTGGAGACATTAAGTGCTGCTGGGATTGCGTGAGCATCTTCATTGCCACTGATTGACACTTCATTGATCGATGCATATGCGGATGAAACAGCGGTATGCCAGCGGCGTATTTCACGACACCTGCAGGTATAGAACTTCTATGAAGCTATGCACCTTCGCGTCTGATCTAAATTTAGACGTCGTAAAGACTCGTCTTCAAGTTGAGGCCAGAAAAGGACAAACACACTACAAGGGGCTTCAAGATGCGTTTGTAAAGATCTGTGTGTCATTTTCTTCTCATGCACGTGGCTGATCGTTAACTTTCGTATCCAAGATCGAGAGGAAGGCTTTAAAGCCTTGTTCAAAGGAGGTCCAGCTCGTATTCTTCGGAGTAGTCCTCAGTTTGGGTTCACGCTATTGGCTTACGAGGAACTCAAGAAATCGGTGAGTGAATCCACGGTACACATCTAACCGGGTATTCTGACGTGATGGACCTATTTACTCTAGTTGCCCGTGAGTAATTCCTTGGCGTGCGCTAAACTTGATTGGCTAACAACGACCCCTTTGCAGTATCCATGGGCGGAAGCACCCCCGAAGGTTGAGACCGTCCTGACGTCCCGTCGCGACGAACTGTCTAGGATACGGGCGCGTAATGCCCTGAAAATTCTCTTGGATGTAAATGGAGACTTTGGTAGACGTGCATCAGCACTCAAGGTAGAAGGTAGATAGACCCGCCAATATATTGATTATGACTGGCTACCGCGGTTGACCAATAGTGAAGCGAGACCCGAGGGAAGGGAATGATGTTGAACATGTTGGGGCCCTGGAGACACCGAGATGGCCAGCATGATGGGCAGTGCCGAATCCGATCCATCAGATAGATCGTGTGGGACTCCTGCCCGGGAGCGCCTCAAATACCGCCGTCCACGATACCCTATTCTCTCACCCTTTTTCTCACCTTTCGTTCTTTTTGGTTTCGTTTTCGTTTTCTCTCCCCCCTTCTTTCGTTTTTTAGTGGTAGGTCGTCGCATCTATTGCGGTATCCGTGCACCATGATCTGACGCGCTGATCCACAGAGCGCTTGGTCTCAAGCTTTCCGCACATTTTCCCATTTTCACTGCAAGACAGTTGACAGCGCGTAGACCGCTTTTTCGTTCTCCAAATTCGCATTTCGTTTGAATACCACACCGGCCCCTTCGCAGTTCACTCTTTTCATCATGAAGTCAATTATCTTTGGTCTAGCTCTGGCAAGCACTGCCGTCGCTCAGGTGGTGAATGGTGGAGTGTCCATGGTTCCTGCAACCCCAACTCCGGTCGATAATGGTGCTGCCGCGTACTCTGCTCCTACTGCAGCTCCTTCCTCTTCCGGCTTTTATGATGTGATGCCCTATGATTCGTACACGAGCGGGGGCTACAAATCACTGCAGTGTGGATATGGTTATTACAAAGGTGGCGATGGTTCCTGTCAGACTGAATCGTGGGTTCGTATTTTTTTTTCTTTGATGCTCCAAGGTCAAAAGTCTAAAATTCATTATCAATTTAAGTATGATAGCACTGCGGTGCAGGGATGTTACGCCACCACTATCATCATTAAGTACGTCAGCTAAACCTTTCACTTCTTGTGCTTCTCTTATATTGATTTTAGCAACGGTGGAGGAGGATATGGCTACCAATCGGATTGCAATCAATATGCCTCAACAGTTACTCAGACTGTGACTGAGACAGCGTATAACACTGTGACTTATACGGCAGTATGTATTCATTATCCTTTCTGGTGGCCTATCGTCTCATACTGAGCAGACCGAGACACAAGTCGTCCCAACTACGGTCGTTCAATATGTTACACAAACGCAGACCGACGTCCAAATGGTGACGCAGACTGCCGTCGTTACCTCAGTTGAGATGGTCCCGACTACGCGCGTCTGGGTGTCGACAGAAACCATCGACAAAACCTCAGTGGAAGAGCACACTCTTACGGCTACAGAGACTCAGACTCAGACCAACGTCTACACCCAGACTGAAGTCCAGACTGCTACTGCGACTGAAACTCAAAAGGAGACTGAAACAGACTTTGTCACCAAGACTGAAGTGTCGACTGTTGTGTACCCCACCACGTACACCAGTGTTTGGGTTAGCACTCAAGTCATTGACAATGTGAGTATAGGTGACTACCATCCTAATAGTAGACTGATTTCCCCGTGCAGACCCAGACCGTACTACAGACCCAAACTGCCACCGTCACTGATCAGATGACTGTTGTTCAAACCTGCAACCGCTACGCTGAAGCAGACAGAAACAGCTGTTGTCACTCAAACTGAAGTGTCGACTGTCGTATATCCCACCACGTACACTAGTGTGTGGGTCAGTACCCAGGTCATTGACAACGTATGTCTATTATCGCTTCCTTGAAGACAAGACACTGATTCTTCGTAGACTAAAACTGTTCTGCAAACCCAAACCGCGACTGTTACAGACCAGATGACAGTTCTCCAAACCTCCACGGCAACTGCGACTGCGACTGCGACTCAGACAGAGACTGCCACAGCTACTACGACACAGCAAGTTTACAATACCGGTCTCGCTGATTGTTTGGGCAAGTGCAAGTCGTCTTGGTCACTCACCACAGGCAACAGTAATCCATACAACACGTATGGTTCTGCTGCTACGTCGTCGGTGTCCTGGGATAAGTCAAGTTCAAGTGCGGCTGCTGCACAAGCCACGTATGGTTCATCCGGTAATTCATACGGCGGCTCGTATGGCGGATACTAAGCCATTTCCCATCCAATTGCATTTGCATTGCTATCACGTCTCCAATTCACGTCTGTAGAGAATTTTGATTCGCTTTGGCTTACACAACCAACCTTTATACACCATGGACTCTATCTATACCATCGATTTCTGATTTTTTGACTGCTTTTAACAGTATTACGACGCTTAATTCGTATTCTGTCGTTTCGCAAAGGGTTTCATAGGGTCGATTCCTCGTTTGCTTCGATTACTTAGCTTGCACTGTATTTACTTTCGTTATACTGATGGGAAAATGGAATGCTTTGAGAAGCGCGTTGCATTCATATCTCTTCTTCCTCTTCTTAATAGCATATGGTCTTGGTCACAAAGGCTAGGTCACGACATGTCGTGCCTTGCTTGCGACACCTGTCGACATTTGCCTACACTTATTTAGACTGAAGTACTTACTGTGTAACGGTCCGTGCACAGCACTTATCTTCCCGTCAAGTCGATCGCAAAAATGCCTCTTCATATTGCCGACGATACCTTCACAGGATCCACACCAAAGCCAGAAGAGATCAAGCACGATTACTTGATCTTCTACTCCTCCATCAGTTGATGGTCAGCTCTGGTGCCCGGTAAAGATGTCTTGGCACGTTTGAGATTGAGCGCTAACACCCTGACTACAGGACTGTCGAGTCGTCGATGGGCTCATTAAAGATACCTTTGGATCAGATCAGTCTCCGAGCGCATTGATCATCTATGTTGGAGACAGACCAACGTTTGTCTTGTTTTCCAGAGCAATGGGAATACATCCGTGCTCATAGCCATTGGTCGCTAGGTGGAAAACTCCAGCCAACGAGTTTCGTGGAGATCCTTGGAAAATAGAGTCCATCCCTACGATCGTTAAATTGAAAGATGTATGTTGTTCCAGTCCTCTTTTCTTTGTGTTGTACGTTGAGTCAATATCTATATCTTTGCAGGGCATCGAGGCGTCGCGCCTCGTGGATAGTGAAATTTCGGCGGGTCTCCAAGAATTTATTCAGTCCGCCTGAGCCAAGTACCACGATGAAAAGTCGTATTTTGACTATTAGCGTCATGTCCATCATCCCTTAGTCACAGGAGAATATTATATATGACAGAGCTGTCTATATTTTACTGGTTAATCCTGACGATCTTAGCACAATCTCTAGGACCTGTAGGGAATACCATATGTTTATGACGATCAGTCTGATTCTACATACATATGTAACTGAAGACTAAAGGGTCATTTAGACAGTGCATGATGAGTATCTACATTTCGAACGAAATCCCCGCTCTTTCCACCTGACTTCTCCATAACAACGATTTCTCCGATCTCCATCTCCTTCCCGGCCACAGCCTTCAGCATGTCCCATACAGTCAGCAATCCAACTGACACAGCAGTTAGAGCTTCCATTTCTACGCCAGTTTTGCCATCACAACATACCGTCGCACGACACAAAACACTATGACGTTGGATGTCGTGCGATGGTGACTCGGGTGTCAGCGATACGGAAACGTTGGACAATTGAAGGGGATGACAAAGCGGGATGAGGTCTGATGTTTTCTTGGACCCCATTATAGCTGCAAGCTGTGCGACAGTAAGCGTGTCGCCTTTCCGGCGAACTTTCTGTTTTGCCTTCTCCAAGACCGCCGAAGGTTCTTCGCCGCCCGGGTACGTCGAAGTTAGGAGTTCGTAAGCAACGAGAGGGATGAAAATACGCCCGGTTGCTGTGGCAGTACGCTGTGTAACTTCCTTCGAGGACACATCGACCATGCTGGTACGTCCCTGGTCATTGATGTGAGTGAGACGAGGTAGTGATGGAGGGACCGGGGAACTGTAGTGCCGACATCGAAGACCATGCAGTTTAAGGTTGACCTTCCGACTTGACAGACGGGGAAAGGAAAAGGCAGACGGACCTGACAGTGGGTATAAAATCAGAAACATGGCCAAATCCATCAAAGACTTGTCTACTGAACAATGAATGGGCACTCAACCACCTATCAGAATCATCGGGCGATTCGTAATTACATCAATATCTTCCATATTTGCATGTTTTTCCTGTTTGCCAGATACTGCTTTGCCGATCACCTGAAGGAGTTCGTTGTCGGTGGCGCCGTCTCGCATCGCATCTCTAAGAGATATTTCCTTCGCATCAAAGAGGCAAACCTACAAAGAAGGTCAAAATTACACTGGTAATAACAAAGATCCACTCATTGACCTTGATCTGACCGTCTGCAGTTATCCTCAGGCGATTACAGGAGGAACAAAAGTGGTCTGACATGCTACTGATGAAGCCAAAGGTTCCCTTGTAACCAGGTACTCGCCATGAACGTGCAGTGTCGTTCGCATCGTCGGAAACTCTCTCGATATCGGGATGACGCAAGATGATTTTATCGAGAAGTACATTTGACGGAACCATCTTGTGTTTATCCCAAGCATTGCCTATGCACCGATATCAAATATGCCTCAGGTCATATGCAGAGTTACACGGACCTGTGAATGGCATAAATTCAATAAATCGGACAGACAGCAATCGCTCTTTTGTCATTTCAATGAAGTCGAGTACCTCCGAATCATTGAGGCCCTTGATGACAACAACGTTCAGCTTTACAGAAACAAGTACCCGTGAGGCGAGGGCAACATCCAAAGCTTTCAGAACGGCCTCGTGGCCTCTTCGGCGAGTCATGAACTCAAACTTATACGGGTCCAAAGTATCCAGGCTTGGAACACTCAGATTCCATACGCATAACTTAACAACGCAGGACGTCTCTTACCTTAAATTAAGATGGGTTAAACCCTGGTCAATCAAGGCCGGAAGTCTTCTTGGAAGAGCGAGTCCATTTGTAGTCATAGCTATGGATCGTAAACCATATGGGCGCAGTTCATTCAGACCACCTAGCCCAGATTAATGAAGGAGCTATAGTGATGAGAACTTAGAACACACCAATGATCTCATTCAAACCTTTTCGGACTGTTGGTTCTCCGCCGGTCAATCGTATCTTTGTAACACCACTTTTAACAAATAACGCCGCAAGACGAAGAACTTCTTCGTTTGTGAGAAGATGACTTTCAGGGGACAATTCGATTCCTTCCTCAGGCATGCAGTAAAAACCTGAGTCCGTTGAGACACGATTCCATATATGAGGCCGAATATAACGTACATCGCAAATTGCACCTCTCCGTCAGAGAGATACGTAGATAGTCGTGTCGTCGGCGGAAAGTGTCAATTAATGCGGGCGAAAAGGGAGAGACGGCGTCGACGTGGGATATTCTGGCCTATACAATTGTCAGTAAAGACAGCGATCATCCAGGTCCTAATATTACCTGTGCTTGAGCCTTGAGATCCGATTGCAAACACAACGAGGTCATAAGGGTGCGCCGATGAGCGGTCCAAAGGGACACCGAACGGATTCTGCTCCATTGCATCGTCGCGATAAGTGAGCACGCTATTCCTGATGTCCAGAGATTATGGAGACGGCATTGATAGCTAGCACGGGCAGCCTCGCTGGTCGTGGCAGTAAGAAGCTATCAAGGTCCACGCGAACGTAAGCAGCCACAAAGCTTCCATAGGGGCGTGTCCTGTACCATCATCATGTCGGGATTTTTTTTCTGGCCACTGGTCTTTCTTCTGCTATCGCTTCTGCTGGGTTCTTTTCGGTTAGACGTCGCACCGTCATTTCCTGCGACATACGTCGAGAGCGGAGTGAACGGTTCTTTTGAACGGGTTGGATTTCCTGATCCTGATCCAAACGGACACCCTGATACCACCGCGGTGATTCTGAACTGGTCTCGGTTTACCAACGTCGTCAAAATAGTTTCTCTGCTTTGTGGTCCTTCTCTTGAAAATACAATCCATACCGTATTTGTGTGGAACAACAGTCCGAATCAAATCTTCGAATTTGTTTGCCTTTTTTGTGTTTGTTCTTACATTCTCTCAAAAGTCACGTCTTCGTAATAGGACTTCGCTCCATGTACAGGGAGTAGGCTAAGGGTGTACAATGCACCTGATAATCTGTATTTCCAAGCCAGATTTATGGCATGTGCTCAAGTCTCGACACCTTTTTGTTTTGTTCAGGTGCGTGGGATTCGTACCGTCCGGTGGGGTCGGTCACCCAAGCCAAATTTCTAGGATGATGACTACATAGTATTACCGGAAGTCATCCTTGCGATGCGCGCACGTATGTCTTCGTCATCGAAGACAGGTATACATTTGCTGCCTGCACACGAATTACTATCAAGTCAACTGCGAAGACTTGACGTCGGATCAAGCATCCACACATCCTTCGCTTGGCTCGGCCATGGAGCAATATTTCCTCGATCCCTTGCTGTGGATTTCTTATCTCTTTTGAGGCTTCTTCATCTCACAGAAGATGAAATGAAGATGGTGGACAATTACTTTACAATCTTACGCAATGAGTATCCAGAAGTCTGGTTTGATCAGGGTATTGAACTCCAGGGCGGCAAGCCATTTACTGTAGGCACCGAAGGGAACGAACGTAATCGAAAACATATCGTAAGTTACCGTCGTTGTACCTAATATCAGCTGTTCAGCTGATTTTTTGACTCTCAGAACAGGGCTACGGAGTTGCTTTCCTCGATTATTGCCTGCGAGAGGACTCCCTGTCTACCCGGTGTTGGAGATATTCCGTATATTCAGTACAGTTTACCGTCTTTGCCAAGGACATCTGTCTCTCGCACGTCTTGCAGGGGACTGCCTTGTGTTCTAGAAACCTCAATCAGACTTCTTCCTGAGATAGTCGATGTATCTTCTGCGGACGTCTTCACTCGAGAAGACAGCAGTCTCTTGTTGGAAGAAGATACAAAGCACTATCTGCTCTACCCTCTGTCTCATGCAGTTGATACTCGAGCGGATACCGCTTTCCGCAGCTTAACAGGTGAAGTACCGTCCCGGACATTAAAATTCAATGAATTGAGCTAGTCCTTAGGTGGAAAAAAAGGGGATGCAATATCTCTAGATATGCTACGAGACCTGGATAGTGCCTGGACAGAAATTCACATGGTGATTTTGACGGATAATGCTACGGTGGCGATTCTTCATAAGTCGCATTTTGAAATGTACTCCCCTTTCACCAAGTCATGGGTACTGCATTTTCATCATTGTACTAGCCGGTGTCATTAATTGCGAAAGGTCAGGTGTCTACAATCCATAATATGTCCTGCGTCGACATAGCAGGCAGAACATACGCCCCAGCGGCTATGAGAGAGTGTAGTATCCGTATGTCGTCACCAGAATTCAGCGACAAGAGGCATTTATACGAGGTCAATGGGCATTCTTTCAGAGTTATGCTTTCAGATGACATGGATGATTCAGAAAAGTGGTGTATCTACGAGATATGGATGCGTGGTATTGCCAAGCAGTAGTAGAACATGCTAAATACTTGCTTCGAGAACGTGGAAAGTACCAAGAAAGTACTATGGATAATAGATCGCGCGTAACCCTAACCTTACTCTTGCGGAAATACGTCACGAACTGATTGGAGTTATAGCGGGGTTTCACTCATACGTCTCTTGACTTCTACCACGATGTATTGCACTACAGCTTCCAGAGCAGCGTCTTCTCTTGCTGCAACGCGTCGATCCATCTCAGTCCAGGTAGCTATCCATCGTTAGATGAATGTTCTGAAGATTTCAACCTCATGGCAACGCAGTCTTTGTTACACGGGTCCCCAGAGGCCAAGAAGGCTGGTGAGGTTGACATTCTCCAGCATTCCCGTCTTGTTGGTCGCGGCAAGTATGTTCACGGTTTTGAAGGTAAGTCTCTTGTCGTTTCCCAAATGGTGACGTGTCTGGAATCCACTAGTACACCGCGTCAAGTCCGACAAAACAGAGGAATACAAAGTTGCAGCGTAAGTAAAGCCTTGACACTCACCAATACCCTATTTTGACTTCCGAGTAGCGAGAGATATTACACTGGTCTTCTCAAAGACCCAGAAATGAAGGTCAAACTGACCGGTAGCTGGGAGACCCTCGTCGGGGAACAAGACACGTTCTTTCACATCCTCGAGTATGAGAACTATGGTGGATATGACAAATCGAGTGCACTGGCGCGGACGTCTGAGGTATCTGTCTGTTGATTCAACGTGATGTCTCGGAAATCATGAAGGATGTTCACAGCACTTGAAAGCGTATCGAGCGATGTTGCCGTTCATCAATTCACGCTCCTCTCAGCTAAACCAGGAGTTTGCATTCTTCCCGACCGCTCCACCGCGTGCCCAAGGTGGTATTTTCGAGTTGCGAACGTATCAGCTCAAAGCAGGCACTCTGTTGGAATGGGAACATACCTGGTCCGTTGCCAGCGGTCCACCTGTTTCTATTCGGAATGAAAATTGACGTGTATTTATTAGGCGAAGGGGCATCGAGGCCCGGCGCAAGCACGTCGCTCCAGTTGGTGCATGGTTTTCGCAGGTCGGAAGACTCAACCAGGTCCACCATATGTGGCAGTATCCGTGAGTGTCACTCATATAGCTTCGGGACCGACACTTATCTCTCTTGGCGCAGAAATCTGGAGACTCGGAAAGAGACAAGAGAGAATGCGTGGCAAATTGATGGGTGGGCAGAAACGGTAGACAAAGTGCGTTTTGATCGATTTGAATTTAGTTGTGTAATTCCGCTCAAACAGCTATTTCAGACGTCGCAATTGGCCAAGTTCATGGATTCGTTCATTCTCGCCCCTTTGCCGTATAGCCCATTGAAGTAAGGGTCGAAACAGACAGGAACCAACGCGTAATGAATGAACTGTCATGGATCTCTGGGCGGTGGCTGGCTGTGCGCTGAACACGATATGGGATAAGACAAATGTGGACCCACTTGTATTAGCATGCGTTACGACGGCAATATGTGAATATACATCTCTTTTTAGGACTGACAATGAAGCGAAGTGACGCCAGAAGGCACCGAGTGGCAACCATGTTCTGCCGTCGAGCAACACGGGAGCCGACGGTGATTGCAAGAGTCCATTCGGTTCATGGTCAGGACGGAAAATACGTCACAGGCTCAGTGCTCGGACACGTCGCCCGATCGGCTCACGTCGGACCGGAGTTCACGCTGATTGGCTTGTCAAGCCCCATGTTACGTTGGGCACGTGAGTTTTGAAGAGAGACACTTGTCGGGATCGACATCCTATTCGATGTTAATGTCCATTAATAACCGGCTCTAGCTTTCTTTTCTTGACACCACCATCACCTTCCCGTCTTTCCCAACATGGACTGGCATGATTCCGACCCCTCTGACGACGAAGTCAACCACGACTCCCAGGCAGCCTCCAGAAAGAGGAGCAGTAGAGGTATATGACTCGGCGATCTGAGTTAGGAGTCCCCTGACCTCTTTTTTTCGCAGCCTGCGACCAGTGCAGAAAGACAAAGAGTAAATGTGAAAGAGGTGCTGCAGACTCTACTCAGTGTAAAAGCTGCGCGCAGGCAGGAACAGGTCAATATCAGTCTCTACGTTGTGTGTGAAGACTTATCTTGGTTTTTGAGCAGCTTGTACATTTCTTGGTACGTTCCTACATAATTCAGTCATCGATGCTTTTTTACTTTTTTCTTAGGCCCGAGCTATAAGCGGGGACCGCCGAAGGGGTATATCCATGCCATTGAGCAGCGATGGCACCAAGTCGAGTCCCTCTTAGGCGCGCTCATGCAATGCAACGACCCTCGTGTGCAGAGCATCGTTACCGATTTGCGCCAAGATGACCTCGCTCGGGAAATTCTAGGAAGGGTTGATTCAGGTCCTTATGTGAGCCTCGGGTTTCTTCACTCAGCTCCTGCCGAACCTACTGTCAATATCTGTAGGGTCCTTCCGGTCGTCGAAATCAACGCTCAGGTGCAACCAAAGAGGACTTTTTTGCGTCTGTCCTGAGAAGTAACGAGACGTCTCCTGCGCGGGATCCTTCAAGGTCGCGAAGACAATCTAGGGTATCGAGAGAAAAAGTCTCCTCAGCTCAAGGCAAGTCCTCCCAGTCTGTCTCAGATCCATGACAGTTGTAATTCGTCATAACTGCAGATAGAGGACTTTCTGTAGTCCCCACCCAAGAATGGCAGGATAACCTTGCCGCCCGGCTAGCTTCTGGGTTGGCATCCTCGTCGGCATCTACGCCATCTATTTATGGAGCGCCCTCTGGTTCCTCCAGTTCTATTGATGGCACGGAGCCGGCCACCCAGAGGCGTCGACTGAATGTTGCCTCTACTGAGTCTCGTGTTGCGAATCCCGATTGGAGTCGGATGTACACTATGGAACCGTTATCCGGCAAGCATGCGGTTACGTTGAACCCAGGGCAAGTTCTGATCGTTCACTTATAGAAAGCGAAGACCGTGAATCATTGAAAGACGCCACGGAACATATGGGCCAATTATCTTTGGACGAAAACCAAGAGGTACCGGTTTATCCGTGTTTACGTTGCAGAGTTAATATGTGCTTTTTATCAAGCTTCGATATCATGGCAAAGCGAGCGGTCTTCATCTTCTTAGCAGGAACTCGCGGACCGATGATCGAAACGACGGAGGCGTATGGTGAGAGCCATCAATCTCAAGGAACTAGTCCGAACTAAAACAAACTTGACGTAGGAAATTGCCTATGGCAAGGGTCTGGCCACCGTCTAAGGATCATATACTACACCTCATTCAAGAAGAAGATATCGAAGTGCAGCTGCCTCCTTCGCACATCCAAGATCGGCTCATCGAACTGTACTTCGTGTACATTCATCCCGTGTTTCCCCTTATACATAAAGGTCGCTTTTTACGGGAGTATCGTGCCTTGTAGGTGCCATAATTTCTGATTGGAGAAACTGCGCTCAAATATTCCCAGGAGACAAGGGTATGCAAGATGGACGCAATTGCACGAAAACAGTGACTGGTTTCTGACTTACTCTAACAGCGAATCGTTGCAACAAGATAGTCCGAAGCCGTCAGAGACTGGATCATCGCCAAAACCAGAAGCTACTCAGAAACTGTCCGCGTTGCTTCTTCTATCCATGTTCGCTATCACTGCTCGATTTTCTGATCAAGACATGCCCCTCCCTACGAACGGAAAGATGTGGGAAGCTGGCCGTAATTATCAGGAATCGGCCAAGAACATACTCAGTGAGTTAGGGGTTTCTGCAGCGACGGCTTATTTCTCATATAAGCGAATAGCCAAAATCTTCCACCGGTCACGACCTACTACCGTTCAGGCTCTTCTTCTATTGGGATATCGTGAGTTTGGCATCGGCAGTATGGAGCAAGGATGGATATATATTGGTATGTTTCTTATTTTTGGCTGATCATGGACAGACAGCAGTTGACCTCGATAATACAGGCATGGCCATACGCATGGTATATTATGATAGCTTGTCACAAGAATAGACACTTACGGTGCCGACAGGCGATTGATTTGGGACTAAATCGTAACTCCGATCATTGGAAAATTCACGGCGAAGACATGTTCTCGCCCGAAGAGACCCAGACTCGACGACAGATCTGGTGGGTATGTACACTTGCGGACAGGTGGGCCATAGTTCCTCGGCATTTTAAACAAAGATTGACATGATACAGGTATGGTTCAATATACATGGGTAAGGAAATATCTTTGTTTGAATCTCTCTCGGAACTTACCAATTCAATAGGGCGTCCAATTATTATCAGAGATGATGACTTTGATACTCCCTTACCGGAGGTGAACCAAGTGAGTCTGAATTTCAGGGGTAACACAATGAACGTTTGACATATCACTTCATGATCAGGCTGATGAGCAACAACCTTGGCGACCGCTACCATCAGATTCGACAAGTGCTGCCTATCCCCCCACTCCCAATGCGGTGATGTACTGTTTCCGCGCCACCGCCACCCTCTGTAACCGTTCCTGCAAAATGATATTCGCGGCTACTAACAGAGACTTCTAGGCGTTATTTTAGGTGCCATAATATCCAAAATCTATCCTGTACGCGCCACACCAGGGGTCTCTCGTCGTGCCTTGTTGTCTAGCTTTGAGTCCCAGCTGGATCAATGGTACATCAGTTTACCTGAACATCTGCGATACGATACTGCCAATCGGCGTAAAGTCCCGCCGCCGCACATTCTTTTCTTGCACATCAGGTATTGGGGGTCCGTCCTGTTACTCAACCGAGCGTTGTAAGCCATATCTGTATTGTTTCTGTTAAGAAACGTCCATTCACTTTTCCCGGCTAGCATTCCTAACTGGAAAGGGTGATTATTTCGTTATTGTATGAGTTTGGATAGCGTTACTGACCTTGTTTTCCAGCGGAGAATTCACTTCCCGACATTCCACATTGGAGTTGAAGGCATTTGACCTAGCGCAAGGCGCCGCTAGCCATATTGGTTCCATCGGTAAGTGTGCCGTGCAGTCGGCAATTCTGGCTATTCAAACTTCCCACTCGCCAGTCACGGTATACCGGGAAACGTTTACACTCAAACGCTGTTCCCCGTTCCTTACATCGTACATATTCAGCGCTGGGTACGTCTTTTCGCGAATGAGATTGTTTACTAGCGCTTATCACAATGGCAGCATCATGCATGTTTTGACATGTTCGTTCATTACATATTCAATTTTCACTGGGTGATTAAAGGGCTGATCTTTCCTTTACTAGTAACTCTACGGCCGTCGAATGTCCAGGCATCTCTGGGCTTGCGTCAATGTATGGCAGCACTGAAGGACATGGAGGTATGTTTAGGCAAGAGCCGTGATACGAATCAATGCGGGGCTTATAATATTCTTATAATAGGTGGTTTGGCCCAGTGCCTCACGCGCATGGGATCTACTAAATGGGGTACAGCTGACCTTCGACAATGCTCAGACATCGGAGGACTCAAACTCTCCTGGGCGACATAAGCGACAAGCAGACATCGCGTTCGCTCAGGAAAAGTCGTCTGACTATTTGCAACGAGAGGCGTTTGGAGATCTCAATGGACCCCCGCAGCAAGAGCAGGCAGAAACAGGGGTGCAAGACCTGAGCACGCGGATCATGGCACACATGCTAGGCCTGGATATACCGGGAATCGAACCCTCCACATCGTTTTATCCGGGCTATGAATGGTGGCCCCGGAACGGGCAGAGTCAGGGCTCGCAGCCCATGTCTCCTGTAGTAGCGCAAGGGCCCACAGTGGATGCGAATCCCGTGGTTCCGCCGCTGAATGAGTTAGACTTTGGAGGAGGAGACTCGCGACAGGGCGATGAGTGGCTGCAAAGTAATGTAGGGGCAGGGGGGCTCCCGTATCCATATAATTTTAATCAGTATGGTCTATAGACCCCTAGACGCGCTGTAATATACAGTAGCTGCTTGTTGTGAGTTGTGTTGTCCTATGTATTTTCTTGTCACATTGTATTTCTACGAGAATAGGCGGTGTGACTCAGCCGAAGACGAATCTGATCGGAGAGATCGAGATCTATGGGGCATATTATATAAGCCGTGGGTGGGCTTATGGGTCCAGTTTGGTCCAGCTTACCCTTATCTCAAAGGAGCTTCTTCATCCCCCTCCATGGCGAGTCTCCGTAGCATACTCAATCCCGACGATTCAAGACAGGCGTCGTCTAGGTAGGCGGCCGCCGTCGTGCTCGCCGTGCACCGCCCTTACTCACCATTCTAGACTTCACATAGACGGCGAGGCTCACTCGCCGTCCGCCCTGGAGCTGCCATCCTCGCCCGCCTCAGTAGCTAGTGCACATACAGTTGACGCCCTAGGCGATGTTGGAGACGTGGATCAGCTGGATCCCGAACCCGAGATGCCGCCATGGCAGTACCAAGACCACGAACCGCACCCCAATTGCCCCGACACGCTCGACTGTTTGCCTGATACAGATGGACGCCCTCAGCATACTCTCCCCGTCATCTTGCGATGTGCCATTTTGGGTAGCCCACGCAAGCGTCTCACCATAAGGGAAATTTATGCCGCGATGGAGGGGAAGTACGCCTATTATAAAACGGCGGGTCCGACGTGGAAAGTACGTGATTTCCCCCTTGCCGTGCCACAGTAGATCTTATATTTGTTTTTAGCAATCCGTTCGACATCATCTATCGTTGAATCGTCTATTTGAACGCCAACCCCGCCCCGTAACTGACCCTGGTTTCGGCTCATATTGGACTGTAAATCTTTTGGCTCCGCCGGGTACGAAGCGACCGCGAAAGCGGGGTAGGCCCAACAAGGACAAAGAAGCAGAGAATCAGGCCAAGAAAAGAGGAAGGCCTCGTAAAGATGGTCCGTATTCCGAATCCACTCACGCAGACCGATCTATGCATGACGATGATGATTATGAAGAGGACGGCCAGGTTTCGGATGAAGATGAATTCGAAAGCGAAGATGACGTTATGCATTCATACGAGCGACGTCCATCTCTTGCCGGCTCGACCCATTATCCGCTACCCTCTACCTCCTCGTCTCGGAATCCATTCCCCGAACAAAACGACGAAGCTAAAAACATCATCGAGCGACTGCAAATCGAGGTGGCCGGGCTTAGACGCCAGTCTGCAGAGGCTGTGTCCCTATCCATAAGACTCACTGACCAGCTCGCCCAAGCACAGGCGGAGGCGTCCCGGTCCAAGTCTACGTTGCGGACGGTGGAGGCCATGTTGGAAGAAGAGTCGAGGAAGAGAAGAGAAGCAGAGAGGGACGCAGACGAGGAGGCAGAATTAAGGCGTCAAGCAGAGGAGCAACTGGACTCACTTCGCATGCGTTGGTCGAGTGCATCACGACCTTCGTAACGGTGAACGCGGAGCAGTCGACCAGAAGCATTATTCAATTAATTTTATCACTATAGGTTTTCAGCTTATTTCGGAGTCCAGGGGACCTTATGGCTTTTTTCCTTTCTACAGGTGTCACACAAGTTGTGTGTTTTTGTATTTTTTACACCTGTGTCCCGCAATGTTCGGTCAATATCGGTCAATACACGTACGGCGCAGATATCCACTCAAGTGCCTTGATCACTTATCGCTTTTGGTGAGTCAAGGAACGTAGTGACTCTTGGGCATGGAATCCGATGGGGGAAACTCCGATAAGGCCTAGGACTATATCTGTAGATCACCACCCTTCTTGAATAGATGACTGGGAAAGGTGTGCTACCAATGCTGCATATGGCATTTGAGGTGGAACAAAGGAATGATGATCCAGTCCTGCGGTCTCCGGACACGCTAGCAGTGGGTGATGTGGGTACACGAATGAGACAGTGATACATTCTGATACATCCTGACTCTGGAAACCATGCGCTCTCAGCTGGTGACTCCGCCGGTACTCCGTACTAGGGCATTTGATGAAACAATAAAGTGGCCAAACTCACGCTAGCCAGCGGATATATATTAATGAATACCATATTGGAGTTCGAAAGTTCCTTTGGACCGGCGACATGGGAAAGAGAACCAACCAAACATCAGCCAAAATCATTTTGAGCGAGCGCCCCAGCCAGAAATAGCTGTTTGTTACACTGCCGTCGAAAAAGGCAAGTAGGTGATGTGACAATTATTTCGAAATCACCGACTTATGAGAGTCACACTATCGGGTAACTCCGAACTCATTCAGCTTTTTTCTGTTCGACGATGGCCATTCCCACTGCGGGGCGTCCGAAGCTCAAGACCGCGTACGTATTTTTCAGTGATTGTGTTACATCTGCTGAAATGAATACAGATTCAAAAAAGCGCGTACGGTTCCCCCGCTGTACACGGGAGGACCCGTTGCAGTCCTTCCAGATGGACAGAGACTCGTGACTTGCACTGGAGAAGAGTTGTTATTGACTGAGGTGTCGACGGGCACCCAAATATGCACCTTTGCGGGTGTGAGTATCTGGTACTATTTTTTGACTTGACACTAACATGTGCATAGGACACACAATCGGTAACATCAATATGTGTTTCCCCTTCCTCGACACACCTTCTCGTTTTTACTTCTTCGCTTTCCCTTCGTATCTTTGAACTTCCACGGTCGCTAGATTCCCTCGAAAAACCGATACAGCCGATCCGCGTGATAGCCAAAGCCCACGACGCCCCGGTCCACGTTTGTAAAACTGATCCTACGTCCACCTACCTCGCTTCTGGCTCTGCGGATGGTGTCGTCAAAGTATGGGATATCCTTCGTGGATATGTGACGCATGTGTTCAAGGGTCACGGGGGCGTAGTGAGCGCTTTGACGTTCAACTATCCCCAGGACTCGTCTGTAAGCCAAAGAACCCAAATGCAGCTTATTACTGCATCCGTAGACACTCGTATACGGATTTTTGAGCTCTCAGAGGCATCCCGAGCAACTAGCAAACCGGGTGCTGTGCTTGAAGGACATGTTTCTGTCCCTCGGGGTCTGGACGTGTCTTTGGATGGGAAGTGGTTGGTTAGTGGAGGGCGAGACTCAGTCGTTCTTTTATGGGACCTCTCATCGTTGAGTCTTGTCCACTCTAGTGCCAAACGAAAGGGGAAGAGCAAGGAAACTGCTCCCCGATTGCTGAAGACGATTCCGATTCTGGAAAGAGTGGAAGCGGTGGGACTGTTGCATGATGAGGATTTAACAGGTACTTCGTCAGACCCGAAGAATGTACGCTTCTATACTGGAGGAGAGAATGGTGTCGTAAAGATTTGGGATGCAAGGGAAGGCAACGTGCTGTTCACTCTCGGGACCGAGCATTCTCAAATTTCGGCTGACCAAGAAGAGCAGCGCCAGATTGTTGATGTTCAGTAAGCTACTCACTCTGATAACTCGACAGTGTGCTGATAGCATTGCCAGATATAATGCGGCAACATCAACCCTCGTATCTGTTCATGCTGATCAAAATATCTTGTTCCACTCTCTCACCTCGCATTCTCTCACCCGTCAACTCATTGGATACAATGACGAAATTGTCGACGCAACATTCCTTTCACCCCTTGGAGCGTCCTCCAGAGACTCACACCTGGCCATTGCAACTAATTCGTCCCTCGTTCGAGTGTATTCAACCTCGTCTCTCGATGCTCGTCTGCTCGAAGGGCACAAAGAAATCGTTCTGTCGGTTGACCACAGTGCCGACGGGCGTGTATTAGGCAGCGGAAGCAAAGATCGTTCTGCAAGGATATGGGCGCCCAGCGCATCAGATGAGGCCTACCGCTGTGTTGGCCTGTGTGAAGGCCACGCTGAAAGCGTTGGGGCTATCGCCATGTCTCGCAAGGCTGATGAAACCAACTCTCCCACCAAGCTGCGATTCATGTTCACAGGCAGTCAAGACCGGACCATAAAAATGTGGGATCTTTCCACGGTACCGTCCACATACACGGAGGGTTCGGATGTCGTTCGGTGCAAGAGTCTGTTGACGCTGAAAGCGCATGAGAAGGACATCAATTCTCTGGATGTAGCTCCGAATGATTGTATGCTTGTGTCGGGGTCGCAGGATCGTACCGCTAAGGTGTATGCCATTGAGTACAGTGGTGCAAACGGGGAGCTGAAGCTCTTGGGCACGTGCAAGGGTCACAAGCGGGGCGTGTGGAGTGTCAAGTTTGGCCGGGCCGAGAGGGTGCTGGCTACAGGGAGCGGGGACAAGACCGTCAAGCTATGGAATTTGGACGATTTTTCATGCGTCAAAACTTTTGAGGGTCATACGAATTCTGTTTTGAGGGTCGATTTCCTAAACTTGGGAATGCAGCTGGTCAGTGCAGGGTCGGACGGATTGGTGAAGGTGTGGAACGTGAGGGAAGAGGAATGTATGGTGACTTTGGATAATCATGAAGATAAGGTATTTTGTGCCTCGTTTGGGTGCTTTACGGTCTTGTGACTGACGCTTCTTCCAGGTCTGGGCTTTAGCCGTAAGCGCCGACGACCAAACTATCGTTTCCGGTGCCGCAGATTCTGTCATTACCTTTTGGCAAGATAGCACTCAGGAGGAAGACGAAGCGAAGGAGTCAAAGAAGGCCGACCTAGTCTTAAAGTGAATTTTTTCTTCTATTTTTTGGTCTGCTGTGTGCTGATATAAAAATAGGGAACAGGATTTTACCAACTACATATCCCTGAAAGACTACCGCCGGGCCATTGAGCTCGCCCTGGCGATGGAGCAACCCGGTCGATTGCTGTCATTGTTCAGGGACGTGCGATCATCTCAAGATGAAACAGGTTCGGTTTCGGGCAATGCCTCATTGGACCAGGTGATCCGGACGTTGCATGGGCCAGATCTCGCCAAGCTGCTGCGGTACGTTCGGGACTGGAATGCAAATGCGAAGACGAGTGCGGTAGCGCAAGGAGTGCTGTTTGCCATTGTCAAGCTGAGGTCACCGGAGGACGTGAGCAAGGCATTCCAGGTGAACTTTGGGCAAGAGGGTGAGAAGGGCAGCTCGGCCCTGAAGGAGCTGATTGATGCGCTGATACCGTATACGGAGCGACACCTTTCGCGAACGGAGAGGCTGGTGCAAGAGAGCTACATGGTGGATTACATCTTGGGCGAGATGGATGATGGGATGTTCGACGGAGATGATGGTAGCATGGAAGTCGACGAATCGTTGTATGTATAACGGTGCCACTAAAAATATTGTATTTGATACACAGTAGATATATTTCTGTTCAAAAATCAAAGTCCCCATCTAGTGAGCCCAAAATGTTCTAGGACCCAAACCCAAAGCCCAGAATATTGTACAGGAGAACAGTCAGCCCTCCTGTATCCTGCCGACGCGGCAACCGAAGACACTGTTAAGGACGAGCACCCAGTCACCAGGCTTGACGTTGTCAAGGGTGAATGCATGGTCATCTGGGGCCTCTCTTATGCGGCCCTGCTCAAGCATCCACCGCCTGAGGACACCGGGAAGACAACCCGTGCTGAGTCGAGGTGTTATCCAATGAGGGGAGCGGTAGAAAGCAACGTTGGACACAGATGCCTCGGTGATGTCGCCGTGCTCGTTGTGGAGGATGACCTCTGAGAGGGCTGACAAGGTACCGACTGGCGGGAGGGCAGCACGCGATCTGGCGTCGTCGTAGACCTGACGACGGGTTGTCTTGGTCGATGTGAAGAGAGAAGTGGGCGTGGGCTGGGTGTCAAGGGTGACGGCGAAGACCTGGCCATAGAGGGTGCCGCTGTCCGAATTGGGCTTGAAGAACGCAGGCGACGTCGGATCGTAAGCCAGTGGCGGAGTGGGTGTCGCAGAGGCTGTGAGGGCACCCGACTCTGAGAGGGTTACGCGCACCTTGTTCGAGTCAGTTTCTATACCGACAACGAGCCAAGAATATTTCACCTTGTATGCCCTTGCTGACTTGTCTGCTGCGTTATTTACCGCCTCCTCCGCCGCCGTCTTCAATGCAGCATATGAGAGGTTCACAGCCTCTGTCCAGCCGTGCTGCTCTGCAGCAGCAACAAGGCGATCGTAGTGATATCGCAGGAGCAGAAATGGGGACGGTTGCAACTCGTCGTAGTTCCATCCCAGCCGCTCTAGCAGTGGGTCGTATCGCGTTGCCAGTAGCAGCTCGTAGTCTGCGGTGGTCATTGCTAAGTAAGTTGTCACACGCAAAGTACTACGCGGTGACTTGTCACCCTTTTAACAAGCTTTTGATATTAATTACTCCCCCCGGTTCACGCTGGCCGTAATTCCGCCTTTCTCTTTCACGTTGGAAGATCCATTTCTTGGGGGGAAGATTCTCGCCAAGGACCCGTTCCTCGGGGTCTTCGGGCAACAATGTACGCGAGGGAGCAGATCGGGCATGTCAACAACACTCTAGAGTTATTTTTGCGTTTGCTATTCCTACTACTGACAGATCCTTTTAATATTAATATGACTGAAACACAGATATCGTAGCGCCACACCAAGAACCCACCGCCACATATAAATCATGTACTTGAAGAAGAATGGCAAGCACTACCAGAGATCCCGGTTTCGGGCAGCTTTTTTCCCTTCAAAGTACTTGGTCCGCCGACAAACGCCACACTTGTCGTCAGTGTGAGAAAAAAATCGAGGATAACGACATTCTCGCCTTGAGTCGCTGTCAAGACCCTACACGTTGCTTTGTTTGGGTGCTTCGTAACGAGTTCTATACTGTAACCCAGCGCTTTCCATGCGTTCTCAAAACAGATTTTGGTGCCTTGTACATACTAATTATGTAATGGTGCGCAAATCCCGATAAACAGGAAGGCCTGGACGTAGCGCTTTCTTATCTTCGGAGGCCGAAAGAGGAAATGGACGCCAGATGACGTCATTTCGAGCGCGAAGTAAAGCGAGGCGGCTGAGTCGGCAGTTGCCCTTCGACGTTAAATTGCTGCTTGCCTGGTTAATACTGTCAACATAGTCAAGCGCTATTCTTGAATGCCACTATAGACGCTCATCTTCATAGTGAGATAAGCTTGGTAAGTGGTTGGAAGGACGGGTTTCCACTGATTTTTGATGGATTTGATTCTTAGCTTTTTAGGGAGTGAAAACAGGATAAAATGGGCTATGATCAATTAGACCTCTACTGACTGAAGGAGAATGTGTTCGAAGTGCCTGTTATGCCGACAGAGCATGCTACCCTGCGTACCTGGTGTGTATGAGAACAGAATATTACGTCCATGATTTGTCTTTCGCATCATTGTATGACCTGAGTTAATCTCATCGGCGCTGGAGTGGTCAGATGTTGATAGGCTCGGCAGTGAGGTTACCGAGTCTGATATTGGGGGAATGAGTGCTGAGTGATGTTAAGTTTTTGATCTTCATATATGGGAGTTGAAGTTTGATGTAATTTATCGGCTGGCTTATATCTTTGTGAACTCAAACTACTTGGGGTAGGTATATAATTTATTACACTTCAAGTGCCTGTAACGACTCACAAGACTGCGTTGAGCGCGTATACTTGCTGTCTGAACATTTCCATAGGTTCAGATGCTTCCACATATCTGGTGTGGCGTTAAGCGCAGGCGATCATTGTCAAGCTGTTTACTGTAACGTTAGGCGCGGTCTAGATGAATATCCCTGTATCTGGCTACGACTACAATCTGTAGTTTTGATGGCCGACTTGATTCGGGGTGGTCCGACGTAGTCGGAAGGTTTATGATGGTGATTAACTGCAGTGAACAGGTGAAGAGACTATGTGGGTTCTAGTCCTTGTTCGTCTTTGATCTTGTGCTGCTTTGAAGCTCTCATAGATACCTTTCTGTGCGCTTGTGTGTGTAATATGGTATACTCTGGAAGTTTATTTAACCCATTGTTTTTGACGGATAGACGCCGTATTCATCACTAATCTGACTCAGTCACTGTACAGCCGACCATGATGCTATCGCGGTGCCGTGTCTTGGTGACCGCTGTCATTGTCAAAGACCAGGGGGTGAAGGGATAACCAGTTAATCGTGTCCACGCGTTCGCGTCGTGTTGTAAGTAACATTACTATTGCGTCCGAAGAAGAATCGTTCGCGTCAATTACCCAGAATGGCTTGCGTGTAGCAGGTGAATCGTCATGAGGACGTCATAATAGAGGAGGGGGCGCCCAAAAAGGAGTGCGGCGGAGGGTCGGCCGGACGGTGGGGCACGTGCAGAGCCGATGAGTATAACTAGTCATTCGGCTGCGGGGTCCCTATCATCGTCTTGGTTGCCTACGACTACTAGCCAACCAATATGTTCACCGTCAAAGCCACCTACCGCGGGGAAACCCGTAAGTTTACCTTTGCTGATACTCATGCCTTCCCTTCCTTCCTTCAACTGTACAACCAGGTGAGTACTCGCCGTCCACGCAACCTCGTCGGTGGCGCTTATCTTGTCTCGACAGCTCTACCGTGTTTTTCCCCATCTCAGCCATAGTTACTTTCTTTCCAAGCTTCTCTTCTCTCCCAATTCTTCAGCGTCTCGCATTTTGGTCGCCCGAGAGGTGCACAGTGCCGACGAGTACAAGTCGGCTATTTCAAATCCCAGTCTAGTGGGCAGGTGGCCCAGTCCGATGCTCAAGTTTAGCGTGTTCGACCAGTCACCGCACAAGCCGCCGTTTGCCGGAGACTCGGGACGGATTCATTGGGGTGTTCCCGCCCGGGAGTACGACTCGCCCAGACTCCGCCTCTCCCTTGACCCGCTTTGTTCGTCACTGCCGCCAGCACAGCCCCCGCCCAACTTTGCCGGCATTCCCCCGCCGCCGATCCTCTTCTCCTCGCCGCCCAGACCTCAGACACTGGCGCCTATGGATATCGATCAGTTTGCCGTACCTCCACAGCCATTCTCGACTCGATCCCCGTCCCCGCAGCCACGGTCCCAGTCGCAGTGGGCCACCCAGTCACAGAAGCAGACTTCGTGCTGCGCCGTCGACCAGGCCAAAGATGAAATTCGTACCCTCATGGACACCTTTAAGAGGGACCTTGACCGAATCCTCAAGGGTACCTTTGGTGACAACTTTTTGGAACAGAACATGTTTTCTCAGCCTCCTCAGAGCGTCTTTGGAAGGCCCTTCATTCCACCAATGGCTTGTATGTACCATACATGTGCCAAGTGTTTCAAGCTCTTCCAAGGACCGTGGCAGGCCTGCCAAAAGTGTGCCCGTATTGTGGTACGCATGTCATTGCCGCATGTTACGTCATCTGACTGTATTTATCCCTCTGTGTAGTGCAACGAATGCTACCAGCATCCCAACTCCTCTCTGCTCGAGAGCCCTTGCGTTGAAACCCTTGGTCGCCACCCGTACAAGCTGGAACGATGCGCCGCATGCCCTAAAGATTGGCAGCCGTTCGATCTTCTGGATCCCTTTCCACCTGTGCAATCATTCGCGCCGGTATCGTTCCCACCTCTTCCGCCGCCGCCGCCTCCACCCCTTCCAGCAATTCCCAATCCTTTCGCACAGCCAATGCAGCCCTTCTACACCTTCAACAATATGACTCCCGTGACACCATTTATCCCTCCCATGGTTCCTGAGACTCCTGCGACTGTCCAACCCAGTCTCGCCCCAGGGCCTCGTGTCATAGAGTCTCCGAAACCGGTAGGGACACCTTCTGCACCGCCAATCATCCACCACGGTGTTATGTGTGACTGTTGCTCGAAGCAGATTGAGGGAATTAGACACAAGTGCTTAGACTGCTCCGGTATGCATTTTACCCTACTTTTTATTCTCTACCTAACATTTGTCTAGATTACGATCTATGCACTAAATGCATTACTACGGGTGGTGCTGAGCAACATGACCCCTTCCACGAGTTTTGGGAGGTCACTGAACCAAGCCGCGTCATCATTTCCCGTATCGGAAGTACTGCGTCACCGGTACCTACTCCGGCACCCGCGCCGCAGGCTCCCACGCCAGCCGTTACTCCTGCTGTTCATGGTGCGACTTGTAATCTCTGTGACTCTCGCATTCGAGGTGACCGTTATGTGAGTACCTTGTGCTCAAGAAAGCCTTGCCCCGTACTCACTGTTCGCTCTCAGAAATGTGTTAACTGCCCGGATTTCGACACTTGCGGCTCGTGCTACGCGTATGTCCTTCTGCTCATATGTCGGTTTTGGTGCTAATGTAATGTTTGTAGTATTACCAAGGAACAACACCCTCATCATACGTTCGTCAAGATTTCCAACCCCGCTGATTACTTGGTACGTTTTGGTTGTTACTTGCTCATATCACCTTCAATGTCTGACCACCATCGCAGCGTTCCAATGAGCCCTTAGGTGCCATGCATATGGCGGTTTGCAACGCTTGTAACAGAAGCATCTTCGGCGTACGATACAAGGTCAGTACACGGTACAGTAACGGTTGTACATCTTCTCACTAGCTCGTAGTGCATGCACCACGAATGCCCCGATTTTGACCTTTGCGAACGCTGTGAAGCTATGCCGATTTCTGTCCATCCTCCCAACCACCCTCTTCTGAAGATGAAGTCGGCAAATACTGTTATTCCTACAGTTTACCACGTCGGCCAAACCACGTTGATTGATGTCGATGCAGGCCGAGGTCGCTCTCCTCTCAGGTTGAGTACTCCCCTGTCTTATGTGACTCGGTCGCGTTCCCGCTCCCACTCTTATGACCGCGGTGTCCTTCGGAATCCGTCTTGGGAGAAGGCACCTCCTCACTCTGGGGCTTACCCATTCGCGTTGAGGACCCCATCTCCTCACCCTTCCCCTCCTATGACAATCCCTGGTGCACTCCCGGCATTTACTCCCATGTCTCCTCTTATGCCTCCTACATCTATTCCTATTCCTGTCGCTGAATTTACCGACTCCTCTACCTGAAGCTAATTCTCCCCTCCTTTCCCCTGCGCCGTACATTCCTCCTTGTATCACCCCAGTAGAGCGGTCTCCTTTCACGACACCGGGCTACAACCCCACATACATGACCAGGTCGCCATCTCCGCCTTACCACCCAGCTTTCAATGAGAGACTTCCCCTTCCGGATACAAATGTAGTTTCCCTTCCGAGTTTGGCTCAAACCCCCATTCCGTCTTCTCCTTTCCAGTCCATGGCGGGTTCCTCAACCATCTCGGCAACTGATGGTGAAGTTCGTTCCGTGCAATATCCTGATGTCGTTCCCAACAGCTCTTCCCACTTGCCCTCGCTCTTTGAGCAATTCCGTCAGAGGTTCTACATCGACGGTGACGACTACGCATCTCATGGTCTATTCCCTGACGACAACCACTACACGATTCCGCTGACCAGAGAGCCCTTAACTAAGTCGAATAAAGCTTCTCGGCCATACCCGCGATTGTCGTTTCCCGAATTGATCAATCTGATGGAACCTGCCTCGCCAACTAGCCCAACCCCGGAGACCTTTATGACGCCTGTTAATCAGCCCTCGAATATTCCTAACGTCGATGTTGCGGAGGCTAAATCATCTGTCTCTCCAGTCGTAAAGTCTGTGAAGGATGATTCTCCTTCACTTCCTCCTCTACCGCCACCTACCTCTCGGCATCTCAGTATCCCGGACTTGCTCATATCATCTCAGGAATCACTCGCGTCTGAAACTGTGACACCCAACAAAGAAAAGAGTCTCAGCGTATTTTCTGATGACACCCTACCCGCTATCGTTGAGGCCGAAGCTGACTTCGTCGGAGATGTTACCGCACCGGATGGTCAAGTCTTTCCCCCGGGTGCTGAGTTTATGAAGTGCTGGCGCATGAAGAACAGCGGTTTGAACAACTGGGAAGAAAACACGCAACTAGTGTTCGTAGCGGGAGAGTCGTTTATCCGTGATTCGGGATCATATGTTATGCATGTCGGACCTGTGGATGCTGGTGATGAGGTCGATGTTTGGACCGGGGAATTGAAGGTATGTTTGAGAGAAATGGAACCAAAAGGAGCTGACCTGATGATTTTGACAGGCCCCTGAGGTTCCTGGAAGATATATTGGCTACTGGCGCTTGAAGAATGGCTCGACTGGCCTGTTGTTTGGCGAGAGCATTTGGATCGAGTAAGTTTTACAACTTGTGTCCTGATCATCATAATTTATTAATGCTGTCTCTAGTGTCGTTGTTGCAGAGCCTTATCGTCAACAGATGAATACGAATGCGGCTTCTGAAGCACCCTCTTCGATGACATCCTCGTCCGTGATTGTTATGCCTAACGCACCTGCGAGCCTGCAACCACCGCTGGAAGTCACTCAACAACAACTCGAGCGACTGAGCCTTTCTAACTCAAACCCTGCTTCTCCGGTGATCGCACCGTCGTCTGTGGACGTTGTCTCTATTGCTGGGTCCGACGAATCCTTCTCTGGCGCGTCTTTAATTAGCGCCCCTTCGTCGGATTCGTCTGATGAGGAACTCTGGGAAGATAGCCGGATGAACGCGTCAACTGCGGATAGTCAACGCACCGCTGTCCCGCCAAGAGCGAATGCTTTGGACTACGTGGTGTTGTACGATGAGAATTCTTCATCGGAGGATGATGCTTAAAGCTCAAGAAAGAAGCTTTACCGAAAGTAGAATAGCTGGAACGTGTGATCGCTTGGGATCCTTTGGAGGATTCTTGTACTACTATGATGTAACTTGTGACTTTGTACAAAGATTTATTTGCAGAATATATACGACGATTGGATAGTATATGAGACTTCGTTCAGTATTATTATTAACACTTGTGCTTTCTAAGTCAGACTAAGTTTTGAACCGACAAAAGGTATGAAGGGTATGTAAATTGGGTGGAATCAATGATCGTTGTACCTTTCATGCCCTTCTTACAGACCTCGCTAAACGGCTCATAAGCTCCTTATCTATGTCGAAACCCTTGCATAGACCCATGAGGCCGTCCATGGTCAGAAATTTGTGATCCTCCCAGTGAAACCCGGGAACTACGACCTGTTTATATTAATGCAGAAGTGTCAAGCGGAATTGTCATGACCAACCTACCTCTGTAATCAAGCAACCTACTCTGGCCTTTTCCTTATCTTCAACGTCTTCGGGAAGGAGACGCGACATTTTCCAAACTCCTGAGCCCACAAGGAGGAGCCTAGTTTCTCCCTTATCTGCATCCGTGCCCATAATTGCTGTTTCTATCTTCGGAGGCGCGCCTGGACGAGGCGTGATGAGAGTATACTCTGCGCGTCCTTGATGCAGGACATGATATGTCTGTTTTATTGGCTTAGTGGGCATATATAGTTTAATTTAGGGTTTTGATACATGCCACGGATTTATTCATGTGGATGACGCCTTCGGAACTGTCGGCTGTGAGGAGGTAGTAGATCGAGGTGGAGAGTGATCGAGGGGCGTTATCTGGGATAAGTGTTATTGATAAAGGCCTCGACTACCAGAGGGATTACTTACCAGGCGAACGGAGACGGTACTTTGCCTTCCTGCCGATCCGTCTCGACATAGTAGCCTACCAAAATTTGATATCCAGTCAAGCCTGCTAGGTCTAGAGAATAAACTGCTCACCGCCTTCGGGATGCTTGACGAGGTGAAGCTTGTCGATAAGCTCATGGGTAGGGGTAGAAGTCATCGGGGAAATCGGTCGCAATAGGTTTTGGCGCTGGCCTTTATAAATCTAAGGCTTGATAAGCGGATACTATATCACCACCAGCGCCCGTGAATATATAGGAGAGCATTAGTGATTCTCAATCGTAATTGTTCCAGACCTGCGACGGCATCGAGAGAGCCTGAATCAGTGTCCGAGTTTTACTGCGAGACTATTGAAAAGCGGTGATACCCAGGATGGACATGAGTCAGAATACAGGCAAGGTAGTCACTGTTAATTATCGTCAAGGAAAGCCGGGGGAGACACAAATTCATTGACTCGAGGCGTCCCAAAGATGCTGCTTAGTGAATATCCCGAGGGCTTTACCACCCGATCTCGTAGTATAGGGGACAAGGGATGGGTCCGATAGAATCGACAGAGGTGATCTTTGTCCTTCAGCATGTCTGTGGCAGATCGAGAAAGGGACGAAGACTCCGGTCAAGTGCACTAAACCGCTGTGAGGTAGCTTTGGATGGATATCACTTGGCAATGGTAGGTTCAGAGGGAAAAGAAAAAAGTCTGGAACATCAAGGTCAAACTTGTAAGGACTATTCTATCCTCCAGCTTGGATTGAAGTTACAATCGCAGTCCGCACTGCGGCGGACGCCGAGCGGTATTTATGACGTCGTAGGCCTCGTGATTGTGACATTCTTTGCTTCGCATTAAAAGATCGTTGCTTTGAGTAAGCTCTAGCATAACTGCGACAAACCATAGGTATTCAAATGTCCATTAGACAAGTAGTGTATAGAGATGCCCATAAAGTGCTGAAGCGACACGGGAAGGTTCCACTACGTCCTTTTAGATACCAGAGCTTTGATCTGATGCACTGATGCTTTCGTCATCGACATCGTCAACAGACACCTCGACAGTCTCTGGCCGCTGTCTGGGCTTCTGATACTCATAACCAACAAAGTTCATGACACTTATTGAAGGTTGACTCAGTGGTGTTACGAAAGCCGAGAGGAAACAACGTACTATATAGTCCCATCTGCACACCCTATCACAACCTCTTCATGACTTAACTGCATTGACATTGGATTTTTCTCAGGCGTTGCCAATCCTTGGAATTTAGGAGGCAGAGGTCCGATCAAGCCCTTTACCCCGACACCAGTCGCGTTGTCAGCATTGGCCAAAGCAGCCCACGCTCCCGTAACGGGGGTCACAGTGGTATCTATATCCACTGAAGGCGAAGAGTTCCTGGATGAAATCCCTAGAACTAAATCGAGGTCCGCATCAGCTTCCAAAGAGTCGTTTCCGGCATGGGGCTGCTCCTTAGCATCTTCATGAATAGACATGAACATCTAGCCAGAATGCACATCAACAGAGAACAGATTAGAAAAGGCACCCCCTTACCCTTCTATCGGCACCCGCCCGAGAACTGAATCTCGTAGCAGTCACGACTCTCTTTTTCCTTGGGTCGACCGCTCCCATAGCTACGTCGGGCGTCTCCACCATTGCAACTAATTTTGGTGGCGCAGTTAATATCGCCGCTCTTCCGAATCTGATGGGGAACAACCCTGCGGGTGTCCCGGTCCTTGTCGACGTGGGGCTGATAGATGTACTAGGTGTCCTAGCCCGCGTGGTAGAGTTCATACTTAATCTGCTTTTAGCAGTAGAGACACTCGAAACGCTAGCTATCAGAGATGTACGCCGAGAGGAAGATTGCGAGCTGGATATGACAGATGATGTAGAACGGGCCAGAGATGAAACTGTACGAGCGCGAGGAGCAGCCGGAACTGTATTCAGGCTTGTAGACAATGATATCGGAGAGGTGACCTTTGGAGAAGGCGGCCCCATTAATTTGCTGGACGTGGGTGTAGGTTTCGTACTAGCGTCTTCAGATTCCTCTTGCCATTGGAGATGCATGATGATTGACTTGGTGGCACACTGCAAGATATCGTGAGCGATCACGCCAAACAGACACAAAATGAAACGTACGGTCATCTGCGTGCCTTTGGCAGCGAACCATCTGCCGATATATCAGGTCTATAACCATGAACCCTATGCATTCATTCACATACTGTAACATGTTGTTAGGGGCAGCGCCAACGTTATGCAATTTTGCGTTCAGTACAGGATCAGTACCACCGAGATCAGATAACTTGAATTGTGACATCATCTCTCTCCGCTCTGAGAAGCTCCTTAGTTGTCAACCAAAAAAGGATGCCAATGGCACTTACGAATACTGAACACCCGTACAACTCCATCAATGGTGACGCTGACAACCCGCTCACCCTCGTTACTCGTCGAGCCAGCGATGATCTGGACGCCAATATTGATCGTAGTCTGCTGCCCAAAGCGAACAATTTTCGTCCCCGCACGCCAATCCCAGCAAACGAGCGCCTTATCGGCACCTTGATGAAAATATCAACAATAAAACATTTCAGGAGCTCGTAGCCACCTCACCTGCCGAAACCAAATTCTTGGAGCTCAGCGCCACAGCGCGGATACCATTGAGATGTCCAGCAAGCTGTTGAAGAGGTGTGTATGTCAAGGAAGAGAATAGATGAACGCGTCTAACGGCGAATGCGGTCAGTATTGATTGATCTTAGTCCATTTGAGACTCACCCAACGTCATGGAACCCGACTACAAATACCTCTGCGGTACATGTTAGGTGATCGGAAGTGTAAAGAACTGAAGAGCTTGCCTTCTTCGATTAGCCAATCGATACAACTAACAACTTTTCCAACTCTCAATACTTTTTTACATTGGGCGAGACCTGAGGTAAACCATTAGTCCACGATACCATCTTATCTAACTCAGTAAACTTACCGGCTACATCCACTTGACTCCCACCAGACACACTGGTGGCAGCCGCATTCATTCCTACCCCAACACCTCTCTCCGGCAACTCCCAAAACCGGATCGTCTCATCGTAACTCCCACTAACCAACCGCCTCCCCTTCAATATGAGGGTCGTCACAAAGTTAGTATGCCCATTCAAAAACAAGATCGATTGAGGAAGTGCATTGGCAAGGTTAGAGTGGAGGTGGTGGAGTGAGCGATAGAGCGGGAACCAACCCGCATCATCGTCAGGCCATTTAAGCGGGACAGGATCGTTCACCGTTACTCGCAGACAATGATACCTCCACACAGATGGATGATGTACCGTCGCGTACCACTTCTTGGAGACTGTCGTAAGTCCAAGCATCTGTGACACGCTAAACTCCTTTAGAATCCGAAGAGACAATTCTGGGGAGAGATTCCCAAGGACATCGTATGTCGATTTTAGGTAGCGTTGGAGGAGAAGAATCTGAAGTGGGATATCGCCAGGGTGACATGCTTCTAATATGATACCAATTCTAACAAACTGTTAGGATAAAGGTGTAAAGGCGAGGTCGAGGACACATACAATCGACCTCTGGCTTCCCGCCCCATGTGTCGAACTATCCTCCGCACTGCATTCTCGTCGAAATTGGACTTCCCTTTCCCTTTCAAAATGACTGCAAGATCATCTTCAACTCCTTCGTCGTCCTCATCATCTTCGACTCCTCTGTATCCGTCCCAGTATCCTTTCTTCCTCCGGCACTGTCGACATAAACCTTCGCCGGATATCATGGGCACTGGATTGTGAGCATGCCCACGTCCATTTTGTAATTGCTCCTTGAGAACCTGGATCTCCGCTTGCAGTGCATGCAATTGAGCTGCCGACGAAAGCTGCGCGCGCTCCAATAATCTCTTATATGATGTGATCTTGCGCGAATGAAGAGTCGAGATTTGGCTCAAAAGACCTGCAAGCTCTTCGTCACCTTCGTGCTCGTCTCCGTCCTCTGTAATCATGTCCAGAGTCGCATTATCGTCATCGATAGCCCAGGAAGAAGGAATCACGGCCGAGGTGGAAAAGAAGTGGTTTTCAGGGCTTCCGTAGCTGGTGCTATTTTCAGTGAGAGAAAGCAGAGCAGCAGATTGGGACAATAACTTTGGCTGCTCTAGAATCGGTGTGGACAGCACTATGGGAGAACGGTGTGTGGAATTTGGAGTACTGCTCTTGGATAACGGGCTGTGTCCGAGCATCGAACGCGATGGGGTAGCCTTGGGAGTCGAGGGGGGCCTATCGAGAAGAGATCTTGGTGTCGTTTGGGGAGTAGGTGAGGTAAGATGGCTAGAAGGCGAAAGGCTCTGTTCAGGGGAGAATGCGGGTGTTTTGCGTGTGCGTGAGGGTGGTGTGGCCAGTGGACTGAGCTGGGCACGTGGTGGAGTAGTTGTCGAAGTTGAAGTTTCGTTTGTAACACGGGCTTGGGGAGATGTACTCGAAGGAGCGTAGATTGTCCTAACCAGGGAACGTTTCGTCGAAACAATAGATGGGGTGGCTCTAGGCCGTGGTATGCCTCCGCCTGTCGGTGCGCGTCCGCCGTTGGGAGTAGGTGATGTTGGTGTGGCAAGCGATGGATGATGGTGACGCCAATACTTTGATAACGCTCTCTCCAGGAGGTGCTGATATACGTCTGTCCTTAATGGCAGAATTAGACGATAATGAAGGAATGGAAGATCGTTTGGCCGTCCTGGGTGCTGCCACACTAGGCGGTTTTGCGGGCGAGCGGGACGTCGTCGATGCATTGGAGTTCATGATAAAGACAAATATTAAGTGTTAAGCTGGAAAATAAAGATTGGTATAACGGCGGTACTGGTATCACTAAAAAGTTGCTGAAGATTCGAAAGTCAAGCTTTGTTGTGCAGCACATTAGAATAACACTTGCCGAGAAATGGATATCGACCCAAGACACGCGTAATGGTACGCGTCCCGCCGATGCTGAGCAGCGAAGGAACGGTGGACAGAAGGGGTAGGAAGACGATGGTGGCAGGAGCCAACGTTGACGGCGTGTGAAATGCGGAGATGTCTTTTGTGAACCATCACAATCGTATCGCCGTGTTCACTGCGACTCGATGACGCGAATTGACTCCTATACCAATTTGGTCTTGGAATTCAATGAGCACTTGCTTGTTGTACGACGTATTGACTTGGATATCTAGATATTTTTGGAGTCAGTTTTGTGCAGTGGTTATTGTCTGCCATCGTTTGTGGAAGCGGTCTCGTTTTTAAGCTGTCTACAACATGTAAAGCTGCGTACAAGATTACAATTACATTGGCCACAGCTGTAATGACAATGAAATTCTACCTACACTTCGCTTAAGCTCGGTCTCGTCGAATCAATACAAACGAAGCCACCCTGTTCCATTTGCACCTAGTTGCTGTTGCCCTGAGATCCATACCACTGGCCAACGAGATCAAATTCATCTGTAAAAAATAACTTATACAGTGAGCTACAGTATCGTTCACTGAGCGATGTCTACAGATATATGAATCCGGGTTTGGCCTATGTCAGATCCCGGCATTAGTTTCAGCATCGTTGTATCGCTGCCTTGGGCAGTTGGCTTTGGTTTTTCGTCGCCTCTATTACAAAGAGACGGCGTTCGCGTAAGTACTCGTCAGGTGTACTCGCGGGGGGGAATATCTGCGATCTTCGATGATGCTACCACATTCAAGAAAGCACCGACGGAACCTAAAGAGGGCATATTTTTCTGCAGAATTTCTGTGTAATAACCTAGAATGGTGCTGGTAGTATACAAGTATTGCACCCTTCGTCTTGATTCAGTGAACTCATCGAGTGATTGCCCACCAACCACTCAACACGCACGAATCCCTTACTCATTCGTAGCGCCTGCATATTTATGCAATGGTCGGGAATCAAGTTCACGTAGTGCTAGTCGAGCACTGCCCTTCGAGTCAGGGCCGATCGTTCGTGATTCCAGGTTGTCCCGAGTCCAGCCTCCTAACAGCTCCTAACCAACAACCATGACATCGTTACTGGACAAGCAAATTTCAGTTGATTCACTGGACTCCGATTTTCAGTTTTTCTCGAGCCTTCCACCATCGCAGCAGTTCGATCTCCACTCCTTAACTCGTCAGCCTTCTCCCTTACCCATTCTCGACCAGCATCCCAAACCGCGAACCTGCAGGGTAAAGACGGCTGATTCGCGAGAATTGTTTGGCGGGGTTCCGATGGCCTTTGGTCCAATTATGTTTTGCTACGACTGGGATCGCGGAGAAGAAGTGACCGAGGATTTCAAGACCCCTGCCCTTGAAGAAATGGTGAAAGCGAAACTTTAATTGAGGCAGTAAGATCTTTCGACCTGCCAGTTGATTCATGCTGATTGTATTGGGATTCATGTAGTACATACTATCATGGTTATGCCTTTATTTTGATTGCTGGCCCAAACTATCTTTTCACGAATGATGCCCTGGTTAATTCTAGGCTAAGACTCGGGGGATCAAACTTCAGGACTAGAGGAAACATATAGCTGCGACGGCGCTGTCTTTCTTTCCTGCAACGTCAAGGATCCAGATAGGCAGTTGAGAGTCTAGCGGTGGGGAATAGATAGATAAAAGTCAAGACACAGATTCCTAACGCCGAGGGGAAGCAGCTGTTACTGTTCACTATATAATGCAATATATCATTCCGGATGCCACCGATAGACACTTCAGGTGCTGGATGCTGACCGTCAAGAGAAGTGTCTAGATGATCGCTAGCTCTGGCCAAAGAATCTCCAATAAAGCAAAAAGTGCACGCATGTTGAACAGAATCACTGCCAACGTATCTGTAGCAGTCTTCCTTTGAGATGGCGAAATTCAATATATTACAACTAACCCTGATCTATGCAATAATATAACGCCTCGCCCTACGCAGTACAGATCGATATCGACTAGGTTGAGTTCAATCCTAAGAAGTCACGTCAATAAGTATATACCATATTGCCAGATGATATAACATACCCAAAGCTTGATGTTGCCGTCCCAAGAACCGGTCAAAACTTTTGACTGTGTCTTCTTGTGAGCGCGTGAACATGATAGATTAACAATGGAAACGTACGGTCTCGTGAGGGAGCCATTCATGAGCAATGACCACCTTGTTGTGAGCTTTCAGTCTTGACTTGATACGACCGGTCTTCCAGTCCCAGAACACGACATTTCCTTCCCCATCCCCACTGCTTATCCACTTTCCATCGGGAGAGAAACCCACTTGACACGCGTAACCTGCCACAGAATGACCCGCGAAACGTTTTTTGCGGTTTTGCCGGAAATTATCTGTGCTGTAGACGAGAATCTGATTGTCAAGAGATTGTGCGGCAAAATATTTATCTGGGCAACTTTTAGTACAGGTTGAGCAGAAATGTTCCATGACTTACTCGAAGGATGAAGGGTAACGGCGGGCATGGAATGCATATGCGGTTCAGCAATGTACTTGATGACCACTGGTATATCAAAGTCCCAGGCCCTGATAGTCTTATCGTCCGACGTCGTCACGAACCTCCGGTTCTCATCGACGAAGGTGATCGTGTTCACAGGCCCAAGGATGTTGATCGTACTCCTGAGTGATTTCCCCAGAGTTGATGTCATACTGAAAGATGTTAGAGAAACATTGGACAACACGACACCAGCATACCTGGATGATTTTCTTGTCCGACATGCCTGCGAGGAATATGTTTTGCTTGTCTTCATCGGGGTGGAACTTGATGACATAAGGTATTTTGCCGTTGCTAAAACGCTTTATGCACTGTCCAGTCTCTGTATCCCACAATTTCATCTGACGATCATAGCTGCAAGACAAAAAGCGCCGTCCATCATTCGAGAATGAAACATCTTTGACGTGCTTCGTGTGGCCATGGAACGTCCGTAAACAATTTTGCGTTGTATAGAGATCCCAAAGCTGCACGGAAGTGAATAGCGATTCATCTGCACAAAATGGATCGCGTACTTTTATTTTGGTATCCATGGATCCGCTCAAGAACATATGACCGGTCTGAGGGAAAAGACGAAGTACTGAAACACCTTGATTGTGTCCGGTGAATGTGTGCACGCATACTTTTGGAATAAAGCAGTCCTGAGAACCTGCCTCAGCCGCAAGTTGAGGCGCATCCGCAAGAGGAGGCGACATGTATGTGCGGCCTTGGTAGTCTGTCATAGACTTGCCGTGGAAAACGGAATACTCTTGACCGTAACCGCCCCGCTTGTTCTTGGCCTTTTTGATTTTAAACGGCTCCTCCTCTTCCTCCTCCTCCTCCTCCTCACCATCCTCAGGTGCCTCAACACCAGCAAGGAACGTACTTTCTGGTTCGTCACCTTCCCAATCAGCCCAAGGTCCAACATATGCCCCATCACCTTCTACGATCTCTAGATCGCCCTTCTGTTTTCGCTTCCGCTTCAATTCATTCCTTTGGCGCTTGGATGCCCGTAGGGAATCAATAGTGGCAAAACCATTAGCTTGGGCTTTGTCTACTGAGCCTAGGAGTGCGGGGGCGTTGGGATCTATAGAAGGGTTGGCGGAATAACCCAGAATTGAATGTGTTAGATGTTGAGAACGAAAGGCATGCTCTGTCATTGACTGCTCCTCAACATGTCCCGCAAGAGCATTTTGGTTGATGAATCGGTTTCTGTCGCCAAACGGATTCTCCGGGCCTTGAATCGGTAAAGTCATGTCGCTGAAGGGAATATTCACGTTCATTTGCGTGTCTGTTGGTCGCGTAATAAGAGACGTTTGGTGTAGAGGATCCTAGCATGAAATTTAAGGACGATTGAACAGTTATTGCTTGAAAACCAACCTCTGACAAAACGTGAGGCGCGGCCTGAACCACAAGCGGCGTCCTGGGGGGCTCGTCTGTGCGCATTTTCTTCGCATGAGGTATTGAAGAGAGACCAAATACATCCTTTGAAACGTCAATGTCGTCGTCCTCCCCGGAAGAATAGCCTTGGACAAGAGACATGATGGCAGAGAGCAGAATGTGTGACCGTGACAGTCATGGTCACTCGGATTATCGGGCCGAACGCTCCGCTCGACTTAAAACTAGAATCACCGCCTCCCCGTCTACTTACTCCTGACATTTCTTTTTATACCAGCTGCTAATATTCATCGATTGCCAATGCCACGGAAATTATAGTTCTACATTATCCTGGGGCGACTACTGATACATTGACATTGTCCTCAACCTATACTGACTATTTTCGCAATTTCTTTTCCACATCTTCCTTCGCCTCGCGAGCTCCGGATTCGGCCTGAGAATTATTTATGTATCAAGCAATAGACGTGAAAAGAGTTAAACGTTAATGTATTGCCGTACCTGATTAATTTTTTGGCCGGCTACTTTCGAGGTCTCGCTGGCTTTTTCCTTCGTCGTGTTTGTTACTGAAGCTGATACGATCATCAGCACGGGAGAGAAGGAAACTGGTATGTCCATACATAATGTATCTTTGGTAGCGGTGGCCGCTTTCTCACCTCCTTCTATAGCAGAAGCCAAACCTTTGCCGAGTTTTTTGTTTACCTGTGAGGAGTAAGCATCTATGCGAGCAGTTTTGTACTGGCGTACTGTGTCGGCAACATCAGAAACTTTCTCCGTCATTGACTTGCGTGTCACAGACGTCGTATGCAAGAGGCAGGACCCAGATGGGCGTGCTTGAGCCGCGGAAAGGATGAGTCTGGATGCTCGATACATGATAGAGATTTCGGATAAAGCGGGAGGCGGATGTATGCTAACAGAATGGAAGAATTCATGACGCCGTCCGAACCACCTTTATATGCGCTGGATTGGCGGGTCTATGACGTATTCAGGCGCGTCATGACGTCTACGTGTTCTTGATGTAATGGTATTTTTATACCTGCTCCCCAAACAGATCGTGATCGAGAACAGGAGGCAATCTAAATAAATAAGCAGAACTCGTCAGCCGGAAGTACATCCAGGTCAAAAATTGTCCCAAAAGGTCGGCTAGCAAGCATGCGGGGAATCATCGTGATGTCAAACAGGCTCATGAGCAGGTCGCACCTATATTTCTCTCCACTCGCAAGCTCAAATTTTCTCTCACCATCTCGACGAAGTCCGAAAATTGGGCAAGCTTATCGAGAGCATGAAAAGAACTGTAAACAACCAAATTCAAGGACCTTGCAACGGCATGCCGGAGACAGTGAAGTTCGGGCCACTATCACATACTTATACCAAGTTGTATCTATACGTTTTTCAGACGCTCTAAGCTTGTCTCGAATCCAGGATATATCGACAAGTTGTGCCATGTATATATAGAATGTCTTATGAGTGAGAATAGTGTAGAAGGTGACCAATACAGCTATGACGCGCCACGAGGGTGGCTCGTATCATTTATGTAACACCTGAGTTTTTTGAGCAACGTTGTTCCTACCCACGATGCAATTGGGTTACACATTCGAATCACGGTTCAAATTTCGCGGTACCTTCCTCGTAGAATATCGGCAGTATTATTTCTCACATTGTGGTACGAAGACCACTAAAACATTTTTGGTGGGCCTGCCGTTTGTGTCGTATGATACAGAATGCTTGTATCACAAGGTGATACATATAGGTGCAGTTATAGCTAGCTGCTAAGGCTCCACCACTGCCACAGACGTAGATAGTAGTCCAAGGAGCACAAATGTTGTCAAAGAACGATCAAAGATCGTGATTCGTGACGAAAGATCAGCAAGGGAAAAGACCGCAAAACCCTCGGGTATTTATCCTATGAAAACAGCTCAAGACAACGGTTTATGATCAGGATTGTGACGACTGACCATCCCTACTACCCATAATTATGGACGCAGTGGCTTGGGCCTCGTTATACGATGGAGGCGCTTCTTTGGAATCCGGACGCGTGGCAGGTGGAGTAGGCCTGCTACTATAGGCGGTAGCCTGGTCACGCAGTAGTGTGTCCTCAGAATATGGACTCCATTCGGTCATGTATCGCGAGTCAGATTGACTACTAGCTGCAACAGAGGACGTAGCAGCAGCACTAATTGTCGTACGACCATCATCCATAAAGAATGGTGTTGTTGATTGAGTAGGGTTCGTCAGCGGCCGTGATGGGGTCAGTAATGCTGGAGCCGCATGTTCCGAATTCCAACCAGGGACAACGAAGGATTCAACCTCGTTCTCAGGCTTCGCATGGTGTTTTCTACGCCAAAATAAGAAAAACGCAACCATCCCTATGATCACGGCAAGAGGAACGGCAACGGCAGGTCCCACGATAGAACCAATGTTCGCAGCTGAAGTGGATGTAGTCGAGGAGGATGCGATAGAGGTAGATGTACTTGTCGCGCTCGAATCGGAAACACCGGCTATGGTGCTCGGAGTGTCAGACTGACCATCATCGTATCTTTTTACTGGAGTGAATAGAAAGTTGTGGTAACCGCAAATGACGAAGGACATACGAGTAGATGATGGCGTCAAGGATGACTAGGGCTTTTATTCCATCAACGTGACCATTTTGAAGTTTAAAAGTATGAAGGCCATCGGGAATGGAATTGTTGGAATATACGGTAAAGTTGTATTGATAGCCAGATTCACCAGGAGCGGTTTGATAGAACTCCCCAACAAGATCGTTGTCGATATAGAAGCTCATATCAGAGTTTCCAGTTGGGGAGGATGTGGTCTTGGCCAGGATACATATCACATAGATAGCCGTACCTTGCCCAAAACTGAGCCAAATGCCCATGCACGAGGAAGCGAAGCTCACCGTTGAATGAAATAGATGCATTGAGCACTTGATTGGGATAGTCATTACTGCCAGTATCCTTATTAAACTGCTCATTCCGTATGAGTGACAAGTATTTGAGTGATAGTGTCGCATTCACCGTAGAATCATGCCATGTTCCATCAACTGCTAGCGAGGCCTCAGGGTGTGCAGTACAACCTTGGCACGATGCGCCATCATTCCATGCCTCCGCAGGAGAGAAAATCCACCCAGCACTCTGATCGTCGATGGTGACATTTACGAGCTTTGCTTCGACCAGAAATCCGAGTGAATGAAGGTAAAAGAGGACTAAGAACAGGTCCAAACGTTTCATTGCTGGAGGGTGGACGAAGAAGGAAGATGTAGCATATCATGAACGAGTAATTATAAGTGAACGAAGGCTGAAACCATCAAAGCAGTCTAAGGCCGCAGGTCCACATTTGGGTCCGAAGCTAAATGCGGATCACGATCCAGTGTTCATCAGTGCTCATCCTTCTGATACTTGGTTACCAGGGGATATCAGGACGAGCCTGGGTATGGGATATAGCCTTGGGGGGGTTCGTGAACTTTGTTCAAGCAGCTTGCAAACATATGGAGCGATGACACGATAAGAATGAAGCTTAGTTGAGTCTCCCACCACGTCGCTGCTTGAACAACCGCCTGTAGATTATGGTGCTGTCGAAGGGTGTCGACTAGTAACTGATGATCACTTTATCGCATCAGCATGCGGTGATTTATAATCAACAAAAATGATGATGATGATGATGATCTGGATTGGTTACCCGCAACACGCCTCGTAATGGGCGAAGACGGGGGTATAGTACGCTACTGTAATGTAAGCCTATACCGCTACTCGTTTGAATGCTCTTCTACTTTTCGGCTCTATGGACTGTATAACTATCTGGTAAAATTCTACGTAACTTTTTTTGTGGTCTCGTTGTTTCCGTTGTATGGGTACTCTAACTACTGAGGGGGAGAAAAATAAATAAGTTGGGTGGGAGATGGGCCTTGCTCAGGCCTAGTTGACGCTGCGTCGGTTCTATCACTCTTCGTCTTCTGGTTCATGCGGCTCGGGCTCGTCTTCCCATAGCGGCATGCCCACTTCTTGCCTCGGATTTCCGGTCTTCGTGAAGGCTCCTGACTCTGCTAGGAAGCTCGCCACTGCTTCGATGCCTTCTTTTGTACCCAAGAGGTCGCACATGATTAGGTTCTGTGACCCTTCCCGTAGGATGTGTCGATAATCGCTGTATCTTGGGCACGTTCGTATGATATGTTCTCGTGTTTGTAATCGCTCGCCACATTCGCAGTCAGTTGCCTCTGGAATGTTGAAAAGTTCGTAGTACTCGCCTATGTGTGCATGTCCCGTTCTGCACTGTACAAGTCTCCCAAACACCTCACGTGGTGTGTCCTTAAATCTCTGCGTCGGTCTGAGTTTTGGTTCGAGACGGTTTGCGAGTCCAAAGCGTCCAGTTGGGTTTGTCTTCTCCCACTCCTGTACCCACTTCCCTTGTTCGTTCCCTCATTCGCCTACGTGAGTTTGCATATGTGCGCTGTAGGTGATGCATCGTGCACGCTTCCTTTGCCAAAGCATCTGCTTTTTCGTTTCCAGGTATGTCTTGGTGTCCTGGCGCCCATGCTATCTCTAGCGTTGTTTCTTCGTCATCCTCCAGGATCTTTGTGGCTATCTTGAAGAACAATGTTGCATGCTTTTGGCCTGGTCTACGTTTGGGACGTATAATGGATTCAACTGCAGATGAGTTATCTGCAAAGAAATGGATGTGACGTACGCTTGGGTGGGCTGCACGCAAACGTTGTACATTTCGTGCGGCCCACTCAACAAAAATGACCTGACAATGAATCGATGATCTGGAATTCGTCACGTGCATTGAAACGGCGTGAAAAGTTAAAACGGCTACGTGATTGGCCGGCTCGTTGCCGGCTTTACGGAGAGAAAAAAGTTATCGTGCCATAGTGAGTTTCCGTTCTGGGCAGACAACTGCCCAGGCTGCCCAGTCGTACTTATACACTGGACCTCTCCTTGTCTTTTGTCTTCCACCATGGCACTCAACGATTCTTCCCGGTCTGCCTCCATCTCGTCCTCCACATCCGGCGCGTCCCTCGACTCCTTTCCGTCCGGGTTTTCCTTCCCTTCGAGCCAGTCCACCACATGGCTTGTCACCACGACGGCCATCTTGGTTTCCTTGTTGATCCTCGAGCAGTCGGTATATCGATATAAAAAACGCCATCTGCCTGGTGATAAATGGACAATTCCTATTATTGGCAAGTTTGCGGATTCCATGAAGCCATCCATGGAGGGCTACATGAAACAATGGAATTCTGGCGCCCTTAGTGCTATCAGCGTCTTTAATATGTAAGAGGCGTCTGCAAATATATTGACGCGTCGTTGACTCTGGCAAGCTTCATTGTGATGGCATCATCGACGGAGTACGCTCGCAAGATTCTCAACTCGCCTACCTACGCTGAGCCTTGTCTTGTGCACTCGGCAAAACAAGTCCTTCTCCCGAACAACTGGTATGCATACCCAGGTTCTGTGCTACGCCACTTGTCTTATGCGTAACTAGGGTATTTTTGACGGGCAAAGAACACGTTGACTACCGACGAAGTCTTAACGCCTTATTTACGCGGAAAGCCATTGGGTTAGTCACCCCAGCAATTTCATTTTCATCTCTTAATCATCACCTTCAGGATGTATGTCGCTATTCAGGATGTCATTACTCGACGACATTTCAAGGGCTGGCTCGCTGAGGCTGCCAAGGATCCATCTCCCAAGCCTATCATGATGACCGCTCGTCATCTTAATATGGATACTTCCCTGCGCGTTTTCTGTGGTAACTATATTCCAGATCATGCTACTCGGGAAATCAGCGAAAAATATTGGGCCATCACTTTGGCCCTCGAACTTGTCAACTTCCCCCTCGCACTTCCCGGAACCAAGGTCTACAAAGCCATCCAGTCCAGGAAGGTGGCCATGTACTGGCTTGAACTCGCAGCAGCTAGTAGCAAGGCTGCGATGGCCAAGGGCGGCGAACCTGCTTGTTTGCTTGATGAATGGGTCCGCATCCTACAGGATCCCAGCTGGAAAGGCAGACGTGACTTTAGCGACCATGAGATGGCCATGGTTGTCTTCTCTTTCCTTTTCGCTTCTCAAGATGCTATGAGCAGTGGATTAATCTACGGATTCCAGCACCTTGCCGATCGTCCGGATATTTTAGCAAAGGTCAGAGAGGAGCAGGAGCGTGTTCGTCAAGGAAACTATGATGCTCCTCTCACGATCGAGATGATGGATGAAATGCCTTACCTCCAAGCCTTCGTCAAGGAAAGCATGAGAATCAAGCCTCCGGTTACCATGGTATGCCTCCCTCTCTACGTGACTCTTACTCTCTCATCGGCAATTCCAAGGTCCCTTATAAAACGACTAAAGCTTTCCCTATTGCTAGTGACTACACCGTGCCTGCAGGCAGCATGATCATCCCGTCATTTTACAATGCCCTACATGACCCAGAAATTTTCCCCGATCCCGATGCCCTCCAGCCTGAACGCTGGCTTGACCCCCAAAGCTCTGCCAATACCAATCCAAAGAACTACCTTGTCTTTGGTGCTGGCCCGCATAAGTGTATTGGTTTAGAATATGCTATGATGAACATTGCGCTTGTGTTGGGGACTGCTGCTGTAATGTTTGATTGGGAGCATGACATAACGCCCAAGAGCGAACAGGTCGAGTGAGTGTAATCTTTTTAGTTCCTCAATGACGCTGACTTTTCTTTCACAGGATTATCGCAACGCTATTCCCCAAGGACGGTTGCAGACTTAAATTGACGCCGCGCACATATGTATAATTGTTGTCAGTACTTGAGTAGCTATGATGCGCTTTCACCTAGCAGTCTGTCGATATAAATACTCGTTTAGGTCCCTTTTCGACTTGGCATTTACGTTAGATTATTCGGTGTTATAGATATCGCAGCCGGGCACCAGGGGGGGGACCTTGTTTTAGCTATGGGTCCATATGGATACCAACTGACCGATCGTAGCTTACACATATTGATCGCCCTCAGGGGCTGGTTTTATCACGGCATTGACTGAAAGACCTTGAAGATCAATACATCAGTATCTATGCGCTCTTTTCGTTCTGTTCCAAGTGCTATATAAACTATATAAGTCGTAGATAGGACACCACGGATCCATTAAGTTGCAGGAAGATACTTAATACTGTACTATTTCGATCAATTCGAACGCGATCCATGAAATTTCGGCGAAAAAAATTCCAAAAGAAATCGGAATAATCGAGAAAAAATCATTTCCGTTCTCAGATTTTTTGGCTGTGACGCGTGACGTTCGAATTGAACGAAATGGTACAGTAGATGCAGAGCAATTTCAAATCGACCTGAATCATCTTCAGTAATTACGTTCTATCCTAATAAAATGAACAGTATATCCAGGTACATAGAATATCAAGTTTCCTCAAGTTTCTATTTTGCTCTGTCTTCAGAGCTTGCGAACTCTGAGCGGCAAAGAACTTGGTCCTTGGCCCTTAATACGAGGACGAATGACGAAGCTCTGGAAAGGTTCGATCTCGTAGGAACAGGTAAACGAAAATTGGCGAAGCAGCGTGACCATCAGAACCTATTGTGGTGTCAGCATGATAAAGCAAACCGAACGAGGGCATCAAACTTTCCTTAATCTCACACATCGCGAATGCCTTCCCGATACACGAGCGAGGGCTGTGATTGCGATCAGAAGCACGCTACTATTGTTTGAAAGCGGATGAGACCTACCCCTCACTGAAAGCAAAAATTTCTCGCCCATGTCTGATACCTTCTCTTTTACGCTCCAGCCAACGTTCGGGGCGGAAATGTTCCGCGTCAGATCCCCATATTGTTGGATCGGTCTGGACGACGTTCACGGGAATCTCCAGAATAGTTCCTTTTGGTATGATGAGATAACATTCTGAAGTTCCCGGAAGGGGCTCAGATAAGGGCACCGCGATGGTCTCGGCTGCCTGGAATAACGTTCATGAACCAAACAACGGACGGAAAGGTTACAGCGGTTTTACCTCGTGGTGATTTTCTAAGATTGGTGGATGCATTCGCAGCGTCTCTTTGAAAACAGCGTCAAGGAGGGGGTACTTCGTATTCAGTTCGTCAAATGATGCATCTCCCGCGGTCCATATCTCTTCTCGAAGTTCTTGTTGAAGACGCTCATTTGACGCGAGTTCATACAGAATCCACTGGTAAGGATATGACCGTAATGAGCAATCAAACACCGACATCACTATATATAACAGACACATACCGCGATAAGGGCGGATACGGGTTCGTATCCTGCGGAAATGACCGTTCGCATCTGCGAAACGATATACTCTTCTCCAAACATTGTCCCATCAGTAGAATTAACTTCCACTATTAATATTAATCAGCAGGAGAAGGCCACCGCATGATAAAGACAAGGCATACACATGACAGCAAGTATGTTCCTTCCATCAGCACCGACAACCTTGGCGTCCTTCCACATCTTCGAGGCAATGGAACCTAGTTCTTGCTTCGTTTTTCGGATCATTTCGCCTTTGGTCCCGACAGACAAAATGGACGGGAAAATCCAAAAGAGAGCTCGCATGTAGAAGGACGACAGCTTGTTCTCATTGTTGGTGAGGCCATCCAGAGCTTCTGCGAGGGCATGCGGTTCACCGGAAAGGCACCCAAAATCATAGGAGAACGCGGCGCGCCCAACGGTGTCAAGGCTAAAAGTAAGGGCGTGTGAGTACCACATCTGCTATCGTTGGAAATGGACAAACGCGAAACGGCCGGCCCAGTTCGTCATCTCAATCTCAACGTCCTCGCTGGTGCTTTGATCGAAAAGTTTGGACCATTGACCGGCGAGCTTAGCGGAAGTTTCGTAGAATATCGGAGCCATGATCCTGACTGACTGCTGACTAGTTGAATGTCAGAAGACCCCGCGATGTATGTCGTTAACAAGGAGATACCTGAGAGCCGGTGCAAGTGATCGCTTCTGCTTTTCATGTGCATCTTTCCCTACGACATAGACTGAGGATGGATCACATGCAAATAATGAAGACGGATACCTTCCACCCAGAGGATGCCTTCCCCGAGGGTCGCCTTGAACCACTCCCGAACTCCATTGGGTTTGGGGAAGTTGTAGATCCCTTCTCCAAGTATGTACGATATAGCGCGGGGGTCGGTTATGGAAAGAACTTGATGCTGGCAGAGTAAAAATAGTCAGTTCATGCTATGTCCGACGGTGCATTGAAAGATCTTACCCCGAAGGCTCCGGTAAATTTGACAATTTTTCCGAAACGCTGGTGCCATCGAACATAGTGCGAGCCTGGCAGGGCGTGGTATAGGAGCCATTCCTCGCCCCAGAACAACGACGATGATCGAGGACCAGGGACATGTCTCAATGACCGGCGAGCAGTGAAAAGGTGGATGCTGTATCGCAGAAGTAATGCGACAAGACAACCGAGGTAGAGAGCGATAGCTTTGGTGAAAATAGTCAACGCCATCGTGAATACAAGCCGGAGGGAGATTCAAAATTGACTGCGGCTGCTGCTGGGCAAGACCCCTTTATATGTCAGACTGTAAACGCCCGAGCAGTTAACTTTGCTCCGATGATGCATGTATGAATTGTGTCAAACCGGAATCTGGATGAGAAAGCATTTCCACGTCAATACACTCCTGAGAATCAACATCGCGTTTTGGATCTCGAACTTGTGGCTTGTTTACCGTGATTCGTAGTTTCGTCGCTTGCAGCCCATTTATTAGCCGCAATAGGAAATAAATGGAGTGCCCGTCGCGTCCAATTGTATTGTACAAATTGTTATGAACTCACAGATATTTCTACGGATCGAGATTTGTTACTGGCTATCTTACAAAAAATGAGTTACCCTGGTATTCAACTTGATGAGGCTCTTTCCAGAACGCGTGAAATACGTACGTACTTCGTAAACGGTCCCTGGTTTGGCTGCCAAATGCGGGCGGGGAAGCACTACCTTGCAAACAGGTGGACACGACTTGCACGCCAGATGGCCAAGGGGCGCCCCTTATGCTCGTCACCGCGGGAATTAACGTTGCGGGCAGCCACATTTAAAAGCGCTTCATCGTTGGAACTCCGTATCGAGTAATGCTGAACTCTTTGATAACGCAGAGAGCCACGGATCAAAGATATAAATGGAATGACAGTTTTTATTCCACCCGAAAAACAGAAACGCCAGCACGCGTCAGTGAAGGGATCAGTACGAAAGAAACTAGTCCTCTGACCTTGTGAAAAGCCGCCACGATGAAGCCGAGCCGATGAGCGTCAGTCGATGGGTGCTACGAAATATTTAAAGAAGTGCCAGTACTCGAACAATACAGGCGGAGCGCGCTCCGTCTGTTAGAAAACGCGCAGAGCGGCATCGGGACCTGTAGTTGCGGTTGTAGAACGTAGAACGACTGACGATCCCGGATAGTGAGGCACCGGGGAAGATTATGTCCAGCAACGGTATAATTTTCTCTGTATATAAAATAAATCATAAGGCACGTATATCCAAGCGAGGATTGGTGCAGGGGACGGGACTGGATAAGATAGAATTTAGGAAACACTGCGGCCAGATGCCGACTGCGATCAAAGTCGGCATCGTAACCTCGATCGGGGCACGTGTCACATGTCCGACCACCACGTATCCACTCAGCCTTAATTCCTTTTCCCCACATACTTCAGTATCGCATCGACAGCCTCTGATCCATCCAGTGCATGCCAACACGCCGCAAAAAATCTCCGGGAGCAAGAACGTCTTCTCGGAGGGCTTCCACCAAAATTCACCGGGCCGACGAGGATATGCCAACGAAAGCTTCGACAAAGGATTCCATGGCACGGTCTTCGTCACTGCATAGTATACATGTCACTCCAAGAACGCCAATTGTATCTAGATCCCACCACAGTACCCGCGAGGAAATGGAGAATGACGCGGAGGAAGGACTCGAAATGAGTTTGCTTGGTGAGGAAGAGCGGCGACAGGCTGCGCGCGATGTTGATGAGGATGCTTCCGATGACGGTCTCAAACATCCCATGTCCGCCAAGGATAAGCGGGCAATGGTCCTGCTTTGTGTCTTGTGTGAGCTTCTATGCCGTTAGCGCTCAAGGTCAGCCAAACTCACCTTCCGACCAGATCTAATCCAGGGTGTCCCGGTATGCCTTGCTATGATCCTCCGAGAGTTGCACTAAGACCATATTGAATCATATTACTCAGCTAGGGCTCGCTTTAGGTCTGTTGCATTTCTTCCTCATCGAGTTCTCCTAATCCTAATTGGCCTTAGGCTCTGTTCCCTTCCTTCTCAAGGATCATCTGTCATATTCTCAGCTAGCAACATTCGCTTTGTCTAGCTATCCTTATTCTCTCAAGCTTCTTTGGTCCCCCGTAGTCGACTCTGTCTTCTTTGTTTCCATAGGCCGCAGAAAATCATGGATTATACCGATGCAACTCATCGTTGGGACCTTGATGTTGTACATATCATTCAACGTCCAAAGGCTTATGGATGATGTCCGCCTTTCTCGTACCGCCTGGCTTCTTTGCTGATTGATCTACAGGCGGCCGAGTATGTTTATGAACTCACGTTTGTTTTTACATCACTCGTGTTCATTTCAGCCACTCAAGGTGCTGTTGCGGAGCTGTTTATTCTATATTAAATCTGACTTCTTTTGATTTTCAGACATCGCCGTTGATGGTATGTTATTTTCGGACGTGAATTCTTCCTGTGTCATTGAAGCGGCTGTAGGTTGGGCTTTGACCCTTCTCTCACACGAGAACTTGTCATATGCATCTACGTGCCAAACAATTGGCCTCAATACTGGTTATTTTGCCTCATTCACAGTCTTCCTCGCTTTCAACAGCAGAGAGTTCACGTACGTTTCCCTCCTTCTCATTTTGACGCTCTCGACATCTCTTTTCAGCGACCAATGGGGGTTGCCGCATCTCTCCTTGAGTGCGTACTTGAAGTTCTGGGGTGTGGCCAGTTACTTAGTGACTATGTGGCTTCTCTTCTTCAAGAAGGAGGTCAGTACTTCAAAACCATGTAAATACAGTTCTGATCCCTGATTTTAGGACAAAGAGCCTGCCAACGAGGCTGACATGAGCATAACCGGTGTTTACAAGACCATATGGTCAATTTGCAAACTCAAGCGTATGATTATTCTTATGGTCTTTCTGAACAGTGACATGATGCGCGTATCTAGACATCCAACAGCTCATTATAATGCATTTCTTTGCCAAACTAGGCTTTGCCGCCAATGATGCGGCTACCTCTTTAAAAATGGTCGAAAAGGGATTCAGGCGCGAAGAACTTGCCGTCGCGGTCCTCATCGACTTTCCTTTCCAAATTGCTGGCGGATGGCTGGCTGCACGTTGGTCTCGGGGTGATCGACCTCTCCGTCCTTGGGTCATAGCCTTTGTGCCGCGGCTATTCTTTTGTCTCGCGGGCACGCTGATCGTGTATTGGTTCCCAACACCACCGATATCAGGGGGTTTCTTTGTCTTCCTGATAGTGCAAACCGTACTGGCGTCGTTTTCAAGGTCAGTATACGTTCAATACGAACCGTAGCGTGCACCGATTCAACTTTGTATAAAGCACTGTGCAGTTTGTTGGTATTTCGGCTTTTCACACTCGGGTGTCAGATCCTCTAATCGGAGGTACCTACATGACGGTAAGTCCCAGAATCTTCTCACCCTGTATTGCTCTTACCTCAGTCAAGTTATTGAACACATTTACGAACCTTGGGGGCACATGGCCCAAATGGTTCGTTTTGAAAGGTAAGATTGATTTTCCTGATTCCTTCACTGCTCACCGAAAGCCTAGGTGTTGATCTCTTCAGTGTGGCCACATGCAAGGTAACAGATGCTGGCACTGAAATCGCTGTCAGAGGTAAATTATTCTTTTCTGTAAGAAAAATTTCCTGACGTTTGGCAAGCGACGGAATGTGTTTCCGACTACGGAAAAGCGATGTGTAAAGACATCAACGGGGAATGCATCACAGAGACTGATGGATACTATATCGTCTCTATTGTCTGTATGACGTTTGGTATACTGTTCCTGTTAGGTTTCATCATGCCTACGGCGCGTAAGCTACAAGGTCAGAACTGATTGACAGACTTGAGCTAATCAGCCGCTGACGATATTGTGCTACAGAACTCCCTTCGTCAGTATGGCGTGTAAAGTTGTGATCATATTGAGGGATGCCGCTACTGTAGACTACTATCATTGCCATACATAATTGACTAGACTTGCGCCTGCCCTAAAGACCTACTAGTACCCGAAAGGTCTACTTACCACGTGAGAAAGACATCTTAAATTTCTGAAAAAAGCCGCGAACTCAATTGTTTCGTGACTTCGAGTTTACACACTCTCAACGCAAATTATCACAAAATGTCGACCAGCACGATGCATTTTGGCCCCGAATGGATGCGCACCAAGCAACCAGCATTTCGGATGCAGGCCGAGCCGACTCCACCACCGCCAGCAAGTGCTCCGGCTTCATACGCGTCCACATATTCTGCTCTTGTCTCTTCTGCACCACCACCACTCTCCGATAGCCGAGATGAGGCCCACCCTTTCAGGTATTCCAAAGAGGAGCTCCTTCAAATTTTCCGTGATGGAGGTGGACAGGGTGGCTTGGGCCTGGAAGTCGAGCGCTGGGAAGGTGTCGTTCGTGAAATAGGAACAGAGCCTACATCCCTACGCGAAATGGGAGAGGCCGAAAAGAAGGTGAGTGCAGCCCCAAGATGTTCAGTCCGTACTGTCGCGTTTTCGTCTGCTGACTGGGGCCTCATGTCCTGCAGCTCTTTTCGGTCTCCTTGAACTCAGATTTACGCCGTCGCCAGTCCACCGACTACCTTCCTGCCTCGTCCGGCCAGAATTCTGGAGCAGACAGACCTAGGTTGGCCCACGTAAACTCAGCTACGGGAGCCGCTAGTCCTCTTCGAGAACGTTTCAGTTCTTTAGCTGGTAGAAGGAGAGGTGATAGTACTGGCGGTCAGACTTTATTTTTTTCTTAGATGGAATTAATGCCGATGCGTTTGCAGATCAAATTACTATACCTCGCAAGCTTTCCTTGTCCTCTATGCAATCGCCAATGTCTCCTCGTGATACAGGTCTTCCGTCTCCTCGTCTTTCTCGCATGGGGACAGGCTTTGACGGTGTGTTGAATGGTGGAGATTCGTGGATGGCTCGACGGCGGGCCTCAGAGGGCCCAGTGAAGTCTGGTGGAGGAACGACACGGGATCCTGGCGGTGAATATCAACCAGATGGGAAGAGCTCAGAGATTAAGGAAGAGGACGAGAGCGCGGTGCAGGTCACAGATCCTGACCCTCATCCGGATGGATTGATTTCTCATAGCGCTGATGGTGAGACTACGGTAGCTGCTGAAGCGTCCCATTCCCAAACTCAGAATCTCGACGCAAGCGTCGCTCAGATGTCCTTGGGAAACGACAATGGACATAGTACTTCTGCATCACCCGCCAACAGTAGTACAGGATATCCTCCTCCGGGTCTTACGGATGTATCTAACGTTGAATGGTCTTACCTGGACCCTCAAGGGCAAGTCCAAGGTATGTTTTGCCTTTCCCTTTTTTTGAATTGCTCAACCTTTGTTTACAGGTCCTTTCCGTGCGAATGTAATGCAAAAATGGCATGACGAAGGATACTTTACCGCCGATCTACTCATGAGACGTACACACCTCGACACCGACTGGACATCCGTGGGCGAACTAATTCGTCGTGTTGGTGGTCCCCAGATATTCCTAACTCCAATAATCCCCACTCTCCCTCCTGGTTTATCTCGTCATGTCGACTCTCCTCAGCATATATACGCCATTCCCCAAGATCAATTCAATGTTCCGTTCCAGCCTGCACCCATCCGTTCATTGCGCAGTTCGACCCTGGACAGTTATTTGGGGAGTTCGAGCGTATCGGAGTCCCCCGCTTCGTCACTTGGAGCGGGCCGATACAGTAACGGATCTCCGGATCCCAGTGCTTTCGGAGGGCGTGCAGGAAATTTCATCCCACCCGACCCGAGTGTGTCAGGGCGAAGAAATAATTTTGTCGATGGCGGCATGGATCACAGATTATACGGACAATTTACACCAAATAGAAGCTCCACTGTGGATAACACATACTCAGTCAACGGATCGTTCGCTTCCAACCCATGGCCAAGTTCCACCGGCAATGCCGCCGCCATCGGTTCTGGCTTCGACTCGGGGCGAGCGTCAGCGGAACTCTCTCCGTTACCGTCATCATTCCACAACAACGGACTAGGATCCTCTTTACCCGGCGGTTTTGTGCCTGTCGCGTCCCAAGATAATCCGCATACCACTAGTACTTTTGTGGGTACTGACTTCCGCTCGCTGGATCCTATCCCAGATGCTTCCTCTCCATCGACGTTTAACACTTACAATGCATTCCCTAATCAGCCATTCATCCAACAACCATCTGAACCTGTCGCCACCCGCATACCCCAACAGCCGATACCAGACAGTGGTTCTCCTGCTCCCGTTTCGCCATGGGGAAATGTTCAAAATGTGCCGGCCTCTGCGCCTCGACGCGGGGGCCCATTCGACCTGAACCATCCCGTATCGACTAATCCTTCACTGCTTGAACAGACAATCAGTCCTTCACCCTGGGGTACGTCTGGGTCGTTGCCGCGAGCAGGCATCTCCAAGGCTATGGACTCCTCTTCCTGGCCCGCACCTGTGCGACCCGCTACGGAAAATAGACAGGAGGATGTCTTTGTTCCCCAGAGTCTTCCGAAAGACGATTTCAGGCAGAATCAGTCATCGAATGCTGAAAGTACCGTCCCTCAAGCCATCGCGCAGTCAACAGAGCCAACTCCTGCAGAAATGCAGGCAGATACTCTCCTTGCATCTTCTAACAAGAAGTCTAGGGGAACCAAAGTGTCGGTGTCTTCTAAGCAAAGTGTTATTCAGCCTTCTCCACGGCCTCCGTCTCCTGCGGCTTCTTCCTCTATTCCAGTTCACAAACCTGCCTGGGTCAAAGATGATGATGCTGGCAAACTCTCGGGCGTTTCATTGAGTTTGCGTGAAATCCAAGAGGCAGAAGCCAAGCAGGCAGAGGCACGCAAAGCTATCGAACGAGAACGAGAACGAGCCCGTGCTGCGGCATCCGCTTCAGCCGCCAACGATGAGATTCAGCCATTTGTTGCTTCTTGGGGACTTCCTACGTCTCAGGCTGGTTCGCGCGCAAACACTATTCAGATCAAAGAAACGCCTTCTGCATCAGTTCCGGCACCAACTGCAGCACAACCCGTTTGGACAACAACTACAAAGACTCCCACAACCAAGAAAACAATGAAGGAGATTCAGGAAGAGGAAGAGAAACGCAGGAAGATGGCCGCAAAGGAGACAGTAGCTTCTGTAGCTTCCCGAAGGGCTTACGCGGAAACCACCGTCAAGGTGAGTGATATATCTCTACGATTTTGTATACGCTTATACCTTGCAAAGAGTCCTGTTACCATGACCGTAGGTGGGGGAGCTTGGACAACCGTGGGACCCAGCGGTAAATCTACCTCTCCGGCTGCTTCCGTTCGACCAGCTGTATCCTTGGCGACATCCTCATCAGCAGCTGTTCCTCGAGCCAATGGCACTCCAGCTGCGATTCGACCCGCACCGACCCCGGCACCTGCTAAACCCGCGACCGGAGGCAAGGTGGATGATTACCCGGTCGCACCATCGCACGAATTTCTGAAGTGGCTTAATGAATCCCTGAAAGGACTCAACAGTTCTGTCAATGGTGTGTGTTCCAAGATGACGCTACTTGCATTCTCTTATTTTTTCCTTATCTTCTAGTCGAGGAGATCATGCAGATGCTCTTGTCCTTCTCGATGGACCCCGATCCATCAACCGTGGAGTTAATTTCGGATTTGATATATTCCAACAGTACGATACTGGACGGTCGACGATTCGCATCGGAGTTTGTGAGCAAGCGCAAAGCCGACGCTGCTGTGCGAAAGGGATCAGCGTCCTCCGCGGCTGGGACGAACAAAACTGTGTCTATTGCCGAGGTAGTCAAGGCGCAACCGAAACCTCAAGCGTCCGAATGGGGTGGGTTCAAAGTGGTCAACAAGAAAAAGAAGGGTGGCAGATCGTAATATGATCTGCAGCTTGGCGGTTGGTAAATTAAAGCAGCGCAGGCCATCTAATAAGTCTTCCTTGAACTTGGAGTTTCTGATCTCTAAAGCGTGGGGCGTCGCTAATAAGTACCACGCTATTGTTGTTGTAATGTTCTGTACATGGATATGTGCTACATATATGATTTTAGTTTACCACAAACGATGATGTTGCTTCGTTTGCCTGATTCCTGATAATATTGCACCCATCTTTGAATTCAACCAACATACACAACCTTGCGTCGTTCGTTCAATATACAGGAACACACAAGTTACTCTTGCACGAGAGTCAGAGCCGATCTAAGGAATCTTAGTCACGACATAGAACGATAAGTTCAAACGTGTTATAATGCAAAATACAGATCCATACGCATAGATGAAGGGAAAGTAGTAGTATACATGTATTAATCGAGTCCAGTATTATCAATTCGGGATTATGCTTCGACCTCTGACCAATCACTTCCCGTGTCGTCATCTACTTTCTTTTTCGTGGCAGTCTCCTGGTCCGCGGAGTTCCCCTCTGAGAGGAGGAAGGACTCTCGAGGATCCTCAGAAGGCTGAGGCTCTACGTTGTACGGTCGGACTGTGTCGATGGAAGCCGAGGACGGAGGATAGGCGGATGCTTGAAGTGGTAGTTCGGTGTCCAGCTCCTTGTCCTCGATGACACTACTCTTGTCAGCCGATGCCTCGGAAATACTGTCAGAGACAACCAATACAGTTGATTCAGGTTGAGGTGTAACGAGAGCAGTTGTCGGAAGTGTCGTATCAACAGCAACGGCCTCGTCTTCGTGAACAGCAACAGCTTCAGCAGGAGCTAGTGCATCAACTACAACAGGCTCATCGTTCTTCCCCTCTTCAGCTGGTGCAATGCCCTCTGAGGCGACTTCAGAAGCCACCTTTTCAGCAGCCTGTGCACCAACGAGGCCCTGCTTCTCTGTTACCTTGCTTTCCTTGGCAGTCTTGCTCCGCCACCGACCTTCAACCTCTCGCTCTAGCTCTTCGAGCGCACTCTCCACCTTTCCAACAACTTCTTTCCTAACACTTCTTAATGCTTCGTTCCCGAAACTTTCCACCGAATCCAACTGGGCCAACAGCCCACTCAAGGACTGTTCATAATATCGCACGGGTGCGTTACGGGAGGTGTAAGCCAATCTCCCCGTAAGAGACGACTCAGAGTCTGATGAGGCTGGAGATGGAGCAGGGGTGAAATCCAACTGGACAGGGAAGACGAACTCCGACTCGAGGGTATGGAAGGCCGCTTCGACATTTCGGACAGCTTCCATGGATGATACGACGTCTTTGGAGGTGGCGTCCTCGGTGCTGATGGAATGGGCCTTCTCCTTGCCTTTGACGCTAGCTGGTGAAGGAACATTCGAAGTCTGACTGTTGAGTGACGCGAAGATGGCATGGATGGTGTCCTTGATTTCGTTGGATTGATCATTGTTCAAGCGTGCTTCAAGCTCGGCCTTCAAAGAAGATTCAATCGCAGAGGCCTTCTGAAAAGAACGAATAAGCTCATAGCTAAAGGCTCCACCATAACTGAAGCGTACCTTCTCCACAGGCTTGGATCCGGATGTCGCGGCACCTGCGCGAGATGCTGGTGCTTCTACTTTCTGTGCAAAATGGCCGAGCATTGCACCTAAACATTCTTCAACGGTTGTGTGCGACAATTGCCGGGGCTCGACTTCGGATCTCTTGGGAACAATCTCGGAGGATTTGGAAGTAGACGGAGCTGGCGAAGGAGATGCCACAGGGGAAGTCTTCACCTCGGCTGCGTCACCAAGAATGGCTTTTAGCAGCTCAACAATGCCGTTACGTACAGGCGCTTCGTCAGTGTCGTTGGCACGGGACAACAAAACAGTCTCGGCTTTTCCGGACAGAGCGCTGGAAAGAGGCTTTTTGGCATCATCGCGCTTGACTTGAATCTTGCCGACATAAGGACAATGCCTAACTGCTTTATCCTTTGCAGCTAGGGTTGCCACAACGTTGGCATAACCTCCGAATGATAGAGGCCTCTGGAGGCAAATATGAGGACAGCGGATACTTCGAGAGCCTGGGTAACGAACCTTGGATTCCTCTGGGAAAATGCTATCAGGGCCAACCGATGGGTAATCAGGACGCGACTGAAAGGGATAATGAGAACGAAATGATTGGTGCAGATCGACCTGGCAACGTACCCGGATGGACGCGACATTGGCTAGTTGAGCGCGGTGGTGGGCTGCCTCTGCTTCCAGTGCCGCCATATGGCCCCCCGAAATGAGCTTGTAATACTCACGTTGGCGCCTCTCGTGTTTTTCTTGTTCAATCTTCAGCGCAAGGGCTCTTCGTGCTAAGGTCTGTTCCTCCAGCACCTTGAGACGCTGTTCTTCCTCGAGCTGACGGCGTAGTGGGGCAGAACGGTCGTAATATCCGTACGAGGGGTAGCGTTCAGTGCCGCGGAGACGACGCTTCTGGAGTTCTAGTTCCTCAAGACGACGACGAAGTGCGAACTCCTCGTTTTCAACGGCAGCTTCAGCGGACAAGTATTCTTCCTCGGCTTCTTTAGCCATAGCAAGGGCAGCCAAATACTTGTCTCTGAGACTGAGCGAAGACTGGGTAGGGTAGAGTGTGTTGTAATGGAACATGGTTGTTGATAAGATGAGGGGATAATGAAGACAAGGGGAAGGCGGGCATGGCTTTTATAGAGAACAGGAAAGTGGCTGAATAAGTCAAGGCCGCGCGTCCGTATACGCGCGTCGCGACTAGAGTTTTCGAGCATTTTCCGTGGCAGAGTCGGGCTAGTCAGCCGCTGACTCCGACTCGCGTTATCTGACTCAGCAGCAGTGGCGGTGTCTTTACTCTTTGCAAATTCAACTATGTATGTCTAGATATGTACACAATAAATCCCCAGATCCGGTTGCATTGATATGTAGAAAATACTAGAGTTCGTAAAATTTGACACTCTTGATTTCCCAGTCTGCGGCGGGATAAACTCGCAAGAAACATAGTAATATAAGATGCCACTCACAAGCTTCGTCAAACGACGCTCCTTTTGCACGGACAAAGTCTTCACAGCTTGAGTATCCTGTCCGAGCAGCACAGCTTTGTTCTTGACCTGGTATTCCCGAGCTATTCCATACTCCACCGGCCCAGTCACCGCTGACCCCAATCAGCTCTTTTGATCCGTCCGGAAACAAAAATGACTCACCATAAAGTCGTGTCAAAGATAAATGAATGCTGGTAGAAATACTTGCTGGAATTGCAAGCCGATGAAGGCCAGTTCGCTAATGGTGTCTCCCATCTGTCGGGAACGGGCGTCCCAGCATCAACGTCAGACGGAACGGAGCCCTGGGGCCAGAAGTAGATCTTGATGCCCTCATCGTCCCATTTCACTACAGCCAATGAGCGTAGGCTGTTGTCAAAAAAATCATACTTACTGGCATATACTCCACCAGCCGTTCTCATTGAAAGCGGCACCGAACGAAACGTCAGAAGCAGAGCGTACCCCACAGCCCTGATTGCTCGTCTCGGAAGCTGCACAGTTGGTCCCGCCAACTATAGTTCCTGTGATATTAAGCACGTTCGCATTCGAAGATGTCAAGGAACATCCGACATCAGTGTGAACTGTTGCCTGGTTGTTCGTGTAGTCATTTACACCCTCCACGATGTCTATGGCGCAATAAGATCAATAATACAATAAAAGAACAGTCTAGACACGGCGAACCTATTTCCCCACCAATGGGCCAATTAGGTCCTATAAAAAGGTCTCAGAAGAAACAGGCAGATAAATGGCGTATATCTTACCGTTCGACCACCATGCACTGCGTGACAAAAGAATCAGTGCCACCATCGAATATAGGGAACAACAGGACTCACGGCCACGTCCCACAGCCCGTTGGCATGTGCACAGAATCCATGATCACCAATACACCATCGTATGTACTCTCCGTGGTGATACGAATGCTTTGACGATTCCCAGAGACAGTTCCCGTTGTCTCGACACGCATAATAGCATTACCATCCGAGTTCACCTCCACTAACCCATTTGATCTCTGTTTTTTTTCACCGTTAGAACAAACACAAGCCGCCACACTGGAAGACATACACCCGTGCTCTCATCAACATAATCTACAATGCCTACAAAGTTGCTCAATGATATGCACGGACCAAACTGGTAAACCTGGCAAAACTCACCATGAGTAGGATCCGAAGTCGTCCAGAAGGTCCAGCCATTAAAAAAGTCTGTGCCAGCCTATGTGTTACATATAAAGACATACTTCACGCTGATCAAGATGGCAACGCACATGAGACTCTACCAAATTATACGGGGACGAAAAAGAGGAAGCAGTGGCAGAAGCACCGGACGTGGATGCAGTCCTTGTGCTGCTTGTCCCGGAGTGGCTACTACTGCCGCTGCCGCTCCCACTACCACCACCACTACCAGTGTTATTGTTGTTTGACGATCCAGCTTTGCAGTAAGTCAAACGCGTTTGCGGGTTGACCAGGGACTGTTGGGAGACAAGGACCGAGCCAAAGGCCAGGCGAAGGTCGCGTGCTATGCTCTTGGTGTGTCGAAGGGCAACATCATGGACACGGGAGACGAGACTTGCTGAGACGTCATGGAAGACGATGAGGACGACGAGGTACACAGGTAGCACATTGAGAAGGAGCATCTAGAAAGCAGGGCCTGTCTATAGTTGTTGAAGGAGGTATAATAGAATTAAGAGGCGAAAGGAAAGGGATGTAATGTAGGATGTGGTGGTAAAGAAAGACAACCGGCACCTGTTCGCAGAACAACCTGGACAACAAATATAAAAGGGACAATGCGGGCACCAAGAATAAGCAGACCCCGAAAGGAAAGTTTGATCTGATCAAGCTCCTCGTCCACGAGGTCATCTGTTCTCATGCCCGTTCCGTTCTCCTGTGCAACTGTCCTGCTACAATTGCACAACAGATTCTGCATGGATCCTTGCTCACTGCGCATACCGATCAATCACAACCAAAAATCCTAATAACAGGTCATAAGTAATATTCATAGCTCTAATACATAAACACCTCGTAGCATAAAATCAACCGAAAGGAGCGTTCTTCATAATAGGTATGGTATGTAGAAGATGTTACAATCGAACAACGACGAGTCAGCCACCAGCGGTGTAGACATAAAGATTATAGTAACGAAAACAAACTGTCCATTTGCCGACCTGCGTAAGAACGACAGCCCGGAGTCCCAAGATGCACGCATCCATTCATCAACCAAAAAGACCTGCCAAGAACGACTAGCGATGCGAACCCGGCGCAAACGCCTCCCGAACACTTCGACGAAGCTCTTCGTGCTCACGGGAGCTGCCCACGGATGATCCAGGCTGTATATGCGACCCGGGCACACTCGACGATAGCATCCCTTCATCTCCTTCGACGAATTCAAGGATTCTTCGCGAGAGCAGCTGGATTTCACCTTGGCCATCACCAGTATCTGTCTCGTCATCATACATTTGGTTGTGCGAGTGACGGGAGTCAACGGACTCCGAAGGTGATGATGCTCCCGAGTTCGCGAGATTTCGAATGTTGGGTAACAGCAGAGGGGAACTTCGAATACTGCTGATCAATTGCGGGTCTAAACGAGATATCAGATTACATTCACAGTTACTAAATAATCGTTCCATACCGTTAGATTCGAGGAGCTGCACAATCGTCCAGACGGCGATGTGTTGGAAGGTTGCGTCAGGACTCGTCAAGAATCTGTACAGATACTTGTGCATCCCGCCGTCAGGTTTGTCCCAGACGTCATTGAAAGCGGAGTAGTCATCTGTGGACGACCGGCCATCTAACACCCACGACAATGAGTCCCCGAACTAAAAGTGGCAATAAGGGTCACTCACCCTTAGATGAGAGGTTGCCTAGAGCTGCAGCACTGTTTCCTTGCACTTCAGAGCTGGGTGAATTGGTGAGAGGAATCAAAACTTCACAGATGCCCATTTCTAGCAGTCGCCCTTTGAGTTCATCTATAGGGAGGCATCAGTGACCGAAAAGGAAAAAAAAGCTCATGACGAACCACTCAACGCCAGGACTGCTACGCACGCCGTCATCTCACTCTGTACATTGATTGGAACCTCCAAAACAAGCTCCTTGATTGACTCCACCGCACCGGCTTTCACGATCGCTGTCTTGTTCTTCTCCGAACTAGCGGCTAAGTTTCGCAGAGTTGAGATAGCGTGGCATTGCACCTCTTCGTTGTCCTTGAACGAAAGGAGGTTGATCAAAGGTTGCAAAAAGCCGGATTCAATTATTGGCGATTCGTTCTGCGGATGGATGGACACATTTCGCACACAAGCTGCCGAAGACAGGATCAAAGGGAGATATGTGGACTGTAGGAGCCGAAGTAGTGATGCCAACCCGTCTGATTTGACAATCTCCAATTGATACTTCTCTGTAAAAAAATTTTCACATTACTCCGACTGGGCAAAGATAAAATGACCGACTTACCATCGCTCGCCAAGTTCCTAAGCGCTAGAGCTGCTTGGCATTGAACCTTCAAGCTGGAGCTGTCCATGAGCATGACCAAACTAGCGACGAGCTTGGGTTCGCTCTGAGCCAACTTCTTCCGGTTGGCACCTGCAAGCATTAATTCGATTTGGAACTTCCTCAAAGCCGATATAACGTACCATCTACGGCAATGTTGCTCAAGGCAGTTGTGCAATAGTATTGAACGTCAGTATCAGGCGAGTTCAAGAGACTGACAAGCACCGGGATAGCGCCTGCGTTGACAAGCTGCTGCCGGTTCTCGTCTAGAATGCTATGTTAGATTTGTCGGATTGAGATTATGCCAACTTACCAGAATGTGTCATATTTAGTAGGGCACCAGTGGCGTTCCTTTGAACACGCATATCTTTCGAACGAGCCAAGCGTGTCAAAGGAACAAGAGCACCAGATTTCGCAATCTTGGTCTTGTTGTCATCTGGCGAAGAAGAGGTTCACTATTCGTAAAAGGGGTAACTTTATGAAAAGGCACACCATGAGTAGCCAAATTTGTTACACATCCAACGGCAGTTGCACTGTACTTCGACGTTGGGGCTTAACATTTGGCGAATCAAAGGTTCTAAGCCACCGAGTTTGACGATGAGAAGCTTGTTATCGGCTAGAAGGCGTCCATTAACTCCGTCAACATAACGCTCAAAAGTTTGACTCACTGTTGACTGCAAGGTTTCCAAGCGCAGCGCTGGCAGCCCGCTGCACTTCTGTGTCGTGACTGCTCAACAGGAAAAGAATGGGATCTAGAGTGTCTCGGCCAACGGGCCTCACTTCCTTCTCAGTGATCTCTGCGAACGCGAGAGCCGCACTCCTTTGCAGATCAACATTGTCAGAAAACGAAAGTGTTGTCAACGCATTAAGAGGCGAGCCAGTAAAAAAGTTGGTGGTAGTGCGGTCTGCGGATACTGCGTTCAATATGCAATTTGTGTGGACAGAAGATAGACACACTCTCAAGGTACTGAAGGAGATCTGCTACAGCCTCTCGCTCATTCTCCAAGAGCAGCTGGCTCGTATGCTTGCGACTTGCGCGAGTGGACTGTCAGGTGGTTAGTCGTGTCAGGGAGCATTGAAAACAGCCTTACAACAGGTGTCGCAGCAGCTGAATGCATTGCCCATATCGACAAGGACGACGAAGTATACAGGCTTAAGGGAGGAGGGAGGGTAGTCAAGAAAGGGAGGGAAGGGGGAGAAGACCTGGCTGTTCAAAATTATGGACACCGTCTCTCGAGTCTCAACCGAACCGGCAATTCCCGTGACTGTCACATACGCAACTGTCACGCTTCCTATTTGGGTCCGGCAGTCGGCGCGTAAATGCGGCAAATGACTCTACTCAGACGCGGGGCAGCATCGATTCGACGTCTCTCAACGATGGTCCATCTCAATGTCGCGCCTCCTCGCCGTGTTCAACTGCCAGCGGATTTCAAGGTTGAGCTGACCGAAGGGGAAGACCGATTATGCACACTACTTGACGAATGCACTCAGTATCTGAAGGCGGAAAAAGGCATCAGCACATCGTGCCGGATAGCAGGTGGCTGGGTACGAGATAAAGTGAGGTTCTCTCTTTATCACTGTCGCGTTCTCATTAGCATTCAAGTTGCTTGGTTCCCAAAGCAATGACATAGATATTGCCCTAATGGACATGATGGGATATCCTTTTGCTGAGCATCTCGCCGCATTCGCCAATAGTCGTGGCATCGAAACCGGAAGTATCAGTAAAATTGCACAGAATCCTGATCAGTCGAAACATCTCGAAACGGCGACCCTGAAAATACTAGGCCTGGAGCTCGACCTTGTCAACCTCAGGAGCGAGGAGTATGCCACCAACAGTCGAATACCTACCGGTGTGGTAAGCATCGCAGGATAGTACAACTATATGCCTTGTTCACTCTGTCCCAGGCCTTCGGGACTCCTCTGCAAGATGCCTTGCGACGTGATATCACTATAAACGCACTGTTCTACAATGTTCACAGTCGTTCCGTTGAAGATTTCACGGGACGGGTACGTGTTTTACTGTTTGTTAGTAGCGTAGCAAAATATAATTCTTGGTCAGGGCCTAGATGATCTCCGTCAAGGCACTATTCGCACCCCTCTTCCGCCTCAGGAAACATTTTTGGATGATCCCTTGCGCGCCTTGCGGTGCATAAGGTTTGCCAGTAGATTCGGCTTTGAAACAGTCCCAGAAGTTGGGGAGTGTCTTAAAAAGACACAAATACATGTGCGCGTCTCCCACCATCAAAGTCAACTGACTTAATTCTGTTCCAGAATGCTCTTGTGTCGAAGGTGTCACGGGAACGCGTAGGAGAAGAAGTTTCGAAAATGATGAAAGGTATACCTTTCCGTCATCACGCCATGCAATCTCATGCTTCTTAGGACACTCGCCTCTCCATGCAATTCAGCTTATTAACGACTTTGAGCTTTACGACTCTATATTTTCTGCAGTACCGCGGGAAATCAAACACGCTTTTTCTCGTACTCCTGAAAAGGTTATACTGTCGTTACAGTGTACAGCCGTATTGCGAGCTCTCATAGAGCACCCCGAGTCGTCTCCTCTACCTCCTTTACACCGAACATTACTAACGGCAGTAAATAACGACGTGACCTGCAAAAGTCGATTGTACCTTGCTTGTGCCATCGCACCATATATCGGTATTACCTACGAAGATAAGAAGAAGAAGACTTATCCAGCCGCGTTCTCTGTCATCCATGATTCGCTCAAATTAGGGACACAAAATCATTACTCAGATGGCATACCTGCGCTTTTCGCTGCCTCAGATCTCTTGAAGTCTCTGAGCTTAGATGATGAACGGTTCAAGACAAAGCCTGAGAGAGTGGCAATTGGTCAGTACCGTCAGCAGCCTTCTCTGTATGTACTCAACAGGTCATTGGTAGGTATGTTACTGCGTCAGAAGCCGATTCACAATCCGAGCACGGGGTCACACTGGACTAGCTCAATACTGTTTTCTCTCGTACGAGAACTGGGGCCTCTGTATGATCCCTCGTCAGATATTATAGACGGTGATCGAATTCACAGTATGCAGTGCCCCTCGTTTGAACTGACTTTCTTTCAGCAGAGGAAGCCGAGAGAATAATATATATCTACAATAAGTTTCTAGCTCGAATCGAAGAGCTTGACTTGTTGGGGGCTGCAGATGCAAGGACGCTTCTAGATGTAAGTTACCTATTACTGAAAAAAGTATACTTGACATATGACACATATCATCCCAGGGACGAGACGTTGTGAAGATCCTTGATGCTAAACCTGGCCCCTGGACGGGGCAGGTCCTTACACAAGTGATGGAATGGCAACTCGAACATCCAGAGCAGACGAAGGAAGATTGCACAGCATGGCTAACGCATGCACATTCAATGGGTCTGGTTCGAACCGATTTCTCTGGAGAACCCCTTCGGAAAAAAGCAAGAACAGCTTGAAGAAAATGCGATAGAGCAGCAATTTTACAGTGAGAGTTATGCCATATAGTTTTAACCACAACAAAAGGGGTAAAAGATGAGGGGTGCAGTGAAGGAAGGAAGAAGTGTGTTGGACCGTTACTAGTCGTATGGGACTGCTGAGCTTGGGGAGATGCTGGGAGTAGATACTGAAGCATAACAGCCTTCCTTATTTAACCCTCGCATTACTCACTGTTGGTCTGATTCCATTTTGTAAGATAAAATTGTGATCCTTATCTGTCATTCTGCGGGGTCCTCGTGTGTGATAGAAGACGGGGACAGTGTTCTCATCCCTAATTATTCATCTGACGTATCTCCGCCGCCTTCCTTAGAACCTTTGTCTCTTGCCTCTGCCTCGGTTTTCGCTTTCCGTCTCTTGGATCCGGCAATCATATCCCTAATAGAAGGATTAAATGGCCGTTATAATGTCAACTTCAAGCCAAATTTCTTTACCTTTTCTTGATCGCGGCTTGGCGGCCTATTCTACGAGCCGCGTTGACCACTTCAGCCCGCGCCACTTTTCCCATCTGCCTTCGCTTGAGCTTGGAAGGTTTAGGTAGTTTCGTTATCCACTCTGGCACTGGAGAACCAGATTGCAATAATACGTTTGCAATACTTATCAGGATTGAAATCAGTCGGGTTTTCGTATTACTTCAAAAGAGATCCCCACGATTTTAGATACGGCGCATCTTCGTCAGTGAAGAAGGTTACCGCTTTCCCTTCTCTGCCAGCTCGTCCAGTTCGACCTAGAAGGGATTAGGAATATGATTGCAGCCGGACAGACCGACGTACCTATCCGATGTATATAACTCTGCACACTGGTAGGAAAATCGTAGTTGATGACTTCACGAACTCCTTTGAAGTCCATTCCACGGGCCATGACTTCGGTCGATACCATTACCCAGCTTTGGCCTTGCCGCATACGGGTGATGGCATCTTCACGCTCCTTGTCTGACATTCCGGCATGAAGACAGTCGACGTTTGGTACACTATTGAGGACTAGTTCTTCTGCAAGTGAAGTCGCTCGGGGCTGTGTCGACGTAAAGATCAAAACGGGAGGGTTGTATGGTTGAGCAAGATAGGTTAGAAGACTGGGTAGCTTGGAGGGATCATCGGCAACGTATGTGAGAGATTGTGCAATTAGAGGAAGTGGCGTGTCCCTGCGGAGGAATCTGAGTTTGTTACTGACATTGAAACTAAAGCCGATGCACATACTTAAGACCCACGACTATCCTGACGGGGTTGTGAAGCATTTCCATGGCGGTTTTTTCAGCACCAGCAGGAAGCGTCGCACTAAAGACTGCCTTTTGCAAGTTTGAGTGAGTACAAGCGGCGACAATTTCTTGAATTTGCGGCAAAAACTCTGCATCTAGCATTCGATCGGCTTCGTCGAGAATAAGAAAACGGACACTGGAAATGCCGGTATTATTCTTCAATTTGAATGGAAGGCGAACAGAGAAGCGTACTTGTTTAGCTCCATGCTTCCAGATTTCAGGGAGGATACCAATCGTAATGGGGTACTAATGATGATATCTGCAGCAAAAAGATTTCAGCTACGAAACTTTATGGTTAGCGCGTTTAGACGCACCGACTTTGTCCCTAGCGCGCTTGTCGGATAGCGTGTTCGCGGTTGCTTTGCTGAACAGGATGACTCGCCATTTTCGTCCATGGCATAACTTCAGGCATTCGTTGTGAATCTGATGCGCTAATTCTTTTGTCGGAGCAAGAACAACAGCTCTGACTCCGAAACCATATTCTTCATTTTCCGTAGCAGATATTGGTGCACCAAGAGAGGATATCACAGGGAGAAGGTATGATAATGTTTTTCCGGTTCCGGTCGGCGATATGGCAGCAAGATCTCGAGACTGTTACCTTCATGTTGCATATCAATGCAGTAGATTCCAGTATAGAATACGTACCTCGAGTAATATTGGCATTCCGTGAGCTTGTATACCAGTGGGCTCTATAAAACCACTTTTTGTCAGATTGACCTCAAGAAGGGAAGGTATATTGTAGCGTTCTGCCAGTTGTTCGAAGCTATCGGCAGGCTCTGGTACATCTTCTCCTTTGCTTGTAACACGATGCCGATGTATTGGTGATTTCGAGACATTGCTGGGTTGCGTAGGCTCTTCGTCGTCATTGCCTTCCTCAATGGCATCTTCAACTTTCCGCTTCTTGGTTTGCCTCCCGTCAGAGGCAACATTGGTCTTGCGCTTTCCGGTTCCTCCTTGCGCATACTTGAAGAAATCAAGCTCAGTGGGAAGCGGCGAGTTTCCTTCTTTCCTTGAAGAACTGGATGCTGTCTTGGACTGATTGACCATTGAGCGACATGAGGAATCTGCAAGATTAAGGAAACGCACGTTGAACCTTTGCACATCATTTTGAAAACGCTTCTTGTTGAACTGTGCGCCGCCTCTAGACAACAACTGGAAAGCCTCCATGAAGGATGGTGGAAAGAGAATGAGAACAAAAAAATAGATTAGATAAGAGATGTAGATTAGATCTTCAATGATTTTCCAAGTTGATGTTCCCACGCACACGCATCCCAGCCCGGTGACTCTGGTTTGCTACGGCCCGCAGGAGGGACTCTCTATTCTACTATGTCATGCAGGAACTTGCAAGTGTGTTCTTGGCCGGATGAGAGCGAGATTCGCATCGCTCTCATTAGAACCACATGCGACAACGGGCCGATAGACAGTCAGACGGCTAAACACTGGGGGCATATGCCCACCCGCGACATTGTTGCACTTTCCGATGTTATTGCTGGGCATCTTCTCGTGATATATATGCTTCTCTCCGGCATTCACGCGCCGTATTGACCCCCTCAATGATTAAACATAAAAGGGGCATTCTTAGGATCTGCCGCTCTGTGTCTCCACCCTAACGATGAAGACTTGGCTTCTGCCCGTGTTCTCTCTTTTTTCCCTTTTCACTGCGCGCGCAGCGGTTATTGTCCCTGGTGCCACATGGACTGATACTTCTGGAGCGGTCATACAGGCGCACGGAGGCGGATTTTTGAAAGTTGGTTACATGTCCATCCCAAAGTAGCCATCTCATTGAGACCATGCATATCAGGTCGGATCTACATACTACTGGTTTGGAGAGGACAAGTCTCACAACAGTGCTTTGTTCAAAGCAGTGTCATGCTACACGGTTACATGATTCCATCCGTTGTTTGGTCCATGGAACTAACAGAAAATAGTCTAGTGATCTTATGACGTGGTCCCGTCAAAATGATGCTCTTTCTCCCATATCCGGTACGGATATATCGACTTCGAATATAGTTGAACGTCCAAAAGGTCTGCTGTATCGATACTATCCTTGATCTCTGCTCACTACCAGTACTAGTCATCTATAATGCCCAGGTATCGTACACGCTAGTTTTGTTCGTAGCGTTCCTTCTCGCTGACCCCGTATTAAGAACTCCGAATATGTTATGTGGTTCCACTCTGATTCGTCTAAGTGATTACACCCCTTCGAATTTCAGACACGAGCACTCCCTGATTTGAACCAGTTACGGCGCCGCCATGGTCGGCGTCGCAACCGCTACCACACCGTGTGGCCCTTATACGTACAGATCAAGCTGGAAACCGCTCGGAGCCGATTCTAGGGACATGGGACTGTTCGTCGACGGTATGTCTCGTGTTCCTTCTGATAAATTTATCCTAATCATAATCAGATAATTGTATGTGTCTTGAAGGCGCAACTGAATCTTGAACTGATTTTTATGTATCAGCGACTGCCTATCTGCTATATGCATCGGATAACAATCAGAATTTCAAGATCTCCCGGTTGACTACCGATTATCACAATGTGTCTGCACAAGTTAGCGTCCTTTCTGGTATGCATGACTCAGGCTACTCCATCATTTTGACTTGCTTAAAACTCCTTATCGGATAGGTTCTACTCTGGAGTCTCCTGGTATCATCAAGCGCAACGGAGTATAGTTTGTTTTGATCGTCTCTACGAAGACTCATAGTTGACAGGTATATTATCTTTTTGCCTCTCACACGTCTGGATGGGCTCCCAACCCGAACAAATATTTTTCTGCAACGGTGAGTTCCTCTATTCTTATCATCGACTAAAGAGTGCTTCTCACTACTTGGCATTATAAAAGTCATTGTCAGGGCCATGGTCATCCCAGGCTGATATAGCACCTCAAGCTGTTCGAACATACTTTTCACAGAACGCGTATGACTTTCCTTTGGGATCGGATGCGATATACATGGGCGACCGATGGAGGCCATCCTTGCTTGGAAGCAGTCGTTATATGTGGTTCCCATTATCGTGGTCGTCTGGATCTCCACAAATAGTCGCTGCGGACGTTTGGAGTGTGAATCTTGCTGCAGGTGTGCTCGCAGTGAATCCTTATGGATATATAACGACGCTGAATTTGCGTTAGGAACTTACACTGTAGCTACTGGCACAACTTACGAGGCTGAAGCCGGAACTAGAAGTGGAGCTGCCACACTAATTAGTGATTCAGCTTTTTCTGCGGGTGGTGGAGTGGGGTGGCTGGGTTCGTTAGATCCTAACCTTCCATTCCACGTTTCTGTCTGATCCTTTCAACATGGTCTCAAGGTAATGGTGGGACGGTCACTATCAACAATGTCCAGGGAACCGGCTCTCCTCAATGGATCTCTTTGTATTATGCCAATGGTAATGCCTTCACCAATCTATGATGTTATTACTAACATTTGGATAGGCGATAGTTCGTGGCGCAATGTTACTGTCAGGTCGGATTTTCTGTTTCTCCTACGCAGGCAATCTCGTTGATGCAAGTACATTGTGACCAGTGTTAATGGCGGCACGGGCGTTTATGTGGATCAGCCAGATACAGGCGGCGGACATGTCATTTTGTCTGTCCCCGTCCAACTCACCCTCCGAAGTGGTGTGAATTCGTTGACCTTTGGTTCTGGTCAAATCAGTCAGTGCCTGTGAACTATTCAGTATATGCACAGTACTAACGAATAGGTGATAGACTATGCAGGAGACTTGGATAAGATTATTGTGTATACAGCAACGTAGTTTTTTGGTAGCTTCGGTTTTGTTTTAGCACAACAACGTTTTACGTTATCATTACAGAGGTGAATAACATTATGAATTGGGGTACGACAGGCCTTAAACTATCTACGGTAAATAAGTCATATTTTGTCTATATACGTCTAGGGTGAATATGTGCGACGGAAGGATAGTATGAATTACGCGTGTTATGCTTTCCGTACAAGCCAAGGAGTGTGTTATGATGCAAGCGTGCTCCATCCTTTTTTCAGTTGCTAGATAACGAGTTCAGTACGAGTTATCGTCCTAACAGAAGAACCTGTACCTCGAAGAAAACGAAGAGCAAGACGGTATTGGGTCCGAGACGAATAAATGCAGGAGTCCAGCCCATAAATAGAAACCTTGGCCCTTCGTTCCGAAGAGAAGTTGTCAATACATGAAGGAACGTGTCTCCGGAAGACTGGTACAGAAAATATGAGTTCAGTACTTTATCAAAAATGTATAACATACGGATGACATAATGCGTGATCGTATAACATCAGCAGGGGAACAGACGGCTTCACCAGCAGGTGTTAGAAATACAATCAGCGTCAAAGCAAGTGTACATACTGGTGGCAAATGTGCCTGCAAGGATACTAGCTGCAACATGGACTCCGAGGTTGTCTTGGAATTGATAACTTGTCATAGGTATGGGGTGCCGCAACAAGGATGTCTTGAAAAAATCATATCTGTTACGAGTAGGTCAATGTAGACTGAGCCTGTTAGAGGTGACGACAACTTACGACCACACCTGAGATGACTAGTGGGGAAAATAGAATTACAAACGTCTCAAGTCAAGGGAAATAACACGTACGTTCATAAGTACTGCCCTCGTCTAAAAGTAAATTCGTCAGCGAGCGGCTTCGATGGACATAGGAAGGACGAAACTGTGTTAGTACCCAATCCTCTTGTCAGTCCTTTGAGGCCTTCTTCCTTCACAAGTCTGACTAGTCCACTGAGTGCATTGGAATAACCATAACGTTTCTCCGGCGGCTTAGTGATATCGCTAGTCATTCGAACGAATAATATATCTGACAATCATCAGTTACATTCGACACTGGGACGGAAAGCACGCAACCCGCTGGATTTCCCGAGATACCACCGAGAGCGCCGGCGACAGTAGCAGCCATGAGGAGCTGTATCGTAGAGGGACGGCCGTTCTTTGATAGACGACGTTTGAAATCTTCATAGGCTCCGATGCGCACCATAGAATAGGTCATTTGCCGAAGTAGTGAAGCAGTCAAGCCTTGGTACATGCTACGAATACCATGACTAGCGACATTGGCGCGTATTACGGAAAATGCAGAAGGACGTTTGGACCCAGCTTCGTTGATCGTTGTCTGCATTCGCCTTGAATTCGAAGATGAACGACGATTGCAGTATTACAGAGTTGGAAAGAACGCACACTTTCGTAACATCCAAGGGATGGGTGCAGCTGGCGGCCACTGATAAAAACAGCATTAGCAGGATTCAGACGACATGAAGATTTCACGCACTGGACGCGGCAACACCTGACATTCAGAGAAAACATTTGAACCATCAGTTGCCAGATCCTCACAAAATACAGAAACCGTATGTACCTCCAAGCCTAAGCAAAGCAGAGTCAGCATCCTGACCGCGCAGAAACGGAACAGCCGTACACTTACCAGAATGGATAACTGTTGGCCATGGGGAGAAAGCGGTAGAATGAACTAAGCAGAAACGACTCGCGCAGGAATATCTCGCGAATGGAGACCTGTCCGTTCCTGCCCGACGAAGCTGGGGCCTGCCTTCAAGGGTATTCGTATTGGTACTGGCACACTGTCCTAGTATGGAATGACCGAGCCCATCATCTACTACTCAGGGTCGCGCACTTTTTTCGGCAACGGCCCGTCGGAGCCCTTCGGCCGAACCAATCACATTGGGCTCAATTTCCAAATTTCCTCCATTCACAACACCAGTGGTCCACATTCTATTTGATAGTTGGAAACAATGAAAAAACACTCAAGAGCCTATAGCTTCGTGTCCTGGACGATATCACAAATCATTTAACTTACAAATAGTCGCATGTATGACAGCTCAAAATGTAGTGGACGTCATTGATCATATACATCCTGCTACAGCTCTGCTTATTTGTGTGTACTAGTCTAAACAGCTTTTGCCTTGACCAACCCTGGAAGGAAGAGAACACACGCATCAGCAAGCGAGAAACTGAAACGAGTAAGTGCATGTTGAAATGAACTCACTCTCGATCTCTGCAACGGCCTCAGTCAAAACATCCTTTTGTACCTTGGGATCGCTGATGCTCTTCATCACGTTGTCAATGACTGTCTTGGTCAACTCTGCTTGCTCGCTCTCCTTCTGTTGCTGCTCATATCTGACCCACGAGTCCAACACCGACTTAAGCTCGGCAGCGAGTACAGTTTGTTGTTTGAGAGCAAAGGTGGATGCTTCCAGTGTCACAGTTTCCTGGAAGAAAAATACGTAAACACACAAGTATTCATGTTCAGATAGGAACACACCTTTGACAGTGAAAAGAGGCCTTGCGTAAGCTGCACGACGTCCTTCATTTGGCCAACGGAGTCGATACGCTCCTTGACGGCCTGCGTATGCTCGGCCCGCGCACTGTCCAAAACTTTCTTGATACGACTAATGTGTCCCTCTGCCCAGTTCACATAGGGCTCTTTGATGGCCTAAAATTCACGATGCCGTTACGATCCTGTTGCGACGTAGAAAAAAGTCCCGTACCTTTACCAAGAACGTGAAGAAAATGGCAGATCCCACAAGTAGCACAGTTTCCTCATTAACGACATAAAGCTCCTGCGAGATTGCTGCAGCCGTCAAACCGGTACCTAGAATGGCCGTACCAGTCTTCGTGAGCAGACCGGGCGCGGAAGGGAGCTTGTTGATGATTTCGCTCGCTTTCGCATCTGGGTCTTTGGGTGGCTGAGTCGCGAGTGACCGGGATGCAGTAGGAATAGATGAAATGATACGGGGATGGGGGCGGGCCAGAGCGCGAAGAGCTAGACGGGATGCCATGGCCATGACGGTGAATGTTAGCGCAGAGTAATGAAGGGAGTTCCCGGAAGGGATGCTTTGGCGCTGTTTGGACTGAAAGCCCATAGACAGAACTGTCGGACTTAACCTGAATACTACTACTTGAGCTCTTATTCACCACCATCATCAGAATGATTGCTTAATGTCTATGCATTCTGTGGTAAACGGGAGAAAGCGGCGCAAAATATACCGCGTGTGCCCAGGCGCTTATTCCGGATCCAAACGTGACCGTGGACTCGTGTTTTAAGCTTCTTGCTATCGATGGATGCAAAGCAGGACATAGGGGGGACTCTTCTAGCCACTGCCCACATCAATCATGGAACCGTTCAGTGGAATAGTACACAATGGCGGCGTTCCAAAAGATACGATTCACCTGCCTCTCGAAGAGATGTCTGCCAAGGTCCTGATTCTTGATGGTTTGTACAGCTTTATCGGTATTTATGAGCATTTATTAATCTTCAGCAGTGAGCAGCAGAGTGACCCTAAGCCAAACCTACGTCAACCCTTCAGACCATCCTACCAGTAAGGCACGGTATTACTTCCCCGTACCCGCCAGTGCCGCAATATGCTCCTTCGAAATGCGAACATCCAGGGGCCAGGTTATCACTGGTATCGCGAAAGAGAAGTTACAGGCTCGCGAAGAGCATGAACAAGCAGTTGCCAGCGGGCGTTCTACTGCATTGGTGGAATGGGTCTCAGACGATAGTACGGTAACACAAGCGATGAAATATTAACTGACGTTGACTGTTCGCTTAGTCTTCACGATATCCATCGGTTCCATTCTACCAAGGGAGACGGCCGTAATTAAATTGGTTGTATGTATTCACCTTGACCGCGTGGGGTTGTGTGGGCTGATCGTCGCATGCAGTTTGTTATGAGTCTCATGAACGATTCCCGCGAAGATTCGATCCGCTTCCAACTCCCCATGTGTGTTGGTGAAAGATATGGGCTGCTACCTCCAGACCTGGTCTCTGCAGCGACAGCTTCCGCAACCACACGCATTCGTGTCAAAGTTGACGTTCAGACCAGTGGTGAGATCCGACAAATCGTTAGCCCAACGCATCCGGATGAAATTTCCGAGACGAAGTATGTTAGCGATCGCGGTCGTCCATCTCGTCGTAGGTCAACGGTCAGGTTCCGCTCCAAGACGTTTCTTTCAAAGGATTTTGTCCTCATCGTACAAGCAGATAAGCTTGATGCGCCACGCTGCTTCGCTGAGGTTAGTCGAGGTCGCGGCAGACGGCAGAGTGACACCCTTGCTCTGCAGTTCGCGATAGTACCCAAATTCAATTTACCTCCCATCAGTGCTCAGGAATATCTATTTCTCGTGGATAGGAGTGGCAGTATGGAGAACGAACGAATTGCAACCGCAAAGGATACGTTGGCATTGCTGTTGAGGGTTCTCCCGCCGCAGGGCACAACATTTAATATTATGAGCTTTGGTAGCAGCGTCGATGGATTATGGGCCATAAGTCAGGCTTATAGTCAACGTACACTTGACGATGCCGTAAGTTCTAATCTCTTCCGAATTGTAATGATCTCAGTTATCTTGCTTTACAGACGACACACATTGACAGAATGGATGCCAACTATGGGGGCACGGAGATTCGTCAAGCTTTGAAATTCACCTTGGAGTCCCGCCAGCGTCAGTACCCAACTGCAATCTTTGTTCTGACAGATGGAGAGGTTTGTCGTGTTTGACCATGTTAGTATCTGGGCACTGACAATATCTTGTAGGCCTATGACATCGATGAAACAATGCAGTTGATTCGTGACACCGTCCAAAGCTCTCCTTCTCCGCTCCGAGTGTATACTCTAGGAATAGGGTCAACTGTTTCCTCTGCAATGTGCGAAGGCATCGCTCGAGCCGGTAACGGTGTGTGCCTGTTTGCAACAGCGGCGGAGGACATCATGGGGAAATGTGCGCGTCTCGTTCGGGCGGGTCGATCATCGTTGGTACAAGACGTTGAAATAGATTGGGGCATTCCGGACCAGCCGTCAGCATCCCCTGTATCTGTCAATTTTTCTACGCTGGATGCACATTCAGTGGTCCTACGCCCTCCGCCCATGCTTCAACAGGCACCCACCGTTATCAGCAATATACACGCCGGAGTCCGTCTTGTCGTTTACGCTATCATACAAGTTAAAGGGGCTGTCGCTCCTAGAGTAGTGACCCTTCGTGGGCGCAGGCACGATACCAGTGAACCATTTGAGCTTTCAGTTCCCATACGTCTCGTTCAGCTTGTCGATCCCGATCAGGGACATCCCATGGTGCATACTCTAGCTGCTTGGTGGTTGATTCAAGAGCACGAAGCTGAAATTGCACCACTTCCCATTCCGTTCGACCGAAATGTTTCTGACTCGGACATACGAAAAGCCGCCATCATCAGACTTGGAACGGACTATCAGCTTACCAGCCGACACACATCCTTTGTCGCTGTTGATCCTGATAACGAGAGACCTCGACGAGACTCTTCTGACCGAACCGTTGCTAACAATGCGCGTACCGCAACTGATGGTAGGATATCCAATGTTCAAAATTTATCGTCTGGAATCACGAATATTCTTTCTGGTTTTTGGAATGCTCTTTCGAGTTCTACACCTAGAAACAATCGAATTGTACCCGGCGCTTGGCCCAACGAATCGCCTTCGGTTACCTCACTCCCGAGTTCAAGGACATCCTCTAATGACCGCCCTGGTCCGTCAGAGGATGATGGGTACGAGACGTACTCAACCATGAGCTCTCTCGAAAGTTCGAGCTCAGAGTGGTCAGAATGGAGTGATATTCCACCAATGTCTGAAGAGGATGCGCGCCTCCAGCGAAGCCCGTCTCCGCAGTATGAGCACGTGAGCTTGGCTTCGGAAGCAGAACACCATAATATTCTGCGTCCTAAACATCCTGCACCTCCACCAGATGCACCTCCCCTCGTACCACCGAACGTTATTGACCTGATGCGGTTGCAGCAGTGTGATGGATCTTTCAGGCTGGATGATCCTTTCCGGAAAATACTTGGGGAACGCGCCGTTCGCGAAGTGGAGTTGTCACCAATCGATGAAAAGACATGGGCGACGGTGTTGTATGTTGCCTTTTTGATGAAACACATGGACGACCAGAAAGAGCTACGGGATGATCTCTTGATGAAAGCTCGTGAATTCCTGAAGGACGAACCGGATGTCGTTGGTTTGGTAGAAAGGGCGAAGAATCTTATTGCTTGAATGTTTAACGTAGCACATAGGTCCCACTGTACAATTACTTTGATTTTAAATAGGTATGCGCCCTCAAAATTTACGACGACGATTGATCAAAAGCAAATCAAGGGGCATGTGGTCCGTGCGTCGCCGCATGGCTGTGTTTGGCACTGCTTAGCTAACTAGTGCACGACGTTTCCAACCTTCCTTGTCTCGTCTCTTCATCACCTTTTCTCCTTGCTTTATCAACTTCCATAACAACATGAGTGCTAACGATAACGAAGACCTTATCGACTACGAAGATGAGCATGACATTGTTCCCAATGGCTCAGCGGCAGCGGCAGCCACCAACGGGGCAGCCACAGGTGGTGCAGGAGCTGATGGAGACGACAAGAAAAACTTTTCTGGCATCCATTCTACAGGGTTCAGGTAAGCTACATCTTTTCTTACTGAGAAGAGATTCTTTTCATGCTTAATCACACTTTTTGCGTAGAGACTTCTTGCTGAAGCCTGAACTTCTTCGTGCCATCAGTGACCTTGGTTTCGAGCACCCCTCAGAGGGTACGTGAATCTACCTGAAATGCAGTCTTTTTTACTGACATTTTCAACCACAGTACAACAAGAGTGTATTCCTCAGGCAGTCCTTGGAATGGATGTCTTGTGTCAAGCCAAATCTGGCCACGGCAAAACGGCTGTTTTCGTCCTTGCCACCCTCCAGCAACTGGAAGCTGTCAACGGACAAATCTCAGTTCTCGTTCTGTGCCACACCCGTGAACTTGCCTTCCAGATTAAAAACGAATACACCCGGTTCGCCAAGTACATGCCCGAAGTTCGAGTCAGCACTTTCTATGGCGGCACTCCAGTTTCCAAAGACGCCGAGACCCTTCGCGACAAGAACAAGTGCCCTCACATCGTCGTTGCCACCCCTGGTCGTTTGAATGCCCTTGCGAGGGATAAAGTGTTGGATGCTAAAAACGTGAAGCACTTCGTCTTGGACGAGTGTGATAAAATGCTGGAACAGCTTGGTTAGTCATACGAATTTCGGACCCACATCATCCATCATCCTTTTGTCTCGTCTTTGCCGAGCACCTTAATGGGCATGGCTTCGACCTTCGTTGGCGCACATGGGACTTGTCCCCTACCTTCGATCCCGAGTAGCTATGGGCAGGATTCGGGAATAGTCGTTGACTAGTTGAGGGTTGTGCGAATTCTGGTTCGCCGAGATAAAGAGAGTCAGAGGAGGTTTCGATCGAGCACTCGAGGATGTCGCCGTTACCGAAGAGTCTGGGCGCCTTTTTCTTTTCGATTCCTTTTTTCGTTTGCACACCGTATGGACCATTTCATCTAATTGCGACACCACCCATTAGACATGCGACGAGACGTCCAAGAAATTTTCCGAGCTACGCCTCACCACAAGCAAGTCATGATGTTCAGCGCGACACTGGCGAAGGAGATACGGGTCACTTGCAAAAAATTCATGGCGAACGTAAGCCTCATTTCTCTGCGTAATCGCGATTATTGATTAGTTTGTTCTAGCCCCTTGAAATTTTTGTTGATGACGAGACAAAACTTACCCTGCATGGTTTACAACAGCATTACGTCAAATTGGAGGAGAGTGGGAAGAACAGGAAGTTGAACGACTTGCTGGATACGTTAGAATTCAACCAAGCGAGTACATCATTTGTTATTGACATCCCCTTGTCTAATATTTTTTAGGTTGTCATTTTCGTGAAGTCTGTTGCCCGTGCAATCGAGCTTGACAAACTGCTTGTGTCGTGCAATTTTCCTAGCATCAGTATCCATTCTGGTCTTCAGCAGGAGGAGCGGTTAGTGGCTTTCACCTTCATCTTTAATAGCCGCATCAATGAAATTGCAGCATCAACCGATACTCCGCTTTCAAAGCATTCGAGAAGCGCATTCTTGTCGCTACTGACATCTTTGGTCGTGGTATAGATGTTGAGCGAGTAAACATCGTCGTCAATTACGATTGTCCACCTGATGCCGACAGTTATTTGCATCGTGTTGGGTACGTGTCATATTGTCAGATCAAGTGGATGACACTGACGTGAGGTTCTAGCCGTGCTGGTCGGTTTGGGACTAAGGGTCTTGCTGTTTCGTTTGTTTCTTCCGACAGTGATCAGCAGGTGTTGGAATCCATACAGTCAAGGTTTGAGGTGGCTATACCTGAGTTGCCAGACCACATTGACCCCGCTAGCTATAGTGAGTGCTTTCGATAAACGGAACCTCCTACATTTGCTGACTGCCGACTGCTCTTAGTGACATCTTAGGGTGATTATGTTTGTATTCTTGTTATCCTTTTGTCTACTTTGTCCTTCGGTACTTTTTTTTTCGCTGTAAAACTACTCTAAATGTTTCACGAATAAACACTTCTCTCCAGTAGAGTATAACGCGAACATTTATTGACCGAAAGGTACCAAGTAAGAAGTTAGAACTGCGCCTAAGGATTAAGGTTATAATGACGTACGGTGAATGTCAATATTGCCATATTTGCCCCGTAACGGTATTTGGACCTGGCTAGACCTCGCTGACTCTGCATCGTACTGTTGTGTGCTCGCCAGTCAGAGCAGCTTTTCTTGCCTTCGTACACGACCAATCACGATTTTGTCCGACTTCATAGAGGAGGGACGTCTGCCATCAAGGCTTCCTGCTGACTCTAGGAGACCTATGCGCAGAAAATTTGGCCTTCCAACACTGCCCAACCTCTACTTTAGGCCGGCAGATGGCATACTCTCTGTTCCTGGATACACGTTCGAGAAGGTGTGTGGATCGCCCCTTCATGATGACAGACTCAGCAAACACGGTATTTATCTAGGCCATGCCATGGGAGGACACTGGTAGCATGACTTATCTCGCGGAGGGTAGCAGTCTGAAGGACAGCTCGAACGTCCTAGCAAAGATTTCTCCAGCCCAGTCCAACGGTTCAATGTGTTTGGAGAGGGAGGCTCACATGTGTGTCATAGTATACTTCTTCGCAGAAAAAACTAAAACAAACATTTAGTCTTGGGAGAATGGCATTATCGTCTGACAATCCTGCTTTGCGCATGATAGATTTCATCAGTATACCCAAGGAAAACGGCGATGTCGTCGTGCTACTGCTGTTTCACCCTGGGCCGAACTTGCTCGGACGCTATCTACCCCCATCCAAAATAAACGAGTTACTTCTGGCTGATATGTCGCGTGTCCGGCCATCGTCGTCCCATGGGGACATCTATATGCTTGGGATTGAGGAGCCCGATTTCACCGAGGAAATGGAAGCTTTTGATATCATGGATTTGGCCTCATTTCTAGAGTAAGTTCATGGTCGTTTGCGATTCATGTTCGGCCTTTCGAATTGACGTTACAGGTTTGCTATCCAAGCAACGCATTGCTTAGAGAGCCTGCACAAGTACGTTATTTTCTATGTTTCCAAAATATAGGTCTCAATAATGTTACATCAAGGGCCAGCATAATACACCGCGAAGGTAACGGACACGTCCTTCATTCCCAGTAGGTTTATTACTAACCGGTGTTTTACCTCCGCAAGTCCGCGCTAATGCCTTTCATCTCAACGCACATTCTGGAAATGTTCGCTTTGTTCACTTTGGAAACCGAGCTATCTCATTAGAAAAGTCCGGTTCTCCGTCCTCACTCGTGCTCAAAGCCTTCGACGAATCCGAGAAAGTTAAAGTGAAAGAAGCCCTGTGTTATCTTGCTCCGGAGCAAACAGGCGGCATCGAAACCACGACCCAAGACCACAGGACGGATTTATACTCCCTTGGGATACTGTTTTGGACTTTGCTCGTCGGACGAGGCCAAATGCCTTTTGAAGGCGGACCGCTTGAGCTCTTACATTCCATTGTACAGAAGAGACCAATGCCTGTACACGACGTGCGACGCGATGTGCCTCAAGTTCTCGCTTCTATAATTGATAAGGCATGTCTCAACTTTTCACATTTCTGGTCATTTAATGACAATGACACTACTCTTATCGTCTCAGCTTCTGGCCAAACATCCAGATTCACGATATCAGAGCGCCTATGGTCTCAAAACCGACCTGATCGAGTGTCAGAGACGACTACTCGTGTCGGTGTCCGCATCTGCTGATACTTCTGCTACCGAAGTCAGTACGAGATGGTTGTACTTGGTGTATTTGTATACTAATCTCGGTTGTAGCTCATACCTCACTTCGACATTGCGTTACAGGACAGGTTTATGGTACGCGAGCAGCCTTTCGTTGATATGCGTTGATTTACGTTTTGGACAGGAATTCACTTTACCTTTGGCTTTGGTACGATTTAATTAGCGCTGACGTCACTATTGGCTCACTAAATATATTTCAGTTCGGACGCGACAAAGAGTTAGAGCTCATCAGGAACGTTAGTAAGTGCACTTTGTTGTTTCGTAAGAATCGTCGATTGAAGTTGAGAATCAAGTCCGAAATACGTCCACCAGCTTCTCGCGTCATTTTTCTGCATCAAAAGGATACATATCGATATCATCTTCTGGGAGCCAGGGTACAGGAACAGGCAACGGCGAGGATCACACCGATTCCAGGTCCTCGGGCAGTGGTGTATCATCTAAGTCCAACGTAATGAATACTGAAGTGACCAGATCCGTGTCGAGAAGCACACCTTACGACCAAAGCTCCGTGTCGCCGAGCATCACTTCGTCATTACAAACAAGTGACGGTCTACTCAGGACTTCATTACGTTCAAGACCCCGAACGGCTCGAGCTCAGGTGGTGGTAGTTGCTGGACCTCCCGGGTTAGTGAACTCCGCTTTCTGGTTATGGTAATAGGTTAACGTCCGTCCAGTATCGGAAAAAGCTCCATGATACTGATCAATCAAGCTAAATGGCGATGTGCGTCATCTTTCTAGATTTATTACTACTGACTGATCAGGTTGCCTAGCACATGGACTATGGGGCCATGCCAAATTTCAGAACGTCGATTCGGCGCCGTTCTCGGCATTAGTGAGCCATATCTGTCCTCACCCGATACATCTTATGAACGAAGCGTAGCTTAGCTGTCTCTCTTCCGTCCTTCGGCAATTGATGGTCTTTCATACGGATGTGCATCGATTTGTCACGGCTCTGAAGGAGCGTTTGGGCCCTCAAATTCAAAATGCGCCCCTTTTGTATGAAGGAACCCCGGAGCTCAGGGATGTTTTGGCGCTCCTAGATATTCACCTTGATACTCCGAAGGAACGCTTGTCAAGTCGCGAGTTGCGTGCTCGGTTCCAAACCTTGGTGGAGAATGTCTTTACTGTCGTTGCTGAGACGCGATTGTTCGCTCTTTTTCTTGATGATTTACATGAAGCAGATGAATCGTACGCCTTTCCTTTTTGCTCCTTGTAAGGGACTAATGGCTTGACAGAACTCTTGATCTTGTGTCTTCATTCATCAACTCAAAGAGTAGAATGGTACGGTTGAATACGTTATATAGTTTGCCTCCTTGTCTCAACAGTCTAACAGCTCATCTTTACCACAATCCGCTCAGATAAAGGGTGGGCTTATCCACATCGTGTTACATTGTCTGCTTTATGCTAATTATATATTTAGTGACGTCGTTGAGCGAGTCCGGTCCATGTTCAGTAGTCGCTCCAAGCCAACTTGGATCACCTTGGAACCGCTATCGTACAATGCAATCTCGTCCCTGGTCTCTAAAACGCTCCACCGGGCCAAAGAAGATTGTGCGCCGCTGTCTCGCGTTATCTACTCGGCTTCTTCAGGAAACGCCTTTTCGGCACGCAGTATTTTGAACGCATTTCACCGGCATAACTTCGTACGATGACACTCATCTCGCTCCTGTAGATTTCCCACTAATAGCAGTGTCGGACAGATCACATTCAATTGGGAACGCAATTCTTGGCAGTACGTCTCCAACTACGGCTGGCTTGATCTCTGTGTCTAACGACCCTATAGATATGACATGGCTGCCATTGAGTCGAGCCTTGATACTGAAAAAACTTTGGATCCTACAGATCTCACATTTCTCGTATCGCAGCTCAGGGAACTTCCTGAAGAAGCTAGGAAATACTTGATTTGGGCTGCGTTATTTGGAGAATCGTACGTTTTCTCGAGAACATCGCGTGACATCATTTCACCTCTTCATATAGATTCAAAGTTACTGAAGTTGCCTTGATGATGCATTTGGAGGATGCAAGCGGCAGCAGCAGCGAAGACGAACACGAAGATTATTTGACCTTTCATAGAATGGACACAACTAATAGTCCTCGAAAGTCAATTCTAGGGCTTCAAAAAGCGCTTGATGAAGGATGGCTTATCCAGCGAGCTAGGGATATGTGCAGTTTCGCTCATGATCGATACCGTCAAGCAGCACAAGCTGAAGCAGCCAATCTGCCGGAGGACGTGGCTGCAAAGATGTCTTTCAGAGTACGTTAGTTTTAGAACACTTGTCTGCATCACCCTGAGGCACTCTCTGCCACCTAGATCGTCCTGATGATGTTACACGAGACACCGGTAGATGTTTACCGAATTGCGGAGCACGCCAAACGGCAAGTATCTTCCATATGTTTTCCAATGCCATGTGCCAACCGTAGGATTCTAGATGCCTTACCCTTTTGCACGACCATCCCAAAAGAGACGAACTTTTGTCTGTTCTCATTGAAGCCGGCGAGGCTGCGTGGACCAGGGGCGCCCACGAGGTACTTAGAAGACGTCATCTTAGATGGTTGCAGGGATTGATGATCCTTTGCCTAGCTTGCTATCCGATCTTTCCATAGCGCACGCGCGCTTCTTCGAGGCGATCCGTGGTCAGAACATCCCCAACGAACTTTCCACCTTTTTTCTCGTATTGCATCGTGAGTATCCTGCCTCCTTGCCAAGTCTTTAGCTGATTAAAAGTATCAGGCTAGCAAACTGGGCAGGTAAAACGTCTCTCAAACGACCTTGTCGTCTGTCACTAAAAGGCTCCTTCCAGGGGATTTCAACACTTCAAATGACTTAGTCCAAGATTGTATGCTGCATGCTCAACGGCCAGAGCAAACAGGGTTTCTCCTGCGGCTTAGATCCCGTAATCACTGGATGCGAGGAAATTTCAAGGATGCCTTAAGTGACAATTTACTAGCGTTGAAAATTCTTGGCGTGGAGATTGATCCTGCTCCGACCAGAAGAAAGGCCGATAGAATGTTCGAAGAAGTAAAGAATGAGATTCTAGCTGTTGGCTTTGATGAGATTCTCTCTATCCCGCGCACTACAGACCCAAGACATCTATTAGCCGTCGAGCTGTTAAATGATGCTGGCATGAATGCATATTGGAGTACATCTCCTGCTTTTGCAGATGTCATTGGATTGACTGTGAGTACGACTGGCAGATCCCTTGACCCTTAATGGAATGTGACCTTGTTTCCAGACTATCCAACAAGCCTTACGGTCAGTGGCTAGATTTGTCTAATGGGTTGATGATGAACGCAGCCATCAGGAATGGAATGGCTCCGGGCACTGCTCTAGGCTTCTTCTGGGCACTTGGAGGTACGTCGCGGCTATGCTATACTTTATGTCTTCTTAAGCGTTGTAGGTGCCGCAGAGCAACGAGAGTTGTATCGATTTTCTGCTGATCTTGCTAGACTAGCTTTACGCATAGCAGAACGACATGGTTCTAGCAGTGAAAAATGGTTTGCCGTTTTTCTTTAGCTGGATATAAGTTTCAACTCTTTCTGCAGTCGTGCGCAGGTGCTCTATTGTAGCATGGTATCTGGATATGACAGTATGCACATCAGCACAATGATCCCCCGTTTAGAGGAGGCAATTCAGTACGGCAATAGTGCAGGAGACCGGTGAGATTTATCGGTCATCAGTTCTTGTTCTCGGTTCTGATGGCTTCGCCTAGGGTCTACACCGCGTTCGCGCGAGTCCATGCGATCATAACGCGCCTTTTCGTTTGCGAACACAGTGAGCATTGGTTCCGTATCAAGACTGTAAATCAGACTTAAGTGCTTTAGTAAACGAACTGGTCACTGCGGCGGAAGATGCATGTCTTAAACGATTGTTCGTATGATACACTCATCGCTAACAGAAAATGTTTAGTGTGTCAACGAAATCAAACAGGCAGCCAGCGGAGCCGATATCATCGCATTAGCCCAAAGTACGCGGATTCTACTCATCCAAACTAGTAGTCACATCTCAAGTCTGTCAGGCTGTCTCAACGTGATCCGTGCTCTGGGAGGCTACACCTATGCTCGTTCTGCCGATACTGCTTTCGACACAGATGCATTCAACGAGGCTGAGTACCTGACACAGTTACGAGAGCAGTCAGGAAATCCGACTCTTGCGTTCAGTTGGTGAGACCGTCAATCAGAGTACTTTCACTGCCATTTGACTCTTATCTTCCTCTCTTTAAAGGTACAATGCCTTTAAGGTGATAGCATCGCGACTTTCTCCGTTTATGGTAATTGAGCGAACAACACCAGATTGTTGGCTTCTACTGCTTGGGTTTTTTTGACGAAGCCGCCGAACTCGGTTTCTCCGTCTATGATGCCAGAGATAGGCACCCAAAGTCAGTATATATCTCGGTTCTTTTCAAAGCTTGCCTTGACATAAAGGGTCTCAGTCACCGACACGTCCGATATGGTCTGTTTTTCCACAGCCTGGCCATGATATCTAGCATGAGAAAGCGCAACGTTACTGAAGAGACACGCATCCGTTACTTAAAACAGATCGAACTCAATCAGAGGTTTATCAAGAAGTATATTACTCTGCATCTACCATCGATCGCATCCTTATTTTCTACCAGGTGGTTATCTCCGAGTCCAGTGAATACCAGTACATGGGTAGCTCTCGTGGTACATCGAACATAATTTCTTTGTCATGGAGTGCTTAATAAGATTTTGTCCAGGACGCCGAATTGTCTTCGCTGTTGAACAAACCAAGCGCTAACAAGCAGTACGACACTGCTGTCAAGTAAGTTTCGGTCCAGCTCAATATCATGCCGTATTGATCGTTTCAAGGTTAGCAGTGAACCATGACTGGCTTTTGGAAGAAGGATGGGGTCTTTATCTTGTTTGTCGTTTTTTTTCCCTTGAGTTTGCTGCTCCGCTCACATTGATTTAGCAAGGGTGTCATTTCGTACGCACAGGTGTCGAAGGGCTGGGAAGCGAATTACAACGTCGCGGCATATCTCGACATTCACAGTGGGGAGCTCAAGGCATCGTGTAAGCAATGTATTTCCGTTTCCTCCCACAGAATCTATATAACATCATACACTAGGAATTATCTCAATACGGTGGTGGGAAGCCGGCCTCAGTATCCTCTGAAGCGACCTATATTCATGTCTGATGTTGCTGTTCAAACCGAGAGTGCCACCGTGGACGATCCGAATTTCCCTTACGGTCAGACAAAAACCACTATGAGTGACGAGCAGGAATCAACACTGAGTGCCTCTGATCTTGCGTCCATCTTGAAATGGAGTAAGGATATTTCGAGTGACATCAACCTGTTTTCAGGTCGGATTTCACCTCAATTGCGCGTTGTAGAGTACTCTGACAATACGTCTATAGCGTTACAAAGGTTGACAGAGATTGCAACCGGTAAGTTTCTGGAAGGAGGATATTGTAACTTATACTGACTTACATTGGAGAAACTTCGGGTTCCCAAAATACCTGCGGTATGCGAAGAACTTGGCCTTATGAAGGTGTACTGACATCTCTTAGTGGTTATTACACGAGAAGATGGAGACTATACTGTCGCAACGAGCATGACACCACCTGAGCAGTGCCAAGTATATGAGTGCGTTCTGCAATTTTTTTTTTCGCCATTTAGCTCAACTTATCACAGGCACCCACGGCCGGTCAGAAGCCTTGCAAATCCCTTGCAAAAAGCGATAATTCAGCACAGTATGTCGTGAAGATATGAAGGCTATCTCATTGGATCTAATATCTATCACAGCCATCAACTCGAAGGAGCGACTTCTGTTCGACGATGCTGCGTCTGACTCTCGATTCGCAGCAGAAGCCCGTCAGACAGTCTATCGATCCGTCATATGTTTACCTATCTTCAGCAACCGTGGTCAAACGTTCGGGACAGTTTATGTGTCCTCGAAGTACTCGTTTTCACAGAACATTGTGATAATGTTGACACTTCTATGTCAACAGGCGAGCATCAGTATATCTAATGCGCTTCTATTTCGTTCTGTTCAAGCAAGCACCAGAGAGAATCTGAAAATGATTGCTGCTCAGCGAGATGCTCTAGAAACTGCCCGTAAGAGTCGAGAAGATGCCCTCAAGGCCACGAAGGTGCTTCCGTTCGATCATCAAGCTTGACCTATTGTTGACCTTTGTGTCCAGATTAAGAGCAACTTTTTGGCATCAATGAGCCACGAGTTACGAACCCCGTTCAGGTTTGGTTGTTTTCCTGGCCTGCCGTTGACAACTCATCGGTTTTGTTTAGCTCTTTTTACGGTCTTCTTGATCTACTGAGCGGAACTGAGCTGAATCCCGGCCAAAGCGAAATTGGTGAGATTCGAACCTACATTGCTACTCATCAAGATCACTTATGCATCTGCTATCAGTTCAAACGGCAAAACAATCCTGCGAGCTACTGTTGAAGGTATGCTTGTTCCTTGTTCTCAAGCAACGATCTTGACTTGCCGTAGATCATTGATTCTATCCTCGACTACAGCAAGCTCGAAGCCTCAGGTTAGCTGCTTATTCCACTCTGCGGACAACCAATGACATGAAGCTCTACTATCAGCCCTGAAGCTTGAACCGTGCGGATTTTTGGTGGAAGTAAGTTTCGATGTCACTTTTTCACCTGGGTTGCTGACTCATAAGTGTAGAACATTATAGCGGTAAGCCGACACCGGATCATAGTGTGGTCTGGCATTTATTCTTTTAGGATTGTATGGAATTGTTGCTTCCCGTAGCAGCAAAAAAACTGGACCTCTCTTTCAATATCGAGCCCGATGTACCGCCATGTAAGCCTATTCGAATGTCCAGTAGCTCATCGTTAATGTTTTCAGGGGTTTATGCCGACGATGCCCGCATCCGCCAAGGTAATGAACGGTGCTTGCTTACTGGCTACGATCAAGTACTCAATATTCTTTTCAGTGCTCATGAACCTAATTGGCAATGCCGTCAAGTTCACGGAAAAGGGTTATGTCCAAGTATCCTGCTCGGTTGCGAACCCTGCATCCGCGTCCTCTTCTGATGAAGTAAATCTTAAATTTGTTATCCAGTAAGGGTGCGATTCTGTCTGCATTGTTTCCCTTACTGACGATATATCAGGGATAGCGGTATAGGACTCTCGCCAAGCGACGTCGAACTGCTGTTTGTACCTTTCCAGCAGGCCGACAATTCTTCGACTCGGCGTTTCGGCGGTACCGGTTTAGGCCTGTCCATTTCGAGACAACTGGTCAAACTTATGAATGGTGCTATTGGGGTACAGTCAGAACTGCATGCAGGTTCAATGTTCTGGTTCACAATTCCCGTCAAAATCTTCCATTCGGAAGAGTCGAAACGGGTACGTTTTGTTTTCCTTCATATGTTCTCCGCATCTCATGACACTGTTCAGTCTTTATTGGACATCCAAAACCTCAGGGCGAGTTTGCAGCAGCCTCAAATTCTTGTTTGCTCGGGGTCCACTGTTACATTAGCTTTGCTGAAAACCTTCTTTACTGGTTTTACCGTGACGCTCATATCAAACATGCAAGACGCAGAAATGTTTCTTCGAAGCTTTAGCAACCTCCATGCACCGCTTGATTTCATCATTCTGGATGATCAGTCGGACGAGCACGCTAGTGAACTTGCACATTTTCTGCGTTCGCTTCATGTCAACGCTTTGCAAGACACAAAAATCATTCACCTGTACACTCCTACAACAAACTTATCTCGACAGTCAATTTTCGGAACCAGCACTCCAGGTGTTGTTAAAATGACAAAACCACCCCGCCAAGCCAGACTCCTGCAGACGCTTGCTGGCTTGAAGAACCTTCCCAATGCTATTCCGAGTGTTCCGCCCACCGAAGTTTCTAAAGCTGTGCAGAACGTCGCCGCGGCACAACGTACTCTGTATGGCAACGTCCTCATCGCGGAAGGTGAGTGGGCATTCCTTGGGATTGATGTATCAACTGAAGACCCGCTTAGACAACCCTATCGCGCAGCAACTCCTCGTCAAGCAACTGCAACGGTATCAACTCAACGTCACAGCAACATCTAATGGAAACGAAGCCATTTCAGGTAGATTCAATTTGATTCTGTCTCTGTCTATATTGAGCGAGCTTTTTTACAGAATGGGAATCACGGGATCCTGGATATTTCACAGTAGCGCTCTTTGATCATCGCAAGTAGAGTCTTGTGTACGGCTCACTGTTGCATTGACCGTTCTCTTTCAGATATGCCTATATGCGACGGTGTGGAGGCGGCCAAGCGGATACGGATGCTAGAGAACAAGCGGAAGTGTCCCGTCATGCTACCAAGTAAGATATAATATCTTTCATTACGACCTCGTCTTCTTAATCCACCCCCAGTTGTGGCGTTGAGTGCCGATTGCCAGGAATCGACGAAGCAGCTGTGTTTGAGTGCAGGCATGAACGCATTCTTTAGTAAACCACTGAAGAAGGGTAAGTTAATTTGGTTGTCCTTGATGAGTAACTCAATATTGCCTCGGCAGCGGATCTAATATCATTATTATCGATGTTTGGGCCATCACAACCAGTGACATAGAAGGCGGGGACCATTTATTTCGTCATATAATACTATATCCGCATCTGCTTTGAACATACGCATTCATCTTGCATACCTGTCTGTACACGTAGCTATCACGAACCATGCAACTGCTAATCGCAACTCTTCTCTTGGAAAGGTGGTTGAAGAGAAATTATGAATGTCCAAATCGATAATACAATACATCGTCGTGCATGTATAGTCTTAGCTCATTTTCTATTATACACGCCTACAAATATCGTTCAGAAGAGGTATAATCGTTACCGCCCGTGACCATACTGGGCGGGATATTGCATTGCACCAAACCCGCCTTGTGTCAAGGTTACTTGGTTCTGTACATGCGGTGCTTGTTGTTGTGCATGGACGGGTATTGCTGTAGCACTGTGCTGACCAAAGATGGGGATGTTCTGCGCCTGCCTCTGGTACGCCTGAGCAGTGATCTGTTGTTGCATCTGCTGTTGTTGGTGCTGGGGAGGCGCAAGGCCGTGAGGATGAGGGAAGTTGAATGAGGGGGGTGGCATAGAGCCGGGAGGAGCACCCATAGGGAAAGGAGAAGCCGTTGCTGTGGAAGTGAAGTAAGGGTGGGAAAGCGCCTCGGCTGCTGATATGCGTTCAGACGGGTCGAACTTCAAGAGGCGCTCGAGAAGGTCGAGGGCTAGACGTTACACATCAATATCATAATACGGCAGATAGCGAAAAGCCATACCATGAGGCGATGCTTTGGGAATGACCTGCTGTAAATTCATCTTCGGATACCGAGGAAATTGTTTGTTGGCAATATCGGGCTGAGTGTGCGTCAGCAAGGATACCGCACCCAGAGTATGTGACGTACTGCGTCTTTGAATATGGTCTTAATCTGCTGTTCTGACGGGGTGCCAATAACCCGTATGATATGCAAAAGTTGGTCCTGATTGTCTCTACCTCGAAACAAAGGAACACCAGATATCATTTCGGCAAAGATGCAGCCGCAAGACCACACATCGATGGATGTGCTGTATGTCCGTGAGCCGAGGAGTACATCAGGAGCTCTGTACCAGAGGGTGACAACCTGCAAACTTCAGCAAAGTTGCCGGGGAAGCCAAAGACAACGCACTTCGTTTGAAAACGTATTAACTGGAACACCAAACGCCCGCGCCAATCCAAAATCACCAAGCTTCAGCTCCCCTTTTCGATTGATCAAGAGATTTTGCGGCTTAAGATCACGATGAAGGACCTGGTTCTCGTGACAAAACGCGGTCCCCTTCAAAAGCTGGTACATGAAACTCCGCACGGTATTTGGATCAAGCGCGCCCCGATCGCCATTCTTGTCCATGTACTTCTTCAGGTCCTGTTCGCAGTACTCGAAAATGAGAACGAGTTTCGTCTCAGTGTGGATAACATCATGGAGGCGGACGATGTTGACATGCTTGAGCTCCTTCATGAGCGAGATTTCTCGGATGGCGGTCGATGGGGTTCCTTCTTCAGCATCGAGGTGGATTTCCTTGAGTGCTACAATCTCATTGGTGGTTCTCGATCGACCCTGGGCAGGATTGTAATGTATGGACCAGAAATGATGGCGGAGTCATACCTTGTATACTGTGGCGTAAGTGCCTTCTCCTGTGGTACGTATCAGCGGCAAACAAGAGAGATGTAGCGGCATTACTCGCCTAGTTTCTCAAGCTACAAGAAGGGAATTAAGTGTCTAGCTCACGGTTGGCAGAAAAGCTGTAACACACCTGTATGTAATTCATAGGAACTGGCCCAGCGAAATTATGGGAGATAGAGAGAAGAAATACAAAGCCTGAAGAGCGAGGTGTGCTAAAAGTACAAAGAGAGGAAGAGTGATGGTGGTGGTAACAGAGAGAGCTATGCCAGATGGATTACGGCGCTCATCTCGTTTCGAATCCGACTATCCAAATCAGGATGCTTCGAGCACGTGGTCAACGCCAAAAAAAATTCTCGACTCGACAACTTCTGCATGGCGTCTCCAGAAAAATCAAAAAAGTCCAAGTCGAAACCGCCTCGCGGTCGTCCAACCGCCAACTCTGCCATTTCTCAACCTGCGGTGCAGGATGCCACCACCACTACTGCCCTTCCTGCTTTCTCTCCCAACGGAAATCTTTTCGCCTACCTCTCCCTGGCTGTTGACAAGCATCGTTTACGCGTTTATAACACTGCTACAGGCCAGTCCGTTGCAGAGCATCTTTTCGAGGCAACCAGGGCTACTGCGCTGGTATGGGCACAGCTGAAATTGTCCGACACAGACAAGCCAAACGGCACGGACCAACCACCCAGCAAAAAGAAGCGGAAGAAAGGCGTGGATACGGTACAGGTAAAGATGGTAGAGGTCGTCATCCTGGGTCTCTCTGACGGTACTTTGGTTCTCTTCTCTCCCACTCACGGCCGGGTTATACGAACCCTCTCCGATTCTCAAAGTACAGTTGCTATATTATCAGCAATTGCCGTAGAGAACGCGGACAATACCTCTAACATATGGACTTCGAGTGTCGACGGGTTTGTACGGAAGTGGGATTTACAAACCAACGGTGTGCTTGGTTCATGGAAATCGGGCGACCGAGTACCCTACTCAGCCATGGCTCTTCGACCATCCGGTAAAGAAAATGAACAGCAGATCCTCGTTGCAAACCACTCCCTTCGACTGTTATCTTTTGATGACGTTGATTCACAAAAACCCAATCAGCTAGCATCCTTCTCAGGGCATGCTTCAGCCGTCAAAGCCGTACAGTGGGATGCTTCTCAAACGCGATCTGACCGTTTCATTTCTATGGCAGAAGCAGATAGAGTAGTATCGGTATGGGCCGTACCTACAGGAGACGCAACGGAGGGAAAGCTCGCTGCTTCAATACAACTCGACTCTGATGCCAGAGCCATTTCTCTTCTTCACGTCGCTGCTTCTCTCAACCAGGTTCTCTTGACGCTTGCCGCATCCGGGAGAATATCTGTTTTCCCCATCCCGACCGAATTGTCGCCTCCTACCAACTCTTCTCACAAAGTGTCGACACTACTTCCACGCTCCACACTCGCAGTACCCTCTGCCAAAAACTCATCCGGTGCCCAGCTTTTGGCGGCATCGTTTGTTCAAGGACATCCTGGTCAAATCCGCATAGCAAGAGTTGTGGGTGGTGTGCGACCAGTGTTTGACCTTGTTGTACGTGTTAAATTTTCTTCTACCCGTACTTGATAATTAACTCTTTACATGCAGTCATATTTGGATGATTCTGGCGCATTCATTAAAGATGTTTCAATTGGCGACGTTTCCGCCAGCCTCGTTACTGAAACAGCCATGGTTCGCAACATTTGTATGCCGTATTATTTTTGCTGATTTTCATACCTCATAGATGGAACCAAGCAGGCGATACAATGAGTCGTCTTCAATGGCGGTTGGCTCTGGGGTTGCACTTGGGCATGATCCGGACCTGGATGACTTGGCCTTTGAGCATCCCGAAGGCGAACTGGATGTTGACCTTGCTGAGCTCAGTCTCGGTCAACGATTAACAGCACTCTCCGGTGCCAATGTCCGACCTGAGGGTAGTGACGATGAAGAAGCCTCTTCTTCCAAGCGCCGTAAACCCTCAGGGAAAAAGGTACAAAATGATATATCCGTTGTCCCAGCTGCTTCCTTAACGCGGACGTTACTCCAAGCTTTACACTCGTCAGATTCAAAGCTTATGGAGACATGTCTGGCACATTCCGATCCTGTCTTGATACGTAATACAGTGAAGGCTCTACCACCTCAGTTGGCTGTTCCGTTGTTGACGGCCTTGCATGGAACGACTAGGGAGAGGTGCAAGGGCGAGCAACATGAAAGGTGGCGGAGGTGGTGCAAGCTCCCAACGCGGTACAACTCTAATTGCGTGGGTGAAAACTGTGCTGGCCGTGCATAGCGGACATTTGATGACAGTAGGTTATCTCAATTGAATCGCTTATGTCGTGGCCGCCCTAACCTATTGCTTTAGATACCTGATCTCGTGGCACGGCTTTCTGGTCTTCATGCTACACTCACTGCTCGGATAGCGCTACAGGAGAGCTTGTTGTCCCTAAGCGGGCGACTAGACATGGTCCTATCTCAGATCGAGATGCGTTCATCTGTAGCGCCTGCTCCTCTTGTCCCTAAGAAGAAAGCAGTCAAGGACAAGGACGTTAAAAGATATGTCGAGGGTGAAAGCGAAGATGAAGAAGAGGAGATGGATATAGAAATCGAAGTTGACAGTGATGACGATGCTACTAGTATTGAGGATGTGGAGTTGGGGGGTAGTAGTGATGAATCGGAAGAAGAGGAAGAAGCTGAAGACACTGGGGATGATGAAGAAGACGAGGACGAGGATGCCCTTGTAGTTAACGGATTCATCGATGATGAGGCAGAGGAATATAGCGACGAGGAATCAGACAGTGAATAGTTATGTGTGTATCTACTTTGGCAATTCCTCACGCTTCTTCGATGCTCTTGAAAGATTCCCCTTCCGCGGTGAAGAAGCTTCGGCTTTCTGGTTACGAGATCGAGTCTAATAAGACGGTGTTAGCATCATTCACATTACGACGAATATAGCATACCAAACGTTTCGTTGGAGGCTCTTCAGACTCTGATTCTGTTAAGGGGGGCAAGTCGCTGTCATCCTCCACCTTCGTTTTCTGGATAGATAAAAAGGTGAACACATCACAAGTGACGCAAGGGCATGCACGAACTTTTTCCCGTCTTTGGGCTCTCTTCCTGCTTGTCGCAAGTCCAGAAGGAACATTCTGAAGTTCAAGCACAAATGCGGAAGTGCGACCACCTACCGTTATCCATTTGATTGTGGCAGGTTCACCAGACGGCTATTTGGAGCCAATGATAAACATGATTGTATTTGCAACATAGGAGTTCTAGGCCTACCAGTGCCAAATTATGAGAAACTTTCTTGCCTTTACCCTGCGACACAAACTAACTGTTAGCATCAGCTTGTGACGATGCATAGGATGTCATCCTACCCAACGATGTTTAAAAAGCCAATTATCAGGAAATTTTGTGTCATCTGCGTTCGCTTCGACTGCTGTTTCACAAACATAAGACATCTTTTCACGCAGTGCCATCACTTGCTCCTTCGTCAAGGTGTTGCACCTTTGCTCTGGGTGGACGTGAGAATGATAAAGTATCTCATCTGGACGAAGCTGCGTCATTCGTGTATCAACGCAGCAGTTGCCTGTACATACCAGCTACCCAGTTACCAACGCCGGCGCTAAAGGATTGGTCCAGAAGCAGCGCTTTGATTGGGCAAGATCGTTTCACAACAAGCCTGAGGAATTCTTCCAGGGGTGGCATAGACAGAATTGGGTCGAATCCCAGCTCAGAGATTGGCGGTTCTTTTGTTGGCGAGGAACATAGACGGATTCGACCCAGCCTACGAGCATCTAGGAAAGCTAGCTCTATGACATCTGTCGGACTGGCATCAGACACGGTTTCTAGGTGTAGTATGAACTATATATATGAATGATCATGAGGACTCAATTGTGGCCGAGAACTATGCTGAAGCTATGCGCACTTTGACGAAACGGGGAGGCCAGTCTGTCGAAGCCGTCCTTGGTGTTTCTCTATAATATGTCGCCATTTGTCCTTTGACCTTGAGAGTACGATGGTGCCAAAGTCAACAAGTACGTCTACAGGGGCACAAAGCCTTGACTCACCTGCAGCATTCCTGTCATGCCAAAGTGCATGACGGGCATTCGACCTTCACCGCTCAATTCGAGATAGAAAACTTTTCCTAGTAGATTTACTGTTAAGTATCGCACACTGCTGAAGGGAGAGATGAACTTGGGCACCGTAACGTCCGACATTATCTATCGTTCTTCCAGTCAATTCACGAGCCTTGGTGTTGTTTTAAATATCAGTCAAAACCACATGCACATGGTAGATCAAAGCTCACGAATTCTGCGTGAGTAGTACCGGAGTATACGATGTCATCCTCGAATGATTCGACTCGGGCTATTTTCTTGCCCAGACCAACGGTCTTGAAAAGCTTGGATGCTCTTTCTACTTCTGATTTTGACTGATAATGTGATACAGGTGTGAAAGCAAATCCACTACGCACCTGGAAGTTCTGGCATAGCGTCTGGGGTGGCCTGGGGCGGAGTCGGTTTCGGAGTTGGCCGTAGTCTGACCGCGGTTCGGTGCAGAACCTCGTGAACCCGGTTCGAACCCGAACCGCACCTTCAGGTTCAGGTGCGGTGCAGGTTCAGGTTCGCTGTAGCTACGTGGGTGCAGGTTCGAGGTTCGAACAAGGCCAGATGGGTGCACCCGAACCTGAACCCCGAACCACTATACATTTTTAACTGCTCTTATTAGGACTTTTATACATATCTTTGAGATGCCTTTCTGTACTATTTATCATTTAGGTCTATTTCTGGTGCATCTTTTCTACTTTGCACCTCCTTTGGCCACGTTTGCGATGGAATTGAGTCATGGTTAGCGTTGGTGATGTCATACTCATTGATGAGTTCACTCATATCTGGCCTTAAATGACATTTATTGGGTGATATACTATAAGTTGAATAAATATACAGTATAATAGACATTGCTAGAACTATCCCGCCCTGCTGTACAGCATCCAGCCTCGACTTTCTGTCTGCTGCTGCATCGGGAGGTGCAAACCCGGTGCACCTTGAACCGCACCTGAACCCGCGGGTTCGGTCACATGATCGCACCGAACCGAACCTGCACCGAACCGAACCCCGGTCAGTCTAGTTGGCCGTCGACGGTCGACGCGTCTCGGTAGCACCGTGGCGTCGCCAGTAAGTAATTGGGGTAATTGGAAAAGACCGGATCTATAACTTTTGTGGTTCTGGTTAAGTTCTGGTATCTATTTTACTCATAGAAAAGCCCAGCTACTCCTTCCCTTTCCGTCGAGAAAATGCACTTGACATAGCGATAATTTACCGTAATTATAGCTACCAATGTCAACGCCTACGATATGTAAGATGTCCTGTCGAATAAATAACTGCCGTCCTGCGATATAATATTAATAATGGGTGCTTCCCGGACAGCCACTTCGGGCCCAATGAAGCGGACCTCGGACTTGAGGATCTCCGCCGGCTAGTTACGGTTTTGATTGCTTTCCCAGGTTACCTTTCCTTTTGCCTCTCCACTCATTGTCGCTCCTCTGTGTAGGATAGACCCAGACGTTTTCGGTAGATAACTTTGGCATTGATATTCAAGTGTTCCAAGGTCGTCTAGCGCTGCCAGGGAGTTGAAAGCCCTTTCGGAGTACGTCCGTCGGTGTTCACCAGGTACGTCCAATCCTTCTGTCATTTGTTTTACCATTGTTTCCATCAACCAATGCATTTGCTAGTTACTAGAGAGATGAGTGCAAACACATACCCCTCACCAGCATCGTCGGCAACACAGTCCAATGTTGAGCCGGCGCTAGTGGCGCAACCTCCAGCAACCACGTCTCGAGCGCCAGATCATTATCAAACGCAGTCAAACCTTCAGCACGCATCTACGGCATTGCAAGCAGCATACCGCCGAATCCGACAAGTGAGGAGAAGCCTACTGGAGCTGTCGGACGCCATTCCCACTCGCGATTGGGAAAACAGAGTCGAAGGCGACTCTGAACTGAGGCCCAGACACGATGCTATCATGCTTACAGGCTCCATGTTCGATGATTCCGGCGAATCCTCAGATGAGCCCTTTGAAGTCGACAGACTTCGAGACGCCTTGCCTGCGATGGAGGGTCGGGACATTGGGCGACAATCTGAACCAGCGCGGTCAAACCTGTATTTTGATTTTGTTCGCGAAAATGACATACCAGACGTCCCTTCCCGTTATAGTCGTCTTCCCCTCGCGCCGCTGGGCTCCATTTCAGAGAGCACGACTCCGCCACCGGCACCGGCACCTCCTCCGCTCATCCTGAATTCGCCTATCAGCCCTCCTCGTTTGCCACGAAGGTCATTGCTTGAATCGGGCCTGCTACGTCGTCGGGAACTCAGTGACGACCCTAGTACAACCACTGGCCGTCGTGTTGCGGCTCTTGAAGCGGCAGGTTCAAGTAACTATGCCGATTCACCCGTTGCGATATCAGCGTCCGACGAGTCTTTGTCATTACCTCTTTCTGCCGAGCGTGATTTTGAACATTTACGTTCAATTGTGCGCCAGCGTCGTTCTGATCCGGGTGTATCGGCCAGAGTAGACTTGCTACTTGAAAATATCCGTCGGACAAATGGCGACCGACCTACTCGGAGCTTGGACACACCTAACGCAAGAAATGGAAGCCAGAATACATCAAACCCCACTCCGAGAACCTCTTATGGCTCTCGTAGGTTTAGATATTCACGACCAACATCTATGCAGTCCCCAGTGTCTCCCTCCTCAGACAGATTATCGTTGTTATCAAACTTCTCCATCCAAAATCTGCCGACTCCAACGTCTTCCATTCTCACACATCCGCCCATTCTATTCGACGAGCCCTTAAGTTATGTCCAACCATCAGATTCCAACTCCCAGTCACGTAATGTATTGGATCGAGATGGGATGGAGGACCAGGACAGAAGAGGATACTACATTAGTCGACGACTCAATTCAGAAGGACAAGAACATGTACACAATGTTCAGGTTGATTGGTCCGATGATGCCATGGCTTGGTTGATGCCCACAAGAGATCGGCTTCAGCAGGATCAATCGGCACAAAGTCGGATTCATACCCGTCGACCTAGGGATGGTACTATCATTGGTCCAAGGATGACAACGTCTCCCCCACCGGAACCTACAACTCATCGGCGTCATTGGGGTGAGCCAACCACTTGACTATCTCTATTCAAGCACTAACTTGCCTTTCAAGCGCGCCTTGATGCAGATGGTAATGAGATTCCTTATGACGAGGAAGAGGAGATCGAGCGTAATCGTCTCCACCAACGCCTTCGAACACACGAACGTCGTTTGACGACACAGCCAATCATCGAGCCTTCTTCACAACGACTATCTGATCTGATTCCCGTTACTCAGACGTCCATTTATGCCGACGAGGATGCCACTATCTATCGACGGCCTCGTGTCAGGCTTGGTCGTCTAGAAGGTGGCGATCCTTTTGAATATAATCGGACATCTCTAGACCTTTCGCCTGGCCAATACGATTATCTCTATCCTAGCCGGCATACCGCGCCTTCGAATGAGGGTCCGGAGTATTATGGTTCAGATGTCCCGTTCTATGTCGACCCTTTACCCATGCCTCTATCGGAAATGGTTTCGTCTCCGTCGTTGCGACGAAAGAAGAGCGCCGTTCGAGTTCATAAGAACGCCAGCCTTGCAGGGAGATAACATTGCATGACCTGTTTCCCTCCTGACACCTCTAACTTATTTACTCAGACTGTTCTTTCTCGGTACATATGCATCATGTACACATTCTTTCGTTGGAAACATTGAATCCGTTCCGTTCATTAAGCTTAGTTTCATTTGCAGTTACGGTGTTTTCTTCTTCCATTCAATCGACTTCGCATATACTTACTTCCTATCATCATTGGTTACTGTTACATGTGTAAGGTTTGAGCATTGTATTCCAATGATCATACATTTTCTTCATTTGCCTGAGGTGCCTGAGTCGCCTTGAGGTCTCTAGGCAAGGAAGGAAAGGCAAGGCAGGCAAGCCTTGAGTCACGCGCCCTACTGTCCCTACTGTCGACCGCAGCGGGCCGTCCACTCCGATCACTGTTTTTTCATTGCTTCATGGAGGTATGATAGAGTTCTCTGAAAGGATTACTCACAGCACTCAAGTTAGGTGGTAAACACGCGGTCGGCCCTATTGTCAAACTTTGAAGTACTATCTTTGTTACGCGAACTCGAGAACGACCATCTTGCACGCACGAAAACTGCCTTGCGAATAAAAAAGGAGGAAGAAGCTGCTGGTGTTGTTTCTTCGATCGTACCAGGGGAGAAACACCCAAGTAATGTTGAAGTCATTCATAATCTGCGGACAATCGAAGTTGAGGTGCGCTTGGACGGCCTTTTCCCCCCTGCGTTCCCTCTGACTGTATTTCCAGGCAATCCAGTACCTATCTGCAGAATATCAGCCCACCAAGTCCCAGACGGAGCAAGGCATCACGCGGGTTGTAAAGGACCTCGATAAGTACTCCTTGACGAAAGCAGAGAAATTGCAGGTGGTAAATCTCGCTCCCACTTTACCCGTGGAGCTCTACGTGGTGTGTTCTCAAGATTTTCTGTACGATGCTTCTGTATTGAATCTGTCTCCTCAAAGATTGTAGAAGACCTCGAGGATCGGTTAGGAGAATCCATGGAAGAAATCCTTGCGAACGTTCAGTCTTCGTTATCTTCCTCGGCGAGCACGACGACGGAAATGAATTCATATCCATCTACTGTCCATGAGGAGTTTGAGCCAGCAAACGAGGAAGACACGTCGTTCTGGGATGCTGAAGGCGACGTCGATACTGAGATACAGTTTGATGATACGGGAGAAGGTGCTGGAGTCGAGGGCGATCTTGATGTCGAAGACGACTAAGTGAGAGCATATTTCTCTTGTATCTTGTCCCTTCATATGTATCAGTTAGACAAGCATCTGTCCCATTTCCTCCATAATATGTAATACAGCGCTGTTATAACACAGGACCTTGCATCAAGCAAGAGGAAAGTACAGCAAGCGCGTCATTCACCGATAATAAGCCGTACATTGCATACTTCTAAAATCATAAAAATAGAGGGGGAGCCCAAAAATCCACCGACCCAAGGAAAAAAGGGCTACGCAACGACCGCCATTCTCCTGACCTTGAACCAATTGCGAAACTCTCGTGCACTACTTTTTATGCTGCCGGATATGCTTCTCAGACTCTTGGCACTGAGAACGCTCTTCCCGCCGCTGCTCCTGGCACTCCGGAAGCTTTCATACGAAGGCGCGCTTCGCAAGTGAGAAATCGATGCGGCCCTGGTTAATGTCGCGGGCGGCGAAGGTATAGTAGATACCGAAGGTGGAGATCCCAGCACAAAAGGACCAGAAATCGAGGGACGAGCTTTGATGGACCGTGAAGACGCCGACGAAGAACTACGCTTCAGACTGACTAGCCGCCTCAGGGACCCTGTCTCGTCTTTCCTTTCTTCGAGGCATCCATGATCCGTTACGGACTCAGACTCTGTGCCTTCAGCATCATCGTCCTCTTGGTCAAACCCAAGAATCCTCCCCAACATAGGTGAGTATGCTCCTCCCTCCTCGGTCTCCGATTCCGTCTCGTCTGCATCACTGTTCTCGTCCGGTGTCGCCCAGTCCCAATTTAATTCCGAATGACAGATACTAGCATAGTGAACAGTAGGCATGTCCACAAACTTGACTGATTTATTGCTACTTCCGCTCCGTTTTCGACTCTGATGTGGTCGCGAGACCATGACCGATGTCGAGTGTTTATCGGTGGACGTGGAAGATGAGCTCGTCGTCAGGATAGATCTCGGAGGGTATGGGTTTTGCATCATATCCAAAGGTGATGAAGAATATAAAGACGTGGGAGTTATGGGCGTGGGTGGGCGTGACGAGGATGATGTAGATATCGTTGACGAGGACGCTGACCGGCTTTGCAACGGCTCTGTTGCGGTAGTGTGATGAGACCCAGAGGACAACTTGGATGAAAGCGGGGATGATGGACGAGAATCAGAGTTGTCCCACTGGGGGTAGCCGTTGTTGCTGGTCACAAGCGCGTCGTCCTCAGATATACGAGAACGTAAGTGGTGCGGAGACCAGAAAGAGGAAGGCGGGGAGGGAGGCGAAAATCTGGTGTCCCTGTTCGAAGCTCGATAATTTGAATGACAGCCGGAAGGGAGCCTGTGTTCTAGACAAGGCCCGGGACGTCCGGATGTAGGGGACGGAAGAGGCGAATGCGGTCGAGGGTTAACGTTAATACGCGATTGAAATTTCGGAGAATCAGATGAAGACTTCGGGCTACGGTATATCCATTCTCGATGTTTCGATGCCTGCTTCCGTGGGGGCGTTGAATTGACATTTGGAAATAAGTCAACTTCAATCGGTCTGTTAGCAAGGAGAAGAGCGTGAGTCGTACGTCCGTTTCTTGGCACCTTCGTTCGCGAAGACGCGGGAGAACCGGCCCTGAGGTATGGAGAAGATGACGAGGCAGCCGCAAGAGGTGTGGAAAGACTTGGTGGCGCCTGTCCACAGGTATGTCAAACTATGAATTTTGATGGATTCCAAACTTACAACCGCATATTCCAGACTAGAACAGTCTGGATCTGCTGCTTGATAAGCATCTTCGTTAAGTTTCGGGATCGCTTTGCCTCTGCTGCACTTGGTCGATCTCTGGTAATTACGACGCGGCATACCCCTTGCTCTTAGCAGGGTAAGGGAATCGTTGATGCCAACGGGAGCCGGTGGCGGTGAACGGGACCGCTTGGATGGCTGTATTGACACACTCAATAACGGAACGAGGAAAAAGAGGTATCCTTACGATAGGGATTGGGGAGGTAGGACTGGGTAAAGTGTCTTGGGTAAAAGTAGAACAGGCAGCAAGCCATCTAATTTCGTCGCTGGTAATGGAACTTCGCGAGTTGTTGTCCTATTAACGGTAAGGGTCAGTGGGACACATCGACCACCACATAGCCGGATACCCCGCACCTTGAACATGAACGCAATGTTCGGTGACCGGAGCGAAAGAAAGAGAGCGGCGTAAAACAAACAGTGAACGAAGGAAGTTGGCTCACAGACAGGTGCGACAGCAATGCTGAAGAGAGGGACAAAGGGTCGATATATAAGTAGACATACCTAAACCTTGCGATTTACACGTGTGCAAGGGTAATAGAACCTCGCGTATGGAGTAAAGAGCGAGGCGATTAGATGGATCAGACGCATGTCGAACACGATGCCAAATAGGAAGTAAAGGGTGTATAAGATGTCTATATCATGTGTACTTTGAGGAGTCATACACCGCGGGGAAAAAAAGGAGGACGACTAGGAATATTCTCAGCCGTAGATGCAGCGATGCACCGTGAGGTAAATGCCTACAGAATCCGCACCATTACAGTCTGGGACGTTCGGCATGGAGTCCACTCCAGATGCCCCTGGTGGCTTCCGTCGAGCTTTCCACCGGTTTCTTCAGGGCTCTGATCTTGGCGCCCGATGAATCGAGGAGAAGCTCTACTTTTTTTTCAATGCCGGTGACTTCGAAGCCATTCAGCGGGATGACTTTGTCGCGATTGTTGACTGCGAGTATGATCACGGAGAGAATCTCGGAAAAAGAACATAACATACCGTAGTACCCACGAACAATGGGCTCCTTGTAAGTGCGTTGCCTGACCACGACCTCTACATGGGGGTTGGCGCACGCCAAAGATTCAAGGTGATTGAGAATGTATGTGCGAGTATTTGCAGAGGAAGGCCATTTGTCACAGTACTCGAAGACAAGCTTCCGAATTTGTGGGAGAAATATTCCATGGCCATTGGCAGGGTACGACCTCAACTGTCCCCGGAGGAGCACGGCGACCATGGTGGACGACGAGGGCGACGGGCGCAATGGTGGGCTCGATGTTGCGGGTGAGTGTCGGAGTTTGAATAGGTATAGTCGGAGTTTTGATAGATTGAGACACCGGTTCTCCTTAGCACGTACCAGCTGGGAAATCCAAAAACATCAAGACGCGACGCGCGCGTACATGGCTCGCGCTACTCGATCCTCTGCTTCCACCGACAGGCTCGACGACGCCGCAACTACCACCCAACTATCTGCCACATCATCGGCTGCCGTTCTTAAGAAACGAAAACGTCGCTCAAATTCACCAGAAAATGACGCCCAACCAGTGGCCAAACAATCTCGGACCGAGCTTTCTGAAAAAGAACAGATGCCTTTGCCATCACCGCTATCCCTCAAAGATGTTGGAGAGGTGCCTCTTGGGTCGGAGGATGCTGCCAAGATTCTCGATGTCTTGAAAATGTTTGTTTTCTTTCTACTCATGAAGCCATGGAGCTCACTGTCGTCAATGTGCAGGACCGATACACAGGGCTTGCTCGACCGCCTCTTTCCTCTTCCGAACGATCCTTCATCTTCTTCAAATCCTTCATATTCGCTCAGATTCTTGCTACAGAATTCGCCACATCATCCCCTGTCTCTTCTCCGAGTGTGTTGCCAGTCCTCCTCAGTTTTTGTTTCTGCTCACACACTTTATAGTCGGCTGTACACAACCTATTTCCTATCTCCTCCAAGTCTCGAGCACTACCATCTTCCCCTGCATCGCGGCAGATTCAGTTCTGTAATCTCGCCCTCTCTCTCCTGGATGAAGCTTCCACCCGTTCCCTGCAATTTCCGTTGGAGGCTGACTCCATTTTCCCAGCAGATGCAGAATCACTACATGACGAGTTACCTGCAACGTCAGCCTCTGTTAACCAACCCTCGCGCAAGTATGCACTTATACAGCATCTTCCTCAAGGCGACTATTGGTCTTCTCTGAATTCGACTTTACCCACTCCGTCCTCTGGGGATACTCGCGAGCTGAAGGATCTACCCACTGGATATGCAGAGCTGGTGTCCATATTTCCTTACCAATACCCCCTTACCCGTACAACACCGCCAAGTCTTGGTTCATATCACAAAAAAGTGATACCATCACAAAAGCAGAAGATGCCTATGCAGAGACGTGCCACTAAAGGCAACTTTCTTGACTACGGCGTCTGGGGAAGCTTCGCGCCTACATTTGAGCTTGAGTATGCCGAGATTGGCAGACATCAGCTTGGTCAAGTTTATTATGGCCAAGAAATGAGGAGGAAGGCCGCTGAAGAAAGGCGAAATAAGCTGCTTCTAGCTGTTAAGAGAATGCACCAAGAGGATCACGCCATGGATGAAGTGGAAAAGATCAAGGAGAGTGGATCGGTCGCGGTTGATGTGGAGAGTGAACTCAAGGATATTCTCCCTCCGGAAGAAGTGGAGAATGTCAAAGCTGCCCTGAACAGCTTGGAAATGCAAAGTTCGGTGGAGGAGCTTCTAGAGCGAAACCGGAAGGCTTTGAATCGGCTCGAAGAACTCCAGCTCCTGCGACTTCAGAAAGAGGATGGAGGTGTGAGTGTTGCCGAAGAAGGATCGGAAGAATGGGAAACAGGTCCGCATCAGGTTCTGATCTTTCTGACTTCATTTTATTTAACGTTTCGTTTAGCGCAAAGTATCTTGGATTCTCTGACTGTTTTAGCATCACTACGACCGCGCGCTTCTGACTGCGAACCTTCTACTCTCATGCCCACCGCAGAAGTCCTTCATTCACTTCAGCGTACCTTGCCTTTGACAGACCCTGCCGGCTGGAATGGAACCCTTCCTGCGGCACAAGCCGTTGCCCTTCGTGACGATTCGACAATCAAATACCGAGCAGGAGCTACCGCTTCAGTACCGGCAATAACGACATCGGCAGCACCAGCACCAGCAACAGCAACAGCAACAGCAACAGCAGCTACTGTTACACCATCCACGTCATTTTCCGGTTTCAACTATCAGTACGCCGCACCCCAGCAAGGTCAGTACCGTGCACCTGGTACAACCGCCTACACCGCTACATATCGACCGGGTTCCGCAACACCTTATTATCCATCCTCGCAATACCAGCAGCCGGCACAAGGAGGTCAGAACGCATATTATAGCGCACAGGCTTATGCTGCTATACAAGCTACTGGTCACCAGCCATATGCCTACACAGGCTGGTTCTCGAGCTTTCAACCGAATACAGGAGGAACCACTTCTGGAAGAGGCACGCCGCAACCGGCCACAAGTGCAGCAGCAATGCCTAGTACTTATGGATCATTTTTTGCCGCGACTCATACGGGTACTGCCGCTGCGACACCACCACCACGGACGCCCGCGGTGGCCAATACGGTCGTTGGTGCGAAACAGGCACAGTGGGCTGCTGGGTACGCACAACAAGCGCCGATGTTGCCGTTACATATGAGGACCGCACAGAATGGAGGGACATATCAGGCAAGCGCAGCTACTAGATGACCAGGCTGGAACTTGAGGCTCCCTGAGATGCTTCAAAGTTATGTATGTCGTGGTTTTAATAACTGCCGCTTCTGCCTTGATATATTTATATTTTCACTTGAAGAAGATAATTTTCGCTTCTTGACAGCACTCGTTTGACGAATAGAACCGAAATAACATACTGTACTTGCATTATACAAAATACGAATTACGCGCTGCTCCTAGACGTTACATTATAACACTATGAGTTATAGATTGAGACTGATAGTACAATGGAAGATGTTCGACGCCGCCTAGTTCCGCGTACAGCCAAGAAAAGGTGAATCAGACACCTCAGCGTCAAGTCTCTCTAGCACACAAAACCACCTCTTCGCTTCCTTGGAGTTAACGTCCTCAAGAAGAGGAAAGTGTAGCCCAAGCTAAGCGCCGACCGTCAAGATGGTATAGATAACGGCGGATCTAGGATGGACGAGAGTGCGTTGGGAAAAGAAGCGAGTTGGAAAAAAAACTGCTTTATAAAGGCCCTGATGGCCTGATGAATGATGTCATGTGTCAAACGCTTCGGTAAATACAACTGGGCAATCTAGTGAAGTGGGAAGTTACAAAAACTAACCAGGAACTGACTCTATTAGTACGTGTATAAAAGAATATGAAGCAAAAGGAACGAATATTATGGTACGAGAGTAGACCAATTAATCTTCCTTCCGGAGTCTCGCCTTGCCTGCTCATGGACATTCGGTGCCAAGTCACACAGATGCCGCATCGTAGGTCGTCCGTGAGGACAATTCCACGGTTGATCCATCGTGCCCATGTGGTGTATGATCTGAAAGCAATGGTCAGGCTGAAACGAAGCAAACGTCAAATGAGCACGCACAGTCGTCATCTGGCCTTTCGTGAGAGGCATCCCGACCATAACACTCTTGCGACAAGCTCGCATAGCAAATATTGCTCGTGCCTTAGAGCAGCGGACCATCGTCCCTGAAGGACGATCATGCATGAGGTGAATAAGTTCTTCGAGGTCTAGGAAGAACTTGTGTTAGGCACGAGCGGAGGCTCAGAAAGTGACTCACCTTTCATATTGAAAACGGTGCTCTTGCTCACAGGTTGCGCTATCAGACGAAGTTTTGAGTCACCCCCTACGTCTTCTACGTTTTCATATTGGTCGCCTCCCTCGACCTCGAACCCATTTTGCTTTAGTATGTCCAGATGCTCTAACGCGAGAAGTTCATCGGCCGCTGTGAGCTCTAGCGGTTGAGGCCTACGTCACAGTAATTATAAGCAGTAGCATTGTAGTAATAGAGGGGAAAGCCACCTAAACAACTTCTGCGATCTAATTTTCGTCGTCTCTTGAAGCGTTTCGAAGTTGTATTTTTCATCAGCAGCATGCTGATCCACGATGAAAAGGTCATCCATCCCATCTTCACCCTTCCGTCTCCGGGTCACAATGAATCCGAGATTAAACTGCCCCACTATGTCCATTTCGGAAAAGTCGGACTTGGATATGACGCGGGATAGAGCGGCCTCATCGTTGTTGTCGAACTCACCTTTCTTCGTTAAGGAAGATATCGAATCACGAGAGCAGTTCGAGGCCGCTTTCCATCGCTCGGCTACACCAGAAAGGTCAAATCGAAGTCCCATATCACCCTCTCCATCTTGTGATGTTCGAACAACTTCCGGGCGGGAGATGGGCCGGGACTCCTGTGAAGATGAAGGGGTCATCACTTCCATCGGAGCTATATCCTCATCGTCAGAGACGAGATCGATGGCTTGAGAGTCACTTGTAGTCATTATATCATTCGTCGTCTCGCCAATGTCTTTTACCCGTGCAATTGGTGTAACATCACCCTCATCGCCTTGACCCGCATCTGTAGCTTTAACATTGTCCTCGGAATCATCCACTGCGTCTTCTTCAACCTCCTCCGTGGCTTGTGTTACTACGCTTCCGCTTCGAGCAAATCCGACAAGCATGCTTCGGAAGGTCAACATAGCCTGTTTGCTCTTCTTTTCTTCCTCCTTCTTGGCCTCGACCGCCTTTGTTTTGAGCTTATTTTGATCGGTGGTCAATGATGCGGAGGGAACGCTCTTTACCGATCCAGGTTGATCGTCAGTGTTCTCTGAAATTTTACCAGCCCCTCGGGCCCATGATGCGAACAACGTGTTTATGACCACCTCTTTGTCTTGGCCTTTCCGACTTGTGACCGACGGCACCGCCAGGTATGGTACACTTTTCGAGGAAGGCGCTGAGGATGGTTCGACATCCAAAATGATTCTTTGCGGAGGTGCAATTTCGGTCGACGAGGGCCTGGAAACAGAAGAGGGACATCCGGATGGAGAAGTTTCCACGTCAGTCAACGAGAGTATACTCTGGCATTCCACCTCGCTATCCGCATTCATCTCATTCATAGCTGAGAAGGTAGGAGGCTGAGAATGAGAACTTGAGCTAAGAACTGAAGATGTTGTTTCGCTGATGCCGACATCTGGTGAGAAACCCTGTTCAGAAGTTACCGTTCGTGACCTTGTCCTGCGTCTCTCGATTTCGGTATCCTCTAGTGATATCGTCCTCCCTCGCTTTTTGGTGCTCAATAGGCCCTGCATTTCCGCAATAGACTCATGCCGTTGCGAGTTGCCTCTCTGCGCTAATGATCCGGTGTTAGATCGAATTTGTTGTGAGCTCCCGACCTCGTACGTAGAACTTCCAGATGTGAAGAATGTTTGTAGCTTTGACTACAGAAATATTAGACGGAACGGACAAACGGAGAGAGGAAATCACCTTCAGGCCTTCCAATATAGCGACTTCATTATGCAGGAAGAGTGTTCTCTTATCAGGGGTCACATTCACGTCATAGGTATCTTAGATTGAAAGTGAGTGATATCACATAGAACAGGTAGAACGCTAAGTATACCAGTGGGTATCTCGAAATCAGCCACAACAAAAGGAGCCTGGGAGGCGGTATTATGATTGGGGGTAAATGAGCGATAAACTTCATTGATCGTTTTCTGCATCTGGAAGAGAAAATAAGAGGAGGACAATGGCAAAGACGCATATATACTTTGGCCAATCCACAGGGACGTCCATTGACATAGAGGAACTGCCTGTCAGTGCTACTCCTGCCACACCCAGGGGCTGAGATTAGACCACGAATGTGGACTTCGACCTCGCTCGTCCTTGAATCAGTTTCCTTTGTTTTTCCATGTCTGCGAATCTGAACGCGGGGAATTGAATATGACACGTCTAAGTCTTGTACACCGTCAAGAGACTTGCTGCCCCAGAGAGCAATCACAGACGCTCGTAACGATGGTAAGCCTTGAGTTTGAATGGGAGTAGACTTCTGTCTAAAGTTCGCGTCAAAACGTTACCGCAATGTGCATAACATGAACGCCTACCCTTTATCTATTTGGTTACTGACGAGAAGTCTGACGCCATTCTGCTTTGCGCACGGAACTAATGCGTATGCCTGGAGGAGGGATAACGCTTTACCGTATTCTCGTTTGGCGTTTCGCTCGAATTCCTTTCGCCGAACTGGTAGTGGGGCAAAGAGATTGAGAAGTGTTATTGTCGTTCCGCGCTATAAAGAATGAATGGAGATGGTCGTTTAAGAGGAAAAATAGACACACCTGCCTCGCAGCCCTTTTCTTTGATTTGATTTTTCCAGTCTTATCAAGGTCAAGGATGACGCCTATAGGATCGTCCGCACGCGTCGTTACGGTCACACTCTCACACATCGCACACAAGGATGACACGGCCTCTCCACGAAAACCAAATGATGATACAGTTGAAAGCTCATCAAACGAAGAAAGTTTTGAGGTGTGGTGCTTTAGACCTGCAATATCGATGACACTCTGATATTGATGAAGAGGAGACATACTCACCAATACTCTCCCAGTCATCCTCTGCCACTCCGGATCCATTATCGATAACCTCCACACTCTTGATTCCATAATTTTTGAACTTGACCTCTGTGGATAAGAAATTAATGTCGCGTGACGGCAGAAGTGCCTGAAGTTAACCTATACTTCCTGCTCCAGCATCGAGACTGTTCTCTACAAGTTCTTTCACGGCTGTCTCGAGGGAGGTAACGACTTGGTTTGAGGTAATCTGGTGTATTGACGCGGTGGGAAGAGCGGTAATCGTTGGCATTGCCCTTGTGGGCTTTCCTGGGTGGTCCAGTGAATGAGCGCGACAAGCTTTGATGCCGAGACGGGTGCCGAGCCCCTCACGGTCATCCCCGATTCTTTCCGAAGAATGAGGAAACGACAGAGGGTTATAGAAAGCCGTAACTGGTCGTGAGTTCGTCGTAAACGCGGGTTCCAAGGGTAAGGAGCGTTTTCGTAGGCCTCTGCAGGCTCGTCAAGGCTAACTGGCATCGCCACGTCACCTTTAGGCTCCGCCTAGAAGCGCCGCTTCATCCGGGAGAGTGAGGCCTTTGCTCTGTCTCAGTTTTCGGTGCCAGAATTCTGGCGGAGGTCGAAAAACTGAGAGACATCGGGGCAGTTTGTCTCACTTGCACCCATTCTTCTCCCCGCAATCCAAGGTGAGCTGAGCTTCGCTCGCTCCCTCAGCTTTACACTCATTACAAACCCTTCATACCAGGTTGCACAGTAGGCTTTGCCTACTTATTTATCCTCTTACTCTACAAGCCTTTAATCAGCCCCCGTGTGCCTGGTGAGGCTCCGCCTCTTCCCTAGCTTTCAATCCGGTGATCTTAACTAGCCATCAGAAGTTTTCACCGTTTCGCTTTTTCGTTCATTTCTCCTTCGAAATCTAAATATCATTCATGCCGGACGAACGAAGCACTGATAATGTTGCTGCACTTGCTAAGAAATGTGAAGATCTTCTCAAAGGTTGCGTCAACGGAGATTTCGATGTCGAAGACTTTGCCCTCAAGCTTCGGGCTTTGGGGATCACTCCCGAGGTCGCGGCCGACTATGTCCAGCAACTGCAGCAGCGTCTCACACAAGCTGGTCCCAAAAGATCAGGAGACAATTGGCAAGACGACGACGATGAGGGCAATGGTGACGAAGATGACGCTGACACGCCAGAACGAGGGAGGACACCAGCAGGTCTCACCGCAGAACAAGTCGAAAATTTCCGGAGGGAACGAGAACAGAGGTTGGCCATGGAGGCAAAGGAGCGAGAGGCTAATAGACTGCGTGCGGTCGAAGACGCGGCCTGGGCAAGTCTGCATGCGAAGCTCCGCACACTCAAGACTGCAGGATCGCTGGCGAAGCCTGGCACAGATGCCACAAGCTTACTTGCCGGTCTTCTTGGTCTCGACACATTCTCTGCTCAGAAGTCAACTTCAATCTCTTCTACTGTTCTCGCGCAAGCACCGCACATTGCGACACTTGTCTCATCTGGCATCTCTGACCCACATATTGCGGAGACGTTCCGTCTCCGCCAACTCTATGCCACTGAGAAGTCTTTCGACAACCTTATCGCCTTCCTTCAGGCCCTTCCTCTCAAGGAGCCCATTGCTCGCCCATTCTGGCGTCTTATCATCCAGGACCACTACGTTGACTTCCCGAAGTTCTTCGCCTCCATGGATCGAGGCTACGACCACAATGAGGATGCTAAGGAATTATTTGCAGGTTTTGCGATCGTTAAAAAGGACACCTCATCTGCAAAACGACCAGTTACGTCCGAGGCGGACTGGTATCGTGTTTTTGACGCCTGGTCGAAGGGTGTTGTGTCCCTCTACCCTCATCGAGAGGCTGAGCTTAGCACTTATCGTGAGACTGTTGTCGAACTCTTTAGGGCTGTCCCGCATGACCCAGCAATTGCGATTCGCTTTGATGAAGATATTCGGTCACGCTATGCAAAACGCCCTTTCAGGATGGATCTCAAGAATGAGGTCCAGATCCCGTTGCTATCTCAGATCTTCCGCCCAGAGATTACGCAGCGCAATACGAAGCGCCCCTCCTCTTCCTCCTTCCCAAATCCGAAGCGTGCGGCAGTACCTTGCGAGAATTGGAACCTGGGGTATTGCACATTGGAGCCGTGCACGAATCGTCGTCGCCATGGCACCTGTAGTGAGTGTGGAGCTAACCACCGAGCAAAAGACAACAGCGATTGTGCCTCCCTCCTCCAGGCCCGCCGTCGTACAAGGTTTGGAAGAGGAACAGGTAGCATCGTAGGGTAGCAGCAGCAGCGGAAGGTCCTAAATCGCTGGCAGGGACGAAGCGTAAGCAAGATAATCAAATTGCGGGTCCTCGCTTCAAGCGTGGTTATATATGGTCCGAATCATCATCCTCTTCACCTATGCAGCCTGTTTTCCCCAGCGGCAGCCTCTACTGAGTCTGCATCTCCTCTACCATCACCCCCTGAACAGTTGCTTAACGATCCGCAACTATACAGTCTACCCTTGGCCGCTCTCAAAGATTATATACTTGTTGATACTCCCTTTAACGTTGACCGGCTTGAGAACATTCTCTCGCTACACCCTAATAAACCTTTTGTCGATTCAGTTATCAGAGGCCTTCGAGATGGCTTCTGGCCTCTTGACCTTGGAGAATGGGAGGAGTCTAGCAGGGATAACTCAGAAAACTATGCATCAGACCCTGCGGATCTTGCAGAGATTCGAGCATTTAGAGATCGCGAGGGTTGCTGCCGGCCGATGGTCCCCCTGCGCTACCGCTAATTTCCAACTCTTGCCCGGATGAAAGTCTCACCAATGTTCGGAGTGTGGCAAGAGGGAAAGCCAAGGGTGGTTACTGACCATACCCGGCCTCTGGTCTCAATGCTGGAATTCCTCCTGAAGAAGCTCATGTGAAATACGACGACATGCACCCTTTTGAGAAGCACTGCATAATGCACTGCATAATGCTCGGACAGCGTTATCCTGATGCAGACTTCATCCTTTACAAGAGTGACGTCGCAAAAGCCTTCCTGAATCTGCCAGCACATCCTCTCTGGCAAATCCGACAGGTTGTCATTGTCGACGGCCGGTATCACATTGTTCGACGACTAGTCTTCGGTAACCGGGCATCACCTCGCATCTGGTGCTCAGTGTCCGGTCTGCTTTGCTGGATCGGAATCTATAAGTTGAACATTCCGGACCTCCATGTTTATATGGATGATTTTTTCGGATGGGACTTCGCAAATAACCTCGTGTTCTATCGAGGGCCTGCTCCGCCCTAGCCGACAGGTTCAATTACTGATTTTCTGGGAGTTTATCTCCTGCCCCTTTGACGATCCGAAGCAGCTACATGGCCGAACATTGAAAATTATAGGATTCTGGGTCGATGCCAATAAAGGAAGCATCTCTTTGGATCAAACTTCCATCGACCATCTTGTCTCCGACATCGAGTCCTTCCTCGCAACACCCGGTCGTGCTCCTATACTCATAAAGTGGCAACGCATTGCTGGCTACCTCAATTGGGCTCTGAATGTCTTTCCTTGGGGGCATCCTGCCCTATCCGAGCTATATAGGAAGATGGCAGGAAAATCATTCAGATTTACGAAGATCTTTATCAACGCAAGGCAGTCCGTGAAGATCTGACATGGTTGTCGATGACGATTCCTGACGCAGTTGGCGTTCGTTTCGTTGACTCTACACATTGGATGGATAGTCAAGCCGAGATGATCATCTGGACTGATGCTGCTCTCAGGTTGGGGCTTTCCTTTGTGTTCGCTGGCAATGGCTTTGGTGTATCAACTCCACCCTCCACCTCCTGGTACCATTATCGACATCTTTTTCCTGGAGCTCATGGCTATCCTTGCCGCCATTCACTATGCCACCTCCTTCCTAACCACCCCGCCGGTTGCTTCTCTTCACCGATAGCCTGGACTCCCGTCGCGGCATTCAATTCCTTAGCGGTGGCACAATCTATGCATACATGCGCCCCTCCAGTCTGTTGCGTCCCTCATCCTGAAGTCAGGAATAGACATCCGAGTTCGGCATATTGAAGGCAAGAACATATCCGTGCTGAGCTTCTCTCTCGTCTTTTGTATACGAATACCATCTGAATTCCCTGCAGACCGCGTCCGCACGTTCACTCCACAAGGGAGCTTCTGCCGGCGCGATGGAGAGAGTGCTTTTAACTGCCCTGGGTTGAGCGTGCTCCACGCACAGCTCGCCCAGGCCCACTCGTTGTCATTTATTGACGAACGGGCTCTCTTCCTTCAGCTCCATGCTCTCGAATTGGCATCAATTAAAGGTTATGCTACGGTGCAAGGGACTATGCACGCTTTTGTATTTCCCACCATCTTCCCCTTGACCCAACACCCTTAAACGCTTAGCCGTTACAATCGCATACACGTCACAATTCATTGCCCTCCAGCCCGAAATATCTTTCAGGAGTCCGACACTTTCTTCGAGACATTTATCCTACTTTGACGACAGTCGACGTTCTCCCCTAGTACAAGCGACGATACGAGGATCAAAAAAGGTCCGGGCGGACCCCGTTCAGAGGAAGCTCCCCCTCCGCCAATCACATCTCGCTACTTTTCAACTCTTGGCTCAAAATGTCAGGTTCTTACGACGATCTCCTGTTCATCACTATTCTTTCATGTGGCTTCTATGGCTGTCATCGATCCGGAAGAACTGGTCTGGAATAATGATAAACAGCTCCAGGATTATCGCAAGGTGATCAAGCGCTCTTCACTTCTCTTTGACAATGGCCGCGTACAATATCAATCTGCCCTATCACAAATCAGACCCTTTCTATCACGGGTCTGATGTCTTATTCACGCACCAAGACGTGCTGACCCCGTTAAACTCCTATACGATTATGTGGTCTTACGGGACTCCCATCATGGCCCACGGTCTCCTCTGTTTTCTTGCGAGGATGGCTCTATCCCAACTCGCTCTTGGTTTGACAAAAAATTCTTCACATTTATGGGAAAAGATTTCGGTGGTCACTCATTGCGAGCGGGTGGAGCTACATTCTACGCATCGCTCGGACTGTCAGAGGCCATTATCCAGGCCTTGGGTCGGTGGTCTTCCAAGGCATGGACTCTATATGTGCGGGAACATCCTGCTATTCGTGCCGAATTTGAATTGGCAGCCTTACGACGTACTCAACCACCTGCCTCTCTGACCTTGCGGTTCGCTCATCACTTCTGAACCTCCACCACCCCCCACAACACTCATCCTCAGCATCCTTTCTTAGCCTACCGCTTCCCGCAATGTGATGGAGCTTGCGGATGCAAGCTCGGTATTTGGGCTATCCCCTTGATTGCTTGCGAAGAAAGCAGAGGTCGTCGTAAACGCGGGTTCCAAGGGTAAGGAGCGTTTTCGTAGGCCTCTGCAGGCTCGTCAAGGCTAACTGGCATCGCCACGTCACCTTTAGGCTCCGCTAGAAGCGCCGCTTCATCCGGGAGAGTGAGGCCTTTGCTCTGTCTCAGTTTTCGGTGCCAGAAATTCTGGCGGAGGTCGAAAAACTGAGAGACATCGGGGCAGTTGTCTCACTTGCACCCATTCTTCTCCCCGCAATCCAAGGTGAGCTGAGCTTCGCTCGCTCCCTCAGCTTTACACTCATTACAAACCCTTCATACCAGGTTGCACAGTAGGCTTTGCCTACTTATTTATCCTCTTACTCTACAAGCCTTTAATCAGCCCCCGTGTGCCTGGTGAGGCTCCGCCTCTTCCCTAGCTTTGCAAATCCGGTGATCTTAACTAGCCATCAGAAGTTTTCACCGTTTCGCTTTTTCGTTCACCCTCCCTCCACTCCCGGATCATGTTATTATAGTGTATTATAGTGTATCATTTAGTGTACTGTGTACGTCACCTACCGCTTCCCGCAATGTGATGGAGCTTGCGGATGCAAGCTCGGTATTTGGGCTATCCCCTTGATTGCTTGCGAAGAAAGCAGACTGTCTGGACAGGGGCTATACTCCGGGTTGGCTTAGCTAATTTGCGGTGATTGGCGAGCATGCGGCACGCTACGGCTGGAATGCCGGGTGGCTGAAAGTGATTGCCGCTGTGGCTGAAAAACTCTGTCTTTCCGACTTCCCCCTATTGGTCGACGAACTGGTGTTCGCAGATGCCTTTCCTGTTCTTTCCTTTCACTGCCATCCTTTAGCATGATTCTTTTTCTTTTTAGGTTCGGTTCCAGAATGTGATTTGACTTCGTGTCTTGTATCGCTCAAGTACGTTGTTTCCTGTTAATCAGTTTGTTGTAGTGATATTTGCGCAGGCACACAACGATCAAGAACCTGATATGATGGCTGGAGCTGGAACCATATATTCTCAAGGTCAGTCCAGCTTTACGCGTAGCTTGTTGGTCCATAATTAATTTCGTCATATGTGTAGTCGGAACAATTTACCACTCCGATTGACCACCATAATATCGCCGGGGAGTTTATCCCAGAGGATCACGGTTTCGACGGGCTTCTCTCTGTTACACTTCCAGGATACCCTCGGGCTATGGACTTGCGTATGATCCAGGCTACGACGGATCTGCCGGACGAATTCCCCTTCAACGAAGATTATAACTCTGGCTACCATATGGGTATTGATAGGTGTCAATTCTCCCTAGAACGCTCCATAGTTTGATTTTACGTGCTCTACAGGTTGGAACAATCGACAGTTCACAATGGCACTCGAAGTAGCTCAGAAACCGTGTTCCTTGGACCGAAATACCTGAGTAGGCCGAACTTGCACGTCATCCACAGCTACGTGACCTGAATCCTCGAATCCAACTGCACTACTAAAGGTGTGAAGACCTTCGATACCATGGAATTTACCCAAGATGCTGGAGTAAGCAATGACTCTCTATACTATTCTAACCGAAATCTGACCATCCGTCACAAGAAACAATATATACCCTTTCGCCTATTAAAGAAATCCTCTCCCTCTGCTGGATCTATCGGGACACCGTATATCCTTCTCTACTCAGGTATCGGCGACGCCGATGAACTCAGTTCCATTGGCATCACTCCTACTGTACATCTCCCTGATATCAGGAAGAACCTCACTGATCACCTGAGGTACGCTTTAGCTTGGACCGTCAATAGCACGGACACCATCGAGAACGTTTACTTGCGAAACGAGACATTCCAGAGGAGGCACTCGCCGAATGGGAGGCAAACCGTACAGGATATATCGCGAGTACTTCAGGGAATCAGTTAGGTTTCCTGAGGGTACCTGAAGGTCTGCTGGATGATGAGCCATGTTCAGGTGATGAGACGGCACACTTTGAGCTGATTTTCTCGGCGAGTAACTATTCTCTCGGCTTTCATTGCATTCCGTTATTGAAGGCGAGTATAGAATGGTATCCCTCCAGAGCCCATCCCACCCACTGGCAACTACTTCATGATACTAGTGATAGTAGTCTGCCCTCTAGCGCGTATGTCTCAACTCCTTCCTCTTTTCCTCTCATCTCACAAGGGACATACCAGGCCGGAGACATCACTATTAACAGCACGAACCCTCTCGACCCTCCGCTCATCAACCCCAACCTCTCGGCACCCCAGGACTTGACTATATGCAAGCCGCCATAAACGCATCTGAGAGATCCGTCACTGCCCCCGCTGGGATAGATACATCCTCGAGTTCGCGTCAAACACTACCGAAGCCGCCATTCGCGAAGGAGCCGACATGCTCTGGCACCCTGTTGGTACAGCAAGCATGTCTCCTCGTAATGCAGGCTGGGGTGTCGTCAATCCTGACCTGCGACGATAGGTCGTTACTGATGGTCTACTTAGCTAAGACTAGCATTTTAGCATGCAGGGAGCATGGAGTAGAGTTACCTTTGAGTGCATGCGGGTTAGGCAAGATATTCAGAGTGGTGTCGATGTCTGAGGTGGGATGCAGAGGCGAGGGTTGCTACGGCGCCGGCTACACGCCGCATGTGTACCTTTAGCTACCTTTCATCCATCTACATGTATGATATTTTTGAATTCATGAAATTGATTGAGGATTTGGACTTGCCACGATTGCAACAGCCACCCACTTGATTGCATGGTACAATGTATGCAGTAGGGAATATTTTTCATTTTCAAGACCTAATGCACATGCAGGGATGTACAGAAACTTGAATGGAGAGTAAAAGCATAGCATATCTGCAGCTCGGATTAGATGTTAGACTGCAAAATGGGAGCTGCCGAGCGAGCTTTTTGCACCACCACATTTCCAGTTAATTCAAATCAAGCAGCAAGCTGTATTATATATTTCGGCCTGAACAAGCACGTTCACACAGACTTACAAAAAGGATACAACTTGCCGCGGCCGTTTCTTCGTACGAAAGGAAAGAATCGGGGACCCGGCAACTGCCGCTACTGGATGTGAAGCAGACAGTACTTGCCTAGCGTCTACTAAGTGCTTATTATTCGACACGGCGACTGTCATGTACGAAACCTTCGCAATATTTTGCTCTACCAACGTGGACCAACACAATTGAACCAGCATTTCCATGAATGATACAGAGGACCTTTAAAGATTGAGAGAACTACGATGTCGGATACTTGTTGGCACGCACTACTTATTGAAACTTGCAATATCCGTTCAACTTAACAGTAGTATCTACTCCCAACTTACGACAACGTTACAAATTAGCAGTCTTCTTCACCCAGCTCTGGACACCTGCGCAGGCGTCTTCAAACCCTAGTACGACAGTCTGAAAGTACCTGGAGTTTGAGTATTACATCGTGTATTATGCTATGACACTGACAGGGAAAATTATTGGTAGGATTCGTAGGTGTAACGATGCCCGGCTTTTTTATTCTACACTTATTAGCCGCCACCTGTGCAGTGTCCACTAAGACGCGGTGGAGGTAGTGTGCTACTGTCTACACCTTCCCTTCATGAATCTAGGTTTCATCCGTTCTGGCGGCGTGCAGTGCATCATATAGTAACGGACTTATACATGGTGTAGTATCGTGTCCTTCGTAGAGCCTAGCTAATCGCGCTGCTCGGTGACATTGCATTAATCTTCTTGAGACTATGTATGACTGAATAAATGCCCCGCCGCAAACTGCGGCGCTGTCCTTGGGCACTTTGTGGCGGTTAACCTCTTTTATTGCAAACTCACAGTTCACGATATTGATGGTGTATCCTAAAACTTGGAGCATTGCACTTTCGTCAAGCTTAGCGCGTCTCTACTCATCTTCAAGTTTTTTAGGAGTCTCACCCATAAATTGAAGCATTCTCCGGTTAACCCTATAAATGGTGGTCCAACTCGCGACACACCGACAGATATTGACACAGAAGGAACACGTTGTCGTTGTCGTTCGGAACCCAAATTTGGCCTTCTGGGTATTCTGAGGCGCATGCGAAGAGAGATTCTTGATGTTCTTGGTGTGACTTTTGAGATGGAACCTTAATAAATGGACCTATTCGGTTCAAAGTGTGTTGTTGATGGCTAATGATGATCCGTCATCTATGAACGATGATATCAATATACTTGTGATTCTCCACCCGTGTTGCAGGAGGATATTGTAGCGAAATGTCTAGGCGACGCGACCGATCAGAGGGTAAATTCTGGTGAAGTGGGTAAGCCACCTCGTTATTAACAGCTATGCGAACAATGACAGACAGGCGAATACTTACGTGCGCTTATCTTCATTGGAGCAAAGACCTGTCCGAAAATAGAGAGGATTATGGTATAATATGGCCAAAATGAACATATAGAGATATCTGAGAAACTATGAAAAGTGTAGTTACAAATCCAGTCATAGTTCCTGATGTACTTACCAGCGCGCCTGTCAATGGTACGGGAGACATGGATGTCATCATTAACAAGCGCATCCTCCAGCATCCTGTTCCTTCGCAGTTCCACCAACGAGCTGCACGCCACCTGGGACGCCTCCTTGGCCGCCGTCGGTCCGTTGCGGTGAACTTCCACTAACACCTTGTTCTATGATGCGTTCGACAACTTCCGTAAACGCCTCATTTACGCCAACAGACGTCTTCGCTGAGGCTTCCACAAACAGGGATCCTATACGTTCAGCGAAGGCGCGACCTTCGGCAGTGGACACCTCACGCGAAAATTCCTGTAGTAACGTCAGTATAAGTACAAAATAGTAAGTTATATTTACGCACTTTATCAACCTTATTGCCTACTACCACCCTGACAGGCCCTTCGGCCACATTGCCGAGATACGTTTCCATCTCCCCTACCCACCTCGGTAGTGCCTCAAAACTCTCCCTACTGCTGACATCATACACCAGCACCACCCCTTGCGCGCCCCTGTAGTAGCTTGCAGTAATGGTCCGAAATCGCTCTTGTCCAGCTGTGTCCCATATACTGAGCTTGACCTGTTTACCGTTGCGAAGTGTGAGACGGTGTACACGGAAATCGACACCAATGGTGGCGGAGGCTTCATCCTCTGGTAGCCAAGTTTCATCAGAGAATCGAAGAAGAAGTGACGATTTTCCAACAGAAGAGTTGCCAATGAGCAACAGCTTCACATTCGTCGGCGGATTTGGAGGCGGCGGCATGGTGGCACTGGCAAGGTGGTGGTCCTCTGCAACGAGGGATTAACGAAAGCGGATACTGACGTCATGCACGTGAAACGATAGGGGCTTCTTGACAAAGTTCACAAAGTCGAAATTTTATCGAAATTCAGTGTATACGCATAATTTGAATGTCGCATATTCATACAAGAAAATTTACGGTTCAGAACTGACCGTCTCAGCAATACTCTGTCATAATGCCGCAAAATGACAACAAAAGACATAAGGAATATTTCAGGCGTTAATTTGACGCCTGCGCTCTTCCTCCCATCGCGCTTTCATCATCCGCAAGCCCTCGTTCCGGGAACGAAGCATCATGGCTGGAGCCGTAAGCTGGGCCTCCAGGTGAGGCGGGATCGTAGAATCATTACGAATGACCTGTTTAGTGGTTAGTCAGTGGTATCCAATGCCAGGCCTGGGTAGGAAAACAGACAGATCCGATGGAAAGGAAGAACGAAAATGTGGCCGCGCTGTTCAACATGTACATCGAAAGGGTGGAGAGCGTCCCTCGAGTTCCTGCTCCATATCTGCAGGTATTTCAGGGAATAAGTAATGAGCCATGATGTCTTCAGTGTGTTCCAAGGACCAACATACCGGAAGATGCTCCACGACCCAAAGATGAAACCGATGGTCAGACCCACGCCAGCACCCATGACGGCGCCCATTCTAAATAATTAAGGTGAAATGGCAGATAAATTTATGCAGCATCCGCCGGCAGGAAAGGATCGTACTTCACTGGGAAAAAAATGAAACAACGCTCTACTGACCAAAAAGTAGGAAAAACTAACTTTTATCCCATACTGATGGCTCGTTGCGTCGTTGAAATTGAGACATTTCGACAAAAGCGTTTCACTGCTGGATAAGTTAGATGCCCCAAGTAAAAGGTGGTGGTCCGGGTTCAAAAGATGTCACGCGCCTGGACCTTGTTGGAACTGCCATGTCAACTGGCATCCCCACCTTTCCCGATGCCCAGCAGGCCCAAATCAGTTCGTGGCAGAGCTTCTTAACAATCTAGTCTCTTCCAATAATACTTGGCTCCAGTTCGTGCGCACCAGCGAGATCTCTACCATGTCTCGTCACTAAGGGAGCAAACCGACACCTGTTCTACGGTCATGGCTTGGCATGTCCCATTTTTTACCGACAGGAAACCTCAATCTCACGTTGGATTAGGGACACGATGGTTGGCAAGGCGAGACAGAGAAGTAGACCTCTTTGTGAAGTTTGTGTATTACGGAATGACTGTGGGTCGTGGTACGTCTCCAGCGCCTGCCATATCTTCTTGCTGAATGCACAATGTGCCAAGGGATTCAGACATTAGGGGAGGAGTATACCAATATATGGCAGTACTCTGCTTTCACTGGACATTCTCCGCCATCTCAATGGTTGCGTTTAGCTTTGATACTCATACCGACGATTCCTCCGTACATTCTCTCCCGAGCCACAGAAATTGTGTCAATGTCAAACCATCCCACATTGACTTCCATACTTAAGAGTCTCCCTTCGATGCTGGGGGTGCTAACCGAAGTCAATCTGGCCATATTCTACGTTTCTGCGACATACTACAGTCTTGTGAAACGAATTCTGCGTGTCAAACATGTAAGTGATTGCCGTTGTCCTATTTTCTTGCTGACGATGGGTTTCAGCTATCATCCATACCTGACAATCCTGATATTCAACCGCCGTCATACTCTCTTCTGGGTATATTGCTAGGAATCAGACTTCTTCACCGTTTGGCGACGTCTCTGAAGCAGCGATATGCATCAGAAGAGCCATCTGCGCAGAAGGAAAAGGAACCAGCGGGTGCGGGTACTTCAAGTTCACGGGAAAGTTTCCTGGATGACCGTGCTGTATCGACTCTTATTGGGCCCGCTGATCCTGAAGCAGACGTCTCAAAGCCGGCTGAAGATGACGGAGGGACAGCTTTAGACATATCGTCAATACCCGATACGTTGAGGGTTGGGAGAAATTGTACACTCTGTCTCGAAGAGAGAACCGATAGCTGCGCTACAGAATGCGGGCATTTGTTTTGTTGGACTTGCATTGTTGGCTGGGGGAGAGAAAAGGTACGTTCACTGCATGACGACAAAATGTGATATCCTAAATACGTCTCTAGGCTGAATGTCCTCTCTGTCGTCAATCTCTGAATTTGTCGCACCTGCTTCCCATCTACAACTTGTAAATTTTTGTAAAGCTATAGATATATAATACAGGCAAGGAAGTATTACAACACCATTCATACCACCTGCTGGATCAACGTGATGTTGTCTCCTTTGAGTAGAATACGCCCTGTGATCGAGGTGAGAGACTCTAATGCGAGAAGGGGAAAAAAGACGAACCGAGCTCTTTCCGAGGCTGTGCACCTTTCACGAAAACTTCTGCGGCCTCATCGATGACGAGGTTCATGAACTCATCGAAACCCTGTAGAAAGAAGGGCAGTGAGCTTGGACTCATCACAATCGTGACAAAAGTGTATAAAGGTGTGCACAAGGGGCTCAGTCCAGCAAAGAGCGCGTTATTCATCGCCCTTGCGGGAATGTTCAACACACAACTGACGAGTAAGACGAAATATGACCCAGACGCACAATAATTCGACCCTCAATCCGCATGTCAATATTATCGTATAACCAGATGACAACTTTTGTTCGCTGTGCCAACATTCCGAGGTTAATAGAGGTGCTTAAAGACACGGTTGCAACGCACCTGTTGAAGATTTTTGAAAATTACATTCTGGGGAACTGCTGTCAGCAGTCGTACAAAATTACAGCGAGAAACTCACGATGGGCTGTACCATCACACGCTGCTGGCGACCAGACATAATGGATGAAAATGGAGCAAAGACGGAGGTGGTGGATGCTGGAGGCAAGTGCTTCACGTGCCAACAAGGCCAAAGCCAGCAGGGCCAGTTGTGGCAGTCGCACTTTTCCCTTCACTTAAGTAGCCGGACGCGTCAACACCTTCCCAGCATGGAGGTCAGTACTCGCCCCAGGCATTGCAGCACTTCTGCTCAGGCTAATCTTCCTTTCAGGCTTTCACTCCAGCGAATTCGTCGACCGCGGCGGCTGTCACATTCATCACCTTCGTGCAAGACCTCAAGAAGAAAACTAAAACATGGGGTCCCATGATAGAACTTTGTGCTAATGGAGAGAAGACCTTAGAACGATTCAGATACCAGTTTCCTGACGACTGGCTTTACAGCGACCAACTTAGAGGAGAGTGGAGCGCATACAATGAGATATTGAAACGGAAGAATGATTCCATTCAAGAGCAGCTGGGTACATTTATTGCCACTAAATCCTTCGTCTTCCCTCATCTTTCTCCTTAGCTGGATTGCAGCTGAAGATTGTTGCCCAAGACAAGATCGTCGAGAACAAGATCAATGACATTCTAGTCGAATGGGAACAGACACGACCCGTGCAGGGGAATATGCGCGCCGATACCGCCATGAATGCTATCAGCGTCTTTGAGAACAAATTAACTCGCGTTCAGGAGGAGTACGACCTCGTTTGCAGGGCAAAGGAGGCGTTGGACCTGGAACTGACACGACACACGCGACTAGAGCCTGTTTTCGAGGAGTTACGCGATCTCAAGGCGGTATGGACAGCGTTGTCTGGCATTTGGAGCCAAATATCTGAGCTCCGTGATATGGCATGGGCTACGGTGCAGCCGCGCAAGTTGAGGCAGCATATAGACGGACTGCTGTCCTCTACGAAGGAGATGCCCACGAGGATGAGGCAGTATGCTGCTTTTGAATACGTCCAGGATGTTTTGAGGGGACTGCTAAAGTCCAATTCCATCGTGTCAGAGCTGAAATCAGAGGCGCTGAAGGACAGGCATTGGAAGCAGTTGTTCAAGGTGCTGAGGCTCCCAGCGCAGATTAGCCTGACTCTGTACGCCTACCTCAAAGTATTTCTGCTTCTATATCACTCATTCATTATCTAGGATGACACTCGGTCATGTTTACGACTTGGACCTCAAAAAGAACGAAACGGTCATTAAAGAGGTCATCATCCAGGCCCAAGGAGAGGTAAGCTTAGCTATCATCCTCATGATATTGTCTTCACGAATGATCAGATGGCTCTCGAAGAATACATCAAGCAAGTCAAAGAAATATGGACCAACTACACTCTTGACCTTGTCAATTACCAGAATAAATGCCGCTTGATCAGGTGCGTGCATTTTTTTGATTGAAATGTCAGACGTTGATCGTCTTGTACAGAGGATGGGATGATCTTTTCAATAAGTGCAGTGAAAACCTAAATTCTCTGACTGCAATGAAGTTGTCCCCATATTATAAAGGTGAGAAGATCTTCAGCATTTTCCAGTGGACTGGTCGCTAATGCTACGTGCAGTCTTCGAAGAGGAGGCTGGTTCTTGGGAGGAAAAGCTCAATCGAATCCACGTTCTCTTCGGTGCGTATATTTTGACCAGGTAGCTTCTTCGCCTTTTCATGCTCTATATAGATGTCTGGATCGATGTTCAACGTCAATGGGTTTATCTTGAAGGCATATTTTCAGGCAGCGCTGATATCAAGCACCTTCTTCCTGTCGAGAGCGCTCGATTCCAGAATATCAACTCCGAGTTTCTTACCGTGATGAAGAAGGTCTACAAGTCACCTTTCGTCATCGATGTCATGAACATTCAAGGCATCCAGAAAAGTTTGGAACGTCTGGCAGACCTGCTGAACAAGATCCAGAAGGCCCTTGGAGAGTACTTGGAGCGGGAGCGTTCATCCTTTCCCCGCTTCTACTTCGTTGGCGACGAAGATTTACTCGAGATTATTGGTAACAGTAAAGATATTCTTCGGATCATGAAGCACTTGAAGAAGATGTTTGCCGGTATTTCTACCATCAAGCTTGACGAGGAGTTAAGCCAGATACAAGGGATGGCATCTAGGGAGGGAGAAGAGGTCAAGTTCACGGAGCCGATTTTGTTGGCCGACTATCCCAAGATCAACGATTGGCTGGCAAGGATAGAGGCTATGATGAGGCTGTCACTGGCCAACCTACTCACGGATGCCGTTATTGAACTGCAAACGTTCTACGGCTCTGGCTCCAAGTTACTTATGGAACCACTGATGGCCTGGATGGAGAAGTATCCTGCTCAACTTGTCACGCTTGCGGTACAAGTTGCATGGACATCATCTGTTGAAGATGCCTTGGAGTCGGGGGCTGCTCCAGACGCTCCATTGGACACTGTACACCAGGCATTAGACCTACTTGCCGACATCGTTTTGCAGGAATTGAGCCCTGTCACTCGACGAAAATGTGAACATCTTATCACAGAGCTGGTTCACCAGCGAGATGTCACCCGTTCGCTTATCCAGCAGAATGTGCTCGACCCGAAAGGCTTCATATGGCTGTATCAGATGCGCTTTTACCTTGACAGGGCCATCGAGAATCCCCTAGAAAGACTTTCAATCAAGGCTGCTGATGCTTCTTTCCCTTACGGCTGGGAGTACCTTGGTGTTCCCGATCGACTTGTTCAAACACCGCTTACCGATCGCGTCTACCTCACTCTGACACAGGCGCTGGACAACCAACTTGGTGGCGCTCCATTTGGTCCAGCTGGCACAGGTATGCTCCTGTCCCGATGTTATTTATGGGGAGATTTAATTGTCAATACTAGGTAAAACAGAGTCCGTTAAGGCGTTGGGCGTGCAGCTGGGTCGCTTCGTGCTTGTTTTTTGCTGCGACGAGACTTTCGATTTCCAGGCAATGGGTCGAATTTTTGTTGGTCTGTGTCAAGTCGGCGCCTGGGGTTGCTTTGATGAGTTCAATCGTTTGGAGGAGCGAATTCTTAGTGCTGTCTCGCAGCAAGTTCAGAGTATCCAGCAAGGGTTGGCGTCTTTGGTCAAGAACCCAAATACAGAGATAGAACTGGTCGGGAAAAACCTCAAGATCAACAAGAACATCGGTGAGTGGCTTTAAAATGGGGCGTAGCCATAATCGCTATATTGTCTGTAGGTATCTTCATCACGACGAATCCCAACTATGCTGGCCGTTCTCAGCTTCCCCCTAATTTGACGAAGCTTTTCCGGCCGTAGGTTCCAGTTTTCTGATAGCGACCTACTGTCCTGAAGCGTTTCTTTCTAGAATGGCAATGACCCGGCCAGATCGAGAGCTGATTGCTCAAGTCATGCTGTTTTCTCAAGGTTTCCGTACCGCGGAATCTTTGGCATCTAAGATTGTGCCATTCTTCAATCTTTGTGATGAGCAGCTGTCTCCGCAACCTCATTATGACTTTGGATTGCGCGCACTCAAAGCAGTTCTCGCTAGTGCGGGTATTCTCAAACGAGAACGTCTGCAATCAGTCCGTGTATCGGAGGACGATTCTGAGGCGGTCGGCCTATCGGACGCAATCTCAGAGCAGATCATCTTAATTCAAAGTGTCACAGAGACTATAGTACCTAAGCTGGTTGCTGACGATGTCCCTCTTCTTACCAAGTAAGCCCGTCTCTTATGACTGCAGTTTCAGTTCGACATTTTAATTATTCTGTAGCCTTTTGGCCGATGTCTTCCCCGGCGTTGACTATATGCCTGTTGATCTGGACGCTTTACGGGAACAGATCCTAAAAGTGTGTTCTGAACGACGTCTTGTTGATGGTGATCTATGGGTTTCCAAAATTCTGCAACTCTATCAAATTCAAAAAATTCAGCATGGACTGATGATGGTGGGGCCCTCAGGTAGTGGCAAAACCAATGCTTGGCAAGTCTTGCTCGCAGCTCTGGAGAGACTTGATGGTATCGAAGGAGTTTCCTATGTCATTGATCCGAAAGCCATGCATAAGGATACTTTATACGGTACCTTGGATGCGACCACCCGCGAGTGGAATGATGGTCTCTTTACCCACATTCTTCGCAAGATTGTGGACGACGTGCGTGGGGAGAGCGGCAAGAGACATTGGATTATCTTTGATGGTGATGTAGATCCCGAATGGGTGGAGAATCTGAACAGGTCGGTCTAATAATCCACGGCATTGCTCAAACTAATTAATATATTTCCGTAGTGTACTCGATGACAACAAGCTGCTTACGTTGCCGAATGGAGAACGACTCAATCTACCTCCAAACGTGAGGATCATGTTCGAGGTAGAGCACCTCAAGTACGCGACACTTGCTACAGTCAGCCGCTGCGGCATGATTTGGTTCTCGGACGATGTCGTAGAACCTTCTATGGTCTATCGTCATTACCTTACCACACTGTCGTCTGTTGCTCTTGACGCAGATGATGATGAGGCTGGCGATTTGCTTACACGACGCAGTGAGATTCCAGTATTCCGACAATGCCGCTGCTGCAAATTTGGTTACACAGAAGCAGGTTGCCTCTATTTTGGAGCGCTATTTTGCCGAAGGAGATCTCGTCAGTTCAGCACTCAAATTTGCCGAATCCATCGAGCACATCATGGACTATACGGTCACCCGCGCTCTTAACACACTCTTTTCCCTTCTCAACAAGACTGTCCGAAACATCATCGAGTACAACTTCCAGCACTCTGACTTCCCCTTGTCCTTGGAACGTATAGAGCAATACGTCACGAAGCGCTTACTCGTCAGCATCATCTGGGCATTCTCTGGGGATGCGAAGCTAGATTTGCGTGCTGAAATGGGTGATTATCTCAGAAACCAAACCGGCATTGATCTACCTCCTCTCGGACCTGGTAGCTCCCTCATAGACTTCGATGTCCAGGTGGCCAATGGTGAATGGGTTGCTTGGCAGTCTCGAGTTCCCGTCATAGAAATTGAGGCCCATGCCGTAACCGCATCAGACCAGGTTGTTCCCACTATGGACACCGTTCGCCATGAAGAAGTGCTATATTCCTGGCTATCAGAGCACAAACCTCTGATGCTTTGCGGACCTCCCGGATCCGGAAAAACCATGACCCTTTTCAGCGCGTTGAGAAAGCTTCCCGACATGGAAGTTGTGGGCCTGAACTTCTCCAGCGCAACAACTCCAGAACTTATCCTCAAAACATTCGAGCAATATTGCGAGTATCGAAAAACCCCCAATGGTGTCATTTTGGCACCTGTGCAGATTGGTCGATGGCTGGTTGTATTCTGCGACGAAATCAATCTACCGGCGGCTGACAAATATGGCACTCAGCGTGTCATCTCTTTCATCCGTCAGCTGGTTGAAAGTGGGGGCTACTGGCGTGCCAGTGATATGTGTTGGGTGAAACTTGAACGTATCCAATTTGTTGGTGCCTGCAATCCTCCGACTGATCCCGGACGAGTTCCCCTCAGTCACCGATTCTTACGTCATGCACCATTAGTCATGGTGGATTATCCTGGTGAAGTGTCCTTAAAGCAAATCTATGGCACTTACAATCGCGCAGCTCTCAAAGTTGTCCCAAATTTACGCGCGTACGCGGACCCTCTTACCGACGCCATGGTGGCGTTCTATTTGGCTTCTCAAAAACGATTCACCACCGACATCCAAGCCCACTATGTGTACAGTCCTCGTGAGCTGACACGATGGGTACGAGGCATATACGAGGCCATTCGACCTCTGGAAATACTGTCAGTCGAAGGACTAGTGCGTGTGTGGGCCCATGAAGCCTTACGGCTGTTCCAAGATCGTCTAGTCACCGAGGAAGAGCGGCTATGGACGGATGAAAATATCGATGCAGCGGCTATGGAACACTTCCCTACTATCAACCGCGAAGAAGCTCTGACCCGTCCAATCCTCTTCTCGAATTGGACCTCCAAAGATTATATTCCCGTGGATCGAGATACACTCCGTGAATATACTAAAGCCCGTCTGAGGGTTTTCTACGAAGAAGAGCTCGATGTCCCTCTCGTCCTGTTCAATGATGTGTTGGATCATGTTCTCCGTATCGACCGAGTTTTCCGTCAAATTCAAGGACATCTCTTGCTTATTGGAGTTAGCGGAAGTGGAAAGGTATTTATCCGCCGTTTTTGTCGATCAAAACACTATCTTATTCTTGGTGTAGACTACATTATCACGTTTCGTTGCTTGGATGAATGGTCTAAGCATCTTCCAGATCAAGGTGTCTAACAAGTATACAGGCGATGACTTCGACGAAGACCTTCGAGTCGTTCTTCGCCGGGCTGGATGCAAAGGTGAAAAAATCTGTTTCATCATGGACGAGTCCAATGTCTTGGATTCCGGGTTTTTGGAAAGGATGAACACGCTTCTGGCCAATGCCGAAGTACCAGGTCTTTTCGAAGGCGATGAGCATGCAGCCCTGATGACCGCTTGCAAAGAAGGATCCCAACGCGATGGCCTAATGCTGGACTCTCATGAGGAACTGTATCGTTGGTTTACCCAGCAAGTTGCCCGAAACCTTCACGTCGTGTTTACCATGAATCCTCCCGAGAACGGTTTGGCGTCTAGAGCTGCCACCTCTCCCGCCCTGTTCAATCGTTGCGTCCTGGACTGGTTTGGAGATTGGTCAGATCAGGCGTTCTATCAAGTGGGTATGGAGTTTACCCACAATTTGGACCTCGATCTTTCAACATATACACCTCCGGCTCATTTCCCGATCGCCTACCGCGGTCTCTCTATGCCCCCAATTCATCGCACCGCGGTTGTAAATGCCTTGGTCCATGTACATTCTTCTCTCCACCAAATCAATCAACGCTTGTCCCGCCGTCAAGGTCGATACAATTATGTCACGCCTCGTCATTATCTCGACTTGTATGTTTTAGTCAATTTCGTTCCACGTCCCAGCCTAACCCTTGTTTCTAACTAGCATTAACCACTATGTCCGCCTATACACTGAAAAACGCGACGAACTGGAAGAACAGCAGCGCCACCTCCACGTGGGTCTTGACAAGCTCAGAGATACCGTCACGCAAGTCGAGGAGCTGCGCAAAAGTCTTGCTATCAAACGGTCTCAACTTGAGGCTAAAGATGCGGAAGCCAATGAAAAGCTTAAACGCATGGTATCAGACCAGCAGGAGGCTGAGCAGAAGAAGGCCGCTTCCATTGAAATTCAAGCTGCCCTGGTCGAGCAGGATAAGCACATCGAGCAACGTCGTGCCATCGCAACAGCAGATCTGGCTAATGCAGAACCTGCGGTGCTTGATGCGCAGGCCGCCGTCAGTAATATCAAGCGGCAGCATCTACAGGAAGTTCGAACCATGGCCAATCCACCGGAAGCCGTCAAGCTGGCGATGGAATCCGTTTGCACAATTCTTGGTCACAAGATTGACAGCTGGCGTACTGTGCAAGGAATCATCCGTCGGGATGACTTTATCCAGCGCATTGTCAACTTTGACACTACTACCCAGATGACCAAGCATCTTCGAGATATCATGAAGAGAGAGTTCCTCAGTCGCCCCTCGTACAACTTCGAGACCGTGCAACGTGCCAGTAAAGCATGCGGTCCCCTAGTCAAGTGGGCTTTGGCCCAGGTTCACTTCTCTGAAATTCTCGATCGCGTTGAGCCACTCCGTAATGAGGTGCAGTCACTAGAGAAACAGGCAGAGACAACGAAAAAGCAGGCCAGCGCAATTATTCAGATGATTGCAGAGCTGGAGGCGAAGATTGCGCGATACAAAGAGGAGTATGCATTGTTGATCAGCGAGACACAGGCCATCAAGTCAGAGATGGAGCGGGTACAAAGCAAGGTCGACCGTAGCATGAAGTTACTGGAGAGCCTGTCGTCGGAACGTGGTCGATGGGAAGGCGGCAGTCGTGCATTCGATGCCGAAATGTCGACTATTGTTGGCGATGTTCTTCTCTCTGCGGCATTTTTGGCTTACGGAGGATTTTTTGATCAACATTACCGTGAAGTCATGTGGCAAGAATGGTCTAACCACCTTACCGACGCTAACATCAAGTTCAAGCCAGAGCTTTCGCTCACAGAGTATCTCTCAACTGCAGATGACCGATTGAGCTGGCAATCGAAGGCACTGCCCGCAGACAATCTCACTACGGAGAATGCTGTCATGCTGAAACGCTTCAATCGTTATCCTTTGATCATAGATCCTACGGGGCAAGCAACTACTTTCCTCTTGAACGAGTACAAGGAACGGAAGATCACAGTGACTAGCTTCTTGGACGAAGCATTCCTCAAAGTCCTGGAAAGCGCCCTTCGATTCGGAAACCCACTTCTTATACAAGATGTGGAACACCTCGATCCCATCCTCAACGCCGTTCTTAATAAGGAAATTAGGCGCACCGGAGGGCGAGTGCTCATTCGTCTGGGAAGTCAGGACATCGATTTCTCGCCCTCATTCACCATGTTTCTGTCGACGCGAGACCCCTCTGTCGAATTTTCTCCTGACATCTGCAGTCGCGTCACCTTTGTCAATTTCACCATGACTCGTAGCAGTCTCCAAAGTCAATCCTTGGACCAGGTCCTCAAAGTTGAACGCCCCGATACAGAACGAAAACGCACTGACTTGATGAAGATTCAAGGCGAATTCCGTCTCCGACTTCGAACACTGGAGAAATTGCTGCTTCAGGCGCTCAATGAGTCATCGGGGAACATTCTTGACGATGACAAAGTTATTGACACTCTGGAGACTTTAAAACGAGAGGCCTGCCGACATTACCTCCAAGGTCGAAGAGACCGACGTTGTCATGAAGGAGGTGGAAGAAGTCACTGCAGAATATCTGCCTTTGGCGCAAGCTTGCAGTGCAGTTTTCTTCGTATTGGAGCAGCTAAATCTTGTCAACCACTTCTACCAATTCTCGTTGCGCTTTTTCCTTGACATCTTTGATTATATCCTTCACCACAACCCCAATCTGAAGAATGTGACGGATCATAGCCAGCGTCGGGATATTCTTCTCAACGATCTTTTCTTAGTGGTGTACAAGAGGACCTCCCGGGCCCTTCTCTACCGTGACCACGTCATGCTTGCAGTCCTTTTGGCTCAAGTCAAGCTACGAGGCGTAGAAGAAATTACGGACGAGATGGAGTTCTTGTTGGAAAGTGCGGACAATGTTATCGCTTCAGTCAACGTCATTACAGGTGCCACTTCAAGCACCATCCTTTCTGCCGACCAAACATTGCGCCTGGAAAACTATGCTAAGCAGTCTATCTTCAAGCCCGTCCAAAACCATATCATTGAGCACGAAGGCGACTGGTTGCCATTCTTGCGGTCTCCTGAACCAGAGCTGTCTGTTCCCACTCCCTGGGAACCTAGCACACGTAGGTTTTATTCCTGTTAATTTAAGTATCTAGGACTGATTTCGGAACTAGCGGCCGTGGAAGCCATTCGATCCATGCTGATCATCAAATGTCTGCGACCTGACCGCCTCTTGCAAGCAACTGCTCGATTTGTCCGCCTTGTATTCAACACCGAGTTGTCTTCGGAGTCTGATTATGACCTTGGTACCATGGTCAATGACGAAGTTCCAGCTGCGACGCCGCTTGCATTGATTTCTGTCCCCGGATATGATGCCAGTTACCGCGTAGAGAACTTGATAAAGAACACGGGTGCTCGATCTTCTTCCGTCGCAATGGGTTCTCAAGAAGGTTTTGGCCTGGCAGACCAAGCGATTGCGGCGGCAGCTCGGCAAGGTTCCTGGGTTCTCCTGAAGAATGTCCATCTTGCTCCTTCGTGGTTGGGACAGCTGGAGAAGAAACTGCAGACACTAAATCCAAACCGCAACTTCCGCCTTTTCCTCACGATGGAAGCCAATCCATCCATCCCAGTCAATCTTCTACGTCAATCCCGTTTAATTATGAACGAACCTCCTCCGGGTATCAAAGCCAATATCCTCGACTCTCTTCGCAGCATATCATCCTCTCGTTTATCTCAAGGGCCCGCTGAGAAGATTCGACTCTATTTCCTCTTGGCTTGGTTCCATGCCATTGTCCAAGAACGCTTGCGCTATGTTCCTCTTGGTTGGAGTAAAACCTACGACTTCAACGATTCTGATATGTCGTCTGCGTTCACTGTGATCGACACTTGGCTGTCCAGCGTCTCAAAGGGCCGTACAAACATTGATCCCGTTACAATACCCTGGGATGCTTTGCGTACATTAGTCAAACAATCTGTGTATGGCGGTCGAGTTGACAGTGACTTCGACCAGAGAATATTGGATTCATTCGTTGACGGATTATTCACCCCGGCTGCGTATAACGTCGACTTTGATTTGGTTCCAAGCATAGGCGGTAGACAGGTTCTAGGTGTTCCTGATGGCACCAAGATGGAGCACTTCTTATCTTGGGCACAGGGATTACCTGATCGTGAACCTCCTTCTTGGCTTAGTCTTCCCCCAAGCGCAGAACGTGTGATTGCTATTGCTCAAGGTGCGATGGTTGTTCTCCGGAAGATAGATAAATATTGACACCCATATACATAGGAAACGAGCTGCTCGGCAAGCTGAGGAAGATGCGAATGCTAGCAGACGATGATGATGATGTTACTCCCGCTGCGTCAACCAAATCTCAAACATCCCAACAACCGGCCTGGATGCGGTCTCTTCTTGACCGTTGCAAAGAGTGGCTTTCTCAGTTGCCTTCTGTGAGTACACTTCTAGTTTCTATTCGCCCGTGTGCTGATCTTCTCTTAGAAATTCAATACTCTTCCTCAGCAAGGCAATGATAGCCAAGACCCATTGTATCGCCTCTTCTCTAGAGAGGGCGAAATTGGTCGCCGCTTGTTGACGCAAGTTCGCAGGGATCTTACTGACGTTGTCAAGGTCTGTCAAGGAGAGTTGAAACAAACCAACCATTTGCGAAGCCTTATGAGCTCCTTAACCAAAGGTACGGAACTCTGTTCAATTAGAGACTGAAATTCTTTTGATACCCAGCATAGCTACTATTCCCAATCACTGGCGGCAGTACAAAGTACCCAAGGCAATGGGTGCCTCTGGATGGATTGCTAACTTTGCTCGACGATTGAATCAACTTGATAGTGTCGCTGAGCTTCAGAACCTGAATGATGTCGAAGTTTGGCTTGGCGGACTCTTCTTCCCCGAAGCGTATATCACGGCAACTCGGCAAGCTGTTGCACACCGGAAAAGATGGAGCTTAGAAACCCTTAGCTTGCGGCTCGATATTGAAAAAGTGAACGACCCCGAGGCGTTTATTGTTGACGGTACGTTCTCTACTCTCGTGAGAAGAACTCAAAGGTTGACGCTGTTGACCACAGGGCTTGCATTGGAAGGTGCATCATGGGCGACCGACAAACTTGTGCTTAATGACGGAGAAGTCGTTCGGCTGAATGCTTCACAAATTCGCTGGGTCCAGTCGGATGACTCAAGCAGGCAGAACTTGGTGAACCTGCCGGTATACCTGAACGGTGACCGTAGCGACGTCATGTTTACTGTCAATCTTCCATTCGATACTAGTGCAGGTCCTCTCGTTTCGATGAGAGCAGTATGCCTGACGGCCAGTGCTTAGTTGCTGTTTTATCACGTGTTATTGTTTTGCTTTTGTTATATACTGATACCCCGAGAAAGCTAGACATCAACCGTTGCGTACGCTACATAATGCTCAATACCCAACATAGTACTCGTATATGCCTCAGCTATCCATCTAGTCATGTATTTCACGTATTCTCATGATCTTGTTTTGTAATGAACCAGAGGAAATAGGACGAATCATTTAACTGAGCTCCCGCCTACGACTGTCAATACGTTCCAATCGATCTCTACACCAGTCTTTTTGAAGATTGCTCGTGCATCTTCCGCAATAGCTTCGAAACCATGTGTTGCAAGAGCTAAGATCGTTGGACCTGCTCCAGACAAGCAAATACCTAGCAAGCCAGGATGGCTTGAAGGGGTGATCATTGATGTAACTTCAGGCAGGCCAGGTATCTACAATAAATATGAATATCCAAGTCATTTACCAGAAGGTATAGGAACTGACCAAAGTTTTTCGGTATGGTTGATGGACTCTATCCTTCATGGCTTCGTAGATGAGATCGGGATCTGGCGGTGACTGAGCTAGTGCTGTAGTCAAAACCGCCAGGCGCTGCAGATTGAAGACCTGAAAAATACGTTAAACGAAACGTTTCCCACACTGCGCTGCAAGGAGAAACGCACAAGATCTTTGCGAGAATAAGAAGTTGGAAGGACTTCTCTAGCCTTGGCAGTACTAAGCTCGAATCTAGGGACAATAGCTACGGCCTTGATGCTCTCGGACCAGCCGAATCGTACAAAGTGGCCTATACCACTCGGGGGGGCGGGAGGGTTGAGGCCCCAATCCTCAGATGCATCCGGTGGGTACTCCGGCAAGACTTCGCTCAAAGGCACACTGGCTGCCTCTGTCGCGGCCTCATCCAGTTCCCTCAAATAGGACCCGACGAATCCTCCCACCAGGGCAGCTGTGACATTGTCTGGATGCCGCTCGACCATCAAGGCAAAGTCTAGTAATCGTTCCCTTGGAAGCCTGAGGTTCCCCAATTGGTTTCCAAGTAGCACACCGGCGATTACCGCTGCGCCTGACGATCCAAGGCCCCGTCCGAAAGGGATTTCATTGTTCGCATGGATCTTGAGACCCGAGGGGAAGGAGCGAATGTCGTGACATCGTAAGACGTATAGGGCGACGCGAGTGGTGAGATTTTTGTAGGCATCCAGAGGGACTTCATCGGCGCCTTCGCCAGAATAGGTGATAAGTGGAGGCGCGTAGGAGGATGGGGGGACTTGGGGAACAGAGACGGCAAGGGTAAGGTAGAGGGACAGGGACAAACCAACGACATCGAAGCCTGGACCGATATTTGCAGATGTCGCAGGCACTCTAATTCTAAACGACGAAGTCATTTTTGGCAAACTTCCAAAAAACTTGCTGAATGACTGTTTTCGTCAAAAATGTTTCGGAGAATCAGAGATTAGATAACCACGTGCTTTCCTTTTCCGTCCAAATTTGATTCAAAAAAAATCTGTCCTTGCTCTCAACGCCATGGCGGCACAAAAACGGTCTCTCGACAACGCTCCTTCCTCCCATAAATCAAAAAAATTAAAGGCATCGGACTCGACGTCTGAAAAGCCTCAGAATGTCCCACCAGCCGCCTCTACTCTCACGGCAGACGACATCGACTTTCCTCGTGGTGGTGGGACAAGCTATACGCCCTTGGAGGTTAAGACAATCAGAGCAGAGGCTTTGAAGGAAGCAGATAGAGAGTTGTTTAAGGTCGGTTTCTCTTTCCTATATTAATGATCTATTGCTTACGCCGTCGTAGGAGGCGCAAGATGAATCCAAGAAATCCAAGAAGCGGAAGAGAAAGTCTGAAGCTGGACCATCCACCGATGAATCTAAGACAGGAAAAAGCGAGAGAATACGGATAGAACATTTGAACTATAAGGTACGTCGCACTTCGGTTTTCTCACACGGGGTCTTGACGTCCCTCCAGAGAATGAATGTGGGCATGAAGATTTTTGGTCAAATCATGTCTATCCAACCCTTCGCCCTTATTGTGTCTCTTCCCAATCAACTATTTGGACACGTTCCAATAACCAATGTCTCCTCACAACTCACGAGTCTCTTGGAGAAGACAGAGGACGAAGACGAGGAAGACGAAGAATCCAACTCTGAAAATGGAATTCGAGTTCCCAGCCTATCTGACATCTTTCACGAAGGGCAGTATGTCCGAGCAGTGGTTACTGCACTCCATGCCCCAGGGCATACCGACATCGTCGGCATAGGACGGACGCGAGACGACGCAGTCAGGGCTAGCAAGAGAGTCGAACTATCCCTCTACCCGGAAAAAGTCAACGTTGGGGTAAAGAAGACCGACTTGATCCCGGGATTTGTAGGTCTTCCTTTTGCATTTCCTAATGGCTCCTCATTGTTTCACGTAGACTCTGACGGCCGAAGTGAGAAGTGTTGAGGACCACGGATACCAACTTAACTTGGGTGTGCCGGACATGGCAGGTATTCTCACTTTCAAAGATACAAAGGGCCTGAGCGATGATAAAGCACCGATTGTGGGACAATTGGTCGACGTTACAGTACAAAAACAGTCGCCTAATGGCAGGACATGTCATGTCACCAATGATCCTAACCTGTTTTCCTCTTCTTCAGTAAGTGAAGTAGCCTTTCTTCAGTCACGGACTTCTGAATCTTTTCTAGCTGACTGAAATAACAAGTGTCACGTCGGTGCTTCCCGGGACGTCAGTTCAGGTTCTCATAACGTCAATACATGCTACAGGCTTCAACGTCCAAGTTCTTGGTTTTTTTGACGGCACCATTGATCGACTTCACCTTCCTCGGCATATCTCAGAAAAGACCCATAAAGTGGGCAAAAAGGTTAAAGCAAGGGTGTTATATGATTATTCGACGACACCCCCACGATTTGCATTAGCACTCAACGAGCACATCGTTGAACTTGGAACGTCGCAAACCGTGTCGGGAGTTAGTATTCAAGAGGCCTATCCCGTTGGCAAGATTATCGAGGGCGCGAAGATTCTCAGAGTTGAGCCTGAGCGTGGGGTGGACGTTGAAGTGGAAGATGGACTGGAGGGCTTCGCACATGTAAGTCACTTGCCAGTTCCTATAAGTCTTACTTCATCCCGTATAGATCTCTCACATTTCCGATGAACATTTGCCCGTCGTGTCTGCTTCTGATCCTTGGAAGCCCGATTCAATACACAGAGCTCGCGTCATAGGATACTTCCCCTTCGATGATGTCCTACAACTCTCACTTAAGCCTTCTGTTCTAGACCAACAATTCTTCCGAGTCGATGATATCAAAGTGGGTGAAATCGTTAAAGGTACAGTCAAGAAAATTGCCGACAACGGGCTCTTCGTGTCGCTGTCGGGGAACATAGATGGTGTAGTGTGGCCTAACCACTATGCAGACATCATGCTTAAGCATCCGACGAAGAGGTTTAAAGTTGGGGCCAGTATCAAATGCCGGGTAAGATCGGAAGGCGACTATAACATCGCCTGAATGCTGACATTTTCACAAGGTTCTTGTCGTGGATACTGTACGGAAGCGACTGTCTCTCACTCACAAGAAGACACTCTTGGAGTCCACATTACCGATTGTCTCTTCCATCGAAGATGCCAAAATTGGCTTGGTGACCTATGCTGTTGTCTTCAAAGTGTTGCCCAAGCATCTCATGGTAGAATTCTACAACAATGTAAAGGCTACCGTTCCAATACGAGAAGTTAGGTAAGTCATGCTCTAGGATCGATTTGCAAGCCGGGAGCTTTTACACTTCCCTGCAGCGAAGTCCCAGTCAAGTTGTCCGACGCTTTCTCCGTGGGAAAGATTGTCAAGGTACGAATTATCGATGTTAACGAAGAACATGGCCGGATCGTGGCGAGCATCAAAAAATCCTCCGCCTCACAGTCCTTCAATACCGATATAAGCGGGGTCGGAATCGGTGATATCGTCAACGGTACCCTCTCGGAAATTCATGGCGAAAATGCTGTCCTCGCTTTGCAGCCTTCCGAAGTGCGCGCGCTCTTGTCGCTTAACAATCTAGCCAATCACCGTGGTGTATCACTGGCCCAGCTGCGTGTAGACCTCTCTGTCGACGACAAGCTAGAGGAGCTCGTCGTTGTGACTAGGAACACTGAGAAGAACTTTGTGATCGTCGCGACGAAGCCGAAAGGGAAGGCGAACGTGAAGGGCTCCTTGTCCATGGACAAAGTGACCATTGGGCAGGTAGTCAGTGGACGTGTCACCCGAAGAGTGCGACAAGGTACTCTTATCAAATTACCTTCGCGTATTGGTGGCCTACTGCATCCGACGGATGCTACTGATGATTATGAGACGGGAACACCCTTCCCGGCCATCGACTCTGTGTTGAAGGCTACCGTTATAGGGATTGATGTCTCCAAGAAGCAGCTTTCCCTCTCAACACGGCCTTCAAAGATGTATCCGGACGAATTAAGGCCAGTCGCCGACCGTGTCATTGATGGCATAAATGATATACACGTCGGTGAAACGTTGCGCGGTTTCATCAAGAGCGTAACAGACCACGGTCTGTTCGTTACCATTTCACGGGATGTAGATGCTCGAGTGCAGATTCGTGAACTTTTCGACGACGTTAGCATCTCACCTCTTCTTACCGGTTTTGTAACTGATTGTGTTTAGTATGTCAAAGATTGGCAGGAACGATTTCACACTGACCAGGTCGTCAAAGGGCGCATCTTAAGGTGATCATTTGGTCAACAATTGGTTGAAGATTGCACTCATGGTTTTTAGCATTGATACAAACACCAAAAAGGTCGAGATGACATTCCGCTCGAATGATCTGTCAAGAAAATCGTCGTCTTTGAGCTACGGGGATCTGCAGAAAGGTCAAAAAATTAGCGGAACGATCAAAAAGATTGAAGAGTACGGCTTGTTCATCCAGATCGAAAGTTCAAAGCTCAGTGGTCTATGTCATAAATCAGAGGTCTCCTCCTTGCTTTTTTCCTATACGACCGCTCTCACACGAAAAAATAGCTTTCGGACAACAAGGACGCGGATGTTACCGTGGCGCTGGGTAGTTTCCGTGAAGGTGATCGCGTCAAAGCCGTCATCCTCGATGTTACAAATCGACGAATTTCTCTGAGCTGCAAGCCATCACATTTCTCAGAAGAGGACTTCGCTGATCAGGATTCTGATGAGGCGGAAGCTGTGGAGGAACTAGGTGTCATCGATAAAGATGCAGATGACGATGAGCAAGATGATGGTCAAGACGGCCTCGCTCCTCATGAAGTCGATGATTCTTCTGACGACAGTGACCATGATGTGATGGATGTTGATTTGGCCCCCTCACAACCGCAGTACCAGCAGCCCTCATCAGCCCCCAAAGCAACCATCTCGGAATCTGTGACATTGAAATTGGACACCGAGTTTGAGTGGTACGCCAAAGAGGCACCCTCAGAACCGTCAGATGACGCATCTGATGCATCTGAAGATACCGACGATGAGGATCAGCCCAGCAAAAAGCGGAAACGCAAACGCAAGGAGATTGAGCAAGATCTTACTGCCGACATGCACACCAAGGCACCGGAATCTACTGCGGATTTCGAACGCTTGCTACTGGGCTCTCCGAACTCGTCCTACTTGTGGGTTCAATACATGGCGTTCCTTGTGCAACTTTCCGAGATCGACAAGGCGCGGGAAACAGCAAGGCGGGCTCTGAAAACCATCAACTTCCGTGAAGAACAGGAGAAGCTTAATGTGTGGATTGCACTGCTCAATATAGAAAATTTGTATGGAACCGACGAGACGCTGGAAGAAACTTTCAAAGAAGCTGCCCGAGCAAACGATTCCAAGACGATCCATCTTCGTCTAGCATCTATTTTTGATGCGTCGGAAAAATTCCAGGTGGGATGCAACTAGCTCTTCTGAATCGATGACTCATCAGCATCTCCTACAGCAAACTGAAGACCAGTATAAAAGGACCTGCAAGAAATTCGGTCGCAGTTCAAAAGTCTGGACCTTATTCGCCGATTTCTATCTTCGCCATGACAATATTGAGAACTCGCGGAATTTGCTCCCACGTAGTCTTCAAAGTCTAGAAAAGCGGAAACGTAAGTGTGACATTTCTCACTTTCGCTTATAAACTTAGTAGTTCTAGATCTTAAAACGATCTCAAGGTTCGCTCAACTAGAATACAAGTTGGGCGACCCTGAACGGGGAAAAACCCTTTTTGAGGGTATCGTCGATTCACACCCTAAGCGTTGGGATATATGGTCAATATATATGGATATGGAAGCGGGACAACGCAACATTCAGAGTCTGCGGTGAGCCCAGCGTTGATATTTGATGAGCAAAGACTAAGCCATTCTCAGATCACTGTTTGATCGTGTTTTAACTTTCAAAATGACTAGCCACAAAGCGAAGTACGTACCAATTTCCTCAGAACGTTCAACTATCTCTTATCAATTACCTACAGGTCGTTTTTCAAGAAATGGCTCGAACTGGAACGGCGCTTGGGAGATGAGGACGGGGCTACGATGGTGAAACAGAAAGCAGTCGAATGGACCCAAAGAGCCAATCCATCATAATATAATATTCATCATATATGGATCACATCAGCACATATACTGCTCATGAAATATATAAGTAGGCGAAGCGAAGCTAATAACATCAGACAAAGCACGAAGAAGTATGTAAGTTAGAGTGTGAATGAATCCAAGCGAAACGACCAAAAGCCGAAGAGTGGTATATGCATAGCAAATAGATGAAACAAAAAAGAAATGTCATGACCGCGGTGATCGTGTCCTCTCTGGCTCTGCATCGAAGCCGCTCAACGGTCGTCGATTGCTCATGGAGCTGGCTAGTTGCCGTTGCCAGTCATCAAGTTCGCTGGAAAGATGCTCAAACGCCAACGCATTCTCTGAACTTGACGTACTGGTTCGACGAACGGACACCCCTGACATTGGTCTTCCCTGGCCAAATGTCGGTTGATCCACCTCGAGAAGGAGACCAATTTTATGCGTCAGCTGCTCGTTGTCGCGTCTAAGTGTGACGTTCTCGTTGCTGAGTTTCTCGAGCAGTGTCTCCTGGTTACCGCCTCGTGCTATAACCAGGGAAGACTGTAATCTGTCGACTTCATGCTGAAGCTCTTCCATCTGGACAAGACGATCATCTGACTCTCGCCGAGATGACACCAAGTTTTCCCGTAACACCTCCAGCTCTCTCTCCATCGACTCCAGTCGCGTACGCAGATCCTTGTTCTCATTGTGCAACCGCTGCAACTGTCGCTGCGCTTCCACAAGTTGAGCACGCATCTGATCATTGCCCTCGTCTGAGGGCGTGCTTCGTCCATTTACACCGCGTAAACGAGGATCGATAGGTGACTTTCCGGATCGAATGGCATCAAACTCGGATTGAAGAGTTGTGTTCATGTTCTTCTGTTTGGTTAGCTCGTCCTTCATACGTCGCATCATTTTCTCAGTACCCCTAGAGAGATGTTAAGAAAGATTAAAGAAAACGACCAACAACGCACTTGACATAATGAACGGCAACTTGGTAGTCATCCTCCATCTGAGCCATACGCTCCTTGTAGCTCTTCTCAGTTTCCTCAAACCTACGTTCGGCTTGAATGAGACGAGCTTCAGCGGCAATATCGTCCCCTCGTGAAGGGGCCTGGGTTGAGCGCACATGGTCAAGCTGAGACGTGAGTTGACCAATACGGTTCTCAAGCTCTTTGGTTCGATGAAGAGCTTGAGATAATTCTTGCTCAGTCTCTTCGCGCAGAGCTTGCTGTTCGGCGAGTTTGTGGTCCAGATCTGCAGCAGTGGTCGACGAGGTGCCGTTAACCTTGGATCTGGAAGGAAGATCGTCTTCATCAACCTCGACGCCATTTTCTGCGAAATAGTTACGAAGCATTCCCAGCCGCACTTGTGCATCTGCAACTTCTTTGGATTTCCCGCGCAGGGTTTCCTCTCTGTCAGCGACATCTCTCCGAAGACGTGAAGATTCGGCGACAGTAGCAGAAAGCTTAGCGCGAAGACCTGAGATCTGTGAGCGTAGGAGGGAATGCTCAGATTCGAAGGCTGATGCCCGTCGGCGCTCGTCGGTTAGTTGCCGCTGTGCGTCTTCTGCAGCTTGGTTGGTCTCCCGTAACATATTGCGCAAAGACGCAGACTCGTTCTCTATAGCCATGATCTTCTCGGCATGTCCTCTCGCGAATCGATCCTCGTCAGATTTCATGTTTCGATGGGTGTCAAGTAGTTCGCCTAAGCTACCAGTCGTCAATGCCCTGTACGAATCGGCCTCTTGTCTGGACTGCGCCCACGAATTTTCGACATCTGTTAGGCGGGTGCGGGTTGCCTCGACTTCGGTATTACGAGTTTCGAGTTCGCCCCGAAGGTCCGCTACATCAGCCTCCAAGTTGTCGATCTTCTCGCGCGCATGTTTATACTGTACGTCCAGCTCATTTGCGCGTGAAGACGCAGCCTCAACTGCATCCCGGGCTTGCTCCAGCGCACGGACATGCTGCTCGCGCGAGTGCACAAGCTGTTCAACTTGTTCGCGAAGGGCATTTTCCTCTGCTCTGCTCTGCTCCAAAGCCGATGTTTGCGATAGTAACGTATCTGCACGATCTCGAGACTGCGTTTCCAATGTGGTGTAACGATTTTCGAGATCAAGGTGTCGCTGTTTAATGCGGTTATGGGCATCAAGCTCCTGTTCAGCGGTTTTCGTGGCATCGGCTGCCCGGGCTTCGGCTTGCTCACAAAGGGTTGTCTGTACTGCAAGCGAGTCGCTAAGCTCATTGATCTTTTGGTCCTGTATTCGTCGCTCATTGATCAGGGTAGACAAGTCACTCTCCAGCTCCGCAACCCTTCGCTTCTCTAGCTGCAGGACCTCCGACTCATTCGCGGACTCTAACGCAGCAAGCTTCGCGCGATAGTAAGCGGCTTCTTGCGATGCGCTAACTTTCACGCGCTCTGCGTCAGCGACGTGCTCTGAAGCCCGCTGTGCTTGTTCCATCAATGCCGTCTAAATACATAATCAATGAAAAGAATACTTCTAGTGGGCTGCTAACTGACCTGCATCTGCGCCTTGAATTGCTTGAACTGCAGTAGAAGCTCCGTATTCTGACTCTCAACGGTGTCCTCAAATTGACTTCCATCCTTGTCAGTGTAAACATAACCTGAACGAGATGCCTTGACAAGAGCCTCCTTCATCCAAATCATTTGCCGTCGTACTCCCTCAAGTTCGACTTCTTTGGCTTTGAGATCTCGAAGTAAATCTGCAGTCACATTACTGACCGAGCCTTGCCGAGAAGAAGACTGATGATGTGTAAATCCATTGACAGTGGGAGATCCGCCGGTAGGATAAAAACCATCGGGTGGAGGTTTAGACCTATCAATAATGGGTGATACGCGGCCACCCAATCCATTCATCGTCATTGATGCCATGTTTGGCGCTTGTCCGATATCTGTTCCGGTAGGTGAAACTGCCCGGCTCCCGACAGTATGTGGGCTCTTGGCTCGGTCTTGAAGCGGCTGCTCAGGAGATGTAGCCCGCGCGCGTGTCGACAGCGTTTCTTTCGTTGGCAGTTCGGTAAGATCGACGTGATCATCTTCCCGTCTTGGCCGCATCGGTGTTTTGGTAGCACCTGAAGGCGGAACGACACCATTCACTGGTTTGTTAGAGTCATTTGGCGACAATGCACGGCGGTCTTCGGCGTCACTCTGCAAAGGAGATACCGAACGAGAACCATTGAGAACATGACCTGAGGGAGAAGAGGAAAGTTTCGTAGGTTGACTTGCTTGAGGAGGGATGGAGGACTTTCGAGCAGGGTTCTGCGGAGGCGGGCTTTTACTGGCATCAGGATACTTGATATGCTCTAGTAGATGTCCTAATTAGATAAGATTACCTTGCCATGAGAAATAGACGCACTGGTATCCAAGACATGTATTAGACTCGGGTCATCCACTTTGGACAGCGAGGACGATTCGCCTCCAAGAACCAACACCTTTGGTCCTACAGCAGCCATAGCGTGACCTGATCGACCACTAGGCTGAGGGCCCATGTTTTGGAACATGTACCATCTTTGATCTGGATCAATGAACAGATTAATAAGTAAGATCCACTTGCTGGACGGGGAGACTGACTAGATATTTTGAAGGCAGCGAGGTCCGATAGATCTTTTCCGTCCACACCTCTACCTCCAAAGATGTAGATCACATCGTCGACGAGAGCGGCGGCATGACCCTCCCTTGGAGAAGGTATGTAGCCGATGCAAGTCAATTCCGACCACGACCTCGTGCTAAGATCGAATGTCCAAGTGTCATTGTAATGATACTGACCATCAGTTCCACCGAAACTAATGACATGCATCAGGTAGTGCACATGTTGCAGACTCGTACCACCTACATAAATATTCGATCACCGTATGTCATACAGATATGACCCGTACGCCGTGCTGGTCGTTCCGGTGTGGTAGGCTCCAAATAATCCCATACTGTTCCCGTTTTTACTGGGTAGGGCTTGACGTTCAAGGCTGCGCTGATAGAAGCAGTGAAAGAAAAGCTCACATGTACTGAGATCAAATGACCATATATCGTTCAAAAATTCTCCGTCAACCTGTCCACCAAAAACGATGAATCGCGTTCCAGCCATTGTAACTGCGTGGCCGTATCTGCCAACAGGTGCTGGTCCCTGCATTGTAAGAAGAGTCCATTTTCGGGAAACTAGATATCAATTGAGCAAGCGAGGTGTGAAACAGACCAGGAAATTCGATTTACCTAGATTAAACAAGTAAAGGCCATCGTCCTGTCTGTCGGGATACCGTGCTCTGGGATCCGTTTTCGTATCTCCTCCCCAAACAATCAGGACATTGCTGATAATAGCACTGGCATGCCCAACTCGAGGAGAAGGGATGTCTCCTTCGGTTTGAACCAAGGAAGCAACATAATCACGAGTGTTAAAGAAATAAAGGTCGTTCTTTGGCGTTTCACGAACAAGGCCGCCGAAGAGATACAGGTCTCCATTGCTGGTAGAAGTCGTGGGAAGGGCATGACCATATCGAGGGAAGGGTGATGGGGAGAGGGAGGTAGGCGGGGCAATACCTGGCTTGTTGAAGACGATAGGCGGGGCAAGTGCAAGGCGTTTGGCGGACCATGGGAAAGACGGTCGTGGTGGCTGTTGCTGTTGCTGTGGGGCGGGTTGCTGTTGCTGTTGCGATTGTGATTGTGATGGGGCGTGCAGAGCGCCTGAGCCCTGTTGCGAGCGTTGATGCTGGATTTGCGAGCCTGAGGAAGGACTGGGGAAATGATGAAATATTAAGCAATGGGTGCACAAGTCATGTTCTGGAATAAGTTATTCGGAACAGGTAAGGGAAACGACCACATACACATCATGGGGACCATCCAACCTCTTATTTCCTGCAGCCTGCTGGTGGTGGTGATGCTGTTGAGCAACACTGCTATCTTTGCTGGCAGGTACGACTGAAGACATCTGGGCCAGTGCTTGACTCGGCGTCTGCGCTACAGAGACAGTGGCCGGCGCCGGGGGAGGCGCATGCTTCTTCCTTGAGAAGAAGGACATTCTGCGGGTCCTGGTTCCTAGGAGGGACGGTATGGCGAAAAATTGGACGTGGTTACAGAATTAAGTGATGGTGGTGCGGCGTCCAAGGCGGCAGAGTGCAACAGACGAATTAGGCGTCAAAGAATGGCGATAATGGTGATAATGGTGGTAGAAAGGAAAGGGTGAGCAGGCCTGCCTGGAAAATGGGCAGGACCCAACAACTAATGGAGGGTAGAATAGCTCGACTTCAACTACCTCCGTCCGTGATGGCTGCAACAACCTACTTTGCCTTTGTTTGCCATCATCCTTGACGAAATCAATTTTCATTCAGGCACGCAAGTCTTGACTGCAGACATATCATCTAGTCCTAGAAGGTAATCCTCCGTAGTACTAGGTACTATCCACCATCTCTCATGACAACGAGCTTTCTCCTTCCCACGCTTCCCACAGCATCTGAGCATCGTAAATACTGCTTTGGGCCTCATCCTCTCCGAGGACATGTCCCAGTATCACTTCCAAGTCGTTACCCAAAAAATCATAACCGTAAAAAGACGGATTTAAGGCCCCAGGATCCAGCAGAGACATGTCACGCTCAAACTCTCCAGGCAGCCCGTCGGTAGCGTGTGGCGCACCGGAGTTTGATATCCGCGTTTCCTCCATTGCGTGATCTTCTGCTGTGAATACATCTGTCCCCAGCAGATCCAGGCGCATCCGGGTTTCCCTTGACGATCCTTTATCCTCAGCTTTCCTTTTCCTTTGAAATCTCCCATTGTCAGCTATTACTAGAGGTTGGGAGCTATCCCGCCATCAGTATTCCGGTCCGGGTTCCACAGAATAGCCAAAGACTTACTCGACCGTAAAAGTATGCTTGATCTGATCCCATTTTGCTTTCACTACGTTGAGAAGTTCCGCGACAATCTCCTTGCAGCGCTTTGCACCTGACCACACGTCCTGCATGCCTTTCAGCATACTGCAACACTTCTCCGCATCAACAAGAATAACGTTGACAAGCACAGAGTCGGTCACTTGGGTTACTACCCGTAACAGTATTACCCCGGAAATGCACACCTGTTGTACTGCGTATGCCAAATGGTGAGAAGTAGGGAGTGTCTAATGGATAATCAGCGATGAAATGAAAGATTTGCAAGTCACCTACACCCTTCACCATATCTCCAATTCTTATACAAGCGCCTGATATGATATTCAGAAGTTTTCAATGTCCTATTACATGAACTTACGTGCTGCGCTCACACACTTCGTCAACGAGGCTTCGCTAGTCGGATGGACCTCTTTCGGATAGGGAATGAACGGCCGATCTGTAGACCTCGGCGTCATAAACAGAGCACGGAAAAGCCGTGACACTTACGGAAATTAATGGTCGCAGAGTAATATACGAAGAAAGCAATCAAACACAGCGTGAGCATTTTAGGATTCCCTGCTTCGTTCGCAGCATACTTGACGTTTGGAGGCAGAGACTCAATCCAATCCTCTAACATGACATCTAGATGATGTATAACCTGAGGTATCTGGGCTTTTGTCCCGTCCATCTCTCGTAAGAGCTGCAAAGAGTGCGCAGAACGGACAATCTTTCCAGCGACAACGTATATCTTGAGCAGGCTATATCAAGCAATTAATGAAACAGTCATGTAAATAAAAAACGTGCTTACGCCACGAAACCGCACATGTATGACGTTTGCGATTCTTTGATTTGACCCCTGCAATATGCTTCGAGGTCATCATCGTCAACCTGGGAGGCTGTGACACTCCGATAAATTAGCGGAGCGAAGAAAATTAAACCGCTATAACTGACGATATTCGACATCGCAGTCGTCTTCGTTTGTTGCTCCGGGACGCCCAAGGGAAATAGAGAGCACCCTACATGAACATTGTTGTAGTCGTCGTTCCGAATTACATCTTTACGCACCTATCTAAACCGTATACACACCTATGAATGCTTATTGGGAGGCGAGTGTCCTGTAGAGCAATTTAAAACATACCACCAAATTCTCCTTCTCTGTTCTTTTGCAATTTCAGAAAATCGAAGTCGTTTTGGCGATCGCTGTCAGTACAAGCTATCAGATACTAGCACAGTTCATGCTTAGCCCAATCGTCAACTCACATGGAGGCCTAGATCTTGAGCTGCGCGGATTCTGAGGAGAGGTTTTGAGCAGCAGAAGCAAACGCAAGGACTGACTACAGGTGACTCACGCTTGTCCAGCAAGAAGCCAACTCTATGATAGGTCTGGTACCGATGAGTGACAGAGACGTGGATTGGCAGTAGAGCGAACTCACTATTCCAACCGGCGCATCATATAGCCAGTAACGCCAAACATTGGACGCTTGAAATTTAGAATCGATGAGCAGAGCCAAGCTTCCATAATCATTACACACTTCTCTAAGGAATTGAGCCGACTCCCCATCCAGAACAGAACCATACTCCGTTCATAAAACCTGATAGAACATGTTAACGGTCCCAAGTTATAGTGATAAGTCCAAACTAACTCGAGCCCTGCGTATTCAGACGGTACCGTCCATTTCCAGCCTTGTTCTGATGCCGGAGCTGGAGCTTTCTCAGCAGACAAGCTCTGTGCACAGGCAAAGACCGCGAACAAGGATGAAAGAAAGGCATGATCGCCTGATGGTTTTCCTGAGTGGGCCGCCCTCATAACGTCAGTATACCGGGAAATAGATCTAGGATATGAGAAATCGGTTCTTATATACATTGTTTTAGCCTGGTAGAACACAGACGTCTGTTTGTGTAAGATCGGAAAAGTATAGTGTATCTTATTGAAATAAGTCTCAACCTACCCATACATCAGTATCCTACTTATATTTATAGGCTTGTCACTCACCAACTTGTCTGCAATATCAGCTGGAGGAAATACTGTGTCTTCCGGAGGGGGTCTAAGTGATGGATAAGTAAATCCTAAGTGTACGATATACTACCTACTTACAGGACATCGAATCGTCGAAAATGCACATTTGGTCGAAAGAACGGTAGTTCCCTTGGGCTAGTGAATAGGGATGCATTACGTGGATGCAATAGGACTCACAAGTTTTCAGTGCTTTTACTCACGGTTTCGGATTGAAGAGAAACTGGTGAAGTATCGGGGGTCTGGGAAGCTCGCAATGACCGCAGCGCCTCTACTAAAACTAGGGACGACGCGCCGCCTATGAAGCTGGGAAATTTGAACATTTGTCGTTTATGAACATCAGCGCAGCTTGATAAAGTTAACATACCGCAGGTTACCCAATGAATCCCTTGTCAAGTGGGAAAATCGGTCCGTCAATGTATGTTCTTCTTGTTCCCCGCTTTCGAAAGCAGTCTCGGGCGAAGATATCGGCTCCGTCAGCGCGTCTGGTTCACTGGGTAATCTTGACTGTAGCATGTTTTTAATAGACACGGAGGGAACATAGGGTGAACAGTGCTGGATGTGCTGACGAGAAAGCATCGCTAGACGAGCTGGATACTGAAGGAGGTTCATTATCATCAGAGGATTTTGGTATGCTAGTCGTACTGGAACTGAACCAGTGTGCTTAGGGCGTTGCGTAGTGATGGTGTTCATTCTTGGACGTACATGATCATTTCCGGTATGTTCTCCTTGGCCCATTTTTCGAAAACGGTCGTCATCGGCATAACGATCTTCTCCAGCTGCGCTAGTCGGGTTTCAAAATTGTTTGTTATCCTGGGAAATATCAAGCTTGGCTTGAAATGAATCAAAAAATGTTCATACTGGCGACTTCCAGAAGCATAATCCGTTATTTCTTTGACTGTATGTGAAAGTGGCTGCCATGAGACCGAAAGCTCTCCGTTTAACAGAATGCATACATGTACAATCCTTCTTGTTCGTAGAACAAAAAGCACATGGATCCTAGGAACGAGTTGGCATAAATTCTGAAAGAATGCGTAGACACTTGCCTGGCCATCGCATTTGATCTGTTCGACTCGGGTCAGTAAATATTCCCCTCACGAGATCACGTCGACCGTACCTTGCGCTTTCGGCATATTTCACATGCACGCCATACTCTTGTTCTCAGCCTAGGGAACGATAGCTGAGCTGAGGCGGTACCACCTGCAGGGGTCAAAGCTTCTGAAGGTTGAATTGTACCAACGGTCGACGTTCTGTTGGGAGAGGAGTAAATAGTCGCGAATGTCCCTTCCCTCAGAAGATAACTCCGAGTACCATTTCAAATTCCGACCTGAGATAACATACGCTCACTTGGCACGGCCGAACAGAGGACGTGTACCAACGCAAGGTGCATCATGCTTTCCTGGCTCATGTTGATGGCACAGGTATTTACTCTTCGACAAAGTACTAAGTAATTGCGTCGCGTAAGCCTGATTATCTGACAGACCTGGGGCGAAGTTGATTTTTTACTGCTTTCAACCTCCATTCTACATCCAGGATTGCATCAGTATTCTTCATTGTCAAATGGCCCCCAAAACCCCTGGAAGCTATCCAGGACATCACCGATGTCGGCTTCCAACGCAGCTCTGAAAAAGGCCTCAAGGAACTCGGAATTGGAAGCGACTCACCGGCCTGTACAACGAGCTTTCTTGGGTTCTCGTCTCTTCTCTGATTCCTTTTCTCTTTTCCAAGAACTGCACTACCACCCAATATATTTGCCTTGAAACGCGGACATCGCGTTGATCCCGCCGTCGTCATTCGCAAAAGTCAAAACGGCTGTCGAATTCTCCCCGGACGTTACTCCATTTTCCTTTGTCATTCAATGCTGGTCCTTCTTATTCCCTCTCTACGCAGCTCCCTCATTGTCAACGTCCCACGCGGCCGTCACAATCGTTGGCCACTGACCACAATTCCTGTTTGTTCTGGAAGCCAGGTCGTAAATACCTCGCCTTCTTCGCTGCTACAGCGCTCAGAGAATTATATGCACCCCTAGCAAACGTCTCCCACATCAACCGGCGTTTCAGTTCCCTGCTCGCGTACCTCTATTTCAATGCCTTCTACTACTTCCACGACCGGATAACGCCCTTTCAAACGCTTTCGGCATGACGATGCCATCTTTGTATGATCAGAAGATCCTGAGGAAAAGAAGCAGCCTAGCGGCCCGTGCTCCTCTCGCCAATAAGATTACAACGGGGATGACATTTCGCAGCAATTATTGATTATGTTGCCTAGGCGTTTACGCGGCCACTGTCTGAAAACGAAGACATCTCCAGAGAAACAGAAATCTCCTAAGAGGTTCTGAACGAGAAAAGAGTCGACTTTCTGACAACCGTAACAAGTTCTTTTTTACCGTGGCATGACATCCATATGATCACTTCTCATTATTCCTAGATTTCTCCCGTTATCGTCATGCTTTCGTTGCACGGGCCATGTACACATACTTGATTTATGTTGAATATATGCGTAAGTTGCCCTTGCTTCCTCTATATGCCTGGATAACTTTGCAAGGTAAACCAAATTTGAATAATGTTTATCAGAATGTGGTACATGAATGTTGTACGTTCCAGAAATTCTGGTTTACGAAATGCTACTGCGGTCTACATATCCGAACGCACGTACATTGCCCGAAGGTCGGAATAGTCTGGTTGCTCATCCTTTCCATCCAACAAACCGTAATAGAACGTGGTGTCTTCCCGAGGGTATCAGTCTTGAGAAACCCATATAGAATATAGTCATCCTACCTCTGCCGTCATGTTCACGGATAGTAAACCCACCTCCGAGATACCCGAACCTGAATTCAACGTGAGATACCCTGATTGGTGAAGTCATTCTGACGTGGCGGCTCACCTGTTGTTGGCAGAATCATACTCATAGTCCCAGTCCTCGAAGCGAGGGTTGGTAAGCAGCTCAATAAACAGGACACGATTCCCGGGGAACATAATAGGGGAAGCTAGAAAGGGGAAAAAGTTCAGATAAGAGATGGGCAAGCTGCAGCGGACGACTTGCCACCCGGTCCGGGTTTAAACCAAGAGCTGCACTGGCCTGACCACGCCGTGCGCTTCAGATATAGCTCACGATGTTCGTTAAAGTCATCGACGGCCTTGCTGTTTATCGTCATGGTCGTGATGTTCTCCATTTGCATCTTCTTGAGAATTTTCATGAAGCAGCCGGTCACTGTAAATTACTCTTGAATACAGTGGCACGGACCGTGAGTTCGACTCACGCGCTTCGATCATGGGAGCCCCAGATCCATGACCGGTAGGGCCATGAGGTCCGTAGTACATCAGGTACTGTGTAAATCAAAATGTTGAGCAACCCGAAAAAGACATGAGCGCTACTTACGTTCGGAACATCTTTGATAGCAAGAGACATGTACACGTCGACGGGATACTGAGCCCAGCGATCTTGAACATTTCGACCTCTGGCGATCAGCGGGAAGCGGGGAATGAAGCTCGTATCAAATCCTCTGTGAAGATATTGAAAAGGTCAGCGTTGTTGACTGATATATGAAATGAACGACGCACGTAGCGCATACGATGATGTCGACCTCAACTTCGTTCCCGCCAGAGTCTATAAAACCATTCTCGGTTATCTTCTGGAACATTTTCGTGTCTACACAAACATTGGGTTGAAGGAGAGCTTCAAGGTAACCATTTCCGGGTGTAGGTCTCCGACATCCTACAATGAAGTTTTTGGGAACGATGGCATCGATCAAACGTTCATCACCTTGAAGGCGTCTACGCATGTCAGCGTCAGCATACTAAAATTGAAACAAAGGTTGGTTATAAACATGTAATAATGTAAGAAGAGCCTACCGTAAGTACGGCTTTCTGCTCGGGCGTGCCGATTACAATAAATTTGAATCGTTGATTGAGGTCCGACTATCAGCGGAAAGATTTTTGAGCACCAATGTCAACGTAATAAAACAAACCGTACTTCAATCATCTTCCTATATTTTAATGAATGAATTGGGTCCTCAGCGAAGCGTTTCTTCTGCTCTTCGGTGTCTGACATACTGACATTAGTAGGGAAATTTTTAAGAACCAAGATGCTTCTGACATTTGAAGTTCATACCACCAGGGCCTGCGTATTGCTGGGCAAAAGCGGGAGTGATCCACGTTGGTGAGCGAATCCAATGGTATACTTGCTTAGCGTCAGGTTGCATCGTAGCCAAAACCTGTATTCCAGAGCTTCCGGATCCAATGACAGCAATGCGCTTGCCTTTGTAGTCTAGGTCCTTGGGCCAACGTGCGGTGTGACAAAGAACTCCCTTGAAGTCATATAGACCTTCAATGTTAGGCCATTTCCAGGCATTTAGAACGCCTGCTTAAATCGTCAAGACCTTTGTTCGATGAGAAGCATCGACGCTTACCGCCAGCATTAATGAAAACATCACATTGATTTTCGAATTCTTTCGCGTCTGGACCCCGGATACGAAGTTTCCACTTCTTCGTGTCGTCGAGCCATTCAGCGCGTATGACTTCGTGGTTTAGGTTAATGTACTTTCCTAAGCTAAACCTGAATTTGTGCAAGTTAACTAAGTATAAGTCGAGGAGAGACAAAGACATGTACTTGTCTACAAGCCCTTTGTAGTACAATCGAATGTCTTCTGCTGTGCCGTAAAATTCTTTCCAATTGGGATTTGGACACCACGACATCTACACTTTCACCGTCCCCAATCAGCATAGTCAACAATACGAAACGAAGTCAATGACCTGGTAATTTACTGAAGGTATATCGCAACGACATCCGGGGTAACTTTGAGCATAAAATCAGGCCCGGATCTCTATAGGACAAGATTGAAGGTTGAAAACTTACCGATTCCAAAACCAAGTCCCACCGACATCTGAACCCATCTCATAGATTGTTAAGTCAATATTCTTGCCGCGCTCTTGGACATCATGAGCGATACAGATGCCAGATATGCCAGCGCCAATAGCGATAACTTTGATAGGTTTAATCTAGAAAGAATATGGTCACGTCCTTACTGAAGCATTACTAGGAGGCGCACATCACCGAAGAGTTGTTCAGGAATTCGATAACCCCTAGCGTTCACGGAGGGCCACGGCCGCTCAGGTTCGTTACTGGACATTCCAAAGAACACTGAAAGCAAAGCGGAGGGAAAGCTTGCATTTATTCCCTTATGAGCGAAATAGGTTGGTGGGCAGTCTGACCGTGAGAGTCGGGGGAGAGCCTTCCGATCGCTTATCGGTCCGCTTTCCGGACTTCGGAGCGAAACAACACATGACTGAAGGACTCGCCATTACTACGGGTAACCCTCTTCAAATTCTAGATTTACTGTACTCGGAGACATTACCTTGCTGAAAAGCAAGGTCAACCCACAGTCATAAAGTTTCCTTTTCCGTCGTCTGCCAAAAGCAATTAAGTACAAATAGGTGGCTGTGCTCAATCCAGCAGTCCTCTTCCTACTCTCGCATCTGCCAAAACCAAACAAATACAACGTAGCCGTGCAGCATGTCAAGACTCAGTACTCAGTACTCAGCCGTTTACCATCTCGACTCTATCGCACCTGCAGCACTAGCTTCAAAAAGTCGCCTCGCACATTGAATATTGAACGTTTGAACCTGAACATCTGGGGAATTGCTTAAGAATTGGATCGTGAGTGACTAATACCTTCTCCGTATTTCCCTTCGCTGATGCTCATGCGTCGCACTTTACAGTCTGTTCCACTTACGAGGACTAGTACTACTCGCTGTGCTGTCCTAGCACAATTAACACTGCATCTGTCCTTCTTGCCACCAACAAGAAGCACACTTTCTAACTTCGTCTCTGGACACTTGCAGAGGGAAAGTCTCCCTTTGGCATCCCATGCTCAATACACGAGAACATTGTACCCAACAAGATCATTATCACGTATATCAGCCCGCAAGACGAGGATCGGTACAAGCTTGTAAAAGGACCACAAGGTGATAGTCGAGGTACTAAAGGAGCTCGTCCAGGGGGAAAATACAGGAAAAGGCGAGGCAGAGTGGAAACTGAATGCTTTTCTGGCAGAGGGAATAGCCAAGGATGACCAGGACCGCGGAGCTAGGTGTGATCGCCTGGACCACCTATCTCGTAAGCCTATATGGGAATGAGCTCGCCCATCTACTGTTCATGGTCCTGATGAAGCTTTCAGCCGCCATCGATATATTATATTCAGGTTTGCGCATGATGCACGCAGTCCAATATGATACTGGTGAGTACATCTGTTAGTGCTCTACGCCATTGATCCTTATCCGTTCACTAGATTCTGCTATTCTCTCCTCCCACTTGCCACGTATCCACCACACTATGACAAATCGACATCAACCCCAACCCAACGACCCATCCCCACGACCCTCCTTCAGTCGGACATTCCCTTCCGATATTGCGTCATCCCCTACCACTCAACGACGTCTACCTGTTCCCGCTGCGCTGGTCTTTCAATGGCTAGTAACGTGCGTTGTTGGAAAGTAGAAGAGGACGTTGCCTCCTGTCTGGTGCGAGGAGGGAGTTAGTATGCCTGGAGACTGCGCGAAATATGACCCCACCCCATCCTGGTGTACAGGTGTCCGAGTTTTGGCTGGAGACAATGGATCGTCTTCCGGCAAGCAAGACATCTGCGCCTAGACGATGTATTCAAAACCGGTGAACACACTCACGGCGAAACTTCGCATAGGGTAGGGACGGCAGGTAGTCTTAGGAGGGACTGGTTTTACCTCGACGCCATGTATCGACGTCCGGCAAGCGAGAGCATGGCGTCGGGGTATTGTTGGGGATACAAGGAGTATAGGGCTAGGGTAAACTGGACATAGTACGCACGTCGCACGATGTCGACTGTCTTCGTTACTGATCGAGATCCTTTGCGTCTAGCTGTTATTGTACACCTCGCACCCCAGCCTCTCCCTGGACGACGACTTTTGCGCGGACATGACGTATCGACATCTGGCGAACGAGCGCACGGCGTCGTGACACCGGTCGGAATTTTGGAATAGATTATGGGTCTGAGTTCGGGGACTCTTATTAGAGATGGTTTGGCACTATGCAGTGTGGATTTTTCAATGTACAAATGATCTGCGAGGTATACGACTGGTATATCGGTGTTCAAAGAAGCAGACGTGCCACGCAAACACTTCGTAACATATTGGTATGACTTACGTAGATCAACCCGACGAGGAATCGTCGCTTTCAGTGTTTCCTTACATGTTTTGAGTCGGGAGCATTGCCAATGAAAAGGTCGACTCGAAAGAGACAGCAATAGGGTTCAAGGACAAGATTCAGCAAGGTCGTACTCGCCTCGGCACGCGGCAGGCACTTGTATACTTAAATAAGCAAGATGGACTTCAATTGTTTTGTACGTGTTTCTGCCGCCTTTCTCTTTTTCTGTCCCTTGTACCAATGTCCGGCACGTTGTCTATCGCCATCGTTGGAGCCGGCATCTGTGGTCTAACCTCAGCATATAACATCGCGAAGACAGCCAAACGTACAGGAAAGAACGCGGATATCATTTTGTATGACAGGAATCCAGCACCAGGTGGTACGTGGTCACCCTCAAGGTACGGACATCTTGTCATGATCATTTGTCAGTGCGCAGCTAAACACAGTATCTTTAGTGTTTATGACGGCCTCATCACCAACAATTCATGGAAACAAATGTTATTGGACGATGATGGACAAGCTGAGAAAATGTTCATGGACGATCCGTCTGTCGGGGCCGGACCTGGCGGTTTCCGTAAGTCTTTCACATTCACATTCTTACCCACCGGAAGCTGACCCGTAGCATCAGGCGCAACGGTATGTACCGTGGAGTGTATCTATCATAGAATTGATGTAGGTGTATATAGGGCCTTGGAATGGTCGAGGTCATGAAGCACGTAACGCGTCAGGTCAAGGAACTTGGTGCCGAGGTCCGATGTTCAACGACGGTTCTCTCAGTAACGCAATCAGGTGGCCCAGCCACCCCGTGGACGATTGTTAGTGCTCATACCGACTCTCCTCATAGCAAAGTCACCGAAGTTTTTGATAAACTGGTCGTCGCTACTGGTACATTTTCCACGCCTATTGTCCCCTCCTTCGCTACACCATTTGTCCTGCCCAACGACACTCCAATCAACGATCCTTTGGCACCCTTCGTTATCCACACTTCTCATCTCTCTGATCCAACGGTACAGACCGCCCTTTACTCTAGACCACGAGACATCATCGTCGTTGGAGCGTCTAAATCGGCTTTGGATACTGTCGAGAGGCTAGCGTTGGTAGGTTGTTATTTGCATATCAATTCACAATATCACAGTTCATTCTTTAAGCTCAGAACGGCTATCATGTCAAGCTTATCCTTCGAAATCCTCCTTATTTGGCCCCTCCAGCCGCTAAGGATATAAAGACTGGTTCCCCTGCTGATGCTGCTGGTGCGGTTGGTACAAGAGTAGGCGTGCCGAATAACAGTCAAAGCATCACACACTTATCGTTCCTTTGCTAGCTTGCGACATCCCAGATCCCGTATTTCAAGGATCCGGTGACCGGTCTGAGAAGTACTGGTGGTTTGGTGGCGTCGCTGTTCCGCACTATATTACACACCACCTGGATAGGTTCGTTCATTCACCGAAACCTTATTTCTGCCTCCAAGAACGTATTTTCGTCTTGGGGATGCTGGAACAGCCCTCTGACTTCCGACATGAGGCCTGTCGTTGATTTAATGTGGTCTGACTCGTAAGGTTGTCTCATCTCTTTGTTTTGAGTGTGTTCATCTGTCAATTCAGATCTACATTTCCGGGTCCGGCTTCACTTCCATCCCTCATTCAATCCGGACAAATTCAAGTTGTCAAAGGCACAGTCATTGATATGTCCAAGCCTAACTTGACTGAAGAGAAAGAAGATGGCTTCAAGCTTAGCATTCGTTCCTACGAGGATGACGAAACAGTCATCGAGCACGTTGGACAAGCCGTCATCTACGGAACTGGATGGAATACTGGAACTTACCCGTTCTTTTCTCCCTCGATGTTAGATGAACTTGGGCTCCCTGTGATGTATACAGATAAGTCTTCGCGCGAAGCGGGGTTTAAGGAGTTAGACGCCAAGTCTTTGAACGAGCTTTTGGCTGACCAGCGGACACTGGCGGACCCTCCACACATCTGGGATTCGCCAGCATACAGCGCGCGATGGGCTGGTCGGAATCCTAAACAAATTTCTCCCTTCCGCCTATACCGACTCATGGTGCCATTGACGCATCTCGAACAGCGCGACGTGATCTTCCCTGGCGTCCCTACATGTAAAGCCAATCACGTTCTTTTCCTTGTCCAAGGCCATTGGTGCGTAAAGCGCTTTACGCGTTGAATTACCTGACATCCGCTCAGGGTTGCGGATTATTTACTCGGCACGCTACCTAAGTCGCTGCCATCCCTGGAAATTGCCAAGAAGGAGGTTTCCATGCAGTCGGTGTGGTCGCGGAGGTTGTTTGGACCAGGTGAGTAACCGTACCTGTTCTAGACGATGTGTATCAACAAATAGATAGCTCACGGAAGACTGGGACAATGGCTTGGGGCCTTGTGGATAGAGTATTGCGGGAGACTTTGTCTTGGTAAGTTAAAAAAGCGCTCGTTACCAACGTCACGATGTCTGATCAGTTTACGAAGATATGGGTGTTCCCGCGGATGGTATGGGGCTGACAGGTGTTGTTGACAGCAGTACGTACCATCTGGAGGAGAAAAGGACCAAGAGGGACCAGGCGAGAGGATACCGAAGCATCTAATAAACTGCCTCTCACTCGGGCTCGACTTACAGTTAATTCTTAGGCGTGGCACAATGATGTATGGTTCTCTTATATAATAGAGCGGCCGGCTTACCTCTACCATTATAGGCTGACGCAGTACATACTACCAAGCGGCAAACTTAAAAGACATGGTAATGTGTTCTTCACTTTCCGAAGAACATCCATTGAACTCTTAGTCCGAATCTACAAGATCAAACATACGCTTGGCATATAACCTGGCGGGATCGACGTAAGAACTTGCAAGAACCCAAGCACATTGAATTTGCTCTTCTTCCACGAGGCAAATCCGGAGGAACCCAAGCATCTTGAAAAAGACTTGGCATCCGGTTATTAGACTTCTGCAACTACCCGCGTCATCCCTGTCCGTTTACTGGGCGCTCTTGTGGGTTCTTGGCATCCGATGTCTCGATCAGGGTATTTATGGTATGTATGGCAATCGCCTTCCGTGGGGCCTGTGGACCTACTTTTGCCACGGCCGTTATGCTGAGCCTGATGTACTCGAGTCTGTAGGCTGTTCTCGTCGGCTGCCACGTTGTAGCTCAAGCCCAAGTTTTATCTTTGACGTTCACCCGTGGCTGGCTTGGCTGCAAGCATTCCTTCTGAGTCCGCAGAGGTTTCAAACGAAGCGTCAGTTTCTCGTTCTTTTTTGGTAACAACTGCGCGCTTTATCTGTCCCTTAGGGCTATGTCCTCCGTTGTTTCAACTTGCGCACATAAGACGCACTTATGTCCGGCTTTCAAGAGTGGCGGTCTGTAACTGTTCCGCCGGAGACCTACCGCAGTCTTTTGGCATTCATTTTTTAAAGGCTACCCGACGGAACAACTGCTCTCTTCACTGAATCCCTTAATGTGTTCTCCAAGACACGCACCCTTAGTGCTATTATCAGGTGCTTTTGCGAAGGCATAAGTATCCTTAGACCATTCTAGTTCTACCTTACAAATGATATGGCATCTATCGCGGGACCGACTTGAAGCGTCACTATCCTAGGCTGCCACGTTCGTCAAGAAGCTGCTCTTCCTCTTTCCCGTCTGTTGTTTGGCTTTCTTATGACTGGCAGAATTAAGGATAATATAACCGATGTATCTCACGTCCTGTCGGGCCTCGAAAACTGATGAGATACTTCTGCTCCTATGGTCATCTCTGCCTCTTTTTGTTTAACCTCTGATTTAACCATATCTATGGTGCACTCAAATTCACACTGTGCGTGTACATTCTCCGGAGGGAAAATCTTCGTGAACACCTTCACTTCATCGTATCTATGGCCCGGCCGACTTGCGGACCATTATTGATTTGTCTATATATTATGATACAACTATACGCTCGAACGATCTTGCTTTCACAGTCTTTACAAATATATTCTATGCGACTCATCTTGGGACCGCGGTCTCCCACTAGCATTCCTTCCATAAATCTTTCAAGCCCTGGAATTCTCTGACTACCTAAACATCATGATTCCTCTGCCCTGATTCCTGGGTGCACCCCATAATTTCTCGGCCTTCAGGCGTTCGTGTGTTAGTTCTCAGGCATCTTTTCAGTTAAGCTTACGCGATTGATTTTTAGTCGGTGGTCCGCTTTCTTCGTGTATTGCATCTTTACCTCATTCAGGAATATCGAGTTAATCTTTGCTTCGTTTGTCGCTGTGTCAGCCTGTATCTCTTGAATCATGTATTGGCTATTGGCTTGTGCTTTGAATATCCGCTCTTCCGTAGATGCCCTATCCTGTCTCACGCTGTTGCTTCTCTTCACCATCTTTGTCTCGGTACTCCGTCTGGATTTGTTAAATAAGGGCAAGGTCATTATACCTCAAATCGGCAATTTTTGGTATGGACGTGCAGTTTTGCCTACGGCGATCGTCATTTGCATCTATCTATTGGTTAGTGTCGAAGAGGCCTCTATGTTTCTCTCACGTTCCTTACTTGGAGTAGGTCGTGAAACATTCAGACCGTCGAGACCTTTATACTTGTTCCTTGACCTGGCAGATGCCGCAACGGTGAAGTCCTACGAGCACAAGTGACTATGCAATCCATTCTCACATCTCGGTGTATTCAATTACGATATCCGCCGAATCAGTTCATGTTTCGACATTGACGGACTTTAGCCTGAGTGGTTGGCCAGTGCTTCGCACACCCTCGGCGAATCCCCGTCTGTAACGAACAATAGTCTCGAATCGACTGGTCCCAAGAGCTTGGAAATCCAGGCTCATGTCATTGCGGATGTTCTTCAGACATGCCCTGGGTTGCAACTCTCACGGCGGCTCTCAAACATACAGCTCTTGACCGTAGCGACGGGCCGGGCCCCCAGAATCAATGATTTCGAAGCAGAACGAATGTAATACCCGTTGATGTGCCTTGCCGGCGATGGATTCTGTCATTAACATTTCTGCAACGGAATGTTTCTGGGAGGAGCTGAGTAAGTGAGCGCGCGCTACGGACTTCGATATTCCATCTCAAAGGCCGCTCTTACCCACGCGTTTTTCACGGCCTAATCTTTCGGGCCGTGGTATCTCGGTGAGCCAATAGCGATAGATCCCCGGGCGTGTACAGCTGCTCTGGACTAATCCGACGTGTCCTGTTTGTAGTCCATATGCACTTTGGTACTTCTATCATGAAATTGCACCCGTTCGCAATTCGAAAGCAGCTGTAGTATTCGAGAATACACATCCTGATTCTTTATCCGACAGTCGCAAGATCCTTGTAAATAAACCGGTGTAAGTTCTCATTAAATATGGTAAAAACAAGTGTCCTTCAAGTACTGCGGGTAGTGATGTCCTCGGTCTCTGCCCGAAACATTTGTTCAGTCCCATGGGCGGAATGCATCCAAATGCATCCACCTTCTATCACCACTGAGCAAATACGATATGTCATCAGTCATGGAATCTCGTGCAACGTAAGGGAAGTGGGGGCGAGAAATCAATTCCGGGATAGTTAAGTACCTTGACCACATTGTCTTTTGAACCGGGTTATTATAGCCTGGAATGGGTAGGCATCCTCGACTTTTTTAGTGTGGGGAGGGATACCTATTATAAGTAAAGGCTCAGTTCGAAGACTTGATGAACAAATGAGATGGCTGTTTACAATAGATCTCAACGGCAGTAGAGCACTACTAGCCTGCAACAGAAAGATCGGTCTATAACCCTTCATGGCCAGTTAAACGATCACACCCCCTCCACTAAAAAATGAGGGCCAGCCTGTGCCTTGGATTAAGCCCCGAGAAATCAGAGTATTTCTCCGTCGTGGGATGCAATCGGAACCGATTGCCAAGAAGCAGGCATGGGGCTATTTTTATACCGCGTCGCGGCGTAGCATCCTAAAGCGTCACGTGGCGTGAGATCATTCAAAGTTCACCTCTTGGCACTTTACGCCTACGACCTCCTTTGAGAATGTCCCGTTATCCGACTACGCTGGACCCTGCGACGACACCGACCAAGGCGCAGAAGAATAGAGCAAGGAGAGAACCTTCAGGTGTATTCTCCCTGTTCCAGGCCCCCCAAATCCAACAGTTCAAGGAGGCATTTCAGTTGATTGATCACGACAAAGACGGATGGGTTGGCGAGAGCGATTTGAAGGAGATTTTTGGGAGTCTGGGTGTGTCATGGATTAGCTGCATCAGAAATGTTACTGAGATATACTACAGGAATCCAACCGTCACCAGAGATGATGCAAGAGCTGCTACTGGCCCGACCAGGAGAGACGATCGTTGGCGAACGCGGGGTGAACTTTACGATGTTCTTGACAATGATGAGTGAACGGCTGTTTGAGTTTGATCCGGAGCAGGAGCTGGTAGAGGCGTTCGAATGTTTTGATGAGAATGACAGCGGCTTGGTTAAGGTTGAAGAGATGAGGAAGTGGCTGGGCGAGCTGGGAGACAGGATGGATGACCGCGAGGTGTGTCACTTCATGTTATTGGGTGCTGAAAATATTGACTGTTACAGATTGACCGGCTGCTTAAAGGGCCATTTACGGATCGACAGGGTAACTTTAATTATCGTGAATGGGTCAAAGTGCTCCGGATAAATGGCGAGGAGGAGGAGAACAAGATATGATACTATGAGAAAGCTAACTCTTGCGTTAGTTTACGGACTTGTAAGACCCTCCTCTTCCGTGCCAAGCTACGGTGTTGAACACAGCAACTATTACGATCATGTGATGCCATTACTTACAGTATTGAGAACCAGATCAACAAAGACCTAAGATATACGGTAAGACCTAGACCGCCAAGGTTTCGCCTCCACTGCCTTTCGAAGGCGAAACCTGCCGAACTAGAACAATCGCGTTACCCTCAATCAAATTCGTAGAAAATACATCAGGTTTGTGGCTGATGAATTCGGGTACACTTGCAGTATTGCGACGTCATCTCGAATATTCGGTTCGAATTGCGAGTGCTGGGCTAATTGCCGTGGTTCTGAAGAAGGGATTGTGGGAGAGGATAATTCATTCAAACGCCTGCTTTGATTGACGTAAGTGTATAAGCTCGACGACCGGAACCTCGATTGCCGGCCGCGGGTGGCTCTACATCACGGTCATGGTTTTGAGGCGTTCGAAGTCGCTGCCAAAATCATGCGAATGGCGTTGAACCATAAGCAGGGGTAGGCGGAACTTGGTTGTATTCACTGTATCTACCGAGGTAACGGTTGGAATACTCTTCTCTGCTGGAAGACTATTACACTGAGTGAAGGGGATCTTCCGAAGAGGATGGACGGTTGATTTGTAGACAGATTAGCATAATCCGATATTGAAAACCAAGTCAGACTTGGCAAGGGGCCAAGCCAATCGGAGATAGATACCATTTTAAGAATGACTGTTTTGGAAAGGGCTTGGCCGGCCAAGAGTTCTTGGTTATTGATCGACTTGGCGGTGTGGAATCCCTGCCAAGCATAACTCCGGGCAAGCTTGGCGTCCACGCTATAAGTATGTCAAAAATGGCCCACCCTGACAATTCTTCTATTTGGCCCCAGTCCGTCCAGTTCGACAGCCGTCTCCTCGTCCCCCTTGACGTTCTCCAGCAGCAGGCCTATCTTCACATGTCACCCCTTCCCCCGTCCCCCATGTCATCTACTTCCCCTCCCCCAGCAGAATCGGATCCTGCACCGACTCACCGGTGTCTCTGGCAGGACTGTACCCAGTCCTTTGGTGATCCTGAGCAGCTCTACAATCATCTTTGCAACGAACACATTGGCCGCAAGAGTACTAATAACCTCTGTCTTACTTGCAAGTGGAAGGACTGCGGGACGTCCTGTGCCAAGCGAGACCATATTACCAGCCATCTCCGAGGTATGTTTAGAGCTCTTTAGTGACTTTGTCTGATCATTATTCGGCAGTGCATACCCCACTGAAGCCCCATTCCTGCGAGGTATGCTGCCCACTTGCTTACTCATGTGCCTACTTCTCACAGCCTGCAGATATGTCAGAAATCATTCAAGCGACCTCAGGATCTCAAGAAACACGAAAAGATTCATACAGAGGAGCACCATGTGCAGCACAAACATTCAAAGGCCATCACCGTTGTTGACCCCGTCTACGTCAGCAGAGTCCGTGGCGGTGAAGACCCGAAAAAGCAGTTGAGAGTGCCCAGTGCTCGCTCGACCTCCCACTCTTCGTCAGCCTCTGAAGGTGGGTAGTCTATTGCAGCACCCACTCTACCTTTACTGATTATGCTGTGTCTAGTCTCTCACTTTGGCCTTCTCCCTACTCCATCTCCAGAATTGCCTCATCAGGCTGCCCACCATGTCTCGCCCTCAGACGACATCCATATGCTGCATAACCAGCTGCCGTCATGGGAGGTCCTGCGTACGGAGGACCCGCCGGTTTCAGCAGGCTCGAAGCGCTCGCATGACTACAATGTCGATGACTTCTTCACCGACATGAAAAAGAGGCGCGTAAATCCGTCGTATGACCCCCGCATGGCTGAGCGCCTCAACAACCTCAGCTTCGCCGGACACAACTTTAATCCACGTTCAGTGTCTGTCGAGATCCGCTCTCCCGAGGAGCTCGCAGCAGTCAACGAATTTTTGGTCACTCTCGGCAGGAATGTTGCCGGCCGCCCCCAGCAGCCATCCCCGCCTTCTACTACCGCTGCCGCCTTCCCGCCCGACTATTTTGATCCAGTCTCGCTTTCCCAGCTCGGACTTGCCGGAATGCCGGGAATGCCGCCTTCTCATACGCACTATTCCCCAGAACCCGCACCATATCCGACTAATTCCCCGCCTCAACAATACGCCAACTACTCTACCCAGCGGTATCCATCGCTTGCCGAGTACCCGCCCTCTACTGATTATCATCGACGCACCCCATCTGTCTCCTCTGCGCGTTACATATCCGGCGGGCCTTACCACCCATCTCCGCCTTCAGAGCACAGCACCACGCCGCCTCTTGACTTTGATTACATCCGTGCTTCTCGCGGCCCTCCGCCGGCAGCAACGATCTCTCCCGTAGAGTACATGAACAAGGCTATGCGGCCTATGGTACCGCTTAAATCGGTGCCAACAGCGTCCAAACCAACCCCTGTTGAGCCCAAGCTCATGCGGGACATGCATCGTGGACCTCCCGCTAAGCTCACTTCATCTTCATCCTCTTCTTCCACTGCTTCTTCCACGCCGTCTTCCCCGGAGAGAAAGAAGAGCTCTTTGTACCCTCTCCTTACTTCGGGTGATGCTCAATATAAACTAGCTCCACTCGCGTCGTCGTCATCGGAAAAGACGCTTCCTGGAATCCGAAGCATAAGCGACGACCTCTCCCGGATTGAACTTGGCGCAAAGCGCGAGATCACGTCCGAAGAGAGGCGGCATCATGCCGAACTAATTAAGGATCTGCTGGTTAGCATTAACTTTGATTATAAGCGTCGCTACGGCACACCGAAAACGGCCAAGAAGGACCGAATTGTGGAACGCGATGTTGAGATGGTTGCTGTTTAATGCGGGACGTGGAGCAGAAGGACTCTTCTTATTTACTTTGCTTCGATCTGTTTATTGTATTGTGCAAATAACTTTTGGAGTGTACATTACAATTCTATGTATAAATTATCATGGAAGGTCAATTCATATATTATTCATTGACACCTTTAAAATTTGACGTTGGGCTCACGTATATCTCACTACAGAAGGGAGTACAATAAAAATACAGCATGATATAAAAAACTGTCCGCTATGCATACTGTAAGAATCTCAGCTTCTGTTCTTTAGAGTTAACTTGATTTTCGGCTTTGATGCTGCAGGCTCCTCTACGTCTTGTGCAGACGTGCTGGTAGCCAAAGGTGATGGCGCAAAAGGCGTATTGAACCCGAGATTGGGAGTGTTGGTCGTGGGCGGTGGAGGGCTTCCCGCAGGTCCCGCCACTACAGGCGCCGCACCGCTATTAAACTCTGCCCACCTGGGACATTTCCTATTTGTTTCTAGAAAGAGCCGGTCAGCATCAGCGATCATCCAAAAATATAAAACCCCCACTCATATGCCCCATCTGTCCACAATGTCCGCATCTCCTCGTCGTATCAGGTTTCAAAGGCCTATTCAGAGTCATTGGCGTCCCACCCTCTTTCACTATCTTCGCGTTCTTTCTATGCAAGCGCCTCTCCTGGTTCTTCTTCATCCTGGCAATTTCCTCTTCGAGCCTCTTCTTCGCCCGTTTATCCTTATCTGCATCTCCTGTGGGAGCCAGGCTGTCGGCCATTGTGGCCTCCTCCTCCAAGAGCTGCTTCCCTCGCACGTAAGCACGTATAACGCCCGGGTCTCGAATAATCTCAGTTTGCCATTCCCCATCCATCAACCGCTTGATCCTCAGTACTCGCCGGCCGCCGTCGGGTCCCACACTCATGTCGCGCTCGACGGATGAGGTCCGACTAGGACCAGGTGCAGGCGAGCCAGGTGCCGCGGTAGTCGCAAATCCAGATCCGTAGGAATTGTGCGCCTTTTTGGCTTGAGCCTCCTTTTCGTTTTCCTTGTATCTTCTCTTATCCTCCTCCGTCAACACCGGCTCGTCCTTCCGACTCAGGGAATCGAATTGAGCCTTCCATATCCGTTCAATCTCAGAACGATATATTTGTTGCTGCTCGGCGACGTTATAACGGTGGGCAGATTTTGGCCGGTTCTCAGCCTCGGCTGCAATGACAATTGAGTCGTGGAAGTGTAAAGAGACAAAGGAGACAAACCCATTTTCTGCTCGTAATCTTCCCCCGCTTTAACGAATATTTCCTTCATCGATATCCGGATAAAGCTAAAAGCCTCTCCTCTTCCAGATGGATCACCCTCACCATGCAACCTCAACATTGCCTTCGCCTGGGTTGCAAACAAGAAATTCTTTGTTGTGATCCATGGCGCCAACTGCTGCTCGACCGAAAGATTCGATTCATCACCATCAGCTGCGTCCGCAGTCTGACTATAACCGGAGTCTTGCAAGTGCCGTTGGCCAACCTGCATACTCTCCGTAAGTACAACCTGCTCCGGTCCGACCATCTTCAGCATCTCAGCATCACTTGGAATGGACAAATTGGGTTTGAGCCTCCAAAATCCCTGATGAGGTCCCCTACGATGATATTCCATAAATTCTTTCAACCTTTGTCGCATCTGCAGCTCGTTCTGATCTGGAAAGTATTTCATCAGCCTTGATATCTTCAGTCGTTCCTCTTGACTTTTTCGGAGGAGTTTGAATGCAATGATCTGCAGTCTGTACTTGATCGTGTTTGTGATTTTGCGTGAATGAGGTCCAGGAACTTCGGTGACCGGATACGTCTGCCCAACGACGAAGAGATTTTTGATCTCCCGGATGAAATACTTTGTATCACCTTTGACGGTATGGTGGATTACGAGGAAATCGGTAGGGTAAGGTTTATGTCGGAAAAGAGGTGCCCGGATTAGGTTGTTGTACAATGCAGGCATTGTTTGTCCTGGATAGACGTAACCGAATTTCATGAACGGAGAATCATCTTGAGGTTCAAGAACGAAGGGAACACCCAAGTCATACTTGGGTATATGTTCATCCTTCTCATCCTTCTTCCTGTAATAATTCACCAGCGCACTACCCATGCCAAAGTTAGATATTATAGGGGGGTGCTCTTCCTGCGTCTCGTGAGTGAGAACAATCCATATGACAAATCAAAACGACCTACTGAATATTCCCAGAGAACAAAGTTGCTGGTGTCTCGAAGACTGAGATCACTGGTATTATGCAGACCCTCTCCAACATTTCCACCTTTTCCGAGCCGCCGACCAGCTTTATCTTTCTTTTTCTTAGCCGTACGAACCTTGCTAAACCGTAATTCGATATTCGAAGGAAACTGCAACGCTGGACGATGGAAAGAACGAGCTTCTTGTTTGGACAGCCGGGTCTTGTACTTCAGAGGAAGTCAGATCAAAAATCCTCGTTGAATACGAACAAATAAAGACGCACAAATGGCAACTGCAGTTTCTGTGCAGGATAGGCATGCTCCACAGACAATTGACCAAAGGTTTGGCGGACACGATGGCGCCCGTCCTTGGAAATTTCGTAAAAGTGGTCGTTTGAGAGATTGAACTTGTCACGAATGCCTGCGTCTGTTCTGAGCCTCTTCCGGGGCCTCGCCATTTCAGCTACAAAACATTGGTTGAGTGTCACACTTGGAAAGACAGACGACGAACCTGTTCTATCTTCGGGAATAACGTCATCTTCGTGATTGAATTCTAGTTGGGTGAAATCACGGAATGGCGCGCGAGGACTCCATATAATACTTTGCGTCCATGCACCAGATTCCAACGCTTTGTTTACTGGTGTCGTAAGGTTATTTTCTGGTAGGCCATTACTGCGTGAGAACGTCTTTTCCGGCTCGTATATGATCTGGTCCTCCCAATTCGACAACAGGACGAGGTCGAAACTTCGATCATGAAGGGGTAGTGATATAGGAACGTTCGTTTTGTCACGTTCCTGAGGTAGGATGGGTATGTAAAGTGATGAGAACAGTTTATAAACACACCTCAAGTGCCTTGCGAAGGTCGACTTCGACACTCCCAGCAGAAACAACAGCCTCGACACGCTTATTCTCGACTTGCCGCTTCGTGTCGCCTACAACTGCCTCAAGGAATGCTTTGGGTACCTCCTTCCTCCGGGGATACACAGTTTCGACTGAAAGGATCCTCAGCGTCTTCTTACAGACATAGGGTAAGGGAACTCACTGTGGAAAGGTCTCTTGGCGAGCCTCGACTTGTTTACCTGTGTACCCTTTGAATAGCTCACTGAAATCGAGTATTTTGTCCTTCTGGAAAGCCGGAAATCGCTCGTACACACTCTTGGGTCTTTCCACGAGTCGCTTCACTATTCGCACCCGCTTCTGTTTCTGCTTTATGGCATCTGGAGAATGAAGCTCTGTCTTGACCGCTGGAGTTTCCATGTCTTCATCCTGCATCTCTTGGTCAATTTGGGACTCCCAATCTTCACCCTGATCATTCCCAATGGCCTCGTCATCCTCATCATAGTTCTCGTTGTAGATCTGACCGGAGTTCAAGCTTGGCAAACCGGAAATTCCAAGTTGGTTTGAGAGACCCGAACCGCTAGGTAGGGACATGCCATCGAGAAGATGGTTGAGAGAGAATCCGGTGAGCGCAGATATGGCATCGCTTTCGTCCTTGTTATCTGCCATGATGATGAAAGCTCCGACGGCTACTGCCCTGTGGATGTTCGTTAGCAAGGTGGTCACTAAGTGCGCACTAATTAAAGCTCTTAGAAAACATAAGCAAATATCCAAGTAAGGAAGCTACTACGTCAAAGCTTAAGACGGTTAAGACGCGTCGCGACTGTCACCTACCATCATCTTCCGAACAGCATGAATAAACATCTTACCACAGAAATAGAGGCGAGTCGAATTTCAGGAAACTTAATTACCTGAAACATTTATGCCGGCATGCTCAGAAATTCCGCACGGACCTAGCAAGCTCAGCAGAGGATATCGCCTTTCGAATATTCCCTTCCAAGGTATTGCTTTTGCACACTCGTCCAATATCGTTATGCAGCCAATTGACATGTCAAGACAGATATTGTAAATTGTAGATATATCGTCTTTCTAGCGCTAAATCGAGAGCAGGGAGCTGCAAGAGATGATCCAGTCGTTCGATTCGTCTTCTTCGCCTTTCCACCCGTCTCACGCCTTCGACGACAATCCGATGCAACAGTATACCCTCCTCCTGACAGCCATCCTCTCTGAAGAACCTCCAAACAAAAAGCGTCGACTATCTGGTCCAACTGATAACAATGCCTACAGTAATGCTCGCTCCACCAACACCGTTGTAGCGAACAGGCATATATCCGGTCTACATGCGATCATCAAACGGGAGTGCGAGCAATTATCGTCCACGGTCGTATGTCGCCTATCTTCGTCCATCATGCGCTTGCTAATTTGACGCGTCAGGATCAAGTGAAAATGTGGATAACTCTGACGATGCCAAAGTTCGTGACGTCTTGGTCCTTTCACTTTTGTCTTATTTCTGACATTTCATATACAGGATCGAAGAGTACGTGCTCTGTACCCATTTTCGCCTTCGGATAAACCATAGTTCCATTCTTCTAGCGGTGATAATTTTGGTTGGCGCTCATTTTGCGAATTCTACGGCGTATGCTCACCAGGTTACCAGGGGTTCAAATCCAAGAAGGTTGTCTTGGCATCTAATGGTTACATCTTTTTTAACATTGCTGGTTCAGAGGTCCTTTCCGAACTGCATCGTGCACAAGAAAGTGCATATAACCTACGTGACAGTGCTCGTCAAGATTACATCACCAGGACAAAGCTATGCTCTAAGCTGATCAAGTATCCCAACGTAGAAGACTACACGGTATGGCGAGTCCCTTATGTATTCTTTAGAAACTCAATAATTGCCCCAGTTGGCTTTGAAAGAACATGATGAAAAGCAGATTTATTTTTCCCGTCAGCACATTATAGATATCCGCAACATGTATGCGTCACTGATGGACCTCATACAAAAGAACATTACCAAGGTCTGCGGTTCATTGATACCTGTGAGTTCAATTACTTGACCAGACTTGTAGATTCGCGCCCCAAAGACAAACAACAGTCGTGCACTCTATTAGAATGTTTCCTATGCCGCTCTAATCTAACTACCAGTTCGAAACCCACTAAACAGAGATAGTCTTGTACACATCAAAGCCATCGGCGCCCGTACCGATGACGCTCCCAGGTATCTGAGGATGCCAGTGAGCTTCTTTTACGTTTTGCTGATGGTGAGAGAACAGCAGTTGGGGCGGTACATTCTGCTCGCCGGAAGAATCGGCTGCTCCCATTTCATCATCGTCTTGCTCGACCGCAAGGTCCCAAAGGGTGACTTGATCATCGGCAGATGATGCTAGGAACATAGAATCCTCCGTTGGATGCCATTCGATAGACGTTATAGGTGCCTTGTGCCAATTAAAAGAAGCAATAGGCGCAGAAACTGGGCCATTTGTGCTACAATCTGAAATCAGGCCTAATGCAGAAAATGAGACGTAGGTACTCGCCTTTTTTTCTTCATGTTACGGAAATCCCAGACTTTTATTCCACCTTCATCTCCGCCGCTGAGAAGAAGATAAGTTGTTGATTTATTCCAGCTGATCACATTCACGTCGCCGTCATGGGCCTCATCGATACTAGCAACACTTTTACGTCCTTTGCTTCGTACATCCCAGACCTGTATCGTTTTGTCGGCTGAGCATGATGCAAACACCGTTGGCTCTGAAGGGCTCCATTGGATATCTTCGACACTCGATGTGTGAGATGTAAAAGGCTGTGAAAGGGCGTTAAAACCAGAAGGCGCAGATGTTGTCAGGTAAATTTTGGAGTGAATGTCGCCGGTTAACAAGCGCAACGAGGAAGGGCCTGAAGCAGCCCAGTCCATTGCAAACCCTTCTGCTCTACCATGGGAATTTACAGTAAAAACGGGCGACTGCGTTCGATCTTTATTCCCTGCATACCCGGGTACATCGAGTGATTCGATGAGCGGTCGAACATCCCATATGTGCACCTTACCCGTCTCTGCCCACGTTGCAACGTGATAGGGCTGAGAAACGGGAGGTAGAGGAGTGGAGGGGGGAAGTGGTTGTGCTCGTATCCGGTTAACACCGCCGACATGAGGGACAGATCGATATTCAAGCACTGGATCTTCATCAAGTCTGTCGTCGTCTTCGTCGTCGTCATCCTCTGAGTCCGAGTCGCCTGGGTACAAGTCAGATGGCATACTATGGCAACATAGCATCTGACCAACCGTTTTTCTGTGTTTTGTGTAACGAACTCAATTTGCAAACTCGAAGTTCGTTTTTTTTCATTGTTTCTCCTTGAGCTCCAGTCACAAAGTAAGCTGTGGTCGGAAAGCTTTGCCTCTCGTCGCCAAGGCTGTCCCGTAGAATGTCAAAAGACAGACTGGGATAATCAACGCCCATGGAATGTCGCATAAGATACACGGAATCATCAGCTTCCAATATTTCGTCTTCGCCCAGAGTATGGTATCCAGGAATAAAAACTTGGTCGGGCGGAGATTGCTCTTCAGAGTCTTCGACTGCAGGAACTGACTTCATCGTCGATTTCCATCGCTGCTTCATTCATAAACAAAAGTAGCTCAGCATGAAAAATGATATTATTCACCATTTTCATCGTCATTTTGCTCCTCATCGACCACTTCTTCGTCGCTTTCAATCTCATCCTCCCAAGCATCTTCAAATTCGCCCATCTCTTCGTTGGGTGCCGTTCCGCGCTTCATTCGACTTCCGGAGGCTTTTGCAAACTGGTTGTCCATTGTCCTCGGCACTGGGGATCACTTCGGTAGCGGAACGTTTTGACATTGGGGACAGGCGCAGGGAATAATGAGATGCGGTTAGGTTGAGGCACTTGAAATTTAGATTACACGTGACACAAAACACCGTAAGGAAAGGATTCGCAGTGCCGTCTCAGGTCGGGTCCCTACAACTCTCCCTCTTCCCTTCACCGTGTCGTTACTGCAAGCTGGACGTCCATCGTGGTCGTCAACCTCGATCATGCCGAAGGACTCCTCCAGACGGCCTCTTCCCGCCTCCTCCGTCGACTTCGCCTTGCCCCCATCGAATGTGGCATCGACGTCGTCCCACACCCTGGATGAAGCGGTATTAATGCAAAGAATACGACGCCCAAGTATACTAGCTCCAAAAGCCAACTTTCTATCTGAAGCTCGTCTGTCGAGCCCGTTAGCTGCATCCTTCACGCTGCATTCCTCGTCGAGGCGCAGGGATACCCACCGCGACTCACCGTCCGACATGTCTGATAGCAGTAATGGAGCAATGCGTACCGATAGCTCATCCTCTGCTAGCTCTGGAGATACCACTCCTTCCATCGGTATAGAAGATGATGCCACCCAAGAAACCAAAATTCCTCGCCCTGGCCTCTCGTCCCCTCGCAGGTTGTCTTCGTCAACAGCCGACGCTCAAGACTCGCGCCCTTATCCACGACGCAGATTATCGTTTCCCGTATGCCGTTATCTATTTGATATATGACCAGGCAGCCTAACCATTAACGCAGCCGAAACAACCCCGTATCATGAACCTCCTCGCTGAATCCCGCCCTGTCGAAAACGAAGTCAAGTCCGAGGCCGCCTTTCAACGATTGGTGGCTTCCGGTGCCGAACTTCCTCTTCAGCCCCACACCCCTCGCACTGTATCCGACCGAGGTCGTTATCCTGAAGAAGCTGGTCATGATGATTTCCAGAGGGAAGACACGCCCAGCGATGACGAGGATGGCCCCTTCGTCTACACTCCCTCTGGTCACAGCGATCCAATTAACATTGTCAATCACCGTAAGAATGGTAGTGGGGACGACCTTGATCTGTCTGAGAGCTCCAGTTTGATGGACATTGATGCTGTATGCGCGTTTTGTTACTTGATAAACGTGTTATTCATCACGTTGACTAGCCTTCCTGTTCACCCATGTCAACATCATCGATGACACAATGGAGGTACACGCCACCTCCCACGACAAGTGCTGTGAGGTCGGCGAAACGCAAATGTACGTTCTTTTAGTTATATTCTTAACACGTTAGTCCATAAAACTCCCAATAGTTGATGATCGTTTCGATCCATATCCAGCCTCAAAGCGCCGAGCCGTTTCGCCTTCGATCCCTCATCTTCGTGACCCACATTCCACGGTAGGCTCTCCTCGAGGCAGTAACAGGATACCCATCGCTATTCCCATATCAATACCGGGATCAGCTGTCAACTCCGCTACATCTTCCCCTACAATATCCGGATCGTACCCTCGTTCTATGAGCATAACATCTAGTCCCACATTACGAGCATCGATGGGTTTGTCTAGTCCAATTATCAGACCTGTTCCTCGGACTCGGAGATTTGACGGAGAGGACAAGGAAGTAGATGGGGCGGGCGAAGCCGTCGGTGGTCTTAGTCTCGGATGAATTGCCTGACCTCTGGTATGTAAGCACATCGGCATCTTGCATTTTTCATTCCTTCTGCATGTAGTATTTTGGAATCCGCAACAACCTATTTGTATAGCAACGGCTAGTTACATATGTATTATCAACAGCACTCATATCCACTTCTACCTTATATGCTTGTATCGTAGCGTAGTCTCTCATCATTGCATTTTCCCTTCAGTGCTACTGCCAACGTCTCTCGATAGTTGTTTTGCAAGAAGGCTACTTACAAGCTACACCAGCCATTGTTGGTATTGACATGATGCAGTAGGCGTTTTGATACTTGGTTGCTATCTTACACTTCATTTATACACGTATACAGGATATCGTTACAAAAAAGATCCCATCTGCAACTTTGTTGCTCTTAGGGCGGCGTCGACAATTTCTGCCATGCCAATGACAGCTTCTTCTTCAAGTGTTCGCCCCACAATTTGCACTGCGATAGGTGCATTCCTGAAGGTTTCCGGATCGTCTATCAACAGTTCTTCAGTGTTCCCGCGATTATACCAACATGCTACTTACATCGATCATAATTCTCTCTGTCTCTGTCGCTATAGAACTTATGAGGAGGTTTCTTCGCGTCGAGGCAGCTATCGACTTTGGACACTGGAATAACTAGAGCGGTGTAATCAAGCACATTCCAAATTCTTGTGTAATCCGTTATTCTTGGGATTTCAAGTCGATGGGTGAGCAGGGTGGTAGACGAAACGGATCAACTTACTCACCGGTTGAGACCATGTGGAGGTGCAGCATATGGTGCTACAGGTGCAATGATTGCATCGACGGGCCTGCCGGTGCCCGTAATCTTCTCAGTTGCTTGCCAGTGCTCCAGATACTCCTGCCGCAAGTTCCTCTTTTGTTTTTGGACCTGCCACAGCTGGTATGCCGATATACCCCCGTCATGTTTAGACTTTCCATGTTCCGAATTGCCATTGGGATTCATAGTGGAGATTATAGGTTCCCCGGAAATCTGAGCGACTACACGATAGTCTTCGTCGCAACCTGCCCCCCAGATTTCGTACTGATGACTATGGCGTTAGCGTGATTATTTGGTAATATTGATGACGGTCTTACGGAAGTCCACGAAAGAGCATCATGTTTGAAGGGCTCCCAATCGACAACTACGCGAGATAATCAGGGGTGCTATTATGCCAATATTCTGACTAGCGAACCTTTATGACCTGCAGCCAACAATGCCTTCTTTGTCATCTCCAGTCCGCGAATTATGGGAGGATTCGGTACTACAGATCCGTCGTCCCATAGAATACCGAAGCACAACGATTTCCCGTTCCCGTGATTGACAAGTTTATACTCTTCTTCAATCCATGCTTTAGGAATGACGAGAGCATCTCTGTACCAAGTCCTCGCGTCTATTACGGCTTTCATGAAATGCTTGAGGCCGCTTAGGCTATTAGACATTGGGCCCAGAACGGACATAATAGAGTCCTGTCCCTCCATCGAGTTCACACAGCCCGCATAAGGTACCCGGCCATGAGAAGGCCGCAACCCATAGATACCACAAAAGGACGACGGAATCCGGATGGACCTAAGAGAAAGGTCACAAAGACGACCCAATGCAAGCTTTGCTGTCTTCCTTACCCTCCGATATCGGAACCAATACCTAATGTTCATATCAGTAAGTGTTCATTATATTTTCTAACCGATCATGTACCTAGAGGGCTTCCTCTGAGTGCTGCGGGTTTAATTTGGGTTATTTGGCGTCTCAAACCATGATAAAAATGTCCTACAGATTAATGCACCTTCTCCACCAGAAGAGCCCCCGCTTGTGAGAGATCTGTTATAAGGGTTACAGGTACGTCCGAAGACGTTATTGAAAGTTTCCCCCCACTAGGATAACAAGTGAGAAGGATAATTCACTTGTATGATAAGGAAACTTGCCATCAAGGTCTGAGGAACGTTTGTCTTAACGAAAGGAACAGCGCCTAAAGAGTCCAGGACGTCTACAAGGACGGCATTACGCTCTGCAAAAGTCCCAATCCAGGATACATAACCTGCAGGAAGGCTTATCAGCACGCATTCACAGCGAATGTATTTGGTCTACCCATCGTGGACTCGATCCCCTTGATATTGACTTGATCCTTCAAGGACACAGGCAGGCCGTGAAGCGGTCCTAGCACCTTGCCTGTTTGCTCGAGGTAGGAATCACGCTCAGCAGCTTTAGCAAGTGCTTCTTCGACAAATATTTCCGTAAGGCAGTTGGTCTTCAATTCTGTCAGAGCGCTGGTATTGATGTATTAATGAATGCCTACCAGCTGGTGCGCGATAATAGCACGCTTGTAGAACGCTGTAGTAACTTCAACAGATGACCATTCGCCATTCGCAAGCTTGGACAGAAGAACATCGACTTCTGATTTAGTGATTTCGAGTTCATTCGAGGACAGTAGACCACAAGAGTCTGGAAATGCAGTAACGTCGATATTATCCTTCAACGGTAGACCGGTCAAAGTCCACTCCTGGGGAATCGAAGCCAGCTGCCTCTTCCGCTTGTCTGAAACTGCCTCTTCCCAAGTCATTGAAGACAACCTGTGGGCGGTTGAGGAATCGGGGAAAGATACGAACGAAATCTCACGGACGCAAGCCTACGGACGCTAGTGCGGGTTACGTTTTCCGGTTCAGATAGTCAGATAGATAACTATTTTTGATATGCGATAAGGTGAGAATAACAAAACAAAGAGGCGTGATTCCTTGCAGACGCGGTAGCAATAGCGTGGCCGTTAAAGTCTCAAACTTACTGTAATGATGGAAGTTCGGTGTAAGTGGAGGAGGCGGCCCGAAAATGCCGAAGAGGCGCGTCTGTCACAGAGGTGACACCGCTTGACACACCGAACCACTTGCCAGGCCACCCTGGAGCTCTTTCCCTTTCTTTGACACGCTCTTGACGCGTACATCTTCCTTTGTCTTGTTGTGATTACATGGACGCGAATACTAAGCCAATCGCACACCAGCATATCCTTCGACCCCATCATGTTGTCCTGCTGACCCTCTTTATGCTCGTCTTTCGAGAGTACGACGTCAAGTTGCTGCCTCAGCCGTTCTTACTTCATATATATCGGCTGTTAATGAACGAAGTATCAGAGGTATGTGTATCTGATTCCAGTTGTTATATGAGGGTGTTCTATGCAGGTCAGTAAACAGGTCGCTCAACCAAAGAAGTGGAAGCAGCTCCTCAAAGAAGTTATCGTTGCCCCAAAAGCTCAGGAAGGAGAGGCATCGAAGCTAATACACTCATTCAGGAATGTTGTACGTTGACTGAACACACTTACCGTTATGATTCATCAACTTTATTTCTAGCACGTAGAACTCTACTCAACAGACAGACTCTCAACTTTTCTTCGAGGTGAGCAATCCCAGACCTGTTATTAAATAACCCCCAACTTGTGGCCAGGTATCGCCATATTGTTCGATGAGAGAAGTGAAGACGTCAGTGTGAGTTTTGATATTATTCCGATGCTATGCTAAGTCAATCCTCCAGGATCCACCGCCGGTCTTGGTATGCTTCTGACTTGAAGGCTTTCGAGCGAAATATAACGTTTTCTCAGGCTTCTCGCTCACTTTTTGGATACTTCTGTCGACGGTGTCACATCAGCTATCTCAAGCTATCGTGGGCTGGACTAGTTGCACTGCATACCGATTACGTCGCTTGGTGCACCAGTGAGCACCCTGGAAAATACGCTCGTGTCCTTAATGATCCATTAAACTCGGGTAGGCGATAATTCAGTACAATTACCTGTATATCTAATGTACCGTGCAAGTGGATCGGCTATTGTTCAGGACAAGAGGCGACCAAGTGTCCTGGCCTCAGCCTGATCCTTATGAAGCGTGCGTCCTACTATCTGAACTGATCAGCTGTTACAAGTTCTGAAATCCCATTTTAGAATGGAAAAGGCGCATGCAACAGGTGATGAACTTGCTATGGACGAGAACGCCAGGCGATACTTTGAGCAACAGTTCACAGACGGGCCCGACTCGTAAGAGCGTTGTTTTTCTCTTCCTCATCGTTGTATCTCAATCATAGACTCAAGTGGATTACGACAGAATGTGTTGCTGAGTCTCATCCGCATGCATTATCTTCGTCATGAGTTTACGGCTGTTAGAACAGTTAAGTCTCGCCATCTTGGTAGGATAAAATCCTCACATCCCGATAGATCCTATCTGAAGCCATTTCTGTTTCTCGTATTGCCGGTGACAAGATCATTTTGCAACATTGTGCTACGTATTAGAGTTCCATGCACACGGAGATCTCTCCCTCATAAACTCTCAGTATGCTAAACAGATTACCTCCCGATGAAGAGGGCAAGAAAGTGCCATTGAATGAACTACAACCTGATCTACATCCAGCAGAAATCCTGTTTGATGTCAAGAAACTGCTCGACATAAATAATGTAGGTCTATAAGTCATCATCGATCCCTTGAAACTGATTTGAGCTCAGGAACAACCTTTGACTGCATCATTCACAAAGATTGTCGAAGCAATAGGGCTATATGACTACTGGACTGAAATACATCCGGAGGAAGACTATGAAGCTGGCCAATGGGGCCAGCATGCGGTGCAGAGCACTGTATGGAGCGCCGCAGGTTCGTCAGATCCGTCAGTTTGCAGACACCATATATCAAAATCAAGAATCTTCTAGGGTGCGAACAGCTGGCCCAAGTTGAGGAGAATATTGTTATTGCCTTCACGGAATATGGAGGCAGCAATAACAACCGTCTCACGGCTATTTTGAATAAGGCTTACAGAGTGCGGCGCCCTTTATTTATACAGATAACGTTATATTTAGTCCTCTGCAGCAAGCCCGCCAAGGCAAATATACCCAAGCCCTTGTATCGCTATTAGAGCCTGATGTTTGGCGTGGACTGACAATTGATGACTATGCCTTTTGGGCTCAAGAAATATGGCATATCCTTGTTCTACGAGCTGTCCGCCGGTAAGCATCTTTCTGCGGGTTTGATCCACAATTTTCTGACTGAATGATAATTCAGGAAACAAGATCGATTGTATTCCAGTTTGCTGCTTCCTCGAAAGCCCCCTGGCGATTACAATTCTCGCCATTATATTCTTGATCATACCCCGACACCAACATTAAAAATTTTTGATGATCTTCATGAAGTCATACGAATGCGGGTACGGTCCGAGGTAACCTCCTTCGTTATATGTTTCTTAACGCTGTTTTAGGCCTGTGAACAGTCTCCAACAGCTGTCCACCACCTGTTGACTTCCCTCTGGCATTCGGAATTCCTGTTGCGGTTAAATCTGTACCGGACGAGTATCATCATGCTCGCTGACGTAGGACTTGAGCTAGGGTTGACAAAGCGATCTCGACGTATGTTGGAGAGAATTATGCCCCAGGTACGTGAATGACATGATTCCAGGGCCTCCGTTCTGACGATTCTTGCCAGCTGATCACCGGAAACGACATGGAGCAACGGGCCTTAGCTTCTTTCACGCTGGCTCGTTGTATTATAGCCGCCGAGGGGGCTAATGGTTTGTGTTGGCTCGCATCTTACGGTTTCCTCCATTACTAATGTTTATATGCTAGAACAAAGCCTCCGTGAAGCAAGCACGTATCTCCAAGTGGCTGAAGCTGATTTTAGTGCTTTAGAGATGTACCGAGAAGCATCAGATGCCCAGTATTTGTGCTCGGTTGTATTCCACAATCTGGGGGATGAGCGAATGCGGAATGTCGCTGCTCGAAATAACAGCGTGACATCGGAAAGGGCAGCGTTGTTGGAGAAAGAGTCGTATGATGAAGAAGTGGCCCGAATCCTGGACACGGTAGCATTAGTGGGAGCCAGACTGGCGCTCCGTTAACATGTCATTGTATTGGTTTATTAAAAAAAAAAGGTCGGTCACTGATTCCCTTCATGTAACTCAAAGGTAGTAAACCCTCCGGTACAATGACGGAATGATTGTTCGATCGAAAGTAATAACAGTCAGTGCCGGGAGGTAACACCGTAACACTGAACGTGAGGCTTAGAAAAGGGCCTCGCAGGACCTAAGCTCGACAGCCACCCCTAAGTCTCTTAGCGATTCTGATGCACGCTTGATATCATCCTCCTTGACCTTGCCAGAGAACCATTGATCGGCAGAGGATAGGACGACCTCTACTCGTGACAACATGGACTTCACCAAGTTGTTCTTGTACATCGCCTCTCGACGCTTGATCACCTCCTTGACGGCAGATATATTCTCGGTAGAGGTGGTAAATCCGATTTCTACGAGATGGGGAAGGCTCGGACCTTTTAGATATTCAAGGACCTCGGGCGACAGGCCTTTGATATACACCGTCAGGGAATCATTTGGAGCATGGATAAAAAGACGCTTCAACGATTGATTCTGTTCCATCTGTAAGCACGGCAGTATGGCGTGTTCCCTGTTATCAGAACGGTGCCTTCTGTTGGTGTTGGGAGCCATGCGGAGCGTGATCAATGAACAAGCGGAGCGTGTGAGAAAGTCCATGATGTGTTCTGGAGGTACGAAGTGATCATGTATTTCCAAGCTCTCTAACGCGGGTAGCGTCAATTGGTGGAGTAGATTTGGAATGGCGTCAAGCTCGGAAGGATCCCAGCGAATGTCAAGAACCCTCAAGCTCTTGTGAATGGCACAGCTGGTTGGGGCTGTGGCGTCGGGCATATGCCCGACATGCATCTCCTCAAGAAGAGGAAGTCCTTGGAGAGCACCCACGAACTGTTCGGGGTTCATCAGCGTACAGCGCAATATCTTTAGAGCGCCAAGTGACGCGCTGCTAAGGAGAGATGCAGGCCCATTGAAGTCGAGGTCCCTGAGATTGGGAAGGGTGGGGAAGAGCTGGGATGCCCAAGCTACCATGCTGGCATCGGCCCAACGGTCAGAATGGAAGTAGAGGGCCGTGAGCATAGGCGCAATGGGAAAAGTGAGCGAAGTAATTGATTCCAGTCGATTATGATAGAATTGGAACTCTAGATTAAGCCTATGACACCGGTGCATCTGGGATATAAGGTGGGTTGCAGTGTAATCAGGACTATCTTCACGATATGAAGCATATATATCCAAAGGTACCCGCCGTGACGAGGTGAGCCACAAATTTACCATTTCCTTGTCGAAGGCTGGATTTTTCACCGGATTTTGACGAGCGAACAAGGGGAAGGCCGACCAGATGCGAGGTGTGGATAATGCGATAGTTCGCCACCTGCGGCAAACGTGAAGCAGTTCCATGCGAGATTTCATAAGCGTATTACGACGCCGATAGTCCCAGTAGGAAAAATCTGGAAGGGGATGGAGGTCGCAATACGCCTCAAAAATCTCCCCCAGAATCTCTGGGAGTAGAGTTCTCATAGGGCTATGCTTCAGGAGCGTATGGTGAGCATCGATGGTACCCTGGACTTTTCTGACAGCGCTCTGTCTTGCATTTATAGTTTGTTGCAGCTCTTGAATCTCATCCAGGAGATATTTGAGTTCCGACTCATGGTCCTCTAAGGATTTCTCAATGACACGACACTCCTCCTCAGTGGGAGCATGATTTGTGCCAAGGAGAGACCTAACGTCAGTTTCTGTCATCTAAGTGGGCTGCATATTAGAACATAATTTAAACTGGGTACAATCCTCCCACCTAGTGATAGACGATTCGGCTGGTGTGTCAACTCTGCAAATATTTAAGTAGGCACGTATGTGGGTCAATAGGTAGACTGACCTTGAGCCACTGCAGCTGATAACTGGATATCAAACCAACTTGTAGACGTGTCCACTGTTTGATCTAATATAAAAAGTGAGATATAAATAAGAGGTGAAGAAGCTTGGAGCTACTGACCCACTCTCCAGCAGAATTCGTGGTGACAGCGCGGGACTAAGAGACAAATGGGCACATCAGCATCTTGATCGCGTCAACGGTCAAGGCCGTCAGGGCTCAGGACGCGTGCATGGCTATGCCAGGAAAGTTGCTACTATTTGCCAAAACCCCCTATCCATCATTCCTATCGCACCTCTAGTACCAAAAATTCAGTTTGGCCAGATTTTAATTTATCCTTCCTTCGATCTGCGCAGTACCAACGACAGCAACCCGGCCGCAATGTCTACTCCTCAAAAACTAACCAAGAAGCAGAAGAAGGCTATTGCTTTCCGTGAACGCAAGTCGGGCAAAAATGTTCATGGCCACGCGCATAGCATGGAGGTTGACAGTATTCCTGTCGTGGAAATCCAGGACGACGTTGATGGCTCGGGTGATCAGGTGGAGGGTGAAGAGGTGGGTGAGGAAAAGAGTAAAAAGGCGAGCAACAAAGGCAAGGCGAAAGCCAAGATTGATGACGGTGAAGGCGAGGCTCGGGATAAGAAAAAGAGGAAAGCGGGAAGTAGACGATGACGGGGAAAGGATAGAAGGAAAAGAGGGTGACAAGGTGGTCCAGAAGAAAAAGAAGAAGACCGCTACCGCGGATACCAAGCAGCGTTTTCTTCTCTTCGTCGGCAAGTGCATTCACTTTTATTATGCGTGCTCCTCATGAATCCATTGTACAGGTAACCTCAAATACACGACATCCTTGGACACAATCAAAGCTCATTTTGCTGCTTGTGGTCTGTCTTAACATTTACTCTGTGTTTTCACCCATTGACGACGTGAACCAGACCCACCACCGAGTGTTCGTTTACTTACACCAAAACCACGCCCGGAAAGACTACGACAAAATCCAAAGGTTGCGCGTTTCTTGAATTCACGCATCGAAATGCATTGCAGCAGGCACTCAAACTACATCAATCTCAACTGGATGGCCGTTTGATTAATGTCGAGTTGACAGCAGGAGGTGGCGGAAAGGGAGAAACTAGGATACAAAAGGTAAAAGATAGAAACAGGGAGCTTCACGGCCAAAGAGTGAGTTCTCTCATCATTTCGGTGACCATTCTAGTGCTTAACTCGTCGCAGAAAGAGAAACTGGAAAAGCAAGCCAAAGACGGGGCACTCATATCGACAACGGCACGGCCTCAACGGTATTCTGCAACGTCCGGGGTGGATCAAGCGCCGTCGAAGATGCGAACATGGACTATTGGCGATACGGTAGAAAGTGAAACACACCGTGGGGGCGTCAAGCACGACAAGAGTAGAAAACCACGAGGGGGGAAGGCCTGGGGGACTGGGGTTAATGCGATACCCGTTGGTTAGCCAGCCTTTGTTTAATGTGCTCTTGGGTATCATATTAATATAAGTGCATGTCTATCCATATCATGCATATAGGTGCATAATTTACTGTCCGTCGAATGTACAGGTTCCCGCCCTGCATAGTGATCCTTATGATACCAGAATAAAGACCAGGAACTGCGAAAACACGGTCAGTTATTGAACCAGCCTCCATGAGCAAAACTACAGACGCACGAAGACAATAAGAACCCCAAATATTTTCAGCATCAGCCACCGATTACTTGAAATACTAGCATAATACTTCAAGAGTTCTCGTTGTGCACCACTGACGTTTGACGCTATGTCCATGGTGTCAGCATCAATGCGCTGCACCGTTTCCCGCTGTTCAGCGACCATATTGGCCAGCTGCGTGAATATCTGACCAAGCTCTGCAATGGTGGATTCTATCGACTCTATGGCAGTGGAGCGGGATTGTATGTAGGAGTCCTGTCAAATGAATGAAGTGGTGAACATCGAGATGTTGTGAGGGATAAGTACCTGTTGTTCGACCAGCTGCATCTGCATAAATGCTCCACCGTTCTGAGATGCGGTACCTTCTTCAGCAGCGTCTAGGTTGAGAGCGAGGACGTCCCCGTTTTGCAAGGAGCGGTTTTTGCCTTTGGAATTAGACTCGAGCCGACTTGGACTGCCGTCACCCATAGGATCGCTCCGTTGTGTATTGAACAACACCGAACCTGGAATGACATGTAAAGAGAATGTAGTTCGAAAGCAGCTGCAAGGCTTACCTGAAGGTGCCTGGTTGGCCGCAGAAGATGTCGAATACATGAACTGCTCGGTACGGTCCTTAGTTTCCTTCATATTCTGTTCATGCCCTCAGAAGTGTGGCCAAGGAAAGACATAAACATCCACTTACCTGCGTCCGAACCTCCAGAACATCTTTGAACGTCATACTCGTATTCGCTAGTTTGCTCTGCAACAGCATGACCACGTTGTGATTATGCTCTTCAATCTGTTTTCCCGCAGCTGATCCCGACGACTGAACATTGCGTCGCTTGACGTAGGACTGTAATTGAGCAATCTGCTTGTTGATACTGGCAATATCTTGCTTTATGATAAACGTGAGTTCCTGTATCACCCGACATTGCGAGTCAGCACCAACGACATCAGAGAAACATATTCCCTACGCTAATCTCGACCGGTCTATCATCAAACAGGGTTTTCCGTTTGGCCACTGTCCGAATGATGAGAACGTGTCCAAAACCTAATAAAAGAGCTGAATACGTACACTGGGCCAGTTTCCCAAGTTTTATCGTTGTACTACTGATATCCTTCCCAATAGTCGAAGCCATTCGTGAGAATTCGCTTTTGCTTCCATGTGCTCGACCACCATCCTGCAGCAAGCGCTGTTTGGCCTCACCGCCACGAGAAGGCAGGGAAGATCTACTCCGGATGGACTCGACGCAGGAACGAAATTCGTTGGTCCGGTCTTGTATAGGCATGTGTAAGATAAGGAATTGATAGAGTCTAGGGAAGCAAAGGAAGAGAGCAGGGAAACTGAATTCGTGGTCTGGATGAAGGGTGTTTTGACACGTGATATCAGGCCTTCATTCAGTTTCACGTTGATCTGGGTTCGAAGCTCGAACCGCTGGGGTGAACGTTGCCCCATCCTCGGATGCTACTACGGACCGCAGTTTAGAGTACAAATACCCTGCCCATCCTCGTATCTTCGTCATTTACGTCCTCCTTTTTTCCGCCGTCCTGTCTTATCCTTTTACCATTCTACTGCACTCATGTCAAAGCAACAGCCGGAACAAGGATCCAAGGTGCTCGTGCTCGGCGCCGGTAATTTTGGGAGCTGTCTGGCAGACCATCTTGGGGACTCGGACCATGAAGTCTTTTTGTGGGCTCGCGAAGCGCACGTCGTGAAGCATTTTAACGAGCATCATTACAACCTTGAGTATCTCAAGGACCACAAGTTCTCGGATAATATCACCGCGGTCGGGCCTGAGTTCCCTAGTAAGGAGCTGGTCAACAAGATGGACGTTCTGTTGTTTGCTATCCCGACCCAGTTTCTCAGGTAAGTGTTGCCATCTTCGTGGTCAGACGAGCATTACTGATCCATCATCCAGGGAAAATCTATCTCGGCTCCGTCCTCATCTTGACCCCAGCAACTTTCCTCTTTTGATTTTTGTCAACAAGGGTATCGAAGTTGGAACGCATGCCTTGACACTTGAAATCATCGCGGACACTTGTGGTCCAGAATTCGCGAAAGCAGCGGCCTTCATTGTATGTTCTTGTAATTCGTGGTGCGATATTTTTAAACTCAGCGTGCAGTCAGGACCATCGTTCGCGAAAGAAAGTACGGCGCCGCATTTGGCTTTGAACAGATTTTGATATCTCTCCTAGTCGTCCAACGACAACCAACGTCCGTTTCAGTCGCATCTTTTACTGATGCAGAGGCCGACAAAGCAGCTAATCTATTCCATCAGCCGCACTTCCGTTGGTGAGCTGAGACCTTTATGGGCGCTTGGGTCGCTGACCTGTCTATTCTAGTTACACTGGCAGTGATCCAATAGGTATCGAGCTCTCCGGCGCGCTGAAGAACGTCTATGCCATAGCTGCCGGCGCGTCCGACGGCTTGGGGTATGAGAACAATACACGGGCTAGTGAGTCTGTATTTGAATATGACTTCTCACAAAGTGTAAATCCCCACAACAGTGATGATTACGCGGGGTTTAGCGGAAATGACCTGTATTGGCACCGCGTATGGGGCGTCACCATTGACATTTCTGGGCTTGGCCGGCGTTGGGGACCTGTTTTTGACTTGTAGTTCCTCCAACAGTCGTAACTACACAGTGGGATACCGGCTTGGAAGGGGCGAGTCCCTAGACACGATTCTTAACACACTTGGTAGTGTGGCCGAAGGTGTATCAACGACCAAGGGTGTCAAGACTGTGATAGATTCACTGGGGGTTCCTGCGCCCATTGCGAATTCCGTGAGTTACCGGCGCTATTCCCAACTTTAAATGAAACGTTGACACTGGTGTTACAGATGTATGAGGTTCTATTCGAGCGTAAGCAATCGCGGCATCTCGTTTTACAAATCGAGTTGACATTAATTATATTACAGGAAAAGATATCCGGACTGCAGTGCGAGAACTGATGGAACTCCCACCTTCCCGAGAGCTGGAATTACCTCCGACTGCCGGTGGACCAGCCCGCCAGCTGGTAGAAAAATTGGGATTACATACCAAGGACTAGAGTAAATCCTGGTAACAAAGCGACGACGGATCATTCAGGCAAGAACGTAGAGCAGCTGACACACCGATTTTTTTATCGGTAAGATCAAGCAGGATCAGGCCATCGGAGGGTGCAGGACATTACTTAAAATATTCTTACTATAGTTTGTCTGGTTTAATGACATATTGCACGCGTCGACGGCTTCCGGCGTATTGTATTTTCGGAATTCCCGGAATAAAACAAGGGCGAGCAAAGATAAAGAAGAAGAAATTTTGGGGTAGCCGGAGAGAAAAGGAAAGTGAGCCGAGGGAACATGGATGGAGACGCCAATAAATGAATCCGCTGGAATCCGGATCCGCTGACAGAACGCGAGGTCCCATGAGCCGGAGGTACGATCAGATTTAAAAGCGGCAAAGGGACTAATCACGTGCAAGTGAATTGATCGAAAAATTGTTTGCCCTCGAAGAACCCAAATTTCGTAGGTCGGGTTTTCACGTCCGGTTTCGCGCTGTAGTCATCTTGTCCACCGTTGCCTGTCTTCTTGCTGCCTCCCGCCATCCCGCCATCGCCCAGCTCTCGTCGTCTCTAATGGTCTCTCCGCTCTGGAAAGCTGCTTCAGAGGGCCGTCTCACCGACCTCGATGATCTGCTTGCCAACGCCACTGTCGTCGACATTGAAGTAAAAGGTGCGACCATCAATGCCTGTACATATCTGTCTTTTTACGGAAGCATTTTACAGACCATACTGGTGCTACTCCCCTCATCGAGGCGGTAAAAAATGGCCATGTCGAGGTAGTGTCGCTCCTTCTTGAGAAAGGTAGGCATTTAGCCACGTTCTCGGTCAGCGCTGGCGCCTCATTGCTTTCTCTTTTTCAAGGCGCCGACCCAAATAATGCCTCCAGCCAAGGGCCACCCCAGCAGTACACCTCGGACCCAGTCATTCTCGAGCTGCTTACTACTGCGCAAGCCAAGGTCGCCCCAAAAAATGGCTACCAGGAGAACGGATATACTCAGGATGCCAACGATGACACTACAAAAGCCCCATACTATCCTTCCTCCTACCCGTACTATCCTACTCTCAACTCGGCACCTCCCATGCCTGAAGGCGCTGCGTATTACCCGCCGCCACCATCCTCAGCCGATGGCATCGTACCCGGCGGCCCGGGCAATCTACCCCCACCAGACATCGCGCGCTTCATTCCGTGCAGATACTTCCCTGCATGTCGGTACGGCTCCTCGTGTATGTTCTTGCATCCCCAAGGCCCGTACTACCAGGGACCTGTATCTTCACCAGGGCAGTACCCAGCACCGTACGACCCCATGGCACAGCAGCCCTACCAGCCAAACTACTATCCGTTGCCCCCACCTTCTTTCCAACCGCCGCCGAACGGTGTCCCGGTCAACACACTCACTACGCCACCTCCGATGAATCAAGGTCATTCTCCTTCTGACATGGGCCCAGTCCCAGCACACTTCAGTCCCAATGGCGCGCCTCCTCCTTTACCATACGGCCCCATGTCCCCCATGATGTCTCCCTCAGCCTACCCTCACCCAGGCCAGTTGCCTGTACCCATGTCTATTCCTCCCCTACCTCCCCTGCAGCATCCTTTACCCCCTCCTCCGGTGGGTCAGTCTCCTCACACCGCATATCCCGCTCTACCTCCAGCACATCCATATGCGATGCGACCCGATGGAACACCTTTCCCGCCTCCGCCGGCAGGACCCGTTCATTTCCCGGATGTAAATGGCTCAGCAAAATCACCTTCTCTCAATCCTCAACCTGACTCGTATAGCCCCAGCTCGACTCGTGAGAGCTTTGGGCATCAAAGGCGCGGGAGTGCACGTCGCGGTTCTTTCGCAGGTCGCAAACCCCCGTGTTTGTTCTTCCCCTCTGGAAGATGTAAAAATGGGTATATATTTTTCCTTTCCCCACCAATGACATGTTTTGATTTTTTTTTGGTTTCTAGCGACGAATGTCGTTTCCCCCATGTATTACCTGATGCATCACAGTATTTCTCCAGCTCACGAGGTGGCGGACCCCGGCCCCGGGGCGGCCATGGGGCGAATGGCTTCGCAACCATCGATGAGAAACTTGCCGGATTGTCTATTCGCGATGTACGGCATTAATTTGCTCCCTATCCCTTGTCTTACGTCTATCAATAGGATCAGGCACCGCGTTATCAAAATGGCGAGGGCTCCAGTAAATCCCAGGCAGATGCTGGAAATCGCCCAAAGTACTCTCAAGGGTACAAGAACGGCACGAATGGGTTTCAAAATAACAAGCGCGTCTTTCAACAAGTAAAGCAACGTCTTCCCAGCGCTGACGACTTCCCGGTGCTCGCCGGATCTACGACGCCACCTGTACGGAGCCCGAGTAACGGGTCACTTTCAACAGGCCTCGCGGGACCAACTGCCGCACAAGTGCTACAGGCCCCAGCTCCCATTCGCCGGGACAGCACTAAGGAAATTTCACGCAACGTGACGCCTGATCCGGTCCACCCTGCCAAGGTAGGGAGTTTGCAACGCCGTCAGCTGTGATCTCAGTTTTCGTTAGGATTCGGATTCGAGTCTTACGGAGACCTCTGAGTCACCACTCGTACCAGCCACCAAGCTTCCCATATCGTTCGCGGCTGTTATGGCAGCGCCGGACGTTGCAAAGGAAGTACCTGTTTCGGCCTAAAACCATCGACGTGCGGTTTACAAACATCTTCGTCGATGGATGCTTCCAGCAAGCCATTTTGTTTATTTCTCAAGTCATTATTGTATTCTTGGGTTGCCTGGTATCGTTCTTCTCATTATGTTTCCCCTTCCTTGCATCTATCCTCGTCAATGATCTGTCCTCCGCATATAGCACCTCACGCACACATCACATCACGCACACTTTTGTCCTGCATCGCCATCTGTTACTCTTATTCGTCTCCTTGTGTAGATATATATTATCTTGTTCTATTTTCTTTCGGCCTTTGTCTTTTCCATCACGGTTCTTTCACATCCTATATAACTGCTGCTCTACACGTACAAACACAAAACTACTTACTACAGATCTACTATTATATTGGACGTGCTCATCCCACCCTCGTAGATCCTCGCTCTTGCATGCTGACTCTGTGCTTTTTTTGGTTGTCCTTCTCCCTGTATCTGTGAATTACACATCGGATGCTATGACCATACGTGCATGTTCCTCATTTCAACCCCCGGGTTTTCAGTGACTTCTCCTATCTGATAGACCTGAGCCTGGCCCATCTGCCGGATGGAATGAACAGCTGCATCAACATTTTTGGGGCCGACAATGACGACCATTCCTATTCCGTTATTAAAAGTCCTGGACATCTCGAGCGGAGCTACTTGGCCATGGGTCATGAGGAATCGGAATACAGGTGGTAATTCCCATTTTGAAGCATCGACGAAGCATCCAAGCGTTTTCGGAAGGACTCGCGGGATATTTTCGATGAATCCCCCGCCAGTGATGTGAGACATGCCCTTGATCAACCCTGCTTGCGCTGCAGGGAGTAGTTGCTTAACGTAGATCCTTGTTGGTTCCAAAAGGGCTCGACCGAGGGTCAGTTGAGTATCCCATGGACACGGGGAGGAATAGGTGAGACCAGACACCGAAACGATCTTACGTATGAGCGAAAATCCGTTGGAGTGCGGGCCCGAGGACGCGATTCCGAGTAGGATATCTCCTGCTGAGATGTCTGTCTGCGGAAGAACCAGATTCCGTTCTACCGCACCAACGGCGAATCCTGCTAGGTCATAATCGCCTGGATAGTTTTAGGAGTTGAAATAAGACAACGGGAGAGAAGTCAGTGAAGATTGGACGGCAACGGACCATCTTGATACATCCCCGGCATTTCCGCGGTCTCCCCGCCAATCAAGGCGCAGTTTGCTTGGCGACATCCTTCGGCAATGCCTTTGACCACATCTGTGGCGACAGGAACGTCCAGTTTACTGCATCCGAAGTAGTCGAGGAAGTACAGCGGCTCCGCGCCTTGAACGAGGAGGTCGTTGACCGACATTGCAACGAGATCGATACCTACCACGAGACTAAAGATATTCGGTGCAAGCAATGAAAGGAAAGGACTCACCAACGAGGGAGTGAGTACCTGCCTCAACAGCGACGCGTAATTTTGTGCCGACGCCGTCTGTTCCGCTGACGAGAACAGGATCGACATAACCAGTGGCTTTGAGGTCAAATATACCGCCGAAACCGCCGATTTCTGCGTCTGCACCGGAACGACGCGTCGATCGCACATATGGCTTGATGGCTTCAACCAACGCGTTCCCTGCATCAACTGACACGCCGGCTTGGGCGTAAGTAAGACCGGTGCTTGGAGTTGTTTCAACACCTTTCAGGGCCCTATTGCATTTATAGATACGAGATAGCAAGACGCGTGAATAAACCTACCGGTGCGCGATGTCGCGTCTGAATGTCTTGCCCTCAAAGGAAATCTTGTCTACGCCTTTGTAAACCAGATCCACAGCATTTTGGATACTTGATCCATAAGCTACAACTGCCAGGACGCGTCCGCCTGAGGTCAGAACGTCTTTTTCAGACCTCTGTGTGCCTGCATGGAACACAACAACATCTAGAAGGCAATAAATAAACAGTGGAAATGAACCAGGCGTAACGAACCAGGCGGCATATCTAGTATCTCAATCTTCTTTCCCTTCAGATAATTTTCTGGATAGCCCTGGGAAGCTAGCACAACTGAGACAGCGAAACCGGGGCGCGTTGTTATTGAGACCGAATCGAGCCGATGCTCTGCACATGCCAACAAAACTTCAGCAAGGTCGACGTCTTCATGCAGAAGCAACATGAGCGCTTGCGTTTCCGGATCTCCGAACCTAACGTTGTACTCGAGAACTTTTGGTCCAGAGGGAGTAATCATGAAACCAGTGAAGAGAAGACCGACGAAAGGGAAACCTTCTCTGCGTATTCCATCGATAGTCGGCCTCAGGGTCTGCTTCATAATTTGGTCCATGATGACGGGAGTGGCAACCGGTGCAGGAGCATATGCACCCATGCCCCCGGTGTTTAATCCCACATCTCCTTCGCCTATCCGTTTGTGGTCTTGGGCAGCGGGAAGCGGAACGATGGTGTAGCCGTCCGAAAACGCGAGGACTGATATCTCGGGGCCAGTAAGCAGTTCTTCTACGACAACTTCACTGCCTAGGGGATTATTTAAGGGGATACTACATGTTACGATGCGACAACGTACCTGCCGAACCGAAGACGCTTGCAACCATGATATCTTTCAATCCTGTAATTGCTTCCTCTTCGGTCTGGGGGATCAAGACGCCCTTTCCACCAGCAAGTCCACTGGCCTTGAGGACAACTTGATGACCGCATGTCTTGACGTACTGGATGGCATCGTCGATCTGATCTGCCTGGAAAATCTTGTATTCGGCAGTGGGAATGGAATGTCGCGCCATGAAATCTTTGGAGAACGCCTTTGATCCTTCCATACGAGCAGCGAATTCACTGGGTCCAAACACAGGTATCCCGACTGTGTAAAGCTGTTAAACTGGGCATGTATTCGATACTGAGAAATAGGTGTACCTTTGCGGAAATACTTCTCTACACCATCGACCAGAGGCTGTTCTGGACCGGGAAGGACTAGATTGACCTGTGGTATTGTCCGTAAGATGTCGAGGTTAGGTCCAGAGGACTGACCTGGTTCTGAACGGCAAACTCGACGAGACGAGGGAAATCGTTCGGCGGTAGGTCGACATTGACGGTCTTCGCTTCTCGAGAGGTACCGCCATTGCCTGGGCAGACAAAGATGCGATCAAGATGCTTGGACTGGGATAATTTCCAGGTAAGAGAGTGCTCCCTGCCACCGTTTCCGATGACCAGAACTCGGATAGACATTAGTGAAAGTGAAGGATGAAAATTGATCGATTCCAAAATGGAAACGTTTTTTGGAATATTAAATTACATTTTTATTGCCATCGGTTACAAGAATTAAAATGAGATTCAAACCGAGCATTATTACTTACGGTGGTGAGAAAGATGCGAGTTGAATACAAAGCTGTGTATTGAAGAAGCGAACAGAACAGAAAAAGATGGGCGTCAGCAACATGGGTGATGATAGGAAGGTCAGCAGGGGCCAGCAAAGAAGGAGAAACGGTTAGGGCAAGATATCTGGCAATAGTATGGCCTTAGCTAACCTTAGCTGGCCTTGGCTGACCTTATGCGCCACTACGTCTGACCTTTGCGCAGCGAGTGGGCACGTGTCGGCCAGTCCTTGAGATTGCAAGACATTCACAGCCCGTTCTAGTCTTACCTTCGTATTCTTCTCCATATTTTGGTCGCTCTCATCGACGTGGCCCTTAGCGACCGGGTCCATTTGCAACCATGGCGTTCTACCGCGCTGCCGCCCAGCCATATGAAGAGGTACTTTTCGGGCCTATTTCACATCTGCTCATGTGTCGCTGAAATGTCGTTTCCGTCGTCCAGCAGCAGTCTCAGGGTAGCACCGAACCGCCACCGCCTGATGCCCTGAAGGCTTTTTATCAGGACATGGAGAGGAAGGAAATGGAGCGCAGGGCATCGAGGCGCAATACCAGTACCGGGACTTCAATTTGGTCCCGCAAGTCGGTTAAGCGATCAACACAACCCTCTTCCCAACCACGACAACCGCAGGCTTCTTCGCAGTCTCCCGTCTCCGAAAAAGAAATTTCGAGCAGGAATGAAGACGAAAGGGAGATGGAAAAATTAGAGCAAGGGGAGCAACCCGACAACCTACCAGCTCTTGCCAACACTCGTTCCATCATCCCAGATCCCCTAAAGGACCTCCCTGCCTGGTATTTGAAGGACGAGCTTGCCTCTAATTCCGTAGCTCTCTACAAAATGCGTTTTAATATCCATAATCCAGTCGGCCCACGACGCTACTACAACCATCATCTCATCCCGCCGTCTCAAAAGTCAGCTTCCCGGCCACCATCCATTTTCTCGCCCTCATTCCCACCCATGGCTACCTCTTCCGTGCCAGAGCAGTCTGAAGAGTCCATGCGAATGCCTGGCCCCAGTCGCACGCCCTCCAATTCACCCCTTCCTACCCCCAGTTCGTCACAGGTTCGCGTTGGCGATATCGGTGGTAAGCCTAGGTCGCGAAAAACGTCCCAGACCGCTCACGACAATGTTGATCTCCTTGACGTTACGGATCCTTGGGGGACTAATTGGCACCACGAGTCGCCATATGATGTAGGCCTCAACAATGGCTCGGTCTCTGTTGAGGCACAGGAGGTGAGTGCAACGTTAATCATTCTTCTATTAGATCTCATCGATGTAAACAGGGCCGTACCCGACACACAAGTCTGACAAACCGTGACAATCGGAGGCGCACTGTAACACCATCGCCGCTTTCTCAATCAACCTCCGCTGTGCACCTCCAGCCACCAGATGCCGGCGGGGCTCACTTACCTCGCAAGCTCAGCAAACGCAGGGCACCCACATTTGGCGGCTTTTTCGGGCATTCAGATTCTAAGAAAGACCGCAATGCAATATCCCTGCCGTCAACGCCACTAGATGAGCCGCCATCTGCTCGTTCATCCATAGTTTATCCACCTCCTACTCCGAAGCGGATGTCTACCGTTCCCGCAGCACCCCCTTCGGCCTTTAAGCCAGCTTCGTTGGCGTCAAAGAAGGATCGACGTGGTAGCGCGTTGGGCCGTCTAGTTAAGAGATTTTCCGTTTTGAAAAGGCCAACAACGGCGAATTCCTTGGATAGCAGTTGGCATCATGTTGAGGCAGAGGAGAAGGCCGAGAAGCGATCATCTATGGTGGTAGCGCGTCAGCCTTCGCCGGAGAAAGTCCCTAAACGAGTACCTCCTCCATCTGCCGAACCCGTCATCCCTCCTCCATCTGTAGATGTTCCAAAGGAGCGACCGAAGGAAGATCGCGAGTCCGTAGATTCTATAGACCCGCCTTATTCCACAATGGGCAAACTGACTGTCGCTAACCCTGATGCGCCGAGTTCTGGTAGCACCACACCCCATCAACGGACTATTTCCTTACCGCCGGAAAGGCGTGACCCTTCTTCCTCTGACCCTTCTTTACAGCCGAAGCAGGTTTCCCGGCCGGCGCAGGTGCCTACTGCACAAGCTACTATATCCCCTACAACGCAGGCTTTGTCCTCCCAAGCTGTCCAGGGTTCTTCGTCTCTCGCTGTACCAGGTTCTTCGTCGTCACCGATTCAGGGTTCATCGTCACCGGTACCGGCGTCGTCGATGCAGGTATTCTCAGAAAGTATGCAACCAGAGGTACGGTCGTTTGACAAGCCATCTGAGAAGCTTCAAACACCCACTCCTATACCCGTAGCTTCAAGTAGTCGCGCTAGACGATCGTCTGCCGATGTAAAGCGTTCCCCTACCAGTGCTCCGGAGGTGTCGGCTCCGACCGCACTCGCGAGCCATAGTAGGAGACGATCGAATGACGCGAAGCCTAAAGCGAATGGTTTTCCCGTGACTCAGCCAACAACATCCGGAGCGCCAAGTTCAGACACTAGAAGAACGTCGCGGTCGCCAGAAAAGAAACCTGTTCCTCCTGTTTTACCCCAGTCTGTATCTGCACCGCCTATCCCATTCCCAGCATCAGATTCCACAAACGAGCATGCATATCTATCCTGCAATGATTTCTACTTATCCTCATGAATTCGATAATTCTCCCATGTCTGCGTCATCTATTCTAGTCAATCCTCCGACACCACACACTCATTCTCACCTACACATGGCCTCTCCGGCCCCAAGCAGCATTCCGCCTTCCTTGCCGCCAAAACCCTCTGCGGAAGCTAAACATCGAGAATCATCTCCCAGTGTCAACTCTGTGACTAGCAAGCAGACAGAGACATTTAAACTCGTTCGTAGCATGTCTGGAAATGTCTATTCTTCTAGTGAAACTATTCGAGCGGCTGGCCAGCAGTGGGAAGTCGTGGAGGACGTGAAGGGGAAAGGGAAGGACACTTCCCGACCTAAATCCAAGTCGCGGGATCGAGAGAACAGCAGGGAGAAAGATAAATCTGATTCCGAAAGAGAACATCGGAAGCACGGTCATGGTCAGAAATCGAGTCGACGTTCTGCTGACGTACCGCGAGCTTCCACTTCCAACGCTCTGCCTAGGGTTAGCAGCTTGGACCGGAATCGTCGTGCCCCCATCCCAGACTTTAAAAAGGAGAAGGAAGCCGAGCCTCAAAAGCGAAGAGAGAGCCGAGGTCGAAAGTCATCAGAAGTCGCTCTAAACCTCAACAAACCTCAACCTGCCCCTCCTCCGCCAACTCCAGGTCCTGCTGTTCCCCGTAAATTGGAGCGCAACCAATCAAATTCTGCGCGACCCACGTCTGAGGTACCTCCTACTGCGGACCTGAATGCCATGAAGAGCAAAGAGGCATGGGAGATGGAGCGCCTTTTTAAAGCACGGAGCATGTACGGTCTCGAGCGCGAGGCCTCATCCTCTGCTCCCGCCCCCGCTCCTGCTCCTACCTCGAATGGGAACGATGTAAATGGTAAAAGTCATGGGTCAAGTCACACGTCATATACCGTGCAGAATGCTTTCCAGAACCACCACCAGCCCCCCCATTCACACATATATCATTCCATGCCTACAAGCCCTCCCGCCATCGTGTACTCGTCGGGATCACAAACACAGTCTCTCCCTCAGAATCTTAATCACATTAATACTTCTCCTTCATTCAACCAGAGTCCCTATACTGATTTCTTACCGCCGTCACGACCTAATCCTCTTCCTGAGCCCCCACGAGAATCGCCTTACCGACCAGCTCCTTTAGACGCACTTTTGGACTCTACGGCTGCCTCTGAATATTGGACTAAATATGCAGGGGTGACCACCGCACATTGATATGATACCCATCCTGCGTAGATAAGTTTTGCTTGCTTCCACGTTGCTAGGGCTAAGGCTTTTATATCTCCACTTCATTTTTATATATCATTTGGACTACCTGTATTACATCGCTTATTAACTGCATTTCGGGACCCTCGTGCTCACTTTCAATACTCGTACATCTTCATGAAATGTTTGACTATTTGTTTGGATTGCTAGCACTTACCATAAATATTTTGCATTATCACAATTGAGGTTTACATTTTAGACGTATGGTCGAGATAGATGCGTCCCTGAGAACGTGGGTTCACATCGTCCTTTTCAGCTGTTACCATGGTCCTTACGTTGAACTAGCATCCGTCTGCTACTTCAACTTGGCCCGATTTAAGGACCACGTGTTCGTCAATCGGAGCTTCTGGTGGCCAATTGTCTTCAGGAAACCACAGTGGCTAAATATGTCCGCAATGGCGTCTAACTGGACTACGTTCCATCGGCCTCTGCCAGAGGAACTCCGAGAGACATCTTCTTGCTAATTCTTGCTAGCTCAGTGCTCCCGTCATATTTCTATAGCTGGCACAGCCTACCAAGAAGAACCGTCCTCTCGGGGGCCATGCCTTTCATTCTAAGAGACTCGGCTAACTCGCGATTTCGGCATGCACGGAGCTAGTGTTCATTCTTTCAATACCAAACTCTCACTTTCGATGCTGACCCAAAGGCGGAAACCGTTTTTCGTAGCCTTCTTCGCGACTTTCTCCTCCCTGAAAGTATTGGCTATTGACGCTACGTGTTCGAATACTGCATACGACTGGGTGCGTCCCCGACGCCAAAAGGACAGCTGCTGTGGCTTGACTCTTGCTGCAGGCCTTTAACTCTCTATCGCAGTCTCCATGCCAAATTGCTACCGATTTGGGAGAAGTATGCGACAGCTGTACATCAATCGTTACTCGAGTCGTGTTCATGAGCATCTGACCTAGATCTCTTTCTTGTAGCATTTTCTATCCCAGCATTACCGTCTGGTTCGGTATATCGAGGCCCATCGGGGGGCGCCAGTCGCATGGAATGCAGGTGCAACACAGTGTATTACTCGCTCTTGTCCGTGTGCGCAGATTGCCAGGGAGGTGGCGTCACAATGTACGTCTAGCACGTTTAGTCTGTGAAGCCGAGGAAATTAAAGAACATCTAGATGGTCGACCTATAGTATCAATTGTACGAGCAAGTACAATATGTACGTGGGTTGAATACCACATTTATAGCCAAGGGTTCACTCATGTCCTGTAGATTTCCTCATGACATTCCGAGTGATACTGCTGTACCACATTGGGCTTATCTCGAACTCCTTGTGAGTATCTTGTCCCTGTGGTACATCATTGCAAGTAACGCTACATATTTGTACAGTCCAATGGCACTGTCAATATGGCAGCTGCTGAAACCGACACCGGCGCGGAAGCTACGGCGACTGCAACATCTTCCTCTGCATCAGTGACCCCCACGTCAAGCGTAGCTTCTGGACCTGAAACAACTAGCACGTCAGCTTCGTCCGAATCATCTAAAGATCTTGCGGGCGCTATCGCTGGGGGTGTTGTCGGTGGCCTCCTCGGAGTAGGCGCCATTATGATAGGGATCATTCTCTTCGTACTTAGGCGACGAAGGCAGAAGCGACTGGGTCGGCCGCAATACCCGGAGCCTATATATGTCGCACCGTCAAGCACGGGTCAGAAGCTCTACGTGAGCCAAGACTTTGATTCTTACTGAGAAGTCATCGCGCTAAACTTACTACCAGGATCCTAATGACCCAGCGACGTTCCCCATCTCGCATTCGCCTATGACTGCAGGGGAATACTCGTCGATGAATACACGATTCGAGGACCATCCATATTTTGTAACGCCAGACCAACAAACAGTGGGTCGTGGAAGCCCCGCGATGGCTTCCTACAGACCCTTAACACCCGCTCGAGATTATAGAGGCGTCCCAGAGATTGATGCCCCGTCTTTCAATCCCCATGCTATCAGTGGGAATGTTTCCAGATGACAATCTTTACGCCATTCTCTCGTTACTTAAGGACTACGGATTTTACTTTTATATATTCCTTCATTGTCACGGTATAATCATGTTCATCACACTTTGAGGGTAATCGTTTGGATTGTAAGATAATACATACATGCTATGGCAGGTGATAGGAAAGATGGTCATGAAATGCAACTAAGAAAACAAAACAAGAAAAAGAGGTAAAAAAAAAAAGGGAGTTTACGATGTCGCCTGATGCTTCATCGGCTCCAGTGGGAATGTCAGTTCTGGATAATCATCCCATACACCGTCTCCATCCAAAAAGCGCCTGAGGCGTGAAACTTGGGAGGAAAGATACATAATGATGATTTGCATCTTCACATCCGTAAGCTTCAGCCTGAGTATCTCTGTGCACGTCTTCAGTGCTTGAGATCGGGTACTGACAAACATGTTGCCAGCGAATCCCATCTCCTTGAGATTATCAATGAGTTCGCCGAATTCGGAACACCACGCCAAGACACCGAGCTATAAGGCATATAAGTAAACGAGATAGAAAGTATCTTTGACGACTTGCCTGTCCGTATTGCTTATATCTGGCGTACAATACATTGGGTGCCGCACTGAGTGCGAACTCAAAGGCCTCATTCTGAGCTATAACGTCTGGATCAGGCACATACGGTGTCCCAACACTTTGTGGCGCCTTATCATAACCAAAAATTAGCACATAATTAGCTGCGATACGAGAAATATTCGACGCACCGGCGGAGGTCTTTGTGGAACATCTTGGAACCACGCGGTTCCAGAATAATCCACTTCGCCACCAAAGTCAATGACTTCTCCTGTCTTTCCGTAAAGATCCATATTCAAAATGTGTTCTCTCGCCTCGGAAAAGACACTTTCAAGAGCAGTGGCTAAGAGATCAGTGGGGTAGTTGATACCAGTATCAGGATGAGTTCTCGGAATAAAGATCTGACGATCTTCTAAGAGAACGGGGTGTTTGAGAGATAGCTGTGGTGAAAGTAAAGGGTGGATATGTGTGTGGATTGAGATCGAGCAAAGGGTAGGAGAGGAACCAGGTTTCGCGCTTGCCGGAGATTCGTGGGGGAGTGAGGGTGATGATCCGGAAGGCTTAAGTAGAAGACTTGAATGGTCCTGCAATGTGGCATGAGTCATATGATAATTGTGATTGACACGAGGTGGCCACGCTTACCTGAGACGAGTGCTGCTGGTTTTCCTTTTCACTGGCCTGAGTATGTGAAGAAGGAGGACTGCGCAGAGACGGATTTCACAGATGAGCGCCGAGATAGTGATCTATATTGAATCAAAGACGACTGTGGAGTTGTTCTTCGAAAACTTGAATGTTTCAAGGTGAGTGAGCCAGCTGGTGACTTCGAGCGGGGAGAGAGGGGGGGAATCTGCCTGAAGAGAGGTATCGGCGAGGCGTGGGGGTATGGGGAGGGGTGGAGGTGACGCTGGGACCGCAGAGTCTTCTGGATCAGTCGAATCGTGACTGGGCACTCCGTATGGTGTGGGAAGGTTTCGGCTCAACCAAGAAGGCGAAGGGGGGATGAAGGATGTCCGTGCAGAAGGAGTACAGAGGTCAAGGCCAATACGCGGTGACGGTGATGCTGTCAGCTCAACCGGGTCGACCAGACAGTAGGTGATGACTGGGGGTACAGTCGTGTCAGGATTGTACTCCTCAGTAGGGATCGGTGGTAATGGCTTCTCGATAGAGATCGGTAACTCGTGCAAAGGGGAGAGGTTGGGCTGTCGACGTCTCCACTTTACCCGCTTGGTGAGCGATTTGAAGCGTTCTTTGGAAAAGATACTGTGTTTCTTGGGCGTCTCTTGAGCAGTGTCGACGGAAACAAAGGAAGAGGCACTGCGTGGCACGAAATTGACTACTGAGGTCGCGTCGGTGGGAGTGGGAATATGAGTAGGAGGGTCAGGAAAGTCGTCGAGAATGGGATCTGTACCCTTGTTCGTAGGAAAGGGGAAGCGCTGCCTTCGTCGCTTCTGTGAAGGAAGAATGGAAACTCGTGAATAGTTTCTGAGGCGATTGAGCACAGAAACGTTGTTCACGACCGAAGGCGGCGACGTGCTGTAAGGTGTCGCGGATAGGTCGTTGGGCTTGTCACTGTTCCAGTTAAGTATCAGTTGCTGGGGACTGTCAAGACTGATGGGAAGATCGGCGGCAGTCACGACGAAGAAACTGCTGGCTGCGTCGTCGTCGTCGGTGCCAGCAGCGGGCTGTATGCGATCCGGCCGACTGCTCCGGAGTGAGTTTCGCAAAGAGCCGCGAGGGCGTCTAGCAAATCTCGACTGGATGGAATTGAGCGACGCCGTTGTACCTCAGGAAGTCCAGCGAAAGGGACTCACAGGAATAGAATTCGAGTAAAGCTTACCTTTTGACTTGTTCTTGAGACTCAGACTCGTGCAGAACAGGCGGCGAATTGTCGATAACTGAAAAAATCGTAATTGGCCGTTTGCTGCCTCGTGGCCGCTCAGGCTGTCGATCATGACACGCGGAACGGATACCGTACTTGCTAGTTCTTTACTCTCTCAGATTACTTACAGGAAATGAATGAATGACGACAATACAGGTTCTGGAGTACAACGAAAGCAATCAGAAAGCGAGATAGAAGGCAAATGCCTCAGGCATACTCTACAAGTCAACAAGATTCGGCGTCTCCTTCCTTCCCCTCACCATCTCACGGAAATGAGCAAATCTCTCTTTCACCCAATCAACACGAAGGTTTCCCAAGTCTGGCCAGGGAATAACCGTAGTAAACCCACCTACAAACACGATTCCAATGAAAGCCATCGCACCATAGTCCCCCATAACGCCATACACCGTGCGTCCGCTGTTAAAAGGGTACTCAACGCCAACGCTACGCACCCAGGACCCTTCCCCAACTTGTGTAACTTCCGTTATTCCCCTACCCGATACGCCACTTACTCCGCCATGACCTCCATCGCACCATAAAATCGTGCTGTCTAGTTCAGCCGCACGCCGTTTTGCTTGTTCCCACATGGCCAGACCTACTGTAGGCTCCCATGTTCTGGCAGGAGCTAGTATAATCGCGGGTCTAGTATCAAGCGCAGCCAAAGTCCCGGGGATGGCAAAGTCGAGGCAAATGGAAGCCGTCATCGGAACGGGTCTCGTAAACTCGGGAGGAGGTGCCCAATCCGGCTTGCCCACGTCCGATGGACTCTTCATGTCCATGGTATAAATGGTCGCGGGTGTAGTAGAATGTACCAAAGAAAACGATTCGGCGACTAGGGATAATTAAGGCGTCAATACCGAGTGAGCGGTGGAATAACGTACCGGGGACAAGGTGTCGTTTGTAGTATTCCAAATGAGGCGAGGAAGACTTGTTGGAGACGACAACCATGCCATTTCGTCTCAAAAGGCTCCGACCAGTGACATCGGAAGGGTCACTAACAGACTCTTCAAAGGAGACTCCCACATGGGAACCCCGGATCGTCTCCTGTACTTCGGCTAAAGCTGCAGCCCGCTCAGATTCGTCCCGAAAGGTGACTGCCCCTTCAGGCCACAGCAAGACTTGAGCCTTCCCATCAAGCTTCCTTGTCTCCTGCAAATAATCCTCAAATCTCAACTGGCGACTGCGCTGCTTCGGAAGAATACAACCCACGCTGAACGGCGTGGTATCTGAAGAGTAGACAGGAAGCGCAACGTCAGAGATAATAAACGAGGGTATCGTCAAAGTGGCCAGGAAGGTTGTCAGACATACAACACAACGCCACGAAGGCATAGAAGGTGCTGCTGCTTCATCTTCTGAATTCGGACCGCGATTCCCAAGTAACGGTTCCTCTTCCCCAAGGGACTTTGAGCTCATAAGCCACGCTCCAGCAATTTCTGAGATGACGACCGCCCAAGCTGCGGCAATCCAATCATCCATTACCGGCCCTGCCCATTTCAACATCCAACTGTACCCCATGGTGTCAACAACCGGGGCCCACGCGGTGAGGCGTCCGATCGGACTGACAGAAGATACTCCCCACCATACAGCTGCCCATAATGCCGGAAACAACATGATCTGGGACCATGCTGGTGGCAGCCGTGATCTGAGTTTGGTGTGAATGTACAGAGTAGCCAGAGTTATGGCAGAGGTGATTAACCCTCCCAGGAAGAGGAGGGCAAGAGAAGAAACGGGGGAGGAAAGGGCATGAATGGCCGGTGCGAGCAAAACGATGAATTTGGCCACAGACAGATTAATCCACAAGAGTGAGGCCTGCTTGCCCGCATCCGGACAATTCACGAGCAGGGGACTGTAGACAAGAAGGGTGGAGAGGTGAAGTACAGCAGGAATGAGAGATGCTGAAGACGTTGCCAGTACTGCTGTGCCAAAAGTTAGCGTATTGAAAACCACATGGGGATGATCGATTAGAATGAGTCGGCGACCCGACATTGTCACCAATGGCAAAGAGGTGTTTAAAAACTTTGAATGTGCACTTGTATAAGCGTAGAGAGTAAGAAAAAGGCTGTTTGTGAGCCACGGAGTGCAAGCGCTTGACAGTCACAAGTAGTACTGGTGGTTGTCAGAGCCTGAGTCACAGTGCCTGAAGTTAAGCGCTGCGAAGTCTCAAGTATGCATCTGGGAAATCTTATCTGATAAAATTAGACGCCTGGCCCGTGCGCATCCTAAAGCCAATTAGATGTCCTCGATACCCGGGACTGCGGTAAAGCTATAACAGCAGCCGACCATTCCCTGGCAAAAACAGAACTCATATGGAGAAAACCTTAGAATCTAATCAGATTAATAATGGCTTCCAGGCCCCAGAGTCCCGATGAGTCTTGATAAGAAACAACATAAAAGACAGAGAGGAGACCTCTGGCCCCCCATCAACTGTGCATCCAACTCTTGATAATAGCCTTGACAATGGTGGGTATCCCTCCTCATCGCGAAGGTGGCCCAGCTAACTCAATGACAGCCTGAATCTTGCTCTTCGACCACCAAGGAGACTTGCTCCTACCCAAGCTGCGCTTGCGGCAACGACCCCACTAAGAACAAGGCCAACTGTGGCTCCACCACCTGCTCTTGCTCGTCGTACGCACCGGTCCAATCGCCTTCTTTTTTTCTAAACTGACGCTCTCTTTTCAGTTGCGGCTGCAAACCCGGTGAATGCAAGTGTTGAAGAAATTGACGGTCGAGATAAGATACATGCGTACAAGAAGAAAGGAAGATATGTCTGTATTGAATGGCTCGGAATTAGCCAACTATATATGCCTTTTAAGATGAGAATCACTCTCACGTCAGTATTACTGCTCGCCCATGGGTTCAGCGGCCGCAAAGGGGTCTACGGTATCGTCCATCAGCGGTCCTCCCATGAGAGTATCCGAAGATTCCAACTGCGTCAAGTCGTGTGATCCCTCCAACCCCAGCCCGTCCGGCCCAAAGCTGGACATGTCCAATTCCATCCCATCATTCCCGACATTGAGCTTGTCTACATCCTCGAGAGTGGAGTCAAGAGGCTTTAACGACGCATCAAGAACGTCTGCGGTGTCATCCATCGTCAGGTCGTCATTTGTGGGTGGTTCCAGTGAAAGTTGGGGGGCAGGTGAAGGAGGTTTTGTAGGCGGTTCTGTACTCTGGCTCTGTGTGACAGCTTCTGGTACCTCGGACCCATTTTGTGCTACTTCTGTGTTGGGTTTGTCGTCCTGTTCATCCTGTTCCCCTTCGTCATCGACATCAACGGCCTCAGGTTCATCGGGGAGAGGTGCCAGAGGTTCATCAGCGTCATGGTCATCTTCACTGAATTGCTGAAGCGATGTCAATAAATAGTAGCTGGAATAGAAAAAGAGGACATGCTTGTATTTTATCCGTCTTGACCCACTTGAACACCTTCAACGTTGAATTAACGGACTGACCCTCTGGCGTTACCCAGACTTTCTCCCAGCAAGGAACCGGCTGCATTAACTGGCGACGGGCAGCTTCCGTCGTCGCGTTGCTTACTCCAATCCTTCTTCGAGTGGACATAGTACGGGCCGATTTCACGTCCGAGGTTGAAGTAACTAGTAAAGAGTCGACTTCGACCACGTGGCATTAGCGCGCGTCCACTTCAAACTGGTTCAAAATACGAAATATGATGAATTGAATCGCAATATATACAGCTGCTCAATAATAGGGATACAAGATGAAATATTCCAGGTCAAATGACATTTATTATAGTTCTTCCGCCCAGCGAAGTACGTCTTCATTGCTCGGTCCACGCTCATCCTAAACAGCTTAGTCGCACCCAACCAAAAAACAATGGGAAAGCACGTACAGTTCCTGAGGGCTGAATGTCCGTGTGTTGAAACGCGGCGAGCGATAAGTTTTCGTTCATTTGAGACGAATTTTGCGCAGACGTCCGAAGCTCCGCCAGCTTGATTTCAAGAGAGTCGCATTTTCTGTTTCAAAATGTCAAAAGTAGAAGGAACGGCGAAGAGAGGTCGTACGCGTGAAGTGCCGCAGTTTCTTCTCTCCGAAGTTCCAATTGTCGCTTCATGATAAGCTCTAGATTACCCCTCGCCTATAGCCCTAGGTAACCAAGTGTCAGATGATTGAGGAGATGATGTACCTGGACAGGCCGGAGGTCATTTGCTGCAGCTAATATGTTTTGACTCAAGATAGATATCCAGTCGACATGACGCTTCCATTCGGGCTCCACGTTCTCACGAGAAGAGTTTGTCAGAGGCGGAGCGAGCAGAGCGGACGTGAGATATGAATATGTCACGAGAAGGGAACGCAGAACGGATAACAACGCCGGTCGTCGGTCTGCGTGACGAGGAGTAAATGCGATCATGAGAAATAAACCGAGCGAACGCACCAGCACTAGGATCAGAAGGGTATAACTTGCGTTATGCCTGCCTCCGCCAGTGGAGGTATTGTCTCCTTGACCTGTCTAATACGTGAGTAATGGTGCAGATAACGACGAGTATACTGTACGTACCGACCAACGGTCGCCAAACACGTCGTAGTAGGCGTCAGGCTCGTCAAGAATCCAGTCAACGCGTGGTTTCTCAAGTTGCTTCAATGGCCAATCTGGCACGTCCACCTGATCGGACAAGACCTCCTGTTGATTGGGGTTCTCCTCATCGGGCGCCCGTTCATTGAGTAGGGCTAATAACTTGAGATTATGGGTTGTATAGCGAGTATAGTGCGATGGCGGTGAGGGAAAGGGATTTCGTAGTTCAGCCTCGTCGTCGTCCATAACGAACCAGTGCGGTTTTCCCACGAGCTGCACGAGCGGAGTTGAACCGGGATCGAAAGATCGAGGAACCGGGATCAGAATCTCAGTCACGGAAAATTATACCACAACAAACTAAGACAAGTTCCAGCCGACTATAAAAGTGACTGAGAGATGGCCCTCTCTTTTCCCATCTTTCCTCTCCCCGCCTTTGTTGCCGGTATGTACATGCTTAGTGTCCACTTCTTCACATGCTTATCCGCGTTTCCAGTACATTATCTACCATGGAATTCTCGGGTCCAGCATTGAATGTTGACATCCCTAATCTCACTGTCCCTCAGTTCGTTCTTGACTCGCCTCATGAACTGCGGCCCCACAGGAAGAGCGATATACCCTGGTTCATCGAAGATGGCACTGGCCGTACACTCTGTCATGCCGAGGTGGTTCTCATTAACATGTCAGTTCCAGGGAGGCTAACATGCAGCAGGTCCACCAACGGACGCAGGGGCTCGCAAACGCGCTAAGTCTGAGATGGGGGCTGCGTAAGTCATCTTGATTCCCACAACAGCCATTGCTGATCGCGGATCTACTTAGCTGAGAATGATGTTGGTACGTCGCGCCTGAAATTCAAACTAGGCTGTCGCGTTGGAACTGAGACCGTCCAGTCTGCATCTTTAGCCCTAACCACATTTGTAAGCATCTCCTTTCCGCCGCGCTCGAACGGACTTCTCATCGTTTTCCCGCAGATTATCCTATCTCTATTTGGGCTGTCCATAGGTTGGGGGGTATCATAACGTAACAGTCTTCCATCTTTAGTCCCCGACATTTCATGAACGTCGTTGCATAGACCCGCCAACCCTAGCTATACGGTCGATGAACTCATCCACCAGCTACAAACTGCCAATGCCAGTGCCATCATTGTTTACTCTGCTTTCCTACCCACCGCTATGGAGGCCGCTCGCACTGTCGGCATCCCAAAGGACCATATTGTATTAATAGATGGTCCGGGCAACAGCACCTATACCTCCGTCGAAAATCTGATGGAATACGGCAATAGCAAGCCAATAAACTTTACCGAACGAAAATTAAACCCCGGAGAATCAAAGACGAAACTCGCATTTCTGTCCTTCTCTAGCGGAACGACCGGTGAGTGTAGCAATCCCTGCAACTTGCGGCTCGAAATTGACAAGGTATTCAGGAAAGGCTAAGGTGATCCACATGACCGTTTCATTGTGTTCGCCCCTGAAACTTGTAACAGGCTGTCGAAATACCTCATCGGTCTATCGTATCGAATGTCTTGCAAAACACCGCTCATATGAGCGGCGAAAGAGATCCTCACAAGAGGATGACGCCCGGAGATGTTTCGCTAGGAGGTATGTTCATTCTACATCTACGCGATTCATTGATTTCATGAATCTGCCAGTCCTACCATTCTACCGTGAGTTCGCCTATGTCTTGGAATTAAACTCCATCTCATAAGACGTAGACATCTATGGACTTATTGTTACAGTGAGTGTAGAATACTTTACCACCAGAGTGTAAACTGATAGTCAATCTTAGCTCCATTACGCCCTATTCTCTGGAGTAAGCTTGTTTTACGAGTCACTGCTAAGGTCATGCTCATGAACGACAGTTATCTATTGTTGTAATCCCAAAATTTAGCTTCAAGGGATTCTTACGGAGCATTCAGCGTCACCGAATCACCCATTTATTGTAAGCTTGAAGTACCATTCTTTGATACTCCGAATGACTCTGTTTCAAGTGTTGTTCCTCCACAAGTTGTACTTTTATGCAAGGTGTGTCGCGCTCCTCAATCGTGCAACTGGGAACGTGTTATGAATGTTGTTTTTTTAGTATCCTGCTATTGGAGATCATGACTTTTCGCATGTCAAGTTTCTAATGTGTGGAGCTGCACCATTGTCTGGAGATCTATATGTGCAGCTTGCAAAGGTTTTCCCGAATGCCATGATTGGTCAAGGATATGGTTTGTCATTATGCTGGGTTCGCATCTGACTGCTGGCTAAATGATGACGGCAGGTCTCACGGAGACCGCTACATCTGTTGTCGCAATGGATCCTACCAAGTTGCACGGAACGATTGGAACTGCAGGTCAACTTTTGCCTGGCATTGTCGCGCGCGTCGTTAAAGCAGATGGGTCGTTGGCGCGAGAGGGCGAACAAGGAGAACTTATCGTTACAGGACCTTCTATGGCGCCGCGATATAAGAACAACGAGGAAGCGTAAGTCCAACTGTTGGCACTCCTGATTCTGAAGCTCACGGAAGCAGGACGAAGAGTACTTTTGTTAACGGATGGGTCCATACTGGAGATGAAGTTATTATCCGGAACAACGAGATTTTCGTTGTAGACAGGCTCAAGGTAGCGTCTCGTTTGATCATCAGTTCATGGGTGTTAACCTCCTTGTGCAGGAAATGATGAAGGTAGTGACGATTCCTCTATAACCGGATTGTACTCTTATACGTGGTGACAGGTCAGAGGGTTCCAAGTTGCGCCAGCTGAGCTTGAAGGCCATCTTCTGCTACATCCCTTTGTGGGGGATTGTTGTGTGGTCCCAGTACCGGACGACTATAGCGGTGAACTACCGTTAGCGTATGTAGTCCTAGAACCAGGACTACGAAAGCGAATCGGTGCAAATCCGAATGAGATACACAAGGTCAAAGCCGCGCTCATCAAGGCAAGAGTGATAGTGTCTTCTTCATTACGTATAGCTGATTGTGTTCCCAGCATGTTGCCGATTCAAAAGTGCAGTACAAATGGTTGGCTGGTGGCGTTGAATTCATCGACGCTATCCCAAAGAATCCATCAGGGAAAATAGTGAGTTTCAAATGATATCATCGATTGCTGTTCTCTAACTTTTGCGCTTCCAGCTTCGACGAGTGCTGCGTGAACAGGCTAGGAAGAGGAAAGCTGTAGAAGTACAAGCTAAACTGTAAACCCGCATCTATTACCACAATTGTATACCAGTTCCGCTACGATATTCCCCATTTGGCCGATGTCGCCGGCATTTATAAAAAATTTGAACCTTTGTACCGAAACGCCATGGTGCGCCGTATAGCATCGCAAGTGCACCAGCAGGCGCTGCGTCTTATGAAAGGCAACCTCATTGACCAACCAGTATGGCTTGGCTCTGTTCTCCAGTACCCACCTTTGCCCCTTCCTCCGAAAGTGCCTCCTCCACGAACCTCTTTTGACTCGGCAGCTCCCAAATCGACTCGACTTGCAGGGACTACCCAGAAACTACGAGCACCAAAAAATAGACCGTCATCCATTGTCTACATCGAGGATGAAATTCGCCGCCGGTTCTTCCGTGACCATCCCTTTGAGGCCTTCCGACCTGTGACGCTGACCGAACGCGATGCGATACGGGAGCAGCGTCCTGTGCAAGGACGTGATTGGCAGAGACTGAGGCAATGGGGACGGAATCCTTCACCAGAAGAGTACGCTGTAGCATCTCTGTCCTGATGTCTAAGCTAACCATAACCAGTGCCATACGATTTGCCGTCAACCTGTACGAACACCACAATCTTCCTCTAACATTCGCCTACACGCGCGCAGTCGCCCAGTTCCGTGCTCTACGTTCTGAACACCACGTTGCACGCCGATTCGCCGTGCTGGAAGTTGAGAGCTACGGACGGGTGTTCCCAACGTCGCAAGTGCAGCTTGGGTTCGAGAAGGAGAAGAAGGCACTGGATACCTGGGAAGAAGCCTCGAGTATGGATGCGGGAGAGTTTGCTTCGAGGAAGAGGTGGAGGTCTATTGCAGCTAACTTTGTTGGTGGTTCGCAGGAGTGGACGAGAGGCGAGCAATATGCGGCGTTGTGGAGGAAGGGTGCCAGACCTACGTATGCCCCGGCACTTACAGAGGTCAAGTATCCGTCTATGTTGTCGCCAACACCAGAGGCAACACCACAAGTTGCAGCTCCACAGGCAGCGGGAGCAGCTCACACACCCACACCAGCAGCTCGACCACAACCTGTATACAATAGAACTGCCTAACAATGGATAATTCTTACTGAAGTCGCAGAAAATGAATATGTATATAGGACATGTTGTGATCATGACTTTACGCGAGCTTGGGCTGCCTGTGCAGCGTTCATACCCATCCACGCCTTCTCCACCAAGCCCAGCAACTTTTGCATATCTGAACTCCAGTCATTCATCACATCCTCCGGACTTCGTTGGCTTCTAAAGTTGACAATCCCAGATGGTCGATCAATCCGCGCCCAGACTGTTTTTGAAACGACTAGCCGCGCGAGGGTTTCTTCTGTCTGTTTGGGTGTCAGGTCCAGAAGAGAGGTGAGTCTTTGCAAGGTTATCCGAGTATAATACTCGGCAACAACGCGGATATTCTGTCAAATCAAAATTGGCCTCAGTTTCACAGCAATGGATGAAACCACTAACGTGTTCAATAACCCGAGTGTGAAGGTCTTCCCATCGCTTCTCTTCGGAGAAGACTTGCGTTTGGCGGAGGAATTCGCCATACAGTGTTTGGATGCCGGGCCACCGCATTAGCTCATGTGTCGTGAAGCACTTTACAAGGTTACTATTCGAACATGAATAAAAGTGCCGGCGTTGATTCCAGAAACACCTACTAGTGAAGCTCCAGTTTCAGCAGAGCGGGGTCATTGAACATACGGTGCAGCATATCAGACTGTTCGTTATTATGAGGAGCAAGGATGACATAGTAGATGATATGTTCAAGGGCCTGTCGTTACATGAGAAGCGCGTACAATGCCAATAGAGATGTCACATACCGCTTTGCCTTTATCGTTCACATCCTCCTTTATTGAAGGTGTTTCCCAGACCTTGTAGTAATAATTTGCTACATCAAGATAAGCGGTTTGGTGTAACGCATGTTGGATCATTAGGTCATAGTATTTGAGTTTCAGGTCCTAGGTAAGAGTTTGTGAGCAGGTTGTGAAGTTCAGCATATGTTCCTAGTACCTCGTTTTCCTTTTCTTTCAAGAAGCCTTCATTAACTTTTCGGCCACCTACTCTGACCTTCACCCACTCTGATTCTCCGCCGTTGGAACTCTCCGCATCTTTCCGTCGCGCGACAGCAATGAGCAGCCGCATTTGCTCGAGGAGAAACTCGGTCTTTTCTCTCCGTTCCATCGATGAATAAGTCTCAACTTGTAAGTCTGACAAAAGCTCCGATGCAGTTTCGAGGGACTTCTTGGATTCATCAGGATTTGTAGCAGCGATTGAAAGACCTTCATGGTAGTGAGCGAGAAGGAGAGTTACTCTGGCCCGTGGTGTTTCTAGGAAGATCTACGAACGAATGAAGGTTATAAGGAATCTTGATTATGGAGAACTACCCACGCACCTTCCCTTCAGTAACAGTCCTCAACGTTTCGACCAACTCAAGCCATTTCTCTATGCCTTGTTTCTTCTTCACATCTTCTAACCACCCCATCGCCTGCTCAACCATGGCTTGAATAGCTGCTTTTAGTTGGCCATGTTTCTTGCTCAGCAATAGGATGCTCGAGTTTAGCAGAGTAAAGTCCGTGGCCTGGTAACAGTGTTCAAGGACAGCCTTCACGAGTCGCGTTGTCGATGCAAGATCTGCAGCCTGGTGGAAATCAATAAACTGGAATAGAGGTATAAAGAAGAGGTTTTTACATTCCGTGTTTGCTTTTCAAGAACGAAGAGCTTGTCGAGCGCTGGCTGTAGTTGACCAGCCTATACAGACTTCGGTTACTTACCCTTTGAAGCGATGAATCTAGACAATGCCATACCTTGGCGAGCGCTTCTGCCTCGGGAAGCAGAACATCTACCTCAGGAGTGAAATCCTTTTCTTGCTTCTTGTTGTCGGACATGATGTACTTCCACGAAGCGGTCTGGTCCAAATGACGCGTCGCGGTAGTGTTTGTTCCTGTTGTCTTCGAAAGGCTTTGAGCCCAGGAGAGAACAGGCACTTCGGGATTCGCCGACAGTAATTCAGCTCTTCTGTTTTCCTCCATTTCAAGGTCCTTTGATAACGGGTCAGGTTTCTCTACGGATTTAATATTCTCTTTATTGCGAGTATCATATTCATAAATGTCCTAATCGTGCATAATAACATATATGAGCATATAGACGGTCGTAGTAGCGAAATCATGAACGGACTTGAATCGTGTTCAACGGAATATCGGTTGATGGCGACGGAGCGGTCTCCTCTTTTTTCTGGGCCTCCTTCCTCAAACGAGCTCTCTCAAGTGCCATGTGGATAATCCTCGATGGGACTGTTAAAGGGAAGAATACGACCAGTTTCCATGCGATGGAAACAACGTCGGAGAGATGGATATTTGCCAGGCCAGAGCGTATGGAACTGGAACGAACAGAGGGTGTTTTGTCAATTGGTGCAGATTCCTCGACCAGAGCTTCAACTGATTTAGAGAAAGTTGGCACCGTGGCATCCACTGCACTCTCTAGGGTGGATACAGTAGCTTCCACAGACTGATCTACTGTCCTGGGCAACACCTGGATCGCAGAGTCGAGTGTCTCTGGAATGGCGCCGATGGAAACTGAGCGCATCCGTGGCTCAGCGTCCACCGTGCGGTCGACCAAGACGGGGGAAAACTGCACAGCAGTCTCTGTAACGGCTGGCTGCACCTGTATCTCACATTCCGTCGTCGCAACCGTGGCGTTAACACCCTTTTCGACATACTCAAGTTGGAGTACCTGACTCTCGACTCTGTCGATGGCGTGGGTAGCGAACAGTCGCTCTGATAAGCGAACGTTTTGAAGATGGGGGAGAGCTTCCGCGACTCTTTCCCAACCTCGTGCATTTGCCTCGACGTACCCAGGCCGGTTTTTCTCGTGGAACCACTTCAACGTCTCCAGATGCGGGGCAAGGTGGCTAAGCAGGATGGTGACGTGAAGGGTGTCCCCTACCCACGAGTGGCCTACATGAAGACGCAGGAGCGATGCAGAAGATGCCTCGCGTGAAGACAAGACTTCACCCGTCCCGTGTTTGGCGTTGACGACCACCGAGAGTGTATGGAGTCTTGGACAATTGGCCATCAAGGGCGCCAGATCCTCCAATGTGATACTGGGTGGGCCAGTAGCAATCGGGAAGCGGGCCAATGGGCACAGCTTGAGTTCTTCCACCATTGGACAGACCGTTGACACATGCCGGATGTCATGTTTGGTGAATAGAGTAGACTCTGGAAGGTCAATTTCCAGCCGCAGGAGGCAAGGGAATAAAGTGAAGTAGCCGAGGGGTAGACGTTTGGGAGCCTCTGCCCTTGCAGTCGACCTTACAAGCTCGCTGTACCGCGACGATCCGCTGCCTGAAATGCGCAATGACTGCAAGGTCGTACCAAATCGCTCTGAAATGAGCGCTGACAAGTCCTGCCAGTCGGCGATATCTGGAGGATCCTCGATGACGAGATCAAGCTGAATGAGGGTACTGCGCAGGTGCCTCAAAAACACCGCGATGTTTGAAACCTCTCCAGTCAGTTGCAACTGTCGAACCGTCGCAAAAGAACCTTTGGATCGTAAATCCCCGGTCAGCCGGAGCGCAGATTTACGGTGGTCCGAAAAGTCGAGCTCTTCTCCCGAAAACACACCGCTGTCTGTAGTCATGACAGAGCTTGGCGTCGAATACCCTGAACGCGGCGATAGCTCCTCAAAGAAACCTTCTACTGCAACGACACCCCTCCCAGAAAGATCCAGTTGTAGGACTTTAAGGTCCTCCAAAGAAGCAAGCCATCGCCCAACTCCTGGCGACAGCGCACCGGGAGCCACAAGAACTACTTTGCAGAGACTCTTTTGTGGCAGCAAAAGCTCTGTAAATGCGTCGGGTAGGGGTGTTGGGGAGATGAATGAAAATTCCTTCAATGTGATGCGACTCGACATGTCGGTAAGGAAGTGGTTCAACTCAGGGAGCCGCGTTCCAATTTCGAGAGAGAGACTTTCGAGCTCCGGGTTGAGGAAGAGAGAGCAGCGTTCCAGCCCAGCTGGGCTCTCGATCTTCCATACGAGCTGCTGAAGGTTGGGCAGGATAAACGTTCGCGGACGATATTGTTCGAAAATAGGGAAAATGGAGGCGGCAACGTTGTTTATCGCTTCATTGTATGCAATGCGACGGACTCGCTCGCCGTACTGTAGGATTTTCGACCAGTCTTCTTCCGTTGGATTCTTAGTCTGTTAGGCGTGGACATACTTGTTAGCGTCTCTGTCAAGCCATGCCGAAACATTGACCCACCAATCCTAGCCCTGGTCTTCTGGTCTTCTTCAGGAGAGACGACGGGAATAGCCCAATAATGGGTATCAAGGAGTCCAGTTCTCTCCATAGTACATTCAACGCCGGCTCGCACATCGCCTTGCATGTTCTCGCCAATCTCGACACAGAGCGCCTTCCGCCTGGTGTGTCGAGGATAGCCTCAAGAAGCTTTTTCGTTACTTCTGGGTCTCGGAGGATGATGGGAGCCATTATCTGCTGGTAGACGGAGTACGAACGATACGAGGAGCTTCGACTGTGTTTTCCCTTCCCTTTCAATGAGCTGTGGGTGCTGGCGATGCTGCGAATACTTTCACGAAGGCTGGTACGGCGACGAAGGGATCCGAGACTGTGAAGGACGTCGGATAGCACTGAACCAGAAGGCATATGAGAAGCGTCTCTGGGGCGTCAAGTACTTAAGACAAACCGCGCATGAAGTACACGCACTGTGGGGCCTGTTTACTGGCGTTGCACGCGCAGGAAGCCCACAGTAAGATGACGAGTCGATCGAGGACTTGCTGCACCGATTGATTTGTACGCGGCTTCGTGTTGGAATCGGACACGAGGATCCAGGATGGATGCCGATGAGAAAGTTACGAGTATCTGTAAATCAATTCACCTTCGACGTAACAGTCGAAGCGCAACAATGTACGTAGTTAATTTGAGAAACAGAATATCAGTTTCAAAGGTGAGTAGCGGTCGAAACCCTTAGGATGGTCAGACTTAGGCAAACTCGTGTACTACGTGTGTTGCACTGGCGATTAAACACGAGCTTCAATACTGCGCAACGTGTTGATTGAGGGTATCTTTGAATACAACACAGTCCTCCGAGTAACTGAATAAAGAAATGGTACAGAATGCACTACAATTCTCCAAGCTCCCATGGCACCGGTTCACCTTGCCAATCGTCCTCACCTTCATCTGCCACAGCCACCTGTCTGTCGCCATGCTCATCCTCCCCAACATCCCAAATCTCGCCACCTCTCGACGGGTCGTAATGATCCGCTCTCCGTCCATATAACAGCCCCTCCACAACCCGGACCTCCTGATAGTCGCGCGCGCGCAATTCATATGGCGAAAACGCCAAAACATGAAGAAATCTGTCGGGAAGATCGACATCAAATCTGCCAGTGTCCTGTCCATCACCCACGTTCTCGATCTGCGGGTGGGAGGGGGCATCAAAAGTATCGTCTGCGTCAGCATCTGAGTTCCGCCCCGAAGTATCTTTACGAGGTGAGCTATATGTTCGACGCACAACTCTAATTTTTTCGTTTGGCTCTTCGTCGTTGTCGGAATTTAATGTGGTAGTGGTAAACTTTGCCTTCTTCCGTCCATTGCTACTGGTTGCTTTTCCCTTGCCTTTGAAGACCCCGTGGCTCCTCTTTGAAGCATCAGGTGGCGGTGGAGAAGGAGGAATGAGGGAAGGAGCACGGTTGGAGGATGAAGACTCGGCTGCGTCTGCATCAGATAATACACGTTTCCGGGGTTTGGGTGCAGCGATGTTGACAGGCGCATGTGTGCTCTTCTTGGTGGGTCCCCGAGGCTTTTGATAGACATTGGAAGAAGCTGCAGAGTTGGGAAAGGGCTTCCCGTTGGTTTTGCTGTCATGGTTTACCTTGGGATTTTGCAGACCTTTCCAGTCCATCCCGTCGCCGAGTGATGAGAAGACATCTGAGGAAGAATGATCTGTCCTTGAGTGGGGAAATAGCGATTTAGGCTGTTTCGTGTCGTCGAACAGCAACTTGAATCCATTCGAGCCTTTAATGGGGGAATCGTCGACAAATGATAAGTTTCCGACATGAGCGTGGTCTTCATCAGATGCCGAATCTTCTGTACGTGAAATTGGAATGTTATGCCCAGAAGCTACGCGCCGGCGCTTCTCTTTACTGGGAGAAGGAGAAACTGGTTCGCCACGCAAGCGTTTGCGCGCTCGGGCAATAGCACTCGTTGGCTCTGGTATAGCGCTTTCCGTAGGGAATATCAACGGCTGGAAGGGGACAGCGGGAAGCGGGGACACCTCTCGGACGGGTGCACGAGATTTAACTTTGGAGGGTGAAGCAAACGGATTTGATCGAAAATCATTGTTGACCGGAAGTACCGCCTTCTGTTTCCCCTTATTCTTCTGCGGAGAGAAGGGATTGAAGGTAGAGAGAGGCGCCGTGGTTTCGCTGGCTCGGGCCTTGGGCAGTAAACGCGACGGTTCGTGTTTTTGTGACTTCGATGGAGTAGTGGGTGTATAGGAGGATACTTTGGCAGAGGAAGCCTTGCCTAATGCCTTATATAGCTTGTACTTGGTCTCTGCGACTTGGTCAGCTTCAGTTCCACACATGAGAGTCGTGACGCACCAATATCCGGATGCTCCTTGATGTCCTGGACCTGCGCTGACCGGCCATGCTTTGACTTAAACTCTCGTTCCCATGCTTTGATCTCTGCCTTCACTGTCGCAAGGTCTGACATTGTAGATATGTTGTCGAGAAAATTGCGATGGCAGCGAACAATGGGCAGAGACAAAGTGGAATACGACGCGACGGTCACGTTACTTGTTTCCGAGTAAACAAGACCAAGCCGAACGCGGCGATTGGCTGGGTGGCGTTGTCCAAGTTGCGCAGAGTTTCTTCATCACCCCTGCAGATACCCTTGGCCTTTCCCATCCTCTGTCACTGTCTATTCAACATCTACCATGAATCGACCTAGAGAAAGCCTTCTCACCATGTTCGACCCTCTGTTTGGTTCTGTCTCTCAGCAGAATGGTGGCGATAGTTCTGTTGAATTGGATGATTACGACTCGGAGAAGGAGAATAACATGCCATTGGGAGATGTAACGATGATATCGTTTTTCAATGGAGCCCTGAAACCCAAGGCCTGCCCACAGCCTGCCCCGCTCAAGCGTCGTCTTGTTGATATTGGAGATGTCACAGTTGACAGCACATTGCTTATGAACGAGGTACTGGAAGAGATTGGAGAGGACGAAGAGTCAGAAGATGAGAATAGTACGATTATCTTGGGACCAATTGGCAAGACTCCAATGGCTCCAAGTAGCGTAGAGATCGTTGCGACTCCTCGTTTAAATCCTCGCGCACCGTTCGCTGAACTTCGAATGGAACGGGAGGTTACGCCCGTAGCTCACAAGCGTTTGCTGACTCGTCAGAAGCAGCACACCAACCCCACCACTGCCAATGACTCTGCGGCCCAACCACATTCTTCGCTTTCTTCTCTAATCGATGCAGTCACTTCGGCAGGCGTTTCTTTCGCGGGCTCGAAGCCGACTCTCTCGGAGGCCTGGCCCAACGTTGTCCCTGTTTCTCCAAAGGTGTCCGAAGTCACTATCATATCTCCATTTCAGACCTCTCCAACGAATATCCCTCTTCCATCATCACCAATTGACGTGAGTGAGCTTGATGCCCCTACCCCTCGTCCACGAAAACCGCCGCCGTCTGTGCGCGACCATGATCGCCGGTCTCTGGATCTACATGCCTCTTTCCAGCTTCAGTTCGGCTCGGCAGAATCAAGTTTTGATTTGCTGACCGACAAAATATCATTCCTTTGTTCACGATCCCATGACTTTGACATCACTTCGGGAGATGAAGATGAGAATGTGAATATGAAAAATGTGCTAGTATCTGCAGGTAAAGTGACGCTCACAATCAGTCTGTACCTTCGTCTGATCATCTTTTTAGGTGGAGATGACATCGTCAACGTCGCTGCCAACATTCCTTTGCCGTCGCAGGACAGTCCTGAGATCAGTAAGTCAAATTTCATTTGAACTCCTTTCCTCGACTGACATTATGGAAGGGCATATCTATTCGGCGACGCATGTCCAATCCCCCAATACCACTGATTCTCCATTGCCTGTCTTTACGCCGAAGTCGTACACTCGTAAGTTTCAGTCTCTAGCGAGGCGTACGTTTTGACCAAAAACTAGCTACCCAAGCCATGGTTCCCGAAGACTTGCCGCAGGACGACGAGGTCTTTCCTTCGACTAGAGATCCCTTGGTGACCCCAGCTCCGTCCAAGAGCCTTCATCCTGTCGTACCACCTCCCATTCAGGCGCTACGCATTGTCAAGCGGACAAAGAATGCGGCAGCAGCAGCGCCTCCTCCGGATCGCCGTTTGTCCAGGCGACCTCCAGCTCACAACGAGAAGAAAACGTCGCTTCCAATTCAATCAGACATACCTAATTCGGCCCAGATAGGCGAATCTGAACACCATGCTCCTGTTGTTGCACCGCACAAGCCGGTATCAAGCGGTTCATCTTCTGGCCCCCGTCGTGTGCTGCTGGCTGAGAGTAAGGAAGTGCCGCGCAAGGCTGGAGGAGTTGGACACATGCCAAAAAACAACAGACCCAAGAAAGTATTGCTATCTGACGCAGTTGCGCAGTGGGGTCATATGCAGCCTGCAAAAGCAGCTGATCTCAATGCTGTCCGGGACGCCCTCAAGGCAATTGGTACCGGGAAGCCCAAGGCACCAGCGAGGGACGTGAAATGTGTTGTTCGACCTTCAGTCAATGCTCACGTTGGGCAGAAGGAGAGTCGGCCAGCATCTACCATCCCGCGTCCAGTATCAAGTACCTCTAGATTGCCTGCTCCCGTTTTCGGTACCAATAGAGCAGGTGCTGCAGCTGGAAAGGTGGCTAAGCCAGGCGTTGGGCTTCTTCGCCGAGTTGGTACTGGACTCTAACTACATCTCCCTGCCTCATTCTTTGCCAGCATATCGCTTTCGTGTGTCATCATCTCTGCAAGTTCTCGAACTCCAGATCATCACATATCTACTCACAGTCCAATACGTACTCCATCACTTGTAATCTATATACGCAACTGTGCATACAGGCGTTTCAGCCCTCAGCTTGACGAAGATCTGACTCAGAGGCTATTTCGTGTGGTCCAAGGTGTCTGGTTCAATGTTCCTGGGCCCGATGAATTGCCTACTATATAGATAAATAACTATTGGAAGCAAGTTCATCAACAGTTCATTAGCAGCTATGCCTTCTTTGAATACAACTTCCATAATAGATCAAGCACCCATGCCCTTGGTAGCCATTTGAACACCCAGAAGAGAAAAGCATTTCCTCCAACAGAGATGTAGGGAGGAGGAGGCTTTGCCAATGCTTTGTCCACAATACGCTTGGAAAATTCCTCGTTAGACATGGACGATTTTGTTTGGCTGGCATGCATTCTCTCCATAATGTTGGGAAGGAATGCGGTATACAAACTGTTCTCTGGCAGGCTAAACCATTTCTCCTGATTTCTGGAGAAGTTGGATGTAACAGAACCGGGAGCCACGTGCATAACATTGATTCCAAGCGGACGACACTCCATTGAGAGCACCTCGCTAATGTTCTGGACTGCTGCTTTGGAAGATGAATATGCTCCGTGCCAGGGTGTCGGGCTAAATGTGAAGATCAGTATGCATCTGATGGGCGGAAAGACGCCACCTACATCTCTCCAACGATGGAACCTGTTAATTCAGTAAGAGCCGGAACATCTTTAGAGGTTGTAGAACCCACCTATATTTACGATAACTCCGCTGTGTCGTTTTGCCATGATGGGAATGACGGTCTTGCATATGCGTATCACCGAAAATGTGTTGGTATCGTAGGTGCGTTTGATTATGTCCATGGACTGGTCAATCAAAGGACCTATGCTCCTGAGTGAGCGTGATAGAGCCATAAAAGAACTGGTGTGTACCGATAGCTGGTATTGCTGCATTGTTGACCACTATGTCAATCCTACCCTCCACACCAGCTACGTGCTGAATAACTCGCTGAACGTCATCATCACTCGTCACATCCAAGGCGAGGACTTCGATGCTGGGATCCTTGAAGCCTTGCACAGTCTCCGCATTTCGCGACGTAGCGTAGACCTTGCATCCCTGCTGAGCAAATTGTTCACATCTTGAAAAGATAGGTCAGCGCTTCACTGAGTTAACTAATGACGCAGACCCACAATGCAAAGCCTATTCCCCCAGTAGAGCACCCCGTTATGATAACTACGCGATTGCTGGGCATTTGTGTGTTGGGACTACCGCTAAAACGTCAGAGCAGGGTAAGGGTCCGTTGATACCGCAAGCATTCAAGATCCTCCGACAAATAAGACGCCTGACGTAAAGAGCTTGTTCGTTTGCGACGAAGTCCTTCGAACTGCAAGCTGAGCCTCAGAACCGAGCATCACATGCACCTCGGGGGTAGTACTAGCGTTTTTACCGCAAAGAAATGCATTTTGGAATTACGATTTCACTTTCTAGTCTGGGCCAGGAAGATATTATTGTTGGCACAGACGACCTCAGTGGATATGGGAATTGGATGACTGAAGACGCCTGAGCCTGAGAGGTACGTCAGAGCTTGGCAAGGGCACCCCAGAGAAGACCCCGCCAAACAATGTACGACATTGACGTGGAACCCTACTTTCAGTATCGCACTGCTCATCCAAGAGCAAAATGCGCGCTGCCGGGCTCTTTGGGGTCCTATTCTTCACCTTCCTGGCCCCCAATGTCCTCTCAGTAAAAACTAATGACTTCAAAACATGTTCTCAGTCCGGATTCTGTCGCCGAGGACGCGCTCTTTCAGCTCGTGCAAAGGATGCCTCGTCATCTTGGAAATCCCCTTATTCTGTTGACGCATCATCAGTCTCGATACCGCCTAGCGAAGCAGTGGTGACTGCTGCAGTCAAGTCATCCTTATACCCTGAAATCAAGTTTGAACTGGAAGTGCGAGTGCATAAAGATGGTGTTGTACGAGTCCGCATGGACGAGAAGGACGGTCTACGGAAAAGATACGACGAGGCCGCATCGTGGGCATTAGTAGCGGAGCCTGTGATCAGCAAGGATGTTCAGTGGACGGCGGGGAAGAAGGATGTACGTGCTGTATACGGCGATCTATCGGTCGTCATTGCATACGAGCCTCTACGCGTAACACTGCTACGCAAGGGCAAAGAACAGGTCGTTCTGAATGGGCAGGGCCTTTTGCACATGGAGCATTTCCGTACCAAGGAACCCCCTCCCGAAGTGCAGGCAGGTGAGGCTGGCGAGGAGTCTCAGGCCCCCATAAAGGCAGAGAATCCTCGCGCTTGGTTCGAAGGTGAAGAAGAGGATGCATTCTGGGACGAGAAATTTAACTCTTGGACGGATTCCAAGCCAAAAGGTGAGTTCATAATTACTCAGAATTTGTGTTTCGCTGAATTGTGTTTAGGTCCTGAATCCCTTTCATTGGACATCACGTTCCCTAACCACGGGACTGTGTATGGTATCCCCCAGCATGCTACTCGTCTGGCGCTGCCTAGTACCACAGGAGATGACGCGACCTTCAGTGATCCATACCGATTGTACAACGCTGACGTGTTTGAGTACCTTGCTTCATCTACTATGTCTCTCTACGGCTCCATCCCCGTTATGCATGCACACTCTGTGGATTCAACCGTTGCTATTTTTAACGCCGTCGCGTCCGAGACTTGGATTGACCTACACCATCCCACCTCCAAGTCTTCACACTCCCACTGGATATCCGAATCTGGTATTATGGACGTATTTATCCTTCCAGGACCCACCCCCGAAGACGTATTCTCTCAGTATGCTCGCCTTACGGGTAATACGCCACTACCTGCCCACTGGAGTCTTGGATACCATCAATGCAGGTGGAACTATGTGAGCACAGACGACGTCCGCATGGTGCAGAAGCGATTCGACGAGGAGGATATGCCCGTTGACGTTTTCTGGCTCGATATTGAATATGCCGAGGAACACAAGTACTTCATCTGGGAGGAGAAGACTTTCCCGGATCCAGTTGAGATGACGAACGATGTTGCTGCAATAGGCAGGAAGATGGTTGTCATCATTGATCCCCACTTGAAGCGTACCTCTAACTATCCAGTTTATCAAGAGGCGTCTGATTTGGGAATTCTTGTCAAGCCGAAGAGCGGTGAGGGTGAATATGAGGGTTGGTGTTGGTCGGGTAGCAGTTCTTGGATTGATATGTTCAATCCCCCGTCTTGGGACTGGTGGAAATCTATTTTCAAATTCAAAAGAGACAATGGCTGGTCGTGGACTAACAGCACAGATGCTATTCATATCTGGAACGACATGAACGAAGTAGGCCGTCTATCCTCTATTCTGATTATCCGTTAACCATTCGTCAGCCGTCGGTCTTTAATGGACCAGAAATTACGATGCCTAAAGATAACATTCACTACGGAGGATGGGAGCATCGTGATATCCACAACATCAACGGAATGCTTTTCGTATGTGTCTCATTGCTATTGCCATAGCAAAAACTCACGCCGGCTGTAGCATAATCTTACTTCTCAAGCTGTTGCAGAGCGCACCGCACCTCACAAGCGTCCTTTTGTATTGACTCGTTCATTCTTTGCGGGCTCTCAACGTTTTGGAGCCATGTGGACCGGCGATAATCTTGGTACTTGGGACCACATGACAGTCGGCGTACAAATGGTCCTTGCTAATGGCATAGCGGGAATGACCTTTGCTGGATGTGAGCTATATCGTTACTTTCCGCCGGAGATACACTCCTAACAACTCATAAAGCCGACGTTGGCGGGTTCTTCGGCAACCCAGATACGGACATGCTTGTTCGGTGGTATCAAGTCGGCATATTTTCCCCCTTCTTCCGCGCACATGCGCATATTGATACAAAGAGACGGGAGCCATTCCTTCTTGACGAGCCATACAAAGGGATGATAAAGGATATCCTACGCATTCGTTATTCGATGTTACCTGTTTGGTATACTGCGTTCTGGGAATCTTCGAGGACAGGAGTACCGGTTCTAAGGCAAGTGCCTCTATGTTATTTTTTCCTTCAGTTTTTCATTCCGTATACAGACCGCACTATGTAATGTTCCCTAAGGACAGGGCAGGTTTCGAGATCGATGATCAGTTCTTCGTCGGCTCCTCTGGATTACTTGTCAAGCCTGTTACGGAAAAAGACATCACAGAAACGACAGTGTACCTTGCTGAAGACCAGGTATATTACAACTACTTCACCGAAGCTCCTTCGTATGGCTCCTCCAAAGGCAAGCAGATAACCGTCCCACTCGAATTGTCCACTATTCCGCTATACATCCGTGGCGGCTCCATCGTTACAACGCGTGAACGGCCCCGACGTTCCAGTCCGTTGATGGCCCATGATCCGTTCACTCTACGCGTAGCTCTAGACAAAACGGGTTTCTTCGCGAAGGGTGACTTGTATCTCGACGATGGTGAGGGGTTGACCTACCAGAATGGTGATTATGTGTGGAGAGAGTTTGTCGCCGAGAAGAACGGGAAGAAGAGCGTCAAATTGGCCAGCAGGAATCTATCTTCTGTGCCAGGAGGAGAATATGAGAAGAGCATTCAAGATGTTAGAGTGGAAAAGGTGACTATTCTTGGGCTTGCGAATCAACCGAAAGGGGTGAGGGCTGTGGGGAGGGACGAGCCATTAGCGTGGACGTACAAGACTGTTGCTGCAGCTGACAAGGGTAAGGCGGTGGGGGTGTTGGTCATCAAAGATCCGGCTGTGCTTATTACCCAGGACTGGGAGATCATTATAGATGTTTGAGTAGATGCCGTGTGCTGACGTCAAAAGCAAAGTCTTAAAGCTGAAACTTACATCCACAAAAAAGGGTAGCCCCTACTCATCATCAGTTCATCGGTGTCATCCTTTCTCTAGATGTGGATCGTTCCATTAAAATTTGGAATAAGTAGGGCTGACCATGCAGATCTGCTTCCAAATATGGTGGTCAGGGCAGCGATCACTGGCAAATTAGCAACGTTGGTTGAACGGCTCAAAGGTACGGGGGCTGTACCTGGGTGGTAATCGAGCTAGTAACTCTGTTAATTGAATGAAGATGGCATGCTGCGCGCGCCAAGTTGAATGCCAGGCAATGGAGCAGAGTACAGCACGTGCCGCAGTGCCGAGGGCCTGGTGTGTAAATAAGCTTGGCTCCGCTTTGATCAGACTTTTGTTCTTTCTGAACATCTCTCCGCTCGACCACCTGTCTCTCTCATTACTTACTACTTATTTCTATCCCCTTTTTCATTCTTTACTCACATCTAAACTTTTCACATCGGACATGCTCTTCTCTAGCAATCTACTCGCGCAGGTCGCTTCTCTGTTGCTACTCTCCCATGCGTCCAATGCAGCCGCCACTCACCGTCGCGCCACGACGTGCAATGGCTACAGTCAAGTACGCCCCCCTTTTCTCCCTTCTCGAGGCTTCTGATGAATTTTGCAGCTCTGCGACGTGAGCTATGGCAATGTGTCGTTTGTAGGCGCCCACGATTCCTACGCTGTGGGGACGAATAATCGTGAGTACTGCGGGCTGTGCGTCCCGGAGCCTGAGCTCATCTTCTTTCCCCCACCGCAGTTGCCGTCAACCAGGATTATGATGGTATGTATTATCAGCTCTCATGATTTACTGCGGATCGAACGCGATATTCTCGCAGTCACACAGCAACTGAACGACGGGATCAGACTACTGCAAATGCAAGCCCATAACAACAGTGGAACTATACAACTTTGCCATACTAGTTGTGTATGTTCTACACACCAATTCCCTTGGATCCAGCTGAATCTTTTCCTTAGTCATTATACAATGGAGGGACACTGGAGGATTACCTTGGAAAAGGTGCGAGGCGCTTGTGCTAAAATTAGCCATTCCCCCATGCTGACGCATCGCCTTTTAGTCAGATCCTGGATGGAAAGCAACACGGCAGATGGTACTCCGCTTCATGCCATTCATTATTCACGTTCCACTAATACAGGCCTCACATTTTAGTCGTGACACTACTAATTGTGAACTCGGATAATTTCGTTGCAACTGAATACGACACCGTTTTCAAGGCAGCAAGCCTGGATACACTCTCCTACTCTCCAACTTCCTCTAATATGTCTAGGGACGCGTGGCCGACACTAAACACACTCATTGACGCGGGGACACGCCTGGTAACGTTCTTGGACAACGGCGCAGATTTCGCAAGTGTTCCGTACCTTATTGATGGTGAGTGACATCATATTTCTCATTGTCGCGCGAACCGTCATTGACACCGAGCATTCTAGAATTCACGAATATCTGGGAGACAGCGTATGATGTTACAGATACTACCTTCAACTGTGAAGTCAACAGGACCACTGGCGACACTTCTACACAAATGTATCTGATCAATCATTTCCTGGACAGATATGTGTTGGGGCAGCCTGTTCCTTATGTCGATAAAGCAAACGAGACCAATGCGGCGAATGGAACAGGCTCGCTTGGTGCCCAGGTCACGACATGCGAGGCTCAATATAGCCGAGCACCGAATTTCTTGCTCGTCGACGTAGGTCTACCTTTCATTTCCTCCTTTCACTTTCTCACCCACTTGTAGTTCTATGAATATGGCGGAGGTTCTGTATTCGAAGTTGCGGCAACCATCAATGGTGTCGAGTACAGCCCAACTTCTGCCATCGCAACACCAAAGTCTACAACTAGCTCTACATCATCTAGCAACGCAGGATCATCGATTGTCAATCTTCTTCCTGGTCAAAAGCAATGGGTGGCTTTTGCAGCAGTGATCTCAGGTATCATTTATGGGGCATCTATCGTGATATAAAATCAGGCTCTTTGTATATCTAAAAGCACACAGAGGACATCTCACAGACTATGCATTAAGTACCCAATCATAATAGTATCGCATTTTAATACGCTCGCATGAGATCTATTTCTTCCGTTCTCGCCGCCATTTATAAACGCGAGGTGTATACGTCTTGGATACAATGTGCGCGATTGGCTTGCCCTTTCGTGCATCAAGCTCATCTTGGTCTTCATCACTGTCGTCTCTGCTCCCATCCACCCTTTCGACCCCCTTGAGCTTTTTCCGAGCGCCTTTCCCCATCATGAGCCGTTGCATTTCAAACTCCCGTTCCGCGTAACGAAGCTGTTTGTCGCGGGCCAATCGCGCTGCGAGATCTCGAAAGAGGCGTTGACGATTGCGAGAAGTTGCTTCATGATTGTGGCCACGTTCGTCTTCCTTGTTTTCCATCTCGACGTCGTTTTCCGAAAACTTTTTGGACTTCTTGGACCGTTTCTTTTCTGACGGTTGTTTCCAGCCCAGATCTATAGGCTCCTCCTCCTCTTGTGTTGTTTCTTCGTGGATTACTACCGGAGACGATTCGGGTTTGTACTTGCGTACTTTCCGGGGAATAAGTCTTCGCCCGACAAGGTCAAGCTTGGTGGACATACCTTCATCCTCATTTTCCACGAAAATCGTATGTTTTGACTTCCGTCGACCCTTCTTGGTCTTTGGGATAACTCCAGCCTCTTCCAAGAGTTTTATTTGTCCGTCACCGAGCTCCTCATAATCTTCGTCGGTGACCGAGTCGACCATGTCGGAAAGCTGGACTTTTATTTTATCGATTTTCTGAAGGATCATTCAGGCAAGGAAGTAAGGGTATATACTTGAGGATGCACCTTCAAGCCAACTGCTCGTATCGTCCGGATGTAATTCTCATCCTGCGTTTTTAGCACCTTTACCATGTCAATAGGCAACGCGACATTTCCTCTCTCCTTGACATGGACTCCACCCTATACAACTGTCAGCCAATTCAGCATAGAAAGAAAGCGCCTCGTGCCTTGGTCTTCTCCTTCGTCATCGAAAAATAAAATTCATCTTTATTCCTGTCGGCAGCCTTCTGCCTCAACCGGTTCAACTTGTCCTGTTTCGAATGGTAGTCCCGTGCGCGCTTGACATAGTCTGCATGCTTCTCTAGGATCCCAAGCTTCGCCCTATGAGCAAGCTGGGATCGCTCCTTGTGATTGCGACGATGGATCGAATTTCGCAGTGACGAAGTCATAATTAGAGAGAGAAAAGTAGAATTGAGCTGAAAGTGTACAAATACGAACGTGACCAAAACGAGGGATTTCCTTTTTTACAACCTTGTTTATCAAGATTTATCAAAGATCCTTTCTAAAATGGATAGCTTACGTAAATTTCACCGGACTTTCGTTGCTTCTTTCGTTTCGATTTCATCCCCAAATCCACTGCAGTACCCGTAGGTTAGCACTTCCGCGGCCTTTATCTACTATGAGCTTCCAGCATTTTCGACTTGGAGAGCTTGCCATGCACCAGCCATTGCCGCCCCATCTCATGCAGCCGCAGCCGGGAGCGAATGGAGAGGTGCAATTTCCTGGCCAAAGTTTTACTACCAATCCCAGCAACGGTCACATTTTTTCATCCTCATCTGGTTCCAAACAGCCATATGGATCTGGCGACTCCGATGACGGGTACACTTTAGTCTTTCCCAATCTTGCTGCTTTCAACGAATGGCGTCAGAAGGAGGAGGAGACGCAGATGGTCGAGTTCGTCAAGGTACAACTGGTGCTTTGTCTGCATATATGCGCACTAATTTGGTGAACGAAGGGAGATACCCATGGAAGCAAAGCCGTCCCTCCTCGTTTTAAGGACCATACCAAGCTGGTCTGTGCTCGCCATTCGCGCAGCGGCCGGAAAAAATACGTCAAGAAGCATCCGGATAGGGTGCGCAAGGTCCCCAGTCGAAAGGCGAGCATACAAAAGCTCCGGTGTACGTCATGATAACTGTATTACAGCTCGAGGGCGTAGGCTGTTCGGCTTCAATCAGCTTCAAAACTTACTTTAATACCGAGGAAGTACGCGCTTCATGTCAGTTATTCCTCCCTTTCCTTTCTATCTTCATTGTAATTTCCTTGTAGACAACTCGCAGCATTCCCACGAAATTGGCCTCGCCAATCTGCCATACACGCGTCGAGGTCGTAAGGCCGCTGTTCAGCAGGAAAAAGAACGCCCTCGTAAGCATCCGAGGAAGGAAGAAAGTGCTTCATCACCCTCTATCAATGCGTCTCCGTCAACATCCATGCCTCCCCCTCCCCCACCGCCGAATCAATTTACTTCCACCGTATCTATGATAGCACCTTTACCTGGACAACCTCCTTATCCACAAGTCCCACAACCTTACGGCTATGTTCCTCAACCATATCCCATGCCACCAGGTCCTACCGCCGCTGTGTCCCAGGATCGATGGCAGAATATGTCGACCCTTTTCAACTCGATCCGCGAACACGCTCGAAATTTTGAATACCCTTTTGCTAGCGTCGTCGCTCTTGAAAGTGTTTTGATTAGACTCTTTCTCGAAAGCCCAGTGGCGATGACTCAACCCGGCATGATTCCCGTACCGGGGGGCCCGCTACCACCTCAATTGCAGCAACAAGCGCCACCGCCTGGGATCGACGGTAATCAGTCTAGTGGTCCCTCGGCGAACACTGTTCAAGGAACCGAGAGCGAGGAGAGCGGAGGATCGGATGACAGCTCATAACATGTACAGTATACTCTTTGGATGGATAGAGATTGTGTAGGTTCGTTGTCTTTATTGCTATCCATGTTGCGTTCATCTCCTTACATTCTGAACAGGAACCAATTGTACGATTGTTAGGAAAGAATTACTGTTACTATTTCGTCTGTAATATCGTTAAAAAGAACAAACTTTGTGATCAGGCCTTTCAGGGCGCACATGACGTTTACTTCCGATCATTCTCTTTTAGGAAGACTCTATTATCTAAATTCATGCCTGCTGTGGTTTCTTCGTACTTTCAGCCGTCTCAGAAAGCGGCTCTCCCTGTGCGCTTTCCTCGCTGAAATGTCTGCAATCAAGTTTGCCAGGGAAGCGTTTGGACGTGAAAAGCCTCATGTGCGGTGTATATCTTCTGGATCTCTACGATTTTCGCTCACAGTGCACAGTCTTCCATCACCGATTGGGTTGAGATTCTGACGGCAAGCACCATTGCGGAGGAGGCGTATGATGGGTGTGTCAATGCGCTATGCTCATGTTGTAGGGTGATGTCAATATGATACCAACGCAGAATCCCGGAGCTCGTCGACGCCATCAACCTCCAGCCACATGCAGGGTATTGCACCGCCGTTCTTGCTCCAGATAGTTTTCTGAATATATCACTCTAGTCCTGCCGAGGCCTCCCGGGCGATACGCAAGAAACTCAAGCACGGTAGTCCGCATCAACAGTACCGTGCTCTCGTGGTCAGCAGCGTCTCATATCGATCCGGTCTCGCTCCTTCTCATTGGGATGTTCTAGATCCTTAAAGCTTTGGTTGAGAACTGTGGAGATAAATTCAAAAGTGCGTTCTAGCATCACTCATTCACGGTCACTATCTCATTCCAGCCTTATACAGCCTCATTTGCTGATGGACAGCTAACCGACGCGCTCAAGCACCTCGCCAACGATAGCTACGCCGATAAGAGAGTGAAGAAAAAGCTGATTCTCGTTCTGAAGTCATGGCATGAGCAGTTCCAATCCGACCCATCCATGTCCATGTTCTCCAATCTCTACTCGCAAACTGTCCGTGACCGGCCGCACGTCACGGATACCTATCTGGACCCCGAAATACAGCAGCGGAAAGTAGAAGATGCCAAACGCAAAGCTCAGGAAAAGGCCGAGGCTAAAGAGCGTCAGAAGCTAGAAGAAGAGAAACGGAAAGAGGAGAAACGGAAGAAGAAGCAACCCAAGCCCAAACGCGCCCCTTTTGATTTTGAGAAGGCAAGTAGCTGTTGTTATCGTCTACTGCTGCGGCGATAACATCACTACAGGAGAAACCGAAAGTATTGTCAAGTATCGTTGACGCTTCCCAGGCTTCCAGCAATCTCGTCAATGCTATCACTGTAAAGACTTTATGATTTCTTATCGACAATTCTGACATAAATTTTAGCTTGTCAATAGGGAGACCGACAGTCTGCAAGCCAACGAACGCGTCCAAGAATGTCTGTCAAAAGCTAAACTGGCACGAAAACAGATAGTACGCTACATACAAGTAACGCTTTCTATCTCTAGTTGAAACCTATGTTGATCAAAAGATTACAGCTCGTGGAGAACGAAGAGTTAATAGGAACCCTTATCGAAACCAACGAGCGGGTTATTAACGCCCTGGAGACTTATGATAACGTCTTGAATGCCCCGGCAAAGAAAGCAGACGACAATGTTGACACTCTGTCGGCTCCTCTTGCGAAGGTTCACCTAACAGGAGAAAGCGAAGTTATTAAATTGCAGGATAAGCAGCGCGCTGCCGTCGAACGTGCTAAATATCGGAACGATAGCGGCGCATATGCTGACCTACAAGATATTAATTTTGGTTCAATTGATGGTTCTTCTACGGACCTACAACCACCTCTACGGCCTTCTACCTCTATCACGTATTCAGACGAAAGCAATGATGTCAGAGGCTCGCTATCGGACTTCAGCGACTACGAGTCATCAGATGAGGAGACTCACAATACTTCTTCGCCAGCATGGACACGAGCACAAAAACATTACGTCGATGATGATCCAGATTCCGTGGGACTGGGTATTAGCGGCGTGAATAAGGAGGAAGGTGGTTCTAATGTTGCATTGGTCGATGTGGAGGATCCATTTGCGGACCCTTTCGCTGACGAAGTTGCCATAGGACCATCGAAGAGATGGTGAATGGAGCAGCGGTTGCTGTAGTAGTGTACATATATGCAGATCTATAGCGTTAGTTACATAAGTATAGCGATGAAATGGAATTTCGAGTTTTGGTCATATAATAAAATGGTGTACTATTATTTATATCAATATGCAATGTATGAATGAAGCCTTGCTATCCACATCTCTGTCTCAAACCCACTAGACCCATTGAATGATATTTCGTTGGTGGGGCTGACCGAGCCAGAAGGGGCGAAGAACATCTGGTAGCGTCAGACCTGTGAGTTGACTATTTTCATCGAATGTGGCGCCGTTTTCCAGAAGCGCAACAATTAGACGAGGGATAGCCGCAGCGGTACCATTCAGTGTATGCACATAAACATTTTCGTGTGTTGCAGTACCCTGCTGATTCACGATAGGTCGCTGATATTTGATCGATAGCCGGCGAGCCTGATAGTCTGTGCAATTTGATAGTGAAGATATTTCACCCCAATTGCCACGACCAGGCATCCATGCCTCGATGTCATATTTCCTATATGCGCTGGCACCCAGTTCTTCCGTTGGCATATCGAGGACCCTGGATAATGTGACAACATAGTACGAATATGTTAGCGTAGACAACACACCTGAAAGGTATTCCCAGGCCATCAAAGATAGCTATCTGTAGATTTTTCATGTCTTCCATCATCTTATCACTTTCCGTCTCCGTAGTGATTGCGAACAATTCCACCTTGGTGAACTGATGTACCCGATACAGTCCCCTTGTGTCGGCACCTCGTGCGCCAGCCTCTGAGCGAAAAGCGTGTCCAAGTCCGACCATCTTCAACGGTAAAGATAATTTGGGGTATAGCTGATTAGCACAGAGACCAGCAAGCGGTATTTCTGATGTTCCAGAAAGTACGAGTCTCTGTGAAGAGGTGGAAAGATGGGAGTCGACATGATAAACCTGCGACTTGAGGGGATCTGATTCGTCCCGAGGTTGGAATCCACATCGTTTTGCTACATCGCCTTTTACGACGTCCGGTGTCATGATAGGCACAAACCCTTGTTTCATGGCTATGGACATTGCATAGTTCGTTAGTGCCAACTCCAAAAGTGCGGCTTCGTGTTTCAAGTAATACCAGGATGCACCGGTCACAATCGCAGCATTTTCAAAGTCAACGAGCCCAAGACTCTGAGATATCGTATAGTGGTCTCGGTGTGGTGATGCAAGTCCAGGACTAGGGCCGTGAGATGAAAGTGTAATGGCAGAGGATTCGGGGCCTAGTGGCGAATTCGGATGTGTGTCGTTGGGTATGAGAAGGGCTTTGTCAAGGAGGCTTTGTTCCAGTTCCGAGACAGTCTTCTCGAGCTGCGATATCTCCTCCTTCAACGTCTTTGCCTCCTCCAAACAGGCAATTAAAGCCTCCTGGTTCTTTTCCTGACCAAACTTCTTTATTCTGTCGCCAATCATAGAACGGGTGTTTCTTTTGGCATTGAGTGAAGAGGATAAGTCTTTCAGTGATTTGTAATCGCGGACGACAGACTGGATGGCGAGGGGGGTAATTGGAGATTTGCGGTTCACGGCATTGGACATTTTGTAGACCACATTTTCTGAAATATCACGATAATTGAGGATAGGGCGCATCATCGCTGAAGCCGTTCGAAGTGCCCCAGCGTTTGTCGCCGATGACATGAAGCATCGTTGAACGCCGTCGCCTGGAAGGACATCAGTGACGCCCTTCAAGGAATTGAGAAATACTCACTGAACTGGCGACTTAGCCATACTCTACAAGGACGTCTAGCGCAGCAAGACAGAGAGGGCATCGCGCTGCCGTGAGCGTAAATAATCCTCCAATTATTCAACAATTATTATATTTTTTGACACGTCTAGTCACGGGATGTCACACAACGTGACAGCGCGCTCTTTTCGTGATCCATCATGGCTGCCTCTGCCTCAAAGTCAAAGAAGACAAATGGCGCTACAGAAATCCCCTACGAGCTTCCGTGGTATGAACTATATATATATGATCTTGCTGCCGCTGACGTTGCTGTAGGGTGGAAAAATACAGACCCCATGTTCTTGATGATGTCGTTGGAAATGCAGATACTATTGATCGTCTAAAGATCATCGCAAGAGACGGAAACTGTCCCCATATCATTATATCTGCACGTCACGCTCTCATGTGTAGGCCATGTTGCTGATTCAGCCTCAGGGTATGCCAGGTATCGGGAAGACAACAAGCATCCACTGCCTGGCGCATCAACTTCTTGGCGACGCGTATAAAGAGGGCGTCCTGGAATTAAACGCCTCTGACGAACGGTGCTTGTCATTTAAATCATTTTTGCTACTTCTTACCTGCTGCCGAAGGGGCATCGATGTCGTTCGAAATAAGATCAAATCATTTGCTCAAAAGAAAGTCACACTGCCTCCTGGACGGCACAAGATTGTCATCCTCGACGAGGCCGACAGGTTCTTGCTCTTCTCATTTTACTCCAAAGATAGTCGGCTCACTTTGGACAGTATGACAGCCGGTGCTCAGCAAGCCCTTCGACGGACAATGGAAATATTTTCAAACACAACGCGTTTCTGTCTGGCATGCAACATGAGCAACAAGATCATCGAACCTATACAGAGTCGTTGTGCCATTCTTCGATATGCGAAGCTCAAGGATCAAGAAATTTTAAAGCGTCTTCTCGAGATATGCGAAATGGAAAATGTGCGATATAGTCACGTTGACGTTTGCCAGCTGCTGAGTTCTTCTTCGGCAGGTCAAACACAACGATGACGGCCTCACCGCTCTCATATTCACTTCGGAAGGTGACATGCGTCAAGCTATCAATAATCTACAGTCTACACACTCCGGTTTCGGTTTCGTCTCGGGCGACAATGTCTTCAAAGTCTGCGATCAGCCACACCCTATTATCGTTCAATCAATGATACGCTTCTGTCTCAAAGGAGATATTGGCCAAGCGATGGAAAAACTCAATGATCTTTGGGACCAAGGATATAGTGCTGTGGATATTGTTGTCACAATATTTCGCGTCGTGAAGACCTTTGACGAGTGGGCAGTTCTTCTTTCAAAGTGTATTTTCTCTAATTAGCTCTATAGAATACCGGAATACACCAAGCTAGAATATATCAAGGTTAGCGTTCTGTCGCGTCATGACCATTCCTTGTTCAATATGTTATTAGGAGATCGGGTTCACACATATGCGGATATTAGAAGGCGTGGGCACTCTCATTCAACTCGCTGGGCTCGTAGCTCGCCTTTGTAAAATGGTACGGCTTAATACTGCCATCGTTATAAAGTAAACTGATGGTATATTTACACGCAGAATGTTAAACCCGAATTATTTGATATATAGTCGATACCCTACCCCGCATTTTGTATATATGTGTTCACTTCCGCGTTTCCGATGTAATTTTATCCCCAGTACTTTTGCGGTGCTTGTGCTTTGCATAATATATGGACCCTGCACAGGGCATAAAAATAAATATTTGAAAAATAAATTCTTTGGCACGTACATGACAGGATCATGTGACAGACGCGTTGATCATCTGCTGCTTCCATAAGCAGCATTACCGTTTGAATCGATCCAAAAACGGAAGTTTCATTGAAGTCGCACGTCGTCTCTCTCCCACAACTATGACCATCACTCTGGATTTTGAGGCAGCAAAGGCGGACTCCTCAACCAGGCGTTCCCTTTCAGATCTCTCCCTTTCGGTCGCTAAGTGTAAGAGGATTGTTGTCGTTACAGGGGCGGGAATATCGTGTTCGTCAGGGATCCCAGTATGTTTGCAATACCTACGCTAAAAGTTGAGTTCTACACTGAGTACTTAATCCAGGATTTCCGTTCTTCAGACGGCTTGTACGCTCTCGTCAAGCAGCGATACCCAAACGCAGTTATGAAGGGTCGCGACCTCTTTGACGCGTCTCTATTCCGTGATACAACCACCACATCTATTTTCTACACGTTCATTTCTCAGCTCAAACAGTCCATTGACTCTGCATCGCCCACCCCAACCCATTGCTTCATTAAAACGTTGGACACGAAGAAGAAACTCCTTCGCTCCTATACTCAGAACATTGACGGTCTCGAGGAGCGGGTAGGTCTGCTAGGTAGTGGCAGCCAAGAAGCAAAGTCGTCATCTCGGAGTAAATCCAAGATAAAGGTCAAAGAGGTTCGCAACGTACAGCTTCACGGTGACATCCACCGTGTCCGATGTATGTCCTGCTCCGCAGAGTATCCTTGCACCTCAGAGCACCTCAGTATATTCGACGAGGGCCTTTCTCCTGATTGTCCTGACTGCATTCAACGTTGTAAGCTACCATTGTCTCATTTCAGCATCCATAATACTTATAATTGTCTCTCTAGCCGCAGCTCGTGTAGCTCGCTCTGCTCGTGCCACAAGGGTAGGCTCCCTCAGACCTGCCATTGTACTCTACGATGAGCCTCACCCCCTAGGGGATGATATCGGTTCTATCCAAACAAGTGATGTCAATCGCAAGCCAGACATGCTAATAATCATGGGCACATCACTCAAAGTACACGGTTTGAAGAAACTTGTGAAAGATTTTGCGAAGGCTGTCCATGCGCATTCGAGTGCTCCGTCGACAAGCTCCGGCAAAGCGAAACGGTGGGCTGGGAAGGTGGTCTTTGTGAACAAGACTGCGCCAGGGTCAGAATGGTCGGATGTCATTGATTACCACGTTGCTGGAGAGACGGATGCGTGGGTTGACAAAGTTATTGAGGATTGGAAGAAGATGCGCCCGGCGGATTGGGAGGTTCAACAGACTCTGGTGGCAATTGATGGAGATATTAGTATGGCCTCGCCCTTCAGGTTCGTCAAGGATGCACGCGTTGCTATTGGCACCAAAGCCAAAACAAAAGGTAAGGTTTCTCGTGTCTGATGTGTCCGACTTGCTGATTTTCTTCCTCAGAATACAAGAAATCTCGGAATGACGATGAGAACGTTCCGCCAGTGCCATCTAGGGATATGATTCTCAGCACACCTGACCTTTCTGGCTTAGCCATTACGAAGTCACTGTCATCTCCTGGCTCACCAAGCAAGCGGCGGCAAGGTGCATCTCACTACAATGACAATGACTCAAGCCCATCGAAGCGTCGCATAAGGACCAACAAAGTAGGCCTGGAACCAGAGGAGCGAGGCTTGTTGTTTGGCAATAGCACGAACCAAACCGTTGGCCTGGATGACTTTGCAGAGATCAACGGTAGCTGCATCGCTGATTTGTCGATGCAAGACCTCAACAGTCCCCCGCGACCAAAAAACGTGATGAAGGCACGCTCAAAGATGGAGAGAGCTAGTAAAGTACCTCTTTCAAAAACTGCATCCGGGGACCGTCCACAACGTTCGCAGGGTCGTCTGAAGGTTGAAGTCGTTATTGGACGAAATATGGACATAGGAGTGGCATGCACTTAGTATTACTTTCTTTTGTTATACATGTGCAGTAAATTATCTTGTTATGCGGATCAACAGATTTGGTGAAAAACAAGGGAGAACACAAGATAAGTACGGCGAAAATTCTAAGATTACAATCACCAATGCCCACTCGCCGTCAATCTGTAATTAGCTCCGACACACTCCAATCTTCAAAACTGCCATCAGGGAGATAACGTCGAATGATAAGGGGAATTTTTCGCTGCGACAGCTCCTTGATGGCAATTTGGAGCGCATCCGTTTCTCCATCGAGGGGCACGAGAACGGGAGCATTCATACTATAGGGACGTTAAGTGCGGTGTTCTAGTCCAAACCGTGTTTCAAACCTGATTTGCAGTGCCCTCGTTCCCAGTATTCGTGCTCGCTCGTATTTGGTCAGGTACGGTGTCGTAATTCGAACTTTGTTCGGTTGTCGTTCCCCCGCTAAACCTGCCCCAACAGCGACTGCCTCGTCTTCACCATTAGCCATCTCCTGGTCTTGCTCTGCACCATTGACACCGTTCATCTGGTTGCCATCATCTCCAGTAGCAGCCCCGTCACCCTCCTCGCCCTGAGCGCCTTCGCCCTCTTGGCCAGCATTGAGCAAGTCGTAGTCGTTGTCCTGAAGTACAAATCACACCCAATAGCGCTGATAAATATATTGAACAAAAAAATTTAGCAGTAGATGTACACACGAAGGTATCTTCAGCGTAACTAAAATCATAATAAGAACGGCGAAAATATGCAGCAGTAGGCACAATAACGTACCTCGGACCATCATAATCATAGTCATCACCACCGCCTTCGCCATAACCATCGTCCGACATTTTTCAGGAGGAAAGGGATTGGCTGAATGTGGGATAAAGAGTGTCTGAGGAAAAAAATGTGGTGGATGACAGAGGAAGGTGTCGGAGTTTGAATCGCGCCTAACTTGAAGACCACCATTGCTTGACTTGGTCGTTTCCAATGAAGTAAAAGAGCCTGCTTTTACCGGAGCTTCCCTTCTCCTTCAATGTCAAAAATCGACTTCTTTGTGCTGCTGTGGGGTCTTATTGTACCTGAATTTCGCAGCAATATATCTGGAATTCTATGTCTAAGCCAGCTCAAAGCAATGGATGTCGTCTGCTCTACGTTATCTCCATTGCAATACCGACACTCTCGGGCCCGCCCGTTTCTAGTTGCTAATCTGGCAGGACTGCGTGTGGACAAGCAATCATATATACTTAAATGGCCTGCCTGGTGATAGCAAGTGATCCCTGAGAATTGCTTGCAGATCTCATTTTCACCGGAAATCGAGGATTCTACAATCATGCGGCTGCTCTATATGGCTTCTTAATTTCTCAATCAAGAACCATGCCAGGGTGGATCACGGGGCCTCAAACCGTAGAGGTCAGATAGAATATTCGTTTGCGCGGAGATTGTCAGTCTACCTTTCTGTTCGAAGATCTCGCCGTGGCATGTTGACCAGACACAGGGAAAAACGAATATCATCCTTGTTCCCTGCGTATAGCGGTACCGGTCCGCGGAGGGCACTCAAGGACCGGGGGTGCGATGGATCTTGAAGTTGCTTCGGAACTGACATGACACCAGACATCTCTGTAGCGAGATCGTCGCTACTGGTCGGGCGTCGAGAAACGTTTCTCGCTGTATGCGAAGACTCAGTTGAGCCAGCTGTGATACTGTTGGAGGGTGTGATGTTTGGAAAGTGGCTCAATATTTACTGCATTTATTTTCTTTCTTTTTTTTTATCTGAAGGCCGGCCGACCGTCACCGTCCTTTTCTGTCCCAACCATCTCCCTCCTCTGCCACCATCATCGCCCTTCCACCCCCACCTCCATCCTTTCCATTGTTCACTTTTCTCTACCCAGAACTATTCTTTCTATCCATATGCCAGCAAAGTCTTCGACTGCTTCACGCGCTTGGGGAACTCGGTTTGATTCGCTTCCTTCAACCTCGCCACCATTGTCTCCGGGCTCTTTCGACCGCTCCTTGCGTGACGTTGAAACTGCCAACAACGGCCAGGCTCCTTTCGACGCGTCGAACAAGCAGAAGGAAGAGAAAATGCCCCACGACGCCAGCGTTTTTGTAGGAAGGTAACAATATCCATCCATCCGTCACGGCAGTTCTTATCGTGTGTTCCAGTCTCCCCGGTAACATAGACCAGCCGGAATTGGCTCGTTTGTTGTCTCTGCACCTATCGGAACATGCACAAGTCAAGAACGTCAAGGTAGTTCGCGACTCCAAAGGCGGTGTCTGCGCTTTCGTACAATGCGAGGTTCGTCCCTTTTCCACCGCATATATGCGCCCTACTTTCCTTGCAGCGTCGCCCTCGAGCCTTCTTTCTGATTTGCTTCGCCCTCAGGATGCAGCGGCCGCGACTAGCCTTATACACACTCTTCATTCCACAGAGCCTAAGCCTTTCTTGGGTCGCCACCTGCGCTACGAGCCGGCAAGGGCTTTCAGGACCTTGTTGCTATCTTATCGGTTAGTTCAATACTAGCTTCATACTTTCCGTACTTACAGTTCGTTCCTAGCACACCCATGCAATTTATCCCTATCACGGATGGCGACGCTGTCCCCGGAGAATATGATCGGGGAAAACACGTAGAACTGGACCTCCCCTACGCCATGAGGCTGTGGAGGCCAAGAAATTCCAAGTTCAGCCGCCTTTTCATTTTGTCGCGCCAATCTAATACAGTCCGCCAGATATCTAGCCCTTCTATACAACGCAGAAGCTGTCGAAGCTGAGAACCAAGCTTCTGCGTCCAAAAGCCGTTTCAGCGGCGACTCTTGTGGTGATCAAGTCTTGCATCTACAGCCAGTTACGTGTGATGCTGAAGTGAGTAAACGTTCCTTTTCGCCCTTCCTTCCAGTGGAAGGCACCCGGCGGTGATGAAGATTTTCTTGCTTCGGTTCCTTCTCGTCTGAACTCTCTCACAAAACTGAATATATTTTTCAGACTATCAAGAGGATTTGTTTTCATTTCGGACCACTAGAGCAGTTCTGGCCATATAAGGCTGAAGACCCGACAGGTGATGCTATAGCCGGTTGAAGTTCTATGGACTTTTCTGACATTTTACATAGATTCTGAAGATGACAGTCTTCGAAAACAATTCCCTTATCCCCACGACGGACCTCGGTCTGCTTCGATGGATACTCGTTGTTTTGAGGTGAAATGGGCGCACAGGGATGATTGCGTCAGTGCGCTGATGGTAAGAATGCTCATCTTCGCGCCAGATCTGCTGCTAACACTTCGAGAATTACAGACTCTGCGTCGAGTCCCGCATCTGACGGTGACGTGGGCACACCAACCTACTTTTCATAGACGACAATCTCCTTATCAGAATCGCTCTTCTTCCAACGCCGCCCTTTACCCGATGTATTTGCACGACCAGGGCCACATGAGAGGCAGCCCACTCGCCGCATCTCTCTCTAGCGGATCTCGAAGGGACTCTGCAACAACTGAGGAATACAGCGGTGCGACGAGTGTTGGAGAGTGGAAGGGCTTGCCTCAAGCTGCTCGTAACGGGGAACCAACTTTTGCCTCCACGAACTCCACTCTCGATACTTCGATGCCTAATTCGGGATCATCACAGGGCGAGTTGAATGAAATGGACTTTCCTCCTCTTGTTGATGTTAAGGAACGCAAAACAGATTTCAGTGGCGTTTGGGGTGAAAAGAAGGCAGAAGACGAGAGAGAAGATAAAGGAGATACCAGAGAGATTGATGGGTGAGCGGTTCTCGGCCTCCGTCAGAACTTGATCGTTACTAATAACGTGCTCGCGTTGCGGTCGAACCCTTAGGTTGGCATCTACCATGGGGGCCGTTTCCTTGTCTGACACGCCTCACGTCACGTACGATATGTCGGAAGAACCGTTCGCTGCCGAAAAAGAAGAGAACTCAGCGGGGTACCAAGACATCGAGCAGGAGTTGGATATGCCCCCGACTCCTGGGTTGGGGATGTCTCCCATCACACCTCGGACCCCCGGAGTGATGTTTCCCGCGACACCCACCAGTACGATCGGTGACTTGCATGGCATAGTTTCGTTCAATGGGTATGACTCAAAGGACAAGGACGGCTATCCAGAGGAGCGCACCCGTGAAGAGAGGCTACTGGATCCGACGACCTTATTCGTGGGGGGGTTGGAGATGTATGGTCCAGGCGCTTGGGATGAAGAGAAGGTCAGCAACTTCTTCCGCAAGTTCGGTGGGCTGGAGAGCGTCAAAGTGGTGAGGCCAGGTATGTTTTCGTGCCCAGTGACAGCGCCACACAAACTTCACTAATATTATGAAATTTAGTAAATGGTCGCGCTGCCTTTGCTTTCGTGAAGTTCGACAATACTGAATCGCCTGCTCGTGCTGTTTTTGAAGAGGTTCAACTGTCCTTTTCTCCGCACTTAGCTACCTTTACTGATTTTACAATGGTAGCACAATCGAGTTTACGAGGGTCGTGCTATGCGTGTTCAACTTAGGGATTGTAACCCACCCCGTAGCAGCTGGAAGTACGGCAGAGGGCGTGGACGTTACCCTCATCACAACACTATGCCGCATCGGCCCTATGGTGAGGCAAATGAGATGCACCATCATAGGGAGCATAGCCGTCGAGGCGACATGGTAGCTCCTGGGGAAACATCGGGAATGCCTGCCGTCGATGCTGACGCGCCGCCGCCTTTCGACGTAGGTACTCAACTGGACGATACGGCGCCCAAGAGGAATTCGGAGGTTCCGAGTAATACGGAGTCTGTATCGACTGCTGCTCATGATCAAGAAGCAGCAAAAATTCTTGGGACAACGGAAGCGCCACCGCCGACCGAGAACTATCGTGAATGGTATGATGCTCTCGAACCGTCACCCACAGAAACGTCGTCACCAGTCACTCTCACTCCTGCTGTGTCTTTCCCTGGTGCTGGCGGTGCGGGTGTTCAGTTCCCGATGTCAGCTGGAACTTATTATCCACCACCGCCTTGGATTCAACCTTACGCTCCCCAAATGCAGTACCCAGTTCCTTATTTCACAGGCCCTGCCATTCAAGCCGGATATGCAGTTCCCCATCCTTCTGCTCCGGGATATTCAGGCGCCACAGGTTCTGATGCCAATGGACCCGTGTCTACGCCCCAAAATTTATGGGCGATGGGCATGTATGGTGTACGTATTCCCAAGTTTCTTATCGTTGTGTTTAATTGATGGCGTTTCAGGCATATATTCCCTATCCTGCCTTCCCGTCGAGGCCGACTCAGAATGCTGATTCATCAGCGCCTCAACAAGCGCAGGTGCAGCAACCTCCTGTGATACCGACAGGATTCATACAGAACGACCAAGGCACTCTCATCGCAGTCTACCAACCTGAAGCTATTGACCAATATATGACCAGCGGACAAGTTCCTACTCCGCCTAACAGCGGTCAAGCTCCAGCACAGAGCATAAATAACTGGAGTTCCCCCCCTCCTCCCACTTTCGGAGTCCCCGGCCAAGTGCCCCCGAGGATGTCTATGCAAGCTCGTCAAATGATAGCGCCTCCAGGAGGTGTGGGCTGGATACCAGCCGGTCAATCTACCGTTACCTTTCCCGCTTCTGGATCCCATCAGGCGATGACTCCATCCGGCAGTATGCCTCTCCCGAGTGCAACGACCTTCCGTGCAAGCCATGACATTAGTGCCAATCATCTTAACCCATCGTTGAGGCGAAACACCGGCCGTCGAGACCAGCAGTTCAATCCCAATAGGAACAGTAATCGGTCCCTTTCAAACCGCCACAGTCGACCGAACGGCAATAATGTGGGCCTAGGATTCAATGAAGGTCAGCCACAACGCACAATGCCTTTCCCCGTCCAATTCTAGGTGATATCTGCTGTATACATCTTTCCTTTCGATTTCATTCTTCTCTCTTTTTCATTTCCTTCCATGATCTTCGTCCTTCTTACTCATTTTCGCTGTACATAAACACAAAAAACACCTTATTTCGGACCGTTCATCTCTTTGATTTCTTATATCTCGTTATCCTTTCAGATTTCCTGTTCATACTTTGCACACGCCTACCACCACGATCTCTACAGTCTATGTCGTATTCTGTTTTCTGTTTTCCGTTTCCTTCCGTGTTCACATTGTTTAATGTTTTCCCTTCGCCCTGTGCGAACAAAAGTTTGTCTATCCAAGTCATGTACTATGGATTGCATGTGCATATGTTTCTGTTACTGTACATATCATCCCGCATTTCAAGCTCATCACATCCACTCTCATGCTCTTGTCAAGACACTCTGTACTGTATCATTTTTCATTTCCCCACATCTTACATCGTGCACTCACTTTCATTATCTGTATAATATAATGTAGTATTATGTTCTGTCTGGTTGTCAGCAGTATACTTCGGAACCGCTTTGTTCCTACGTTTAATTCCTCAGGTCTTGGGCCTCATCAATCTTCCTTAGCCAGTCACCGACCTCTATCCAGAACACTCTTTGACGGGAAGTGGACAACCAAAAAGGTACGATAGAAGCGTGAGTAGCGTCAGCCACTTCCTGTGTGTGCCATACGCCAGGTTCCGGAACCGAAGGTTTCGAGGGTCGGTCCACAGGGTAATGCCGACACCTCGTCATTCTAAAGGTCTCAACGATGTCAAAGCACTGCTATCTTTGATGGAGATTCAATTACCTGCATGGTAGAGGATGCCATTGAGAAAAGACCGGTACTACACCGTCATTTTCCCGATATTCATCGCTTATTTCTGACGGCGAAAGTCTTCTCATGTATAACCCTTCCTCAACGTTAGGCCCGTATCCATTTTGACTACGTTCGGCACCTGCACATACGCAGCTCATACGGGTATCTGCGTCTAGATCTCTGCCCTGAAGAAATGACGGTACGGGCAAAACGCTGCTCAAATCAAACTTTGCGATAAGCCGATATGTCAGGTACACGGGGAGGACCGAAATTGAATATTTGAAAGCTGGCGTATGAGTAGTGTCTTTCTGCGTCTCATGATAAAAGACTTAGTTGTATGTCCCTCTTCTCCGAGGAACAGAAGAAAATACATACCATGAATGCCGCAAAGCTCTTGTAGAATGTCCCTGGATTGGGTTCGCCTTCCATTTTAGCCTCTCTCTCGTCTGCGGCCATGAAAGTAACATCAAATGGAGCTGCGTCTCGGCTTGTTGCCCAAGAGCTCTTCCATAGTTCTCGGAGAAATCCAGAGAAGGGTATTTCGTGAAATGAAAGTGAACGGCATTCTGAATGCCAGATGTCGAGTGATTCTGGCAAAAGCGGTTTGAGGTATGCGATTATATGTACAAACTTTGCTATGAGATCCCCGATTGACCAAGGGCGCACGGCAGGTGCGGCGTCTATATGTTCACCAAGAGTGTAGACGATAGGAGTGCCTCTGAAAGGGGAAGAGACTGAAAACGCTAAGAAGCCGTTTCTCCGCTAAGCTTTTCATTCGGAAACTCACTGGTAGTGACTGACAAGATCATATCGGGATGGCCGCGTCCTCCGAAATAGCTTTGTTTCAAAAGGTACTGTAGCTTGATTATCGTGGGGCCTCCCTAATACACGCGAGATAATCACGCAAAGTGGGGCAAATTGCATATTAATTACCATAGAGTGGCCCAAGAAATGAAGCGGGCTATCTATTGACCATTGCGGATATAGGCCTTGGCGGTGCTTACGGCCGTATCGACCGTGTCTATGAGTTTTGCTATGTTGTTCGCCATAGTCCACTGAGTATACGGCATTATGAGTGTTCTGCTCTCAAACTGAATAGTCAGGTACCTGTTCCACCCATCAGCTGATAGTAAAGTTCACAGGCCCTGTCATGCAGGGAGCTTACGGGTCCTACGCTTTAAAAGAAGTGATGAGAAAATCTATGGCATGCCGTTACTGTGCGAAACACTTACCTGGCAAAGAAGACGGGACGTGTTTCCGAGCTGGAAGCATTGAGACAGTGCTCGAAGTTCCCCCATACGAAGGGGCCGGCTCCTCCAAGGAAGCCCTCGACAATAACCAAGGGTATCATTTCCAGCATTCAATCTAAACGGCAGCTGATGGCGTGACGGTGCTATTTACACAGTCGGGGTTAGAGTTGGACCGTCCAGAAGGGCTGATGGGCAGTAGTGATGAGCATGTGATCATTAAATAAACTCCACGCAGACCCAGAGACATTCCTGGTGGCTTTGTAACGATCCATTGCCAGTACTACGTCTGCCGATCGAGCGGAGGCATTCACAAAAAAATTCGGTGACGTCAGTGAGCCTTTCTGTAAATAGCAATAAGATTTCCTGTTTTGTTCCATTTGTTCGCACGATGAATATGACTTTCGGCAAATCCGGTGCGGTGCCTCCCTTACTTTACGACCATGAAACCCGTGCGCCGCTCGACTCGGAATGTGGCAAGGAAATCGTATACCATCGCCTTGGACTCTGACGAGGATGACACCCGCGATGCTGCGCTCGGCCTCCCTTTGAAACGATTAGCCAGTCCATCTGCTGGCGATTATGGCCCAGCAGCGAAGAAGAGGCGAAATCTTCGGGGGTTTCTCCAGTTGATGAAGGACGTCCCTTTAGATGTTGTATATGAAGTCAGCGCATTCATCTTTATCGGCTGATACAAGTCATTTTACCTTGAACTATAGGTCTTCGGACACCTGGATCCCCTGGACTTGTTGCAGCTATCAAGGACGAGCAAGCAACTCCGCCGTCTACTTCTACAGGATTCTGCTAGATCAGTCTGGAAGACTGCTCGCTCTAATGTAGACGGCTTGCCCGATATACCGCAAGATCTAAATGAGGCGCAATACGCTCAGCTCCTTTTTGGGACATACTGTCAGTCCTGTCTGAAGCCTAGCCGACGAGCGCAATGGGAGACACGCACACGCCTTTGCAAGAAATGTTTCCTCGCTTCCCCAGAGTATGCTTACCTCTTATTGCTAAGAACTCCTTAACAACGCACCTTGGCAGTTTTATAGATTGGATGAGTCCACAAATTGACTCACAATGGCGACTCTACAACCCCCTCGTTTCTATGGATGATGGAAGAGCGAGTGAGTTTACCGCTCGTTTTATCTCGCTAGACTTTCACTGATCATGTAGTGTACTTTCGATACCATCGTCTGTATACTCAAAAGCTGAAGCAATCTTATGAGGAAGTTAAAGATGATTCCGAGCAACTGCAGAAGTGGCGTGAGAATGCTAAGATGGCATATAAAAGTATTAAAGAGGTACATCATCTTGGTTAATCACTCCAACACAAACTGAATATCATGATGCCATTTAGCACGCAGAGAAATGCGAGTCCTGGTACCAGAGCCGCGTTGAACGTCGTGGCAGGGAGCTTTTGGCTATTCGATTTAAACGACTTAAAGAGTAAGTATTCAGAACTTCGCCGGACGATAACCTTGATTTTCTTTTGTAGTATATCAGATCGACTAAGAGCACTCGGTTGGGCCGAGGAGATTGAGAAAACTGACCCTACTTCCCTACTTTCACACAAACTTATATGGCAACCAAGGCCTTTAACTGACCGAAGTATGTCGCGGTTCTGGCATACCGTATCCCCCGACTTACATTCACTTTTAGTCTGGGCTGGTATAGAAACAGCCGTAGTGGCGTATATGGAACAGCTAAAAGCCAGTCGCCTTCTCGCTGAGAGACTTCGAACTCTGGGTACCCGAGCCAAACTCTTCACAGAGCTCTACAAGGCATTTTTGGCTACACAGCCTTCCTCCTTTCCATATCCTAGTCCTGTAGATGCCCTAATCTCCGCTCCATTCAAGACGATCATCATTGACACACCTGTTGCCCAAGAGCTCACAGAAGCAAGCTTTTCAGACGCCTTTGCCTATTTTTCAGATTATTCAAGGCAGTGGAGGGAAGCTGCGGATACCGAGATAGGTCTTTTGATGAAAGATGTCAATCAGGATAAATCTCACCTCCATCTTGCAACGACGATATTCCTCTGCCGTTCCTGCAAGAAGTATATCTCCTACCCTCGTATCCTGTTGCATTCATGCACGACAGTGGGTTGGTTAGTTCCGAACGGTTTAGATGACGACGAGACGGTCCTGCGGCGTAGCGTTCTCCCCATTTTACCTTGGTCACCTCGTGCGGATATGATACCCAGCCAGTGGAGAAACGCATGCCAAGTCATCGAGTTGGTCTGTGGTCGCGACCCTAGCACGACAACGACACAGGACATGAATGATTGGGACCCTGTGTTCACTTGCATTCCTTGTTCGATTGGTTGGGATGGACGACTCTTCATGAGATGGGAGCAGGCCGTATGTATAGCATTGCTTGATGAGAATAATCTGGAACTCCTTCACAGATCCTCCACACCACCCATGCCGATACCCATGAATCCATTGATTCCGTTCTCAAGCTTGTTACAAACGAGGAAGAATTAAGGCTATTCAACGAACTAGAGTCCAAAGGAGCGTCTGAGAAGAAAATAGGCGTTCTTCAGCAGGAAGGGATGCTGTCGGTCATTCGGTTGCGCTGTAACCATTGTGACTTGATGTTCATGTCAAAAGAAATGCCCGACCACCTCAGGGATTGGTATGCTTTCACTTGACTCCGTGATGACTTGTCTCATTTCATTTTCAATATCCTCGTCCAGCCATGGTGTACAGGTGCCCTCGCCTGGCGATTTTAACTGGCACTTGGATGACAATCGCTTGATCCGCTCAGCTATGAGGGTTCCGAATGCCTACTTCGTCTGGTGAAACATCTGCCTCCAGACAGCTACTACTGAATGCCGTCACCACTATGAGTGTAACCGAATTTTGCAATATGCGTCGCCGCCACGCAAATCAGGAAGAATGGATCCGTATCCTTGTTGAACAAACTAGTATACAAATATGTACAGTCGATCACGAACGAACTAAAACAACAAAACGAGATATGAATGTGGAACGGTGGAATGATGTATATGTACTCGCAGTGTAAAAGTCCATGCATCAAGAATGGGTGGTGTTACATTGAGAGGGATATGCGGGGATGCTGATGCAATGTTCGTTCACTGATTAGGCTGTATACTAGCTCATGGCTAACAAGCAGCGCATGAGAATAGGATAAATATGGACTCCGAGAATAGTGGCATATATGAGATGGTCTGAGATGAGCGTCAGTCAAAAAAGGGAGATAAAGACCATTTGGACTCACGGCATAATTTGTTCGTCAGGCAGATTGCATAGAATGGGGCATAATTGATCATGAAATATGGTCGTTTTCTAAAGCAGGTCGTAGCTGAAATGCAATTAGATATGGGGGGTAATCGGGGTAGGCTGCTGTACAGATGCTTCAAGGTACTGCAAATTCCATTAGGAGGTATAAAAGATATCTTGCTTTGAGGAAGCTTACCAAATCACAGGGCTTCGAGCGCGGGTATGTCGATCAACGCTTATTGCCAGCGTACCATGATAGATTTACACTGCCGACGCCGGCTATAAACACCTTAGCTCGAAGGCGACACACCTACACAGGGAACCCGTTTAGAGGGGGCGCGTGTTTAAGATGGCTCCGACTCACCGTGTCCGCAACTTCGGCACTCCGAAAATATACATGGAGGTCGCCGTTCGGCATTCGCATGATTTGGCTAACTTCGCCAAAGGACTGTAAGAGCGATGCGGTCAGAAAAGGAGAGTTGCGGATAGCATGCATTCTCACCTCGCACCAACGCTTCACACCCTCGAATCTCCGCGTGTCATCGGGGCCAATACCGCTAACGATGAGTTTCTTCTTCTTTGAATTACGGGTACTCAAAGAGGCGAAGGACACGCGGGGCATTGTACCCCCCTTTCCAGACGCCGAAAAGGCTATCTGAGGGCTGGTAGGATTTGCCTTTGGCAAGCGAGCACCAAACTCTCCGATTCCGTCTCCCTGGATTGGAATATTTGCATCCGCAATATACCTGGTAGATAATGGCACCCTGATACTACTGCGTGCCTTCCTAAGTTTCTTGGGCATGACAGGCTTGACAGGCTCCATGCCAAAGTTGGAACTACACGAGGATAGCGACTCTTTGTTAAGGCCATAGAATGCGCCGCCGTGGGAAACTCCATGGAAGCGGACAGAGTCGGCGAAGGAAACCTGGGACACGGGGATGCTGAGGTCAGAAGTAGAGGTGACGGTGGTTGTGATGGTAGATGAAAGACTCGGACGAGAAGGGGCATAGACGGTGTTCTGCGACGGGGTGACGGAGGCCTGGGAAGCAGCGGCCTGGGAAGAAAAGTGGCCGAGGACGCTTGGACGCCATTTGGAAGAAGAGGGAGACCGGGGCACGGAGCTGCTCAAGGTGGACACACTTGAAGACCGTTTATGCTGACGAGAAGCTGATCCAGTGCCTACGCGAGACAGAAATGATGTACGAGTTGGCGTTGCTGACGGTGGTGTTGATGGTGGTCGAGGTGAGAAGAGCGTTCGTGAGGCCTGGAAAAAGCGTGTACTCCGTGGACTTGACAATGCCTTGGAGCAAGTCAGATACAGCAATGTAACAGTGACCAGTACTCACCTGGGCCTCTGCTGGAATATCATCATCCTCCACAAAGTCATAGGTATTGAGAGTGACTACTGATCCTTGTGCATCCGGATGCATTGGATCAATGTACTGATGTGATAATAAAGCAGGGGTAGCAGAGGACGATTCAGGTATTGACGTATCAAGGATGTCCTCGAGGGTGGGTGCATGCCTCTGCTGTTCCTGCAGCCATTTATCGAAGAGGCTAGAATAACGGTGGTGGGGCTGCGTGGCCAAGGGCGTAATATTGAAAGGATCCTCCTCCGGCAGTGTATATGGTCGATCGTTCATAATGGGCTGGATTCATAAAACACCTGTTACTCGACTGTCCTCCCAAGCTAAAGCGAACACAAAGCGCACCTCGTTACCTGTTCGTTCAGTCGTTACTCTCCAAGGTGGTACACTGGAATATGCCAAAGTCGTGAAATGGGGTCCTTGAAAACAAATTACAGAAAATAAGGGAGGTATGAAAGGCAAGAAGACAGCATGGAGAGAGTAAGGAGAAGAAGGGCAAGCGGCGTCGACGCGTTGTTGACCCAACTTCAACCAACTCCCTTTTCGGGCAATATTCGGATGCAGTTGCCGCAACGTGCCAAACTTTATCGCACCTCGCCTCCACCCAGCCCTGGACATGACACCAAAAATTAAAACTGTTACCAACCGGCATCCAGCACGTTGAGGTCCTATATTTGCCTTGGGTTGTGGGCACAGTATCTGGACGAGTATTCCAATACCTATACGCATAGATCTACCATTTCATGGCCATTTACTGTTTCGCTCAACACGGACATTAATGCCATAGGTAATATCTCGCCACACAGTAGATTGTGCATAGAAGACGAGCCCGACAGCTTTATTGATCGATAGGCTTCCATACAGCAAAGCGGGGGTTGGGTGCCAACCCCGAAAGGCAAGCCTCATGCCGCTAGTACTCCATCGCTTGTATCTTCTGAGCGACTAAAAGGCTGCAATAAGAAACTGTCAAAAGAAAATGTCATTCTAATTTCGGCGACATGCGGAATTTCTCTCACCATCATGGTCTAGCCGCAACTGTGCAGTATTTTTTGAACAATAGACTCAAAAATCTGAGCCGAGGGCGTGGATTTATACCGCTCCAAGACACGAAAACCTGGCGCATCGTCCATCTGTGCCGGTTCACTCGCATCAAGCAAAGTCACCAACTCTGTGTCGACTGGCAGGCTTCCGAGAAAAGGTAGGCCTTCTCTTCTCGCCATATCCTCTCCTCCACCCGTGGAGAAAACGTTACTGATCTCTCCACAGCACGGACAGACATAGCCACTCATGTTTTCAATGAGACCCCACACAGGAAGGTTCACAGCTCTGGTGAATGAAAGACACTTCATGACATCCATGAGTGCGACCGCCTGTGGGGTAGTTACGATGACGGACGACAGCTGAGAGTGAACTGGCGCCATGTGTTCAAGGAGAGACAAATGCTCGTCCGAAGTTCCTAAGCACAGGTTCAGCGAAGGGTAAGAATGGATAGCTCTTGACATACCGGGAGGTGTATCGATGACGAGGTAATCCAGCTCTCCCCACCGAACATCGCTCAGAAATTGGCGAATCATCCCATTCTTCTTCGGCCCTCTCCAAACAACAGAATCTCCTTTGTTCTTGAGCAGGAAGCCGACAGCTCATACAGGCTAGTCTGGCTTCGCTACCATCGGCGTAAACAGGAACCCATCCATCAGTACTTTGGTGGACACCATGTCCATCCAAACCCAGCATCCTTGGTATTGACGGCCCAGTCAGATCGACATCCAGAATGCCGACACGGGCCGTAGGCGAACTGGCATACAGACTAAGCGCCAACTGAGCGGAAACTGAGGATTTGCCTACGCCCCCTTTGCCAGACAGAACGATGATGATGTGCTTGACAGACCGGAGCCGCCTGGATACGGGAGTGTCTTGGGACGCCATGTAATGAGTGATTTAATGTGAAGACTTGAAGGCGATCTGGCGTCGCTGACTTGAAGATGAAACAGCATGAAAGCAGAAAACAGAATTTCAGACGCTGACTCAGGGAATCGGTAAGCAACCTATTATAGTGACGACATGCTAACGTATATCGGCCCGATTTGTCCCGCTCAACTTTACCACCCACCACGACCAGCCCTGCGTACTTCATGCTCTGACGATGGAGTACGCTCATAGTACCATATTGGTTCCGTCTTCGAGCAAGACGAATTCAACGTAGAATCTAGCGTTTTGTATGTGCCATATTGCTCCTTCAACGGATGTCAACGGAGAGCATGCAACAATCTCATCACTCAAACGTACCGTTCCGTAGACGTGGCTGTAATACCACACCTCTGACAAAATGGTACCATTCGAACACCCCAAGTAGGGAATCGCAGCCGTCTGTGTCGCGATGGCTAGTCTGGATCTGGTCAAGCGTGTATGCTGTCTTGTTGGAAGGTACAATTCCGGCTCTGTCGTGGCATCAGCGTAGCCCGAATGGAAGGCGTAGTTCCTCCTTACGAAGCCAGGATATCAAAAGTCGGATACTGATGAAACGCTCTGATCACAGCGTCAAAAAAGTTGACGACTTCCTCGTAGTGCCGATAAGAAGCACCATAGCAGGAAACGTCGAACGTCGATGTGCACGTCGCGTGCTTGGAGAACTGAATAAAAAAGTTGCGGGAGAATCCTCTATATAATGGAGACAGGCAGTCAAACCTCATGAGCCCAAAGGTCGGCATTTGGCGCGCCCTGATTGATCCAATATGCGTTCACTGTCAGATCAATTCGTTCGTTGCCAAGCTGACGTTCGTGTAGGGATCCACCACTCACTAAAATCCAATAGATCAGTCCCTGCCATATGACTCCACGAAGGTATTCACACCAGGCCCTGTGTACGCCGGTACGACAGGTGCCGTCAGGTAGTGTCGCTGGTGAGGGATGCGGGTCATATTGGCGTGAGAGATCGCAAGTACTTGCTCGTACGATCTAGGATGGCCGATGTCATTTGGCATTACCCGATAAGTGAAGAACGCAATCCACCCTACCCATCACAATTATCCGGCCATAACCCATGGATCGTCCAGCTTCCCTTAGGCAGCAACTGCCCTTGTTTCTCCAGCCCCGTATACCTAGCTCCAGAACTGCGTGACAAGGACCAATCCCCCCGGAGTGGGAGAGCAACACGCATTAGCGATGGCGGTCGTGTTTTCACAAGAGTAGGTAGGTGTCTGCAAGACACAGCTTGAGATGTTGGGGTAGGTCGCGGGCACCTTGATAGGCGTTCACCGCCAAAGCCAGGGACGTGATGAACGAGAGGTAGCCGTTCACCAACATGGTAAGTATCTACGAACGGAGTAATCCAACAAAAATCAGGCTATTTATTCGTTGCGACCCGTAGAAGTTACAGACGAACGTGCTTATCGGAACCTGCACCATGAGGACGCTGATTGAGCGCCGCTGGGGCCATCTGCAAATGGACAACCGTGTCATGCGGCCGAGTGCCGGGCTATTAAGCCAGCCCTGCACGAACAAAGGAGCAGATCAGCAGGCACAGAGGTGATGGCAGTAGTCGAAAATATTATTGACTTTCATTTCATTGGTAAATGAATAATTAGTATACATGTGGCAAACAACAATCTAGTATCTAAGGCAATAAATCCTCTAACAATCAGCGAGGTAATCAGTGAGAGCATCGTACTCGTCCTGGTCAACACTCAGTTCATAATAATGTTTAACAGTTACCCAGGCCCGGACGTATGTGCAGACATAGCTGTTGAGGGGGACCATCCATTCAGCCGGGTCTAAATAATGGTGTCAGCGAAAAGTAAGAAAAACAAGACGAGACCCTTACCCTTATCTCCCTTAGCCTGGTTAAGATTATCAGTAACAGCGACGAGCTGTGGACGAGTTAGGTCATTGGCAAAGTCCTCCCGTTCGTCGTCTGTCCAATACCTCGCCCCGGAGACCCACGCCTATCCACACAATTTAGCGGATTTTAGAAGAGTCGATGCGAGAGACTTTTACGCACTTCTTTCAGTGGAACAACGTGGTCCTAGATAAAAGACTGTTCAGAATTTCCGAAATAAAACACAGCATACTTGACACTCACAATGTCGAGATCGCTAGCCAGGGTAGTCGCCACACCGTCGTAGGGGGAGACCCAGCTACCAGACTTTGCGGAACAGTCGGAATTCTGTACGATACTGATCCCCCGTTAGTATCATGTCTTTTCCAAGCTACTTGTCTGCATACGATGCCGCATCTTGTGCCAATACCGCTGTAGGGCGTCTACTCAGCAAGAGAAATGTTGAGGAAGAAACACTTACTCTCCCTAGTATCGCATTTGCCAGAGACTAATAAGGCATATAAGTGAGAGTGTTTCCACGGAGAATAATCACCCAACTGATGATCCAGTGTTTGAACAAATCCCTATCGTATGCAGGTGAATTGCTCTTGGCCTCGATGGTCACTGACATAGCATTAGTGTTGCCTAAAAACCAAGAGGAAGGGAACACACGGGATTTCAAGTACGTCCTGGCAGTCGACGCGCTGAACTGGCGTAGGCAGAGCGCGCTGCTGAAAATCGTTGGATCGTCTCACTGGCACAGTTGCTACCAGGCTGAAGAAGCTGAAAAGAGCTAGTGTCTTGAACGAAACCTTTTTTGGAACCAGATGTGGGTGGAAGGCATTCAATCTGAGCATTTAAACCCACAATCCAGCAGCACCATGTACAACACCACATGCATGACTCTGTTCGCGTGCAGGGCATCGAGCCAAGGCCAAAGAGATACTGTGTCCTTATCTTCATGTGCCGTCTTTAGAGGCTTCCTTCGATAGAGATCTACGGGACGGTATCACATGAACAGAGCATCCTTGCAGCATAATTATTCGAAGCGAGAGACCGGCAGTTAACTTCAGCTGCTTTGTGGGGAGTTCCACATGTCTGCCAAGCGAACGTGAATTAACCATACGCGAACGTTTAATGTCAAAGCTGAAATCACCTTCATCCGGATAATTCCTGTGGCCCTACCTGCTGTTAATATCTGCTTTTATGAGGCAGATGTATCCCCGCTCGCTATGAACTACAAGGACGAAAACTGCAGGGGTTCCCCATTCCCTGCACCGTTCACCCCTGTTGAGTCAAATTAAGTCGCGGGATACAATCTACACAAGCCCAGAGCTAAAACTTGGCACACGTTCGCCCATGATAAAGAGAAACCTCCTACCTGAATTACTAGTACCAATCGACCAGCGAAGGCAATAGCCTCGCGCACGAGGTCGTTCCTCATTAGCGCCGGGCCAAAGATGGAGCACCATGATTCGAAAAGCCGTGTCGCTAGGCTACGAGGAATTTCCGAGACACCGTGAATTTCTGGTCCCCGTGATGTATTGCGAGAGTCACAGAATAAGAAGGCAGAAGATAACTCGTCCGGAAAATACTACCGTACCATTCCATTGGCGTTGTCCATCCAGCTCTTTACGAATCAAGTCATATCCGTGAGCAAGAACTCCGCACAAGGGAATGTGACGAGAGTATAAGGCCGAACTCAGTTAAATAGGCACCAGAAAAAAACTATTTCCAGGGTGCAAACGCCAGCTCCATGGTGCTCAGACTCGAGACTCCGGTCCCCAAAGCATATAGACCATTGGATAGACTGCAACACAAGTTAACAGGATATGATTGATCAATCTCAACCCGAAATGCGGGATAATTCTGAAATCTAGCACCTGAGCTGAAGATAAGGCTGGTGATGATGGTGGTAAAAGGTACAAGTAGGCACAGGGGCTGATTTCCCTTTCGGGCTGGAATATCGGGAATCGGACCGTGCTTCGACTCAACCTGTCTGTAACCTATCTTCACTATCTCATCACCGAAAGCTGCTAGGACTCGTTCCTTTCCAAGTTTCAACTTCATTATCTTCTGGCTATTTTTGTGTCGACATACGAACTCAAGTCTTGAAACTTGAAGATTTCTGTAAGTCTCCTCGCCTATCCTAGTAGCTGCCCCTGATTTGCATATTTGACTAACGCGCCGATTCGCAGGCTCGTACGGTGGAACGGGTAATATTCGTTCAGAACAAGGCTCAACTTCTGCGCTTTTCTTAATTTCATGATGTCAAACACGAGCCTTGCTCGCTTTGAACAGGCGTCCGGTTCCCTCGTTCCTATCATCAATCCCTGTACCGAGCCATTCACCCCGAATGACTTTACTCATTACGAGTACATGGCGCGAAGTTACGTCGAGAGTACGGACGGAATACAACCTCACAAATGCGTCCACGCTCTTTCCGAAGGGTTCAGAGACCCTCTCATCAAGGACTGGTTCATGGCGGACATGCACCATCTCTGCTCATTGGATTTGACAAATTTCCTTTTGGCGATGCGAATGGCGTTTCTTCCGCGAGGTTGGGATAGGAAGCTCCGGGACGAAATACGTTCATCCTACCAAGGGGAAGACGAATCCGTCACGGCGTGGATGTCTCGCCTTCGTCTGAATAATACTCTTCTTCGACACACGTACTTTCATCTCACAAATGACGAGCTCCTTGCTCATTTCAAGTCTCATATCAACAATTCCCTCTCTGCTGCACATCAACGTCGCTCCGAGGCAGTAAAAGAAGACGATCTCATGCAGTGGATACTTATTATCAAGGACATCGAGGTATCTCAAGACGCAGAAAGAGGTAGCGATTTGGATGTTATGCAATCATCGCCAGTAATATTCAAGCCAACGGATCCTCGCCTCAAGCGAAAATATTCGAGCAGCGACGACGAAGTTCCTCCCAAACGAGCCACCATGAGTCCACCGCCTTCCACCTCCACGTCTGTAACTACAGTTCCGTTAACCCCAATTCCACTCTCCGATCCCTCTGTCACTCATTCTCCGGGAACATCGCTCCCTGACCGTGCTTATTCCCATCATGTTAGGCTCCCCTGTCTCACAGATGAACAGCGGGACTGGATGAAGGAGAAGAAGGGATGCTTCAAATGTCGTCGTATATGGGCATTCCATACCTCGCGCGAATGTCACTATGGGCCGCCTGATCCCACAACGTATCGAGGTATCCTGATGCAGGACGGGATCAACCTTGCTTTCGATGCTCCAAAACATTATTCTCAGTCGCCACAGCTACTTTATAACGACGATGACAGGCATTGGAGGGGGTGGGAGAATTGAGACTGTTCGATTTTGTATATAAGTAATTATTGATATCATCAAGATGGACTTCCTGTTGACGGACGACTGCTATTTTACTTGTACTATTACTATTTTTACCACTAGCTACAAGAACAACAAGTTTTGCGCACAGATGGAAAATTCATGAAGGTATGGGCACGGATTGAGTTTGATTCGAAAGGCAATAGTAGCCAGACTCCTTCCCCTAGCACGTGTAACTTCACCGGGACAGTGCATCATCATGCTCCTCACCGAGTCTCAGCCAGTTCGAATAACCATACATACCATATTCTATAAATGACTCTGTATGTCTTCAATCAGATTTCCACAATCCGCAACATCTAGGTTTTCAAAGATCTTCTCTAACGGACCACAAAATATGGAAGAGGACCTCATTTCCTGATTTCGCCATCGAGCGATAGCATGTCGGAAGCGATGCTGATAATCGCAGAGGCAGTATTTTTGCAAGTTCCACGGGAAGCGCATTGTTGATTTAGAAAGACGTCATGTAATGCCGATGACGGAAAAACAAAAGAAACGACGGATCTCGTGCGAGCGATCAAATTGATGGAGCGACCGTAGGCTGTGGAGAGATTGCAATATATTCTCAGCTTGTCCAACCTCACGAGATAAAATGAGGACTTTCACGGCGTCTGCTTGTTGAAGGAGATCGATTGTCTTGAATGTGAGTTGGCAAGTTTACATGAAGAGTGGGGAAACGGCGGTGTCTGGTAAGTTTATCTAATTTAGGGTCCATGCTTTTGAACGCCGGGTAGAGGAGTCCTCAGCCACCGTGGTTCTCCTCAAGTAAATACATCGCATTCTGTTTTATTTGAGAACACAGCAGATATGTGTACGCATGCATACGATTGAAGCAAGGCACCCAGATGTGAAGACGGAGAGGAAATCGCCGGAACAAAATGCCCGACCAGAGATGAAAAGAGCAAGAGACCATTAGACATCAGACCAGCCACCTTCATCTAGCTTGTATGAGGCTTCGCTCTCAGGACGGTCAGGGCTATCGACAAGTTTAGCTACGCGCTCTTCGGCGCGTCCTTTGAAGTTGTTCTGGTTAGTAAGGGATTATAAGTCGCAGACAAGAAAATGAACACCTTTGCGAAGGAACATCCGCGTCGCAGAAGCGTGTGATAATATGTGTCCACCGATTGGCTTTAGTGCCCCACCAGCAACGAATGTCATTGTCGCACCAGGATCAGCTGGTTATGAATTCGAATGTACGTCTGTCTGGAAGACTATAGAGATTAGATAACACATACATTGTACTTGATTCGTGAGGAGAATCGCAATCTGTGCAGAAATTTTAAAAAAGAACGGACACGGAGAATGCTACACACGTTGTATTCCTCTGAGAGCTTGGTTAACCTTGACAACATCTAAAATATAGAACATTATCAGGTTGATCCGGGTCTGAGTTGGTGCTCATCACTAACCTGGGCCAGCTAGAAGGGTGACCTGAGTCCTGAACTAATAGCTCATATCGATGAGAACAAACCTTCTGCTGTCTTTCACTCAGCTCTCCTCTTCCACTGTAGTCGACGCGGAAGAGGGCCATAATACTGTCGACTATCTGAAAGTGCATCAACAACACGCCAGGCCAAGACGAAGGCTAGCTTCAAACCAAAAGCCGGAAATCTTTGTCTTCGGAAAAACGTAATGAACATTCGTTGATGAGTTCCATCTGAGCAAGTTCAGAAGATACGAATCAAGGAGCGAACATCCTGACCTGGTGTTCGCTGTTGAATGCGCGAGCTACGACCAGAACATGAGGAGAGGAGAAATGAGTTCCAGCTACATGGCCTACCATAAAGGATGTTTTCAAGGGCCATGTTGCCATCCACACCGAAACGATCGGCGATAGACCTGATGCGGTCAGGTCGAAAAGTCCCTAATAGAGCTCAATGCGTACGTCAAAGTTGTAGTAGTTTTTATTACCTTCAGTGTCAATATACGCCACCTAATATACTATCTCAACAAATCATGGAAGGTTGAAAGATCAGTAAAGCGCACCTTTCCGGACGCGCCACCTAGTTCGGGAGGCAGCTGAGCTACAACACTCATCGTATGTGCCAACTGAGTTTTGCCGGTTCGATATTCCCCGTATACTACAAGCAACCTCAGACGCAAAAATCGAAAAGCTTACGAAGCTTACCTTCGGAAACAGATTGCGACATGATACCTCCTACTCCCAATGAGACTTCACGAGCGAGCTGAGGAAGTAATGTAGAACCTTACCACCCAAGATACCATCCACTGATTTACTCCCAGTACTGATAACGAGGACTCTCCGTCGTTTGTCCTGGACTTCGATCCCAGTAGCGAAGGATGAACCCTAAGAACGTTTTTAGGAAACTTTTACTGGGAGCCTGGCATACTTACCAAGATTTTATGGGCTGCCTCCTAATGATGTCGGGAAGCCATTAATACCAAGCGATCAAAGACATGTATGCACACCGACTTTAATCTTCTCGACTTTCGCTTCTGACATTCCCTGATCGAAACTAAGTATACCCTGGACCATCTACTATGCAAAGGCATACCTTTATCTTAAGCAGCTGGCGCCTCGTTGTCATATTGACACCAGACACGGTGTTGATCGCCGCCGACTTCAGTTTAAGAATATCCTGCACGTTGATGCCCTGCCAAATGTAAGCAAGGCAAATCTAGACGCATATATGCACGTACCTGCTGTTGCAATTCGTCTACGCTATCGAAGTACGGGTTCTGCTTAGTAAATGAGTAAGGTGGGCCGGGAATGGCACGAAAGGTTCTGTACGTCGTCTTCATCGGCACCACCAGGGCTCCCGGGTCGTGAAGGAGGTGCCGATGTCTGAGATGGAGCGCGACGAGGAGGCATAACGGTACTTGGTTGAAGTAAATGCGCGAAGCGATGTCGGAGATGATGGACGAGATGTACAAGGAAGGAAGGAATTAAGAGAAAAGAAGAACGTGACTTTTGTACGACGCGTTCTTTGTTGCTGTTGTGCCATGGCTTCTTTCTGTGGCGTAAACGTTACCGATTCAATGGAGTTGCTGACTACCATCTGAAAATGTTATGTCAGTCCCAGAAGCAACAGAATTATTTAAGTATCATAGAGAGCATGCAAACATACGGTTGCATTTCTCTGCCAGAGTCTATCGACTCGTCAGCGTTCCGTGCCAGCGGCCAGGGCTGTTAACTTGAGCATGCTCAATTATACCCGTTATCCAAGGGACACATGCAGTACCATGTAGGTCCGCCCTGCCTAGAACAATGGAGGCACGATAACCAAACAATGACCGGTGGCAATAACAACCATTGTTTGCCCGATTGAGCACGACGTGATGGCGAACTGACATCGATAGCATGGTCCACAGATCAGCGTATGCACGGTGAAGAACGCTGCATATAGGTTCAGGTTGTAGAATAGTGGCGTTTACTTTGTTACATGACGCAACAGACTGCGTTTGAAAACTTGAATTAATTTCATAGTTAAATCCAGAACCAAGAGATCTACAACCATCAGCTGTCTTATTCTTACCCCTCTTTCCCACTCTTTGAGCCACCACGTCCGTGGCCAAACCAGGTTTTGACTTTTTTTGAGAACTTGGTTTTCTCAGATTTCGAGCCTGAGAAAGAAATCTTCATTTTCAAGTGTCGACGAGAAGAAGTGGAACAGAACCTTACCGCTCTGATATCTTTCATCCTTGAGGTGATTTAGCTCTTTATTCACACCAATGGTCGATTCTTGATCATTGGTGACTTTCACCGTCTCTCTCCCCAGGGTCTTCGACTCGGTAGCGTCAGAGTACTCAGTTCCGGTTACAACAATCCGTGGGCGGTGCTCGACAGGTTTCCACTCGCCTTCGAATGCATTGCTGACCAGCCCAGCGTCCATGGTGGCATAGACCGTTTCTGAATTCTTAGAGTTTGCGTATGCCATCACTGCATGTGTATCAGTATACGGAGCTGAATATGCATACTCATTGAATCAACGAACTCACGATAAGTGCATATGATAGTCCAACTCACCGATTCCTCCGGATAGTATATCAGAACAGTTCCTTTAGCCTCAAGGGCCGCGTGTATGAACTGAGCAGCTTGATATATCCGCTGCGTGTCAATGACATGGAACTTTGAATCCAGGCTTATCCTGCGTTGCGAAACGGTTGTGAGCAGGTGTGTAACCTTCATCGCCTTGATTTTCGCTTCAGCTTCATCCTCATCAGGGAGAAAGGACCTTAAACAAAGTGAAAACCCACACCATGAAAACGAAGGTGAACGAAGAATAGCTATCACCTACCCTCTTAAGTATATTCTGTCCAGAAAGAGATATGTCTTTAAGGAAACTGCGCTGTTGTCTTGCTTGGATTTCCACGTAAGATACTTCGGATTGTCGGAGCTGGGATTATGAGAACATTCATAAATTCTCAGTTGCTTCAGGAAACTGCCGTGGGACACATCCCATTCTCTTCCTAAGAACCGGGTTAGCAAAGGAAACGTATATCTAGGCAGTGAGCACAAACGTTGTCGAATACACGCCAGCGCTTCTTCTACCGTCATATTACGTGTATGAATAACTTGTGGAACCAACACATGAACAGATCCGAATGCTAGTGGGTAGACCAGGAGACGTACGATATGCCGCCACAATTATGATGCCTCTTGATATCTCGAGCATACAGTGGATAAGCACCTTTCCCTGCCTCAATAATACACTGTGAATATAGTCAACCGCCTCATAGAAGTGTGAATAGATATCTTCGTCCCTGTCTCGACGTATGACAAGGACGAGATCACGGCGTTGTTCAGGTAGGAAATGAGCGTTGCAAAGGGTAAGGACGTGCGTGATGCGATGTTTTTGGCGCAGGACTTCAGACATGGATTCATCGACACTAGGGACGATTGAGAAATGACATCGCAATGTGAATAGCGACGCACGTTCTAAGGTATATTTTCCCTTCTACAATCTCTTCCATTAATTCCAGGTACGGATTCTTTGGATCACCATCCTTGGCCTTGTTGCATCCGTTGGCATCAACACCGTGAGATATGCCAGCACAAGAGTCGGTCAACTCAGGCTCCGTGTTTTCAATGTCCATGGGATCGTGGCAGACGATTTGATGAGGAAAGGACGATCGTTTAGAGCACAAAGGCCGACAGATGAGGATCAGGCCATGATGATCAAAGCTTTTACGTTGATTGCCGTATGTTGTAGTCTAGTTAGCTGTCGTTCGCACGGTAGTAAACAATGGCATCGATGAAGCTCAAGTTCGAATTCGGAGATACACAGAAAATCAGGAAAAGACAGAAACAAGAAAGCAGTTTGGTCAACCTGTTGCTAGCGTAATGCATCCCCGATGGCATGTATAGATCGTGCCGCCGGCCGGCGGCACTTTGCGCAACACTGTAATTAATGAGTAACTTGGATCCCACAATCTTGCACGGTCGAGGTCTAAAGCTAAAGGATCACGCATCGTGCATAGTGGTCTAAAGAACGAAAGATGAGCATGGAACATCCGTTTCTATCTCAGGCTGTCTCGATGAGCGAGTAATTTTCATGCCCCAACAAATTTAAACTAGACTCGCTAACCAGTCGACGTTCACAAGCATTTCACCTCCTTCCTTATACGGATGTTTGGTTATTTGGTTGACTTCCATAAGTAGGTTGACATCGGAGGTGAGCTTGTGAACGGACTGGGCAAAACCCCGACGTTTCAGAGGGTCACGCTTCTTGTGACTTGGGACTTGGAAAAAATTCTGCTGATTTTTCCTTGCAGCCTGCCTCCGATGGCCTCTAGGTCTCTCTCATCCTCGTTTAAAACCCGGGAAGTATTATTCCTTTGATAATTTCTTGCTTTAGTGCTCCGAAATGCAATTTTTGAATGTCTCTTTTGCACTGCTGTTCAGTCCATGCAGGAGGGGATGGATTCCGATGGAAGGATGACGACATCATATATGGGTAGAGTGGTTCCGCGCTTTGGAAAGAAAATAAGACAGAAAATGGGCATGAAGTGATAAGAAGGTAAGGCATAATCAAAATAATCAACCTAGAATTCACTATGAGGGAGGGAGGGAGGACAAGCACGAAAGCTGGCAGAGAGGATGCGAAATTTTTCTAAGTTCGATGTCACAAAAAGCGTGACCCTCTAAAACGTTGGGGATTTGCCCAGCCGCTTCGCCAAAAGTGAACAGCGCAGCCACGTGGCGAAGCTGGCTGGTGCACGAGCCTAAATTTAAACAGAGTTCTATTCAAAACTGATTGAAAAAGTAAATCTATCCAGGGACCCCCAAAATTTCAACGCAGTCGAGAATGGCCCATTTGGTGGGGTATGAGGGACCCCTTTGGACAAAATTAATGACAATGGCTAACAACGTTTTTGAACATAAATACCGTTTGAAGAAGACGGATTTAGTCTCTTTGGCAATAGTTTGGCCCCCCAGAAAGACGACATTGACCTCCGGAAAGACGACTTCGATCTCCGGAAAGATGACCCTTGATGGGACAGCCGACACCGGCACCGGCAAATTCCAAGATAGGCCATTTCGGCACTAGGCGGCTCTTCAAATTCCTCCAGTTACGAGCGTACGATGGTAGGCTCGTGCACCAGCCAGCTTCGCCACGTGGCTGCGCTGTTCACTTTTGGCGAAGCGGCTGGGCAAATCCCCAACGTTTTAGAGGGTCACGCTTTTTGTGACATCGAACTTAGAAAAATTTCGCATCCTCTCTGCCAGCTTTCGTGCTTGTCCTCCCTCCCTCCCTCATAGTGAATTCTAGGTTGATTATTTTGATTATGCCTTACCTTCTTATCACTTCATGCCCATTTTCTGTCTTATTTTCTTTCCAAAGCGCGGAACCACTCTACCCATATATGATGTCGTCATCCTTCCATCGGAATCCATCCCCTCCTGCATGGACTGAACAGCAGTGCAAAAGAGACATTCAAAAATTGCATTTCGGAGCAAAGCAAGAAATTATCAAAGGAATATATACTTCCCGGGTTTAAACGAGGATGAGAGAGACCTAGAGGCCATCGGAGGCAGGCTGCAAGGAAAAATCAGCAGAATTTTTTCCAAGTCCCAAGTCACAAGAAGCGTGACCCTCTGAAACGTCGGGGTTTTGCCCAGTCCGTCACAAGCTCACCTCCGATGTCAACCTACTTATGGAAGTCAACCAACCAAAAACCACATCCGTATAAGGAAGGAGGTGAATGCTTGTGAACGTCGACTGGTTAGCGAGTCTAGTACGATGGGCGCTGTCAAGATTTAAAACCGAAGATCGGTCGGGGACCACAATAAAAGATGCTGTGTTGGTAGCCAAATGTCTTGCCCATGTTGCCAAGCCCCTTGCATGACCGCTTCTCGCTTACTGGGATGGGCGTTATCGCCGTTATCTGTATTTCTCTCCTTCCGACATATTGAATGATCTAATTCAGCTTTTCACGTCTACAGACTTTCTTATAGGCATATTCACTATAATGCAAGCCTTAATTCTCCTGTCTTTATCCGGAGCTTTTTTTCCATCAATGCAAAGCTGTAAATTTTCGTTGAAGCAATGAATTTCTGGCATCTGTGATCTTGCAGGCAGCACCTCGGGCATATAGCTACTAACTGGATCTGATTCAGCTGAAATATTTGTTCCTTCAAGGGCTAGAACATATCAACATCTTTGTCGGGTGCTAACTGGCATTATTTTCCAACATCAACATTCAAAAGGCGAATTCCTTCAGTCAAAGTCTCGCATTCTGTAGATTAGTGCTCACAACTACAGGCTTTTGTATCATTACACGACGGCAATATTATCTGTCAAGCAAGGTATGATTTAAGTTATATTCAGTACTCACTGTTCGTTGACATAGGCTTGCTCTGTAATATTTTCGCCCTAACATTGTCGTTAAAAATGCATCTCGCATCCTGGAAGTTGACTATCGCCGATAGAGGAATCCCATTCACAGAGTCTGTGAATGGGATAGGTCCGAGTCTTGACATACTCCAGCCCTAGTATCTACTGAGGTTCTGTATGACCGTTAGTCACTGTAATCTGGTAGACATACGACAAAATTCCTTGAAAGCAACTGCTTAAGTCAATTAACAAGCATCAGATTGTATTGATACTCAAAAGTAGTAGATAAAACGTCCCGGTATTAGGAATTCTCTACGACTCAGAATTTGCTCGGAATGCCAGCCTGGCTATGACTGACTCCGATCATAGTATTCGGTGGTAGGCCGCAGTTCTGTGTCAGTGAAATCCAGATGAGAAGCTCGTAAGTACTCAAAGTGTAAACTTCGATGCTACTAGTAGGCGGCCGGGTAGCCGTCATTGACTTGCCTTTGGGAATCGGAAACTAATACTTAGACAATATTTTCTGTGGCAGATGAGCTCATTCGTACTTCTGTCAAATACTCAAAAGCATTCATTTCCGCTGCTGCCGTTGATATGCCAAGACAACGACGTATGAGACTACGAGGCGACGAGCGTCCGGACCGCCAGAGCTCCGGCAAAGTGGCTGTGCCCCTTAGTAATGCCATCAGAAAGCGTATCCATCTTTTCGGAGGTGGTCTTCATCTTTCCGGCGCTCTTACCCATTTCGCCGGAGCTCGAAAACTACACAACGAAGGGGGCTGCGTACGAAGCTCGTGTTGTCTGTCAACGCCATTTCGTCAATACCTCATTTCTGCCATTTTTGTCCAGGCGGGTCCGGGATAGTGGGGCCCGAAAATTACAATGAAATTCTGGGTGTTACGATGGAGTTGCCTTGATACCAACTGTGTCTTACATATCTGTGTCAAAGAGATAGAAAGACAAGGTAGAATATAAACGAACCCTAGAAAGACACCCTCGCCCCAGTACGCAGCACATAAGTTACAGTATTTCGAAACGGATGTTGAGTTGCGCAAGTCTTGGCAACTTTCCGACTTTCAAACGCGATGATTCGCTAATGACATCAGCTCTATTTTTAGTCAGGAAAAACATACGCGATCGGGTGTATGACCCACCAGGCGAACCGATACCAGCCATAAAACAGAGCCAGATCGGTATACAACATTGTCCATCGTTCTTTCCCGCCACCACCACATCTGCTTGCTATCAAACAACGCTCTCTATAACCTGCACAAACATCACTACTTCAATGACATCCATCGCTACCATTCGTTTTTGTGACGTCCTTCAAAAGCCGCCAGCAGATCGCCCACGGAAGGCGAGTCCATATATTCTTGGACTCTTCGCAACGAAACAGCTAAAAGCGTCATTCAGGCTGGAACGGTGTACCCTATGGTAGCGCAGCTCAAAGGCGGGACCGACAGAAATTCATTTGATTTACTCTGGGCGTGGGAGGCTTTGTCGGCGGTGACTATCGAATTGGAGATCCCAGAAACTGAAGATAGCAGGGCGGTAAGTGACGATCCATGTCAAGGGCACTAGACTTACAACGGACATGGCAGGCTGTTGTTAAGAAGACGTTGATGTCCTGCCACCAGTCTTTGGTTGGACAGCTAGGCGAGAGAGCGTCAAGGCTTCTGGGATCATCGAAATTCACTCATGGTGGTAACAGCTTCCTTGCTCCTTGTCCTCATCTATGCACAGTCTCGTCCAGCGCCTCTGCGTCGATTGCTATGGGTTCTGCGTTCTCCTCGTATTCATCGTCCATGTCGACCACTGGCTCGGAGGATTAACCGATTGATAGAGTTAGGATTACACCCGATCGGAACTGAGAGGGCCATAGAATTCGTCATGACCTTCGTGTTTATTGTACAAGTTCTCGTAATATCCCTGTTTTGAATGTAATAGTACGCATATATCCACATAATTGTTCCACGCGCAAAGCTAGGACTCCTGAAGTGGTTTAGTCGAGAGAATAAGGTTTATGATGTCGCACTATGCCGTGAACTTGATCATCAGAGGCCCAGTGGTTGAACAGTAACAGTGTTTAGTTTGTCGAGATAACAAAGTGCGTACTTGAGCGAATTCATGCGGTTACACATGTCGGACATCGGTCTTGTTTAATCCAGTGGTTGACCACAATTGCTGCGAGAGTGCTGAGAGGATAATGAGTACCTTGAAACGACTCTGTGACCGTCGTTGACGGGATGCTTCGCAAGTGACACCGAAAAATCCGGTTTAGGAGTGACGGAGCACGGCAACGGCCCAGGAATTAAATCCAACCGTGGCAAAAAAGAATTATCAGATCCGGAAGCTTACCTGGAAGAAATGTAACCAGAAAATAGGAGTAGCGTATGGTCAACAGTCGAGTAGCGGTTGTTATTGTCCAAGAAGGTCTGTAGAGAGTACAAAAATCGAGATAGAATTTCGCAAGAAAATGCCAGTGCACAGGAGAGTGCAGACCAAGGAAGAGGTCGACCGGGGGAGCCTTTGAGCATTTTGGGGTTGTCCGGCAACAGAATAAGGGTAATCGGAAAGCGGCAGTTTGTTTGTGCGACATCCGTTGGACACCAAAAATCAAACCGCCATCATCCTTGTCTACATCGTCGAGGTCGCTCTCCTGATGGGGACATACATCCAGTGTTGTACCATCAAGGCTTCAGTATGATGCCTTCGTCGCCTTGCAAAAAATAGCGAAATGGCCAGTTTTCTCGAGATTTACTCTCGTAGTCTCTGTTTTTCGTTCTTCGTGCAGCAGGTCTTGCACTATTATATTGATTGTTGTTCCGAAGCTTCTGGATAGCATCTTCTTCTCTCACAGACCTTTCGTTGCGCGGGTGGATGCATGCGACTAGAAGTTAACAACGCCCAAAGTCATCTTTTGTGAATGGGACGCCAAAATTGAAAACGGGGTTGTCTTGGACTTGAAGATATAACGTTTATCTCCCAGCGTGTCGTTGGGTCTTCAGCTTCCGGTCCTCAGTGTTATCAAGTTCACCGTCATCCGCTCAGTGGGCTCAAGAAGATCAAGTTTCCAGAGACAGTCGGCAATATGGTTGAACTGGGTTGGGGGCGCAGTGTTTGGATATAATGCCCGCAGGTATGTTTTCAAGTTCTTCAGATTCTCTTGAGGATTGTCTTTGACTAGCTGGTATTAGCAGGTAACTTGACGTCCACACAGGTGTTGTAACTTTTGCTGGTCGTTGAATTATTCTGGAAGCACACGATGTTTACCATAATCATGCTATGGCAGCCATGGGGAATAAACCGGGCTGCTAGAAATTACAGTGAGAGTATGAAGTGAGTCGTCGCGTTATGCGTTAGCAGGATTCATGACTCACAGAGTCACAGGGCGCTCACATGTTGTTACAGACGTGACACTTACGTAAGGGTAACGTCGCATAATTGGCGGTCGATATGGGCCCTCGAAATTTGCCTCTGTCGGTGTCATTCAGATATTGGCGGCATGAAATTTGGAATAATACGCGTCACAACCAAAGAGGAGAGGGATGAGCTGCCAGAGAGGAGTCGGAACGACGGGAGAAGACCCGTCGTCGGTTACCAGAGCCGTCATTCCAGTTCCCAGTAACTCGGTATGCCGGTCCATAGTCTCGGGTTCGGGTCCTCATACCTGGAAATACGCGTCGTCATGGCCCAGGCATACTAGGCGTACGTTCTGCTGTATGGTGGACGATCCATTTGGACTGGACCATTTTTGTCGGGTTTTTTTGAAGAGCAAGCATGACACACTGTGAGAACGCCTATTTGTGTTCGAAATTCCACTTATGTCATTCCAGTGTTTACGCCGAACATACTGGGTAAGTCACTGGTTCGATACGGGTTCGGTTCCCGATATCGAAGCCCAGGCGCACTTTAAAAGCTAGGGAAGCCGACCAGGGTAGTTATCTCTCTTCTTTTCACTCTCTCACCACGCTCCTTCGTCATTTTTCATCCTCATGCCTCCACTCCGTATCCGCGACCGCCACTTCCCTTCTATGCATCAGGTTTTCCTTCAAGCCCAGACTATTCCCGTCAGTGCTACCATATACTATCAACACGTCCCTCTGCCCTCCCTCGTCTTTCGATACGAGCCTTATGGACATGCCTACGCCAACAGAAACCACCCTCTAATGGTGAGCACAGTTCCCCTTGGTTAATTTTAGCTAAAATTGTGCAGACTACTACTCGTGATGGTAACATTGATTGGGACGACCGCGTTTTTTTCACTGTAGCCCTTGTGAGTATCATCTGTTTGCCGGTGCGAACTTGGTCTGATGAGCATTACAGCCTCACCCCACGGAAGAAGAAATGGCTCTCAATGAAGCCCTTCAAGTAAATCCGGAACCTGGGGTTCAGCCTCCTCATGGTCGCGTTAGGCGCCTGTCTGTCCTAGTCATTGTTAGGCTGTTATCCGTCTTTCCCTGTCATATATACTTATCGATCTGACCAGGAGCTTGCCCTTGCTGTCACCCGTCGTCTTCGTATTTCTCGGTTGGATTGAACTCCACCTCCGTCGTCTCAAAAATTTCTTGTCCCTCGCTCCAAAAAAATTGGGATGTAAGCTTGAAATCATACCTTATCACACATTTTTTCTTGGGTCTCGTCGTCATCAAACTTGAATGTATCATTACACCTTGTCGTAGTTACCAGCTTTGCTATCACTGTACATCTGTACCTCCAATGCACATACTAAATCTTGTGAGTACCTACTTATGCACAGGTGCAGGTTCAGCGACTATGGAAATGAAGCAACCTTGTCGGGTTGAGTCACCGGATTTTTTTTTTGCACCCCAAATTTCACAAGGATCAACTGAATTGTACATGATAGGGATAGTTTAAATAAAACCTCATTGAATGACTACAGACGTAAGGTATCAATTAATCGGCATCAACAACCATACCGCCACGACCCCTTCTGATCCTATCCTCTAGCCCACCAGAACCACCAAACACCTTCTTTGACTCCTGGCTCAAGAACCCTCCCATGCCCTTCGACTTGGCCCTCGCCTCCTCCTCCTCCGCATGATCAGCCTTCTCTTTCTCCAACATTTGCGCCAGACGCTCCTTCCGTTCGCTACTCATTGTAGTGGCATCAGCGGTCATGGCAGCCAGCCGAGCTGCACGGTTTTCAGCAGCACGGTTGTCAGATAAACGGGTAGGAGGCGGACTCGTGCGTATTCGTTTCGCAGGAATGTGACGATCATACCTCTCCCTACTTGAACTGCGTGCACGTTTCCCATGTTCTTCAGATCTATCATAAGACACGGGTCGACGTCTGTCGTTCTGAGACGGTTCATCATAGTGACGCCGACGCGAGTCGCGAGGGGGGCTCTCGTAACGGCGGTGATATGGAGGTGAAGGACTGCGGCCTGTATGGCGTCGTGAAGGATATTCGTTTTCGCTGCTGCTTCGTTCATCGTAGTGAGAGCGGAACGGTGACGGTGAGGGACGTCTATGAAAGGGACTTCGACTACGGGAGCGATGGGATCCACTATACCGGTTTGGAGAGCGAGACCTCGACCTGTTGCGATCGTCCAAGGGACTCGGTGAGCGCGAGTATCTGTCCCGTCTTTGTTTACGCTCCAGTTTTAATCGCTTCTTTTCCTCTTTCTCTAATTTCTTCTGTTTCTTATCTTTCTTTGGCTTGATACCATTGCGCTCCTGCATCTCTTTGAGGCGAAGAGGGTTAGCCATTAGTGCTTCATAAGCCGCCTGCTCCTGCTGTTTGATGGCAAGTAGAGGGTCTTCGCGGATTTTCGCGGCTATGTCACGGGCGTTGTTGGCATTTTGAACAGCGATGAAGTTCTTGTGAGAGGCACCAAGCTGTTAAGCGTGGTTAGATTACAGGTTCAGCATCAATGTGAGTACACGTACCTTAGCATTGTCATCTGCTGTTAAGATCTTGTCCACCCTTTTCTTCCCAAGGAGATAATCCTCTAGATCATTTGGATTCTGACTGCTGCCCGTCGCCGGAGTCGTGTACATCCATTCAAGTTTCTCCGTCCGTTTCTTGCCCGTTTTCTCTTCTTGAAGTCTCTGCAGTTCTTGAAGTTGCCGTTCTTCTTCCTTTTCCTTGCGGAGTTGGTCTAGTTTTTTCTTCTCTTCAAGCTAATACGGATAGTGTCATGTCAGACTTGTCAACTAGCAATAATCATGGATTGGACTCACAGCCTTCTTTTCTTCGAGCCAGACCCGCTCCTGATTCTTCAACAGAAGCGGGTGCCAGGACTTCTTCATGTTCAAGTCGCCGCCACCCATTTTGATGAAGTGCTGGATGAATGAGTGTAAAGTAGGTTGTGTAGATGCAAGGCTGAATTAAGCACGAAGTGGGATGAACCAAGGGGCGCCGGATGTTTGTATCTGATTGGCAGAGCCCTTCTCCAGCCTTCTCCGCAATGCCGGCCGCCTTCATGGTTCCTTTCTCGACCTGACATTCACCATGTCTCCACCCACGGACATACAGGACGACGTCGAATACGAGGAGAATGATCCATTTAATCGTGACGCTGACGATATTAATGCGCCTTTGCGTCCTGAGTGAGCATGCTGTCTCTGTTGCGTGTCATGATCTAAAGGCCATTCACAGACCAACTCGTTCCATCTATGCTCTAACACGCCAAGAAATAACAAAAGGACTCGCCAACCGATTTGTTCACTCACGGACATATATCATTCTGTATCTTGGAATGGCTGCGTTGTCAGTGACGACGGTGGTGCTCAGCCTTGTAGACGGGTTGTCCCGGTCTCCCCTTCTATATTCTTGAAATTATCATCAATGTGGCGATGATACTTGAAGTTGGTGTACGTTTCGTTGCATTTGGACGTGTAAGAATGATGCATCTGTCTCCTAGTGTGCGTACTTACGAATGTCATGATGATAGCAATTCTGGAAATCACCGTTCAATGTTGTAGACCTCATTCTCACCGTCTTCTGTGCTCTTACCTTGCTAGTACTTGCATTTGCCTCATCGTGTGGGTCCACTAGCAAAGAGGAGGAACTCCTGGACACGCTGCTGCTCGTTGCTCGAAATGTCCTTCAATTCAGTCGTCTCGCTGCGGTCATGAGACAGTATGTTTGTTGAAAATTCCATCATTTTTGATGCTGATGTCGTTCCTGCTAAAGATCGGGGCAGTCTATATTCTCGCGGCCGAAGCCCATCGACATCAATGCTGCACGGCGATACAACCTTGATATTGATATTGACAGTGATGAGGAAGAAGACGCTGAACTTGGTCAGCCACTAGTGCGAAACCCCGTACTGTTCGATGCGAGTTCAGGGCAACGACCGCAAGGTAGAAATTCTACTATGTCCGCCATGCCTCGAGCTGCGGAAGCTGCGCGAGATAGAGATACTGAAGATGTATGGGCGGAGCTGGGATAGAGGTTTGTATGTGATCTTTTGATAACGACTTATGTATCTGACGCGGTACATAGCCCAGTAAGGGTGCCTTTGGAGCTTCCTCGCGGGATTTGCCAAGTTAGTGCGCATTCAACCTCAGCGATCATGCCGCTCAGGTGGATCCAGGGCTCGGATTATTATATTTTCCCGGGAATTGATGGTGATACTCCCACAGCCCGGCCTGGTGTAGTATAGGATTGTATTATTTGGGTATGATGGACGTCGTGAGAAGAGGATAGACGAGTCAATTTGACGACAATCGATAGACGGAATCTTCTCAATATATATGTTTTCTGCTTCCGAGGGGAGCTTAGGGACCGCCGGACAGAATCGCATGATTCGCCTGATGGGACGTAAAATTACCTTTTTCAGATCGCAGACGTTTCCAGGAGACCGATTGCTTTTACGGCAGGATCAGAACGTGTTAGAAAAACAATTCGACCAGTCCAGACGCTAAACTCTTTTGCCAACGACAACGACGACAACGTCTATGTTTTGACCTTGCCGACATTTGCTCCTGCGCTCACAAGGCCAGGTTAGCTCTGTAGACTCCCAATCCTTCTTCTGCCTTGCTTTCCCCTTGTTCCTATCTTTTATCTCTCATTAATCTTCCATGTCGTCCGCTATCTCGCGCCATGACCAGGCTTCGCGAAGTTGGTGGTCCTCAAAACACGCCAAGTATCCTGCTCAACCCAAGGACATGCCCCAGGATTTTACCCCGGGAAGCTCGACGTCTTCCACTAAATCTTCCGGCAGCAAGTTTAATTCTCTGACTTCTGTTTTCAAGTCCAAGAAGCACCCTTCCTTGGCCATACAAGACCCTCCCCTGCCTCCCGCCCGACCCGTTCTCTCTGCTGTTTCACCGTCGGATCTGGGACGATCAAAGTCTCACAACGTACAGTGCACTCGGCCTCCATCCAAATCTGTTTCATCCACCCTCTCGCAGGCGGAATCATCAGAGCCTCGTACCCCAGTCGACAGCAACCGAGAAATGCACCACCAGTCATTACTGACATTGTCAGACAACGATCCTTTTGCCTCCCATGGTATATTCATACCTCACTCTCCTGTAGACCCCAACCGTCTCTCGGTTTACTCAAATTCCTCCATCATAGAATACTCCAAACGGAGTGACGCGGGGATTAACCGTGGATCCTATGCTTCGTCCTCATCTCAGTCGAACTATTACGGCGATTCACCGTCGTTTAGTCCTACTTCCCGTACGGCGTCGTCGCCAGATATACCCACTCGGCGAAAACTTACGTCCAAGTGCGTCTCACGCGTCCTTCTCTCATTTATTTCGTGCTAATTCTTTTACGTAGGAAATCGGGAGGTGATTTGCGACGCAATGGATCCATGCATTCGTCTGTAGTTTCTGCTGAAGTTATCCGGAATGCCAGGGATGCAGCATGGGAAAGCCTCCCATCTCCCGGAAACCCAATTATCAAGAACTCGTCATCAGTCACTCTAACAGAGAAAAATCGATTGAGCCAACCTGACGCTTCACATGTAGCCAGACCATCGCTTCGTGCTCGAGGCCTGACGGAAAGTGGCGGCATTCATCCTCCAAACTTTCTTCGCCGGGACTCTGCGCAGTCTCCGGACAATGCTTCAACTTCTTCCCCTCGCGTTATCGTACGTCAGGCGTCCATCCAGCGAATGGGCTTGCCACCCAGCGCACCCCCCACTCAGCGGCTGCCTCTTCCGCCTCCCGTTCCCATGCCCATAGTCGATGACGACGCGGATGTAGTACTATCGCCTGACATATCAGGGGGTTCTGCGGCATCTTCTTTCACTTCTTCGATGAGGGAACCGTACATGGCCAACCAACATTACATTCCGCGCGAGGATAGATCACATAGGGATACCTCTTCTGAGCTCGAGAAGTCCCCATTGTCTTCTCCTAAAGCAGGCCGTACCCTTAAAAAGTCGATATCTCATCAGTCCCTGACGAAGAGGGGCAGTTCCGGCGGGTCGCCAGCTCCACCCACTGCTACAACTGACCCTGTAGTTGAGAAGGCGCCACGGAAACAGAGATCATTCCATCATGCTCGCCTTCCTATGATCCCTCCACTGCCTCTGCCTCTGCGTCACAACAATAATTCAGTTCCTTCCACTGCTGCTTCAAACTCTGCGGGTGATGCCACTTCCATATCCGATAAGCGTGGAAGCTCGGGCGGAGGGTCCGCTAGTGGTGGGAGAAAAAGACTATTTTCGGGCTCACACTTTGGGAGGCATTCGGCGTCGCAGGGACTCTCGCCTGAAGAAGATAAACGATCAGTTTTCAGTCTTCCTGTTGAGTCAGACCGTACCGGCAGCAGTAGTTTGCTGTCACAGACAACTTTATCACCGTCGTCCTCTTTTTGGGATGAAAGTACTCCGGACATTCCCAGTAGCCCGAAGCCTGAATACGTGCCTCAGTCAATATTGTCACCAGCCGAACTCCTTGAAGTAGAAGCCAATATCCAAGATGCCCTCAATTTCAGTAAACAGTCGCGACAGCGTGGCTACTCCGTGGTATCTTCTTCTACTGTTGCAGACGACGACTACGGCCCCATCCCGGAAGGTCTTGCGGCACCATTCTCTCTTAACAATGGCCCGAAGCTAGGCATATCCGTTCCATCTCTATATTCGCGCCCATCGACGCAACCCACTCATCCCTCATCCATAACTTCGAATTCCTTTTTTTCACCTCCATCTGATCCGCATCACATCAGCCTCCCTCCCCCACCTCGTCGTTCTCGCCCTCAAACTTCTCCCGCTCATAATGACAATGAGATTAAGCCCTTATCTCCCCCTCCACGCACCAAGGTGCGCAGGAAGGTATCGGTTGAGACCAATCTCCGGCGGAATATGATGATAAGGAAACCATCCTTTTTGGATATAGATGATGAATTCGACAGAGATCACCAGCGAGTCTCACGACCAGATCCCCCACCAAAGGTGAATGCGAAGCAACAAATACACGATAGCTTCCTTGATCTTGCGCGAGAGTCATTTGACAGTTCACGTAGTGACGACCCATAGCGACACCTTATTCTCTTTCTCAACGGATGCGTACATATCCTATCTTTATGTTCTTATTTGCTACATACGATACCTCAAGCGTGTGCTTTTACTGTTTTCGTTTGCTTTCCGTCTTATTGTGTTAATATAGCTGCAACAACCCTACCAGGTTATACATTCGTACATCACCCTCCTTTACATTTCTTCGTGTACCTCCAACAACTTTTTACATTCATCCATGGCCGGTGGCTGGTACTGTATTCTTACCCTCCCATGTCCCACCTCAAGCAAAGCATTCAAAATGATGGTATTCCGTGTTAGAAGTATTACATGTAAAAGATGTGGTACCTTGAAAAAACATATTCAATCTGTCTCATCTGTATGATATCCCGCTCTTCTCATAGCGCCCAAACGATGTCTCGCCGCACCGAGCTCCTTCTCCAGTTTGAGAATCTCCACCTGTTGCTCCATCTCCCGTTTCTTAAACTCTAAAACAGCCATATCCTTGTAGTTGACATCTTCTTGTTCGATTTGCTGAGCCGATACAGCTTTGACTTGACGGACAAGGGCCTTGCAAGCCTCAGTAACTGCTTTGGCGGCCAATTCAAGACGCTCTTGGGTCTTGGACATGAGATTGGCTTTAACGCGAGAAGCTGCGACGAGCTGGGCGGTAGCAGCAGCTACCTCGTTAGAAGCGACAATAAGCTGTTCCAATGAATGTGTTCCCGAAAGTACTCCATCAGCGCTTTCAATAAGGAGATTCGTCGCGAATGCAACAGCTTTGGCAGCGGATATAAGGCCTTCCGTCCATCTGTTGTTTCGCTTGTAAAACTGTTGTGAAGTACTGGACCCTTTGCCTTGCGCCACAATCTCTTGCTGTGAGTCGGTTGCAGCTTTGATGAGACGCGTAATGGCATTGGTAATAGCCATTGCAGCCGACAAGATGGAGTCATGTACTTGTAAGTCAACGGCGCTGAAGCGGGATGAATCGCGAGGTCGGGCCATGAGCTCCTGCAAGCGCTGTGTCGCAAGCTCGATGGCTTTGGCTGCACCCATCATTTCCTGCTCGACGATGTCTCCGATATCTCCATTGGCGCGAGCTAATGCACCGGATTTGGCGCCCTTGGGAATGAGTTTATCGACAACTTCTGACAGTTTCATTAGCGCTCCACGGGCCTCGCTGTTGTTGCGCATGACGACATCTTTTCGTTGGTTGGGTTGCAGAAGATCAAGTTTATATGACTGCAAGTTCATGAAGAAACGAAGGCCGACATCTCCGGCAGCTTTGGCGACGCTAATGATCTTGTCGGACGCGTCATCGTCGCTGGCCAGTCGTGTGATGCCTTTGCTATTGATCAGAACATCGGCAAGGGATTGAGCAAATTCATTTGCGGTCTTGATGACCTCCACATGTTCGCCACCAGCTTCTTCTCCAAGGTACAGATTGTACACCGTCGCGAACTCCATGGCGTTGTTGGTCGACTTTTCAATCATGGATAACGTATACTCGGGCGTTGAATTGAGATTGCCTGCTTGCGTCGGGGACTCCAGTTCATAGATGGATTCGTCCACCTTCGAGACGCAAGCCTTCAAGATAGAGTCTGGAATATACACGTTAGAGAAGTGATCAGAACAATATGGGAAGAGAAGCTAACCGATAATCTCGTTAAGTTTCTTCCTGTTATCCAAAATCAAGGTATCAATTTGGGCATCTAGACCCCGACTGACTTCGCCCTGATCCTGCTATGGCGTTAACCGCGTTCTAAAACCCAGGAAGTCTGGGAACGTACCTGTTGCGCATCATTGAGTTGTTGAAGAGTGCTATCAACACTCTCCTGTAGGATCATGATCTCTTGGTCTTTTTCCTCGCGTAAATGTTCGATTTCATCATTAGAGTTTTGAAGTCTCGTCAGGAGATCGTCAATTTGAATTTGTTTGCTCTGCAAAACATGAGTATCTCTCAGGCACACATGGAGGAAAGAACCTACGCGCAACGAGTCCTCCAGTTCAGAAAGCTGTCTGTTATACTTAGCAAGGACTGTAGTAACTTCCGAATTCTTTGAACGGGACGCATCCTCTGCGCGCTCATTCGCGAAATTGAGTTCGCGACGCAATCGATCAATATCTTCCTTGTTTGATGACTTCGCACGATCCAGCTCGAACCTGGCGCGGTCACGCTCACGCAACATATCGGCTAGCTCCAAGTTTTTCGCTTTTAAATCTCTCTCCATACGCTCCATGCGATCGACGGCTTCTTGAGCAGAATTCGCTTTCAGTTGTAGTTGCTTGAATTTGGAGAGCATATCCAGATGCTCAGTCCGAAGTTGGCTGTAGAGCTTCGCGAGTGCTTCGTACTTGTTGCGCCATAGAGTAACTTGGTCTTGCAGCTGTTTGATGAGTTCGTCCTTCGATGCCATCTGCGAGTTTATATGGGAGGTGACGCCGTTCAATTCGGCCTCCAATGCTTTCACCCGCTAAAATCCGACATGAAATGCAGAAAATGGTCGATGACGTAAAAACATACCCGATCATACTGTTCCAAAAAGATCTGGTCTCGTTCATACTGTCCTCTCATAGCAAGCAACTGACGCTCTAGTTCACCCGCTTGCTGCGCAGCTTGACTATTATACATCTGCTGCTGCTGAAGCATGAGCTGCTCCTGAGCGAGGCGTTGCGCTTCAGCTTGTTCTCGTTGTCTCTGTTCAAACTCTAGAGCCTGTTGCTGTTCCAGTTCCTGACGTCGGCGCTCCTCCGCCTCCCGAGACGCTTGAAGGAGAGCTTGCTGCTCTTCATATTGCTTGAGCATCTTAGCTTGCTCGTTCATGTCATTGGGTGACGGTGCGACGGGAGGAGGTGAAGGAGACTTGACAGCTGTCTTGGGACGAGCAGGGAGATCAGGAGCGTCCCCAGTGTCCAGAAGATTGGGTGGTTCCTAAGATATCATAAATGGTATATGGTGCAGGAAGACAAGAAAGTCAACACATACGTGGCCCAGTTTTGGCACATTGATGAGACCAGTAAGGTATTTGAGATTGGAACATTCGTAGTAAAACTTCCGTAAATTGTAATGTTGTTGGGTGTATCGTTCCTTCAGAGGTTCCAGAGCATCGACATCGTTCGTTCCTATATATGAAGTTGAATGGGCCGGTCGACAATTAGAACCGGAAGCCTCACGTCTATACATTGCTCGCATCATACTTGTGATGAAACGATATATACCCCAGCTTTCCTTGACCAGTGGTACCAGGGCAGATATACGGCATTCGTTGTTCGTTGAGTGACGGAAATGTGAGAAAATCATTTTCTGGAAGGAATCAATTTGTTCCTGTAGACCCATTAAGTCGGAAATGGTTTCATAGCTAGGACAATCATTGAATGGATAGACTGATAGCAAGCGTTGGCTGCGTACCCTTCATTTGGATCATCAATGCCCTTCAGTGTGACGTACTCCTCATACTCAAAGAGACCGTTGAATTCTGGTCGAAGTCGGTGGAAGCGCAATTTGGCCAAGATGAACTGAACGTAGGTTCTGATTAAAGGCCCGTACCCTGTTCCCTATGAGCGATGGCGCAGCAACTTCCGGGATAACATACCTCGCATTCCATCATTACCAACTGTCCTGGAACAAGTTTCCAGCCATGATGTTTGCCCGTGCGCTTCTTTGATGGTCTGTAGACTATAAGGAGCGGATACGTAAACTAAGGCGAATTGTAGCTTACATTCGGATGACCCTCTTGGAGAACTTTATGAACAGTTATCAGTGCTTTGAATGTCTGAACTTCGTCAGAGAGAATGGGTTGCACGCGCAGGCCGCTCCAAAATGAGATCGAGGAATGATAGTCCCATGTGAACACGATGCATTCTATCCTCCTGTTAAGACCGTAGTCATACGAGCTGATAATACAGACGTACTTCGAACATGTTTCTGCTTTGGAGCAGTTTCCTCCGGGCTGGTCGCTTTCTTGATATTCACGACGAGTTCTTGTTCGGCCTTGTCTTTGTCAACAGGCCTAGTAGGGTAATGTATCTCCTCCTCGATGTCGAACCCGCCCTGGCGAGTATTTCGACCATACCTGTATTATACTATGAGGTTTACAGCTATAGGAGTGGATGTCGTGAACCTACATTACTGGTGGATGATGGTTGTAGGAGGAAGGAGAAGCTGTGCTAGTCTGAAGTTGTCGCTGCTGCGTGCGAACTGCCATGTTCCGCTTGTTTCGCCAACACGCCCGCTTCAGACCGTCATCCTTCGCGCCAAATTCTCAAGTACGATGGCTATTTTCAGGATTATTTTCACGCAAGACAGCATCAGTCCCTGCTCTGTATAAGCCGCGGAAGGAACGGTGGATCACACCGACGGTCGTCGTGGTCGGGTTTATTCCGGTCTTCTGTTTTGGTCTGGGGACATGGCAGATGCAGCGGCTGCAGTGGAAAATTAATCTCATAGACGAGCTGCAAGAGAAATTACAGTTGCAGCCGCTGTCTTTACCGAAGAAAATCAAGTACGCGTTCCGCCCTTCATTTGGATAGCACGCCTCAATTTCGCACTAGTCTTTCAGTCATTCCGGAGTTTATCTGGCGCAGGGTGGTGATCAGAGGCAAATGGGACCATGCTCACACTATGATTTTCCCTCTTCGTGTCCGTGAAGGTGTCGTCGGTGTTCATCTCGTCACTCCCTTGGTTCGTGAAGACGGGTCGACCATCCTAGTAAATCGCGGCTTTTTATCTCAAGAATATGCAGAAAATCATTCGTGGGACCGTCCAGAGGAAGAGGTAGAGGTCTTTGGAATGCTTCGCACTTCCCAACCTCGCAATGCGTTCACTCCTGATAATCATCCTGAGCAAGGAATATGGTACTGGTATGATGTGAATGCAATGACTGAATATGCAGGCGGCGAGCAGGCAAATGTGCAGCCTGTTTATCTGGAACAGATATTCGGTGCGCCGCACTAGACCTTATTTTATGTCCTTTACTAAATCTTATCAGAGGGACACGCAGGTCAGGCTTCGTACTGCATTGACCATGGCATACCTGTTGGACGACCTCCGACGGTCGATCTCAGAAACTCTCATCTATCTTATGTGATAACTTGGTATGTAAAAGATGACCACTGATACTCTACCCGCTAATCAGTGCCCTCCCCTTAGGTATTCATTATCAGCGTTGACTGCGTTCATGTTCATGCGTCTTCTTGCAAACAGGAAAAATTCCAACGTTCGCAGGCTTCCTCGTTACGGTTAGAGATGGATGAGTCGGATGACAGCCGTGTTGATCACCTTTCGCCTGCCGAATTTCTCTTGACTCTCGCACACCGGAATATAGGAAGTACAACCTCATTTTATACACAAATGAAACAGCGACTCCTTTCGAATACGAACGCCTTTCCCAGGTGCATTTTGCCTGCTTACGTCCGTCGCCTGTAAGCCAGCACAAGCTTTGACCTCGGCTTGTCGCACTGCCTTTACAAAGAAGCTCTACATTTAATTATTCACAGTGATTTGTCTGGACAGAATTTGGTTTACAAGCCAAATCACATTGTTTTTGTTCTTGCGGTGGCAAGTCACTAGAAGTGGCATTGCTTGCGGTGGCAGGCTTGAAGAGCAGATAAAACGAGGGCAGTTAAATGCGCCGTTCCCTATTCTTCCTCACATAGCAACTGTAAAGATGTCCATTTACTCTTCCTCCTCCTCACTCCAGCATACTCGTTCTGCAGGTCAGATACGCAGCGATTACTCTCCTCGTTATGACAGGGCACAGCGCCCCAGTTACGACACTCCTACTTCGACACCCCGACCCGCTTATACTAATAGCCACTCCTTATTGTTCAGTATTAGTCCCCGGGATACTCGTGAGTGCCGCTTTGTGTAGTTTAACTTGGACTACTTCTTACGATGACTCTGGCTACAGAATTCCTGCATGGCGGAAGCTCAAATGTGAACCGGGGATTGTATAATCACAGTCGCAACAGCGCTAAAAGCGATGTATCCAGGTCTCCATACCCCATGACCAAAGGGACCTCCGTACGCGATGTTCCTTTCTTCTTCATTCTCCTCTTTAGCGCTTGCTTCCAGGATAGTTCTAGTTCATTTTCGTATTCTGAAAAGCTTGACACCTCTCCAAGATGTAACTAGTACCTTCGTCTCAGCGAGCTGACCTTGAACTAACGAATGCACAATCGTTAGCTAGGATGTCAGACTTTCGATTCCCTCAGTCCAATGTTGACAGCCAGCTTCGGCACAAGCACCGGCCCAGCCCACTCAGCCTAGAGTCACCCTGGCATAACTCAACACCTGCGCTATACAATTCAGGCGGACAAGGATCTCTTCCTGTTCAGAGTGTATATGCAGGCACTCTTGATGCCCTGCACACTGGGTCATCAAGGAGGTCCCACCGCCCCGCGAGTGTAGTTCGGACGCACGACTCAGCGGATGACACTCCCGAAACACCACGCACCCGGGCGAATATTATGCGCAATGTTGCGCCCATATTTGCCAGGATCAATAGTCGCGCAGCAGCCATTGGTGTGATGGCTACACAGGACGGAGACTTGATCTATCACCACAAGTAAATTATATACGCCTTTTCTTAACCTGTATATCACTGCATGATGGTCTCAATAATTGAGCCTGAAACATTGAATTTGAAAGATATTTATTTTAATTATATTTGAGTCTAAAATACAGTAAGAAAACTTTGAATATAGTTTCTATATTTGGGAAAATTGCCTCAAAACTTAAGGAAATCATGAATATTGCAAATATATTTCGACTATTTCTTAGATATTTTAGGTTCAGATATTGGTAAAAATAAATATCTTTTGATTTCAATATTTTGGCATTAAATATTGAAGCTGTAGTACCAATTAAGCGTCGAAACTTTTGCAGTCAACGTTTTGAGTCCTAATATCAAATTAAGATAATCTTCGAGAAGCAATGCCTAGCCACGTGTGTTGCGTCTACCCCAGCTCATAGCTACCGTAGCCTGGAATGCTCACCACACGCTTGCACGCCGAAGGTACAAGTTTTGCGTAGGGTTGAATGACAGAGACGGAACAAATATCTCCTGCTGGCTCTTCTGGCCATCGTTCATCCACAGGTAGTCATTCGAAGGACTCGGCACCCCGTCATAATCAAATCCGGTTCTCAAGGGAGGAAGAGGATCTTTTTTCCCTGTTCGACTCTCCAAACAAGCATTCACACACCAAATTCAGTTCTATGCGACATCATTCTCCTCTTGCGCCTCCAACAAAACCACTGGGTGATGTACGACAGCGAGGACATTCGATGGAGATCGGAAACCCGTCTTCAGGCACCTCACGAGTGAAGAGAGCTACGGCCACACAGAGGAATGGATTTTCTGCCTTTGACAGGGCACCTAGTTTGGATTCTAATCACTTAGCTATAAACGCCTTTTCGGACGAGTATGATTTATGTGCGTGCTTTACATATTTTCCATGAACAGCAAGTTAACTGCAATGCATTCCTTAGCTCATGAGGGCAAGTAACGTCTCAATGAGAATGACAATATTCTGATATCGTGCATAGACCCGCTGATCTTACAGGATGTTCAGCGAGCGGTAAAACTCAAAGCCCGGCGAGATGCTCGTATGAAAGAAAGTCCTGGGAGAGAGCCGCCACATCCTACAAAGACTCCGTCCGGGTCATCATGGTCTAGCTCCTCGACACGCCCGTTTCCGGTCTCTCCGTCGTCTCATCGTCCCCATTTTGCTGGTGCCACCTACGCCTCTGAGATCGACTTCAGTCCTTCGACAGGCAGTACGCGCGTCAGTGTCGAGCTACACCCCATACCAGCTTCCGCTGATAATGGCTCAACACTAGACTGGAGTGGATCCAATCAGGGCGAAGACAGGGTGGAGAGACGATGGACCCTTTCTATGAGCAAACGCAAAGGGAAGGAGAAGGAACCACCCATCTCTGTAAACGCTTTGGAAGCTCAAGAAAGTCAATATGCTGGTATGGGTGTCTATCATTGGTTCTCTGATTTTGACTTGACATGTCATCAGTTAAACTTTCACGAATAAAAACCGTCGCTTCCCCTCAGACAAAACGCAAACGAGACATAACCGCCAATCAGCTCCAGAGACAATACGGCCTGATATACAATTCCATCGCTTCGGATTCACCTTCCTGTCCCTTTGACATCCTAAAAGTTGGCCGCTGGTGGGAAAACGTTAGTGTTATGACACGCACCATCATAGAACAATCGGAGCCTTTTACCTGGCTTAGGCATCTGGACGCTCGTAAAATGCCGGCTCAGCAGCTTCACATGCCCTGGCATCTCACTGCTCTGATAATGGAAGAGTATCTCTCAGCTGCTTCCGCCGCCAATCATATGTCGACTCAAGTGCCCCCATTCCCATCTACCATTCAAGCGCCAAACTTTTCGATATCTACCATTCCCGAAAACCCAGCAACAATTTCTCCGTATTCATCGTCTCCCCCTGACCTAAGTGATACAGCGCTACCACTTTCTTCCCGCGCATCTTCACACTATTCGTTAGGACCTTCTTTGACGAGAATCAAGTCCGCCGACGGTAGAGTCTCCTTTGAGCCTCTCATGGAACCCGTTCATGATTCTCTGGAAGTCGCTTCTCGAAGGAGTGGAGATTCGGCACTCAGTAGTCAACATGGACACACGGGTTCTATAGGCGCTATGACCCCAAGCTCAGGCCCTTTCCATTTGCGACCGCGTACATTCAACAATCTCTCTCTCAATGATAGCGATGACGGATCCTCTGCTCGCAACTCTCTCTCTGGACAATCGGACGACAATATGAAGAAGACTGTTATACTTTCTCCGAAATTTGACCAGCCGCTGCGGGAGGCGTACACCAAAGAGCTAGGATTACCTTCGTCGTCTTCACCAAATCCAGCAAATACGAAAACTATGTCCCTAGATGGTGCTTCTAGCATGCTGCAAAAGATTAGAACACCACAGATGCACTCTCGTCGCTCTTCTACCACTAATATTACCCGCACTGGTCCTAAGGCAAGAGGCTCGTTAGCATCACCGCTTCCCGAAGATTCAGATACGGACGGAAACAAGAGGCGTCACCAAGACATAAATGACGCCCAATTAGCTCAGGAGTACAAGATGAAGTCTCAGTGAGCATATACTAGTCTTTCATGAACAAAGTCCTGAATAGCGATAATAGACTCCTGGAAGAGAGTATAGCGCAGAACTTGCGTATAAGACAGCTATTGAATCGTGTCGCAATTGGGGTCAAAGAATACGACGTGACTCAAACTAGCCTTATGACGCTGTTGGGCACACCTTATAAGGGCCTGCCTCCGGAATTGTTAGACACGTTCGGTCATGACCCTTCAGCGGTCACTACGAAAACGGGTCGTTTTCGAGGGTGGCGAGCAGTTGATGACATTCACAATCGCATCTTACGCCAGCGTGAAATCTTCGAGGACTTTCTGGCCCATAACAGGGATGACATAGGTTCTGTTGTTGAAGAGGATGTTTTGGAGAATCCTATATGCGTTCTAAGGCAGTCCTTGAATACCTTGGCGGTCAATAAGGCTGCCGTGGCTTCCAAAAGCAGACAAGGTGGCAGAACTGTTGAAAACAGTGCAGGAAACCCATCAGAAAGTCAAAGTCGATTATAAAGACAACCGTTGCGCACACTTCTGTGGTATATCCTGAGGTATGCTCTATCTTTGTATGCTCTCGAGCTAGTGTTGACGCGCTTTAGTTGTCTCGCATAGTCGCACTAGAGGAAAGCTACAAAGACCAGTACCAGTATTTCTGGGAAATTGGCATGGACGCCCTGACGTTCTTGCTTGACACGGTCACTCCGTTTTGGAGGACGTACGGAAAGACCATCGGAGATGATTTCAGAGATTTCCTAATTGTCCCCCTCTACCGGAATGAATTCACCGGAGAGTCCAAACGATATCCACTTACCCACGTTCCTGTTCGATCCTTTCGGCATTGGATAGGATTAGTCGTCTTCTTTTATTTATCTATCGCTGTCACTATCCTTCAGACTCGCACCGCCTTGACTTCGTCCTTTCACTGGGGTCTTCAATGGATAACATATGGCGGCGTTCGATGGATTGTCATCCCCTTCTTTTGGGTAGGCATTGTCATCCAATGGTGTGCCGTCTTGTTGGAGCTGCTACTTGTATTGACGCAGGTGGGATCGTTAGTATGGTGGCTAGGGTGGTCTGTAAAGATTTTCAATTAATTGATACACGTAACACTGGGGTTTTCGCATTGCTTTGCATAATTTATCAGTATGAGGAATATACAATTATTATACAGTAGTTAATAGATATGTGCTAGTTTGTCGACTCTTGAGGCTCATGATGCATCGGTGTGCTGGTAGTATTAGAAGACGTGACGCTGTTTGTTCCAAGCTGGGAGGCCCTGTATGTAGACGAACTCGGTGGCACAAAAGGTTGGAGGGGATGTATTGAATGTTGATAATGGCAGTAGGATAATATGAGCGGGGACGGTGCTGGATACCGCGCCGAGGGAATCTCAAGATTAGCCTTCCCTCCATCAACGCAAGGTCGACAGAATCCTGACAAAAAGAAAGAAATGAGAACCGCAAGAGAAGGAGTGAAGAAACGCGCTTACTTCCACCGAGAATGAGGGGAACATCAGTTTGGCCACAAGACATGCATCTAATTTGAGGAAGTTGTGCAACGGGTCTCGGAGTTGTCACCCGAGGTCGCTTTGGAGGCTTGGGTTGAGGTGCAGGCGCAGGCGCGGACGCGGGCAAAGTGGTTGGCACAACAGGCACAGGCACAGAGGCCGATGATGGTGCGGTGACCGAAGGGGCAGTAGAAAGAGCAGATAACAAAGGGTTGGGGTGAATTCCTTGCATAGGTGAAACTGCTGGAGGATTCACAGGCGGGGTGACTGCGGACGCGGAAGGCTTCCGCTGTGCGGGTTTGCGTCTTGTGCGGGACCCTGATGTCTGACCGGGCTTCAATAACTTCATAGCATATGGAGATGTGTTCGCCTATGAACACGATGAAAATTTCAATAAAATAAACACCCCTGACCATCGTAACCACTTACATTTTGTAACTGAGTTAAAAGGGATCCTGGTGACAGCTGGTGCGCGAGGTACGATCTATGAGGCCTGTTCTTTATCTAAGAGAGTGTGTGAGAGAGAGATCAGCCGGTATTGTTGGTTTGGAGACAAGGCATACCAGTTGTTCCAAAATGATTCGATTCTCCTTCATCTTTTCTTCGCCACCTACCCAGCGTGACACCATATCCCATACCGGCAAAGGAGCTTTTATCAACCGAAATGTGACTACCTCTCCCTTGTCGTCAATGGGTGTCGCTGTTACCGTAGAATCCGATGTGGGTGATAGGCATGTTGTAATGATGATATCGTAGGCCGCATCCTTCACGCTACTGTCAATCTTTCTTTCACAAAGAGCCGGACCTCTTGGTAGTATCCACCGCTCAGACGAAGTCTCCTGAAATTCGAAAACGAGGTCGAATTCTTTTGCTGGCAGGGGTGTATATGATGGTTGTGGCATGGCATTCTGCGACATGACAGCAGGCGAATGTGCCAGAGACTGAATGAGTAAACCTAATGTCTGCAGCTGATCGGGACTGGCTTTTCCAGCGGCGGCTAGCTGGAGCAGGTTGGCGAGGGTCGGATTAGATGATGCGGCAGAATTGACTTGGTGTATCAAGGCTGGTGTTATGATTGTAACTGAACTCAGAGATGACAGTAGAGGCGCTGATGACTGCGGGTCATTGGTTTGAGGAGGTGGTGTTTGGGCCGCATTTGTAGAGTAAGTATTCCCGCAAGATGCCCAGTGGGAACTGTTGCTAGAACTGGCTGATTGGTACGATTGAGGAGTCTGCGATTGAGGCTGAGATGAGAGATAATGGACTTCTGAAAATGCTGTTCCAGGAAAGATGTGTGGCCCAACCTCGAGGTCGCATTGTCCTCTGCTCTGTATGGTGTGCGCAGGTGGACTGATGTCGGAGGACTTTCCGCCGCGTGATCGGCTGGAGAATTTTGGGAAGAAAGATAACCAACGATCTCTGGCTGGAATAGATATTCAGATATGTGCAACTGAGAGAGAGAAGAAATTGGGACTAACATTGCCGAAGAGATTGGCAAAGAACAAAACTGTGTTCATAGTCAGGAATTGAACGGGGCAAAAGTTATCTGACGCACCTTTCTGATACGCTCTTTATATCTTCATCACCGTCTTGTTTTTCGACTTCCCACCCCGGTGTGCTGCCAACGGGCAGGTCAATGACGGAGACAAGCCGATTCATGGATGGGTTGTTTGTCCTTGTGTGCCAGAAGCCTCAAAACGTAGTGGCGAAACAAAGCACCCTTTCACTTCAATGGCTCTTGGTGGCGTTTCCTGAAATGACGACCCGAGTTCGTGAGTGCGAACCTGTTCTCTGCTTAATTATTCATTCAATCTTTACCGTAGAAAAAGGGGGAGCAATATTCAGGCCCGCCGTAAAGGCCAGGGCGCGTTCTACAGTTTCCGTTGAACCCTCGAGTCAGAAGGATATTCGCAGTGGGACCAGAGAACCAGAGGCCCCTACACAGGAATCGTTTGGATCAATACCGCCACCCCCATTGGCCGGAGCAGCCCAATCCAACCTCTCATCTGTAAACAACCAAGTCCAAGATTCACTTGACTTTGGTTCTGCACCAACCCTTTACCCTCAATCTTCTCGCAGTTCTCAGGCTCCTCCTGTCTTGGCCGTGTCTTCTACCGTGACTCGCGTATCCTCTTCAATTCCTCCCCTAACTTCCTTCAGCCAATTTCACCGACCTCCTCCCGTTCCTGCAGCCCTACCAGTCGCTCGCAGTCGGCCCGTTTCTGTGAATCAGTCTAGCACCTTCTCTTCTTCCCAGTCTGTACCGGAATCCTTTTTGCAAGCACAAGATCAGCCTACCTATATCGATCCCGCTTTGACTGGCACGTTTCCAGTGACCCAAGTCGTCCCCATTCCCGAATTCGGTACATTTGACCAGCAGCTGACAACATTCCAGCATATTCTACACAACTCTGGTACTGGTAATGTTCCGCAACTGGCCTTGAACAATGAAATTGCGGTGAAACCAGCGCGACAGTCCACCAGACGGAATACAATCTCTGAAACGCCGGGTGGACCAGACTCACAAGGACCGCCTCAAGACAAGGATGAACAAAATGGCATTGCGTCTACAAAAACACGAGGAAAACGTGCAAAGAAAGCCTCTCAGAAGGAGAGTGGGGAACAGAAGTCGGCTCGAAAGCGGAAAAAGTCGCAGAAGGAAGATACCACATTTGAACCTGGAGACGAACCTGGCACTCCAACTCCCAAACGGCGGAAACGAAGCTCGAGTGCCAAAGCTCGCCCGCGGAGAAAGCAGTCGCCATCTTTACCTCCCTTTGACCCAGATGCTGACCCTGGCGAAGAAATCGATCCAACCGTTGTGACTATGGCCGTTCTTTGTCGGGATACGGGACAGGGACGCATCAGCAGCAAAGCGGCTGAAATCCAAGGCAATCATGCGGCTTGGAAAGCCCAGAATAGGGAAAGACGGGCAAGGATGAAAGCTCTGATGGAGAGGAAGAAGTATGGGCATCCGGAAAGTGACGAAGAGAGGGATTCGACGGAAGTCAATGCCGACAAACAAGGTTCTACAGAGCCACCTTCGACTCCCACCGCCCCCGTTGCGTCCTTGTCGGCTGCAGTGGACGAGACGGGTAACGGTTTTGATTACTCTCAAGGTTTTACCGCCAGTCGATACAATGTTCAGGTCCGGATTGGGCCAAACGGGGAAACCATTATCGATGAGGAATCGTTGACTGTTGACCGCGACGAAAATGATGTGACTGAGAATTACACTCACGTCATAGAGTCGGATACAACCAAATTTACGAACTCTGGCACATATGGGAAACGATTTCGTGGCTCTCGGTGGAATGCAGAGGAGACGGAATTGTTCTACGATGTGAATTTATTTCATGCGTCTGTATTTCACTGGTCTTATGCATTTTCCCAGGCTCTGTCGCAATACGGGGAAAACTACGAACTCATTGCCTATGTCCTACCTGGTCGTGACCGGAAGTCTTGCAAAAACAAGTTCAAGACAGAAGACAAAAAGAACCGCGCACGGATCAATTATTGCTTGAACCATAGCAAGCCAGTTGGTATGTTAGCAGTGTCATATTATCTCTACAATTATCTAACGTTGTCAAGATATGGGTACGCTTTCGCGTATGACTGGGAAGGATTTTTCAGGGCCAGTGCCAGAGATTTCTGCGCCATCAACGCCAGCCGTGCCAGTCGCCGAAAGGCAGAGTGCTCCTGATGCGCCTACACATACAACGCCAACGGTCAGGAAACGTAGTCAAAGTCGGAAACCAGCCGTTACAGATGACATTCAAATTGTCGGTCAAGCAGATAGTTTTGATAATTCATGATGCTTCTTGCGCTCGACAGTTCTGGGATCCGCATTAACTCATTAAAGGTTGAAATGATATAGCATTACACATTGTATCACTGTTCCTCCGCGTAAGTGGTAGAGATGCTCAAATTAAAAGATCGCAAAGGAAGTAGACATTCTAGTTGAGCCACACAAAATTCGGTGATCATTGAAGATGCCGACTCTGACGTATGGATGACGCCAATGTGCTCGTATACTTTCTCTTCCACTCATGCATCATGGCTCAAAAAATTATCATTTGCGGGGCTGGATTCATCGGTGTGTGGACCAGGTGCACTGTTATTTGTGATCTTATGCCTTATTTCTTTCAGGTAAACAGATTGCCCGAACATTGACAAGGAATCAAAAGCACAACTTCCGTGTGCAACTTTCATCTCGTCACCCGCAGAAGTCCTACGATCAGCTTAATGAATCCACTCCGTTCGGCACACTCCTGAAGCCTGTTTCTGTCGATGTGCGAGATACGTCCTCGCTTACAGCTGCTTTCGAAGGATCCAGTCTAGTTGTCTCTCTTGTTGGTATCATGCATGGCTCTCCCAAAGACTTCGAGGACATACAGTGGAGGGGAGCTTCGAACGTTTCCAAAGCCGCTCAATCGGTTGGAGCCAAACTAGTACATTTTAGCAGCATTGGAGCAGATCCTTGGAGCAGTATTCCATACACAAGGACCAAAGGACTCGGCGAAATTTCTGTCTTGGAGAATTGCCCAAGCGCAACTGTCATTCGACCGAGTCTCGTGTTCGGTCCAGAAGATGATTTTTTCAACGTACGTCTTCCTGACAAAAAGCTGTCGCTGTTTCTAACATGTCTGCAACAGCGATTCTCGCGTTTATCTCGGTTCCTTCCAATTCTGCCCGTTTTTGGTGGAGGCACGAGCAAGTTCCAGCCTGTTTATGTCGAAGACCTGGCTCGTGCTGTCGAGATCATTGCGACCGCCGACGCTAAAGTGAAAAATGACATGTCTGGTAAAATAATGGAGGCCGGAGGACCCGACGGTGAGCAAGTTGGTACCAGTCATAATCTTCTCAGACAAACTGTTCATCTCAGTCTTCACTTACCGAGAACTGATGGGCCTCGTCCTCAAGTATAATGGCCGATATCGTCCCATAGTTTCCCTGCCTTTCTTCGTTGGACGAATTCAAGGTTTCTTCTTGGAGAAATTGCCGATCAACATGTTCACAGTCACTCGCGCACAGGTACAACACTTGTGTTCAACCACATTCAGAGAGCTGATCTTAGCTCTCGTCCAGATTGAACAGCTTAAATTTGACAACGTCGTCCAAAATGTACCAGAAGGTTCTTCGAAATTCGTTTCCTTTGAGAAGCTAGTGACAGCGCACTATGAACCTCCACGATCCGTCCATGATGTCCTGCCTGGCTATCTTCGATAACGCAAGATCTATTATTGGTTCTGGACAATTTGAAATGATCATGTATTTTCAGAGCTGAAATATTAAGTATTTCAACTTATGCCTTAGCACTTCCGACAGGCATCATGAAATCGATAGAGAAGCCTGCCTCTAAAGCCTCCGTTATCCAGCATCAAGCTCACATTACCGCAATCTCTGTCCATGCGCTGGCGTGAGACTCGGACCATTTTTTCCGATTCGGCGTTCGGCGGCCCTGTAGGCTGTTGTCTTCGGCCGTCTAGATGAATGTCTACCCCAGCCGACATTATTATGAACTTTAAAGTCCCTGGAGCTTAGTCATTGAACCCTTCTCTGTTACACCACGATACAGCGAGCCAACATGCAGAACGACTCTGGATCTTTAGAAAGCACTGATCCTGCGATGATTGGAATGTCTCGACCAGCGCTTGAAAACCAGGCGGTCTCCCTAGGAGCACCACAAGAAACGGAGAAACCGTACAGCGTGTATTCTACAAAAGAGAAATGGTTTATCGTGGCACTGATCGCATTTGCCGGATTATTCAGGTGAGCATATTCACTAGAGACTCTAGCATTAATAAGTAATAACTTTCTCACCGCAATATCATCGCTGCAGCCCGTTAACTGCCAATATCTATCTTCCAGCCATTCCAGTTTTGACCGTGGATTTCAACAAGTCGACGGAGCTCATAAATATAACGGTTAGTTCCTTCCGGTCACAATGGCGACTTTCTAAATCGCATATGATTCTAGGTTACAGTGTATATGGTTTTCCAGGGATTGTGTGAGTTGTCTTTGCAATCTAGCATACTCATGACCGAGGGTCCGAAATTCTTAGCTCCTATGCTTTTTGGTACTATGGCCGATCAAGTTGGAAGGCGACCGATGTTTGCGGGGTGCCTTCTGATATTATCACTATCTTGCATTGGCCTCGCCCTTGTACCCACTTCTGCATATTGGCTCCTCGTCGTGCTCCGGTGCGCGCAAGCCGCCGGGTCCGCGAGTACCATTGCCTTAGGTAAACCCATTTATATATTTCGTTTTTTTTATGTGTTAATGGCGACCAAAGGTGCGGGCACCATTGGAGACATCGCAGCACCCGTAGAACGTGGGGGCTTCTATGGCTTGTATAATCTCGGACCTATGGTAAGCCCTGTACTCATATTGACGGCTTGACCTGACTGTGTTAGTTCGGACCATGCATCGGGCCAGTCATAGGCGGAGCTTTGTCAAATGGCTTGGGTTGGAGGTAAACAATTCTCAGATAGCCAGAACATAAGGAGCTCATCCATTGTTTGAGGTCTATTTTCTGGTTCCTGTGTATCTCCTCTGCCGCGTGCTTTGTTGTCATCGTTCTGTGAGTTGCCGCACAACATAATATGCTTCATTTTGACCACATTTATGTAGATTTCTCCCCGAAACATTACGATCTCTTGTAGGAGACGGAAGTGCGATACCCTCTAAACATTATCGGCCCTTAATACCGGTCGTTGGGAAAACGGCTTCTGATCCTTCTTTCGCAAGACCACCGCCAAAGCCTTTTCGGAATCCTCTTCGGATTTTGAATAACTTAGATATCATGATGGTGTTAAGCATCAATGCGGTCATCAATTCGTTGTATTATGGCGTAACTGCATCGATGTCAACACTTTTCAGTGAAGCGTACCCTTCCTTAAACCAAACCCAAATTGGACTTTGCTACCTGGCTATTGGTGGAGGTATGGTTATAGGGTCATCTGTGCTAGGGCGCGTCTTAGATCAGGAATATGGAAGGTTGCAAAGGTCAGTGGTAGCCGTTCAAGCTCCAGGTAATACGGAGAAAAGCGAAACTGGAATCGACGACAACTTTCCTATTGAAAAGGTAGATTGCTTTTCATACTCGACCCGTAGAATTACTCACGGAAATGTTAAGGCTCGACTTAGACTAGTTCCGTTCAGTATGCTAATCTTTGCAGCATGTTGTGCTGGATATGGCTGGAGCGTCCAAGAGCACACCAATCTCGCGGGACCATTACTACTACAAGTAGCCAGTAAGAACGCCGTCCATCTTATATTTTTTTGACAGATACTAATATATTTCTGAAGTCGGTTTCACAACAATGGGAATCATGACTTCGACGCAAACACTCCTCGTAGATCTGATGCCTTCACAAAGTTCATCTGTCACTGCATGTGTAAGTGAAAATACACTCATGGATTATCCTCACTGTTTAAAAATCACTTTCATTCAGAACAATTTTATCCGTTGTATCGCTGGAGCTGTACTAGTTTCGACAATGGATCTCCTTCTCCGAGCGCTCGGTGCTGGGTGGACCTATGTTTTGCTGGGGGGGATATGTATGTTGACGATTCCTCTCGTTTACTTGATTATCCACTTTGGTCCACCTCGACGTATTAAACGAAGACGGGCATTAGCTACTATAAACTAGAACAAGACTGAAAAACTGTATTTATATTATGTTTCAACTAAGCGACTACAGTATGAATTCTGGTGCAATATTTTTTGAGGAGGTATTTCTTTAGAGCCAACATAATCTACACTGAACCCCAGACGTAAGGGCCTGTATCCACACTGATCCGTCTCACCGGGCCGGATAATCCAATGGTGCTTGTGACGTAAAATCTGGTCTGAATTGCGACCACCAACCCTCTTAATGTCCAAGCGTCGTACATCACTTGCATCCCCTGATACTAAACGTAGAAAAGTCGTCGACCAGACCCAGATTGACTCATTTTTCACCTCCCCCAAAAAATCGACCTTGAATTCGCCGAAGTCCCCTGCAAGAAGTTCCATACCCAAGAGCAAAAAATCATCCTCGAGTCAATTGACGGCGTCCACTACTAGTAGAGAAGTTATTGATGTTGATGCATGGGAATCAGGCCCCGTGAGTTCCGTTTCGAATGTGGAGGAACTCAGCGTCTTAGTCCCTAAGCATGATTCCCTGCCCATCGGAAAACCCTCGGTCTCGGTGATGACTTTGAGCAGGGATGAAGAAGATATTCGATGTCCACCCTATGAAATGCTGTCGCAGGATGTGTCGCAGTTCAAACCGGACCCGTCGTTATTCTTCCCACCTAATGATACCGGAACAACTAAATCTTCCTCTGTACCTTACGCATTTCTCGCTCACACACTTTCCGAAGTGTCGGGAACTCGCTCCCGCATTTCCATCATCAATGCACTAACAAATGCATTTCGCATCATTCTTATATACGATCCTCCATCGCTACTTCCAGCTGTTTATCTGCTCTCCAACACTTTGTCACCTCCCTACATCCAGATTGAGCTAGGTTTAGGGCCTTCAGCAATCTCCCAGGCAATTCAACACGTGTCTGGTCTATCATCTGCTGCCCTTAGAAAGTTATACAATAAGACTGGCGATCCAGGAGATGTCGCAGTTGAGGCCAAATCGAACATGCGAACATTGTTGCCTCATCCTCCATTGCTTGTCCCATCTGTATACGAGGCTCTCTTGAAAATCTCAAAGAGCAAAGGTCAAGGAGCCTCAAAACAGAGGCAAAGCATTGCAGAGAAGCTCTTAGTGTCGGCGAAGGGAGAGGAAACGCGCTTCCTGGTCCGCACTTTGTGTCAAAATCTTCGCGTCGGGGCAGTGAGGACGTCGATTCTGACAGCTCTCGCAAGGGCCACCGTCCTGACCCCGCTCGATTCCCAGTTGAAGTTCACGAAACCAGAGGATTCTACCTGGTATGCCACAAATGCTCTACTGGATGCCGCACATCCTGTCGCGGAGGGCAAATCCAATCCGTCTCGGGACATACTATATGCGAAGTTCAAAAACGCTGAGACTCTGATTCGCCAGGTCTTCTGTCAGCATCCAAATTATGACCATATAATTTCGGGACTCTTCGAAGTTGGGCTCGATGACCTTGCAGGGAAAGTGCCTCTGACTGTCGGTAAAGACTATTGGACCTTTTTCTTGACACGACCTGATTATAGTGTCAGGTGTTCCTCTCTATCCTACCCTTGGTACTCCCATACGTTCCTTGAATGAGATCTACGAGCGTCTAGGTGACCTCCCTTTCACGGCGGAATTTAAATACGACGGCCAGAGGGCGCAAATACATGCTTGGAAAGCCGTAGATGACCTTGTAAAGGTCAGCATATTTTCCCGTCATCTGGAAGACATGACAAGTAAAGTAAGTTAGCATGAGTCCATTAAATATCTTTAACAGACTTTTTCTCAGTATCCTGATGTTGTTGCTCTTGTCGAGCGCATGATATTGTCTTCCAAAGCACAGAATTTTATCATGGACTCAGAGATAACTGCCATTGATCCTAGCGACGGAAGCCTGCGGACTTTTCAGGAATTGTCTACTCGTGCGCGTAAAGACGTCAACTTGGCTGACGTTCAAGTTCCAGTGTGCGTTTTTGGATTCGATTTGATGTTTCTAGATGGGCAGGTGTGTACATGTATCTCCCGTCTCATCACCAGACTGTCAGAATCATCGTTACCGTATTTCTAGAAGTTACTTGAAACAGACTTTCGTCAACGACGTGTACTCCTGCAAACGCGATTCTCCCCTCTGGACACTGGATCTAAGGAAGTGGCTCGTTTCGATCACGTCGAACGATGTGATAGCGTCGATGGACGTCCAGCCGTTGAAGCCTTCTGGGCAAAAGCTATGAATAGTCGAAGCGAGGGCCTGATGGTCAAAGTCTGTCGCCCATATCTTTGAATATCTTTCGAGCATCATCTCACAGACCCTCGCAGTTATTAGACACAGAAATATCCGAACATAACTCGGATAAGGAGACTAGCTCTAATAGAAAGCCTCTCTTTGCTACATACAATGCAGACAAGCGTACGTATGCATGGATGAAATTGAAGAAGGATTATGTCATGCAAGGTGGAGTCTCGGACTCGTTGGACCTCATCCCAATCGGTGCTTGGAATGGCAACGGTCGCAAAGCGAAGTTCTGGAGTCCCATTCTCCTCGGTATGTGGGACCCAAGTTCAGGATGCCCTGTCGCGGTCTGCAAGTGTATGTCAGGTACGTTATCGCACCAGTATGGTTTTTGCCGCAGCTTATTGGCTCTTAGGATTCACTGATGCTTTCTACAAAGTATGTTCGATCGTCATCTATACCTTTTCAGATTAATTGAAGGGGAACAAGGATATCACTGAACGGTACGCCTTGAGGGAAGATTCAGACGTCTGTTCACAAAAGTCCTGTTGGAATTGCGAGCTGGGTGGTAAGTCTGTATTTGTAGCATCCTTGTCTAGGTTTGAAGCGGGATTTATAGGCTTTCGACCGGATGTTTACTTTAAGCCACAAGAAGTATGGGAAATACGAGGGGCGGAGTGAGTTTGTTTCTCTTAAATGCGTCAGTTACAACTCAAGCTGCTGCCTAGTATTACCATCAGCCCAGTTTCTATTGCAGCTAAAGGATTGGTCTCTAGTACGAAAGGCCTTAGTCTCCGATTTCCTCGCTTCATCAGGGTCAGAGAAGACAAAGGAGTGTCACAAGCGAGCACACCCAAATTCCTTGCCGACATGTATACAGATCAACAGGGAAGATCAGGAAGAAAGGGGGGCAATGATGAAGGCGACTTGATTGATGTTGACGTTAGCGACTCGGGGGCTGAAGAGGGGGACGAAGGTGAAGAGGAGGAGGATGAGTAGTTCCTTACTCGGAATTATATGCCTTGATCTAAATCTTCACAGAAGGAATGACTACATAGGTATTTGTGAGAGTAGCATTATAGAAAAAAGGTAATTATGTGAAGTATCAGGCGAGATACAAGTATTGTAGAAGTACAAATCAGGCTGAGTAAAGTTATGTATCAACGAGAGTTTGCAGGACTTCTCCGAATTCGCGGCCTTCTTCGCATGCGTCTGCGAATGCACTCTTAAGTTTATCCCTGTAGACTCCAGCCAGCCAATCCTGGTCCCGTTCTTCTTCAGCACATTGAAGCTGCAGCAAAGTGTATGCTTGTACAAGCTCCAACTGAATCCGAGGGATAGATACGGACGAAGAAGTCGCCTTTAAACTCGCTAGGCGAACAATTTCTTTGGCCGAGGGTAAGGCGATTTTCCTGGTAACCGGTTGTACTGAGGCCGCTGTAGTGGGCTTTTCAGCAACAGGGACGGTGGTAGCATTAGACCCCCGAACCCTTGGAGGAGGACGCGCCTGAGGTTTAGGTCGCGTAGGTAAATCGCTGACATGCCCATCGTGGTTACGAAGGAAATGTTGGCAGAGAGAGACTTTGAATCGGAGCATAGATGAAGATGGAGCGAGACTGAGCATCAAATACACAAATAGATCCGCTGATGTAGTGGATAATCTAGAGAAAACGGAAGAGACGAAAATAGGGTAATCGAGATATATCGTGAGGGAGAGATTGATAAGCTGGAAACAGGTTGAGTTATAGATCCAGAGCATGCCAAGAAAGCGCACCAATGTCATTAGTCGTACTCCCAGTTTACGATAGTGTTCATTCCTCTGTTGCAGACAACAAAATACAACATCGAGCGGCGTGTTCAATTCCCATCGTCCTTTCCCATCTCTTGTAGGAGGTATTTGAGATAGTAGGAGTTCCGAGTAGGGAGCTAATATTTGCATGAGATTGAATGTAGCTGTGTTTTATTTAGGAACGCACACTGGCCAACTTCAGCCATTGACTCGTCCTTTTCGAAAATTGTGATGAACCACTCTAGCGTGGACCACGCATTCTCGCTCACCACCGAGCCATCCTCTTCGTCATGTTGGGAACGACGGCGCTTTGAGCCGTTGGATTGAGGAGCTGATGTAGAACATTTAATGAAACCTGGTTTTAACAAACTCCAGCAATTTTTGCTTCGAGTGATGCACTGGGAATCTCGAGCAACAACGGAGTCGTCATCGCCTTCCGTAGACGGAACTTCTTCATCGTATCCCGGTATAGTGCGAAACAGGCCTTTTGGCGTGTTGGTGAGGGCGAAAGACAAGAGAAGTCGCTGTGCGGACCGGATCGCTGTAGTTGTGAGGCGAAAAGTCACACCCTGTTTGATTTTTGAAGGGGATGCAGTGACGTCGACCTCTCTTATCTGAAATGAGGGCGGATATAGTGCCATGTATAGAAGCTGTCGGATATGTGAACTTTGGTTCTTGGTCAGCTAAAAGAATACAACACGAAGAGCACATAACTCACGCTTTCGGTCTGCGCCACGGAGAGCGAAGCTGGTCGAGAACGGAAATTCCAGCGTCATACTGGTCTTCCTCAAAACAGCTGTCCACTAGCCCAGCTTGACTGATGTTCATCTCTGCCTCGCTGACAGGCTTCGCTGCTGCATTGGAGCTCGACATTTTCATGTGATGCAAAAATATGTCTCTCTTCAGAGTTGTGTTACCACCAGGTAACCGAGCAGAGCCACTGTCACGAGAAAGATAGAGAGACAAGAAGCACTGAATGAAGAGCGCGTCTGCGGAGTGTGAATATCGCGTCGCGACCTCACCGGTGGCTGTGTAACTGAATGAACTCAACACACTTACCGACACTACCTTACCGGCAGCGCGTGATGTGAAGATGACCGCCAATTTCCCCTTAACATTCAATCGTGCGCGCTTAGCTGGCTTGTACAATTCCGCTTTACTGAACGGTAACTAGAGACGGTGCAAGGAATCACTGATTTTAGTACGTGCAAGAGTGGATAACACAATTGAATGCGTTTTGACTTTTCAACTTGACAGTCGAGGTGGCCGTTCACACTATTCTATACGTACGCCAGATATATCCGGCAGATCTGTTCATTCGTCGCAAGAAATATGACACGCCTGTCTTCCAATCTCGCCATCCAGCTCTCAATGAATACATATCTGGTGCTGTCAAAGCTGTGGGCGACGAACTGAGTCGCGTATGTTCCTGCGTTGGTATGGTCTTGTCATGCTCATTTTGTTTAGGGGAATGTAGACAAAGTGGTCGTGGTCATCAAGAACAAGGAGCAACAACCCCTCGAGAGGTTCATCTTTGCTGTCGAAAGTATGGTTGATGTTGAAGGTTTTAATAAGGACACAAGGTAATGCCGCCTATGAAGGTTCCCATCAGCAGTTCTTTAATGAAGCAGTATCGAAAATGCCATGACGACCGGAATGCTTGGGCAATATTTTAGGTCCTTCTTGGTCAAGCTTAACATGGTGGAATCGCAGCTCGGACAACTGGGCTTGGGTGGTCAGGTCATTTTTCTATGGCTTATATATACGCAGACAGATGGTCTTGCAGATAACGTTTCCTTCGCTATTGTCATGGAACTCAAGGACGACAAAGTCCCCTCGACCATAACCAGTGGCGTGCGTCTGTTACCTTAATATACTTGCATTTTGTTGTAGCCGATCTCCCCTTCCAGGAACCCCCACCTTGGATGCCTGCTGAAATTCGGCACACCACGTACGGCGCATCTAAATCAGCCGAGCTCTCCATGCTTCGGGCCGTCAACACCGGTGTTATAAATGTGAGTCGTGGTGCATTCACCTTCCGAAAGACATTCATCTGTAATCAGCTCTCTTTGGCGGTTCAAGAATCGGAAGAGAAGTTGAACAAAGAGAAAGAACTTACGAGATAATTCTACGCCCCTTACTCAATGTACTAAAGGAAATTTTCAAGATTAAAATTATCAACACAATTGCTATGATAATAAAATACAATGCAGCGATACTAGAAAAGCAGGTGATAAAATGTCCGTTAAATTTAAACGTCCACTCGAATCCGTTGAATGATTGGTATAATTCTCTCCCATTCCTCCATCGCCTGTAGCAAAAGGCTGTTGACAAACATAACACCAATTGTAGAATGAAAGACTCACGGCCTTGTAAAACTCAATTTGACCTTCGGCAAGATTCCCTAGCATCTCTTTCATTTCAGCTTCCTTCGCATATTGAAACACCGCCTGCTCCCGTAGAGTCTCATCGCTGAAGGCGTCTGATGTCTCATGAGCAGTTGTTACAGCGTCCTGGAGCTAAACGGGCATTAGGGCGCTCCTTCACACTGTATAAACTAGAAGCAGACTAACCTCTTTGATCTTCACGTCCAATTTTTTCATCCGTTCTACCCTGCTTCGGTCATCATCGGCACCGCGAATCGCATCAACACGATCTTTCAAGTACGCCCCAAGGCCAAGACCAGTGCTGCCCGCGTGGCCACTAATGACAGCAGCGAGTCTATCGCGTTCCGCCGTAACACCAGATAGATAGTCGGAGAGTTCTTCAAAATCAAGTTGTTTTTGATCTCGAAGTTTTAAAACAGCCCGGTTGGCATGAGAGTAAGTGAGAAGGGAATGTAAATGAATGAGGAAGGGATCGGTTGTCGTCTGTGTCTTTACAGATGTGAGAAAACATAATCACAAATGTAGACAAGAGGCCTGCTCACGGTATGACGCAATAGAGCCGAGAACTCCAATAATGTATTCGAGAAATGGTTGAGTGGGTCCGTGATACCTGATTCTAAAAATCCTAGACCTTGAACAGCAACCGCCAGATCATGGTAATCCGCTGTGAGGTCTTCAGCGGATTCCGGATTTCCGTCTCTTTCAGCTCAGATGCTTGACCAAAAAAGAAGGGCATAAAAACCCACAAACAAATGAACTCACCGCTTGTCCGACTCCGGACTCTGTTCCAAAGGCGCTCAGATGTGTTTAAGCCTTCTTCAAACTTGTCGACGTTTTCACGCATAGAAAGAAAACGCTCATCGGGCTTTCGAACTCGCGAAAATGCATTAAGGAGGGTGTCGGAGATATTGTCAATTATTCCAGGCGAAGGCTCTGGTCCAGGTGGGTGCGCGATATGCTGATGCATATGGACATGCTGTTGCCCTATTAGCATAAGTTCAAACAACTGGGAAACTGACGCACCCATTCCGTGGATTCAAAGAAGGCCCTAACCAGTGTACTCCGCTGCAGAGTTGGATGGCGAGATAGTCGCTGGAGGAATCGATGAAGGCTGTGAAGAGTCAATAATTATCAAACAAGGGTCACAGAGGCCTCCTCACTCTAGACGTCTCCGCTCCATGAATTCCGGACTGAACCTGTCCCCTGTGATATATTCTTGATAATTCATGAGAAAGATATCTGCGTCACAAATCACACGAACAGACCTAGCCTATGCTTTCCCGGCAGTGCAGGTACTACACAAGCTGGAAAGTCCCTGACCAAGTTGTCACGCAAAAAAACGAAATCTTGAAATCGTCGACGAGATGAAGGGTTGGGTGTCGAAAATATCGGGAGATTTGTCTGTGAAAGACTGTTGAGACCAAGGCTTTCACACATGTCCAAGGTCCTACCTTTGCAGTAACCAGGTACGAGACATATGCATCTTTCGTTTCTGCGAGCTCCTTCACCGGATCCTTGACCGTCGTAATGAGATAGCCTTCCCACTTTGGGTCGTGAGGCCCTTCGCTGCTATCTGCTGTGCTCTGCCTGAAACCAGGTCCCGATGGTGCTTCTACATTGTAGGTAGGATCTGTAGGTGACTCCCAAGTCACGCTGTCGAAAACGTCCTCGTCGTCGCCAAGCATAGCCGCGCGAATAGATGAGGCTGAGAGCAGAGACGATCACGGCCAGACAGACTGATTGTGTAGTGAATTGGTCCGCGTCAGAGTGATGAAGTAAGGAGGCACAGGATACATAGCAGGCGCAAACAAACACGTTCTTACCTCCCGTCACGATGGCGGTTTTCAGCCATCCGTTTATTCTTCTTTTTCCATGGCTTTTTCTCACTACATCGGTACTTTCTTATCAAGTCCCTGTGGTGGATACAGGCAAGTTTTCTGTACTGTAGTCCTTGGGATTGGTCCAATTGAATCATTTATGTCAGACTACTCCCGTCAAATATGTAGCGGTATGTGGGGAAGCCAGTCGACGTATATTAACGGTGCGCGGCAGCTGAATAGCATTATTTCCTCCATCTAACCTTCATATCAAGTCAGCTTCGACGCTACTTCCCAGGGAAATGTAGCAATGGTCGTGTACGAATGGGCAGATGCAGAGTATCTCGGAAAAGTTACCTCCCCAGCAGATGCTCTATTGCCTGTGAGTGGTCGTATATGCATGACTCGTGTAGTGAGAAGTTATTTTGTGCTTAATAAAGCTGCATAGCAGAAAACATACGTGTGCACCTCGAGCGCAGTCGTTGGTGGCTTTTGCACTGCAAGCGAGCTAGGACGGTTTATACTTGACCTTCCTTCCGGGAAATCAATAAACGATACTTCATTTTGGTCTGCGAGGGTCCAGCTACCTTGGACGTCAGATACGAATTCAACATCTACTTCCGCGGAATTTTGGGCAGATGCACCAGGCGGGGTACCTACCCCCCCTCCCTCTGCGGATGATGAATACACAACCCCCTGGCGACGCAGTCTTCGAGTCCGGGACTCTCTTAATCCTAGTCCAAATGGGATTCATATGTACGTGGAACCTATACAATATCTGGTCCGGAAAACGGGTTACTACTGTGTCGGTGAGCCGCATTCTCTGTTCATCACACCCTTATTCTAACCATTCTTCTTGCAAGCCATCGTTCCTGTCACTGTAAGAAATTCAGCCAGTAGCGGTAGTTCTGCCAGGGCTCCTACGGACGTGCCTTACCATCCATCGTACAATGGGCTTGTGTTCTTCCAAAATACCTTTGACGGTCAGCTGCCTGCAACGGACTATCCTAAAGTTACTGTCAGTTTCGAATGCAAAGTCCTGCTGTCCCTATCTGATTTCTTGTTAGTTTTATTTCGTTATGTTCCTGGTGTATGCAACGTTCGCCGGTGCATGGGGATGGCTATGCTACAAACATGTTCAAGAACTTCTTCCAATCCAGGTAGTTTTTGTACCTACGCGAGTGGCAGTCATACCTAACTTGTAACTTCACAGTACTATCTTTCTGGTTTGGTTGGGTTACTTGTTATCGAAATGGTTGCAAACTGGGGTAGCCATTGAATCTTACATCTGCTTATCATCGCTAACCATCGATTCAGCGTACTATCGTTATCTCAACGCACACGGGAAAAGCACAGCTTCTACGGTGTTCTTGATAGTCGGTCAGCTACTGTCTCCATGCACAAATGTTCGTCGCTAATGTCTTTCCATCGGCCACTCTACAGTCGCTATCCTAGATGCCGGAAGAAACTCCATGTCCTTCTTCATGTTGCTCGTGGTATCCCTGGGTCTCAGCGTGGTCCGTGAATCGTTAGGCCGGACGATGATCAAATGCCAAATACTTGCGGGTGCACATTTCATATTTGGAAGTGCGTAGCGCCAACCTTTCCGTATCGATTTTCAGGTTTGTTCATTTATTCACAACAGTACTGTATGCTGTGGGAATTGTGGAACTCGAGCTAGAGTCGACCTCGGCGCTTGTTTTGTTACTTTTCGTAATTCCGTTGGCCTTCACTCTTAGTGGATTCCTTTTGTGGATCATGTATTCTTTGAATGGTCGGTGTTCTGTTCGCATGATCGTCTTGTGCCGGTCTGACATTTTCTGTAGCAACAATTGCGCAGCTAAAGGCCCGCAAACAACGCTACAAGCTATTGATGTTTGAGCGTTTATACCGCATTCTTCTTTTAACGGTCGTTGTGATCGCCATATTCTTTATCGTATCTTCATTCTCTTTCTCGGGCAGACTGGCTGAAGGTACCCTCGACTCATTCATGCCTTGTCATCCTATTCAACGATATTTTATTACAGACTATGCCGCAAAGTCTTGGAAAGTCCGCTGGTGGCTTCTCGATGGCTGGCTGGCTTTACTTTACCTTGCCGCCTTCGTAACAATAGCATACCTCTGGCGACCATCGGAGAACAACAGAAGATATGTATCATTTTTTGCGTATGAATGTTTGGTGCAGTTGCTTATTTATTGACTTGGGATATCTACATTAGCGATGTCGGATGAAATTGCCCAAGACGAAGAGGACGCCGAGGACTATGACTTGGAAGCTCTGGAAAGTCGTACCAGAGCTCGTGAGGACGACGAGGCAACACTAGTGGGTGGAACGCGAGCGGTAGGCGGTGTCACAGAGGATAGTGTTGTCTTCGAAATCGGTGATGAAGAAGGAGCGAGCGACGATGAAGATTCGCCGACTAAAAAGCGCGCAGGGCGGCGTTCTACCGATAGCCATGGCAGAGAAGACGAGCGGCGGGGTCTTATGAGCGGAGGGTGACGAAACAAGGAATCGAGATGATTGATACTAGTAAGTATATTTCGTTCCCAGCTTATTAATATTTGCCTTGTCGTAACATCGGATGGTTTTCTCATCTTGTATATTACATACAGTGTCACACCTACATAGACAGCAAAGTAATCAACATTAGTCTCGAATCCGACCCGACGAAACGGTGTAGAGGCGTGCAGCGATGTTCATGCTTTGTAATTCCTGATGTCAACGGAAGTCAGTGAGTGATACAGTCACGGCGTTGATGAAATGTCCTAAAATGTCACACATACCTGGAAGAGTAACTTTGCAGCGTAGGGAATATAAAGCTGCGAACAAGCAGTTTTGTTTTGCACGCTCGGCACTAGAGGACGGTTAATAGAGACCAGAAAAGATAAAAGAACGCTTACTTTCGAAATTTTGCTTTTTCTGGATGAAATGAGATATCAGAGATGTGACTACGCGCAGGAGACGCAGCTTACCAGGTTAGCGATGGCTGTTAAGCCGCATCTATTTTACCAAAAAAATAAAAGATCAGCAGCTATGCAGGCCATGTCACAGATTGGCTTACATGTCACAAACGTGTAATCGATAGGCATCGCTAGCCTCAAACAGTCGCTCTTTCAAGAAACCGGCAATACCATGAGAAGATCATACAATCACGTTCCATCTCTCCGAAACGCAGACCACCGTCTCGACTTCTACCCTCCACAGGTTGTCTTGTAAGGATTTGCACCGGCCCTCGAGCACGAGAGTGAATCTTGTCATCCACCATGTGTTTCAAACGTTGATAGTATGTCGGTCCAAGATAAACTTGCGCCTGCAGTTTACGTCCCGTATGCCCGTGGTACATCACCTCGAGCCCCCGAGACTGATAACCTTTCTGCCTCAAGAAGGTCGAAACCGACTCGACAGTAAGATCTGTGAAAGGAGTGGCATCTCCTTCATTTCCAATAAGCGTTGCCACTTTGGAAAGCAGACATTCGACCAAATGCCCGATTGTCATACGGGACGGAATGGCATGAGGATTGATGATGATATCCGGCACAATGCCCTCGCAAGTGAAGGGCATGTCTTCTTGTCGATAGGTGATGCCAATAGTACCTTTCTGACCATGCCTTGAAGCGAACTTGTCTCCAATTTGAGGGATACGGGTGGACCGAACTCGAACTTTGACGAACTTGTGACCCTCGTAATTCGTAGTGACCAACACTTGATCGACGATGCCCACGTTCTGTGCTCTTCAGCGGCGTTGATACGTCTCGTCGCGTATGCATTCGGGTACGCTGACCAAGCTCCTCACTATCTGGAGGAATAGGTGCAGTCTTCCCCATAATGATATCCTCTCCAACCACACCGGTACCTGGGGCAATGAGACCATCGTCTTCCAACTTGTCGTACGTGCCGTGCTTCATCCGAAGTGTGCTCTCTCGCATGGGCTTCTCGAAATACTCTAGTGATTGTATGCCGTTGGTCTTTTCCACGTCCATATAGCTTCGATAGTAGATACTCCGGAATAATCCTCGGTCAATAGAGCTCTGGTTCATGATGACGGAATCTTCCTGATTGTATCCGCTGTAGCACAGAATAGCTACGATGGCATTTTGTCCAGCTGGTAGCTCCCGAAATTTGAGATATTCCATGGATCGAGTAGTGGCGAGAGGTTTTTGGGGGTAGTATAAAATGTTGGCCATGGTATCCATGCGAATGAGGAAGTTGGTAAGATATATGCCCATCGCTTGCTTGCCCATAGCGGATTGGTAGGTGTTACGAGGAGACTGAAATAAAGGACCCAGACGTCAGTAAACTTAGCAGAAGTAGCGTCCACAATCACATACCTGATTATGATCTGGGAATGGAATGATACTAGCACAAATACCTAGAATCATGCTAGGATGGATTTCACAATGCGTCCATGTGTGGGAGTTAATACCAGCCTTCAAACGAGCAGCAGGATCGAAGTCACCATCGTTCGCATGGATGTCGACTCCGCTCTGTTGTAGCCTAGAATTCTCGAGGTCCTCCGGCGTCATTGATATCATGACAGTCTCTTCCTCCTCCGCATCCAACAACTCGATAACGCCACCCTTTATCAG